ATGTTGAAGCCCTTCACGCTTCAAAACAAGAGCAGCTGGGAGTCCCTCCTTGCTCTAATTGAATTTGCTTACAACGACTCAGTCCATTCTTCAATTGGCGTTACTCCATTTCAAGCCAACTATGGCTTTAGTCCCACAGGCATTGCACGCCAAGCGATTAGTAACATTCCGGCATCAGGAGAATATCTCCAGTGCCTTAATGATACTATTCACCAGGCGCGCGATGCAATGCAAAGGGCCCAGGAACAACAGGAGAAACAGGCCAACAAAAGAAGGACCGAGCCAGAAGAAGCATTGGAGCCGGGACGTTATGCCTACGTCCGGCGAAAAACAACGAAAAGAGAAAGCTGGGGCGTCTATATGACGGCCCCTTCAAAATATTAAAGATTGGAGGCAATGCAGTTGAATTGCAATTGCCTCCAGATTCCAAGGCGCACCGAGTGTTTAACATCGGCCGCCTGAAGCTTCACCACGGGCCACCTCCAGCGTATGCAATCCGGGACGCTGATGAGGTGGCCGAACAAACCTATGAAGTCGAAGAATTGTTAGCACATGCGATCCATGGGTCAAGAAGGTCTTACCTTGTCCGGTGGGTCGGCTACACCGAAGACGATGACGTTTGGGAGCCCGAGGAGCACATAGACTCGGACACAGTGGAGCGGTATTGGCGACGTGTGCGGGCGCGACAAATTGACGTGCCCTCGTGGGCGCCCCCGCCCTCCACCGCGAGAAAATGGCCTCCACATCTCCTGCGGGGGGCATGCCTCAGTTAGAGGTGAGAGAGTGTAAGGCCGCATAGCGTAGTTTGTTCTAAACTCGCTATGTGCCCTTGCGAAGGCTAGCGCGTTGCGCTAACCGGCACAGGCCTCTAGCTAACTCTAAGGAGTCGCGCTAGAGAGCCTTGCGCGCGCCAGCGCGCTACCCTAATTCCATAGGGTTGTGCAGCCAGCTCTACTGAGCTGCGCTACAAGTCTAGGGAGTGCTACCGCACTTCCCTAAGGGAGTAGGCCACACAGCCAACTCCAAGGAGCTACGCTACAAGGCCTAGGGAGTGCTACCGCACTCCCCTAAGTGTGCACTGCACACTAGAACTCCACGCAGCGCTTACGGCACTGCACTACGAAGCCGTAAGGCTTGAACAACGATTGCACATTAGTTCTCGCTAATGTGCAATATTATAAATAGCTAGAAAACAGTAATATTATTCATACTTAATCTTACTACAGAGCCTGGGCTTACACTTGGTTGCGAGGCTCGTCAAATCAAGTATCATTGCCAGGAAAGAGAGGCGGAATCTCTTTTGGATTGCCAGACTTGGCGGAAGTGTTGACCGTTGTCAACGAGTTTTTAAATTTTTCTTGTGTTATATTTTTCTCCTACCTAGGATTGTGGGCTGCTCTGAGTTATGGATCAACCAGAGCCAATGGTGTAAGACTCAGTCCGTAGGTCAGAATAAGATTAGTTTATTTTCTATAAAATCCAGCTATTTAAGACATTTTGACGCGACGCGTAAATGTAAACAAACGCGTCGCGTCGCGTCGCGCGTTAATGAATTAACGCGCGCGTGTCCCGGGAGTTCTGAAGGCCTTACTGCAGCTCGTTGCAGTTCGTTTGGGCGGCCTTGGGCTTGGTGGTGATCGCCCAGATTTAGGCTTTCGCCTAAATGAACCTTAATGCTTACAAATGGAGGATGTCACGTCGACATCCCCATTCTACAAGTCGGACGCCTCGTCCACCCGTCGCTACGACGTGTCGTGGGCAAAGGAACCTTGGAGCTACGATGGCAGAGGAGACCTGCCTACGCTCAACAGTTGGTTCCGGGCCGTTACGCGTTTCCTCCGGGCTCGCAGGATCCCGAAGGAAGCACACGCGTTTACGGCCTACTACTTCTTGAAGGACGACGCTCAGGCTAGGGTCGATGCCGACGTCGAGCTCTACGAGGCTCTCTCCAACGATGAGATCTCGTGGAGTGAATTCCAGGAGCGTCTGAAGGAGTTCTTTATTCCTCCAGACGCCCTGATGCTCTACAGGCACAGGTTCCTTGACTGCCACCAAACGGGCACAGTCAATGAATTTGTGTCTGCCCTCCTCCGGTTCCAGACCATCTTGTCGTTAGACAATGACGCGGTCAAGGACCAATTGATTCGTGGGTGCAAGCCCCGAGTCAGAATGAACCTCCGGTCGTTCAACCCGGCCACGCTGGGCGATGCAATCCGCATTGCTTACGCAGCCGAGGATGACAACAGCACGCCGGATTACTGCTGGACAAGCTACGCGTCCGGCAGTAGCACACGAAAGGAAGAACCACCAAGCGACCCAATGCTGGTGGACGCGTTAAAAGTTTTGCGCGCTTCCTCGGGCGATGTGTTTACCTTGTTTCGCGAAGGCCGTTGTTTCCGCTGCCGCGAAAAAGGACACATCGCCAAGAATTGTTCCAAAGGCAAGCCCAAGAAACCAAGGGCGAAGCCAGTTGCGAGGGTCAACGCAGCTACAGTTTCTTCTTCGGAGGATGTAGACCCAGTTGACCAACTAGTTAGAGACTTAGGTGAGAAAATAAAATCTTATTTACGATCCTATTCTACTAGCAGCAGTAACAGTTTGGATGTGTGCGCAACAATGGTTCAGGAAGGGGCAGAAGAGCTTGAAGACGAGGAAGAGGCAGTAGACTTGGCTTCAAAAATACTGGAAGCAGCTCGCAGTGTGTTCGCAGAACACAAAGAGGAAACAGGATTGCCGGCTGAAGTACTGGACGCCGCGCAGAGAGCCTTCCAGGCAGAAGAGGAAGAGCTGGGAATACCAGCAGACGTACTGAGGGCCGCAAGCAAGGCCTTCGAAGACGAAACAGACTCGCACCATAGCTTTAACGAGTCTGATTGGGGCCCAGAGCCCGAAAAGGAAGAAGAATTAGGGTCGTCAGAGAGTGAGGACGACACGGACGAGATTTTCCTGGAAGCGGCGGACTTCTCTGAGGACGAAGAGGAGTTCACAGAAGCGGAGGACATCCCAAGACCGGTGTCTTGTGGCCAGCTGACAGTATTTCCCCCGGCAGTGTCTTCACCGCCGCAGGTCGACTGCCAGTTGGACGGGCACAAGAGCCGCGTCCTCCTGGATACTGGCACGTCGTAGCGACGGGTGGACGAGGCGTCCGACTTGTAGAATGGGGATGTCGACGTGACATCCTCCATTGGCTCTGGTTGATCCATAGCTCAGAGCAGCGCACAATCCTAGGTAGGAGAAAAATATAACACAAAAAAAAATTTAAAAAACTCGTTGACAACGGTCAACACTTCCGCCAAGTCTGGCAATCCAAAAGAGATTCCGCCTCTCTTTCCTGGCAATGATACTTGATTTGATGAGCCTCGCAACCAAGTGTAAGCCCAGGCTCTGTAGTAAGATTAAGTATGAATATTATTACTGTTTTCTAGCTATTTATAATATTGCACATTAGCGAGAACTAATGTGCAATCGTTGTTCAAGCCTTACGGCTTCGTAGTGCAGCGCCGTAAGCGCTGCGTGGAGTTCTAGTGTGCAGTGCACACTTAGGGGAGTGCGGTAGCACTCCCTAGGCCTTGTAGCGTAGCTCCTTGGAGTTGGCTGTGTGGCCTACTCCCTTAGGGAAGTGCGGTAGCACTCCCTAGACTTGTAGCGCAGCTCAGTAGAGCTGGCTGCACAACCCTATGGAATTAGGGTAGCGCGCTGGCGCGCGCAAGGCTCTCTAGCGCGACTCCTTAGAGTTAGCTAGAGGCCCGTGTCGGTTAGCGCAACGCGCTAGCCTTCGCAAGGGCACATAGCGAGTTTAGAGCAAACTACGCTATGCGGCCTTACAGCAGGGCAGTCCGCTGCTCGATGGCCGGGCTTTTGACAATTCAAGCAGCGGCCAGAGCGAAAAATGCGGACTAGCTCGTCATCGCTCAAGTCTCTGAGCGCGGCGAGCCGGAGGCGAAGGGCGTCCACTTGCATTGGATCATCGAATCCAATGCTGGCGGGAGCGGGAGTGGAGGGCGCGCTGTGGGCACTGCGTTCGACGGAAAGGTCCTCATCGTCGTCGCCCTCAGCGCTAATAATCCTCAGCATGTCGCTGAGTGTCTTGGGCTTGCGGATGTCGAGCTCCTTGCGAATGCGTCGCTTGACGCCTTCGTGGAGGACATCCATAACCGCCCATTCGGGGAGGCCGAGCGTCGCCTGATACTGGTTCACCTTGTCCACGAACTCGTGGACCGAACCAGTCTGGCGGAGGCGGTAAAACTGGCGTCGATGCTTGTCTAAAGCATCGGTAGGGATGAACGCATCCCGCAAATACGCCTTGAAGGCTTCCCAAGAAACCTTCCCGTCTTCGAGCTGGCTGAACAGTGTTGTGTCCAGCTCGCATCTCGACGCGGCCTCTCCTGTCAGGTTGTGGAAGGCCATCCAGGCCTTCCTCTTAGCAGAGGTCTTGTGCCAGCGGAAGAATCGCTCAAGACCTTTGATCCACTCCGTGAAGACGCGCAGATCGCGTTGTCCTCTGTACGGAGCGGGCTTGGAAACCCAAGACGAGGTTTCCTTGTCCTTATCCTTCTCTTTCTTTGTTAGAGCGAGAAGGATTTCTCCCAGACTTTGAATCTCTGGGAAAGTAGCAGCGTTTTCCTGCTCAACGCTTTCCATTTAGATCGTAGAAAATAAAAAAAGTTGTAAATTTGAAAAAACGAAAAACTTTCCACGACAAGATAAGAACTCTTCTATTGGATCAGAAGAGCCTCGCAACCAAATGTAGGCCTTGTCCCGTAGGTATAGTTAAGATTAGTTTTATTCAATAATTATCTACCTATTTATACAATTCTAGGGCGACGCGTAAGTGTAAACAAACGCGTCGCGGTGCGCGTTAATTAATTAACGCGCGTTGCGTGGGTGCGGTCAAAGACCGCAGGCTTTCGTAGCGTAGTGCTGCGTGGCCTAGCACAACGCTGGAGCTCTCGGTGTGGTGTCCAGGTTCAGGCCCTGGTCACGTGCACACTTTTGTGAGCTTAAGGCGTTACACTGGCTGCATTGATCCTAGTGGAGGGCTTCGCTTTTGGCTTCTTCGTCCTGCCCTTGCTGCAGTCGCGCGCTCTGTGTCCCGGCTGTCTGCAACGGAAACACAGGTTTTCACGAAAAATACGCGCGATTTCTGCATCGGGCAAGCGGCCGATGCCAAAAGCGTCCACGTGCATAGGGTCGCTCGGAGGAGCTTCTCTATGAGTGGCGGTGTGGGACGCATAGCTTGTCCACACCGAGCCGGGAGCGCCGACCTCATCCTCGGCCGCGTTTGCGATGCGAATAGCATCGGTCAGCGACTTCGGGTTGCCGACGCGCAAGTCCTTTCTGACATGTGGCTTACTGCCACGTATCAATTGGTCCTTCACAGTCCCGTCGTCAAGCGACAGGATGTTTTGGAACCGCTGGAGAGAGGACACAAATTCTCGAATTGTCCCAGTTTGGTGACAATCGAGGAACTGGTGTCGATAGACCATGAGAGCGTCTTCGGGGATGAAGAGCTCTCTCAGAATCCGTTGGAATTCTTTCAGCGAGATCTTGTTGTTCTCAAGATCTTCGCAAAGCTGATGGTCGCGGTGAACGCGCGCGAGTGCGTCACCGGTAAGGAAATAATACGCCGAGTAGGCGTGTTCGGGGGAGGGATCTGGCGCGCTCTCACAAAGCGTCGCACCTCCCGAAACCAGTTGTCCAGCGTGGGCAAGTCCGGTCTGCCATCGTATTTCGGTGGGCAGACAGCCCACGACACATCGTGTCCACGATGTTTGTAAGGAGCACTGTCCTCGTGCTCAACGTCGAACAGGGGGATTGTAAGACTCAGTCCGTAGGTCAGAATAAGATTAGTTTATTCTCTATGAAATCTAGCTATTTAAGACAATTTGACGCGACGCGTAAATGTAAACAAACGCGTCGCGTCGCGGCGCGCGTTAATGAATTAACGCGCGCGTGTCCCGGGAGGTCTGAAGGCCTTACTGCAGCTCGTTGCAGTTCGTTTGGGCGGCCTTGGGCTTGGTGGTGATCGCCCAGATTTAGGCTTTCGCCTAAATGAACCTTAATGCTTACAGGGATCGTTCGACGTCTTCCATAGGTTCTGGCATCTCGACGCACAGAACAAAAAACTTTAGGTAGGAGATTTAACACAAAAAATGAAATTTCCGATTAACGAAAATTTCTAAAACACAGTTGACTACCGGTCAACACTTCCGCCAAAGGTTTGGCAACACTTGGAGAGATTCCGCTTCTCTTCTGAGCTATTGATACTTGGTCTTTTTGAGCCTCGCAACCAAGTGTAAGCCCAGGCTCTGTAGTGAGATTAAGTATCAATAATATTACTGTTTTCTAGCTATTTATAATGTTGCACATTAGTGAGGACTAATGTGCAATCGTTGTTGAAGCCTTACGGCTTCGTAGTGCAGCGCCGTAAGCGCTGCGTGGAGTTCTAGTGTGCAGTGTACACTTAGGGGAGTGCGGTAGCACTCCCTAGGCCTTGTAGCGTAGCTCCTTGGAGTTGGCTGTGTGGCCTACTCCCTTAGGGAAGTGCGGTAGCACTCCCTAGACTTGTAGCGCAGCTCAGTAGAGCTGGCTGCATAACCCTATGGAATTAGGGTAGCGCGCTGGCGCGCGCAAGGCTCTCTAGCGCGACTCCTTAGAGTTAGCTAGAGGCCTGTGCCGGTTAGCGCAACGCGCTAGCCTTCGCAAGGGCACATAGCGAGTTTAGAGCAAACTACGCTATGCGGCCTTACAGAGTTTTATATATTGAGTACGGGTCGTACATATTTTTTCGATTAGAAGAAGTGCTTTTAATAAAGTACGGGTCAGACGCAATTTAGTAGTTGTACTAGTGGAGCAATAGTGGTTTATTTGATGTTCTATATTTTTTGTAAAATCTGTTTAGCAAAACCTCTTTCTTTGTCAATTAGCTTTTGAACTACTGGCGAACGTATTATCGGTTAACAGTAGATCAGAAACGTGATTTAGAGATGCTATGTTTAATGATGGTTCTGTCAGTAAAAAAAAGATAAGTAAAACGGGAGGAAACCCGTTAACCAGAGAACTTTAAACTCAAAATTTATTTTATTTAATGCTCAAAAGTCCTTCGATAACACGGCAATCCAACGTGATGATCAAGTTGTCCGTTTTTTTGACTGTATTTTCTAACGTCGCAATCAGTTAAAGTCTGTATAATTATAACCAGACTTTTTTCTGTCTTTTGTGATTGTGTGCATCATCAAACAAGTTGTGTTACACAAAAGTACAGTATGAATCAGTTTGCGCTTGGAAATTGGAAGTTAAGACCCTCATTCAAAGGTATAGCCCTATTCGCTTAAAAGCTTGTGTTGGCGATGTGTATCAAAACCAAATAGGTACATAACATTAAGGAGGGAAGGTTGATTAATTCTCGAATCAGCCTAGTATGTTAGCGAAAATGACACGCATTAAGAGCAACCATGGTTACTCGGCATACCTTTTGCTGGACCTTTGGTTTCGCATTGAAAGCTATTCCCAATCCGGCTTCTTCCATCATAATTAAGTCGTTGGCACCATCACCAATAGCAACAGTGTTTATCTCAGGCACTTGAAGTTCGACAACTTTCTCACACAAAATCTGAGCCTTTCTTTTTCCATCAAGTATCTTTCCTTTAACTTTTCCGGTCAGGATGCCGTCTTCGATTTCAAGTTCATTGGCAAAAGCGTAGTCTATGCCTAGTTCCTTTTGCACATATTTCGCCATTGGAATGAAACCACCACTAGCTACAACTGTCGTAGCGCCCAATGCTCTCAATGACTGACATAACTCCTTAGCTCCAGGGGTAAACGTAATCTTAGCAATAACCTTGTCGATGATGTTCGAACTGAGTCCTTTCAAGAGCCCGACGCGACGACGGAGAGACTCAGAAAAATCAATTTCGCCTTGCATAGCCAAGGCAGTAATCTTTTTGATTTCCTCAGCAACGCCGGCTTCCGCAGCTAGTTCATCAATACATTCCTGTTGGATTAAAGTTGAGTCCATATCAAAAACAACAAGTTTCTTTTCGGCCTCGTAAACTTCTCCATCTATACAATTACAATCGCATTTTCGATTCTGAGATATTTGAAAGCAAGCTTCCTTCGCATCGTCGAAGGTACCCTTGAGTTTGCCGGAGACTTCAGTCCATTCAGAACCAAGATCACGAATGTCTGAAGAAGCAAAAAGGTCTTTCACTTCTGAAATTATCTCCTGTTTTTTCGAAGAAATGATAACAAAATAGTCCAACATTGCTGTATAAACGGTAAAAAGGCAAACAAATCAAGAAAGAGATTTAAAAGGCTACTTAGCTTAAAAGCAAATGATATTATAAGAGTGTGGGAATATTTGAGCACTTTTTCTTTCGGTCAAAAAAAGCTGTGCGAGTTTGTTGTTTTAGCTGGTGTACCTAACATAATAATTTACGATAATCGAGCGGTACTGGCAAAAACCTCTACATTTAAATTCATTATACCATGATAGAAAGCACTTCACCAAGGTTGTTATGGTCACATTTTCATTTCGCTTCGTTTCGCATTTGCGTTTTTCAAATATTATAGCATAAACCTATTTTTTAATAACTATGATACAGAGAAAAAGCTTTATGAATTTGATTTCTTAAAACGTTGATACCATATTAAAATTCCAACATTGCTATGCCTCATCGAGATCTTGTGAGAACTTATCTAGCATTTCTTGAGGAACACCAGAAACTGGAACAGTGGTATACCGAATTGCAGGAGGAGCATAACCCGGATTCTTCGTTGTATCGCCATGGGGATAGTATTTATACTTAAAAGGTTTCTTTTTTTGAACCTCCGAGTTGGACACTTCCCATGGATGAGAATGTCCTTCAGGCAATCTCACTTGACTCTGTGGCTCAACAGAAAGCGTCCTCTGTCCCAACATGTACCCAGCAATTCCAAAAGTATATGTCAAGGCAACCCATGTAACCTTCTTTATTAGTAAATGCTTATTCACATGTGACACTTTACCGCAAGCTCGGGATGATTTTTCGACCATTGTATAACAGATGAGTTCTTAAAAGCACGCCACATTTTGCAAACCTCTTCAATTACGTCTACGACTAGTGTGACAGATCTCAAATTCCGGTCTTAGTTGAGTGGAGACAGTATACGAGATTAGGTCTTTACCTAATAAAAAAAAACAATAATGTTTACTAAATGTTTGTGTTTGTCTTCGTTTTATTATCCCAATTGCCACAGTTCGTAAGTATGTGACATCTTTATGATGTGAATTCTTGACCTTCAATAATTGTGCCCGACTAAGAATGCTCAATTTTGAGCCACCACACTGGGACTTACCATCACTCTCGCGTGGAAGCTCTTACTCGAATAAAACGACAAATATCGTCTTTTTTTGTGCACATTGACGACGTATATAAACATGGCGGCGGCTGCAAGCGATGCTTAATTTGACATGTGATCACCTTATGTCACCAAGTGTGAACGACGTGGCAGCTCTAGTGAACACCAACGTAAGGCACATCGAAGTTTGTTTATTTGTTTACATGTTTTGCTGTAGGACTTTATGTACTCTGTTGTACACAAAGTGAAACTACTGTATTCGGACGATCGTGGTACCATTGTTTATTCAGTATAGTTAGTACTTTGAAGGCAACTGCGTTTCTCCATTTCAACCGTCGAGAAGCAATGACATCTAGTACGCTTCAACCACACCCGTCTCGGTATGCATGGAAGCAGAATTGGTCTGCACGTGCTTACAAACTGACCGACCCTACGTATCCCCTAGAAGTTCATGAAAAGCAGACAGGTTCTTCAAATGCAGAAGTCGCCCAAGTACCAATTACGGGAATTGTTGAACGGAGGTACAAAGAATTTCCCGGAAAGACACTGTTTTTTTGTAATGGCCGGATTCAAATGGCCAATCAATTTAAATACTTGATCATTACCATATGCTGCATTTCCATTCCTTCAGGCTTGTTCTTTGGTTTCACTGCTCCATGGCTTTGGCGTAATATATCTCCAGCATTACCACTTACATTTGCCTATATATTGGCTATTGCATTGTCGTCCATGTTTAAAACATGCACCTCTGACCCTGGCATCATTCCGCGAAATACACATGTTTTAACATATGATCCTCTGCACCCATGGTCTACTATTCCGGAGGATCGTGAAGTTGTCATCGGGTCAACGCGCCCAGATGCGGCGTTTCTCGTCACCCTTCGGTATTGCCATACTTGTCATGTTTATCGCCCTCCTCGTGCGAGTCATTGCAGTATTTGTGATAACTGCGTTGAATATTCAGATCACCACTGTATCTGGCTCAATAATTGTATAGGTCGCCGCAATTACCGCTATTTTTACATTTTCCTCCTATTCATATTCTTGTCCGCCGTATACATGTCTGTGCTCAGCTTTTATATGGTATTTAAGAGCTACAACCGTTCTTCTGGGGTCAGCTTCTCCCGTTATCTGCGAAAACCAACAGTGGGAATGTCGTTTTTTCTCGCTTTGTGTTCTTGCATAGGTTGCACGTATCCTGGTCTTTTGGCAGGTTACCACTGTTATTTGATAGCCAGAGGACAGACGACCCATGAATATGTAAGCACTTATGGTTTTGATAATCACGTTTGCATTCACTAATCTACTCTAGTTACGCGCCCAAAGTACGGACACACGAGATCCAAGACCGTATAATAATAGCGCCATCCGAAACTTTGTTATCGTTTTATGTCGACCAAAAATTGTCAGGTACGTGACCACCTTGTTGACAAGCCATGTTTTGCTTGTTGTCATGAAGCAACCCCTCACGCCCTGTGCTAACACAAGCGTAGCTACATCCGACCCCGGAGGAAGTCTTATATTTGAGCAGTACGAGTAGCTATGGAACGCTCAACTACCTAACACCACCTCCAATTTTCTTCTCCGTAATTGTCTATTTCCCTATACTCATCCACTTACTCGTTATTTATCCATTCACTTCACTAATATGAAATAACGAGAAATTACGACACCCTAAACATGATCTTGGATAGCGTATTCCGAATAATGCAGAATGAAAGCACATTTCCACACATGTCCAACTTAACACATTTTTTACCTCAAATTCCGGAGCCTGATACTCTTACATTACTGACGGGGACGAGGGAGACAACGTGTACATTTCTCCTTCATCATTTCTTAGCCAATGCCATCAACGAAGGTCTTGAGGTTTTTTTCGTTTTATTTTCGCGAACATTGGACGAGCATGTAATTGCCATGCGAAAATGGGTAAGTAAATTCGAAAAGATGACGAGCGTTTTGATTTCTAACATGATCCCGCAGGGTATTAATATCACTAAGCAAGATAACTTTCATTATGTTGATGGATTCAGTACTCTATTCGCGCCGAACGCGCGCAATTTCAAATTGCACGCGACGAATGGAAAAAACACTATTCGCACCGTATTCCAGCCGCTTGTCGACAAATTACAACTTGCAAAATCCGAAGGTTTGAGAGTAATCACCATTCTCGAAGATGTCGACGTTTTGCTCGGAGCAAAAGCGCTGGATACCTCTCAATTGAGCAGTGCTGTTTTTGAACTCTCTAAGCTGAGTAGCAGATTCGTACTGAACATTACTGTTAGTACGAGTCTGCCTCAACAAATCTCGTTTGCTCACCAGATAAACAATTTGGCTACTCGTTGCATCTCTTGTAGACCATTACCAAGTGGAACAACAAGGCGTATTACGGGCTTGCTTCGTCTGACACGCGGATCCCTGTACGCAAAACATGCCGTAGACACTGAAGATGACATCGAGGTTCTTTATGAAGTGATGGAGTCAGGTGCAAAATTAGTCCCTAAGGGAGAGGTATCACTACAAATTTAAAAAACAAATACAGCAAATAAGCTTAAAGTTAGGTTTCGGACTTTTCTACACTCTTGCTTGGCTCGTTCGTTGCGGTTGGTGTCGTCTTCACCCATTTTTTGACGAGAAACGTCCTTTTTGCTTTTACAGCGTCATCCTCGTCCTTTTCAGAACTGGAGTCCACGCTGGGCGAGTTCACAGAAACGGAAATCCATTGCTGTTGCCAATGAGGTGCGGGCTGACTGTCGGGAAGGTCAGAAACAGCGACTGATCCAGCACGGCTCATTCTGTCGTGTTTTTACTGTTTATATTGCCTATTACGATTACAAGACAGACTGTGCAAGACACTCTATATTGGTTTTTTTTGACTTTTCTCTTAATGAGGAGGTTTCAAGGTGCTGCGTCCTTTACACCACAAAGGCCAGATAACGAGTTTCTTTTACTGGTGCAGAAAAATTAAAAAAGAGTGCTCATAACTTCCGTCCATCTTGCGCAGTTATTTTTTTCTTGGTTTGTTTTTATTTTCCTTCTGTACTGACGAGTAGGTAAAACAATTACTACTACTTTACAAACATCATAAAAGCAACCACTCGCCTATTTTCTTTCTTTTGGTTACTCCAATTCATACCACAAGCTGATTTTACGCTAATACTAGCAGCTTTGCTTTAAAAAGGATTTATTAAAAAAATGCCAGAAGATCAATTACCCCAGAAACTGAATGATTTTTGGTCAGAAAAGTATAAACGTGAAAGTCAAAAGTCATGGGATAAGTTTTATAAGCGAAACGAAACTCGATTTTTCAAAGATCGTCATTGGTTGAACCGTGAATTTGATTCTTATTTTGGTATTCCAGAAAACGAGCCGCGTACGATATTGGAAGTTGGCTGTGGAGTCGGCAACCTGGTTTATCCCCTTTTGGAGTGCCAGCCTAATCTAAAGGTCTATTGCTGTGATTTTTCGTCGAGAGCAGTTGAGTTCGTCCAAAAAAACGAGAACTACGATGCCGAACACGTTTTTCCATTTGTGTGTGACATCGTTGAAACACCTTTGGTCAACTTTGTGCCTAATGCATCAGTGGATACAGTGACCGCAATTTTCGTTTTGTCCGCTATTCCCTACGAAAGACAGCTACAGGCTTTCAAGAACATCAGTAGTGTATTAAAGCCTGGAGGACATCTTGTTTTTCGTGACTACTGTGAAGGTGACTATGCGAAGGAGAAGTTTCTCAATTCTAAAGAACCCTCAATGATTGACGAGCACACATTTGTTCGACAAGACGGTACCATATCGTACTTCTTCGACGAAAAACGTGTAGATGAGCTAGCCAGTGATGTTGGCTTAGAAAACATTTCGTTAGAACGTGTTCAACGGAGTGTGGACAACCGTAAACGGGAATTGAGCATGCAACGAGTGTTTTTGCAAGGTGTTTGGCGTAAAAAATATTAATTCTGTTAGAGAAAAAGGCTACTTTATAATATGTATTTATCCCGATATTTTATTTTTACGTATAGTTAAGAAAACTTCGGAAGTGAACACCTGGCGTGATAGAGGCTATGCTTTATGCATCGTGAAATTGTTTGTTTTAGCGATATGAGCTCATTCAGTGAAATTTTTGATTTGTAGTCATACTGACTCGACATTGCCGACATTGAGTGTACCTACAACTACTTCATATAGGTAACCGACCCTTTCATTGGGCTCAATGGAACAAAACGAACATTATTTGAGAAAAGATGAACAGAAATGGTTTCAAGAGAACATCGTCTCGTGTTTCTACAGGTCAGTTCTTACTGAATTGCATGAAATTTTGGACTTGTTAAAAAGCGATGTTCCCAATGTACTTGCGTACTCTTCCATACACACGGACAGCATCAAGGGTGTTGTCTCGCGCAAGCAGGATCATATTGACCGGGTCAATTTGATAGTAAAACTGGGCAAGCAGGTGTATGAAATCCGTTCTAATGATGGTGAGCTGTTTCACTTGAAACAGATACAGTCTTTAAAGAACGAACTACATTTTTGTCTGTACAACTTTCAACTTTTTAAGAACAAGCCACTCATTGGTTTAAATCGTTTGTTAAGCTCCTTGAAGCATTGCATTGATCTACTAAATGAACCATCACAATGTTTTCTGGGATTAAGCAAATCGCAAGTCGTCGAGATTCCAAAAAATACTGACAAAGTTGACAGCAATAGATTCTTCCCATCATTGTGTGTTCCACTTGCTCGGCGCTCTGCTTTTAAGCCGCCGTTGGATCCTCAAATTACACTTTCTTTTACAGTGTCTGGTTCATCCATCGGCGTTCAAGTTTTACGTATTACAAGTTCTGCTCCGGCAATTGATCTAAACGCTGAAGAGCTTGATGCATCGCAACTACTGCCATATATTTCACAACACGTCGAAGCTTATTCTCAAGATCCGATGCTCCTTTCTGTGATGACGAAGCTGAACGCGCTGCAAAAAAAAACGGCAGACATGCGTTATCGAAGCAACATTGCCTACGAATTGGCTTAATCACTCTGGTTTGCTTTTGCTCTCCCCTCTCTTTTTTTGCAAGCAATTAGTTTTTTGATGATTGATGAGTTAATGAAATACCTATGTAACACATCCTAAGACGTATTTGCAAACGAATGTTATAAGACGATGAATCATAATTGCTCAATTAGTCATATCTTCGTATTTGAGACCCTTTTTGTCGCTGAATTAGTTTAAACTGTTTAAAGTTATTTAAACGAGCTTCCAAACGTCACTGTTTTATTGAGTACCGCACGCCTGTCTCAATCCAACACGAAGCTATGCAAAAGCACGAACCTAGTGCAAACAAGGGTGTCTAATTCTGTAACAAGCAAGTTTATCATTTTAAAACGGATAAAATAATCACTGAAACAAACCAGTGTTTGGTTATTACAATTGAACAAACTTCGGTATAGAATGTCAGCGCTATTTATTTTTACACCTCTTAATGGCACGTTTTCGCCGAAGAAGGTACAGCTGGAACCGTCTCAATCAGTGAAAGTTGGAAGAAGAACAAATGAGTACTCTACACCGCAAACTAATAATCTTTTTTTTGACTCAAAAGTACTCAGTCGGCACCATGCTAAAATATGGTTCGACAAGAATACTATGGGCGTTTACGTTCGAGATGTCAAATCTTCAAACGGTACCTTTTTGAATGGAACACGTTTATCTGCAGAGAATCGTTCTTCGGCTCCGTACCGTCTCAATTCTGGCGACATTTTGGATTTTGGTGTTGACATCTGCAATGACGATAGTATTGTGCATAAAAATGTATCGGGAAAGGTGCAAATTATAATCAGGGACCCAACGAAAACGAGTGATTCTACTCGCCTCTTGTCTGAATCACTGAAGGTAGACACACTACTTGTGCAATTGGCACGACACTATGAACAGTTTGTTTGTTTGAACGAGGAATTCGAGGGATTGGATAAAAGCATGAAAGGTCTTTTGGAACGCATCGACTCCCCATTAGTCGAGCCTGCTCAGAAACAAATTGCTGACGATTCAAATAAAATAATAAACGAAGAAGAAAGCAAGCGAAACGACCAGAAAGACTCTGTCTTCTCCGTTCATTCAAAGAAAACGCCAATTGAATGCGTGGCAGAAGTGTTAGAATGTCCAATTGGCAAGCAAGATTTTGAACAACAGGATACCGACTGTAATGCACTCATCATTGCTCAAAAAACACACACGGAAACTGTGGAACGTGTTAATACGGCAGAAGATGTCGATGCTAATAAGCTGGAATACTGGAAGAGCCGAGCTTTTTCTGCAGAATCAAAATTACACAATTTCCAAACACATGCAACTGCCAATCGATACTTATGGTATGCCTCTCCGGCACTTTTGGCTGCCGTCGGTGTGTTCTTGTGCATGAAAGCAAGATAAGGCAACAAAAAATATTTATTTATCACTACTTAATGCTTTCAGCCCTGATTTCTTTCATCAACATGATTATTATGACCTAATAATGGCAATTATATGGAGTACACTTGTCCAACAAGAAGCTTTGAACTCATTTATTACTTTTTTCATGACCGTGACCTGAGTGGTACCGCAGCAGACCGCTTTGTTCTCAAAAGCTATTGTGAAGGGAAAAAACAAGGAAAATAAAGAGAATGATGTTTTTCCTGATATGATTGGCATTCATTTATTGAAGAACTGTTTTTATTTTATTATTCTACACTCTTTCGTAAGCTGTGTGTACGTTCTACCACCTTTTTTTTGCTAACCACACAAAGTTAGCAGCAACCCTACTACAAACTGGAAGGCCTTAAGAACATCCGCAGTGGCCGTCAGGAGCCTTCCAAAAGTATTAGTTGGATTTTCTCCGACGAGCTTCCGATTTCTCAACAGGCTGCTTTGATGAGGAAAATGTCGCGGTCTGTGAAACCTTCGTCACCATCGGTGAAAACGAATAAGGTTTACAAACTTGCTGTAAGTGTCTCTCCAGTGCAGTCCTCAATTGCGTCAACGTCAGCCAAACCACGTAAACCTGGCAGATGCTCTCGTCGAACACATTCACGTTCTCTATCACATCCATCATCCGTATTTACTCCGACTTCGAGTAACGATTCTGTTGATGGATTTGAAGAAGGTTCTCCTTCATCCATTCTGGCTAGGTGTCAGTATCCAGAAAGCACGAATTCCCCGCCCCATGACCAAGTTTTTTGTGATGATGAACAGGCTTATGACAATGATCCCAATGATTATTGGGTTCGTACGGTGTCTGCCTCAACGCTTTCTCATTTCTTTGGCTCCCTCGGTATTTCTTCAGCTGCCCCGCTTCACGATGTTTGTGTTTTTATTGATCTCTTAGGTCCTCCACATCGAATAAATAAGCTGTCGGATGCTTTAGATCAGTTGGGTGCGAATGTTGTTACGTCGCTTTCGCGAGCTTCTTTCTCCCAACTTACACATGTTGTTCTTGACCAAATGGCTCAACATGATTGGCAGCGCATACAAGCCAGTAACAAGCATCTTTTATTTATTGATCCCGCCTGGGTGGACGCCTGTCGGCGTTCCAAACGCAAGGTTAGCGAGCTGCCCTACATTTTCGACATCCATGCAGCTTTTGGCTCTTCGAGGACCAAATCCCGACACTCTACATCAGCTCTGGATGCTGTGCCGAACCTGTCTCCTCAGAAAAATCTTTCTCCCAAAACCCCTACCCGCCCTTCCAAATTTGAATTACGGCGGCTTGAACATGCACGTCGAAAATCCGAGTCGTTTAAACCGTCCGTTGGATCACCTTTAAAGCATCAGCTCGTCTTTGAAGCGGACTAGGACGATACATAATTTCCGCGTCTATGCCTCACACCCTCCGTATTCATTCGTGTCTCCATTCTCGTTCTCCACATTCTTGCGCGCTCCCTTTCTCCACGATCCACACTTCATAACGACCATCTAACTATACCACATTTACTTCATTTCATTCAGCTCGCTTCGCCTCTTCCATCCATATTCGATTCCGTGTCTTCTTTTCTTTGCCATCTTCAACATTAAGCACATTCAAATTCATTCAGAACATCAAGTCTTCTAATTTCTGTGCTCTTCGTCGTCGTCCCTAACACGCCATTTCATCGTTATTATCTCCATGCAATTCTTCCAAGGAGACTTAGTACACATTCCATCCTTGCACAGAAATAGGATTTTGTTAAAGCGAATCACTACGTAGATATCTATTTTCATGCGTCATATTCACCCCTGACTTTAGTTTCGTCTTCAAATGATATTCGCTTCGCTTAAAATAACCTTAATTATACTGCGCAATTATTGTTTCGGTGCTCGTTTCAAAGCAGTCACTTATACTCCGTCTAAGGTTAGGGTTTGATTATGTCGCGGCACGCTCACCACCACTACCATTCAACCTCGTGGCCTCTTCACCACCAACCTTTCTACCTCACTGACGAACTACGAACCAAACACTCCCTTTCCATTCACGAACTGCGGTAACGACCTGTAAACCATTGACGGCGGTTTTATATCATCGTACGGCTATCAAGAATTCAAAATAACCGGGCTCATAGTTCGGAGAAATTTACCGGCTACAACGAACCATTAAAAATGGCGTTGGATCTAAGAATTGGCAACAAATACAGAATTGGTCGTAAAATTGGTAGTGGATCATTTGGCGACATTTATTTGGGCACGAATGTCGTTTCTGGAGAAGAAATTGCGATAAAGCTAGAGTCGACGCGTGCAAAACACCCGCAGTTGGAATATGAGTACCGTGTGTATAGAATTCTCTCTGGAGGTGTGGGAATACCTTTTGTTCGTTGGTTTGGAACAGAATGTGACTACAATGCGATGGTAATGGATTTACTGGGTCCGTCTTTGGAGGATTTGTTTAATTTTTGCAATCGTCGCTTTTCATTAAAAACGGTACTTCTTTTGGCGGATCAACTGATATCTCGCATTGAGTACATACATTCCAAGTCGTTTCTGCACCGTGACATCAAGCCCGACAACTTTTTGATGGGCATTGGAAAACGTGGTAATCAAGTGAATGTGATTGACTTTGGTCTTGCGAAGAAATACCGTGACCACAAAACTTTACTGCACATTCCTTACCGTGAAAACAAAAATCTGACCGGTACGGCACGGTATGCCAGTATTAACACACATTTGGGTATTGAACAATCACGTCGTGATGACTTGGAGTCTTTAGGCTACGTACTCATCTACTTTTGCCGTGGTAGCCTGCCCTGGCAGGGAATGAAAGCCGCTACGAAAAAGGAAAAATATGAAAAAATTATGGAAAAGAAAATCTCTACTCCCACTGAGGTGTTGTGTCGTGGCTTTCCTCAAGAGTTTTCAATTTACCTGAACTACACACGCTCCCTCCGCTTTGATGATAAGCCCGATTATTCTTATTTGCGCAAACTTTTCCGTGATTTATTTTTCCGCCAGAATTACGAGTACGATTATATGTTTGACTGGACCCTAAAGAGGAAGGTATGAAGATTTGCGGCTATGTACTCTGTGTACGTTAACCGCGCCTCGTTAGAGAGGGCTATGCTTGCACAGCTTAATACGTGTTGCAAACTACCGTTCGTTCAGATGCTAACTGTTACGAAAGAACCAGCAGATAGAAGCTGCTGTAAATGAGTCCTCATCCAACAACCAATCTCGTGCTGCCGAACCGCGTCGCCCTTCCTTCAACCCTCACAACAACCCTCAGAATAATATGTACTACAAGGACGCCGGCCGCAAAACCACGTTGCAGTAGATGCAACTTAAACGACTTCTTAAGAATTTAGTGTCTGTGTGTCGTCGATGTGATTTTTATTCGTCTGGTCTAAGCATCTCTTGTCTTTTAATGCACAGTTGAGGTGCTGATCGGACGGCTACTCTGTTCTCTTTCGTCGAGCCAGGCTATTCGCTTTCGCTCATCAATGACTAACCGGTTTAATGTTTATTCGCGCGCACATTCACTCTGTGTTTGGTATGATACATGCAATGAACCACAACTTTGAAGACATAAGAGCGTCATAACATTCGTTGGACCTTCAATAAAAGCTTAATCTGCCGCTTATTTGCGAATCAATTAAACAAATGGCGATGAAGAGACGTGACACAGTTGGCTCGTTGGAGGGCGGACATAGAGAGAGAAGGGGATTCTTACGAAGGCTACCTGCTTCCAGTCGCAAGCTGCAACAGCAACTCTTCGTTGTGTTCGTTGGGGTCAGGTATCGTAAATGAAAAGAACGATAAGTTCCGGAGATGGATGGCTGAAATACTAGTTTTTTTTTATGTTTGGTAAATTTCCTTTTTAGGTTAATTCGTTGATGACTAATTCATAATGTTTGTAATCGCTTTCAAATGGCCTACTTTTTATTTTCAAAATACGTTTGTGTTCTGCTGTACACATTGAATTGGGATTGATGTAGAATATGTGTGACGTGTTGGGATTCACGAAACAACAGAGTAACGAAGTGGGAGATACTTTGCAAGTTACCTTCTGCCGTAGATATGCTATGCATTAATTCCTTACAACCGCCAAACTTATAATATCACTTGTTGCAAGAGACGAAAACTAAAGAAGTAAGAAGCTTACTTCAAGATTCGAGCGCTAGATGTGTTTGCGAGTTGCTTTTGGCTGAAAGACTTTTAAGGGAAAATTTAACTGTTGTATAGAATACGAGCTATAAGAGAGAGCATATCCGCGTAACGTTTATTTGTCGCTATGCCGTTATTCCCTCAACTGCCCGTATTTATTCATTCACAGTGTTAATAATAATAATAATCAATTCATGCTAAAAAGGAGCTTCATAAAGAAAGTATGGATTTGATACGGCCAAACTACTTGTCGCCGTAGTGGTTGCCGGTGTTAGTGATCACCTTTGTCAGTTGATACGTCTTGGCGGCATCTTCAAAGCTGGAAAGAATGGTGTCCTTGGAAGCCTTACCAAGCACAACGTTTACAAAAGTGTCAAACTCGGAGTAGTACGGATCGTCGTCCTCGAACTCAAACTCCTGTTCATCATCAGACTCAGGTGTACGGACAAACAGCTTAGGCTTGCCATAGAAATCAACCATCCGAAGGTAGTAACCATCACAGAGGACATCAATGCAGGTGTCATATTTGACACCCTGGAGCGTGATACAGTGCAACAAGGAGCCGACAGCTCCGGACTTGTAGCGCCAAGTGGCAGCGGTAAAACGCGGAAGACGCTCATTGGGAGGAATGGTTGATTCATCCACAGGCATGGCATGCAATTCACCACAAGGTGCGTCCCAGTTGACACGATTGACGGCTACCGTAGACAAATCGACGTCGCCTCCAAAGTAGCGAGACAAATCACAAAAGTGAGTTCCTTGTTCCACGACGGGGCCGCCAGACTCTGAGATAATCCACCAGAAACGTTTCGCGTTCTTGATATAGGCAGAGTTGTAACGAGCAACAGTTCCGATAACCTTAAGATTGTTGTCAGCGATAAATTTCTTCGCCTTCTGCACAATCTTCAAATAACGAAGCATATAGCCTACAGAGACAATCGACTTCGTTCTGTCGAGTGCACTAACGACACCGAAAACGTCTTCTGGAGTCGAACTCGAAACGGGTTTCTCAATGAACATAGTTGCATCAGGCAAAGCCTTGGTAATCTCAATCTCCATATCATGTCCAACCTTAGTAGAGCCGTGTACCTGTGGAGGAACACCAATAAGGAAAGCCGTTGGCTTTTCATTGGGGTTCTTCTTCAAAAATTCGAGGTAATCCGCAACCTCATCATACTCCTTCACATTCTTGTAGGCGTCAGCAAAAGGACCAGCACGTTTCTTGCCCAGAACACGTTCCCGATCAGCGACAACCGGGCAAATAAGGGCTACAACGTCGAGCGACTTGCCCAACACTTGCTCCAAACGAGCCATGTTATTCCAGGGGCCCTCTTCAGTGCCAAAATTCACACCTCCAGCACCAATAATAGCAAGACGAAAGGCAGACATTGTTGTTAATAAGGAGAACTTATCCGTGGATTGGATGATAGAAAGAAACTTCCGGTAAAGTTCAAAAAAAAAAGTCGCAAAAGAAAGAACTTTGCGATTTGCGTTCTTAATAGAAAATGTGTATTAGTGAATACAATTGAATGATTTGATGAATGTACACGGCATTGACATTTGCTTAAATACTCACTGCTCCGTTGTGCCACGTCATAGCCGGAAGCCAACGCTGGTACGTGAGCGACAACGAGAGCGGCTCATGGGTGGGGCATTATGCTCCGCAGTGTGGACAAGTGTGGAGAAGTTCTGTTCTGAGGGGTATAAGGCGTGAAAAAGTAGGCAGCTAAGCGAGAAAGAATGCGGAGAATAGTCACCGATTTTCCCCAACCCCGCTTTACTCTTTCACTGTACTTTCTGTATCGTGGAACGTAAAGAATCTGACGCCAAGGTGACGCTGGATAGAGTTACAGAGCTTGTTATTAGCCGAAGGAAGGTTGTATGTACCGGAAAAACCATAGCCTGGCGGGAATATGCAGCGTATGATGTCATGCTTCCGCTATTTCCCCACATTTGGGCGCAGACCGGACAAGCGCATGTAACGGTGTACTCAAAAACTTGACGTACTTTTGAATGATTACTTTCTCTCATACATAATGTCTTTCTCGTGAGGTTTCGCAAAACGCTTTCTGGCTTTCGGTTATTGGTCGATGGGCATGTAGGAACGGAAAAACATGATTGGCGGATATAGAAAAATGTGGGGTTCCTCCCGCAGCCGCGTTTACCGCGAAACTGTAAATCGAGAAATAAAAAATAAAAAAAAAGGAAAAGAAGCAGTTTAGGGGATAGGAGACGGAGAAGGAAATATTGAAAAATGCGTTGCCTTACTAGCCATGTTTCTGCAGCTATTGACTTTTTTTATTTAATCATTAGTGTTGACTCCATTTAATCTGCATGATGATCTGCATTTCCCGTCTCGATGGTGTTTTTGACAATCTTTATTCTCATTGGCGTAGATCACTGTTTGCAGATCAGTATAGCGATCATACATCAATTCGTCGGTAGACCCTTGTCTTCATTGAACGGCCATACGTCATTGTGCGCGATTATTGCGCCACTTACGCGCATAAAGACCTGACATGTATATGTTACCGTATTAACTGTTATACCAAACGCACAAACGTCGAACAATGTGTTCTTTTTTCCGCATCTTGTGCATTCGCTTACGTGCTCCCGCGTCTTTCTTAACCCAAACGCATTCATTGACTACAAGTTGTTGTTGAGTCATCTTATCAGATCTAATTTAAGTTTTTATCATGCGACCTATCGCTGTATGCGTTACGTAATTTGCCAATTATGCGAAGTCAACTTTGCTTAGAAGTTGCCCAGAGCCATAACCGCAATTGTGCTGTCATTCTCAGTTTCACTGCGTGTTCTATTTGCTTTCGCCTTTTACGCTGCTTGGCCTTTTCGGTGTGTAGTTTTATTCTCTTAGATTTAGATTCTTTGGAACGCAGAAGTGCTTTCATTGTACTATCTTATTCATTGTTATTATTATTATCATTAGGAAGACATTAAGTTTTCCGTTGTCAAACAGCGCCTTTGAACGAAAAAGCACTTCTTTGACTCGCAAGGTTTTTCTTGGTTTCCTTTTTTTTTCGGTATTGGTCTGTTCTTCAGTGTATAGAAAGGTTTCATGGGTACGTTCTGTAAGCACTTGTTCTATCAAGTACGCATAACTCAAACCGGAATATTAATGAACGGACGGGCTATGTTTTTCATCGTGGTTCTTACTAACAGTTTTTATAAAAAATAGAAGCTCAACAACCTGTAACTTATCAAACTTTTGGCCCCAAAAACGGCTCTTCCACGTCTGCAAATGTGGTGACTTCAGGTGAGTGCACGGGTAAGATTGGCAGCTGTCAATGCAGTCGTGATGCTGGTTTGTCAGAGACGTTTGCCGAAAAGGTTAACGTATCGGACATTTCCATTCAGTCCAGTATATGTTCGCTCGAGAAAAACGAGAGCTTCCGCTCGTTGCAGCTTGACTTGAGCTTGCTTAACGATAATGTGAAGCTCGCTGGTATTCCAAAGGTAGCACCGTCTCGTGTATCTTTCGTCGACGTTGATGCGAAGACAACGCCTTTGGATCGGGAACGTGCAATTACTCATCCTCCCCCGTACGTTAAACCACATCCTCCATTTGCTATTTACTCCGCACCCGTTGTTTCCGTCCGCGAGCTTACAAAGCCTGGTGCTTTGAAACGTGTGTTTCATTTTGAAATAGATGTGAGTGACTACCCTCTTCCACCCAACGAACTATGGATGGTAGGAGGTTCGTTTGGCTTAATGGCACCAAATTCGAACACCAACGTTGACCGACTCATTCAATTGCTTCATAGCACGACGGACATGGATGCTCCTGTTATAATGAAGACTACCTCTGGTCGTTGGCCCACCATATGGGAGGAAGACATGGCTCGCGAACTATTAGTGACGAGACGTGAACTGTTGACGTGGGCATCCGATTTTATGTCCATAGCTCCAAAAAAGCAATTGCTGTGCTTAATGGCACAACATGCCCAAGACGAGAGCGAAAAGCGGGTGCTGAGGTTTTTGTGTAGCCGTTTGGGTCAACGCGCGTTCTGTCATTTACGGGGCGATTTAAACGTTAGCTTAATCGATCTATTAGAGGCTTTCCCCAGTGTCCGGCTTCCCTTGGATCACTTGCTCTCTGTTCTTCCACAGCTCATGCCGCGCTGGTATTCACTGTCTAACGATCCGGCCTCAAGCAATGGAATACTAGAATTTGCCGTCACTATCGTTGAAATTGAAAAACCCGACCATTCTCTTCGCAATGGCGTTGCTACCGGCTATCTCAAATCCATTGCTGAGAAGTTTCTGGCGGGCGAGCGCGATTTGTGCCTTCCTATGTTTCGCGGGCTTCACCGGAATCCCTTTGCGACTCAATTTACGTCTGATGGCCCAATGTGTCTTATTGGTGCCGGTGTAGGCGTAGCGCCGTTCCGTGGATTTATTCAACGACGACTGATGAACGCGACTTGCGCGGGCAAGGTCTGGGTGTTCCATGGATGTCGCAACCAAGAGTTGGATGAACTTTACCAAGGTGAGTGGGACAAGCCTTCGTCTCGAAGCGGCTCCTGTTCTCCTGCGTCCGCTGCCCGGCCACCAGAGCTTGAAACAGAGACGGAAGAAGATGTGGTAAAGCTGGAGAATACGAAAGATGACGGACCAAATCATTTGGTTGTAGAGTCACGTTCAAAGTCACATGCGTATGTTCAAGACGAGCTACGCAGGAAAAGTGATATTGTTTGGAGTGTCCTGAGTCACCCTAATGGCCGTATATATCTTTGCGGAGCTAAGCAGGGTTTCTTGAAGGGCGTTGAGGATGCTTTAATAGATATCTGCATGAAACATGGAGGCATGACAAAGTCCGAAGCGGCTTGTCAGCTTGTTGCATGGCAAAATCCGCTTTCTCTCAAATTTGTCAAGGAAATTTGGTAATGCATTCTTACACTATTCATTAGTTTGTATGACAAAAAGGATTTTTACCGATTTTTCGCCCATTTCTTGAAATTCTATGGCCACCTTTCTTTCTTTGCAATTGTTTATTATCTCTCTTTAGTATCGATGAACTTGATGGTTCGTACTACTTGCTTTGCGAAACGGAGGCTAAAGAATTTTATCAACCCTTTTCAATCCTATAGTTGATTTTTGGGAAGTGTTGCATTATGGCTTTCCGCCGTCTTTGTTTTTTCCATTAATCCTTCTGATTTTGTACAGTACGTTTTAGAATTCTCTTCGACATTGTTATATACCTAAATACTTGTTCAAGTTCATCACTACGTTGTAAGAATAAATTGAATTGAACCTTTTTCATCTTAGTTTTGTTTAATCATCCGAGATAAATTTAAAACATTAAAGGTTCCGCATTTTTATCCTCAAATAATAAATATCTTTGATATGATAACGTATTGTCTACTAAACTAATGTAACTCATGTTTTTGATCGCATCCAGTCCCCTTGCATCCAGTTCTTCTTGTAATCTCTGCTTAGCCTTTCTCTGTCAGTACTTCATCTTCATCTCCTTAAACGTGAAAACTTTTATTTGTTAATTAACAAAAACCGTATAGCACGGTGTATGAAGTTAACGGATAGTATTTGTTCTGAGAATAGTTTTCATCCGTATCCTCTTGCGCGGCTCCATACCACATTCCCTTCCCCTATAGCATCTTCCACCTCCTACTACTTAAAAACGAAGAAACCACAATTCGCGCCATTGCTCAAATGCTAGTCAATTTTTGACATTGGTGCACTCCATAGGTTGTGTTTATTACGTTTTGGTTCATCTTTCCAACGATATACTCCAGAAAAGCTGCATTCCTGCAGCTTTTGTTTTGAAAACAACCAGCACCTTATGGGAGTTTCCCTACTAATTAAAAGGTTTTAATACGGTTTACTGTTTATAATGTCAAGATGGAAAGGAACAGATGGTATGAACGCCAACAGTCAGAAGCCTAGTGCACCAATTTTAAGTGACACAAGGCAGAAGCCAGATATCCCGTCAGGATGTACGTTAGAAGAACTGGAAACAAGGCTTGGAATAGAGCAAAAGATTAAGGATGGCGCAGAGAACTTGCTTCAGGTATTTGATACAAAAACGAAGAAGGAGGACCGAGACAAAAAGGAGCTTTTGAGAGCACAGGTTATGCAGGAATTGGAAAATTCGAGTCGAAAAATTGAACAAATTGAGTCCATGATTGACAAATTAAAGTTGGAGCAGCAAGATTCTGATACTGATTTGCTTACACAGACCGACTTGCAGCGCACATTGCCTTTCAATCAATCAGTTAAAAACCTTACAACGACACATACAGTGGTAACTCATTCAAACAATGAAGTGTCACAACAATCGTTTTCTCAATCTACTCAGGTGCTTGATAATGCAGACCTTTCGATAGCACAGATGTTGCCAAGTGATGAAGAAAGCTATGACGATGAAGATGTTGCTGACGACGAGGCAGATGTTGGACAAAATACAAAACAGTACAGTTCCGTACAGTCTGGGAAATATTCAGGGTTGCAAAACTTCGAAGAAGTTTGTCGTGATCTGGAACGTGCTTGCGCATATCCATGTCCTGAAACTGTAAATTGTGCAAACTGCATGTGTAATCTTCTCCATAATATGCAAGCAACTCTTCCAAAACCTTTATGGATGAAACTCGCGGGATTACTTCGAAGAATGCTATCCTTTAGCATCACTGAGATAACAGGTTGCTCCTTCCGCATTCTTCGGTTGTCTCTGATTAAATGTACAGCATTACAGCAAATGGCTGATGTTCGAGCAGAACAAATTTTGGCTCGGTCTTTATTGGCGAATAAGGATGAACAGCGGGTAGAACGCGAACAAGCTTTTTTGCTTTTTCGTTGCCTATGTAACGCTGTGAATGATACGGAAGATTTCTCTATCTTGATGCCATCCTTACGTACAATTGTTTCCATCGCAGAACAGTCTGGTGATCCATATCGTTTCGTCTCGTTGGAAACTCTGATTGAATTACTTGTTTCTTCCCCAACGCTATTACTGGAGGCTGACTGTTTACGACCGGTTTTGCATACACTTGTTGATGGCACACTGTCACCAAACTTAGCTGGAACAGCAATTTTTGCACTAGTTCATATTCTCGATAATCCGATGGCATACAAATGTCCCACACTTTTGACGGATATTGGTCTACTTTGGGTTCCATTAACTAGCTTGTACAAATATCACATTGATGATCGAAATGATGATTCTTCCGATCAATCGTCGAATGTGACTAGATGTTGTATCAAAGTCGTTTCCGCTCTACTTCTTACTTGGCCGGGTTTATGTACTCTCTTTGCAAATGATGCGCAAGCACTTAAATCATTAGTGGATGCGCTACGGGTTCCTTCTTTTAGCGCTCGTTCAGACATATTGGATTTATTTTTCTCGATTTTCAATATTGAGAATACAGGCTGGTCAGAATCCTTTGCCGCAGGAAAGCGGCTGACAATCGTGAAAACAAAGGCAAGCACAAATGATGATGAATTTCTGCCCATAAAGCCAAATACTCACACAAATAAGTGCATGTCTCTTTCACAACATTATATTGCATTTCTTTTATATGTTTTTTTAAAACTCGGGCTTTTGGATGGAATTATAAGCATGATTAAACTGAACGATGATATCCTATTGTCAAGAAAAGCAACTTTTCTATTGGGTGAATTGCTTCAAATGTCAGATCGCTATATTCCTGCTGAGTTTAGTGCAGAAATTCAATCACTCCCTTCATTATTTGAAATGGCCTCTCGTTTTAACGCTGAGGATCGTTTTGTTGCTACGTCTGTGCTCCAATCCATTGAAGGACTGAACCGAATGCAGGCCCAATCTTATGATTTAACTGCCAAAAAGCCGCACTCATTTATATTTAACAAACGTTGGACAGATGGCTCCTTTCGGGGACAACGCCAAGTTGAGCACGTAAAAATCAAGATGGGTTTACAATTAGATGACAATCATTTTCGACATATATTATCTGAAACAAATGTTCTAACGACTCGGAATTATCAAAAATGGCAATGGGATGCTTTGGTTGAGTTACTTCAAGGTCCTTTGCTTAGTGCAAAACGATTAGAAGAAGCCATGCATGCAACAAAATTTATGAGAAGGTTACTAGGTTTCTACAAGCCGTTTAGTAATCGGTTTTCAGGTATAAAAAATACCAAACCTAATCATAAATATATTCAAGTTGGCTGCCTTTTATTCAGCACTCTGCTAGCTAACCCCGAAGGGGTTAAGTACTTAGCTGAAAGTAAGGTTTTGCGTCAAATATCCGAAGCGCTGCAACAACTGGATAACAATGCCGATGTATTTATGGTACCGCTCTTTTCAAAACATCGCCTAGCAGATACGTTGAGTTGGGGGTATTTTCCTATGTTAGGTGTTCTATCATCTTCTAAAGAAGGCCTTAGCGTTTTAGAGCGATGGCGTATATTTACGACTCTTTATCATCTTTCAGAAAATCCTTCATGCGATTACTTAACAATTGTACTGTTAAAACATCTTGATTATCGTTTGGAGGGGCATCCAAGAGTACTTCTCTCAAAAACTCTAGTTGCAGCTGATGATTCTGTTCGCACAGAAGTCACCAATTTCCTAAGCATTCTATTGCGGTCGGATTATGCAGATTCTGAATTACAGCATTGGGTCATTGATTTGCTTATTCTGCAACTTTACGATCCCTTTCCTGAAGTCTGCACTGCAGCTGTTCGGTTATTGAACGATGCTAGTGCAGAGTCGGAGTCACTTTTGGAATACATAATCCAGCGGAAGCCTTCTTTAATTCATCTTGGTGATATAGGGGCTTCGTTGCTACTTCGATTTCTCGCAACGAGCGCGGGTTTCTTATATCTTTCAGAAATTGATTACGTACAGCGCGAGTTGGAACAGTGGCACTCGTGGAAGAATGCAGCTTATGTGGATGCAGTGGAGCAGAACCAATTGCTTGCAATCATTGATGAACTAGGCCTTGCTACGGATATGTTTAAGCCTCTCGAGTCTGATGTTCTACCTTTGCATTTTTATGGAGAATTAGTTAAATCTCCTGAGGGTTGTGAGTTGTTGCGCAAAACTCAGCATATGGAAGAGTTTATGTCTATAATCAGAAAACATTCAATAACAGAGTGTTCTCCTGGTGCTACCCATCAGCTTAAAAGCGCATTGTGGACGGTGGGTAACATTGGAAAGTCTACTTTTGGTATTCCTTTCTTGCATGAACATAAAGCCATTGAAATTATTATTGGGATTATTGAAACAAGTCCAGTTGCTAGTGTGCGAGGAACTGCGTTTCACGTACTTGGATTGATTTCGAGGAATGACGAAGGGTTGTTGCATTTAAGGAAACATGGTTGGTATACGCTTACGTCGTTAATGTCCGTCTCTCGAGGTCTTTGCTTGCCGGCAGATTTCAAAAGAGTCTTTAAACCAATCTACACACCTCCGATACCTAATCGCTGTTCTGCTTATTCGCCAAATTATTCATCCTTTTCACAAGAGGAGAAAGAAGCTGTTCGTCTTGTTGCTAATCTGTCAAATCATGTACTAAGCAACCAATCTGCCAGGAAACTTACAAGGCTTAAATCACGGTCGCCCGACGTTTTCGAATCCAGAGAAGTTATTAAGGCATGTTTACAACTGCTAAGCAATTATCATTATAGGACCCAAATACGCTCTTTTGTATACAGTTTTTTTCAGTCGCCAAATTTTTATCGAGCGTGCTATGAAGATGATGTTTCCTAATAGACGCCCCAAGCAACATTCTGCTGCAGGTTTGCATCCTCGGTTGATTGGTTTCATTCGTTACCTTGTGTATATCAACCTTCAATGACATTTCATGAGTTGTATTTTTAGCATATTTTATACTTTTTTGCTACACGGGCACCTCTAATTTCTTTATTTTCTGTAGTTTTTCTAATAATTATTAGCAACAAAATCAGGTACATCTATGGTATATGGCAATGTGCTTTTCTGGATAGAGGTTCTAAGAGTCGCGCTGTGACACTACTTGCACACAAAGCAAAAGGACATGCCAAATCCTCTTACGGCTACCGCGCTCTAAAAGACCAGTCTAAATAAGATTACTCTAGTGCTCTGTATACAGAGCATATTTTGTTGGTTCAGATACATATACTTGTTTGAGTTTTGTTTTTCTCAAGTGGTTGCTTTTTTCATGTTAAGCTGAAAACCTTGGTTCATTCTCATTGTTACTTACTTTTTTGGGCTTTTCTCTTTAAAAACGAATCAAATGTCGTTACTGTGGCTTAACTATGCAAAGTCTGGTTTTCAATGGCCTCAAAAGGAGCATTGGTTTAGGTAGTAAGTACGGGCTTATCATTCATTCAACAAAAGCAATCATTCCTATTATTCACGACTATCAAGCAAGCACAGATATCATTGTGCGACAGAACATCTGTATGCAACAGTTTCGGACAACGATCAGGAACATTCAAAAGTACTTGCTTAATGAGCAACTCAATGGTCGATCTCAAACCAAAATGATGTACGTCAAAAGGATATTAAAAGTGATGACAAAAAGCCATGAGGATGCTGAGGATTTTATTTCTTGGATAGTTTTTGAAAGACCTTTCTCATTGCGAAAAGTGAATTTGTGTCTCATATGTTTTCTTAGGCTTTCACATATCGCACCGCTTTTATCCACAAAAATACTGAATGCATTATTCTACTTTGTTCATTGTGAGTCTTGTTGTAAGCGTTCATCATTAAATGTTATCGATACATTTGAGAAACTGCATATTCAACCTGATGAAACTACATTTAGAATTTTAATACATGGCCTGCTCATCCAAGAGCAACTACAAGAAACTTCCCGAGCGGCCATTCTCATGATACTCCGTCGAAAAGATCTTATGAATACTAAAACTTTGAGATTAATACTGACTTGCAAATAATAAAAGTTTTGATCGTACCAATAGCACGTTGGGAATGAACTCATGGAACAACATTTTGGTTTTGATGCATTTGGTTACTATCTTTGACATACAGTAAATGGATAACATTAAAAAAGTCGATTTGGTGGTTTAGATGATTAGAGGGAAATAGTCTTAATACCATATTTCATAAAAGCTTGATAGTCATTTAAGGTATCGAAATTACACGGAGTGTGTAATATTGCTTGAATAAATAAAGTATTATGTGTTTTTAAAACTCTGTAAACCCACCTCGAACAGCTTTAAGCAGTTCTCCATATCACTTAACAGGCCATCCAGTTCAACCTTTATGATCGCTTTATTGTGAATGCCGTTTGGAGGATCATTAAAAATCTCCATGTTCAAAGGCCTAACATTCACTAACTCGCATGCATTATTTCCCGTTGCTAAATTCTGTTGAGAAATAGTAAGTGGAGCAAGCCGCGCACGCAATTTGGAAACAAACGGCTTCACAGGCTGACTTGCTACTCTAGCATTCATCATGCTCGTTGAAGAGTCAAGTGACGCCCGCGCTGGGGGTTTTGGATGAGGAGCTGTGCTAGGTTGTCTATTAGTAAGAGGTGTCGGTTTATGGTCGTTAACGGATGGAAGTCTAGTGTTTTGTTCTGCACTACCGGCATTTTCAAAAGCCCCCATCGACATAGAACGAAGAGGTGCCTTATCATCTGCAGTTTGTGAGTGCGGTTTTCGAGGGTTAGCCAAACCCGGCGACATTGATAATCCGCGTTTATCTATTTCGGTACGCTGTCGTTGAAGGAGACGAGGTAATGGACGAACAGGCGCGGACTCAAGAGCGTTCTTGGACTTTCCACGAATTTTATAGTGAGCAAGCTCATTTGTTTCAGCATTTACAGGTGGCTTGGGCAAGTCACCTGCCATTGATTTTGTAGTTTTCGTGGGTAAGTCGAATGTGGGAAGCTCAATTTGAGAAAAGGATGATTGATGATCAGCAGGGTCACTTGTTGTGGAATTTGAATGGGAATTAGATGAGGAATGAGGAGCGGACGGAGGAGGGGAATTACTTTGAAAGAGTTGCATTAAAGGATGGGAGGCTTCAGGGTCATTCTTGGTGGGTTTTAAAGTTTCTTGATAAGAATCAGTAACGCTTTGGCCTTCTGAATTTTTGGATGCATCTGAATCAGTGGTCTCAGCTGCTGATCCCTTAATAGTACCGAACTCCCAACCTTCGTCAGAGTCTAACTCGTCACTTGAACCGGAGGAATTACCGCTTTCATCATCTGTAGGTCCGATGGCTAGACTCTGACGAACACCGCCTGCACTTTTCCATCTTTCGTATCGGCGAATCAACGGTTGTAACTCAGTAGTAGACGAACGCGAGTAGTACCGAATAAACTTCGACTTCAACAGTTCAGTAGCACTTTGTCGTTCTTCAGGAACCTGCTGAAGACAAAGAGAGACAAACTCTTTAATTAAAGAGCTAAAATTACCTTCTAGTCGAGGAGATTCCGAATTTGCGACTAAATAAACAGCACGCAGGGGATCTTCTTTCGCAAACGGCGGCATGCCAGTAGCTATTTCGTATGTTGTGATTCCAAGCGACCAGATATCGGCCTGAAAAAGGTTAGTCTAAAGGCGCTGTGAACAAAAGCAATAACATACCATGTAATTGTAATCTTGGCCGTCTCGAATCACTTCGGGAGCCATCCAGTACGGTGTGCCGATGAATGTAGTACGCTTCCGGCGACCTATGTTTAGTTGTGCAGCAATGCCAAAATCGCAGAGTTTGACATCTCCATGCTGTGAAATAAGGATGTTTGCAGCTTTGATATCCCGATGGATAATTCCTGCTCGGTGAATGAACTGTAGAGCGAGTAGGGTTTCACGTATGATGATAGAATTATGTAACTCGTCAATGCTGCCAGCTTCCATAAGGGTACGAACACTTCCTCCTTGACAGTAGTCCATGATGATCCAAAGATGTGTTCCCACAAGGTAAGATCCTCTGTACATAATAATGTTTTGGGCTTCACACATCTTGAGCTCACTAAGAACAGCAATTTCCTTCTGAATGTCGCTGACTTCATCTTCCTCCGTATCCAAATTCAGTACTTTTATAGCAACAACCTCTTTCGTTTTAGTGTGCATTCTATCAGTGTTAGCAACAAGAAATATCATTTAACATACCCTTTAAAGACTGAACCATAGGATCCACGTCCGATCAGCTCCCTCTTCGTGTGAGGAGTGTCAATCTTGTGTTGGGACATTTCCAGTTGACAATTTATAAGCTCGGTACCTCACAAGTTCATACAAGCGCTCAAATATCATAAACAATGTACAAGACTTACAGCAGCGTTAATGACCTTGAGATACTCTGTGGGTGTCTACTGGGTACTGTGGCAGATTTATGGTGGTTAGGATATGGTGGAGACGCGCCAAAGGCTCTTTCAGTAAATGATCCTTACTAGCCCCTAGAATTAGTGCAACTTAAAAAGAATCAGCGCAAACGAACTGGTTTTTGGCACTATCCACAAACGTTTTCGGTCTTGTTTCTGTTGCAGCAATTAGCGCTCATATTATACACTGTGATAACAAAAAACTACTACTTAATTCCGTTTATTTAAGAATATTCAGTGTTGTGATTATCTCACTAAGTCCCTTTTGATAACGATTTAGAAATATGAAAAATATACTTTTATACATTTTAATTCAGGTTTTAAACACTCAGACGAGTTAAGCGACATGCGGCGCTTGTCATGATATACTTTTGCGACAGTTTTGGTCGAAATTAATAAAATGTTGTTAAAAGCCGATACTACTCAAGAGAGAACATATAATTGATGTCGGCTAACAGCTTGATGCTTTCATAAATGTTCTATAAATTTCTGCAAGTGGCCTTGAATAGCTAGAATGCCTTTTCAAATCGAGGCGTTCAAGACATACTAATTTGTGGTAGCAATTCACTTAGAAAAATTTAAGCTCATACACGAAGTTGCGAGTATCCAACCAGTAATCCTCCATCTTTAACAACATAGATATTAAAAAGCGCCAGTTACACGTCAGTATTGGACTTCCTCTGCGTGTCAAGTTGTCTTAAGTTTCAAAACATATTTCGACTGTGTCAGTAAGTGCGATATTATATTATCTCTAGAAGAACGAAAAAACAAAAGTTGCTGTGATAATTTCGTTCTTTTGCCATTTCAGCAGAACAAAACCAATACTCAGGAAAAGCTTTATTAAGACAAGGAAGAGTGATTTTGTCAAAACAAGTAATTTCTTTACCCCGAAAGATTTAAACTCAAGAAAGTCGTCCAAACAAAGATATCCATTTAGGGAACCGATAAACAACACGCATGGTTTTTTTAAATTTATCCGAGATAGAGCCTGCATCATCGTCTAACGCAAATTCGATCGTTCGTTGGTTTAAGCGTCTACATCACCGAAACCAAAAACAGGTGCAAGAACAAATTTTCGGTCGTCCCCTGCAGTACGTGGTCAATATTTCCTCCGTTGCTTTGTTCGTAAAGAGCGAAGATAACAGAAGAGTTTTGTACGGCCATGTTCCTACAATCGTTGCAAAGTGCGGCTACTATCTCAAACAAAATGCAACTAATGTCAAGGGTATTTTTCGCATAAACGGCTCGTCTAAACGCATTCGGAAGCTAGAAGCCATATTCAATAGTGCACCTAGTTATGGAAGGGATGTGGATTGGTCCGAATTCACTGTTCACGATGCTGCAACTATTCTTCGGCAGTTTTTGAAATCCCTACCAGAGCGTGTCATACCCTCTGAACACTACTTCGCTTTTCGACAGGTCATGTTACTAACGGGGACAAGCGATGAGAACAAGATTCTCATGCTCGAAAGGTTGATGGATTTATTGCCACGGGCAAATCATTACGTTTTGCTTTATATCTTGGACTTATTAAGTGTGTTTGCATTGAAAGCATCGCGTACACTTATGACGGCCCGCAATCTAGCTGCGATTTTTCAGCCTGGCGTCTGTTCGCACCCAAGTCATGATAACATTCCCGAAGAGTACTTTGCTTCACAAGAATTACTGTTGTTTTTAATTAAGCATCAGGAACACTTCTTGCGACCTCGCACAGAACTGTCCAAGGTTTCGCATAGAAAACTGACTGAAATCGTCACGAAACCACATTGTCTGGAACAGACCGCTCCCGTGACAATTATTCCACTGCACAGGTTGCGCCGACATCCAACCGTTCCTTCGAAAAAAACTTCGCTTTCAAAGGCAACAGTAGATGCGAAACCATCGCACAGAGTTTTTCGCTCAAAATCGCTAAACCTTCGACTTGGCAAACGCTCTGCGGACAGAAATGCAGAAGCACCGCTGTAATCTGGCGTGCCAAAAGTTTCATACCTCTTTCGTTTTCTTTTTTTGAATGTGTTTTGCTTGTCTAAATGACATCTCTAGTTTTGTTTTAACCATTGTACATATCACTTTTTCAATTCACTCTTTTGCCAAATTCATTAGTTGCGAGCCATAGACCAACCTGAAGTTAACAGGCTGCTTCTGGTGGTTACAGTCCTGTACCACTTTTGCCGTCTTGGACTCGTTTTTCACTCCTTCAAATGTTTATACGAATGAAAAATAACATAGTGATGCTTTTTTAGCACTAGTAGAGTACACATCTTTGTCCCGTTACAAAATTCTACGCAGTAAAAACGATACTGCCATGCAAAGCGTATACTTACTAGACTCACGAACCGCTCCAGTCGGTTCTCGGGAATACGCCATTCTTATATAAACAAAAAGCCAGCATGATAAATTGCTAATCACCCAACAGGTCTTGTAAGAGTTGCAGCACCTTTTTCCGTTCCTCGTTTTCTGAATCCTCAGACGTTGAAAGGAACATTGGAATGCGCAACCGCGAAAGTTCCTCAAGTTGTTCGTGATGAAGACTGTCAAAGGCGTTGACAACGTTCTTGTCAAAATCTAAAAGCTCCTGCTCTTGTTCGGGCGTCAGCCCAGATACGTTTGACGGGGTACTCGGATCCACACGAATACCAGAACGCTCCTTGGAGCCGGTAACCTGTGCATTAGAATTGTTCGATGTGGCGGCACCAGTGAAAGGCTTTAATATTGCATTGAGTTCATCTTGTGATTTAAATTTTTGAAGTAGACGATGTCTTTTCATATACCAATCGCGTTCCATTTTTTCTTGAGCTGTTTTTAAGGATTTTACTCGTTGTAAAACATGCGGATATTGACAATACAGAGCAAATATGTATCGCAGAGCAGCTGGGTATGTATTTATTTTTGTAACATCAGGAAGAGGAGTAAGAGCTGCAGCAGGCCTTGGAGCTTGCGGTGCCTGACGTAATGGAACTGCAGCAAGACTAGGCCCTGTATTCACAGGTACGGGAGGTTGTATCGAAGGTGCGGCAGCGTTTGAGGTACTTTGTAACAGCCGTAACAGATCCGATAGTGATCCTTCCATTATTTTTAAAGCATCAAATGCGCAAATTGGCAATTCGCAGCAAGAAATTAATTAGACGTGTAAACTGTTTCTGTGACAGTCGTGTCTTTGACAAAAACTGAACTTGTAGCAGTAAATGCAGAAGTAATACTGCCTGATTGGGACGAGACGTCTTCTGTAGTTCTCACAACAGCCGGTGTTTTTTCGGTGATCTTCGGTGTTGTTGACTCGGTGGGAAGACCGGCAATCACCGAAAATTGGCCGCCGGCTCCGACGACCTTAATAGCAACATCTTTAATGGCTTTTGAGCGTATAAGAGTCGGAATAGCAACGTCTTCATCGTCTGTACCTTGACCGACTTCGTAGTTTTCGCCAGAACCCCAAGAGAAGGCTTTTCCGTGTTTGTCAATGGCAAGATTGTGATGGGTACCGCAGCAGACCTGGACAATGTCAACAAGACTAGGCACAATTGTGGGAATCGGAACTGAGTAAATGTTACCGCGATCATCACGAAGGACGGTGGAAGGCAACTCTTCTTCAGGAATACCAAGTTGGTGACGATCGTGACGACCCCAGGCAAGTACACGGCCGCCGCGTAAAATAGCCATAGAATGATGCTCACCACCGGTAATAGACTCAACCTTGAAAGGCGCAAGAGCTTCAACAAGCGTTGGCTCTTTCACAATCACACCCTCATCATTATTTTCGTAGTAAATACCGCACTGGCGGGCAGCATTCAAGCCCCAAGCATACACACGGCCATCACGATCAACAGCAAAAGAGTGATAAGAGCCAGCACCGACAGCGAGAATGTTTTTTAGGTTGAGCAAATGAGGTACCAGGCCCTCTTTTCTCACAGCTTCTGGTATTTCTCGGCCTAATTGACATTGCTGGCCGTTTCCCCAAGCATATACCTGTCCAGCCGTTGTCAATGCCAATACATGGTCCGTTCCAACAGCCACATCGGCAACTTCGGGGATATCAATCTTCGTAGGACTTGGTGAATGCTTTTGAGTGGCACTGAAGCCCAAAATACCGTCCGAGCAACGGAATGTTCCCCATGCATAGCACTCGCCCTCGTCTGTGATGGCGACTGTCAAGTTATCGCTGCACACGACTTTGACCACGTGCTTGTTCAAAAGTTCGCCTTCAACAGGATAGGGTGTGCCCTCCAATGTATCGTTGTCAATAGGCTCACCATCTTCGTCGACTTGATTCTTTGTTAAACGACCAAGTGCGAAGTCATCATTGACACCCCAGGTAAGAACACGGCCATCATGCGTTACTACAGCAGTATGCATGCCGCCGACAGCCAACGTGACGACACCGGCTTTTTCACGAGTAAGAGAAGGGTTAAGACGAGGCCGGTAAATAACATCAACATCGTCATCAGCCATACCAAGCTCATTCATTGAACCCGAACCGAAAACGTACACATTTAATAAGTGTGTAGGAGCCTTGGGCACATGGTTCAGACGATGCGCGTGAAAGGCAGGTTGTGTCGTTTTGGATGTAACGAGGCCGGTACGTGATCGTTTTATGGGACGATGCTCATCGTCGTGTTCCTCTGTCGCTTCTACGGCTCGCTGACGGCGTTTTTCAGTCATCGCCTTCATCCTCAGGTAGCTTCCATACCGTCTACGGATTTCTTTTGATTTCAGCGACTTCCAAGTTCCCAGCATTTTCTGTCAGCACGGTATTAGTAAGGAAAAAACCGCAAATCTCAACATTCGAGAACACACGCTCGAGGGTATCCAATATATCGCCAACGAGACGCCAACTACATAAAATTCATACCAAAAGAGACGCGTTTGAGCGCTGAACACTTAGCAAGTTTTCTTAGCTAGTTATTGTGGACGGGGAGTTCGTTTAGCTCAGAAAGAGGTGAAAGAAGTTATTCGTATATAAGGTTTATCTACGCGAAACGTTGCGACAGAGATAAAAACTTTAAATGAAGGGAAGCGAGAATGACGTGGAGTGAATATACTGGCGGTTTTCTTTCCTTCTTTTATTGAATAATGAAAATGTGTTATATAGCTACACATGGTTAATACTTTATGTTTCTGTATGTAAACTAAGAACACAGTTTGTATGATTTTTTAGCCATTTAAGCGATTTCTGAAGAACATTTCTACTGGTGTTCAGAAAAACACACAGAAAATTATGGTATTCATAGATTAACCGCATACAAATGCACGCAATTGAGTTGAACAAGCTATTCGTATCGCTTCCGCTATTCCGTTTGTCGCTCGTTAGGATTCTACTCCGTCGCAAATAAACCTATGGCTGAAAACAACACTCCAGCAAGATGATTCCTTTTACTAACATTCAAAGGTTTATCTCCAATGATCTTAAACTCCGTTCTTCTCATCTTTGGTTTGAATCTGCTACGGAAAGCCTCGGCTTACTACAGCATCCACCAAGTTTCCCTCACCCAACCACTATACCCACCAACTCGAACAAACCCACATCTCCCTTCTCCCAACTAACGGGTCCGCCGGTTCTTCTGCAAAACAGTTGTGGTGCGGTTTCTCAGAAGCATTCACTTCACCGAACGCAATTTGTCTTGCATCGTTTTCGTTTTTTGTTTTAACCCACAGTTTGCTTTTACTGTACGTTTCGTCTTCGCTCGTTGTTCGTGTCTCTTAATTCATAAAATTACTTGAGAAGGCGTGTTACAGAATCAGAATGCAGGAAACGAGCTCCAAGACTGCTGCTTCGGCGAAAATGATTGAACCGTTTGATGGACAGAAGCTTCCGGTAGGTTCAAGCTTCCTTGTAGGGAAATACACGGTGGTTGTCGATAGGTACTTGTCTGAGGGAGGATTTTCGCAGGTGTACCTTGTCGGTACACGATCGAAAACAGATGGGACTCCGTTTGTGTGTGTAATGAAGCGTATGTATGCTCAAGATGAGGCATCTCTTGAGAATGTCCACACTGAAATTGAAACAATGGTATGAAACGACATGCGAGTGTCCTCTTGCTGTAAAGAAAGAGAAAAAAATATGCTCCGTTATTCATGGTTGTTCAGTTTGCTAACGGTTATTTCAAGAAACTTCTTCGTGGAAATCCTCACATTGTCAACTACATTGATTCCTGCATTTTTCCTACTGCCACAGAAAGCCAGCCAAATGGCTGTGAAATTCTACTCTTAATGGAATATTGTGCAGGTGGTGGTCTTATTGACTTAATGAATCAGAGGCTGCAGACGCGCTTGTCACAGGCTGAAGTGTTAAAAATCATGTCTGATGTCGTTCAAGGTGTAGCTGCCCTGCACTACTTACGACCTCCTCTCATCCATCGAGACTTAAAGATTGAGAACGTATTGATCAGTTCACCTACTTGCTACAAGCTTTGTGATTTTGGCAGTGTTTGTGCGCCCATTCGGATGTCTAGTAATCCTGCTGAGCGTCATCGGATAAAGGCAGACATTGAAAAGTACACAACGTACCAGTATCGTGCTCCTGAAATGATAGACATGTCTCACAATTTTGCCATTGATGAAAAGAGTGACATTTGGGCGCTCGGTGTCTTGTTTTACAAGCTTTGCTATTATACCACGCCTTTTGAAAATCAAGGTCCGGCAGCCATGGTTACAGCTACATACGTGTTTCCTCCATTTCCTCCTTATTCGGGTTACATAAAGCGGTTGATTTCAACTATGCTCCACAAAAACCCATGTTGCCGTCCGAACATTTTCCAGGTGCAGCAAGAGATCTGTATGTTGCGTGGTACTCAGCTTCCTTTCCGTGACATGTATAAAGGAGTTAACTCTTCTTACCTTAATCCACCTGCTCTACCAGAAACTGCTGGTATTCCTGTAAAGCCCATGTACAAGACACAACACAGCATCCCTGCTCCCATCTCTGTTCATCCTCATTCCATGGGTCAACAAATTCCCGTGTCACACTTTCCGTCCCGCGCTGCCTCCGCTGCACCTTCCACAAACCAACAGCACACGTCCTCAAACCCATTTTTGGCTCATTCTTATGTCTCAACTCCTGCCGTCTCAGGGGCACAGAAACCACACAAAAGTGGTCGAGCACATCCTGAACTGCAGCCCAGTTCTCAATTGTCGCCTACATCTCAGGCTTATTCTAGCTCCTCTCCTAACTCCTTACATGGTATTAATAATGCTTCATACCTAAACATTCCCCAGAATCCGTTTCCCGTATCTACCACTGTTACTGGTGCTTCAGTTCGATCTTCCGCATATTTTGAGGCTTCCAATAGCGTCACGGGCAATGGACATGCGTCGCCTGGGCTTGAGGATGTGGAACAACGTTATCCCGACATCGGTGAAATTGAAGCAAATGTTTTAAGCAGGGTAGCTACGAGTGCTTATCAAGAAAACGATTCTGCACGCAATGATGAAATTGCCAAACTTGCGGATGATACGTTTGCTGCATTCTTACAAAAGGCAGACAACGAACAGGGTGAGGAGCCTCAAATTTCACCCGTGCAAACATCAGCAACGACGGCGAGTACGCCCAACTTGGTTGCAGAAAACGATAAGGCTGTGCCGTCATCTTTAACTTCAGAAGATTTATCTGGTCGTTCTAATGTGGAGGACTATGTGCAACAAAGCTTCTCACAGCTTTCTCGTGCCTCTTCCGTTCGTCATTCTACAAAGTATTCTGAGTTCTCTAAAAAGGTGCAACAAGCACCAAATATGGTGGATAGTCAGCTGCATGACTATACAAGTCATGCTGGGTTGAGTCGGCAAGCAAGTGTTCCGTCTAGCCATGAACGCAGCGCATCTGTTACTCGTCGTCAATCTTCAAAGAATCCTTATATTAAGCCGTTTAATTATCAAAAGCCTGGACGTCACTCCGAAGAATTTTACCGCACGACTGAACCCTTGACTGTCGGATCGTTTGCCGAAAGTTTACATGGCGCTGAAATATTTAATGCCATGTCTGAGAAAAAGCCTACCGAATCTGAAGTTGAGCTTCCTCTGCATCGCAGTGGTACCAACCATTCTACTGTGGAAAGTATTGCTTCTGTTGTGTCTGCAACAAGCACAGCTTCACATCGTCGTTCATCTCATGGCTCAGCTATGCATGAGCCCTTTTATGCGAGCGACATGTCCAATGAAATGTTATCTGTCACTGAAGCAGAACTTGAGAAGCAGGCTCAGTTCAAGCATTCTGGTGTCAAATCTGGCAAGTCACCAGCCCACGAGCCTACACAGGCGAGGTCGAGTGTTGAGGATTTGGTCGAGATGGGTATTCCTCTTGATGCACAGTACGCTTCTTCCGTTGCTGAAGCTAAAGTTACTCAAAACAAAGACACTTAAACCCTTTTACTCTTGACTTTTCATCATCTTATTAGTTTTTTATGGCCGTGTTTTAAGACCTTGAAATCCCTTTCCAACCTTCTCTCTTTCTTTTCCTGTTCATCGCTTGTGAGACGGCTATTTGTCAGCGTGTACTTTGTTATCACTGCCTAATTCATGTGTTGGATATGCAGAATGCTCACAGCTTATGCAATCCTTACTTTCATTTAAACATTCCCAACTTTTTTCACCCAATTGTTGTAATAGAAATGAGAAATACAATTGCTTTATGAATATCTATTAACTAGGTGTTCGTGGTTACCCTGTGGAGAAAGTTTGTTTACATTAGTGATTTGTTTATGAAAAGCAATAATGTAAACAAGCTTTTTGTGAAGCCATCGCCATCAATCGTTAAGGCTATTTAATAGCTATAAACGAAACAATGATGAGGATAAGGAAGAAAAACATTATGGATAACCGAAAAGAAGCAATCGTAACTTGCTATACACCGACGTATGCGGTTAGAGAAAAAATCCAATCACTTGTAATGGACCCAGTGTTAGAAAGCGACTTGGTTAAGTTGTCCTTGAGATTTTCTTCTTCAGTATTTCATCAGGAAACTTGTATTCAGGGTCACATTAATGTCAATGCGCCGCACGGTACCGAGGCAATTGATTTAATACGCATAAAGGCGTATGCCATCGGTGTCTGTGAAAGGAAGTTTGGGGCTATTGATGTTTTTATGTGCAGAGACAAATTGATTCAAGACCGAAAGTACATTGTACCCAATGTTTTGCTGCAATATGCTGACAAAGACACCAACGATTATTCCATCAGGATTCAATCAACAACTCATCTGGGTGTCCCTTTCAAAATTGGGCTTCCTGAGTACATAGGACCAGGGAGTTATAAAGACAAGAACATTCGAGTGTGTTACTTCGTTTCCGTGTATGAAACTGCTTTACATAAAAAACGGTTTTTGCTAACCAAAACAGGAGCCTTATTTTCAAGCATAATGAAACGGTTCATGATATCCGTACGTTCAAACAGATAGAGCTATATCCAACGATACCGCCCTCAGTTACGGAAACAAAACAAATGATTTTGTCTAACGAAACTGATTGTCATCCAAACGTCAAAAACTCCAAAACAGCTACAATTGTTGCTAGACTGTATAGAACGGCTTACATGAGTGGAGATCCAATAGCTGTTCAGTTGAGAATTCAAAATGCTTCAGATAAGCGCCTCACGCGTTTAAAATTAACACTTAAACGGAATCTATTAGTTTTCACGAATTCTAGAATTCGAAATTCTGAAGGCCGTTGCACCTCCTCTGGGGTAATTAAGAAACAGAAAACAGAAACCATAAAAAGTGAAACTATCAATACTCGCAAAAACAATCCTTACAATTGGCATGGTGTCCCACCCAGTAACGAACAGGATATCGAGTGTCATATTTGGATACCAAAAAACGCATGCACGATAGAAGTTGGAGCGGATTTCGAGGTACGATACTCCTTAAACGTCGAGATTGGGTCCTGTTTAAAAACGATATCATCAATAAGTATACCCGTTCGGATCATTCCACGCATGTCATTGCTCTGTTCTTCTTTTCATTATCCATTTCTTACACCATTACAGAACATGCTTAAAAATCGGCCGGTATTAACAGACACAAGTTTGATGGATGAAGTTGACACAAATCAACAGGCATCATTGTCTAGTTGGACAGGGTCTTCTTCCCGCCTACAAACCTGTCAAAGTTTATTCTGTATTTAATGATGTGCATTATATGTCGTTCTAGTTTGTCAACTGATCAGAGGTGATGAACTTTATTCCAAGAAGCTTCAGCTCTGCGATTGTTTTTTTCTCTGATTCTTCCGTTAGACTCTTAATACAATCTGTTAAAACTGTAGTTTTGAAAAACTTCTGACTGTCAGTTGCAGTTGCACGAACGCAATAGTCGCCAGCGATTCCTACGACAACGACATCTGTTATTCCTTTCGAATCTAACTTTTCCCTCAAACCCGTCGACTTCCCGGCGGCATCAAAGAAACCAGAGTATGAATCAACCTTAGGATCTGTACCCTTGTAGACTACATCTTGGATAGCAGAGGTATCTAATCCCTCATAAAATTCCGATCCAGGAGTATTTGAAACGCTATGAACAGGCCACAATCTCTGTTCATATTTGAGACCATAGGCTTCAACGGTAATTGATGAAGTGAATGGCTTATAACTCGGACCGTGTGTAGCTGCAAATGAAACATGATTAGCAGGATGAAAGTCCTTCGTGGCAACAATAAAGTCCCAATGATGTGCTTTATATAATGAATTTATGTTAGGAATGATATCTGCGACACCGTTAACCTTTAATGGGGCGTCATCCAAAACAAAGTCATTCTGAACATCGACGATAATAAGAGCTGTTTTAGTAGTCATAATGATTGAAAGAGCGTATGTGTGAGAAACGAATAGCGCTTTAAACCTGTTTGCGGTGAAGCGGGGTTTATAGGAAGGCAAGCCCGCTTATACAATTAGACGCCCGTTTTCTCCCTGTTCTAAAACAGTAAAAAGATATATTTTTTCCAAAAAAATACACAATTCTTACTACGTTGTCTTTGTTTTTAACGATCTATCTCATCTTTTCATTTAAATCTACAGAAGGGAGCGGAATCAATTCATTAGAACTCGATCACTTTACAAACTTGGTATCTTACTAACAGGAATATCTCTTCACTTAGTAACTGCTTTTACTATTCTACAAGTTCTACCTAAAAGATGAAACGGATTCAGCGTGATTCCGGTTCACAAGCGGTTTGTCAAAAATGCTTTGAACATGGTCATTACACATATCAATGCAAAAATGAGAGAGTCGTAAGTAGCTAAATCCGTTGTTGTCAAACGAATGAGTAACATAATTCATATACTAACATGCAACAGTATAAAAAAAGGCCAAGTCGCACACAGCAATTTGCCAGTATACTAAAAAAGACAAAAACGAAGAGGGAAGAAGAGCAACAGTCTAGGGAAAATATCACAAAAGAACAGAGGTATAGGTCAGACAAACGAAGTAACTTTTCTTTATATTAACCAAGCTTTCAGAAACCTTCTAGCAGATGAATTATTAAGAGAGAACCTAACAGAAAAGTTTGGACTAGATTATGCTAATGAAAGGCCTCTTTCAACAAATACAAGGTCCCGGTCAAAGTCCATTTCCTCAATGTCATCCTATACAAGTGGTGATTACACACCATCTCCCGAAGAGTCTCCAAGATATAACTAATCCTTAAGTTTTATTATGGTAACAAACTTGTCAGAATACTGTCTATATTACTAAGCAACGGCCTCGTAAATGACTCAATAGTGTATTCGTATTCTTTGAACATAAAGAATGAATACATCGCTACTTACGGGGACGTGCTTTCAAAAAAACTGGATTACTTGGAGGTTGCATATTTGAGATTCGTCGGAAGTGCTTGTACTGAAAAGATGCCTCATCACGAGACAACCATGGTGCGTCAAGTAGTTCATGTGTTAATTCTTTCACAAGGATAGAATCCGTCCCTTCATATAGTTGAATAATAAAATCTCTCATCTCAATTTGAGAAAGTAAACCGTGACTAGAAGGATTATTGGCACATATAAACTTTAGCAATTTAAGTAAAGAAACCAAAACTTCCGGCCGTGTTTTTCGCGTTGCTAGGCGTTCTTTAATTTTTATAAGAACGGATGTATCACAAAGTTCAGCAGCAAGTGTCGGACATCGCTGACAGATCTGGCACAGAGAACCTACAAGCCGGTTCAGGGACGCGTTAGAGCAGCTACTAATTAGTTTTCGAATTGTTGACACGTTTTTGTCTTCGCAAAGAACCCGTTTAACAGCTACTGTTTCATATTGCAGCCAGTTCGAAATAGAGTCCAACGCGGTGGATTGCCAGTTGGGATCAAGTAGCAAGTTAATGTAGAATTGAAGCAGATGATAATGCCACAAGTACTTTCTGCATGTTTTTCCAGCTCTAGGAAGAGCAAATAGAATTGGCAAAGCAAATTCCTTCATAAACTTTTCAGTTGCCGTAATAAACTGCAAAATAGGAACGACACCAGAATATACAGCAATTTCTTGTGACTCGCGGTGAAGTCTACAAAGATTGTACAAGGCCGCAAGTGCTTGGTTAATGACTTCTTTCGTGTATGATTTTGTCTTCGATTCCTTCAATATTTCTGTTAGGATCTGAACGGCATTAACTTCACGTAAAACATCCAACGCCTGAGGAACCATTGACAAATTTTTAATAAACTTGAGCATTATGACAAGGACATTTTGAGGTAGATAAAATAATACCCGCAATAATCTTCGCAAGACTGTCACACTTGCAAGAGATTCCTTCACAAACCCGTCGGCTTGTGAAAGTGTCAAAAGAATGTCAGCAGTATGAGAAAGACACTCTTTTGAAACATTATCATCCGAGGCTAAGGCTTTCAAAAATATTTTGGATAAGGGCTCTTGTGCTTTAAGCCGCACCAAAATTCGACAAACATCGTTTTTCGAGATAATCTCTTGATGTTTTAGAACTTTCCATACACCAAACACACCGACAATTACAAGATCTCGATCGTTTTTATAGTCTTCGAGTAAGAACTGTGTTAAGACCTGTAAACCTTGTCCGCTAAGAAAAATCTGTAACAGGATTTGACTCAATTGACACATTTGCTGCACGAAAATTGCCGTTTCATAGCGTATGTCAGAGGGAAACTTTTTATCGGTAAAAGCCAAAATCACAGATAAGCCGCCAGACAAGCACAGTTTATGAAGTGTATTTGCATCGTTATAGACAAGCTATTTTGTGTAAGTGATGAATTCCTTCCAAATACAACGTACAGTTACTATTACTCGAAGAAGCTGTAATTGTGTCTTGGCAGACGCCGTTATTTGCAGTATCTCCACAAGGGATATCATTCCATAATGTGAAAGAAGCTCCGACTTTAAACTAGGTTCTTCATTCAATAATGCATCCTGTATGTTAGTCAATACATTTCGACTTAATGAAAGGTTTATTTATACCAGTTCTTCAACTGCGATTTCGCGTTCTGACAAAGTTTTGGAATTTAGAGTTTCGAAGCACGCATGCAGTCTCTCAACCATGGACGTCCGTCTATCGAGAGCATTTCTTTTTTCAGAGTCTTGATATGAGGTTAGAATGGCTACTTAATTAAGTTTACAAACCTAATTCCTCAAAAGACTCTTCGATATCATCAAAAATGTCATCCTCATCAGTTGTGTCATCCTTTATTTAGGTTAATAGGTTAATTAAACGAAACGTAACTCAAATATTACTTACAGTCATGGTGGTAGATTTGCTGAGCATCACTGTCTCCAAACCCTTCATCTTCTTATTATCACAGACTTTGATAGAAGTAACAGTAAAAAGGTCTGAATACTCAAGGTCTTTTTCTGTTTCAACATATTTTAAAACATTATCTGGAACAGGCTCCTTTAACTCTGCGCTCTGTTAGTATTATACAAAAAGTTTACACATGCCAGCAGAAAAATGTCTTTGATGAGATGCATTAAGCTCATCAATAGAGTGTGTGAGCTTGGTCTAAATTAAAGTTAGTCAAGCGGTTATGCAGCCGTAAACACATACCGGAACCCTTTGAGTGATTCTTTCCATTTTCTTTTTTGGGTCATGAGCATTTGAGGCATTTGAAGAACTTCTTTGAATTTTGGTCAATTCATCCTTGTTTTTACTTTCGCTTAAAGGTTTGGAAGCCGCTGGACTTTGAGAAGTTTTGAGATTGCCAGAAAGTGCTGAACATTTCTTCGACTTTTGAAGCACACCGTCGGGAATGTGAAGGCTACCAACATAATCCGTATCCCAGTTTTCTGAAGCAGTTGGTTTCACCTCTTTTGCCTGTACTTTTTTGTGTTTATATGAGACCTTCTCAATGGTACTGTTTTTTAGGCGATCATTTTCAAGAATAAAGTCATTGTCCCAAACGTCTGAACTTGATTAATAAATCAATCAGCTTTAAGAAATACGTACCAGTCTTTCTCGTAGATTCCACAAAAGATGGTCTCAATGGTTGGGCTTGTGGTTGTTCATCCTCAAATGTCGTGTTCACGACGGGAAGCTGTTTGGGTTTCGGCTTGAAAGCGGCTGTTGTATGAAATCGTTCGTTATACCGTTGGACCTCATCTATAGCCTCTGAAAATTTCGTTGTAATTCGATGCGCCTTCACCCATGGATGCCGTAGGAGTTTCCGCGAACTAACTCGCAAATTAGGATCCTTTTGAAAACATTCCAATAGAAAATCCTTGGCAGCTTGAGAAATATTGGCGGGAATAGGAGGATGATCATCCTTTACCATTCGAAACAAAGCTGGAGCGGGATCAAGGTCAAAGTAAGGAGGTTTTCCTTCCAACAATTCAATAACTGTACATCCAACACTCCATACATCTGAGCTTGTTGTTGCCCCATTAAGTTCAATTACCTCAGGTGCCACTGTGTTTTTAAAATTTAGTAATTTGTTCTCAAGATAAACACAATTACTTACTCCAATACGGACTTCCCACGACGGCTCTATCATCAAACCCATTTGATTGTGTCGCAACTCCAAAATCTGCGAGCTTTAATGTTCCATCTTTCGTTGTCAAAATGTTTGCTCCCTTGACATCTCGATGAATGACACCCTGGTCGTGTAGGTAGACTAGACCTTGCAAGACTTGACTAGTATATACTGCAACAAGATGTTCAGGCATTTTTCCAAAACTTTTACAGATTGAGTGCAAAGATCCATTTTCACAGTATCTTGACAATTTTGAGTTAGACTTAAAAACAACAAAAGGAACTTACTCAAGAACAAGACATAGAGAATCATCAGTTTTAAATGTACCACGGTACTTTACAATGTTTGGATGCTTATTCACATTAGTAACTTGAGGATCTGGAGCGTAGACCTGTCATACATCCAATTTCTTTAGTAGTTCTATTTCAGTCTTAAGGTTAGAGCGCGTCTTCTATAAAATAATCATACTTGAATAACCTGCAGATTGGTCTTAAGCATCTTTGAGAGCTTAATCTTTTTTACAGCTACCGTTTCTCCATTTTGCATATTAAGTCCACGATATACTGTTCCAAAAGCACCCTTTCCCAAGCAATCACCCAAGGTCTAAAAGTTAGAACAGGTTGTATACGTAAACATACAATTAAGGGCTCTTGTTGATGCTCTTGCATCGTTTTTACTCGTGCTTTTTGGTATCCAGCGTTTGGTAAATGTTAACGAGGTCACTACCTGAACTATTTCATTTAAACTCTAAATGACAAAACGTGTATAAGACATGCATATTGAAAGCTTATGTTCACTGATGCTATGAAAAAAAGTATTTAATATTTATATGCAGAAAAAGTCCGAGCTGTTTAGGAAAATTGTTTGCGAAGTTCAACCAAGCTAAGTAAAGAAAAGTTTAAGATGAAAAGTATCCAGCCTGAATTGGCAAAGATTAACTAAGAGCGTGATGATGGATCAGTTTTAAGCCTTTAAGATTCTTAATAGGCAGAGAGACATCAACCAACTCGGGAGTATCAAGCTGGTCTTCATCGCAGCAACAGTTGATTTGCTGTACCCATTTCCTTCGTCGAATGACGGTGATATCCGGTCGCATACTCGGGTTCGGATGCATCATAGCCATGATTATACGTTTTGCACCTAACGGAATAGAGTGAAAAAGTCTGAACGAGGGGACGCCCTTTAACAAGCGAAACGTTTCGGGAGATCCAAAAGCATCACTATCTTTGCAAAGAGCCTCATAAAAATTAGATAATTGGGAGTAGTGTGTGTCCTCAATACTTGCCTTCTGGAATGGAAAAGACTCACAAAATAACGTGAACAACAACACACCCGTTGAAAACAAGTCTGCAGATATCCCACTATACGCTGTAAAACGTGGTTAGCTTTTTTTGTCAATTGTATAACGCTAGCCTTACCAGCATCCTCGTTCACTTCTGGTGCAGCATAGGGAAATGTGCCACTCATGCCTCTACATGTTTTCATCCTTGTGTAATAATGTTCAGGAGAAACAAGCACGCTGGTACCGAAGTCAGTTAGCTGGAGCCGTCCATCTGGGGCCAAGAGAATATTGTCAGGCTTTATGTCTAAATGTGCAATTCCTTTGGAATGAACATAAGCGATTGCTTGCAATATCTGTTTTAGGAAACAGTTTTTATCATCCTGTGTCAGATGCTTTTCCAAAAGGTGGGTTAAAAGATCGCCATGAGAACAATAGTCTTGAATAAGACACAAGTACGAGGTTTTGGAAAGAAAATTCGCTTCCGCAAAGCATGCACTGTGAATTTTAACAATGTTTGGGTGCTCCAGTTGCGAATGAATAGCCCATTCAAGCAAACATTTTTTCACAGAAGCTGTACTTTGCTGTTTGTTTCTTTCCAACCGGAATCGTTTTGCGATAAAGTAACTTTTCTCTCGGCGATTCTCTTTTTTTTTGTCCGATATGAGATGAATACTCGCAGTCGTACCAATTCCTATTGGATTTCTTCGTTCTAATCTGTAACGTTCCTGAAAGTTAGGGAACAAAAATGATAGGTTGTTAAATGCCTCCTCAATAATCTCATCCACGGATGTATCTTCCTCATTGTACTTATGTTCAAGCAACATTTTCAACTTATCATTCCAAGAATTCAGTTCATGAATTTTGATCTTCTCACAGGCCACATCCAGATCAAGTTTTTCGGCTTTCTCTCGTCTCATAATCCTCCCCAGACTTAACGATCGTATTTTAGTAAGAAAGCTACCAGACTGCTTTCTAGCTACAAGAAGGTCATCATCTCCAGCTGAATTGAGTGCAATATTGTCATCGCTTGTTATTAAGTCTGGCAAGGAAGAGCATGCTGTCTCTAAACCATAAGATTGAACAGGAGGTTCCTCATTTATCTCCATAATAAAAGAGTTGATTGAGTTCTAATGTAAGAAGCCCACTTTTACAAAGTAAGCAGTACAGTTCGTTAAAGAGGATTGTCAAATAAATACTTGTTCAGTTTGCGTTTCCCTTTCCATACTTTCTCAAGTGTTTTAATCCCATTCACATTAAACGGCTCATTGACCCAACAAATCAAAAACAAAAATCCAAGGCAAATCATGTCACGTTTAGACGCAACCACGTAATAAAATATAGTAAATTCACTAACTATGCTGTAAATAGTTCAGCGGCTGACGCACATGCTGTGTATTATAAAGCACGTATAACTTCCGCCCGCGAGATACACGTTAACCTGGCATTGCGTTATGAGTAAAACAATAAACATTTGGTTTGAGTTAGTTTAAGCTAGTCAGAGGCGCTTTAGCTGAATCAGTCAGCACATTTGTTTCGGGCAATGCTTCAACTATAGAAGAAGGAGCTTTAACATCTGAATCAGGTTTGGCGTTCACTTCTAAATTCTTGGTTTTAGGGTTAATATTTTCATCTTTATGTTCAACAGTAGAATGTAAAATGGGAGGTTGAATGAACCCTTGTTCATCTCTAGAAAGTTAATTGTTAGTTGGCGAACGAACGAAAAGGCCAACATACGGTAATACAACAGGTACTGGTGCTTCTGAGAAACGTTCAGTACGGTAGGTCTCATACAAAACATCTTGAGTGTACAGCTTTAAAGCGTGCAAGTGCGAGTGCAACAAAACCGTGCGTAATGTTGTAAAATCTGAAAGGGTAGACTGACCGAGGATGACAGTTCCCCACGAATTGTCTCGTACCCATTCCATTTTTCCGTTTACCTCTCGTTGCTCAGTACTCCCAGCTACAGCAAACGGAAGTAATGACTGGAGATACTTATTTTCTTCGACCACAGAATCATCATCCTCTTCAACGTCATAAGGAAAGTTGTAGTACTCCACTTCATTTTCATTCAAACAAGTCATAACGGCCTGCTTGAAAGAGGCTAGTTCAGTCTCATTCATGCTATCGGCCTTTCCAATGACAGGAATGACGTTTACTCGTTTGGAAAATCTTTTCATAGCGACGAGATCCAATTCGGAAAGGGTGTGCCCGTTAGGATAAATAAAGTAAAGCAGTGCATGAACACGCTGCACCAAATTAGCAGTTGGCTTAAGATCCATCACAATTGAACATACAGTATCAATGAAGCGAGCGTTTCTTTTAATTCTCGACTCTTCAACGAGGACGTTATCAAATTGTTTTTCAATATAGTTTAAGATTTCATCAAAGCTTGACCATGTTAGAGGCTAGAAGTTTGTAAAAAATTATCATTAGCCAAGAGGCAGAAAAGTACAAACCAATGTGAATTGTCAATGCCATTCCCGAAATTACAGGCGTCAAGGATGGTCAACACCACATGAATTCCGTTCTCCACAATTTCTGAAAATTAGCAACCACGATGTGCTCCTAAAATTTCCCGACGGCCATACCAGTTTCATAAGGTTTAATTTCAAGTGGTTTTGGAAGATGAGCCTTTGCTGGATCATCGATTTCAGGTTCAAAAATCGTTTTTCTACATAATGCGTTTAAAAAGGTTCTGTAACCGGTACCGCTGGCTCCGACGGCCATGATCCGGAGTTTAAAGCCTTTCTTTGAAAACACTGAAGCTTGAAATCTACGCATTCTGTTATATTCCGTGGTTTATGAATAATTGAGGTGATGTGTGGACGACAACTGTTGCGGAGGTAAAGCGAGCGCTTATATAAGAAATGAAGACATTACGTCATAGACTCGCCTAATCCATTAAGCTCAAGCGACGAAGCGACGCTACCGAAGTCCGCCGCCAAACATGAGATGAGGCAACTTGCATCTGAACGTATTCTACCCTCTACCAACTATTCTACTATTATTAGTACTGTTGTAGTATACGAACGTAAGTGATTCGGAACAATATATTCAATAAAAGAGACATACTAATTGAATTAGTTTCTTAGTTCATTTAAAGATTTTCGGTAAAAATGTCTTCTCACTACGAGGCACTTCCTCAAGAACCCCCGAGGTATACGGATTTCGCAGAATCTCCTGCTGAAAACCCTTTGGCAAATAATGGAGCAAAGAAAACTGACACTCCCGTTTTTGAGTGCTCCAAGAGCATTCGGATGGCTTTCCTTCGTAAAGTTTACATGATTCTTTCGGCCCAACTGGTTGTTACTGCAGTAGCCGGCACAATCTTTGGCTATACTCCTGTTCTTTTCAACTGGTTGCAAATGAATCCTTGGTTTTTGCTTGTGAGTTTTATTGGAATGATGGTTACAATGTTCTTCCTTCTCGCGAAGCCATACAGTTATCCCAGAAATTACATTCTTCTATTCACATTTACTTTGCTGGAAGGCATCACACTTGGCTCTGTAATTTCCTTCTTCTCTTCTCAGATTCTTCTTGAAGCAGTGTTTATTACCATGGGTACTTTTATCGCACTTACTGCATTCACATTCCAGTCTAAGTATGATTTCAGTCGCTGGGGAGGTGTTTTATACGCTTCTTTATGGATCCTCGTTCTCCTTCCCTTACTGTATTTTATTTTCCCTGGAACACGTATGATGGATCTTGGTTTTGCTGGCTTTGGAACCTTGATTTTCTGTGGATACATCATGTATGACACATACAACATTCTTCACAATTACTCTCCTGAAGACTTTATCATGTCTAGTCTGATGCTTTACATGGATTTGATCAACCTCTTCATTCGTATCCTTTCCATCTTGAACATCTTGCAAAACAATGATGAGTAGCGTGTTCTATGAAGTGTTTTCTTAATATGTGGTTACTACGATGATATGCAACTTTTGTACGCAAGACGTTACGGTTTTCTTAGATACTCTTTTTGCTTTTAATATAATGCTACTAATGATCTAAACAATAATAAAGGCTAATGAATATCAAACGAAAAAAATAACTTCGGTTTACGGACAATCGGCATTGTTTGCATACCAGAAGTCGCATTCTTGTCTTCCCTTTTATTGCTTTTTGCCTCAAATTGTAGCACACGCTACCGTTCGCTAACCCTCATTAAACGCTATTACGACACCTATCATAGTTCACTAACCCTATTTTGTTAAACCCCGTACCTACTCGACGTGTCCACTGCCAAACACAGGAGAACACCTGTTCAACCATTGTGCATGGAAAAATCTGTGAGCGGCGGTTCCGTGCATCATAAAAAAAACAATTCGCAAGGATGGAAACGTAGGTCCAAGTCTTTGTCTCACAGCTCGGGTCATGAAAGCTCGAACGCGTCTGTTTTAGACAGTGAATTATCTGAGTCTCATGAAATGCAAGACAGTAGACAGAAACGGTTCGAAAAGACCCTTGAAGGAAATAGATTTGAGGAGCTTCGCGCATCGCGCGAAGAAGAACGAAAAGAAGCAATAAAAAAAGGTCTTATTGATGATCCCTCAAAACCGCGCCAACTGAATGAAGCAGTAACGTTCACGGGCACTTGCATGGACATGTGTCCAGAGTACGAGCGCGAACAGCGTGAGTATCAGAACAATTTAGAAAAATGGGAGATAAATCCCAAAAGCGGTCGTGTAGATAAAGATCTTGCGGTAAAAGCTTTTCATAGACCTGCTGCTGGAAATGAACAGGCTCTTCCTTCGGACGTCCGCCCTCCACACATCTTAAAGGTTTGATCTTTTCAGAATGGAAGCGATTTACTCGCCATTTTCTCCATCGCCGCATTGTTTTTGAACATGTTATTCATCTCTATACCAGAAATCACTTGATTACCTCATTGACGAAATTGTTTGTGGTCCGTATCCATTGGAATCCACTCATTTTTTTGTTCGCGACCGTACTCGATCCATCCGTCAGGACTTTACCCTTCAAAACAGTCGAGGATTGGAGGCTATAGCCTGCCATGAACGTATCGCTCGTTATCACATCCTATGTCTTCATCAGCTATGCGAGCAACGAAATTTCAGTTCCCAGCAGGAGATGGAGCAATTGAGAAAAGGTATGCATAGAAGTTTTTGGCATCTTTCTTTCTTGCCAACTTACTAATGTGTATTATCCTAGTGCTGCAGTCCCTGTGTGAATTTTACGATGACATGCGAAAAGAAAACAAGGTTTGTCCGAACGAAAGTGAGTTTAGGTGCTATGCAATTCTTGCCCATATTCGCGATCCAGATATTGCTCGACAGGCGCAGAATCTCCCTGATCATATATTTCGCTCGAAATTTCTGCAAACTGCTTTGCGGTTATCGGCTTTAGCGCAGAAAAACAATGAGCGCGTTGGTCGACTTCTTCCGCCCAATACTGAGGCTGCTCCGAATCTCTTCACACGATTTTTTAAACTTACTCGGTCTGATAGGGTGACATATTTGATGGCTTGCTTGTTGGAAGTTCACTTCAGCTCTGTCCGAAAAGGTGCCTTAAAAGCCATGCGGCGATCCTATCTCTCTGCACACGCTCGGATTCCATGTGCAGATATCCAAAAGTTACTGTATTGTGACGCTATTGAGGAGGTCATTGAACTTTGTGAGCACTATGGGCTTGAGGTTGTAACAGACGATTCGGGTTCGCTCAATGTCATTTTGAACAAGTCTGTCAACTTTGACGGTATGTGAACATTACACAGAACGATTTTAACAATCAACTAATGTTTTAGAAACGCGGCCAGAGCTGAAGCAACGTTTTTCTCATGCTCTTGTTGAATGTAAGCGTTCTAACGCAACTTTTGCTACGATTATTAATGCCGTTGGGGAGCACGATGCGTCACAAACCTTTTCCAAGCCGTCTATTTCTGTGACTCCTGTCTCGACAAGACAAGTGAAGACAGGAACTCTACCAAATACAACTTTAACAAAGGCGCATGCTCCTCTTGTGCCTACCAAATCTCTTAAACGTAATGGACTTAATATTTTTGCAAATGAGTTTATACCGAAAGTTAAATCGCTGACTCCGACGCTGGCCGTCGATGCTGCGATCCCCCTTTCTATACCAAGCTCCTTAACAACTGGAACAAAAATGCAAACGAATGTGGTATCTGATTTTTTTACATCAAAAGAGTCAAAACCGATCAATGAAAAACTGGCTTCAGCGGTTGTGCTTCCACCGCCGCCGTTTGCCGAATCAGAGAAAACAAAGCCTGAACTAGGCGAAGACTTTTACCAGTCAGTGTTGACTAACGTTATGCAGAACGTACTCACTCGGATGGTTAACGCTGCAGTTGAAAATGTTGTTGATACATGGGCTTCAGAAAACTCTCTGATAACTCTGATACAATTACTTCAACAATTTGTTTGGAAAGAAACTTCACAGATCTATGCCAGTGAATATTATCAACGGCGCCTCTGTCTGAAAAAATTTCGACTAATGATGGCTATGGGAAAGCGCTGTTATGCGACAAAGCAACTACGACTGCAGCGAGAACAGGAAGAAAAAGAAAAACAGGAACACTACATCAGTGTTTATGAAAACGTTATGACACGAATGCAACAATCGACAACAAAAGTGATGAACCCACCTAGAGTCTATGATGGAAGTCATTTGGAACCAGAGTACCTGGAAGCACAGAAATTAAATGATTCCATTCGACAGGCGAAGGAAATGAGGAAATCGCTTAATCTGGCTTCACTACTTCACCCGGTAACGGAGAATATGGTTTATGACGAGTGGACAATGGCAGCTTATTGTTATTCTCCTAATTCTTCTATAACTTCATGGTTGTGTAATAAGCTTTGTCTACGTCCTTCCAATGGCTGTTTTCTTTGGGAACAACTTCTCGAGACAAACAAAAGTGTTCGTGTGTATATGCCGTGTTCTACCGTTTTTGATGACTTGCGTCGAGCAAACTATGGCGCTTGCCTATATGTTGTTGATGTGAGTAAAGAGCTACAGTGTCTCACATGTTCTGACTCTCAATTGGAATATGTCTTTAAAAATAGTCCGAAGTTGGAAGAAACAGTTAGTGTTTTGCACCGTTTTATTCAACAACTATCACAGGCGAGCACAACAAAGTTTCCTCTGTTAATCGTTTTTTGGGCCACTAACCTGCCATCCATGGATGAAATTGCCGCGAAGTTCGAATTCATGAAGCTGGTTCAGTCCGACTGGAGTGCTGTCTCGTCCATACATGTTCAGTCATTAGACGTTACGAAATATGTCGCATTGGATGAGGGCATTGAAACACTTGTGAGTAACAGAAGCACAGAGCCTTCGCCTGCCTTCAGGTACTCGCAGTTTCTGCGGGAAAGCCGGAAAAGGCATTCCGTTGCACAAAGTGATATTGAGGCATCAAAAGTTGGTAGACGGCGGTACTCAAAAGCATTTGTTTCTGAAGATGAATCGCACGTTTACTCGGACGAACTTGCTGATGAATCACTTTTGACCCCCGTTGCAGACATCGCCTCCGAAAGATCTTTCTCCGTAATATCTACTCCTACTAAGCACATTACTCAGTTGCCGGAAACGCCAACACCATTACAAAGAAAAAGCCAAGTTTATCGAGGCCCGTTGGCAGTTTTGGATGAAAAAATAAAAAAGGCGAAGGCATTACTCAAAAGCCTCTAATCCGTCGTTTCTTTCTATGTTGTAATAATATACATTAAACCGCTTGTCGGACAAAAGAGCTGGAAAAGGGGAATTTGTTACTCAGCAAAGTAAAGGGCATAGGCTTTCTTTCCAAAACGTAGACAAACTAGACTCTCGGGAGGAAAATTTGTTATCAAGTTCGAATCCTTCAAGATTTCGTTACCGAGCATCACCTTTCCATTTTCGATGCAATCACTGGCCTCTTTGCGAGAATTAAATAAACCACATTCTCTAAGAAGTCTGCATACGGGTAGCGACTGAATGGCTCTCGGAATTTTTACGAATGCGGAGGTTTTCTGTAGCAGATCTTTCAAAGAGTGGTTCCCATAGTCAGGCTCGGGAGGCCAGTAGAAACCTTGTGCGTTCCTTTTAGAAGCATACAGGATATTGCTCACTTTAATTGCAGTATCAACCGCATCCTTTCCATGCAAAAAATACACAACATGCGAGGCCAGCGCACGATGAAGCAGCCTGTCCTCAGGCTTTCGGGAATGTTGCTGTTCAAGCTCGCCTATGCGTTCCACGGACAGAAATGTAAGTTGTTTTAAGAGTATCGGAATCATTTTATCCGGCAAGGAGACGAAGAACTATACAGCTTAGTAAAAAAGGTACATTTGCCTCATTAAATTACCTGATAAAGCGCATACGCATCCGTTTTGGTTTTGTCAATCCATACAGCATTTCCAGTACTTTTACCAAATTTGACACCGTTTGACGTAGTCAAAAGAGGTGTTGTCAGAGCGAATGCCTTGTTGTCACCGAGCTTACGATGGACAAAATCAACACCCGCCGTTACATTTCCCCATTGGTCATTACCACCGATCTGTAGGTTCACATTTGAATGAGTAGCAAGATAATAGAAGTCGTAAGCTTGCAACAATTGGTATGTGAACTCGCTGAACGAGAGACCAGTTGGACTCCGTAAGCGACTGCTGACACTATCGCGAGCAAGCATTTGGTTTACTCGAGCCGTACTGCCAATCTTGTTTAAGAAGTCAAGCAAACCCATTCCAGAGTACCATGACGAATTTTGCACAATATGCCAATTACGTTCGTCGGGCGTGTCCGTGGTAGAATAATCGCAGTAACGGGCGTAGGATACTACCCGTTGGCTTAGAAACGATAATTGATTCACGAGTGCGCTTGTGTTTTCTGAAAATACTCGTTTCGAAAGACGTGTGCGGCTTTCTGTTCTACCAGTAGGATCTCCCAGTTGGGCGGTGGCATCACCAACCAGAGCAAATGACGGAAACCCGTTTAAATACGCATGGAATAAGGGCATGAACGCGACCAAGTTGCCTAAATGCAGAGAGTTGGCCGTTGGGTCAACTCCTGTATACACGCCAGTGATGTTCGTAGAAGCTTGAACACTGTCAAAACTCGTGTTAGTAAGAAATGTCGTAAAAAAACCACAACTTCGTACTCAATCTTTAGGCCTACCGTGCTGTTTGGGCCACGAGTCCGCGTAGCGAAAGTTGCTTCCAAAGAGGTTGAAAAACAGGCATTTAAAACAGATTTATATATTACAAAGTACAGTTGGACAAGGAGTAGCGAACAGTCAAAGAGGATACCATTAAAAAGCAGACGGCACTTCTTGAGATTTTGGGAATTTGGTCTATTCAAGGTTTAGCGGTATTGGAATCGGGAGAAAAGCTTCAGGAGACGTCTTCATCCTACACAATTAGTAATACATCGACGAAAGTCGTTGGTTGCTTTCGACAATTAGCAGAATGTGTTTGGTAGAGGAGAAGTACCGTTTTCAAGGTCTTGTGCTTTGTCCTGTTGTGTGCGTCATAGTAACCTTAATTCACTCAACTTTATGCAACCACGTGCAATTAAGCACGCTCGGTTAAATTAATCTTCAAACTCACCACCAAAAAACAAACCAAGCAGTTCGAAGCGAGGTAGCAACAACACGCCTTCCTTCCATCTCCACAGCCTGAACAACCAAAATGAGTCTGAGTTTGTACGCTATCCAGGCTCTCTTCATTCTAGATAGCTCTGGAAAACGAATTTTCTCTAAGTACTACACTGCTCCACACATAGATTCGTCGGAACATACGAACGAATTTCAGACGACAGAAGAGGAATTGGCCTTTGAGAAAGCAGTGTTCAAGAAAACTTGGAAAACACAAAACGATGTCTCTGTCGTAATGAAGCACAAGGTTGTGGCTGTCCAGACACTGGATATGGTATTCTACGTTGTTGGAAGCAGCGATGAGAACGAGATGTTGCTATACGAGTGTGTCTGCTCGGTCCGTGACGCCTTGGAACTGCTACTGAAAGGCGTCCCTGACAAAAAAACACTCTTGGAGAACTATGGTCTTCTTGTATTGACTGTTGATGAGACCATTGACGATGGAATTATTCTCGAAAGTGATCCAGTTCTCATTGCTGGTCGTGTCACAAAAGCACCCACTTCCGACGCACAGGCACTTGTTTCCGATATCAAGGAGATGGGTTTCATGAGTTCTTTGCAAAAAGCCCGCGATAAGTTTGCTGAACGGATTCTTCGTGGTGCTTTTTAGAGGGACAATGTTCGCCATTTTCGTCTTGGAGTGCCGGCTATGAAGACGTAAATAAACCTCAGCTACATTCTTTTACTATGGTACCCAAGGCCTTTGGTCGTACGCTGACGATAACCAAACTCATGCACTCAACGATGACTTCTAATAAATGTTATTGAGGGAAGAACACAGGAGTGGAGTAGATAATTCAGTAATCCAGCAATAGTGGTTGAGAAACTAAGAGTTTACAGGAGGGAGGAAACATTCACACGGGAAAGATCGAATTAATTGTTACAGTTCGCGAAACTACCAACTCATCTTTGACACGACCTCCTATTCACTTTACAACACCTCTTCATCCAATCAACAGAAAAAAATATTTTGAAACAAATTTAATTAAAGCACTAAATCTAGTACTTCTTCTCAGTTTGCATCAAAACGTCGGCGTACTCCTCAATGGGGGTTTGGCCGAGGGCACGCTCAGCCCACAAGTTAGGGGTAAGGATACCGTAGGTACGAGCAGCAGCAGCGAAAGCAGCCTTCAAGAAGTTACCTTGAGTCTTGGTAGAACCACGGGAGGTGGTGTAGCAGTCCTCAATACCAGCGAGTTGAAGGAAACGCTTGACGACGGGAGCAGCAACAAGACCAGCACCACGGGGAGCAGGGACAAGACGGACGGTAACGGAACCACACTTACCAGTGACCTTAACGGGGACGGTGTGAGGCTCACCCAAAGCGGTACCCCAGTAACCACGACGGATGGGCATGATGGAGAGCTTGGCCAAGACGACGGCACCACGGATAGCAGTGGCAACCTCCTTAGCGCACTTGACACCCAAACCAACGTGACCGTCGCTGTCACCAATAACGACAAAGGCCTTGAAGCGGGTACGTTGACCGGCACGGGTTTGCTTCTGGACAGGCATGATCTTCATGACCTCATCCTTAAGACGGGGCAAGAAGAAGTCAACAATTTGGAACTCCTTGATGGGGAGAGAGTAAAGGTAGATCTCCTCAATAGACTTGATCTTACCGGCCTTCACCAGACGGCCCAACTTGGTGACGGGAACCCATTCCTTCTCCTCATCACGCTTAGCGCCACGACGACCACGTCCACGACCGCGGCCACGTCCAAAACCTCTAGGTGCGTTCTCAGCCATTTGTCTGTGTTATTCCAGGTATCCGCAAAAGTTCGGTGTACGAAGGAGGAAGAACAATGGGGCAGATGTGGTGCCTTTTATCACCTGTGACTGTGAAAGTTTAATTCGCCATTTAGGGTAGGGTTGCGAAAAAGCAGTCCCGGTGTATACACAACAACGACAGCCCAACGCAAGCGATTCCACAACCAACTACTGGTCACCGCTGTCTTTCTTACCAAAATGAGTCAAGTCGCCAAGGATCAAAAGGAGCAACAAATTGCCTCCACCGTTCACCGCATCCGTATCACCCTTACCTCTCGCAACGTGCGTAACTTGGAGAAGGTCTGCTCTGACCTTGTCAACCGTGCCAAGGACAAGCAATTGCGTGTCAAGGGTCCCGTCCGTCTCCCTACCAAGATCTTGAAGATCACCACCCGTAAGACCCCTAACGGTGAGGGTTCCAAGACCTGGGAGACCTACGAGATGCGTATCCACAAGCGTCTTATTGACCTCCACTCTCCCTCTGAGATTGTTAAGCAAATCACCTCTATCCACATTGAGCCCGGTGTTGAGGTCGAGGTCACCATTGCTCAATAGATTAGCAGCGGTCAATAGATGGTTCCACTGACGTGGAGCTGTTGTCTCTATTTCTGTGTGTGTTTGTGTGCGTATAAACTGTAGTTGTTGAGTGTAGTTGTGTAGTGGGTTTGAATCTTGGTTTCTATTTGTCTGTTCGCTGCTATGTCTTTCACCCTGTCACCCTTCGTTGCTTCCTTTTGTCCCTGTTTCGTGTCGCTTGGACAATGGCCGTTTAAAACGCTTTTATTTTCGTAACTGTGCATGTTCATAATTGTAACAACAGTATTGGTAACATATAGACATGATGACATGTGAGATACGAAGGGCCCAGCTGTACCAAGATGGCAAGTACAGTACAGTTTGGCACCGACTCTCGTAGACTGGGGTGGTTCTCGGGAATGGATTTGGTTTTCTGTTTTTTTACTTGTAGAAAGCGAATTGCTCCATGTCTGTAGGCTTGACGGCACGAGCATATGCCTCCTCGATATCGCTTTGAAGGATGACACCACGGCTCTTACGCACGGCGAGCAAACCTGCGTCTTGCATGATAGCAGCAATTTGGGCACCACTAGAAGCATCTGGCCGCATAATGAATGTGTCAAGGTCAACCTCAGGCGAAAGTGACATTTTGGAGCAGATGGTTTGGAATACAAGACGGCGTTGACGACGATCACGGTATGAAGGGAATTCCACTTTACGATCGAGACGGCCGGGACGCAATAAGGCGGGATCGAGTGTGTCTGCACGGTTTGTGGCCATAATCACCTTGACGTTGGCCTCTTGGTCGAAACCGTCCATCTGCGTGAGGAGTTCGATTAAAATACGCTGCACCTCTCGGTCAGCACCAGTTTGGGCATCAAAACGTTTCGTAGCAATAGCATCAATTTCGTCAATAAAGATAATAGAAGGAGCGTTCTCGCGTGCCATTCGAAAGACGTCACGGACCATACGAGGTCCCTCACCGAGATACTTTTGAACAAATTCGGAACCCACAACACGGATAAAGTTGGCGTTCGTGCTGTTGGCGACAGCTTTGACGAGCATTGTTTTTCCTGTACCAGGAGGTCCATACAGCAGGACACCACGGGGGGGATCGATACCGATTTGCTTGTACAAATCGCCTTGTGTGAGAGGCAGTTCGACTGCTTCCCGGATTTCTTGCTTTTGCACGTCCAAACCACCAACATCAGCATACGTAACATCAGGACGTTCGTCGGCACGCAGCATAGAGATCGAAGAGTCGGCCTCAGGTGGCAGGATATCGACCAACGCGTTGGAATGCCGGTGTAAGGCAACACTGGCACTTGGTTTCAGCAGTTCACGATCGAGTGTGCTGAGAATACGGACAACGTAATTAGATCCTGTTGTGCTTCCAACAATGGCCGTGTTTTGGTCAATGGCTTCCAGAAATTGACCGATAACTAAAGGTACCGACTGGATTCTTTTCACTTCCTCTTGGGCGCGAAGAAGTTCGCGTTTTAGTGACTTACAGTCGTCTTTAATGAATTCTTCTTGCAAATCCAGCATCTCCAGCTGATGCTGGAGCGCTTTCCAGCGATTGTACAGGTCTGTTTGTTCTGTGCTGGCCATTCCAGGTGTTTTGTTTTGGGTGGGAGTAAAGACGGCCCTGCGAAGAAGGTTATCCAAATAGGGAGACTTACCGTGTTAGGCAGAAGATGCGTAAACCCGCCTAGCGTGTTTTACCGTAACTGAATGGTTTCACTATGACATTTAGCGTGCTCCGAGATCCCACACTATTCTCGTTTTTAGGGTAGGGCTGTGACTACTTTTGCTTTAGACACAACTGACCATCCCACCGGCGAACCATCCACCACCTCCGAGACAAAATGGGTGCCTACAAATACTTGGAAGAGCTCGCCAAGAAGAAGCAGTCTGACGTTAACTTGTTCTTGTCGCGCGTGCGCGCCTGGGAGTACCGCCAGCTGAACGTCATCCACCGTGCCAGCAAGCCCTCCCGTCCCGACAAGGCTCGTCGTTTGGGTTACAAGGCCAAGCAAGGATACGTTATTTACCGTATCCGTGTTCGTCGTGGTGGTCGCAAGCGCCCTGTTCCCAAGGGTCAAACTATGGGCAAGCCCGTCAACCAAGGTGTTAGCGAGCTCAAGTACCAACGTTCCCTCCGCTGCACTGCTGAGGAGCGTGTTGGTCGTCACTGTGCCAACCTCCGTGTCTTGAACTCCTACTGGGTCAACCAAGACGCTACCTACAAGTTCTACGAGGTCATTCTTGTCGATCCCAACCACAAGGCCGTCCGTCGTGATCCTCGCATCAACTGGATCTGCAACGCCGTTCACAAGCACCGTGAGGCCCGTGGTCTTACCTCCATTGGCAAGAAGTCCCGTGGTATTGGCAAGGGTCACCGTCACAACCACAACCCTCAACACCGTACCTGGTTGCGTCACAACACCCTTTCTCTTCGTCGTTACCGTTAGTGATTGTGAACAGCTGCTGTTTATGTACAGCAAATTGCTTTCTAAAACGAATACAAGTGTTCGGTGGAAATTGATGCGTGATGTAATAGTGTGGGGATAAGCAGGCGGGGGAGCGAAAGGTGTTTGTTTAGCGAGAGTTAAAAGGCGATGGCGATGGGTTTCTGGTAGTCGGTTGTATTGAGTGGTAGTTTGTGATGAATTGCAGCTTTCTGGTGCAGTTGGCAGTGGTTGAGGGCAGTTATGTTGTAATTTAATGTGATGGTATTTGATCCATTTACTTTATTTTTTTTAAACCCTAAGACTTGGCTACGTTATTTACTAAACGACCCGGAGAGCTAATTGAGATCTGTGATTGTCTGAGCAGCTCAACTCATAATCTACGTTGCTTTATTGGAAAGATTATTCGTATGCTTGTTTTTTTTTTCTTGTTTTTTTTTGAATCTTTCTTATATACATAAATATACTTAAACTCTCAGTAGTCGACAACTTCTTGTGTAGCTATTTTTTATAAATAAATGTCCCATATGTAATTATCCTTATAAACTAAGTGAACACTGTTGTGACGGGTGTCTCGCTTTAATAATTAGGTTTTAAATAAATACTGTTTTTCTCATACTTCATCTTTAGTAGAATAGACGGATATAGTAACTCCAGTATAGGCATTAGAATTAGTGGGTGGTCATAATAGAGTTATTGCTCTTCTATTCGTTTAATTTAAACTGCACCGACGCTTTCATTTGTTGAGCATTTAATGCTTCACAAGCATTTTTTACTCCAATTCTCGATGGGCAAGATTGATCATTACTAGACGAAATGAAATACATGTACTGATTCATATTTTATTAGTAACTATATTGGTTAGTTGTCAAGTAATTTTTTGCATGTGTATAAATTGCACCTGTTAAATTAGTTCGTCAAAAAAAAAAAAAAAAAAAAACAAAATATATAAATAAATATGTATACGTATACTGAGAAAATTGGATACAAACTTCATCGTGTAGTATCGACATAAATGTCTGATCCCCGGGGTGTTTTTTTAGATGCAGGTGTTCATTAGTGAGATGCTATGAACATTGTATCATGAGAGTAATTTACCGAAAATAATAAATCACCCACTGCGGTTACACTCACAAAGGTTGATTTATTCTAGTAGATGATATGGCATATTCTCACATTATTGCCCGTGGCCCTACTGTCCGTTACGATATGCTCAACAACTAATTAATCATTACTGTCTTGATCATAAAGAAGGTTAATTCACTTCTTGTACTTAAAAAGCACCCGGAAGCTTGCCGGTGATGCAGGCGTGGTTAGTTCACCAAGAAAAGGACAGACGAAATTTCTCTTCTCTTTTACACATAAGAACAAATGAACACAAAACAAAGTAGGTTAAAAACTCTCTAAACAGCCTGCGCTTAAAGCTTGTTAGACCGTCTTTTCTTCCGTCACTCATATATCCTCGACGTAGCTAGGAATGGTTAGTCTGAGGCAAGAAAAGTTATACACAAAAACGGAAAACATACTTTGCTGGAAATTGTCCAATGCGACCATCGAGCTCGCCTTCAGACCAGCCGTTACCGGAATCTCTTTGAATTACGCGAATGACGTCTCCAGCCTGTAAACTGATTTCTAAATCAGTCTGCGCAGTATAATCATACAAAGCCCTTACATAGCTTTCATCCTGGGCTACGGATGCTTGCCCGGGCAAATCAAGGTACGAAGCAGGGACTAAACCCTCTGCCGACCCTGAACGAGCACGAACCCAACCAGTACCATCTAAATAGGGAGTTAGACCTACACACAAAAGGGATTTGTCTAACATACCATCTGGCTGCAAAATAACTACCATTTGCCCTTCTTTCACGTTCAGGTCATCGTCCGTTGTTCCAACGTAATCGTACAGCACCTGAACCGTTTCATTTTCTGCAGCAGAAGTAGCGGCAGCATCAGCAGGAGTCTGAGATGAATCACCAAACGGCGAAGGTTGCGACTCACTGGTATTCGTAGTTGCACGACTCACGGCGATGTTACCAAAATCATCGACCTCTTCGTTTCGCATGCTACCAGCACCATGATTCTCGACACTCCTTGTTGTATTTGCATAATTGGTGGAGGAAATGCTTCCAACGTTGCTTCTTCTCAAGGAAGCATTACGTGAAATAGAGACCAAAGGTTCAGCTTTTCCACACTCTGGAGGAACTTTCATCTCACAGCGAGCATGACAATGATAGTTACAACCTGCAATCACTTTGTTAGCAACGACTGTACTCATTTAGCACCTTTTTACTCACGTTTACAGACACATCCGTGTTTTGAGAGACCCCAAATAGTGCTCTTGCAGTAGTCGCAATTTGTTGGTAAGGCAAAGCTTGTATGACGGAAATCATGAGGTTGCGTTCCCTCGTCGAGAGCACCGGCTGTGTTAAGGATCAGATCTATCCGGCTCTGTAAATCATGCATTCGCGTTTGAAAACGGGCCTTCAACTGTTCAACTTCTGCCATTTTGAGCACGACCGCATGCGGCAATTCGAGCAAAGACTTGCTGTGTGCCTTTTCTAACTTGTTTGATTCCTCCATGACAGACTCATACGAAGCAGCTGCAGTTTCAAAATCTTTGCGATTCTGAATGAGCATATTACGTAGGTAATTGATGTTGGTATCGTAGGTAGCAATCGAATCCGTGTCGTGCCAAATGGGAGACGGTTCAAAGGGAAGGTCATTCGGGGGCGTCCAGTTCTTTTGATTGTGTTTAACGAACATGACAGTATCTAGGTTTGGACTGTTTAGGTTGATCTCATTATTGAGTTCATCCGTTTTTTGAGACAAGTCAGAGTAGCAGGACTTTTCGAGATGAAGAGAATGCTTCCACAGCGAGTTCATTTTTTGAACTCGAAATTCGTTCACTTGTTGCAAGCTGTCCACGACATCGGGCAATAACTTACTGAAATACAATTTCGTGTGGGCGTTGAACTCCGTAATAGTAAGGACATACCCATTCTTTTTGTTATTCATTTCCGTTAACGCGTCCTGGTAACCTCGTTTACTTTTATCGTCACCGAGTTTGTCTTTCTTCTGCCGAGCAGATTCCAAGACTTCGCAGCTGCTGTAATAATCCTGTTTCGCCTTTTTGACACCGGCGTCGATACGCTCGCGTTCATCTAACAAGCTGTTGTAATAACCATGCTGATTCCTTCGCATGGATTCCGCTTGGCCCTGTAAATTCAAAAATTGGTCGGAAATCTGAGAGCCTAAATCGTTTGAGAAATTCTGTATTCGGCGAGCTTCTTCTGTCAAGCCGTCCAAAATCTTCGTCCAAGTGGTAAGAGAAGCACTAGGTTTCTTCGTCAGAAATTGCAACATGTATTACAGCCAACGCTCAAAAAACTGTCATACCATTCCAATGAACCAGCAGAGGAAGTAGGTGAATCACCAATCGAAAGCGAGGAGGATCGCTTGTTTTTCTTTTCAAAATATTTCTTTGCGAGTGACGCTAGCTTCTGCGAGTACTCCTTTTCTACAACGAAAGAATTAGACGTAGAAAGACACGAGTTGTGCATGAAGCATACCGATTAGACTCCGTTCTTTATAAAACTGATGAAGCTCTTCCAACCATTTGACTCCATTTTGCACCTGAAATAGTAAGAACACAAGCGTTACTGTATATCTATACCCAACTATCGACCGTTTTGTAGTCGTCCTATATCAATGTTAGAAATTTGAAGTACATACAAAAATAACCAATTGCAAAAGCAGCGTACCTTTATGTAAGCACTAATACTAACTGATTCAACGCTCATATTCGCGTAAAATCCAGATAATATGTAAATGACAGAGAATTCGGATTTTCTACGTTACGTGCGCTGGTGACGTTGGTACTATCATATCTCTACCTTAAAGGCCGTTCACTACCATACGTGGTCAAACTCGTTTAAGCCGTAAAATACAACATGTCAAAGCCTGAAACGGAAAGAAAAGACTGGGCAGACCTTGATTCTGACGAAGAAATCCAAAAAATCCGCGACAAAGTGGAGGATTTGAAGACTACAGAATCTGCATCTAAACCAGAGACAAAAGATGCTGTCCCAGACCTTGCCAGTCGGCTGGGACCAAAGGAAGGCGAGCAAAAAGATGAGGGAAAGAAGGAGGAAGCTGCTCCTGCTGATAAAAAGGAAGAACACACGTCTAATCTCGTGCAAAACGACAATGAAGTTCGCGTCAAACTGGCGGATCTTCAAGCAGACCCCAATTCACCGCTTTTCTCTGCAAAGAGCTTTGATGACCTGAATCTGTAAGAAGCCAAATTGTGTTTTCCGTGTCGGAAGAAATTGTTTTTTTTTATGTCTAACTAATTAACTAGGAAACCCGAATTGCTGAAGGGTGTGTACGCTATGAAGTTTCAGAAGCCCTCCAAGATTCAAGAAAAAGCTCTTCCCCTGCTTCTGTCTAACCCGTACGTACCGAAAATTGCTGCTAATTGCTCTTGGCTTTGCTAACATACGTAGTCCTCGCAATATGATCGGACAGTCCCAGTCTGGTACTGGTAAAACGGCAGCCTTTGCTTTGACAATGCTTTCCCGTGTTGACCCTTCAGTTCCAAAAGTCCAGGCAATCTGTCTGGCTCCTTCTCGTGAGCTTGCTCGTCAAATTATGGACGTGGTTGTTGAAATGGGCAAATTCACAGACATCAAGACTGCCTTTGGTATTAAGGACAGTGTTCCCAAAGGCCAAAAAATCACTGCTCAAATTGTCATCGGTACACCTGGTACCGTTATGGATCTTATGAAAAAACGTCAACTCGAAACTAGGGAGGTCAAGGTTTTCGTGCTTGACGAGGCAGACAACATGCTTGATCAGCAAGGACTGGGTGATCAGTCTATGCGCATTAAGCACCAACTTCCTCGTGCCGCTCAGATTGTTCTGTTCAGTGCCACATTCTCTGCTCAGGTTGAGCAATATGCCCACCGTTTTGCTCCCAATGCCAACGAGATTCGCCTGAAGCCCGAAGAATTGAGTGTGGAAGGAATCAAGCAACTGTTCATGGATTGTAAGAACGAAGCTCACAAGTACGACGTTTTGGTCGAGTTGTATGGTTTGATGACCATTGGCCAGTCCATCATCTTCTGTCGCAAAAAGGAGACGGCCGAGGAAATTTCTCGCCGCATGACTGCCGATGGCCATGCGGTCTCTTGTCTTACCGGAAACTTAGAGGGTGCTCAACGTGACGAGGTTATGGACTCTTTCCGAGCTGGAAAGACTAAAGTTCTGGTTACAACCAACGTCATCGCTCGTGGTATTGATGTTTCACAAGTGAACATGGTTGTGAACTACGACTTGCCAGTGGATCAGGCTGGTCGTCCCGATCCTCAAACTTACTTGCACCGTATTGGCCGTACGGGTCGTTTTGGACGTGTCGGTGTGAGTATCAACTTTGTGCATGATGCAAAGAGTTGGGCAGAGATGGAGGCTATTGAGAAATATTTTGGACGCCCCATATTGCGTGTGCCCGCCGATGACTACGAAGAATTGGAGAAAGCCGTCAAATTTGCTTCTCAGTCATAGAAAATAAACCAAGTAGTGCAATTCGTCAGCCGCGTGTGTCCCTATACCCAAACCAATCTCATCTACCCGAAGTCTTCTTCACTCAGTAGCTAATCGGCTTGACGAGCCTTCTCTTTCTCTTTCTCTTTTTTTCTTTTTCTTTTTATTGAAATACAGAAAATGAATATCATTGCTACACAAAAAGAAGACAACAGAAAAGTTAGGACGGGAATTCCCAGAGCCTCAGCTCAACCATAGCTGCTGTCTTATTCGTAGGCTTGCCGAGAACTCCGTTCAGCTCGACCATATTTACTCAGAAAGAGCCTTGTTGACCACAGCACGGGCAAAGTTGGGCAAGATGAAAGCAGCCTCATGGATCTCCTTGTTGTAGTAGCGGCACAACTTGGCCTCCTCCTCGGCAGTCCAAGTACGCAGGGGCTTAGACAAGTCAATGGCAGTGTTCTTGCTAGCGACGACGAATCCAATAGAGCCAGAGGGATATGTGGGGATTGTGGTGTAAGCGTAACGGACGTTGGGGAACGCCTTACGAGCGGCCTTAAGCACATTCTCGATCACACTTAAGTGAAGCCACATGCACTCAGCCTGTGTCGTGATAACACCGTTCTCGCGAAGAGCACCGTGCAACAGCTGGAAGTAAGGAGCCTCGAAAAGAGCCTCAGCAGGACCGTCAGGGTCAGAGGAATCGGTGATAATCACATCAAAGGTGTTGGTGTAGTCCTTCAAGAACTGGAATCCGTCACCGACATGAGTCTTCACCTTGGGGTGTTCATATCCCACAGCCATACTGGGAATGAACTTTTTAGAGTAGTCAATGACATCGGCATCAATGTCACACAAGACAACCTCCTCTACACTTTCGTGTTTCACAACCTCACGCAAGACACCTCCATCACCACCACCGATGACCAGCACCTTCTTGGGGTTGGCATGACTGTTCAGAGCCAAGTGAGCAATCATTTCTTGGTATGAAAACTCATCACGCTCAGTAGCTTGAATGACACCGTCCAAGACGAGAACACGGCCATAAGTTTCGCTCTCGAATATCAAAACATCCTGGAACTTGGAACGTTTAGCATGGAGAACCTTCTTGACCTTCAAGGTCATAGCCTGACCAGGCCACATCTTGTTGATTTCACGGAACCATCCATCCTTGATGGAGGGGTGAGTAAGCTCTTGGGATTCAGAAGACATTTTTTTGTGTTTCAGAAATTTTAACTTTTTCTCCTCAAAAGTTTGTTTTGGGTTGACGATCACTTGCAGGGTTCCAGGGGCTGACTCTGAGAGATTTCCGCCGCTTTAAGGCAACAAGCTTTGAACGTGCCTGTTCTTTTTTGTGCTGCTGCTGAAGCAGTCACAGTTGGTGGTGAGTTTACCCGCGGTAAAACCCCGGCGTTCCCTCGGGGAGAAACCTTATCGACGCGTGGGCACGCGTCGATAAAGCTGTCCTCTGCTAACTACCGTTTAACCTTTTATTTGTGTGAGCACGCACCGGATAACTGCTGCTACGGCATAATTAAAAAGGCAGAGTTGCTACATTACTGGGGAATTACAATGGACTCGTCTATGGAGGCTCTGAACGAGAAGTTTTTGCGAACTGGATTAAATGAGACCCGTGTTACGGACACGTTGAAGAACAAGAACCTGACGGCTTCGCTGGATCGTGTCATTAACTTGGCCGGTGTGGGTGAAACAGGCTGTGATAAGTCTGTGGGAAACCTTCTTTTGCTTCTCGCAAACGAAGCTGTGAAGCAAAAGAGTGAAAATGTCTTGAAGCACGAGAAGTACGTCGCCGACCGTATTGTGAAAGGCGATTTGAAGACAAACTTGCAAGTCTCATCAGCCGTTGCTTACTGTAAGACGGCAGACACAATCGATGACGCAGCTTTCGACCGTGCTGCTGGCGTTGGTGTCGTTTGCACGGACGAAGAGATCGAAAAACTGGTTCAGGAGTATCTTAATGAACACAAGGCCACTATTGAGGAGCAACGGTATCGGTCGTTGAACGCGACAGCTTCCGCTCTTCGTACCCATCCCGTTCTTAAATGGGCTGCTCAATTGAAGGTCAAGCAAACGATTGATCGCCTTTATTTGGCTCTTCTGGGCCCTAAGGATGAGAGAGATGTTGTCACGAAGAAGAAGGGCGGTGCTCCGAAGAAGGGAAATGCAAAGCCCGCTCAAAAAGTACCTAAAACTTACAATATGTTCGAGGAAGGCTTCCTCGCCAAACTTCATAAGGCTGGAGGTAACACACAGATGTACCCTGAGCGTATGAAGGAGCATTTAGCAGCCACTGGTGGTCGCGTTGTAACCCGTTTCCCTCCTGAGCCTAATGGATACCTGCACATTGGCCATTCCAAGGCCATTGCGGTTAACTTTGGCTTTGCCAAGTATCACAACGGTATTTGCTACTTGCGTTTCGATGACACAAACCCTGAGGCCGAAGAGCAAGTGTACTTCGAGAGCATTAAGGATTTGATCGCTTGGTTGGGATTCAAGCCTTACAAAATTACATACTCCAGCGACTACTTTGATCAGCTGTATGAGCTTGCTGAGAAGCTCATTTTGATGGACAAGGGTTACGTTTGCCATTGTACCGACGCTGAAATCAAGAAGGCTCGAGGAGGTGATGAACGCGGTCCTCGCTACGCTTGTGTTCATCGTAACCGTCCTGTTGAGGAGTCTTTGCAGGAGTTCCGCAACATGCGCGATGGAAAATACAAGCCCAAGGAGGCCATTTTGCGCATGAAGCAGGACTTGGAGGATGGCAATCCTCAGATGTGGGATTTGTGTGCGTACCGTGTGCTCAACGCATCTCATCCCCGTACGGGCGACAAGTGGAAGATCTATCCCACATACGATTTTACGCACTGTTTGGTCGATTCTTTCGAAAATATCTCGCATTCTCTGTGTACAACTGAGTTCATCCTCTCTCGTGTCAGCTACGAATGGCTTTGCAATACGCTCCAAGTCTACTGTCCTGCCCAACGTGAGTATGGTCGTTTGAATTTGGAGGGCGCCTTGATGAGCAAGCGCAAGATTATGAAGTTGGTGAAGGGCGGTCTTGTTCGTGGTTGGGATGATCCCCGGTTGTATACGCTTGTAGCATTGAGACGTCGTGGTGTACCTCCTGGTGCTATTCTTGATTTTGTTAGTGAGGTCGGTGTCACCACTGCCGTTAGCAACATCGAGGTTGCACGGTTCGAGAACGTTGTTCGCAAGTTCCTTGAGAACAGTGTTCCCCGTTTGATGCTTCTTTTGGATCCTCTGAAGATTACCATTGAGAATGTTGATGAGTCGTTCCGTGAAGAGATTGAAATTCCCTTCAACCCCAAGGATGCCGCAATGGGTTCGCGCAAGCAGTACTTCACTAAGCATCTCTACATTGACCGTTCTGATTTCAGCGAGGTGACGACGCCAGACTTTTACCGTCTGACCCCCGACCAACCCGTCGGTCTGTTCCGTGTGCCCCACCCCATCTCTGTGAAGAAGGTAGTCAAGGACGAGAGCGGTAACGTTGTTGAGCTCGTTGCCACTTACGAAAACGACGCTGCCGCCCGTAAGAAGCCCAAGACTTTCATCCAGTGGGTATGTGAAGACAAGCAAAGTAACAGTCCTGTCCGCTTATCCGAGGCACGCCTGTTCAACAACCTGTTCAAGTGCGACAACCCCGCCGGTTTGAAGGAGCATGAGTTGCAAGATGCAATCAATCCTGAAAGTGAAATTGTATTGAAGAATGCTTTGGTCGAGTCGGGTATTCACGACCTCATCAAGACTGCACCCTGGCCTCACTCTGCGACTAGCAATGAGAATCCTACTACGAATCCCGAGTGTGTTCGTTTCCAAGGCATGCGTGTTGGCATTTTTGCTTGGACAAGGATTCGACTGCTGACAAGCTTGTTCTGAACAGAATTGTTTCGTTGAGAGAAGATGCCGGCAAGAAGGCTTAGAGTAAGGCGATGGACATTGGTTTCTATTCACATTTTTGGTTAATTACTTGGGTCAAGGGTTTCTAACGTACACGCACCTGTCTCCCATGTTTACAAACACATTGAGACCCAATTCAGTTTTGGAAAAAAAACTCAAATTGTACAGAGATTATACACTACCTGGTATGGAACGAACGCAAGAAGCATTGGTCTTATATGCTTTATGTATATTCCTATTTTAAACGCAAAACCTTAATTTGTTTACATTAACAGAATATGGTATAAATACAGCTACTTTCCTTCTGGCCCTTTCACGCATACCTAACACTCCGAAGCGCACGTTTTGCTTGTGTAGCTCTTATTATCAGCTGTATTCTTAATTTGCTTTTCTGTTTTCTCTCTGATGCTTATTCGCGCCTTGCTCTTCCTTGCTGGCCTAAGTGCTCCCTTAGTCGCACAGGCCAAGGTGAACCCCATCATTGTTAAGGGAAATGCTTTCTTTGATTCGGTGACCAACGAGCGGTTTTTCATTCGAGGTGTTGATTACCAGCCCGGAGGTTCTTCTTCTCTTATTGATCCTCTGGCAGCTGAGTCTTGCGTGAAGGACATTAAGGTGTTCAAGGATCTTGGTATTAACACTATTCGTGTGTACCAGGTTGACAACTCTGCCGACCATGACTACTGTATGAAGGCATTAGATGATGCGGGCATTTACCTGCTTCTGGATCTTAATACCTTCCGTCATTCGATTTCCCGTTCAGAACCTGCCCTGTCATACAACCATGTTTACCTCCAGCATCTTTTTGCAACGGTTGACGTGTTCAAGAAGTATGACAACGTGTTAGGTTTCTTCTCAGGAAACGAGGTCGTCAACGATGAGGACACAACAGCCATTACTTGGGTTAAGGCTGCTACTCGTGATGTGAAAGCTTATATTAAGGCCAATTCTAAGCGTCAAATTCCCGTTGGTTATTCTGCTGCAGATGTCGCTGAAAACCGGTTGGAGCTTGCGCACTACTTCAATTGTGGAGAGGACAATGAACGTGCAGACTTTTACGCCTTCAACATGTACGAGTGGTGTGGCTATTCGAGCTTGCTAATTTCTGGATACCAAGACCGTGTACGTGAGTTTGCCAACTACTCCATTCCTCTCTTTCTTTCCGAGTATGGCTGCAACGCCGTTGAGATCAACGAGGACATGACTCCTAATCGTCCATTCACCGAGGTGGAGGCAATTTACAGCCCGCCCATGACAGACGTATTTTCGGGAGGACTGGTGTACGAGTACACGGCCGAATCGAACAACTACGGACTCGTCGTCATAAACAAGGATGGTGAACGCCAGTACTCTCGCAACTATTACACCCTGCGTAAACAGTTCAAGAAATACGGCCAAGCCTCTAATGGTAAAAAGTATTTGGAGAACGGTAAGCCCAGCGTATGTCCGCCCAACTCAACGAACTTTACTTCGTGGGCCGTCTTGCCAGAGATGCCCGAAAAGGCCAAGGTTTACTTTAAGAAGGGAGCTGGTCGGCCACTCGGTATCGAGGGCCCCACGAACATGTGGTCCGTCTTCCAATGGGGCGAAGAAGAAGGTGAGGTGCCTAAGGGTAAATCAAAGCCCACTCCAGTCCTCGTTAACACAACTCACGATGACGAGTCTCATGTCTCGAGCGTTTCGGCTTCGGTCGATGCAACTAGTGATGGAGAGCAACTCCGTGTTAGTACATTGAAGGTGCTGATTACGACTACCCTTCCTCTGTTGTTGCTGTGGTTGTTTTAGACACAAAGTTTGTATGTCATAGTGTGCATGAAATGGTTAATGGGTTTCTGTTTTAATATAATTACATTGAATGTGAATGAGTAGAGCGAAGGTAAAACCGTGTTGTGGATGAGAAGGTTTCGGTTTCCACACTTGTCGTGCTCGTAAAGAGTGTTCTTACCTATACTTCATAGCTTCACTAGCCGATTTCGCTTCCATACCACCTCAATCCTTACAATGCCATTACTTCAGTTTAAAGCGGGAAAACTGCGTAGAAAAGAAGGAACAAAGATCCTTCAGGCAGACAAAACCAAAGGGTTTGTTGTCAACTCATGGGGAAGTGGTTTTATTAACAAAATTTTAGTTATGTGGAAATGAACGTCGAGGAGGACGGTCTTATGCACTTCTCATGGCGTCCTAGAAACACTGAGGTGAAAGAAGATGTACGGATAACCACAGTGGGGCCATGTTCAACGACATATGTTTGTTAACGATTTTTTGGTAATGTAGGACGTTGTAGTTTTTCCAGACGAAGTTGAATTTGAACGGGTGTCCCAATGCAATACAGGTCGAGTCTACATGCTTAAGTATCCATCCTCTTCGCAATGTTTATTCTACTGGATGCAGGAACGGGATTCTGGGAACGACGAGGCATACGAGGAGCTTGTGAACTATCACATCGAGCACCAGCCGTTGTCTGAAGAAAATGAAGGAGACGAGCCACATGATATGCAAGTAGATGAAGAGACTGTTCCCACCGTCGTTTCCGAAACGCCTGTCACTCCAGCGACAGCAGCAGCTGCATCTGCAACAGACTCTGCTCCTCCTCCCAACCAAGCCAGTTCACAGCCACAAAACGCAGACGCCATCCAGCGCATTCTTCGAGCCCTGCAAAGTGCCGGTCCTCGCAACAATGTGGACCTGTGGGACGTGCTGAAACCAGCGAACGTGTCTCCGTTGCTGCACCGGTCGCTGCCTGAGGCATTGCAGCAGACCCTACCTCCAAACACTGAATCCACGTATGAGGGTGTGATGGAGGTTGTCAGCAGTCCGCAATATGCCCAGGCTCTTCAATCCTTCCAGTCGGCTCTCAATTCGCAAGGCGGTCTCAACATCCTTGCTGCCTTGGGTCTTCCCGTCGACTACACCTCGAGCGACGGAGCGTCTCTCCAGCTCCTTCGAGCCATTGAAAAAAAGGTGAGGGAGGAGGACGTAAATGGCGGCGAAAACAGCCCAGACGGTACAGCACCGCGGCAATGATTTGTGAATTCAGTTTTATGGAATGAAATGAGTTTAGGTTTACATTTGCGGGGAAGAGAAAACGCGGGGAACTGCGGAGAGCTGCGGTGCGGGAAACTAGAGACGAACGCGGGGAAGATGCGTAAACCTTAACGCGGTTAAGGTTGCACTCTGCGCGACGCGTAGACCCACGACGCGTTCCTCGCGTAAGGCCAGTAAAACGCGTGGAACACGAAAAGACCACCTCTACGCGTTCACGCGTCGAAATGTTATAAATAGGACCCGTTCCACTTCTCATGCACCTCCCTTCCGGCACCCACGTCCCCCCTCCGCTCATTTTTACCTCCTCGCTGCCCCTGCCCTACTACTCACCACCTCCCCACTTCACCCCACTCACCACCAAACTGCATCCTCTACCGAGCGCGAGACCGTTTAACGAAAACCTTTTGAATGCTTGCCGACCTGCTCGATTTGCAGCTCGATCTCGTCGTATTTCCCGCCAACACGTAACGATACGAAATTACGTCAGGCGTCGTGGTCATACCAAGCCACAAATTTAGTGTCGCTGCTGCAACGCGTGCTGCGATCAGTAACACGCCTGTCTTTTCGCTTGAACGGCCAATGTGGAACAAACAACGCGAGCTCGAGGTGGACAGCGGTCGTCTAAGCATTGACCAGTGTCAGTCATCTGCAGCAGTGACCTTTTAGCGATCGCACGACCTTCGCCCCACTGGCTCTATTTGCTTGTTCTGAAATTGTGCACAAACGAACAGGACTGTGGACTCATAAATTTCCGAGGACGTTTCTATAATAGTGGAGAGTCCTCGGACAAAAAGAGGTCTCATCCTCACATGTCATACGCGCTAGAACTGTTTTTTTGTGTTTTCTGGGCTTCGCTCCCGTGCTCCCGCGGAAATGCCTAAATGCCGCGGGACCGTTGTGGTTCCGGCAGATCACTTCTCAGTGGTTGTTGGTGGTCTCAGCTGTCGTGCGTTCGGTCGGGCCTCGCCCTTTCCCTTAGGGTGTTTGAATATTGGCAGGAAGAGCATTTTGAACGGAGCGAGGTAACCTAAACTGGACCATACTAGGACCGCTAGAAAAGCAGGACCTTTGTTGTAGAACAGTTGAGGAAACAGGACTTGGCGAGCAAAGCTTGGAGCAGCGAAAACAGGCATAAAACACATTTCAATACTGTCTGAGACACAAAAACTGCAGTCTCCTCGCACACAGGTCCAAGCGTCTATAACTCGATCATCCACTCATTTGCTCAGTCTACGTGGCTTGCAGTCGCAGTTCTGAGATTGTCCGCGTTGGTTTGCAGCGTGTGTGCGTGCAATTGTGGACGACAAAAGGCGTAAGCAGCATTGCTGAGGAATTGAAGCGCTTACGGCGTGTCGAGAGACTCTTAAACACATTTGCAGCAGGACAACAGCGAGCGGAACACGGAAACACGATTCTGTTTGTTAGAGAAGCACACGCCGAATGGTGAAGAAACACAAAAATGTCATTGGTGTCTGGAGACTGGGAAAGACGCTGGGAGCCGGGTCTTCGAGCTGCGTGCGACTGGCGAAGCATACAGAAACAGGCCAATTGGCGGCTATGAAAATTATTCCACGAGCTGCTGCGTTTGTAGGGAGCGAAATCCTTCTTATGCGGTTGTTGCAGCACCCGAACATCATGCAGCTGTACGACGTGTGGACAGACAGCACGAACCTGTATCTCGCGCTCGAGTATGTCCAAGGCGGCCAGCTCTACGACTACGTGTGCAAGAACGGACCGTTGGATGAGCAGACGGCGGTCAATTTCTTTGGGCAGATTCTAAACGCACTCTCGTACTGCCATCGGCTTCGGGTGTGTCATCGGGACCTGAAGCTTGAGAACATTCTGATTGATCCGACGCGAGGAACAGTAAAGATTGCCGACTTTGGAATGGCTCGTGTTCAGCCGGAAAGCGTAATGCTGCAGACGGGTTGCGGCTCGCTGCACTACGTGCCGCCAGAGATCATTAAGAAGCAACAGTACAGAGGAAAGCCCGCCGACGTGTGGTCGTGCGGTGTCATTCTGTATGCCTTGCTGTCAAGCTCACTTCCGTTCGACGACACCAGTGTTGCTGGTGTCTTCCACCGCATTATTATGGGTCGCTATGTACTCCCAGCTCACCTGTCGCCGTATGCAAAGGATCTGCTGAAACGCATGCTGACAGTCGATCCGCTGGAGCGCATAACGATTCCTGAAATTTGGCAACACCCTTTCATGAAGCAATGCTCTAATGTCCGTGTGGACGACGGTTCCAGCATTGACCAAACGTTGCCCTTACCTTCTCGGACACCTGTCTCGCTGAACGAGAACATCCTTGAGTGTCTGCAAATTCTGTGCAAGGATCTTCGCGTTACCGAGCTTCGCGAGCGCGTTCTCAATGATCTTAGCTCTACAGAGCTGCGCATCTATCACGGTCTGGAGCGACTGCTCGGAGGCCGCAATGCTAATATGAATAACTCACAAGGCTTGAAGCAGCTTGACTTTTGTGAGTTCATTCGCGTACACAACCAGGTCCTTTCACGCAGTCGCTCATCAGCAACAGCGGAGCATCGGCCGTGTTTCCGCGAGTCGTTTCCCATCTTGCGGGCGGGTGCCGTTGACGATGCTGGCTGTGAAAAAGTCGTTCGCTTCGACAAACCGCCGAAACCGTTGCTGGTGGATGAACGTCCTACGGACGAGGATGTTCATTTCGACCCATACTCTTCCGGTGAGTTTACACGGACTCCCGATTCTTCAGCAACTCCCAAGTACGGTTATGAGCGTGTCTTCCCACGTCTGACCATGTGGTCAAGCGACCGACTGTGTAGTCCGAGCAACGATTCTGTCTCCTCGTACGAAGCCTCTAACGGATACTCGAATGGAGAACGACGAGTGAACGGGTCGTCTGCTACTATGGCCGCGTCCATGCGTCCGGCATCCATGGCCCAGCTGGAGATGGAACGCACACGCCAAACCACTGATACGCACCTACGGTCCGCGTCCGTGCCCTTGTTCGACATGGATTTGTTGTCGAATGGCAAAGGTCCGTATCCCTTGAATTCGCCCGTTGGCCGGCGGTCATCCCAGTCCGACGTTGGTTTTCTTGAACCCGAATTGCTTTTTCCTCCCGACAATCGCAACCGAAGCATGTTTTCTAAATTCCTTCATCTGCCGTTCTTTGGCCGCTCCCGCAAGAAGCGTCTGCCGTCTGTTCTCGTTTGTTGCCGGTGCAGTCGGGGCAAGCTTGAGGAGACACTGATTGATGTGTTGCAAAAATGGGCACTTTACCAGACTGGCTGTGTAAAGTTTACGTGCCTTTCGGAAGGCTTCTCTTTGCATACGTTTGACCACCGTGGTTTGAAACCATACTCCGTGCGTCTTTTTATTAAGCTGCTTAATGCCATGGACTGTACCCAGGTGCAATTCGACTACGTTGACGGCAGTCTAGAGGCATTCTCTAATGTAGTCTTTGCATTTCGTCTTGCCCTCAAGCACAAGAACGTCTTATGTGCCGGGTGATTTTCCTCCTTTAATGTTTTTGGACTATGAGAGTTTTTATGTCACCGTTTTCTCCGATTTTCCTTTTTACTCTTTTGAGACCCTTTCTCTTTTTCTTCACATTCCTTGCATATGTTTCTCACACATTGGAAAAGTTGTTATAGTTTATGATGGTGTATTTAAAGTGCTTTTGTGTTTCGTATTCTATGATGAGCCGAGTGCGAAATTGTTATTTGAGGCGGCCGTTACAGTAAGTCGATAGTTTTGTTAACAAGTGTTTCTTCGTTTTGTTTGTTTGTTTACTACGCGTGCCGTGTTTTCATTAAAAGTCTTGATAGCGATAGGAGGGCATTCTGTCACTGGCTCACTTAATTCAATCGCGTACGCGTCAAAACGCGTGCATGGGGGATAACGCGTACCAACCATGTCGCCCAACTCTTCCTTTACCAACAATTATTCTTCCTCGTTCGTGTAAGAAAATCAACTTTTTGTCATGTCTTTTTTGGTCAAACGTCTTTCCGACAAGGCTACCATACCTACCAGAGGCTCGGAGCATGCTGCTGGTTATGATTTGTATGCAGCACGCGAAACAATTATTCCCAAACACGGAAAAGGACTCGTAGAGACAGATTTGATCATTGCTGTGCCCGAAAACACGTACGGAAGAATTGCTCCTCGCAGCGGCCTCGCGTTTAAGCACTTTATCGATACTGGTGCCGGTGTCGTGGATAGCGACTACCGTGGACATCTCCGTGTCTTGCTGTTCAACCATAGTGATGAAGACTATGTTGTTTCTCCGGGAGACCGAGTCGCACAGCTCGTTCTCGAGCGCATTATGACGCCTCCTGTGGTCGAGGTCAGCGATATTGAAGACACTGTCCGTGGTGCCGGTGGTTTTGGCAGCACTGGAAAGTAAGGTTGTAGAAACAATCGTGGTCTTCGTGGCATTCTATGTTCCATTACAATTACAGAAAAGCTGCAATCGCCCTTTTTTAGGCAGTTTGTAGCAAAAGAATGCGAATATTTTCCACGAAGAGATTCAGCACGCGTTCCCAAGCAAGGGGAGAACCGTTTCTGGCGCTTTCCGCATACTCTCTAAGTTTGGGCGTGTTTCCAAACTCAACCTCGAGTTCGTGACGCTTGCTTGTTGTTCCTGAGCGTGCGTTTTTTTGATATGTTTGCGTAAGATCGATGTGGATATCTTGGTGCACATATCCAACACGGTCCTTTTCGCGTGAAAACGACGGTTTGCTTTCGTCCTTGGGCAACGGCACCGGAATTTCATCGCTGATGCTGATTCGAAAGTCGAAATGGTTGTTTGGACAGTAAACGAACAAGTCTGCTATCCGGCGCTTTTCGATACAGGCCATAAGCGTGTTGTCGGCGACATTTCGCGAAACACGGACCTTTCCATGAGAAGCTTTCTCGAAAAATTTGTCGATTTCCTTTGTATGTTTGTACTTCATTGGGGCACGGCCTGGTCGCTGGGCGTTAACAAACGCCGTATTTAAAAAGTCATTGTAGTGCTTGTGTTCCGACTGAGTCATATCGCTTCGGAAATTCACACTCGGAGCAAACTCTGGATTCAGAACGCACTCGCTGAGAACAGGAAGCACGAGTCGTTTGTTTGTCTGAGGATCAATAATGTTGCCCACCTTAGCTTCAATCTGTCAAACACAAATGTTAGCGGTTAAATCATTCAAACTGTGCGTGAAATTTGCAGGATTCACGCTTGTCAAACACGCACCTCCATAACTCCCACCGTGTCATTTAAGAGGTAATGCTGTAAAAAATTACCAATCACTCGGACAAGTCCCGACATCTTCGTCGTGCCCAAGAACGATGGTTCAAAGCGAAGCGATGCTGAGGGTCGTTTTGTCGCGGCCGACATAACTGCAGTATTCGATGAGGCAGCTGGTTTTTCCTCGCTGCGTTTCCGTTTTGATGGATTATGTTTCGCTGGTGTGTCTGGCACCGTTTCAGCTTCACTGGAAAAAGTGTGTTCCTCACGAACATCGTTTGTCTCTAAAAGCCCTTTAATGTCCATTCTTGCACATTCGAAACACCCGAAGATCGTTTTTTTACGTTGTTTGATATAAACGAGTTTTGTAAGGAGTACACCTTCGGCGATGTCCAGCAGGAACCAAAAAAAGACGACTACAGTTGAGTCGCCGCGGAGGTTCTACGCGGCACACCGTCAGTTTAAACTGCAATAATATCGGCTTTCATGGTGTGGAACATTCTCTCGCCAGCAGCATCTTTCGTGCACACTTGGACTGTCTGAGTGTTTTATACACTAGACTGGCGGGCCTATGGGGCCTAGTAGTGTTCCTTACCGCAGTGTATTTCTCCCCCTCCTGGCAGCAGCAGTAACAGCGTTGATAGCGGCTTTTCACCACCATCCAAGCTACCTGTGAAAGCAACATAAAACTCTTCGACGTTGGCCGGAATGGGCATGTTTGATTGGATTTTCGGGAAGCAGCGGTCGCCTGCTGAAGTTATGAGGGCCCACCAACGGCAATTGAATCGTGCGGAACGTGAATTGGATCGTGAACAACTGAAACTCGACCAGCGAGAGAAGGGTCTCATTCGAGAGATTAAAGCTAATGCAAAGGCCGGAAATGTGGGTGCTGCTCGAGTTCAGGCCCGGGATCTTATGCGCCTGCGAAACAGTCGGAAACGAATGCAAAATACAAAGACACAGCTTCAGGCAATCGGTTTGAGACTTACAACGGTGCGGTCGAGTGACCAAATGATGTCAAGTATGCGCAGTGCTACGACTCTGCTTACGCGAATGAATCGTTCAGCAAACCTTCCTGCCCTGACGCGTATCACTCAGCAGTTCGAGCGTGAAAACGATATGATGGAACAGAGACAAGACATGATAGACGAGCAGTTTGAGGAAGGTCTGGAAGATGAAGATGAGGAAGAGGCAGACGAACTTGTGGATCAAGTGCTTGATGAAATTGGCGTTTCTCTCAGTCAGGATTTACCATCTGCGGCTCAAGCCAACACGACGAAAGCAGACACCATTTCTTCCGGCTTAAACCTGGAGGATTTAGCCCATATTCGGTAGCAAATTGGGGCGGTGTGTTACGCCTAATTGTGTGCATCTTTTCCTAATGTTGATGTGAATGAATGTGAATGAATATAACAGCAAACCTACATGTGCTTAAGCTCGCAAGATTACCATATCATTTCTCCCTCTACGGCTATTACTATTCATTACTTATCCTGTATTCTCATTCGGTATTCGTTACTGGGACACAGGTTTGTTGGGAACCTGCTTGGAACCTGTGTCGGACGCTTGTGAAGCTCTCTTTTCCATCTCCTGTTGCAACAACCTTTCCTTTAGCCGCTTGTCTGCCTGTAACAGGGAAACGGCAATGTGTTCGGTGAGGTTTTTGTTGGTTTCCCGAGCCCATTCTTTTCTGTTGCGTCTCGACATTCTTGAATGCAATTCGTCTGACACAGACAGTGGAATGGGCGGTGTCTCCAGCGTGGGCTTCCAAGTAACCTGGGCGGCTATGGCCTCCGTCGTATCCATAGGTCCGACAACGGGTTTTGGACGATTATTTGGGGCCTTTGGCCAGGGCAGAAACCGATTTTCACCCACGATCCATCTTTTCCAAGTGAGTTGTCTTTTCTCTTTGTTGAAAAAGAGTTTGCCGCGTTTAATTTCGACACTTCGATGTGTTAGCACAGCACTTGTTGTAGAACAATGAAAGGACGCCTTTCGACTGGACCTTGAGTCTCGACTCCGTTTTCGTCGATACGGGGTCGACATCCTCCAACTTACTTACGGTTTTAATCCCTGCTCTCCGTTTTCGTCCGTACTCAGTGTCAACAGACGCAGGCTGTCGTAGGGAACCTCGTGTGCCACGTCAATCAGCTTCTCTTTGCCATCTCGATCCTGTGGTTGCAGGAGGTATTCGGGAACTTTAACGGTTCGGACATTTACTCCTTGGACGACAACACCGTTGGTCTTGGGATTGACTTCGAGCACCCGACCCCGTTGACCGGCTCCTGGACCCTTTGCGACGAGAACAAGATCACCAACTGCTATGTCCCAATACCGGATCCGCTTCTCTTTTGGCACTGCTGGTAGCTGGTATTTTACTTCACTTGCGAACGGATTTGGCGGCAGCTTCATGTGCCGCGACCATCTGATCTTGCTCGCCAGCATCTTCTAATGCTTGGAGAGCCTAGGCAGCAGGCAAGAAAGAGACGATGTGGGGGTCATTTGACAAAGTGGGATTTTATGGTGGTTGGTGGGATAATGGGGTCACCCAAATAACCTCAACTGCTGAAACCTAGGTTTTCCTGCCGATTACTGTCGCTCAGTATAGCTCGGTAATTGGCGTATTTGCTCTCCTGCACTCTACCAAAAATTTACTATGGCCATTAATCAACCGTCCGGTCAGATTCGGCTGACAAATGTCTCCATCGTCAAGATGAAACGTGGAGGCAAGCGCTTTGAAATCGCTTGCTACAAAAACAAGGTGATGGAGTGGCGTAACAAAATGTATGTTTCTTAACGGAGCTGCCCGTTTCCTCTCAAGACCCCCAGACGCCCCCACCTGTGCCCGTATTGGATCCCTGTCGCTCCCATTTCTCTGTGTAGATCAGTGGTGGATCGGCACGGGAGATTTTCTACTGGTTGGCGAGGGCGATCTGCGTTTTGAAGCCGACTAAGGTTTGCGGGGTAGCCGCATTTTCTGAGCCTTTCGCGTGTGCTGACTGCGTCGTTTAGTGAGACGGATTTGGACGAGGTATTGCAGATTCACAGTGTGTTTACGAATGTTTCGAAGGGTCTGGTTGCGGGTAAACAGGATTTAAAAAAGGCTTTCGGAACCGACAACCAGGACGAGATTATTTTGGAAATTTTGAAGAAGGGCGACCTTCAAGTCGGAGAAAAGGAGCGCAACTACCAGTTGTCGTCAATGTTCCGCGATATCGTGTCTCACATTGCTTCAATGTGCATGAACCCGAATACCAAACTTCCTTACCCCTCAACCATCATTGAGAAGGCCCTCACTGACAGCGGTTTTTCGGTGTCTACGTCCAAAAACGCAAAATCGCAAGCTCTGGAAGCCATTAAGATGCTTCAGCAAAAAAACGTGCTTCCGATTGAGCGTGCTCGTATGCGTGTGAGCATTGTTACGAGCGTCAAGGAGGGTAAGGCGCTTCGTGATCGCCTGAAGGCAATGGCAGACGAGGTGGAGGAGGAAAACATTGATGATGAGTACGAGCTCGTAGTCGTTGTTCAGCCAGGCGCTTACAAAACCATTGAAGAACTCATTCGCAACGAGACAAAGGGTCGCGGAATGGTCCAGGTCCTTCATTAAGTTGGTTCAAAAGCCAGTCGTATTAAGCGAAATACTACTGTAGCAGCATTCAATTACATCCCCACATTATCCCACATTATCCCACATCCCCACCACTTGTCCATGGAACTTATTCGAGAGAACTCGTTATCTGTAATAACGAGAATCACCGTGCATTCGGACTCATCGCTAAATTTGTTCGGCAGCCTAACGCATCTTGCTAACGCTCGGTGCAGTGCGAAATGCGCTTGCTCTACGGATTTGCACCTTCCCTTAACCTACCACGGCGAGTTTGGGACGTGAGTTCGTTAAGTGCTTATAATGGTGAAAATCCGGAACAAGATTGTTCGTCAGAACATCTACCTGCAGATGCTGCGGCAGAGACAAAAGGAGAAGCTCGAAAAACGCAAGGAGCGCAAGAAAGAAGAAGAAAAAAATCCAGAGCTTCGTGAGACCCGGTTGGCTGAGAATGTGCCGCAAACGATCGAGTCAAAACGTGTGTACGATGAAACTCTTGTTCAGGAAGAACCAGACGAGGAACTACAGGCAGAATTGCAGGACGACGAATACGCGTCTTATTATAACGAAGAACGTCGCGCTCCTAAGCTACTCGTAACGACTAGTAAGCGAGCCTCGCGTAAAGCTTATGAGTTTGCTAGCGAGCTGCTTGACTGTTTCCCTAACGCAGAGTTCCGGAAGCGTACCGGCAACATCGAAATACACGAAATAGCCGAGGCCGCCTCGAAACGAGGCTACACAGACCTGCTGGTACTGAATGAAGACCATAAAGTTACGAACGCATTGACGCTCGTCCACTTACCCAGCGGACCGTCATTCTACTTTACATTGTCCAGTTTACAGCTGGCGAAAGAAATCTCGAATCACGGACGCGCCACCGGTCATATTCCCGAGTTAATCATCAATAACTTTTCGACGCGTCTCGGTATCACTGTCGCTCGTGCATTTCAGTCTCTCTTTCTGCAACAACCTCAGATTCAAGGACGGCAGGTTGTAACCATTCACTGTCAGCGCGACTTTCTGTTTTTCCGTCGTCATCGGTACATGTTCAAAGAAAAGTCTCAAATGCCCGACGGAATTGGAGCTGGTCTCCAGGAACTCGGTCCCCGTTTTACCATGCGGCTTCGCATGGTGCAACGCGGCATCTGGGACAACAAGAAGGGTGAGGTCTTCTTCGAGAGTAACGCTGGTGAAGAATCCGACCGCCGTCGCTTCTGGCTATAAGGTCGAGAAGAAAAACAGCGGATTGATAAAAATAAAGAGAGACGTGAAAGGAAAAACGAAAAGGGAATGGAAATGGAAACGTTCTCCATGTCTGGAAGCACGGTGTGTCAAGTGGGAACTGAACTGGCATGGGTGTATTTTATTGGGCTCTTTGTCTGCTCTACGCGCTACGAGGAGGTGTTTCCGTTGGAATACGCATATCTACGGGAAACCGCCTCTCTTTCGGCTCCGCCATAGCTTTGTCAAACAGGACACGACTGATCTCATAAAGTTCCTGACACGACCTTTGCATCTCTTGGTACTGCTTTCGCAACTGAAGACTCTGTTGACACCGTTTTTCCTGCCGAGACAAGTTCCAAGCCAACGAAATGTATTCGTGACGGCGTAATGCAGCTGTATCCATGGGAATGGGCTTTCTCCCCGGAGACTCGTACAGAATTCGACGCAACATATCGAAAACTGCGTCCGTTTTTGGAGTTTTCATAGGATTTGTTTGATATCTAGAAGGTAATAAAAATGTTGGTTTAAGGGTAAAATATAAAGATAAAACAGCTGTTTCCGTTTGCAACTTAGTACTGGAGCTTTTCAGTCAAGGTTGCTTGATAATGGTGTAGTGGTAAATAAGGTTAAGGTTTTTATCTTGACGAACCCTGGGATACGAGTAATGAGAAGTAAATGGAGATATTCAATTGAAGATCAATGCTTGTGGTTAACTTGTGGGGATGTCGATGTTGTTCTCATTGTCATGAACCAATTGATTTTATACACTTCTGTAGAAGTTTGCGTTCAAGAATTATTAGAATGATCGTGAGCGTTACATGCGATTGCATTTCCACAAGCACGGGTCGGACGGCGATTTAGTGGACTAAAATGTGCATTTAATGCAATTGCAGAAGAATGAATGGGAAATTTGGAAAACAAATCACTTCAGCATAATTTTATATGCTTATTCTTTGTATTTAAAATGTTTTTTTGCGTTTCGTGAACTGTTCAAGGACATTTCATAAAAATATTCGAGTTGCTGGAAGTTTAGTAAACTAGCTGAGCTGGACAATAAGGTCTTAAGAAAATAAAAACAGTGTTAATTACAGCAAATCGGTGTTTTTAGACATTCGTAAATGGCAATTGAATGCTAAATTGTTGAAAATTATGCGAAAACGATGAGCACTTGTGTTGTAAAACAGTAATACTGAAAACGCAAGAAGCGATATTTAAGTGAAAAGAGTTGCATAAAAAATAAAAAAAGAAGATAACAGAAACTGCATTACAGGTAACATTGAATGAAGATAGCTGTCATTATTGAAATGAAGCAAAAATTATCAAGATGGAAAAGCATTTCACATAAAATGGGTTCATCATAAATACTGATTTGCTTATATTTTGCGAAGAAATGCGTGCGTTATGTGGTATAAGTGAAGCAATGGATAGATAAATCTTATGTATGCGCCGCCAAAGAGGAGAGGGATTCAAGTTTATCATATACAGATTTATTTTGGTATTTAAGAAACTCTTGATAATCACTTGTAAAGTAATGTAGGAATTTTATGACATGGCTATGGGGAAGCAAAACGACTAGCAACATCTTATGAATAGGCTGCAGTTATATCTGTATCCATTATTCATACTTTACTTACTAATTTCGCATGTAGTTTTCTCGGGCATATTATATTGATGCTCTTAGTCTAAGCTGTAATTCTTCATAGCCTAAAAAAAAAAAAAGATACAACTTAAAGCTTTAGATAGAACTATAGTCTAGTGGAGACATTATTCAAACTCTACTTGGTGGGCACCGTTTTTTTGTACAAACAACTATCTCTACATCATGTCTACCGAATATATTCATATACATCATACGTAAACCATATACTGTTAAAAGTAGTACCTAGGTTTATTATTATTGAAACACAATTTGCTACAGTATCTGAGTCATATAAATCACTCGTAATTTGTGCTTTGGAAGTTTAAATTTGATGGATCAATGCATAACTGGTGCATAATAAACGCGCTTGAGTTTGCGAATTTGCACAATTCATTTTTAGAATTCTGATTATATTTCTTAAGTTACGGAGACGCTAGCCCACTTTGAATTTTTTGATTAACTTGTATACGAGAATGCAAAATCCATAGTTTTTAGTATAAAAAATGCGCAAAAAACACATAAATCAAACTATTTTCAGCATTGCTTCTCTGTTTAACTTATTAAGATAAAAAATGTTCCTAGCTGTTGTCAAAAATTCCTTGATGTTTGCTGTTTCGGTCATATAGATTTTTAATTACTAAGTCTATCCGTGATTAAATAGAACCATGCATAAAATTAAAAACACCTGTTCTCTACCATACAACTTAATAGGGAAATTAAACATCTACACAACAAATAGATGATCCACAATAATCCCAACTCCCAATGCCGCAACTAAATATTCTCCTAAAAGGGATTAGCTCAAACAATGTCGTTTTAAATAATATTAGGATACAGATTTAAAATTGCTATATACAGAAAAACAAATGCATGAACAAAAGTTGAAGTACAAATTTGGTGAAAGTACGTGAAATATATATAACCATCATAGTTGATCGCTTTTGGGCGATTTATCTCAATTAGTACTGACTACCCTACTGTCGATTGGACGAAACTTAACGGTACTAGGTGAATATGGCTTAAGGCCAGGCTTACACAACAAGACTACGTATCACTCAAACAACATCAATTGAAACGAGTAAAACCCTTTGTAATAGACACTATTAACAAATAAAGAATAGTCTAACAGACTGCATCAAACCTGTCCGACCCGGACCATGCACTACACCCCACAAAACAGCTACACCTTCAATATGAGACGCAAAACAGAAAAGTGCAAGTGGGAGCCCTTCGTTCAGTGAAATTACTTTTCATGCTCTCGACGCTCTCTTTGTGGTCCAAGACAGTTTCTGCTGTCTTCCGGACGAAACCCGCCAGTTTTCAGTTTCACACATTTTCTCCTCTACAAGTAACTCTCAATCAAGTCCTCCGGGGTGCTCGTAAGAAGAAAAAAAAGAAACCCCCAGCTTCTGCTGCTCTTAATGGAAACCCCTTTTTAAAGGGTGTGTGTACAAAGGTGTTCACAATGAAACCCAAGAAACCCAACTCCGCCATTCGTAAAGTCGCGCGTGTCCAGCTTTCGAACGGCAGAGCCATCACTGCGTATATACCAGGCATTGGTCATAACGCCCAAGAACACTCCGTTGTCCTTGTCCGTGGCGGACGTGTTCAAGACTGTCCAGGTGTGAAATACCATCTTGTCCGAGGCGCCTACGACCTTGCCGGTGTCGTAGGTCGCATCACTTCTCGTAGCAAGTACGGAGCCAAAAAGCCCAAGTCCGTCTAGAGAGACAATTGGTAGTAGTAGCCACAACGGATCAACACCTCGCTAGTAATGAAACTAATGGATGAAATTGAATGAGACACAGTTAGACGTAATAGCAATGAAACGTCTCCCCATCAATCACCAAGATGCTGGAACCAGTCATTAAACCTTCTCCTATATGAATCACAAAACTCGCACCCCACCATTCCCCCCATTGCCCGGTTAAAAATCCTCTGAAACTTTTTCACATTAAAAACATAACAGTAATAGCCTCCAAAAAGAAAAAAAATATTCAAGACTACACACAGATCAGAGTGTGCGCCGGTTCAAAAACAAACGAGCGGGATCCTGAGCCAGCTGCAAGAGGAATATGCATTACGCCGATGACCAGAAGCAAACTTGCTGGCGCTGAGATGACAAAAGATGGAATGCTCACTTCACACCAGCGACTGCATCCGAGACAACGATGACGGCCAAAGACTTATGAATCATATGTAGTGTCGTACCTCACAAGCTTAGTTCTTCTTTTGCTTAAGAGCTTGGAGAGCGCAAAGAGCAGCACCGATACCACTGCCATCCTTGGCAATACCCATGGTAACCTTCTTTTCATTCTCTTCACCAATCAAGACACGAAGACCCTCACGGATAAGGTTCTCAAAGCCGGGGTAGTACTCGATGACAGAGCCGTCAACTGCAATATCGGCGGGTTGTCCAAGACGACCAGTCTCTTCCAAAATAGCAGCAATGGGAATAGCAGACATGCGAGCAGCACGGCGACCGACGGCATAGGCACAGTCGTACAACATAAGAGCCTCCTCGTCAGAGCGGAAGCGGATCTTGTACTTGTTCAAGACGCTGCGGACATTGTCAGCAGTGCGCTCCTTGACAATAGCAGACAAGATGGAGGTGTCAATGCTCCAAGCATCAGTCATGGAGGGAGGGAAGATACCGTTGCTGAAGCCGTAAACCTTGATCAAGTGGAACAAGGCACGACGGAAAAGCTCACCAAGGTACATACCACCAACACGCTTCTCAAAGATTTGCTTGCCGGGGTTGGGGGTGTCGTGATCAACAAGGAGATCGTAACGGGTAGGGTGCAAGATGTCAAGGTCAGTGGCACCCCATTCGACGTTAAGGGCCATTTGAGGGGCATCGGTTGCGCCGTTCAACTTGCCGATGTTCTTGGTCCACTCAATGTAGGCACCGTTGCTGCCAGTGCCGAAGATAATACCCATGAAGGTGTTCTTGGCGTCGGAGGTGTAAGCACGAGTAACCATAGTACCGACAGTGTCGTTGCAAATGGCCTCCATAACAACAGGAACATTGCGCTCCTTCATACGCTCGTTCAAGATTTGACCAAAGTCCTCACCGACAACCTCAGGGATGTTGAAACCCTTGGTCCAACGCAAAAGCTTGCTCTCCGTGATGGAGGTTTGGGACATGGGGAAAGAGAAGGTGAAACCCAAGGGGAGCTTCTCAGAGTCGGCACAGCCGAACTTCTCGGGGAAGTTGTCCTTGACAAACTTCTCAATGGCATCAACCATGTAGTCGATAAGAGGAGCAACCTCTTCGTTCTGTTGGTACTCACGAGGGAGCTTGAACTTGGATTGCTTCATCTCGTACTTGCCGCCGCCAATCAACTTGACGTGACAGACACGAAGGTTGGTTCCACCCAAATCGAGAGCCAAAAAGTCGCCGGTCTCATCACCGTGGGGAACATCAGTAACAAAGGTGGGAGCCAAGGCAAGCATCTTTCCGTCGGCGGCGAGACCCTCCAAACGGCGTTGCTTGAACTCCTTCACACCTTCCTTAAGCTGCTCATCGGAGTACTCAAAGTCTCTAACGAGCTTGGTAACAGCTTGCTCAAAAGTTTGTGCCATGGTTGTTAAGTTGTTGTAGATGCTTAAAAATAATAATAATAAACGGAAATGTTAAATTCGTAAAAACTTGTCGATAGCCAAAAAGGTTCAAGAAAGTTTTTTAATCACACGGTCTAGGCGAGTGAAGAGAGGGTCGTAATAATAAAAAGTAAGTACCAAGGAATCAAAGGCAAAAGAGAAATAGCCTTTAGTCTAAATCGGTACGAGTCGTGAACGTAATAAGATAGAAGTCTAAAGCTTCAAATGTACAGGATACTGAGGGGGGATGTTGCCCCTTTTATACTCACTTTCCTAGGCGACAGGGGATGCCGCATAACCTGAGATATGACATCAGAAAGAGCCGAAAGCCGAGCCTACGTCATGTTACTAAGAATAGGACGAAAAGAAAAGCGGGGAAGTGAAGAAGTCGAAAAAAGCTCGTACCGACCCGTTAAAGCTGTTAGAGACGAATTTTGGGAGTCAAAATTCAAAACAAAGCAGTAATTGGCGAAGCTCGTCATTTCATTCCCTTACACTATGAGCCAAACACGAATTGGTGATCGCTGGTGCAATTGTTGACCACGTTCCCCAGGTTCCCCACAATTTTGCAGGGGCTTCCCGGATAATTTCTCTTAATTGCTCAAGGTTGTCCAATCACTCAGATTGCGCGTCATACGTCATGGCTTCTGAGGACGAACTCTCTCAGGAACTCGAATGACGTCAACCCACTCACTAATCAGTTCTAAACGAGTGCAAAAGCCCACAGCATTCTGGGGTGAGTGAGAAGACTTTTCCCCAGGCGCTATAGACCACTGACCCTCACTCGCGTGCACCGACTCAGATCGTCGAGGGTTAGAGTATGTGCTCTTATCCAATCACCATATGTCGGCATCCGCAGACGGAACCTGATCATCGAAGAACTCGGGGTTACCGCATGCTTCGTTGGGTTCGCTCCCAAGATTCAGCCTGACGTCAGCTTGATCAGGGGTGCAGCGGCATACGTAATAAGCCGCTTATCGCTGCATTGCACATTTACGATTGGTTTGGAACCCCATTAGAAAAGCGGAGAAGCGGGGAAGTCAAAGATCACTTGTGGAGCTCGCCAATTAGATGCTGAGAACGGACACGCGTTACTGCACGTATCGCGAATGGTTTCTCATTCCTTCCGCAGCACGGGGCAAAAGGGGGGGTCGTGCTGGCGGGGGTGGGGCGGGGAACTCTTGGAGCATGCACTGTTGTTAGGGTGCGTTATTTTATTTAGTACAATTTGCTAATGAAACCTTAATCACTTTTAACGAGCTACAATGAATTGCAACGGCGACATGTCAGACCCTCCACCAAGCAAAACACCACCACCAGGAGGGGCACACTGACAGCACTAGCCGAGCTGAAACGGGCAGGTTCTTAGAGCTTGTTTCGGGCTCTAAAACGCAATTCTTGACATCTTATTATATTTTTCTTTCTGTAATCGGTTTAGTTTTCATTTAATTGTTGTTGTTGTTGCTTGGGCCTAAAAGGACCATTTATGCGTGGTCAGTTCATCGAAAAACAATCTATTGCTAAATTCCGTCAATTCTTTATATTCTGGAATTTTTTTTTTCGCTGCTCATTTTGTTCTCATTTTCTTCGGCCAATGTCATATTTGTTTCCTCATCTTTGATCCTACTTACGAGAGTTTTTTTTTTTACTAATTAACGCGGAGTCTATATTGAAAAGCAATCTTTCATCATGTCCTTTCAATGGAACGTGAAGTCTCCACGACCAACATACTCCAAAATTGCTTCCAAGAAAACGGTACAGCAGTCGAAAGAAGTAAAACGGGAACATCCATTCATTGACTGGTCCTACAATGCAGGAGCATCTATCACAGCTTTCGCCATAAACGCCGAGCGGTCTATGGTTGCACTCGCAGGCAGAGAGCTTCTGAAGCTTGTCTCTGTTACCGGGCTACAGAAACCGAAAGACGTTGCTAATCTCCGTACAAACTACCGTCCGAACACATCCTTTTCCTGGAATCATGTCAAATGGGGTAACTCTTCTTCGAAGCATTTACTCTTTACATGTTCTCCATACGGCAGCCTAAACGTGTGGGACAGCACCACACAGGAAATGACTTACGTCTACAGTGAGCATACACGTGCTGTACACCGTGTTGATGTTTCTCCTTTTTTCACGGCGTCTGCCATCACAGCATCACAAGACGGCTTAATTAAGCTTTGGGATTGCCGGGAACCTACATCGCGTGCAACCTTTAACGGAAAGTGCGAGGCCGCACGAGACGTTTGTTTTTCTCCTAATAACACCAATGAGTTTGTAAGTGCATATGAGAATGGTGCTGTCTTGCGATGGGACCTTCGTATGCCTTCATCGTATCTTTCCAAACTTGCAGCCCACAACTTCTTGGCACTTTGCGTACGATACAACCCGACAGGCACCTTACTGGCGTCTTGTGGTCGAGATAAAACATCCGAATTTGGGAGGTAGAGGGCAGCAAGAAGGCTATTTGTAGCATTCCAACTATCGCACCGGTGTCACAAATTCGATGGAGACCAGTAACACTTCAAATACTCCTTCGCACCAATTGGCCAGCTGCTCTCTACAAGGTGATGCGCGCATATGCATATGGGACATTCATAGACCCTTTGTACCCCTGCGTACTGTGGAAATTCAGAAGAACAATGTTTCGTTCATCGAATGGAAGTCTCCCACCACTCTTTGGTCCTGTGGTCGTGATCAGACGTTTACTCAAACAAATGTTGAACATGCCCCTAGCTTCCCAGACATGCTGCCCACAGCAGTGGTTGCGTGGTCTCCACAAAACGATCTTACCGTTGTCTCCAGCCGCTGTGCAAAATCATCGGCCAATGCAATCACTCCCAACCTTCCGTCCCTCAAGTCACACATCAATTCGTTAAAGACAGCATTGAGTAATCCACAGCCTACTGAGTTTACTAACTACTTACGCAAAAACCGAGATACATTGCAATCAGCTCCCCCGCCGACCGCCCAGTCTCTTACAACGCTTTCTTCTCTAACAAGCGATTCGAGCCAATTTGTTACTCTGGCCAAGAAGTACAGGTTTGGAGGTCACCCATTAACCACTTGTGAAAACAATGCAGAGGCTGCTCTGGAGGTTGGAAATTCTGGCGCTTTTGAAGTGTGGAGTACCTTAAGCTTCGTTTTACGACTTAATATTGAAAGGGAACTTAACAAAAGAAAATCGACACAGGAGGAGCAACTGGATACCACAGATGAAGATGACGATTTTTCCGATATAGCAGCCACGTCAATGGAAAGTTCGAGCGAAACATCAAACGAGGATAGTGATGTTGCATTTCTAAGTTCAGCCTATTCAAACTCTATTGAGAGCTCGCGCGATCCTTTCGATGTTGGCAATCGTGAAGGAAGCAATGCTGATTTATTGACTTCCTATCAATCTCATTCGCACAATCGCGCACCGAGCCCTCTTGTCACTTGGCAATCCTCATACAATACAAATAACCTTATAGGCTCACAGTCGTTACCTTCGCAAATGGCCATCAATCGGAGGCCCTCAACTAATGTTAATTCTTTCGGACTCGCGCTGAACCATTCGTCTGAAATTGGTAGTCTGAATGAGGTATCATTCCATGGACAACTAATATACGAGTATCCCAACACAATGTATTTATCCCAATCCACCGACAGCATCGAGACACCTTTTAAACTCGCCAACATTATAACGTCTACTCTACTTATGTGCATCAGAAACTCCGACTGTCAAACTGGCTCTGCTGTTTATATAACGTTTTCTGACGTACATATTAACTTGCCTGATGTTCAGCTTATAGACATGGTTTCTGGATACGTTGAGCTTTTAATGCGACAAAAGCTTTTCGTAGAAGCTGCAAACATTATCAAAATTACTCCTTCAGACGAATTGAAATACCTTTATTCTGCAAATCGTGATGTCAGCTTTGGCTGTAGTCACTGCAACAAACCGCTTGAACAAAACCATTCTATTCCTGGTGCTAAGAGCTGTTGCCCGAACTGCCAAATGGTGGGACGCTGTATTATTTGTAATCGCATTTTGAGCGGTCTGTTGACCTATTGTCACGAGTGTTCTCATTCAGGCCATGCTGAATGTTTAATCAAATGGTTCACGGACCCAAACAACCGCTACCGGGTTTGCCCTGTTGCTGGTTGTGGTCATGCATGCAGATAGCGACGACAAACTAAACCCGTCTCATTTCATCTTCCGTTAAGTCCTTGTTCTATCCGTCGTCCCCTAACTGCCCTTCTGATTTATGTTTGACAAAACTCGTTACTACCTAATAATAGATTTACGTCCAAACATCTGTACAATCAAAGATAATTCACAACTTTTTAAACGTTGACAGTCATAACCAGAACCTATGCAAACGCATCAGGTCTATCTTCTTCATAGTGCTCATTAGCTTCAAGCTCTGTGTAGTTGATAACATGAGTAGGTCTGTGATCCAATGCGAAAAACGGTAAAGGAACATCAAGCTTCATTGCATAAGTCATGTTAGCACTGAAGCTAGCACCGTTGAAATTATAATTCCAAACATCTTCCTCCGGCGTAAGGAAGAAACCCGTAATCCGATCCGAAAGCAAAAGCTGACACTTCTTTATCATTTTAGGATCGTACCCAATAGCTTCATCACTGTTGATATCCATGTTTTTACTACCCCAATCAATACCCTCAGGCCGTAAACCATACGCGGCCAAGGATATGGAACCAGGGATAAAGCTAACTGTTAGAGTTATTGCCTTATCTCCCCATTCCGGATGATCAGTCATGTATTTTGCCTGAGTGGTAACATCAGCTGAAGACAAGTAAGGTAATTCCATATTTTGGGTATGAATCCAACCCAAGGGTTCAAGTCCATCAACGATAGGTGCACCAATTTCATGAGGTAATTTTGTAGGAAGCTGAACATTCTTTATACTTCCAAGTTGAGGAACAAGAGCAATGCACTGAACCTCCTTAATGCTGTCATTGTCTGGCGGGCTGCGGCCATACAAAAATCCAGCAATTTGAGTTCTCAAATCACTAATGACAACAAATTTTCGAAGAATATTTTTTGGCAAGATGTATGTGAACTTGGAATCATCACTGATGTTATCCGAATTGACATAGACATTCTTGGTACGAAGATGGAGAGTAGATGCGGAGATTGCTCTATTTCTCCACTCCGTTTTGCTGCTAAACCGTTCATTTTCGTAAGCAGAAGTTGTAGTAACAACCAATTCCTCTCCGTGAACATTGGTAGTTTTAGTTGTGGTAGCCGTGACTTGAGCTGAATCACGTCCCTGTTTTTCGATTTCAGCAATTTGCTGACGTTGCAGCGAAGGCGCGGTAATAGCCATACCCAAAATAATGTCACGTACTTCAGAATTTGTGAGACTTGCAACATTTACATTATTTTTCTTTGCATAATCAGCGAGAATTAGATCACGCAGTTGAGGTTCAACATCCAACCATTGTTGGTCATCCAAGCTTGGCCATATGTGATGCTCTTTTGTTGTGACAGTTTTATCCGGACGAAGAATTAGTTTCGTTTTTTCGGTATTAACGTTTAATGCTCTCAAGATCAAAATAAGACGTGAAAACGCAGTATACGAGGAAATTGATTGAAGCCAATCGTCATATAGGTTGAACAAAACCATTTGAGGTTCGGTGGCCCGGAGAATCAGATCGTTTATCCGTTCTAACTTAATAATGGCTTGGAAGGGGAGTTGAAGTTCACTTCCTTTAATAGTAATGTTGGGGAAATCGAGCAAATGAACCTCCAATGGATCCAACATACCCTTTCTCGTAACAATAATTTGTCTTGGTTGCTCTTCTACAGGGAGCGAACGAATCAAGGCAGCAACTTCCTCAGCTGTCTTCCATTTAGCCAACTGACCCAAACGCTTTTGACCAGCCCAGACAGAAGTATGAATAATCTTAAGGAATAACTGTCCCGTTCTGGGATTAAAAATAAAGATAGCACCGTTAATAGGTTTTGTCGTCAAGTTACCCTCAAAGGTTTTGTGAATCGTTACACGATACACATTCGTATCATCAACAAAAAGTTGTATTTGATTACTGAATAGCTCAGCATAATTTGATGATGACAGATATTGTTCTTGAGGTTCTGATGCATAGAGTTGCAAACCCTTACGGATACGTTCGCGCAAAACGTATAGTGCAGGATTAGCCTTCATAACCTTGTTCATACTCTGTTGGATAAGAGGCTTCATTCCCGGTATCCAATTGCCATAAGCACTGTGCATATTGTAACAAAGATCGATTCCAATAAGTACACCGGTAGGAGAGGGGTACATACTCTGGGAATCCGTAGTATAGTCAAGGAATTTAGCACGAGTATAGCGTTCAATATCGTGAGAATCATAATCTCCAAAACGTAGCTGAACATCGACCCAATATTTATTGGAGGTTGTTCCGTCTAAAACATCACGATTATCATTGAGGAGGGACGGACGAGACACGTTCCATTTATACGCAGCAAAAAGAAGGATATCAGCACAAGAACTGTTCATTTTGTAACTTTTTCTGGGATGGATAGTTTCCTTCTGGACAGTTTCAATTTGCAAAGACTCCAGTTCCTGATCGAAAACCTGACACAAATCCCATACGACAGATTCGTGAATTTTCTGCCACAAATGTGATCTGAAAATTTGAATCAGAGAGATTTTTAGTGTGGGAATTTTACCGTGCATCATGATACCTGTTAAATCAAGCTGAACTTGAAAACCAACATACACATTAGCACGGTTAATAGTGGGACTCCACCAGAGTGTAAATCTTCTGTTAGGAATTTGGTTAAGACCAGAACGTTGAGCATTAGTAAGTTTTTTGAATTTCATGGATTCTTCGAAACCAGAAGCCTTTTCCCAAAACAAACCCTCCCACGAAGGGAATCCAGTAGCCTTAAACATTGTATGTTCAAGAATGCCTTCAACACCTCCAAGTGCCTGAATAACATCAACACGGTAATTGTTTAACTGCCACAACTTACCGTCATGTCGCTGACTTGTCCACCAGAAAGGGTTGTTCTTTAACAATTGATATTGTTTAAATTCTGTCCGAATACGCCAACCCTTATCGTACGCAAGAGTATGGCGATCTTTTTGGAACAACGTATTAATTCTTGGAATACCTCTATCCCAAGAATCTTCCAAGTCTTCCAAAGTTAAACGACGATTTTGTTGCAGTGCCTCTTGTCTCTTCATTGCATACTCTGCCCACACACGTTGTGAATCAACAAACTCTGACTCCCAAGGCTGGATGTAGCGATAGAGGTTAGGAATTAAATGCTCTCCATTCGTAGTCATACCACTGCGGAAATGGGTGATACCTGTATCAGTCTGCTTTGACCAGCGAAGATCAGACTGAGGAATAAGGATATGGCCCATTGACAACATTCCCAAGCCACCTAATTCCTTAGGTGAATAAAACACAGCTGGAGGGAAACGACTGGGCATTTTGGAGTTAAGTGAAATCTTAACCCTAGTTTGGATTTTCGACTCACATTTTACCAATAAATCGAGCAACTCGGGCGTTGAAATTGCAGCTTCTCTAAAATAGGTCATCAATGCAATGAGAGCAGTATTCCATTTGTTAGCAATTTTAGTAAAAGTAGTGGAACCAGAAGACAACAGAATCTGTCTGATACGATTGTTAAACCTTTGAATTTCATCTTCAGTGACACGAACAAACGCCTGTGCAGTTCGTTCTTTCGTAACATTGTTGGAAAGATTCCAAACGCCGTCCTTGAGAGAAAATTCCTCATTCTGACGAATCTTAGGAAGGATCCGAACTTCAAAACCAGCCATAGAGAACAGCAAATTAGGATTATCTTTGCTGTAAACACTAGGAAAAGTGTCATCCCACTCTAAAGTAGTCAATGATCGTGGCAATCTATTACGGATTTCCCAGAACACTGCTCTTCCAAGATTTACATCATGCTTCATCAACCGCATACGAGCATCCCGAGGCCAACAGTTCTTCTTACCTTTAGAGTAATTAACAATGTTGCTGTTCGTAGGATCGGGATTCTCGTTAAGATAACGCTGGATCAATGTGCGAGCCTCATCAGCGGTAAACCGAAACATTATATAGAGCTTGTCAATATAGCGAGTATACAAACGAATAGGATGTTTCGTTTCCGTTTCTTTATTCTTAAACTGAAGGAACTCGTTGGGTGCTTCAGGAGGACCAGCTATTTCACTAGCACGTTGAAGTCCCAAGACGAGAATATCCAGTACAAGACCATAAAACTGCCAAACAAAACTGGAAAACTGCAGACCGCGAACCAAACCATAGGAGTTTGTATGAGACATGTCTTTGTAGGAAAGAACAACATTGTTCTTTGCTGTGCAGTAAGAGGCAAGATTAGTATCCATAAGCAGAGAAAGTAAACGATTTAGTAATGTAAGATCAACCTTTTCGAATGCCTTGGAAAATTGAGTCTCCAAAAGAACATTACACTCTCCTTCAGACGTTTCCCAAACATCCTGCAGATTATTAACACCTTGACACCACTTATACACAAGCAATGGAGGGGGTTCTGTATCAGACGGCTTAATCCAAGAGGGGAACAAGTGTCTGCGATCAGCTTCAAACCAAAGATATTGATCCAGGTAAGCATCACAAATCTTTTCCATCGGATCGACTGAGTAAACAGGTACAAGATGTGAGTACATATCCATAAACTCGATACCAACTTCCTTGAACGTGCGCATTGTCAAAAGTCGTCTCTTGATTTGAGAAAGCATTTCATGAGGATTATCATATGCCTGCTCAATCAAAGCCAATTCTTCCCTCTGCGACTGGTTCAACCTACCCTTCACAGAGTAAGCTTCTTTCAAACGTTCAAGGGCAAGGACCAATAGCTTTGTGTCATGCTTATAGGACAAAGGTGGAAATGGAATAGGTTGGAATTTTCGACTTTCAAGCCAATGAACAACACTCGTATAAATGGCAACTGCCTCATCAGACGTTACATAAGGTCCATCTTTGAGATAATTGTGCTGACGTTCTTGCTCAGCTTTAAGCCAGAGACGAGTCAAACGACCTAAATTCTTTTTCGCAACAGTTTTATCAACAGTTGCTCCACGGCGAATACGTTCACGATTGAAATGCGCAACCGAAATCCACCAGTCAGCTTTTGCCTTAACATAGCGCAAAATCATATTTTCAATGGGTGCAGGAAGACCAGGGACACGCCAGGGAATATTCGCCTTCCAACATCTCCAAGCTTCACTAAGATGTTGTAAAATTGTTTTGCTTTTGCCTTGACGAATTCCTTCAGGAATCATATCCAAAATGTCATTCAGAACAGCAGCACGCAATTCTAGATCCTGGTGCGAGTCAACTCGCTGTTTTGTTACACGTTTAGCAATTCCAGTAGAATGACGACCCTCGAATTGTCGAGCCAAAAGATTACCAAGCCATCTCTCCAAGAGAGGTACAATACCTCTTAAAAAGAACAGCCAGACACGCCAACTAGGCGCCCAGAAACCACATCCGGGACCTTTGCCTACGGGTCCCGTGTTAAATCTGTAGTAAATAAGATGCTTCAGGTCCTTACAAGCACGAATCTGTCTCATAAGGCGGTATTTGTATCTATACATGCCAGTGAGTTGACCAACATGATTGAATATGTAGTGAAGACCATCAGCAAGTTGATAAGCATCAATATTACCTAAACGATATTGAACGTGCGAATCCACAATGAGCTTTGTGAGCCGTAAAATTTCACGCATTAGATGGAATGCATTACCAAATCGCGATTTTTTACGCTCTTTCGTAGTAAGGGTTTTTGTAGGTTTCAGATTGCAATTATAATCCAAATGCAAGTACGTTAAACCTTTCCGGTGAATAAGAAGCTGTAACATGTTGTAGCCTTGCCGACAAACTTGCAGACCGGCCTCAACCCAGTCAATCGTTGTGGTCTGAAAAAATTTTGTGTTCTTTAATTGACGGAACAAGCTCCGGTTCGTATGAGATTTTGGATATGGTGTATGAAGGGAGTTAAGCACATGTGTTTTCAATAATTTCTGATAAGACACACGAACCTTCACAGGTTGGTTAGGAGGGCAATGCTCCAAATACCAATGTTTAACTAAAGGAACATCTTGAGCACGCTTTGTCTGTCCAGAGCGCTTATTAAATGGATGCGGTGCCCACCATAATGTCAATGCACTAACCGTATCTTCAGTTTCCAGTTCTTCATCGTTAAAAAATGGGTCGAAGGGAACCTCAAAATCATCACCCTCATCAAATACATCATCCTCGTGTGATTTTTCTAACACAAATGTGTCCAACTGCCGAGAGGTAATAGGGTTGATTAACGGATCCCAAAAAAATGCAGGCAAATCTGGATCCTCAGGAGGCACAAAAACGTTTGGAGGTTGGTGATATTCACTGACGCGTACGCTGCGGACTCGGGAATTATAGAGGTAGGGGAATGCAACACGATATTCGGTACGAAGAGGATAACGAATAATAAGTTTGTAGATGTCGTTGAACTCATCCCAATCTTCTGACTCGGGAGCTTCATCCTTGTAAAGAGGTTCAAACTTGGGGCCTCCGGGAATAGCAACATTCAAAGCTTTGGCTGTAAAAAAACTTTTGTCGTTAAACAGATAAAAGTAATTGTTATCCCGTAAATCACTAAGCAATTGATACGCAAGTCTATGTAAGTTGGCCATCTGTGGAAGATTCAGCTTCCATCGTTTGTATGTCGATCCATTTATGTGACGAGTTCCCTCGAGCGCACGATGATCGTAAAACCAATCGTAAACCGGGGCATCATCTTCTTCGTCTAGATCCATACGAATTGCTTCCAATGGTTCTAAATCAAGAAGCTGGTCTATAGAAAAAGGTGGTTCTTCATCATCGAAGGGAGGAAACCGAAGACGCTTAAAGTTCTTACGGTCACGCTTTTCACGACGCATCATAACCCACATGGTTCCCCACTGTGCAATGTATTGAGGTTCAATAACCCGAGGAACCTCGTTAACAAAAGTAATAGCGCCTGTAACATGATAGAGAACTGGAACTTCACGGTATTCTTCCCAAGGCATAGGAATGTTCTCCAGCAGTTTTAAGATTGCATGTGGCAAGTATTTTAAAGCACCCAAGTACGACCGTTTGTCAGAACGATATTTTTTTGATGACATATCACCTCTGTCTTTCATAATTTTACGTAAATGCTCCGGAGGAAGCGGTGCCTTTTCTGTCTGAACATATCCCTGCTTTCGTTTAGGTCCATATTTCAATTTTTGCATGGTTCGCCATTTTCGGACGCGTTCTTGAATAACTTTGTCAGTCGACGCGTTTTTTGCGAACTTTGAAGGCTTTTCCTCGCTCGTATCCTCAGGAGGAGGAGGAGGAGGAGGAGCCCCAGGTGGTTCATACCCCGGAGGACGAGGTGGAGGGGGTCCTGGCGGTAGAAATGCCATTAAAGGTGGTTGACAGGTCCTGCAACTACGAGCGTGGTCCTATATGAGGACGCGTGGTGGTGAGTGGCAATACCTGAAAGCAAAGTATAGAGTCGGTGGTGGTAGTAGTTGTGGTGGTGAGGTAGAAAGAGGATTTGAGCGGGAATAGTACGGTACAGAAGTATAAGAGCTGAAACATGTAAAGGAAGGAAGGTGTTATAGGAACAAAAGTACAGTTTTAGAAGTCGTTTATAGTACATTACTTAAAGCATTCTTACAAAAGTACTTGTTTAGCGTAATGTGTCTTGGTCATTGTCATGGAAAAATCGTCGCACGGGTTATACGAGAACATTTATTTTTATAGTTCAGTATTCATAATAATATTTCATATAAGAGATACTTTTGACAAAGTCCTCCTATCCAGCAATCAATTTCATTTCATATTATATGATATTAGATATATGCACTGTAAGGCTTAAAAAGAACGGGAAAAACGAGATGTGTTAAGGGGATATAAAATAGGAATTCGACTCACATTTAGGGAATAAAAGCAAACAACATGAACTGTAATGTGATTGAAACAAATAACCAGTCTGTTTCAAACAAAGTTCCATGTGCTGCAATATGAGAAAACGATGGGTTGAAAAAAAAACGAGACAAAACGTGTCTCTAAAGCAGAAACAAAAACGTTCACGTAAAACGTAAAAGACATGAAGAATTAAAAACGAAAATAACCAAACATTATGCGTAAAATTTTGAGAAGATGAGTTGCAGAAGCATGTTTGTGTTGAGTTTTACCCTTCCGTTAAAGACAAGAAGAGTAAGGACTTTGTTGTACTGGGCCTCCAGCAGGTCATCAAGGCTCAGTTCAGTTGTACCGTTGGGTATCACAACGTTTTGAGTAATAGCTTGCAAAACAAACTTGCCAACTTCGTCACTAGACAGCGTTATATACAACTTGTCCTGCTGTAAAGTGCTGCTCATAGAAACGAGCACTCCTCTTTCATACAGCTTAATAGCCGTATACTTAAATGAACCAAACTTGGGAACTTGTCCAGACTTGCGAAGATCGCGAATGTGAAAATACTGCTTTGAAAATGGCAATAACTTTTTCTTGCCTTTCTTTGACTGAAGAGTTTCCTTAGCTTGTTCAATGTATTCATTGTAGCTTTTCAGCTGAGATTCCAGGTATTCGCGTTTCTCAATTAAACCATGCAGCGTCTGACGAGCTGTTTCAAGTTCTCGCTGACGTTGTATACGACGTCGAGATTTCGTCCGAATATCGAGAGCAATAGAATTCACGATGTCCTGATATTGATTTTCGCGGCGAGCAAGACCAAGAGCTTCTAATTGTACAACGTTCTGTAAGGCTGCATATTTCAATTCCGTAAATGAAAGATCAATTAAACTCTCATCAAAGCTTTCTCCTCGTCGCTCATGTTTGGTAATATCCTCTTCCAGAATAGTTTGCCAAACATCCTCATCGTCATCAGTAACTGGCTTCACAAGAATATTTAGCAGTGAAGTTCCATTTTGAACACGAATAATAAACAAGATGTAGCGTTTCGTTTGCACCACGAGGGCTCGCTCCTGTGCAGCCGGGTCTTCAACAGTACAATAACGAGGATTAAGCTCCAATTTAATTTCGTTGCGAAGATTAAGGAAGTCAGAGTCCTGTTGGTTTAAAGGTCCTAATTGTCGGACAATCTCACGTAGTGGATCATCTTCAGAAGGAGCCAAAGTATCCGTAAACTTCGTTACCATAGAGTAGACAGTGAGAATGTCATCCTTGTTAAGGTAAAGAATTGGCTTCCTCGTTGTTGTCAAATCTTCAAAACAATCGAAATCATAGTAAGTTTCCGGATCGGCAATATCAACAAACCGTTCCAGCAAAAAAGCGACGTCTTGCTTTGAGACTTGAATAAATTCTGCAAGAGGCCTGAAAAACCCAAGTTCAGTAGCTGTTCGCGGTATGAGCGAGAAAATCTCGCGCAATATACTGGAAAGGGCTGTCAAGTTATTTCGCTGCGTAGCCGTGATAGGACCATCAACTAAACGATAATTGTCCGGAGAAACAAGCACATTAGCAATGTAAGTCGAGTAAATGAATTGGCCAACAACACCCAGTATGATGTGACGCTCGGCTTTCGGATATTGTTTCTCAAGAGCTTGCTTCAAAATAGACGAAAGGAAGCAAAGTGGATAGGGGATTTCATCCATATTTTTCGCCAACGTAACCAAAAATGCCTGACATAATTTCCGTAAGGCACGCAAACGGAAAACATAGAGATTACGAACTTCAATATTCTTCATCGCCACACTAACGCTTGGCTTGGGATTCGCATCACTGAATTCAAAATCGTTTCCTTGTAGCTTTTGGAAAATGGTAATGGGATTCACTTCCAAATCCAATTCATCATTCTGTAGGATTTGTCTGTGAATTTTACCAAGTAGTATTTTCCATAAACGAAGTTCGCGAACGTTAGCAGTAAAACCAGCGAATATCCTACCCCAAAATGAGTTTTCAGTCACAACATCTTCTATGTACACTGTCCTGCTAACTTCCATGTTTATGAAACTGGCTAATGCCTTTAATAACAAAATTTCCTCACGTCTGTTAGAGCCAAACCCGAAGATCTTGAGACAAATGTGTATAGCCCCTTTTTGAGCAGATTCTGAATCCTGAACATTAAGAAGTCTTTCCAGGTATCGGGTAAGATATTCTGGGTTTGTTTGTAACGCGTACAGTAAACACTGATATAAGTCAATGTACTTTCTTGAAGAATTTGTCAAAGAATTCACTGTGCTAGCATTTGCCTGAACGAAATCGGTTGGCAACTGACCATGTTTCATACTAACGTGGTGCTTTAAGACATCGTCGAGACTGATCTTATTCTTTACGAGGAGAGCAATTTTGATATCAAGTTGATTGATGTGCTCCTCCACGAGTTCATTTTCCCGCACCTGCTTTACGATTGCTTGACGATACTTTTCAATTTCAACATCCTCCTCAAAATCAAAGTCATTATCATCCAACATATGTACAAATCGCTTCACAGTCATAACAGCTGGGTTTTTAGCTTCCGCAAGCTCACGGTACGTTTGTCCCTGATCACGGCCACGGAATATAGGTTGTGCAAGAAAAGGATTCTCCATGTTTTCACGAAAGCTACGCATTTTACGGTCATAAGATTGACGCGCAAACAAGCCGCGAATGGAAGACTGAAGGAATATAATTTCAGGTATTTGCTCCTCGAGCTGGAGGCACAAGTAGTTCATGTCATCGCGAATTAAAATGGCTCTGACGGCAGACTGGATGCCAGTGATACTTGATTTGCATGAATGCAAATGTGCTTGTATTGCAGCACATTGTTTTTCAACCAAGTAGGCGCGTGAGAGAGACTGCAGTTGAATAACGGAATCACAACATTCATCAAGCTGACAAAGTTTGTAATCAATGCGTTTTCGCAACAAGAGCCCACGAACAGAACTTTGTATTTGAACCCAAATAGGTTGTTTCTGTTTCAGCTTATGAAGGAAGTCAAGGAATGCTGTAGATTGTAGAGTTCCTCGAGCAAGAGACTGTACAAGTATGATATTAGTTTCATTTTCTTGCAATTGATCCAATAGTGTATTAAAACGTTTTCGTGCTAAAAAGCCACGGCAGAGAGTGTGCAGGCCAGTCGGAAAAGAGGCAATTTGTTTAAGAAGATCTTGATATGGTTGTCGAACCAGTTTACCGCGAAGGATACTTTCAAGAATGGTAATTTGTGGAATTTTTTCGTAAAGTCTATCCAGTAAATCCACCGTAGCATGCCGTGAGAGATATGCCCGAGAGGCTGTTTGAACAGTGATGATAGACGAGGTTGTTTCATCCAAGCGTTCATGAAGTCGTTGAACCCGAAGCCGAAGTAATTGACCACGGATACAAGCTTGGATGTGAGGAACGGTTGATAATGCTTCTGCTTCAAGCACTTGCTTTTTAAATTGTTCACGGAAACGAGAGCCACGAATAGTACTTTGTAAAGCAATTATCCATGACAGAAATTCTTCATAAGCCGTCTGCCGTAGCTCGTAGTTTTTACGTGCTATCCAACCACGCGCAATGGCCTGAACTGATTCGATAGAAGAAATTTGATCAGTGAGGTTTTGTAACACATCTACCATAGAGAGCCGATGTAACATACCACGACAGCTTGCCTGGAAAAGTTTGACAGTTTCAACATCGACTGGCATTTCCTCTGGAACAACGGCCCGAGCACTAAGACGGGGTGAAAATAGGGCATCACGACGACGGGTCGGTGAAGAGAAAGTGCTCCGTAGAGAAAGAACAGGTGAACTGCGTTCACTACGGTTTCCGACTCGGTGAGATTGGAAGTAGGGATCTTCGAAAGATATGGTCTTCGCAAGTGAGTGAAGACTGTTTGAAGAGGAACGGGAGGGTGAGGTGAAGGAAGGAGGAGGGAATTCGGAACGACTACGTCGATGGGGAGAACTTCTTGGAGACGTAAGTGGTGTTAAAAGCATTTCGTCGGAACTAGAGACAAGTGACGAGGCACGAGACCGCCCCGAAGACACATCAATGGATCGTGTATGTGCATGAACATGAACGGGTGATTTGTAAGGTGAAGGAGGGTTGCTGTTCAAATGCTTCTTTGTAACAAGCTCGTTGCTAAGAGCAGTAAAATTGGGCAATGCAGTGCCTGTTTGGTCAAGATACCGTTGCATTGCAGTCACTTCTTCGTCTGTAAAGGACAATTGACCCTCAAGGTTGTGTAGTGACGGTGCTTTGCCTTCATTGAAAAGAAGAAACGATAAAGCATGGATGCAGTAAATGACTTTGGGAATATTTTTCCCCTCGTACAAGTCTGTAAGTTCGAACGAGTAATTTTCTGGCAGGCCTAACGCCTTCGCGAATCGTAAAAAACAATTAATGTTATCTGAATGTCTGAATTGTAGTTTTTTTGCTGTAAATATCCGGGGAACAAATTCTGGAGCAAAATGCTGGGCAAGCTGAGCCAAAACAATTCCATTCCTCAGCGATTTTTCAAAATCAGTTGTAACTCCCAGATCCTCTTGCAGACATTCCTCTAGCCATTGCTTTGCTTCACCAATACGACACAAATAATCATATGCTTGTAAGTTCTCACGTTCGTGGTCCATCCACCGAGACCCGCTTTTTGCTGCCATCGATGCCTTTTTTTGGAGTCGAACACGTCCAGACGTCGTGTTTGTAGGAATCAAATTACCACGAGCGACGGACGACGAAGACATTGCCGCACTCTTTCCATTGGCAGTAGCTGCACCTTCTGAATGTAACACCGAACTATTCATTTAGTGCAGAGACCAAATTCGAAGCTACACGGCCTACAACGTTCGGGTTGAGCGTTTGTTTACAGTGTAGTGGTGGTGGGTTAGGGAAGCGACATACTGCCTAGGCAACATGAACCCTGGAGCGTGCTCCACGGCGAAGGTGTCCAGGGCGACAGGTTTAGAGTTTAGGCGAGGCTCCACTCAAACCTAAGCTAGTTCAGCCATAGTTGCGCGGCAAAGGACGAGTGGCTAAGGGAGAACCGCTTGGCTGGCAGGTAACCTGCAAGCCTCGGTTGTCGCTGACCAACGGCATCGTATTGCGCAACAGACATTGGAATAGCGTAAACAGAGAAGTTCGGTCACAGTTTAAAGTTTCGCATAAATCAATTAAGCCTTGTGTTCTCGTAAACCTCAACCACGCCAAAGCACAAGTTGATTGTGATGCCAATCGCCGTTGTCTGTTCCAAATCTGTGTCAGGGAAATGTTGAGAGTGAGGATTACATGCTTCAGGAGTCGTAGGAAGGCGGAAGAAAAGTGATGACGGACCGAGAAATAGTTTAAAAAAAATCCAAGGCTTCTGTAATTCGCACACCACGTTTAAATCTTGTCAGAATTAAGAGCAGTTCGGTTTCACCTGTCGAAAGCACGTTAGCAAAGATGCCATAGAGCTGAAAACACGTTTTGATGTTTGACTAGAACCATCGTTTATTTTTTACTCCCCTGTTCATTTAACAATTGTTCTTGAATTTCACGTTTCACTCGTTTCATAAGGGCTATTAAGCCGCTCAACTGATATACTGTATGTTCATCATTTCCTATTTGCGTATCCGTCTCTACACAGAAATTCTGCTCAATCTGTGGGGTATGGAACGGGAGTCAAACTCGGGGTCATCAATTCGATAGCACACAATACGTTGCGGAACCGGCAACACACTTTCTGATTACATCGGATGAGTGCTTAATGCTGTGTGAGGGAGAGGATCGAAGGGTCTAGGTGTACGTGAAAAATAAAGTGGCAAGGGTTAGTGTTTTGCAACTAGCGTTGCAGCCTAGGAAAACGCGTGTAAGGCATGAATAACTTTAGGCGGGTGTTATCCGCGGTGTTATACTGTCTGCGGCAGTTGCATAATGCAATGCGATTCGAAAGAGGAGATTGAATGAAACTGCTGCTCACTGAGTCTGTAAAACTGCGTCATATGTATATATATGCTAGTTGCTTTTGCAATTGATTTAAGGCTTAACGGCATACTCACGACGGAACATGTCGTCGACCTTGGTGAGGTAATAAGTGCCAGAACGAAGACGCTCAACACTGCCGGCGGGCTCAATGTTCTTCTTCAAGTGGATCTTGTGACGGAGCTCAATGCACTCCTCGTACTCCACAGGCGTCATAGCGTGACGGTTCTCCAAGATATTGACGAGGTCCAGCTTCTCAGCGATGGAGGAAATGTCACCCTCAACGCGGAAAGAGAAGAAAGAGGCGGCCAAACCGGAACCGTAAGAGTAAGCACCAACACGCTTGCCCTTCAAGTCAGCAGCGGGAACGCGAGAAAGGAGTGCAGACAAGCACGAGAAAACACTGCCAGTATACATGTTACCACAGTTAGTGGGAGCATAGATGCTAGCAAGAACACGCTTGTTGTAGCGCTCCTTGCTAACAGCCATCAAAGCCTTCTCGAGGGGCTTGTCAGTCAAGGACTGCTCGTAAGTCTGAGACTCAATCATTTCACGCACGGGGTCGAACTCAGGGTTCTTGGGGTCCTCGGCAAAGTCCGTGTACATAAGACGGGCATAAGCCTTTTGAACTTGCTTGCAGGTGGGAGCATGGAAAATACAGTAGTCGAAACGGTCAATACCAAGACCGGTAGGCTTCTTGCCAGTCAAGGTTTGCTCACGCTTGTTGTAGGCTTGGTAAGCGCCATCCAAAGCCTTAATGTAGCATTGGAGGGAGAAGTGGCCATCCACATAGGGGTACTCACTGGTAAGATCAGGCTTGTAGAAGTCGTAGGCGTGTTGCATGTAAGATCCACGCATACCAGGCTCGAAAACAATGGGAGCATCAGGGCCAACAAGCATAGCAACGCAGCCGGCGCCACCAGTAGGACGAGCGTTACCCTTGGCGTAAAGAGCAATGTCACCAGCGACGACGATACCGTCACGACCATCCCAGGCAGAAGACTCGATCCAGTCAATCGTGTTGAACAAAGCGTTCACACCACCGTAGCAGGCGTTCACGCAGTCGATACCTTCGACATTGTGGTTGTCGCCCATAAGTTGCATCAAAACACTCTTGACAGACTTCGACTTGTCGATAATCGTTTCAGTACCCATCTCCAAGCGGCCAATGGCGTTCACATCCACGTTGTACTTTTTTATGAGCGTAGAAAGCGCGGTCAATGCGAATGAGTAAATGTCCTCACGGTCGTCCACAAACGACATCTTCGTGAGACCCAAGCCAATGGTATACTTACCGGCAGGAATACCGTCATGTTTTTCCAGAGCTGCTTGCTCAACGTATTGGTTTGGGACGTAAATGGAAATTCCCTTGATACCAATGTTTTTTCTGTTCAGAGTCGTAGACATGTTCATAAGATTACAGCGTGTATTTTAAAATATCAAAAAGATTCACGAATTAAAAAACACCAGGTTATTACAAATCAAAATGCAAAATACACGAGTAGCGATGTGTTTTGGTAAAGGAAGCAGGGTGCACGCACTGGGGGACGCGACCTTAAGCATTTATAAAAACACGCTTTATTTTATTATACAGCGCAAACTTTCGCAAACGGTTCCTTAGAATCATATCTAATCATTCATAGATTATATGCAACATATTTATCTGGAGTTCATTGTTTTCTCCTCACGCTACTCGTTTCTGTTCTACACGGTAGAAACGAGGCTCCTTGCCAATCAGCCATCCAAAAGTCCTCCGGGAGATTCCGGTAGCGAGGTTCAGTGGTATGTAGCACTACTTCCCCAACTTTCCCACTAGCCCAATGAAACGTGAACGGATGTCTTTGCCTCATTTTGCGAAATGAAATTCGCGACACGTCCAGCACCGACGCGACGCGTTGCGTTGTATAAATAATTTAAGCTCGTCCCAATTGTTTCTCCCTTCCGCCAACAACTTCATGATTCTTATAACGGAGGATTGAGTAGTTGAATTCTTGTTTTTTAGGTTCAAATTAATACTCTGTTATCAGCTAGCGTATGTTTCATTAAAACCGCAAGCACTGATGCCACGGGCTAAGACAGCAACATAGGACAAAGTGGTCTTCTCCCTTGCGTGCTGGTGTGCTATTGAGTAATAATAGTATATACTGGTGCTGCTGCTACCAGGAGATTTTTATTCTCTTCGTACTCCACTTTTTGCCTTCTGCTTCGTTCGACGAGCCCTGAGAGGGCGTAGCAGCACGCGTACATCCGACGTACTCTTACGTTACTCGCTAAAACAACACGCAAACAAACCACAAATATGGATATCTCTACAATCCTGCATACGCTCGTTCAAATATTCATGGCGTTTGCTGTGTCAAACGCCTTATTTATGCTACTTCCAACAATCACCGCCATTGGTATCGATTTGACTGTCTGTTTTTATCGTTTGCTACAGCACGTGTTTCCGTTTTGGTTTACTAAACAGAAAAAGCTGCATACAAACTAATTTTGATGCCTCGTTATAATTGATTCGTCTCTTTTTTTATCTGGCTTACGGCAGGATTGCTGTCGTGTCCAACCAATTCTCTCCAATACGTCGATTGTATTCCTGCCGCAGTCGCTCTTTTCGTTCTTCCAAATGCCTCATGTAATAGTAAAACGTGTCTGTTCTCGGCATCTCTTGCACCTGGATCGTTTGTTGACGCAGCTCAGCGAGCGACTCGAATTGTTTCTGGCGCTCCATTTCATCGAGGGAGAATTGGTAGAATCCAACGCCTTTTGAACGAACTTCCTTACTCGCATCATAATGCTCGGCGAGTTTTTCTTTGTGCGACCAAATCTCTCGCATCGTTTCTTCGGGAATATGGAATTCGGGCATGTAATCGCCATAAATGACATGTTCTGGCTTGTACTTTTCGCTTTGGTCCAGCAGAGTGGAACCAGCTTCGAAGATAGAGACCTTGCGTGTCCGGCCAAACTCGTCGACGATTTCCATTTGTTCGTTCTCACCCTCGTTGCTTTCTGCCCATTTTTTCGTGAAGTCGACTAAGTAGTCACCCATTTCTGTGTCACCCTGCTCCTCCTCATGGACATTTGGTCCGCCGTGACGAACAAGGTCGTCGTACAGCTTTGCTTTGTGTTCCAGTGCTTCTTTGCTCTTCCGCAGCTCCTCTTCCGTTACGTCTGGAGCATGCTTCAGCTTGAGCTTTTTGGATTGGGTTTGATGGCTTACAGGAATGTCTTTTTTCAATGGGATTCTTTTAAGGCTTCTGTTTGGATTTCCCGCCGCGCTGTTATGTTCTTTCAGTTTCCTCGCCTCCAAGAACTTTGCCTTTTCTTTTGCAAATTCGGTGTTGAAGCCGAGAAAACTTGAAGGTGGGACACGAATTCGGTCTCTTGTGTCTTTTTCCATATGGACTGGTTTGTATAATTGAAGGGTATTCACGATGGCGTTCCGTCCATATATGTGGGGTGGTCAATGTTGCACCGCAAGCGTTAGGTGAAGGCTGCGTCATATAACAAACATCCCACGCTCAAATCACTCCCAGGAATTAATCAATGGGACCTTAAGGGGTTTTCATTACATCGAACTTGATCGGGTTTTTTCTCGTTGCTGTTTGTATCTTGTTGTGCAACTGTGGTTTTCGTCAATGATCACCACCAAGGAATAAGAATTTTTGCCAGGCGCGGCAGAATTATTATTATTGTTATTACGGCACTAAGATTGCTTTATCGTTTGCGAGAACAGATGTTCTCAGCTTTGTAACATATCATCTAATGTTTTCCCTTTGAGGTTCGTTACTGAAATCAGCACAAGTCTTTAGCGGTGAACCGATAAGGACACGTACAGCATTGACTCACTCCTGATCAGCAATCAGTTTCTGGAGTTCACTGGACAAATCTGTGGAAATGTCGCAGTAACAACTGTTCCAGCCAGCTGCCTTGGCTCCCTCCACGTCTTTAATTATGTCATCACCAAAATGCAAACACTCTTCTGGTGCAATACTTGATCCCAGCAGCTTCTCTGCATACGTACGTGTGAGCTCGAAGATTTGTTTGCTTGGTTTTTCACACTTCGCATCAAACGAATATGTCTCTACCTCAAACAAATTTTCGAGTCCGAGGTCACGAAGAACTAGTCTGACACGATCGTCTGTGTTCGAAATGATACCGAATTTGACTAGCGGAAAAATGCGTTTGCAGTAATCCGTGAATGTTTTAAGGTTTGGGTGCAAATCGTACGCCTCCTTACTTGCGAAAAAATGCCAGATCTCGCTCACTAATGCTTCCGGTATCTTTTCAGGGAACGATTCTTGGATTACCTACGCATTTTGGTTAGCAAATCTATCTCTCCTTGGTCGAAAACATCTTATTCCATACCGCCGACCACCAAGTCCGGGGACACAAACCGTTCGCATGACCATGGTTAGGATACTTTTCTGCGTTGTGCTTGAATGCTATTACGGTGAGTCGTAAGTTTCCGTTGTATGAATTTTAATAGCAATGTTCACACTACCTTGTAATGACAGTTTTTCAACTTCTTCCACATTAAACTGGAAATTGTACTTCTTGCTTAAAGCAGTATAGGTGTGAGGAACTGGTTGTTTTAGATGAATGAGTGTTCCAAATGCGTCAAAAGTAATAAGTTTAAGAGATTTCATAGTTAAGTGGTTTTGTTGGTACAGAGGAGGATTTGGTAGGAGGAGCTATATGACTTTACGGTAACTTCGACAAAAGGGATCAAACTCTGTGAGTCCCTGAAGCAACTGGCTGTATCGTACTCGCAATGATTGATACTGAACGCTGCTTTACAATCACTCTGCTCTAAGCTCCGTTGCACATCACTTTGGTAAGACTGTATTAGTAGCAAAAAAGCTGTCTAGAAAATTAAAAAGAATATTAAGAGGTGGTCTGAACGATTGTAAGTTCATTACTTTCTTTCAGTAGTAGCATCAACCCAATGCCATGTGGTGCCGCGAGGAAGCTTGAAGTGATTTTGTGCAGAGCCATCAGCAATGTTTTCCTCAACATTGACAACACGAGCAAGTAGCCAATCTCTAGATTCTAACTTGTGTTCTGGTCGCGGGCGAAGATAGTAATGGGGTGAATTCACGTTGAAGGCTACCCAAACATTCCGAGTACTTGAAACTCGTCGTGTGGGCAGAAACAGTGCAAGATCCCCTTGCTTGAAATTCCGCAACGAAACTTTTTCCTGAGAATCGAGGATCGTCTTGTAAACCTTATCTCGGCTGAATTGTAGTTCTTTCTTCCAATGCAACTCACGGACGCGGACTTGTAAAATAGATGCCAGAGCGAACTCTTGCAGATCTTTAATATTAACAGACTCCATTCTTGAGACAAATTCTTGAAAGGAGAGTTCGGGATTGGGCTTGTCCATCCAGTGCGATAAATCAGTATTCCGTTGTGCTTCATTGAACTCGGCTGTTAATTCGTATTGAGTATTGAAGTCTTGAAGATGGCCAAGTTCTTCGCTTTCAAAGGCAGAAGCGGAAAGACGCTGATGCAAAACCCAGTCAAGTCGACGGAAATCAGAGACAAACGCACTGAGTTTCTCGCTCAGAACTTGGGATTGTTCCATTTTCTTGGATAAAGCGTTTTGCGCCTTTGCTTCGTTTTGTTGAGCGTGTTCGATTTCGCCTTTCAGCTTTTGTACTTCGTCAACGTCCTTAGCCAACTCGACTATTTCTTTTTGGTGTTTCTCACTCTTAATTTCATCTTGGAATTGGTGCAGCAGCTGTTGCAAATCACCAACCTTGCCTTCAAATGCAGAATAAATCGAATCCAGAGAGAGCAAATGAGAGCGTTTCTGTTCGCTGGACGTCGCCTTGCTTTTGTTTTGGAAATCAAGATCAGCGGGTTTATCAATGCTGTCAACACCTTCCAATTTCAAAGAGTGCAGAGAACTGTTCGTGGTCTGATTGTCTTGAGATAAAAGAAGGTTACGTTTATTCAATTCCTGGATCAGAATGTTTTTACTTTTTAGTTCACCGTTTTGCTCTTCAATTCGCAAGTTTGCCTGTGCTAGCTGCGTTTGCAGATTAGAAATTTCGGACTTTAATTGTTGGATTTGGGCGCTTTCCTGGGGATTGGAGCCACCACGGGAAAGCTGTTGAATTACGCTTATCGGGATTAGAGAGGGTGATTCCTCAAAAAAGGGTGCAGTTCCCTGGGACTTGCTCTTTTCAAGAGAAGAAAGCTGATTGCCAGAGCTTTTGGTGCTTAAACAGCGAGCTTGTTGTTGTAATATTTCCTCTAAATTACGACAACGAGCCTTATAAACCGTGATACGTTCGTTCAGCGCCGAGTTTTCTCGTAAAAGGCCTTCACTGCTGGGGTCCATCTGTTTTACTGGGGCATGGACGAGGGCATTGAGACGTGTTCCTAATAGCTGTGACACAAGCTGGTACTTCGGTTCACTCTGCAAACGGAATAGAAAGTCGGCCACATTGCTTCTTGTAACCGTAGGCAAGTGTTCCAACTTCTTAACGTCAAAAAGCAGAGTAGAGAAGTGGGATGTCCAAGCCTTCCGAGCAGCCACTTCTTGAACTTGGTTTTGAGAAAAACGATGATTAGAGGGATGAAGCCCGTCATACGACACTTGCCATTCTGTCCTTCGAACTGCTTCGATAATGATATCCGCAAACAAATTATACAAGTTTTGACATTGTGAAGCAAGTACCCGGCTTTTATCAACTTCCTCAGCGATTTGTCGTAAGTATTCATACAGCGCGTCATATTTCAATGAAACGTTGTAAAATGAAGTCCAAAAAGGTTTCGAAGCTCGCAAAACAGTGGCATGAGCTTCTTGAAGAGACGCTAAACTAGAGCGCAATTGTTTTAGATTGTTCATCAAAGCAGGATCGTGTTCGCGTTCATGAGTACTTATAAGACGGAAAACACGTTCCGTGTAGTTTTCTTCAGCAGTGGATTTTGACACATGTGCAATGTCATTGTTCATCTTCTTGAGCAACAACTCGATTTCCACGAGCGCTTCGTCGGCTTCCTTCAACTCTGGAACTTCGCGGGGAGGCAAGGGCGAGATAGACTGCGCAGCAGAAATGCACAACTGAACCCGTTTCTGAGCTTCAGCATAGCGTGCGGAAATACTGTACAACCACTCGTCGAGCTTTGGCCATGTCGGTTGTAGCAACTTTTCGGGTGTGAGAGGTAGAGAGTAGCTCGGCATCATTGTAAACTCATTCAAGAGCTCTCTGACAGACGAACGTTCCAGTCGCTCGTAGAAGACGATCAGCAACTCTTTCATGCCGTTTTGACGTCTTCGCAAATAGTTCATTGCAACATCCCGAGAGCTTTCGCTAGTACGGAAGTGTTCCTTTAAGGTTTGCAACATCTCTTTGTGAGCCTTAGAGCTCGCAAGAACGCGTTCAGCCAGCATCTTTCGTCGTGAAAGTACTTTGTCCAAAGACTCTATTGACATGGCTGAGCCATCAAGCTTTTGCATCAGCTCGTCCACTTTGTTTTCAGGATTAGGGATCTCCGGAAGGTCTTTGGGAGGAATGTAATTCAGCAACATTTGATCCAAACCATAAATGGTTACATCAGAGTCGTTGTTCAAAATTGTTTCGTTTAAGGACATGCCGTTTGGCATTAACAGTTTCGCCTCGTCGCTTAGACCAATGTCCAGCGTCATGATCCAGGACACAAAATCCTGAGGCGTCCATTGAACATCCTTTACGGTCCAGTATCTTCCAGAGTAGGAGTCATTTAATCGAAATTTCATACCAACAGAAGTGTAAGAAAAGATTCCAGCTGTGAATAGACTTGAGGTCTTTAAATTCAACAATCACAGGAATAACACAGAATGAACAGAACGAAAGAAAGGAAAACTAAATTTAAGTTAGAGACGAATTCACCCAAAAAAACAGCATCTAGAGCGTAATTGGCATTGATTAGGATCATACAAGGAGTTATTTACAGAAAAAAAAGAAGAGAAGTGTATTAATGGTTGTTGTAAAGGGCATAGAGCCTGAATTCGTTCTGGTGTTGGCATTGCTACTACCTTGATACCAGTACTCAAAACCTTAACAAAAAAACTGTTTTAAACAGCATTTCGCACAGTAAATTATACATGAATGGCTTTGTACAATTCTATGCGACATCTGCATTGTATTAGTTAAATCTCTGATATCACACCCACGGCTAATAAAGTTCACAGCCTCTCCTCGGTTGCACCTGGGAGGACACTCTTCCACACTTTCTTATTTACCAGCCAGCTGTCACCAGCATATATTGCAGAGTCAGGACCCGTCTGTTGCTCTCGACAGAACGAGGAGAGAATTGCACCATAGTTTGCATTCCTTCATTTCTGCTCTTTATTTATTTGTCCGTTTGTAAGGACCCTCTATATTCGCTCACTTCAGCCTCTGTTGGGAGACAAAATTAGTCCTACATCTAGCGATCCCCGCTCTTGTTCGTTGGGTCAGTTTGCTTGCTTCTTCGGTACTTGACACACTGATCAAACAGTTTCCCTCTACGTTTATTACCAGTCTGGTGCATCTTTGTTAGTGTTTGGTTTCCTGGAGCTTTCTATACCCTGAGCATGTTCTGAGATTCAATTTTTCCCATTCATTCATTCATTCATTTGCTTCTTCAAGGATATCATTTGTTTTTTTCTTATTATCTTTACTTTTCGCCTTTTCTATATCAAACCTAGTCATTCTTTCAAACTATTTGTCTTTCATTTGTCTTTTCTAAACATCCGAGCATCAGTCTCATTCCAACATTATGACTACGACTGCTTCTCGAACGGACATTATCTCCTCGATAATGGGACCCCCTTCAGACCCGGCAAGCGCAATCCGTAAGCCTGCTCATACATTTGCTACTGCTAAAATGCGTCATCCCAGTGTCCATGTTCAAATTGATGCTACAGGCATTATCACATCGTCGTCATTTCGTAACAGTGTGTCGATGAAGGCCGTGGCTCAACTCACAACGTTCACCAAGGACGAGCAGGTCGAGCAAACGAAGCTTTTGGAAGTCGTTTCTTCTCCTCCCCCCTTGTCACCTCCATCGTCCATCTCTTCTGACAGTGGCTCTGATTCCAGTGAGAATTCATCGCCTACTTCTGTGAACGGAAAGCAGGATCCTCCTCCTCTGTTGCCAGAATTGGTTCCGGCCTTGAAGAAATCTTCAGTTGTGGAGATTTGTGAAGACTGGCGGCCGTTATGTGACAACCTATCTCGCTTTTTCAGTGCTAATACACATCAGAAGGGTGATATATTACGATGGAACATATTGCCCTTCTTGCGGAAGTACGCTTCTCGTAGTATGCCACGACACGATGTTGACCGCAAACGTGGTTTGTTGTACAAGTGGTGGGTTACAATTCTGCGTACGCTTGAAGGCATACCAATGACGGCAACAGCTTCCATGCCCGTGAGCGATATTCTCGCTTGTATCGAAGCAATTGCTAGTATCGCTGATCGTCCTGAATGGCGCCAACTGGATACGGAGTCTCCCAGCTATCTGGAGTATCAACTTGTGCTCTTTGACACACTTTCCTACATACATGGCTTAATGTTACGGAAGCATCCACCTGCATGGATGTATCGTTGGTTTGCTCGAATTGTTACGATATGTTTTTTTAATCTGAAAGACTTTGCTCCTGTCTTGTTAAAGGCTTTTAGAATCAAATCTTCGTATCTAAATGAGCTGTACGAGCCCGTACAAGCGTCTCGTTTGAATAGTAGTGATTCGAAATACGAGGACAGTCTTTTTCAGAGCTTTCCAGCACATCTCCGCAATATTTCTGATGATATATTTACTAAGTCATCGGAACTTTGTATACCTACTTTTGATGTCGGTTACGGCAGAAAGCCCCTTGTGTTTTCCCGTGCGTGGCTGAAGGCGTGGTCCTTTGAGCATCATTCATTGTTCTTTCATTTTCTTGGTTGCTATCATTCATTTGTTGCATCTCGCGTACCGTTCCAACTTCCGGGAAAGACGATTTATCGTCTTCCTGGCTACCTTCATTTTCATGCTCACCTGGCCGCAATTTGTGTTACGGCTATTCAACCTCCTGAGCATCGCAGACATTCTGTCACCGACCATCTTCATCGGCGACCAGGACCTCATACGCCTCCTGTGAATTCCCGACTCTCTAGTGATTTTACTCGTTTGCGTGGATTAAATGACACACAAGATGCTTTAAGGCATTTGGAGGATTCACTGCAGAGTTTGCTTCAGCAGACCACCAGCTGTCGGCAGCAACAGTTGAGATTGCTGTATACACTGGAACATGTGTTGCTAATCATCGCCAAACAAGCCAATATCTATGAAGTTCGCGCTTGTTTTTCAATGTGTGCTTTGGCAGAAACATGGTTTCATGTGTTAAATAGTTACGGTCACCAACTCAAGTTTAAACCTTGGATTGAGGTATGCCAACGCTACATTGAGAGTGGTCAAACTTTGCCAACAGTACGTATCATCACCTTCTTATTTGCTGTTTGGCCGCTTCTCTCCAAAGCGGATGCAAAGTATGCCTCCATCGAGTGGATTTTATGTCCAAAGATTTTCTTTCGACTTTTCTTGGACTGGTCGCCAATGGTCCGTGCATACTTCCATCGATTTGTGTGTTGGCGGCTAGTGAAGATTGAGGAAGATGAATGTCTGTGGAAAGCAGACGTTCTTTTCCAACTGCGTCATTTAATGAAGTTCTGCTTTGAAGAGTACACAAGTTATCGCGAAGACTGTCTAACGAGTGGACGACAACCCCCATCTATTTTACCATGCACACCAACTCCCTCGAGACGTTTAGTGATTGCTTTGTACAAAGGACAGAGTCGCCGAGTTAATCAGCCTACTTCAGAGGTCACCCCAGAGGGACCGAGCGATAGCATGCTGCCACAGTTATACGCTGGTGTGAATGCAGTATCAACGAGTGTAACCTCTTCGGTGAAACGTGCTTGGTCTCTGTTGCGCAGTACCTTGGTTCCCAGTCAGGGTGCTGGTGAAGCTATGATATCTGGTAACGGATACATTACAGATAGTATTTCGAAACCAACGGTAAACGAACTTGATTTTGCCGACACAGACAAACCTTTGCGAAAGCCACCAATGTATAAATTTATTTATACGACTTGCCGTTCAACTCCGTCATGTTATTTTACGGTGTCTCCTAGGTCGTACAAGGAGCTTCTTCAGCATTTCTCACAAATTCAGTTGCCTTACCAAGCAAACTGTTACTTATACACAAGCAATCACATCGTTGGGCATCCTCCAATGGATAAGATGAATCTTCCCAAGGGATTCTCTGTGTATACAGGTCGTGCACTTGTTGAATGGGCTCTTGTGGTTCAAGAGTTCGACGACTTTTACACACAGTATCGTGCAAAGAACATGTCAGATTTCGTTGAGACACCTGACTTAACTATATAGGAGGGCTGTTCTTCCTGCTCTCTTCCCCTTTCAGTCTATCTTGGTCCTATGTTTTAATTATTCACAGATTCCTTTTTACATATATTATAAGGACGAGTGATATCCCGTATGTTGGTTCACTTGTTCCTTTTCTCCCGGACATTGAGAGAGCATTTATTTGAAATTACAAATTCTGTTTTCCTAAATTCTGCATTAGCAGATTTTCTTGTTCACAAACGTTTTATTATCTCTTTATTCCTTTCTCTTCTTTAATTCCCTCCCTCCAAAATCTACAAACCTTTATTTGATGACACACTATTGAAACATTTATCAACGTTGTTGATTCACTTCAGTTTAAAACTCTTTCTGACTACTAGCCATCAGTGTATGGTTGCAAAGTTTACGCGGAAATTGTCTTATTTGGTTCTATTTTGCGTTTAAAGCTTTATAGCTACAAACTGAATGGATCGTTTGAAATTCGTCTATTTTGTACGGCGAGTTTTACTTCAATAACACTTTTCGCATCCTCTGTCTGTTCGTTTATTTACAGACAGTCGTGTTTGATTGAGTATCGTTTTCTATGACTGACTACTCCTACACCGAGTTCCGCCCTATTTCATGTCAACGCCTTCGTTACCACTCCACATTCTCCGGCCAGGCCTCTTCCGTGCGAGCACCTACCTCCACACCAAATAGTGTTGTGTGCACTGAGAAGGAAGAACACCACACCGGTAGAACAACAGCAGCTTAAAACTGTCCGTCGTGGTGAATTGTTTCAGTTTTTTGTTTTTTTTTCTTATTAAAAAAACTTTCAAGGTTCGTTGAAAGTCCGTTCAACGGTCGTTGCAGTGACGACAAGCTTGGGATAAGAATGCTTTAGAGCTATTCTTGCTGCTTACTTTCGATGACGATATGCGATTTGCTAACACATCGTTTAGAAGCCTGCACTTCACCGAACATTGGTAAAAAAAATATAAAAAAGGAAATACAAAACGTCAAAATATTCTCAGTTACGAATTAATTCGAAACGATTTAAAAGCATCTATACTGCTTGCTGTTGACACTGTTCACAAAGCGCAGTGGTTACTTGAAAAATGAGTGTGGCTTGTCTTCAGGAATGGCAAAATCATTTGAAAACAAGAATACAAATTGAACTGGAATATGCGGAGCGTTTAACTTCTCTTTCACGGACTCTGTCTCAATGTTATCAAGACCCTGCTTTGCACGGATCTTGTGCACGGCTTGTTGAGAATGAGCAGCGTTGCGGGCGATCACATGCTGATATGGCTCAATACTTGGATCAATTCGTTTCTACACAGCTTGGTGCAGCAAAACAGTCGAGTCAAAGATCAATCGTGGAGCAAATTCGGTTCGCTATGCAACTATACGAAACAAGTTTGTTCGCGTTTTTTAAGCAAACTGCAGATGGACGTGCATCTAGTCGTGTTGGAGACAGAACCGTTCGTCAAGAAGACTCCATCCCGCAGTTGCAGCCTTCCTCCGCTCATCTTGGGCAAGGGAGGGATGTTTCCGGTGCCCTCTCACCAACCTACCACGGCGAGTTTGCGGGTTCTAGAGATACCGTGACACGTTCCCCCTCAGATGTTGCTTATAATGATGTGGAAGAAACCAACAAGCGATTGGGCGAAATCTTAAATCGTCTCAAGCGAGATCCAATTTTTGAAGAACCGATTTCGTCACGGACAGAGCAGACTCGCCCAGTACCTGCTAAGCCATCAATTGCGCGTGGCTCTACCCAGGGTGCGTATGCTCCACGTGATACACAATCGGCTCTGCAAAGCGCCAAACCTCTCAGCACTTCGGCTCAACACAATGCTCCTACTGTTGCCTCGACTAGGTCCACGGTGCGAGCCCCGCCTGTGACTAGGGCTCACCCACTTTCATCATCTTTTCCAAGTCAAAACTACGCAACGCACTACGAATCAGCGCCTGCATATGCTTCTGGAATCCCGGCCACCAACCGAAACCATAATGTCAATGGTGCTGGACGAGGTGAACCAATCCCGCGCAAGTATGTTCACGATGATGACGATAATGACTTTTTTGATCCCACTCCATTGTATCATCAACAGCAGAAACTCCGTGATAGAGACGATCGAGGTTTAATAGCCGTGCATTCCGATCCCCAACCTTCTATTCCCCATCGAACGCGGCCAGCCTCAGCTGCTGAAAAGGAACCTGTCCTAGGTTACGCTCGAGCCTTGTATAGCTATCAAGCTACAATACCGTCAGAAATAAACATGACGGCAGGACAAGTCCTCAGCATTCTTACAAAGCAGGAAGACGGCTGGTGGAGGGGACAGGTGGTTCAGCCGGTTACGGGACGTATTGGTTTATACCCGTCAAACTACGTCGTTGAGCTCGAACGTCAATAGGTACCTAAGGGTAGTCCACGAAAGCCTACGCTTACTATGAACAGCCTACAAGACGGCCCCAAGCATTGGTTATGAAGCTTATATAATGAATACCTTACGCATATTTGTTCCTGATAAAACAATTTACGAATAGAAGACGTCAGATTCTTGCAACTTTATGAGAGAGTGTTGCATGCTCTGGTTTTGCTCGGTCTTTTCCTCGATTGTTTCAGTGATCAAGAAGACACATACATTATTTACTCAGACACATTTTTTCATATGCATTTACGTATACCTTCTATATACGTACACTGGACTTTCTCCAGGTCTCATCACATTTTACAAACTCGCATACTATTGTGGCTGCCGCAGCATCTGCAAGGCGCAGCCCTCCCCTTTAAATACTAAAGCCCGGCTAAGTTGTGTAATAAAAGGAATAATTCTATTTAAGATAATGGGAAACGGTAATAAGCGTGTCACACATGTACAGATATAAGAACGCGGATCGTAGGATTGAGTGAATTTAGTGTGAGTTACGGGTAGGAAGGCCCAGAGAGCCCAGACAAGAATGTCGCAGGAGGCGCTGCTGGAATTCGTTAGGAAAGTTGAGAACATGAAAACATTTGAATACGGCTTTTCGTCTACTGCCGAAAGAGAGTGTCGTGAATCCAGGAGTAGTGTGGAAATATTAGAGTATTCAGAGATGAAAACAAATACGCATAACAAGAGATGTATATACACACACGATCAGAAAAGTTTCAATAAAAGAATTCGTTTCAGAGACAGTGCGCATAAATTAGAATTACCGCATTAGACAAGGTAAACGGATTAGTTGTTCACCTCATTCTCCTGGCGCTCTTTTTCCTCTTCAGCGTGAAGCCGTTTGATCTCACGATGGTGAGCCATACTCTTACGAATGTTGAAACCGGAAGACAAGAGTTGGGCAATTTCCTCAATTGTGTAATCCGTAAGTTCGGGGTAACAGAAAACGAATATGATCCAACCCAAAAGACAGATTCCAGAGTAAAGTGCAAATGTTCCTGTTGGCGTAATAGCATTCATAAGAGTAAGGAAGGTGGCACCGATAGCCAAGTTACCAGCCCAGTTAGTGGATGTAGCCAAGCCGGAACCAAGAGCACGCACGCTCATAGGAAATAGCTCACTCTGTTGCCAGGGCAGGTTGCCAAGACCGGAAGCATAGGATGCAACATAGACAATCATAGAAATAAGAATAATAATGGCCCAGACATTTGAAGAGCCGGCGGTGTAATTTCCCGCGGAATCTTGAGGCAGATAATGAAATGCAATTGCGCACACGACCAAACCAATAATCATGCCCCACATTGTTATAAGAAGAAGCAAACGCCGACCCAAACGGTCCACGACCACAAATGCGATAATGGTAAATATAAAGTTGGTACCGGCGATAATTAAACCAGTGGCAATGGGGTTGTGAAAGCCGACAATTTCGAAGATTGTACTCGAGAAGTACATGAGTGAATTGAAACCTGACAATTGTTGCATACCTTGCAAAGCGCAAGCAATGAAGAGAGAGCGGAGATTTGAAGCACGAAGGAATAACTCTTTGGCAGATTTAACGAAACGTTGGAAGCGTGTTCCTGTAAAAGGATCACGTACACCTTCTTGGATAAGGCGAATTTTGTTTTCCACTTCATAGGGATGGGCTTCTGGGTAAATTTTTGAGATGATCTTTCGAGCACGTTCCTTATGTTCGCGCTTCACTAAGAAACGAGGAGACTCGGGCAACCAAAGCATTACGAAAATCTGAATGACGGCGGGTACGATGGCCAAACCAACCATCCAACGCCATCCAGCCTTATGATATTCAAACGCTGCGTCAATGGCATATGCAATGACTTGACCCAATGTAATCATTAACACGTAGACAATGACAAGTCGCGAGCGAAACTTCGCAGGCGCCAATTCACTGAGGTACAAGGGAACAATTAGCGAGGCCAAACCGACGCCCCAACCGATAACAAAACGACCAACAATCATGTGCCAAAGACCGTGTGCTGTCACTTGTACGATGGAGCCGACAATAATAATAACTGCACCAACCGAAATGACCGGTCGACGTCCCATAAAGTCGGCAAGCGTACCGGCAATAACTCCACCCATCAAAGCACCGAGGGATGTTGCAGAAGTAATGAATTCCTTGTCACCATAGGACAATGTGTGGCCCAAATCCTTGTTGATGACAACGAGAGCACCGGAAATAACACCGGTGTCATAACCAAACAGTAGACCACTAATACCGGCAGCGAGAGCGAGTACCCAAATCCATTTGCTGACTCGCTGGTACTCAATACTGTCATTTAGTCCTGTGCGGCTCTCAAGCGAAGAAAAAGACGCATCGCTGTCCGCACGTCCTCGTCTGGGATGATGGACACTAACTGCGGAATTAAATGGATCAACGTCCACAATCGTCTCCTGGGCAGCCTTTTTCTCGATGGGAATGGCCGTAATGTTTTGAACACCCAAGGAGGATTGGACCTCTGAGCCAAGGGCCGTTTGCGACTCTAAACTGGACTTAGAGAATGCTGTCATACTGCCAAAACAATTGTGTAACTGTTAAAAGGGGCAATTCAGCAGTCTTTGGTAGAAAAGCTGCGAGCGACAAAGAAAATTGAGGGTGACGGAAATAAGGAGAATCACTTCCGTCAAGGGCAATTTTTTAAAGTTGCAGAGAGAATAAAGAAAGAAAACACACGTAAGAGAATTTCTCTGGTGCGTTGATGTTAGAAAAGCTTCAGTTATAACTGAATGGTTTTCCAAAGAAGGGATAGTCTCGAACAAAGGAATATATCTTCCGTCTTCCGTGACGCAAGCTTAGCGAATATTTGGACACTCCTCCAAGCCTATAATCACGTAAACCCCTAGGAAGGGAGACGGAAACGGCAGTTGAATCGCGGCGTTAATACCTTAACTGCACGTGGCTAGCGAAGCGAAACGAGGCAGTAATTACGCGCTGGGGGTTTTGCGGGGCAGAAAAGACGCAGCCGAAAATCGAGAAAAGCGTGGAATAAGCGAGCTCGCAATAACGCCAGATGCGATAAGCGATTACGATCAGTTCCCACGTGCACACACACGTACAACGCAAATCTAAAACACAACCTACTCAGCGACTACGCGAAACTAGACACTGGCAGCTAACTACGGCGGAGGAGAGGAGACTGTCTCGCACGGACAGTATGAACAGTTACAGAAACAGGTATTAGACAAGAAGCAAAAAGCAGACGCAAAAGGCAAGAACAGTCCGTTACCAATGCTTGCCTGAGCTACAAGTTCAAAAAAACGATGAATCTCCTGCACAAAACTTTCTGAAGAAGGAAAATTTGCTCAGTACAAAGAATTTGTCAAGCAAAATTCAATGCAACTGAAACGACTGCACAAACAAAATCAATGTTTGTTGCAGGAAGAGCGGCAGTTGGTGATGGGTTGATAAGCTAAAAAAAGGAAACTACGGAAAAGAACGACAGATATCCAGGACTATCGCAGTATAGGTAATAGGCGATGTCGTAAATAGAGTCACAAGAACCAATTGACCCTTTGAGTGTGATAATTGAACAGTTGAGAGAAAGTTTTTTTCGCAAATCATGGCAGGAGCGGCTGTATTTATAGTTTTGGCACAGAACATTCGAGACTTCTAGTGACGCAATAAACTCGCGAGCACGAATCACTTTGCACGTGATCTCGTTCTCTACCAATAAGAGTTTGGATTCTGTCGCGCCTAAAGCAAGATAGGGTCGCATTTATTTTAAAATAACGTAAACACGCTCATTTATAATTGGCTTAGTGCAGCAAAATGCCGCAACATATGATGTCATTTGGAAAACGTGATAAAAGAAACACCAAGCTGCATGTCGGTCCATGTATTTAATTTGTTGGTTTGTCGGCTCGCGTTTTAGCAGCTATTAATTCGCCGAAATAGATTCGGTCTTTTTCTCTTCTGCTGCAAAGTGATATATAGTTGAGTGTCCCGTGTCTCTCCCGGCGCATTCATTTGTTGTAACCGAGATATACGAAAAAAAAAGCTTTCGCTTAGGCGAGACTTTGTTATAAGCTTAAATTAGTGCTAAACGTCACCACCACTAACCACCAACTTGTTTCCACCTGAAACTCCCCTACACACCCTTTGCTTCTATTTTTACCCAACATAGTGAAACTCAGTTTGAGTAACTTCCTCTGTGGCATTTACAGGTCGGGCTGCTGATATCCTGGTTTGGTTTTGCTTGACAATTACTTCAAACCACATTCACGCCCATTTTACTGTATAATGCCTGTAAGTCCACGTAGCAACATCTCCTCACACGTTAGTATTTTGATTGAGCCTTTCTACGACGTGTTCTGTGGTTTTCTATCATATCGACTACAGTGCCTACTATATCTGTGGTACATTTGTGTCTCTAGCTATTTGCTGCAGCTTTGGACGTTTGTGTCGCTTGTTTGTGCGCTTTCCTCTTTCGTGTATCGATTGAAGAGCTGCGTAATTGACGAGTAACTGTGCTGCAGCGTATCTGCGAACGAAGAGTTCATTGTCTCGGAGACCGTTTTATGATTTTTACTCCCTCCGTGGCCTGTTCTAATTTCTCCGTCATTTGTTTGTCTTTCCTTTTCTTCTGTGGCTCAATTTACCGCTGAATTTCAATTATCAAGTGATACAGCTTTTCCTGACGTATTTTTTTTCTCTTATACGTTCACAACCGTTTCCTTACGTATAATTCCTGCATCTTCACTTTCTGTTAGCCTGTACGTTGGTGCTACTATTCATTCCTCCTTCCCTTCTTCCCTTCCCTGTGATTTGAAGTGGTTATAATTAAAAGCATGTCTTCCCTACGACAATCCCAATCACAAAAATGGTCTTCTGAACTCGGTGAGCTACCCGCACCGGCGCCTTCTTCTGCAAAAGACGAAGAAGCTAGTGGGAGCTGCGTCGACCAAGTGCAACAGCGTTCAAATTATGGCTCCTTTGCAGAGCTTAGCAAACTTCCAAGATTTCGTCTAATGACCGACCGTCCAACCCCTTCCCATTCCCTCCCATCCTCCCATCCGGTTAAAAAAGGGCAGTGGCATCCGGATTCTGAGAATTCCGATGCTTGTTCAACGAAACAGCTACTAAACCCGGGATTTTCAAGTCTTCGTTCTTTGCAGCCAACACATGCATCATCTGCTCACGCGCCGTTTACGGAGGTACGGGTCCCTCAATCTGCCCAATCCGTAATGCCAGAGAGCGTTGCTATTGGGTTTGAGAGTTTGTCTCTCCATACAACATCAACTAAAAACACTCAAAACGAAAAGAAAAGTACGTGCGGTAGTGGGCAAGCCGTTGAATTCTTATCTGCCCACCTCCCACGGCCGGCAACGGGCAACGATGTGTCTTCCTCTAACCTCGTTAACTCTAAAACTACGGACAAATCATCCCCCGCTGCGTCGGCAAATTTGGACTCTTCACAAAAATCGCTCTTGTCTATTCAATTGGAACAGTCGGCGGCTGCTTTGGCAGCGTCTTCCCAACAACAAAAAAGTTCTCTGCTGACTTCTCCTCCTGCCCTGGCTGAAAGGTCAAAGGCCGTGGTAGCGGTGGAGAAATGCATTGTGGAAACGACGACCGTGCGCTCTTCTATTGCTTCTAATCAAGTTTCCCAAACAAATAATTTAGATGGCACTTTGAATAATGGAGCGATTGAAAAATGCCAGCTAAATGCAAACCCTGAGAATGCACAGCAGCAAGTTTGTGAAAATATTCCTGTCACGCGAAAACCCTCTAACAATATTTCCATCGCCTCAACCACCAGCACCTTCGTTTCCCCTGCACAGACATACTCTGAACGTTCTTTCCATCTTGAGCGGAAACCTCAACATGGTCGGCTGCACATATTTGGACCATATGTGCTTGGTCGGACAGTTGGAAGAGGAGAATATGGACGGGTTAAGCTGGGCTGGCGCCTGAAAGACAAAAATGATGTTAGTAGTGATATGCCACCCCAGTTTGCTATTAAGGTTGTGCGCACGCCGGCTCCTAATTCTTCGCTTGCACATCGACTTTCCAGAGAAATTGCAATATTGCGACATGTTGGGGAACATCCACATATTTTACGCTACTACGAAACCGTCGAAACGGCTCATCATGTGGGAATTGTCCTTGGGTATGCATCAGGTGGCGAGCTCTTTAATTATATTCTTACTTGCCGTCGCTTGTTGGACCCAGAGGCAGCTAAAATGTTTGCTCAACTTGTTAGTGGTGTGGCATATCTTCACTCTAGAGGAATTGTTCATCGTGATCTCAAATTGGAAAACATTTTACTGGACGGTCAACGTAATGTTGTCATCGCCGATTTTGGTTTTGCGACGACTTTTGGTGAGGCTGCTCGACTCGTCGGTCATCGGTACGGCAGTCTCGCTGGTCAAGACTTGTTTAGTACGTCGTGCGGATCGCCGTGTTACGCGGCGCCAGAACTTGTTTCTTGTGAATCTGGTCTATATGCAGGAACACAAGCAGATGTTTGGAGCTGTGGTGTCATTCTGTATGCTATGTTGGCCGGTTACTTACCTTTTGACGATGACCCTCATAATCCAATGGGCGCGAATATTCCTCGGCTTTATCGTTATATTTGCTCAGCAGCGTTAGCTTTTCCGGACTTCGTAAGTCAGACGGCAAGACATCTGCTTTCTGCTATTCTTACTCCAAATCCTAAAAACCGGATTAATTTGTCACAGGTTATGTTGCATCCCTATCTCCGCGCGCATCGTTCACTTTTTGCGAAATACAATGCGTCTCCAAACCATCAACCATTACCCCGTCATATGAGAAAACGTCATGTTCATAGAACAAGTAGCGATTGGTGTACCAATCCTACTGTCAGCTTGTCGACTGATGATATTACTGCACTTAATCAATCCTCTCCGGGATTTGATTTGACCAAAGCTCTGCACATGAGTATAAGCTTTAAGCCATCTGCGCTGCCTTCAGAAGCTGAGATGAATGATCTTTGCTCTTCTGCGCATGTGGCAGAGAAGGCCAAAGGGTTGAAGAGAAGATCTATGAAGTTACTTCGACCAATCCCGGACAAGGAAAATTCATCCATTACTGTTTTGCCTCGAAAACCTATATTATCTCCGATAACTGGTGGACGTCGTCGTCGGGGTCCTTCAAAGCATCGGCGAGCATTCAGTTGTGCTTGCAAACCCACACAGATACATTTGGAAGTACTGCCTTCATTAACAATGCAATGCGAGACATCTCGGCCGTACTTTTCATCACCGAATAATTCAATTTCTCCACAGATGTCAGCAGACGAAAAGTTTAATTATCTTAAGCGTGTGCTTGGACAGTTTCTGCCGCTAGGTGATGGACATTAGACTTCGCCGATATTCATTCTTTTTTCTTTTTAATTCTTTTTATCTGTCTTCTTTATTTCCATTCTTTACTTATTTACACATTTGTCCTATACCCAGGTATTTATTCTCTTTACAGGTTTGTTTTGCGCGATGCTAATTTTATATTTTTCCGGTTGAAAATAAGTAAAAAAAAAAGAGCAAGAAAGAAGAAAAGAATAAGTAGGATTCATGCTAACTGTTGTAAATTTTGTTCCACCCTTTCTTTTTCATTTATTTAATTTTCTTACATTTAATTTAATTTATTTTTTTCTTGAATGAAAATAAGTTCAAAGGACTTGCATTACAAGTCTACGATAAGCTTATTGTCCAATTTATTATATTAGTTAATAAGGTTAGCATATGTATCCCAGAATTATTGTAATCGAGAAATGAATGAAGATTCGAAGCTGAATACTCATAACATGAGACAATGCTAATCCAAATTAGAATTCAGTATTTGTACATAAATAGCAAACGGAATTAAGTAACAAGCTTTTATTTTATTTTAGGAAGCAACAATTGAAATTACAATTCCAGTCGAAACAAAAATTATCGAATAAAAAATTGAGATTTCGACAAACAAATTAATAAAAAAAAAAAAGAAAAATAGAAAATATTATACTACGGATGGTCAAATAAAAAGTCGGTAACAGTACTGCAATCAGATTCAACTCTTATTCTTTGTTTTAGCTATTTTTCAGTAAATTATGTTGCATATCGTTAACGCGTCTTTCGCGTATAGCAACTTAAATTAGATACCTAGCACCAACCAGACTCAGACGTCGAATTCATCAGAAAGCAATCATCTTTTTCAATAATTACACCTAGTAACACGCGTTATTAACTCAAACTTAATAGATCAAGCCGTCTGTGCATTCTGACACTTTGTTTTGCATTTTTTACATCTTAAAGACATATACATATCTTTTTCTGCATATCTCTAGGTTAAAACACTCAGTTGTTTACTTTCACTGTGTTAGGACTATTACTGATGTCAAGTCAACAAAATGCTCAAATATTGGATTTTGGAGAAGAGATCGTACCTACTCATGCAAACCGTATAGGGACATCGGAATTGCTGAGCAGACTACAGCGCTTGCTCAGTAAGCTTGTCGAGATGGATCAAGACTTTGCCGAACGAGACTCTATTTTGTCAGTAGCACATTCTTTAGTGCATAAGAATCTGCTTTCACATAAAGATAAAAGTGTAAGAGCATATGTCTGCTGCTGTATCGTGGAAGTACTCCGTCTATGTGCTCCAGACGCTCCTTATACTATATCCCAGCTTGAGAAAGCTTTTGAAACGATCATTAAATTACTTCCTGGTTTAGAAGATCCGGAGTCTGTGTACTATCCTCAGCTGTACCATATACTTGAAAGTTTATCTGTGGTGAAGTCCGCCGTACTAATCGTCGATTTTCCAGCAGCAGAAACATTTCTTACTTCTTTATTTCGATTATTTTTTGATTTGGCGAGAAAGGGAATATCAAAAAACATCGAGGTTTATATGCTTGACATTCTGCAACAGTTGATTAACGAAGCGTCTATAATTCCACCTGCTGTAGTCAATACTTTACTTGCACAGTTGGTTTCAGGAACGAGTGTTCAAAGTTTTGTAGGACCTTCAGAAAATTCCAAACGCGGAGGGGGCTTTCAGTTAGCACGGAATATTCTTCATGAGTGCTCAAATCGATTACAGCGCTACATAAGCCAGTACTTTTCTGAAATAATACTTGAGACAAAAGATATTCTTCCCGAGGAAAATGTTCCTCGCGAGTTTGTAGCCGCTCATAATTTGGCCTTAGAATTATGGACCTACGCTCCTTCAACCTTACTGAATGTTGTCCCCCAGCTGGAAAACGAATTGCTTGCCGAGCATAGTTCGATCCGTCTCCTAGCAGTGGAGACTGTTCGACTGATGATTAAAATACATACATTGTGGTCGGATTATCCACAAGTCTGGAACGCATTTCTCGGTCGTGTCAATGATAAGCTTGTAGAAATTCGGACAGCTTGTACTCAAGGCCTCATAAATGCCGCGCTAAACCCACTCGCTTCTCAAGATATTATACAGTTAATTATGCAATTGTATGAAGTAAAGTTGGCAGACACTGACGAACGCGTCCGTGTCTCAGCTATTGAAGCACTTGGTTCACTACCCTATGAAACCCTTCGACTAACGGTTCCTGTGCATGCCCTAAAGCTCTCTGCTGACCGACTTCGTGACCGGAAATACTCTGTCCGTACCAAAGCCATTCAAACACTCAGTGCACTTTACAATGCTTCGTTTGCTGAGCAGATTTCTGGAGACGATTTCTCTCGTCAAGCTTGCTCTTGGATACCCTCCTCCTTATTGAATGTTTTCTATGTTAACGATGAACCAACGAATGCTGCTGCAGAACTTTCTTTTTTTGAAGTAATACTCAATGCACTTTCTCTTGATACAAGCGCAAGAGTATCCCGTATACTGTACGTTGTACAGTGTTTAGACGACCAAAGTCTTCGGGTGTTTTATATGCTTCTTCAAAGACAATCAAAATATATGGTTCTGTTGAGTCGATTTATTGATTGTTGTGTAGACTATAACGGATCTGTAATGGACACTGACGAAGAAATCAAGACGAAGCGTCTTACACAAGTAATCGAACTTTTGTCTTCGAAATCACCAAACCAAAAACAAATGGAACAGGATCTCTGGAAATTTGCCAAACTTAATGACAGACAGTGCTATAAAACTTTCCGGGAAACAATTAACTTGCAAAATTCATTTGAGGACATTCACAAGTTTATGAAGCATCTGCTTAAACGACTAAAACAACGAAGCCCTTCGATTGTGGATTCACTTCGTCTTCTGCTTTTTCGTTCCGCACCGTTGATTATTAACAAGACAAATGTGAGCGAGCTCATTCGAAATATGCATAATGATACTGTTCGTAAATCTTGCGAAAGTCTATTGCAACAAGTATCCTCCTTATTTCCCGATATTTACGAAACTGCGCTGAAGGACATCAAAGAAATGATTCTTCAGAACCAATCGTCTGTGAGCCCAGAAACTTTAAAAACTGTATCACAATACTGTCTCCGAAAAAAATCATTTGATCTCGGCCATGAGGTCCTTGCAATTTTGGAGAAGCTATGTTTTGAAGGCACCGATACGCAAGCAAAATACAGTGCTGTAATTCTTACTACCGTTCAAGATGCAACATATCAAGAACGAATGAGGGACAAATTACTTGACAATTTAACCTACTCTGATAAAACCCCTACAGTTTTGGCTTCTTTATCTAAGTACTTACTTATAAAAGGTAACCTACTACTTTCTCATGAAGAAAGGATTACCGAGTTTTTGGTAAAAAATGTTATTCGTGCACATGTATCGGATCCCAATATAACCAACACGCCTGATGATGTTTGGCTTCAATTCTCAGAGTTGGATTATCACATTCGATCCAAAGTGCTCGCGCTCAAGTGTCTTACAAACATGCTTACTTACAATAAAAATAAAGACGATCGTGAACAGCGGGCTGCTCCCATTCTCAAATTACTGAGTGTAATTTTATTAACAAATGGAGACATGGATCCTGAGCATTCCACACCGTAAGCATAATAAATGTATACACTAATACTAACAGCTCACAGTTACATTCATGCCGCCTGGTTGCGGTTATCGGCAGCACGCTTTTTGCTCAAGTTGGCTGTGTTGCCTGAATTTGAACCGCTCGTTACATTCCAAACATTTCTGCACCTGTGTTTGCTCTGTCAAGACTCAATTTATGAAGTAAGACAGGAGTTCGTCCGGAGGCTACAGAAACTTCTCCAGTTTGACCGATTGCCAGCACGCTTTCACGCAGCTATTTTCCTGTTAGCACATGACCCCGAAGCAGAGTTCTTGGGAAAGGTTCGCACTTGGGCAAAATCGCGCTCTCTCTATCTACGGAAGCACAAAAATTACATCAACGAATATGTTCTGACATATCTGATTCACTTACTAGCGCACCATCCAGACCTAAATATCGAGAGCACCGAAAGCCTGCTGAGTTTCCTCAAGTACTTTGAGTTCTATCTTGACGTGGTTATGTTCGCCGACAATGTCTCTCTCCTATACCATCTCGCTCAACGTGTCAAACAATACAGAGACACCATCAGTGAAACATCAGACGCCATCTACTATCTCAGTGAGCTTGCAAGAATCGCGATTTTCGTTCGAGCTAATGTATTCGGCTGGGCCATCCCTTCTTTCCCAAAACAAATTCGTCTGCCACATGAAATCTACAAAGTCATCGAGGTTCCGGACGAGAAAAAGATCACACAGGGAAAGACTTTTCTATCTTCGGAAATTGAGCAACAAGTCGAACAAATCGTCAAGGCTAATATCCGCAGCAATCATCACACAGCAGCCTTGAAACGATCCAAACCTGCACTTTCGGGTACTCCAAAGAAGCGAAGTACCAGAACCTCGCGTGCTCGTGGTCGTACTACTGCGCGATCTGTACCAAAGCGCAAGCAGAGCCAGCAATTGAAAAACGCTCTCGTGTCTTCGCCGACACGAAAAAGCCTAAGAACGCGAAATCGTCTAATCAATTACCAAGAATCGCCGTCAGAAAACGAGGAAATTGAGGATGTTGAAAGCTCTGAAAGCGAAGAACAAGAAGGGATTTCGTCGGCAGAAGAATAGAAATACTAATGTACATTACAAACCAAAAGAATGATTAATTTCAGCAAACTCGCTTAATCGCATTAAATCGCTACGTCACTATTTAACACGTGGATAGTTAATTTAAATACGGGCTGTATGACTGCGGCACATCGCGTTATATCTCCTTGGGTCACGTTGAGAGCGCACAGCAGAAAGAACATCTCGTACGGTTGAGTAACAGGCTGCTCCTACCCTTTACCAATACGCAACTCATAGTTGAAGCAGCTTTCAGACGCAACAGCGGCGTGCCTTACCTGTATTGAACAAGCAAAGCCTCAGGAGTAAAGTATAATCTGTTAATATGCCTACTATTAAGTGTGTTGTCGTCGGTGATGGTGCCGTTGGAAAGGTATGTCTTGAAAACGCGTGAAATGTCCTCAGAACGGAAAAACAATGGAAAGTCTACAGGTTCCCCGAGCCACATTACATCAAGAGCACCAGTACTCCTTTTCTGAAGGTCTAATTCGGCCTGGTTCCTATTTTTTCGAGCTTCTCGGTGTTATCAATTTTCTTGGGACATTTTCATGTCTACATATCACAGAATGCTAACAAAATGACATAGACATGTCTGCTGATTTCCTACACCACGAACAAGTTCCCCAGTGACTATGTCCCTACTGTTTTCGATAACGTAAGTCTTTGGGAACGCACAGCAACGTGGTGCTGCATCACTGTGTATTTGACGTGTGCTAACACTCTGTAGTATGCGGTTACTGTTATGATCGGTGATGAACCGTACACTTTGGGTTTGTTTGATACTGCTGGTCAAGAAGATTATGATCGTCTGCGTCCCTTGTCATATCCCCAAACCGACGTTTTCCTCGTGTGCTTCAGCGTTACTTCTCCCGCTAGTTTTGAGAACGTTAAGGAAAAGTGGTTCCCAGAAGTGCATCATCATTGTCCCGGTGTCCCCTGTCTCATAGTCGGTACGCAAATCGATCTTCGAGATGATCCTGCTGTCCAGCAGAAGCTTGCCCGCCAGCACCAGCATCCCCTTTCCCATGAGCAAGGTGAACGCCTGGCTCGGGAACTGGGAGCTGTCAAGTACGTGGAATGTTCGGCCCTTACCCAAAAGGGTTTGAAAAACGTTTTTGATGAAGCTATTGTTGCTGCTCTGGATCCTCCTGTCACGCACAAGAAGAAGTCTAAGTGCCTTGTACTTTAAGAGTTCTTTATGGTCATCCATCCACTACCGAACCATTAATCTCTTAACGTCTGTTCCTAAATTATACACACTCACGTTCACAAACAACCTCTCACACATTATACACACCCATACATACAATACACACTTACCAACGCTATCTCTTTCGTTCACTTTCACCATCGATCACTCACTCTTCCGCCCACCTTTTGAGAGCATGGTTGAATGCGTCGTGAATTAGGGGGTCTCATCGAGAAGTTCTTGATGCCTGCGTCGCTGTCAAGCCGTTTGATTTTTTTCGGTACTTAGCTGCTGTGCTTTCGCAGCAACAATAGCACCACTCCTCCCCTCCTTTCTCACAATCGCCTGTCCATTTATATTTCTGTCTAGGTTTGGCCGTGTGTTAATTGTCACTGCCGCTGTTGTGTTGAGGACGGGAGTCTGCTATTTACCAATCGTATACTCTTTCAACAACTTACCTTAATCTCAAACAATTGATGCTTTTCCCACGTCTTGGTTTCTTGCTTTTGCTTGACTTATTTTACCCTTCTTGTCTTCCTCTTTCCTTTTTCGACCACTTTTCTTCCGCATTTGCATGCATACCACAAGTACTATTTTTCGCCGAATAGTCGAGCTAATTTGTAGTGCTTGTGTAAGCGAGTCTTCCATTGCATATTCACAGAAGTCAGCTTGTTGGCTGACTTTTGTTTGGAAACATTGCATTTTGTTGATAGAACGTGTGTCCAATATACCTTTGACACACTTGACAAGTTCTACTTTTATCCACACACAATGATCTCTTCCATGTTTACGCACTCGCTCTCTCTTGAACTTTACATAACGTCAAGCTACTAATCTGTGCGTTATAACACAGATGGGACACATGGCATTGCACTGTCTGCTTTCTCTTGTTCTGTGTACACACTTTATTACCGAGGTTACACCATTGGAGAAGCAACCGTTTGTGCTCGTTCTTACACTTTTTGCAGTGCAGTGTGTGCGTTTACACTAATCGTCGATATTATGATGAATTCTTGACGGGTTTGGGCTAGTTACGTCTACGGCATCTTGTTTTCCGTTAGCTCAATTCGTACACTCATACTCATAAGCATATACTAAACATCTCTCCTTGCTTTTTTCTAACATTCATGCAAGTGTAGTATGTGTATGTTCATAATTGAATACTTGTGTCCGTTAGCGTACTGCAATTATTAAAAGCAGGATGCTTGTTAATCCTTTCTTCGCCGGCCATTACTTACAAAGAGCGAGATGAAAGAAAGCACTGCCTACTTTTGTCTTACTCAGAACTCGAGTGGATTTGGATTGCCGTTGACGTCTAGAACAAAGATTACATAATTCAGCATCAGAGAAGCTGCATGTGGAAGATTATCTGGCATCGTTGAGAGTAAACATAGTAATAATGAAGACAAATCATCCTGCCCTGTCTGCACCAAATAAAGAAGTCGTATTAGCTGAGCATTCAAACGATTAGTTTTAGCGTTTGAATCAATTCTCCCTTGCTACATATCAAGAAAAATTTATAAAGAGGAAGAGATGAATGAGATGAGAGCGAACAACGGCCTTGAGCGCATAATCACATACACACGCACATGCAAACAACACAACCATATTAACACGCATACATAACATACGGAGAACGACTTTAAGTTCCATTAATATCTAGAAACAATATCCATACACAAATGGCAATGTCGATGCGCCCATAGATCTCTCTCCGAGCTCAGAAACCATTCAAACGTACGCGTGCGCAGCTGCCTAAAAACCCTTAATGACACAAGCGCAGCAAAACCGTTAGCAAAATAAGAATGAAGAATAATTGAGCAGTATTTTTTAACAAGAAATAAAAGTCACAAGACTCGCGCATGACAGAGACATTTCGATCAACGCAGTTCCTCTATACCGCGGAGTGGCGGGAACCCGTTTACTGAGTCTCGTCAGCGTTGGTCATTTCTTGATCCTCAATAGTTTCCTCTTGAGGAGGGGGAGGAGGAGGGGCACGGCCGCCAGTGCCTTCCTCAAACTTGCCAGTAGGGGCCTTAGCACGAGCAGCATCCTCCTTCTTCTTCTTTGCATCAGCTTGAGCCTTGAGCTTGGCCATGGCGGCCTCGCGCTCAGCCTGGATCTTTTGACGCTTGGCTTCCTCATCATCGAGGTAGCGTTGGCGAATGGGGCCACCAATTCTCATGAGATCCTCAAGCTTGGCAATGTAAACAGCCTTGGTAGTGTCCTCACCCTCATCGTACAACCAGTCCTCGGCATCCATAAGCATGCCCTTGAGCTTGGTCTTCTCATCCTCGCTGGCAAAGGGAGCGTAGATGTCGTCCAACTTAGCACGAGTGTCATAGATGTACTCCTCCAAAGCGTTCTTGCGGTCCAAAGTCTCAGCGACAAGCTTGTCCGTCTCAATCATGTTGCCCTCAGCCTCCAAGTACTTGTTGAAAACCTCAGCAGGAAGAGTTTCAGTAACTGCCTTGATGGGGAGGTCGGCAACCTTGACGAGCTTCTTGACCTTGCGAGTCTTAACGGGCTCATCCTTCTTCTCCTCACCCTCAGCGGTGGGAGCAGGCTCAACGGGCTCCTCGACCTCTTGCTCCTCAACAACATAGGCTTGCTCAACTTGGAGAATACCATGAAGGTTCAAGCGAACCTTGACCTTCACGATAGACAAGTCACCGGACTCAGTGGGCTTGACATCGCCAATCTCAAACTTGCCGAGCTCAGCGGTGATGTTGCCGGGCAATTGCTCAGGGTGGCTGTAGGTAGCAGTAACAGTGAAGGGAGCCTTGCGGTAGAAGGTAAGAATCTTCGTAGAAGGAATGGGGTTGTTGAGAGAGAAAACCTCCAAGGAAGTTTCCTCATCTGGGTTTTCGGGCACGGCCTCCCAAGAGAAGGTAATGGGGTAGGTAGTGATATCGTGAACGTGGAAGTCACGCACACGGAAAACGGGAGAGAGAATGGCACAAGAAAGAGCACATCCACGGGCGATGGCCTCGTCTTGGTTCAAAGTGAAAGACAAGGGCTTTCCGAAGAATTCAGAGATCTTCTCCTTCAAAGAGGGGACACGAGTGCAGCCACCAACAACCTCGATGCTGTCGATCTCCTCCTTGGTGACACCGGCCTCCTTGAGAGCCTGCTCCAAAGGAAGATGAACGCGGTTCAAAAGGGGCTCGATGAGCTTTTCAAAGTCCTCACGCTTAATGAAAGAAGAGGCATCGATGTCGTTCATGATCATCTCAACGTTCAAGGGGGCAGATGCGTTGGCAGAAAGGACCTTCTTAAGACGCTCAACAGCAGTAGCCAAACGGAAAGTAGCCTTGGGGTTGGACAGAACATCAATCTTGTACTTGCCCTTGAACTCAGCAGCGAAGTGGTCAATCAAAGCCTTGTCCATGTTACGGCTGCCAAAATGGCGGTCACAAACGGTGGACTTGATGTGGAATTGGCCTTGGCTGAAAGCGACAATGGAGACAGAGTAGTTGGAGTGACCAATGTCGACGATAGCAACCTTTCTGGGGTTTTCGGGCTCAGGGAGGTCGTTCTTGGTGATACCGTAAGTAAGAGCGGCAGCAGCATTGTCGTTCATCAAACGAAGAGGGTTCAATCCGGCAATGTGAGCAGCATCAAGGACGGCTTGGCGTTGAACGTTAGTGAACCAGGCAGGAACCGAGATAACGACATCACTGACGGGGCCCTTGAGCTCGGCTTCAGTGGTGGTCTTAATCTTGGTCAAATAGGCGGCGATGATTTGAGTGGAAGAGAAAGCGGCCTCCTCACCCAAGTAGTTGACCTTGGCACCGACCAAGCCATCGACCTCGACGAGAGGAGCAGTAATGAACTTGCTCTCGATCTCTTGGACTTCAGGGTCGTTGAACTTGCGACCAGCCAAACGCTTCAAACTACCGACGGTGTTGCGGAAGTTGGAAGCCTCTTGAGATTTAGCAGCCTCACCGAGGAAACGGGAGCGCTCGCCGAAAGAGACAAGAGAGGGGGTGGAACGGTTAGAAACCTCATTAACAATCACATCAATAGCGCGATTGCGGGCAACAGCAATAGTGGTCTTGCTGTTTCCCAAGTCGATACCGACAACGTTCGTCCGAGAAGCCATGGTACCAATTTTTCGTTATTCTAAAGAATCAGAGTTAGCACAGGAACGTGAGTAGAGTGAATGAGAGGGGAGAGTGATCAAGAGCAAGGGTCAAAGGATCAGGAGGAGACGGAAAGTCGCCAGAAAGAGCTAGAATACACAGAAGATCCCGGAAAAACAGAGAAAAACACCGATTCAACAGCCACCATCCGTATTCCCAACCTCACCGATCTATTCGAACCCACATGATCCACATCTCGAAATCTCTCGTCCTCGTCAGCTCATTACTTACAGAGAAACAAACACGAATTCAAAAAGAAACAATTCTGTTAAAAATCGTTTAGGTGCTTTCTGCAAAAGGCGTAAATGCGTCTCTTTTAAAGCGAAAACTTGACCTAGTGTTTGGGAGAAGGTAGGTTTTAGGAAAGAGGAAGGGAAACTTTGAAGCTTAAAAAAAAAGCTAAAATAAATATACACGAAAAAAGACGTAATGGAATTGCAAAGATTGAAACGGTCAATGTCTATTTATACGCGATGCAAATCCCATGATTTCCATTCATCGACTGGTTTTTCCGTTTCACGAACGCCGGAGTGTTTGCTAGAACGTTCCTGTTGGGGGGGGACTGACGAAGTATGTGTGGTGGTGATGTGGGGCAGTGGGGGATCTGCGGGGGGGACGCAACAACTCGTTATGCGTCAAACCTCGCTCTGAATTTCTGTACGCAAGGTTCCGCGGGGGTCTGACGCATGGAGCGATACCACTCAGCATGCCGGTTCTTTATTTTTTTTCTCACTGTCTGAGGTTGTCGTTACCTTTTGGTAGCACTCACTAAACGACATTTAACGTGTCGTAGTGAGATTTCACCTCGTGTTCGCAACAGCTCACGTCACTAAATATCATTAAGTCTCCTTATTCGGCGATGATGGTGGTTTCAGGGACAACGCGTCGCGTCGCGTACACAAACGCGCAACAAAGAATGCAACGCGACACGTCGACGCGCGACGCGTGGAAACGCGTTATTATAAAGGGCAAGGTTTCCCTTTGTAACGTTTCCTCTGCCTAAGTGTGCGTTTCTTTACACACAAGACTTCGCCTCGTGTATTGTTTGGAATTCCCCTTTTGCACGAGTACCGTTGTGCTTCTGCGCGTTTGTTTTCGGTCCCTGGTGCATCAGTGGTATAGAATTAGGTTCATTGTGTCCTAGTAACAACGTTTATTTGACATTGGCGCTTGTGGTTTAGTCCGCTGCTGTTGCCTTCTTTTTCATTGTGTCGTCCTTTCATCCATTTGTTCATTATCAAAACTAAGTGCTAGTCAGCATGGTGGAAACGCGTCTCGAGTACGGCGAAGATATTCCATTTCAACGACTACCGTCACCACTTTCTTCTTCACCTCTAGGTCGTCAATCATGTCCTCCAGCGCGTTCTACACCCAATCTTCCCTCCAAATGCCACTGGAACACAACAACTACGCCTCGACGTACACGTTTTACAGACGCAATTCCTCCAGAACATGTTCTTCGAACACCAGACGCGTCAAGCAGTCTGCATCTGTCGTCCCCACACGCGTCCACAGACGCCATTTCGTCTTTCCATGGACGCAATGTCACACCAGAGCGTGAACCGTTGTCTCCTATGTCTGTGCTTCCTACGGGTTGCTCCAAAGTTCTTCGTTTGGGCCGTTCGAGCAGAGCGTGCACGCATGTGCTGTCGCGGTTCGACAAGGCAGTTTCACGCGTTCATGCGGTTGTGTTCAGCATGGCTGAACGAATGGTCATTGAGTGTCAAGGCTGGAACGGCATGGTCGTGTATGACGGCACGGGGAAGCACGTTTACCGCATGAAGAAAAACGATCGCATAGTCCTGACTCGTCCACAAAATAATGCCTGTCCACTCATTGACGTGTTTGGTCATCGCGTTCTCTTGGGCTGGCCGCCCGCAGAACGCGAAAGCGTAAGCGTTCAAACTGTTCCCGAACCTTCGTCGCCGTTAGCTGAAGCAATTGCGGCAGAAGACGATCCTTCCAACCCGTTTTTCGATAGTCCGGACGCTACTCGTATTGCGTGTCCGGCGCCAACTTCATTACCACCCATGTCTGTTTCCATCTCTCCGCGTTCCAGACACCAATCACCCCTTTTCGAGCCTATGCTGCCTTCATCACCGCCGTCTCCCGAACCTTCACGGTTTCGTAGGCGCATGTCTTCATTGGTTCTCCGTATCGACACGGAAAATCCATCTGCTCCTCTGCTCCAGGGTTCTGCCAACTTTCCAGACGAAACTCGTGCGCCTTCTGCCACACCTAATCCTCTATCTTTTTCTGTAGAAGCTCTCCTGGCGTTGTCAATGGCGGCCAACGCTACCGGTGAAGGTGATGAAGACAGCAATTCCAGCATGCGCACTCCAGGAACCGCCATTTTCCCTCCTACGAGCCTTCCTCCAGCAGTGGATTTCTTTGAAACGGATGTCACCAAGAAACCTGAAGCACCTATCTTTGTTCGTCATGACAGCATCGATAAAGCTGCCAGGCCCACTATTCACCCTAATGACTTAGTCAACAGCGACGATGCTGCCATTGAACAGCATACTCGCCCCCAGCAAACTGCGCAACTCAACGCGCAGTTGTCTACAATACCCATGCCAATGGAGTCTCCTAAACAACAAAAACCCGACATAGGACGCACTCTGACTCAGCTAGAAGATGAGCTTTTACTTCCTAAAAAACGCAGCAGCGGTGAGACTTCGGCGGCAGATTCAGATGACTCGTCTCATGAAGTAAAGGAGAATGCTCTCCCTACAGATTTGTTTCTTGACATCCTGCTGGACGAACTCGCTCTTTCAAGTACGGCAACGACACCGCTCCCTGAGCTTGCTCACTTATTTCCGCCATCTTTCAAGCTTGAACAAATTCAAGACCAATTGCGCAGCCTTGCCCAGAAACATCCATTTCTCGTCGAAGTAAAACGTTACGGTCGAGACGCATCCAATCGTCCTTTATGGGGGGAATGGCTATACGATCCGGAATTAGACGAAGACGAAGAAAGGCGCAACCGTTATATCCCACTCATGCGTCCTGTGCGTTCTGCTCGTCGTAGTCACAAGCAATATTACTGGAAAAGGCCACGAACCCCTTCACGTTCCTCAACAGCGTCAAAGAGACGACGCTCTTGAATCCCATGTATTCTATCCAACGGGCACGACAACTGCTGCTACTACTAAACGTGCGTTATTAGGACCACTTGGAATCCTCTCGCCATCTCTGTCCGTTCTTTCTTTTCTCTCTCCCTCTTTATATTTTCCTCTCTCTCTCTCTCTCTCTTGAACCCCATCTCTCTTTCCCGTTTGTTTTTCAGCAGTTCTTCACAGTGTACGTACACGCTTCCACCTTTATCTTCCCGCAAATTTGAGTATGTTAGGGCTGAATCCAGACATCTTCAAGCACTCTTTGCCTTTTTCTCGTTTGTTCAACTTTTTTCATTATTTCTCATGTCTCATTGGTGATGGATGGTGGTTCACAGACGCGCATATTCTTTTTGTTGTCTGTGGAACACTTTGTTTGTTCTGTCTATCTCCTGTTTCTTTTTTCCTATTTTCTTTTTGAACCTTTTGATGATAGTCTTTTAATAAAAAGTCATGCACATTTAGAAATTAGAAATACTTTTTCGTATAGCTCACCATAGCGCAGATCGAAATAGCTACTTAATACATTCTATGCTTTTTATGATTCAATTTAATATGACTCTATCCTTCCAATACCCGCTTTCTACTTGTAACTCGGTCACGCATTCTCTACCCAGTATACGCGTCGCGTTTTGCATATAACCTTATTTTCGCGAACGCGTTTTCATTTAGGCACACACCGAAAGGATATCTCGAGTCTTTCGTGAGCATCCAGCTGCCCTCTGCCATACCCCAGATTCTTGCTACCATGAGCAACACGCTATATAATCATGTAAGAGACGAAGTTTTCATGGAATGGAAGTTAACCTCACCGTTACAGTGTCTCAAATTAATTAATTCTATCTCAAAAGACCTCGATGGCTTGGAAACCGGAATTGCCGAAGATTCTAGCGCCATAGCTCTAGCAGGAAGACAAGGTACGTTTGGAAAAACACAAATAATCATGTAGTTGAAGTTGTGTGTTCTCGTACTGGCATCTAACACGCAATTGCAGGTCAATTGACTGCCTCTTTACTGTCGCTCTCGCGTTCTCTTGATGACTATGAGAGCATGGCCAAACGTGAACTTGATGCTGCTAAGAAAACCAAGGCTTTGGCGCGTGTCAAAGACTTTCGGACGAAGTTGTCTCAGCTTAGAGAACGGTTTGCGGAAATGAAAACGCAATTGGAGGACGTTGCCCACAGCCGTAACCGAAAGGAATTACTTAGTCGTCGTGGATTCTCTCACGAGAAATCGGAAAACCCTTATGCATCGTCTTCTGCTGCTGCATACGCTACCGAATCCAACACAGCCAGTTCCATGACGCGCCAACAGGGTTTGCTGCACGAAGACTCCTTTTTAAACCGTGCAGAAAGCCAAATTGACGAATATCTTGAGCGTGGCCGACTGGTACTGGGTGATTTGGTGGAACAGGGCACTATGCTTAAGTCAACCAAGCGAAAGATACTCGATGCTGCAAACACACTTGGAATAACACGCAAAACCATCGCTTTCATTAACCGCCGATCTCGTCAGGACAAGATTCTTTTCGTTTTGGGAGCCATAGTCACGTTCACCTGCTTTTACTTGATTGTTAGATGGCTGCGTTAGTGTAATACGAAATGCAAGAAGAACGGACGGCTGGTTTTTTTTTTTACTACGAATTTTACTGGACAACACACGATTCGGTTCTATTTTGTTTTTAGTATCTTATTCGGTTGTCTTCTTCTAACGGACGTCTTCCTGACCGCAGACATCTTCTATCTCTGACTTTTTTGTATCATTCCCTCGTCCAACGCTACACGAATCTTGTTGAGGCAAAATTGCTACAATTGCCTGGTACAAGTCTCTATACTACCAATCACCACCAATGTTTCGCGCATTAACGTTTCACAGCAAACCCCCGAGTCTTATAGCGTTCGCTAATGCCTCCAAAAGTCGATTATGTGTTGAAAGTACTTCTTATCGGCTTCTGCAGGTAGTCGCATGGAGTCGAACCGCTCGAAGATGTCAGAGTACGTACTCGCGTCCTCGGTACCATCGGTTCAAGTCATCAGAGAAAGAACGATTGTACAAACGGCTCGGTGTGATTGCGGCGACTGGAGCTGGAATCTACTATCTTACTCATTTGGAACGAGTGCCCATAAGCGAACGACGCCGGTTTAACGATGTTTCTTTACAATTTGAAGAACGTATGGCTGAACAGGCATACCAAGAAACAATGATGCAGTATGGGATGAACATGTTGCCAAGTTCGCATCCTACCGTGCAATATGTTGCGCGTGTCATGAAGAAGATTATCGCTGTATCCGGTATGCAGAATCTTCGTTGGGAACTACATGTCATTCGTGATCCGACGCCAAATGCCTTTGTCCTTCCCGGCGGCAAGGTCTTTGTATTTGAGGGCATCCTTCCGATATGTCGTGACGAAGATGGGCTAGCTGCTGTATTGGCTCATGAAACGGCACATCAAATTGCAAGACACTCAGCTGAGAAGATTGCCTTTACACGCGCTGTATCGTGTCTCTTCTGGCTCGCAGCAGCAGCGTTTGACTTGTCAGGACAAGTGTCGCATTTGCTGCTTAATTTTGGCTTGTTACTGCCCTTCTCTCGCAAGATGGAATCCGAAGCGGACTATATAGGTCTCATGCTTATGAGTCAAGCGTGCTACCGTCCAGAAGCAGCGAAAGAGTTGTGGGGACGCATGCACGATATGGAAGAACAGATGGGACGAAAGGTACTTGCCTTTGCCAGCACACATCCTGCTAGCAAGAAGCGTCAACAGCGTATCGACAATTGGCTTCCTGAGGCTCGTCAACGGTATGAGACGAGTGATTGTTATTCAGAAACGTGGCCTGGTATGCAAGCTTTTCGAGAAGCATTCTTTTAAACTGGTTTTGAGAAGTATGTGAGAAGCTCATGCGCCAACATCACCCTCACCCAATCCGTCTGTTTCATACCTCGTCCATCTACACCTGTAATTCCTACTGCCACATAGCTTGGCTCAATTTGGGGTCAAGGAAAAAAAAAGAAGAATTGATACTGAAATCGGTCATTAATATTCATATACTGAAGAAAAGAGAAGTTACAAATGGGAACAACGGAAAAAGCAAGCTACTCGCAACTAACAGCAAATTCCTTGTTTGTCGAGCATTCGTTTGGCTACACAAGTCGCTAAAATGAACATGTTCATTCACATGCTGCTGCTCTTTGATATCCCATGATGGACATTCGTCCTCGTGCTCATTTACCACAGGGACTTGTGATTGTTGAGCGTTAATTTACCGTAAAGGATGGCAGTACCGACGCCAATAGCACTTAGCATACAAGGAACGGGTTTTCTTCCTTTAAGAGCGCGAGGAACGCTAGAACCAAGAAGCAAAGTGGAAGCCGTAAGGCCAACAACGTGTCCAAAGTCGCAGCCTTGTCGTTCGACGTAACTAGCAACAGCATACATGGCACCAACTGCGCTACCAGCAATCAGAGAAACCTTGCTTCCTTTACGGACATACCCCATAAGGCCACCAAGCCCGAGGAATGCGGCTACGGCGTAGCCTACGTTTTCTGTTTTCATCGAAAGCATATTGCGAATATTTTTAAAGTACACGGTGTGTATGGACGAGATGTGATAGCGGGTTGTTTTGTCGACAGAATACGAAATTCTAAGCTCATCCGTCAGCGCATCTTACAGCACTCAACACCGACAACGACACCAGCACGTTTGTGCTAGTGCCGCTACACCAGAAAGCTTGGCCCCGGCTGGCAGCGACTGACGCCAATCCACCAAAACAAAAGATTCCACTTACGGCCCCTTGCAGGACATTGGGAGACCGTTTTGTGGCGAAAATACTGTTTTAAGTTGGTGAAACTTTTTAAACTCACAATTGCACTTGGCCACTTCCTAAGAGCGTCTGGTATACGGGTTTCTTTCGTTTTGTAAAAAAAAAGTCGCTAATTCTATCAACATTGCCGATTTGGGCAATCGACCTTTTCTTTCTCTTTCGTCTTTCTCCCCGTCTTTTCTTTTCGTTTTTGGTTTGGACTGAGCGAGAACGTTTTTGGGTTTCAAGTACTTCTGTTTTACTACTGTATGAAGGCATCAAAACTGGTTTCTTCTGGTCTGCAAGCCTTAAAAACGAGAATTGCACCAACCATGACGAAAATGACCAGTAACCCACTTCCAAGCGCCGCTGTGAATTCTGTTCCACGCACGTTCTACAAACGTCAACTTCCCTCCCAGTGCACAGCCTTTGACTCGACTGAGGGAAAGCGTCTTTTTATGCAGGCTCTGCAGGAAGGAGGTATGGAGAATTACTTTTCACTTGCACAGCAGTTTGTCACACAGAACGAGCCGGCATTTTGCGGGCTTGGTACTCTCTGTATGATATTAAACTCATTAAAAGTGGACCCTGGACGACTTTGGAAAGGTGCCTGGCGCTGGTACGACCAGGACATGCTCGATTGCTGTCGTTCGTTGAGTAACATCAAGAAGGACGGTATTACGATTGAAGAGTTCTCGTGCTTGGCCGCATGCAACGGATTGTCTGCTCAGATGAAACGTGCAGACAACGTTACGTTGGAGGATTTCCGACGCGATTTAGTCAAGTGTAGTACCATTACGGACTGCATCATGGCCGTTTCCTATTCCCGTAAGGCGCTTGGACAAACCGGCGACGGCCACTTCAGTCCGGTGGGAGGTATCAGTTTCAAAGATGACAAGGTGCTTATCCTTGATGTGGCGCGTTTCAAATATCCCTCGTACTGGGTCGATAGTAAGCTGTTATACGAAAGTCTGCTGCCACTCGATAAAACGAGCGGCAAACCTCGCGGTTATGTTATTTTACGCCCGTTAGAAACACCGTTGGGGTTGTTGACATTTCGTCTGAATAAATACAGTTGGCGCCAAATGGAACAACGTTTGGTTCAACAACTGCCGCGGCTGTCCAGCGTGAAGGAATTGGCCGATTTGGTAGCTGGTTTTGATAAGGCTTCACTCGTCCCGCTAATTGACGAACGTGCTGAAAGTGCACCCTCTGCAGCTTTTGAGCAGTTTGTCGAGAAACTTGCACGCACAAAGACGTACCAACTGTTTACCGACGCACAGGTGCGTAACCCTTTGTATACAACGCTTGCTTTCTGGGCAATTTACACGCAAACATCTATCCAGGCATGGTGTTCCCAACCAGTGCTGCTTGAGCTTAATGAGTATCTTGACGAGGCATTCCTGCCAGAATTCTCTGAACAGATGGATACTCTTCGTCAACAACTTGCAAGTTTGACTTCCTGCTGCACTAATGAGCAAGGATGTTGTCGTTCGAGCTGTTGCAATCATGCAAAGTGAGAAAGAAAGGTTCTATTGGAAACCTATTTGCAGTGACCACTCCGCTCGGATCATTTGCCATTAACACCGTCACTGTACTCACCATCTCTATCCATTTCCCCGGTCTATCTATCCTTCCTTCCACCTCTTGTCCCACCTAACTATCTCGCTGGATAATACTCTACCTGCCTCTGATTCATCTCTCATCGTGACTCCACATATATCCCACCTTACCACTCTTTTTTGGTGGTGAGTTTTAGGAGGGGATGGCAACGCATTTACTCTCGTTCTTCGTCAGCAACTGTCGTGGTACTGCGCAAGACATTTCTCAGTAGAGGAGCAATTGTTGCTGATACCCCGTGGTTTCGTTTTATTTTGCGTACCCTTCCGAATCTTTTTACTCATTCTCTTCCCTCCCTTTTTTTTTCGTTGACGACGGAGCACGGCTTCTTGAGCTAATTCCTTCCTCACCACCACTACCTCCACTACCACCAGCCCCACCGGAGCAGAACTTGTCTGCCGCTACTGACGACTGAACGACTTTCCACGAAATTGACTGAACAACTGCTACCCTCCCATACAACCCATCCTCGCTGCCATGTCCCAGTTTCCTTCGATTGAAGAGTTTGACCAAGGCTTGTCGTCAATTTCTACAGCGACAAAGGAGTCTGCGCCTTCTGCCGACTTCATGGAGAGAGAAAAACAAATTCTCGCTGACGACGCAAAACAGTTTGAGAACGCTGAAGGAACCAGTTCCGACAATGGTTTGCTGAATTTTGACGAACCTACTGCGCTTAACGGTGCTGAAAAGGACTTTGAGAGCGCTTTTCCTCCTCTCCAAACCATTATGCAGCCTTCTGGCACCATATCTGCTCCTGCAGCTCCATATATGGCAAACGCTGATGTTCACGCAGACGATGCAACTGCCGGCAACGAGCTTTCGTCTTCTTCTGCAGCTTCTGCTGACCAAGCGGAAGAACAGCAAGAGGAGCCCGAAACGGTCCGTGCTTGGAAAGAAGAGTACAAGAAGAGAATCGAAGACAAGCAGAGTGCTGCCGCCAGATTGCGTGAAGACAATGTTTCAAAAGCCAAGGCATCGATCGACGAGTTTTATGAGAATTTCAACACTAAAAAGGAAAAGCTGGTTGCTCAAGTTCGCGCTGAGCAGGAAGAAATGCTTCAAAAACACTCTGACGATACTTCGGGTTCTACGGCCTGGCAACGCATTGCCAAGTTGGTTGATCTCACTGACCGTTCTAATGTTTCCGGCCGTGACACTTCTCGTTTCCGTAAACTGCTGAAGAGCTTGGCCGACGATGAGCACGCTCCCGGCGCCACTGTCGTTGCTTAAATTGAAAGTTCTTTCTTTTACATCGCTTTCATAATAATCGAATGTGCTTCGTGTACGTTTGCTGTCGGTCCTCGTCACTGCTCACAAGCTCACGAAAAACCAATGTTTGTTAGCGAGTTCACCTTTCTGATCTTGCGTCAAACCGTGATTGTCTTTCTACGTCCTACATAATATACTTTCTATTTTTTTTTCCTTTCCATACTACTTACTACTAAACAATTTCTTACTACGAATAAAGTGTGCGTTATTAATGAGGCATGAGTGGGGCACATGTGGGGTTGACTATCCCACCCCACTCTCGTCCCCCACCATCCCGCCACTTCCCCACTGTGTCGCGCCCTTCCCCTCTTGCCCCCACAGAAATGAAGGGAAATCCAAGCATTCGGGGTTCCGCCATCGGACATAGCTCAGCTCAGGCTGAAGAGGCCGCGGTGCTCGGTAGTCCAGCCACCACCAAAAGTTCTATTCATACGGCCAAGAGTTAAAAGGTTTCGCTTGGTGAAACATACGCGTGTCTCAAAATTTTAGCAATTTGAAAACATGGCAATTGACTACAGCAAATGGTAAGCGTTTTTTTGCTCAGGGTAGTCGACTAATTGTTTAAGGGACAAGTTGGAATTGAGCGATGACAGGTACGTATAATGGTAGTGGAAGATGCAATATTGAAGACGGACACGAGTTTTTTGCTAACGTTTCAGTGACATCGAAGGTACGGTGGGAGAATGGTTTTAGAAAGTAGTGATGTGAAAACAGCATTGTGGCTTTTTACTGCTGCCCTTGAACCATTTACGGAGCCCTGTTATTAAGAAACCCTGCTGTTGCATGATCTAGCAAAGCTTCTTGACGGTCCTTTTGCGTGTCTGCTAACAAAGTGAATAACAGTTCATCCTAATGTCGACAAAAAATCGTTTATCCGTTGGCGCCAACGTGATATTCACGAAAAACGTGCTATGAGAAAACAAAAGATGGCCGACATTCGTGCGGCTTCAGACATGAATCGCCGCCTTGCTTCCCGTATCCAAGAATTGATCCATCATGTCCAGGGACTCTCTGACTCGGACAATGCCCTTCAAGCTTGTTCGGAATACCTGGACCAACACGCAGCCGAAGACGCTGAAAAAGCAATTGAAGGAGGCGCCTCTTACCATGAGATGCTCAAGTCTCTTCTTTCCCAAATCCAAAAAGACGTTTCCTCTGCTTCCAGGGAAGATTCATTAGCTTTGGGAAAAAAGAGCATCGAGGATCAACTTGGAAAACACAGCAGCCGTCTTAAAGAATTATTGGAAAAGGCTCAGAAGGAGTATGAACAACTCGAAGAAGAAAGTAAGAGATACATAACGTCTGAGGATATTCATATTGGCTTTGACAACACAATTGTTACAAAAGCACCTCCTTCCAAGCCAAAAGGAGCAAAGAAGGAAAAGGTCCAGGTGATTGAAACACTCAATGCCGACTCTGTACAGGATGAACAAGCGGGTAGTAGTGCTGCTGCTGCTGCTGCTGAAGAGCCTGAAGATGATGAGGAGGATTTAGAGGAATTGACGGTTTCCGAAGCTGGCAAGGAATTTGCACAGCTTGGCTCTGCCGATTACCGCAAGAGTGAGAGTTTCATTCTCTCTCACTTGGAAATTCTCGCAAGACCGTCCGAGTCGGACAGTCTACTGATGGAGGCTTTCAACGCTGAAATGGACGGCAGGAGTGCTTTCGCCATGCAATGCGTTCGACAAGCTCTATTGCTGCAATACTGTCGCCAATTAGGAGCAAGCAGTATTAGTGTCTTTTTTAACAAGTATGAAAACGGTGACCAAACGCTGCTATGTGACGCGTACTAACATGAATTGCAGAATAGAACAAGCCGATGGTCGAGCCCGTGGTTTGTTTGAAAATGATGTTGCCCAAACATACGAACGTGTCCACACTCGTGCAACCGCGCTCGCGCGCGAGCAGCTTGAAAGAGGTGAAGCCGTTGAACAAATTCAATTGTGTGCCGTGGATCCTAATACCACAATTAACATTATCGTTCCCAGAGCCGATTCAGAAGATGCGGAAGAGAGAGCTGCACGTGAGGTGTTTGATTCTTTCCCTCTTGATTTGCAAGAAGCGTTGGCTACGAATAATCTCGACACAATTAACAAAGTGCTTGGTGAAATGAAGGTCACTGACGCTGAGGAAGTTGTTGAAAAACTTAGCCAGAGTGGCATCCTTAGCATTGAAGAGGGTATCATTGACACCACAAAGGGAGAAACAATTCCCCAGCCCGATGCTTAGAAAAGGAATCCAATTTAAGTTTAAGTGTCTTTTAATTAGCAGCGGCGTACCTTCAGTTCGCCCAAGTGTCAGCAGTCAACCGTTGACACATTGTGCAAACATAGGAACAGTGAAAAATGAATTGGAAATTATCCACCACCTTATATTTGTTATCAATGCTATTCTTGTGTTGTTATTCTCAAGTGATAATTGTTTACCCTTTTTAATGAATCCATTTCAGTGTTTATAGAACCTGTACCTCGGCCATGATAGCGACGTGATCACTGGGGAAACGTCCTTCTTGGGGCTCGGCCTCATTCATTTCATTGTTTTCAGGACAACGTAGTAAACTGACGAGGCGGACATCATCCGTAATGCGGCCAGAGTCGTTCACTTCCTCCGTTTTAGGTGCAGAAACGGCGTTGCGATCCATAACAAATATATAATCCAAATGACCACGGTATTTATCGGCCCAATTGGTAAAGCTTGGATGCTCAAACGTATTACCGGCATTTCCAGGATGTACCTTCTTGTATCCGTACGAGTACAAGCTTTTTACCACCGGGTTCTTGGCGTGTTGATCAAAGAATATATCGTAATGAGGGAAGTCGGAACTTTGTACATGACGAATCTTCTTAGACTTCTTCTTCACCTTCGAAACCTGTGTCTCCAATGTGACAACAGAGGCTGAAGACGTTGACTCTTGTGTAGCCTCTGTTGAAGTCTCATCATCCGGACCCGTTTCCACGTCCACACTTTCTTGCTCTGGAACAGCCGACTCTATAGAAAGACCGGATGCTTTCTCTTCTGCATTCTTTTCATCTAGATCAGCTGCACCAAAAACGTACGACATACTGCGCTCAATGATATCCATTGATCGCTTAGAAATATCGAGCGGGCGGGTTGTAAGTGCTGGGAAGTTTGTATCATAAGGCTCTGTGTTGAAGTCGCCGGCAATGAAAACAGGCCAAGGATGACTTTGAGCAAACTTGTTGACTTCCTTCACCAGAAGTGCTCCTTGGCGCAAGCGTTCATAAGAGCCAAAAGGATGCCAAAAAAGATGAGTTGTAGCTAAGTAAATACCTCGATCCGGTTGGTCAATACGTTGTAGGGCAACGCAGCAGCCAACGTTTTTGGTAGGCATACGACCAGGCAGTTCATCATGCTCGTCATAGGAGATGGTAACATCGTTCACCTTAGTAAAAACTTTAGCAGACCAAAAAACAAAAATGCCATGAGTTTTTCCGGGATAACGGACAAAATGCACCTTGTAACCGTGCTCCTCAAGAACCTTTTGGTAGAAAGACGGAACAAACTCGGCATCAACTTCTTGCATACAGCCAACAGTTGGCATGTAGTGAAGCAGTTCGTTCTCTAGCATTCTGGAACGAAATTTCCACTTCAATGCGTCTCCACTCTTGGGGAACATAGTGCGTCGAATGTTTGTTTGTGCAAGAACATTGTATGACATAACCGTGAACGTCAATGGTTGTTTATCTTTTTCAAAGGGCTGAAAGGAAGGCAAACGTAGCATAGGACGCTTGATAAAGTCATCATTAAAGGGCCGTTGAGTCGGAGGAGGAGGAACGCCTTTCGCTGCTCGCTTTGCAAGTCTTTCAAGTTTTTTCTTCCTCTGTTTCTCAATAAACTCAGGCGTTACAAAAGAAGGGACCTTCTTAGTGGTTTTGCTTTGAACTTCCTCAGACATTTTCCAAGCTTGACAGATTTTCTTCAGCAAGCGTGCCGTCCTGAGTATCTTGGTGGTACCTCCGCAGTGCAGTATTAGGGATTGTGTGGTTCGTGAAGAAAGATGCAGCGACAAACACAGCGTAAGCACAGTAGAACCCTTTTCTCGTTTTAAACAAGATTAAATAGTAACCTAGAACCCTAAGACTTACCGAAAAGCACGAACATTGGAGGTTTCGGATTGATGACGACGATTGGCTTCTAACTGGAATTGCATTGGCAGTCGCTCTGTTTCATTGTTCTTTTTGGACTTAAAATATGAGTATTGGTGTTGGTAAACCTCTATTTTGTCGATTTCCTCGCTGTCGAGATATTGTTGAATTAAAGTTTCAAGACCCATGTCAGTCCAAACGGGCTGGGTTTTTTGCTGTTTGTTTCGCGTCAAAATCAAATGAGAGCTAGATTGTTGAATAGCAACTTCATCGTCGGGAAGTGGAGGAAGCTGTTGTAACCCTACATCGATGTCGTCGACAGGGAGTTTGTCTTGCAACCAAGTCGGCGCGTACAGTACCGTTCTCGGACGTTGCATGTGAATTTGACTGTATTGACTGTCCATTTAAGTCACTCGAATTAGTGTCAGAGGAATTGGAATGCTGCGTAGAAGGGTATTGGGAAAAGGCAAGTTGCAGTGCTCGTCTCCTACGAAGTAACTTGTTCTATGACGTATGCTTCGCTTCCGGTGCAAATAAGGTTTTCTTCAACTACGGACAAAAAGTAGCAATATTAACAATTTCGTGACTGTACATCAATTGCCTCAAAACTCGCTAAAACGCTATGTATAATTTGTTTCCTGAAGGTTTTTTTTGGTTGCGTGGAATTGGTTAATATTCAAATACGCTAAGTTGTTAAAATGAGTTCCCCACAATTCGCCGACCCGAAAAATGCGAAATGCGAAATTAGCTTAGTTCACTATGTGAAATGAAGTTTATGTTATTAGTACTAAGAATAAAACTTGTTTAACGGGTCTATGTAGCTTAATTGACAGTATAGTATTTTCATGAATCAGAGGTGTTCACGTTATCTAATTTTATTAAGGGAGTAATAGTCGAAAACCCTGTGAATCAGTTGCGACAGCTCCGTGTGATCTTGCGAAAACAAGCATCTGACACTTTTCAATTTTCATTAACAGTATCAACGCTTGCGAAGCTGTTCGCTTAAGTCTTGCTCGTATACGAGAAGCAATAACAATAACGGCGAGGAAGAAGGCAGATGGCGAGAACGAATGTGGAGGAGACTAAGAATATTTAGGAAGTTGATACAACAATTGAAGCTTGTCCTGTTCTGTTAACTGTTTACAGTCTCCAATGCTTCCATTAAAAACGGCTCTGTAGCGAATGACTGAGGTTGTCGCGGTCACAGCGCGAATCATAGTAATTGTTTACCTTACGAGAAAACGGAATGAGGAAATGAATGCGCAGAGCCGTCAGGTTTGTTTATTCAAAACGAGTTATCTGCTCTCACGCACACTCTCTTCCATACCTCTCCACACTCGAGTCGAAGCCACAAACAAAACAGGAATTGCTCCAATTTCCGCAGTTGACGGCAAAAGAAGACCAAAATCCCGTTCATTTTCTACGGGAAACAGTAATTGGCCTTGTTACTTGGGTGAATTTAAATTATATTGAGTCGAGCGTAATTGACATATTCACACCAGTTTGTTCAAGATGAAGCTGGCCGCAATCGCATTCAGTATCCCCGAACCAGCTTGCTTTCCTAGGGACGATACGATTTTGTTCAAAACAAAGCCCGGTTTCTACGAGCCTGATCCTTTTCGCCGTATTGTCGAGTCCGTCCAGCGTAACTGTTCCTATGTTTCTAAGATTCTCCCAGGAATAAACATGCAATTGCATCAAAAGCATGAAGAACACACGTTTGACCAGAATAGTACGCATTCAATTGTCGTTTCAGGTGTTGGTGATAACGACTCCCTCATTACTGCAAAATCGTTTATCCTCAATCGTATCCCAAGTCTGTTGGCACATTACTCTCCTCTGCCCAACAAGGACATTAGTTTAGTGTTTTCCGAAACCGATCATCCTTATGAAAGCGTGACGCAACGACTTAATTCTATTGCAGCCTCGACGGGCGCACAGATTTTTGTTACGAAAAGAGTTTATGCCGATTCAGGTATTAGCCTCAATGGGAATCGTGCAGACCACCAACGAAAATCTAGTCTCAATTCCTTAAGCTCGGAAGAAAGCACGAACAATGAGACCAGTATCTACAGTTTTTGTTTCTTTGGGGACTATACAAGCTTAGAGCATGCACGAATTCGTACTCTTGCCATGCTCGATGAAGCAAGAGGTGCAGCCGTTCTGTCCATTCCCATATCCATTTCCTTCCAACCGATTCTTGTTGGTACAGGTCAGGTGCAACAGGAAACAGTTGGCGTGAAAACGTATACTCTTCCATTCTGCGCCGAGCCCCTTCCACGTTCCATTGATTTACCCAAGCTCAATTCTGCTCAGATTATTTTGACCGGTGATGCACAGAAGATTCGAAAGGCAAAAGAAAGAATTCAGCATGCAGAAGAGCATCTGAAGATATTTACTCAGGTCATGGAAATTCAACCAGAGAAGATTCGCTGGATGTTGCTGTATGCTATCGACAAACTTCGACTGATTATGGAGGAAAACTCGGCATTTGTTCGTTTCCCGGATTATTCCATTCAGTCCTATGAAAAGTGTGCAAAGAGTTCGTTTGTAAAGATTTATGCTTCTAGTTCGGTAAATGCTGAGAAAACTGCCCTTCAAATAGCCAAGCTTGTCGGTACCATATCTGTAGGAAAGTATGCACTGCTTCCTCTAAAGATGGGTCCGGTAAAGTTCGAACTATTCCGCGAACTGAGTGCAAGCGACATTGTTTCTGAAAAGTCTGGCTCTAGCCAAAGCATCCATTCACCCGAGCGCTTAAAAATGATGACGCCCGCACATTGTCCAACAGCTGACGAAGTCAGCAAGTCGTTGCAAGATGCTGAATTGGCAATGATCCCCGACTTGATTTCCCATATAGTTGGGCTGACCATGTTGTATGGCGTGGATGCCAGTTTCAGTGACAATTGTTTTACGCTGCTCGGTAGCAATCACGAAGTGCAGTTGGGTCTGCGCAAACTGTCATTGTTTATGTTCACTCGTAGCTATTCGCATTGGTTTGAGATACTGCTGGAGGCTCCCACGAAAGATTTAGACTTCATTGCTGGCAAGAAGAACGGAAAACTTGACAAGGTGAAGCAGACCTCGAGGCTGAATCACAAGAACGGTGATATTGTTTTCCGTAAAAGCATGACAGACACGTTCACCATTGACATATATGGTGAAGACTTGGAGAGAGTGATTAAAGGAATGGACACAATCATGCTTGAGTTTCCTGCGGAGATGTTGTTTTATATTCCCGAGGGCATTCACAAGAAATTGATTGGATTCCGAGGAGAACAGATTCAGCGTGTTACCAAGTTGTATAACAGCTACATTGAGTTCTCAGCAACTCCTTTTGACTGCTACAAAAATAATGTTCTCATTCGGACACCTGCAAAATTCTCAGAGAACCTGTGGGCCGTCAGATCATTGTTTGTGAAGACCGCGGAAGGACTTGGCTACACACTGTAATGCGTCTCATCTGAATTGTCACCTTTCACCATACGATGAACATCGCTTCTCCGCGCGTGTCACGGGCCGACGACTTTTCGCGATAACCGTCCCAGCATGTTTATCGGCTCACCGTTGCGATTCGTAATTCCTCTTCAACAGTTCATCAACAGACATGAATTACTTGTCTATTTTATTTGTTATAATGACCCCATTCGAATGAGAAATGCTGCTCTATATGTACTGTTCCGCAGCAGGTTCTTTAGATATAGTACCAAAAAAAAAAAAACTAAATATAAATGAAAACTAAGACAAAAACGACCCTCTGTATAATGAACTAGTAGCTGTTTTTGGTGGAAGTGCGACATGAGTTGTATTTGCCGTGTTTTAGCGGTAACGTTTCTTGCTCCTAGGGTCGTTTACGAAGGAAACTTGGTTGAGATATCTCACCGTAGTATTACTTAGCTTTCGCCAAATACACGCACTCGCTAACGAAACGGGAAATAGAGGAGAAATAGAAGACACTACTACTCGTCTCTTTTGGAAACACCGTTCATTTCATAAGCTCATTGTTGTAATCTGTTTTTTTTTTGGTTCTAATGTTTCGTTCTTTATAAGCTTTCTTTTTTGTTCTAAATCCGTCATATTGGCTATAAAAACTACGTTACGTATACGAAATCTTAATGGACGATACTTCTCTTGCCTCGTTTAAGACGCTGGATAATGATGAAAACCCTGGTTTTGATGTTGAGCCACGTCTCAGATGCATAACTTGTGAAAAGGTAGGGAAAAACGACTCGGTTTGCTTTGACGTCGAGATGCGGGTGATTTTGATCGTATTAACATGCTTTAGTTGCTTTCTGAAGGTGTTTTTCTTACTGTAAATAATAACTTTTACCACGGTAACTGGTAAGTTTGAAACCTGGTTCTTTCAGATGATTTCCTCTTGGATCACTGTCCGCCTTATTCCTCTGGCTGTCTTGCTAACTTTTTAGTTTCCGTTGCGAGAAATGCGGAAAGACACTTGCCGTGCGTGATGCAGTCGCCTTCACAAACAGTAATCAACCTATCTGTAAGGATTGTGTAGAAGTGTGTAAGGCTTGTAAAAGTCCTATTCTTGACATGGCCATTATTACTGGCATGGACGCATATCACTCTACGTGCTTCTTTTGCAGCAGCTGTAACACAAAAATCACCGAAGCGATCTTTGCCCGCCGTAATAACCAACTTTTTTGTATGAAATGTCTACAGATCACGGATGCTGTGACAAGTCCCACCACGCGAGGTCATTCTCGCAGTGTTTCCGGTGCCTCCTTTTTCAAAGCATCTTCCAATAACTGCAACCGCTACTCCTACCTGTCCTCACCCGTTCCGAAGCTTGGTGCTGAGCTCAGTTTGTCGGCTGCAGCTGCTACGTTTGCACAACGCGTCGTCTCGCCGATTGACATGAATCAAAATACCATTGCTGAACGTCTTGCTGTCCCCGATGTATCCAGCATTTCCGCATCCACCCCTGTTGACCCGTCCCTTCCTTTGGGTTCCAATTCCGCAAAACCAGCTTTGCGTTTGTATACCTCCAACCCCATTATAGCATCATCGACTGAGAACTCTAATGTGATACCCGAAGTTGTTCAACTTTCTGATGGCAGTGATTTGAGCAATAATGAGTCGTCTGGCACCGCCTTTAGTGCACCGAACTCTGTAGCTACGAAACATGCATCTTTGCACGTTCCCTTAGTTGCCGCTCAAGTGAACGATAAGGAGAATGAAGCTGCAGTGCACACGCCCATAACCTCTCCTGTCTCTGTAACCTATAGTCCAAAGGACCATATTACGCTTGCCCAAGAAAAGCAGGGATCTATAGCGGCAGCGGCAGCGCAGTTGCCAGCGGGTTCTGCTACGGCAAACTCGAGCGCACGTCGCCCTGTCCAAATACCCCGTTCTGTGCCCACCACGCCTGAACACCTCAGAGATTCTTTAAACCGTCTTCGAAGTGTTTCCAATACCTCCACTGGTAGTAATGTTTTGGGTGATAACAATTTCAGACGCGTTTCTTCCGAGGTTTCGCAACCTCATATACCCAAATCCGTGAATGCTGTCGAGGATCCCGTCCAATGCACTTCCCCCGTCAATGAGCCCCGTACAAGCACTTCCACTGTACACTCCATCACGCCTACCGGTGCTAGAAAAGTTGCCGGTGAAGCAATTGCCTCGAAGCCCAGGGTCCCCTCAAACTCGCCTTTCAATTCCGCCGCTTACCGAGCTAAAAGCCTTTCATTTATCCAGGATCCCGCGGAACGTGAGCTGTATGCTGGCCAAGGTGATGTTTCGAACAGTTCGCTTGTTCGCCTGAGTGGAATCTTTTCTTCAAATGTTTTTGATGAGACGGAAAATGATGCCAGGGATTTGGTCTCAAAGATGGCAGGCTTGCATGTTCAGCGTGCAGTTTTATTGATGGAGATTTCGTCGTTGTTGAGAATGAAGGATCGCTCACCAGCGCTTACTCCAAATCGCTTTAAGCAAGAATTTATTGCTGATGTTAATCGTGGTCTGGATTCCTTGCGCAAGTCGTTCCAACCAGAGTTGGCGTCCTTGCTTTTGAAAAGAGATGCGCTTTCCGCGACTGTGGAAAAGCTGCAAAATGCCTATAGTGCCTCTATGGAAGAGACAGCATATTTGAATGTTAAGAATGCGGAATTACTAGGCATTAACAACCAATTAGAGAGAGAAATTGCTTCTAAGAAAGAAGAGTACTCAAAGAAACGTCAATCAACGTTTGGTTTTTCGAGACATTTTCGAAACAGACACTCTACCACTGACAAGGACGAAGTTACGAGCTCAAGCTCACGCGAGTCTCATTCTCGTCTGCAGCAAGTTGCATCAAGTCTTGGGTTCCGGCCTCGTGAAAAGTATAACCCGAGCGAATCACCTCAGCAACAACCGGCTAATTTGGAACATAAAGGCAGTTTCTCTAGACGGTTTTTGTGGCGCCGTGACTCAAAACATCCTTCCTCAAAAGCAAAGAATCGTGCAAGTAGTGTAATGAGCTTTTCTGATTTGAAGATTACGGAGGAAGATGAGATTCCATCATTTGGAATGTGCAAACTTTGTGGGAATTATTCAAAGAACCTGCCTCGCCATTACCAGGACTGTTTAAGTCAGGCAATGGATGGACAGTATCAGGCGCAACGCCAAGTCCGTATGTCATTTCCTTTTATTCTTGTGATTGAATGTCAAGTATCTAACTTTTTGCAGAGGTCAACCCATTGGTTGAGACGAGTAGTTTCGATCCGCAACGATACACGCTGACTCGAGTCCCTCATTTAATTACGGCGTGTATAGGCTTTGTTGAGAAGTATGGTCTTGATTATGAGGGTCTGTATCGAAAATCAGGAGCTACTTCGCAAATGAAACGAATTGTATCTTTACTTGAGAACGGAAATACGGAGCTTGGTCCAAATGAAGACATATCCGCTGTTACTTCTGTACTTAAACAGTATTTGCGCAACCTTCCGAATCCCATAATCACCTTCGACCAGTATTACCCACTAATTGAAGCAAGCGGTATAAGAAAACCGGCTGAAAAGCTGATTGGAATTAAGCGAGTTATCTCTAATCTCCCGTCTATCCACGGCCAAGTTTTACGCCTAATTATGTTCCACCTTGCAAATGTTGTCAAGATGAGTCACTTAAACTTGATGAACTCTAAGAACTTGGCTGTTGTGTTTTCTCCTACACTCATCCGAGATCCTGATAATTCTCGAGACGTTTTGGATATGGCAATGAAGAATTTGTGTCTGCATTTTATGATTGACCACGTTGAGGAGCTTTTCTGATAATCTTAACCCCAATCATAAGAAACATATGATGTTATGTTTCCTTACTATGACTCTAGATAGGTATGATTGACGTTCGAGGAGTTATCAGAACTGTGTTTTCTATTTATTTTTTAAAAAAAAGAACATCTGTACCACTGAAAGAAAACGAATGGAATGACAAGGAGCACCAAACATAATATGGAATACTATAATCCAAGCGCTTTAGGCGCTTAGAGGTCTACGTTCTTCAAAGTAAATCCCTTTCGCTTCATCTTTTTGCATAGTGTTGATTTTCCGTTTGACGACCTTTAATAGAAAATGCACTTAGAATTTGGAATGAAAAAATATAACTAGTTTGACTAAATAATGTGTGATTAATGTTTGTTTAACTATTTTTACAACAATGTATGGAGGCTGAATTGCGCAGTTCTCCTACTGGTGATTGAATGACTTTTCTAAAATCCGTCTTCATCCTAGCGAACTCTGTCACTCCTCCCATACTAGCGACCTGTTTAAAAAAACAGCTTTTACCGAGAAATAGTTTGCGACAAAATCCTGTTACTCTTGTCACTGATATCTAGAGGTGCTCCAATTCTTAGTGAGGAGGAGCCGCGAGTTTTGTCGCATGGTTTCGTATGAAAATTGTTCGTAAAGGATCATAGGCTTGGTTGAGCAATTTGCTAATACTCATGCTTTTGTAGCATTTATTGGGGTTCTCGAAAACAACCGAACTCTTACTTAAAGGCTTCAGTAAATGTCATAGCGACATTCGAGTGGAATTGCTAAGTCGAGGTAGTCGACATGGTTTGAGCATTGCTTCTTACTTAACGGAACAAGCATGTAGCCTTGACAATGTATCTATCCAATCATATAGGGATACTGCACCCATTAGATTGCTGCTTGTATACACATCTGTTATGAACACAATTCCCTACTTTCAAAACATGCAGCATCGATTGGGCCCTGAGACACAGATTCTGTTACTTAATCAAGGTGTCTCGGGAACTGTAAACTGTTACAACATCTTAAGGCGCAAAGGATTAAGGTCGCAGTTGTTTATGGGTAATCTGGAATTCCCAAGACACGCTGAAGAAACAAGGCAGACGAATTGTCTTGTTTCCATAAAACTGGCTCGTTTAAAAGACTCTGAGAACAGTTCACATTTATCTCATACAGTCGATACTTTGAACATGCTCGAAACGGACCTAATATCTGTTGACAAAAAAGAGCTCTCCCTTCTACTTAAAGACCAACTAATATCCGCGTCAGCCATATACATCCACATGGCTCGAGAAATCATAGGAGCGGCCGTAAATCAAGTCGATGTCCTGACCTTTGCCAAAAGCAAATTGGGTATGAGCCTTGTCAAGGACTGGGAGGAACGAGTGAAGCATACAGCCTTTTTCTTTCCGGCAGACACACTCGTACCGCTTCTTTATGAACGGTTGAAGTGGCCTAAAGAGCGACTACTTGAAGCCATTCGTGCCGACTGGATATCTCCAACGACAAAATTGCAAAAGAAGCATTTTACGGAGGTAATGTTTTCTGTCTTTTCTAATTGGAAAAAGTTAGAGGGGATCATGCCTATTCTGTTGAGCATGTACGCAACGGGTAAAGGCGGAAATGTTCGGCACGACATGTTTTATTGATAGGGACAGTACACTTTGAATGACTGATATGTAATCGTATGTATAATTATAACATTTATCAAGGCGCACCTGACAAAATGGAGACTTTTAATGGCAGTTGAGGACTCATCGTTGGAAGTAGGAGAGATGTCCTGAAGTTTTTGTTCAGACTTTTTCTTCAGGTGATTCTTAAAAAGTGTTTCTTCATAACTAACCATTCTACCAGTCCGTCACAAACACGTTGGCCATACTGACTCCCCTTTAAAATCGTTCTTCTTCTACAAAGAAAAGCTTAGTGTAAAATTACTTTTGTCATTTCCGCTTTTCGGAACTTCAATATCTCATTTCCCAATTTCCTTTCTCTATAAATGATTTATCATATTTTTCCTACACAGTTCTGTTTCTTATTCAATCCAGAATCTATAATTCATGGTTGATCTGCAGATCTGCAAATCACTATTGTCGATCACCACCGTTAATCCACCTGCTACAGAGAAACCAAGCGAATCCCCACCACCTGGCTCAACCTTTTGCAAAGATGTCTGCTGCCGAAAAGCTGCTGCTTGGAACGGAAGATGCTGAAGAGGAGTTTTACTCTGATGAAGAGCACCAGGAAGAAAGCAGATTCAAGGGAATTGTGTCTTCCAAACGCGAGAATTCACGCGACGACGATCATGACTTAGGAAGTGACGCGGAATTCTACGGCATGGATGAAAGTGATGAGGAAGAAGAAGGCGCCGCAGATGGAAAACGTGAAGGAGAGAGCAATTCTGAGCTCGGAAGTGATGATGAAGGACAAGAAGTTGGCTCAAGAAAATCGTCGAAAAAATCCAAAAAGATAGCAAAGATCTCACCAGAAGAGGTGGAAAAGGCGAGAAAAGCAATCAAACGTTCAGGAGTCGTCTACCTGTCACGGATTCCCCCTTACATGTCTCCTCAAAAGCTTCGTCATTTACTGTCTGCTTACGGAAAAATTGGTCGTATATATCTGGCACCTGAATCAGCCAAGAAGCATGCAGCTCGTGTGAAAAACGGTGGTAACAAACGCACACTGTACGAGGAGGGCTGGGTAGAGTTTGAGAGCAAGCGAGTTGCTAAAACTGTCGCAGCCATGTTGAACACTCAGACGATTGGCGGAAAAAAGAGCAATTGGTATCATGATGACATTTGGAACATCAAATACCTGCCCAAGTTTAAGTGGCATCATCTTACAGAACAGATTGCAGCCGAAAATGCAGCTCGTGCAACTCGTCTGAAACTCGAGATTCAACAAGGCAACAAGGAGCTGAAGGAATACGTTCGCAACGTTGAACGTGCAAAGATGATCGAAAACATGCAAAAGAAACGGAAAGAGCGTTCGGAGACTGAAGGCGAGTCAGCTCCTCCTGTTGAGCCGGCCAACAATGACAACTCAAAACAACTCCGTCGCTTCTTCCATCAAAAGAGCGCTAGCAGCCACCGGATACTTCCAAAGAGTGGTCAAGACAGCGAAAAGGTCCAAAATGTTCTTCGTCGGGTGCTTTAGAGAGAAAAGAAAACGAGCAAATTAGGGTCAATGAAAAAAAGGTTTCAGTAATTAGCACGCAGCGACTAGGCATTTACAAACTTGAAGAGCAGCAACTGATTGAGAAAACCTTTGACCAAAAAACCGCGAAACAACCAAATAAACCTATCCTTCCAAACCCATCCGTCCTCTCCCCACCTTTTGCCCAACTGTTTCTTTTTTGAATAAAAAAATAATAATTAACGTATTCTTCACTAAATACAAACTTTATCTACAAGCTTTTTATGCGGCGAAAATGAAGACAAGAGCACTGACAGCCAAGGCATAAGGAAGGAAAGAGCCGCTCAACTTGGGAACACCGGCAGATTGCACGGAGGCGGAAGTCGAGGCAGAGGACAACGAAGTGCTGGCAGACTTCGAAGTGACAGAGACAAGAGAGCTGGAGGAAGCAGTCTTGGAAGCGGAACCAGAGCTAACAGCGCTAGTGGAGCTGCCAGAAGCAGAGCTGCTGCTGACGGAGCCAGTAGCACTGGAGGAAGAAGCAGAGGTGGAGGCGGATGCAGACACAGAGGACGAGGCGGAAGCCGAGGCAGAGGAAGAAGCAGAGCTGGTGCTGGCAGAAGCAGCAGAGCTGGAGTCAGTGCTGGCACTGCTGGTTGCGCTGCTGACATCACTGCTGCTGCTGGAAGAAGAGGCACTGCATTGGGAGGCCACGGTTTGGTTCTTGACGGTGAAGTAAGAAGATTGAGCGTAGATTTGCTCGGGAGTGTTCTTCTTGGTCAAGTAAATCTCAGCGCTGGAGGTGAGGGGAAGACTGCAGGAGGTGAAGCTGTAGGTACCGGCACTGGTGCTCACAGAGTCATCGAGGAGAGTGTAAGAGGCGCCGGAGGATTGCATGTCGACAAAGTAAATGGCGACCGTCTCGGGGTCCGTGCTCACAGAGGTCCATGTAATGGTGTTGGTGTCTTGAGACGACCAAACGGAGTCCTTAGTAGGACTGGTCACTTGCAAGGCGTTGGCAACGCCAGCAGCCAGGACCAAAAAAGATGCGATAGAAGAGAGCATGATGCAGCTAATGAAAGAGTATGGGGTAAGAGAAATTGGTAAGAAATTAGATGTGGGAAAAAGCACTGAAAACCGAGTCAAGGAAAAAGACAAAGTCAAACTGGAGGAGTGAAAAAAATCCGAGAAATGAAAAAATGAGAAGACGAAATTCCACACAAACGAAGAATGGAGGAAATGCAAGAACAGGAAGAGTGACGCTTCTGTCTGAATATATATAAGCGAGAAATGAAGTGGTTAGATGCGAAGACGTTACAGAAGTGGGTGTCTGAGCAAGTTCAACTTTTTGATGAGACGTGCAGATTCACCGACTTATAAGACTTCGTTGCCCAAGCATCACCTCGCCTTTTATAACAACAGTCGCCCTAGGGGGCTGGAAACCGAGGTGACATTCAGTAAGGAGGCAGATGTGACTCACCTTAGTACGAAGGAGGCTTAAGTGGGCTGAGTAGCGATGATTAACTTGAGAGACAGCAGATGTTGTCATCATTTAGAGTCGTTAGAGTCGTCGTTAAGGTCGCCTTTTCGTTCCGATCAGCTCGTGGACATACACGAAACTTGCGTATTTAGAGCCGATTTGCTGCGCATCATTTCATAAGCGAACACAGTCGCCGAATAAGCTCGCGGGGCTCGGCGCGGGGAAAAGAAACGCCGACAGGGGGAAAAGATCGGCATAACAATACCGCATGCTGATTTGCTGATTTCGCGTTGCGATGCGACAATGACGTAGGCACAGAGGCTCAAAATGCAGATCCGAGTTCGAAGAAAGAGGAACTGTAGGAGGAACCGTGAAAGAACGAATCCCGAGCGGTCGCTTAGCACCCTGGATGAGATCGTGTGTTGGAGGAGGTGTGTAATTCGCTGCAATTCGTCCAGTGGTGCACTGTTGGTTTATCGCTTTTGTCGTCTGTGCCGAAATCCCCAGCATTTCTCACCACCAAAATAAACAGCTCGGAGCTTCGGTAACGTTCGCTTGTGTTCGCCAATTCTCGCGTATTCTCGCTACCGCTTGCGTTCTCTCTTAGCAAGTATTTCTAGTGCTTTCATTGCAGCTCGGGCTCCAGCATCCTTCTGGTTGGCTCCCCATGATCGCGCAATTTCATCCCCATTGAATTTGCATGCGACAACATAGCCATCAGATGAGCCGCCCTTGCCATCGACCCAAGCATATTCAATAAAGCCCTGGTGCTTGTAGCGGTGATAAAGTTTGGCCTTGGCGCGCTTGTCAATCGGCCCGTCAACAACCGTTTCGCGTAGTTTCGGCTCTGTCAGTCGTCGTACCCAGCGGTACGCTTCTCGCTCCTGGCCGTCCAAAGCGAGTGCTCCCAGGTACGCTTCGAAGGTGTCGGCGATCACCTTTTTGGCTTCTCGCAACTCGTCCTTTTCTGCAGAAACACTCAGCACGAGGCGCTTGTCAAAGCCATACAGGCGAGCATACTTTTCTGCCGTTTCGTTGCCGACCAGCTTGGACCGGAGCTTGGACAGCTCCCCCTCGTTGAGTTCGGCAAACCTTTCGTAGATGAGTCGCGTAGTATAGAAGTTGAAGAAACTGTCACCAAGAAACTCAAGCCGCTCGTTGTGGACGGAGAGTAGGTCTTGTGAATTAGAGTGGTTTGGATAGAGTTCGTAGGCTCGTGAAATGTGCATGAACACCTGTTTCTCCAATTTGGAGGACTTTAATTTTGGTAACGGAGGGGGCCATTCTCCTTCTTCGTTTTCACTGTCAGAGGGGTATAGCGAAGGGAGATGGGATGAAGAGAATTGGGATGCAAGTATTGGTGCATTTGTCGCTTCCACGACCTCGCCCTCTTCCTCCTCTGCAGCTGCAATATTATCAGCAGCCGGCTCCTTCTCCCCCTTCCCCTTTAAACTTGAGCTCAAGTGGGCGGCAACGTTCTTCATCTTCCGACAAAGCTTTTCATCCACCTCCTGTAGCTTCTCTTCCTCTGGCATGCTGTCCAGCAACCCGAGGACAGAGTCGAGCACGGACGAGAGCTTCTTTAACTTTTTCTGCACCTCTAAACGGTGTCGAGTCTCGACGGGCTCCTTTGTTTTTTGCTTTTTTGATGTAACATCATTTCCGGAGGAAGGACAAACTTCGTCGACGGAACGTTTCTCGTGTCCTGTGTGTCCCATCTTTTTACCCTATTCTTCCTGTAAATCTGTAAATACCAATCGTCCACTAGAACCTCGTAAAACAATTCCAATTTTAATCCAAAAAAGCCTCTTTAAATAATTCTTTTCCTCCCAAAACTTTGACGCTTCCTTCGTTTTTTGAAAATTGGTATTCTGCCAAATTTGCGTCCATTCACCGCAAAGACGTAGCAAATCAAGCAAACGCGGTCCGTGGTTCCAAAAGAAGGAGTCTAGCTGTTTTCAACAACCGTTGTTTAACAAAATTGTTGTTTCCTCGGTAGGATTGGTTGTTGACAAGGTCTGCCGTGAAACACACGCGTTCACTGTTTACCACCAAGTCAGCAATGGCAAAAAGCTTGGAGGAAAAAACGGAGAATCTCAGCTTAGAGGATCCTTGCTTGCCTGAGATGAACCCCGTGGAGAAAGAAACGGCGGCATCCGTAGCTTCTGAACTTGTAGAGAAGAAGGAAGTCGAGAGGGAAGCAGAACAGGAAACTGAAACAAAAAACGTGCCGGAAACGGTGGAAACGACGGAAGCGGATGCTGAACAGAAAACTAAGGCTGAGTCCTCGACTGAAACAGTCGCTCCGGACGAAACTTCATCACCGTCCGAAGCTGAACGTGAACTCAAGTCTTGTCAGTTGCAATTGAAGAATGTACAGAGCGAAAAGTCCAAGCTGGAATCTCAATACAGAGGCCTGTTGAACAAAATTTCTGGAATCAAACGTACTTTGGGCGAAAGATTGAAACACGATGCAAAGGAAATCACAGAGCAACGCGAGAAGATCAAGTCTCTTCAAAAAGCAAACACGGAACTGAAGGAAGAGCTTATTATAGCTAACGAGGAGTCAACCAAACTGACAGACGATGTACAATCCCTTCGCTCTGAGGTGGAAAGTCTTCGCCGTGACAAACAATCATGGATGAATGAGCGCGAGCAGCTCAACAACCAAGCATTGCAATGGGAACGAAAGGCGAAGGACACGTTCGATGCTTTGGAACAAGTCCAAATCAAGTACGGTGAAACAGACCGACAACTCGAAGCACAATTGCAAGTGAACGAGTCGTTGGACAATGAGGTCTGCCGCTTCCAAACAGCTGCAGAGAAGCTCAAACAACAGCTTGCTTCCGCTAAAGAACAGTATACCAAGGAAACGCAAGAGATCCGGCAAACTTGGCAGACGGTCGTCGACGACTTGTCCGAAAAGCTACAGTCTGCGTGTACAGAGAATGATTCCATGAAGACGAAAATAACAAACATGGAGGAACGTCTTTCCCGCACAAGTGAGCTTGAGCAAAGTGTGAAGGAAAAATCCTTAATTATCGGGAAGCTCCAGCACGAAGCTGTAATCCTTAATGAACACTTGACGAAGGCTTTACGACTTTTAAAAAGTGACGAGAACGCGGAGAAGGTGGACAAGCAGCTCATCTCCAACCTACTTGTCTCCTTCTTATCGCTTCCTCGAGCAGATACGAAACGGTTTGAAATACTTCAACTCATTGCTTCCGTACTCGAATGGAACGATGAACAGCGTGAACAGGTTGGAGTCCAAAGACCGGGCTCTTCGGCCGACATGTGGAGCGTTCGTCGAAATTCGTCTTCTAATTCCCTTCTGTTCCGCAGTTAATCCATAAACAACTGACCCTATATTTTGTTTTCTCACCTTCCTTTTCACTCTTTTCACTACAACGACTAAGTCTCTGAAACCTTTATCTTCTTTTTTTTTACTATAAGACCAATTTTAGTACTGTGTGATATATTTAAAACTCACTTGAAATGTCTTCAAGTAAGCTTTTTTGTTGTCTCCTTCGCATCCCGTTTAATTTGCGTGAAAACGCCATCCTGGAACCATTTGTTTGCCTCTTCAACTTTTTGTTGCCTTTGTAATAATGGATTTACCAATTCGATTCCCTGAACGGGAGTAAATGCTAGCGAACTTTGGAGACCATTGACGGCGAGGGAAGGCTTCGTTGCACTAAGTTTTGCTTTCTTAGCCTTTGGCAAACGCAGTTTTGTTCTCGAGTCAGCAAGCACAGCACGAATCTTTCCTTCGCCTTCTTGACCCAGCATACCCAAGCCCTCCGTTTCATCGCCCACGTGCACCTCGGCTTCCTCCTTGCCAAAGGCCACACGGTTTTGCAGGCGACGAAGTTCCGTCACAGCGTATTGCTCTTTAATCTTGCGAATGCGTCTGCCGCCACGACGTTTTTTGGGACGATCGTCAGGAACAGGAAGCGCAATAACAGGACGTTGTGTCGGTGGTTCAAGTAGCTTTTCAATTTTCCGGTCTACTTCTTCACGGAATTTTTTGCCATATGCACCGTCAGGCGACTCATGGATGGAATCGACTCTGGCAGCCAAAGAAACTTTTGCGGCCGTCAACCGAACAGCCTGTTTTCGAACATCTGGCGGTGTTTTCTGAATGACATCTGACATATATAGAAAACCTTGGTTATCCTTGCTTGCCGCTGTCGTAATTCCTACGGTGGACAGACGCTTCTTACCAAGTGCAGGAATGTTGCATGCTGGAAACTTGCCTAGGCGCGTGAGACCGCCTGCAATTCCAATTAGATTCGCCGCTGTTGTAGTTCCCACAACGGCTGACAGATTGGGTGCCACAACGCTGATTCTCGATTGCACATAGGTTAAGATTTGGCTTTTCGCTTCAACAAGTTCGAAAATAGCACTGCATGCCTTGTTCACTAATTCTAATACATCCGGCGGGAGTGGTTTTCCCATAGTTGTCGTGGCAGTCGTTGCAATTACCATTATCGTTGCAGAAGGTAAAAATTTCAGCTTGTCTTTGCTGTTTTGAAGGTCATTTTGAAGCGTCATTACCGTTTTACAGTAGTCTAATGCATTCAACACAAGCCCATGCAATTCGGGAAATCGTGCTTGGTAACGATCCTTTACAATCCGATGTAACCGCACAATCTCATCATCAATTTCCATGGCAATTGCGTTCGAATCGACAATCAGTTGGTATTCTGGATCATCCTCAATGTTTCCAACAATAGCCTGCTTTTCTTCTTGACTGTAGATACTAATTTCCTGTGATGTTATTTCGTTAGTAAAGAAAAAATAGCGACCGACATAATCATTATTGAAAAACCTCGTTCATACCTCTAATATCTTCTGTAGGCGCTCTGAATGCAAAAGTTGGTCGATAGAAGTTGCTGTTTTGTTTGTTTCAGTAGATGTCTGTTCATCTAAAGATTTGCTTGACGAAGTTGTGCTAGTTGTCGATGCTTGTTGCTCATTTGTTCCTTGTGTTGTTTCTGAAGGTGTCAATTCTGTTTCCTCCTCATCGCTCAATAAGTCGGCCAGCAATTCATCGGCTAAGGACATTTTTTTGTTTCGTAAAGGGAAATGAGAAAGTAGTCGGATTGAAATGAGGAATAGGTTAATAAAAGCGGAGTAGTCCTAAACGTTAAAAAATTTGGAGCCTTATTGGTGTGAATTTAAAAAAAAAACGTTTAGACAACTGTAGAAATCAAGAGTGGAAACTGAAGTGGCAGATAATGGAGAAAACAGTAAGAGTTTTTTTCAATATAACAACTTCAAGACCTTAACTGGGATTAGAAAGGAAAAGATTCGTTTAAGAAACACTGAAGAAGTAGAGTCCTTTATTATTATCTTTTTTTTTGTAAAAAAAATAATCCTCTTGTTACGTTTCTCACCGAATACAAGTCGTCGTCCTTTTCAACCAAAATCCAAACTTACAAACACATTCCTTGTCTCGATAGAACTTGTAACGGTGGCAAACAGTTTGTACAAGTACCAAATGTCATCCTCAATAGCTCCAGAATGTACAAATCTCAAGGTAAAGAATATTCGACATAACTAATAAGTCCTGTCCTAACTAAACTCATAGAAACGATACGACGCATGTTTTAATGAATGGTACACGGGTAAATTCTTGAAAGGCGATACCGATGATTCACAATGTGCAGAATTATTTCAAGAGTATCGTAAGTGCGTCCAAAAACATTACGGAATAAGAAATTAGAGCCTTTATTGGACGCTGCTCGGAAAGAGGTGAATTGACGACGTCTCTTCTCAATTTTGTATGAGATTTCTTTTCAGTATTTTTTTAATTCTTTGTTTCCTATAACAATTTCCTTTATGTATTCACAATTCCTAATTAAAATACCAATTCTTCAACCAAACAGCTCTCACAAAGCTATTGAACGCCTTTTTGTCTGCAATTCATCATTTGCTATTAATTTCTTCCTGTAGTATGTCGTTTTGTGCTTGGAAACGCGTATACGCGTAGGAAAGCTTAATTGTAGGGATGCGAGTTTCGTGTGCTCACGCGTCAGTAAACTCTAAACTACAGTTTTCCAGTAAAGAATGAGCATAATTCAGCATCAGTCTTCGTCTGGTGATCCTAACTGTCCACAAGTATTCACAGATGAAGAAGCAGAACACATTCGGTTGAAACTTTCGCGTAAATTAGGTCCCGAGTATGTATCCAGAAGAAGCGGTCCTGGAGGAAGCTCCGTAACGTATATCGAAGCTTGGAAGGTAATTGAGCTTGCTAATGAAGTATTCGGCTTCAACGGCTGGTCTTCTTCCATACAAAGTATTCATGTGGACTATGTTGATGAGACCTTTGACAATCATCGCCCTAAATACAGCGTTGGATTGAGTGTAATATTAAGAATCACACTAAAGGATGGAACATTTCACGAAGTATGTATCTCAATTTGTGTTTCCAGTGCAATTGGGACTCGTGTTGATTTGTTAATTGTAGATGAGTTCATGCTAAACTCTTTGTACAGGATATTGGTTATGGATCAATAGATAATTGTCGAGGTAAGGCAATCGCATTCGAAAAGGTATGACTTCCTGGATGATGGGTTTCGTTTCTCTGAATTGTATACTGAACGTTTGCAGTGTAAGAAAGAAGGCACTACAGACGCTCTAAAACGGGCTCTAAGAACATTTGGAAGCAGTATGGGCAACTGTTTATATGATCGTAATTACACACAGGCTATTTCGCGTATGACTCCACAAAAGGTTGGTCGAATGCTCCGTGAATTTACGAGTTTCCCCTTTTTAATATGTGGTACTAACTTTTAACGTAGAAAACATTTGATCGTGAATCCTTAATGAGACCCCCGTCAGTATCATATCCTTCGAACCGAACGAATTACCCAAGGACAAATGCGACTTCGAGCTCAAATACAAGCTCAAATACAAATATGAGTCCATATACGAAACAAGCGTCCGCCCCCTCTCCCCAGAAACCGATTACGAACAGAAATGTCCCCTCAAACGTATCTACGAATCACGCACAAAAATTGCCCATTAATACAAATGAACAAAAACATGAATCTGCAGTTACTACAAATGCAGCACCTCCTCCCATGCATAATACTCACCCAAGAAAGCGTTCTGACACAGAGATATACGCAGGTATGTTTGTATTCTCTTATTTCAAACGAACTAATAACTAACAAATTAGATGAGGATCTTGACACACTGCTTCTGGAAGAAGCCCAATTAGAGGATGTTGGATCACCAAAGCCAGAAGAGTTTGAGAGGTCTGGAATACATGAATGAATATACTTTATGGTAGAATTCTAACTAACTCTATCCAGTATACTAAAAGCTATGGAAGAATTTGAACAATAAGGAATAACAAACCCCGATGCATTTTGAATTATCAGAGATACGAGTCATGTTTTAATGATAATCTATGGGCGCCTCTATTTTCTTCATGAAGAACAATTCGTTTTATTTAATTTGAAAAATACTTGGAAACGCTAATAATAAAAACTAACAAGTAATATGATGACAAATATCAATGAACATCACGTTTTTAACTAATGAAAACACATTTACTGCTATTCAAACGGTGGACATGCCAGTTCATACCCAACTTGTCTTACCTTCACGACGTAGGTTTTTCCTCTCGAAACAACTACAATCTCAATGGCGAATGAGGAGAAAAAACCATGCTGTATCATCGTGGTCGGTATGGCCGGCTCTGGTAAGTTGTCCTAATAGCCTCAAACATGTTTTAGTTTCCGGTATTTGTTTGCTAACGATGAATCTTTGTAATAGGCAAAACAACGTTCATGCAACAATTGAACGCTCATTTGCATAGAAAAAACACACCTCCATACGTTATGAACCTGGACCCTGCAGTTTACAAACTGCCTTACGAGGCAAACATTGATATTCGAGACACAGTTGCTTATAAGGAAGTCATGAAACAGTATGTTCACTAATTCACAATAGCACTGATTCCGTCGCTAATACGAACAGATACAACCTTGGACCTAATGGTGGCATTATGACTTCTCTGAATCTCTTCGTCACAAAGTTTGATCAGGTCTTAAACATCCTTGAAAAACGTGCGCCATCTGTCGACCACATTCTCATTGATACACCTGGTCAAATTGAAATCTTTCAATGGTCAGCCTCGGGTAGTATCATCTGTGACACCCTTGCAAGTTCTTGGCCTACATGCATCGCCTACATCATCGATACTCCTCGCTCCACATCTACATCTACTTGGATGTCTTCTATGTTATATGCTTGTTCCATGCTCTATAAAACCAAGCTCCCTCTTATTTTGGTGTACAATAAATGCGATGTGCAAAATGCAGATTTTGCTAAAGAATGGATGGTAGACTTTGAAGCATTCCAGCAAGCTATTCGCAAAGATGAGGAGGATAATGCAGATGGAAGTACTTCTGGTTACATGAGCAGTCTTGTAAACAGCATGTCCTTGATGCTTGAAGAATTCTACCGTCACCTGGACTCTGTTCAATGTTCAGCCGTAACCGGTGAAGGTATGGACGATTTCCTTGAGGCTGTGAACAAAAAGGTTGAGGAGTACGAGAAGGAGTACAAGCCCGAAATTGAACGACTTAAGAAGCTTTCAGAAGAAGAAAAAGAAAAACAAAAGGAGAAACAATTGTCGTCGCTTATGAAAGACATGCATGTAGCGGACAAGCCTGATCCTGCAGAAACACTTTCCGACATTGAATATGAAGACAACGGCGAGTTAGTTGATCCTGATGAGGACGAAGGAGAAACTATTAGTGAGGACGTAAAAAACCAATATCGCAAGGCTTTTAATATTAGTGACAGTGTCTCCAACGAAGAGCTCTTAAAAATGATGCAAAGCTAGTAGGTAATCTCCGGTGAATAAAATATGTTCTTTACTTGACATAACTTCGAATAATGAAAATCATGAGCACAACAGCGCCAATTGCAACACCGGGTCTAACAATCCAGCGATGCTGAGAATAGTCATAATTGATGGCGTGCTCACAGTACTGGAGAGCCAGCTCTTCCAAGTACTTTGTCTCTTGCGGTGTGCATGGACACAGAAGCAAAGCATTAAGATCATTCCAAGAAAAAGTCTGCTTGTCCTTCAACGCCAGTAAAACATGTTCTATGTGGATCTGGAGCAGTTCCAAGATACTCTTGGACTCAGGTATAGACACACTAGCTGCAAACGAGGTTCCATTTACCCAAGAAGCAAGCCGAACGGTAGAGCGGGAAGCTTGGCGATTCAGCACGTCCCACTTCGACTCGTTGTAGTACGATACTGCATGTGTCCCCTTCTCGTTCGCATATCGGATACTTGGGTAGGGGCTATCGGTATCCCAAAGGAAGGCAATGTCGTACAGATCAGCCTTGTCTAATAAAACCACATCCGTGGTACATGCAACCCACCCAGAATTAGTTTCCAATTGCTTTAGATGGTCAACGTCATGTAGCCCAATAACGTATAAGGGATAGGAGGAGCGTACTGGACGTGCTAAAGCATCGTTTACTTCAGACGACACTCGACCAGTCTCCACAGCAAAGTCGACAAGCGTGCAAGCAGCTTCCAGTGGAGGATGCGTAATAAATAAAACTCGTTTCTTCGTTAATATGGATTTTTGAAGCTCGAAAACTTGAGGCCCGAAACGATAAACTTCATTCTGAATTCTATTCAACGAGGTATTACTCATAACTACCTCGGTAGAATTACACTCATTAAGAAAATACTTTAACAACGTTTCAGTCTGTTTTGTAGGAGACCGAGAAATCGTGCTAAGTGTTTGTTAGCATGCATTTGCTGAATGTAACAAAATCATCTTACTTAATAGTGTTCGTTAAAAGGTCTTCAAACTGAAGAACCAGCTGTTTATAAGTTGTTTTGGACTCACATATCAGTCCAAGCGAAAGAAAACGAGCACCACGTTCCAGATTATCATCCATGACTCGTTTGTAAGCACATATGCACAGCTTCTCGTCCTCGAGACGAAACGAGAAGATATCCTCGTGAAGTTCCTGCAATTTACTGGAAAAGCTTTATACTCGACGCCATTTAACTGTACTTCTGCTGGATAAACGGCATCCAGTGTGTAACCAGTTCTATGATCAAAAGAGGCACAAAATGCCGCAGGAAAGCGAAATCCAGCCATGAAACAGTATCAATAGAACGTTGCTAATGAGTAAAAAAGCAATTAACTCGAAATTTAGAGTTTGTTGATTACAAGTCGAGTAAGCCTGATCCACATCAATTAAACTACCAGGCATATGATCCCAGACTAAAAACCATAACCCGCAATGGCTTCTCGTCTTCTGTCTTTAAGACAAAAGAATAGTCTCACGGCGTTTAGAAGGTCAGTTTTATCACGTTCCTATACTATTGACGCAAAGAAACATGGTTTCGTTTTGTCCCAGGTAAGTTTAAAAGCATTGGAAAAAAATTGTTTATATCCAGACAACTTACACGTTTAGAAATCTGCTATTCCTGAAATAGATGTTGAACTCCTACGTTTTAAACATGAAAAAACCGGCGCTGATTATTTGCATGCCCAATGTGACGATACGAACAATGTCTTCAGCATTGGATTCAGCACTCCTCCAACAAACGACAAGGGCGTTCCTCACATTTTAGAACATACAACGTTATGTGGAAGTCAAAAATTCCCAATTCGTGACCCGTTCTTTAAAATGTTAAATCGAAGCTTGTCTAATTTCATGAACGCATTCACTGCTTCAGATTTTACGTTTTACCCATTCGCAACGACCAACAAGAATGATTTTAAAAACTTGAGATCCGTTTACTTAGATGCGACATTACATCCTCGTTTACGAAAAGCCGATTTTATGCAAGAAGGTTGGCGCTATGTCCTAAACAAGTCTGATCAAGACCTTCCTATTAGTTACAACGGTGTCGTTTTCAACGAGATGAAAGGTCAGATGTCTGATGCGTCATATCTCTTTTACATTCGCTTTCAAAAACATCTGGCCAAAGGCACCATTTATGAACACAATAGCGGAGGCGATCCTTACTGTATTCCGGACCTCTCCTACGAAGAATTGGTAGCTTTCCACGACTCCCACTATCATCCTTCCAACGCGAAGATCTTTACTTACGGTAATTTATCTCTAGACGAAAACCTTAGTGCTTTGAATGAGGCCTTTAGCCAATACTCAAAGGAGACTTTGAAGCCAGAGGTGAAATATATTCCTAATTTTGCGGCCCCTCGACGTGTAACAGAACACTGTCCCATTGATCCTACAATTCCACAAGACAAGCAGGCAAAGTTCTCCATCTCATTTTTAGGTAATGACATATGTGATCAAGAAGAAACGTTCTCATTGCAGGTGCTGTCCAAGTTATTGACGGATGGGTATTCGTCGCCTATGTACAAAGCTTTAATTGAAAGCGGTCTTGCTACGGATTATTCGCCAAACACTGGCTATGATTCAACGATGAAACGCTCGGTGTTTTCCATTGGTGTGGAAGGTGTCTCAACAGACAAGCTTGAAACAATTGAAAAAACTATATTGTCTACATTTGATAAGGTTGCATCAGAAGGCATTGCGTTTGACAAAGTTGAAGCTGTTCTGCATCAACTCGAGATTTCCTTGAAACACAAGTCTGCAAACTTTGGTATGGGTTTGGCTCAAAGTATTCCGTATGTTTGGTTTAATGAAGGCGATCCTATCGATGCACTGTCCTTCAACAAACGCATATCCTCTTTCCGTAAGAAAGCAAACGATCCGACCTTTTTGACTGGCCTCGTGCAAAAATACATGCTTGGTAACTCCAACCGACTCATTTTTACCATGTTGCCAGACGAGCAGTATCAAGCTGATGTACAAGCAAAGGAACAAAACAAATTGAAAGAAGCAGCATCAAAGATGTCAAAGAAGGAGCTTCAAAATATTGAGAAAACGAACATGGAATTGCAAAAAGATCAGGAACAAACTGGCGATATAAATTGTCTGCCCACTCTTAAAGTTTCTGACATCCCCCTCCAGCAAGAACCTACGATACTCGACTTTGACAAAGTCCAGAATCATGAAGTCCAATGGTCAAAAATTCCCGCAGGCTTAACGTACTTGCGTGTCTTTATTCCGTGCATGCATCTTCCTGACACTTTGGTCCCTTACTTGAACTTGTTCTCAGATGCGTGCCTTAGTTTAGGCACCAAAGATATGAATATTTCAGAACTTGAACAACAGATAAAGCGTTACACCGGAGGCATCACTGTATCGCCTACATTCTCTACAGCACCGACTTCAAGAGCATTGGGTCAGTTTGGCATTTCAATCAGTAGTTTCTGCTTAGATTCCCATGTGGAACAAACAATGTCTCTTATTCGTAAGGTTTTCTTCGAAACTGATTTTTACCATACAAAGAACCTGTCAACCATGCTTAAAACAATGGCAAATGGACTACTCAACAGCGTGGCCGAGCGTGGACATGTGTTCGCTCGTACCAATGCAGCCTCATCATTAACAGTGAAGGCTGCACTTGCTGAGCAGCTTGGCGGTATAGAGCATTTACAGCTTGTGCACAAGCTCTCTAACAAGACGCCTGATGAACTAACCGATTTATCTAAAAAGTTTGACGATATTCGTCACTTTTTGTCTCCTCTTAAAAACGCACGGCTATTCGTAAGCTGTTCGCAACAGCAGCGTCCCATTGTTGCATCCTTCATTCCTAAGTTTACAGATGCCTCCCAACGGTTAATGAGTTCTGCAAACGAGTCTTCTGCTGCCCAAACCACTTCGCGAAAACCCGCCCATACGTACTATGTTCTCCCCTACTTCACACATTACACCTCGCGGTCACTTTTGGGCGTCCCATATGCCCATGAGGATGGTGCAGCTTTGCAGTTGTTGTCATCGCTCCTTACTCATAAGTTCCTTCACCGTGAAATTCGTGAAAAAGGCGGTGCCTATGGAGGCGGCTTGACATATAACGGTCTGGATGGACTTCTCTCGTTTTATTCTTATCGTGATGATAATCCGTTGCAGAGCTTTGAAGCGTTCCAGGAAGCTGGAAAGTGGGCATCTCAAAACTCGTTTTCCGAGTCGGATCTGAATGAAGCAAAATTGTCTACTTTCCAGAGTGTTGATGCTCCCGTGAGCATCAGTGCCAAGGGATCTTTATTCTTCTACGATCGAGTAACGGACGCGATGCGTCAAAAACGCAGAGAACAATTGCTTTCCGTAACCAAAGCAGCCGTTCAGCGTGCAGCAAATGAGTACCTACTTTCCGAAAACAAGTCTTCTGAACCGTCTCATTACGATGTCATTTTAGGACCCGAGAATAAGAAACTCGATGCTACTTGGACTACCATTATACCTTTTTGATGTGTTTGTACAAATGAATATGTTTCTGTTACTAAAACTAAAACTAGAACTAGAACTAATGAGGTGATGATCATTTGAACCGGCATGCATGTAGAGCGTTGTAGTGAGATTACTTGTTTACAATGAAAGCATAAGTTCTGTTTTCTTCGTGTACATCAATCTAAAATTTTGTCTGCTCCATGTAAACAAACGCGTCGTGTCGTTTACTGCATTTACTGAAACCTATTCTTTCGCGCCCGTTGCCGAATTTAAGTCCACGTGTTCGCTTACATCGCGTAACGACTTTAAACGAGATGGAGTTTCGATTCGGCTGTGGACAGTCACAAAAAATTTGACCCCCGAAACCTTCCAAATCCACCACCCAGACCCATCCAACCTCAAAATGGTAAGTCGTGTTTTTTTGTTTGTTAAATGAGTTTACTAAACGGTAATTCAGCCTCGTCAAATCAACGACATTAAGCTTTTCTTGGAGATTGCCCGCAGAAAGGACGCCTCTTCTGCTCGCATCAAGAAGAACCAAAACAAGGAGGTCAAGTTCAAGCTTCGTTGCTCCAAGTACTTGTATACTCTTGTCGTTGCTGATGCTAAGAAGGCTGAGAAGCTTCGTCAATCCCTTCCTCCTGGTATGTTGAAGTGTTTGTAAATCGTTTTCGCCTAGTCAGTGTTGATCGACAGATCTGCGATGATCCGCATTTAAGGTTGTCATGTGATGGTAATTTTGCGACGGGACGCGCGTTTATAAGTGTGTTGAGCAGAAACGCGTTTCTGCAGCATTGACGGCAATAAAACGGGTTTACAGTGTGTATTTTCTCATTCTGTTGTGTGCTTGTGCTAACTGTGTAGGACTCGTTGTTTCTGAGGTTGGAAAGAAGCATTAGGTCGTTCTAATAAAAGACAAAAATTCGGTCTACCAAGACGTGCAAGTGAGAGTGGGAATGTGGTGTATTGCTGGTTTTGGCAGTATGGTGAAAGGAGTGGTTTGTGTTTCGCTGCGGCATTTGGCTTGACCTTTATGTATTGATGGTTTGTGCACATCGGTATGTGCATGCTCGGAGAAGAGTCGAAGACAATAATTAGTGAACTGCTGCATACAGTCTAAGAACGCACCTTGGGCGCTGTGTCACGTTTACGCTCCAATTCAACTTGGTCAAAGAACGAAATGTACTTCACTTGTTTAAAGCCGTGGTGTTTGAATAAGCGAATACTAGGGACATTTGAACTGCCAATCTTGACTCGGTATTTGGCGATTGTCTTGTCATTAGCAAGTCCACTTTGCTCAAGGTAGTGCAGAAAGGCTCCAACCATGGCTGTGCCAAAACCGTGTCCACGGTTCAAAGGTTTGGCGATCATGAGTTCGAGTTCGCCAACAGTAATCGTTTCGTCGCTAGGAGGTTTGGTTGGATCAGCATCATCGTCGTCTTCATCGACGAATTCATTTTGAAAAAAAATGTTAACATCTCCAATCATCTTGCTGGTGTCTTCGACAATGTCTAGCACCTTGTCTTTTAAGATGACCGGAGGATGTAATTGCTTTGAAGGGTCGTGCATAACAATGAACGTGAACTCTTGGCGTTAAGAATTAGTATAGTAATGAAGAGTGAAACCGTTTACAACTTACTGTCATCGTCTTCGCACCATGATCGCTGCATTTTGTACTCTTCCTCCAAGCTAAAAGGTTCCGAGCATGTTAACTCTGTAATTGTAATTACAAGTTAGTTAATGTTTTTGAACAAAAATAGAAAAAAGTAGTTCTCCTATAAATGAGACCGGTATGCTAAACGTACCTTGGAGCTCTGGGCTTTTCATCCATGCATTATATGTCGGAACATGTCGTATTTGATAAGGTACCAAAACGATAGCACCGCAATCCACACACGTATTTGAATTATCCATCAGTTTCACCTCAAAATAACTTCTTCAAGACAAAACGATACCAATCCACGTACACAGCTAGATTGTTTTCCTGTGTGTGTCGTTGGCTGCAAGTAAAGTGCAAAAGAAGGTGCTTCGTCTGCCGTATTCCCACATAGCACAACTTGTTTCTGTAACGTTTCGTTTAACGCTCATTGTACAAGCAGCGCGTGTTAAACATGTCACAGGAGACTGTTACTCAATGTCTGGACTGTCTAGAAAGCACTCGGCGACTCTGTTGCCAGTTGCAGAAAAGCTCAGAAAACGGAAAATTGAAAAAACGACAATTGTTTGCTTTGCTTGTGAAACTTCGTGAAGCAAACCGTAATGCATATCTGCAATTGCACCAGACATCCTTGAATGTTGCTGAGGCTCGTGAAAAACTGAATGCAGCATCATACAAGCTTGAAAAACTCCGCTATATAAAACTTCATTTGCAAGCCAGCATTAATGAATTCAACGGCAGAGAGTATGTTTTCATCGAGTTTTAACTTTTCTCATCGCTAACTTGTTTAGACATTATTATACGAAAATCCCTCTCTCTTCAAAAGAAGCATTTCTTGAAAAGCATCCAGAGAAGAAGGAACTCTCTGAGCACGAATGCATGATTGAGATGCTCAACGGGGAGCTTTCCGAGCGCCAGAAGTTGTCGCAAGCTCGACAAGATTTGCTAAAGAAAAAAGCGAGTCTTATATCAGAAAATAAGCGTCTTAAAAACAGTCTGCAACGTTTGGACGGTAAATTGGATGCTTTTTTCCGTGCTGCACAACCAGTAAAGGACGAGTTCAGTAGTACACTCATTCGTTAACGAGCAAGCCGAGTACAAACTTCCTATCCATCAGTTTTCCGGCAAACCAGCACCCTTCATTGCTGTTTTCATTTGAGCAAAACATTCTTGTTTGCGGTTCTATAAAATTCATTAGCGTTTACAACAAACGATGAATTAGACACAAACCTTCATCTCGTCATCGATTTCCTTTAATCTTGAAAGAATGTTTGCTCGTCTCTGAAGCAACGTGTTTATCCTCACTGGCAGTTCATCCATGTCTTGGACACTACATAAAACATCATTTTGTTAGTCTCCGTCCTTGTTTTATTTTTCTTGTTGTTCATACAATTTGGCAAGTTTCTCTTCCATCTGTTTCTCAAAATCATTTTTCAAAGATTCCTTTTGTTTTTCATACTCATTCTCGAGTTGTTCACGCTTTTTAATTCTCCTTGCTGCGTTTTTGGCGCGCAATTCCTCAAGAATTGTCTCAATGGCTACTGTACTGCATTTTTATTAGCTTTCAATAGCTGAATTATCATACTCGGATTGCTGAGAGCTGCAAGAACTCTCTGTGGTTGTTCGTATGGGCATGGTTGTGTGAATGGTAAAGGAACGAATGCCTATGGACGCGTTGTTATTTTATATATACGCGTTGAACGCGTAAAGACGCGTCGACGAACAATGAAATCCTATTTCACGGTAACTAAAGAATTTGTAGTAAAGTGCGGAAACGAAGTTAATTGTATTCCTATGAATGATGATGAATGTCTTATTACTCTAGCTCGAGGGAATGGAAAAATTAATTAGTAAGGAATTCCTAAACAGCGTTAGTATGCATTAAAAACACGGGAGGCACCTGTGCCATGTAGTAGTTCTTACCGTTCGTTGCCTTCTGGAATTGGTCATAAAGAACAGTGCGCTTGTTTGCGTAACTTTGTTCAATCAGACGAAGCATGAAGTTCGCTGCTTGTCTTTCATTAAGATCCAAGGCAAAACGCTCACGAATATGCGCGATTGTGATGTCGCCCTTAAAGCATGGCAAGCCTGATCCAAGCATGATTTCGACAGCATTGCAAATTTCGTTAACATAGCTACGAGAAACGAGGAAGCATTTCACACAAAGTTCTTGGAAACGACGGAAGGGAGGCGTCTTGTTATTTCCACCCATCACTGCAATCATTTCGTTCGTCAGTTTGAATGGTGCACTTTCAAATGTAATGCCACCAGGGGCAATGTCAAAAATGAAACCAAAGTCAATGTGAAGAATATGACCTTGGTTACTAATCATAATGTTTCCGTTGTGTCGATCCTTAAATTGTAAAAGGTAGGTGATAACCGAGTATGCAGCCATACTCTGAACAAAATTGCTTCTTGCCTTTTGGAATGCAATTGAATCCTCATCGCCAAACTTGGTGATGAAGTAATCGTAAAGACCATTCACTGCTTCACGTCCAAGCATATCTCTAGAAACACAATTCGGAAGCACATCGATGACACCACACTGTCCCGTGTTAGAAAGTTCGTAAAAGCATAAAAAAACTACTTACACCAGGGGCTGTTGCGGTAACGCGATAAGGGAACAAATACACATCCAAGCCAACAGAATCGAAAATGTTCTTGAAAATGGCGATCAACTGTAAAGTAAGAACATCTTGACGGCAATCATCACCAACTTTGAAAATAGCAGACTGCCAGACTTCATAACTCTGTTTACGCTTTGTTTCACTTGGTTCGTTCAGATCCTCAGTCTCAGCATTGTCAATATCGATGATTTTTTCCTTCTGGATTTTGAAAGTTGCCATAAAAGGAGCCTAGTCGTATTAGTGGATTAGCTATTGATGCAACATACCTTTGCATGACTCTGTAGAGGCTTTCCTGATTTACGGTCAATACCAACGACGATTCCATCAGGATTACTGGGTAAGTAGACACCGACATCGAGCTTAATTTTCTTCATTTCCTCATCGATTTTGGCCTATATGCATGTTAAAAAAAAAAACAAAGTGTGTAAGCATACCTTCTTTTCCGGCTTTGGCTTCTTAATAAATGGTTTCAATTTACCGGAGATCGACGTAACTTCATTGAAGAAAGTAAACTCTCTTTCATAAAAGTCCTTATCTTCACCGGACAAATTATTGACCATTCTTTCCATGACACGATCGAGGATAGGTTTCATGCCGTCAGGTTCAGTTGCCGTCTCATCTTTGTAAAGATTTGCCTTCATGTTCCAAAGAATTTGATGTGCAAAAAGTTGTGAAAGTTCAGACGTTTCAATAATGAAGTCTTCGGCGTAACCCAATGCATCATAACGTAAAGATTGTACGATCTGTGGAACGTAAAAGAATGTAACATCCACAGAGTAACTCTTCAGTGTTCTCATAGCATATTGGAGAACCAAAGGATTCCACTTAATCTTTGGCAAGAATAAAACAGGTGCAGATACAGGAGGCAGAGGTGCCCAAAATAGTAAGTACCTGTTATCAATAGGAAGTCTCCCCGAAGGATACTCTTCAAATAATAATTTCAGACCCACTGAATCTCTAACACAAGAAGCAGTATCTTTCATAATAAGTTTCAGCACAGATGCTCTTAGATCAGCATCTTTAAAACGAGTGGGAAGATATAAAACAACTGTTGGTGAAACAGACCAAGCTGTCTCAAGCATTTCATCGGTAATTGGTGCTGATTTTTCAAAGTTTGGAGGGACTACTCGCGTTTTGACAAGACTACGCTCGTTCTCAACGGGTGTCATCCATGTGTAAAGTCTATAAATTTCGTTTTGTAAAAGAATGATAATCAAACTTTGCTTAGCTGTTGTTTCGGTCTTAAATGTGTAATGAGCGGTAAATGATTTTAAGCTGGTGACCAAGGCTTCCATCAAGCTGATTTCGGAAGCAATTTGAAGGTTATCTGCGCCGTAAGCCCAAAGAGGGGAACAAGAAAACCAATTCAAAGTAGCGTCCAAACATTTGTGATAGAACTTAGAACCAATGAGGGTTGTTATAACATTCTCAGAAATTTGCAATCCAAATGTCAGAATTTTAAGATAGAGTTCACGGCACAATGGGTGATGAACAGATTGCAATCCATTCAGCTGATTCATTATAAAAGACATAGCATGCATGATGAGCATCGCAATTTGTCTTCCAGAATTCCAGAAACTCTCAAAGTTCCCCGAAACAACTTGTAGTAGCATAATGTGTGGAACAAGTTGTCCTTTCATACGGGTAAGAGTTTTTCCAAACTGACTACGATCAGTTGGAGCATAAGACATCGACAATTCAAGAGGTCCTTTGGGACGATTACCAGAGAAGAATCCCTTTTTCTGTTGTTCGAGTGAAGAGACCCAGCTTCGAACAATTTGATTCATTATATAGGCTCTCTGCTGAGGAACCTCATTCATAACCCAATTCCAGAGGGTAATTCCAAGCTTAATTGATTTCGTAGAAAACGCCAAAAAGGGAATTCTTACAAGTTTTCGAGCAATTATGGCAAACGTAACCAATGGTTCGGTCACCGCTTGTGCAGCAGCTCTTCTCAGAACATCTCTTAATCGATCGGATGAAACGTGACCATCTTTACATTCCTCTTCAAGTTTATCAAGAGAAGTTAATGTGTCATCAATGACCTTTTTGGCTACCGAAGAGATACTGTCATTGTTTGTGAGTAATTTACTAACGACATAACGAGAGTCGTTTTTGTAACGCTGGCACACAGTAAATTCAGAAATAAATTCACTTGCCGAATCAGAATTCCATCCACCCATTGAAGGTACCAAGCTCGCATCAGTGTCTGACATTGGAATGGCTTTTCCAATTTCAAACGCAATTGATCTACCAATCTCGATGTTGTCGACATCGTCCACATCTTTAAAGTCTGCCAAGTAACTTTGGAGGAGATTCTTTAATTCGGAAGGAACAAGACGTGCAGAGTTCATGATCCATTGCTTCGATTTTTGCAAGAAAACACCAAGTATGTCTTGACGCGTTTCAAAAGAATCCGGCAAAACAACAGTTAAATTTAACTCTTTAGACGTGTACTCTAATTGAGGAACGTACTGATTCAAACATTCTTCGGAACTTCCCCTCCAAAGAATATTCAGAAGCTCCAACAGCGTAAACAGCAATTGCTTTACACAGAGTAAGGAGGGTAGTTCTGAAAACAGATAGGCGCAACACTCAAGTGCAAGAGAACGAACATCTCTAACACGATGGCAACACAAGGATATAAGTTTCTGAACTTCCTGGATCATTTCTTCAGTCAAAAATTTCTTGGAAGAAAGTGAACGAACAAATATCGGAAGATTATGACGAGCGATTTGGACGATATGTTCATGCAAATTACTGTTTCGCAATCCAATATTAGATAAGTAACTTAACAATGCATGGAGACCGAGTGAGTATGATCGAAGAGCTTCCAGCTGTAAGACAGTAGAAAGATAACACACCTCATAACTTTCTAAGCCCTTAAAGTCCAAAGTAGGAATCTCCTTGGAAAGCTCGTGCTTAATTTCGGAGAGCGTCTTATGGTCAATATGAGTACGAAGAACGGTATTGAGTTCAAGGTCACTGCCAAAGTTATTGCCAACGACTGACAAAACCAATGGCGGTGAGTACTTGGCCAAAGTCACCAGTTGCAAGCGCAAGTGTTCAGAAGGCTTTGTTCCATAGCGGAAACCATTTAAGATAAGAGCAAACCACATGTTTCTGAAGACAGCAGCAAAGTTGTCACCTGTTGGTAACTCGTTATAGTTAATGTTTCTTACGCAAGCAGAGAGTGCTTGAATAGTCAACGAAATGCAACGCTTTTTATTGTCAGCATACTCATCTTTCGCATAATCCTGGCTGACACCTATTTGAATGATCTCGTCCAGTAGACATTTCAAGAGGTCTAGTCTTTTGACGGACATAGCTTCGGTATTTGATGCAATTAAGCATCGGGATTGGTACAGCGCAAGTGAGATATCCCTGTCATAAGCGGAGACCAGTTGCTTGCTTTGGAGAGAATAAAACTGTATAAGCATAGAAAAGTCACGCTCATTTGCTCTAACGGATAGTTTTCCGAGAACATTAATTATCACTGCATCTACTGCAGCTGGAAGTTTACGAGAAAACTTTTGAATGAGTAGAGAAATAGTAAGGCCATAAATCTATAGGTTAGTAGGGACAACACAGGACAAAGTCATACCTTTTCGTCGTTAACCATTAAGGCGATTTCACCAACTGCCTCAACTGTATTTAAGTAGCTCGATTGAACATTGGCTCTGGGGAGTTCACTAACAGACAAACTACTTTGTTGGTCTAATGGAAGTTGTTCGCGGGAGGCGAGAATTAAGGCACGTTCCTTGTTTTCGCCAATAGAGAGAAGATTGGCAAACTGGTAGATACAAGTGACGGCAAGATCACTGGACGAAGAGCTCAGTAAGACAGCAAGTTTTCTAGCAGCAATCTTTGCGAAACTGACCTCACTAGAAGTTGAACGAGGAGCGTAAATAGCGATTAGTCTCAAGCGCTTTATCATTGCATGAAGTTGAGAGGGAAAATTAACGGCAATTGAACCAATACAGTCAATAAGATGTGGAACGGCATCACTATCCTCAGTCAGCATTCCTAAAAGTGTATTAATCCAGTCCAAAGCTGTTGACGGAAGCGCCTTAAGGTAGTTTGACGATAACACAAGTAGCTTCAACAGGAACACTTTGTACAGGAGACAGTTTTCGAATAAGTGTTCCATCTGAGGGTCTTCCAAGAATGCCGACGTTCCCAAAAGTTTTCCTTCGGCAAAAGTAGAAACAAAACTAATGTGGTCCCTATGTATATCAGAACTTACGGGAAGCTGCTGGTGTGCTTTGATGTCCCAGTAATTTTCAGAACCGGATACAAATGTCTCGCAAGTATGCAGCAAAGCTCCAGTTGCTGAAAGCTGGAGATAGACAGCAAGATTACAGTTGTCAAATTCTTGGATAGGTACTAAGAACACATCCGAAAACGCAGATGCTAGGCGAGAAGCCAGGCCTTCCTTTAAGAAAGCGAGTGATCGCTGGGACAACCAAATAGAATATATATTGTCCGGACTAAACTGGGTCTCTGATGAGTAGCGAAAGAACAAAGCGAGACTAGTCGCGTAGAAAGAAGAAGCCAATGCTCGACGAGACTGAGTTTCCGCAATTTCATCATCCAACCATGCTCTAAAACGTTCACAAATAACTTCCAACAGAAAATCGGCATTTTCTGAGAAGTTCTTTGCAATGTTCTGGTAATTTTTAGCTAAGACAAGCAAGCCTCGAAGAATTGCCGGGATACAATCCAATGAATTTTGAAAAAAACTATCCTGAGCTGATTCTTCTAAAGAAAATGCAAGACAGGTTGCTTCTGAAATACATAAATATAACTGCAAATACCGAAACAGCTGCTTGAACAGAAAGTTGGCTTCTTCTTCAGACAATGATGCAGCAGAACAGAGTTGACTTAAGGACAGAACTGTATCCTTCACTCGATACTAACTTTGTTAGATATTGATTTGTTTACTAAGCAGGTAGCATAGCACGTACTAGTCTCAGTAAATCAGCTTCTTTTGAAGAGTATTCTAAGTTTTGTTGGCATATACGCTTATACAGCGGCCAACCCTTGGTTTTTAACAATCCAAGGTTTACCAAGGATTCCCTTCTGACCGGGAGGGATAAACTATAACATTAGAGACATGAATTGCACAATTACATACCAGTCCATCGTATGGTGGTGGGTTGGTCAATGTTGGTCAAGAATAATACAGGTAATATACAAGAAATTACAAAACTGAGACACTGGTAGATCTCCTAAACAGCGAACGGGAGGAATACTAATCGAAATCTGCACTTGTCCAATTTGAATCTAGTTTATGGGTTGAAAACAATTACTTCTGGCGAACTACTCATTTCTCTAGACACACCGGCACTTGAGTTATCAAACTCGCAATAGGGAATACAAATATCCTTATAAAACCGCAGCTATATATGCTTTCATATCATAAATTAAAAGGTTATTAAGGGAAATGAACGATTCTGAGGCCGCTATGTCGGGTTCGTTGAAACGAAAAAGAAAAGACGAAAATGATCCTACAGAATTGAGAACAGACAAAACCGAAAACTCCAATGATGTACAAACAAAAGCGAAAAACGCTTCTTTAGAAGCATCAACAAATGATAACAACAAGTTTGAGGATCTTTACCTTGATACGGTATGTATCATGTATTCGCTTTCCTTCGGCGGTCTAACTAATCGATTAGATCAATCGGTCTATGCTTGATTTTGATTTCGACAAGCTGTGCTCTGTTTCTCTTTCAAACTTAAACGTGTATGCTTGCCTTGTTTGTGGAAAGTATTACCAGGGTCGAGGACCAAATTCGTATGCGTATGTACATGCTCTTACAGAGAATCATCACGTCTTCGTAAACTGTTCTACGCTTCGTTTTTACATTCTTCCAGAGTCTTACCAAGTCACGTCTGCCGCTTTGGATGATATTAAGTATGTAATGCAACCAACATACACAAAAGAGCAGGTTTCACAGCTGGATGTGAAAGAAACAACTAGTTATGACTTGGACAAAAAACCATATTTCCCAGGTATAACGAATCCTTAGGGGACACTTCACTAACTTGTAGGTTTTATTGGAATGAACAATATAAAACAAAACGATTATCTTAACGTAATTGTACAAGCTTTGGCTCACGTAAAGCCTTTCCGGAACTACTTTTTGCTGACGGATTTTTCCTCTTCTCCCTCCATTGTCCAGCGTTTAGCAACTCTAATCCGGAAAATTTGGAACCCGCGAGCTTTCAAGAACCATGTATCGCCGCAGGAATTAACACAGGAGATTACTGTCTTGTCTCACAAAAAATATTCAGTCAATGAACAACAGGATCCAATTGAGTTTCTTACTTGGTTGCTGAGTACGCTTCATGTGGCATTAGGAGGAAGCAGGAAAAAAGTATTTTCATTGAAACCGACTAGTATCATTCATTACATTTTCCAAGGTTGTATACGAATGGAGTCTCAAAAAATACATGCGCAAACTAGGGCGGGTGACCATATTGTCTTTGAAGCCGACCGACGCATTGAGGTGAATCTGGTACCTTTCTTATATCTTACACTTGATCCACCTCCAAAGCCTCTGTTTCAGGACGAGTTTGAGGGAAACATCATTCCTCAAGTCTCCGTGTACGAACTACTAACAAAATATAACGGTGTGACAACACAGGAGCTCGCTGGTTTCCGTCGCCGGTTCCACATCACTCATGCTCCCTCTTATATCATGTTTCACGTCAAACGCTTCACACGAAACAATTACTTTCCCGAACACAACCCAACAATTGTGACTTTCCCACTAGAAGGCCTGGACTTGGCACCATACATCGACAAAACATTCCTAGAAAAGAACCCAAAACTGTCAACGATTTATAATCTTTGTGTTAATATTGTACATGAAAGCATTTTCCAGGGAGAAAATGAGTCGCATGTATTTAAGGTGCAGGTCAAAAACAAGGCGACCAACAAATGGTACCAAATCCAGGATCTTTATGTGGAGGAAGTTAGTAGTGATCTAATTAACCTTGGAGAGACATACATTCAAATATGGGAACGACAGACACGGTTGCCGTAAATGATGTCCACATTCGTTTACTGCCCTAAGCTAGTTTGACGAACTCGTTCATAAAATCGCTTCATGCAAGTCAATGAGGCATAAGAGTTGTGCGTTTATATAAGGGATGTAACATCTCTGTAAAATAATTATTTTTTCGATAAACAATCTACGTAAGAGAAGCATCTAGTCATCAATCTTGGTCAGTTTTCCATTAGAACTTCCACCCACTGGCTCTCCGATAAGCTGAAGATTAGCCAGTCTCGTCGTATCTTCATCGCCAACGTTCTTCGAAATGAAAATGACGAGAGAGTTCACGCGCTGGAATTTGACGAAACGTAAAGGAACGACAACGGGCTCGTTTGCCTTGTCGTACTTAATTTCGGTAAACTCTTGCGTAGCTTCAAGTGAATCGGCATCTTCAAATGAAAGAACATTTGGCAAGTTAATGAAAAGCTTCATTGCCGCGGGAGCATAACTAATGTCTTCAGTAGGAGTAATGGCGATAGAATGAATTTTTACCGCCTCTAAGAATGGAATGTAGATCATAAGTTGTTCGTCGACATCAGATTCGAGATAATTACCCTTGCCATTGAATAACCCAATCAAGGGGTGGTCATCGTCTTGGTTCAGGCACTCCAATTGTCGTTTCTCAATCATAGAAGCAAGGTTAGTGAATCCCCTGGCAACTAGGGCCGCTGGAATAGAGGAATCACCGGTCAATCCGTTGCTGCGTTTTGCTAAAGCCTCAACCTTTTTCATCAACGCATCTCTGTTTGCTCCAACAAGCATATCCACTTGTCTACCATTTTCAAAGAAGAGAAATGTGGGCCTACGAAGCGTACAGTTAGTAATGAAATTGTCAAACAATTTTCTGTTTTCTTCGACACAAAAAAATACACATACATGGAGCGAACATTCAGCGAGCTAGCAACCTGCTGCTGGTTATCTACATTAATTTTAGCAAAGACAAAGCTTTTGCTCGCGTAACGCTTGGCCAACTGCTCAAAAACAGGCGAAATTGCTCTACAGGGTTGACACCAATCAGCATAGCAATCCACGGCCAGAAAACCGTTTTTGGGCATAATAGATGTCCAATGTTGGTATGAGGAAACTTCAACGACACTCATTTCACAATAATTCACGGCTTTCTCTGATAAACTGGGTATAAGGTAGTGGTACCAAGTGGCCTTCTCTAAATTTCTATCCATCCAAGCTCCGAAGCTATCTAGGCAGAGACGTCAATATCGATACATTAAATGTTCACGAAACGGTTGTTTTGAAGGTGTACATGATATGAATAATTTCAATCTCTGGTAAAGTGGTTTGTCTGATTTACAACACATTAATACTCTCTGTCAAAACTTCTGTGCAAATAGAACCCCATTTTCTAGTTTAAGCAGTAAAATTAGCGCCTCTGGTTTCATAAAATCGTTACCGGAAACGTAAATCTTTTAAAATTACCTGTTCAAAAAACTTGTACTAAGGATCGTTTCTTGGAGAATTATTTTTTCTCCCAATAAGCATATACTGCCGATTCTGTGCTGAATTGAGTTATTTTTTGAAATAATTTGTCATGGAATCCTTTTTGCTGGTTCGACAGTGGTATACTGATTATCAAAAACCTTTTCGGTTACAGGTATATCAGCGGCTAATGCAGACATTACGCCTCTCCAATCCCAATTGCATTCGACGCCGACATGGACCAGGCGCAATGTCCGCAGTGACATCGCTGAGTATCGATAATACCGAGCATAATTTGTAAGAAAGATTTACTACTGTTGGCACTGTCTTCTAATGCTAGCAATGAATTAGTATGATTTCCGGAGCTGCCGACTCCTCTATCAATTTATGGAATTTATTATCACTAAACAGCATGGCTGAAGAGCCATTAGACACGCTTAACACGATTCCCGCGTACGCAATATGATTCTAGTGATCTTTGACTGACTGCCGAATCTTTTAGACGGCATGGACATACGCACGGCATAACCGATTTGCATTGGTTCCCGTTTGACAATGGCATGTTTACGAGCTCCTCGTTTGACCATACCATCAGAGTATGGGACACACAGGCGATGGAGGTACGAAGTGGTTATTTTTGTGTTTAATTTCTGTATTCGTTTACTTACAATTATTAGCAAGCTTATTGCTTCCAATTAGGAGACATTGTATATTCACATGCTTGGTCGCCAATCGCTTCGCATTGTCTTATTGCAGGTACGTTGAAGATAACTTGATTCATACAAACTAATCAATATTCAGCGGCCTATAATTCATCTTCTATCCGGCTCTGCGACATGCAAAGCGGTTCATACACACACTCGCTGATCGGTCATACGGGGCGTGTCCTGGCAGTAAGTTGGTGTCCAGCTCGTGAGTATGTTCTTGCATCTGGAGGCACCGACGGGACGTGTAGGCTTTGGGATGTCCGCAAAGCATCTTCCAGTTTTGCCTCGCTTGACTCTCAAAATATGAATAGTCCGCTGGAACACTCAAACCGTGCGCACAATGGTACAATAAACGGTCTCGAGTGGACGCCGGATGCGGCGTATCTTGTATCCTCAGGCACTGATGATCACATTCGTGTATGGGACATGGACACAGGTCAAAATACACTGATCCACTTTGGTCCCACAATTCACAATCAGCGCCAAGCCTTCGCAGTACATCCGTGTGTCTTCCAGCCAGACTCCGATTCAAAACCGCTCATATTGTTTCCCAACGATGATGGTACAATTGTACTACTCGATACGCTCACCGGTACCTCACTCTCGCGATTGTCAACAAATTTCTTAAAACGTGTAAACTCGGTTGTATACCGTAAAGGATATGAGCAATGCTTATCGGGCGACATGAATGGATCTATTTTATTATGGGAGCCTGAAATGTATACACGGCCCATAACTTCCATCGAAGCGGAAGCTGAGGACACGAGAAATGCTGTAAAGGAGATTTACGAGTCCCTCAAAAATGTCCCTATAACCTTTCAGTGAGCGCAATGCGAGCACTTGTATTTCTATTATACAGTGATGAATTGAAGGATGTGGTTTCCGACGGTATGTTATTTCAATCTATTTGTTTATTTTTATTGCCAACTCTCGGCTTTCGCTTAGATAAAAATGTAAAAATTTTATTGTAGATAAGGTTTCCACATGTTTATCTCAAACACAACCACTAAAAATTCACTGCATTAAGCTTTCAGCGTGTGTTGTCCTTGCAGGACGCAACCTGCTGGACTACTTACCTTTTCCCTACACGCGTCTCATACTATGAGTTTCCTAGATTTAACTGAACCTTGGGGGAAAAACCTCTCAAACCCCTTTTTCGCAGACGCACAGCGCTCTGCTGCTGATGTTGAGCTTCCTGGAGCTGTTTCTCATACTCAATCACCCATTGTCACGGGTTCCTCGGTTCTTGCCTTAAAATTCAACGGAGGTGTAATGATTGCCGCTGATAACCTTGCCTCCTACGGCTCTTTAATGCGTTTTTATGACGAAGAACGACTGACAAAGGTTGGTAACAACACGGTTGTCGGCGTCGGAGGTGATATTTCTGACTACCAGCACATTCAGCACATTCTCGATAAGCTGGAGATTAAGGAGCAGTACAATAATGACGGTCACGCTTTAGAGCCTTCTCATGTGCATGAATACCTTGCAAGATTGTTTTATTACCGTCGTAGCAAAATGGACCCTTTGTGGAACCAGGCCATCGTTGCCGGCGTTGACGGCCCAAACAAAGAGCCTTATATTGCTTTTGCTGACCTTCGTGGCACTACATACACCTCTGAGGCAATTGCTACTGGTTTTGCCGCTCATCTTGGCATGCCTTTGTTGCGTAAGGTGACAGAGGACGATAAATGGAAGTCCCTTACCAAGGAACAGGCCCGTGCTGTCATTGACGATTGCATGCGTGTCCTCTTCTACCGTGATGCCGGCAGCCTGAACAAATTCTCCGTTGCTACAATCACTGCTGAGGGCATTGAGTTTTTAACCAACCAAAAAGTGTCGTCTAACTGGGCCTTTGCCGAGAAGCAATACGGCTATGGTTCCCAGAATGTATAGACCATGATGAATGAATGAAGTTGAAACGGCGTACGAGTACCTGAGGGAGAATTAGTGAGTGTGGATGCTGATAGTTCTCGTGCATGGCTCTTGCAAGCGGATAGTGATGCTCCTGACTTGGTGTCCCTTGGATCGCTCCGTCAGCTCTCCCTTGCTTTTTGAGGCTTGTTTCGAGTCGTTCTTCTGTCGCTAGAAGTGACTTCTTACGTAGAGAAGGTAGAACCCGAGGAAGCTAGTACCATACTATGAACGTTGATATGTACCAGTAAGCTAATCAAGAAAAAAGAAGTTCGGAAAGAGTTGATTATTCGTTGTTAAGTGGTTTGATTAATGGATGAAATAGCGGTGATTTCCTTTTTGATATGACTGGAAAACTGTTATTATTTTCTAGTAACGGTTATTCAACATTGCAGTTGAACTTGAATTATAGTCTCATTTATCAAAGTTATCCATAGCTGCTTCCTTAATAGTAGCTGCGTAAAAGGAAGAATTCTATATGAATTAGTTAGAAACAGCCAGAGAATAAACCAGGACGTATGCCGGTACATATGAGGGCATTATCGTTTATTAACTGTTTTTTAAGGGCAAAAAGCGATGAGAGTTGCTTCCTATGTACCCTCCAGAAATGACCGCTGAAATTATGTTTGAGTTTTTCAATTGTGCCGGTCCTCTCTATTGGCTGCTTTCTTGGACATCTTCAAAGTCGCCGATCGTTCTCTGAATTATAATCTTATTGATTCGGGTGACGGTGTCACTCACAGTATCCTTGTGATATATTGAAGGAGTTTCAATTGTGTTCATTATCAATGTGGGCAAGACTATTATAACATATGTTAAGAGTTTAAAATGAAAACATATTAACATATTTACTGCAGAACCTTCCACTAACGTGAAGACAAGGTATCAATTTATTTGAATGAAGGGACCGAATCCCGAACCTTATTTTTTTATGAATTATTTTTATTATTATAAAACAAACTGAGGGTTGTTTTCTACAAGAAAAGTACCATGCATATCAATATGTACTTTCCTATTTACCCCTACAGCTCGTTCCTCCATTGAACTTTCGGCTGGTGCAGTAGCCGATGACATAGTTGGCAATAAGCGGATTCTAAAATCATACCCAGCATGGACGTAGTCCTCGGCATTCTTCTTCATTACCGTATTCGGCGAGCATTAGATTCCCCGAAGTAATTATATGAACAGCCAATGGAACTGCAAACGCATTTCTCAAAGGTCCCTTACGACATCATAGTAATTGCCTCCAGCAAACTGTTAGAAAGAAACATCTTTGCCACCATTATCAATTCTCGAGCTTGCACTCCGTTAATTGTAAGTTGCCTCACAACTGTATCGCCTTTGAAATGACCGTTATTATCTAGCACCTGGCACACTTATTCAGCCGACACTAAGAAAGTCGCAGGCAACTTTAATCAACTGGTGCGACACTTAGCGAAAAAGATCGACACAAGCAAGCCCAAACGCCGAGGATAAAAGAGTTCATAATACAATGTCACCTGAGATTTCACGAGAAAGAAGCATGTCGCTTTAGAGAATCAGTTCATAGCCGAAGATAGTGACAGTTCACGCAACAAATTGAGGCCGTCAGAGGGAAATCCAATTGCAACAGACATAATTACGGCTGCAGTGGCTATAGTAGATATGCTCATGACGAGTACAATTGAGTCATTGACTTACTGGCAGCAACCAAGACGATACCTGCATGGCGGATAGACAGTCTGCACAGCACTACACGATACAAGTTACTCATTGAATATGATCTATATACATAAGATAATCTCCTCCACCTCCTGTACCTCCGCACTTATTGCTTATCCTACTGCACAATATCTTCAGTATTCTACTCACTAAATCTCGCATCACCACACAATACCGTTTATCAAACTGCACCACACTCCAACGAGATGACTCATCCTCATGCAGCCACTGGGAAATTCTCATAAACGAGTGATCGTAAGCGAATATTTGTAGATAAAGTTGGTATCTAAATGCTCGGAAAAATCGTTCTTTAAACTGATTTTTTTTCTCGTGGAATTTTTCGCAGTAGAGAGAGAGAGTAGCTTCTTCTCCACACAGACCTGCTAGCTTTAGCTACCAACCAAGAACCTGACAGGTCTGAATGCGACAGGATTCTTTCAGGTCAGAGTCAATTCGGCCGCTATCATCTGCTCAAGTACCCAAGGCAACTGATCCTAGTTTTGTCCGGTGGAGAGAAACTTTTGTTCAGAATGCTTTGACGGTAATCAAGTCCGTACCGAAATGGCGCTCTTTGGGCGAGGAAAATGGAATAGCACTTTATGAGCGTGCTATGGATCATGCAGACAGCTGGTTCGCGAGAATATCGAAGCATACGCGGTCGTTAAACACGTTTAAGAAGGGATTACTTTTCGAACACGTCCAAAAGGAGACAAACTACAACCCGTATGTAGAGTCTGTTGAGCAACTCGACACAATCATTGAAGACGAGATGGAGGTGTGGATGTACAGCTACAAGACTCCGTGGTATTGTCGCGACAAGGTGTACAAACAGCTGGTCATCTCTGTGGTATTGGACGCAGACTCGTTTATGGTCCTCCAGGCTCCGGTGCAGTACAACGGAGACACTGGTCTGTCTGCATTCAGCTTGCGAGAAGTGTTGTCGGCGTACGAGTCCATTGACTATGTTCAACGCAATCCAGACAGCGAAGAAGGAGGCGTCCTCTGGACCTATGCCATCCGAAGCTCCAACAACGGCTTTCTTTCCGGTTTTTACGGAAATTCTAACGTCAACAAAGCGCTCGTCCGGCAGGTAAAGCGTTTCAAAGACTGGATCAACAAAGCCCATCCTCGGAAAACTTCGTCCGGGTGATTTTTACCGACACCGTCACCGACACATCCCAGCCTTACGAATTCCTGATTGCCGATGTATTATTACTATACTCGCTTTCTTATATTGCTTCTAATTGTAACATAAGCTACACTGTTTTTTTTGTTTTTGTTTTTCTTCTACAGTTGCGCTGAACGCTGCATAATAAGGTTTACACGTGCATTTTTTAAATTTATATGTCCCGGCGGGGTTGGAGTTGAAACAGTTTGCCGTGGATTGTGTTGCGAGTCACTAAATCATATACCGCATTGTTTCGTGTGCACTACACGGCTTAACGCAATACTCGTCTTTCACGCTACGCCTCGGCGGCCCGAATATCACTGAGTGCCCCCGCTGCCGTATGTCCCATATACCTTGTCACGAGTAGCTGGAAACGCACTTGCCCTCCCCAAATATGCGTGTCGTAGCCCTGATCAGCGGCGGCAAGGACAGCTGCTTTAACATGATGAATTGCGTGCAGCAGGGTCATGAAATCGTCGCTCTGGCGAATTTATACCCGCAAACGAACACCGGTATGAATGTTGAGACGCGTTGCTTTGGAATTGTTTCACGCGTCCACAGAAAAAAAAACAGTTTCTGACGCGTTTTTATAGATGAAATTGACTCTTACATGTATCAAACGGTCGGACACAATGTAATTCCCTTGTACGCTGACTGTATGGGTGTTCCGATTTATCGTGAACCTATTACAGGAAAAACAATTGACCAGAACCTGTCGTATCAAAAGACCGACAATGATGAAACAGAGGACTTATTTCGACTTTTGAAAAGGGTGAAGACGGAGCATCCAGAGGTGGAGGCTGTCTCTGTAGGTGCAATCCTGTCAAATTACCAACGTACACGCGTTGAAAACATTTGCCAGCGTTTGGGACTCGTGAGTCTCTCGTTCCTTTGGAACAGAGATCAGCGGGAGTTGCTGGAGGAAATGGTTCAATCAGAACTGCATGCGATTCTCATTAAAGTTGCTGCCATTGGCCTAAACGATCGCGACTTGGGCAAGTCGCTTGCAGAAATGCAACAGAAACTGCTCACTCTGCATTCGCGTTTCGATCTCCACCCCTGTGGTGAGGGAGGAGAATACGAGACACTCGTTCTCGACTGCCCTCTGTTCAAGAAACGACTTGACTTGGTCGATCGTGAGGTAATTCAGCACTCTTCTGGCGATGTCTATTACTTGAAGTGTAAAGCGGAGGTGAGAGACAAGGAGAACGAAGAGGCGAGCGAGAAAGACGTTTCGTCGACACTTGACTTGTCTCAGGGCCCCCCTTTGCTCGATAATGATTTCTCGTCACTATACGCTACGGTTAAAGACACGCTTTTGAAGCTGCCGAACTCGGAGCCCGGTATTGAAAAACATTTGTTTCCTGTGCCGGTGCACAGAACGGTTTCCGTCCAGGAAAAGGGCCCCTATTTGGCTCTGGGAAACGTTACGGCACCTGCTGCCGCTTACGCTACTGTCGAAGACGAAATGGAGGCTGCTCTTCTGGTTATGGAAGATGTCCTGAGGGAGCACAAAAAGTCGGTTCACAATGTACTCCAGGTGATTCTCGTTGTCTCCAATATGTCTGATTTCGCGCGCTTAAACAAGGTGTACGCAAAACACTTTGATTTCATCAATCCTCCCTCCAGAGTCTGTGTCAGCAGCCCTCTTCAGGATGATTGCAGGGTTGTGCTTTCTTGCATAGCAGCTATCGCAGATGGCCGACAGGGTTTGCACATTCAGAGCCAGAGTTTCTGGGCTCCAGCCAACATTGGTCCGTATTCCCAGGCCATTTCTTATGATGGCACGGTCTTCATCTCCGGCCAGATTGCTATGATCCCTGCAACGCTAGCAATGCCCTTCCCAACATCCATTCACAAGGAGGCTGTCTTAGCCTTACAACACGCATATCGCATCGGAAAAGTGATGAGGGTTAAGAGTTTTGCTTTTGCAACTGCTTTCCTGTGCAGTAGCAATGATGTTGAGGCCACCCAAATCGTTTGGGACTGTTTCCAAAAACAATTTGGCTATCATTGTCCCTTGTTCACGGTTCTCGTTGAAGCCTTGCCCAAGGGGGCCATGATTGAATGGCAACTTCTTGGCTGCACAGAATACGAAGACAAACCCCCCGTGAGTGCCACCGTTTCAACGCAATCTTTGCATGCTCCAAACACGTTTTGGAGCATTGCAGCGATGGATGAACAAACTATGCAAACAGAACTCGCCTTTATGCAAAGTCAAGTACCCTCTAACTATACCATGATATTTAATAGCACCGGTGAGTCGAGTGTTTTGCATGTCGGGTGCAATATTCGGTAACTACTTTTGGGCGTCTAGCTTTGTTTTGGGTTGATCATTAGACAGAAGCGTCAGTGATACTCTCTTTATGTCTTGAAATGAAACGTTACGTTTATTGTGTACTGCGGTCCTCACAGTGGAACTTCTAATTTTTTTTATTATATACGTATACCTTACTTTCCATGAACATGCTCCAAGATTAGAACCAAACTTTCATATCTTTTATTATAGCCACTTCAACAAATCGTTAACAGTGAATAAAATTATTTATTATGTCTTGTGAAACAAGGAACCACTTGCTTGTTTCCGTATATTGCTATACTGCCTTCGGCCTATCAAGGTTCTCCAGCGTAAAACCTTCTCTACTCAGAAACAGGAATTAACCATAAAGCACACCATAACGTTGAGAATATTGTGAGTTTTTAACTGTTATGAATTCTCTGCAATGTTATATAAAGCAGTCTCCTAGGACGGTTGCATTTCAAAAGGACGAAAGTATCCTTACTATACGGTTACAAGAAGACACTACAGATCCTTATGTTTATGATATAGGACTAGTTTCTCTTGAAGAGTTTCAAAAGGACAATGCTTATGTCCCACTTTTTAACGGCAACAATGTTATTTCGATTCTCAATATTCTTGTTTGGCCTGCCGTTGAAGAACAAGGAAATGAAAAAACAACGCTGGCTAATATTGCCATATGTGTATTGAGAGAAGCAGAAACGGTGGCTTCAATAAGAAAAGAATCTGATATTTTGAGAGTAAAGAGGATTGACTTTATTTCATTGAATTCTGACTGCTGGGATAACAATTTGTTTTCTGAAAAACCAGACGAAAGCAGCACGGAAAATGTTGAGTTGAACTCGTCTACAGAGTCTTCTTCAACGTCCGTCACAGAATCTTCTTCTGAAGATGCTACCTTTGACTATGAAATTGGTCTACCAGAATTATTGACGGATGGGAGTTTCTACGTCACACAGAAGGAAGGATGCTATGCGGAGTTTGCAGTGAGCACTGAGGAACTCAACCTGAAGGATCCCTCAAACAAATGTCAATTTTTGTGGAATGGGTGTTTCGTGAAAAACGTTAAGAAATTTATTATGGACCGGTATCATCTCCCTAGCCTTGCTGATATGTTTACTTATAGCTTTAGAGGCTACGTCGAAAGCGAAAAGGTGAACGATGTCACGTTGACGATTATTTCGCGCTTGCGCATTGTGCCGAATCGACCAACTTATCCTCCTTCGGGATTAGATGACGAAGCAAATGTCTGTGCATTTTCCGAAATAGAAACTATTGTTCAGCACGAAAACCAAATAGGCAGCTTCTGTCAAGTGCGTGGTACTGTACCATGCTTTTGGCAGCAAACCAGCACTTGGTCAGGAAAGGCTACCTTAATTACCCGTTCACTACAAGCGGGGTTGAAGTCATTTACGTTGCATTTTGAGAAACTACTGGCTCAATATCAGAAAGTGTATATTATTGATTTGCTCGGAAGTGCGGCCCATGAAGTAACGCTCAGTGATGCTTACAGGAGGTATCTTCAACAAGCATTTTCGACAACTAGTTCCATTGAAGCTGCCCATTTACGAAACGATGAGCGGAATTTAGCTGATAGAGCATTTTTGGAGCAACGATTCAGTGAACTGCTTTCGCATCAAACGTATTCCCTGGTAACTTACGGTAACAAACCCGAAGTTTTATTGCAACAGAAGGGTGTCATTCGAATGAATTCCTATGATTGTCTTGGACGAACCAACGGTGTGCAATCTGTTTTATCTCAATTACAGGTAACGGAGATGTTACGTACTATGCATGTCAATTATACGAATGCAGTGTTCGACTTACATAACCGTTTATGGGCAAATACCGGTGATGAGCTATCTAAACTCCTCAATGGAGTGGGTTCTATTGGCTCGAGTGCTGTTAGGTATGGAAAATTGTCATTTGCTGGAGCGTTAAGTGATATCTCAAAAAGCTTGGGTCGCATGTATGTCGGAATGTTTCCGGATGACACTACACAGGAAAATCTAAACATGCTATGTGAAACGCCGAACGACAACTTAATCACGTTGAACAATTCACTTCAGTACTTTTTGCGAAAGTCGTTACAAAAAGCGTATGTCCCTTATTATCCAATTGCTGCTAATAACTCACTAACATCTTACAGCGAAAAAGAGCATTCACAAGAGATTCCTCTGAGCCTGTACTGTGTCACTTTTAATGCCAATGGGAAAATTCCCGATCCTGCGAGTCTCGAAAAACTCGTGTGCCCATTGCCTGGTATTGTCTGCGATGTTTACGCTGTTGCAGTTCAAGAACTTGTCGATTTGAAGGTGAAACAGTTACTGAACACGGATTTCCAGAGACTTCGTATATGGGAAGAGTCTATCCTTAAAACACTGAATACCACGGATTCAGATGAGACATATTCACTTGTACAATCAGTGCAAATGGCCGGTATCAGTTTATCAATTTACATGAAGGAACGGTTGTTTCCACGGGTTTCACAAGTCGAGGAAGCTGTTCGAAAGACGGGTTTTGGCGGCTTTTCGACAAATAAAGGCGCCGTAGCTTTACGTTTCCATGTGGGAATGTCTGAGCTTTGCATTGTTTCCTCACATCTTGCGCCGAAGGAACGAAATATTGCTGAACGTAATAGCGAATATTTCGATATCGCAAAAAACCTGCGGTTTTTGTCCTCTAAACGAATTTACGACAATAAGTATGAACCTGTTTCTCAGAATTGATGGCTAACATTTCAACAGACAAATTGTTTGGATGGGAGACTTTAATTACCGAATCAACTTGGATTATGCAACCACTAAAAAGCTAGCTTTGAACGGTGATTTCGATTACTTATATCGTTATGATCAACTTCAAAATGCTATGAGGGAGGACCACATTTTTCATGGTTTAACCGAGTCTCAGTTGACCTTTCCTCCTACCTATAAGTTTGATGTTGGAACGAGTAACTATTGTCCAGAGTATGTTTATACATGAAGGGTCGTGTTGGTTTCTGTGTTCTAACTATTGTAGAAAAAAGCAGCGAACTCCTTCCTGGACCGATAGAATTTTGATTACCGATAATGTAAGAAAACCTCTTTCACAAAGGCAAAAACGTTTTGCTTTTTTACTTCTGTATTACTAACGAGTTACCCCCTCCACAGATGAGTCGTTTGGTCTACTCTTCTATTGATATTCAAACGTCGGACCACCGTCCGGTATTTAGTATTTTGGAATTCAAAGCTTCTATGCTAGAAAACAAACATTACTGGCAGGCTTTGCGGGAAGCAGAGGCAGAGTACAATAACACAACACAGACGGATAACTCCGTATGATGATGATGATGATGAACACACCTGGATGAATGCACAGTTCATGAACAAGCATACGTATTGAAGCTAATCAACCGAAAAAGTAAATGAAGAGAATATAAGTATGTGTTACAAATAAGGGAGGGTGTATGTGTGTGAAGGGAGAGTGGACGATAAAGGGGAAAAGGAAACGAACTGGACACGCCTGCAACAGCACCGGGCTGTGTGTGCGCGCGTGTATGGTTTACTGGTGAACATTTGCTCCAAAAGTGCTAGAGATCCATACCGAAAACGGCGTGGTCGACACAATTAGGATGGGCAATCGGTTCGAAACCCACCCAGTGGAAACTCTTGACGAGGTAGGGCAGATTAGGCAGATGCTTATCAACATAAATAATTAACTTGGAGCACTGCAGGTGATCGGTAGCAAGGTCAATGATGGCAACGAGACCATTTTTCAAATTTACATCCTGCCAGTTCTCGGGTATAAGATGGAGGTTCCGTTGGCGCTGATGATGTTCATCATAAGTCTCTTCAATGATCCCGTGCCAGTAGTTGGACGGTTCAGCGATGCCGATGCGTTTATTCCGTAGTGCTTCATCGGCTTGTCCATTTCTACACGGATTCCGGTCCAACGACGGTTGAAGCTTGGATTGTAGTGGGAGTGTAGAATGTTGAGGGGGTCTGTCTTTGCTTGATTTCGCCGTATTATTGTTGTCATCCTGTTCATCTACCGCCTGTTCCTTCAAATTGCCGGATGACTTGGGCAAACACGTTCGAAAACTGTCACTAATCCAACGAGGTACATGGCGGCGCCTTCGAAGCAGCCGTTTCGAGGGTCTTACGGAGTTAATTCCCTCAGGAGCACCATTCTGCCCCTCCAGAAGGAGTCGTGCCGTACAAGAATTTTGAGTCCTCCGTAGTGCAAACAGCCAACGTAGCGCTGCTCCGGCGGCGATTCTCTAAGCTCGGGGCATTGATGATGTCTAAATTTAAGTCTTCTGTATTAGACAATTGATAAATTGGATTTCTAAAAGCCATAACTCTTGCTGTAGCTTACGTGAGGGTGTTTGGTATTTGGCAGGCGAAACACGGGCTTCAGGTGGTATAGTGAGGTGCAACGAAACACAGCGAGAGCTAACAGAACGCGTTGCGGCTTTTTAACGCGGAACAGCGAGAGCGAGCACAGAAATAATTTAACGCAAATGTGTGGACATCGCAAAGGTTCGTTATTGTGTTTTAGCGTAAATGAGAGTTTCATAACGAGAAAGACAATGTGCTGAGTAGTAAAGTCTTAGGGGGAGGAATAATGAGTGAGGAGGGTCAGTGAGCGGTGAGAGGAAGGGAATGTGCTGCTGGGATTGCTTGCATCCAGTTGCACACTCTGCGCTCGACTTCGCCGTCCATCTCCCGTCTTTGTCGAATGCCTTACTTAGCACGCTTCGCCTTCTCTCCCTTTTCTCCGTCATCGGTCTTGGGACGCTTGCGTTTAACAAGTGATCCCAAGTCATTAGCATTTTGAATGGCATCAGCGACGAGCTTTTGAAGTTGATCACGAGGAGCTGAAAGGAGAGAACCGGCAACCGCACTCGTGGTGAGCTCCTTCTCCAAGTCGGGCTTCTCTTCGGCCTGCAAGTCCTGCGCCTTTTGGTGCAAATCGTCGAGCATTTGCTGGAACGAAGTCAGAGTAGGATCCTCCTTCTCCTTTCCCTTTTTAGAGCTTGTCGCCGCACGCTTCGCATCAAGGACGTGTTGTATGATGTCTGCAGCAGCTTCCACATGTTTGAGTGCTTCCTTTTTGCCGCTACCGTCTTCGAGAGCAGTAAACTCGAGAGCCAGTGCTAGTTTGTAATGAGCTTCACTCAACAAAGTACTGTTTGCTTCGAGAACTTGTTGTTTCCAAAGCAAGGCCTCCTGCAAGTCTTGAGCGGCCTGCTCAAAGCTTTCGTTCTCCAGTGAAATTTCACCAAGCAAATCCAGAACGTCTGCCAGCCGGGACTTTTCGTCCTTCGAATCGAGTTGCTCCACTGCACGAGTCTGGAGCACACGGCACAAATCCAAGACCTCCCACGCCAAGCCAAAGTCATCTTCTGCTGCAACGGCGGCAGCTGGAGTAGGCGAAGCTGCAGTTGCAGCTTCCGTCTTCTCGCTACCGTTTGAGGAAGCAGCTTCCGAGGTAGCAGTAGCAGTCGATTCTTTCACATCGTTCGCCTTCTCTGCCGCGTCATCGCGCTCGACTCTGTCCTCCAGCTTGTCTCCGGTAAAAGCAAAGGAGCCGACGACAGTGGGACCAGAGTCAGTTTCCTTTTGTTGTTGCTCTTCGATAGCAGGAGTGATTCCGCCTCCGAGGACTTGGCTCTTCGAGAGAGCTATTTCAAACAACGTCCGTCCATACAGCCACAGAACGTTGCGGTTTTCTATATTGTCGGGACCATTTTTTTGCTCCAAAACTTCTAGAGCATCACTGTATTTTTCAGCAGCAATCTCGTAATGCTTTTGAGAGAAAGCCTTATTCCCTTGAACAACTAGTTGGTCGATGGTTTCCATTAAGAGAAGAGAGATAGATACCTTGTCAGGTGGGCCTTCTCAAGAAAAAAAAAGGAAAAAAAAAAGAAAAAAAAATTGAAAGAAAAGAAAAGAAAAAAAGTTCTTTTTAACAAAACGATAAAACAAGAAAACGTTTCAATCAACTACGTGTCACTACTGAATGTCCTGTTTCTTTCGAAGTTAAACTCGTGGCGGACAATTTTGTTAAACTACAGACCGTGAGTTATTCGTTTCTGTGGGTATCCTTAGTAGTAAATATGGTCAACACGGTTCAGCACAGTCAGTACGGGTAGGTTACTTTTCCCGCTAGTGCCCTCCCTTTGCTTCTTTTTTGGTGTTCTGTTTTCTCTCCAATCTCCGCCCTTACTAAACCCCCCTCCATCCCACAATTTCGTCGATCCCCCGCTCTGTCTCCACTTTCTCCATTTTTTTGGTGGTGAGTTTCCATGTGTTTGTCACGTGCAGGCCCACACACAATTCAGTTCTAACCACTCTGTAGCCTTAGGGAACACTGGACACACAAAACATACTTGGTTTGTTTACTAAATTTACAGCGGTTTTGCACCTACCTTTGACCCTTTCATCCTTTTTTAAGGTAAACTACACCATAATAATTTAACTTTCCTGTCTTCGTAAAGCTGGAAATTGTTAATTTTTCATACTGTAAGCTTTCTGAGGCATTTCTTAAGTGAGAAGGCTACCTGTTCCCCTTGTTGTTGTCTTCATACATTTCCTCCATTGACTATTCGAAAACGGTGCTATAAGCGGACACCGTGTTTCATTTTGTACTTTAGTTTGTATCTTGTTCACTCGAACCGTGTATTGGACACATTTTGAAACCGCCTGTTGGCCAAGTTGACCGGATTAGTGACGAAGTCTGTCACTCTCTTCCCGTTCCCTTCCGTCTATTCCTGTATTTCGATCTAAAGAAAAGAAATCGCTTGCTTTTGAGACACAGTCAACTCTGTTTTGTGACCACTTCATGTCCTAATTCATGATTAAGCCTTCTTGCTGACTGTTCTCCCTTCCCCTTATTGTCTGCCTTATCATTGTACCTTGTTCTGTTTCCATTTTCTCTCTTTCTTCCTCTCTTTCCCATTCCTAATATTCTCCGCTGTCACTCTGTTCTATACCCGTTACAAAGCACACACAACCTTGGCATCAGGATTTTCCTATCAACACTGCACCTTTGTCTCGTGTCCTCCTTTTACCTCTACGTCTTTTCCATAATTTCCTATTTCCTTGATACACACTCACACTCATACACTTCAATTCCTAATGATGGAACGGAAAGAAAAACCAATGTCTTTTAAAAACTTTGGTCTGTTCTTTAAGAAGACTGCTACCGAATCCAACAGCTCAACCATCAATCGCAGTCGGTCACAACAGAACCAGCGAACAAAATCTGCTGAGACATTCACCGACCTACCGGGTTTGCGATTAACTAAAACACGAGCTGAGACTAGTAGTAACGCAACCTCGCCAATTAGCAGTTATCCCATCAATCGTTCTTCCTCGTCTCTTGACTTTGGTACGAACAGAAAGCTATCCTCCAAATACGCCCGGTATATGTCACAAACTGACGAGGATTGGGGTCTTCCCAATTCTAATACGTCTTTCACTAAAAATACGCGGTTCAACGGAGCGTCAGCTACTTCTTCCACAAACAACTCTAGCTCTCGGCACCATCGACACGGAGTTCAGTGTGCCACGGATTCTAATTCTGCGCGGAAGTACATTGACATGTTTGAAAAAAATGCTCTCAAACCGAGTCCCAAGTCTGCTAATCAGACTGCTGAAGCAGAAGTCGCGCTTATAAACTGTCAAATGTCGCGCATAAAAAAGTTTACTCGTGTTCTAGAGGCACCAGTGGTAGATTTAATCGCACTGCGGACTCTATCGTGGAACGGGGTTCCACCGGAATTGAGACCGATCGTATGGAAGATGCTCCTTGGGTATGCTCCATCAAATGCATCTCGCAGGGATTCGACGCTGGAAAAAAAGCGTGAAGATTATTTTGCTATAAGAGATACGCTTTTTCACACAGAAGGAGAGTACGGTCACTTGGATCAGGCTTTGTGGCACCAAGTAGCAATTGATGTACCACGCACAAATGCATCTATTCCATTGTATCAAAATCCAGCAACTCAACGCATCCTTGAACGGATATTGTACATTTGGGCTACTCGGCATCCCGCGAGCGGATACGTTCAAGGAATCAACGACCTTGTAACACCCTTTTACCAAGTCTTCCTTTTACCTTACACACAGCCTTACGATCCTGAAACCTTTGATGTCCGACAGCTTACAAAAAGACAGCTTGATGAGGTTGAAGCCGATTGTTTCTGGTGTCTCAGTAAGCTGCTCGATGGCATTCAAGACAACTATATTCATGCACAGCCCGGAATCCAGCGCCAGGTCATGAAACTTCAGGAGCTCACATACCGTATCGATGCACCGCTGGCAAAACATTTACAATCTGAAGGTGTGGACTTTCTTCAGTTCAGCTTTCGATGGATGAATTGTTTGTTGATGCGCGAATTAAGCATTGAAAACATTATACGCATGTGGGATACTTACATGGCAGAAGGGCCTGATGGCTTTTCTGATTTTCACTTGTATGTCTGTGCTTCTTTCCTAGTGAAATGGTCGTCAGAACTACAAAAAATGGAATTCCAAGAGATACTTATTTTCCTACAATCACTTCCTGTAGCTTCTTGGACAGACTCTGATATTGAACTGTTGTTGTCTGAGGCTTTTTTATGGAAGTCTTTATTCAGTGGGGCTACAGCCCATTTACGACAATCATGAATGAAATCACGGAGGCTTCCGCCCTAGTTACAATCAGTCTGGTAATCCTTTACACTAATTTAATATGTTATAACTGTGTTTGTAAACGAGGCCGCGGAATCGGCACCTGATGATTACGGAAAATCAACGGGGAATGTGCATTCGTCGGATTCGTACCGGTGAGGTAAGGTGATAGTGAAACAATCTTAGGGTCCGGTGTGTCTAATAGTTTCCTTTTCTTTCCACAAAGTCGACGGAAGCGACATTGTTGACCAAATTAGATGTCCTTTTTCACAACAAAATTGGAACGCATATCGGGCTTTTCTACAGTGTCATTCGGAAGGCAATAGTACGCGACCTTCTCTGTTTATTGAATGACAAATTTAGTAGTAAGCTACCTAATATGGACAAGCATTCCGTTTCATTAGAGATGATACTGTATAACTGCTTAAAGCAAAAACGAATATTATGCTACATGATATACGACCAAAGTATGTCAATCTAGATTAGTGGATAGAATACAATAAGTAAATACGTCCATACGATAATTCTACCATGCAATGAAACCCTTCTGCTACGGACACTCATGGAATGTCCTTGATTCACGACCAGTCGGCCGTTTAACATTCTTCGTTCCAATGAATGCTGTACTTCTCATAGAACCAACTTCCCTCGCAATATACAGACATACACCTCTACAAACTCTCTGGAACATCTTACAGTGCTTAAGTTTCGAAACCAAAAACTAGTAACAGAGATTTCATTGAAAAACAAATTCCTTTCCTCTAGAGATATACGGGAACCTATCGCAGCGAAGGCTGTTTAAACACGAAAGAAATACATTATTTGGGTGCTCGGACGCGGAAAGGGAAACGCGCATGTCGGATTTTTTTAATTGATGGCAGCAATGTGACCAGCCTGGTAACGACCAGAAGGATCAGCAGGGCAACCCCATTCAGCCTTGGGAATCCAGCGCATAACAGTGCTTGCACACTGAGGAGGGAAGAGCTCATCAAACATAAGACGGTAAAGGTATGCTTCCTTAGTTTGAGGAACATCGTCGCCCCACTCAGCCTTGGGGTTGGCCATTTGATCGTCGCTGATTTGGAGCTCAGCAGTGTCCTTAAGGGCATCAATCCAAGAGTAACCGACACCATCAGAGAATTGCTCCTTTTGACGCCAGAGAATCTCCTTGGGAAGGTAGGGCTGGGCAGTAGGATCGTCAGAAGTATCGAAGGCCTTGCGGAGAATGTACTTCTCCTTGCGCTCGGCAGTGTACATCTTCTCCTTGGGGTCAATGTTCAAAGCAACCTCAAGGAACTCCTTGTCCAAGAAGGGGACACGAGCCTCAAGACCCCAAGCCATAGTAGACTTGTTGGCACGGAGACAATCAGAAAGATGCAAGTTTTTAACACGGCGGACACACTCGCTGTGGAAGTCGGCGGCACTGGGTGCGTTACCAAAGTAGAGATAACCACCGAAGATCTCGTCGGATCCCTCACCAGACAAAACCATCTTGACACCTTGAGCCTTGATCTTACGAGACAAAAGATACATAGGGGTACTGGCACGGATAGTGGTGACATCAAAGGTCTCCAAGTGGTAGATGACATCGCGAACGGCGTCAAGACCCTCGTCGACAGTGAAGGTGTGTTCGTGATGGCTAGTACCCAAGAACTTGGCGACGTTACGGGCAGCAACAAGATCGGGGGAGCCAGGCAAACCAATGGCGAAGGAGTGAAGTCTGGGCCAGGCAGTGATGGTGCGAGCTTCCTCGGAACTGTCCTCCAAAGCGTTAGCAAGCTTCTTGGTCTCGCGGGCAGCAATGGAAGCAATCAAACTGGAGTCCAAACCACCAGACAACAAGACACCGTAAGGAACCTCAGCCATAAGACGCTTGCGGACAGAGTTCTCCAAAGTTGTACGGAGAAGCTTGTAGTCGATGGGGTTGCTGGGAATGCGGTTCTCATCCCACCAGGAGGGGTTGAAGTAGCGGGTCGTCTCGCCAGTCTCAGAGTCGAAGAAATGACCAGGAGGGAAGGCAATGATCTTGTCACACACGGGGTGGAGGGCCTTGAGCTCAGAAGCAAAGTAGACAGTCTCAGGGCTCTTGGAGGAGAAACCTTGGTAAAGGGTAGTGATACCAATGGGGTCACGGGCAGCGACAACCTTGTCCTTGTTCTCGTCGTACAACACCCACGAGAACATACCGTCGAGCATGTCAGCACAGGCGGGTCCATGCTCACGGTAAAGATAAAGGATAACCTCACAGTCGGAGTGGGTCTTGAACTCGTATTGACCCTTCAAAGACTCACGAAGGGCAATGTGGTTGTAGATTTCACCGTTGACAGTCAAAACAAGCTTGCCGTCGTCGGAAACAAGAGGTTGAGCACCACTGTCGACACCGACAATGGCAAGACGCTCGTGACACAAGATAGATTGCTTACGGATGCAGTTACCGGACCAGTCAGGGCCACGGTGACGGATTTGCTTAGAAAGATGCAAAGCCTTGGGCTTGAAAGCCTGGATATCGCCTTCAACGTGATGAATAGCCAAAATACCACACATTTTGAGTAGTGATTAATTCAGTGGAATAAAAAGGAACGCCAAAAAACGTCTAATAAAACGAAAAAAATGGAAAAAAAGAAAAACAAGAAAAAAACTTGTCGGACGAACGAATACCTGCGATTAATTATGTCCGCGGACTACGAAAAGACCGTTAAATGCAAGGATTATTGCCAAAAAATACTTCTAAAAGCCGCAAAATTTGCAGTTCCTCTTAGAGTGTAATAAAAAGTGGTTGGCAGACTGCAGGTTTCTCTGGTGCAAAAATTGGGAGAAAATGGTAAATATAAGCTACAGCGACGCAACTGATAAGACAGAGTCTAGATGTTGATCATGTCGGTTAAAGAACGTCCGTCTATACCTTAAAATAAACCATGAGCCACTCAGAGACGTTATCGACCAGAGATGTAGATTCGTTAGCGAGATAGCAGGGCGGCAAGCAATGCACCGAAAGATCTACAGCATATAGATTATCAATGAATGGACAACAAACAAAACAACACGACAATGTATTTAGTTATCAGCAGGTGCTTCTTTTTTTGTTCATCCACATCACCTATCGCTTAACAGAAGCTTGTCTTGCGTCATACCTCGCTTAGCAGAACCTAATCATCAATAACATTCACCCCGCATTTTTATTTACCGAGACTTACGTTCTTCTAGCTTCCAGTGCCTTCTTTCTCTTTATAGCGCGGTGCGCCTCACTAAAGTCGAATGGCGTGGCTCGGAGCGTCCGAGCTAACTCCTCCTCTGCCATACACTACAAATTCACATTGAGGGTTGTATTCTTCGATTTATAATTCTTAACCGTATAAACACGGAGCATTCCTTTTCCTCAAAACTCTTGTAGACAGGTACTTGCGTTAAACGTAGCGACTTTGGAACAATTCGACAAAGTAGTCTGTACGCATAATTCTGCAAAGTTACACGCGAGTTATTGCTGTTTTTCACGTACCTTGTTTGTCTATCATCATAAATCATTGTCATCCGTCTTTTTTTCTCGCGAAAGAGCTTCGTTTGTGAGGCGAATTTGAATTTGTTTGTTATTTGTTTGATTGTCTACAGTTCATTCACTACACGTGTTGTTGAAAGAGTGATTTTTCCACAGCGTGTCAGTACATATTTTCTGGTCTAAAAGTTATTTCACAGCTACAAAAAGTGAAAATGGTTGCAAAAGAAACCCGTAGAAGATCTTCGTCTCTTGTGAGCAAGGTTCCCAATCCTACAATTGACGAGCGCCTGGATCAAGGCTCTGCCACGAATTACAATTCGAATTGGGTGAACTATAAGGGTATGTAGGAAGCAAGGATAGAAACAGCGTTACAAGTTTCTCTCTCTCTCTCCTTCTGGCTCCACATTTCATGAATATGCAACTAACATCTGTCTCTAGGTGCCTGGATTATTCACATCGTGATAATTGCCGCGTTGCGCATTGTTTTCCACGCTATCCCCTCGGTGTCCAGAGAGTTGGCTTGGACACTGACAAACTTGACGTACATGACTGGCTCGTTCATCATGTTTCACTGGGTCACGGGAACACCATTTGAGTTTAATGCCGGTGCATACGACAGACTGACTATGTGGGAGCAACTGGATGAAGGAAACCAGTACACGCCTGCACGGAAGTATCTTCTTGTACTGCCTATTGTTCTCTTCCTCCTCAGCACACACTACACACACTACAACGGCTGGATGTTCCTTGTAAACATCTGGGCTCTTTTCATGGTGCTTATCCCAAAGCTGCCTGTTGTTCACAGAAAGCGTATTTTTGGAATCCAAAAGTTTGACCTGCACAGTGATGATGAAGAGGAGTCGCGCGACTCGAATTAGGCTATTGGTAATAACGACCGCTACTCTCTAATGCGCAGTTTCCTTTCGTCTTACACACAACAATCTGTATCGTGTGGGATTACACAGGCTCTCTGCTTGGATGAAATAATACCTTTTTTTTCATGATGACACACCCGTTTACGCTCACACTCCATTTCGTAAATACAAAGGCAGGCACACATACATAAACCCTACTTGAATGACAAGCGGTCCCTTTATACGTAGCCCGCCTAGATACTGCTGCTGCTGCTGCTATTATTACTACTACCACTTCTCACTACATTTCTGTTATTTAGGCCCCGCTCGAGGTGGAACTTAATTATTATTTACAAGTACTCGTTCACTCTCATCTCTTGCAAATTGCCTTCTTCACTTTTTCGTAACCTTTCATCACTTTAGTTTCACTGTTCCATTGTCCTTGTACGACATGAGTTTAGTAATGTTGTGCTTTCCGATAAGTCTTGGGGTTAGTAGTCAGAAACAGTTGGACTTTTGTTAAATGTTGTACTTTGAAAGTATCGTGTATTGTCATCCTCCTCCTCCCCGATTACCAATACTGCTTTCCAGGTTTTCTCTCATAATCCCCTTCCCCCTTCTGTGCATCTCGCATGCAATAGTAGTAATAGTAATAGTAGTAGTAGTAGTAGGTTTAAGTACTCAGTAGAAAATATATGAAAAAAATGCTCTTTACAGATGGATGAAGCTGTTCATTCAATTCGTGCAAGTACACCTATAAGCTGAGAGACTAGCGAAATGCCAGCTTTCAGTATCTTGCTTAGTACTTGGACAGTTCTGCCTCGAGATCGTTCGCATCCAACCTAGGAGAATGAGGACGAGGAGACAAGTCATTAGATTCGTTTTGGGTATTCGATGTGGGCATGCTGCTTCGAAGATGGTTAGATACATGACCGGAATGTTGTGAATGCATAGCTGAGGCACGGGATGAAAGTTGACTGTTGATCTGAATGGGATGCAAATGTGGGAGCGACGGATTGGGAGAACGACGAACATTGCGACGGAAAGCGAGTACCTCGCGTTGTATAAGGTCACGTAGCTCGTTCATATCGTTGATAGCTTCAAAACTGAAATCAAAAGGAATCGGACACTCAGGCTCATCAGCCGGATCATGCCAAACAGCCAAGTATGGGTGCTCTAGAGCTTCCGTCACAGAAATACGTTTTGCGGGATCAAATGTTAACATCCTCGACAGAAGATCAAGTGCCAACGGATTCGCGTAGGGGAAGATCGTTTCGAAGGGGATCGGTTTTTTGGGAGGGAAACTGCGAATGTAATTGTAGGCACGCTCGCTGCTAATGCGTGAAAGCGTCTCTTCATCTGGCGTACCAAGATAATGTAGAATCAGGTTTAACTGATGCACATAATCCTTGCCTTTGAAAAAGGGCCGGCCTCCAAGCAACTCTGCCAGAATACATCCAACGCTCCAAACGTCAATACCCTTATGGTAACTACTGAACGACAACATAATTTCCGGAGCACGATACCAACGAGTGGCCACATACTCCGTCATAAAACCAGCGTTTTCGTCGGGATTATCACTAAAGCCTCGCGCAAGGCCAAAGTCACAGATTTTAAGTTCACAGTCTGCATTCACAAGCAAGTTGCCTGGCTTTAAGTCACGATGAATAACGTTGGCCGAGTGAATGTATTTCAAACCGCACAGAATCTGGTATATAAAGGATTGGAAATGAGCGTCAGTAAGCGGCTGTCCGGACTTAATAATGGCATTTAAATCTGCTTCCATCTAGAGCTCAGTTAGATTTATGAGTGAGGGGGGAAGCATGTGAGAAAGAAGACAGATACGGCGACTGCATTCACAAAATGGAAAATGCTTTTGAAAAATCACATTGTGAGCTGTGTCAAACCCTTTCCCTATATTCTTTGCGTTTGCATACCAATTCCTCATAAAGGTAGACTTCATCAAAGTTTAAAGGATTAATAATATCCAAATCGTATAAACATGTAATCTGAAACACGCTCGTTAGTCCATGATATAACTTATGCCAAGTTTTCACCGCTTATTCCGGTAAAGTCTACCACATGGTTGCCATACATTCCTGTGATTCCGAAGATGAATCAAAAGTTTAATTTCGCGCAAGGCACGCTTTGTAAGAATCGGTTTTGAGAATATGTTTGTGATCTTTTTAATGGCAACACCTTCCTGCTCCTTACTAGCCATGTTCTTAGCGGCACAGACAATTCCATATGCTCCTTGGCCCAACTCTTTCACGACCTAGTAGAACGATCATGTTAACAGACTGATTTCACGCATCCGGAACCGTCAGAGCAAACACAGTATGTATATTCAGACACAGAATCATGTCATCTGTCTCGTAATTTCGACAAAAAAATGTTTTTGCCCAAAAATCGACAACAGGCACCTCAGACTGTTCTGAACACAAACACAGTCTCGACAGCTTTCGATCTATATCATACCTTGAAGTTGGGCTCCACAAACATCTCCTGGTGAAACACACGATACACCCTGTGGCGGCGATCCATGATGGTATTCCTTGCACTCGAGACAAAAGGACACCGCTGGTAACGAAAGAAAGTGTTGTTGCCTGAGATGGCAGTCGTTGGATGAAATGCGAAGGACTAGTCGCTACCAGCGGTACCTTCCCTCTACCCCCACATAATAGTGGTGGTGTAGGAGGTCGTATTTGAGAAGGAAATAAGAGAAAAGGCAGTCAGCAGACTGTTTTGAGAGGGATTTTCGATACTAAACAGGTCATTTGGTTTATATGAGAATAATTGTTAGACATTATGTATCCCAAAGAGCAAATCGAAAATTGTCTGCGATGACAGTAATGTTTGATTTATATTAGAACACACGAACAAGTGACGAGGAAACGGCGAAGAAGTTAGAGAACGGCTGGACAGGGGAGAATGAAAAGTGGAAACAAGGGTAAGCCGGAGACAGTTCAATGTCGAGCCAATGAAGCGTTTATCGTGACTCACAACAGGAAAGAAATTAGGTGAATGATCGTAATTAAACGCGGGTCGAGTGTAAAAGGAGAGTGTGATACAAAGGGGAAAACACGACAGAAAACGTCTCTGTTAATGTAATTACAACACAGCTGCAGACAATTAAGTCAAACGAAGTCTGTAATTAGGTCCATAACTCGAGATTTCCACCAGCATCAGCGACAAGGAGTAGGGTACAGGGTTCATTAATAATAGCAATACCGGTGATTGCAAAAACGCCAAATTCCTGCTGTTGCAATTGCTTTTGTTCACGAAGAAATGTGAGTGAACGCGATGCACCAGACGACCTCGGCCGGTTTGTCGAATGCATGGGAACGCGCGAGTGAATTCGTATACCTTGGGTCTCCATAGCATCAGTATCCTTGATAGTAACCCACTTGCTTGAATCCGTAGTGCGTGTCAAACACACACTGTTTACGATATCGGCAGTGTTCCAAATGCATACGCTCCGTCCACTTCCTCCGATACTGACAAGCAGTAAATCCACTGCTGTTGGTACTGGCTGATCTGCTGAAAAGCGGACGGCATACAGAGGAAGCACAGTTGAGGGCCAAGAGTACAGCGATAGTGATTCACTTAGATAGTCCATAGAATGTGGGGTTAATGAGAACGAATCCACGGAAGGTATTGGAATGGGGAGCGGAAAAGTGGTGTCCCAGCTGTCGAGATAAATGGCCTTTGTTTTTCCTGTCCGAATGTCAAACTCAATGACAGCTGCAGAACCGGTGACAGGGGAGTTAAAAGGCCGTAGATTTTTGGGCCGTGGACGACTTACAGCAAGCAACAGCTGCGTGTTCGAGACATCATTATTTGCATCTCCTTCTGCCAATGTTGCTAGAGAACCAACCATCTGTATGGCATCAACACGGGCGGTAACAAACCACGACCTTACTTTAATACGAAATCGTAGATCCCACAAGTCAATATAGCCCAAAGAAGTTCCAAGAATGAGGTAGGAACCGTTTGCCGCAAGTGCCATGCTCGATAACAGTCCATGTTCAAGCGAACTTTGCAGATCGAACTGCAAGGCAAGTTGACTAGCATTAAAGACAAGCACTCGGGAATGGCTAGTTGCAACAGCAATCGTTGCGTCTATGTCATCATCATTTGAAGCAGCCTGCATGAGCAAGACTCTTTCGTTTGTGTGAAGAGTTGCCTTCAGATTACCTTCACGAATAAATACATGACGCGAAGTCTGAACATTAAAACGGTGGATTTCAAAACTTAAATCCTCAGCAATGGTTGCCAAAGCGTGCTTTGGTCCAACGAAACAACCGGTAACAATGGGAGAAAATGGCAGAGAGCTTCCTGGATGGCGACCTTCATGGTGCGGATATGAAAGTTTACACTCGAATGAAACGAGCTTTTTATTATTCGCGACCGGTGCCCACAATTGAACGAGTCCATCATTTCCCAAGGTACAGAAAAATGTACTGTCCGGACTGGCAAGCACCTGACGAATACGGGCATTTTTGTTTCGAGTATTGGTATAACACCAAATCCGCCTTCCTTCAGGCCAACGAGACGGCTTCTGATCTTTGTGATATGCCTTGTTCTGCTGTTGTTCCAATGATCCTTTCATAGTCAAACGGGAAGGAACCGTAGGACCAAGATCAACCTGAGCCGCTAACGTTTCACGATACTGTTTCTCCAAACATTTCAATACCAACGGATCATTGCCTTTGTATGAAGAATGTTTAACGGCGTCAGAAATACTGACAACTGATCCTGAATCGACACGAAGAAATGGATCGACAACAGGGCCGGACAAAGCGGTCCGCATACTATTTCGTTTTTGTGTCCTGGAACTAGCACGAGAAGATCCTCGAAGAATGGAAGTGTTGGAAAGCTCGTCATCTAGCACGCTTGATGACTCTGTATTCCAGAATACTATCTCAGGAACAATAGCAGGGGAAGTGTCGGAAGAGCCGCGAAAGCTTGAAAGCTCCTGAACGTTTGTTCTTATTCGTTTCATGTTCAGGTCTGTCCAAGCAGTACTAGATGACACATGCTTGATCAACGGCCTGAGATTTGCAACAATCCACAAATGCTTTTCAGCAAGCCCAAACTTTCGCAGCGTTGACACCCAGTGATTATCTGACAATGACAAAGGAGGTAAATTGGATGGCGAATGGTACACACCGGGTTCTAACAGCGTTTGAGGCTTTGAAGAAAGCTTCGTATCTAAAGCAGATTTTGACCAAAACTGAGAATCCTTGCCAGCCTTTGCATGCCACCCTAAAAGAATTCTCCATGCCTCCAAACTCATGGATGGAATGACTAAGGAGTCAAGCTGTGCATGATCCCTAATGTCAGGCGTGTCACAGAGCAAGTATGGTGATATAATTGGATACACAAAACACTGCTGATCGATTTCATCCTGGCTGTTGTACGCGGCAAACATTACGCCCAAAACGGCTCTTCGCAAATATGGATTTGGCAGAATAACTAGCGGCATAACGGAGTGGAGAATCTTTTGCACGACAAGTTTTGGAAATAGATTTAATTCCAGCATCACAGCAAATGCATGAACCACGCTTTCTACCACATTCGGCTCAACGTCAAACAGAGCTTGTTGCATGAGTGGAAGAACATACTCGTCAATGCTACGAGCACCGACGAATGCTGCCACGCCGACAACGCTATCAAAAAAGGCACACCGTAGCATCCAGTCACTGTCATTCATGTACGTAATAAGGTGACTCAACATAACATCGTCTGCTTTGGCTTTTCCAAAAAAACTGCACAAGGGTGCCAGTGATGAGAGCAGAGCTCTCCGCACTTCTGAAGACGCGTCTGCCAATAGCGTAGAAACATGCCATTCAACGGTAACCAAAAGCTCATGTCGACCAGATTCAAAAAGTTGCTCGGCCTTTCCGTGATCAACGGAGTCATAAGCCGTTTCTGGAAATGAGAGGACACCGGCATTTCGCAAAGACTGAGCCATGTTCAAATAACGCGAAGCGTGTTTCGCCAGGGTCGATATACAGGAAGCGTAAGCTGCGCGTACTCTCAATTCTCTGTCCGTCAACAGACGTTGCAATTCGGGAAAAACATATTCATGAAATATGAATGCATTAATAGGCGCAATCACATTGACCGAGCTCAGTATATCTGTAATGGCATACAATGCAGTAATACGAATATCACAGCGAGAATCAGCAAGGGCAGAGACAATGAAAGGAAGCACTGCGTCAAGTTTTAACTCATCAGGAACGTATTTTGCCAAATCAACAGCCAACAGCAGCACCTTTTTCCGAGTTCGTCTATTGTTGCTAATTCGAATAAAACTAAGTAAAAAGGGAAGCAAGACCGTTGCAAAATGAAAAGCGTCCTCCATGTTGTAGACTTTAGCATTTTCTTTCCCCTCTTTGTTTAGTGTATTGGAGAGATTCGTTATGAACCGTTGACAACTGTTTAGCAATTGCGCATCCGTTTGCCCGGATCGCGTCGAACCATCTCTGTACAAGGTTGCTGCAAAAGCGTCTTCCATTCCAGCTGGAAGGTCGTCTGATGCGTAATCATCCAAAGATCCTGCTTGAATATCATGCAACAATGTGTTAAGACGTTTCGTCCAAATGTCGATGTAGTTTACAGTTTGATTGATCTGGCATACCACAGACTCCGGTTCCAGAACTCGAGTAAAATAGGGATACAGTATGGAAGAAAAGAGTTCAGGGAACACAGTTTGTTCGAATTTTACGAGATAGTCCTTGGCTGAGAGACGTTTCGCAGGATCAAGCTGCAGCATGTGTAAGATGAGATCCTAAAGAAATGCATGGTTAGTGATGAACGGGGGGGGGAGAAGAAATAAATGGGCCTAGTGAGTAATAGCAATAAGTCTTACCTGCATGTCCTTATTCTCAATCCGAGACAATAACTTTTGTGGATGATAACTGGCCTCAGTTTTATAGTCGAACAACTGCGACAGTGTGAATACAGGCGTTCCTTCCAGCAGTATTTCACCGAAAACGCAGCCCAAACTGAATATGTCCATAGCGGCATTCAGTCGCGTTTCACGCAACTCGTTTGCAGGAACAAATCGTTCAGGAGCGATGTAACAAACGCGCCGAGAAGAGGCATCAAAGAAGTAATTGTAGTCGGCGGGATTGTCTTCGGGAAGATAGGTGGGTTTAAAGCTACTAAAGTCTGACAAGTAAGCCCAGTCCCAGGAGGTAACAAGGACGTTTTCAGTCTTGATATCACCGTGAAAGATGTTTCGTTCGTGGCAATCGTTAAGACCACGTAGGAGTTGATACATGATCCACTTTTTTTCCGTCAGTTCAAGAAACGGACGCGTTGAAATACGGTCATACAAGCTAGTGGCAATGTATGGTCGCATAATGTAAGCAGCCCTGCTGGTCTCGGCGACTTCCGTGTACGGCAACACGTTGGGAAGTCCATTGAGTTGGTCTTGCTCGCTCTTTAATCTTCGACATATAGGCGTGATGGAAAAGTCTTGGAGCTTGTTGACAAACGACTTTACGACAACCAGCTGCTTCTGTTTGTTGTAAGCGGTATAGGAACGCAGAAAATGTGCTTCACCCAGACTGTGTACATGAGCTTGTTAGTCTTCATGGATCTCCAAAGAAAAAAGGCACTTAAACACGGTACAAACCGCGAACCAAGTCTTACCTCTCATTTAGTCTGTAGTCCGGAAGATCCTCAGCAAACAAAACATTGAATTGAGGCGTCTGTATTGTTGACAATTGAATGCCCATTCCGAGACAATCGGCGCACAGGCGGTCGTGAGCACACGCTGGATTATAAAATGAAGCAGCAGCGGCAGCACCCGTAGGGAAAACGTGTATGGGTGTAGAGAATTGGAGTGTCTGCGAAAACAGAGGGCGATTGCAGCTTGCGGCGACCCTGGTCCAGTGGATGTGTCGTTGGAGACGAGGCTGCATCCACGTGGAAGGCGAACCGCTATTTTAAGGTTGTATCACAAGCGAGGTGTGACGTGGGATGAAAGGACAGGGGCGTGGGGTATTGTGGGGAAATGCGGGAATCTGTGGAGAAGCGGGGGAGCTCCTTGCATAAAGATAAAAAAAAAGAAAGCGTTAAGCCGTAAGCCCATGAAAAAGAAGCGTGTCTGTTCATTTCTTTCGTTTGCTTCGTTGCGCGCAGGGACATTTACGTTTCGCTTAAATTGTTCGCGAAAACCTTATTCGTTTTTACCCGGTCACGCTGAACCTTATTGTTCACGTGATCGGCAAGAGCGATTTTCTGCAGCCCTGCGACCGAGATAGGGAATAAAAAATAAATCCACGCTGTGGAGCCCAGTCTCGGCTGGTCCGTTCGGGAACATCATCATCATCGTAATCATAAATTCGTAACAGCATGCGGGAAAAGGAGAGAATGAGTGCGCTGTGCGCTATTGGCGGCACGACAACTGATGCCGACTACTTGGGCGCAAAGTTGGCAGCCTTGGCCATGGCACACACCTTCTCGGCAATCTCCTTGGCGGAAGAATTGCGGCCAAAGACATCGAGAAACTTGCCGTCGGGCCCCAGCAAGTAAATGAAGACCGAGTGATCGACGAGATAGTCGTCCTTCTCGGGATCAACGTTGCGCGGCGTGGAAAAGTAAACGCGATACGCCTTGCAGGCAGCCTTGACCTCGTCGTAGGAGCCGGTGAGCCCGACCATCTTCGGGTGAAAGTCCTGCAAGTACTCGGCGACTTCGGAGGGGGGATCGCGCAGAGGATCACACGTAATGAAGACGGGCGTCACCACGTCGCCCGACACCTTGTTGATCATATCCACCGCGTCCGTCATCTTGTCTAGCTCGTCGGGACACACATCGGGGCAGCGAGTAAAGCCAAAATAGACGAGAGCGTAGCGGCCTTTCAGATCGTCGCTCGAGAATCGGGCGCCATGCTGATCAATAAGAGAGAACGGGCCGCCAATAGGCAGCGAGGAACGGGTGTTCGTGACCACAGTCGAAGTCCGTTGGGGGGTTGGGAGCTGCTGCAGGCGTCGTTTTTCCCGCCTGTAGTAGTACAGCAAGCCAACACCCGCCAGCAGCATGATCAAGCCTGCGCGCATTGAGAACACGCTCTTCCAGGCCGGAGCATAGCCGATCTCAGCATCTAGGTCGTCGGGGTCCAACTCGGGGTCCTTGCTGACGGGGTCTGTGTTGGTTGCCTTTGCATGGTTTGTCTTGCCACTCGTCTTCGGATTGGTGTCGGCATTACTAGTTTTCGCATAACCTCTGGCCTTAGCACCGTTTCTCGCGCCATTCCTTGCGCTAGCACCGGTCCCAGCACCGGTGTTCTGCTTCTTGCAGCTAATAGCGGTGCTGGAAAAGGGACGAGAGAGAGAGAGGCGAACACGGGCGACTTGGGAAACGACGGAAACGGCGCGGAAGGCTGCAGGGTGCGTAAAAGCACGCTCATGGAACACTCCAGACAGGCCTGGCAGAGAGGAGCTGTGGCTGCTTCGCAGGATTTGGTGGAAGAAACGTGTTCCGGACATGACAGCGATGAATTCGAAGCGGACGAATGCTTTTGCAGGGTCCTCTGTGAAGAGCGTTCAGAGTTTAAGTTGCGGGTAAGAAAAGCGGCAGACAGAAAATAGAGTGTTTTGTGCGGAAGAAGAATTGCAGTTGTGAGCAGTTCGTGAGGGAGCGGGGTGTGAGCGGGCTATTTGTGTGTGTGCGTGCGTGTGCGTGCGTCCTGCGAGTTCCTTGCTGCTGCTCTTTTGCTGCAGCGTGCGCTATGCGACGCCCGATGACATCAGCTAGCGTCCCAGGGCTGTCCTCGCTATCTCTCTCCGCACGTGCCAAGTGGTGCGTTTAAGCGCATAAAGTTGGCCGACCTCGCTCTTCTGTAACCACCCAAGTTACACAAGCTGTCGCACTCGCCCTCGCAGCCATGAGACCCAGTGAAATCAACCACATTGTCCGCAGCATCCTCAACGACGTCCAGTTCCTAAGGGACGAAGGCGTCATCCGCACGGAGGTGTTTGACTACATCCAGCGCGAAGTCCGCTCCGTCCCTCTCTCGTCCTCCTCCCTCGCACAGGACGATCATGTCGACCGTCAGTTCAGCTCGCTCAGCATCTCCTCCAACCCGTCCAATGCCAACGGAGGCGCCAGCGGAAATGGCAACGCCAACAGTAACAACAGCGGCAACAACAACAACAGCAGCAATGGCAATAACAGCGGCGTCGACAACTCGCACACCGTTTCTGCGGCTGTTGCCCGCAAGGAGCAGGAAGCCTTCTCGCAGTCGAACGCACACCACGTCGACAGTCCGCCCAGCTACCAGACGGCCTCGTCGCCCATGCAGGCTCCTGCTGCTCCCGTCCAGGCTGCTGCTCCCGCTCCTGTCCCCGCACCCGCTGCCCCCGCACAGCAGTACGAGCTTGCGCGTGCTCTCTACGACTTCAAGGGCAAAGACAGAGGTGACCTGTCGTTCCGGAGAAACGAGACAATCACCGTGCTCGAGCACATCAACAACGACTGGTGGCGCGGCTCTATCGACAAGCGTCACGGCATCTTCCCCTCCAACTACGTGGAGATCATCCGTTCGCCGGTGTACGGCAGCGGCCATACTGGCAGCCCTATGCCGCCCATGCCTGTGCAGCAGCCCCAGCCCACAGGACCCGTTATGCAGCCCATGCCCATGGCCCCCATGCCGTACGCCCAACCGATGGCTGTCCAGCCCATGCCTGCCCAGCCGGTCATCGTGCAGCAGGAGGCACCCCAAAAGCACTCTAAGCTCGGCGACCTCGGCTCCAACATTGGCAATGCCTTTGTCTTTGGTGCCGCTGCCACTGCCGGTGCCGACATTATCAACTCCATTTTCTAGACACCAGGCGGGCCTGGGTGGGGGTGTGCTTGTGATGTGACGCGGGAGCCGCTGCCAACAACACTGTTCTGGAGCGTGGTGCCGTGCTGAGCGCGAACATTCTGCTCGGCGACGGTTTCCTGCATGCACTGCTCATCACACAAGTCGCCCTCTTCCGTCTCTCGTCCCAGTGGTTCACTTGTCATTCCCACACTTTTACCCCTTGCATGTTGTTTCCCCTAGACAACCCACCACCCTTTGCTCGTTGCATTGTTCGTTTTTCAATCCGATATTATTTTTCAAGTAATTGTAAGGAAGAGGAGTAAACAGGAGAGAGTAGGAGTAGAGTGTAAAGTGTAAGAGTAAAGAGTAAGTGTAAGAGATAAAGATAGAGACAGACGACAGACGACAGACGACAGTCTTGGTAAGACATGAGCTGTAGACGTAAGGAAACAGAAACAGAAACAGAAATAAGAATAATAATAAAAATAAAAACAGAAGAAAAGTAACAAGCTGTTGAGGATTGAGTTGAAGATTGAGGATAAAGGAGTGTGTGTTGGCGCGCCGTGTTTTGCCGTGCTTTGCCGTGCTTTGCCTGTCGGCGGTTTGTTCTGCAGGGAGTTTCACGCGGCCTGGATGACTGATTTCAACGAGAGTTTGAGGGACGGGTTTCCGGTTTCAAAAATGTTCAGACGGGAGGTGGGGAGTCGGTGGGGACGTGGAGGAAACGAGGGGTTTTGTGGGGCAAGGTTTGTGGGGTAGTAGCCCGTGCGCCCAAGCGAAATAGGCGGGTCGCTTCGCTTTGTCGTTTAATGGTTGAAGAGTTCAAGAACAGTGTTCTCGTCGAAAATGTCGGCGGCCGTGAGGACGTGGTTGACACGGATGTTTTCCTGCTTGTTGCGCAGTCCCAGTGGGCTTGTGGGCGTCGAGGCAGTGCGGTAGGTGTTGGAGGGCTGGAGCACGTTTTTCGTGCGCTGCATGGGACAGCTGCTGGGAACGGCAGGCTTGCTGGCCTCGGAGCGAACGTTGTTGGTGTTGCCGACGGTGCCGACGGTGCCGGTGTTGCTGGCCAGACTCAAGTGCTGGATGTTACGCGAGACGCCAAAACTCGTGGGCATGGCGCGAGAGCCGAGAGGAGCGACCGAGTTGGCGGCGGGAGTGTTGGCGCTGGCTTGGAAAGACATGTCGAGTAGAAAAAATGAATGAAAGAAAGTGTGCGTCGGATGAACGAGCGGTGACGAGGAGTCAATGGAAGGCTTGGTGGATGAGGCTGCGAAGCTTGATGAGTAGTGGTGAATTGGGCTCCCTGCCTGCTGTTTATATACAAATCGACGCGACGCGAGCGCATAATTCATGCGTGTAAATTCAGAATCAAATTGCGATACAGCAAACACACACGATTGAATCCTCTATGTTCAGCACGAAGCTCAAATATGCATGCTAAAAACGAAAAGTTTACACAGAGAAAATGCTGATTTTTGCATACTAAACAAATACGGTTTTCCCGTCGACACAAATGAACGGAAACCACTCGCTGTATCGCTCTGTGTTTACAAGGTTTACACGATCCATAACTTTAAATTATACGATCCCGCTTCCTGTTCCGAGACACTGCTTGCTTTGTGGTGGTGTGTGGGGTGCACCGTAGTAAGGGTAGTGAGGGTAGTGAGGGTAGTCTTAGGGTAGTGCCGATAATGAGGGGAAATGGTGGGGTAGGAAGAACGAGCATAGCGAAGCGAAATGGAACGATGATTAGCGAGTGTGAGCGCTTAACAACGATGTCCAGCGTGCTCTAACGAGGTGTCCGTGACTTTTGGTAGAAAATGGTCTGTGCACGGCACACAGTCATCTTCCCAGCCGCTGCCCTGCCGCTCTTAGTGCCTGTGCTCCCCGGTCCAGGCTCTGCCTCTCCTCCTGCCTCCCCTCTTCGTTTCATGTTCCAGCGGTTCACCTATTCATAGTTCCTACGTGTCTCCCCATCACCCTCATCGCCTTCGCTCAATTCCTCCGTTGATACTGGAGATGATGACAAATATTTCCCTTCCTATCCATACAGCTACACATATTGCCATCATTCTTCCAGCTATCCTTCCCACTGCCTCCGGTTCCCTCTACTGACGAACGTTACTGTTCGCTGTTATATCCGCTGGCCTCACTCCGTGCGGACTGTTTTCAAATAGTTACGTGGTTCTTCCGAATGCCATTGTAAGTTCCCTAGACCGGTTCAGACGCTCCTTTCCTTCCTACAACAACATCTCTCATGGCTGAAGAAGTGTTCGAGTTCACCCCTGTGCAGCGGCACCTCTCCAACAAGGCTGCTGCTGCGGCGTTGAAGCAATGTGCTTCAGTCTCCGTCCAATCGGTCTCTCGACCCTCTTCCCAGCTCTCACACAGACACACAACTCCCGAGTGCAAGGGTCAGCGAAACCTGTTCAGTGTGCGTACAAAGTATCTTGCCATCCGGAGCAAGTCCTGTCTGAACAAGCAATGCTGCGCCTTTGCTCCGTCCTACATCCGTGAACACGACTTTTCGGCTTGGTTATTCGGCAAGCAGGCTCAGAATCCGCCATACGCCCAAACCAGCATCCCCATGGTCGACTTGGCCGCAGGCAATGCAGGCACCGCCAAATCTGCAGCGATTCGCCCTTGCACAGGCGTCGTCTCTCCCACCCTGGAGCAGTCAGCTCTGGCCCATGCGCTCGCCGACTTGCATATTCGCGACCCTACGTACGAGCTGCGTTCCCTGGAACCGATCAGCAGCAATGATGATGAAGCTGTTGACGACGACAACAATGTAAACACAAACAACAATGCTCGGCCCCTGCGGTACCGCTCCTCTTCCACTACAAATCTCCACAGCACGCCTGTAATGTACGACGGTCTTCGTTCGCAGTATGCGGGATCCTTCGATTGTTTGCACCGGTCTCTGACCGATTTGTGTCGCAAGCCAAACCCGCCGGCTGCTGCAGGCAATCCTCGTTTTGCGTCCATGCGCATCTATCGCGAACGACACGCCAAACGGCAAACATCCTCCGCTAGCAACACACCTCCCATCTCCTACCCGGCTCATTGCCGTTCCCAGATGGCTAACGCCCATTCTTGTCTCTCCTCTCCTCATTCAAGTGTCATTCAGTTGAACGAGTTGGCTAGCGATCCCACCAATTCAGACTTTTCCGTAGCGGAAGCGGACACTGCTGATGTCAGTTATCAATTGCGACACACGCCGTCTCGCCAGTCCTGCTGTGTTCGCCAGGCACCCTCCATCCGTTCCCTGGCTCCCAGTATACACTCTGCCTCTTCTAGTCTTGCCTCAAACCCAAAGGAAAACAGGCTGTTTCAATCCATGCACGGCAACAAGTCCTCTTCTAATAGGTCTTATTTTTTTAGACGTCGACGCAAACGCGGAGCCGAAGACTCTGCCTCAGCGGACGGAAATCACAAGGTAAAACGACGGAGTCGTTGGCGGAATATTAAGCGTCATGTTCGAGACTTTTTTCTTATTTTCAAATAAGCTGGAAAGATTTTGATTTCTTCTAAGAAAAAAAAACGTTCTTTTTCACTAATGGGCTCCGACATGACAAACCATTACTACTTGATGGCTTTTTTTATTCCTTGTTACTTTTTTCGTTACTCATAATTTTTTTCTATTACTTCTTCTTTTTCTTCTTCTTCTTCTTCTCTCTTATTCTCTCTCTCACGCACTCCCTCCTTATGGTTCTTTTCCTATTTATTCACGCCTCCTATTCACCTATTTATTAATGTATCTTTCACGACTACTTGCGTACTTTTCTTAATAAAAAGATAATAATTTACGCAACAAACTAGCTCGTCTATTCGAATGCGATTTGCAACCAACGATAGCCTCTAGTATTCTCTCTGCATTTGTCTCATGCCCTCACATGTTCTCCAGTTCTGTTTTCTGCGTTTCTCTGAATGGTAGCTACGTCATCGATCGCTTAACCAGCCCCGCAAACCTTAACTTTCGCAAATCGAGATAGCCAGCACAAACACACAGTTCACGACACCCTCACACACTGCATGCATTGCATGAGGCAGAAGAAATGAGTCAATATGTCCCGTTTGACCGTATTGTTGACAAATACGAAATTGCTGGGACCGGAAAGGTTTGTTTTAGATAGATTATCTTACATGTCGAGGTTTCAATTCGAGATTTCCTAAGCATTATAGACGAAGTGGGTGCGTTACAGGTGGATACGGCCCCAATACTGCTAGACGATGACCAAAGAGAGTCGGCAAAGATTTTTATACGCAATAACAGTGATTTTACTGTCACTCGTGATGAATTGAAGAGTCTGTTCTTCGAGTTGACGGGTCAAAAACCCGACAGCATCCGAATGCAGAGTTCTCGTCGGATACGCGATGACAAGAGTATGAAAAACGGTCTGAAGCGACGAGAGAAAAACGATTTTATGCTGTTTGCCGATGGTCTCCCCTCTGCCCCATATCAAAATACGAATAATATTGGCTACCTGACACCCAGGGCGGCGTCTCCGGTCAATCCTGTTGGACATTCGACTCCGTTGACCTTACAGAAACCGGGAAATTCTGTACGGCTTGACGACACGGCTCCAATGGACCAGGACTCACCGGTCATCGAAAGTTTGGTTGAAAGGATTCAAAGCCAGGAAGAATTACTTCGCAAAAAGGATGCAGAGATACTAAACAACCGTCGGCAGATGGAGCATCTGTTGGAAGAGCTGGACACAACGGAAGCCGAGTACAAAAACTGCCTGTCACAAGCAAAGCTTTGGGAGAAGAAGTGCCGTGAAAGCATGCAGGAGTCGCACAATCTGGCTAATCAACTACACACCGTTCACGTAGAATACGAAGAACAAGCCTCCAAGCTCGAGCGTTTGGAGGGTATTCTGCAAGACTTTGAAAAAGAGCGGAAATTTGTATGTCATTCTCCTCCAGTTTTACGTGTCAAATAAGCTAACCCGCATTGCAGGAGCTCGAAAAGCTCTCACAGCAAGAGGACCTTGATGGTTCACAGGAAAAACTTATACGAGAGAATCACTCCATGCGAACAAACCTGACCAAGTTACAACTTGAATGCGATCGACTTTCAAGGCTTCTCAAATCAAAAACGGCGACGGATGGCGTTCGTCCGCGTGGATTAACGCCTCGTTTCACGCAAACGTCCATCCAGGAGTGTCTTGATATAACAGGCGTTCCCTCCATTGGATCTATTCCCCAGGAGCAACAACTTGTTTCTAACCTTGGTCTGTTAGTGAAGGAGTTAAACGACCAAAGATTAATTATCGAAAAGCTTCGCCGATTGCGTCACTCGAACAGTAATGCTCACAAAAAATCCTCATGGCTCTTTTCTTCACTACAAAGTATGATACCCTTCGGAAAACATTCTTACAAACACTATATCTTTTTGTCATTTTTTCTCATCGTCGGTTTGTATATATTATGCCTCTTCATCTTTAAAATTGGTCTATTTTATAATTGGTCGGTATTGGATCCTTTCCAGCCTAAGGACACCTATGTTTGGCCGCCCTCGTGAGAAGCCCGTTTGAACACGGACCTAGGAATGGGTGATGCAAGCTACTTATGTCGGTCATTCTTTCTTGCGGCGCTTGGGCTACACCTGCATTTTCTTTGAGCTTCTGGGTTCAAACAGTTCACTCGACTGAGACGCCCATCCCATTTGCACCATACCTCCCTTAACGATTCCTCTTGTTTTTTTTTCTGTTTCTCAATTCGCCGCTTTAGGAATTGCAACGCATCAACCCTATATTATTTTTGTGAAAAAGAACGAGGTGGACGGCAACTTCTCTCAATCCAAGAACAGATTCGAAACGACGACCAAACTGCAAACATTGCTGTTGCGTGAAATCACTGGAACCTTTACTCTCAGCGAATTTCAATCGTCATGCAGAAAAGTAGTCCTGTTACCGGAAAACTCTTTGGTAGCATCCTTGGCGACATTGTTGAGAAGCAACCGATTGAAAAACCAGCACCACCGTCTGTTTCAACGGCTAATGCAAAAGGATTCCCTAGCATTCCAAATGTTCTGCCTCAACGGAGAAAAAAGGTCAGTGCGTTCAAACAGCGACAAAATAGACAACGGGATTCACAACCGGCGAAGCAGTCGGAAACTCAAGGTATCGATGAGGAAAACGAGGCTCGTCTGAGTCAAATGTCAAGGACTGAAATTGAAGACGCCCTTCAGGAACTCCAATCCTCGTTATCTCCCGAAGCACTTGAAGTGCTAAAGCTTCGTAGCAAACAAAAATACGGACAGATGAACGAGGAACAACTGAATCATGAAGAACAGAAAACAACGAAGGAACAACGAAACGTGTACTCTAGTATGGAACCTGTCGTTCAGCGGGTTCTCGATAGTGCTTCCCAAGCTGGACAAGATCCTGACGGTTTACTTGAAGCAAATGAAACTGTAAGACAAGAGCTACCTGTGGGAGAAAAGAAAACGGTCCGGTTTGCTGAGGAGCCTGAGGTCACACCTGTGCCTGAGCAAAGCAGTGTGAGTGGGAATGCCGAACAATCAAAAACTGCTACTGCTCTTAATGCTGCCAAATTCGCTGATGAAGTCCACATTCCTCAAAAAAGAGTGGATCTCAACCCTGAGGACAAAAATTTTTATGAAGCACTTCACGAGAAATATTTCCCTAATCTCCCCGTGGATGAAAAGCACATGCAATGGCTTCGTGACCCGTTGCCGGTGGAAGACACGTATAATCCCGATATGGAATTCCTCACAGCAAAGGAACTTCGGTTTGGTTTCAAAGGTCAGCTTATCACACCTAGTCAAAGCCAACAAATTCCTGTTAACGAGGGTCTTCATCACCACGGTGATGCCCCGATGAGTGCAGGTTACACGATTGTTGAGCTAGCTCACTTGATGCGCTCACGGGTACCTGCGCAGCGGTGTATCGCGATTCAAACAATTGGACGTGCGCTATATCGTCTAAACAAGGACGAATTCGGTCCAGAGCTTGGACCCGAGTTGCATACGCTTGTGGAAGATGCCCAAATTATTCCTCTTCTCATGGCCTCAGCAAGTGACCAGGAACGGCACTTAAGTGTTCGTTCTCTTGCTATTGAGGCATTGTGGTTATGGAAGGAAAGTCAACAAAAGAGAACTAGAGAGGCCTACTAAACGAAGCAGGCTTAAGCACTTACTAACTTTTTGACAATTATGCAAGTATCTAGCTATTGCAATGGTATGTAGGGAAAAGTGTATACTATTTATTACTATTAAACAAGGAAAGAAGGGAGGAAGAAAAACATGAGAAGAGACATGAAAAAGCATGCGAGAGACATTAAAAGCTACAATGGTCGTAACAAACATAACAATTGTAGCACTCATTAATCATAAACTGTCCACAGGGATTATGTGAACTTTTGCAAATTCAGAAAGTCCGCGTACTCAATCACGGAAAAACCAACCAAGCCATGAGTAACGTCTGCGTTTCTTGGGACGAATGCTGAGGATTTGTTCATAATAGTTGGGTTGGAACTTTGGCTGCAGGATGGCAGGATTTGGTTCGTACTAAGTTTAACCGTTTGTTAGCAATTAATTGCAAGCACAGAGTTATTATAGAAAAACTGTATTAACAAACCTTCTTTGAATAGCAATTGTTCACTAGGTTCTCCAAACTCTGGAGCTGTTCATTCGCCTCAACAGGATTCATTTTTTGTAACCGACTTTGGAAGGAGCTTTGAAGCATTTTGGGGAATGAAACCCAAGGACGAGCAGCATCTTTAGGCCATTGTCGAATAATACTAGATAGCCTTGCTTCCATTTTCGATAACGGCTTTGTAACGGTTTTTCACTGTTGTTGTGTGTAGTAAAAGAAGGCCCACTTACGAAGTTGAGTCAACCGTCGAGAGCGTCTAGGGCAGCCATTTCTCTGTAATTTACTAAGAAGCACTTTGTTTTTATTTGTACTAGGACTACGTGGAGCTCAGACTTTTGTTGTGGGCTAAACTCGCTCTCAACTATACCTGTAAGCCGATTTTTACGTGGATCAATAAAAGTTCGCATATCTCAATAATTTACATACAAACCAGTGGTTAAAAGAAATTCTTTGTGTTCTAACAAAGGAAAAATTCATTTAATACGCTTTTTACGAACCAATTTGTTCAGGGCTGTGCTTCAAAAAACAGTTACTTTTGTATAAAAAGGAATCAATCTCTTAAAGACTAATTACGCGTTAATTGCAGCTTATAAACTTGTTTCTCATCTATTCATACTGGGCTAGGTACCGTCAACGTTTATCTACGTTTCGATATTCTAGTACATTTCCTATATTGTCTTTGTTGGCAAAATCTGAGCTCTCTTGTTGCTTCTCAGTTGCTCTCCTACCGTCCCTCTACTATTCCATCTTTTCCTTTCCCGTCATCTCTGCTTCCTTCTTCATAATGGCCACTGCTGCCGAACAGAAAACCTTGGTTATCAATATTCCACTGGCTGGAAGAGAAAATGTTCACATCAACTATCCCCAAGAGGTAGAAAAAATTTACGGGCCTATGGAAGACCCTAATGCAGACAAAAAAGACCTTAGCGATTCATCAGACAGCGAAGGCAAGTCTGATGACTTGCCGCTTTCTCAACGAGTCGCCAATGCTGAAAGTGCTAATGGCCAAGAACAGCAGCCGAAGAAACGAAAACGGCGTCGTTATGCAGACTTGTATTATGATCGTTCGGATCCATTCATTGATGACACTGAACTTTACATTGAGGAAATGGCTGCTGCTAGTAAGGATGGTTTTTTCGTATTTAGCGGACCACTTGTCGCAGAAGGCGAAAAGATTCGCATCGAACGGACGCGGAAAACAAAGCGCAAAAAGCGATTGTCTACGGCAATGAACGCTACTCCTCACTCCCCCGTTACGACAGGTCCGACTGAACAAAAAAAGGCAACCTCTGGTCGGGGCCGCAAGAGACAGTCTACTTCGTAAACGAAATGGTAAGAAAATACTCTCCGTCCGACTTCTTTCGTCTCTGCCTCCAAGCCATGTAAACTTTTCTAGCTGCTGCTTACTTACAAACTCCCCTTAATCAATGTTTCTCCACCCCTCCTCTTATTAGATTCTCCTCTGGAAATACCGTTACCAAAACAATTTATCTAATGAAAACCTGCCTTTTTACTTTTTTTCTTCTTCTTCGACTTGGAGCCTTTTGTTTTCCGAGACTCGCGACGCTTCTGTAGATTTTCCTCCCGACGTTTCTGGCGAAGAGCTTGTGCTTTTTCAATGTTCTGTAACCGCTCTTTCCACTCTTTTGCAGACTTTTTCTTGGCGGCTTCCTTTCTCTTGACTGTCTTTTTCAGCAAGTGTTCATTGTCTTGCATTTTTTTGCCTTCAGCTTGAAGCAATGCACGATGCCAGGAGTCACTTTCCTTGATCTTGTTGACTTTGTCGGTCTCCAACTTCGAAAGTCGTCTCTCCTTTGCTTCCAAATGTTTTAAGGCTCCATAAACATCTGTAGGGCCCTTCTTCTTCTTCGAACCTTTTAACTTGTCGCCGACGTAGGCTTCGTCGCCGACCAAAAGCTTGCCGTAGGAGACGTTGATGTTGTCTACTACTGAACGGCTCTTTTCATTCGTGTAGTGTACGACGCTGTTTATCTCTGAAGATTCTTCTTTGACGACAATTTCCTTGGCATCCTCCTTGTTTTCCTGTTTCGATTGCGACTGTTCTTTGGCACGTCTTTTAGCTTCAATACGGGCTTTTGCCTTTGCTTTTCGAGCCTCAATTAGGGCTTGTCGATTTACTTGCTCCGGTGCCTTTCTTTTCGCTCGAAGCTCTTGGATACGAGCCGCAAGTTTTGAGCGTAACTCGTCACTTTCTGCGCCCATTAAATGGTATAAGCGTTGTTGTGTGAGAGAAGTCAGTTGTTTATGCAAAGAATTTCGTCTTTACAGGTAGGGAATTGGTCTGCAAAATTTCCTCTAGAGTACGTGCTAGTGGAAGGATGGCAGGGCTTGGTGCTGGCCCCCAAGTTAGGCTGTGGTAACAAGACTGTACTTTTTGAAACAGATTTTGAGTCACTGAGACCCGCATATGACACTTGGGATTGTTTGAGTGATGTTTTTTTATTAATTAAGTGATCATTTAATTTTTTGTTGTGGTTGCCACGAATAGTATACAAATGAATTTGGACAGTGTGGAATTCAAGCGAGCAAAAGAAAGAGGCTTCATGATTGGTATAATGTGTATTTAAATGCGTTTTTGCCGTTACGATGTACTTTACCAATGCACTTATCCAACATGTGTTCTTCTCATCGTTCCCCTCTCATTCTAATCTATTATTACATAGTCATCAATGGATCCTTATCCGCCGTAGAAACACAAACCTCGACGTCTTTTCCATTTGGATCCTCACGGAAAGATTGAAGCAACTTTTCTTTCATAACCTCAGTCAAATAACCACGTTCCGTATTGCTGTGTCCACCTGTTAATGCATATTAGTAGTTTGTTCACAATAGGACGTATCCCAAGAGCATTTGTCCGTGATACTTTGTCCCTCCCTCTCTAAGCACATACACAGGATTACAGAAATACCATTGGCAGCAGCTTCCAACACTTGGTGATGAGAGAGCTCGCCGGTAAAGTAAAGCTCAGCCTTGGTTCCCATTACAACGGAGCCTCCAGAACCAGCACAGAGGGAGACCTTAGAAATCAAAACATCCAGACCTTTTGGAGCGCATACTTGGACTAAAGTTATTGCGTTAGACATCGAGATAAAAAGTCCTATCCGAAAAATTAACATACCATGCTTCAGACCAGTCAGTTTCTTGGCTCGCTGAACAAGATCGGCAAGAGTAACCGCTTCCTTAAGCTCTACAAGACGGCCGTATCCCTCTCCTTCTTGCATGGAATCGTTGGACTGCAAAACAGAGCATGCAGAAATACCGTCACCATTTCCGGCAATTCCGCGAGAAAGCCAGTCATTTACGCCGTCAACAGCAGCGTCCACTGCAGTGTGTGGTGAATAGACATGTATTCCGGCGGCAGCCAGACGAAGAAGACTTCTCTGCTGGGGGTTACTTAGGGTGATGGATTTGAGTCCACGGAAGATAATAGGATCTGTACAGCGTTAGCAAATGTACCAGTGGGGTTCAATGTAGCGTTAGTTTGCGTGTACAAGTATACGTTTGCAAAACAGGCATCATCCTTCACTTACGGTAAGAAACGATTGCACCAACGGACTTGTTTTCAATGGCCTCGTCAGCGACAGCAGTCGTCAAATCATTGGTAAGAAGTACAGTACGGGCATGAGGACGGTCCTGAGGAGCTTCCAGCAAGAGACCAGTGTTGTCCCATGAATCTGCCAAAGCCCGGCGGTATATCTTTTCAACAGAACGAGTAACGACGCTTGAAAAACCAGACATAATAACGAATAGAAGACGAAGGGCAAATTTAATGTCAGAAAAAAGTTTACGTTACGGTTGTTAACCTAAAGGTAACTGGATTTGCAGTTAGTAAATCTAAACTAAAAAAGTGAAAAATCCAAAGTCACATTATAAAGTTAGTCATCAAACATACCTACAATGTTGCAAGTGGAGAACTGTCGGTAACAAGAAACCCAGGTTTACTGCCTGTTGTATCTTACAGCGAGTATACCACAGTGCCTACCACTTTACTTGCGTTATGCTTGCCTGGCATTTTTGGTGGTGAGTTTGTGTTAAGTTACAGTAAAGCTCGTTAAAAGTCACCACCAAAAGCATATCGCAACACAGCATCCACGCACTAGCTTTTTGGTAAAGAGAGAGTAGTTGCATTTTTGGCTATGTAAGTGTATATGTAAACGAATCTAAGTACGTGTTCTCATCATAAAACAGACAATAAAAATTGCCAATCCCTGCAGCTCTTTTCATCCTCAGCGCATAAGGATGCTGAAAGATATAAGCCAAAAGTTACGCAGCATGTACCAACCAACAGATCTCAATATGCAGAAAGAGCCAAGACAATTGCTTGAGAGTTGGTTGAATAAATCTGTTCGTATTGAAGTCTCGGACGGTCGAGTCTTTTTCGGAGATTTCATGTGCACAGACCATGAAGGTAGTGCTATATTGGCAAACACAACAGAATGGAATCAAGGTATGGGCATGTGAACATAGGAGACTGTGTGCCGAGAGTCTAGCTGCAGTCTACGACTAGTTCGTTCTTATTACTGACGCGCTGCATAGGTCGTAATCGAAATGTGTCAATGGTCGTAATTCCCGGGAAACATATTAAAAAGTTTTCTGTTCACGCTTAGAATAAGGAAAGGATCACAAAAAGAAAGAAAAAACTACAATGAAAAAGAAACGTGACCAGCAATAATGAAACAACAACGATTTAGAGAACAATCTCTTAAGCAGCAATACCGGATAGTTGCTTACAAGTCGAGGATATCACGAATGTGGGAAGATGACTCTGATGGCGCAGAGGGAGCGGGCGAAGATGTCGAGGACGTGGGATTGGGTGATGCTTCAAAGGCCTTAAATAAGTCCATTGCATGGGTAGAAGGTTGCGAAGTAGGCGTAGGTGTTGCGGTAGAAGAGGAAAAGTCAATATCCAAAAGGTTCTCAACATTTTCACCCGTAGTAATTGCAGTCTTTGTAGCTTCCTCCTCACTGGCAAGTTCTTCAACAGCTTTGCGTTGAATGGCCTCAGCACCGAATTTGCCGTATCCGATAAATGATTCGGGTCGTTTGTGGTAAACGGAAGCAAGAGTCGTAATTTCGCTCAACAATGAATCCAAAAGTGCTGGAGGAACATCTGTTTGATAGGACAAGGCGGGTTTGGGGTTGAGCATGATCTTGCGGAGACCAGATTCTGACTGCTGCAGAAACCGTTGATAAATAATGGCACGATCCCGAAGGTCCTGGTTTTCATTACGCTCAAGCGCAAATTGGATCATCTTCTGCAAGAGCTGCTGTCCGCTAGGTTCCAATACGGCCAATTTGACGACTGCCGTCAAAACGGCAAGCTGCACTTGTGTTTCTTCCTCATCAATAACATCCACCATGGAAGAAAGCAATGTTCCAGCGTTAGCAACCTCGGTGCAAAATTCACCAAGGATCCATGCAATGCTAGCTCTGGCTCGGGGATCGTCCAAATCATCAAACACTGTAACAATAAATGGCAACAAGGAGCTCTGCATTTGAGGATATGTCCGGAGAATAACTTCAGAAACAACGGTTGCCTCCTGCATTACATAGCTTGAATTCGTTGCATAGAGATCGACGAGAATGGACACACATGTTTCCACGGACGAAGGGACTTTAATACTAATTTCGCCAATACAGGCAATTGCTTTCTTGACAAATTCCATTTCAACTTCGGCCACGTAGGATTTGACTTCCAACAGAATTTCAGAAACATTTTCTTCGCATGCTAGCATAGTGAGAACACGCAGCTTTTCCAGCTTCACATACAGAGGATCGTTGAATTTGCAGAAAAATACGCGGGTAGTCGGGTCAAAGATATTAGGATTCTTTTGCAGAATAAGGATAATATTCCTTAAAGCAACATATTGTACCTCTGGTTCCGCTGACATGAGAGAAAGTAACGGAGGAGCCATCTTTTTATAGAGCATTTCATTGAACGATTTTTCAAAGCGATCGATGTGTGGCATAATGACTTTGACGCTGGCAAGGACAACAGCACTGTTTGCATGTTGCAACTGTGGAATTACTCGTTCACAAATGTGTTCAAGTGTTTTGATATTGTCAGTCTCAAAGCGAGAAAGTGCATTCAAGATGCTAATTCGACCCCATTCTGTACATTCGTTTAATGCCACAAGCAGGCGATCTGCCATTTCTGCGTTTACAAAAAATACATTCTTCTCAATAGACGTATCATGAATCTCGATGAGAGCAGTAACTGCGTTCGCGACCACAATCGGATTGGCATCGTCAATCAAATCGGTCAGCAATTTCAAGAAGTCGTTAGCGACACAAAACTTTGGATCAATGTCATAGACTTTAGCAACACAAACAGCAGCCGTCTTTCTCACATAAGGATGCTCGTCTGTGAGTGCTTTCCGCAATGGATCTGCTAAATAGGAGAGAATTTTGTCGACGCGGATGCAACCCATAGTGCGAATGGCCAACGCACGAATGGTTGGGTTGTATTCCTCCGAATCCTTAACGAACGTATTTACAGCAAGAATACAAAGATCAGGATGTGTTTTGGCATAGTTCATCAGATATAAATAAACAAGTTTTTTCAAAGTGAGGTCACGAGTAGCAACATTCTTCAAAACGTCGGGAAATAGACTAGAAACATCTTTGCCAACGGTCATAGCAGCAATTGTTTTTTTAATTGCCTCAATTCTATGAACTGGTCAGGGATAGCTTTAAATGGGAAGATGGACTATTGTACGAACCTTTCATTTGCATATTGAGAAACCAAGCCTTTCTGCAATTCGCTCATTTCACCTAAAAACTGTTAATAAACAACTCTGTTTTTTCTAAATCACAGCCATACGAACCTTTTTTGAGGATATTGCTTGTGTTCGCACGAAACATTTTGGAGACAATTTTGTTTGCTCCCATCATCTTGAAAAACTATGTGAAACAGTATATAAATGAAAAAAATTATCCGTTATCGTCTAGTTTAAGCCGTAGAAGAAGAGAAATCAGGAAAATTCCGGCAGAATGAATGCTTGTAACAGTTACAAGATGTATTGCAGTTGACAGGTGTGCGTGTCGCCTAAACAAGCTAATTTGGAACAGACCAAGGAAACGATATGAAGCTTGAAAAGGCGAATACGACGTTACGTTGCCTCACGTCGTATTAACTACAGAGTCGAACTCAGAGATACGGAATAATTTCTTTTCATTTTCGCATAAAATATGTATTTTATGTACAATATAAACAATAACAAATAATCTGCGATTTAGAAAGAGCAGAACAGAAGATACAATAGATACAGAGATACTCAAACACTGTTCATAGAAATCATTGATTTACCTTACACTTGATAAGCGAAAGGAATAGGAATTCTCAAAAAACAAATCGTACGCAGTAAGAATGCACGAAAGAAGGAGCAACATTATGGTATCATTACGCATCGAATTCCGCGAATTTTTTTTTAAACATCAAGAAGAAAAAGGAAGAATAAAAATGACATAACAAATAACAGAGACCTTGTAACAAAGCGCAATGCTTAATCAACCATAACGCGTGTAAACAAGGCCTGCATAGCATCGAGTTAATGAAGAAGAAACATCAAGAATGTTTTATGCGAACTTAAATGCAGAAAAAAAAAGAATAGGTTGAATGGACAAAAAGAAACGAAGAGAAAAAGATATTGAACAGTTTTAAAAGATAACAGTGAAGTGGGCAAGCTTCAACAACATTTCGGCAAAAAAAACACACAATGTTTTCGCTCGACGTAGACGTAGGCACGCGTTTTGCCTGTAATTTACAACCGGAACACAGCGAAGAATAGAGCTTAACGTTGCGAACCATACTGTGCGTTCCATTCCTCATAACGAGAAATACCTTCGGGTGAAACGCTTGGACGAATTGTCTTTATACTGTTTTTGAAATGATTTAAATCAATGGGTGGTATGTTCTCAACACTCGTTGTCAACAAAGCGTCACCCAACGACCGTAAAGGACCCATTGCGGCATCCTTCGCAAGTGCGGTGATATCTGAACCAGAATAGCCTTCGGTGAGCCGAGAGAGTTCTTCGAAATCAGAATCTGACAAAGAATGCTTTTGGTTTTTCATGAGATGCGTCAGATGTTTGTAGCGAGTATCAAACTCGGGTAAGGGGATATAAGTGCGTTTAACAAACCGCCGACGAGCTGCTTCGTCAATACACCAAGGCAGATTGGTAGCAGCAAGCACCAAGACTCTCGGTTGCTGCTCGTTTTTGTCAACGGTGGCATTTGTGATGGATGACCATTGAATTAAGAATTCGGTTTTCAATCGGCGAGAGCTTTCATGCTCGTTGCCTTGGTCACTACGGGAAGAAAGAATGGAGTCAATTTCGTCGACAAAGATGACACTGCATGGCTGACGTTTGGCTACGGTGAAAAGAGCACGAACAAGCTTTTCCGACTCACCAAGCTGGGCTTGAGTTAGCAAAAAGTCACAAAACTACAAAAATGAAAAAAGGGCATCTGACTTACGTATTTCGAAGTTAAAGAGGATGCAGAGATGGAAAAGAAAGTCGCCTTTGCCTCTGTTGCAACTGCCTTGGCAAGCATAGTTTTACCGGTGCCAGGCGGTCCGAACAGTAGCATTCCTTGCACTGGCTCTCGCAAACCACAAAACAGTTCTGGGCGCAGAAAAGGGTATATAACGGCTTCTTTCAAAGAGTTCTTCGCATCCTCCAAACCTGCGATATCAGACCAATACACCGGTTCACCGGGTTGCATGATCTCACTCATAATGGCGGCCTCAAAATCCGACAAAGGCGACTCTGAGGCAGGAGCAGGGGTAGTAGCGGGTATTGGCGGCAAGGGAGTTGTTGGAACAGCAACGGACGAAGGTGAGTAGTTGCGAGGAGGCTGTGGAGGCGGGACAGAGGGAGGAGCAACGTGTGCGTGAGAGGGACGAGAGGGAGACGAAGACAGAGGCCGCGACGGGGTATTACGCTCATGTGCAGGCGGGCTCCGAGGATGCGAAGAGTGCGAGTAAGAAGAGGAAGAAGGAGGGTGGAGCGAAGAAGGGTAAGATGCAGTGGAAACGCTTTTTGCGGAGTGAACACGAGAAGGAACGGAAACAACGGATGGCAAAGGACGCGAAGGCAGACCTTTTAGAGCAGCATGACGAGTTGGCTTTGTTGCTGTCGGGATGGCGACAGCTGGAGACGCTGAAATGCTAAAGTTTCGAAAAGGGTCTTCGATGGATGCCAGCGAATTACTGCTTACAGCTGCATTTTTAGCGAACGAGGCGTCGTATTCTGCAGACGACCGCGACGAAGATGAACCCCCGGGAGAATCGGCAGCCGTCCGTGGAACGGGAGACATGTGAACGGTGGGGAGAAGCAGTTCTGACTTCGCCTTTCTCGCGTTTTTGTACAGTACCCTCGCGCTTCGTCCCTGAGGAGGAAGAGGATGAAGGATTCGGGACTCTGACGGATTTCGAGGCAGCGATTTTTTCTTCGAGAGCACTTTATTGATCTGAAAACCCTGGCGTCGCATTTCGTCTTCCAAAAGCAATCTCCGTAATCTGTCGGCTTTATGAATGCAATTCTCAAGCAAACCATTCCAAGCGTAAGCTTCCGGACCTCCTACCGGAACTTTGCCAGCATTGTCGAATGGCCGAGCCATCTTCCTCATGGACTCGATAACCTTACAGTAATTGACGTATGCACCCGCCCAATCCTGGCATCCTTCACAATTCAAGGCGGCACTCGCCAACGGTAGCACGCGTTCAATATTTAAGCTCATTTGGCACCAAATACCTCCTGCACTGTACAGATATAACCCAATGTGACAGAGAGCTAAAATGTTGGTGGAGGACAGGATACTAGGAGGCGAATGAAGGGTGTTATGTGGGGATGTGGGGTGTGGTGGGGCCAGGTGGGATATGTATGGTGGTAAGAGGGAGAACGAGGTAGGAGAAGAAAGGAAAGCACACACAGCAGGCGAAAGAAGACACATAAAGACATTCTCGGCAGCTGTCGAGAGACAGTACTTGCTTTGTGTTGAGCTGAGTTAGTGCGACATAGATTGGTTTTATGAGCCATAGTTAGCAATTCCCTTGGCAAATCTCAGCCAGCGACCGCAACGTTACGTCGCCGCCATCTTGAAAGCCATCACCTCTTGTGTTTGCCAAGATTTCTTTATTAATACGAATTGCTCGTAAGACAGTATTATTACATAATATCGTTTTTCCAACTTCGCCAGACTTCTCACCCTGTCGGCCTTCCCCGCATTACGGCTGGCAACGATTTCTCACTGTTAACGCAGATCTGCGACCAGCATGCGAACGAAATACACATCGATCTACTCGAAAAAATTACGCGAACACAGTAATGAAAGCATTTTTTTAATATAACCGAAGCCCACTCAACACCGGATGCTTCTTGTGGATGCCTGAAGTCTGTGTCGAAGTGTCAGTGTCCTTAATTCTCCAGAAATTTCGCGAAAGAATTAAACTTTGCGGCGGTGTTGGTGCGTCAGCAAATCAAAAGTGGCCATGCTGCTGCCGCGATGAGCTGACGTAAGGCTTGCGTCACTTTTCTGTCACGTCTCTCTCTGTAGATGATTCTTGATGTTTCAGGTACAGCGGGGGAGAGCGGCAGGGGCGAGAGAAAATACGGGAATGAACTGGCAGAACATGACGAATTCGACTTCTTCCGGTTTCTGAAAAGGTATAAATACACCTCTACAATTCCCCAATTCGACATCATTCACAGATTCAAGACATCTTCTGATTACACAGTTCGTTTCTAACGACCTTTATTAATTACCTTTGCATACTTGCATATCTACAACACACAAACACTCTCTCTATCTTCCACATATCATCATGTCGATTCAACGCTTTTTTGGTTTCCCCGAAGTCTTCGACGACTTTTTGAACTACGCTCCTATTGTCCAAAGCAGAGCTCGCGACAATGGCACTCTTTCGCCTGCAATTGATGTCCATGAGGGACGCGACACCATCAGCGTGGATGTCGAGCTTCCTGGTGTGAAGAAGGAAAATGTCAACGTCCACTACGACAATGGCAAGCTTACCGTGAGCGGTGAAATTGTCAACGAGCGTACTTCCGACGAGGAACAGCGTCACTGGTCTGAGCGTCGCTTCGGTACTTTCTCCCGTACTATTTCTCTGCCTTCTAAGGTCGACGCCGACCAAATCGAGGCCTCCTTCAGCAATGGTTTGCTCACCATTACGCTGCCTAAGGTTGAAAAGGTCACCAAGCGCCAAATTGAGATCAAGTAGGCGCCTATTGGTGACTGCTTGAGCAAGCCACCGGTACAGGTTGGCCTGCGCATTACGATATAGTTAATGAGTAATGATTACTGTCATACAGCTATGAATGCGGGAAAGTGGGATGAGTGGGATATGTAGTGGGGTGTGGGTTTGGTATGAAGACGAGAAGTGGGGGCCACGTCTACGATGGGGCAGGGCCCTTCCTTCCTTCCCCATTTACGTATTTGGGTTTTCGTTAGCGACACTTTCCTTTCCACGCGCTCTCGCTTGGTGAACCTTATTTTGCCCATGACGCAAACCTGCTACCGCCCTCCTTGCTGTCTTCACCCAACGATGCCAATTGTAACCAGCGTCTTGTTGCACTTTTCACGGACTTGAAGCGATTCTCCGTCTTCCTTGTATCCGTCTCTTTGTGTACAGCATCTCGTGTTGCACAACACTTTCTTCGCCTTCATTCTCACTCTCCCGACCGACTGCCGGCCCTGTTGACAATTCATTTTTTTTTAGTCTTGTACCATTCGTACAATCATGTTACGGGGAGTACGAAACTCGGTTGTTCGACGGTCCATTCATTTTTCTGTTTGTCACAATAACACCAACAATAGTCCATGTGTTGCCCAAGAAAAGACAGAAACTGCAACACTTATACGTGACGATTTAAAGCGTGTGTCACCGGGGATGCGTAGGATGCTCGGTTGCAACTTGGATCATCTGCAGGATGCTTCGACTTACTACACCCTAGCGCAGGGAAAACAGCTGCGACCGTCATTAGTGCTGCTCGTTTCGAGAGCCGTCAGCTTATTGAATGGGATCAACCGGTCAGTAGCCAGCGAGAGGTACATTCTTGATTGCAATCCAGCATTGCTCCTTGACGGTGATGTTCTGCCTTCACAATTGCGGTTGGCGCAGATTACCGAAATGATTCATGTTGCAAGCTTGCTCCACGACGATGTGATTGATCTCGCTACCCATAGACGAGGTCAAGTTTCAGGAAACATCGCATTTGGCAATCAACAGGCCGTCTTCGCCGGCGATTTCATCCTCGCTCGTGCCTCTACCGCGATGGCTCGTCTGCGCAACACACGTGTCACCGAACTACTGGCTACGGTGATTGCCGACTTGATTCGTGGAGAGTTTCTACAGCTTCGAAATGTTGATGAAAAGGGAGGAGATGCTTTACAAGCATCCTTTGATTATTACCTCGAAAAATCGTACCTGAAAACGGCTAGCCTAATATCAAAAAGCTGTATGGCAGCTGCTGTGCTTGGTAAGGCGGTCCCAAGTATTGTTCAAGCTATAGGCGAGTTTGGACGATGCTTAGGTATAGCGTTTCAGCTTGTTGACGACGCGCTGGACTTCAAATCCACCGATGGTGATCTGGGAAAACCAGCAAATGCGGATTTGAAACTGGGTCTCGCTACCGCACCCGTATTGTTCGCTTGGAAGCAATTCCCCGAACTGGAATCAGCTGTACGCAGCAATTTCCAGAGTAAGGGCGCTATAGAACAGGTACGTTTTTCGCGTCACCAATTACTGATTTTTTTATTTCTCTAACTTATATTAGGCCAGGCAATATGTTCGCGAAGCAGATGGCGTTCGAAAGACAGAAGCATGGGCAGGACAATTCATAGTCAAGGCGAAAGGATTACTTTCCTCTCACATTCCCGATTCTCCGCCTCTCCAAGCACTTCTCGACATCTGCGACAGAGTTATCACTCGTAAAAAGTAGACTGTGTTGGTCGGGCAAAAAACACTTTCTTTGCTTTCCACTACCAGTGAGATTACGGACTATGTTTGCCGCTCACAGCCATCGTTCCCGCCAACATTCACGCTCACTCTCATGATTGTTCTTTAATTTCTTGTACTATCTATTCATGTAACGTTTATTCCATTTACTATTCCTATTACACTGCACGCGCCAATGTATACCAGTACATAACCCTAAGACTCCTCCACCAAGTTCACATCTCGCTTAGATAAACCTTGTGCATCGATAGCTAACCGACACCCCCACACTGTGACTGCTCTTCCCCACACAGAATCACTATAAAAGGGCACGGCTCGCTCCACGAAAAACCATCGACGATACTCCATAGGATCATTTCTATAGTATACGTCCGGCTTGGGTTTCCTAACCTAGCCACAGAACTCAACACGGATGATGATTGGAAGCACCGTTGCCCGAAGAGTGAGGCAATTCTTTCTTCGGGAGGGATAACAGGATCTTTTTTCAGGTTCTGTTCTCCCTCTTCAGCGATGATCTCTTACACCTCTGGTTTCTCGTCCCCTGGACGGTCCCGTCGTGTAGGGCAGCTGGTGTATTCTGACGTGTAAAATTCCTCTTCTCATCGACTGTAGTGGCCTTGCTGCTTCAGGCGATGTGACGGGAATGACTGGTGGTGTAGTGTACTGTTTTGGTCAGTGTTGTTGGTTGTTAGGTATAGTGAATGTAAGTTCGCGTATTGTATCTGTTGTGCTTGTACCTTGAGGTGTCCTGCTGACGCGTTTTAAAACTTCCGGTTGTACATGTTAAGGCCGTGGTGCTGAGAGTCTCGTTAATTCGGCACGTTCGCATCGCTGCATCTTTTTCGCTGTAGCTTCATTTCTCTCTCCTCTTCTTCCGTAGACCTCTGCAGCTTCCAGATGAATGCACAATGTAACTCATTAAACCACATAACGAGAATGAACAAATAAACAGTTGTACAGCCCTCTGTTCGTAGTCTAGCGAGGTTGCGGTAACTTTTTTTCAGTTGCCCTCTAACATTCGTAATCCTGCAATACCACACTCCATCGTCGTCCTCCCTATTCTCCTCTTCTGCCTCACCCTTCCCAGCGCTTCTGCCCTGGTGCCTGCACCTGGGTTCCTCGTGGACGCAACCTCAACCACACACAACGAAGTACCGGTAGAGTGGATTCGCAACTGAACCTCACTTTTGCCTAACAAATCTGTCAAAATGCAGATGCTAACAAAGTTTGAGTCCAAGTCCTCTCGGGCCAAGGGCATCGCATTTCATCCGACTCAGCCATGGCTTTTGACCTCTCTGCACAATGGTACAATCCAACTGTGGGACTACAGAATGGGAACGCTTTTGGAGCGGTTCGACGGACATGACGGACCTGTCCGTGGAATTGCTTTCCATCCCACTCAACCTCTTTTCGTATCTGGTGGTGACGACTATAAAGTTAATGTTTGGAATTACAAGACGAAGAAGCTTCTCTTCTCGCTATGTGGTCACATGGACTATGTCCGTGTTTGTACATTTCACCACGAGTACCCTTGGATTCTGTCGTGTTCTGATGACCAGACAATTCGTATCTGGAACTGGCAGTCTCGTAACTGTATCGCTATTTTGACGGGTCACTCGCATTATGTTATGTGTGCAGCCTTCCACCCTAAGGAGGACCTTATTGTGAGTGCCAGTTTAGATCAAACTGTCCGTGTTTGGGACATTAGCGGTCTGAGAAAGAAGCATGCTACTCCTATCAGTTTATCACTGGAAGACCAGCTCACCCAGTCTCACAGCTCCATCTCCAACGACCTGTTTGGCAGCACGGATGCAGTTGTTAAGTTTGTGCTTGAAGGACACGACCGTGGTGTCAACTGGTGCGCTTTTCACCCTACCTTGCCTTTAATTATTTCTGCCGGCGATGACCGTCTTGTGAAGCTTTGGCGGATGACTGCCTCAAAAGCCTGGCAAGTGGACACGTGCCGCGGCCATTACAACAACGTTTCTTGCTGTATCTTCCACCCCTACCAAGATTTAATCCTTTCGGTGAGCGAAGATAAAACGCTTCGTGTGTGGGACTTGAATAGACGTGTGGCCGTGAAGACGTTCCGCCGCGAGAATGACCGTTTCTGGTTCATCACTTGCCATCCCAAGCTTAATCTCTTTGCTACGGGCCATGATAGCGGTGTCATGGTTTTCAAGCTTGAGCGCGAGCGTCCGGCTTATGCACTTAACATCAACACTCTCTTTTATGTTAACAAGGAAAAGTCCATTGTTTCTTATGATTTAATGCGCGGCACATCGAATGCCCTCGATTCCGTCAAGGAGTTGGGCAGTTCCTGGATTCCTCCCCGTACCCTCTCTTACAATCCCGCTGAAAAGCTTGCTCTCGTTACGTCTACCGCCGATGAAGGTACTTACGAGCTTGTCGGTCTCTCTAATCGAAACAAATCCGACACCAACATCCGCGATAAGGGTGACAATGCAATTTTTGTCGCTCGGAACCGGTTTGTTGTGTTTAAAAAGGAGGAGAGTGTTCTTGAATTGAAAGATCTTTCGAACAAAACGACAAAGGTGCTTCAAGTCGACAGTATCAAGCCCAATGACATTTGCTATGCTGGTGTCGGCAACATTTTACTGTTTTCTGAGAATCATGTCTGCTTGTATGACCTCCAACGTGCCAAGATTACCAATTCCCTCAAATTTCGCAAGGTCAAGTATGCTGCGTGGTCTCACGACAACTCTCAGATTGCCTTGCTCTCAAAGCATTACATTAAAATTGTGACGAAGGATCTGAAGGAGGTTACTACGATTCATGAGACAATTCGCATCAAAAGTGCCATCTGGCAAGACAACAATATTTTGCTGTATACCACTTTAGACCACCTCAAATTCGCTCTCCTTTCAGGCGATACTGGTATCATCCAAACTTTAGAGTCAACAGTTTACTTGACTAAGGTGAAGGGCTCAACTGTGTACGCACTTACTCGTAGTGCTGAACCCATTACGCTTGAGATTGATCCTACAGAGTATTTGTTTAAGCTTGCTTTGTTGAAGAAAGACTACGAAAAGGTTTTGCAGCTTTTCCAGACCTCTGATCTCATCGGTCAGTCTATCATTTCCTACCTTCAAAAGAAGGGCTACCCCGAAATTGCTTTGCAATTCGTTGAAGACCCTTCCACTCGTTTTGAGCTTGCACTCGAGTGTGGAAATATGAGCGTTGCTCTTGATCTTGCTCGAACCATTGACCGTCCGGAGGTGTGGAGCCGTTTAGCCTCGGAAAGTTTGAACTATGGAAATCACAGAATTGCAGAGGTTGCCTATCAGAAGTTGCGTAATTTTGAGCGTCTTTCCTTTTTGTACCTCACTACAGGCAACCAAGACAAGCTTCAAAAAATGGCAGCCATCGCAGAGAAGCGTGGTGATTATTTGAGCACATTCCACAATTCTCTGTATACTAACGATGCCGAGCAACGTGTTCGACTGCTCGTACAATGCAACATGAAGCCTCTTGCTTATCTTACTGCTAAATCTAATGGTTTGGAGGAGATCGCTAACGAAATTCTTGCCGAAACTGATATGACTGAAGACAAAATTAAGATGCCCACTCTGGGCGCACGTTTCACTACACCAACCGTTGTTAAATCCACGTTTGAGGAGAACTGGCCTTTGAAAAGTAGCTCAGAGGCCACTTTTGAAAGGCTTCTGCAAGAGAAAATGGAGCAACTCATCATCCAAGAACCCATGGACATGGTCACTGCTGGAGAGTCAGAGGATGAGTTTCAAGACACAGAACAAGCTCTTTCCGATGACGAAGAGGCTGAAGCACTTGAGCAGGATGAGGAACAAGCTGAGGATGGTTGGGAAGTCGAAGACATTCCTTTGGATGAAGAGCTTGTTGCCATCACTGCTGATGACGCTTCTGCTGTCAATCTTGAGGAGGTGGATTTGTGGAAACGCAACTCCCCTCTGGCAGCTGATCATATTGCTGCTGGTGATTTTGAGGGTGCAATGAAGGCTTTGAACCAACAAGTTGGTGCCGTCAATTTTGCACCATTAAAGGACCGCTTTTTGGAAATCTTCCAAGCGGCTCGTGTGTATGCTCCTATGTTTGACACTTTGGAACCCCTCACTGTTTATCTGAGACGAAACAAGGAAAGTGAGTTTGATCGTTTGAAGACGCTGCCATTCATTGCTCGCAATTACTCCTCTTGTGAGGCTAATGAGCTCAGCGATGCTTACCGTCTGTTTAAGGAGAACAAAATTACTGAAGCTCGTGAGCTGTTTATTAAGCTTATTCACATTTTGATCTTGACTGTTGCTGAGGACAAGGAAGAGGCTGAGAACGTAAGTGTTTTATGGAGAAAGTACTGTGTGTCTAACAAAATATTAGCTTTCAACCCTTATCGACGAGTGCCGCAGTTATGTCGTCGCTTTGTCTTGTGAATTGGCTCGTCGTGAGATGAAGGATGAGGACGCAAAACGTGCTCTGGAACTTAGCGTTCTGTTTGCCGCTGCCAATATGCAGCCCGTGCATTCAACCATTGCACTCAGATTAGCCATTAACTTGGCTCACAAGCAGAAAAATTTCAAGACTGCCGCGTTCTTGGGCAAGAGACTTCTGGAAATCACATCGTCTGAGTCCGCAAAACAAGCTGTATGTTTTAGCCAATGCTTATTTATCTAAATGTTTACTAACTCTTTTTGTGAACAGGCCAATCGTGCTATTTTGCTCGGTGATAGAAACCCACATGATGAAGTTGAGCTTGATATCGACTTCAACTCGGAAATATATGCTTGCGCTGCTAGCTTGTCTATTTTGTATCCTTCTTCCTCGCAAGTGACCTGCCCCCTTTGCGGAGCTGCTTACCTTCCCAAATATGCAGGACAATTGTGTTGTGTGTGCAAGGTCTCTAATGTTGGTGCAACTGCTCGGGGACGTCGTTTCTTCTAATTCAAGTTATGTCGCCATATGAACTCATCCTGGTCTTTATTCTCCGTTAGAGGTCGAAATACGATTTACCCTACGTAGACGTACACTCTTGCTGAGTGCTCTTGTTTACAACCCTCAAAAACATTTTCATGAAGTTTCATGTACAATTCGTCGCTTGTTGACCTTTGATTTCCGGTACAGAAGAACTTAATAATAATTGAATCACTGATTGCAACTATACTAAAGAGAGACTTATTTATACAGAATGTAGTCAAAAGTGGTAAACCGTTTCTTAATTGACGAGTTTTCCATTGTATTCTGACTCATCTTCATGATGATTTCCGCCGTTCTTCGGTACGGCATATCATATATGCCTTTAAGTTGAACGAAACATACCATATTAGATACACTAGAACTAGTCGACTACGTTACAAAATGAGTGAAAACATACAGAACAAGCAATTTATGCTTTACAGAACGATCTTAAGCTCACCTTCTCGTGGGCTATCACTTGCAATTCATTTAACTTCAGTTACTTCTTTTCTATGGTCCTTCTTTTGGATGTTTAGAAATGGCAATGAGATCATCCTTTTTTCTTATGGATCTTTCTTCCAGCATTTGTACGTTCATTCAGCTGTAAACAATTGCATGAGTTCTGGTCATTCTAACGATCTTTAGGACCGTTTTGTCTTTACTGTTGTCTCTGATCACAGGAGTTACAGCCAGTTTGTCTGACATCTTTCTTTCTAAGGTGTTATATGAGATTAAACTATTATTGCAATACGTATGTTGCCCTTTGGAAATGCTGGTTTCGTTTCTGTACTGGGGTATTGCGCTGTATGATCGTGGACTCTTGAGACCTGACGAATTCGAGCCTGCACCGCTCATTTTTGACTTGAGCGTTCATATTTTCCCTACTATTTTTCTTCTGTTTGACTATTTCTTTCTGTCTCCGCCATTCAAAGCCCCAGTCAAACATTTCGGCGTCTTCTTCGTTCTTATCACTGCCGGTTATTATTATTGGGTTGAACGGTGCTACGTCCGCAACAAGTTCTACGCCTATCCTCTTCTTGAGTATCTTTCTACGCACGAAAAGGTCCTTTTATTCGGGTTCGCTAGTGCCCTGTCGCTCGTTTTCTACACAGTGCTAAAGTCCATGAATATTGTTAAACTGCGCGTTAAAAAAGCACACAGCGCTTAGGTCAATGTTGCAAATACGATCCTCTGAGTGAGTTTTCTTGCTTGTTCAGTATATTTGTGACAGGCAGTTGTGAATAACACTGCTTGCTTATTCCATAACACTTAAATGCATATTACCCCACGTTCCTTTAATGAAATCATCATAGTTCTTTAACAGCTGTATTGTAGTACTTGTAGTCAAGGTTTAACTTAACTTTCCCTGACCTTGTTTTGTTCAGTGACATTGAATGTTTTACTAACTAAAGTACAATTTGTTATAAAAGAACTCTTCGAACAGCAATGAGTAATTTATTCTAATACTGAATGCAATATTGACGTGTAACACGTTTTACTAAAGCATTTCTTCACGCACTAACTTTACTAGTGCTCGCTACCACCCTTCGGGGAATCTTGACTTACTAAACCTGACCACAGCAAAACACATTCCGGCTGGAATTCTGCTCCTGCTGTAACTTAAAACACCCAAAAATGCGGTGGAAATCACTGCTACTATTCCTTTCGAGCGGGATCTCTCTTTGCTTAGGCGCACGGCCTCTTGAAATTGGGTTGGAAGCTGTGTTTTCCAAGCCGTCTTATTTGGCTCTTTTTGCGGAAACATTGCATGCTGAAAGCCCTGAAGCATTCTACTGGTTTCTCAATAGCGTGTCTGATCGTCCATTAGAGTCTTCAAGCCCCAAGGCTGCATATGATGACCTGTTAATACGATTGCAAAATGAAAATGTCCTTGATGACGAAACGCTTAGTAGTTTCCAGTTCGCACTCGCACTCTCTTCTGGCGCGCCAAAGCTGGCTGCTTTCCACAGTCTAGTTGATGAGAAGAATGTTGAATGCAATTCTTGGATACTTGGAAGAGACGGTCCCTCGTGCAAGGTTCCTACGTCCTTCAGCAGCATTCCTAAAATTAATGTTTATGAGAAAAATAATTTGGATTATGTGTATGATGACTGTTCGGTCGAGACTCCTACTGTCATTGCTGTCACGGACTTTGGAGTCGAATTCGCCGGCTTCCATAAGCAGCTTATGCCTCTTGCGGAGTCTTGCAAAATTCGTTATGTGATTCGCTATTCACCATCTCCTAAAACGACTGAGGAGCCTTTGCGTGTTGCTGGTTTCGGTGCTCACGCCTCACTTAAACGCACAGACTATCTAGTTGTAGACGACCGTGAAGTCAAAATTTCTTCACAAGAAGCCGGCTCTGTTTCTACCGATAACGAACAGAAGCTGTTTGCTGATCTTGATGATAACTTAGAGGCTGTTCCGGAAGAGCAACTTGAACAACTTGGCTCATTAACGGCACAGTATATCTCCCAGCAGGAAGATCCCTTGACTGTCCTTCGCAAACTTAGTCAGGATTTCCCTCTTTATGCACACAAGATTGCTGGCGAACAGTTGAACAAGCAGTTTATTGAAAATATCACCGCGTTTCAGGAGCGAATTATTCCCGAGGGAACCAATATCGTTTCTTTCAATGGTATTCCCGTGGATGTGAATGAATTAGACGCTTTTTCCCTTCTCTCAATGCTCCGTTCGGAACGGGCGATTGTGAATGACTTGAAAAAACTTGGATTATCTCCCCACGAAGCTCAGCAAGTACTTTGCAGTGATAAGTTTGGACGTGACAGTAACGAAATTGTTCTCCCCAAGTTTGACTACCGCGATGATACCGAAGGTGGAAATGTCATCGTTTGGGCGAATGATTTGGAAAATGATCCTCGATATTCCGAATGGCCTACGGAGGTTCAAAACTTTTTGCGTCCCTTATATCCTGGACAATTACATATGGTTCGCAAACAGTTACACACTGTGATATACCCAGTGGATCCCAGTAGCTCCATCAGCGCACAGTTTGTTCGTGACTTGCTCATGACAACGCAACGCGTAATTCCCATCCAAACTGGTATGGTTTGTCGTGCTTCCGGAGATAATGTTGTGGGTCAGGTATTATGTCGAGCCTTCCACTTCCTTCGCAACGAGGCAGACATCGATACTGCACTGTCCTTTTTATTGAACTGTTTGCAAGAGGATGACAAGACTGATGTCTGGTCTTTAGTTGAGAAGCATATGCCTCCTTTGTTGAGGGATGATGAGTCTCTTGATTCCCTTCATAATATTCTCTACTCACCATTTTTCGACGCTTTAATGGCCAACAGTAATTCATGGATGAATCGTCTTAGTATTGATCCTCACAATAGGGATATTATTGTTAATGGCCGTATCATTGACTATGGTAATGATTTTCACCAAAATATGTTGGGTATCTTCATTGAGGATATTCCCCAAGTGCAGACAGCAGTCGCTATGTACAAACTTACTGATGATGATGATCTGCTTGACTTTGCATTGTCTGATGCTTTACCCAAGCGTAATGCACTTGTGTATCCTTCCTCCAAAAATGTACAACGAAATGTGAATCTTCAGGCTTCCTTAAACTCATTGGGTCTCACATTAAATGATGTGTTGCTTTTTGGACGGAAAAGTGCTCCAATCACTCTTTGGTTGATCACTGATTTTTCTGCGCCCGAGTTTGGTACCTTTATAACAACGCTGGAAGAATTGCAACAGGACGTGAGTGATATCTCTGTTGTTTTGTTGCCTAACTCTAACACAACCGACTCGGTTTCTCTTCAACTCGTTGAACGTGTTAAAGCAAGAATTGCCCCTCGACTGAGCCAACTCGAGGATTTATATGATTTGTATCAACCCGAACACAAGGTCAAAGCGGAAACTAAAGAACTAATGGAGAAATACCTTAAGCTTGTCAGCATTATTGGTGTTTCTGAACATGAAACTGGTATCCTAATGAACGGACGTTTAATCACACCGCTTAGCCCTGACAGTTTGAATGTTGATGATCTTGCTGAATTGGCATATATCGAGCGCAACAATTTTGTGGAGATTTTAGAAGATTTGATTAAGAATCCACGAGTATGTCTCCCCTTCCTTAGTTCATATCTGAAGGAGTTGAAGACGAGACCCTTCCAAGCTGTTGGGTATGGACAAACGCAAATGTCGTTCCCTCGGGACTCTTATGTCGATAAACTTAAACAGCATGCTACATTTTCTTATGGTGACGTGGAAACGGCCATGTACAGTGTAGTTGCTATCATTAACCCTCTTTCAGCAGAAGCACAAAAACTGTCGGTTTTCCTCGAGACGCTCTCTAAAATGAACAGCGTCTTTATTATGGTTATTTTGAACCCTCAACAAAAACTAGAGGAGCTTCCGCTGAAACGTTACTATCGATACTCCATTGCGTCGGTACCCCAATTTGATGAGCAAGGTAATATGGTTCCTCCAAGCGTTATTTTTGATAACCTGCCTGCCGATGTTCTCTTAACAATGGATCTTGAAACTAGAGACGCTTGGGTTGTTATGCAGAAGGATGTGCAGTTGGATTTGTATAATGTTAAACTTCCACATACAGAGTCGAACGAAAACTTGACTCCGTTGACAGCCACTTATGAGTTGAAGAACATCCTCGTTCAAGGATATTCAACTGAGAGACAGTCTGGAAGACCTCCTCGTGGTATGCAGGTTTTGTTAAGTAACAAAGACGGTTCTTATAAAACGGATACCATTGTCTTAGCTAATTATGGCTATTTTCAACTTAAGGGTAATCCCGGTATATTTACAATTGCGCCTAAGTCTGGACGTTCGGAGGAGATTTTCAGCATTGATGGTGTGAATCATGGTACCACCGACAACTCTCTCACGATTTCCGGCTTTGAGGGTGTTATTCTGCATCCCACAGTTTCAAGAAATCCTGGTTACGAAAATGAGGATGTCTTGAAGCCTGATGCGCCTTCACATAAATTCCTGAACAAGCTTCTTCGTCCGTTTAGAGGTGCACAAAAAGATGAGCATGCGGAAATTAATATCTTCTCTCTCGCCAGTGGGCATTTGTATGAACGGTTCATTTACATTATGACCAGAAGTGTTATGGAACACACGAAGCATACAGTTAAGTTTTGGTTTATTGAGAACTTTTTGTCGCCATCATTTAAACGAGACATTGCAATTTTGGCAGAAAAATACAAGTTCAAGTACGAGTTTGTGACCTACAACTGGCCCCATTGGCTTCGCAAGCAAACGGAGAAGCAACGAGAGATTTGGGGTTACAAGATCTTGTTCTTGGATGTTTTGTTCCCATTGGATTTGGAGAAGGTTATCTTTGTTGACGCCGACCAAATTGTCCGCGCTGATTTAAAGGAATTGATGGATCTTGATTTGAAGGGAGCACCATACGCATACACACCCATGTGTGACTCTCGCACTGAAATGGAGGGATTCCGTTTTTGGAAGCAAGGTTACTGGAAGAAGTATTTGCGCGGCATGAAGTACCACATTAGTGCATTATATGTTGTCGACTTGGATCGTTTCCGTCACATGGGAGCCGGTGATTTACTGCGTCGTCAATACCAACTTTTATCTGCTGATCCAGAATCTTTGTCAAATTTGGATCAAGATCTGCCTAACCATTTACAGCGCATGATCCCCATTTATTCTTTACCGCAAGAATGGCTTTGGTGTGAAACATGGTGTAGCGACGAAAGCTTGAAGAAAGCCAAGACAATCGACTTGTGTCAAAACCCTTTAACCAAGGAAAAGAAGCTGGATCGTGCCCGTCGTCAAGTCACTGAGTGGACAACGTACGACGATGAGATCCACGATCTTTTAGAACACGAGTTGCATAAAGAGGAAGCCCGTCCCGAGAGCATCCGTCAACCTCAGCAAGTTCTACAGCTGTCGCAACAATCAACACAATCGAATCCCTCTTCTAACGAGGGTGTCGATGAGTTGTAAGCATGTTTTCCATCTGCCCCCTTTTTCCACCTTTTGATGTGTTGTCGGTAACCTATGTATCCTTTTACCCTCCTGCATCCTTCAGAAAAAAAGCGTCTTATAGAATGACGCGTCTTTATTGACGTCTCAAATGTTTAGTCATAACATTTGATCCATTATTCATTTAATGAATGTACTACCAAGCAGCTATAGCATAGAATACAAGCTTTAACCTTTCGCATGAATAACTCAATTCGACGCGATAGTTTAGGGAGGAAAAGGAAATGTGAGGCAGGAAGAGAGACTCAGCGGGTAGACGTTAAATTAGCAAAGCCATTTCCATTTGCTTTGTAAATCCGGATGAAGTGAAACCATCATTGAAGACGACACAAAAATTATATAAAACGAGAACGCAAACCAAGCTCAGCTCAATGCTCGTAACTAGCATTGAAGCAGTGTATGAAAAAAAAACCCAACCACTGTTGTTTACCGTCTATTGTTTGCTTCACCCAATTTATTATCAACAAAAAATGGCAACTCCGTGCTTTCGTACTCTCTCCATTTTAACTCACCATCACATATATTCATTTAATAATTGCCGTAGCTAACAACTAACTGCTTTATTATTCTTCTATCACTTTGGTGTGTGTGCGGGTGACTAATACACGACTCGTCTCCAGCTGGACTTACCACATACCAACCCATTCCCTTAAAGAGCTCAACGGGAGTATTCAACTCGAATTTGAGCATATAATAGGTTCACCTGTCAAACGAGGATTCGTATTAAAAGGAAAAATTCGGAGAAGGAACCTTTTGTCGAAAAAATGAGCTCTGAGACGAAGAGTGTGGAAAAAAGAAGCGTTGTTGAAGGTACGGTAACGAAAAGCAATTCTGTACACCTGGATATGAATTACTAATTGGTTTTAGATGTACAAGTAAACGTAGAAGCCTTAAAAAAAGCTACGAGTCAAAGAGAGTCGCGTCTCGTGTACCGTGTACTTCGTACTACATGTGACATTAGTAAAAAACTGAACGCTAAATCGTTCAGGGAACTTATAAAGAAATACTATGGCGGCGATACTGCTACTCGTAATGAACTTTTACGCCTGTTTGAACAAGAAGACGGAAACGACGATGCAACGATGATGGATGAAGACAAATCAGCAAAGGAATCAAGTCCAGACCAGTCTGCATTAGTGACAGAGGTCAATATGTACTTAAAGTTGCTTATGGGAGTCCATCTTTATCACTACAAACATTATGATATTGGCTATGTGTTTATGAAAAAGACAATTGATGAATTACAAGGATTCAATCGTCGTACGCTGGACCAGATTGCTGCGAAGCTGTACTTTTACTTCACACTCTTTTCCGAGAGATGCAACTCCTCGTCTGAATGCCGTGAGACGTTGCTTTCCGTTCACAGAACTGCAACTCTACGTCATGACACAGAGACACAGGCCATGGTGCTGACGCTATTGCTGCGAAACTATATCCAGTACAATTTGTACGACCAAGCCGATCGACTTATTTCCAAAACTACATTGCCCACGGACGCAGGCAACAACCTCGCCATCCGTTACCAGTACTACATCGGACGGATTCGTGCCATCCAGCTCGACTACACGACTGCTCATGAGCACTTGGTGAGCGCTATTCGCAAGGCACCCAACACCGTGTATGCTGCACAATTTCTGCAGGCCGTTTATAAGCTGCATATTGTGGTTCAGTTGCTCATGGGAGACATTCCTGAGCGCCGTCTTTTCCGCCAAAAGTCATTGGAGCACTTGCTTTTACCGTATCTGCGCATCAGCCAGGCTGTTCGTGCCGGTGACCTTGCTGCATTCACGGATGCCTTGTCGAAGTACGAGAGCGAGTTCCGTGAAGACGGTCTGTACAGTCTGATTTGTCGTCTGCGGCATACCGTTATCAAGACGGGTCTTCGTATGATCTCGTTGGCTTATTCCCGCATCTCGTTGCGCGACATTTGTCTCAAGCTGGGTCTTGACAGCGAGGAAAGTGCTGAGTATGTAGTTGCCAAGGCTATTCGTGACGGTGTGATCGGTGCTTCCCTCAACCACGAGCAGGGCTACATGGCCAGTAATGAGGCTGTAGACATTTACTCGACTCAGCAGCCTCAGGAGGCCTTCCACGAGCGCATTAAGTTTTGTCTAGCCCTCCACAACGACAGTGTGAAAAGCATGCGTTTCCCCATGGACGCTCACAAGCGCGAGCTGAAGGGTCTGGAAGAAGCCCGTAAGCGTATGGACAAGGAGATGGCCGAAGCCGACTTGGACGCGGACGAACCTGATCTGGGCGAGTTCTAGGCAAGCCTGAATGGAGTGTCGTCCCGCGGGCTTTCCTGCTCAGCACCATACATTGCCATACAGATTCCTCCTTTGCTAGACAATTGTGAATAGTGATGCCTAACGCTATGTGGGGGTAGGTGGGCGATTTGGAGGGTGCGTATGCGTTCGTTCGCGCTAGTGCACGTTAAATGATATAGCGAAGAGTGACCACACTACCTCGCTCGTCCTCGCCTCGCTAAATTTCGCTAAATTTCGTAATAATAAATATTGTGTCGCTGTTCAAAGACTCACTAACTCTCACTATTCTTCATTTCTCCGTTCCGAGGCAAACCACATGACCCCTGCCCCTTGTCCCGCCACCGGATCTGATTGGCCGGTGTCAGGGGATCGCCACATCAGCGAATGAAAAAGAAGCGTGCAGAAGGATTCGAACCACGGATACACAGAATACTATATACATTTTTCGACCGGCGTCCTGAACCTACCAAGAGCACATCACTTCGGCGTTCATCACCCAAAAAAACACAACCGACAAAGGATGGCTTTGAAAAGAATTAACCGTGAACTCATGGACCTTGGCAAGGACCCACCGTCTTCCTGCTCTGCCGGTCCCGTCGGTGATGATCTATTCCACTGGCAAGCTACAATTATGGGCCCTGCCGATAGCCCTTACGCTGGCGGCGTCTTTTTCCTTTCTATCCATTTCCCCACTGACTATCCCTTCAAGCCTCCAAAGGTGAACTTCACTACCCGTATTTATCATCCTAACATTAACTCAAATGGCAGCATTTGCCTTGATATTCTGAGGGACCAATGGTCCCCGGCACTTACTATATCAAAGGTTCTGTTGTCCATTTGCTCTCTGCTCACGGACCCCAACCCAGACGATCCTCTCGTTCCAGAGATCGCTCACGTTTACAAAACAGACAGAGCCCGTTATGAGCTGAGTGCACGCGAGTGGACCAGAAAATACGCTATTTAAGTGCGATATGTTCATCTTTCACGTTTACCAATAATATCCTTGTTGTAGTCGGTATGGTTAGAAATACTTTTGTGGACGGGTTTGGTGTTGGTAAGTATAGAGGGAAGTGTAAAAGAGAGTGTGTAAATGTTACATGTTGAGGTTGTTCGTTTTTTCAGTAGGAGTTGTAGGATTAGCTTCTAAGAAGTCGGCCGGTGTGATTGACCAAGTTGTTTTCTAATGAATGAGTGCAATCGGTGAAAGGTACTGGTTAGAACGTAGTCTAGTACACGAGCACTTTTAGGAGGTTTCACGTTAACTGAACGTGGTCTTGTAATATTGACGAAGGTATCATTAATGTCGCCTGTTACTTTTTAGGTGTAAATGTAAGTGAGTTGAATTCAGTTAGTAGAATGCGATTTTTAATTACTTAGTGAACGGTTAAAAGTTGTCTTGTTAACGTTTGAGTTGTGCTGGTATTTAAGTTAAAATTCGTCTGAACACCGGTTTAAAATAACAATGGTTTCGTATACTTTAGACTTTTTTGAACGTTACCTTTTTCAAATAACTTGTCGCATTTTATAATAAGGTTTATAACTTTCTAAAAAAAAATGCGAGCGGCCGAAACCCTAAGTATCAAATTGCCAAACGCAATTTAAACTGAATGCTTGGACATTGATGTTGATTGTATAGTATTCTACTTTCTCGTTTGTCGAACATAAAGTAGCTATAGATGCTTTATTGGTATCATAAAAGACGGACTCTCGTATGTTGGATGCGTTCTTGATTCATTCGATTGACAAGGGCAGGGTCCATGATAAGGTTTCTTGAAGATTTCAATGGATATAATGTATATATATGTATATATATATATTGTCTGCAACTAAATATTCAGTTGGAAGTATCGATGCTTGCTTTTTTAAAAATGATCCAATCTTTGATGAAAACAGTATTAAATATAAATTCACATTTACTTAAATTTAAGACGTTGTAAACCAAAGGACTGGTCACCAGCAAAGTTTAAAGCTGGATTTATGTGTTCTAGCATCGTTCCAATATATGAACAGAGTACATTTTCTATTCAGCATGTGTCGCGACTAGTATAGCCATTGTAAAGTCAAACATACGTAAAAAATGTGACCGTGGGGTTCATATGTGAGAGAGCAATTAGATATGAAAACTTTTAAATTTATACTTTTCGTTATTAAAGGTCTCTCAATTAGCAAGAAATTTTAAAGATATTGTGGTTCTCCGATTAAAAAAAATTATACAGAGGTAAAATACCAAATCCTCATTTTGGCATCAAGAACGTGGTAGGTAAGCCATGGCCCGGTCCTACAGGCATGGTGAGCAACACAGATGAATTGACTGTGCGATGATTGATCAGCAAGTTAGGTATTTTATATATAGCGCGGCACACTAATAAAAGATACTATTCTCCATTAATTCTCTTTTGCAATTGCTAGTTTGCAAAGTATGCTTTTGCGGTACCTTCGCATATTCGATTAAGTTTTAGTGATTTATCCATTTAGCAATGGATACATTTGCATTTGTATAAATGAGACAGGAGAGCACCAAATATGAACAGAAACATTTATCAGACACAGAAAACTAGTGACACTTTCCAAAAAGCACCGACCAAAGAAAGTTCAGTAGCGAAAAAAGGCTCAAATTATTATAATTCAGTAACCGACAAAAACAAAAGTAGCAAATTGTCACCCCTACCGAAATTCCGTAACATTAGGAAAGTACATGATGATTATAGAGAAAGATATGTAGAAAGGTGACAGCTAGGTAAATTAAATAATACATTGTTTTGGAATGTCGCCACTTTGTGTGTGTTGAAGCCTTGAACTTTATAATTATATTTCTTGCATTCACAGACCATGTCGCAGAATCGTTTGTTGGAACCGAGTTACATGGTCAAAAGCATGATGTGCAGGAACACCAAGTTGATGAACCTTCGGGTTATGACACTGTTACTATTTGCAATAAAGTAGTTTCTGTATCGGTGATCTTGGTGCAGAGCATACTCCTAGGGATCATCAATTTGTATGTACGAAAATGGACTATGGAATCTTTAAGATGGATATCAATAGCAGCAAACCGATGATAAACAATTCACATGCTCTTCCTTTTTCCTATTCAATCGGCCGCTCCTTGTGAATAAATTGTGCAGATTTTTTCAACTCAAGAGCTGCGATGTTACAATGTCTGCTATCGCATGAAATTGAAAATGCTTTTTTTACGAGTTTTCTTAATGATTTATAATGCTCTTCTTTTTTTCCTTTAAATCTGCTTAGCACGACTTAATGGAGGTCTTGTATAATATTTATGATCGAAGTACAAGAACAAAGCAATGCAACACATGCTGCTGTCCCTGCCAGGGGAAAATGCTTATCGCTTCCCCCCGTTAATAAACAAATAGACTAGTTTCATTGTTCTGTATGTGAATTCAGGGTTGCATGTCGCAGTGCGTGACAGTATACAACGGACAATGAATAATAAATGTGCTTCAAATCCCGCATCTAAATGGACTCACAGTGAGGAAAATTTTAACATGTAGAAGGCAATATCTGGCTTGTTACATAAAACTTTCCCTGAAGCCTAGCCTGGTTTGGATACTAAAAATCTCATGAAATAATTCATTTGTTTCAATAAAGTCAGCTTCTTAACGACGATAATCCTTTCAATTGCATTTTCATTATATTGCCGTAACCATTTTAGCAATACATTGAATCAAATATTAAATTCCTCGTTTAGATAACCTTGTTAAGAATAAGGTTTTGACTCTTGGTGGTGAGTTCGTTTCAATCGACCGTGCACTTGAACTTGAATATTGTCTCTAACACAGACATCATCAGGACACAACTCTCGCACGCCAAATTAAAACGCGCAACACGTAAACAAGCCTATGCGATGGGTTTCTAAGAAATTGGCCTAAACAGCTTGCAAATATCCCTCCCTCTCTCTCTTAGATACATTTTCTGAGTCTTATTGACTCCATAAAAAGCAAGAACAGCCTCCTTAAAACCTCTGCAATAGCGTGGCTAATAGACGTGTATACAAAAAATAAAAACCAAACAGAGACCTTAAAAATTGGGTTCTCTTTTGTTTTTTCAAACAAATGAGCCATACACTGTTCTATGGCCCAACAACATTCCACCGATCAATGTTGCGATTGTTCACCAAGCCAAGGACTATATCAGCCTTGCTTCTGATCTGCAGAAGATCACTTGACTGGAACTCAGCTGGATCGTCGATCCTCACCACCAAAACTTCAACGTATTGCAGATCATAGTAGCATCGTGAGGTCCAGGATAGTGGATGCAAATTAACACAGTGTGAGTCCGCTACGGTTGGCAGGTTGACACTGCCAAAACACAGCTAATCATGGGTGCGCGGAAACGGGTACGAACCGCGGAAACATGGGACCCGGAAGAAGAATTTGAGGTATGCGAGTGACTCTACTCAATTATGATAGAACAGGGTACACGTCGTATGGATTTGCGAAAATAAAACGCGTCTTTAAACCAATTTACTGACAATTCTGTAGGTAGAAAAAATTGTTGATGAAAAACTCGACCCCAAAGTGAGTACTATTTGTGTTCTTTAAATGATTCTAATAAGATTAAGGGAAATGTAATGCTTTATCGAGTACGATGGCTTAACTATTCATCGAGAAGTGATACATGGGAACCCCCCAGCAATTTAGTTGGATGTACAGCCGTTCTTCGCGATTGGCATAAGAAACAAAAACGGCCGCTACCAGCCGAACTGTTGACTCCGGAAGAACGCCAAAATATACCCAAGGTTGTGAAGAAGACATCCTCTTCCCCTTCAGCACGCACATCTCTTGGAAATTCGACGCCCGTTGCAAGGACATCCAAGGGAAAACAAGATTCACGTGGTACGTACACAACAGAAGCTTTTCCTCAAGCACCTACCGTTTCTTCAACTCATTTATTCACTAGCTAACATATTATCAAGGCACTTCTTCTCGCCGTAGTTCAACAAACAAACACAAGCAGAAATCGAAACGCGGACATGATACAAACGATGACCAGGAAGATTTATACTCCTTTTTTGGTTCAACCAAACGTCCTCGGAAAACTAGTGCTGAAGCAACGGAAATCATTGAAATCGATGTCGAGGATGATAATGCACCCGACACTGAAATCCCTAAAGCAGATGACGAAAACACTAAAGAGGATTTGATTGTAAAACCTCCTTCTCCTTTACAAAAGCAATTCATCATATACCCAGTATCCCGTCCGCCTACACGAGATGCGTACGCTCACTTTTCAAACTATGAAAAACGAGAACTATTTCGAGATCGCCTCCGTCAACTTAGAGGTCCTGAAATTACCTTAGTGAATGAGGTCGATGACGAACCATGCCCGTCTCTTGACTTTCAGTTTATCTCTGAATACCGATTAACAGAAGGCGTTATTCCTCCAGACCCTAATTTTCAGTCAGGCTGTAATTGTCCTTCGGAGGGCTGCAACCTTCTAGAGCCAAACTCGTGCCAATGTTTAGAAGACATGGATGACCCGCGAAGTTTTGCATATGACGAACATGGCCGGTTACGGCCAGACTCTGGTAATGTAATATATGAGTGCAATGACTTTTGTTCTTGTTCTATGGACTGTCCAAACAGGGTTGTTCAGCGAGGTCGTGTACTTCCATTGGAAGTTTTTAAAACGAAAGATAAGGGCTGGGGAGTTCGAACGATTCGAACGGTGAAGGCTGGAACATTTGTTACTTGTTATTTAGGTGAGGTTATCTCTTCCCATGAAGCAGCAGAACGTGATAAAAATTACGAGAAAGACGGTATTACATACTTGTTCGATCTTGACATGTTTGATGATGCGAGCGAATACACGGTTGATGCGCAACGCTATGGTGATGTTTCTCGTTTTTTCAATCATTCCTGTTCACCAAATTTGGCTATCTACTCTGTGGTTCGGAATCGAGGTGTGCGAACAATTTATGATCTGGCCATGTTCTCCATAAAAGATATCAATCCTATGGAAGAATTGACTTTTGATTATGCTGGTATTCGTGAACAGGTGTCACCTGTGCCAAAGGAACCAAAACAACCTATTCGCCATGGAAAGGCATATCGGAAATGCAGATGCGGTGCACCAAATTGTAGAGGATGGCTATTCTCTTAGCCATTGAACAATCTTCAATTTTTTGTCTCCTAACTACTTCCTGATAACGTCGTTCTTTCCACTAAAAAACTGTCTTCTTGTAATACATAAGTCTATTATTCAAACATTATCAAATTCGCCCGTTTCCTCCTCACATACCTAACGTCTCTCGCCGCTTATGAAGTCCTCTACGAATACAGCAATCCTCGTAGAATTGATAAAAATAAAAAGCACTACTCATTAACTATTTAATGTTACACAATAATGAAAGCCGGACATCCTATGATACAAAAAGCGAAATGCTTGTTAAAGTCGCTTGAAAGGCTGTGATGAAAGCACGGAGAAGACATTGCTCTTCCTAGAATTGAAAAGGCGTTTTAAGCACAAGTGAATCATTCACCTTTGTTATCCTCAGACACCACCGCGGCAGTGTCGACCGTGTTCTCCGATTCCAAGTTCTTGTTTAAGACCTCTTCAGCGGGTGGAACGGCAACTTCAGATGAAATAGCGGGATCAGCTTCCGCACTAGCGGGTTCCTCAGATACCTCCTTGAACTCATGCAGGCTGCTAGCAGCTGCATCGTCAGAGTCAACTTGCGTCTCAACAGGAGCAGAAGTTTCAGTAGTAGTGACTGTCTCCACTTGCTTTACATCTTCCTCCACGTTTTCGTCAGCCTTTGTCTCTGAAGGGATAGGTTCGACAATCTCCGAACCAACAGCATCAGAATTCTCAGCAGCCTCACCAGTGCCAGGTCCAGAAATCTTTGATACGGGCTCGGTATTCACCGGAGTAAAAGAAGGTTGCTCTTCCTCATCTACATCAACGACAACGGGAGCTTCTTCGGTACCCAACTCGGCCGTGATGTTGGCATCGGCGGCAGCAGGTTCTGTCTCCGTTTCCGTAGCAGCCTTAGCCAAAGCAGCCTCTCGTTTCGCCGAGTAATCAGGAGAGTTATGGAATCCATGATGAAGCGTTTCCGATAGTCTTCTCATAAGTGGGGAAGACATCAAGCTGAACTTATGCTTTGAGGGTGAATCCGCAGAATCATTTGTCTTCTTGGGTGTTTTTTGCTTTTGCTTTTTAGGCGAGAAAAAATGTTTCTTCTCCTTTGAAGTTGAAGCTGGCGCCGATGCGGTAACTGGAGCTGAAGCCTCCTGTTCCTCTTCGGCAGGCTCTTCTGAAACACTTTTCATTGGGCTGGGAGAACGACGGAAGATGCCAGAAAGACGTGCACGCAAGTGAGGAGTGGATGGTGATGCCCCAGAAGGAACCTGTGCCGGTGGTTCCGCATTGAGGGTTTCTGCCGCTGCATTCTCAGTCTCAGGAACATCCTCATTTACATTTTGAGGCGTGTCATCAGTAACCTCGGGTTCTTGAACAATAGGGACTGCTGGAGAGGCATTTTCTTTCACTCCCTCTTCCGGTATTGCGTCTTTCGTTGCACCAGAGGGCTTGAAATGAACGAATGATTGTAAAATTTCAAAGACAGAGTCACGCTTCCGTGGATCCGGGGCCGCTGACTTGTCCACTGACTTGCCCTTTTCCTTTGATTTGCTTCCATCTTTCTTGCCAAAGAAGTACAAGAAAGAATAAGCTGCATTGGCACTTTCAGCCGAGTATTTCTTCAACTTGGCAAATGTGTCCTTATATGCTTCGCTGTTCTCCACATCCACCCGAGCCTGTTTGTAACGTTGGACATTCTCAATAATATATTTGACCCACTTGTCGCGCTCCGCAGGGCTGGGTGCCTCAAAGGTAGCGATTTTGCCAGATCCTGTGGCTATAATAAACTTTTGGTCAAAGCTGGGCTCAACAGCAACAACATCATACTGCGAAATACGTTAGTTTCAATGCGAATTAGGTAAAGAAATTCGTAGGTACCAAAGGAATAATTCCACTAGGGCTATCGGATGCAAGTTGAGACTTTGAATAAAACAACAATCCGTCTCCCGTTTGAGTTGCGTGAGCAATTAATTCAAGGTAATAGTCACGAGAAGAGGGAGCAGGCGCTTCCTTCGGCTCCTCTACGCCTTCACCCTCTTCGTCGCCGTTTGAAGGGTTTGACTCGGTCGCTGTTTTATCTGTTTCAGTCAAAGAACCATAGAATCGCTTTCGATAATAATAGTTTAAGTTTTTAAGTTCAAATTTTTTCGTCTGAACATAAAAAAACCTTCTTAAAGAATGACTGAATGGAGAGTTAGTGGGCTGATAGACCAGCTGTATCAGACGTACGGAAGAATGCCGTTTGTCTTAAAGGTTAAATGACCAGAAACACTGTATGCGGAAACAAAGGCGGGATGCTTGATAGTGGGAACCTCTGTGGTTTTCACAGTATTTAAAACGTTTGGAGCAACCTCGCTCAATGCAGTTTTCGTCTCCGTTTCACCTTGAACTTGCTCCGTTTCAGTCCCCGCCGAAGTGACTTCAGAATGTCCTGGCAAAACTTCGAAACCTGGTTCACCAACGACACTAGGTCGCGTTTCAATGCCTGCAGAAGACATGTTATAGAATCGAAAATAGTATTTAGTGTTTCAATTGTAGCAAATGGTTACACACAATTCTTATGGGTGTATGTGGTAAAGGGCAGAAATGCGAGGTCGGCCCCGCTAAACAAAACAAACGATTTTAAGCATAATAATTAAAACTTACATGAATTAATGCAGCTTTATAACAATTAAATATAATGAATCTTAATTCGTGTATTTACTTAGAAATTATGCATCCTAACTCTAAATTGCTGTAGTCAAAAAACATCATTCTAATTTGGTGCAAGCGTTCATTATATAAATACAGCAGATGTTATTGGTTGAATAAATGTATGTAAGTGACCGTAAGTGTCTAAGCAAATTTTTAAGTTGCATATTTTGTAGGCGCGCATCATAGACGTGCGCGGTGCCATGAAGCAACTCGAAGAACAGATTGAGTAAGGACAATAGTTTTCTCGCTGTGGGCATGAAATTAACGTTGAAATTAGACGGTTTAAGGAAGTTTTATTTGAAAATTCCAATGGTATGTCTGATGGAGGTTGTTGTCAATTCACAGGATAATCGCTAATGACCAGCTTCCGATTCGGATTCTTCGATTGGGGAAGGATTGACAAACAGGGGCCAAAAGCGTAAAAAAAGAGCTAAAACAGCATATTTTGGCTGCGTTGGGCGCAGCGCTGGAAGCGGACTGGATGTTGATGTATACGATATTTAAATAGCTTTGGAGAATTACGCTTTGGCTAACAGCTACCAACGTATAGGTTTACAGCATCGGAGACTCTAAACGCTCAGTAATTTCTCACTATCAAAAACGAAAGGAGCCTGAATGGTTAGATCGTGACAACCCGTACAGAGACATAAACGTTAGTGGTAAGCAACTGGGGGTCTACGCCTGTCCAACAAGCTCGGTCCTTCTAAAGAATGTACGTTTCAGCTAACATTTGGAGAATTGGTTTTACCATTGTCGAAACCCGCACAACTCCTCGACAATCCTGACACAATGTCAATTTTTAAAAACGATGTGCTCTCCCAGCTCGCTGAAACAGCGCAGCAGAGCATTGTCAATGAACATAAGTACACTGTTCAACTTCAACAATTGTTCATCGCTTTACTGGGCGACGATCCCAACCTAACAGTATCCCCGAACGAACGTTTTGGAATAACGGACGAGCAGCGTTCAACATTGCTTGACATTGTTCGTGAGTCTCTCGATAAAAGCCGTGAATTCGTGCGGTCATTGACCACCATACGTATGAATTTACTTCGAGCTGAACGTTACAAGAACAAGGTCTTAAGCTATTGTCGAGGCGGCGAGGAAACCTCCGAGAAAGAACAAGACGGCAATCGAGAGAATGAAAGCAATGCTTAATTGGGTGCAATGCTAACCCAGTGCCCAAGCTGCAGCTTTCCCTTCGTTTCTAAATCTCACATACGATCCTAACCCCTTGAAAACCGAATTCAGGCCAAAGAACACATTCCAAACACACATTATCCATTGCAAGTGGGGCAAAACGATGATTATCAATAACAAAACTCGTCGTATCATACAGAGTCTCCTCACTTTGTGTCCATTTTGTTTCGATGAGCGATGAAATATCAAGTGAAAGCGACGGTTCTTTTCATCTTGGTTCTGTTTTCTTTCTCATCTTCACATACATCCACACATTACACACGATCACATTTTGTGTGCACACGCACATCCACTCGTTAACCGATACATCGGCTTTTCGCTTCCCTTTCGCTCTTCTTTTCCCTCTGCCGCTCTAAAATCTTCTGTTATCAATTCGAAACATGCAATGAGCTACTGATACTAGATTGATGTTTGCGTTGTCTTGTCATCAGCGTTACCTGTCTATGATCCAAACCCATGATGGAGTCTCGGCCATCAGCGTTTAGGCGCAGATCACTTCTCGGTACTGTTATCTACTGCGAACCTTGATTGTGTCCACACCAGCCAGTGGTCCACTAGTAGGACTGGGGTATCCCTACTGCGCTGCAGGTTGCCGCCGCCCCCGAAGATGGTATCATTAAAGTAATCGTATCTTGATTAAGATGGTAAACAGCGGGAAGAGTTGCACTGTAATTTACTTTATTAAAAGGCGACGAAATTTCCTGCAAATCAGAACAACTGACTTCAACCTTTCTGTCTACTACAGCAGTTTAATTCGAATCAATTGGCTGTACAATTTGCATTCCTTTGTTGCTGCAAATAATTTATTCACTCGCTTACACACCTTTCCCCAACTACAATTGTTAATTAAGTATACACAATGTCTGAGACTCAAGTGAAACGCTGCGTTTTGGCCTACTCTGGTGGTCTCGATACCTCCTGCATTCTCGCCTGGTTGATTGAACAAGGATGGGAAGTCATTTGCTACATGGCCAACGTTGGTCAAGAAGAAGACTGGGAAGCTGCCCGTGAGAAGGCTCTGAAGGTCGGTGCTAAAAAGGTGTACATTGAGGATCTTCGTGAGGAGTTCATTCGTGACACTGTCATTCCTGCTGCTCAATGCAATGCCATCTACGAGAACGTTTACCTTTTGGGTACTTCGTTGGCTCGTCCTATCATTGCCCGTCGTCAAATTCAAATTGCCGAAAAGGAGCACTGCATTGCTGTCTCCCATGGTTGTACTGGTAAGGGAAACGACCAAGTTCGTTTTGAACTTGCGTTTTACGCTTTGAAGCCTGATGTTAAGGTTATTGCTCCTTGGCGTGAGCCTGTTTTCTTTGAGCGCTTCGCTGGTCGTAAGGACTTGTTGGAGTACGCTGCACAAAAGGGAATTCCCGTTGCTCAAACCACTAAGAAGCCCTGGTCTATGGACGAGAACTTGGTTCACTGCTCTTACGAAGCTGGTATTTTAGAGGATCCCAGCCAAGCTCCCCCTACCGACATGTGGAAGCTCTGTGTCGACCCCAAGGACGCACCTGATGAGGCTGAAGACTTGGAGATCCACTTTGAAAAGGGTGTTCCCGTCAAGCTTATTTGCAAGGATGGTGAGTTCACCGATCCTCTTCCTCTTTTCCTCCAACTCAACACTATCGCCCGTCGCAACGGTGTCGGTCGCGTCGACATTGTTGAGAACCGTTTCTCTGGTTTGAAGAGCCGTGGTTGCTACGAAACACCCGGTCTCACCATTTTGCGTACGGCTCACATGGACTTGGAGGGTCTTACTATGGAGCGTGAGGTTCGCGCTCTTCGTGACCAATTCGTCACCTTCAACCTTGCCAAGATCCTTTACAACGGTCAATTCTTCTCCCCCTCCACTCGTATGCTGTTGGCTGCCAACGCTGTTTCGCAAGAGGTTGTTAATGGTGAGGTCAAATTGAGCGTGTACAAGGGCAACGTTACGATCAAGGGTCGCAAGTCCGAGACCGCTCACTTGTACGATGAAAAATTGTCGTCTATGGATGAGCTCGGTGGCTTCGATCCTACTTGGACCTCTGGTTTCATTGCCATCGAGTCTATGCGTCTTCGCAACTCTGATGAGGCCAAGCATTGGCTGTAAGCATAGTTTGTCATGTGCTTCCCGAATAACGGGAATGTTTAATGATAAAAGTGTTATGCGTTCATGTCATGAAAAATAAAATATGAATTACTTTTGAGCATGGGAATGAATGGAAAGGGTGGTGACAACAAGTAGCGATTGTGAAAAAAAAAAAAAAACATACATGGCGTACAAGTGTACTGTCAGGTCTTAATTCGTTTCCGACTTGACTCGATACGTTTGGTGCTTCTTGTCTAATGAATTACGGACATGAAATATATTTTTGGTCCTTGTCAACGAAGTAGCAGAAGGACACCCATGCAGACAATAAGAAGCAGGATAGCTACTGTAGCTAGTGATTTGAGCAGTGTCAGCATTACACGAGTAGTTTTGTTAACGACCAAAAGCGAAACATAGAAAATCAAAAAATAGACAAGGAGGTTTACAAAGGAAGGAATGGTGAATTGGAATGAGTTAATTTTTCCTGAAATTAAGGACGAAAATGAACCTGGTTTGTATTCTTCGATTTGTTTTCCAAGTGTCTCAATTGCCTTTCCCATCTGAGCCGGGTCCTTCAGCACTTCCTGGTGACCCACCAATCTGAGCAACAAATCGTACACAGAAGGAACAGGGGACATAGTATGAGAAATGAATGAAGGTTGAGAAGAGGAATGGGAAGAGAAAACCGGGGTTTTCTTGGGTGTGTGTTTATATCAATTGATAATGGTGAAGGTATGGTAGTGCTACCGAAGTGGCGACAGTTCGAGTCTTGGTAGTGATAAATAAAACCGATGATTAGAGAGGTCGGGAGTGTCCTGTATCGCGAAGAGATGATGATGTCTTTTCCTGTCGTGTACTAAGTTGTCAATGCTCTATCATTTAATACTGAGATTGTATGAGAAAGGTATCTCCCGAAACCGTCTTGTACAATACACCGTATGTTGAGTTCGAGTCATGATGTGGACACAAAAAAAATCAAGTTTGAAAGTAATGGTAACGTTTGATGGAAGTTCCTAGTGGCCGTGACAAGTTGTATCTGTGTAAATTTGGCGGAAGAGAAATGTACTTCTGAAGAGTAAGTCTGAAGAGTAAGAAGTTTCATTTACTTCTGTTTGTACAACAGACGATTCGATAACGGTGTTTGTAGTTTGGAACATTAGCGTCGAAATACATATTACAGAAAGTGCAATATTACACCTGAAGTTCATGATACATGGTCTGTTTAATGATGTACGGGGCAACTATATATGTTGTGGTCATGTTAAAGGCTGTATGGTCTACTTGTTTGGTAGCTGATTCAGCAGAAAGAAATTTCATGTCTTCAATGAGATGATTTTTTGCGATTCACAAGCTATAAACTCATTTAGAGTTCAATTGCGCTACGGCCAAAGTGTAGTTGGAGGCGGACTGCCCGTTCGAAGAAAGGCATTTTTTTTATTTAGATACCTTTGTAGCTTTAAACAATGTACTGATCAGTTTTATTGTTCAATAGCTGCCTGAACGTTACTTGGATTTTTTGTACTGCACTAAAGATAGCAAATTGATACCTAGATCAGAGTTCTAAACTAGACATCTGGAGAATGATGATGTCCTTTGACAGTAGTTTTCCTAAGAATATTCATTCAAAGCAACCTTTTGTAGAACAGGAAGTATTATTGTATTATTGTCACAAGGATCGCTATAATAGCATCATTTCATGCAATCCTCATTCTTACTGTATCACGATTCTACAGACGATTCATTTCAAAGTTCTAAATGAACAGCCACATAAAACCTTACATGAGATAATTCTTTTAGCCATTAGACAGAGTTTTTCTCGACTCCTTTGTTTCATTCATTGCATCGAGCTTTCGCCCACTCTAAACAATGTTGCCATTTATGCCGTTTGTACGAGCACGGGTCGGACGGTAAAAAAATACAAATATTGAAATTGTGACAGAAGGAGAGGGTTTTTGAGCAAGTTAATTAACCAATGAAGCCCTTATAAATGAATTCTATATTGGCAATACAATTGCATTGCAAAGAACTACTGTTTTGAGGTACTTGTAAAAAATGTTTATCCCTGCACGAATTTAAAAACTGGACATAGAAGAACCCAAAATTGGTGCAACATTGGGATTCGAACACAAGCCGGCCCGTGTGATCCCGAAGGAGCGAGCTGTATCTTGTGCTGTAAAGGAATTTTGGGTTCGAGTATCACGAGGCAATTCCAAGTGATTGCTTTACATTTGCACATCTTGCAAAGTTAGTAACCAAAGATAGTATCAATTGAATAGTTAATATAAGTATGCAAGCGTTCGATGGCTATAATCCGTTGAACAGTACTTGGTTCTTTCAACAGTAACCTTCACAACTTGTTGTGTGTTTTAAGAAAGAAGGTATCTATTGTTTGAAGCCCACGAACAAGAATCCTCAATCGCACTAAACATACCCGTCCTCGAACTGTGACATTGAAGAGTCTCGAAACAAACCGACTTCAAGTCATTGACTCCAAGCTATTGCGTCTTGTCATAGTATTGAATTCTCTCTCTCACTACTTTACAAACATTACATATATGAATTAGTAAACCGTACACTATCAATCAACTAGCGAATCTAGATACACAAGAGTTCCTGAGCATTCGTCTCTTTCATACAACATCGAGGTTTCACGAACCGAACCTCAACTAGGAACGCTTGAAGAAAGAAGGTATCCATTGTTTCAAGTCTAAAAACATGAGTTCTCAATCAAACTCAACATACTCAGCTCGAACCGTAGCAGGCGTAACAGACGATCTGTAAAGAACTCTTCATTGTCATCATCACGACTTATTGCGAACAAGACTGCTCAATCTTCATTGTAATTCCATTGCAATTTCATTGCACACCTTTCATACACCAAATCTTCGTGTTACCAAGTGTGTCGAATCCTGAATTTACTGACTATCTCAGGTCGACTATAACTGATTCCGTTTACCTAAACTCAACACTCTCCCTCACTCAACACCCTCCCTCATAACATCTTCGAGTCCCAATTGCCAGAGCATTCCTAAGCAGGTGCCACTGCCCTACAGGCCAGCACACCGCATCCACACCCACCTCTCTTCGGTAAACTCTATTCAATGCAATTCAATCAACGGTCTATGGTTCTAGCGCTTAGCGCAGTCGTTGCCGTGCCCACACAGAACCCGACCGGCCCCCATTCCGGGTTCATGGTCAGGGTGTCCAGCACTCGACGACAAATCAAAAACAAGACAAAAAGAAAACAAACGTTCATCAGACCCAAAGGTCGCGCGCTCCTCTTTAATGGTCATCATTTCAGGCGGCGCATTTAAGAGGAAGGCTCGTAGTCAGCGGGGATGTTGAAGATGCGCTCAAGAACCTCACCGACGGCACCCTCGTCGTTACCAACGCGAGAGATGGCCTTGGCCTTCTCCTTGGCGATGTCCATACCGTTGCACATGGCGACAGACCAACCGGCAATGGCGAACATGGACAAGTCGTTCTGGCCGTCACCAAAGGCAATCACGTTCTCGTTGTTGATGTGGGGGAGGATGTTGCCGGTAATGGCCTCAAGAGCAGTACCCTTGTTGGCGTTGGAGGGAATAAGCTCAATGCAGTAAGCCAAAGCTTGGGTGGTGGTGAACTTCTCGATGGGGAAGGTCTTGAGGATGTCGCGGACAACGTCAAGCTTGTCGGGGTCCTCGCAGACGGCCATCTTGATGACCTTGATCTCGCCAGACTTGACCTTGGCAATAGCCTCGTCGCAAGGCATCTCAAAGTTGACCTTCTCACCGATCTCGGCAAGACGCTTGGGGTTCTTGAGGTCCTCGCGGCCGGGAGTCAAGATGTAGACTTGAGACTCGTCGTAGACAACGTTGGCGATGTTGGGGTTGTGCTTGGTGGCCTCGACAACCTCCATGACGACCTCGGGCTTGAGGTGCTCGGCGTAGACGATCTTGCCCTTGTTGTACAGGACACAGCCGTTGACGTGGGCGGAAGGGAAGGCGTCGAGCTCGAGAGGGATGCGGATCTCGTCGACAGCAGAACGCTGCTTGCCGGTGGCAAGGACAATGGGGAAGTCGGGGCGAGTCTCGCGGATGTACTTCATGGCACGGTAGGTGCGCTTGTGGAAGCGGTGGTGGGCATCCAGAAGCGTACCGTCGACATCAGAAATAAGCATCTGGAGTTGGTCGGCGGTGGGGAGGTTGTTGGTCTTGTCAGCGACAGCACTCATTTTGGCTAATTGTGTTCGAGGAAAGAAAAGGAGCGAATGCAAAGGTTCTATCTAACGAAATTCGTATTGCGTGTTGTTCGAAACGGACACGGCGACTCAGAAGGGCAAGGGTGAATACAACGACGAAGAATGGGTCACAGTCGTCCTACGCTGGTTGAGGGAGGCCGCTGCTGGTTCTTATGCTGCTTTTAAGTGTTTTTCGGGGAAACTCAGCAGGTGACGTCACGTGGAGTGATGCTCCCGATACCGGAGAAACAAAATAGACGCCGAACCTATCGCAGAATAGGCGGCGTCAGGAATGCGTCGAGTCCGTGCGCAGCGCGGTTGGCTGGCCAATCAGCTGCACGCGAACAGAGTCTAACTCCGTGACATGACATCACAGATAGTCTTTCGGCGGCGGCCGAGAAAGCGCATGACGTTGTCGCAACCTTAAACCGAGCAAGGTTCCTCAGCAGCCGTTCAGGACAAAACAGCGCGGATTTGTCGGAGAAATAGAAAGAAGGTTGAGTTTGGCGAGCGATGACGTATGCCGGACGGACCGGACTGGGCAGTCGGTCGGTGATCGTGTGAGACCTGCATGCAGAAAATGCCTAGCCCTCCGGTCTGAGGTCTGAGTGGACGGTTCCTCATGCACAGTCGCCGCACTGGCCGAGCTGCCGTGTCCCGTGCGATGCGATGCGCTACGACACAGCACGACACGACACCGCTGAGACCACCATGCCCGCCCTGTTGAATACCAAACGTTAAACATTACTACTACTATAACTGACATCGCCTACGAAGGCGAGAAAAAAACCGGTGGGGGAAAGGAAGGGAGGTCATGTGGGGCGCGGGATGAGTGGGATGAAGGGAGTGTCGCAGATACGCACCACGTGCATCGTGTGACGCACGTGGCAGGAAGCGAAAGGGATACAGAGAAAGAAAGAGCCGCAATGTCGGCCGGCAGAGAGGATCGGTTGCGTCTGGATTTGCGGCTTGCGACTTGCGACTCGCAGCTCGCGACACTTTGCGTTACAGACGGATTGCTGTCTGTTACGTTCACGTCGCAGCCGTGGCCGCCGCCGCGCCGTGTGTTCAGCACACCGAGGTCGTGTGCGACGTGTAGCTGTTTTGAAAGTGGTCGCGGAGCAGGTCCTCAACGGCCACCGGTTCCGATTGGGGAGGGCCGAGCTCTGGCAATGGAGCCACCACGTAGTCGATGTTGCCCTGCAGGAAGAAGGGGATCGTGTACCGGTCCTGGGACGAAGTGTTGCACACACGGTGGAGCGACGACTTGTAGCGATGGTTTGTGAGGATGGTCATGATGTCTCCGAGATTGGCGACCAGCGCATCCTTCCGCGGCGACACGGCCAGAAATTGGTTGAGCTCAGGGTCGAAGATCTGCAGACCCGCAACGCCGTCCTGGGCCATGAGGGTCAGGGCAGCTGCGTCGCGGTGGTCGTTCACACCAACACGGCCGCCTGCTGGGGGATACCGCAGCAACCGGATGGCCGTTGTGGGGTCTGAGCAAAAGTCGTCGAAGGCGTGCTCGCTCAGACCCAGCGACTCGGCCAGCAGGCGCATCACTGTGTCGGCAAACTCGGCCATCTCGTCGTGGTACTGGACGAGAGCACGTCGGAAATCGTTGCCCGAGTGCAGAGGCCACTTGTTGGGTCCCTGGAAGGGACGCATGAGACGCTCTGCACTAAGGTTTTCGCTGCCGAAATAGAAGCTCTCGCGGAACTCGTTCGACACAATCTCATCCTCGAACACTGCTGCATTCGAACCCGACGACACACTGCCGTTGACGGCGCCAGTCGTGGTGATGCTGGCCGCAGGCGTTGCAGCGAGATTGCTGGTGCTGCCGGAGCAGCACCAGTCATCGTCTGCACATCCGTCGAGCACCTCCTGCGAGTCGAAGGCCGTCTCCTCGCCTTCCAACACAAAGTCCTGCACCAACTCGTAGCCGCGGTTGCTGAACATGTCCTTGCTCAGCTCAAGCTTCTCCTCGAACGGCAGCTCAAAGAAGCGCTTGGATGCGCGGAACGCGTTCCGGAACACCTCGTGCGAGATGCTGTGATGGACAATTTGAAAGAAGCCCGAGTATTCGCAAGCCGAACGCAGCTGCTCAATTACCAGTTCGCGTGCGCCAGGCTCACCGGCCAGCATCGGCCCAAAGTCGATCACCGGCAACAGCCGCTCGTTCTCCTCGGGGGTCGCGTCGCGATTCGCATTTGTCGCGACTTTTTGGAACATTTGCGACAACATTTTGCCGTAAGAAATGAAGTAAGCGGGAGGGGGAGGGGAGAGTAATTAGTGGGGTGAGAAGAGGGGATTAATGTGGGGAAATGAGAGTGAAAAAGGGGAACAAAAAAGGGGACACGCCTGTGTGTGTGTGCGTGCGTGTGTGGTGCGTGCGCGGGGTTGTCGCGTGCTTGCCAAATATGGTTATGGGGGCGGGCAGTGCTCAATCACACTCCTTGAAGAGGCAAACTCGGGAATGGGGTCTGCCGGCTGTGGTGGTAGTGGCGGCGGCAGCGGTGGTGGGGTATACGAAAACACACCGGTATGGGTATACACTCCCTGACGCAGGGATGATGCAATATGCAAAAGTTGAAAGAATGTGGTCTCTTAGGAATCGTCGAGTGGGATCCCAAGCAAATGCAAAACTGTGCAACAAAACTGTTCAACAATGAGGGGAGAGTAGTTGCGTTAATGTGCACTAATTTACGGTACGTCTCTGTAGGTGTCCGTAAACCTTTTTGGGCAGTCCGCTCAAGAGTGATCTCGAATGACGAGAGGATTGCGTGTGTGCTGTGTTACTTCTAAACTGCGTCGTCGCCTCCTGAAATAGCTAACTGATCGCTCGCGTGGGTGACTTTCCCGTGGTGGGGCAAAACACAGAAACCGCTTTTTGTCTCAGCAATGGGTGCACAGCGGTTGAGATATCGCGCAAAAGCTGGAACAAGACAAGTGCAGATGCTCTTCCTATATATCCTCCTTCTTATCAGCCTAACCTTATCTATGACGTCACGCGTTGTGAGATAAGGTACCGAGGGTGTTCCGCGGGGAGAAGGGGATCAGGGGGAGGAGGGGTGCGAAGTGGAGTGTGAACGGGGACGTGGGTGAGAAGAGCCACGTGTGACTCGACGGAATGCGTGTTATGACGACCGTCCGTCAACCAGCGTCAATTGACTCTGTAGGAGTGCACGATGGCTTTTTCTGGCGGCTGGCCTTGAGCTTGCCCCCCTGCGACGCGACGCGACGCGACCTTGTCGGTGCCTTTCCGCTTGCTCCACTCGTTTGCTCGTTAATCAGTAAACTTCTGTCAAATCAAGATTGCAATCGCTCGCTTGTGCGCGGATACGCGAGCGAGCACGTGAACCAGCGAGAGTTAAGATTCTCGATAACCTTAATGCCGGTTTTCGTGACGCGTGACGTCAGTCGCTTTTCGCGTTTGCATATGAAGAGCGTGAACGCGTTTCCACTCCTGCCAAGAACCAAAACCTTTTTCTTTCCCTACACACGGACACAAGGACACGCCCAGAGGCAAGCACAAAACTCCCTACGCACTCTCGTACTGCATTGGTGCATCCGCAGGTGGGTGCAATGGATGCGGAGAAGACGTTGCATGATGAGATTGCAAAGCTCGTGCGGAAGAAAGAGGCGCTTGAGCAACAATGGCGAGAACTGCACGCGGAAACGCTGCAAGCCAAGGGCTACGGGCGTCAGCACCAACAAGAGACTGATGACGGACGGCGGTTAACGCGCCCAGAGGGGCTCTTTCAGTATGATCGTTTGCCGGGAATAAGCTTTTTCCAACCAAACGATCCCGAACGCCTGTTCCGTGAATCATTGCGCACCATCGATGAGAAAAGCGACACCATCCAACAACCCTCGATGCCACAACTGCTTGGTGTACGTTTTGACGTAATGAAACAGTGTGTGCACGAAAACAGCAACACATCGGCCGCCAAAAATGCAAGCCCTCGAAACGCGTTTGACGTTCCTCATTACATAATTTTTCGTGTTTCAGACAACTCGTTTGACATATACAAGCATACATTACCTAACTACATTCCCATGCACTCGTTGGCACGCCAATTCCTCCAAAAAGGCGGCAAATGCACGAACTTGCGCGCGTTTTTACTTCATACACAACAGTCCATCACTGCATATGCGTGTCGGCGCGACATGGTGAAGCAGATTAAGACGCAGGCACCCAAATATGCGGAAATCCGGGCAGATCTTTCGTGCACACGCGTCTCCATTGTCCTGCGGAATTCGTGGAGAGCAAAAATCGTGTTTCGCGCTGATGCTTCTACACGTTTATTACGCGCTGTCGTGCATATACGGTCGTCCCACGGCTGGGAGAAGGCGGCATTACTCGAAGCACAGCTCGTGCACGAACGCGAATGGCTTTCGCTTTTGTTGCGCGCCATTCGTCGCGTCGAGGAGACAATCGCACTTCAAGATCCTTCACCTTCTCCTTAATTCTTTTTCAGGTTTCTCTTCTTGCGTAACCGTTTGGCGACCTGTTTTTCGAGTTGCTCTTGCAAGCGAAGCATTCGTTTTTGGTTCTCCTCAAAATAGCCCGTTGTCAGCTGAAACAACCGACGCATATACTTTTTCGTGACATAAAAATCGTAATGCATTTCTTCCGCCAAATCACCGTTTTCTCCAGTCGCCGCTTGCTCGCCGTTGGACGCCGACGGCGCGAACGCCCGACCCAGAGGAACATCGATTCGAAGACTTGTACGAATGGCAACAATGTGTTTGGAATCGCTGCCCTGAATGCCCGTCTCGCGGAAGCCACAACTGGCGGCGACACGATGGAGCATCTGTGCCGACTCCATGGTTCTCGTTTGAACATGCAGAATCATTGGTTCAAAGGCGAACTGCACATCGCGCGACACTCCGTGTTGAGCACCTTCACGCTCCCCCTCTTCCAACGAATTTTCATCGTCATAGTGTACGTTTGCACTTTCCAGCTGTTCCGGCAGCTCTTGTTGTGCCTCGTGCGAAACAAAGAGCCAGTAACCTCCACCTTTTCTCGTTTTCGCACCTTGCACATAGACGGAAATTCGTCCAGAGCACGAACTAGTCGTAACCCAGTCAGGATGGCTATTTACAACCTTCAGCAATGGGAAGATTGGGCTGTCAGGATGGCCTTTGGGAGAGGCATCTGGAACATTAGATTCCAGCTGTTTCAGTATTTTTGCTTTGGCCTCATCGAATGGATCTCCATTTACGGAACCGGAAGCATCAAACTGGACAGCAGCCATGGTTTACTGAGACGTTAACCCAAAATGGTGGTGTCGAGGAGAAGACCCTTCTTCGTGCACACAGAACGCTGCTACCAACACACTTTTTGTGCCTGAACAACACATTTCATTTGGCAGTCGGCGTTGTGTGCTAGTTTGCAGTGCTAAAACCATTTGCGCGTGTTTTTTTTTTAAAGAACCTTTTGACTCATAGCTCATTTGTCTGTTGTTTGAGACAATTTCCTTCATACCCAGTATTCGAAAGTTGTAATCACACATCGCGACAACCTGCTTCGTACGCGTACACTAAAACGGAAATACATTTCCCTCTAAAATCTTCAAAAAAGTTCAACACAAAAAAGTTGAGAATCAATTATCATTTTTTCTCAAAAATTTACCATGAAAAGAACAGGACCTATGCAACAGGAGAAAGATCGGGACCACAAACGTTTGAAAATTAGACAATCACGTTCAATCCATGTTCAGTCGGACAGTTTGGAAAATGGAGCAATTGACGTGGAAAAATTCCTTAGTGCTCGTTCTTTCGAAATCAGAGCATTTCAGGATGCGATGAAACGATCAAAAGACTCAAGCTCCCAGCGAGCCTTTCAGTCACTTCCGCGATGTCTAAGACGGAGAGCTGCTTCACATAATGTACGTCGAATTCCAAAAGCACTTCGCCAACGCGCTCTCTACGAAATGAGCCTGCAGTCTTCTACAACAAAAGCCATTGAGCCATCTCGTCTTCGATTTAAACGCTATGTCCGGCGATTACAGAAAAGGATATCTGCGGCTGGAAAATCCAAACAAATTGTAAGTGCCGGCACTTTACAGACAAAGCACACTACCGAAGACTCCCGCATTCCTTCACTGCCTTTAGTCCGTTTAGTGAAGGGTCAGTTCGCTCAGAGACAACTCCGTAAAATTTGGCTTCCAACACATTTGTGGACAAGTAAAAGAGCTCATATGGTGAACAAATGGGGTTACGCGATTCCACAACGACCAACGGCCAAATCATATCGCCCAACTCATCGAGCTGCATTTACGGAAGAAGCCATTGCTTTTGACATGAGCTATGAGCCCATCTTCGCCATTACTGCTCCACTTCCTGTTCTGATCGAAAAATATAAATCTATTTTTGGTGCGCGCTGGGCGTTGTATTCGTCTTGCAGTCGTATATGTTCTGGTTTGATAAAAAATGTTGAAACGGGAAGAACAATTTGTCCCTGTCTCACGCAATGGAACAAACCATCCGAAGCTTTTGTGCAAAGGCTTCCAATTACAGAAAAAAACAACGTCGCACAAGTTGTACTGCGCGTCCATCCCGCTGCTTTCGTGGAGTGTTGGGACTATCTCTCCGGAATTGCAGTAAAAGATAGTCGAATAGCAATGCACGATTGGCGTATGCAATTGGGTTCAATAGACGTTTTGGGACCGCGTGCAAATCAGGTTCTCCACGATGTTTTGCAAACTCCTATCCCTTCAACCGAGTCAAATGTCTGGACATCCATCAAAAAACTCTCACACAATCAACTACCCATCGACTGTTCGTTGGGTTTTCATGTGAATGCTTCCCAAACGGCAACCTCCGCGACATCGCAGAATTCGCTGTCTCAAAAGCCAATGTTGGAATATTGGGATGCGAAAACGCTTCCTTCTTTTCAAGTCTTTGACGTTACGGAGGTAAACGGCATCGGTGCCAGAAATCCGCCTGCGATTACGCCTTTAATGGTAGCCAGGCGGCGTGAATGGAATGGCTTAACTATTATCTTACCATGGACTTCAATTATGTATTTTTGGAGAAAACTTATGTTTCGTAAGGGTGTTCGTTTTGGCGGACTAGACAATTTGCATCAAATCGCTTTCGAAAAACAAATCCCTTTCTTCCCACATGACTATCCGGAAACGGAGGCGGGAATTAAAGCACAAGCCGTGTCGAGAGAGGATGCCTTTTCGTATTGGCAAAGACGCCCCCCTGCCAAACGGGTAAATTTTCTGAAGCTCGAAAATGGTATGAAAGAGCTAGGTGATCCATTTGCATGCGACTGGTCTGTGCTAGATAAAAACTATCCCACATTGACTCCTGTACGGTTTCATCTCGTCCATGTTATTATTACATGCTCAACTCGTGGCAGCATTCACGATCTTGCTCGCGTGTACAAGCTGCCCACGAAGGAGTCTTTGGAGGAATGGAAAAAGCATTCACTTCACTATCGAAATAAGTTGCATGAGGTAGAGAAATTTCCAGCCTCTCCCGAGGAGTCCAATTTAGTTGGTTACATCTCAACTGGCAATTTCAATTTAAGGCAAGGCAAACCATCGGGAATTGGTTGTGTTATCGACCAATTTTCGGGCTCTTCCAAGCGCGGTTATTGCCTTATAAGAAATTGCGGAACAGGTGTCTTTCGTTTAGCACAATGGAAACGGTTTTAAAATGTTTATACTCCACATACTTCTCTCTTTTCTTCCTCTAACTCCTCTTGTCCAAAATATTATTGTTTATGAACTTTTTCAATCTTTTCATCAACACCACACAACTTGTGAAGCAAGACCAAAAAATACCCTCAGAGCATCATTTTTGTCCACCTTTTGGCAACGGTAATCACACAAAAACTCGGTAACCCGCCACAAGAATGGAAAGTCTTATTCTCGCAGGGCTAGCCATTTCGACTGTATACGCTGGCTCGAAATGGTCCGCCTCAAAAAAGGTCCGAGAGGAACAGCAAACCATTCACTCGAAAACGGCCCTTCTTTTTCCGATTATGGGTGGTGCTGTGCTTGTCTCTTTATACATTGTCATGAAATATTGGATTAAGGAGTACATAGAAACAATCCTTCAGGTGTATTCTAGCTTTGCAGCAGCTGGCTGCCTGTATGCTATGTTAAATCGCGGTGGAAAACTTATATCTTTCTTTGCGTTTGTCACATCCATTGGTTGTTCTGCGGCATACTTGTATACGAAAAATTGGCTTTTTTCAAACATACTGTCTTTTGCGATGGCAACCACTTCAATTGCATATATGAACATTGACTCGTATGCGACTGGATCCCTGCTGCTTGCGGCTCTGTTTTTCTACGATATTTACTTTGTTTTTGGTACAAAAGTGATGGTTACTGTAGCCAAGGGAGTGAATATTCCAGCTAAATATCTTTTCCCTTCTCTTTCTCAGTCTGATCGTTTTTCCATTCTTGGCCTTGGTGATATAGTACTCCCTGGTTTGATGGTTTCCCTTATGCTTCGCTTTGATTTAGCCAATCTCAAGCGTAAAGAATCTGAAGGAAAGGTCGAGGGCACATCCACACCTCCCTCCGGGCAAAAACTTCCATACTTCAAAGCGTCTATGGTTGGCTATACTCTCGGTTTGCTCTGTGCGAATTCTGCCGTTCGTTACTTTCATGCAGCACAGCCCGCATTGTTGTATTTAAGTCCAGCATGCATAATTGCACCCTTCTTGATTGCAAGCCGCCGTAAGGAAGTCAAACTGTTGCTTTCGTATGAAGATAATGCATCAACAAAGCAGCAAGACAAACAACAGGATACCGAAAAGAATAAATAGGAAGCTACTGTGCTTCTTAACGAATCTCGAATATTCATTTTCTTCAATTGAAGATACATCGTTTTAGATTGTATATATGCATTATTGTCATTTTCTATTTGTACTTTAGATTAGTATAAAAATCATGTTAGATATGAAGTGTCTATACCTTTAGATGAATATGACTAATTCTACGAAACAGCTTGTAGCATCGCGATGACTTTGTGCTTCCACAAAAGTAATAACATAGGAAGTATTGCGACATAGCCTCAGCAGCACAATATTGAGCACTGTCACGTTGCAAATCACACGTGTAAGTTCCTGGGCGTGAAGTGAACAGATAATTGTGCGACGTTATCAATTCGAAAGAAAAATATCTTCCGAGACTGCAGAAGTAAAATTTGGAAAAGCAAATTACAGGCACATCCGAGAGTCTGAAACGATTCCAGCATATGGTGAACGCATATAAAGAGATTCCTATTATTTGAACTAGTAGTAGAACGGGCCATGCATGCCTTCAGGTAAAAAAAATTAAGTAAAATATCGTAAATTGAACAACCACTATGCACCCAGATTTTAAATAAGCAGCCGTGAAAACACAAAGCTGATTGTCAACGATGCCAATAAAGCAGTAGGTCAACAAGCAAGCAGGAAAGGAAATGGAAGGAAAGGTGGAACAACGAAATGAGAAAACAAAATAAGGAACGTCAAACCGAAAAAGAGGTCAAACAGAGAAAGCGTAGTGCAACCAAGCAAACCTTTGCTTATTGATTGCCAGCGCCAACATTCCTGCTCGTCCAGTAGCAGACAGACAGCAAGAACAATTGTAGTGAGTACATGGAGAGAAAGAAGGTGAGGGTGATTGTGAAAAGTGAATCGGAAAACTTGCCGGACAAAGCTGTCTGTGACTTAGATACCATGCACACGCTGATGGCGTCTCATGTTACTGCGCACGTTGAAGGCCTTACCGCAACCATTATAATCGCACACAAAAGGACGCTCACCAGTATGTGAATACGTGTGAATTTTGAGACTTGAGGGTCGTGAAAATCCTTGTAAGCATTCACTGCATTTATACCTTACAGAAGTGGTATTGCCAGCACCGTTCACTGAACCGTGAATAGATTGTGCATCCTTATGCTTAGTGGAATACCTCCGAGCGGCATGGGTTGTAGTATGCTTGCCTGTTGAATTACGGCGTTCCTTCGTAGGCGTTGGTGCAAACGGAACATTGTTCGTGATGATTGCACCAAATTTAGATGGATTAGTGGCGGACATAAAAGGGTTTCTATCACCAGCGGCAGCAGCACTTTCGGGAAATACAGAGGGATCTGGGCCATTCGTAGCTGTTACCGGAGGCATGTTAACGGGAGCGGCGACAAAGCCAGAAGCATCCGGTAAACTTATAGCATTCCTTGGGCTACTACTGACAGGCGTGGAGCTTAAGTCAATGATGCTTGCTGCACGCTTGTTAAAGCCATTGTCGGGCGTGTTAATGGGCTGTGGAGACGTGTGAGACCGTGCACTGGAAACAGCCTCATTGTTTGTGACAGAAGGATGATCCATGTCCATTGGTCTAGCGTTTCCGTCAGCAGGCTGTACGGACGTTTCACGTTCCTGAGGACTGCTAGAATGAGCACAGCCAGGACAAACTATGGGAAACATAGACGTTTGTACTGGTACCAATACCGTTCCCGGTTGAGTAGCGGGCACGCGTCCGCTCAAAGGAGGAATCACCGGTGCTTGTGTGATCATTGTATTCAGACCATTTGCACCAATGATGTCAACGTGCCCACCGGCAGATATAGCAGAGGTAGTGTTGGCGACAACGTAGGCGCATGAGACTGGTGGATATGCACTTAAAAAGGCAGAGGTTGGGAGGGCGCCCTCAGCAGCTGCCAAGTTGGCTGAGTTCAAAGGCGGATTAGCGAATGTAGCTGCCAACAGCGCGGAAATAGGAGGCAGTCGGAGACCCGCAGTGGATGCCAGCATGTTCGTTGAAACATGCGGGTGTCCATGGACAGTTGTACAGCAACACAAACTTGGGCTACCCTGATTGCCCGTGTTAGCTGCTGGGGCGGACGAAGTAATGGAGTTTAATGCCGCACCGGCTGTGTCTGCCGCGGAAACCTCATGGGGTTCAGCAGGCTTAACGTGCGTAATATCCTCCTGCTTCTCATTCTGAGATGGCATAGAGTCACTACCTTGCACAGCGGTAGAGTCAACCTGAGCCAATGTCACTCGTGAATGAACAGTACGGGCTTCCGGTGTTTCTCCGTTTCTAGCTTGTGTGGCGGACATTTGCACACCTTCGTCCGCACCTGCCGATGTTACATTGTTTTCTCCTATGGCTTCCTTACTCTTAGACTCTAGAGAATCTGAATTCGATGACGCCGTCGGTGGGGCAGTCAACGAGTCTGCCTGTACTGCATCAGATATGGAAAAGCTGTCGTGCATATTTCGTTAAATATTCCGTGGAAACAAGTAGTAGGTAACAGAATGCAGACAATAAAAGCGAACTGTCAAAACGTAGAGAAATTAAAGTAGGAAGAGAAGAAAAAAGGTAAGTGGAGAACGATAAATCAATGAGAAACGAGAATAAATGGCAATGAGATTTTCAGAGTGCAAATGTTTCTGAGACAAAAAGCAATTATATCACGTTGAATTTGAGATTTCTAGAGTAGTTGAACGTAAACGAACAATTGCCGAGACGTTTAAGAACGCATTCAAAATAAGAGGTGAAAAACAAGACCAAGCAATATTCTTGTAGAAGATTACAGATAGCTCTTGCGAAACCTCCAATGGAAAAAGAGCAAGGGATTGATGAGCAACAAGTACTTTAATAAGAATTCGCGTTCAGAGAGAGACTAGATGTCTGTATAATCGAATTCTTTTATCAGCAGAGTTGGGTGAGAATTAAACGCAAGAATAAAGCTCCAACTGTTTCCTTTTCGCCTTTCTTTGGTTGGAAATATTGCGTTTCTAAACACTGTATTCCAAATCCAAGGGTTTAACGAAAAAACGGGCCAAACACAACTCTACTAAAGCGAGTCAAAGAATCCTGGGTGTGTTCACAGTGAATTTCTTACAGTCACAAGTGATTGGTGCACACAACACAGGCTGTATACGCTTTGGAAAATTGGTTGGAAGAAAAGAGGATAAAGCAATTAGACGAATCGATCGAATAAAAACAGAAAGTACGCCTAAACCTCAGTACACTTCTAGAAAAAGCAGTAGAATAGTGATCCACACGTCTGGAAGATCGCTACTACGTATGACTGATGATCTGCCTAAACAAAGTCCAAGCAAGGACGTAAAATTCGACAGAAATGCACCGAGATTGCAAAATCTGTTCGCTGGTCACAAACTTTAACGTTTGATTGAGTCAATTCCTAAAGCAGAATACGGAAATTATCAACAAAACACAGGTTTTGTTGCTGTCGTTAAGTCGGTGAGGTGTGGTATGGTGGGGAAAGTGGACGCGTTCGGCCGAGATGTATGAATAAGAAACCATCGAGGGAAGGGTGGGGCAGCAAATCACCGGCTTCGCATCAGTCGTGAGTGTGAGAGTGAGATCTTCAAAAATAGCCTGTTACTTGGTCCACTGATATGACGTCGCATCGTTAAAACGCCACAAGACGTATCTAAGCGAAGTTGTAAGCGAGAGAGAACTCGATGCGCATTAAAAAACGGGAAGAGAAGCGTTCGATGTTGTCAATTCGTATCTCTAATGTGCTGAGTCTTAGTGCTCTTCGTGAACAAAGCCCTCCTACTAGTTTATCTCAAACAATTCCTACTACGAGCCAAATTATGACTTCTTCTTTGTTCTTGCTTTGTGAATATAAGCGAGGATGCACCAAAATAAAAAAGAGATATTATCGCGTAACTTTAAAATTATCAGATTACCTCCTATCTTTTAAATTAAGCATCATGGGATGTAATGCGCCAATCATAGTTTAGAAAAAGTTGCGTCAGGACCGACAATATACGGGGACAAGGCGATCAGATGCCTTTTTGCGGAGAATATGAGTGATCTTCAAACTCCTTGGTGGCGATCATTACGGGGAATTGCAACAGCGTAGATCCTTCTGATCGCTCATCCCTGATCAACCAAGCAGGAGTGTTTGTGATCGTCGTGATCTGCATGTGCATCGTTACGTCATCACGTTATGGGATGGGGAGGAAGGGGGGGCGGTTCAATTGAATGCCGTGAAGACCGACGGTATACAGGGTGTATGTTTGTTTGTGTTGGTCGGCTTCATTGTCGCGGTAAGCGTGTTGTGGGGTCAGGTAAGACGATCAAGATTATCGCCTTTTCGGCGGAATGAGTTGCCAGTAGGATGCTTCTTCGGAGCCCGCAATGAGCTCGGCATCAACAAATTCGGATGCTGTACGAATGCCAACGACGTCATCTGCGGCGCTCATTTTTCTTTTCTGCCGTTTTAGCTCTGATATACACAAAGATGCTTGGTCAGCGTATTTCCAGCGGACAATGGCTTCCACTTCGTCCTTGCGGTAATCAATGTACTGGATGCAGACATTGTCCTGCTTGGCTTGCTTCATCAGATGCACCAGAAATGCTTGGATGTTGGACTTCGTAGTCAAGGGATGAAGGTTGCACAGTCGTGTGAGAAGTCCCTTAGGATAATTGGAATCCAAGGAAGGATTTTCGTGATGGGGCGACGGCTTTGTTGGGTCGGGTGATGGAGACAAATTGGAATTACGAACGAGAGCTCCCTGGTTTCTTCGGGCTTGGCTCTGTTGCAAGCGTTGGGTAGCTCGCTTACTGTCGCCAACGATACAGTCAATGTACATCTCCTCACGCAGTGTCCACTCTGCCCGAGACAAAAGGGTAAAGCCTGAAGGCGCTTGAACATGGTTCAGTTGCTCTTGAGTAACTGACTTCCAGCACTCGACAAAGGCATAACCTTCTGGGGTCGAGATGAGTTTTGTAAAGGGAAGCCATTGCCGCATAACGGGTCGTAGCACACCCAGAAGATGCATCGGTTTTGCTGACATTGTCGCGGGGAATGACTCTACGTAGACAATTCTGTCAAACATACTCGCAGTAGGCCGAGAGGGAAAGGCTTCGTTGCGATGAACATGGAAAGTATTCTCGTCGAACGAAAAGAAACTGCTTTTCGACGCTTTTAGGGCAGCAGAGAGTGTTTTTTGTGTAGGTGCCGGCTTCACTGAAGCCCATTTTTGCTCATCGTCATCAAGAAGTAATGTCGAGATGTGGAAGTTATCTTGGTCAGGATTCTTCATAAACTGGAGCTCAACTGCACTGAGAACTGTATCTTGAAAAACTTGTGACAAGTCATTTTTCTCCGTTTTCTGTGTAGCAGTCTTAATGGTGTGTGTCACGTCCGGTGCTTCTTTCAATGGTTCTTTTCTTGATGGATGTATGGGAATTTCATAAACAACATCAGGTACCGGCGCCTCCTTAGCAGGCGGTGCATTTTCCGCAAACTCTTTTGACGGCAAAGGGCGTTTCCGTTTAATTTGACGTGGAACGAACATACAAGCGCACCAGTTTAGTCAAAGACGTTTGGAGTGTCTGACGCGTCCAGTCTGTTGCTGTTTGTTTACATCGTGCTTAGCAACGTGACGCGTCTTTTTCGCTCACCACCCGTAACAAGGTTCTGGGATGGTTTACCACGTGGCGGAATAGGTGACGCCGTCCATTGCTGCCGCTACGCATTCTGTTCCGCGGTTATATACTCCACCTCCGCGGCAAATCCACGGTGCAAGTCCCAAGTTTGGTAACCTTCAGACTCGCGTGTCTCGACAGCTCGCAACCACGGCGGTTTCTGTATCTCTGTTTTTTTGTTTTACTTCGTAAAAAAACGTGTGGACAGCATGTCTAAACGAAAAGACTTTGAAGAGGACGAATATGTGGATCCGAATGTGTGTTTTTTTCTTATGTAAGACGCGACTTTGCTGACCCTGTGTTAGGATATTCTGCATTTTGTCAATCTTGGTGCTGGAAATGAGGTCGGTAGAAGTTGTCACATAATCCAATTCAAGGGTAAAACGATCATGGTACGTCTTCTCTGTCGGATTTTGTCTTTTCTCTAACGACATGATTTTGTAGTTGGATGCAGGTATTCACCCTGCTTATTCTGGTTTTGCTGCTTTACCTTTCTTTGATGAATTCGATCTTAGCACAGTAGACATCCTTCTGATTACTCAGTATGTGCAAAGTTTTTGCTTAATTCGTTTATGGTCTGCTAACGTCGTTATTACAATAGCTTTCATCTTGACCATGCTGCAGCTCTGCCTTATGTTATGCAAAAGACTAATTTTCGAGGCCGGGTTTTCATGACTCATCCCACAAAGGCTGTCTGTAAATGGCTTCTTTCTGATTACGTTCGTGTCAGTAATGTTGGCGTGGAGGATCAACTGTACGATGAAAAGGATTTAGCTGCTGCCTTTGAGCGCATGGAAGCTGTGGATTATCATTCTACTATCGAGGTTGAGGGTGTCAAGTTTACTCCATTTCATGCCGGTCATGTTCTTGGAGCGTGTATGTATTTTATCGAAATTGCTGGCGTAAAGGTAAGTTTGTGCATTTGTGTGTGGATCTGTAAAACAATGAAGCTCCTAAAAGCGTTCAGAATGCTAATGTTCGGATAGCTTTTATACACAGGTGACTTTTCTCGGGAAGAGGATCGTCATTTAAACATCGCCGAAGTTCCACCTCAGAAACCCAACATTTTAATTTCAGAATCAACATATGGTACTGCTTCACATCAACCGCGATTAGACAAAGAAGCACGTTTGCTGAACCTCGTTCATACCACCGTGCGCAATGGCGGTCGTGTTCTTATGCCAGTTTTTGCTCTAGGCCGTGCTCAGGAATTGCTTCTTATCCTTGATGAGTACTGGCATAGCCATGCGGAACTTCGTTCCGTTCCCATTTACTATGCATCATCACTTGCTCGAAAATGTATGGCTGTATATCAAACCTACATCAATATGATGAATGACAAGATTCGGAAAGCATTTGCTGAGCGAAACCCCTTTATCTTCCGTTACATTAAAAGTCTTCGTAGTATCGACAAATTCGATGATATTGGTCCATCTGTTATTCTTGCCAGTCCTGGTATGTTGCAGAACGGTGTTTCACGTACACTCTTGGAACGGTGGGCGCCAGATGCTAGAAATACACTGCTGTTGACAGGTTACTCTGTTGAGGGAACAATGGCCAAGCTTATTGCAAATGAACCTATCGAAATCACAACTTTGTCTGGACAAAAGATTCCGCGCCGAATGACAGTTGAGGAGCTGTCATTCGCAGCACATGTTGATTACATTCAAAATTCCGAATTCATTGATGCTGTTAACCCGGACCATATTGTACGTTCTACGTTGATGTTGTGATTTGTACTAATCTTCGTACATAGATTCTGGTTCACGGTGAACAAACAAATACGGGACGTCTAAAAAGCGCTTTGATGAGCAAATATCACAACAAAAAAATGGATGTGAAGGTGTACAATCCAAAAAATTGCGTTCCTCTTGAACTTCATTTCAAGGGTGATCGTATTGTTAAGGTACGATTCTCGTATAGTCCATATATACACTTGCTAACACTATTATTAGGCTCTCGGTAACATTGCCATAAAGAAAGCGAAGGAGAACGACATAGTCAGTGGTATTCTTGTTCAGAAGGATTCCATCTTCAAGTTAATGGTCGCTGAAAATCTTCGTGACTTTAGTGATTTAACGACCACGGTTGTGATGCAGAAACAAGTAATTCCCTTTTATGCCAACTTTTCGCTGGCGAGATATCACCTTGAGCAGATGTTCGGCAATATAAAAGAAACGCGCAACAAACAAAACGAGGTGCAGTATGTTGTAATGGATGCTGTTACTATCACACAAACAGCATCTAGTAAGCTCGTTTTGGAATGGGTGGGGAACGTTATGAATGACACAATTGTGGATTCTGTTATTGCTATTTTGCTGGGTGTTGAAAGCAGCCCGGCATCTGTAAAAAGTAAGCATTAAATCCTAATTCAACGGAAAGCGAACTAACCTGTTTTTCTAGTCACAAAACAAAAGTGTACCCATCATCACGACACTGTTGAGGATCGTGTAGAACGACTCATTCTATTTCTTAAAGCACAATTTGGTGATTCTATTACGCGGACTGAGTCTGGTGTTGACATCAAATTTGATAAATTTAGTGCGAGCATCAACTTTTCCAATATGTCTGTTCAATGCGAAAGCGAGGTTTTAAAGACTCGTATTGTGCACGTGTTGTCTCGTGCTGTTAGTACAATTCTTCCTTTTGTTGAACCGGATCAATTAGAGTCTATGGAAAACGAAAGTTCAGCACAGAATGATGACAACCCCAAAAAAATAGAGGATAAATCTAAACAAGGCGTGGCTGAATACAATCCTGCCGAAACGGCTACAGATTCAAGCTCACAGGACGCAGCTTCGACTGTAGACAACGAGGACGAAGCAACCACAAAGTCAGACAACTCGACGAGTAGTAATGAAGACAAAACGGAAACAAAAATGGATGAAGATGACCCTTCGACTTCACCTCCGTCTGAGCAAAATGCATCGTTACAGGACGATGAAAAAGATCAGTCGATGCTGAGCACAGTTAAGACAGAACCTGAACAAGATTGAGAAAATCCATGCATAAAGACGAAGCATGTATGCTTCTGCAAAAATTCTCTGTTGTGTTAATTATGAATGCTAATCTCTTCTTTCCCTTTTTTGTTCCTTTTTTATGCGTTTTCTCTTAATGATATAAAATGAAATACAATACAATTACAAAAAGCAGTGATGGAAATGTATGAAGTTGAGTAACATGAAAGCAAAGGAAATTATTGCACTGCATTGCGAAGCAACATTGTCATTTTATTTGAAATAAGCACGGACCGATAGAAAATTAAAAAATTAGAAAATAAAAAAAACTAAAAAAAAAAAAAAAAAAAAAAAAAAAAAAAAGTTGCTAAAAACCAATTCACTATGGCCGCTCCCGTATTGTTCTTATGAGCATTGTATAAGACGGGTCAGTTTTCTATAAAATCACTAAGATACAAAATATCACAATATATACCATCTAACATATTTATATGTAAATCAAAAGCAAACAAATCACCATTATCTTATCATTCGCACCTGGTTTCCGCTTGCCTCTTCCAGTACCAGGTTCTGCTGTTCTGCATCTCCTCTCGACGGAGTAACTTCTCTACCGTTTGTAGTTTTGAACAAACCAGTTCCAACCACAACAATAATGCCGGAAAACCAGCTGCCTTCTTCTCGCTATGATTTGAACACGTACTGGGGTCGTGTCCGCGTATGTAACTTCTCAATATAACCTGTAGTACCAATTTACTAACTTTTTACTCCTGAACAGCATGCCATGGAAATTACCGATCCTAGGTAGGTTGTCCCATATATGAACACGTGTGTTGAACCCCGAACCATTGCTAACTATATCTTTAAGAACTTTGTTGACAACCAAAAAGGATCTGGCTAACGCCGTGGCTGTTTTGGATGCCTTCAAAACCGGCAAGAACCCAAAGTTGGATGAGAGTGTTTGGCACGCCAAGAAGAGTATGTCGGATGCTACAATGCATAGTAGCGTTTCCTAAACACTGCTACTGTTCCCTGACAGATAGTTTCTGTACATATGATTAACCATATATAGTCGTTGATTCGACTCTTCACCCTGATACCAAGCAACCAGTTTTCCTTCCCTTTCGCATGTCTTGCTTCGTTTTGGTACGCTAACAGAGACTTGGATTGTAGTCTTTGAATATGAGACTTCATTCTGATATCGCCCTACACGTTCTATACTAACCATCTGGCCTAGACAAACTTGGTTGTAACGGCTGGTATGCTCCAGCCTAATTTGGGAACTTTGGGTACGGCATTTTGGCAATGGACAAACCAATCCGTCAATGTTGCCTTTAATTCCGCCAATGCCAACAAATCCTCGCCCTTGAGCTTGTCTCAAACAGCCAAATCATATGCTTATGCTGTGTCGGCTAGTTGTGGTGTGGCCATTGGCTTGAACAAGCTTGTTCCTCGTCTCAAATTCTTGTCCGCCTCGGCAAAAACTGTTTTGGGCCGTTTGACACCATTCGCTGCTGTTGCCTCTGCAGGTGCCCTGAACGTTTTCTTGATGCGTGGTGAAGAGCTTCGTCGGGTATGTTGGAGCACATTGGTTGAAAGAAACCGTTTTAGCACTCGCAATCCTGCGGTGTTCCTTTGTCGATCCAGTTCTAACCTTGTTTAGGGTATCGATGTATACGATGCTGAAGGCAACTCTTTGAGCAAGTCAAAGAAGGCTGCCTTCTATGCCGTCGGCGAGACAGCTCTGTCTCGTGTGTTCAACTGCTCACCTATTATGGTGTTGCCACCTCTGGCCTTGATGGCTTTCCAAAAGCAAAACTGGTTGCGCACGCGTCCCGGTTTGACTATTCCAGTTAACCTGGCACTTATCTTTGCAACCTCTATTGTTGCCCTTCCTCTCGCCATCGGTGTCTTCCCTGCTCGTGAGAGTGTGTCTCCTCACAAGCTCGAGCCCGAGTTCCATCACTTGAAAGACAAGAATGGCAAGCCCTTGGCAAAGATCGAGTTCAACCGTGGTTTATAAGGATGTTCAATAGGTTTACCCGATAGACACATTTGTTTATTAGTGTGCCGTGTGTTTTGTGCATCTGTTGGATGCTCCCAGTATTCAATTTTTATATTGATTTCTATTTGTTTTCTAGAAAAAAATAGACATTTTTTGGCGCATCACACACAGCCAGAGCTGTTTGTAAATTGTTAGATTTCTGGGGAAATTTCAAAATTCTACTCATTGTAACACTGCTGTTAATAAACGCTTGCTTGCCTCTTTGTTTACTACGCGACGCGATTCGCATTTCTGGCGCAAAATGGCGACGACCCCACATATAGCTTATTCTAGCGTTAAGGGTCCACCGACAGGGCTCAGCTGTAATACTGCCCACTACGTAACCCCTTACTCCTCTCCTTTGTATGCATGCCCCACAATTCGTCCACCGGACCCCCACGTAAATAATGGGGGTAAGACGCGTCCAAGTAGCACCCATGCCAGGAACGCCAGCCCTGTCCTTCGCCAACTACACTTAGCGACGAGAAAAAAGAAATGGCCTCTGCGCAGGAAGATTTGATTGATTACGAGGAAGAAGAAGAGTTGACGCAAGTTGACAACACTGCCGGACAAACGGCCGCCGCAGAGAGCACCGAGTCCGCGGAAAAAGCAGACAAAAAAGGTTCGTATGTGGGAATTCACTCTACAGGCTTCCGCGACTTTTTGCTGAAGCCTGAGCTGCTTCGTGCCATCACAGACAGTGGATTTGAGCATCCTTCTGAGGTTCAGCAGGTCTGTATTCCTCAGTCAATTCTTGGTACAGATGTTTTGTGCCAGGCTAAATCTGGTATGGGAAAAACTGCCGTTTTTGTACTTTCTACATTGCAACAAATTGAGCCAGTGGACGGAGAAGTGTCTGTCTTGGTACTCTGTCACACTCGTGAGCTTGCCTTCCAAATTAAAAACGAATATGCCCGTTTCAGCAAATATCTGCCCGACGTTCGCACAGCCGTGTTCTACGGTGGTGTAAACATTAAGCAGGATATGGAGGCCTTCAAGGACAAGTCTACGTCCCCTCACATTGTTGTTGCGACCCCCGGTCGCCTGAACGCCCTTGTGCGTGAAAAGATTTTGCGTGTAAACAACGTAAAGCACTTTGTTCTCGACGAGTGTGACAAACTGCTTGAGGCAGTTGACATGCGTCGTGACATTCAAGAGGTGTTCCGTGCTACTCCTCCCCAAAAGCAAGTGATGATGTTCAGTGCTACCCTTAGCAATGAGATCCGTCCCATTTGCAAAAAGTTCATGCAAAACCCTCTGGAGATTTATGTTGACGACGAAACAAAGTTGACTCTCCACGGTCTCCAACAGCACTATGTGAAGTTGGATGAAAAAGCGAAGAACAGAAAATTGAACGACCTTTTGGACTCACTTGAGTTCAACCAAGTCGTTATTTTTGTCAAGTCTGTTAGCCGTGCTAACGCTTTGGACCGTCTTCTCCGCGAATGCAGTTTCCCCTCTATTTGCATTCACGGTGGTCTGCCTCAAGACGAGCGTATCAAGCGTTACAAGGCCTTCAAGGACTTTGACAAGCGTATCTGCGTGGCCACAGACGTCTTTGGACGTGGTATTGATATCGAACGTGTCAACATTGTCATTAATTATGACATGCCCGATTCCCCCGACTCCTACTTACATCGTGTTGGCCGTGCTGGCCGTTTTGGTACCAAGGGTCTCGCCATCACGTTCGTTACCACTGACGAGGATTCCCAAGTACTCGACAAAATTCAAGAGCGTTTCGAGGTAAACATCACCGAGCTTCCGGACGAGATTGATGTTAGTTCGTACATGAACGCTTAGATGCGGTCATTACTGACTTTTCATGTACGACTTGGCACAAAAGCTTTGTCAGAAGACAAGCACATGGCAGATACAAATGAATGCGTTTTGACGAGTATAATATAAACAACGAAGTGATGGTGTTGATGGTAGAACACATTAGCGGGGTTACTTCACAGTCGACCATTTATGTTTTGTTGTGATCGTTACGTCTCAAACGGCGCGTTAACCTCGCTGTTCTAGTTATCCAATTTATTGATAATTGTACTCAAATCCTAGGCAAATGTCATGGCGGTTTGGTAGTAAGGCGGTTTGACGGAAGGTGGGAGGTAATAGGTAAAAAAAGGAGCTTTAGACTATTAGAGTCCGATTAATGATGTTTTAAAGTCGTATAGTGAGAAACACGAGATGGAAATACGTGCTTCTTCTTTTTAAGAGTTCATACAAAAGAGAAAAAATGACAAGGTAAAGGAGGACTACGCCTCTTCATCAGGTACGTCTTCAATAGTTACACGATGTGAGACACCGGAATGCGACGACGAATGTGAAGAAGTGCGAACAAGTGGTGCTGTATTTCCTGACGCACTGGTTTCCTCCTTTACCGGAACAGCACTGGACGATGGGGCTGCATCACTTGGTTTCTCTATAGGTGTTGGCAACTCACTCGAGGTATCTTCCTGCTTCACAAGGTCCGCAGGTGTGAGAACGGGTTTCGAAGATGCAGGGGTGGGGACAGGTTCCCGTGGGTGAGAAGCGGTGAAGGAGACAGAGGGAGCATCATCGGAAACCGTTTCATTTACGGTTGATGAAGAAGTATCGGAGGGCTCCCTGGCAATTGGTATCTCCTCATCGGTAGGTTTTGACTCTGGTGCTGCGTCCCGAACAGGGATCTCCGTAGCGACATCAGCAGACGATGCTTCTTCGGCAACATGCTGCTCCGTAGTCGGCCTGCTTTCAACTGCCACGAATGGGATGATGGGTACTGCGGTAGGTTCGGTGGGTTCAGCAGCCTCACTATGTACACTTCGAACATCTAAATTGCCTTCACTCGGAGCTGTCGCAGCTGCAATCTCGTTTGCTGCAGCAACAGCAGCAGAGACAGCTGAATCAATGTCATCTGTGGACAGCTGTCCGGCCGGAACATCTTCTGGCTCAATCACTTCCGGCATAGGAGAGCGACCCTGTTGAACCAAGTTCTTCAGAGCAGTCTCAGTGTCATCGTGATTCGTGCCGTTGGAAGTGGAGGTAAAAGCATAGTGTTGTCTCGGGTTGCCTCGCTTATTGAGACGGCGCTGAACGCCAGAAAGATACTCGTTTAACTCTTCGAGCTCGTCGGGAGAGAGCTCGCCAGAACGACGGTCGGCTTGGTGTCTCTGAGACTGCAACTCGCTGACTCGAGGTCCCTCTTCAGGAACAGTGTCATTTTCTACTTCACCTTCATCACTGGACATGTATGTTTCGTCAACAGCAGGGTGATGAATAAACAATTGATCAAATCCTGAAGGGAGGACGAGTTGCATGTCGGGAGAACGCGAGACGAGAATCCGCTGCATTAAGCGACGAGCTTCCCGTTCACGTCTTCTTTCTAATTGACGTTCATCGTCGGCAATATGATGTTGAACAATAGCACGAATGACGTTTTCAAAAGCTTGCTTTTCTTGTAGACGCTGAGCATAGTACTCTTGAAGACGAGCTTCTTGCTCTCGTTCCTGAAGGTATGTTTCAAACTTCCGACGCTGGATTTGCTGCAGAACATCGTTTCTAGCGACCTCAATCCGTCGCCGTTCGCGATCTAATCTTGCCTGTTGTGTTTGGATCCGTTGAAATTGTTGATTGAGTTCTTCTAAAGCCAATTGGAGATTGTAGTCCTCAACAGTCGAGTACTCGTTCCCGTTTACATCTACTAGACGAAAGAGTGTGCTCATTTTGGTGTGTTAAGAACAATTATAAATGCAAAAAAACAAAAAGTAGGAGGTATGGACGTTAAACTTTGTCCAAAAATGACAATGAAGGCGGGCAAGTCACTGCTTGTTTGCTTATGTGTGTGAGAAGATGTGATAAGTAGTTGGTAGAGGAGAACTTCTGTTGCGTGTGAGGACCCTTGTATACCTCACTCACATGACGTAATCACCCACGTAAAGAAGCGAAAAGAAGGATGACGCGGGATTCGTTAGAGTGTAGATCCTTCTACGCGTTTTGCGCGGCTTCAGGAAAGTTTGAGCGAAATCGCTCGAATAAGATGAGCGGAGAGGCGAACCATGGATGAATGGAATGAGTAATTAAAATGCTTATTGGTATGGCCGCTTACTCCCCCTTCTATCATTCTCTGATGGCCCCTTCTCCCGTCACTCTCCTTGCTTCCCTTCCTCGCCTTCCTAAAACTCTTCTTTATATAACTTAAATACCAGTACATAGTAAATTTACATTTTTTATATGAAAAACCAAATTATCCCCCATTTACACAAAATTCAATAAACGATTCTATGTTCGTGAGTACTCTGTCGAATAAACGAAGATCGTTTGTAAATGTCAATAAATAATGGCAGAAAAGTTTGAATACACTTACACCATGAAAGCAGCAGCAGATGTGAATTGGTCTGTGTCTTAAGTTTGTATTGAAGGAGAGAGAAAGAGAAGGGAGAATGTTTACCACACCGCTCATTCGATCGTTTAACAAAGTCTTGCCAAGAGATAAAAGAATCTCATACAACTTAGGTTCCCTGCCAGACTTCGTCGTTCGGTCGTAAATGCAAGATGGGTAGAACTATTGTGAGAATAATAAACTGTGGAAAATCAATCTGTCGATTCCAAAATTGACTTCATGTCGCATATTAAACAAGACCATATTGAAAGCATGACGTGCAGAAATCAAGGCTCTATAAATACTCCATGATATTCAGCGCCGTCTTGCGCCCACAAACTAGCACTGCCCCTCTTTTAGAAATAAAACGAACAGGTACTTTGATGAGATTTCGTGACAAAATGAGTTGGCAAAACAGTTGCATGGCAAACAAGAGCATTGTGCAGCAGACATAAAATAGGGTTCCTCAGTAACACAAATAAAGCACTGCGACATTGTAACAAGATGTGTGCCAATAATTCAAACTTCCGTATCATTGAACGTAAAAATTCAAATGGGTTTAAGTCCTGTAAACAGAATTTGGAGAGGAAGGAAAACAAAAATTGCAGGAAGCATAAGTAATGACAGGCATGGAGTGTGGAATAATTGAGTTCAACAACCTTATGAATGAGGGGACCATCTCCGTTGTTAGGCCATACCTGTATCGTTATTATCCGAAGCTCTAGACAAATATGACAATGCGCCCTGGGAGTGAGAACAAAACACACAAAATAAGAACTGGACGTCACCGTACAGCATTCAAACTCAGTTCGTTTTGTTGGAAATTAGACATCACATCAACACACCGCTTCAGAATTGTAGCACCGCCCCATATGGACAGCGAGCAGTGAGAAATAGCATGTACGCTGAGAGTATGACGCGCAAAGGCAAACAAAAAAATAGAGTAGATGAAAGTGACATTGCCAAAGACAGAGGAAGTGATAAAGAGTGAGAAAAATGTAAGAGTGTATATGTGTGTAATGAGGTTATGTTACTCGTGGAAAAAGATTCCGAGTGAGCAGAGATGGGTGATGAAATGGTGCCGAACAACTCAATGTCTGATGTACGTTAGCCACGGCCTGCAAAAATAAGTGGTTTTATAATTGAGCGACATAAAATAGGTCTATTAATCAATAACACATAAAAAGCAGAATGCCATCTCCGTTAGTAGTCAGGCGAAATGCAGCACCTAGATATCAAATCAAGTGTGTATATGAGAGAGTATGTTCCTCAATTAGCTGGCCTCGAGCCCGTTCTGGATTGAATAAACCGGCGCGTAGCAGCAGGGATTACTGTGATGGCAGCAGTCTCGGATCGAGATTTTGAGATGGCGGGGGAGTTGAGATTCCTTTGAATAATAGTTGTGTAAGCGTCATTGCCTTGAGATGCAAGTTCCAGTGCAGGAACGTCGTGCATGATCTCGCGAGCAGCAGTGCTCACACGAACATTGTGTGGAACGGGTTGCCCCGAAGCGGCTTTCCATTCGTCGAGGAAAAGGAAGATTGTCGATGATTAACATGCGGTCGGGCGGCAGGAGCACCTGCAGGATCAGAGTTTGCGGCAGCCAAACGCGGGCGGGATTGTGCATATGCGGAGCTTTGGTAAGGAATAAAGCTGGCTTCCAAACCCGTTCGGGCATTAAGAGAAAGATGCATTTGATTTTTCTGTTGAGGGGAAACATTCCGACGAGAGCGTTGAGAGGTTAAGGAAAGCATGTCGAAATCTCTAGGATCAATTGCTCCCCTGTCCGCTGTTAAATCGGTGGCAGAAGGCGATGCAAAATTGTTGGGATTATGGCGAGCATAAGGGGCACCGGAGGATGGATGACGACGAGGCATAGCTTGCAACGACACGACACTTGGATTCGAACGAGGCAATCCATAGCCGTGTTCATTGGCGGGGGCACGAGTGACGTTGCCAAGAAGGACAGTAACAGTCTCCAAGTGGGGCAGATCTATGTCAGCTCCGTGAGCCACATCCAGACAATAATGAAGGTAATGAAGAATTTCTATAGGCTTGCCCGTGCTAAATTCCATATATGTAGGATTGGGATGAGGACTCATTATGATAGACTTTTGCTGCTTCTGATAGTTTGCCTCATCAACACCGAAATTTAAAACGTTTGCAATCTGTACAAGCTCCTCCTTCATACAGTGATTTAAAGCTTTCATCTCAGGCTTCGAATCAATAAACGAGAGACGGGGGTTGTGACAGAGTACGGACAAGGGAAACATGGTGAGAGGTGCCAGCATCTCATTGAATTCTTGCTCTGCAAGCGACTTGTACACGTCAACCTCAGCACCACCCGAACGTAACAGCTCAGCAAAGTCGTTCATGCCTTCAGACTCATGCTCTGTCTCCTCAGCAGCGCCAAGAAGCAAATGACAGTGGTCACCGTGCCAAAACTCGTTGGCACCACGTTGCACAATTGTTGTCTTGGGCAGTGTAACGAGCACCTCGTTCTCAGGGAAGCTTTGTTGTAAAAACTGTCCCACCCCAAGAGAACCAAATGCATTGAAAATCACACAAGTTCTATCAGGAGTAACGACAGGTTTCAGCATATCCGACAAGTCATATACGTCCGGATTATAACGCAAGCAAACGAAAACATAGTCAAAAACCTTCTCGTTCGCTGGGATGCTACTCAACGAACGAACCGTAAGGTCTGGATTGTGTTTATGAGTACCAAACTCTTTGGAACTGTAGTTACACGTTAGTAATGACATAAACCAAGGACACTATCACACAACATACTGAAACGTAAATGTGTCTTGACCATTTTCAGATGCATTAGGCCAGACAAGAGTGGTACGGACGTTGTACTCACATTCCTTCAACCGCCAAGCCAAAAGAGCGGCTATTCCAGTGCCTCCAACTATTCAAGGTTAGTATTTCCATTCCGTTTACAAGAACAATATATACCAAGAAGAACTTTCAGTGTCGAATCGTCCTCAGACATTTTTAATCAAAAGAAGAAAACGAGGAACGGAGCAAAATCAGATTAATGTTTGTTGCAGACGATATGATTTTTGTTTTGAGGAGCCAAGTCTACTACAAGAAGGAGAAATGCGTCCAGAAGCTAGCTAACTAGCTGAAAATGAGCTCAGAGAGTCAAGTGTACTCGTAAAAGAAAGACCGACGTCGGTTAGAGCCTCTGAATACTCTAATACAAGATCAACAGAGGTCCAAAGTACGAATACTGGCTGTACCTTCCGTGAACTCTCTCCAATTTTTCTTTAATGAATAAATCAAACCGAGAACTGTGCAAGGTCCAAGACGATGGGCTTGTCAACCAGTTTCTTTAAGGAACAACCGATTCTAGGGTAACGGGGAAGGCAAGGTGGAGGAGGCTCGACAACATGCGATGTCGTTCGAGCCAGGACGCTGCCGAGCGAGGTGTAGTATATGAACAGTCCCTTTCACGTGCAATTAAACAGCGGCGGGGTAGTTGCTGTAGTCCCGGGGCTTAACGCCGATAGGATCGGCAAGGATCGGCAACATGTTTGCGGGGAAGCTTAAACTGCATTAAACTACGCGAAGGAAAATGGACGTCCAGACTGCACGTACTAATGCCAGGGATGAGTCAGACAGGAAAAGATGGTTGGTCAAGCAAATAACTACTTAATGAAATAGCGATAAAAAAGATACCGGGCATTCTGCAGCGCCGGAAGGCCGTTCGTACCGACTTTGCTATAACGTCACGAACAAGCCATTCCGAAGGCGCAGGGGTCTTCATCCGTAAAGACGTAAAGTCTTGAGAACGAGCGTTGTTTGGATGCGACAAAAAAGAGCGACGGATACGTGCGACGAAGAACTAAAGATCTCATATGTAAACGAAGGAAAGCGTAGAGCACTAGGCTCAGTAAGGTAGATCTAAAAAAGATGTGTGTTGGTTGTTGCAGTACAATAAAAAGTTATAGTATCCACTCAATTCTTCTTCATTTTCAATTCCGCAGCATAAAGTCCACGGTCAACAAGAGTAGTTAATGTAATAAAACCACCCAAGAAAGAGAGGACATTGCTTATGAAACCGCCAAACGTGTTACCACGAATCTGTCTTTGAATGACCAGCATTGGACTGATATCGATGTTGAAGAACACGCCCGGAATACCACCGCGGCGGTTCAAATGAGATGGATTGTCATTTTCACGGCCACCAGTAACTGATCGCTCATGCTGTGTGACAGAAAACTCGTTGGTATTGATAGTAGGATCGGCAGGGTCGAGAGGGACAAACTTATGAGCAACACACTTAATGAAGTAAGCGTAATTGTGCAGAGCATCATCAGTATTTTTAAAGTGTCCGTCTAATGGGTCTGTATGCTCGGCCGATGGTTTAATTGGAGGGCCGAAGCTAAGTTGGTGAATCATATGGGTCATGTCGTGAGCCTCTTGTTCTTCTTCGTATCCTCGCAGGTCGTGCAAGTGTCCTTGCTGCGTTTGAAATGAGCGACCAGGAGCAAAGTGGAAATTTCCCGCAACACGGTTCACAAACAAATGACCAGCAATGTTGCAACCCTCTCCCTTCTGGCTTGCGTGTTCAGCCTTGTAATTTTCATCACGACATTGTTGGAAGGCATCGTAGTCGCCAATGGCCCACTGTTTACGAGCATAGGCATCGCGAACAGCTTTACAATTGTTACAGCAGCCTGGTGTCTCAGGAGGAGCAGCGTCGCCAGCGCCATAACAATCACCACAAGTGACCTCACCATCCTTGTCCATAGCAGATTCATCGGTAGCACTTCCAATATCAGAATCAATGACCGCGATGATGTTTCCATACTTATCCAGTCGGGTCTTGGTAACGGAGTGTTGAACATCCTGCTGAAAGTCTCCGCTGATATCCATTACGTCGACTCCCATGTAATGACAGGGAACATGGGGAAAAGTAATGTTGAAGTTAATCTCCATGCGTTCGTTTCTTGAAGGATCAACAACAATCTCGGGTTGCACAACAATCCGTTGATAATTTTTCCATTCTAAAAACACGATGACAAAAACGATTACTGCAGAAATGATCGAAATTAAACCACCTCCAGCAGTTTTGATCTTGGCATCCTCAACTGTTTTCGTAAAAGCATCAAAGCGACGCAATTGTGCCCGAAAAAGCATGTTTAAAGGAGTGTTTCAAAGAAATACCGTACTATTCGACTTAACTCGTTTGTTTTTGTGTATGACTTCAATACTTCAAATTGCAGAATGAGAAAAAGAAAGAGCGACAAAAGCTGGATATTTAACAGTAAAATCTCAGTTCTCCAACATTCGTTTTCTGTATATTTGCACGGCAATACTGTTTCCGTGCGTCTGGTTGCAACGTGCTGATGGTGACCTGTTCACGTAGACACACTTACACTCCAGGTGGGGGAACGGGGGGGGGACTCAAGAAGGCAGTAAAAAGAATGCTAACTGCTGTCTGCTGCTCTGATGTTCATCCAGAACAATAACACGCTGTATTTTCTTATCACAACATACTGAACGTTAACGAAAAACGGTGAACGTATCATCGAGCGGGTTAGTACAGAAACGGCCCTTCAGTTGACGTCATTATCCAGTCGACGCGCCGAAAATGGGATAGGAAAAAAGGAAATAGTAGAACAGCACAATTGCGCTAGGCAGCATATAGTCCATGTGCAAACATTCAAATACGCGCCATTCAACATACTTCAATCTACTACGGCTAATTGTAACTTTAGTTTTTACCGCAAATCGAAACACAATATACTATTTAAGAGGGACCTTGTTCCTGTTTTCTTTTCCTCTACCGACAACAATGGATGCAATCGGGTGCGATTGTGTCCTCTCTTCTGTTCATCTTCAAAACGTTTCCATTGGAAGATGGGACATCAATCACTAATAGCATGCGACATCTGTTTGTTCCACGAACAGATTTTGGAGTGAGACAGAAGATATGCAACTCGCGGCAGTTGCGTTTGTTGCGGTGGTAAAGGGAACAGAGCGAATCATTGCTGTAGGTCCCATTAGGTACTGCACGTGTTACGGTTCATCTTGCGTATTATTTGCACTTATTCGTAGATGGCGTTTCGTAGACACGGATGTGCAACGTTCCTCCAAGGAGTGATGGTGTATTCATCGTTAAAATAGCGGATCGGCAAGCGGGAACTGAGTTTCAATTCAGTTTGCCACGTGGAAGGACAAACGCAACATGACGAAGAAGCCGGCATCCCGTGAGAGCAAGTCAAGACTTCGTTTAGGCAACCCTTCTTTTGCAAGTGGGGAAAAGCTGGCGACTAGCCCTTTTAGGACACTAGACGAACTTCATATTTACGAAGTGGCTTCAATTGCCCTTCTTTTACTTGGCTAAGGTTCTTCTCATTCTGGCAAACCTGATTTGCCCCTTGCCGCGGTGCGAAAAAATGATGCTAACAGCCACTTACATTGAGTGTGATTGGTCGAAACAAGAACCTAGTTCGCTTTTTTTGTCATCGCAGTTCCATTAAGCGAGCCATTCGCAGAGTGTGTAACAAGCGACCGCTTGAAAATGCCCACGATGCGAATACTTGCTGAATATGCGGAGAGAAAGCATGCCCGTGCTAAGTACGCTTATCGTCACAACGTGGAATGACGGTATCACGAATGTGCAATTGATATTTGCCATAGTGTAGGACGCGGAGTCAGAACAGATATGTCGGTTTAGTGCCGCTACCAGTCCTATGGAGTAATTGCTGTGGCATTGACGGGATGATACAGAACAATTCGCAGTTCCCCGATACCTGTCACGCGCAAATACGTCTTACAATATTTGTGTCTCTTTCTTTTAGAACTAAATTGGCGTTTTAAAAGCGCAGTACAGTTTTATGCCACGGTATTGGTATGAAAATGCTCGTAAACAAACCTTGGTTTGTTACGGCTACACATTTAGCGAGTTTTTATCGCCGATTACCATCGTTGCGTGAGATCGTCCGAAATAACCCACCACCAGGGGAGTCACACTTTGCGTAATCACAAGCCAACATCTACGGCATCTCTGTCCTATATACTGTGCACCACCAACCAAACTTCTTACAAGTGCCAAACTCATACAGCTCGAAGGGAGTCTCTTTTTTTTCGAAAGAGCTTATACGTAGTGGGAAGATAAAATTACTGCTGGGTCGCTACGCCGTTTTGGGTATCTGTTTTACGGAATTTTACTATTTAAAGGGAAAATTTCGCTACTGTTAAAAAGCAACCGAATCTCTGTCTGTCTCTAACACTATCACAAAATGTCTGCTTTTCGCTCGAGGTTTGCCTACTTTTGGAATCATCCTGCTGGTCCTAAGACTGTCCACTTTTGGGCCCCTGCTATGAAGTGGACTTTGGTTCTTTCGGGTATTGGTGATTATGCTCGTCCTCCCGAGTATTTGTCTGCTCGTCAATATGGTGCCCTTAGCATTACTGGTGCTATTTGGACCCGGTGGTCTTTGGTCGTTCGGCCCAAGAACTACTTTAACGCCACGGTGAACTTCTTCCTGGCTGTTGTTGGAGGTGTCCAACTGAGCCGTATTTACCATTACAACCAGAAGCAAAAGCGCCTGAAGACGATGCCCATCACCCCCGAGTTGGTGGAAGCCGCACCTAGTAATCAGGCGTGAGATCGGCCTCAATCGTTGTTGCATGTTTTCTCGTTTTCGACGTGTTAATGTGCGCCCGTAGTGACGAATTTTTGGTCAGCTGGACGTTTCGTGCTTCCAGGGCTGGTCTCGTTCCATCACGTTTAAGCTGGCTTCTCGGGCGCTTAAGCCCTATGACCGTGGTTACTCTGTTACAGCTTGTTATTAAAGCGATCAAAAAAGGAAAAAAAACACTTAATTTCTCATTCATGGCGCCCGCAAAAACCTCGTTTCACCATATTTTCATTATCTTTAAGCAACAATGCTCGCACGCTCAATGTCTTTGACATCATCGGCCTGACTGGTTATTTGTACTAGTACCGATTGTTTTTGAAAATTGAGAGAAGATAGCTCAAAGTTATTTGAAGTCTTTCGTCCTGGATCACGCATGGTTTTCTTCTTCATCGCAAGTTCAGCCGTTTTTCCTCCAAAGTTTGCCGCTAATGTCAGTCATTGGTCTGCTCTTTGAACAATGATGTTTTCCCCTCCAGTTTTCATTTAATTGGGTGTATGGGCGCGTTGCTTCTGTTGATATGAGCACTCTTCATGTTGAGCAATTGTATGTTGCTTTACTGTTGGATACCCAATTACGTTGTTGGCTGTAGTAACAGTCTGGCTGCGTGTGCTCATCTCTCCTGTAAAGAGGTTGTTCCCCTATCCCCCTTCCCTACGCTCTTTTCATGGCATACGGTGCTTCGATTAACTGAGGTACAACAGCGTCCTGTAGTCAATTGAGTTCTTCATGTGTCTAACTTGCAGACATCAGAACAAAATTCTTCGATAGTGCGGTGATTGCTGTTCAATATTTTGGTCCAATTAGAAAAGATTGTTAAGTTGTATTATTAAATGAGTAAACTTGACACCCATGAACTACTACTACTGTAAGACGAGGGGAGAGCAAGGAAAGGGTGCATCGTATCTGCTTGTATGGTGGACACTACGCGATGTAAAAACAGATGTAAAACTGAGGGGGGACAATAAGCTGCATGTACTATTTCAAAAGAAGGCAGAAGAGTAATAAACGGAACACAATGCAAAGAGAGCCAATTCTCCTTGCATTAAATTGCACATGACTCGTTGTGAGGTATTTGCGTTATCGTAAGGTAGAAGTTTAATAGGTTTGTTCATGAATGTAAAAGACGAAAGAAGGTTGGAACGCAAATGTTAATCCTGAAAAGCAGATTCGAATGAAGAAAAAAAAATGAAACAAATTGTCAGAAACAGAAAAGCTCCGGCGATGGGTGAAAAGAAACACACGGATACAGAATGAAAGAGCGTGCATGCGTTCAACGTAGCACGAGAAGTGTTTAAGCAATAATGCATTGTTCATGATTCTTATCTTTCCTTTTATCATTGACAGGTGCCTTTCTGTTTGAAGAAACTTTGTTCAATGTCTTATTACCGGCATTCGATGTGGTTGCATTTTTTTGAGCAAGCGCCTGTTCAGAAAGACGAGCCTTAGCTTTCTTGAAGCCTTGATTTGCAGCCCGAAGATACCAAGAGTGGGCTGCAGCAGGGTCAGCAGGAACGCCAATACCTTTCTCCATCATATAACCGACAGCAAACTGAGCTTTAGCCAAACCCTTTGTAGCGGCACGATGAGCCCAAAGCATCGCCTCCTGCTCACTCTTGGGCAACAAACCATCGGCACCAGTAAGGTACCAGCCAGATAAACCGAGTTCAGCTTCAGGATAATCATTTTCGGCTGCTTTCGTGTACCAGAAGATACTTCTTCTTGGCTCAGGCATAATTCCCAAATAGCCGTGCTCAAAGCATTCTCCAAGCTTATACTGTGCAGGCGGATATCCGTAAATTGCCGATTGTTTATAAAGCTCAAAAATCATTTTTGGAGTGGCCGAGGTTTCGTACTTTTGAGGTTGTTCATAGATTTGTGCCAAATCATACATGGCCCGAGCAGCATCCTGGCCCTTAGGCTTGCATGCGCGTTGAAGCCATTGAATACCCAACGCGGGATTCTTTGGTTCCCCAAACAATCCGTGCAAATGAATGAGTCCAATCTTGTACATAGCTTCCACAACTGCATAATCAGCAGCATGTTTGTACATAGCTACACATTTTTGATAGTCTTGTTTTACACCTGTACCAGTTTGCAGGCAAACAGCGACACGATAAATACTCTGAGGGTGACCTCTCTTTGCGGCAAGATTATACAAATCAAAAGCCCGGACAGGATCTCTTCGGAAGCCCAAAGTACCACTACTGTTAAACTGACCGATGAGGAAAAGTGCCTCGGGCACAATGTCCTTAGTTTTACTGGGAAAAGCGTTACGCTTCAGCAACTCGATGGCTCGAGCAGTATAACTCTGCTTTCGCATAGTGATGACAGTAGGGTCAAGATCCGAAGGACTAGCAGCATTTTCCAAAGCCTCCAAGGCCTGCAAGTAGTACTTTGCAAGTTGCACTTCAGATTGGGGTGTTGTTCCTTCCATGAACATCTTCTCTTCATAGTGCATAACCTGCTCGTGTGTAACAGTTTCAGGTTCGGGAACAATCACTTTATCATCTGGGTGACAAAGAATGGCATCTGAGCTAGTAGATGAGACCCGACTCTTTCCGTTCAACGAGCTAGGGTTCGAGGTGTGACTGATAAGCGAAGACGTCGAAGGTTGAGATGGAATGGAAGTTCGACTGGCAATTGAAGGCGGAGACACAATTTTCGCCGGCTGTGCTTGTGCCTTTACTGTAGCAGGCAGTGGGGGTACAGGAGGAATCGTTGAGTTATTAGCACCATTGGGATGCACCTTGCGCTTTGAGACAGGGTAACGTGGGGTAGGTGAATGGATCTCTGGCGACGAATGAGCAGCCGGTTGAGCATTTGCCTCATGCGGCGGTAAACGCTGGTGCTGATTGCGAGGAAGTTGTCCACGTTCTGCCGGTGCTCTGTGAGAGTTCGGATGAGGAGCACCATTTGATGAATGTTGCGCAGAACGGGGCGCGGGCCGTTCTGCAACATGGAATGGTGATTCTGCTGCAACCGGGGCAGGCATGGGTGCAGGAGCAGCAGCGGCAGCCAAAGCAGCGTTTCGTACAACCCGTGTGCGAGGCGTAGGAGAGCGAGGAAGGTTACGCAGTCCTCCACGAGGACGGCCATTGGCACCTGAAGCAGGTACAGGAGTAGGTGCTGCGTGTGCAGGAGTTTGTCGACGAGTGCCACGCTCTTCAAAAACATTTTGGTTTGCATGTGAACCGGTAGGTGCTCCGAAGGGTGCTTCCTGCGGAACTGGGGGTCCACGCGGACGCTGATTTATCGCAGCAGGAGCGTTTGTCGAGTTACGAAGCACGGAGGGCTCCGTTTCACTCGATGTACTGGACCATGTAGCTTCGCCATCAACTTCGTGTAGCACCTCAGGATAACCAGTCTCCGGTACACTAGGAAGAATGTCACTTTCATCACCACTAGTGTCTTCCTCACTTGATTCAGGAATATTCGGCTCTGGAACAACGTCTTTCGAACTGTAGTAGTCCAAAAAATCGTCGAAACCACCGTACGGCACATAACTGATACGCTTTTGAGCGTGACGAATCGTACGAGCTCGTGGAATGTTCAGTTTCCGTCCTTTCGAACCATCCTCCACGTTCGCATGGTCCTTCATGGGAACTTGAGAGGGAGCTTTTCGTTCCATGTGGGTAGAATCTGAAGGAGCAGCACTATAACTATTCGATACGGGAACAACAGGCTCGGGAGCGAGCTGTGACGAGACGACATGGTGTCGGTGTTGTTCTACTGGTCTCTTGGGCCCTGTTGAGTGAACATTTTCGTTTAAGTTTCCCGTAGAAGCTGGAGGCAGGGTAGGATAACGCGAAGTTGGTCGAAACCTTAATGGTACTTTTTCCGACATGTCGCGTAAACAAGGAGCGAAGAGACTTCCAAACGCGCCAAATCAACTTTTCAGAAGATTGGATTCGTAGGAAAATGAAAGGAAATTGAGCAGATACCGCGAATGAGTTCTCACAGCTGGTGAGGGTAAACGTGGGCACAAGAAGGGGTCATGAGTGGTAGCGACACATAGCGAACGTTAACGAGACGCGGAGAACTTTGAGGTTTAGAACAGATAATAACAGAAAACAGAAGCTGTCAGTTGTCATTTTGTTCGTAGAAAACGTCGATATTGTTGAGCGGCGATATCTGAATAGTAGTCGGTTTCGTTAAGCTTGTCGGCAATTAGTAGTAGATGCCAAGAAGCGAACTCCAAGTGTATTCGTTAGCACAAGCTTTCCGTAAAGCCTCATAGGCTTCTGTATTCGCAAATGATATTCCCGTTTTGGGATCAATGTATCTCGCGCGTAGTCCGGTGAACACACATGTATTCATGCTCGGATCGGGAACAGTGGGTAATTGTGATTGCCAAGGTTCAATAAGAGGATAAGTGTCGGGAGCGAGGTAAAGCGATTGTTCGTGCGCGGTTTTCGGGTCGTTTCTATCTTGGAATTGGCGACTTACAAACCGTAGAATGGGTCCGTGAAGAGCCCGGGAACGTGTTGCATTTCTGCGCATACGAAGGCGGCGTTCTTCTTCACGAAGAACGTAGTGCCGAAGAGAAGATATGTTTGCGGCCTCGGTTCGAGAGGCTTCCTCAAGTCTCTGTTGCTGAGTCATAGCTGAGTGTTTTGCTCGTGGACCAGCGTGCTGTCCCATTCCTTGACGGCGCCGATACCGATCTCGTTGAAGTTTCTCTTCAACAGACTGTTTGAAAGACACAGTGTGGGTTCGTGTACTTGATCGTATTGCTGCCTCTGGCTCGTAAATCTTTCGTGCTCTCTTTACACTGGCTTTTTCTGATGGCTTGGTGCGTTTTGTGAGCAGTTTCTTAAGTGTCCGTTCTGTTTTGTTTTGTGTTAATCTTGCAGAACGCCGTTTTTCTAACTTTTCCTGTCGGCTAATTTCCTTTTCTGCTTCTTCATTAATGGCATTTTCGTCGTCTGTCTCGCCTTCTGAACTAGTATCGGAAATGGCAACATCTTCGACGTCTTCTTCAACATAATCTAAATCACCGTCGTCTTTTTCAGTTGTTTCTTCAATCCCTTCCGCCTGTAGTCGTACATGCTCCTGTTCCAGCAGTTCCCGGAGCCGATTTCCTGCGTTTTGACGACGACTCCTTCCGTTCAACATCTTCGATCAAAATTAACAAATCCGTAACCAATTGCACGGAAAATAACAATACAATTCAAAAAAATGCGCTTTGGTATACTTTTTGTCGTTTTTGACCCGTTTTAGGCGCTCAATGGGTTATTAGACAAGAGGTACAGTGATGGAGGAAAGTACGCGAAACAAATATAATTTGAGCAACTAAGTCCAAGCGTTCGGATAGAAACAGATTCACCTGTGACTATGAACTAACACTGTCAGGTTGTTCGGGTGACGGATGCGCACATCTTTGGAAATATAATTCATGTTTATTTTGCCTCTATATTTATAAATTTTATATACAGTTTTCCATAGATTTCTTAGTTAAAAGAATGACAAAACCAGAAAAAAAGCAAACTTGTTTCTGTCATTCTCATCTTAGACCTTGACTCTTGCTCGTATGGGTTGAACTAAAGTGATATTATCAGGTCGTATACCTCTGTGGCATAGCAAATTATTAAAACAAGATTAGCAAAGATTAATAGGTTTCTTTTTTTTTCTTTTTTTTGTTATTTTGACACATTCAAACTTATTTCTGTGAAATGGAGATCGTATAGTCTTGGGTATTCTCGCTGTTACAACTGTCCGGCAGAGCATCAAGTTCTGAGAACCTTTATACAACTTCCCGTTATACGCTTCGAGTCCGCTTCTTATTATCCTTCACTTCATAGTTTCCAAAGTCTAGCCAGTCGACGCAACAAAGACTTATTCACCAATACAAGATATACAAGATTCCCTAGAATTTCTTGAAGACACTTCTTAAGATTATTTCATAACAACACAATTCATAAAAACGTTTTTTTTTTCTTTTAAATAAAGAGGAATAACGAGTACAAATGTCTTCTTACAGAATAGTTCCGAATGTGTTTTCTGTGTGAGCCCCTGTAGTAGAACTTGTAGGTGAGAGATTCTTTTGATGCTTGAAGGTAAAGCCAATGAATGCATTTCGTTTTGGACGAGAAAGGGTATTGGACATGCGAGCAATAGCAGCTTGTTTCTCGTGGACTTCCTTGTACTTCGTCATATCGTTTTCGTTGGTGAAATCATCGAAGTATCCAGCATCCATTTCTGAATTGAGATCAGGAATAAAGGGAGGTCGATACACGGTGCGCACATTCTCCCAATCGACATTACCGAAGTAAGGATGAGCCTTAACTTGCTTAATGTTGCGAATGCGAGAGGATGCATCGGTAATGCAAGTGCACACGAAATCCCATGCGTCGTCCTCCCAGTTAAATTCAAGGTCACGGGGGTCAGTGTAGTGTGGACGTTGGAAACATTTTTCCCAATTCTTCAAATTCGACCAAGTCTCATTAACATTGGATCCCGAAAATGGAGGGAAACCAGAAAGACATTCATAGAGTATACAACCCAAAGACCAATAATCAACAGTGTAATTATAGTTTTCACCACGTAACACCTCGGGTGCCATATAGTCAGGAGAGCCGACAACCGAGTGAGCATACACAGGATCTTGTGCCAGAAGTGTGCGAAACACTTGACGTCTTTCATGCATTGTACGTTCAGGCACAGCGATGTGCTTGACCTCTTGCAGCTTGACCTTCATACTTTCAATTTTACGCTTGCTCAAGAAACCCGAACTCAAACCAAAATCGGTAAGCTTGATGTGACCAGTAGCATCAACTAAAAAGTTCTCTGGTTTCAAATCACGATGAATGTAACCTAATTGGTGCAAGGCATCAACAGCCAAAAACATCTCTGTAGCATAGAACTTGGCATGATGGTCTCGTAACACACCACTGTTGCTGAGAAGCGTTCGGAAATCACCTCCGGGAACAAACTCCATAGCAAGGTAAATATTGTCAGGATCTTGAAAAGCATACAACAGCTTTACAAGCCAGGGCGAGTTGGCATTGGTGAGAATATCACGTTCAGTCAAAACATGACGAACCTCGTCAGTTTTTTGCAGGACGGCTTTACTCATGACTTTAAGAGCAACGATCTCCTTCGTATCGTTCTTTCGGGCCAACCAAACCGAACCATAACCACCTTGACCAACCTGTGTAATGGTTTGGAAGTCACCGTGACACACACGAACCCGACGTTTACGCAAATAAGCACGTTCTCGTCCACGATACCGCAACTCCAAGTCCTTCCACATATCGGAAGGCTCCTTTTTAAGTTGCTTCTGAAACATAGCGTAGCGTTGCTTCCGGTTATGTAAATAATGCAGCTGATCAAAGTAATGATCCAGAAAGAACATCTGACAAATAATTGCCATTCTGCGTACCTTGGCAGAAGACATTTTCTCCACTTCCTGAAGACTTAAAGCTGGAAAGGCTTCAGGCCGCGTAGGAGAAGCAGGTACAGAGCCGAAGGGACTTGAGATATTGTGTTTCGGAATTCCACCAATATGACTTTTATAATGAGTACCCATGAACGCGGGCTTTCCATTGCTGCTACCCAAATTCATTTGTGAGAGCTTGTGAAGAAGCGTTTTCGGCTTCTCTAAAAGTGAAGCTGTAGCATTTTCCTTCCGGGGCGACTTTGAATGTGACAATTGTAGATGGTCAAAACCGTCTGCCAAGTCACTGTAGTCTGAATATGTATTTAATTTTGAGTTCTGCATTATAGTCAAGGACGAAAGCAAAAGTCCTCGTTGATAGCGAATACAAGTAGTGACGGAAGTAGTCCCAGAACGGAATTCCCTAAAATGTACACAAAACAGTTATATACTTTTCCCAAAAGCTCAGAAACGACCACTACACGCGTTTCTTTCGTCAAATTATCAAGAAAATTCAGCAAAAGTGTTCAATTTTGTTTGACCAAAACTGGGTTGGTTGTTTGTTTACGGCAGGTTTGTTTACATACCAGCAAAACAAAAAAGCTAGCAACGCGGCGCAAGCACTATAGAAGAGATGGGATAACAATTAGTTAGTTGTGTAATAAGAACACGTAGAAGAGGAATTGTATGGGATTTAGGGCTAGATTTTCGTTTCAAAGAGAAATGAGACTCGGTAATTTGCACAAGGAGAAGAAAGAGAGAATTGAAACGGGACGGTATCAGCGAAAGCAGCGGTATGAAAAATGAACAAAGCAAACTTAAATGAAATAGGAATACTCAATTCCGTGTCTTGTTGCTCCTTATCAATACATTGCTACTGAATTTTCTACTGTCACCTCTAGCACGATCATCAATTGTTACAGAAGCTGAAACTCCCTTGCCACGTCCACCCAAGCATCTTCCGATATTAATATTTTTGAGTATCTGGGAACGTCTATTCATACCACAGACACCAATATTTTGCAACTTAAATTCTCGGTCACAATATTTTTCTCTTTAAGCGAATGAATGAAAAAACCGCAATATTACAACCAGTCCTTGCTAGAACCACCGACTGGAGTCCAAGAGATGCTTGTTCGTATTGATTAATCATTAGACTAGTACACGCGATGTAATGAATGCATGCTTAGACGAGTTTTTCCTTGACAAAGAAACCTAAGCGAGGTTAGTACGACGAAAGAGGCAGGGTGAAATAACGCATTAAAAAGGACACGAATATGCTTTTGACGCGCTGTATGATTGGACTTACTCTGGAGATGAGACAATTGCCAAATACACGTAATGACAAGAACGACAATTTGGATGATCGTCCACTTAACCGCTCTAGAGTTTGCCTTCTCACTTGTGTTACGGAAAACAGCCTCACGTGCACGTTGCTGAACTTGCTCTTGACGAATTTCCTTCAGACGCTCATTCAATGCCTCAATACGCTGAGTCAAATCTGTCTCGAAGTTAGCAAAACTGTTATCACAAAGACCAGACAAATGAAAATAAACGAAACCATTTACGGTAACGTCGACACCAGTCTGTATCACAAACCTTGTTCTTCGTCTTCAGAGGAAGCGATTAACTTTGCAGTCGAAGCCGAGTCAAGGTCCACATGGATGCGAATTTTACGATTCGAGAACCAACCGCTACTAACAGGAGCAAAGCAGATCTTGTGGTTACCGGCACCATTTGTAGTGAAACTGAATTTCGAATCGGAACTCAATTTACGGTCGTAGGAAATGTGATTATTTTCAAATTCCTCCTGCAAACAAAAATTGTTAATAAAATCGCAAAACAGAAGCAACAGTCATTCTCTTCATGCACATACCTCTACATAAGCGCGGACCTTTTGGTCAGAACTAACGGCCCAAGCATTCAAATCGTCTTTCCAAATTTCTGCCTTAATTTTACCGCTCACAACGAGATTACGGGGGAGATCCTTAATAAAACATTGAGGTTTCGTTCCATCTGCGTGATAATACACAGCAAATGCCGGTGAAAACAGCAGGAAGCAGAGAAAACCCAGCAGCTGGAACTTCATGGTGCCGTAGGTAAAGGAGTAGCGTTGGAGGTCGGTGCAGCTAGTTGGTGGTGGTAGTAGTTCTAGTTTATGGTGTGGGTGGTAAGCAGAGAGACGGTGCACCTAGCGGTAACAGCTGTGTAGTAGTAGTAGTAGTAGTAATAATTAATAGCGTTAAGTAATAGAAGCTATTAAGTAGAAATGAGCCATTGGGAAACGAATTCTCTGTTATACGCGTGATAAACAAAATTTTTCGGCCTGCCGACGCCTCCTACGAATTAACAATATTATTAAATTTACTCGAACATTTACTGCCTATTGCTCCCAAAATTCAGTTAATTCAATTAATTCCAAATTTGACTCGAAAAAAAACCCACAAAACAATGATTAGATATTTGAATGATACTGTAGTTCAATGAAGATAACAAACAAGTTACTGACCCATCACACACCCAGTGAAAGGTTCCTTTAAAAAGTGACCAAAAGGACAAAAGTTGAGCAAACACAATACCGCATGCTCTGATGAAAAGATAAGCACAAAAGAGAATACACATGCACAGGTCTCAACGATTTTTTTTTTTTTTTTTTGGTCCTCCTACTCCAATTCGGCAGCGGAGGACCAGCGTTTCGCGAGACGTTGGTACTTTTGACGATCACGGTCAGAAACACTAGGCTTTATGTTTCTAAAGGCAAAATTGAAATCAGCCATGGTCACCTGTATCGGCTCAGATGAAGCATGCTCAGTGACTTCAGGTTCATTAGATGCGATGTCCGAAAATACCGCCGACCGTAAAGCTGTTACGGCAGATTCTCGCACCAAAGCAGCCAAATCCGCACCGGAGAAATTAACACAGCGCTCGTCGTGGGCCAGAGTCTCCAGATTCACATCCTCGTGCAAAGGTGTCTTTTTGGTGATTGTTTTCAGAATCTCAGCTCGTTCGTTTGCCGTAGGCAGATCCACGAGAAGTGTCTTGTCTAACCGACCTGGCCGAATCATAGCTGGATCAATTATGTCAGGTCGATTAGTAGCTGCAATCACATACACACCTTTTCGATCGTTCAAGCCATCCAGCTCAGTCAACAAGGTATTGACTATACGTGAAGAGGACTCTGAAAGTGAATCATCACGTCTAGGCACCAAAGCATCAAGCTCATCAAAGAAAATGATACACGGCGCAGAAGCACGGGCGCGCAAAAATACTTGACGGACAGCACGCTCAGACTCACCGACAAACTAAAATAATCGTTAACAGCAAATCACCATCAAAAACAAGAAACTTGCGTCATTTTCTCCACACTTACCTTGTTCAACAATTCTGGTCCACGCACAGAAATAAAGTTCGCCTTACTTTCATTGGCAACAGCCTTTGCCAGCAACGTTTTACCACAACCAGGTGGTCCCCAAAGCAACACACCGGCAGGCGCAGAAATACCCACACTGTGATACAGCTCCGGACGCTTAATAGGCTGAACAATGGCCATCTGCAGCTCGACACGAATCGGCTTCAATGCACCCACATCGGCCCATGTAACATCGGGCACTGTTGCGAAACCCTCACGTTTTGACGAAGGTTGGACTTTAGGCAGTGCTTCCAAAAAGTCATCCTCCGAAATCCGAAGAGGCTCAAGTTCCTCCTCCGTCAACGCATCTGGATGTGAATTAACAAAGTGATGAATGATGGAACTCAGAGAGGGGGGATTCGTTGTATCAAGTTCCATGGCCACATCGTCACCACTGGTCAAATCTTGGTCAATGGAAGGAGTGTTGGGAGATGAAGATGATGCCGCGTCTTTTTGAAGAATGAGTTGCCGATAGATACGCTTGATGGCAACAATTCCAGCTGCCGTTGTCAGCGCCTTTAAATCAGCGCCCACAAAACCAGGAGTACGCTTGGCCAGTTTGCGAAAGTCGAATTCTCCGCTCAAACGGAGACCTCGTGACATAGTGCGCAATATTTTTTCTCGGGCTAATTCGTCAGGGACCGTGAGACAGATTTCTCTGTCAAACCGACCGGCACGACGCAAAGCAGAGTCAAGTGCATCCGGCCGATTTGTAGCACCCATGACAATTACTGGCTTACCTTCTGTTTTTTCAAACGAAAGATCGTCCATGCATGTAAGAAACTGAGCAACAATTCGACGTTCCATTTCACGCTGAGCGCTCTCACGCTTCGGTGTCACGGCGTCTATTTCATCGATAAACATTAAACAAGGAGCCATGCTCTTTGCCTCTTCAAATACGTCGCGGACTTTTTTCTCAGACTCACCAGACATTCCGGAAACGATGGATGGAGCTGAGATGGAGATAAAAGGAACGCCCAGTTCGTTAGCCAATGCATTTGCCAGCATTGTTTTACCACAACCCGGAGGGCCATGGAGAAGAACACCGCGGGGAGGTTGAATACCGGTGAAAAGATAGACTTCTGGGTGCTTGATGGGCATAGCGATCAATTCCAGGACTTCGTTGATGCAGTCGTCCAATCCACCGACATCGTCCAATGTAACGTTCATGGCTGATTCGTACGTTTTCTCTACTCCACGCGTCAGTACCAATTGCCCGCTCTGAATGTAACATACCCTTCGGACGTTTTACAGTAGTCTTACTCCGGCTAAGACGTTCCTTTCTTTTAATGACAGACGAAGTACCAGGAGCCGGAGAGCTCTCCACCGAGCTTCGGTTGCTGTCAGCAGCACTATTCGGGGTATTAGAGCTCCACAAACTCGTGATATTTTTGTTCATTGTGTTGGTATCCTGAATAATTAGTTGAACTGTACACAAAAGGCAAAGCAGCCGACAGAAAACAGAAGGGAATTAGATAAAATGGATACCACTTAATCACCCAACAAGTTTTACCATACCTTTACCGTGATTAAGTCTGTTCTCTCAATTTCTTCATCGTCACTTTCCACAACCACGGTATCGGTGCCAGAAGCCATTGAATCATTATCCTCCTGCTTCATAAAGTCCAAAACTCGTTCAATTGTTTTTTCCAGAAGAGGTTTCTTCATACGACGAAGTGTTAAATCGCGTTCCTGGACGAACTGAAGCGCCCGACGCGTCGTAACTGGCCATTCCTCCGCATTTCCTTGAGCTAAAGAATCTTTCAAGTAGGACAGACGATCGTAAATCCTTTTTTCAAGGTCTCTAGTAAGGGAAGACCCCGACCGCATCGAATTACGCATCGTAGGAGGTGCTTGGCAGAGGGCATCTTCTCCTCAAATCTTGTCGCCATTTTTTGGTGGTGAGTTTTGGACCATATTACTGAACCTTAAAGAGTTTACCGTGGCATAGAACATCTCAACGTCTTATGTCTTAGGAAATCGTTAAGTTACGCTATAACTATGTTCTATTAAGAAGCCCATACTCAGTAGTAGTAGTAAGTAGTAGGGTGAGAGGGGAAATGAACAAATGTAAATAATAGAGGAGTTTGAAATGAATTTCTGTGATCATAAACGGACAACAAAATCAGCATGTACAGAACTGACAAGAAACGTGAGCTGAAACTTTGTCACTAGAATCTCCAAAAAGGTTCATCATACTCTCATCCGCACTTGTCGATTAGAGAAAACAAAACAACAACAGGATAGAGAGCGAGCGTTGAACAATTATGGGCTCTGTTATTACATAGAAGAATAGGATTTTGACGTAAACGTCAAAACAGATCAATAATGGATACGAACGTGCACTAAACAAGCGTTTCGGTCTGGAGGAAACAGAGCATGAACGATACATAACCATACGACAGAATTGCGTAGCACAAGACATCGTTTTGCTTATAAGAAATCGAGCGTTAATGCTCGCGAACCGAACATTTCAAGCGCGAGAGGAGACGAAATTCGATCGCATTCACATAACAAGCCGCCCTTCTTCGGGACAAGGCAAGAAGGACAGCTACTTTTGCCTATCGTATACCGCGTATTTTAGAATAACGCACGAGTTGAATCCTTTAATAATTCGAGAAAAATAGTTACCGGGTGGAACAGAATGTAAGAACTTTTTTTTATGTAAGATGCTTTTTGCTGAGAATGTATGCAGGGAAAAGGTTATAGAAGAAAAGGGAGTAAAGGTATGCATTTTCCTTCTGAATCTTTTGTAAATGAAAATGAAGTGTCGCGACGAAAAAAGCACGCAGACACGCTTGATAAGCAGTGAGGAATGTAAAAGCCGTCATCATAAGTGCCGTTTATTATGTTTTTGCATTTTTTTTTCATCATTAGCCAGAATTACTCGTTACCAAAACCGATCGTGTTCTCAATAGCCATGGTTAACCGATCATCAAGCCGCTCCTTCGATTCGTAAGGCGGTAGATCTAAACGGTTGAAACAGGTGTGGGCAACAGGCAGTTGTTCCGCTGAGCCTGCCTTTTCAATAGTAAACTTCCGAGGACCATCACTACCTTGGAGATCACGGAAACCATTGACGGGAATACGCGATGTTCCGGTAGCAAACTGTAACAGCCTGGAGCGTTTCTCGTTCTCCCAGGATGAAATGATATCCCAAAACCATACAACAACCTGGTCTGTGCTTGTGTACGTACGATACTCTGTATTGGTCTTCCAATCTTCCACATCAACATCAGATATACCGCCAATGAGGAGTTCCAGCTCGCGTTCATCAAATATGTTGATTAATTCTGGGGGTATAATGTCGATGAAGCCGTCGTAAAAAGCGTTAAACTGTTCTTCCACACGTTTCGTAACTCTCCATTGGGTAACCAGTTCGACATATTCTTTTTTATTATCCTCGGTCACCTCAATCTGATCACCATTGGGTTTGAGCTCAACAGTGCGCACCTCGCCAAAGTGATCTTCTTCGGCAATGAAGGTAAGGTCTAGGATGCCAGTAATGTCGTTATCGAGAATCCACTTGAGACTTCGGTAGAACTCTGCATCGATACTCTCCATATCAGCCAAAGTAACCTTCTTCCGCAGGAGCATTTTATAGAGAGAGACAACAAAAAATGCGTCCAAAAAGCGACGATGGAAGATGGCGAGGCCAATTACGCGACCAATGAACTTGAAGTAATTCAAGTGCTCTGGATTAATGCTTGAGTGAGGGTTGATTTGCAGTGTGTAATTGTCAACAGCGGAGTACTCAAAGAGGCAGTAAATAGGGTCAAACATTTTGTGTGATAAGAGGAAAAAGAACTCTCTCGACAATCCACCGTAATCCAAACCATCCTCGCCTTCAAAGCGAATCATAAGACGCTTTTTCAGCTCAATCGGACTTTGCCGCATAATTTCAGCATAGGAATCCTCGAAGATGTGTTCACGACGAACTTTAATATTACATTGCCCAGGAAGAGGTCGCATCGCGGGCTGCGAACGGAAGTACACCAGCTTCCGTCGAAAGTCGCGCTTGTACCGGGGAACGTTTTGGTCGAGTGACGAAGGAAGACGGGGATCGTCCCACGTAGTCGTTTTCGTATTGTGATCCACAAAGTAGACTCGTGCCGTATTCGTTAGCCGCATTTCCCAGCCGCTAGGCAGAGGACCCAAGTGCGAAAGCGACTGGGGTTGCACGAATGCAGCCTGAGCAGATGTAGCGGCATTCGTCGGCCGAACAACTTGAGTGCGAGGATCAACCCAAGTTGTCGTCCGAGTATTATGGTCAACAAAATACGGACGGCCGCTCGGCGTAAAACGCTGCTCCCAGCCAGCAGGAAGGTCTGTAGGTCCAGCCACATTACCGGAGCCGGCGGTATCTGGCAGTGTACGATTTTGGTGCTGTAAACGCTGTGATTCACGCGAGTTGTGCGTACGTGGAACTGTGCTGGATGACGGCCGTGTCCACGTCGTGCTACGCGTGTTGTGGTCAACATAGTAAGTGCGACCAAGCGAATCTGTACGGCGTTCCCATCCAGGCGGCAGCCGTCCGTACTGATCCTCAAAGGGTGACATTATGCTCTGCACCTGACTTGCTGTAGCGGCCGACGGTGCCCGAGGAGTTCGAGAAGCTCGTGCACCCTGAGCGGTAGAAGAGTGAATTGAAGAAGAAGCGGCCGAACGACCATTTTGTGGAGCTGAAAGCCGGGATGAAGCGGGCTGGGGTGTTGACGTACGAGATGAGGTCCCATTAGCAGCAATTCGTGCATTCTGGCCGTTTCCTCGAATTATACAGAGTTTGAGAATCAACTCGCCCTGAACGGACAGGCTGGAGCTGTTGCTTGACTTACGCAGCTGACGAGTGACGAGTGTTTCACGAGAACTGCTCAGATTGACAACCTCCTGCACCCGAAATGTGACCAGACCCAAGAATCCCTGGTCCTTTTTTTTGTAGCGTTTTTGATCAAAGATCCTGACGAGGATTGAGCTCGAGGGTCTTACATTTCTAGAACAATTAGCACGGGAAGAAGGAGGAACGGAGACAACGAGCAAAAGAACAAGGACTTGCAGGAAAGTCAGTCCTGTGCAGCCATGTACGCGTTCATACACGGTATACATGGTGTGCACGGAAAACGAAAGCAGCCAGAAACGGCCCAGTCCCCTTCGTTCTGTGCGAAACCACTTCCAGCTTTCTCAAACAGCCTTGAAACACGCCCAGGACGCGTTTCCAGCCCCTCTCACTCGCTCACGACGTTACATACATGTCAAATGATTCGTTCCAGTACGGATTCAGAGACTTTTTTACAACTTTGGTCGTACGTGTTTGTTCGCCGTCAATCGTCAACACTGCAAAGGGGTCGGGAGTACGGAACAGGTCCCGTTTGCTTAGACCATCGGCGGAAACTATGGAAAACCGTATTTTGCAAGTGTTTTGCTCCATGTAGTTGCGGAATCCTCGCGGAGGAACAGCAATTGGCGACAGGAAACGCTTTAAGCGAAACGGAGCAGTCGGTGTGTTGGGTGGAGGGAGGAAGACAGCTAGCAGGGACTACGGAAGCTATGGCAGCATCGCGCTACGTAAGTTGGTGACGTCAAGAATCGAGTAAGTGCGAAGCGAGCACGTGAATTACACGTGAACAAACACGCGGCGATCACTGACGATTCGTGGGATGATTGTGGTGCATAGTCAGGGGCAGTGGGGTGGGCCGATCGCGGGGGCGGGACAGCCTGCAGGGTCCTCTTCGGTCCTCGCCGGTCCTCTCGTAGGTCCTCGTAGGTCCTCGTAGGTCCTTGGGGAGAGAATGCGAAACCGGGTTCACCCTCGGACATGGCTGCCGTGTCGCACGTCTGCTGTACTGCACTATTCAACAAATCTTTCCATTTACAAACGTCGCTATGAATTGTTCAATTGTTCATTACGCATGTCTTGTTTCGTACCGGAAAGCAGCGAAACCCGTTGGAACAAACTGACGCCGTTTTACACACCAGTCACAGGGACGGCTGGTGCGCGCCAAACATAAACGGCCGAAACAAGGGAACAAGGGGCTGCAGGAGCAGGCCGCTTGAAAGAACGAAGAAAGACGCCCGTTTCCAGGAGTGTATACGGTCGGCACGTCTTGTTTTACTTTTCACGTGCACACGCACTAATACGGGGTATACCCACGACCCCTCCCGCGGTATCCTCCGCGGAAAGCACCGCGTCCACGTCCACGCATGCCGCGGCCTCGGCCGCGACCTCGGCCGCGGGACATGCCGGGGATGTTCATGCGTTTGGGAGTGACCTTGAGAGGACGGTCGTGGAGCATGGAGCCATTGCGTAGCAAGGCGTTGGGGACAACGCTGGGCTCGGCGAACTCGATGTAGGCGAAACCTTTAGGGTGTCCGGTGAACTTGTCGCACAGAATGGTGACGCGGTTGATGGGACCGCACTCGGCAAAGTGAGCCTGCAGCTCCTCTGGCGTCACGCTGTAGTCTACATTGCCCACATACACACTCTGGGCGTCGAGAGCCTCTTTGTCGTTGCGGAGAGCCTCGCTCTCCTTGTCGAGCTGCTCCTGCATTTCTCGCAGCTTCTCGGCTTCGGCCTCCATTTCGGCCACGCGAGCTTTCATTGCCTGCAATTCCTGTGACACGTTAGTATGTGAACGAAGAGCGCGTAGAGGTGCCAGACGAGCATACCTGGTCCTGAACATCTACCACATCTGTGCTTTGGTCGTCGCTCATTTTTGCAGAGGGAGGGTGCGTGGAGTCGACTTGACCGAAGACAGCGGAGGGAAGTCGTAAAGGTCGCCGAAAATGACCGAAAGGTCGCCGAGGCCCGGCCGGTGGGAGAGACAGCGACGACAGGAGGGGGGGAGGGAGAGGGAGCGGAGGGAAACAAGGGAACGCCAACAGACGCGGCTAGAAGGGGCGAGTGGATCAATTTGCCTCCACCTGTTCACCCAACGTCGTGAATGTCGCAGATCGTCGCCATTCGGGGGTTGATCTCAACACAGGCTCGGGACACGGAGAAACGGCGATCATGCCCGGTCACCTTCGGCCACCCCTAAAACACCGACAAGTCTCGGCCTCAGCACTGTTCGGCGACCTTTTCCAAGACCGCACGGACAAGGTCCCCGTTGGCGTCATCGTCAGAGCTCCAGGGAAGATGGAGGCCCACCAGGAAGCGGGTCACGGGAGCAGGCGAGTCGGCCTGCTGGTGGACGAGAAGCGATGCAATCTGACTGGCCAGGAGCTGACTCCACATGAACTTTGGACCCTGGCTGTTGCCGAGAACACATTTGACGTCTAAATCGCTCATAGGCAGCAGGTCACGCACCACCGGCCGCACCATGCTGCGTTGGTGCGCGATTGAGAACTGCTGTGTCAGTCAATTGCCGCGAATAAGCGTCGAGCGTTAGCGAGAAACGAGCAGCAAGATCGCTAGAGAACGCTAGAGATCGGTATAGCGAGTATAGCGAGGTGTAGCGATGCTTGGCGAGGTAGGGCGAGGTGCAGCGCATTGAATCTCGCTGCAGGATACTGCAGCTCGCTAGAACTCTTCACTTTGCCGTGCACCCCGCTGGCGCTCCTTGCAGCTCAGTACGTACCATCTGCCCAACCTTTCCGGTCGTGGACAGCAGCACGACGAAACGATCACCAAACCGCATGGTTACAGCCTGAATCGTGCAATTTCCGACTTGAAAGGACGAGACTTTAGTGGTGGGAAACATTTTCAATGAACCTGATCTTCTCGCGCTCTTTGCTTGGGTTGCGTAGCCAAACGATGCTTTGCCTGATGGATGTGTGTGGTGTCGCTCGGAGACGGTGTGTGTCGACGTGGTTCACAGCGAAACACGAGCGGCCATCGCCAATGCATCTCCAGCAACACCGTTCGCTCCTCCCCAGCCAACCAGCTCGTGCTCCACCTGCATGGACTCTCGTAGCTTCCTCTCTCACCAGTGCTGCTCGCTTTTCCTCCACCTCCACCTCCTCATCCCCACCATCCTCAAAACCCCCACACAAGCGGTCCTCCACTGCAGCCCCCGCTTCCTCCAGCCCAGCTCAGCGACCCCCGGTCATCTGCTTCACCCGCCAGCAGCCGCTGCCTCCGCTTCCGCGGCAATCAGCCGCCTTCCGCAGCGGCCTGCTGCTGGCTTTCTGCATCTGGGCCGGTGCTGCGCTGTTTGCCATCCACTACGGAAAGCAAAACTCAAACGGTACGACGGTGCCATGATGTCATTCTGAGGGCGATCTTCCCCACACTTTCTCCGCGTTTCGCTAACCTTATCTCTAGTGACGCAAACGGTGATGCACAGAGTCCAGCGGTCGCCGGCGGCGCGTTCGCTGCTGGGCGACAACATCCGTTTCACGTATCCGTTTCCCTGGGTGTCGGGCGCCATTTCCAAACGCAAAGGAAAAATCGACATCGCGTTCCATGTCACGGGGTCGCGCGCCAGCGGGATCGTTCATTACACCAGCATAAAACTCGGCCCGGCCTTCAGCTGGCTCGAGGAAAAGTGTCTGCTCACTGTCGGCGACGAAGCCGTGCCAATTGATTAATGAGCTGCCACGACTACCGGCACAGACGAACTTGCGTCTTCTTGCACACTCCAGCCCCCACGTTATCCCACACCATCCCACTGCACCCCGACGAGTATGCGGCAAAGCCGCCTTCCCTTCCCCACATCCCCCACATGCCCATTATCCTTCCCTAGGGCAGCGATAGTTTCTGAACCCTCCAGACCAGCAGAATGAACGACTCTCAGTCTACCGAGCCCAGCACGCCCAATCTGCCCAAACGGCCTCCACATCCTCACGAAAATGCGCGACAGACGCTGAAGGAAGCTTTTCCCAACACCGACGTACGTCCCTGGCCGTCTAGGGCCGCAATTCCTCTTACTAACGGGGTTCCCTTGCAGGATGCAGTCATTCGAGCCGTTCTGGCCGCCAGCGGCTACAAGCTTGAGCCAGCATTCAACGCGTTGTTAGGTACGATGGTTTCCGGGAGATGAACAGTGAGCTATCGACAAGGCGTGAAATCGACGTATGCTCCTGCATGTGGACAATGTAGAACAGCGTGTGTCCGGCAACCTCAGTCGATAGCTTGCTTCTAAATCTCACTTTCGAAAACACCATCAACTAACTCGGTTTCACAGGCTTCAATGATCCAAAGGTTGCCGAAGAATTGGAAGCAATGACTCTGGAAGAGACAACAAGCACAAGTGCCACAACTCCAAACGGTTCCACTGTTCTTTCCGAAAAATCGACTCCTTCGACCACCGCTGGAACGGAGACACGCCCTGCTCCCGAGGACGAGGCCAAGCTCCGTCAGCGCCAATACGAGGAAGACGAACGTCTAGCACGTAAACTTGCACAGAAGTACGAACGAGAGGCTCGTCGGAGTGCTCTTGCCCGCTCTACCAGAGCTGCTATGGGCTACGACGGAACGGTGCCATACGGCAACGTTTCAGGAGCAGCTGCTGTGCCGGTGATGCAACAGAGATCTCCTCAGTCGCAGCAAAGTTCCCGCCGAGTCACGAAAAGAGCGGTCTTTCTTTGACGACGACTTGCCAGTGCTCAAAGAGGGAACATATCGCGTGAGTTCCCAGGCCATCAAACAGCGTAGCATGGCTTGGATGGGTCGACTTCGTGCACGTATCGAGGAAGAATTCAAACAAGGATACGGACGACTCGGATGACGAGATCCCGTACGGACCCAAGTCCTCAGAGGTCGATGCCTCGTCTGTGACCGCCACTACCGCGTATGCCGTTTCCACACAGGCAACGCGGTCCCGGCGGACTCCGTCCAACGCTGCTACTGATGCAGCAGCACCTCTCGAGTCTGCATACGAAACGCCTCCGCGGGTCCCTCTTCGTCGGAAAACACCGCAAATGCTTCCACCTTATGAAACAGATCCCTACATGCTGAGTGAGCATGACTTTGACCAGCTTCGGAGTCTCGAGTCATCTCGTGGCGATACAAAATCCCAGACTCCCTCCATCCTTTCTCTTTCTTCCCGTCGTCCCCGCAAGAGTCTCGAGGAGCAGATTGTCGAGCATGATGCCGAAGTCGTTCCCAGTGATGCTTTCGCTTTGGACGAAAGTGATGCCGAGAGCGAGGAAGACCGGGCGGGCGAGAGAAAACAGGAGCAGGAGCAGAAGCAGAAGCAGGAGGAGAAGGGCAAGAAGCAAAAGGAAGAGGAGATTGAGGTTGGAGGCAAGACCGAGAATAAGGAAGCCGCTAACATTGCCGCGGACCAAAAGAATCCCGAGAGCAAGAGCGAGACTAAGGCGGCGAAGGACGAGGGTGAAGACAAATCTGACGCTGTGAAGGAGCCCAACACCGAAAAGGATTCCAAGGACGAGGAAAAGACAAACACTACGGCCAAAGCGGACACCAAATCTGTTCCGGAAACCGTGTCTGAAAAGACCAAGGATGAAACTGGTACTACTGAGACTTCATCCTCTCCCGACAAGACTGGCCCTGCTGCTCAAAAGAAGGAGGCTGCTGCTGCTGCTGCTGCTACTGCTGCTACCCCTTCCAAGTCTACGGACTAAGCGCATCTTTTTCTTACAACTTCGCTGTACCTACGGAAACACACTTTTACTTTTTCCCGATATGATGAATATGATGAACCATGTCTTAAGAGATTTTTTTAATGTTTGCTAAGAGGTGTGAAAGCTTAGAGTTTCGTGAAATCGTCAAGAACTGAAGAGCAAGAAAAAAAGCAACGGACAACTTGGGAACAGAGAGACTGACTTCGTCTTTTGTTCTAAGAAAACTCTTACATTCCACAGACCCACCCTCTCCCTCTCAATCATCGAAAACACACAATTTTAACTGCACTCAAAAAGAACTCAATTGCTGCTATGAAAAAACTACAAAAAATGTACGAAGCATTCGGTCATCACGAGCCATTCTGCAAAAGCAACGACTTCACGATGGTTTTAAGCTATGACGCTGGTCAACCCAGCTTGATCTGCGCCACTCCTCACAAGAGGAAGTCGACCATATCAGCACGAACTGCAGGACCAAATTTGTCCTACAAACTCAACTGTTGGAACGACACCATGGCGACTTTATTTTTTGTGAGATGGTTTTTGGAGGAGTGTTTCGTGCCCTTTTATACACCAAATAGCAGTCACAGACAACCAATCAGCGAAAAAGGCGACATGAAAAGGGGCGCGCCGAACGATGCTTCGACGCGTCGGCGAAAAAGGTCGGCAATTCGCGTCAAAGAAGTCAGAAACTACAGCTTCAACGACAAAACGGCGCTTCCAACATTGGTCAGTTTTCTCTCTGGTTGGATTGCTGCGTTGAGTCTGCTTTTGCTTTCCTGTGGGGTTGTTCAATTGCCCTGGGGTCCTATCTGCCCACCTATTACCTCATTCGCTTCTCTCGCCTATTAGAGTTATCAGATCCACCGGATCAACATCTGATAAAACTAATTGGGTTTGCAAAACACAACTTGCCAAGTGCGAACCAATTTTGCAGGATTCTCAAGTCGAAACGGTTGAACAGTAGCCTACGAATTGCTTAGGAAGCTCTGATTGCTTTGTTCCACCGCGTCCCTCTGTTTGTACATTTTCCCGCCGTCTCTTTTCTCCCTGTTTCAACTTATCACCTATCGTACATTGACGATTGCACACACGTGGCATCTCTTGCTGTTTGCATTTGTGTATTCAATTGTGCTTTGAATAGGGCTGCCTTCTTCATTTCCTCCTTACATTCATTTCTCGTTTTACTTGTCCAGGTCTCTCATAATGGCTACTACTAGCAGTACTTCGAGAGCAAAAACGAGGGCAAGCTCGAAAACTCACACATCATCCAACAAAACACCTCCCGCTGCTTCTCCATCTCCCTCAGACCCTTCTCAGTCCACGGCAGGCAACGAGGTTGTGCCTCAAATTCGCATATCGAAACACTATGTGCTGCCGCCACGTCCCAAGCCTGGCAGGAAACCCGCTCTGGACGCTAATGGTCGACGAAAAACGGTGATCAAACCAAAACCATCTCTCCGCTCCGCAAGGCCTAATCCTTCCTCCTTGGAAGGGGCACAGTTCCTGCAGCGTGAACGCCAATATCAAGCTATCATCGATAATCTGCAGCAGGAGAAGCAGAGTTTGATTGAGCTTGTTGAGGATTTGAGACGACAGCTTCAGCAACTCAATGCTGGAGCGGCAACTCCTGAACCAGAAGTTCATAGTCCAAATCTCAAGGAAGAGTCGCTGCATGCTGGCTCGCATCCCCATTCCTCCCATGTTGAAAACTACCAAATACAAAAGCTGAACGTCCCTGTCCAACCTCCGTGCACCAGTAAGTCCGTGTACACCGAGGTGCCCATTGAACATAATCCTTATGTTTATCTTGGACAGAGCAAACGCTTCTGCTCCTCGCATCCATCCACTGCACCCCAAAGTCCTCGCGAGAACAGTCTTTCTGTTTTCCCTGTTGATGCGGCCCCTCAACGAGTAGCCTTAGTGCAATCACCCAAGGCGAGCGATTCGTGTTCCAACAAACGCCGCCCAATGGAAATTGATTTTACCACTAACGGCGCTGTGGCCAACGAGTACGTTCGTAAATATGGTATGTGCACTGGACTCGATCGCTGCATCTATAGCACAAACGGACCTATTCAATCCAAACAGAGTTCGCCCTGCTCGAATCAAACACAACCTGCTCAAGCAGAACCGGCGGTCACTGATGAAACGAAAGCCCACGCAAAAATCCTTATGGAACTGCACAATTCTGTTGCAACGAATAGCAATGACAGCACACCCTTTACCGTACAGACGACTTCTTCGAACTCGGCATCAACAGTAACGTCTTCATCCATGCCAGTTTCTGTTTTTCAACAAGATGGTCCAAGCATCAAGCTACCGCCTATTGAACCCCGATGTACGACAACCATCCAGTATCCTGATCGTCGATGTCCAACCTGTCATAAAAGCTCCCCAGCTTTAGACTTTTGTCGTAAACTGGCTCAAACAAGCAAGCCGCCGTACGCTTCTAATCTCCCCATTGCTTGTCAGTACATGCCTTCCGGACAAGAACACCAGAATGGTTTGGGTCTTGAAGGCTTAGCTACTACTCAAACATCCTCCCGCTCGATAAAACTGGACGTTCAGCAACTCGTGAACGGATTGGCTTCCAGCTCAAACTCGGTTCAGAGTCCGCCTCTTGACTCGCTTCCGAATCACCATTGAATGGTCCATCACCTTCCTTGCTCATGTGTGATACTGAGGATGGGAGCCATTTTCTCTTCCCTTAATCATTTCGTCTACTCTTTTCAAACTCGTTTCGTTTGTTCAACGCCGATGCCTTCCGCCCTTATTCCTCCTCACTGTTTACCATTTTGTTCGTGCAAGTCGTCATAAGCTTTTCTAATGATCTGTTTATGAAAATCTTACTTTTCGCTCTCCCGTGTCATCATCTCCCCGCCTCTTCTGTTTTTCCACAAACCTTGCACACAAGCACGTACACACAACTTGTTTGTTTTCTTTCTTTTCCCTTTCGTTTGTATCTACTTTTTTACCAGTGCAAGAGAACATCTGCACTGTAGTGTGGGACTCATTCCTGTACTAATGAAATTGTATTTTTCTTCACACGACTACATTACGACAATTAGACACTGTTAAAGAGCATTCATCTTCACTTCACCACCATACTACAGACATTCGTGAAACAGCTGTTTTATGATCCAAATAGTGAGCTGTAACAGAATATGTTATTCTGTTTTAACGAGTTTTACCAATTTAAGACCGCATTGTATGCATCGCTGTTAATGCCTCCCACTACCACCATACAAACCATAAATGAACGCTAAAAGCTTAAAAAATCCCTCTAACTAAAAACGTTAAAAGGTGCAGCATACCTGCGCATATATGTTATGAATATACATTGTGTCCACAGATACAAATCTATTGAAACACAGTATTGTAGAAATGTAGGAAAATAGGTTTGCACTTTAATTACAAAAGCCGAATTTCAACAATGAACGACGTAGCCTTCACCTATATTCTGGCTTATGGAGCAATTGCAAGTCGTAGACAACATGTTCGTTGTCTGATTGAAGTGTCTTTCGTTCGACTTTTCTTATAATTTATGATGCTCACAAGGACTGTGCGCCGTTCACTCTCAACGCCTATTGTTATCACGTTGATGGATTCTTCTACTACTGATGCTCATAAATCATCGCATTGATATCCTTAACACATATGATCATCTGTGTCTACAGCACTCTGGTATCGCTGCGGAATCCTCTGTCTTGAGTCTTCCTTCATATGAGCCAATGAGTGAATGAGACATAGTTCAACCTGTGACGCAATTACCACTTACTCGCAGCAGTATGGCTACTGTCTCGCTAATAATTGTTGCAGATGAATGCAGTTACAGAGTGGATAACGTCTTTCCTGCTTTACCGGGCTTGGTTTCGATAACGCAATATTGTAAAGGATGACTAAAATGAAATCCGTCCGACTTAAGTTATTGGCATATCGAAGCACGATCACTCTAATGCTGGTGAGGTATATAAAGGCATCTGTGTATGCGTTTTGTGTTCCTCAATTTTTAAGGTTTGCACATTAATTGTGTTGCATTGTATTGTAATACTTAAGGTTGTCACAGAACTCGTCACTTTTTGAAACGCGAGATTCCATCATTCTGTCACTGTTACTACCGTTGTACTACTATTATTCAATTTGTGGAAGGTTCAACTACTTCCTCTGGTAAACACTAAATAGGATTTTCAGTTATTCTGTTCTATAGAAACAACAAGAGTTTGTTACTGAACAGAATTATGGTGTCTCCAATCGTTCGCAGTGTTGCCATTATAGGCGCTGGTCCTTCAGGATTGGTGACCGCTCGTGCCTTGTTGGCGGAGAATACATTCAACAGGATTGTCGTATACGAACGCAGAGATGCACCGGGTGGAGTATGGAATTACTCTACAGAAACGCCGACGAATTTTCCATATCCAAACAGCAATCCCAACTTGGATGTAAAGCCAATCACGCACGAAGGACGTTCTCCATTGTACCCAAGTGCTCTGTATCGCGATCTGCATACGAATACTCCCATTGAGCTCATGACTTTTTCCATCCAAAACTTTCCTGAAAATACGGAACAGTTTCCTCATCGTAAGGATGTACTAGAATATCAGCGGCGGTTTGCTGAGCCAATTCGAACTCTCATCAAAACATCAACCGAAGTTCGCCGCATTCACAAGCAAGGTGGACAATGGCTTGTTCACTCTAGAAATGTGTCGCCGAACGAAACAAACGCCGAAACGGTTGAGCAGTTTGACGCAGTGGCCATTTGCAATGGTCATTATCAAGTGCCTTTCTTACCGGATGTAGAAGGTTTGAAAGAATTCGTGGAGGAAAATCCAGGTGTCGTCAAGCATTCCATTGAATTCCGTGAACCAGAGCTGTACAGAAACAAAAAGGTAGTTGTTGTTGGAAATGCATCTTCTGCAAACGACATCATTCGCCATTTATCGCCCTACTCCAAACTTCCCATCATTCAAAGTGTCTTGGAGGATCCGCAAACTAAACATCCTGAGCGACTAGTCCAAGTGCCTCGAATTGAGCGTTTTGATGCATCCACGAAACAAATACATTTAAGTGACGGTCGAGTTTTGCGCGACGTGGACTATGTATTCTATTGTACGGGTTATTTATATTCGCTTCCCTTTTTTGATGAACAGGATGTCCCGTCAGAAAATCGTCTAATCACAAATGGCGCATATGTTCATAACGTTTATCAACATATTTTCTACATCCCCGATCCCACCCTTGTGTTCATAGGTCTGGCCCTGCATGTTGTGCCTTTTCCAGTCGCACAAGCTCAAGCGGCTTGGGTTGCTCGAGTTTGGTCCGGCCGATTAAGACTTCCTTCTAGAGAACAACAATTGCAGTGGTACAGCGAACATTTGTCGTCTTTAAATGGGCGAAACAACATGTTTCATTCGCTTGAATTTCCGAAAGATGCCGCTTACATTAATCACATTCACGACCTCGTGTCCAAAGCGTCACCTAATCCTGAGACAGGGCTTCCTGCACCACATTGGGATGAGAAGTCACTGAAGATGCGGGAGAACATGTGGAAGATTCGTGCAAAATTCTTCGGTATTGAGGATTAAGTCCGGCTTGTTTGAAATAACAGTACCATTCGTTCTCTTTTAGTTAGGTTTTCAGGAAGAATTACCCGCCTTGCTTCTTCCCCTGTAATAATAAACATGAATATATGGAAGATTCCTTGTTTTTTTAGCAACAATTTAATTCGGCCACCTTCTCATCTTCCTCCCTCGCCCTATAAAGGAATCATAACAATTTGTATTGCTACGATATGGAATGAAAACATTCAGAATATACATGACGGTTACTACAGCATATAAGCAATGAGTTGAGAGTGCATGCATGCGTGTGAGTATGAATGAAATGGTAGAAGTATCGTGTAGGGAAAAGAAGAGAACGCTTGGGCTCGTGAATGAAAACGGTATATCACTAGTAATTATTGGATGAAAGAGTGTGCAATCGTGTGCTCTACAGTTGACGAATGGAGTACTCCGTTCCGTTTTGCGTCGTATACCGAACCCAAGGCATGGCCTTATAATTGAGCTTGGGCTCCGTGATTTTCAAGTATCGAACTTGAATACCGGAAACAGTGAAGTAGGGAATCGAGAATTTCACCTGTATGGGCCGTTTGCTTGACAATGTCGATTCTTCGTTTCGGACGCTGGGAAGCCCCATTTCTGCCTTCATGTAATACTCCTTACCACCGGCAAACTTTTTAATATTCCATAAAAGAGCAGCCTGCTCCGGTGCGTATTTGGTCGTTCCCGTTGTCGTTTGGAAACGTGGAGTATCTGCATCTTCGGGCACCGGCACGATAATTTGAACACTATTGGCAATTGATTTTTTCTTGAACTGGGCACGAGCCTTGATCATGAACTCAATTCGAGAGCCTGCATGAAGCTTCGTATTGCACTCGACGGCAATCAGAGGGCGCACATTTGATGTGAGCCGATAGCTCATAAGATCAAACTCGCCGTCTGGCGGAATGAAAGAGATTGTCCGATCGTTTTCGAAGCGTGATAACCGCACACATTGATGGAATTTGACATCTTCCATTTCGACTGATTTACCTTTTATAGTACGGCCGGCTGCCTTGAAGAGCATACGGTCATTAAGTCCAAGCCGAAGTTCGGGCATGCCAGAGAGGTAACATTTCATGTGAATGAGACCCATAATCTCACTCTGGATGACATTTCCCTCAGCATTGATGATCATGTTGAGCGATTCAATTACGTCCAAGAACACCTCGTTCTTGCGGTAATGAATACCGGCTGAACGCCATGAGATGGCATTTGTCATTGCGAGAGGAGGAGGAGCCTGCGTTTCCACCTTGTTTGATGACTGTGTGATGTATTCTTGCAGAATTTTCGTTTCCGTTGTTTGAGGAAAGCCGAAATCCATAACTTCATCCAGGAGCTCGTAAACAACAACAAAGTTATCGCGAATTGACTCTTCTTGAAGCTCCTTGAAATAGTCCGTGAACAGCTCTGCAAGCTTTCTCAAGAAGACAAGGATCTCCATTGCATTGGTATTTTTCTTAGACAGTGCTAGCAGAAATACATCATTGTGCTGGATAAAGATATACTAAACGAAACATAAGGTCAGCAACAAGTCATGAAGAGTTAACATAATAGTCTCTACGGCTGAGCAACGAGCAATTCCTCCTCATTGATTTCTGAGTTTTCCCGACACTCGAGCCCTAACACCTAGGAAACAGATCTCGTGCAGGGAGAGAGAACAACAACAAAACACGTACATTAATTCCTTCGTGAGTCATACAGGGAATCGCACAACCGTGCTCATCTTCAGCCTCAGACAGCAACGGCATGAATTTTTCCACAGCCGACATAGGAATGTCAGCTCTACAACAAGACGTCAGCTAAATTCAGCAAACACACAGCTGCGATGCTGCATACCGGTAATTGCGGGAGATGATGGTCTTTCCTCCCAAATTGAGGATGAAAACCGCCGACGCCATGCTTCACAATGTCCGCTATGTGTACGTTTTGTAGAAACGTGTGCTGGTGACGCGAAAGGTTGGCTTGAGGTGTGTGCGGGCGAATGTGGGATGGCACGTGGGGGAGCCGTACACCAGAACCGACTTACCGCGCCCCCACAAACGCCCGAAGTTACCGGAGTTTACCCCCATATTACCGGGCATATCCCACATTGACCCCACAATATCCCACATCCTTGGAAAGAACGAAAGTGATGCGTTGGTATGTTAAATTTTCTTTCTCTCAAGAGCTCTCCGCTGGCGTTTCAATGCGTCTTTACGTTTCTTTTTCCAGTCCCGAGTCAAGGTTAGCCGGTTTGCCGACCACCAGGACTGGATGGCCTGGTCGGTAAGAAGCGGTGAATCCTTGGAAACGGGAAGCAACACGTCCATGGGGATACGTGCTGTGGGAAAGAACATGGGCATAGAGGAGACTGTTGCCGGTGCACTGACGGGCACAATAGGTCTTGCAATCGGTTTTTGCTTTTCGACCTTGCCTTCGTCTTTCTCTTCTTCTTCTATTTCATCGGCCATTTCCACATCCATATCGTTGCCTCCAAACAGCGAGAATGACTCGGCCTCTTCCGCACTAGGTTTAAACAAGTTGGTGAGAGATTGCTCCTTGACAGCGATGACACGATCGCCGACCTCAACAGCCTTAAGGCCTTCTGTAGAGACATCAAGAACACGACCAGCAGAAGGCGACAACGGGTTAGAAACAGAGTCGGCGGACTCTTCTGACACAGACTCAACAGACTTCTCTTCTTGCTCGACTGCAGCTAAACGTCGCTGCTCTTCTTCAGCTTGCATTTCAGCCTCGTATTTCCGTTCAAGTTCGTAGTCACGGGCAAATTCCTCTTCTTCAAACGAAACCACGCGGGGTGTGTCAGACACAGACTCTTCAACATTGCTGCCACTACCGAACAGTTCCGATAACACCGCAGCACTTGTATCGTGTTCCTGTTTGTGTTGAGCCAAAACTTGTTCTTCGGTAAGCATAGCAGCTGCACCGCCAGCTTCGTCTTCGTACTCAACAGCATCCACACCTGCAACTTCCAAATCAGGCGTAGGCGAGCGATCACGTTGACTGGGTTTTTGGTAGTTACGACGATTGACAGCGTCTGCAAGTGAAACAAACTCTCCAGAGTATGTTCGATAGCAATTCATCTCCTCGTCGAAATAAGCCGTTGTGTCGTCCAGCTTCGGGTCGATACGACCCCAAAGCTTTTGCAGGCAGTTCTTGCCAAGGGGAAAGAAATGCTTGTACTGTTTTGTCTTCTTGTTGTACACTCGGAGCAATGCAATAGCACGTCCATACGGTCCCTTCTTCCAACCTTTTCTCGGTGTAGCTTTCCGAACATCGCTGTCCGTCACTGTGTTCAAAATATCCTTGGCCTCCTTGCCTCGAAAGATGGGAACATAGGAAGTCATAGTCGCGTGTGGAGTCAAGCAAGGTTCCTTTTTATTTGAAGAAGAAACCCGTTCTTTGCTTTGCAGAAACTCATTCCGCTTTTGATCCTCTTTTAATCTTTTACAAAATGTTAGAATAGAGTACACGAGAGAGATACCGACTCTCAGGCTCCGCCGCCGGTTCAGCGCTAATATTACCTTTCCGTATATTTACTCTTTGCTTCTTCAAGTTTTAAACGGGAGCCTCGGAAGACAACGTTTGTCAATTGAGTTCTGCACTTTACCCAATTGGCGTCTGTCGACTCGAGATCAACATATGCAAATCGATGCACTGTTCCGACTGTGCTTTGTTAGAACAGTAAATATGCGCAAAAGCTTTCTTTTTTCTTTCTCTTACCTGGTTGTTTCTTCTCAACGATTTCGAAGTTGGATGTTTGACCAAACCGCTGCAACCGTGGAACCAAGTCTTCTTCTCGAATGGTCTCAGAAAGACCACCAATAAACACTCTTCTTCGTTTTATATCGCTTGACATAATTCAATATGTACGTTTAGTTATAAAACAGACAAGTCCGTAAAAGGGAACAATTCTCCAACAGTCACCAGTAAAAAACCCTAAAAAAAAACAGTTACAGAAACAGATAAAACCGGGCAATAAAAGAGAGCAGTTTTAAACGAAGAACGACTCTTTTGTCGCTTGGTATTCCACTCAATTCACCCGAGGCTGCCGTGAGGTTGCAGGTGAACGTAGAGAGCTGGAATTGCGAGGAATAGTGATTCCTCGTAAACTGATTTAGTGAGGGCTTCCGCGGAAAACCAATTGTTTGCGAGGAATTGTGAGACGCAACGAACTGCAAAACTCGAGGTTGTTTTCTCCCCCCAGTCCATACCCCACAATTCCTCACTCGGCCTCACTATTTTATTTCTTGATACCTGTTCTTCCCTAATCCATCTTCACCTGTAGCCGCAACATGGATGTCGATGACTTGGTATACGCTGCGCGTGTAGCCGACCTGGAGTTCCTTGACGAAGTCATTGAGAAGCTGCCGTCGTATCTGGGAAAAGCAGATGAAAACGGTAACACGGCCTTACACATGGCATGTGCCAATGGTCATACAGAGGTGGTTCAAAAGCTACTGCCTCACTTAAAACCCGATGAAATAAACTCCAAAAACAGCAGCGGAAACACTCCTCTGCATTGGGCAGCCATGAACGGACACGTCGATGCATGCAAGCTTCTGCTTGACAACGGCGGCGATCCCCACGTAAAGAACAACTACGATAAGACTTGTCTGTACGAAGCCGACATTCGGAACAAGCAGAAGGTCATGGAACTGTTCCTCGACTACGAGATTGCGAAGGCCGAGGCAGACACGGAGAACGGAGCCAACGACGTAGATATGGCCAGCTAGTAGACGAAGAACAGAGGCATAGGAAAAAAACAAGGTTAAATCGGGTTTAGCAGGGTCAAACGAGGTTAAAAGCTGAATCAATTAAGGTCAGACAAGGTCAGGGCCTGAACGACTCGGATGTTTCACCCAGAAAAGAAAGGTGAAAAGAGAGAGAGAGAAAGTGAGTGAGAGTACTTTGTAAGCATGTCTACGGACAGAGTTTTGGGTATCATTACTTCTCGGTGTCTCGTCCGTTCTCCACTACCCTCCCACACCGTGTCTACAGACCAAGGGTCTTGCGAGCGAGGCGGCGGACGATGCGATTGTACTCCTCCCGATCCTGCCGCCAGACTTTGCAGGCATCAATGTTTGCACCGCTCTCGTCGTTGGGTTCAGCCAGCATCGACATGACGGACAACAAAATTTTCTCAACACTCTGAACAGGCGACCAGCGCTCTGAAGAGGACTCATACATGTTCGGGTCGTCACCTGGAGCATGGAGAATCGAAATACAAACTGTTCCATCGGCGTACACTTTCTTGGGTTAGCAAAATAAACTTTGTGGGGGATCCGCAAACTTGAAGCACAACCGAGCACGTGCTTGCGCAAAGATCGACGTTACCGATCGACGGTCATTGCGTCGATCGTTTTTGTGATCGACGTTCTGGGGTACTAGTTTCGCGGCGCGTACCGTTGGGATGAAAGAACTCGCACTCAAATTTAAGTGTCGGCGGACTCAGAGGGTAGTCCTGCATCAAAAATGTTAGCAGCGATTTTACTCCGTGCACGTACCGAGGGAAATTTGAGTGAAGCCGGATACAAACCGCCCTCAAACGGTGTTCCATCGGGTCCCTGGATGAGACAATCCCAGGTAAAGAAATCATCTTCGTTCGAGGGCCCAGCCGTAATACCATCAGGTCCGTTTTCAGTGAGTTCCTTGTACTCTTTCATTAAACGGCGCAAGGCCATTGACTTGCTCATTGTGATTTTAGAGGAATGCGTCGCAGGAGGAAGTAGCGAGGACGTGAGCACAGGTATAAGTACGAGTGCACGCGGTATACTTCGTTACGCCGCGTTATAGTTATACTGCGGTTCACACCACCTCAGTAAACGCAGCCTGCCTAAGATGAAAGCTCGCTGCAGCTCACTCCAGCTCACTACAATGCTCCACCAAATTTCTTCAATCCCCTGCGCTAGCTCTCGCTACACATCACTAAACACTAACACTCACTCACCAACTGCACGTCGCGAGTACCCAGTACAACAAGCACAGCTAGTACAGGCAGTACTGCTTGAATTTATGGATTTAGCAGGATGGAACCACTTCGCAGTGAAGCTTGGCGTAGTCGCCTGTGCGACGCTGGACTTGCATCGAAGCAGAAAACAAACGTTGCAATTGAACTTTGTGACGCTTTAAACAATTTACTGGCATCAGAAACGAAAAAAGAAATTGTCAGTACGCTGGCACCTGTTGTTTTGGACCTTCTGGAGAAGGAACAGCCCGTATTTTCCAGTATTGCTGCGACGCATCGTCTCCGGCTGACACTTATGGAGATTTTGAGAAAGTTTATTACTTTTGAGGGTTTCAGTGATCATGCGTTGCGGACATTTCTGCTTGCCTTACGTGTCGTTCGTGAAGACAACGAAGAAATGGCTGTAATCGCATTGAAGTTGTTGATCCTGTTATTTCGAACCTTTGGTCCGCTTCTTCAACCTCATGTGCGCGAATTCGTCAAGCTCGTCGTCGAATTGTATAAGGCCATGCCCACAGTCGTTGCAGAAATGTTCCCCTCCCGTCCTCCTCCCAGTCCTAACGTTCTAAACATCATGTCCATATCAAATACCGACTTTGCTACGGAACCTACTGCACCTAAACAACTGCAACGCGGTAACACCAGTTTCAAGGCTCTTTTAGAATGCCCGCTTATTGTTGTTTTCTTACTGCAGACTTATAAAGAGCTTGCTCAGGCTCTGTTACCGTTGCTTGCACCTCTCGCTATACAGTTCATTTCGTTGCAAGCGCTGCCACAGGCCGAGGCACACCGGTTAGCGGAGTCGCAAAACGAAACATTCGTAGGCGTGGTGCCGAGTTTGCGCCGTAATCATCACTACAATGATTTTATATCTGCGCAGGTGAAAACGTACTCCTTTCTCGCCTACCTACTGAGAGGATATGGCAATGCTTTACAACAATATAAGCAGTCGCTTCCTCTGTACACACTCCATTTGTTTATTGATTGTCCTCCCGAGTTGGCACATGCTCGAAAGGAGTTGCTTATTGCTACTAGACACGTTCTTTCCACAGACATACGTAATGATTTTTTGCCCTATATTGATGACCTTTTAAATCCCAAAATCCTTACAGGCACAGGCCTCACAGCGAAACATACTTTGCGCCCGCTAGCCTACAGCATGTTGGCCGATATGCTGCATCACGTTCGGCACAGCCTCTCACTTTCTCAAGTTTACAAAGCGGTCTGTGAATTTTCGAATGTGTTGCGTGACCCTACGTTTACGGCGGGCGTTCAAGCCATGGCTATTAAGCTTTTGCTCAACTTAATAGAACGGTTATTGTCTTTTAACGAAAAATCCAGCGCTCGCGTGATCCTTTTGGTTATTATCGAGGCTTTCGTTGAAAAAATGGAGCTTTTAAATGCAGAGATGAAGTCTATTCGTGAGGAACTGCGGGTACAGGAAGCGAACAGACCTGAAGAAAACGACGGCACCAATAACGATGGTAGTGATGGTAATGGTGTTCGCACCGATAGCGCCGACCTGGCGAAGAAATCCGACTTATTTACAAATCAAGCAGAAGCGACTAACATTAACGTCGTCATAAACCCGTTGGGTGATATGCATGAAAAAGGTCCCGACAAAGTAAAAGATCCTCTCTTTTTATTTAAACATTTAATTCTTGGCCTAAAATCTATATTCTTTGGTTTGCGAAACTGCAATGTGCCCTGTCCACCGAACAGCTCTATTTCGGCACAAGCCTGGTCAACAACCATTCATTTCACATCAAGTTCGGAAATATCGTTACTGCATCGACTATTGATTCAAGGTTGTAAAGGCTTTTATATTTACACTGTTGACGAAAAAGATGGTTCTTTGCATTCACTTCCTCTTAGTGCGCAATCAAGTTCTGATTTTAATGACCAACGACTTGCTGCTCGCATAGCGGAAGTGAAGGAAGTCTTAGAAGTTTTCGCTACGATTTTTGTATACCTTGATCCATCTACGTACATTGAACTGCTTGAAACTGAATTCCCTTCCTTGCTTGAGTGCATCACAAAAAACCTCGCATTAATCCATCTTATTCAGTTTTGGATAGTGAACGAAACAACGTCTGCTCTATGTACTGATGTATTATTAAGTTTTCTTTTAACAAAACTTGAAACGGTTGGTTCTCGAAATGTTGAAACAGTCTCTGTTTTACTGCGGTTATTCCGTTTATCCTTCATGAGCGTAAACATTTTCCCCGAAAAAAATGAAGCCGTTCTCCGGCCATACGTTTCGCAAATTCTTTATAAATGTTTCGAACTTTGTGGAAAAGCGGAACAGCCAATTAATTATTTCTACTTGCTTCGTGCTTTCTTTCGAAGTATTGGAGGGGGGAAGTTTGATTCTTTATATAAAGAAGTTGTTCCCGTTTTACCTCTGATGCTGGAAAGCTTCAATAAGCTCTTATATTCATCCAGAAAACAGAGTGAGAAAGAACTTTTCGCAGAACTTTGTTTGACGCTCCCAGTACGATTAAGTGTTTTACTACCGTATATTAGCTATCTCATGAGACCTTTAGTCATAGCTTTACGGGGTCCACCAGAAATTTCCAATCAGGGTTTGCGAACTTTTGAACTTTGTTTGGATAATTTAACCCAAGAGTTTTTTGATCCTTTACTTGAACCAGTTGCGAAGGAAGTTTTTGAAGCTTTATGGGATCACTTAAGCATTTCTTCTTCTCAAAATCAGCAACAAGTTGCAATTCGTATCCTAGGAAAAATGGGTGGTCGTAATCGTCAATTGCCTTTGGGAACTAGTGATTTTAAGAACGGTCCCGTGAAGTCGGACATCTTAACATTAAGCATGTCTTTCTTTGATGACGACAAAGAGTTTACATTTGAGCACTATCGGTTCATTAATGTTGCTAGTTCTATACTGCATAGTAAAAGTTCCTCCGAGTTGGATCTCGATGATGCGTTTCGCTTTACGTGCGCTAGTTTAAAACTTCTGTTTTCAAGCCAACTGCCACAGGAAAACGTATTGGGATTAATGGGACATTTTTCAAAAGTAATAAGCGGTGTCCCAATCGAAACCTTTTTCAAAAACAGAGGTGTTTACGGTAATTTTGGTGATATTCATACTGAAAAAAAATCCATACAAACTGAAACTGTTTTATGTCTTTTCGAAACTTTGATATACTCTTCGCAGATAGAGAAGTACAAAACAGAAGCTACGGAGCTTTTGTCTTCGGTGCTCGAATGGCTCAGTATCGTCGATATTGCTAATTGTGTTGATTCCTTACAGGCGCCAAATAAGTACGCCAACTTAGTTTCCGAAGATACGAATGTTCGCTTGACTTTTGAAACTTTCATTCGAGCCGCATTCCGTTGTTTGTCATCGGATCTGGAGACCGTACGAACGACCTCGTTGCAGTTCATAAATTACTATTTTAACACTGCAAAACAACTACTGGGATCAGCTGAATTGGTACCACATTTGCCTTCGTTTCACTCCACTCTGCTTCTGGCATGTAAAAACTGTTATGAAAGTCAGTGGTATATGAAAAGCGCTGGTTTTTCGGGGATAAATTGCTTAACAAACTCAGAAGTAGCCGGAGAAAAATGGCTACGTTTTGCCTTTACGGACATATGTAAGGCCCTTTTATTTATAATAAAGGACACTGCTTCTGATTTTTCAATTCTAAAAATCGATGAAGTTCAGGCTTCTATCCTCTTATTACTTACAAAAACATGCACTTTTCCTGATACATATAGTACCGAGGAGAAATGTAAACTGTTACTGGATTTACTTTCTCCTTTTTACTTTGAATTACCTCATCCTAACGGAAATGTACGATCTACTGTTCAGAATGTTTTAGAGACTGCTTCCAGAACCAACAATATATCTGTTAAGGATTTGCTTTCGCCTGTTAAGGATCGTATTTTAGCTCCTATATTTGGAAAGCCTTTACGAGCGTTACCGTTTGCTCTGCAAATTGGTCATATTGAGGCAATCACTTACTGTTTATCGCTAAAGCCAGCCTTCCTTGATTACAGTGATGAGTTTGTTCGGCTTTTAAGAGAAGCAATAGCACTTGCTGATGCTGAGGATGAAGCTTTTTTAAGTATTATCAAATCATCTCAGGTTAAAAGCTCCAATGCACTCAATGAGCTCCGGGTGACTTGCTTAAAGTTACTACTGACTGCGCTTCGTACCTTACGATTCGAGCAGCCTCATCAATTACAAACTCGAAATAAGATTACAAGTATCTTTTTCAAGTCACTCTACAATCCAGCAGAGGATATTTTTGTGATTGCAAACAGTGGGTTAAAAGAGATTCTTTCTCAAAATCAAAAACTTCCAAAAGAAATACTACAAAGTGGCCTTCGGCCTATCCTGGTGAACCTTTCAGATCATCAGCGTCTTTCGGTTAATGGCTTAGAGGGTTTGTCACGCTTGCTTCGGTTGCTGACGAACTATTTTAAAGTTGAAATTGGAAAAAAACTTCTTTTACATTTACAGGCGCTTTCTGGGCTCCAAGTTCTGCAGACTGCCTCATTAAAAGTACTGGAAAAAAATGACGCAGTAAGCGTCATAAGTGCACTCGTCAGAGTTTTTGAATTCCTTCCTCCTCTTGCTGTTCGTTTTCTTAGTGAGCTGACCTCTTCGGTGCTTCGCATTGAGAACGGTTTAAGACGGTTTGTCTCTAGTCCATTAAGAGAGCCACTTTCTCGCTTTTACAATGCTCACCCCGTTGAATCGTGGGATTACATTTTAACGCAACTAAACAATTCGCAATTGGTTCATCTATTGTATCATTTTTGCAAGATCCCAGCCTTAAATTACTTGCTGTTGGGTCTAACTATGTCTCTAAACTTGTTGAAATTGCTATTCAAACACCATCTTTAGAGAATTTGGCTCCGTTATTTGCAGTTCAAATTCTTGCTTGTGTTCTTCCACGATGCAGTGAAGTGAAAGCTGTCGAGGCTCTTTCCGCAAAACTGATTATATCCGCGAGATCAATCCATGAATTTGTGACGTCGTTCCCGGACGTTCTTTATTTGGAAGTAAAAAATGCTTTGAAAGCTGTTGCTGAGCTTCTTTTGAACCTCCTATCTAGGTTAGAGCGAAAATTAGAGTTCGCACTTGAGGTACTTAAGTTCGATCCTGATGTTTTGACAGAAATTGTTCCTTCTTATGTTGCTGAACTAAAAAATGTCCTTGTTAATACTGCAACTTTAAACGATGCAAAAACCACATTTATTGTTTGTTGCGAACTTATGGACGATAGAGCTTTAACGTTATCGTTAAAAACTTTTCTGTTGGATCAGATTATGTTTCCATTATTGTTGGGCGAATTTGGTTCTCAGTTAATTGATAAAGATACTGCTATAGCTCTGCATAATCACCTCTGGAAAATTTCACTGAAGGACACGACTGAGGGAACTGTATTTACCGATGATATTAGGTATCATACCCTTCGTTTAACTACCTATCTTTGTAGGGAATATCCTAAGGTATTCGGTGAGTATAGAAAAAGTATTATCATGTCTGCATGGAACTACTTTAAACTTGAAGATCCTTTGGTCAAGCACATGGCTTATGCAGCAGCATCTTGCTTTATAGCAGTTTATGATACTCCGGCAAAAATTGTCACTCCAGTTTACGTTGCCCTGTTAAAGGACAGTCAGTACGAGTATAAAAACATCACAGAGTTTTCATTAAACTGTCTCGCTCCGGTACTTCCAGTCCGTATGAACACTATGAGTGATATGACATTGCCCTTATGGGCAAAGTTACCGAAATTGGTCATCTCAGAGGATGCCCATGGACTACATCAATTAATGAACATTTTCAAGTTCATTTGCACCAACTCAAAACTGTTCTATCCATATCACAAAAATTACTTTCTCGTCATGATAAATGCCTTGCAGAAACTTGCCTCAGTTCCTACTAGCAACGATGAATCAATAACGTTAGCTCTGAACATGATTCGGACGCTTGAACAGTGGACCGCGCTGTACGAAGAGGAAAAGAAGCCAGTAACGGAATGCCCTTTAAGTGACAATGCTAAGGCTTACGTCTTAATGTTTCTGAATAAATTTATTGCTGTTCGACAGGATCCATTGGAAAACTCACTGTATGCTAAAGAAGCCATGGAATTGCTTAATAAGCTCTTGTCTCACGAGTGTTGGAAGTCTATAAAGTTTAATTATGACTTTTTTGAAAAAATTTTAGTTGAAATGGACAACACAGACAAAAATGTGAATACAATTGCAAATACGCTTAACGTTCTTGTGGCTTATTTGCAACAATTACCTTCTGATTGGATTCATGATGAACTTTCCCGGTTATCGCAACTTCTGGATAAAAGCATACGAAGCGTTAACAAGACGATTTTCAAAGCTTTACGAAAAGTTCTTGTTCCAATATTGAAAAACGTTCCTGTAAAAACCGAAAATGATGACGATTTGTTGGAAAATAGGGGTTTTCGAAGTGTATTACTTGCCGTTGCTCAAGACAATCTCGCTGCGATGACTAATTTAGACGCAATCATTTATATTTTGGAGACTTTTGCTGAAGACCATGTTGAAACATTAGATTTCTTAGTGACGGGACTAAGCAAGTCATTTCAAAAAGTTGTCAAAGACCATCTTATGCTTATAAGCCAAGCTGCTTCTGGCTCTGCGGATGGAAGTACTAAATATGCTGAGGCTCTTGAGCAAAATTCATCTCTACTCATACGAATGATAGACGTGATTAAATTACGAATGGCTCATTTGGGTGATCAAAGACGATGGTTTCTTGATGTGCTAATACAACTTATCGATAAAAGTACAAGTTTTGAGCTATGTTCTCATATCCTTAAGCTAACAAGAGAATGGGTATTGGTGCAACGTGACACCTTTCCTACTATTAAAGAAAAAACTGTATTATTATTGAAGATGCAACTTTTTGAGGGTCGTTTTTCGAACAAATTGGTAAAGGATGCTAGCGATTTGCTTTGTGAAATCTACACGAATCCTACTTTTTATCAGACTGAGCTTACGGCAAGATTGAAGCAGGCGTTTCTTTTCACAACTGAATCAAAAGACTCTGTAATAAGGCAGAAGTTTATGGCAATTTTGGATAAAAGTATGTCGAAGTCGATTTACTCTCGTTTACGTTTTATTTTTGAATCAAAATGTTGGGATGTAATCCCTGCTGCTTACTGGATTAAGCAAGCAAACTATCTTCTTTTAGGGTGCATTAACTTTGACAAAGTTATCGCACCTACTCTTCAATGTCTCCGCTTCACATCACCCCAGGACATATGCTCTCGTTTTTCCCACATATTAGCATCCATCTCGAGCGATAACCAGGATGAATTCAAGACTAGTTTGAGTAAACGGTTGAAACTCTTCTTCGAATCTTCTAATCAGGTGCGTGCTGCTGATATTTGCAGTTGTATCGCGAATATGCAATTCATAAAAAAAGATGAAGCACATATTTTATGGTGTAAACTGTTCCCTTCGGCCTGGTCGATGTTGAAATTAAGAGATCATTCGGATTTAACTAAATCTGTTATATATTTACTTACTCGAGAGTTTCATCTTCAGCAGGTAAATAAGCGTCCTAATGTCATCAAGACATTAATTAGCTCCTTTAACTATAGTCGTCCTATGCTTGAGCTTCCACCGCACTTGGTGAAGTATCTGGGGAAGCTCTACGGCATTTATTACGAAAGCATAGTATTTCTGGAGGATCAGCTTCAAGAAAATGGCGATGTTGACCAAAGTGCAATTGTTCAGGAAAGTCGCGCGAACGCATTAGCTGAGATGTATGCCTCTTTAGAGGAGTGTGATATGTTTTATGGTCATTGGCGCAATCGCAGTAAATACCTTGAGACTGTTGTTGCTATGTCATATGAGCAACTTGGTATGTGGGGAAGAGCCCAACAACTGTTCGAGCAAGCGCAAATGAAGGCTCGAAGTGAGGCCAATCCCTTTACCGAATCCGAGTACAACGTCTGGGAGGATCATTGGGTACTCTGCACTCAAAAGCTACAACAGTGGGACGTTCTTACAGAACTTGCTAAGCATGAAGGTTCTTCGGAACTGTTGCTGGAATGTGCATGGCGCATTAGTGATTGGTCAAACAATCGCTACTCTCTAGAGGTTGCTATAAAGAATCTCTCTGCCGTTCCAACGCCTAGAAAACTAACATTTCAATCACTCATTACTTTGCAAAAATCTATAAGTCAGCCGACCGCCATCGTGGATTTCCAGAAGGCCTTAAATGAAGCTGTTCAACTGTCGCTTATCAAATGGCAACAACTTCCGGAGAAGGTAAATCAGTCTCATCTCTCACTCTTAAATCTGTTTCAGCAATTCGTAGAGCTTCAAGAGTCGAGTACAATTTACTCGCATCTTTCTTCGGTCAATGCTCAAAACATTACGGCTCATGTTTCACCAATTAAGAGCATCTTGCAAGCATGGCAGGAAAGATTGCCTAACCTTTGGGAGAATATTACTATTTGGCGCGACCTTGTTTCTTGGAGACAGATTACGTTTTCCATGATAAACCGTGTATATCTACCGTTAATACCTACTCTGCAAAAAAGCAATCCAAGCAATTCCACTTCCTTCTTGTTTCGTGGTTACCATGAAACAGCTTGGATGATTAATCGTTTTGCACGAGTAGCCAGGAAGCAAGGCCTGTTTTCTGTCTGCCTCAATTTATTAACAAAAATTTACACGCTGCCGAATATTGAAATTCAGGAAGCATTTTTTAAGTTGAGGGAACAGGTTTTGTGCTATTTGGAGAACTCCAAAGAACTAGAGGTTGGTTTGGAAGTTATTACGAATACGAATGTGATGTATTTCAGTGCACCCCAAAAATCTGAATTTTTTACTCTTAAAGGTGTTTTCTTGGAGAAATTAAAGCGTTTTGACGAAGCAAACCAAACTTATGCTGCAGCTGTCCAGATTGACTTACATCTTCCTAGAGCTTGGGCGGAATGGGGAAGATACAACGACAAACTGTTCCAACAAGATGCTGGAAATCTCAATGCTGCCTGTAACGCAATGAGTTGTTATTTGCAGGCTGCTGGTCTTTTTGACAATGCTAAGGCTCGAAAGCTTATCAGTAGAATCCTATGGATGTTGAGTCTTGACAACAATGAAGGTGTGATTTCAAAATCCTTTGAATCATTTAAGGGAGAATTGGTCACATGGCATTGGATAACTTTTATTCCACAACTTCTAACATCGTTGTCACATTCTGAACATCGTTGCGCCCGTCAGATTTTAGCTAGGATTGCAAAGACGTATCCACAGGCTTTGTATTATCAACTTCGGACAACTCGAGAGGATTATGCAATTATAAAAAAGAGAACGAGGGCTGCCATTGAAAAATCATCTCACCCAGAGGAAAGCTCATTTAACATGCAAAGCTCTCCACTCATGTTTACGGCAAATCATTCCTCTAACGAAAGTCATACCGACACAATGGATGAGATGCGTCAAATGGCAAGTGCCCCTAGACAGCCTTGGGAACATGTTGAGGATATCATGTCGATCTTGAAAACAGCGTATCCGTTATTGGCTCTCACTATGGAGACGCTTATAAATCAAATTCAAACACGTTTTAAGTGTAAGAGCGAGGAGGATTCTCTCCGACTTATTGTTGCCTTGTTACAAGATGCACTCCAATACAGTGTTCGTTTGGGCGCTCTTAATACTGAAAGCAAGGTCCCTGCCTCTGTTGAGTCAAATTTAAGTGTGTTTGCTGACAATGTGTTACCGGAGTATTGTCGAGAACAATTCAAAAATGATTTCCTTACGAGTAATCTAAACTTCAAGTCGTACTTGGAGCATTTGAGGATATGGCGTTCTCGTTTTGAGAGATTGTTAAAACGCTCACCGAGACGTCTATACCTTGAACAGATCTCTTCTTACCTTTCTGAGTTTCACTACCAAAAGTTCGATGATGTTGAAATACCGGGTCAATACCTTCAACATCGCAACAACAATACTAATTTTGTCCGGATAGAGCGGTTTTTACTCGAGGTTGATGTTGTTATCCGTTACAGCGTTTGTCATAAACGCATAACGATTCGGGGTTCTGATGGTAGCTTGCATCCTTTTGCTATACAGTATCCCTCAGCCAGACATAGCAGACGTGAAGAACGGATTATGCAGTTACTGCGGATTTTCAATGATGCAATGGACACGGATTGTCAGACTCGGAAACGTAACTTAAAGTTCTTCGTTCCCGGAGCTATACCGTTGTCTGCACATATTCGGCTACTCACTGACGATCCTACTTTTGTAACACTGCACGAGATCTTCCAAACGTACTGCCATGCGCAGGGTATAGATGAGTCAGCTCCTACTACAAAGTTTGCTATTTCACTTTCTGACTGTCTGCGTTCCATCAATGTTCAAGGTGCTTCTTCATTTACGGATGAAGAAAAAATGCAAAAGAAGAAGTTTGTATTTGAAAAACGTATTGAGCTGTATAAGGATATTCAAGCAAACATGGTTCGCCGCACGGTGGTTCTTGATTTTTTCCGCGAAACAATTGAGGACTACGCGCATTTTTGGTTGTTTAGAAAGAACTTCACATATCAATATGCTTGCTTTGCTTTTGCTTCCCATGTACTAAGCATCAATAATCGTTTTCCTACAAAACTATACTTCACTAAAAATGCGGGTTTCGCTTGGACGACCGAAATGTTACCTGCAATGGCTAGCAATTCACCCGTCTTTCATAACAACGAGATTGTTCCGTTCCGTTTGACTCCAAATATCCAGGAGTTTATCGGCAAGACTGGAATGGTTGGGTTGTTCGGTCCCTCAATCATGATAATTGCCCGAGCACTAATGCAACCTGGCTATGATCTTGATATGTGGTTGAGCATCTTCATTCGTGACGAACTCATTTGGTGGTTCACTCAACAACGGCAGCCTCCTTCCTCTAACGGTTTACTGAGAGAAAAAGTGATTAGCAATACCGACTTAATTGTCCGTCGGGTTTCATCTATCGGTCAGCCTGCTTTTGGCAATTTGCCTGCGAACCAAACAATATTGGATTATATATCGCAAGCTGTTAATCCAAAAGCGCTGGCCCAAATGGATGTTTTGTGGGCCCCTTGGTTGTAAATATTAGATATGATTAAACTAATGAACTGTTTACTGAAATTAGCAAGTCAGTTGAGAAAGCGTATTGCCTTGGTAGCTCAACATTGAGCAATCAAGAATTGTTGCATTTGTCGTAAACGTTTTGTAATAGTACCATCACACGTTTTCGTATTGACGCAGCAAGTGTCTCAACTCTTCCGTCTACAGCTGTCCTCAACGTAAAAGCCACCATCAATTACAAGAAATTAAGTTCTGTGTGAAGCCGGCTGTCGTTTATTCTCAATTATTATTCTAAATATATAATGTCTACGCCCGCTAAAATAGAGGAGCTTAAAAAGGAGCCCGAACCTGTTAAGGTAATTCAGGAGTATATCAACATTTAACTAACGAGTTTAGTCGCAGATGGCTACTTTAAAGAGCAAATGCAATTTCTTTGTGCTTATCTTACTGTCTGTCCCTCTCAGTTTTCTGACTGTGTTGCTATTCGTGTGGTTTTTACTTTTCGGATTGCTTAGCATTGTAGGAATTACTGCAGTCGTGCTAGCCCTGGTTGGTGTGTTATCTATTGTCGGAACTGTCTGCTCTGCCTTGGGTGTTTCTATCAGTATTGTTGGTCTTGCTACGGCAATTATAGGATGCATCATTACGACAATTGTCTTTACCGTACAAAAGGTGTTCCATTATTCACGCCGGTTCGCTCAGAGATTCATTCCTTACTGGACTAATTTCGAGTACGGAGTATACCGTCTGCGTTTGGTTACGGAATATCGTGTCCGACGTCTCAGTCTTTCTGCATACAATGGTATCCACAGTCTTATCTGCAGCAACAACAAGCAGCCAAAGTTATGAGCATGAGTTATATAGTTTATGAGTACTAGTTTTATGACAATATTTATATGGAATTAGTTTTAAATCAAGAAGGTCTCACTAGCTAGTGAGAGGTCACTCGGCGTTTTTGGCAACATGATGAGAGGGGGAATGATGCAGGCACAAGCTATGCAAATGGATTGCGGTCAGGAACAGATTTTTGCCGTTCTATTTTTCTTCGCTGTCTGGCCATTTCTTGTTCCTCATCTTCAGCTTTTCGTTTTAAGTAAACAGCACTATTTTTGCGCTGATATGGGTCCATACAGAAATAAAGCTTTTTTCCAATTTCCTTAGCCTTATTTATATCTGTTTGTGCGTGTTGCAACTCTAGGAGTTGTGCTTCATTTTCCTTTACCTTGGGCATTAATTTTTGTAGATTCTTTGCTTCCAAGTACTGTGTGCACAAATCCTGATTAACGTGATAAATGGCCGATAAGGCCATTATGCTCGGAGAATAGAGAAAATACAGGTCTGAGTGCAATGTTTCGGACAGGAACTGTTTGGCCTGGTCGTGACATTTGAAGAGTGTTTCATGCGGAAAGGAGGGCAGAGCTTTTTGGCAGTCAAGCAGAAAACCCTGTAACGGTCTAAACGGAAGCCAAACATAAAGATCCCAATCGAGGCTCTGACACAAATAAAACTCGAATTCTAAAATTTGCTGCGGTGTGGAATTGGGTATCTTTTTGCAAAACTGGTCAATGGGTATGTAGTGATCACTAGCTTTAGTAGCTGCGTAAAGAGCGGTGAAACTGTGTATTTGTATTAGAACAAATCCTTCATCGGTTAGACGTACATGATCGTTTTGGGATTGTACTCCATGATAGAGTTAACGAGGAAAAATCTCTTAAAGTACGTCACAGCATAACCCTGATAATGTGTTAAAAGAATACGAAGGACAGGTAGTTTTGCTTACTCTAATGTGACTAGGCAAGTTCATTGCAGCAGCCAGTGTGCCCAACTGACAAGTGTAATACACAACGAGTAGTAACTCTTCGTCTGCATTCAACGTGACAGGCAGTTTGTCTTCAGAGGCATCTTTGTTTTGCATTCGGTACTCTTCCGCGATATGTTTTCTCACTTTTTCAGAAGCCTTTTGATTTACGCTTTCTCGTTTCTCCCGAAGAGTTGTTTCAGTAAAAATCCAGTCTTTACACTGGGTAGATTCTTTAAAACCTCCGTCGGCCATTGTGTCTAGCCCAAGAATACCGACCCTTTTTCGTGCTGTAATTAAATTGTGAATAAATCAATATGAAACACGTCTAGAGTGCTAAGAAGTTCAAAGAGAACTCAAATTTACCGAGTTGAAAACTACTTAAAATATCGTTTTAGTCCTGCCACTTCGGTTTCTTTTCAATGAACAGCCTTCGCGACAATCCTAGAAAATGTTTTTAATTAGCCAAAAAATCAAAGAAAATTGAAAACGGTAAAGGTCATCTTAAGAACACGGTTTGTCGTACCAAAAATGCTCTGCTTCTAAAGGAAATTATCAAGGCACAGGTATCTTCTGTACTGCTTTAAGGCATTCTCATTATTAATTGCGTTGATTAATTCACCACCAAAATGAAACTCACCACCAAAAATTGACGACAATACCGCTGCCTGCCTGTGTCAAGGCCGGTTGCTACTGCTTACCGCTCTCCGTTAGGGATTGTTTCAACAATGGCCATGCAAGACCTTGGATTTCCCGCTTACGCTGTTACATGGATTACAAATAGTGTAATTGCTGTCGGAGGAGGTGGTGGTGCCTCCAATACCGGTGTTAAGAATCAACTGGTATGTTTCTGTAATAGATAGAATGACTCGTTGGAAGTTGAGCTCAGCGTTTTTGATTATTTGTTTCTGACGGTGATTTGTTGATAGAAAGTGTTTGGTTATAATGAGGACGAAGGTAACAGTTTTTTCGTTCCAATGCAAGATATCGAGTTGAAGGACACTGATGATGCTGTGATGTCTTTGGACTCGGATGGACAGGTGTGTTTTTGAGTCGCAGAGAATTAGTGGTTCTGTTACTAGTCCTACTTCTACTGCAATTGTATATCTACGTGTATCTAACGGTTTTCTGTTAAGATATTGATTGCCGGTATCAACGATTTGTCTGATGAGTCTTCAAACAAGCACTTAAGAATTTACAAGAAAAACGCTAAAAACCTTTTTGAATTCGAAGCTTCATATCAGCTTGCGAATTTCACGAACTCAGAAGAGTATCAACGCCTGTGCCGTTATAATACCCAGCGCAAGCTAATATTTATTGCCTGTACCAATAAGACGTTTTCTGTCATTCACAAGTATGACAGTGGACTGCGTTTTGAGCTTAAGGATCTCGATGTCTTTGATATCAGCTTCTCACCTGAATATGTAAGTAGACGTGGTGCTAAAGCGATTTACTGACCATTGCAGTGCGCGTTCGCAAGTACTAATGCTATTCACATATATAATTGGGAGTACAAGCTTGTTCAGCGTTTAGAACTTCCGTTTGAAAAGGTCAGTATCCGAGGTGTTGCACTCATGAAAAAGAATGCAGTCCTTTGTGCCTTTAATCGGGTCGAAAACGGCACTCGATTAGGTTATCTTGCCAGATTCGAGATGGATCCCAAGGCAAAAGTATGGGCATTCAAGAAAAGTCTTTTGCTAAAGAACTCTCGAGGCATTACAGCTTTCTGTGCTGAGAATGTGTCAGGTATGTTAGTTATTGCTACTGCTGACTGCACTCTTCGCATTATGACCAACCGCCTTCAACCCATTTCGAAAATTCCCCTTCACAAACTCCCCATTACTTGCGTATCTCTCTCACCGGATGCTGAGAACGTTGCTACTGTTTCAGCTGATGGCACTCTGGCGGTTACTTATGTCGGCAAGTACAAAGTGCTGAGTAGTGTTAAGATTACCGATGTAGGAATTGCCCCTCGTCTACTCATTTTTGCGGTATTTGTAGCCTTGATCGCTGTGCTGTACATGAACATACTGTTCCCCGGTCGTGTGCTCGAGGAATTCCACAATTTCACCAATATGATGACGCATAGAACTGTTCTGCTTCTTACCTCTTGGAAACGACTCCTGTAGGAGAAAGCCTTTTTATAAAATATTTGTTTTTTTTTTTCAATTAGTTGCCCTTGGTTATTCCTGCAACGTCGATGGAAATAAAAGAACAAACAGCTTTCTGTGTTCATTATCCTGTTAATTTTTCCAGGACACTTGCTGGTTGGATTTCTTGTACATCGAGCAATTATAGGCCGTTTGTTGATCAAGTTTATCTTGTCAAGGCTTATTTCGATATTAGAGTGCTTAGTTCCTGCGAGCTATTTTAACGAGAGCTTAGTCTTCGCTTCCCTCACCTTGCAAAGGATTTATGAATTCACGTTTGTTTTGTTTAAGTCGTCTACAGATCTCTCTCCTTCTGTTGTACTGTTATAGCAAGAATACACACCAACTTCTGGTTATAAACGTGCATAGCGTAATGTAATTGTTTCGCGCTCATGCACATTAGTTAACGAATCGAGAAACTATTTGTTCTGATTTATACTTTCATTTGCTCATTGTATTAAGCTATCCGAAACGAACAGTATTGACTGCCAAGCCATTCTTCCTCAATTAACACCAAAATGCCTCATAAACGTCGATTCTGGACGAACAAAACTCGAACCAATGCTCTGTTTCTACTTACAGCCGTTGTTTGCACCGTTTCTGTAGTATTTAACTCAACCATAAAATTCCAGTCCAAAGACAAGCAGCGACGCTGATTACGGCAATTCTAAAACCAGATCTGTATAATATATAGCTGACAGCTGTTGCTTCCCTGTTCATACTATGTATCCTTAACTAATTACAGGAATTTGCGAAAAGGTGTATTATTAAAACTCGAACCTCTAACTTCAACTGACCTCCCACTTGCCACTTGTTACAACGTAATATTTGAAAGTCAAGAACTCGAATATCTCCTACACCGAGCTGAGACTGGCTCCGTTGTTTGAAAAGACAAATTGTCTCGTGTTAACTGTTTCACACCTATTTATTAAGGAGTAGTATAACTTGGATAAATCCATACTACTTCCACTTTAGGCTGTTTTGATGATTCAGAAACTGCTGTTTCATGGTAAGTCGGAACCTTTTCCTTGCACTTTGTATGAGTAAACTAATGTATTTTGCTTAGTTCTGCGTCAGGCGGACGATTTAGACGATGATCCTGATGCCGATACAACGCCTGCATTGCAGGAATTGTACTCTAGTTGGGCGCTTTTCATTCTTCTCGTCTTATTGATTGGTGCCCTGTTGACGAGTTATTATGTCCAGTTAAAGCGTATCCGTGCTGTTCATGAGACGGTTATTTCTGTTTTTGTCGGTATGATCGTTGGTTTGATTATTCGAGTATCGCCCGGTCTGATTATTCAAAACATGGTATCGTTTCATTCGACATACTTCTTTAACGTTTTACTGCCCCCAATTATTCTCAATTCTGGTTACGAGTTGAACCAGACTAATTTTTTCCGAAACATTGGAACCATCTTGACATTTGCATTTGCTGGAACCTTTATCTCAGCAGTTGTGATGGGATTTCTAATCTATCTTTGGTCGTTTCTTGGAATTGAGAGCCTCAGATTATCGCTGGTCGAAGCATTGGCCGTTGGTGCAACATTGTCCGCTACTGATCCCGTTACCGTTCTTGCTATTTTTAATTCGTACAAAGTTGATCAGAAACTCTACACGATTATTTTCGGAGAAAGTATTCTTAATGATGCGGTCGCTATTGTCATGTTTGAGACTTTGCAAAAGTTTTACGGTAAGAGTTTGCACTTTCTTACTCTTTTCTCGGGCATTGGAATCTTTCTTGTAACTTTCTTTGTGAGCTTAGTGATTGGCGTATCCGTTGGCTTTCTTACTGCCTTACTGTTGAAACATTCGTCCTTGCGCCGCTACCCTCACATTGAGTCTTGTATCATTTTATTGATGGCTTATGCTTCATACTTTTTCTCGAATGGCTGTCACATGTCTGGTGTCGTTTCACTTCTATTCTGTGGCATAACCCTGAAGCATTATGCTTTTTATAACATGTCTTACAAAGCTAAGCTTAGTACGAAGTACGTGTTCCGCGTGCTTGCTCAGCTGAGCGAAAACTTCATTTTCATTTACCTGGGTATGTCCTTGTTCACCCAGGCTGATTTGGTGTATAAGCCCTTGTTTATTCTTGTTTCTACTGTTGCTGTCTGTGCTTCTCGATATGCCAATGTTTTCCCACTCAGTAATTTCATTAATAAACTGGGTCATAGGGCTTCAGGAAACAACGTCGACCGCATTCCTTACAGTTACCAGGTAATGCTTTTTTGGGCAGGCCTTCGCGGTGCCGTCGGAGTGGCACTGGCTGCTGGGTTGGAGGGCGAGAATGCACAATCATTACGTGCAACAATTCTTGTTGTCGTCGTGCTTACTGTTATTATTTTTGGTGGTACTACAGCAAGAATGTTGGAAATTATGGGCATTCAAACGGGAGTCGAAGATGAGGAGGAAAGTGATGGAGAAATCGTTCCCTCTTGGGGACGACAGGGTAATGATCGTGTTCTGCCGCGCGACAGTCTGGAACTCCAACAAGCTGTACAACCCGCTGATTTGACTCAATCATTTGGCTTGTCTGCCTCTGACGACGATGAGCCAGTCGTTCCCGAAGGTGCTGTCGTGAATACTGCTGGTCGGTTTTCCCAATATCAGCGAGCTGCAGACATGTTCAACGACTTTATCCGTTCTTCGCGTGAAGATCAAGCACAATGGCTTATACGCTTTGATGAAAATGTTCTTAAACCCGTTCTCATCGAACAAGACATACTAAAACGAACTACTGAGCCTTAGCAGGTTACTAGTGATGCTGTTTATAGACTATTGTCAAGTTTTGTTGGCTGATTTGGGCGTCAAAGTCTACATTCATTTTTTTCATACCCTCTTTCTGAAAGCGTTATGTCTAAACAATTGTCCTGCTAATGATTTACTTTTCATCATGTAACACAATCGAATATTAAAAAGTGTTTATGCATTATCTATATGTATATTTGGGCTTGTTTAGTTATCTTCTGTAGCATGAGCTGGATGTACGACCTTCCTTTAACACGTTAAAATTTATCGACAGTTTATATTTCATACAGTTCGTACGACCGGGACAAAATGTCGTTGGTATTTCGAGAGATTGTTGACGAGGAATTTAAAGACATTTGTGAGACTTTTCGGAAGTCAATTGATGCTGAATTCAGCGCAAAGTCTTTGACTTGCGATTTGTTCGATTCGGACCTGTTCGTTGAACAAGGAACTTCTCAGATATTTACATCTACTCAGGACGTTATATTGCTTCCTTTAAACGTGATTGATGCATTGGAATTACGAGTGTTAGAAGAAAATGTTTCTATCCCTTTGGCACCGTTTGAACCCATAGAAATTAAAGCGAATGAGCATTGTTTCCTGTCTTGGGAAAGACTCTCTTTACGCAATCGAATTCGTAACATGCAAGCATATCCAAAGTCAAAAGCAGAGACCGAAGAAGCCAAGTGTAACGGAATCTTCATTGCCTTTGGCCTGAAAGAACGAGGAACAAATCAGGAACACAGTGCGACTGCACCCCAAGATATTCCAGCGGAGCAGAAGGTTATTCTTAAATGGGAAGATTGAGCGAGACCGTGGACAGATCAGCAATTTCGCTATAACTGGTTTTCCCAAACGGTCCTCAGTCCTTTTCATAAAAAAAAACACAGTATTTGAATCTACATATCCAGTTACGCTAATGCCCACGGAGGCAATCGACAGCTATTATACTAACTGTTTTTGCATCGTTTACTCTGTTAATGATTTGCAACAGTTACGAACCTTGTACAGGCTTGTTACTGCCAATACAAGTTTCCGTTATTTTACATTCTAATTTCTTATCCCACTGCTATATCTTAGCTGCACCAAATTGTCTCTCTGTAACAAACTTTCAGCTGTACGATCCTGTGAATTGCTCAATCCATTTCCCTCTTATTCGTGTGGTCTCATCCCGCTACTTTCGCCCTTTAATTGTTTCCACACCTCAGTATTTCCGTCACTCCTTGTTTGTGAGGTTTTTATAATTAATGAATTCTTATGATTCGGTACATTTGTTAGTCGATTACAACCATTACAATCATATAACGCAATCGTATCTTCAATTAGCAGCCGCGTACATTGTTAGTCCCTTTCTTCCTAAGGGGGGGACAGCTAACTATTTCGATAAATTTCAATCGCACAATTATAAACACTTTAGACATGGCCTCCTTCTAGCAACTCTCAAACACCCTCCTGAATACCTCTTTACTCTCCCCCCTATGGCTTAGAGCGTTCTGATCATCAACTTGAAACCTGTTTCCCTTTTCCCTCAATTGCGGGTGAACCGTTTAAACAAAAAATCGCGGAATAGTTCATCCTTCAACATGCTCCATCACCGTTAATATTTTGCAACATTTCAAAATGAATCAGAAAACTTAGACTACTGTACACCCGTACATCTTTTTGGTCCAGGAGGACTGTCGAATTATATCCCCCTTCGTTGTCTCCCAACACCAGAAACAATATACAGAAAGAAATCATTTCGAAAATTGCACTTCATCACAATCTCTGTAGGCCGAATTGGTATGATTACAGCTCACTTTGAGACCTAACGTTTCTGTTGATTGTTTGTTTTATACAGAAAATTTCAAAACAAACCTTTTGTTACATAAGGTGACACAAACAAAGTGTTTCTGATATTTTGTGTACAAATATAGGGAAACTGAAAGTTTCTGTAGCACAATGACCAAATCTCGGCTACTTTTTCTCTCAATTGCTGATGTAAATGACCATATCATTTTCATTTATACAAAACAAAATGACAAAACTACCTCAGAGAAACTTCAGCTTCTTACGGAACTAAGCTTGGATGTTATTCATGAAATGTGTGATTCAACGGAACGACCTATATTAGAGAATTACTTGGGCCTTCTCGGCGTGGAAGATGACATAAGCGCTTATGGATATGTGAGCAACACACAGACAAAAGTTATAATAGCGGTTCGTTCGTCTGAGTTCTTGGTCAAAGATGCAGACATTAAGACGGTAAGTTTGCAAACGGGAATCCTAAGGTTTACGGGAAATTACTCACACACAATGAATATCTAGCTTCTAAAACAGGTACACGTCGCATACACACACACGCTTTGCAATCCGTTCTACAACAGTCGAAATGAAGTCGCAGCACTGGAGCAATCTTCGTTCTTCAAAAGCACTTTTTATCAAATCTTGAAGTCATGGCAAGACCATTAATGAAATCGGTATCACTTTACTATTAACGACACTACGTTACGCCTTTCTTACTCAGTCAGCATTCGCCCGTAGTCCAACGACGTACGCAATAGAAGTTATTATGTTCACAAAAACTAGCAAAAATTCAAAGCATTTTGAGCATTCACATGTGTGAATTAAAGTAGGTTAAATAATTGCACCCCCTTGAAAGCCCTGGAGGTCAATGCGACGAGCAATCAGTGACAGTATGCCATGGTGTAGCCAAGGTGTCCGAATAGAATAGTCGTAACGTTTCTGGTTTAAGAATTGTGGGCGACCGCGATGCAGTCGGAAATCAGTTTCACCATGTACATCAAGGTACGGAGCGTCTGCCAGCGTTCCTACTTTCAGTCTTGTATCAAGATGTAAGATACCACAAATTTTAATAATAAAACACAGGCCAATATTCTTGGAGCATACTTTGGCGTGCTCATCCCATTCATCATCCTCACCAGAATGATTGGGGTCAGAGTAAGAACCAAAGCATACAATGCTACCGCAATTCAAGCAAATTGCCGGAGAAACAGGTTTCTTCTTGCAAACACTACACAAGCAATCTTGTAGCACATCAATAAAAGTTTCAAGTTTGTACGGCAATTTAAGCAACTCATAAATGCCAGGATATTCAATTCTAACATCATGAACTTGTCCACAAGCAAAATGCTGGCCCCAAGACATCAGTACATCCTTCAAAGGTGTTTTATTGTCATTTTCGTAGAGAGAGTAAACCTCGGGAAGAGAGGGAATACACATGGCTTTGCTTAGTTTTATGAGCTCTGGCAACGCAAGATCTTCGTCGTCAGTATAATCCTCCAAGTTGACGTAAAAACGACAATAGTAGAGCAAAGCCAGCTTTCTTAATAATATAAGTTCATGAACCTCCACGAAATTCATGAGCGCATATACGATGGTCTTGTCATCGAGATACGCCAAATAGCTCTGCATACCACAAGATTGCAGAGTAGCAGCGCATAACTTGGTGAAACCAGAGATTTCCGAAGGCGTGTACTCATACGAGCAGGCAGGTTGGGAAACCTTTGTTTCAGCAAAAAGTTTGATCATGGAAACAATGGTACGTGGAATTGAAGCAAGGTAATACATGATTGTATATTCGTTCAAGGAGTCATTATCGGCATCATCAAGGATGGTAAGATGAACGAACTGGCTAAACAAATCAGACTCCAACAGGGATGGCTGAAGGTTAGACAGGTCTTGCTCTTCATCAGATTGATTTTTAGGATTATTGGGAAACAGCTTCATCAAAAGTAGTCTGCGCATTAAAAGAATATCAAGAACTTGACTGTCTCCACGATTAGCATAGTAACACAGAATACCTTTAACAGACTCAGCAAGTGTATTAAGGAAACAAAGCATGCTTTGATTAAGGTGAGAGAACCATATTTTTTTACCAGGAACAGTGCCTTTCATACCCCGTGAGCTAATCTCAATGCAACTTAAGGTGTATGAGAAGCAGTTTAATAGTTTTTCCAGAAGAGAATAATTTAAGGCTCGAAGATTAGTTGGGTAAGCATGAAGTGCACCCAACGTTTCAGCAAGCTTGTCATACAAGCCAACGATTTCGATAGGAGAGACACTATGAAGCCGATGAGCATTGGAGCTTCTAAAAACAGAAGCATCAAACGTTGACATTATTCTTTCACATTTCGAAGAAATGTCAAAACTCGAAACACTCATAATGCCAGTGTTAATATGCTTAAGCTGGTTTCCTAACCACAATTCAAAGGAAGCCAAGTAAAGTTCACGCTTCATTTGTTTTTCAGGCCTTGGCTCCCACAATACAGGAAGTAGGATGTTGCAAAGGCTCTTGCAGAGAGGACAAGTGAAATACCGCAAGTTCCTGGTTCCTGTACGGGTCGACGGAAACAGAAGGAAGGTCGGGTTGGATGCGCTCGTTGATGTGTAATTCTTATAGCAGGTTATATGCATCAGATGACTGCAAGACAGAGCATAGACATCACTTGTGTTATTGTTTATCGGAAATCCACCTTCAACTCGTGTCTTACAAGGGGTTAAAGAAGCTGGTTCTTGTTTGAATCCAAATGGTCGATCCTCATACTCAGCATCAAAACTCTGAGGCAATAGCTGCAGCTCTTTTAAGCTCGTAGGATTGTTTAAAGGGGTCATACGCAAAAGCGAACTGTTTTGTAAAAGTCCCAAAACACCATATGGCTTTCTGTCATTGCACTCTTCCTGACAAAGAAGGCAGTTACCAGAACTGTACTCCAAAAATCTCGTTTCTTTATCTGTTTCTTTAGAGCTGGATTCATTTTCATTCTCCTCATCCTCCTCCATTTCAAAATCTTTGTTTTGAGCCAAAAATGAAGCCTGTTGTTGCTTCATTTGTTCAAGGATTTGTAGTTGTCTTTCTCTGGCAACTCTCTTTTTCTGACGACGAAGACTCTCTTCATCCTCGTGAGAATTATCGCTTGAAGAGAAATTAAGTTTTGAATTTTGCACCATCGTGTTATATGCTTCTTCGGCATGGGAACGGAAGAAGCCAAGCAAGTATTCACATTCCGTAGAAAGAGAAACTAAACTGCCGGAAGGAAGTACGTACAAAATTTCAGCGATGGTTAAATCATAAGTTTCCAGTTTGTTGGATCTTTCGTCTAAAACACTGTAAGGGAACCTATTTGTACAGCAGTTTACCGAAAAGCGATTTGTATGACATTGCTCGTCCAATTTTGTTCCGATTATTAAAAGGTTAACGGCTGCACAAACGATATCGTCCGCATTAATCAAATCGTACGTCGAATTAAGAACATATTTCAGTGCACAAGCAATTATTTTTATGAAGGTTAACGAATGAGTCAAATTAAGAAATATGTCTTCGTTGGAAGAACCGTTAAAACATAGCTGAATATTCGGTACAAGAACAATAGAGTTTTCATTCTTCATTGTGTGACGTGCGAGGCGTTTCTTGAGGGACACTGCAGCTTCTTCGCGCTGATTTTTAGAATAGTGTACACTGAAAGGATTAACACGATCATTAGTACTCATCTTAGTGTGTAAACGCCGTAATCGTAAACACCTCCCGGGTGCTTTGTAAGTTGTAACAGATTCGAGAATCGAATCAAAGGCACTATACTCAGTGTACTGCTCCGAAATACGTTGCAAAAGTGAGGAATACGCCAACGGGCCCAAAAACTAACTGCTGGGCGATACGATTCTTAATCAACTCTTCCACAGACAACTGCTGCAACTGCTCGCGCTCGGTGATGAGACCCACAATCATAAGTAGTAATTTCTCCACCATTAATGGTAACCTTTCGCTGTCGTAAACTGAATGCTCGTAAGAAACTGATGCAACCCAATCTGTTAACTCAAAACGTTGGACTATGGCATTTAGTGCAAGGTCGGGTGGCAATGTGGAAACCATAAGTTGAACCAAGAGTAAGTCTTTATCGAAAGCATAATCATAAATAGTGAGATGCTTATAATGATGGGCCATTCCGCGGACCTTGGCACCATTGCGCACCCACAAACCAACGTCAATTTGAGCTAACCAGACAAAGGCACGGAGTGGGTGATCCATCAGGGCAAGTTTCGTTCGGTCATCCCAGGTAGAGAGTCGCGAAGGATTCATAAACTTCATGATGCCTGATAAAACCCAATGCAATGGATGGTAAAAGCTAACGGAGTCGCTTGATACTTTATGCTCGACCAGAGGTGTCGTCTCGTTGTAATCTGCCGCAGGCAGACACGCACTAGGCTCGGTTTCTTTTTTATTTTGGTGCACTGGTTGCAGAATAAAATCAATTAAGTAGTTGCAAGCATACAACATATCCTCGTAAGGGGCCGAAGAATAGCAGCAGGCCACTTTATGACCAAGTTTTGCAACTGAATAAATAACGAATAAAAGTTTGTAAATGGACGAATCCCACTCCACATGTTCATGAACAGCACGAACGTGACATAATATTCCTTGAAATAAATGAAATAGATCACTATATTGTTTGATGAAGCGTTTATCAGAATGGACTAAGCCCATTACGCTAGGGTGCATCAACAAGTAACCCAAATCGCCAAAAAGCATAGCATTCCGCTGGCTTACCAGCGCGCGTTGATTAATCTCGATGCTTGGACCACCAGTTTCAGTAGACCGGCTTCGCTTTTGGCACGTAAAGAGTGAATATAAGGAAGAGTTAGCTGTGGTGAGAAAGTCGTAACGAAGTACAAGCAATTCAGCCAAGCTAGGAGTGGTGAAAAACTGTACGGATAAAAAGGTGACTGAATGTTCGGGCTCTCTATCGGCAAAAAGAAAAGCTCGAGAGAGGGTTTTGTAGAGGATAGAGAAACGAATGGCCATTGCACGTTTAAATTGCAAATTCTGGTTTAAAGGGACAACATAGAGCTCAGACAGCAGATTCCGTAAATTCTTCCAATACTTCAAATCATAGAGGAAGAAATAATCAAGTCGGAGTCGCGAGTACGGTGATTCTGCCATTGAAAGTACTTTAAGACCTTCCTCTCGTGGTGATTTCCAGTAATCTCCAGGAAGAGTTATACGCTCAGTCGGCAAGGCAGAATGCATGCGTCGGCGTTCATTAATTAATTGTCGAATATTACGAAGGACGACAGGTCGAAAGTCTTCAACATTCAAACCATCATTCATTTGCCGAAAACCTTCAACGTCTAGTTCATCGTCGACATCAAGATCATCGTCTCCCTGCTGAAGATCATCCAAATCCAAGCCTGGAGCAGCATGCGAAAAATGTCCAAGATGCTCGGCATCAAAAAGTCCGTCACTGTCATCATCATTAACGCTTTCTATAGGGTGTCGTTAAATTAGGTTCGTCATAAGTAGGGTGCTTCAAGCCGCTATTCCAACACTTTACGAGTTCGTCGCAAATGATATCGCGAAGGAAACCCTTGTAACCACAGATCTGTGATTCCATCAAATCGTAAAGCCACAGTATGAGTGTTCCACAGTCGTTTTCACGGAAGAAATCGCGTGCCGACCTCACGTTGACGGCCAAATCGACTTTGGCAAACACCTGAGCAATGTCTAGCAAGTCGTCAATGGAACGTGACGTGCTGACGGCGAAGCGACCGATGGAGTTGACTCGCTGGGCAACCTGCTCACCAAAAGACCAATCGTTCGTATTCATGGCCTCCATTGTCAGCCGGATAACATCGTCGAACTTGTGCTTCTCATCATTCCAAAGCATGACACGAAACACAGAACATTGCTCGTCCTCGACAAAGTACTTGGTTTCACTAAGTCGCGAGCGTCGCTCGTCTTCTAGCACACTATCAACCGTCTGTGTGGCTTTCAGATTGATAGGAGAGCAATTGAAGACGTCGAGGATGAAGTCGAGGACAGTGGATATGGTGCTGTGTATGGACTCTTGAAGTTCCCGAGGAAGCACATCCTCGGCTTTCGGTCCGTCGTCTTTGGAAGCATGGATAGAGCAACCCAGTGGCACCTTCCAAGCCTCAGGGTCGCCGCAATCACAGATGCCATTAGAGTCAGTAGGGATGCTTACGTGCGTCTCATGGCCGTCGTGATTCGTGTTCCGGAAACAGCGAGCACACAGTACACAGGTATTGTCCATGGCACATGTCCTGCATCGATACACTGGCTCACCGTTGCGGAAGACATGGCCACACACTTCAGAACCCAAGTCCGTAATCTCGTCTCCAAATTGTCGTTTTTGCACCTCCGGCAAACGGAATTTTGACGTGACGCTCACAGGGCCTTCTTTCACTAAATACTTCCAATTGCTTTCGTCGTAATTAAGCAAGGACATGTACACTTCCTGCAACAAGTGAGAAGCGGATTCATCATTGAAATCGTATTGGTGCCGTTCAGCGTTCTTCACCAAAAACTTGAGCAGACGCTCGGGAGCCTTATACTCAGCCGTGTCGTTCTCCGACGACACGTCCATCTGCGTCTTGTCCATTCGCTCAAACTCGTTAGCGCTTTTCCAAGGGGGGTTCAATTTTTCCTCTCAAACTATGAATTATCGTTTCTAAAACCACAATCTTGCGTATTGGACAAATCTATGATAATAAAAGGAACCTTTTGAGCAGCTACGCCTGACTTCTACTCATTAAGTTTCAAAATGGGTCAACGGTTAAGGTAAAAGCTGAGCACTGGCTTTATTCCAGTCCGTAATCTGCACAACTACTGTGCTTAGTGTGCTGATGGTTGAGGAAACGATGAAGAAAGATGGTGGTTAGATATACTATTTGGCTTTTATAATGATGTGGTACTCTGATGGTGGCAGCGGTTTTTTGGTGGTGTAGTGGGGGCAGGGGAAGATTCTAGTGGGGAGGTGGTGGAGGAAGAGTTTGGTGGAAGGGAACGAAGGAGACAAAAAGTCAATGAACGGGTGTTTGAGGTAGTTGGAGGGAACGCACTGAGAGAGTTGGGCTCCGGGACAGTTTGAGTCCATTCGATGGCTGTTTTTTAAGTTTTCTCAAAATGTATTTCTTTTTGACGTGACGTCCATATCCATAAACTAATCCCTCTTGCTGGGAAACACTACACCAAGCCAGACAGGGAGGGACATAGTCGTGGTGGTAATTGAAGCGAAGAAGGGCAGCGAAATTAAATGGACTGAAGTATTAGAGGTCTTCTGTGTAAGTCGTCTTATTGAGAAGCCTACTGAGACGAAATTGGCCATAATTATTGAGTGTAGCTATCGAACGAACACTAGGACGATGGGTGGGGGCACCATGCTTGTGGTTCACCTCGCTAATGATCGCTCTTCCACCCTCTATCCCTATCCCTACAAACCCTGGCACATGTCATATACGAGAGAATTAACTTTGGAAACCCTTGGCGGGGTTTAAGCGGGGCATTTCTTCCCAGACTCGTTTAGCCGACCCGAACGTTGGGTAATGTCGGGAAATTAAGACTTCTGAATAATCGAATTAAAAATTCACTAAAAAAAATACAAAAAAGAAAATAAAGATTTAAGAAAAAAACAGAAAATTATCGCCGATTTTTCCGGCCCGTATTTAGCCACAGGAATTCTCGTTTTTCTCTTGCAGGCTCTGCAAGGCTTTGGAGACTTTCACATAGCCCTGTTCGGCGCACCCAACGCCTGGCGTCCTACGGTCTGTGCCCCAGTCTTATGACGTCAGTTTTTTCGCTGGCAACGACTATAAATAACAACCGTGCCGCGTTTGTTTACAACCGCTACATCATATATAAAAACAGCATCCGGCATTGTTCACAGAACAATACTGACCAAACTCTCATTTTCTTCCGTACTGGATCTGCGAAACTCTCACTGCTGGCTGGTGACGAGCTGAAGAAACTACGAATTGATTCACAGGCGGGACTGACCAACGTGGATATCTGGATTTTCAGTTTTTTCATCGTTTTGTCATTTTGAACTTACATTGGATTTTTTATTTTTATTTTTATTTCTTTTTTGATAAATTCAGGAAACTCGAACCCTCGGATTTATTTTTTATTGTTACACAAATTCCCGAATTTTTTGGTTTTTCTCGGTTACTCATTTTCTTGATTCCCATTTACGACTTTTCTCTTTTCTTGTTGCCTCTATTTTGTCTTTCTTAAGTCTTACATTTCTCCAAAATGATTTTTGGCAAGCTTTTTTTGATCTTTCCTATGGTGTTTGTGGCATTCAGTGCCGTTATGGACCTGCTGGTGCTCATTAACCAGAACTATCACAGTGTTGCGCTAAAGAATATCCACTTCATCAAGCTGAACACGTCCAACTTGCTGGACACAAGCAACACCACCGCTCTGTCACAGACTCTGGGCACTCTCGTGACAGGCGGAATTGCCGACACGCTGGAACAGTATCTTAGCATTGGCGGTTCAGAGCTTGCTACGCTTGAGGAGCAACTCCAAACCGCAATGGGCTTGCCTGCTTGGTACTCCATCGGTATGTGGAATTACTGCAGGGAAACTCCTCCGATTGGGAGAATCCTTACAATTGCACCAAGCCCAAGACCCTGTACTACTTCAACCCAATCGAAATGATTGAGGCTGATATTGCCGGAGACAATACCACCGTCTCTATCACACTTCCCAGCAAGGTCCAGACGGGAATGAAGTTCGTGAAGAACGCAATGTATGCCATGAAGGCGATGTACGTCCTGGCCATCTTGTTCTTCGTGCTTACCATCCTCTCCGTCTTGATCGCATGTGTCCCATTTTTTGGGCCCCTGTTCTACTCAGTCTTTTCCTTTTTTGGCACGCTGTTCATGCTCGTTGCATCAATTATTGCAGCTGCAATGTTCCGCATCATTGCACAGCTTATTCGCAAGGAGATTAGTCCCCTTAACATGCCTGTCGCGCTGGGCTCGCGGGTATATGCTTATTCTTTCCTTTCCGTTGCATCTGGAGTCGTAGCCATCATTCTGTTCGGCATCACCGGCATGTGTCCTTGATGGACATACATAACGCTGGATATACCCTCTAAAATACTGTGCACCTTGTTCCCTCCATTCATCCTAGCTGCATTTATTCCCCCCGTATCGTTTTCATTCCTCTTATGTCCTGAATCCTTTCCATAGCAATAGTTGTACCTCCACGGTATCTTTTTCCCTGCATTAGCTTTGAATGATTTATTTTGTGTCTCACATACTGTTATTGCTCAACGCAAAAATATTCTTATACTAACAGATGCCAGGCATATCTAGATGTGTCGATAATATAAAAGTAGAAATGAAAGTGGTGTAGTGGGATGGGTATAGTGTGTATGTGAGAATAGATGTTCAGGAAAGTGCGTATTTTTGTCTAATTCCTGTTCGTTCCGTCGTCATTGTCATCGTTATCGTCATCCAAAAGTGTACGGATCCATTTGAGATAGTCATATCCCTCAGGACACTTGTCTATAGTTGTTTCCAAAAACTTGATAATATCAGGACGAACTTGACTGTTCTTAAGGTCCTCCTCTGTAACAAATGACTTTCCATCTGCAACGTCGCAGAATGCATAGATCACCTGCCGAGCACTGTCACGGTCTTCAAGCTCGTCCATGACGATGTCAATAAAGCGTTCGTATGTCACGCCCTGCTGCTCGCCGGCGGCCTTCGCAAACACGGCATGAGCTTCTTCTTCTTCGTACACGAGACCCAAGGATGCCAGCGCGGCATAGAATTCCAACTCAGAGAGATTGTTGGACTTGTTCTTATCAAAATGCTTAAAAACTTTTTCAATTTCAGAAAGCTCTTCTTGAGAAAGTGTGCGTTTTTGTCGCTCCGACAACTGCAGCTCGAGGTACTTTATCTTGTTGTTTATGCTGTCGACAGTGACGCTAAATTCATAGTTGAGATCATCATATGTGAAGATTGTGTAGTCATTTTCCTCGATCCCGGCTTCCACACAATCGTTCCAAAGTTTTTGGACACTAGCAAGCTCGGTTTCGAGAGGGCCTATATGCTCGCGCAAGAAGTTCACATGTTCCAGTTGGTCTGCCCAATCTCCATGTAACGTTGAGAGTTCCGCACTGATTGTATTCAGCATCACGGAAAAACTATTTGCACGTTCCGCAAAGTTTCTTCGCATGTCCTCCTTTACTCGGCGGATGTGTGTATTGATGATTTTAGAGTACTTCGCTTCTGCATTCAATAAGTTTTTCCATTCTCGGTCCAAATCAACAATACGTAAACCGGCGGGAGGTTCGTACTTTTTCAGCTGATAAGTTTTTAGGTTTGTTTGAATTGTGCCTAATAATGACTCTAAATCCATCTTTTCTTTTACCCACTCTCGTTTGACTGAAGATTTGAAGCGACCGAAACTGTTCGACTGCTTCTTCAGCGATGCATAGTTGTCACCCAGTACTGTATTGAGCCATACGTTTTGCGTTTGGGTAAGTTTCTTCAGCAAAGATCTCATACGCAGTTCGTAATTCATGTGCATTTCATGACTTGATTTTAAGACATCTGAAAATCGTTCAACTCTTCTTGCTGCTGTTTCAACCTTGTCCAATGTAGAAAATGCGTGGAAGTATTCAGCGACGTAAGTCATAATACTGCGTTCGTCGGGACGTTCAACATCGCAAATGTCTTCAACATCAATGAGTGGAGGGATTCCAATGTGTTTGTGAGCGATGTCCAGCGCAAGTTGCATGTTTTCCTTGTGTTTAGTTTTGTCGAGGCTACGAAAGTCGAGCAAATCGGGACGATGTTGATGGATTAAAGCACAGAAACCAAGACCGCTTGTCCAACTCCGAGAAAAGTCCTGAATGTCCACATCTGGGAAGTACTCCACGGTTTTCCGTTGACACCATAAGAGCAAGCCCTCCTTTGCTGTAAGGCCTTCTTCACTGATATCAGCAATCGTAAATCGTAGAATGAGAGTCCATAGTAAACCCAGTATTAGCTTCAAGTTTCCATCAACAATGTCCTCAGCACCGATGTTTGTTAAGGGAATCCCTTTACTTTTAATATAGTCCAAAGCTTTGTTCACATTTTCTACCTTTTGTACACGAAGTCGTGGATTTCGAGTATAACGGCCCAAGGATTCATCACCAATAATTTCCATTAATTGGATTAGATAAATACCATTACTAAGGTCTTTCTTTAAATCAGCAGCCTGTGGAAGCTCCCGCGCCGCAAGTTTGTTGTTAAGCCTAATGATGCACGTTAATAACGATTCTCAGATATCCGCAAGTGCAATAACGATACCATTTCGTAAATGTTCTGTTTTGTACATCCTGCCATCGTTCCGTTTGCATGAATGTTTAAATATTTTTATATCTTTTTTATGAATTTTGTACCAGTTCGGTGGATGGTACTAGTAGGCACTAGTTCGTTGAACAAAACAGCTCTCTTAAATAACACTGCTAACACTGAATCAGTGTCTTAAGACTAATGACTGATTAATGATTAATGAAGGATACTGTACAAACTATCTATGAAGCCCCACACAGGTTTTATTAAAGCTTTCATATGTTATACTAACATACAAAAAAGAAGAGTGTTATTTTATATTATTGATAAATTATGAAGACCTGTCATTGAGCATTCGAATGCGATTAAATGTCAATCTTATAGTACCTCTAATTTGTGTCAATTGTTTGTGATTTTGGTCATATTATCACATTAAGAATGAATGAATTCAGAAAACTCGACAAAAATCAAGACGAAAGATTGCGTTCTGCACATTTTAACAAAATGCAATTAGATAACACGATAGCTGTGAGGGGAGCAAATATATTTTGGAACCTTTCTTTTGATAATAACTATAACGATTCAAATGTGAATTTGTAAAGTAAACTGTCTTAAACAAAAATTTACAACAATAGAAGCGACTTGTTGCCCGTTTATCATTTATGTGTTCTTACCCGTTCACATTTCAGTACTAGCTTAATTTATGTACTTTTACTTCCCATAGACACACATCATCCGCGAACATCAAGAACATGGATTTCTTCAAAACCGCTACTTCTTTTATCATAAGAGCAAGTTCAAGATTTCCATATGACTTAAAAGATCCAGTATCATTACCGGGCGATTCAATTTGGACTTTATATGATGCTGTTCTGCGGGTACTTATCTATAATTTTAGGTACAATTGGCTAACAGCGCTAGGATAACGGTCATCAATGTTCCGTATTTTCTTTGGATAAGAAGAAATATCCTCAAGGCAAAGAATTAGCAGATAATGCTATCTCGAAATTAAAACAAATCCGACACCCGCATGTTTTGAAGTTTCTCAATAGCTACGAGGATGTACGAACATTCAATTACTATTACAGTGTACTAACCCATGTTTTGTTAGGACAACCTCATTTACTTGGCCACAGAACATGTTCGACCATTATTACCAAGTCTCTCTTCCTACAGCACTGATCTCAAAGTTTGGGGTCTTTGGCAAATAACCGTGAGTCTCAATACTTGTTTAATCGTTAACTCTTTTTTAGGAGGCTATGGATTTTCTTCAAACTTCCGGTTACATTCATGGAAATCTTACATGCAAATGCCTGTTTCTGGATGACGCCGATCAATGGAAACTTGGAAGTTTTGAGATTTGTTCACAAGATGCTTTAGAGTTTCAAGTATGTACCTTTTGCCGTATAAGTTTTCTAACTAAAAATAGCATAATTTTGAAGCAACAGACGGATTTCCGCTGTTCAATTTGAACGACTTTAAGCAAAAAGGGTATAAACATTTGGTGATCTTAATATTAACATTTCTATATAGTGCCCCCATCGAGAAGGCGGTTGATTCATTCCTTCTGGGCTGCTTTATTTTTGAACTTTTTAATCCAAACACGCGTGATAATCATTCCTTACGCAACAACATACCTCCTGTAAGTTCATTAACAATCACGGAAACTGACCTTCTTACAGACCATTTTCACACCTGCCAAAAGACTAATTGCACCCCCAAAATCATTTTACTCCGTTCATGATTTTTATACTGCAGGTATAAAGCAGGGTGGATACTTCCACTCTCCGTCCATCACATCTACTGGGTTACTCGATACTGTTGAGATTAATGATCCCAAAGAACAGAATACTTTGCTAAAGTATGTACACATAAAGTACAAACGATTTCTAACATTTTAGTCTGTTGCATAAATCTATCCTCGTATATCCCGCAAACTTCAATCGCCATCGCGTTCTTACTTCACTTTTGCAACTTATTCCTCAATGTATTTCTAGCCTTCAAACCTACTGTAAGAGACTGACATATTCATAGATCCCACTCAATCAAATGTTGAACTGCTCTCCACTGCTTTGACCAAATGTGGAGATGAAGAACTACCTTCCTCCTTTGGGTCCACGATTCTTGAGACGCTCAATAAATGTACGGTACCTTTCAAGGCATTACTTTTACTGCACATGTGTCGGGCGGTGAACCAGTTTCCTAGTGACTTTTTTAATCATCCATTCCTTACATTGCTTGGCTCGATTCTTCAAAGTAATGATGCGCAAACACGAATTTATGGCCTTGCTATTATTGCACTTACGATTCCTCGAATTCCAAAGAAACTAGTGAGCAACTATCTACTCCACACCTTGGCTAGTGCTCAAAATAGTTCTGATCCAGAAACTCGAATGAACACGACACTTTGCTTAGAGCAGATCGCACCTTTTCTGGAAGAGGATGTAAGGATTTACTTAATGTAAACGAGTGCTAACTCTTTTTTAAGGTTAAACAACGTGTTTTGTCAACTGCACTTACACGATCGTTACGCGATACATATGTGCCTGCCAGATTGACTGCATTAAAGACAATTGAATGCTTTTACGAAACATTTACACCTCAAATCTCTGTCAGTAAGGTCCTACCTCAAATAATACCACTGCTACTTGATGGAAACACGTACGCACTGAAGACCATCTTTGTAGTTACTAACGATGAAGTGAAATTCGACATTTAGCCAAGCGTATAGTTGATAAGTATCTGAAATTAATCGGAAAGTATGCTGAGAAGACTCCTGAAACTAGTCAGGAAGCCGGAAACGGATCTCATTTTTGGAGCCACATTTTCAAGAATTCCGACCCTACAAGTTCTAGCTCTTCAGAAACCGAAACTCCAGTCACAGATCTTATTACATTGTTGAATCAATTTTCTATAACCATGAAAGTTTCGGTTTCTTCGGAAACAGATGACTCGGACTTGAAAACAAAAGAGACGCACTCAATACTTCATGACGAGTTCGATGAGCTTGATGAATTTTCAGACAACGACTGGCAAAAGGAATGGAGTGAAGAAACTTTGGAAGCCAAAAAAACTGCTGTCGATGATGGTATGTCTGAATGGGGTTTATAAAACATTATAATTTATAAGCATTCCAGGCTTAAAATTTAATAGACAATTTTAATTATTATATTTATTAAAAACCATTCAGCTATTCTAATTAATACTGGAATAGCGTGTGCTTTATTTTTCATATACTCATATTTTATATGTGCCATATTTCTAGGTTTTTCAGTAGATATTGTGTTTTATGACTATAGGGGAAGTTTTTTTTTAGGAATTAGATCGACTATATGTAGCTTCATAAATTTCTTCATTTTATGATTTTTGCTGTCAAGGGCTATTCACTTATTAAGTGTTTCCAATTCGACTTGTCTTCTATCGGCACTTAAAACTGTACATACCGACAGAAAACTGTACATGATGGAGACTTCATCTTCATCCGATACTCGTATGTATACACTTTTATTCATCTCTTACATTATTAGTTCGAAAAAAAAGATTGCTACAAAATAAAGAAATTCTTCGGTACAAACAATTCTCGGCAAGTGAATAGTTACTAATAACAGAATCAACAAAATACAATCCACTAGAATTAAAGAGCTTGAGGCTGAGAATGAGCGTTTACTATCAGAAAATTTGGATTTACGTACAAATGCAATTCGATTAGCAGAACAGCTTGAACATGAGCGTTATGAAATTGTTCGTCGGTTTAATAGTATGCGATCGTTTCTATGTTCTGTTGGTACAATGTCTACACAATTGCTCTCTGACTTGGATTCATATACGAAAATCGCAAAATGTATTTACTAAAAAACTCTCTACATTTTTCACCATACTAATTTAATGCTTTAGGTGATCATCTGTCAAGCCGTGATGATGTTGACAGCCTCTCTTCGAGTTCCATTGAAGACGTATGAGTAATTAGTGCTTTTAGGACATGGATACTTACTTTCTAGTCGTTTACTGATAGAACGAGTATTGATCTACTTGATTTTGTTAAAGAAAATATTCCCTTTGGCAATGTCTCCAAGGAGTTAACTCCGGAACACGAATCTGCCCAAGTAGACATTTCTTCGGCAGCACAAAACACATCAACGGGCATCCAACCTCTTACTCCAGCAACAAAATCCCCAAGTTCTTTAAAACGAAGAAAAAGAGCACTTCGTGTTTCGTTCGCAGAGCCCATTACAGATAATGGCAGAGACAGCACAGACGATAATAACCGCTCAGACGCCGAAACAGGCCAAAATTCTGTTGCTCGAACCGAATCTTTACGTGATAAAACCAATGTTTCGCCAAAACCTTCGATCTCTCCAAAACGAAAGAAATCATTGGAACCTCAGGAGACAGTATCCCCTCCTGCAAAGCGTTCGTCAGGAAGGAAAAAAAGAACTTCTGTTTCCGCTTCCGTGAAAGATACGCCGGAGCCGACGTTTTCAAATAATACAGGGAATGATGGGCAAGACAATCAGACTGAAAAGGTAAACGAACAGACAGAAACACATGACGACTCTGACAAAGATTACCATGATACTGAATCTGTTGCTTCTAAGACGGAAGCTACACAACAAACCTCTGAGGCTCAGAATGCATATGTTGGCCGAAGCAGACGTGAACGAAAACAAGTGAATTACGCACTTCCAGGCTTGCGTAAGAAGCTACGTCGAGATTTTGAACTACCGTCTGATCATGCCAAGCCTAAACGTTCTAGACGTGGTAGGAGCGCTCTACAAAAATCCTCGACTCAGACGAAGGACAACAATGGGGAACAGCAGGTCGATTTGGAAACGCACAAAAGCTTTAATACAGACATAAGTGAAAAAATCGAACCCATATCGATTGAGACAAACTCTTCTGATGCTTCTCACAGTAAATCGGCATCAGAAGCAACTGTTCAAAAATCCACAGGTGGTACTACGAAGAAGCAGGACGACAAAAGTAAGACTGTATTGGAAAACAGTTCCGCATTAGCCCAAGAACAAGGCCCTAATGTGCAGGAGTCTGCGCAAGCATCTACGAACACAGATGCAAAAACTCAAACCAGACGTGTTACAGGGCGAAAGCGAGTAGGTGCAAAAAAGAAGTAGACTGCGTGTTTCTGTTTTCGCTTAATTATTACTTATCGTGCTATTTTTTTCGATAATCTGCTTGTTGTCCATCTGTCATTCTTAAAGTGCTTAATAGTCAAAAACCCTTGTTTTAATGTGAATTTATTTCTAAACTCTGTATGTTTTAATCTATTTTAATTTACATTTATATGTGCTAAGTACGGCCAAGTTTTGACTAGGCATTGGTTCCCTTCTCCCACTCCTCCCGACAGTTGGTTTGCTTAATTTGCGTGTTTTGTGACACGGTACACAAAAACCTGTCATAGTACTCACCTGTACTTGTGAATAACATAACGGTCTCTATCTCAAAGCCCTTTTTCTGGTTAAAATTGACGTTTAAGCTTTAATGAATCACGAGAAACCGGAAACTCCTCCTTTTACCCAAACGGCGTTTAATAAAAGCAAATCAAGCTTTATCCAAGCAAATAATGATGGACAAGGAGGTGTACGAAGGGGATCTTTCCATTCAGATATTTCAAATGGATCACGAACTTCTATAAGAAAACAGAATCAGCATTCCTCCAACATCGAGCAGTCTATAACAAGATTGCTTGTGGCTACAAAGCAACTCCTTGAGAAGTTGACTCTATGGAGCAAAAATGCGGCTACTGGAAATGATGTGTCTGATGTTTATGTGAGACTTTCTAGTGAGTTCGGAGAGTCGTGTGCAGTATTTGAAGCTGCTGGAGTAGAAGTTACTGATATGTTGAGCCTTCCTCATCGTCTTCGGCTGGTTCTCGAAGAAACACTCTCTGGGCCTGCTTCGCCTGCTTCTTTGGAAAGACATCTTCCGGCTGTTCGGGAGATTGTGGTCACTCTCCTTCAATCCCTCAAGCGTAAGCAGGCTTTCTTCAAGACTATACGCCAGAGACATCCTCCAATTATCCCTACCGCCGAAGGGGAACGCAGTGCAAGTCAATCTTCTGCAAATGTTAGAAGCCATTTACACCCTCCTCCTGAACCTGAACCTGATAAGCCTCAGTCCAAGGAGGTCTGGGATAGGTACGCAGCTTTAAAGAGTACCAACGTCCTTGAGAGAAGAGCTAGTAAACGCTTTTCCACATTTTTGACCTCTCGTTCACCTGAACACGCAGAGTCTACACTTCCTCAACTCAGCGTACAAGATGTTCGTAATCGCATGCGCGAGAAGAAGGAGGCCAATTTTCTTTCGCAGCAGCAGCAGCAACAGAATTATCAATCACCGAGACCACACTTTCCTCGCCCTACGTCTCGACAAGCCATGGCGCGTGCCCCGAGCATACGTAACTTTTCCGATGGTAATGCTCAGGAGCGTAAGAGTGACCGACCCATACGACCAGGACTTAGTCGTACAGCGTCGCTCAATGTTTCAAACGATATATATGCACCTGCACCTAACTACAGCAATGACTCGTTCACTGTTCCTAAACAACAACCTCCCTCGCAAAAGTCAACTCCGGCAGTTGTTTCCACGCCTTCACCCGCTATTCAACCAAAGAAAACCCCAGAGCGCCGCGAACCATCTCCGGAAGCGTCTAATCATCAACCACCCGCAAACTTGCCCAAGTCCCTCTTTATACGATGGAGTAATATCACGAAAAAGATTCCAATGCCCTCAGAATTGCACACTCCGGGAGAGGTGTATAATGTATTTAAAGCTTCTTTTCATGATATTCCAGACGACGAAGCACTAATCTTTGAGATTCGTGATGAAGAAACGCAAATTAATTATCTTCTTGAGGACCTTTCTGAGGTGAAGAATGGATCCCTTCTTGTTGCAGTGCAAAAGCCGGATGTTGAGCAAGAAGATGAACCCGTAAAGGAAGTTGAGCCTGAACCAGTCAAGCAGGAAAACCCTGAGGTTACTGAGATGCTTATGAAAAAGTTGGAAGAGATCGAAGACAAGATTAGCCAATTGAAGTTGGCCCCCGCGCCCGCAGCTGAGAAAGAATCGCAACCTACTGTTCGTGTATCTAGCGATGGAACCTCTTCTCAACTCGCCTGGTATCATCAAGAGGTGAAGGCAGCCAAGCTTGAGCTCGTTGCCGTGAAGCAATCGCTTATTTCTATGCTTGCACGTGTGCCTTTAAAATTCGAGGAATTCAAGAACAAAGTTCTTGATATTTATGGTTCCACTAATAATAACACAGTGTTGGAACGCACTTTCATCAATAAGTCTAAGCTTAAATTGGAATCAAATTTAGCCAATATCGTCTCTAACTTTGATGATCTCAATGATTTAGTTGAGTGTCTCCGTGCTGATGTCCTTCACCGTAAGGTGCGTCCTGGTTTGGACCAAGTCGCTGCTTTACGGAAGGATAAGAAACTGCTTGCCAAGGAAATCGAGGACTTGGAAGCTACATTGAACAGCGTTACGCCTTCATGGAAGAAGCAATGGGAAACCGAGTTAAACCAAATTGTTCAGGAGCAAGAGTTCCTCAACAACCAGTCTGAAATGATACTGGATTTGAAACGCGACCTTGACTCCGTTTCCACGGTTCTTGCGAATGTCACAGCTATTGCTGAATATCAGAACCAAACACCTCTGGAATCCAAGCCACTTCAGCTTCTTACTGCTTCGAACCTTGATGTCGGTGAGTATCGTAACCGAATTAATCTTGAGATAACCAAGTTAAAACCTGATTCGGAAAGCCGACTTGAAGCCATTCGTCGGGCCGAAGCACTTCGAAAGAAGAACCTCTCGCTGATGGAAGACAAGTTCAAGGCAGAACTGGAGGAGTTTGTTAAGGAGGACAAGTTCCATAAGATTGGTGGAATTGAAGAAGTGAATCGTTTGCGTGAACTCAAAGACAAGGAAATCCTCAAAGCCATCTGGGATGCTAGAGACGCTTCCAATGACAGTACGTCGAGCGCTTCCAAGCGTCCGTCTCCTAAGAGACAGCAAGCCCAACTCTCTTCCACGCCTGCTGATGAATCTTCAAAAGGTACTGAAGACGCCGCTGTCCCCAGCGATCCTGTTGGTTCTACCGTTAGTATTAGCAGTCAACCACCGGTGTCAACACCCAAGTTGGCTCCCGTACCTGTACCAACACCTGCACCAGTTACGGCGCCAGCAGCCGTCCCTGCCCCTCCTGTTTCGTCCAGTCCTAAGGAATCATCAAAACCTCCCGCGGCTCGCCATGGTCACCATCGTTCCGTAAGTTCCGCCGTTTTCCAAGACGCAGATGCGGACCAGTTCTTTGATGATCCATCTTTCCTTGCTTCTAATGGAAATGTCACCGACGGTAATCATGAGCACAAGCACAACGATTCAGAGGGCGTGCCTAAGGCAGACTCCCCAGGACCGCTTGTCTCTTCCATTGTGACCACCTTCACAGGAGAAGAGAATGATGATGAGGCCATTCCTGACTCACCCACACTTACGTTTGCGTTTTAGGGTACCAGAAAAAGGGAATCTTGAGAACACTCCCGTTATTGACTGAGCCAATTTTGAAATGCATTTTTGGGCCTTTAATTTTTTTTATTTTTATTATTATTTACTTATTTACAACAGCCTTCATTCCGAGTGTCTCTCCCACAAGTCTTACGTTACATTCGTTCATTCAATCACTAACTATTCGCTCGTTTCATTATTGTCTGCACTCACTAATGCCTAGAGCAAGTGAGATCAGACAAGTCATTAGGCATGTGCAGCGATAAACTGCTGTAACAGAACACAAAGACATGGTGGCTGCCCCAGAATGAGAAGAATTATTTACGTGGAGCACAATTAAACACGACGAACACCGTAGCCCAAGAGCAATACCGGCAGGCCCACTGTTTTGATGAAAGCAGCAATTGACTTGATGGCTGCGTATGCCATACTACGCTTCTCGAGGAACAGGAAGTCTACCATGTCATGGACAGCTGTCGCACCGTACACGTATAGACCCAAATAAAAGGCACCTTTATAACTGACAGTTCCCGTCAATTGCAGTAAGGCGCCAATTGAGTAGGCTTGTATAAGTGTACCAACCGATTTAGAGAGGAAGGAGCAAGTAGCCTGTTTCTTCAACGAACCCTTGCAACATTCAAACTCTTCTTCATTTCGCATTCTAAATGTCGGTTAGAAGAAGTGTCTTTCACCTAAGTTGGTCAGATGGACAACGAGACGGCATTAACCAGGATTGGCATTTTTAATTCCATGTTTGTCTCATCCTCCACTACAACACGACTTACACTTTTGCCCATGTGTTTCCCATCAATGGACCATAGACCATGAAATCCGCAGCATAATTAAAAGCCGAGCCCAAAAGAATGGCACTGGGCCGAACATAAGGAAAGTAGGAGAAGTACGAAGACATTTTTACGCTTAATTAATTAAACCGACCTGTAACTTGAAGCCTGTAGATTGTAGACTGCGTTTAGGAGAAGAGCACGGTATGTCTTACTGTCGTTTATATCGTAAACTAACGGCTCTTGATGTCACCGTGACGAACAATCCTGTGTGTTTAGGCATATGTTAGGGCATACTTTTGGTGGTGAGTTGTAACGAACGTTAACGAACTGGCATTGTCCCGCAAAATCAAATAACGAGAAGTAAGATGATTCGAAGCATATAGCCCATTGCGTTAAGCATCACTAAGCCAAGAGTTACTGTTTCTAACCCTACCCTAACAAAAGACAGTCACAGAAAACATCCTTCCGTGAAGCAGACCGCAGCACTCATCGTCGCACAACCAACCACCACCAGCACCTTTAACGATACAAAATGGTGAACATCCCCAAGACCCGCAAGACTTTCTGCCCTGGCAAGCAATGCCGCAAGCACACTGTCCACAGAGTCACCCAGTACAAGAAGGGTGCTGACTCCAAGGTCGCTCAGGGTAAGCGCCGTTATGATCGCAAGCAAAGTGGTTTTGGTGGTCAAACCAAGCCTGTCTTCCACAAGAAGGCTAAGGTTACCAAGAAGGTCGTTCTTCGTCTCGAGTGTGTCGTTTGCAAGTACAAGAACCAACTCACCTTGAAGCGCTGCAAGCACTTCGAGCTTGGTGGTGAGAAGAAGACTAAGGTATGTTTTATTGGAGATGAGCTTTTCTGTTTTCGGACGATTCTTTTACTAACGCTTGCAGGGTGCCGCTATCCAATTTTAGGTAGCAAAATAAGAGTCTCTCTGATCTCTTGCTTGTAATATTACAAGGAAAGGTGTGGGATGTATCTTTTGTATAGTTTTGGCGTGTGTACTGGGGTAGGTGTGTGTGTCATCCAAACGGAGCCTCGGATGGGATTGCGGCATTTGAGGTGTGCGAGTGAGAACTGTTCTGTTTTGAGACTTGTTTTCCTCTGGTTTTTCATGCTTTATCACTGTTTTGTTTTCCAACCGGAACATTTCGTTATTGACGCGTAAAGCGCGTAGTTAAGGTTAGCGGCAGCGGATGTGTACTCATCACTTATTGGTGGATGTTGCGAATAGCCGCAACCTTAATTAACCTTAATGCCGCATTACGTACTGTCCACTACTTTACCGTCCTTTATTCTCAGCACCTCTTACCTTTAACCAAACGCTCGCAGAAACTAAAATGACGCTCCACGCCAAGTTTTCATTAGGCGATGAGGACAAGTCTGCCGTTAAAGAAAGTGATGCTCAACGGACGGACGGGAAACGTCACATTTTGGTGGCTGCAACTGGTTCCGTTGCTGCAATTAAGCTAGTACTGCTAGTAAATGACTTGCTGTCATACAAGGACGTGGAAGTCCAGGTCGTACTGACTCAAGCAGCACGTACATTTGTGAAAGTTGACACTCTGAAGGCGCTGGGAGTTCGCGTTTGGTGTGATGAAGATGACTGGAGAAACTGGACTGACAAGACAAGTCCCATTACGCATATTGAACTTCGTCGCTGGGCTCATTTGCTGTTAATTGCTCCCTTGTCAGCAAACACGCTAGCAAAGGCTGCTAATGGTCTCTGTGATAATCTTCTCACCTGTCTCATTCGCGCATGGTCACCCAACAAACCTATGTTGCTGGCACCGGCAATGAATACGGTGATGTGGAAGAATCCTATCACGGAGAAGCATCTTACTACTGTCAGAGAAAGCTATAAACAAGCCGAAATTATCCACCCAATTGAGAAGGTGCTTGCATGCGGCGACATCGGAATGGGTGGAATGTGTGAATGGCGTGAAATTGTGGCTCGCCTAGTTCATCGTTTTGATTTACAGAGGAAGGACGAAGACGAGGACAACGACAATGACAACGACAATGACTTTGATGACAACAGTCTTGTATCTCCAATCAACGACGTTGAGGTTAGTCTTCCTTCTGCACGGAAGCTTCCAAAGTCGGATGAAGTGAATGATGCTGCAAGTACAGTTTCAGCGCCGGCAGCAACATACGCTCCCGTTTCAGATTCCATAGAGGAAGCGGAAACTTCAACACTGGCAAAGGCACCCAATGCTACTTGTGAGCAGGACGTGCAAATAGAAAATGGACCAGCCCTGAAAGAAGAGCATACTAGTATACCCGACATTGTTCCCTCGAATAAAGAAGAACAGCAGTATCTGGATTTGATTAAGCGCATTCTTGAGACCGGGGAGCTCCGTAATGACAGAACTGGAACCGGCACTCGCTCTATTTTCGCTCCTCCCCAGCTTCGTTTCTCACTGTCCAACAATACGCTTCCCTTGTTAACAACCAAGAAAGTTTTCCTTCGTGGTGTTTTACAGGAACTGCTCTGGTTTCTTCGGGGTGATACGAATGCCAAGCATCTGACTGAGAAAGATATCCATATTTGGGACGGTAACGGCAGTCGCGAGTTTTTGGACAAAATGGGCTTCTTTGATCGTGCTGAAGGCGATTTGGGCCCCGTTTATGGCTTCCAATGGAGACATTTCGGTGCCAAGTACACTGATTGTAATGCCGACTACACTGGTCAAGGTGTTGATCAATTGGCCCAAGTGGTTCACCAGCTCAAAAATAATCCTAATGACCGTCGCATTATTATGTCCGCATGGAACCCTGCCGCAATTCCTCAAATGGCGTTACCCCCTTGTCACCTGCTGTGTCAGTTTTATGTTAGTGCACCCGCACAACCTGGCGGTCGTCCCCGGCTTTCCTGCATGATGTACCAGCGTTCAGCCGATATGGGGTTGGGGGTTCCCTTTAATATTGCCTCCTACTCATTACTGACACACATGCTAGCACATTATTGCAATTATGAGGCACACGAATTCATCCATGTAATGGGTGATTGTCATATTTATATTGATCATATAGAAGCATTGCGCACTCAACTTGCACGCAAACCCCTACCCTTCCCTAAGATTCATTTCCGCCGGTCGCCTCGTGAAGTCGGAAGCATAGATGGGTACGAGTATGACGATTTCGTCGTTGAAGGCTACAACCCCTGGGGCCCTATAAAAATGAAAATGAGCGTCTAAAATGGGCCCTTGATGCGAAGAGTTGTTTGTTTCTCGCATCAGGCTTCTCTCAGACATAGGCTGCAGGACAGCAGGTGTACCTTGAATACCGCAATGTCTACATGGGATTATTTTCATGGTGCCCACTCATTATAATCTATTTATACAGAGGAGTTTGATGCTCTCTTCTGAAATTAGTCATTCTTCTTTACTTGTTGATATGTATGAATGGGATGTTTTTTAGCACTTTTTTAAGTAAATGTCATGAACCTATAGAGGGATAACATTGCAAGGTGGCAATTCCTTTTGGTTTCAGCAATACTTACGTTTCACTCTTGTTTTTAATTTTATAGTTATTACCCTGGGGATAAAAGCTGAATTCACACTCAAAAGTTTTCGTTATAAAAGTGTCAAGGAGGCATAAAAACTCTACTATAGAGCTAGTTATAAGGACAAAAGGAACATCAACAAAACAGGGTAATAAAACCGAGAGAATAGATAGGCAAGCAATGAGGGAAGGGGAAGATGGAATGAGCATTCGTGGAACTTTTAAAATCTGTTTAGTTTTTCATAAGTCTTTCAAACTCGTGCTTTCCAAGCTTGCGGAGCTGGCGTTCCTCGTATTCTTTGCGCCGTAGTTGAACTCGTTGGATGATTTGGTTCGTCCCATCAGTGTCATAAGGTCGAGGACCGTTCCCAATTTCCGTGTCCGTTAACGTTACATCGTTGCTTTGGAAGTTTGGAATTGGTACGTGTACTTTTGAAAGCTTCAAGTTTTCACGTATTTGGTTTAAGCCATTCACCTTCGGAGCATTAATGATTACAGCATCAACGAACTTGCATTGCAATATGTTCATTGACCGCTGAAAAAGATCGAGAAAAGGTTGCTGACTGCAATTTTCATTGGAGAAAATACCAGCAACGATAGGAAGGGTCGGAAACTGTTCTTTACATTGCTTTAAAAAGTCGAGGTGTGTCTTGGTCACCAAGTTCCATTCCCCGTCAATATATAGTATCTCACCTTTTAGTCCTGCCTTGTTCATCAGGTCACCAGTAACAATGTGTTCGAGAGTGCCATTTTCCATGCGCACGAAAATGTCGCTTTCAATTGTTTTACCATCACAGCCCGCGGCAAATTCCGTCAGCATAGAGCGGTACTTCTCCAATCCAGACTGGACATTTGAAACTGACAAAGGGTTGGATGATGGGACTAAAATACGTTGAAGAAGTTCCGTCGTGCTGATACCTTCTGTCCGCTTTACCAGCTTGAATCGATTTGCGGCCTTGGCAATTCTGTAACAATCTTCACCGTTTGCATCTGTAGTAACGTCGTCACCATGAACCACATAATCGCAATCGTATTTGTCCAACCAGGGAAGCTCAGTAACATAGGGGGCATAAGGGACCACTTGGTCGACCCATTTGCAGCAAGAGGCAGCAAGACAACGTTCCGCAAGGTTCATCACAGGAACACCTTTATGGTGAGTGACTTCTTCGTCGGAATGAACACCCACAACTAGTGAAGAGCCCAACTTTTTTGCTTGTAAAAGAGCCCGACCGTGACCTTAATAATGTTAACAATCCGTTACAACTGTCCTGTATAGATGGTCCCAGCATGTTCCTCAATAGTTATAATTTATGTCAAATTAATCACATTCCGTCCATGTATTTTCTGAAAAAATCAAAACAGACACAATTTTCATTTTGAAACAAGAAAACCAGCAATACAGCATACCCGTCACAGATAACAACTTACCATAATGAAAAAAATCTAAACAGCCATCTAACCAAAGCCGTGTCATTGAAAGTGAATACTCAGTCTGTTGTTTGTGGTTTAGTAGCTAGCTGAGGTAGTCGAAGCGACGGTCCTAGGCGTACTACGTTCCATACCCATAAAGACAAAAACAAAGATTTTAGCTGCTAATTCTTGACGAAGACGTTCAACCGTTATGCTTATTCTTGTAATTGGAGACTTTCACATTCCGGACAGGGTCCCTAAAATTTCAGAACAGGTAAATGCAATGCTAAAGCAACACACAATTACATCAAAGACAGGTTTCTCCTTCCATGAGCATGATTCATTTTTTCATGATTCCCCTTTATTATGTATCCCATCAATTGTTTTGCTGGCGAATATTTTGTTTGTGAAAAGGGAGTTGCTAACCCAAAACAGTTTAAAAGGTTGCTGGTCCCAGGCAAGATTGATCAGATTATTTGCCTTGGAAACTTAACGACAGCGAGTACTTTCGACTTTCTGAAACACGTGTGCTCTGATGTGAAGCTCGTGAAAGGTCAATTTGATATTGGCAGCACGGCACCTGTTTCTGGATTGGTAAAGCATGGAGCCTTTAAAATTGCTTACACAAGTGGACATCTTGTTGTTCCACGCGCAAGTCCGGAAGCGTTGAGCATGATTGCCAGAGAAATGGATGCTGACATCTTTTTATCGGGAACAACTCATCGATTTGAAGCATATGAAATGGATGGTTGTTTCTTCATCAACCCAGGATCAGCAACTGGAGCTCCAGGAGCTTCTGTTCTCGAGGAAGATGAAGCACCTGTCCCCAGTTTTGTTCTTGTTGACATTCAGGGAAGCGTTCTGATTCTTTATGTTTATCGCATTTTTAATGAAGAAGTTAGAGTCGAAAAGCTTCAGTATCGTAAACCTGAATAAGCGTTTTCTGAAAATGGAAGATGATGCATGCTAGTATCAAGCAACGCTGCTGTTGTTTGCAGTTGCAAATTGACACACGATCTCGTCTTCTTCCTCATCATACTCTTTCCAAGTACGCCGTGCTTTTGTTGGACTTCGTTGGGAAGGCGCTTTTAGGCTACCCCTGCGGAATTGCAATGATGGAATCTGAGTAACAAGTTCATCATCCTCCTCCTCAGTGATATCTTCTCGCCGATTTTTCTTTGGGGTTGAGGTTTGAATGCAGTCTGCGAAATTTATTTGAGAAACATCAGCAGGAATATTAAAATCGACCAATTCTAAATGATTAGAATCAAGTGCCTTTGTACTCACACCTATACTTGATTGCTTGCTTGTCCTCCGTTTTGGTGTTACTGGAGGGGTTATGATGATGGAAAATATGGCTGGAAGTACATCGCCGTATCCTTTGCTTTCCCTCCCTTTCAATTTTCGTGCATTTATACCCTTTGCATGTGCTTCTAATCTCTTCCAGTCCTTTGAAGCACCATTGTTTCCTTGCTTAACAGCAAGCGGTGTCCGTGTCGACCTGCGATTCTGGGTTTTATGCTTTTGTCCTAAAGATGCTTTTTCATTCTGCTCTCTAACAGCTTTGGAACGATAAGTTTTTACCTTCGGCTTTGGTTTAACAATGTTTTCCCAAGCAATGTTCTCTAGATCTTGAACAAGCCAACTCATGATACCGTGTCTAATATATATATACACTCAACTATCCTTTTGGAGGGAGGGATAATTCTTACTTCAATTCACACTGTAGTGACTATGGAAGATATTAGAGAAAGTTATGAAAAGTAATGATATCGTCAAATACCTTCGTTGAACGCGTATTTATTCACATCCTTTGTTTCTTGCCTAATGTTACTATTTGTTAATCCACGCGTTACGCGTTTGCATTTAGACGCGCTCCCGGCTATGACGTACAACATCGTTTAAGGTAACTTTATGCTTTTCATACGACTCGAGCGAACCTGTCCTCTTCCAAACACTTGTCGCTTGGCCCAATCTCACGGATTGTTACTGTTTAATTAGACTATTATTGAGAACTCTTATATAAAGCAATATGGATATTCGTGTTGCCCGTGTGGAAGATCTTGCCGGAATGCAAAACTGCAATTTAAACAATTTGCCTGAAAACTATCAACTGAAGTACTGTAAGTTTTTTAATGTGTTGTAAATTGCCAAGGGGATTATTACTATGTCGGATATGATTCTAACCTCGCGTTTATAGACCTTTACCATGCAATCTCGTGGCCTATGTTGTCATATGTCGCTACGGATCCCAAAGGACGTGTCGTGGGTTATGTTTTGGCAAAGATGGAGGAAGAGCCCAAGGATGGAGTTCAGCATGGCCATATTACTAGTCTTGCTGTTATGCGTCCCTATCGTCACCTTGGTTTGGCTAAGAAATTGATGCTCCAAAGCCGTAAGTGAATTGAGGACGGAAAAAACGTGTGACGCTCCTTTGAAAAGACGAAACATGCCGAGCACAGTTTTTAAAGTGTTTCATTTGAGGCACCTATGATTAACATCTTTTTTATTAGAACGTGGTATGGTCGAGGTTTATGGAGCCAAATACGCCAGTCTTCATGTCCGTAAAACCAATCGTACAGCTCTCCACCTGTACCGAGACACCCTCAAGTTTGCGTATGTTTTACCCGTGATGGACTACTACCATCCCAGTAGTTTTTTATTTTTTGCTAACATCTGTTCTCAGTGTTGAAGGAATCGAGAGCAAGTACTACGCTGATGGAGAAGACGCTTATGCCATGCGGTAAGTATTTTTAAATTTGACGGTATCTCTTACGGTCAAGTTATCTTTGCTCTACCTTGGTTGAGGCCGGAATTTTTACTAACACATGTATAGTAAGGACTTGACCAATTTCAATCCCAAAGAAGAGGAGCAAGCGAACGAACTGGCCCAAACTTTCGAACAGCTTGGCATCTAAGTTTTCAAAACGCGGAAAAACGATTGTAATTGCTTTTGATTTTGAGTGTACCAAATTTGCCATCAGTACATTTGTTGGCCTATCAGCGTCAGCCATTTCTCTTCAAACAATAGTTTACTGCATAAGTCATGCTGTTTCCCTGAGCACACAACCATAACTTTGAACATTTTTTGAATCTGTTTGCGGCGGTGTTACTCGCTACTCATCGCTTTTATTTTTAATATCCACTATCTTTCCCTATCTGTTACTGACTAGGGAACACTCTCTTTTGGCGTTTACGGACAATACAAAATGACTTTGGCGAAACAATTTGTGGATCAAGCGCTTAAAAAAAACCTCATTACTGTATTCAGCAAATCTTATTGTCCATTTTGCAAAGCTGCGAAACAGACATTGGCAAGATATGACGCCCCTTTCACAGCATACGAACTGGATCAAATGAAAGACGGACCCTCGATTCAGGCTTATCTTACTGCAAAGACTAAGCAAAGTACAGTTCCTAGCATTTTTTTTAAGTCAGACTTTGTTGGTGGGAATTCTGACCTTAGTAAGTTGCACTCCTCCGGGCAGCTGAAAACAATGGTGGAAGAACTGGCGGAAAAAGCTGAGTGGTGAATCCTCCCGCAAAAATAACATAAAACAAAAAAAAAATAAAAGAAGAGAATGCAGCGAGGACGTTCCCTGTTGTTTTTCTCTTGATTTTTCATCAACTACTTACATATTTCGGTCTTTCATGTTCCTCACCAGTCTTCGGGAGTACTATAAGAACTTACCTCTAACTACTTGCTATATGCTCTTGGTTCACTGAAACGTTACACGACGGTAATTGAGAAAACGTCATTATTGTGTCTGGTTTTTACTCCTGGTAGCTGACCACCATTTTACCATTTGCCATCTGTTCTGTATTGTCTGATACTTCCCACATATTTACTACTGTACTTTTTTGTCCATACATTTTTTTGGGGGCTATTTCTTTCAGGTGGCCATCGGTAACTTAAACCACTATTCTAAACGAAATGGGTGACATTGAAACGGATTTCATGAAAAAGTTCCACAATAGTGCATTGTCTTTGGGTGCAAAATTTGAATATTGTGAGCTAATAGATGGTACTCGCTTGTCCGAATTGCAAAAAGATGCGTACTCAAATGAAACGTTGTGTTACAGTGTTCATTCACACAAACTTCGGTTTCGACTTTTACAGTTTGACGGGTGGTTTTTCTGTCTTGGCAGTAATTTGCAGCTAGATCGAGCTGCATCATCCGTGTTCGATCGCAAGTCGTTTGACGATGGACTTTGGGATATAAGTGATTTGTTTTCACGGCTCACAGAGACAGGGTTAAACGTTGAATCGTCAACTGTCACTAGCAGCGTCCGGGCACGTAGCACAACTTCTGCCGCACCACACGCAAACATAAATGATGGGGAGCGACATACTCCATCGTCGACTTCGCCATTTTCCAGCGGTATTCGTGTTGGAGACGACCCTTCTTTGCGCTTTGGTTTGCCTCCCGGTGGAACTCGTTCTTCACGGTTCCCTGCTATAGGAAGTGATGATTTAAATCCTGCCGGAACAAACGCACACACACCTTCTAATGATGGGGGAATGTTCCCCACTGCAGCTCATCCCATCTTCCAAGGGCCGATTATTGGAGACCCTGTGTTAATGGGAGGTGAGAGAAATCCGATAAACGGACAGTTCCACCCATCACCAGGTCTTGTTCGACCTCCTGGTGCACGTTATGACCCGACAGGTCCTAACGACCCGTTTGCTTCAGGAACCGACGAAAGACACCGTCGGGACCCTCCTCGACGAAACATGCGACTGCCAGGAGAACCTGATAATGACGAGCTGATGCCTCCCGGAGCCGACAGCATGTTCTTTTAGACATCGAAACAACATCTACAGTAAACTTAACCTCTAAGCAGTTTTTCTTCCACATAATGAGTCACCTTTAAATGAAAAAAAAAAACCATTGATTGACAGTATGCATGATACAGTCACATTTTATTGTGCCAAGAAACAGTAGAAGATGTAGTAACAAACAAACAAAAAAGGATTACCGACAAAATAAACATTGTACGTAATACAACATTTTGACCAAAAATACCGTCAGAAACAGCATCGTTGTATGGATATGCGTTTGTGAAATGCAATTATGCTTACTCCATTTCAACAGTTGCAGGAGGCTTGCTGCTAATGTCGTAGAAGACACGATTGACACCGTTAACCTCGTTGCAAATACGAGAACTGACCTTCTTCAAGAAAGCAACGCTGAAACCATCGAACCAGTCGGCAGTCATGAAGTCGTGAGTGGTAATAGCACGCAGAGCAATAACTTGCTCATAAGTACGCTTGTCGCCCATAACACCTACAGCCTTAACGGGCAAAAGTGCAGCAAAAGCTTGAGAGATTTGCTCGTAGTAGCCATGAGCACGAATTTCAGAGATGAAAATGTGATCAGCCTTACGGGCAATCTCCAATTGGGCCTTGTTCACCTCACCCAGAACACGGATACCCAAACCGGGGCCAGGGAAGGGATGTCTCCAGACAAGGCTGTGCTCAATTCCCAAAAGCTCACCGAGTTGACGGACTTCATCCTTGAAGAGTTCACGAAGAGGCTCAATGAGCTTGAGCTTCATGTCAGCGAGCAAACCACCTACATTGTGATGAGTCTTGATGGTTTGAGAAGGACCCTTGAAGGAGATACTCTCAATAACATCAGGGTACAAGGTACCTTGGAGAAGGTATTCGACCTTTCCGGAAGTCTCAGACACGATACGCTCAGCCTCACGCTCGAAAACATGAATGAATGTGTTGCCAATAATTTTTCTCTTCTTCTCGGGATCGGTGACACCGGCCAACTTGCCAATAAACTCCTCAGAAGCATCAACAACAGTCAGCTTAATACCAAGGTACTCTCCCAAAGTTTGGCGCACCTCCTCAGCTTCGTTCAAACGCAACAAACCGTTGTCGACCATGATGGCATGGAAACGGTCACCAATAGCCTCTTTCAAGACCTTGGCGGCGACGGTAGAATCAACACCGCCAGAAACGGCACCGATGACATGCTCATTAGGACCGATCATCTTGCGGATGCGGTCAATCTCCTTGTCGACGAAGTTCTCCATAGACCAGGAAGCGTTAACATGGCAAATTTCAAGTGCAAAGTTCTTGATCAATTGCTTGCCAAGAGGAGTGTGAGTCACCTCGGGATGGAATTGAATACCCAGAATAGGCTCCGTCTTGTGTGCAATAACTGCGAAAGGCGAGTTATCGGTTCTACCCACAATTTCATAACCGTTAGGAAGGCCGTGAAGCTTGTCACCATGGGACATCCAAACGTCAAAAACCTCAGGCATTCCCTTGAAGAATGCCAGTGCATTTTTATTGGTCAAACCCTTCTCGACGGTGACAGAAGCAGGACCATATTCACGCTTCTCGCCAGCACCGACACAGCGTCCGTTCAACCAGGCAATTTCTTGCAGGCCGTAGCAAACACCAAGAATGGGAACATTCAATTCGAAAACGGCGGGATCAACATGGGGAGCGCCCTCGTCATATACAGAGTAAGGGCCGCCAGAGAAAATCACACCCTTGGGCTTGAAGGGAAGCTCGGCGATCTTTTGAGTACAGGGAAGCATCTCAGCGTAAACATTGATCTCACGGAGACGACGAGTGATCAAATGACTGTACTGGGAGCCAAAATCGAGCACCAAAATGGTGTCGAACGAAGCATGAACCGCAGAAGGTCCAGAAGTAAGAGTTTCGGACGAAGACATGTTTCTGTCAGAGGGGTGAAGATGGGAGAGGCCAAGTTTCTTGCAAGGTGAGATGTGTGATTAAGGTTTTTTCATTTACCGCACCGTGTTATAATGCGGTGGAGTAACACAAGTCACAATGCATAGTGGTATGAAATTGACAGAAGCAGTAGTAAAAGGAATAGACACGACAATACAGAAACACGGATAAAGTTGCAATTTGTTGTGTTTGAGAGAGAATAATTATATATATAATATTTATTATAAAAAGACCGAGAAGATTGAAATTTGTGGAAAAAAGCCAGCCCCCGGTGGGACTCGAACCCACAATCCCTTGATTAGAAGTCAAATGCCCTAGCCGATTAGGCCACGAGGGCTCCTTGAAAAGTTAGTTTTTAAACCATATATATACATCGAATTTACTCTGTAAGTATATCTTGAAATGTACAGTACGAAGTGCTTTCACATTCTTATATACAAACTACATGTTTTTGCACATTTTCAAGTGTCCGCGCCTAATTTTTGGTGCTAAACCAAATTGTACTGCGTTCGACCCATTTAAGTCGTTGTTTCGGAGGTACAATTCAAGTATTTTTGCAGAGCTTCCGTCTGTTCAACATTTTCGGGTAAATAATGAGATTGGGAGTATTAAACTGTATTTGAAATCCGAAGATCCCGGTAAAGAGGAATCTTTATTACGTTTTAAAGATGTGATGAAGAGTATTGATCCCAACAAACATGCTCTTGTGCAGTTCGGTAAATTGCATAATTTGCCCGTTTGTAAAATTATCAGTCTCCAGAAACTCCATGACTTACGCGAGGCTATTGGAAAACTCCCCTCAATACCACAGAAAAGTTCCCGACAAAAACATCTGCTTATGCTCACCTGGTCTATTCAGCCGAATGATATGAAAACAAAAGTTAAACAACTCAACAAGCTACTTCGGAGGAGTGAAATTGCTAGTGTTGTATTTAGTCAACGAAAAGGCACACAGTCTTTATCGGAGGAAGCTAAAAAAAACGTCCTCGAAATGTTTCGCAATTTGGCCAGTGCGTTTGCCGAAGAATATAAACAGCCTAGTATCTCAAACACCATTGTTCTTCATTATAAACTGAGGCCTGCTAAAAAATAGCTGTATCTAAATTTACTCTTGATCATGAATTTCCACGTATATATCGCGGTTTGATGGTAACTGTATGAGTGAACTGAATTATTAGATATAATAAGCTACGTGATTTAGTTGATGAAGAATGTCACTTTGAACACGAGGTGCTATAAGGTCTTTATTACACTAAGTATCGGTGAATTTTGTTTTTGTTTTCTTAGACTCTATGCTCTTAAGCAGCAAAATAGTTAAGTGTTTATTAATTTAACTCAAGTATATAATATAAACTTGATTTAATCGAGACCCTAACGATCCAATAAGGCATGACTGTATGAGTCCAAATACTGTTTGAAATCAAAAACAAGATGACTGATCACAAAGTTTAACAGTAAACAAATCTTCATTTAAGGAAAGTATATCTTATAAAACATTTAAATGATAACCTACGACTCCACATCAACAAAGCAAACATTCAATAAAGCGACTATGAAAAAACTGAGGACTCTACATTCTCTCACAAGATTAATAAAAGCTATAAAGTAATGAAAACGAAAAGGGAACAAGAATAATGCAGCGAGCGAGGTTCGAACTCGCGCGTTTATCAACAGCAGAGTTTTCATTGACTTCATAGTCAACTTAAATCTGCCCCCTTAGACCACTCGGGCATCGCTGCTTATGATACCTACTAGCAGCATAGGCCAATATAGAGAGTTTTTACGATATATTAGAAGATCAATGTACTAGTCACTAAGACTTCGTAAATGAGTATTATGAACTAGGAGCTATGGGGGAGAATGGATTTTATTGACCAGTTTGATATTCGATAACTTATGAATTGTGTTTCAAAAAACCTTTTGTGTTGGTGTGACTGTAATTAGATATCCCGGAAAGATATAATAATGCAAGTTGTATGTTGGCTCTGACATACCTGTCATCAATTTAATCCCATTGTTAACCTCAGATCCTTTACTATCTGGAAACTATGCACTTGTAATGGTTCAGCAGAAATATCCGCTGGGCCATTACAAGTATTTAGATTAATTTACCTGACTATTTTCCAAGTTCTATTTACCGATTACTTTTTCCTACTTACGAATTGAAGCATTATTAATAGGACGGGTCGGACAGTTAAAATTTTGCGGCTTGTTTGAGCATAGGTCAAGACGAAAACGAAACAGATACAAACGATGCTACTAATAAATTTATAATTTCACATAGAGAACAGAATACAACAACAACCTGTCACGGTTCGAGGCCGGATATGTTTAGTTCGATTGAGGATTCCTGTTTGTTAACTTCAAACAATGAATAACTTATTTCCTTTAACCTTTCGAAGCTTCGGTTAATGAACCTTAATTGTTATGATGCGCGCAATTGTTCTTGAAAGTTATTGTTGAAAGGAACAAGTAGTGTTCAACGGATTATAGCCATTGAACTCTTGCATATTTATATTAACAATTTAATTGATACTATCTTTTGTTACTAATTCGTATTTGTAATGTTTGTTAATTTTTGAGAAATAAAATTCAATAATTTTGCAAGTTGTGCAAACGTAAAAGCAATAACTCGGAATTGCTTCGTAATAGCAATGAATGCTAGCAAATGCTTAGTCATTCAATTTACGAAACCAATCAGTTGAATGATTGTTTCATTTCCAAGTTTAAAAGTACTCGGAGTCAATGACATAAGTTCATTTGCTCCATAACAACCAAGAAAGTCACTATGTCCGAGCGGTTAAGGAGTTAGACTTGAATCCTTTCAGGCATCTAATGGGCTTTGCCCGCGCAGGTTCAAGTCCTGCTGGTGACGATACTTACGTTTTTAGCCTTTTCTCTGTTCTTTTTCAAAAAGAAAAACTGCTTGTTTTTTTAGTCTTAAATTGATAAGAAAATCTAGCCCTTCACTTTAAACAAAAATTAAATGTTCAATGAACTGTAGGAACAGACTTAACATTGTATACAATGGCCGTTGCTGTAGTTCTTGAAGCCATCCGAATTTCAGTCAATAGTTTATTTTTTACCTTATAAAAAATGAACTTTTCGGATGACCCGCATTTCGAAATAAACTACGGGGAAGAAATGCACACACTGCAATATTGTTATTTCAATTATATAAATTCTTCCAACGTCATAAATACTGAACTTGAAAAGAAACACTTTATGCTAAGGTTGAAATCAGTTTATTCCACACCGGCTTAGAATTTTCCTAAACGACAAAAGAAAAGAAACAACCTGAAAGAAGCAATAATGCAGCGAGCGAGGTTCGAACTCGCGCGTTTATCAACAGCAGAGTTTCCATCAACCGCACTCGGGTCAACTTAAATCTGCCCCCTTAGACCACTCGGGCATCGCTGCTTTCGATGCTTTGTTGCAGTTCGATTGTCTAGTTGTCTTTAATTCAAGAGATTTATTCTTAATTGGCTTCAAACGGTGATTGAAACCACTCACTCAGTTTGTTAACAAGCTTCGCTTAACTGAACCTTAAATAATAAAATGCAAAATAGGAAAGTAAAAGGTTAAATACTGAATGAGCTTGTAAGTGTTCAACGGCCGTTTGGTATTTGAACTTACAAGTATTTATATCAACTGTTTAATTGATAATAGCTTTCTTATTGTAAGTGCTTATAAAGGAATCACAAGATTCCAATAAAGTAGAAGTTCCAGGCTTTGGGAACCTACAAAAATAGAGTTGTTTGGAGAAACAATGTGATTAATGTCTCTCTGCCGTTCATCCGTTTGATCAGGCTGAAGCTGCCGTTGGTTTGGCTGCTTAGTCGCCAAGATTCCAAAAGTACATGGAATCCATGGCATAAGGCCAGTGGTCATGACACACCTATACTGCGAAGAGCATATCAACTTATTCCTTACCAATTCTCGCATTAACAAGTAAAGCTCAACTAAGTGAACCTTATTCAAGAATACTGGGTTAACAGTTTCATTTACAATTTTAAGCATAAAGAATATATCACATTAAAGAATATGTCTGGCCTTTGATCCACGATATGAAATATAAAATCAATACGCCATAAGTTGAAGTCCAATACCGGTTTCTGGATCAATAACAATAGATGGTAACAACACGAATATTAAAATCATAACAATAAAATCCTATGTTGTCGAGCAATCTAGTAAACTAGTCAGAATAATATAATTGTTTCCTCCAAGTTGCTCTCTCGTCGAGATACTTAATAAGTAATCAATATTGAATCAACAAAGCATACAGCTTCAAAAGTTTAAGTAAAGAAAACTTAAACGAATCTTAACTTAAGAATAGATGCTCCCGAAGCAGAATTCGGGAAGCCCTCGTGGCCTAATCGGTTAGGGCATTTGACTTCTAATCAAGGGATTGTGGGTTCGAGTCCCACCGGGGGCTGGCTATTTTTCACTTTTTAATTATTATAATAATGAATCGAAAAACTCTAGTTAAAAAGGGGATAATTTCATCCGAGTACGGCAGGATTCGAACCTGCAATCTTTGGTGTGTTCCAACCGAAAACCAACGCCTTAACCGTTAGGCCACGCACCCTCTCTCGCTTTGTTGTGGTTTGAGGCCGAGTACATTCAGTCAATTGAAGATTGAGGATTCTTGTTCATAGGTTTTAAACAATGAATAACTTCTTCCTTTAACTTTATTCTGAAAATTATTGTTGAAAGAACCAAGTATTATTCAGCGAATTATAGTTACTGAAGTCTTGCATATTTATACTAACTATTCAACTGCTAATATCCTTTGGTTACTAATTCGTATTTATAATCTTTGTTATTTTAGAAGAACAAAATCCAATAATTTTGCAAGATGTGTAATATAAAGCAATAACTCGGGGTTGCTTCGTAATAGCAATGAATGCTAGCGAATGTTTAGTCATTCAATTTAAGAAACCAAGCAGTTGAATGATTGTTCAAAAGAAATCGGATTCAATGACTTGAGTTGATTTTCTCCGCGACAGCTTTGTTAAGGGAAATTCCTTCTCTAATACTACTGAAAGTTGAATAGGACCCCGAACTTGGAGACCCTAATGATGCCGGATGCACCTTAGGACAATCTATTAGTATAGTTGGACTCTATAACAGCAATTCCTGAATCAGCTAGTGGAACCCTATTATTGATAGCTTCTCCGGCCCATTAACGGAATGGTATTATATATAATTCTCCAATTCGTGAATGAGAGAAGAAATTGGTAAAAGAACTTGAGTTAAAGAGGTTTTATTAATATCAGTATTTGGAATAATTCAACAGAAATATCCGTTGAACACGTTACAGGCACATTTGCTTATATCAATGGAGTCCACAGCTCCCTCTTACAAAGCAACTGGGTGGAAGGCTTTGTAAGAGGGAATCCTAAGTTAAATACCAAGCCGTGACACACTTCATTATGGGCAATTAATGACATCAATCAGTTGAACACTGCGAATACATTCAACACGTTTTCTTCTGTCTTTAATTTTTCTCGCATTTGTTACATTTAGGTTATCGTTAAACGAAAACCTTATTCCTTCAATACTGAAAATACAAATCTAGTACTGTTAAGGTCAAATGAATAGGAATACCAGACAGCTAAACCATATCTGGCCTTGTCCCGTGAATTTGCTAACTTTAAAAACAATATTGAAAGCTATAATCCATTTAATGACCTTTATTTATCTCACTTCTCATATCTAATCTAGTTTACATAAAGTTACTTAAAGAAGTCATCTTTAGTTTATCCTTAGTTCAAAACATTCAAGTATATTTTAATACCAGTTGTCACAGGACGGGGTCGGATATGTTGAGTTGAATTTAAAAACCAATTAGTCAGAGGATTATTACATTTCCAAAATTCAGAAGCACTCGGAGTCAGTGACATAAGTCTGTTTGCTCCGTGACAATTTTCTGTGGCTATGAAGAAAAACTCTCCAACATTGATTTTCATAACGATGTACGAAACGAGTCGCTCAAGTCTAAATATAAATATAACACTGTCAAACAATTTGAATTGCCATTATCTTGTTAATTTATAGTTGCTCATAACTTGAAAAAAATTACGAGTGGGAAGCTAGACTAATATTTCACTTAAGTTAATTGATAAATCGTTAGAAAAAGTTTGGAAAGAGTGTTCTCCCAAGCTATGCCATTCTTTGGAAAGCTCTTTGGTACAAGCTAACTAAACAGTATAGCACAATAACTTCATTTCAAACCAAGCATTTATAATAAGATAAACAGATTCCTTCCCGTCTGCTTTACCCAATGACTTGGTGTATTTTCAACGTTATACAAATGTTACTCTCCACATTCGGCAATGTCTGAGCTGTTCAATTACCAAAGATAAGCACTCGTGCGAGACAGATATTCCGACTATGTAACTTTTATTCGGTCCATGACAAACTGACACCCTGCACAATCTATCTTATCGTAAATTTGCCGTCCAATCGTGCCCCTGGTAACTCTTACGGCACGAAAAAGGCTCTGAACCAAACGTCATTTGAGCAATAGTAAAACTTTTTGGAATCACTGCATTCTTTTTTTCCCTCATGGCTGATATCAATTCATGCCCCCACGTCACACCTATAAGCCTAGGTTGTCGTATCTTAGATAAAGCCCTCCGTTGAATTTTGCGTAGCCAACGGGTGTGGGGCACGACTGTAAACAGCCAATTAAAATGCTTTAAATGTGTTATTCTTTAAGGAGGCGGCGCCCCCCGATTTTAAGAAGTCAAGGTTGTCTGTGAGGAAAACACAAGTGAGCACCAGATGAGTTCCTTCTTAACAAGTTTGTAGTATACGCTCCTCTATAGTTATCCTTGAGTTCTTTTAATTATTTAATTACTTGCGTAAGGCGTGCACCCGACCACGTGGCTTCCTTTCGAATTCCTCGCTTAAGTTTTGATTTACCGAAGTCTGAAAACAAGCCAATCAAAAACGTACATGTCAGTTATCTTCGCGACCCATGTTATCAGCGCCAATAAAAGCAAGCCCGCATGGTATCAAGGTAACAGAAGCGCACCAATAAAAAAATAGAGCGCTTTCCGTTGCTGACCATTTTAAGCGGAAACCGCTATCTGCCATAAGCCAGTTCGACACTGGTATCTCTGTAACCTGCCTTTATCTCTTGTGAAGCAACAATGTACGTGGTATAAATGTCTTACAATTCCCGTATGCTACCAAGAACACAGTTCGCCACACTCGTGTGATTGCTCTATAGCAAACTCTTCTCTTAATTTTTTTTTCGCCTTGTGCTTTAATTCTTACTTGGACAACGCTAGCAGATAAACCTAATTGTCTTCTGTAACAATACTCTTTTGACTTACCCACATAGAGTATACCAATTGAGTGGATAGTTATCTTGGCTAGTAGTTTAGTCTTCAGCTTGCTAAGTGTTTTGGTTGTTTGTTCTTGAATTCTCTTACGAACGCGAAACCCGTGTGTATCACCACCCGTCGCACTGGTATCCACTTTCATTCTAATTTCTTTTTCTGATTCTACTTCAACTGTTTTTGAAACGCAATTGCGTTGTGTCGCCGAACTTATTCTTTCTCACACAATTTTGACTTTCATCCCGACTCTCAGTTCTCTAATTAAGCATCTGAACGCATATTCCGAGACGAACGGCTTATCCCCTGTGCAAACGTTTTGATTCCTTACATTATCTTTGTCATTTTCATTCTTTTCCACTGTCTTTTTGTCGTTTCCCTTCAACTTAAATCTCATTCTACAAAATGTCAGAGTCTATAAAACAATACGACTCTTCTTTGGATTCAAAGAATCCGAAGATTTCTGAAAAGCCCCAGGAGGCTGTTGACATCGAACGCGCTGACTATATCGAGGGCGAAATTGAATATGCCGATGTTCAACGCAAAGGCTTCTTTCAACGTTTCATCGATGATTTCAAGCCCATGCCCACTGTTAATGGTGAGCGCCCTGAACTGAAGCGTAAATTGAAGGATCGTCACATGCAAATGATTGCCATTGGCGGTGCTATCGGTACAGGTTTCTTCGTTGGTTCTGGTAAATCTCTGCGAAATGGTGGTCCCGCTTCTTTGTTGATTGATTACTCTATCATTGGTGTTATGATGTTTTGTACCGTCTATGCTCTGGGTGAACTCGCAGTTGCTTACCCTGTTCGTGGTAGTTTTTACACTTATGCTACACGTTTCATCGATCCTGCTTGGGGTTTTGCCTTGGGTTGGAACTACTTTATGAATTACTTTGTCACTTTGCCTTTGGAACTTACTACATGTTCAATGACCATTCGATTTTGGACAGATATAAACAGTTCTGCCTGGATCGCAATTTTCCTATTTATTGTCATCGTTATTAATGTCTTCGGTGTCCGAGGTTACGGTGAAGTTGAGTTTGTTCTCAGTACTGTTAAAGTGTTCGCTACCTTGGCATTCATTATCCTTGCCATTGTCATCAATTGCGGCGGTGTCACCACTGATCCTCGTGGTTATATTGGAGGCCATTACTTCCGCATGAAGCCGTTCCGCAATGGTTTTAAGGGTTTCTGTTCTGTCTTCACCACCGCTGCCTTTGCTTTCTCTGGTACTGAGCTTGTCGGTATTGCCGCTGCTGAGGCTTCCAATCCCCAGGAATCCGTGCCTCGTGCTTCCAAGCAAGTTTTCTGGCGTATTGTCATTTTCTACGTTGTTGGTTTGCTGTTGATTGGTCTGCTTGTTTCTCCCGAGGTTGATGGAGACCGTTTGTTCGGCGGCAGTGGTACTGCTACTTCTCCCTTCGTTATTGCTATTCAAGATGCTCGTATCAAGGGTCTCCCCTCGGTGATGAACGCCGTTATCACAATCTCTACTCTTTCTGTTGCAAACTCTTGTACCTATGCTGCTTCCCGTACGCTTCATGCGTTGGCTGAAGTTGGTCATGCACCCCGTTTCTTGAGATACATTGACAGACTCGGTCGCCCAGTTCCTGCTATGATGATCTGTTTGCTCTTCGGTTTCTTCGCCTTCATTAATGCCGCTGGTGAGGATACTTCCGACAGCGTATTCAACTGGTTGCTTGCCTTGTCTGGTTTGTCCAACTTCTTCTCTTGGGGTTCCATTAACTTGGCCCATATTTGCTTCCGTCGTGCCTGGGCGCGCCAAGGACGTGACCTTAACCAATTGGGTTTCGTTTCACCCGCTGGTGTTTATGGTTCGTACCTTGGTTTCGGTCTGAACGTGTTGTGTTTGATTGCCGAGTTCTACGTGTCTCTTTTCCCTCTTGGTGGATCACCCAATGCTAGTGACTTTTTCCAGAACTACATGAGTTTCCCTATCGCCATTTGCTTCTTTGTTGGTTACAAGTTTTATGACCGTACTCGTCGTCCTCCCTTGTCCGAGGTTGATCTGGATACTGGACTTCGCGTTCGCGATGAAAGCGAGATGATGGAAAAGTCAACAGAGGATAAAGGCAAACTCATGAATCTGATGTCTGCCTGTTGCTAAACGAAGTGTCTAAGCAGCTGCACCTTTCAATCACATATATACTTTTGTTATTCTCAGTTGTGAATGGCAGCCCTCGTTCGGCAATTCTATACCAACCATACCGAGCATTTGCTATTCGACCTGTGTGCCTCCGTGCCTTCCCTTGTTTCCATATTAATATCCCTGTCCTATACCGGAGGTTAAAAATTAAAGCTGGTTTTTAATAATAGATGCTTTTCCAAATACCGAGCCGCCAGTTAATAGCTAAAATGTAGAGAATTGTCAGGTTAGAGTAAGTCGATTTTATTCTGAGCTGCAGCTGGTCCGTATAAATTCATGAGCATTTACAACTTTGCTATTAGAACTCCTTTCGGACTATTCTAGCTTCTATGCCTGCTGCATCCGGTGATCCTATTTTTGGTGTACTGTAATTCAACCGAAGCGGGATCGCTTACACCCACGAAAATGATACAATTGGAGAAAATAAACAAAAAACCGACTAAATGTAATTCGTGAATCGTTTCTCTATAAAGCTTATATCGTCTATGCATTCATAGTAACTCAGACAAACATTTAACTATGGTGTTGTTCTTAATCTGATGCTGCTCTGGCGTGTAGTTCACCACCAAGACTCCTTACCCCCCATTTCACCACACCTTGTGTCTAAACCACTACCGGCAACATTATTCCTTCCTAATTCGCGGTTTAGCCAGTCATTGAGGACTGTCAGAAGGAGAAGCATTAATAAATTAATCTTTAGGTTACTGTTTCCGACCAGGACGCCAAGATTGCCGTTAGTTTCAGTGACACGTAGCTCAAAATATGTTCTGGCGTTTTGGACATGGGTTTGGATTTCAAAGCTCTAGTGCTATTGAGGCAATCCTCTCTAAGCCAGAAGAAGAAATTCAACTGAAAAAGTTACTGGAAGAACCAGGAGTACTGGACGAATGCAAAAGTCACAATCCGAAACTGATAGAGTACTTGTGTAAGCCGACTGTTTTAAACCAGCTGGTTGATTATATTCTTGAACCAGAAGATGAAGAACCACAGGACGGTGGGTATGAAGAACCCGAGACGACCAGATTATCGTTTATCGCGAGCGAGATTCTCAGCAGCGATGTGTGGTCGATATGCGAGGCCTGTGTTGAAAACCATGAACTTTTGGCTCATTTGTGGACCTTTCTTGACAATGAGAATCCTCTAAACCCACTTCAAGCCTCGTATTTCGCAAAAATTAATGAGCACTTCTTGGACAAAAAGACAGAGCAGCTTGTCGCTTTCATTCAGTCCATAGACAATTTGGTGGAGAAAATCCTACGTCATGTGGAAACGAGTGCTATTATGGATCTGCTCCTTAAATTCATTTCAATGGATCGTTGTGAAACACCTGTTGGCATTGCAGACTGGTTGCATAGTCAGGGTCTTGTTCAGCGTCTCCTGCAGCTGCTTAATCCGAATATGAGCCCAGATATTCAATCCACTGTAGCTGACGTGATAAAAGCCATTATCGCTATTTCTGCCAACTCAAATGAGCCTGGTGTTATTGGACCTAATTCTCTCTCTCGTGAGCTTGTGTCCGAAGAAACGATTGGCACCATGATTCAGTACATGACTGATGTGAGCGCCCCGAACTCTACTACATCGCTTGTTAACGGCGTGAGCATTGTAATTGAGCTTATTCGCAAAAACAACAGTGATTACGATGTTACACCCATCCTTCAGATGCCGCTACACACTTTCCCGCCTACTACGAGAGACCCAATATATCTTGGCACCATGTTGCGCTTATTCTCTGAAAAGATTCCCGTCTTTCAAAATCTTTTAATGCATCCAAAGGACACTCCTGAGACGATGCCTACTAGCTTTGGACAGATTAAACCCTTGGGATTCGAACGTTTTCGTGTGTGTGAACTGTATGCTGAACTTTTGCATTGCAGTAACATGTCCCTCCTTAGTGATCCAAATGCTGAAGCTATGGTTTTGCAGCGTAATCATCTTCGGGACTTTCTGATTCGTCACAATAAATGTCCTAGAAACCCGCGCACGCTTGATGATGATTCTGGTTTCCAAGCCGGCAAATTCAACGAAAACGAAACGCAAGATACATCATTCGACGGACAAAACCAGTCCCAAGATGAAAATATGACAGAGGCCGATCAAGAGTCCGTTGTCAGCACACAAGCTACTGACATCGAAAGTGCTACAAAACTTGCCGCAGAAGAGACAAATTTCTTGGAGGACATAGTCGAAGACGGTGAGCGCTTCGAGCCTCTGAGCACTGAGACGCTACAAGAAAAAGTGAAGGGCCCCGTTGTCGGTGATTTGTTGAAAATCAAATTCATTGAAAACAACGTGATAACTATAATTTTGGATCAGTTTTTTGAGTATCCATGGAACAATTTCCTTCACAATGTCGTTTACGATGTCGTTCAGCAAGTGCTTAATGGACCTATGGACAAGGGTCATAATTACGCTCTTGCGTTTGATATGTTTACGCAAACAAAAATTACAGAAAAGATTGTTAATGGTCAGAGAATCAGCGATGAAGAAACGTAAGTAATGCTGGCATTTGCCTGTCGCTCTCTTATTAACATTTAAAGTGCAAAACCTAACGGTTTCCGACCCGGGTACATGGGTCATCTGACTATCATCGCTGAAGAGGTTATTAAGTTTGTGGAACGCTATCAGAACATTCTTCATCAGGACATCTTAGACATGGTCAATAAGGACAGCTGGCAGCACTTTGTCAACGAAACGTTGGCAGAAACACGTGCCCGGGATAATCAGCTCCTTGGCGGTTTGGAGCCTTCTATGGTTGGTTATTTGGATGATGTGGATGGTGAGATGTTGGATGCTAACAATCTGCCTGAAATGCAATTTGCTTTGGAGCAGGAACTTGAAAGTAATAGCAGCGACGATGATATCGTTGAAATGCATCGCGAGCTCTCTCGGGATTCGGACACGGACCCCGATGATCAAGATTCGCATTTGGCTCGTGAAATGTCTCGCAGGTTAAGTATGGATTCTTCCAATAGCGACGATGATGACAGTCGTGACCATTTTGCGCAGTACATGTCGGAAGAAATGTCCAATGATCCGTCTAACAAGTCAGACAGTTCTAGTGACTCTGATGACGATGATGATGATGTCGTCGGTTGGGTTCCTCGCGGTAAGCAGTCCGTCTCGCGCTCAGGTTTTTTCCTCAACGAAGGCAATCGAGATGATGATGATTCCGACAGCGGCGATGAAGACGAGGCAAACGATGACAGTGATGACGACGATGATGACGATCGTGAATTTGCGGAGGATGAGTATCGCAACGGTCTGCTTCTCTTCCCCAGAAAAAACAAGGATAATGAAGGTAATTGATTTATACGATGGATGCCACGTTGAAACGCTGGTAGCTTATCATGAGTTACGTTTGTGATCGTTTAATCTGCCAGTCGTTCCTTTTCTAGCAGAAGCTTGCCTTACGCCTTTGGTGCAGTGTACAATTATCTGCCTCATTTTGTTAGGACTCAACACGAACTTAAGCCCGACCCGTCAAGCTCCAGTAGCCCTTTTGTTTCATTCTATAACATTTCTTTCCCCGACGCTCCGTGGAAATTACTGTCTTAATACTTTTCATACAAAAGACTTATTCCGCACTTAGTTTACAAAATAACTTGCAACCTCAACTTGATAGACATTTGCACATGTTTTTATTCTTGTTTGTGGTATAATAAACATACCAACCCATCTCGTAATTATGATTCTCTACTCCCCGAGTGTTTTGGGGTGAGCTGCTCGTTGCCCTTCTGTAATTTGGAGCCTGTGTTCCTAGGATGTTCTTATCGACTTGCTCTGTATAGCAATTGACTACAATTCCGAGTCTATCTATCTTAATTTGTGCTATGACAGTAAAGACAACTTTTGGGAAAAATTTGACATAAATACCAAAAGTTTAAGCCTAATTACATCGACATGTGCAGGATTTTTCCAAATGTGAACCTTAATGTCGCAAGGAGTATAGCATTTGCAAAAAAACAGGGTCGTTACTCAAAACTGAGTGATATTTTAAAAAAAAAAGGGGAAATTCTGGTATGTACAAATCATCTTATGTTCCTGGGACAATTATATACTGTTACATGATAAAACGGTATTTTGCGAATGCGAAATACTAACAGGATAGATAAACACAATTTCACGTTCCATGCTCCGAGGACGAGGGGGTTCTGGATTTTATACCGGCAGAAAGTGGGAATCAGTTGTCGCAACTGCAGAACTTTTGAAGCACCCGATGCGATATTTAGTTGTTAACGCATCAGAAGGTGAGCCGGGCTCATTCAAGGATCGGTATCTACTAGCAAGTGTACCGCATACAGTTATTGAGGGCAGTATTATGTCGGCAAAAGCAATTGGAGCAAGTGCGTGCTACATATCTGTTCGTGCAGAATACTACAAAGAAGCATTACACCTGCAAGAAGCGATAAACGAAGCTTATGAAGAAGGCTACCTAGGAAAAAACATACTTGGTACAGACTTTAGTCTCGATATTTTTATTCATCGAGGAGAAGGCAATTATATCAGCGGAGAAGAAACAGCACTGCTTGAATCACTTGAAGGAAAAGCAGCAAAACCTAGAGTGCGTCCTCCCTTTCCCACAGAACACGGTGTCTTTGGTTGTGCAACAGCGGTGAACAATGTGGAAACAATTGCCAATATCCCTTGCATCCTAGAAAACGGCGACGAATGGTTCCGTTCTCTTGGTTCACCAAACAACTACGGAACAAAACTATTCTGCATAAGCGGTGATGTGAGACAACCAAATGTTTACGAGGAACGTTTGTCAATACCGCTAAAAGAACTGATAGAAACTCATGGAGGTGTTATAGGTGGGTGGGACTCATTGGTAGCTGTTTTTCCAGGGGGTCCCTCTATGGGAATATGTAATAAAGAGCAATGCGAACACATGCTCATGGATTATGATTACCTTCGACAAATAGGGACTGGACTGGGAACAGCATCAGTAATCGTTCTCAACGATATTGACAAAGTCTTTGAAGCCATACTAAATTTTTCAAAGTTCTACAAGAAGGAAACTTGCAGAAAATGCCTTGCTTGTCGTAATGGCACAAAGATTATCAATGAATTGCTCGAACTGGTTCGGGAAGGAAAAGCAACACCGAGTGTGATTACTGACTTAAGACAAGTCAGTAACTATGTAACAAAAGACACAATCTGCAACTTTAGCGCAGCGCCTAGTTTACTGTTAAACAGTTATTTTAAAAACTTTCCGGCTGATATTCAAAGAAGAACTCGCGCGAAATAAAAAAGAACTTGTAATTGATAGTACAACTCAACTATTTGTCACTTATTGACAATTGAGTTAGCCATTCACCATCAGCTTGAGACTGGCCAGCACCCAGTTGTTCCCACACATGAAATCCTGTTCCAAGGTTCCCAAGAAAAATAGTATCGTTAGCCGTCTTATTAAGAGCAGCATTAGCCAAGTCGTTGCTTACAGCGCCAAAAGCCAACGTCCACTTCGCATTCATAGATAGTGTTTTACTTTCATCCAAGCCAGAGGGATAATCGAGGGAAAGAATGGGAGCACGATTTTGGTTTGCCCATTTCACCAAAGGGTTGTATCGAGAATCATAAGGTCTTAAGCCACTCAAAGAATCCACAATCAGCTCCACTGGTGTGGACAATGATTCAAGGCATTTGCCAAATTCGTCATCACTAGGTACAAGGCCACCGGCGGACTCAAACATCAGTAGTTGCTTGCCGTCGATATTATTCAACTGCGTGCAACGCAAGACAACCGTTATTCCAACTGAAGCGAGTCTACGACCTGCGGCAACTGCTGCCGAGGCATGATCGTGTTTACCAACTAACAGGCAAACGACGGGTGACGGGTTGTGATTCAATTTTCCTAGACGGCGAGAACCTCCAAGGAAGGAATGTACTAACTGGCTTATTAGTTGAGCAGCGCCTTCAACGACAATTTCAGAATTTGTGTTCAAAATAGATTCGGATACACCTCTAATAATGATATCCTTATCCACAGAGACAACTGTTTCTCCTGTGCTAGTTTTAAGCTCAACGGAAGCATTACGAGAAGAATCCGATGTTTTGCTTTTGGTAATAGTTTCGCTGTTGCTGGACTTGGGAGATTTTTTTGTCTTTTGCTGATTTGCAGCTAAAGGATTTTTAGGACCGGGTTTCTTGGGTGATTCTTCTTTCGAAGAACTTACTGAATCAAGAACATTTTGGGTTGGTGAGTAATTTCTCTGCGTGTTTTTGTTATGAGAAACTAAAAGTTTCGCAGGGTCCGATTTATCTCTTTCCTAATATTAACGAAAATTTAGCTAAACAATACTTCAAATTAGACATACACGAAATTCGGCAAACAGCTTTTGTTTGTTGAATTTTTCCAAATTTGCTGCAAAGTCAAAATCATCATTACAGTCAGCAGTATTCCAAGCTTTGTCCGCTTCTCTAAGGCGGGCTTTTGAAGAACGAGGTGTAGACGGTTTAGATACAGGTTGTTCGTTAGGTATAATCCGTAAGTCTTTGATTTGCGATGTCATAACAGGAATTACATTTTGTCTTGATTTCAGTTGCAAAACAAGGCTTTGAGGGTCAAAATTCGTTATAATTCCTTGTATCTTAGACCCATTATTTAAAAATATCTCAACATTTGATCCATAGAAGTCTGCTACAGACATTGTGGAAATTATTTTCCCAATTGGCGTAAGAAGGAGTTGAATGGTTCTTCAGACTTTGCTGAGTAATATTATGTGTCACTTAAAAGAAAGTAGACTCGTTGAAAAGCAGGATTAATGGGAAACTCAATGTTCAACGAAAGACGTGCGCCTTTTTTGGTAGAGATATTTCGTTGATATTATTTTCTTTGAAATAATGAAAGAATGTGGAAAGTCAGAGAATAAATCACAATGACCTACAGTAAAGCAACAATATTTGAATCATGAGTATGTATTTGTCTTAACAGTTCACATTGTTGTTACTTTTGTCTAACAAAAGGCAGTGAAATCAACCAAGTGAACATGTACAAATTTTAAAACATCAACTATGGATCAACGAAATGTATAACGTAATGTGAGAATGGAAGGTAATAAAATGGTATTTAGTCAGAACCAAAAAAATAGACTCAAAGATTATTGTCGACCGACGCCGGCACGTTTGCACAATGATCGTAGATCACCGACTTTTTCTATATCACCATGAATGACAATGGTAGGCTTTCCAGATCCCTTACCTGCATTATTAACTTTACCCATTAAGACACGTTCAGCAACGCGCTGTAAGTCTTGACGAGTAAGACTCGATATACGATCGCACATTTCACTTGGTGAAACATAGGCTCCATTTTGTGTTTGAATCTGACGTCCCAAATCCTCCAAAGAAATCATTCTGCTTTCAAGGTTCATAAGCAAAGAACTGCGAAGCTGCTTCTTCGCACGTTCAACTTCTACGGCATCCAAATTCAACACAAGGTTGCACAATTCTCTTAGTATAACGGGTCCCGCAAGATGAGAAGCGTCGTCCAAGATACTGATAAAGATTCCGAACAATCCGGAATCGGAGTAACTGTGATTGAACGCCATACATGTTTCAACCCAAGGATACTGGTTTAATACGTTGAGATAAAGACGTGAATACATTCCCTTTCCAGGACCGCCCGCACTGAAGGAGCCACCGCCTCCTAGCAAGAATTGCAAACATGCCAATGCATAGATATCCGGATCTGTGACTGAGAGGCCTTCCATTGCAATAACAATATGGCTGAAATCTTTAAGATATGGAATTTCAGGAGCCTCAAGCTTATTAATGGCCTTTTGTCCTCCGATATAAGTAGCAGCAGGGTAAGCCAAGGGTTTACTTGTACGCGGTAAGTGACCGTACTGTTCCATTGTTAATTCTTTTCCAACCTCAATGGGAATGCCAGCGTATGCCAACGTTAGGTTCTCTGGACGATAAAATGATTGAATGTACTTGCGTACATTTTCCCTCGTGATGTTTTTTATTCCTTTAGGTTCACAAACGAGCGAGTTACCCAATGTCCTTTTACCAAAAGCCGTAGCATGGGTGAATTCCTCCAGTAAAAGGTCTGGTTTTTTCCATATGTCACTGATTTCAAAGGATATACTGTCCTTGAAATGAAGCAAATCCTCGTCCGTAAAGTCCGGATGTAACATAGTTTGAGCTAATAACTGGCTCATTACTTTGACATCATAATTGAAAACCGCAGACTGATAGACCAGAGATTCCCTGCCAGCGGAGCACATATGATTTCCTCCGAGAGACTCTAGCTTCTGCTGCATTTCTGTTTTCGACATTGTTGACGTTCCTTGAAAAGCCAAACGATCCATAACATGGCTTAATCCAATTAACGAACCAGTCTCAAATCTAGTTCCAGCTTTTACGTAGGCTCCCATTCCTGCAAAATGCCCTTTCCTTGGATCACAGACATAACGGACGCCGTTAGGAAGGGTGTTTACTTCGACCTTTGCTTTCGCGGCAACATTACTCAAATTTCGAGATAAAGTAGGTATGTTTTTCCCTAACTGAACTCCTCCTAATGCCTTGTAAGATAAAGGTCGGCTTTGGAAGCCGAAAATTGCCTTTTTCAGGTACATTGTTAAACAGAGGAACGAAGCGTACCTTACACGTTCGCACTAAGCCAATTTAAAAAATTAAATATTCCATTATACTGCTGAACATCGTACTTTCGTTGAAAGAAAAATACTACTGAAACTATAGTACGTAATATAGCTGCAATTCCTTTAATATAAGCATTCCCAACTGCAGCGTTAAGTAATTACAAAAACTCAGTGTGGACACTTAAAGTCTCGTCACATTAGCTCAAAGCTACGCAATCAGACATCCGTACAGTCCAGTTGAACAAGAAAAGCTGTACTCTAGTCTATTAATATATTCTGTCATTGAATTCATTCATTAAAGGAACTACATCCTATTTAGTTTTTCGGAGATCCACAGAGCTCCTAAACATCAATCCTTAACTTTCTACTACCATCATTCCTAAATGTTTACACGTAATGTGATGATATTACCAAAGATGGCACATTCAATGTGCCAGAGATTTGTGTCATCCAACAGTTCCATACTCGCAAGAGAAATAGGCCACTTTGACGACCTTGCTAAAACATGGTGGGATTGGGATGGCAGCAGCCGTCTGTTGCATTTAATGAACCCTCCTCGTATCGACTTCATACGCTCTATTGTCAAACAGAAAAATTGGTTCCCGGGAAAACGAATTCTCGACGTTGGATGCGGTGCAGGAATTCTCAGTGAAAGTCTAGCTCGACTCGGCGCTCACGTTGTTGGCTTGGATGCATCTCCCGGGACCATAGAGGCTGCACAACAACATATGAAACAAGACCCTAGTTTACAGAACAAGTTGCGGTATAAACTTGGCTCAATAGAGAACACCAATTTTAATGGGAAACAATTTGACGCGGTCACTGTCATGGAAGTTGTGGAACACGTCGCAGAGCCCGCAAACTTCCTAAATGAATTAATGCGGCATGTTAAGCCATTGGGATATGTCTTCTTGTCAACGATTTCAAGAACAATGGTTTCACGCCTGCTCACTCTCACGCTCGCAGAAAATGTTCTTCATATTGTCCCGCCAGGAACACACACTTATGAAAAATATATCCGACCGGAGGAAATGCGAGAGTTTTTTCTTGAAAAAGGATGGGCAGTAAATGGAGAACGCAGTGTTGCATTCAATCCTTTCTTAGGAAAGTGGGTTCTTGGTGCGCCTGGAACAAAGGTTTGGTGTAATTACTTCTTTTCAGCCCAGAAACCAGCAATGCGTGGAAAGTAGAAATGCATAACTGTATTTTTGCTCATTATTGCTAATTGGCCATCAACCAAGAAGTCTTAGGACTTTTCACTACTGTGCTGTCGTAGCTTCTTTTGTTTCCTCATCAACGAATTCGGGCAAATCGTTCAATGGTTGCAGATACGCCGGCAACCCGTTCGTCTGCTCCTGCTGCTCGGCCCACGTTTGATCTTGTTGCAGTGCTTCAAGTTCTGCATCCAACTCTTCGTCATCAATGTCGACCGAGCTCATATTCTGGCCGAGGATATCATTTAGTTCACCAGCAGAATCCAAATACTCTTGCAGTTCATCTTGTAAAGCGTCAATTTTCTCTAAAGAGATTTGCTTGTTCTGTGCTTTCAATTGCTTGGCTGTTTGCTGCAAAGCCTGTACACTAACCATTGTGTTCTTTAATGATTCTGTAGTCATAGCTGTTTGTTCCATATTAAATGACTGCTGCTGCAACTGTTGCAGTTGCGACTCATACCTACCGAGGTTAGAATTTACGTTTCAACGTTAATGAACGGAACTTATGTATCTTGTTGTAATCCTTAGCCAACCCAGCCTTACTTACAGTTTCTTCTGTTTCAATACATTCATGGCTCGCTGCCGAATGCTGTTCAAGAGGGGACCAGGTCTCGTTGTGTTCATCTTTTGCTGCAAAGCGGACAGTTGACCGTCTAGTTTTGCAATCTTAACTTCAATCGAGCCACTTCTCTCGTCTAACTATAGCATTTCTGTTAGATATATCTTCTTTCTCATGAATTCGTTAAACACCACGACACACGACGTACGGATTGAATAGCATCTGTAATTGAAACCGTAGGTTCCTCCTTTTTTTTTCCAAATAGGCGGTACATCGTGCAGCTCGAGGGTAACTTGCAAAAAATTCTTTAACAATGTAGTTTCACAAAGGGGAAAAATTAATAATACGTGTATAATTAGAACTGGAAGTAAACAAAATCCTATATTCGATATCCCAGCTAAACTTCCAATTCTTTACTTCAACCGAGCTCAATTTCTATTCAACTTTTCTTTCTGTAAACCAAAAGCTATTTCGAAGATGATTTTTGGTGGAGAGTTTATTGAGAGGGGAAATAACAATTTGGCAATATCATCCACACAATTAATCATAGTATAAGAGCTACAAGAAGAAAACTATCGTCAATGCCACTGAAAAGCACTAGAACGTCCTTACTAATTCAATTTCTCATTATATATCTCTATTCCGCTCTTTTTTAGATTGCCGGTCCTGAAGTACTTCGATGACGTCATCAAATAATATAACCAACGGATGTGCCGACGGAAGGTGATTCTTTGTTCGCATTTCATTTATGGTGATATCACCACTCACGGTCGAAAGTATTACTTGTTAACTTGAAAAAAATATATTTTAGAAATTGCTAAAAATACGAAATAGCCGCTCTATATCAAAAACCGAGGAGTTGCGAGCTATCTCGTTGTGTGGTGAAATACCTCTCGATACAACTCCACCAACGCTTTTTGTAGATAAATAATCCAGTTTAATGGCATTTACTCATAGTAAATTAAAACATTTTTTACACCATTCTACTCCCACAGCATTGAATTTTGTATATCCGTCGTTTTTGTAATTTTTGTGCTGATATTTTTAGACGTCTAACGAGTTGGCTTTATCACCTCTGCCGTAACGGATCTTCCACCTTCTACTGCCGCCTGCTTCTCTTAACCTCTGAATATCACCCTGTAGAAACTACTGTTTGCTGTGAGCAGCTCTTTGAGCATGAAGGCCGCAGTTCGTTCAGTGTAAGTGCTTTTTCATACAAAGGAGCCGCAGACGTTTGAATTGAAGCGCTAATCTGTTGTAGTAAAAACTTTTCTAAAGGCTACTCTGAGACTCAGGTTAAAGTCAGAAATGCCACTACAAATGATGCTTGGGGCCCTAGTGGGAAGGCCATGGCGGAAATCGCCCAATTAACTTTTGATCAGCATGAAATGCTCGAAGTTATGGATATTTTGGACCGTCGTTTGAATGACAAAGGAAAGAATTGGCGACATGTGTTCAAGGGTCTAACAGTCCTGGAATACTGTATCCACAGCGGTTCTGAAAACGTCGTTCGCTGGGCCAAAGATAACTTATATATTATCACTACGTTACGAGAGTTTGTGTACATTGACGAAAACGGAACAGACCAAGGTCAAAACATCAGAACAAAAGCCAAGGAACTCACGAATTTATTGTCTGATGACGAAGCCATTCGCCAGGCTCGTAGAAACAGAAACGACATGCATGGCCGGATGAACGGCGACGATGAATTTGGAAACTCTGATGATTGGGGATCCCGTAATCGTTCGCGTCGTTACAACCATCCTCCTGTTTACGATCACTCATCTTCCCGTGGTAGCACACGAACTCAATCTCGTCGTAACAGTCCAGGTGATGGCAGTGATGGTCTTGATGATGAACTTGTTGCGGACCCAGAGCTTCGCCGAGTCATTGAGGAATCAAAACGTCAAGCAGAAATTGACGCTCGTCGTCGCCAAGAAGCTGAGAATGAAGAAGCTGAATTACAAAAGGCGCTTCAACTCTCCAAGGAAGAAGAAGAGGCACGTAAACGACACGAGCAAGAAACTCAACGGTTCATGGAATCGAATTCCTATCAGCCTGTTGATTTTTTTGGAAATCCTGTACAACCGCAACAAACAGGCTTCTCTAACAACCCCTTTCCGATTCAACCTCAACAAACGGGTTTTGTCCAACCGCAAGCAACTGGCTTCATTCAACAACAACCTACTGGCTTTGTCCAGCCTCAGCGTACGGGTTTCATGCAACCTAATCACACGGGTTTTGTTCAACCTCAGCGCACTGGCTTTATGCCGCCAAATCACACAGGATTTGTTCAACCGCAGGCAACAGGATTTGTTCAACCGCAGGCAACAGGATTTGTTCAGCCGCAACCGACCGGATTTGTTCAACCGCAGCCTACAGGGTTTATGCAACCACAAACTACTGGTTTTATACAACAACAGCCAACAGGTTTTGTTCAGCCTCAGCGGACGGGTTTCATGCAGCCTAATCATACAGGCTTTGTCCAGCCGCAGCGTACTGGTTTTATGCAACCTAATCACACAGGCTATGTTCAGCCTCAACGCACTGGCGTTATGCAACCTCAGCGAACCGGCTTCAATAACGGCTTTCCTGCACAAGCTCCTATCCAACAACAAGTTACAGGCTATGTCCAACCTCAACGAACTGGTTTTGGTGCGAACAATCCTTATTCTCAAATGATGCAACCTGCTCCTCAACCCGCTGCTCCAAAGCTTGAACCTACCAAGACTGGTTCCAACAACCCTTTTGCTCAATTCACTAAACTCCCCCAAACAGTTTCAGCTCCAAATGTTTCTACCTCTGGTGCTCAAGTGCAAAGACCAGTTAAGACCAATGATGAGCGGTATGCCAACATTGCCCAGGCTGTTTTAACGGGAAATCCTACGGGTGTCGACACATTCGGAAATATGGGTGATGTTCGTGTTCCGACTCATCACACTGGTTCCAGATTTACTAATAGCGCCGGTCAAACAATTCAGGCACAACCCACCGGTGGAAATCGCAATCCCTTTCAAAAGTCGCAACAGCAGCAGCAACATCCTTCGTTTTCTCAACAACCGTTACAACAGGCTAACATGCAAATGCCTTACCAACAGCATCCTATGGGTTATGTAAATAATCAACAAATTTATGGGGGAATGCAACATGTTCCCGGACAACAACCACCGACACAACCTCAGGTGGGTTCATTGATCGACCTCTAAGCTTACATGCAACACCTCGTCTTTTTGAATTAGTGTCATCCTTAAAGGAGGAGGGTTTTTTAGATCGTACAAATAGCTTCTCTTCCTCTCCTTTTTTGACCGCCATCTTAATCATTTATGCCATGTTCTTCGTTTTTCAACCTTGATGTTAGCTTGCACTTGGTGCGACCAATTAATGACTGTAATGACTGTCGTGAGCTTTGAATATCAGCCAAACTGGTGTGAATTCAAAGGTTTCTACTACTGGAGAATAAGCTAGAACCTTGTTTAGTGGAAGTGCTCGTGTGTCGTCCTTCAGATCAAACATCTGTAGTAGTATATATATTTCATTTGTATTTATGTAAACGTTTACGAATTAGGCGCCCAAGTAGCCCTAGTGCCAGTGAGAACAAAACTAGATAAGTCGTGTTCCATCTGGCTTTCATGTCAAAAATTAGTTGTACAAACATGAACGACGAAGTTTATCACTTCGTCTTTTTCTCCTTGCTTCCTTGAGAAGATGTTCCTGTGTCATCTCGTTGTCGTTTTGTTTGTGAAGATTTTGCACTTAAAGTAGAGTTGCCTTTGTTTTTTTGGCTAGAAGCATTGGGAACGGTTCGTTTGGAAGCTCCAGAAATTGAGATCTTTCCAGTTTCTGGTTTCATAGGAACAGGTCTACTCAATGTTGGTCGAGTTATGGCCATCTTCTTCTGAGATTGTGCCGATTGTTGAGCCTCAGCAGGTCTTTTAGTCTTTTGTGGAGCCTTAGTCGTTTCTGTACTACCAGACAAAGATTGCTCTTTGTGATTATTTTGCTTGCTTAGTCGATCGGTCAATTCTTTCACCTTATGTTCTAGCTCGGCAGTCTTTGTTTTTAGATTGTGAACTTGTTTTTCGGAGATTGAGATTTTCAACTTATTGCGCATCTCGGCTTCTTTCCGGGTAGCTTCAATCAACTTTGTGGTCTGCTCCTTAAGCTCTTTTTCTTTCATAGCAACAGCTTCAGCAATTGATTGCTCAAGTTGAGTTTTGTCAACAGTATCAAGCGCATTCGCGTTCTCCGAGGTGCTACTAGCACCAGAATTGGCAAGTTGATTCTGAAGCTGTTGTATTTGAATTTGCAGCTCGGATATTGTGTTATTAGATGCGCGAAGTTGCTCCTCGAACTCGATTTTTGCCTCCTCTCGCACTCGTTCAACCTCATTCTCCTCAGAAATATGACCACTATGGTCACCTTGAGTTGCTGGACTTCCTTCCATTTTAGATTTAAGCCGTTCAATTTCGCTTTGTAAATTCCGAATAAGATTTTGTTCTCCGGCTTTATGTTCAGGTGAGGAATCCTTTAACTTGGCATACTCAGCCTGAAGCGCTGTAAGGGCACTTTGAGCTTCACTGAGTCTAGACTGAAGTTTTTCATTACTGGATCGAAGTTCATTCATTTCGGCATTGTTTTCACCAACAATGTCGTTAGAAGAGTTTTGTGATTTTGACGCCTGTTTCAAGGTTTGTAATTCCGAAGCTAAAGAGTCTCGTTGCTTCTCTAGTTCCGAAATTTGTGTTTGGAGCTTGTCGTGTTGCTCTTCCGTATTTAGATTGTCAAAAGCTTCAACACGCTTGTGCAGTTGTTCAATTTCTTTTCGTTTTGATTCACATTCTTGAATCTTAACATTCAGCTTTTGCCGAAGTTGCGCAACCTTTGCTTGACTCGTGCTCACCAATTGGTCATAAGTGTTCTTCCAAGCAGCTGCAACATTCGTGTTTTTGATGTTCAGCTGTTCGACTTCCTGCTTAAGCGAAGTATTTTCGGTTTTCAACTCGGATATAGTGTTCGTATGAGTTTTCAGATTGTCAGTAGCGGTTTTGAGTTGTTGCTCCAAAGAAGTCTTTTCTTTTTCCGCTTTTTCGAGATTCTGTTTTAACTCATCAATTGTGGAGGGATCAACACGCTCATAACCCTTAAGAATTTTTGAATTTCTCTCTTTCCATCTCTCATTATCCTCAGTGAGAAGTTTCACACATTCCGTTTTTGAGGACAACTCCGATTTGAGGTTAACTAACTCCTCTTGTAGTTGTTCCAAACGCGTTTCCAGTTCCTTTATGGAAGACTCCAGCATTTTTATGCGTTCATCACTTTCTTGCTTTTCGTCGCGCAAAAGTGAGTTGCTTTCAATGAGAAGCTTGTAATCATCACTATCGACCTTGGATTGAGAAATCTTTTCCGTATCTGCAAGTTCTTGTTCGAGTGCCTTAATTTTTGTATTTTTTTCGGCAATCTCATTCTCCAACCTCGTATGTTCTTGGTGTATCCTTTTGTTCTCAATTCTTATAAGCTCCAGTTTGTTATGTGCAATTTCCTTCTCCTGTCTCAAGTAGCGTATAACCTCATGAAGTTCTACAGTCGAATCACTTTCAGTTTTCGTAGACATATCAACAGTAGTTGCTGCTCTCGCTGATAGATTATCAAGATTAAGCGTTAAGGATTCTAACTGCGAGTGGACAATCTTATTTTGAAGTTGCAGATCGTCATTCGTTCGTCTCAATCCTGTTAACTCATCTTCCAATTGAGTGCGTTGAGCTTCCCAAGAAGCCTTCAGATTTAGGACATCAATTTTGCTGTTATTGCGTTCCTCAGAAACTTCATTGAATTTTGTCTGCAACTCATGATATTGCTGACGAAGTTTGTGTAGAGTTTCCGCTGTCGCTGCATGTTTAACAACCTCGTTCTCATAATCCGATTGTGCAACCTCGTAAAGGCGGATTTGCTGTGCAAGGTCATTTTGCAGTGCTTCAAGTGCTTTCTTACTCTCATCATGCAACGAGGAGAGCTCTTGAGACCGCAACTTTTCCTGAGACAAATTTTCATTAATCTGTTGCAGTTGCTGGTTATAACGAGTACTTGAAGAAGTAAGAGACTGTTGAAGAGCTTTGATTGAGTCGTCAGCTCTTGACAGCTTCTCGTTTAGTTCCACTAACGAAGCATCCTTCTTCTGAAGTTCCTTTTGTAACGCCTCCTTAAACATATCATGGGTCTCGTTCATCGACTTAAGGGCCTCATTTGCTGTACCAACCCGCTGCTGTGAAACCATAAGGCGTTCCCGCAGTTCTTTAAGAAGTACTGTTTTTTCTGCAACCTCCTGCTTCAGTGAAGTGGTTTCACTTTTAAGTAGCTCGCCTCCATTGCCAAAGCTTGTTGTTTCAAAAAACTTGTTTCTAAACGAGTTATATTCGGCTTCAGATTTTTCAAGACGGCGGCAATAGTCATTAATTTTTCCTTCAAGATCCCGCTTCTCCGCTTGACAGCATGCATTGTTTTGTTGAAGTTGTGATATTTCTTTGTATAATGCCTCAAGTTTTTGTTGCTGATTTTCAAGTTCGAAAGTTCTTTGCAACGAGAGTCGCTTTATATCTTCCGATTGACTTGATATTTGGAGATGAGCACGCCGCAACTCCTCACAAAGTTGCGAAATGCGTGCTTCGGCTTTTTCGTAAGACAGCTGCGCATTTTCGGTGACATTTTTTAGTTCTCCTCTTACATTAGCTAACGACGAATTCAACGATGAGATTTGTCCACGTAGGTTTCCATTCTCTGTTCTGAATTGCGACTCAGTAAGCGTATGAAGAGCTGTCTCCTCCACATGCTGTTCTCTTAAACGTTCTAGTCTTTGAACAGCTTCTCTGGAAAGCGTAAGTTCACCTTCAGTAGACTGTAAAGCAGCATTAAGTTTTGCAACACTTTCCCTCAATGCAACGCATTCGTTGTGTAAACTATTCTTTTCATCCGTTAGACGAGAGAGCATTGACTCTAAATCAGAAAGGCTATTTGAGAATTCTGAACATCGAGCTTCCAAGAGAGTAACGTTGCTCGAGTAATTAGCATTTTGTACGCGCAACTTGTCAATAAGGTCATTATTGATCTTATTTTGTTTCTCTGTTGAGACTTTAAGCGTGTGGTAGGCTGTTTTGAAATGTTGAAGCTCAACTTGTGTTTTTTCCACGAGAACCGCAGCTTTAAATGCTTCAGCGTAATTATGCGTCAAATGCACATCGTTTTCTTTTGCTGAATGTAACAGTTCTCGGAACATGTCACGCTCTTGAGAACAGCAAGATAACTGATCGTTCAATAAGTTAATGCGATTCATGAGTTCATCTATCGTTTTGTCCGCTTGAGAGATTAATTCGTTTTGTTCCTCCTTAGACCGGTTTTCGGTAGCACTTTCTTGCTCCTCAAGTTGATCAGCCAGCCTACGAGAAGCATTCAGCAATTTTTGATTTTGTTCCTGAAGTTCAGTGATATTATGGAAAACTGTCAGACGATCAGTGATAAGCTGGTTTGTGTCATTTTCATTACGTCGTAACTTCCCTTGGAGAATTTCGCGTAGATATTGACGTTGAGTTTGCGACAACAACAAGCCAGAAGAGTCTAAGTCAACTTCCTGAAGTAAGACACGAACTTGAAGGGCCAAGTCTTGAATCTGGCGTTGATAGTGATCATTTTCCTGTTGCAAATCCCGACGCTTAGAAAGTATATCATTCAACTGAGAACGCAAGTCATCCCTCTCCTCCTCAATGCTTTGACATTTTTTGCTGAGCTTGACAATAGCCTCATTTTGGGCACTGATTTTGTCCATTTTTTCCTTAAGGGTCGGGGCATGATTGTCAATCTCTTCAATAAGCTCGTTAAGACTTGCTTGCAGTTTCTCATTTTGGTGCTTAGATTCTTCCAGTTTCTGAAGTAAAGATAATCTTTCATAATATAACTGTGAAATAGAAAGATTTGACTTTTTCGTCATAATAAGTGCCTTGGCAGAGGGGGACATGTAGCCAACAGACTCCGGTTCCACATCCGATGCAGATACTGCTTCGAGTCTTTTGTTTGCCAGACCAAGCTGCTGTTGCAGACTCGATAATTCTTTATTGAGTGAGTCAACCTCATTTTTCAAACGCGAAATCTCAAGTTGGAACTTTTCTTCTTGACTTTCCCAATTTGCCTGGGTCTCGCCAAATAGATTATTGGTAGAGGAATAAGACTCTTCAAGTTCTTCAACACGTTTCTGTAGCTCGGTGTTTCGTTCAGATAAAATGGTATTGAGTTTCACTTGGTGTTGAAGTTCTTGCGTGTTACTGGATTGTTGGAAATCGTGTTTCTTTTTCAGCTCTGAATATTCCAGAGAAAGTGCCTCAGATCGAGAACTGAGTGAGTTGCAGCGCAGAACGAGCTCATCCCGGTGACGCTTTAGTGTCTCAAACTTGCTCTTCTCCTCTGTCACTTCTTTCAGCAGTTCCGCCTTTTCCGCAGAAACCTGCTTCAACAAAGCGGTAGCATTCTCATTCGCAGAATTGAGTTCTGAAATTAGTTGATTATTGTTTTTAATCAGTAACTCTTGTTTCTGTGAAAGCAACTTGAGCTGAAGTTCATCATCAGCATGAATAGCTTCGAAAGAGAGTTTCTCAGACTTTAGTTCCTCAATTGCTTTGTGATAGCCCAGACTCTTCTCTTGTAATCGAGAGACTGTTTCACGTTCTAATTGTAGTTCATTATTTTTTAAAGTAAGCTCATTCAACAAATTCGTCTGTGATGCTTGAATTGATTCCAGATTTTTGTTTGTCTGCTCCAAGGAGTTCCTCATAACATCCAATTCACTATTCTTGTGTCGTAATTCATCCAGCGTTCGATTCGACTTTGTTTTAATGTCTTCAATTTCTGTGTCCAGTGACGAGACGCGTTGTTTAGCTTCATCTCGTTCTTTAGTCACCTGAACAACCTGCTTACGCAATGAAGAGACCTGCTGTTCATTGTTTACGCTATTTACAAGAGATTCTTCTTTCAATGTTGCGTATTCTTTCGATTTTTTCAGGACGGAATGAAAGAAAGTGGAAAAATCATCATTTTTTAGAAGACTTCGAAGGTAATCCGTAGACAAATCAAGAAAAACGCATACTGCGCTAATGTCTGTTTCATTGGCAGACATTTGGCAGATTGTGCTCTCCTGTTAGCACAATTATTGATTTTATGTGGTTAGGTTCCTGAGGGAATTTCTCTCCAAAGTAACCGGAGGGCATCCATAGACACGAGTTCACCACTCTTTAGGAGATGATATGGCCAGCGACGAGTCTGAAAACATCAACAACTCGAAGTCTTGTCACTTTCGCGCAATGTATTGTGGCTTTCTTTCTAGGATGAGTGCCCAGTTACGAGATTTTGGTTCATTTTGTGCTACAGTGGGATATATTACAAAGCGGAGAGAGACTAAATGGAACTGACTACAAAAGTATAGTTCTATAGTAATTACATTAATTTATACGCGTTATTTGCATTGGAACATTTTTACGTGAAGTATAAAGGTAGCAGTAGAAAGATTATTCTCTTAGGTCGAAAATCAATGAGCTGCGGTCAAACAAGGTCTGCCGCTTCTGTAAATTCTTGTTGTTGTCTAGACAATATTCAACTTTGTCAGTTAGCTTCCAACAGCAGCAAAAAGTTGCGAGGCCAGGTTTCGATCCTGGGACCTACGGGTTATGAGCCCGTCGGAGTTCCACTCTCCTACCTCGCACAGACCGTCACCAGCAGGACTTGAACCTGCGCGGGCATAGCCCATTAGATGCCTGAACGAGTTCAAGTCTAACTCCTTAACCGCTCGGACATAGTGACTTTCTTGGATATTTCTGTTTGTGGTCGTATATGTTTAGTATGATTGAGTTCCTGTTCGTAGGTTTTAAACAATGAATAACTTCTTCCTTTAACTTTATTCTGAAAATTATTGTTGAAATAAGCAAGTAGTGTTCAACGAATTATAACCATTGAACTCTTGCCTATTTATACTAACTATTCAATTGCTTATATCCTTTGGTTACTAGTTCGTATTTGTAATCTTTGTTAATTTAGAAGAACAAAATACAATAATCTTGCAAGACGTGCAATATAAAGCAATAACTCGGGATTGCTTCGTAATAGCAATGAATGCTAGCGCATGCTTAGCCTTTAAATTAAGGAACTAATCAGTTGAATGATTGTTCAAAGGAAATCGGAGTCAATGACTTATGTTGATTTTCTCCGCAATGCTATCATAAGCAGCGATGCCCGAGTGGTCTAAGGGGGCAGATTTAAGTTGACCCGAGTGCGGTTGATGGAAACTCTGCTGTTGGTAAACGCGCGAGTTCGAACCTCGCTCGCTGCATTATTCTTGTTCCCTTTTTGTTTTCATCAATTGTATTCGTATATAGACGTGTTTTCGTTAAACGCTATCTTTAGAAAAGCATCAGCTTGCCAACAGATGACACTCCGTAAACATAATAAACTTTCACAATTCCATTTCTGTTAATTGGTTCAACTTGACGCTGCTTCTTTCATCCGTTCATAACAGAAAAACCTCGTTGTTCTCCGTACTTAATAGATTAAAATGTATTGTCTTAGCACGAATACCTTTGTAAGTCAATGAAACTTCTAAACACAGGACATGTTATTATGTGTTAGTCATGCTTTATTCATTACATTAAGCTTTCGCCCACTCTAAACAATGTTGCCATTTATGCCGTTTGTACGAGCACGGGTCGGACGGTAAAAAATACAAATATTGAAATTGTGACAGAAGGAGAGGGTTTTTGAGCAAGTTAATTAACCAATGAAGCCCTTATAAATGAATTCTATATTGGCAATACGATTGCATTGCAAAAAACTACTGTTTTGAGGTACTTATAAAAAATATTCATCCCTGCACGATTTTAGAAACTGGACATAGAAGAGCTCAAAATTGGTGCAACATTGGGATTCGAACACAAGCCGACCCGTGTGATCCCGAAGGAGCGAGCTGTATCTTGTGCTGTAAAGGAGTTTTGTGTTCAGAGAATTTGTGGAAAACTGGCGATTTACAGAGGATTTTTCATTATTTTATGAAAATGGCAGTGACAGATAGTCTTCATCATGACTCCTGTGAATATAACGTTTTACACAATTACGTTTTTTTCTTTTATTACATTTGTGCTTCTTACCAGTAATTTTATAAAGATTGTAAAAGGCAATTGATAATACGAGTCGGCAAACATTACTAACTTCTGGTCCCCACATATAAAACCTTCCGACGTTGATCGAATTCTAGCTATAGACATTTTAACACATTAACTTCAGGATAATAAACAATTTCCATCATACAAAGTCGTAAATAAGTTCAAAGAAATAGATCAACAATTCTGTATCTTCAGAAAAAAAAAAAAAAAAAACGGAAAATATCGGTAGCTAACCTTTATCCTTAAACAATTTGGCAAACGAAAAAATCGACAAGAGTGGAGATAGACATTTCCTTTTCATGTACATTATATCGGTTCGAATTTAGTGAACATGAACCAAAAATCGAACCTATTTTGAAATTAAAAGCTTCTTCTCTCTCAAAAAAAAAACAACAGTTAATAAATACAAACCGTTTGACGGTCTTTAAGAGTTGTAAAGATTTATGTGTTATTTTTCGTCCACAGGAACACTGTCAGGGTCACCAATTTTTCCATAGTTGACAGCTTCACCTTTATGAAGCCAGTCAAAGTACAACTCATCATTTAGTTGTTTTGATAAGTCTGCTCTAGATATGTCTTCACGAAACCTCGGGTTTTTCAATAGTGAAAGCATGTACAAGCAACTTGGATAAATTAAGAATTTAGTATACTCTGGTTCCCTCCAGTAATCCAGATATTCCAAATAAGCCAAGAATGTCTCATCTTCAAAAAACTTGTGTTGTGCTAAATAATTCAGATACCACGGATTGGACAACATTTGTACGAATTCCAGTTCAATTTCAAATCTTGTTTTCTCATCAGGTATCTTGTAACCGAGCAAAGTCGTTCCTGGCAATGCTTCCATGATGACTCAGCTATTCTGTTTCTTCTTTTCTGACTCAGTTTTGGTGTTATTGTTTTGCTTGTTGTTTATATATCCCTCGGTACTTTTCTAATAGAATACACTATCCTTACTCACTTCTTAAGACATATACGTCCGACCCGTACCATAGCTAGAATGTAACCATGTACACAAGCCAACTATGGTTCAGTTGGTAACAAACAGAGTCATTAATTCTACCAACAATTGCTTATAACAGCAACTGTTCTTTTTTTAGGGAACGAATCAATTTTATTTCTTTCAATTGCGACTCTTGATAATGAGTGCATTGGTGCCAGAACAAAGGAAACCGAATTTTGAAGTATTTTTGACAATTCATGATTTGTTTAACGTTCCTTTATTAACAGGAATGATTTCCGTAAAATGGAAGTTCAACAATTCCCTAACAAGCCGAAGCATAACGGGGAGCACAGAATATCAACCTGTTCTGGACAACAAAGTGACATGGAACTATAAAACGAAGTTTATTGCAAAAATGCTCATCACTAAACAAAATATTTTAAAAGATTCGTTCGTTTATTTTACCGTTCGGCTCCATGCACATTCTTCAAAAATAAGTACCAAAATGGGAACCCTTCGCATTAATCTCACAGAGTATATTCGAATTTCTCAAGACACAAGAAGATACCTTCTCGCAGAAAGTAAAGTAAATGCGACGCTTCGTTTAAGTGTTCAAATTCAACAACTTAGCGGCAACGCCGATTTTGAAGTTACTAAAACACTAAACAAGCCGCTTGTCTTTAGCGGTATTACTGGTTTATTGACAGAGGGAAAGGAATTTAGAAAAAGGGAAGAAGATGTTGGTGTCTCTTCGAACATAGCTGCTAGCGAAATGGAACGGATGCTTTCTTCTATAAAAACGTTTACTGAGCAAACGAAAAACTATTACATGCATTCAAGCAGTAATGATTTTAATTCAGACCAGATTGTCGATGACATTTACGCCGGAGGAAATGGATGGTCTCAAAAACCTAATATATCTGAGATCGAAGACCAACCTGAGGATCCTTTCCTAGATCACATCAATCGGCTACGAAAAAGTTGGGTACTTCCGGGCGATCAAGCTAAAGAAAAATTACGTAAAAGTTAATTCAATATCTACCGACTGTAACGGTTTTAGGCATAGTAATTTTGATGTATGATGAGAATGACTAGGTATCTAATACTCCACTAGCCTGATCTAATCGCAAAAGTCTGGATGTGCGTTCAGACGTCTCATCAATAAATGGACTGGACTCAAATCTAGTCCAAGGAAATCCGCAACACGAATGATTCTATACACAACGTACCAAACATCAGGGTCTGAAGTCAAACCCAGCGGGCCGTCGACACCGAAGGAGGAAAATTTGGTAAGTAGAGTATTCAGTCCTTCTGAACACCAGCGGTGTAGTTCCCCATCGTTTTTTGACGCAAAAGAAAGAGAATCCTCCAATCGTTGATAACCCGAGTAAAACAAATTCTGTCTCTCGCGTCTAAAAAGAGTAGCATCGTCCGCCAAAACGTAGTCGAGCTGTTCCTCTGCGGAGTACAGACCATCGTGTTGAATGATGCGTGTATTTACCAAGCTCTTGAAAGTTGCATACTCACGATTTTTGGCAGTAACCTCCTTCCAACGTTCATTCGCAACATGTAAACAGATGTTGTCAAGGTGGAGCATCTGTTGGACGTGAAGAGATGCCGTGCTTCGTATACGCTCTGAGTCATCATTCAAGAAGTCATGAAGTAAGAGGTAGTAAGGACTTAAAACATTTTGTGCTTCTGCAGATTCAGTTTGGGAACTAATATCAAACTTCATCAAAGAGTTTAGAGCAGCTAAACGAGACGAGTAACTTTTATACTCATCCGCGTGTTCAAAGAGCAATTTGAACCATGATGACACGACAGAAACGGCATTATCAGCTTTGTCGAGCCACTGTAGGTAAACAAGAGAACCTAAAAGTACCAATAAGCTCTCACAAACCTCGACACATTTGTTACTTTTAATTTCAGCGATTACTTCTTCGCATGAAACTTGCATAATAGAGCGAAGAGACCCGCTGTCCAGATGTGAGATTAACTTAATTGCTGGAGCACGTAAAATACTCCATACACCAGGTTTTGCTAATGTGACGATTGAATCGGTAATAGCATTTTCCAATATAAATGCTGGTTGTTTTATAGTTGAAGAAATGAAACCCAAGGTAGCTAAACGTACTTCATAGAAGTCAGATTGCAAAAGCAAAGCAATAATCTGTGTGATTTCTTCGCTTTGAAGCTGAGAAGATCTCCGTTTTATATCGTTCAGTAAAACTTCTGCCGCACATTCTTCATATAACGAAAGACCGATATTTGCACGGCATGGATTGTGAGCAGCTTTGCGCTGACTCAAGGCATCACGACAATATGATAATACTCTGTAGCGAAGTTGTTCTAATTCATTTGTACTTACATTTGCCGAAAGAAAATGTTCATCCACCATCTCGAGGAAAACGCGTTTAGAAAAGTAACTAACGTTTGGAGACATAATCTCTGGAAAAAGATTCAACAAACGCTCAACAACTGTGGAATAAAATTTCGAAACGAATTGAGGATTTGTCAATATCTGTCCATTGCAATCAAGAAGCGCTTTGACAGCTAAAATGGTACCATGAGTACTATTCTGAGAGTTGAAATTTAGATTTTTAAGAAGCTCAAGCACATGTGCGTCTAGTAGCTGTGGATTAACAAAGCAAGTAAGTGCAATAGCACCAATCTCACGAACTTTTCCAATGCGACTCGCGCTACATTGTATAAGTAAAGGTTTAAAGTCTTTATCGCCATCCCACGCTGCCTCATTTTCATATCGTTGAGCGTATTGTAGCCGAGAAAACAGGTTCAGTATAGGGTAAAGTCCAGTAGATGCAGTTCCCTTTTCGTTAAGCTCGAGAACACTTTGCTGCAACGCTTTCAAGAGATAAATATACAATGAAGGGAACTTTTGAAAGAACATTTTCGTGCTTAGACCCTTGGTATTACCGGAATTGATCACATTTTTTGGTTTTTTGTTTCCGAAAGCACGGTTGATTAGTGCAGTAAAAAGCATAACGCAACAGTTTCGAATGGGCCAAAGACTCGACGAAAATTTCTCAATAGCCAAAGTGAATGCTGGCTCTATGTAAGTTATAGACATTGCAGAGAGCTTATGTTCTGTAAAAATGGCTTTCAATGTATTCATGCCATGTACTTGAGGAAGTTCTAGATGCCCATTGTTGATGTCTTCGGGACTTGCCTCACTATTTGCCAAATCCAAAAGATACTCCATTGTTTCTTTAAATAATGTGGAGATAGAGTTGTCTTCAGCAACAAGGATAGCAACAATACAAAGTGGAATTCCACCACTTCTTCGTGTAATAAAAGCGCTCTTTTCTTTAAGAATCTCAAGATTACGTCTCAACCAAGGACGTGGAAGCTGTACAAGGTCGTTTGAATTGTTCTTGAAAAGGAAAGAACAATATTCAACGAAATAAGGGTAAACACTTGCAAAAGCACCCCGATGGCGGATTTCACAAAGCCAATCCTGAAGTAAGAGACCATACTTTTGATAAATAGCAACATCCAAGTTGTCAAAAACAACAGGGAAGGCTTTCGTAAGCAAAGTTACAAGCAATGCAGCAGCTTCCTTAATTGAGCGCCAAGCGTATGTCAACACCAACTGAGCGGGCGTGGAAGCAGTAACAAACTGGCTATCTATATCAGCAGTAAAACCAGCAAAGTTACCTTCGGGTGAATCATTGCACAAAACATCCCGCGTGCAAGCCCATATTTTTTCAATACTTAAAAGCAATGCCGCGAGAAGAGACTTCCAAGCAGAAGAATGAAGAGAAACCTCCGTCTTATCTAACTTCTTAAGCGCATAAGTAAGCTGGATTAAACTACCTTGAAGCGGATACATAGTTGCTGCTTCCAGAAAATTGCTTTCAGCCACATTTAAATTACTCTGTAAACGTTCTTGCATCGCTCTCGTGAAATTAACAAAATAGCTCTTATCAACCTTTGACAAGAAATGCGTGCAAAGGTATACGGCTTTCGCTCCTCCATCACTTTCATAGAAACGTCCGCTATCGAGGAGTGTTATACCCCTCTTAGAAATAGTAAGTAAATCCTCTTTCAATGAAAGGCCAACAAGTTCTTCTAATGAAAGAAGTGTTTTTAACGATAGTGATCGAACATCGTCGTACGAGTCCTTCAGACGATCAACGTACACACGGACTAATTGACGATCAAAAACAGTAATATGGAATGGGAATGAGTGCTGAGAGGGCCGTAAACTCGAGGGTGTAACATTACTGTCGAGCCCAAATTCTAACAGATAATTGATCAACGTTAAGGAAGTGATAACTTGCTGATAGCTGCTGGTAGGATGCAAGTTTATTCTACATCTAGCGACGAGTGAAGCCAAAAACTCCTTAGCTCGCTCGATAAGCTGTTGCGCGTTTGGAAGGGGTTTTCCGTAACGAGATTTAAGTTCACGATGCAAGGCGTGACATGATGCACGAATCCGAACAAGAAAGTCTTGCATAGACTGAAAAAGAACTTGACGGGAGTCAGCATCTGAGACGGAAAATGCGAAGCTTATATTAGCTTCGATACAGTCGTATTCCTGCACAGTCAAAGGCCGCGAAATATTCGGGCACAATGCCACCAAACGGAAACACGCCAGCTGTACTTTAACATTTCTATGTTTAAACATTTGTGAAACGAAGGCATGTCTTCCATTTAAGTCCAATTGAGAAATGAGATTGGCATCCTTGGCAATTTTCAGAGCAAACAGGCACGCTTCGTTCTTCAAATGCACACCTGGACCATCATAATTGCGAAGTGCCATAAGAAACTTGTTGGTGACACCAGAAGACGTTCTAAGCAATGAAGGCACCAGGTGTGAAGAGATGTTGTTACGAATTTTTGTATCGTTGCTAAAGAATTCAGTTAACACATCCGGACACCACAGCTGCATCCATTCATCCTCAACATTTTCAGAGCCAAGTTCATCCTGAAGCTCCTTGAATCGTTGAACAAGAACTGAGATTACAGTAGTCGAAATTGCTTGAGCGTAAGCGTAGTCTCGCAGAAGTCGAAGCGAACGACTGATAAAATCAGGCTGGAACTCAAATACAAGACGAGCCGTCGTGCGCTTAGCAATAATCTGGATGATTGAACATGTAATTTTTGTATGACGATCCCAAGAAAGCGCCTTCTTTAGCAAGCCAGAAAGGTAATCATAGCATTCTTTTTCTGTAGGCACCAAAACGGTATACAAATGCAACGCCTTAAGAAACATATCTTTTAAAGACACTTGAATACCCGTAGCTCCAGGAAGGGAGGCTCTTGTAGACGGAAGGGCAAACAGTAAGTCCCAGAATTCCTTGTCAATATGGCCCCAAAGCTTTGATTTTAAACCAGAATCATCTTTGCACGCATTGGACACTCGAAGCAGCCAAACACTCGTGGCGTCGAAACAAGAAACTTGACTCACTGCGTCTAACGAAGGATCTGCACAGCAGCGCTTAAGGAAGCTGTAAGAATTCTTAAGAAAATCGCAATTGGTGGCCCATAATTCCGTGGGAGAAGCAATTGAATACGCCTTAAAGCGTTTTAACAACCCAGAATTCCCCGTCAAATTGTTCCAATCTTCCGGGTAAAGCTTACAAAAATCAATTTCTCCCATTGCAGTCAGTTGAACGACCTCTTAAACTTGGTCTCTCCTACTCGCAAAAATCTATCAAAACAAAGACAAACAACAAATAACGACACACTTTCTCAACTGGGCAATTCAACCCTGTGAGACTTTTAATATCCTCAATAAAAACCAAAATTTTTAAAAAAAGAGCCGTCTACAACTTTCAATCCATAAAGCTGAGTTGCAGAGGTTAACGACGCCAATGCCCTATGTGACCAATAAATTATCGCTAACCGCCCAGTAGTGGTGTAGCTAGTCTATTAGTTCGGTGAAAAGTTTCACGACGAAGTCCTGATTTTTGGTGCTGGTGTTGAAAAATAGCGGTCCACTTCCCCTCAGTTACTACTACCACCAAAACAATAATATTACTGAGCCAAGCAGGACTTGGAATTGGAACCCACGAGCACTGCCATTTTGGGAATAGAAATCATTCGTTAGGCAGAAACTCGCTCAAAATGTCATCAAAAACGACGGAGGGGCATCAATCTTTTGCTTCTTTTGAGCTGGATCCTAGACTGTTGCGTGCAATTGAGAAAAATGGATTTGAAACGCCTACTCTTGTTCAGTCAAAGGCAATTCCTCTTGCTTTGAAAGGCCATGATCTGCTTGTGCGTGCTCGTACAGGTTCAGGAAAGACTGCTTCTTATTTGATTCCCATCATCGAGCAAATTCTTCGGAAAAAAGAAAGCAAAAGTTTGACTACAGGTGGTATTCTTGGTCTTATACTTGTTCCTACTCGTGAGCTTGCTCAGCAAGTGATGAAGGTTTTGGAAAAGCTCACGGCTTTTTGTAGCAAGAATATCCGTTTTACAAATCTTGCATCAAACGTATCAACAGCCGTTCAAAAGCCATTACTGCTTGACCTCCCTGACCTTGTTATTGCAACTCCTAGTCGAGCTGTCGCTCACATTACCGCTGGTAACATGTCACTCAACGAACTATTGTACTTGGTCATTGACGAAGCAGACCTGGTGTTTTCATTTGGCTACAAGGATGATATTGTGACGCTTACGAAGTCTCTTCCACAGGGTTGTCAGTCTTTCTTAATGTCGGCTACGCTGAACGACAATACAGATTCGCTGAAGGGTCTCGTGTGTCGCAATCCGGTAACACTTAAATTAGAAGAAAGCGAGGCTGAAGGACAGTTGACTCAGTACGTTGTGAAATGTGGTGAACAGGAAAAGTTTCTTCTTGCATATGTGCTGTTCAAACTGTCTCTTATTAAAGGAAAAATTCTTGTGTTTGTAAACGAAATTGATCGCTGCTACCGCTTAAAACTTTTCCTTGAACAATTCGGTATCAAAAGTCTTGTTCTGAATTCAGAACTCCCCATTAACACACGTATGCACATTGTTGATCAGTTTAACAAGGGTCTTTACCAAATCATCATTGCTGCAGACGAAGGCGAACGTGATGACGAGGGGGTAGAGGAACAGGCAAACACGGAAACTGAAGCTCAGTCGTCGGGCGAATCAAAAAAGAGTAAGCATGGTAAGAAGGACAAGGAGTATGGCGTTGCTCGCGGTCTCGATTTTGAGGACGTTGCATGTGTCTTGAACTTTGACATGCCCACAACTACGAAATCATACATTCACCGTGTTGGTCGCACTGCTCGAGCGGGAAAACCCGGTATCTCATTAAGTTTCGTTGTGCCAAAGAACGAGGTTGGCAAACACAGGCCCACGACTCTCGCAAGCTGCAAAAAAGATGAACGCGTGCTGCATCGGCTGGAAAAGAAGGGCATTGAACTTGCTCCGTATAAGTTCAATAAAGAGCAGACACAGGCGTTCCAATATCGTATGGAAGACGCACTTCGTTCTGTCACCCGTGTTGCTGTGCAAGAAGCTCGTACAGCTGAACTTAAGCAGGAAATTCTCGCGTCTGAGAAGCTTAAGTCGTATTTTTCTGAAAATCCAGATGATCTTGTTTCATTAACCCATGACACTGCGGCCAGTGTACGGATGGCCCGCACACAAAAACACCTGAAGCATGTTCCAGACTATTTACTTCCCAAAGGCAAACAGGCAGTTGCTGCTGAAGTTGGTTTTGTTCCATACACAAAACAGAACGGGCGTAAGCATGTACAACGCTCTCGGACTCGTGGAAAACAACGTTACGATCCTTTGCGTACGATGCGTAGGAAATAGTTCTGCTTTTAGATGTTTGACTGGCGATTCAAAAGTGTAGATTGTTTTGGGAAATGGGATTGATACGGTAGGTTTCAATTTGTGAAATAGATTATGCATTACAAAACTACGTAGACTGTCTAACTGTAAAATATATGTTCCTATACTTATCCGGAAGAGGCGTCACCGAATCAAGGTTTTCACATGCATAAACCTAAAATATATTTTTCCGTAATCTAAAAAGCCAGCATTGACAATTAGTGAAATGTATTTCCCTTACAAATGTATTGTTTAACTCTAGTCATGTCTTTTAAAGAATTTTGTACTTGTGCTCTGCCTGAAAACCACACTTCCACTCAGTGCTAAAGTCATTCTGGCAAACAGAGCCTCGACTGCCATGGATAATATGTCTGAAGGTTCTTCTTCATCATATCATGGAAAGAGACCGCGTTCTCTGTCTGAGGATTCGTTTATGTCTTCAGAAAATGAAGTTCTGAATGAACACATTTCGTCCCCGCTTCAATCACCTGTCTCAACTTTGAAACAATGTCCTTCGATTGATGATCAAAAGAAGCTTCTTGGAGATACGATTGAAGAGGAAAGTGAACTGGAGGTTGGAGATGTTGAGTACGTTTTGTCTTATTCTTGGTACCAAAGCCTCTGTGAACATCTCTCCGAAGGTGGTCCAGACCCTGGTCCTATTGACCAGAATGATATTACGGATGAAGACACAGGTGATTTAGAGCGTAATTTGCAGGAGGAGTCCGACTTTGTGCTGGTGCCTGAACATGTTTGGAAGATTCTGATCTCCTGGTACGGTCTCAATGGAAAGTCATACCCCAGAAATGTGATTAATCAAGGAACCGAAGACTCTTCGCACCTTATTGTCGAGGTTTATCCGCCTCGTTTCCGTTTGGCCCTTCTCGTTTTGCCCAGTGAAGACTCGAAAAAGTTTTCTGCACGAGAAGATATCCCACTTGTAACGTTTTCTTCAAAATCTAGTATTAAGAACTTGCTTAAGGCAATCAAGGAAACTTTTAATTTGGACACTGATGAATTTCGTCTTTGGAGATTAGAAAGTGAGACACTTTCTAAACCAACTATTGACCCGTCGTCTTTCATCAAACTCGGTTCACGCGAATTGCTGAATTTCACGGACGTGAATATTTCACTTATTGATGCTGAAATCGACAGTGATACTGACTTGGTAATTGAGTGTACTGTGCATGGAAATTGGCCCGTAGATCATGCTTTACGTGTACAATACATGGTCCAACGTGCTTCAAAGAATGGAGGACAAGCAGATGCGGAAGCAAAAAGCAAAAAAATGGGCCTTTGTGGATTGGCGAATCTCGGCAACACCTGTTACATGAATTCTGCTCTCCAGTGTCTTTCTCACACTCCGGAACTAGTTGATTTTTTCCAGAATCAGGATTGGAAGGAACAAGTGAATGAAACAAATCCGTTGGGTACAGGTGGTCAAATTGCTTCCGTGTACGCTGATTTGATTAAGGCTTTGTATTCTTCGGAAGCAAAGGATTTCTTTTCCCCCAGACATTTTAAAGCCGTTGTTGGTCGTCTCAATCACTCATTCATCGGATACCAACAACAGGATTCCCAGGAGTTTCTAGCTTTCCTTTTGGATGGCTTGCACGAGGACTTAAATCGTATTCAACAAAAACCCTATACAGAAAAACCAGACTTATTTGAAAATGATCCTCAGAAGATTATCGATACTGCAAACGAGTGCTGGAAACTTCATAAGATGAGAAACGATTCAGTCATTGTGGACACATTTCAGGGTATGTATAAAAGCACGCTTGTTTGTCCTGAATGTAATAAGGTTTCCATCACTTTTGATCCATTTATGGATTTAACACTTCCTCTTCCGGTATCCCAAAATTGGACCCATACCGTGCTATATGTACCTAAAGACATAACACGCAAACCGGTTTCAGTGGAAGTCGTTTTTGAGAATAAAAGCGCAACCATTGATACCTTACGGAATTTTGTTGCTGAAAAGGTCGGTTGTGAAGATGCAGCAGCGCTGCTGGTCGCTGAAACATATCGTGGTCGTTTTTATCGCTATTTCACGAATGTTAAATCGTCAGTAATGATGGATATTTCTGAGGATGACGAAATCTACATCTACGAGCTGGATCGTCCCTTCGATCTTAGTAACAACAAAAACTGCATTGTTCCGGTGTATCACGAAGAAGAGCTTGAAATGACATCTTCCTATGAAGGATTGCCCTTCCTTTTGGTGCTGGATGAGGAAGAAGCCTGTGACAAGAACGCTATAATAAACAAAATAACTACCAAGTATGCCCAGTTTACCACTTACGATATCCAACAAGAGGAAAATCGTCAGAAGCTCTTTGAAAAGGTCAATGCAGCAACTGAAGCCAACATTGAATCTCTATTTAAGGTTAATATTTTCCATGATCGGTCGGAAAAGTTGCCCACTGGATGGTATATGCAAGCTTCAAACAAAGTGAGCCTTGATGAGAGACTCTCCAAACAAATTGAAAGCGCAGATGAAAGTCAAGTTGCTTCTCCGGTGTCTGAAACAAAATCCGATGAAGAGGCAATGGAGGAAGATGACACTGAAGATGTTCCTGAGGGACCATTAATGTTACCATTGGCTCCCATGGAAAAGCTTGCCGGAAAATTGGTTCAGGGTGATGTACTAGAGTGTTCATGGAATGAACATGTTTACGCTGAAGTGTTCGGCGATTTTGTTGCTCCAACAGGCTTGGGCCGAGCACTATGGACGGAATTTGAACGTATCGAGGAACGAAGAAAGCCGGAGGAGAAGAAAGACATTTCTCTGGACGATTGTTTGAATGAGTTTGAGAAAACAGAGCAACTTAGTGAGGAGGATCCTTGGTATTGTCCCAATTGTAAAGAATTCCGCTGTGCTTATAAGCAAATGGAACTTTGGTTCGCTCCAGATGTCCTTATTTTTCACTTGAAACGTTTCAGCAGTGAGAGACGGTTCCGCGATAAAATCGATGTTTTGATTAATTTCCCTATAAAGTCTCTAGACCTTACAAACCGTATTGGATCAAATAAGCAACAGAACAAACCCAACGAAACCATAGTTTATGACCTTTTTGCTGTCGATAATCATTACGGAAGCCTTGGGGGTGGTCATTATACAGCGTATGCCATCAATTCGACAGACCAAAGATTCTACTGCTTTGACGACTCTCGCGTTTCGCCTGCTACAGATGAAGAGGTTGTGTCCCCCGCTGCTTATTTACTCTTTTATCGTCGTCGTCGGTCTCCATCCTCTGATGCAAAGTAGAAATGTTCTACGAATATAAAGGCATCCAGAGTTTGTGTGGGTCGTTTTCACTGTTGATACATTCATGATTGTTTTAAATCGGCTAGGCGTTAATAGAGAATATTTCAAGAATTGGCATTACCGTATTAAAAGGAATGAAGGCTCGTTGCGATGAACACAATTTCTGACCTTGCTGAATTTGGTCTCTACCGAACAAGTCTAAGTAATCTATAAGACTGTAATTGCAATTATATATCTGTCGACTGGCCATGAACAGTTTCAAATTAAGCGGACATCGTACGAACTATTCGGCATGTACTTTTTAATCTGTCCCGCCTTTTTGGCTTATTCCTTCGGATGAATTCTTCAAATTCTTCCAGTCGTTTTCGGCTACTCGCCAACACCACTTTGACCGCGCATTCTAAACATTTACTAGATTCAATCCATTACTGCTTGAAACGCAAATCTTCGAGCCTTAGCGACTGCAGTTGAACTATATTTGTGTTTCTGTAGGAGATAGGTGCACTACCATGGCTGTATACGATGCTTCACAGCTCGAGAAAATGAAGGAGACTTTTACTATTGGCATTATCGGTCTCGGTGATATGGGCCGTTTGTATGCCAATGTAATTAGTAAAGCTGGTTGGAAGTACGTGATTTGTTTTGTCTTGTTTTTTTACTTTTTAGATTTCTATAATGCGACATACTAACAGAAATGAAGGGTTAACGCTTGTGATACTCCGGACAAGACAGAAGAACTGAAAAAGGAGTTTGCACCAACTTCTATATGTATTATGGACGATGGTTTTGCGGTGTCCCGTGCAAGCGATTACATTATTTACAGTGTTGAAGCTGAAAAAATTGACGCTGTTGTTGGAAAGTATGGGCCAGCTACTAAAATGGGTGCTATCGTTGGAGGTCAAACATCTTGCAAGACCCCGGAGATTGCTGCTTTTGAAAAATATTTGCCTGAAGACGTTCAAATTATATCCTGTCATTCTTTACATGGTCCAGCTGTTAATCCCAAATCGCAGCCTCTCATTATTATTCGACACCGAGCTTCTGATGAAGCCTTCGCGGTTGTCAACTACATGTTCCAATGCTTTGGTTCGTCTCTAGCTTACCTGAGTGCTGGTGAACATGACCGTATAACAGCCGATACGCAAGCGGTGACGCATGCTGCTTTTCTTACAATGGGCGCCGCTTGGCATTCTAATCAACAATATCCATGGGAAATTAACCGCTGGTGTGGTGGAATTGAAAATATCAAGATGAATTTGTCCCTGCGTATCTACTCAAGCAAATGGCATGTGTATGCTGGACTTGCTATTCTTAATCCTTATGCCAGAAAGCAAATAAAACAGTATGCTGCTTCGGTGACGGATCTATACAAGTTGGCCGTTACCGGTCGTAATGAAGAGTTTGAACGCCGTGTTCGTGCTGCTGGCATTGCTGTTTTTGGTGAACATCGAGACCACAACTACAGTGGCTTACTGTTAAGTGACGATCTTCTTGATCAATACAGCATTTCTAATGTACCAAATGACAAGACGGTACCCAACAGTCATCTCAGTATTTTGGCAATTGTAGACTCGTGGGCCAAGCTTGGCATCAAACCCCAAAAACAAATGATTTGTTCCACTCCTCTGTTTCGCTTGTGGGTTGGCGTCGCTGAGTACATTTTCCGCCAACCTGAAATGCTTGACCGTGCTATCAAAGTGATGCTTCGTCAGAGCGATTTTTGCAGTGACGACTTGGAATTTGTCATTGCAGCACGCTCTTGGAGCGATTGTGTTGAAAACGGTGATTTTGATACCTACAAGAAGAGATTCCTTAAGACGAAGGAGTACTTCCGCCCGCGTTTTGAAGAATCCCGAGTCGTTTGCAATGCTATGATATCCAAACTAATGGAAAACTTACACAAGTAAATTGTGTGCTTCCTAAAAATTAACAACTACTTTCCGTTTATATTAAGCTGTAAATAAAATGATAACTTTAAGGTGTGGGAAGCAATTGCAGCGCAAATTTAGCGTTATTCCGTAATTCCTTTCCAACGGTATCCGATGCTGCAAAAGCTGAAAGTTGTGCTGGAACGCCAGCGTCTAACAGCTTTTGTTTCAGTTCAGGAAACATGTTGTTCTGCAGAAGAAGGATGCTGACAAAAATGTCTTCGGCAAATACCACAGGAAGGTCTTTCGCGAGGGTGAATGTATCAATAATAACCTGGCAGATATCAAATTTTAATAAATAGGAGCAGTAATTCCAAGACGCGTCGTCTGACTTGGACCGAATGAGAAGTTGTTTTGCGATGGCGAGGTACAACCGCTTGACTTCCAAAGAAACATTATTGTCTTGACTTGTGTCCCAAGTATGAAGAATCTCCAAGACCTGATTCTCGTTCACGAGGATCATGACAAGCTCTGTTCATTTGGGCGTTAGCAACGTCAATCATACATTTGCAGGCATTCTTTAACACATACCATTGATGCACAACCGTAGACAGGATATTGCCAGATAGTGAATCTGTGTGTGAGAAGCTGTCGAAGCCTTTTTTAAAAGATCAATGAGGAAAGGGGCTACGTGTTTACGATTCGGTTCTAAAGCCTTGTTAATAATCATTGGGCGTAAACACGTGCGCAATAGTTACTCACCAGAAATGCAGAAATGTCTAAATGAAGCCAAACACCCGTGCAGAATCTCCATATCGCCAGCGTTAGATCTCGTGACCTCCATTATCTTAGGTACGAAGTTTCGTTGTACAAAGACCTGAGCGGACCGTTCTGTTTTATTAATAAGCTGTGCCAATACAAGATATACAACATGATCTTACCGCTCCGAGACAGGTTGCCGATAAGCAGCAATACAGAGGCCGTCAATGTAGTGTCCTTGTTCATAAAGCCCCAGCAAAAATTCACAACAGATTTGGGTTCATAGTTTACCAATGATAAACACTCATCGTTCTCGCCAAGAAGAGGGAGCAGCAGCAAAGCACGTTGCCGCGCCTGTGCGTCGGTTACTAAAAGCATCGCTTGGACACATTTCACAAGCGTCAAAATATCTGACAGGATATTGCTGGCCAAAACCGCATTGCTGAACATTTTTTGGAACACAGCAGGCCACGCGGCATCTTCGACAGTGATCATTTCGGGTAATAATTTAGCGGCAAGATAAACTGATTCAGGGTCCTCGGTAAAAGGAGCCAGTATCTCGAACAAGTTAAAGAATATAAAATTATACTGTGATGCATCGGAATTTGGCTTTTGGGATTCTGCACACCAATATTGCAGGATGGAGTTCAACAAGCCGGTCGATGCTGCTGCGGGATGTAGTTTTTCTGTATCAATAAGTACATTATGTACAGCGATACAGCAAAGTGTCTTCGCCGAATCGTGACCCTTGAAAATGCGGTGTAGTATTGAAAAGCCATTTAACTTTGCAAAAAGCTCGCGATTGCTGGGTTCGTTACTGCATACGTTCGCGAGAAATCGTACAATTTGTTGAATCATGTCTTCCGTCATGAAAGGAGCGCTTTGAAGAAAGATCAATGCATCTTCTAGTTCACGTTGAAACAAAAGTCGTTTACCCTCTTCACGAGATTCGTCCGCCAACCGTTCCCACTTTTTTAAGGCTGCTCGAAAGGGCACAATTGTGACATTTCCCTCACCGAAATCCATTTTCAATGACAATTCAAACAAATATCGCAAATTCCGCAGTAAACCAACTCAACGACTCTATAAATAGGAAACTCCGTTTATGCCAAAGCAAGTCCAAAAAAGACCTCAGCAGCAATCTATAAGTAGCAAAAACTTAACGAAAAAAATTAACTAGAAAGTTCCAAAATCTGCAGCCAAATTAATGTCTCAGAACAAACTCGTCCTATTAGGCTGCAAACAGAAGCGAAATCGACTGTTTTAACGTACGAGCGACAATTGAGAACCAGAATTCTAGACACAGGACAATTGTGAACGTGTAGAATTTAACGCGTGGCATTTAACGTCGTTTAATGGGTCCTAACGAGGTGGGGTCACCCCACCCCCAAGGTAAACTCACCACCATAATCGTCGTCGAAGAGGCAAATCGAGATGATAATGACTTAGCAGGGCTGCCAGCTGTCAGCCTAAATCCTTCCAATGTCTTCAGAAACAAAACGTGGACGGCCTCCTACTAGGCGACAACACCTCTTCACGAAAGATTGTGCGTTTTTTTAATGTTTAAATCATAATAATTGAATTCACAACTAACGTTTTTTCTCATAGTAAAGTCATTAATGTTTGCGTTTGGTGACGACATAAACCCCGCGCCCGACAGTGTGAACGTCCTTGAGGAAATCGTTGTGGACTACATCAATGAAATGGTAAGCAGCAGCAGTGTTTGGGGCTTGTTCGTGCAAATCACAAAGCTCGAAACCAAAATTATAAAAAAAAAAAAGAAAACTCCCAAAAAGCGTATTACGGGACGGATAATTGTTCTAGCGTTTGACGAGTGTGCAACTAACAGAGGCTTTTTCTTAGTGCCTTGAAGCCGCCCGGATTGCCGGTAATCGGAACAAAGTGAAAGTTGACGATTTCAAATTTGCTCTGAGAAACGACAGCAAAAAGCTCGGCCGTGTGGAAGAGCTCCTTGTTTTACAGAAGGTTATTGCAGACGCACGCCGTATCGTCGACTGCAACGCAGATACTTAACGTTACTGTGTCAAAGAATTACCTTATTTTCTTTCATAGGCGACCGGATTGCACACCATCGTAAGTCGAGCAAAGACAAACATACAGCAAACGCATAGATATACAAATACAGACTCACTCATGAACAATAATCATATCTTCTTTCTTCAATGTATGGGACAGGGTGTTGAGTGCAAAGACAAGACGTTACCCACAGCGTTCATGTCTAAGCTTTGTCGGCAGCAGCAACAGCAGCAGTGCCAACAAGGTGTAAGGGTCATTCGTAAGTTAATGAAGAGGGGCGTACGTATGTTTTACACATGCGGAAAGGAAGGTCAAAACTGAAAGGAAGTACAGGCTAAGGGGAAGGAGGAAAAAGACAGTGGTAAACGGTGTAATACCTATCGCAAACAGCATCACACCTCTTCTAAAACCATAACTGTGTACGCAGTGTGTTTGTTGTCTTGTTTTCAATGGTTCAGCGTCCGTGCTGCGGGCAAAACACAAAGAGACACTTATGTGCAAAAGTAATAAATCATTAGGTCCCACATAACCGAACGAGTTTGCGCAACTCGACCAAGATTTGGTCGTAGTGGGCCCAGAGCTTCTGTTATCAGACAGAACCCCAGCGCGTTTCTTGTTTAATGATGGTGTGGACGCTTCAGCGTCTTCATCGGTGGTTCTGCGTACTCCAAGCAGGGCTCGGGTGCGTCTGGAGTAACCTCATTTTCATCGTAGCAACAGCATTCAATTCGTTGCACGTACGGTGTTTCAAGCGCCTCTCTGGCTGTAAAACGTTTTGAAGGGTCAGGAGTCGCCATGCAGAAAAAGAGTCGTTGCAATTCCTCAGGCAACTCCGGGAGAGGTTTAAAGTACGGCATGGACTTTGAGATGCGGATGTTTTGAACATCGCAGATGAGGTTGTATTCACGCCAGGACTTTAAGTATCCAGCAAACCGTAAGTCCGAGTTTATGGGTTTGCGAAACGGAAGAGTACGGAAAAAGATTGAATATAAGACAATGGCAGCAGACCATATGTCGGCTTGGAAAGGATTGTACTCTTTTCCGGAAAGAAGTTCGGGGGCCATATATGGATCACTGCCATACACACCCGAACTTTTTGCTGTCCGTATGCTTTCTTCGTCACCCGGATCACAGCACACATCGCAGGCACCAAAGTCTGTAATGCGGATGGCGCCATGTGTTGTCAAGAGGATGTTTTCCGGCTTCAGATCACGGTGAGCTACACCTTGAGAGTGAATGTATGTCAGTCCCCGAAGGAACTGTTTGTAGATACACTCCTTGTCAGCACGATCTAGACGGGAGTTGTTATTTTCAATGAAAGAGAGAAGATCTCCCCGAGGACAGTAGTCCATAACCGAGCACCAGGTGTCGCTGTACAGTGGGAAGATGTGAGAGTCCATGCACAGGTCGTATGCCCGGATCACGTTGGGATGCTCCATCCGTGATTGCACAAGCCATTCTGAGGTCAGTTTGGCAATGTACTGTCGTTCGTTCTCTGCGTCGCCCTTCCGGCGATACGCCTTGACGGCAAATTTAAGCTTCTCCTCGCCGGGCTTGGGGGATTTGAGAGCAACGACTTTAATGACGGCTGTTGCGCCGCTTCCGATCTGGGTGCTGTCGAGGGGGAGGGTGTACTTGGTAGAGAGACGAGGGACGATTTGGCGGGCGTAGGGAGGGATGGAGGAGGAACGGAGCTTGCGAGGAACAGGTGTGCGCGAGTTGACACGAGAGGAAGCTACCGAGCTAGCCTCCGATCTGTCTGTAACAGAGGCGGTGGACAGTCCGCCGGTGGAACGAACTGCCGCAGGAGCTGCCACACTACCCTCCATCTTGTTGTCCGCCGCCGACCGTGCGATGCTTTTCGCGTCTGTCTTCGCGTCGCTTTCGGATTCGGAGCCCTGTAGGGAGCCCGGTGCAACCCTCATGTCGCGGAAACTAGCGTTGATGGCATTCGTGAAAAAGTCGTACTCGGGCGAATGGGGCCAGTCTTGAGAGGAAGTGGGCGAGGAAGTAATTAACGGCTGCGAGGGACCGGGCTTGAACATGCCACAGGACATCATACTGCTTGAAGATTTGGCGGAAGTATTTGAAGAGATACTTCCAGCATAAGCATTACGCTTTGCTGTGTTTCTATCGCGTAAATGAGACAACCCGGGCGAATGAATTGGCGAACCAGGACTAGGTGATGTAGTAATTGGCAGATCAAAGTAGCCGACGTTGTTGGAAGAAGGGTGAATGGATCGAGACTGCATGCTATTCAAAGCTTGCGTGCGAGCAGGTCCATGTGGAACTGAATGTGCCAACTGACGCGGGGGGCGAGAGGCCCGAGGGGCAGCAATCGGCTGAGCCTTGGTGCCAGACTCCAATTCACTTCGTAACGGCGATGTTTTCATCGAGCCACCGCTAGACGAGCCTGAACCGGTTGGCGGCTGTGCCTTGCGACTCGTATGGCCATGGGGTTCGGCCTTAGAGTCGGCCTTCGAGTCGGTCTTAGTGCCCGCATGGTGTTTTGACGCCTGCGAGGCCAAATTCAACGACTTCGAACTGTTGTTTCGATGGAAAAAATGGCCGCCGAAAAACGATTTCTTCGGTGAGGTTGGAGACGGCGTTTTGTCCGCAGCGTGCGCAGCGTGACGGGACTCGCTGCCGCTTCCTCCGTCTTTCGGTGCTGGAGGGACAAAAGCCATAGACTCTGTCGTGTGGTTTCGATAGTCCTCATGAGGAGCTGTGTTGTGATGCCCGCCGAACAGGTTTCTCAGGTGTCCCGAGCTATGCGACCGGAGCAGAGAATGCTTGATTTTTGATAAACCGCGGTGAGCAGCCGGCGGCTTGCTGCTACCTTCTGGTGAACCATTCCTCATCGCCGATGAGGCAGTTCCAGGAGAGGCCTTTCCGTGTCTCATCGTTAGGCTCTTTAATGGCTAATACAACTTCTCGCAATGAGATGTCTATGGAAGCTTGAAACAAAGTCGCAGTAGGCGGTGCGTACGTGGTTCAGTTCGATGAATGACGATTTATTTGGACCGATTTGCCGAATACCGAGAACTGGGCAGAGGAGTGGAGGTTCTTAGGTCTCGTTGAGACTCGTAACTGTTGTTGCGGCGACTGTATGGTTAATGACACCGAGTGGTGTAGGCACATGCACGCCTATGACACCTTATGACTTGGAGAGTGTTGGACGGAGTATGTTCGCTAGTTGGAACGCCGGCGGCGAGGGCGTTAGCAGGGGCGAGCTGCTGCGTTGTGTGGACAAATTCGTTCTGGCACGGTGAGTGGTGATGGGGCTCGTTGGAAGGAGGAGGTGTGGAGCCGAGCAGCTTCTTAGTACACCATAGGAAGAAAGGGGAGAGAAGACACAAGGGCGTTGCGGGAGAAAGAAAATGAAGCGGTCACTGCATAGTGGACGCGGAGGACAACGCCTCAGCAGTGGAGGCCGAGGCCGAGGGCGTGACGTTGCGCCGGGAAAAAATCGCATTGAACAAAAGACGTCGGCGGCGGCTGCTGGCACCGGCACTGAAGCGAAGAATTCCAGAAAATGGATGGCTGCAAGGACTCAGTCAGCCAGGCAGCAGCAGCAGCAGCAGCGGGAAAAGCTGCTGTCTTTTCCTGTTGAGGCAATGGAGAGTGACGAACGAGAACACAGCCGCACCGCTGCACGAGCAAAACGGTTTGCGGCTTTTGAGTCTGGCAACCGGTACAAAGAGCTACGGCTCCGGAGAGAGAAAGAGCAGGCTGAATGGATTGCTCGACAGTCCTCCAACTGGCGAGAAAACGAGACACTCGTAGGCACATGCATGGACATGTGTCCAGAATTTGAGCGAGAGGAGCGGGAGTTTCACAAATCGGTGCATCCATTCGAGCTGGATCCTGTTTCGAAGCGGATAGCCAGGGACAAAGCCGTCAAAGCGTACCATCGTCCTGCCGCCGGTAACGGACCCATTCTGCCCAGCGACGTTCGGCCGCCAAGAGTGCTGAAAAAGACTGTGGACTATTTGCTTCGTGATCTGCTTCAGCGGCACCAGTTCCAGGAAGTGCATTCTTTCCTGCGAGACCGTCTGCGTGCTGTGTGCCAGGACTTTTCCGTTCAGGCCACTATTTCAAAGGAGGCCGTGTACGTGCATGAGCAAATTGCCCGGTTTCACGTCGTCGCCATCAATGAACTCAGCCAAGATCCACTGTTCAGTATGCAGCAGGAGCTTGAGCAGCTTAATAAGGGTAGGTGTCGTTGCGGGGAACGCCGTCGCTGAGCGCTTCCGTCGCATTCGCTTTTCCTTTTGCTAACACGTATAATAGTTCTTTATGTGCTGGATCAGCTTTACAATGAACGTCGTTGTCGACAGAAAATAAACAAAAACGAGGCCGAGTTTCGGACGTACATGATCCTGCTCGACCTTCCTAATCCGTCCATCGTCGTCGAATGCCAGAAATGGCCGATTAGCGTGCTTCAGGAGAGCCGTGTTCAGGCAGCCTTGCGTCTGCATGCACTGGCACAGAAAAGCACACATGCCCAAACATCGTACTCCTTTCTGGGGAAGACCTGGAGCGCCAATGCCATTCCCACTGATGCAGCTGTCAATCTATACACGCGTTTCTTCAAGATTTTACGGCGAGACCAAAACGTCACGTTCCTGATGGCATGTTTGCTTCAGCTGTACATTCCTATTGTCCGACAAGGTGCGTTGATGGGAATGCGTCGCTCGTTTCTTTCAGCTCACGCTCCATATCCTGCACAAGACTTAAAAACTGCACTGGCGTTTTCCACGGACGAGCAGTTGCTTCAGTTCTGTAAATTGCATAATCTGAGCATGAACTTCGATCAGGACAATGGCGAACTCGTTCAAATAGAGCTTTCCAAGCGAGCTAAGTTTTCGGGTAAGAATGCTTTGGCTTGTGTTCCGTTACAGAACTCCTTTTGTTTCTCTGAACAGCAACACACACATCGCTTTTGTCGCATTATGCTTGCTAACACAGCTGTTTTAGAGCCGAGTGCGGTAACAAAGGATATTTATGATGCCTCCTTTGCTCAAATCAAACGACCAAATGCGTCTTTGTCCGAGATCATATGCTTCGCTGGTCGAAACGATAGACAAAGACTGCAAGGGGTCAATAGCACTGCTTAGTGGGATGGAAACGCGAATAGTTATTTCTTTTGTTTTTCCCTTTTAAAAATGGAAAGTCTCGGCTTGGACGTGAAGTGAGCCAAAAATGGTCAAAATCTTGAGGTGAACTTGCTCTATACTTTGGTTCCCGTCAATCATGAGCCATGAGTCGTCATTCTTCCGCTCTTTCACAAACTCTTGTCTCAGTAGGGCGTATTTCTCAGCGACAGTGCGTTGAAAGACGGGCAATTCGTACCGTTCATTTCCAAAACCTGCTCGTTTCGAAGCAATATTGGGGTCTACCTGGAAAAACAGCACGATGTCTGGAGAGGGAAGACCTCTTTCGGGTTGCTTGCACCAATCCCAATCCATTCCCTAAATCGTGTTCAGTAGTTAGTTGTTTGATTCACTTTACATCCACGTGTAAATGACTATCTCGTACTTTAGCTGCCGAGAATGCGACTCCAGAGAAGCTGTACCGGTCGACAATGCAATGAACTCCGTCTGCAAGTGCAGCTTCAATGGTGGACGCGAGTTCCCACCGATTTGCTGAAAAAAGCAGGTGGATGGCCTCGTCCGGAAGTTTGTTTTTGTTCTTTAGATACGCGTCAATTTGCTTTCCGATTGTTGTTCCACGGTCTGAGGTGTTTAATTAGTCAAGGTTTGTTTTTTAGTACATTGAACTCGTTCTCTCACCAGGAAAACGGAGGAGAATCGCCCGTTGTCCGCGGTCAATGAGCGCCTTCTTCAGCAGTTCTGCCTGCGTAGACTTTCCAGAGCGATCCAATCCTTCGAAAACCACAAATTTTCCGCGCATTTTCTACTTATTGGGAGGATATGTGTAAAGGTCAAATGTACATGGACTTGAGCAGTCGGTTCAAAATGCAGTCGCGTCGCGACGCGTCGGGTAACCTTAATTTGGACGATATAGTTTCTACAAGCGCCCGAGTGCGACTATGCGGAAATAAGTTCCTCTACGCTAATAAGAATTCTTTATTCCATGCGCTTATACAGTTCAACTGCTTCGTTATTACTTTCAAATTTGGAACTGAGAATAAAAAAGAAATCGTTAAATAACATGAAAACAAACTAAACAAATTCGTGGAGTACACATCTGTGTCTCTCTCAACAGCAAAACGATCATTACATAAGTTTAGGGTTTCAATGCAGAGAAACGGAGACGTTTGTATTGAACAAACCAACGTCCATCTTCCCTCTCGGAGACGAACTTCATTGCTTGATAAACAAAATCAAGCAAGTCTTGCTTCCACTCGGGAAACGCCGAGTAAAAGTTGAAAGCAAATGTGTCTATCCATCCACGGACATCATCAACCAGAGGCGTTGGGCGATCAAATATACCGATCGACTCAACTTGGAAGCCAGCATCTTCCAAGAGTTTCATATAGCCTAAATCAAAAAAAAATGTTAGTAAAGTTGTATCAATCACAAAGAACGAAAGACGTTATTTTTTCAGTCTCACCATGCTCAGAACCAAAGTAAAACGGACACAAGTCGTCAATCGTCTCTCGAGGAACACCACGAGAAAGGTAAAATGCGTATATACTGGTCATAGCTTCAGCAACATTTCCAAAACCTGTTTGAAACAATTCATTAGCAAGACACGTTCCCTAGTACTCCAAAAGCAAACAACAACAATAAAGAACGTACCTCCCGCTTCAACAACAAAGCGGCCGCCCTTTCGCAAAACACGATGAACGCCTTGCATAACAATTGCACGTTCTTCGGGTTTCCGAAGGATCCAGTGAAAAGCCGCGTTGCTGAAAACTACGTCAAAGCTTGCATCGGGTAAGACGGTTTTTGCCTGCAAGATGTCTTGACCAGGAATGCGATAGACTTCAAGCGCCTTTGCTTTGGCCGCCTTGAGCAAGTTGTCGCTCGCATCAACGCCGATGACATGAGCGCATTGCGAAGACAACTTCTTAGTCAACACGCCGTCACCACAACCAATGTCCAGGACGCGATCGGTGGGCTTCAGCTTGGCCATCTCGACAATGGAGCTTGTCATTTGAGGCACAAACGACGCATTTTTAACATATTTTTCTGCAGACCAAAGATCTTCAGTAACCATAATGAGTAAAGGACTTCTTTGAATGTTCAGGATTTCACGAGAGAAAAGCAAGAAATTGCAGACTGTTTTATAGCTGTTTTCGTTTAAAAAAAAAAGGGAGTATCAAAACAGACAGGAGGAAATCTGATTGTTAGCGATCACGGTAAGGAGACGCGAATTCGTGATGGAGACATGACAAGTAAAAGCCTGAGACGATTGGACGTGCAAATGAAGAACACTGATATTCTGTTTTTTGCAAACATCTATAATAATAATAATAGTACAAGTGTCTCATATCCATCATCTATCATTCATTTTTTAAGCTGCGTATTTTAGCGGCATTATTGTGGTTGCTTTTCTGGATCTGAGCCAGTGATAATGGCACCAATTTGCGGGATAAAGAAGCCGGTTTTCGGTAAAAGCCTTGACTAGCGACAGCACACAGCAGTTGTGACGATATCGGCCGTACGGGATGAGAAGTAGGGCGTGTCTGCTCGACAGCAGACTGCGAACGACCGTGTGAGGCATTCCCTGCTACATCTAGATGCTGCGAAGAACCCTGCTGCGGACGGGCCGGCTCAGAGGCTGTTGTATGGGATCGTACTAATTGAGTTTGGGGTTTGAGATTAGCGGATAACCGACCTTTTACGCTTGTTTGAGGTTTCAGGCCCTCCTCAGCCGCATGACAAGCGCGTACAGTGTCCAAAGGACGTTCAAACTTCCACCTTGTCGGGTTACTAGTATCAGGTACTACTCAACGTTAGAAACTACGTTTGCAAACTTTCTTTGCTCCGTACCTAAAATGCTTGTACCAGCGTAGTCGCGTTTCACTGGTTTAGGTTTCAGTTTAGGTTTGACGTATTGATGTTGTGCAAGTGCATATGGTTCAGGCTCGTAAAGAGCAAAACAAGGATTTTCTGGTGAATTGAAAAAGGTTTTGTGCTTGTGTGACATGAAGGGTGTTTGGTAGAGGACAGAAGACGAGTCTACAGCTGCTCAACAAGTACGCGTTTCGCGCGTACCTCGACGTCACGCGTTTCCTGTTCAGACAAAGCAACAGCAGAAGCCGGCAGGCAGACGCGTGGTGACACGAAACATGCTCCAGACGCAGTAGCAGTAGTAACAGAAATTATCAACTGTAAAGGCATTTGCTCCACACGGCCCGGACGGGCATTTCATTCCCATTACAAACAAACAATTATTTCGGCCACCATAGGCGACACGAAACGAACAAAGACCTAATGGGGGCATGTGGGTTGTCGTTGCCCCCACATTACAATCGTCGCGTCGGTGGGAGGAATACGGGGTGTATGGGGGGTCAACTTAAATCGCTGAGCTGGTTAGAGGGCTGCAAAGGCGGATTAAATGGGCTATAACAGCAATTAAGTATGGAGACGAAGGAGGACGGCGGTGTAGAGAAATGGGAGCGTAAAGCGACGAAACGACGGAGAAAAGGCGGAGGAGGAGAAAAAGTGTAGAAAAGGGAAAATGTCGGCCATGGAAACCTGCGAAGCTGTGAGGAATACGGACGTCGTCCGCGTCTAGTTACGGGAGAAGTAAAGGTTGGGAAGACGAAAAATCTAACGTGAAGAAAACCAAGGGAACGGGCGCCAGGTGGAATAGAGTGTCGCTTGCATGGAACAAGCGCAGTTGACTTGTTTGGCCCTTTCATCTAATAAATACACAGCCCCACACTAATCCGACTGTGTAGGATCCCAAGTAGGATCAGTGTGCCAGTTCTCGTTGAACTGGTCCAATTTCTGAACGCATCGATCGCTCAGCTCAATGTCAAAGACCTCGAAGTTCTCTTCAATGCGTTCTTTGTGTGAGCTCTTGACCACGGGAACAAAACCCTTCTGCAAAGACCAGCGGAGGAGCAGCTGTGCCGGGGTTACCCCATAAACCTCGGCCAATCTAGTAATCTTGGGGTCATTCAACCGCTTGCCGCGAGTCAACGGAGAATATGCCTCTACGACGATGTCATGCTCTCGGCACCAGTCAACAATAGGTTCCTGTGTCAAAAACGGGTGGAGCTCAATTTGGTTTACCACAGGAAGGTACCGGGGATTGGATGCGAACAGCTCTTCCAAGTGTTTGATTCCGTAGTTGGAAACACCCGCACCACGAATGTCTCCACGGTCAATGAACTCTTCAATTGCTCTCCAACTTTCCAACCGGTGTTCCTTTCCGCCGGCTGGCGAGTGAATCAAATATAAATCAATATACGTTCCACAGTGATGCAGACTGCTGCGAATGGCCGCCTTTGTCTCCTCGTAACTTCCTGTCGTAGCCAGTTTCGAAGTCAAAAACACGTCCGTTCGTTTGTGTCCGGTCTTCTCGCACCATTCAACAATTGCTTTTCCACAAATGTCCTCGTTTCCGTAAACGGCAGCTGAATCAATCAGCCGGTATCCGACGTTTAATGCCTCAATCACAGCATCGTGACACGATTGCAATTCATTTTTGTACACACCCAAACCTATCACGGGAATATCTTCTCCGTTTCTCAATTTCACTGTGCTTTCTTTAGTCAATTTCTGGACCATCTTTACAAGTAGTATGCTACTAAAAAGTGCAGTGAAGGGGAGAGGAGACGTTTATGGCAGTGAAAGCTGGGTGGAAACTTTGCTGCTTGCACAAACCACGTCATAGGGAAAAAGTGCCGATGACCTTTGAACTGACGTTTGTGCGGCAGTTTTTTTTTGTAAAAGCGAAAAGTGACGACACAAGCCTCTAACCGAAAAGCGGAGAAGCTTCGGCTTTAGTTTTTCTGCCAATTAACGGGCTGCGTCTGGCGAAAAAGTCTCTTCCGCTGCGGAAAGGGGGTCGCGGATGTGCCGATCCTCACAAAGTCTAGCCCACAGATGTTTACGATCAAACAAACAAGGAATGCTGCTTCTGTCTACCGTTCTTTGATGCTTTCTTTCGCTAACGGATACCGCAGACTCACGTGGTGAAAACGTGTTTCTTCTGACGCAAATAGACCAGTTGGTAACCTCAAGCCACTAAACATCCAACTTACAGCCGACCTACCAATCGTGACCACTATCTCGCGTACTCCGCGAGTTCTAGAACTCAACGGTTGCATGATGTCATTTACTGCGATAAGTCCAGAAGGACCTCCCCTACCTGCTGCGGTTCTAGGCAAAAACGTCGCACTGTATCTCTGTGAAACGAGTCTTGAGTATCTTGCATCGCGGTACTCCGCGTTAACGCTATTAGCGTCTCTTGCCGTGTACTGGCGATCCTGTGTTAAATAATATACAGTGTGTGCGTTATTTCTCGCTATTTGGATCCAGAGTGCCTTCCCCACAGGACCCCACTTGTGCCCCCATACATCCCATAGAGCTTGTTTACAGCAAGTAATTCGCTAGGTCTCCAGAACAGTGCACATCTCAATGCATTCCTTTTCAAGTTCGTCTGTGATTGAGACGGCACTTCCGGTACCGCTTAGGAAGAATGTAGAGAAACCGGTGATGAAGACGGGGTTCCTGACGCCGCACAAGTTCACTATTTGTGTGCTCATTGAGCTCTATGCTTATCATGTTTTGTCCTCTGAAGGTGTCCAACAGCTCTTCGACATGATTCTTGAGTACTATACGGTACGTAAATACGATTAGTGTGGCCCTCGAACGGCAATGGCTGCATATGGAACTCTGGTTCACGATACTTGTACTAACGCGTGTCTTCCGAAATAGGCAGAAGCATTTCATCCTCAGACACTCGCCTATATCAACAGTGTCACAAAGGAGCTGTCTTCAAGCAGCTCAGAGTGCAGTGTTTATGATTTGTTGCACCAGAGGGTACGTGACGATGTTAAAAGATTGGATTATCGGTACTACTTTAATTCAAACTCTGCTTTAACAATATCACTTTTTCTAAAGGAACATAAATTGAGATGCTAAACAATTCTGTAGCTTTGGAACTTTCATGGATTCGAGGATTTGTACGAGTTCTTCATGGGCCTACGAGTGCTTCTGGCTGCACCGGGTGAACAACCAGCAGAACAATCACAAGAGGATCATTTGATGTTTGCTCCTTCATCTGTTCTTTCTGTATTTTTGAGGAAATGTATTACGGAGTTTCGCTCTTTTTCCTTTGAACAAGAAGTTCAGTTTTTTAAAAGCTTTCTTTCTTACAGAGCACCGTCTGTCGAATTTTCACGCGACGGTGAAGCACTGTGCGAGGTTAACATTCGGCATGAGCTAAAAAATTTAGCATCCAACCCAACATTGTTGTCCCTTGTATTGAATGACATTCCTGGTACGGACTTACAGACATCTTATGCTGAGACTAACAACGCATTATCTAAGATTGCCATTCCACAATGGATATGGATTCCCTGGACCAGTTCTTGATCCAACATTTGCAACGTAAGATGGATTTTATTCATGATTTTGTGTCTGTGTTTAACTTATGGCTTAAGGTTTTGGTGCGAATGTGCCCTCTGAGATTGAAAAACGTTACATTCAAATGCTCAATCCGAGAAATCTCAACACCTCAAACACGTGTTATGTAAAGTATGGACTTTTGTTCTCGTATATTTGCGTCTATTAACGTTTTTTTTTAGGTTTCTGACCGCTTGGCGGAACGGTGATTACCAACAATCGATAGAATACCTATTTGGTTATTTTGATCATGTCATGCAACACAACGAATACGCCTCGTATCAGTATGCCCTGCTGAATTTGGCTATGTTGCAGGCTGATTTTGGCTGTCGCGATAAGGCTTACCGGGCGATTGAAGATGCCATTAATACAGCACGAGAGAATAATGATACGGCCTGCCTTAACTTCGCGCTTGCTTGGTTATATGAGTTTCAACAACAACAGGAAATGCCTGATCATGTCAAGCAAGCAGATCCCGAGCGTATTCTTCAGTATTTGTCTAAAAGCTCCCAAAGAACCGGTGCTTCCGAACTGCAATGCACTTCATATTTAATGCACGTGGATAATTTACTTCGGGAAAACACTTGTCTAACGACCATATTTTCCGACTTTTTTAAAGCAACAGCTTTACAGAATGTCTGCAAATCAACTCAATGTCTAGCAACGATGACCGTCCAGCGGGCAACTGTTTGGGAACGACTGTGTAATTCGTCTTATGGCACGTTGTTGTTGGAAACTTACCTTGCGTATTGTACGAACAAGGCGAATGTAATTGATAAAACGGCTATATACATAAAAAAGGCACAGAAAAAGGCATTGCTGGGTGATTGGGAAGCGGCACACGTTACGCTCGAGAGTGCTCGGGGCCATGCACAATGGTCTTTTCAAGCAAACAGAAAATTCGAGTATGAGTTGTTGCTACTAAAATTGGAGAAATCCATTAATGAGTATGTAAACCATTCATTTTTTTTTTTTTTTGGGCTTCTTACTAATAAACTAGGCAAAATTTCCGTTGTGCAGCTAGGATTCTTAAGTCTATTAGTGGAGTTCAATACGAGCGAGGAGCGTTTGATCGTTTGACGCTGTTGTCTATTCGCTACGACATGGCGTTAGGTAATTTCAGTCGGGTATGTTCAACAATGTTCTTAAGGCTTGCTATTAACAGCTTTTATAGGCAATGGATGCTATTGACGACCTTTCTTTGTCGAATGAATGGCAGAGCTGCTTACCGAGATTGGAACTGAAAAAGCTTAAAATCGAGATTTATCTGGTAAGCTTTAACAAGTTTTGTAATTACTTTTCTGACGTGATTTAGCAAACCGGCATGCGGAAAAGAGTACTAGTGGAGGCAATTGATTTCATTAAGCTAGCGGCAAAACACAACTTCCGGGTATATTTCTTACATGGGCTTTGCCTTCTCGTATTGTGTGCATCCATGAAATGCAGAAAAGCTGAATACTTGTTGAACTCAATTATGCCAGACATTCTTGTTTCAGAGAATAAAGAGCTTTGTGCCCTAGCTTTCTACACCTTAGCTACGCTGTATAGCTTAAACTTTGAGCGTCTTCAGCCAACCAAGGCGTTTGTCTTAAGTTTATACAATGCTTCGTACGAAGGTAGGCGGCAATTTTCTTTTCTTTTTTCGTATAAAACTAACTCATGCCTCTAGCTTACCGTTCTTGTTGTATGATTAAAAAGCAAAAGGATGTTTTTCGAGCCAAGATATTGTTTCTTCGAAGCGTACAAGACGAAAGCCTTGATCAGTACGTGGAGGAATATCGAAATATGTTTTTCTCAGATGGTTTAGAGCGTTTCGAAAACGAGACATCTGAAGTTACAGCCACTGTTTGAAAAAAAAAGTTTCATTACTAAAAAGGATGACTTTTCCTACCGGTTTTTTACGAAAGGGTAACCTCAAACGCGGCCCCGAACGTTATATTACTCGGTAATGAAACAAAGAGCGGTTCCCCCTCTGACACTTATGAACGTTAATGAACACGATAATGAATATGGTTAGACAATACTATGACTGAAACATCATTATTGACTGTGGATATAAACATCATGAGGAGTGTTGAAAAGAAGTTGCATTAAACGAAAACAAATTGAGATAGATAACGTGAAAGGAAACATGAAGAGTACATAGCAAAAAAAAAAACATAAGAAAGAGAAAGTCCGAACATGCAAAAATAAAATACAAGGGCATTACTTAAGCGTTTTCAGGAATCCCAAAATGCTTAATAGATGTTTTGGGATAAAAGTGCAGCACATGGTTCATAAAGGGCACTTGTCCACGTAATCGTTAAATCAATATACAAGCTTTGTCATTTACTTGTACATGCCACGGTAAATATAAACCGCAAATAAGGGAGGGAGCAAGTACTTTACATACCGCAAGGCGCTCCGCTTTTGACTTGGAATCTGAGTCTGCTTTAAGTAGAGGGTAGCACTTGGTGAGAATCCCAATTCTCGTAAGGTCTTCGTATTATCGGACTCTGTTAAAAGCCGATATGGGAATGAGTGCTCGAACTCATAGTCCTTGCCCTGGCCTTGACTATACAACCAGGCGCGTACATCGACGAGTGTCGAGTCTGAAGAAAAATAAACTTTCAACGACTTTCCTGAGCGCAAACGAATATTCAAGTAGCAAGCATCTTTGTCTGGTTGCATTTGTGTTTCCAAACGCGCCACGTCTACGGACACACGTCTCTTAGGCAATTCTGTAGGCGACCGAGTCTCCGCAACATACTCAACAGTTTTCTCTGTACTTGCTGAAAACTCCTTAGGTATGTTTTGTTTTTTGGAATGAAAACCCGCACCGAGTCTGCGAAGCAGTTTTAAAAACCCGGCACTGTCCGGAGGAAAGTATACGGTTTTCTTCACCTCTGATTTATCAATCAAGCAGGCGCAAGGTGATGGCTTGAGGGAGTACTGTTGCTGACAAAGAATGGCCTCTTCTGACGTGAGTGGAAATTTCGCCAAGGTAATCTTTATGTTCTCATCCCAAGTAACCTAAACACGTCTGTTAGTCATTGTACTTCGCGTGTAAGCATCCTTCTGACATACTCTATGTTTCTCTAGTAATTGTTGCAGGCAATACCAAGAATCGGCTAAAAGTTAGTTAACATGTTTAGAAAAACAGCCACCCAGCGCGACAATTCTTCCGTACCAGTATATAAAATAAGTAGAACGGCATTGTCGTCAGGAACACTCAAGGCGAAAAGCTCCTCAACACTCTTGATTGTCTGCAAATGCATTTTGTTTCAAACTAAGCGGGACGATTCAACACGCGAAAATCAAAAAGGAACAAGCGAAAAAAATACGCGAAACTAGGACGTTCTTTTCAAAGAGAAATACTGGATGTAGGAGACAATTGCAATCTCTATATACGAATGCACAATGTTCAGCGAAATCGAAAAAAAAAATAAAAATCGCCCAATCGGAGGTTTATGGAAAAAGAATCCGAGTCCACGGGATCTTGGGGTTTGCACTCTTCGTTCGGATGGAATTACAATTTGTATCCGACGATTAGTAACAACCGAGCTGTGTGGTGAAAAGCTGATATATGTAGAGAGAAGCTTCTGTTTCGACCTGTTCCTCTGTTTTGTGTCATAATATGTATGATATCATAGTGTGGGGCAACTTCCAGAGGCTGAAAATGAAATAGTAAGTTATTACATTTCAATGTCACTCCACTTTCTTATTGGTGAGCGGTTACTGCAGAAGTTAGCTGATTGGCACGTGAATCTCCACGTGCGTTATTCCTCCAATCAAACAGCTGTTCCATTTTCGCTCAAACAAAGTTGAGTCGCAAATCGGCCAAATCATAAAAAGAGCCGATTCTGCCGACAACCTTAAATCGTTTAAGATTTGCAGACAAAACACCTTCAACTCGACACTAGCTACGCGTTTTTTAACTCTCCCTGCTTTATTGAGACATGTTATTGGCACGATTCTACATCAACGAGGACAAGGTGTGTACGAAGTTTAAGCCAAACCCTTGAGGGCACGTCTGCGGTCACGCTCCTCAGCGATGCTGAGCTTGACACCCTTACCCTTGGGCAAGGAGATCCAGGCCTTTCCGGCCTCGCCGATGACGAAAACGTTGGACAAACGAGTAGCAAACTCACGGTCCAAAGCATCCTTGATGTGAACAATCTCGAAGGAACCCTCATGACGCTCACGGTGAGTAACAACACCAACACGACCCATGTTACGACCACCAGTGACCATAACCATGGAGGAGGTGTCGAACTTGACGAAAGACTCAATCTTGTTGTTCTCCAAGTTCAACTTGACGGTGTCGTTGACCTTGATAAGAGGATCAGGGTAACGAATGGTGCGACCGTCATGGGTGACAACGAAGGGAACACCCTTGGCACCGAGTTGGACGCGCTTGACCTTGCACAACTTGTACTTGGCCTCCTCAGCAGTGATGCGGTGGACGGTGAAGCGGCCCTTGATGTCGTAGACGAGACGGAAGTGCTCGCCAGTCTTCTCGATGCTGATAACGTCCATGAAGCCAGCGGGGAAGGTAGCGTCGGTGCGAACCTTACCGTCGACCTTGACAAGACGTTGCATCAAGATAGCTTTGACCTCACGACCGTTCAAGGCATACTTAAGACGGTTGCGCAAGAAAACAATCAAAGGAAGACAATCACGGGCCTTGTGAGGACCAGGAGAGGGCTTGGGGGCATAGGTGCCAGAAAGCTTGTCCAAAAGCCAGTGACTGGGGGCGGCAACACGCTTAAGATGCTTTTTGGGTCCTCGAACCATTGTATCGTCTTGGTAAGTGGTTGAGTGCTCGATGTGTGTCGAGTACACATTGTGACTGCTAAAATTATTTAGCGTATAGTAGTGTACTTCAGTAGAGTGGGGTTAGGTGGGGGCGTTTCGTAAGAGCAGATACTAGAGCTCGTGTGCGTGTTGTTCGCAGTGTCACGTGAAGTGGTTACCGGTAAACCATTGACCAAGGAAACGAATTGCTGCTGATACGAGTACGAGTGGAGAGTCTCAGCATTGAACGTCACTGATTGTATTTCTCGTTTAGCCACTCTCCGTTTATATTTTACCAGCCGCAACTGTCGCTGAACGATTAAGGTTTTCGCTTGAAAAGAAGGCGTTCGCTAATTTTTTTCATTGGACAAAGGTAAAATGACGTGGACTAATCGTTGAACTCCAAAGTTAGTAGCATGCGTCTTCGTGTTTTCGTTAACAATATACAATTCTATGTCAAAAATCGCCGTCCTTGCACATCCGTACGGTCCTCTTGGAGGGAACAGGAATGATCCGTGCATTGTGTCTATGGCTGATTCATTACGAGAGTGTGGCTTTCATGTGATAACCTTTGATTTCAAAAACGCTAACGACTCTTCTTTATCAGCATGGTTAAGGCCGTTGTCCGGTCCACGGGATGTTCGACACTTTCAAAGTGTCTTACAACGAGCCATTGACGATGTACTGGCCGAAGGAAAACTGGTTGAGCATGTCGTACTCGGAGGCTTTTCGTATGGTGCTCGTGTTAGTATGCAAGTTCAGTTACCAGAAGCAATATCCAAGGACACTATTGTTCAGTATGTGTTATTGAACCCGTTCTGTGGTTTCTTAAGTTCTTTCGTCATGTGCTCCTTCGTCGATTCAACAGCATCCGTTCGAGAGGAAAGTGACGTTCTACTTGTTTGGTCGAAAAAGGATGAGTTTACCGGGGAGAATTCATTTCATAAACTCGCCCGAAATCTTACCAAAAAACATTGCAGGCTTGAGGAATTGGTCCTTCCTGGTGGGCATTTTGTTGATGCAACTGCAATGGGAAAGGTTTTGCTTCCTTTACAAGAAATGGTTATGAGGGGAAGAGACAGGTAATGCTAGTTCAGGATGTTTGCAACACATTGATTTATTTTTGCTATTTATGAAACTATTTAAGGATGAAAAGGGACTTTTTATGGAGATGATACTGGATTTGATGGAAAGGAAAAACTTAAAATATCATCTTATGAGAGTGATGTTTTGTATAATGTCGCATTTTAGAATACCAATATAAATTGCTAAAGGAATAAAAAAAAGAAAATTTTAAACAAAAAAATATAATTAACGAAACGATTCATTTATTCATGACTGTATGAAGTTAAGTTATAGGTATTGATGGGTGAAATTTTTTTTCTTTTTTTTTCAGATTGAAGTATCATGGTCGTAATCCTTTTTCTATTCGATGGTTATCTATTACTTTTGTTATATTCATCAGTTACGTTAGTAAATGTAGCTGTCAGCACTAATTGTCCAACTTGCTTATAACTAGTAAATGAAATAACAATTGAGTGACTTTTCAGAATTTCAACATCGTTGCAGCACACGTTCGTTGCTTATAAACTCTATATATTATGATTTTGATAGATGTGCTGGAAGTTATAATAGCTTTTGTCATTTAACTCGTTTTGTAGATATGAATATAAATATAATAATCCGCTTTGTTTGATTATCTTTCTACCTTTCTTAGTAAATTATATTGTCACTTTCGCAATTAAACAGTCAACGTGAACACCCATATTAAACCCCCCATTACGTTGTCGTTTCACTACTATTATAATTTGCCGTATGTAAAAAAATGCATGTTCATTATTCTTTGTTTTACATATCACCAGTACTTTAGTAACAGCAGAAACTAAGCAATGTTTAATCGTTAGCCCCAACTATTCAATACAACTAAAACATAATCAAACAAAATGCCTATGAGTATTATTCTCATACCGTTTCCATACGACAACCATCAAATGCTTAAAAAAAAAAAAGAAAAACTCTTGTACAAAAAAGCCAGGCTACAAACACATACTACTTATTCACAAGTGCACACAATCACAGACAATTCCTCCGTTCTTTCCACAGTGAACTTTCCCGATTTGAACAAAACATCTATAACATAACCAATCTAAATCATTATTAATACGACAGAAAGAACTTAACAAGCTCGGATAAACCTGCCTCATTCCTATACTTGTTAGAGTTTATTTTCGCCAGGACCCTACACCGAGCTGTCTGACGGGTATTGCTGTACATAGGTCTTTTTGCTGGACGCAGTCGACCACTCAAGCGCTGCACATCTCACAGGCCTCTGGGTTTTTTATGCTGCAGGCAATGACCTTAGAGTTATAGATGTCGACTTTCTCTTGATTATCAGAGCTGTTTTGCTCGTTTTCCTTTTCGTTTTTGTTGACGGCAGAAACAGACGCACTGCTCTTAGGTCTAATAGAAGCCGGTGCCGGAGAGGGAGCAGAAGCAGAGTTTGTTTGTTTCACTGACAGAGGGTCAACAGTAAACTTAATGGCAGCAGATGCAGCCATCGTACGTAAATAATACATGCCAGTCTTAAGACCCTTCTTCCAACCATAGAAATGCATGGATGTAATCTTACCGAAGCTGGGATCCTTAATGTGAATGTTGAGAGACTGGCTTTGATCGATAAAGGCACCACGATCAGCAGCGTAGTCAATAACTGTACGCTGACTGATTTCCCAAACCGTCTTGTATAAGTTTTTGAGGTCCTGAGGAATTTCAGGAATGGCCTGAATAGAGCCATCATAAAGAACAAGCTTATTCTTCATCTCTTCATCCCACAAGCCCAAATCCACAAGGTCACGAAGCAACCAAGGGTTCACAATCTGAAATTCACCAGAAAGTACACGGCGCTGGTACATGTTGCTGGTGTAAGGTTCAAAGCATTCGTTGAATCCGAGAATTTGCGAGGTTGAAGCCGTAGGCATAGGGGCCACAAGCAACGAATTGCGGAGGCCATGCTTAGCAATCTTAGCCTTCAAACTTGCCCAATCCCAAAGATCAGTGGGTGTCACATTCCACATGTCGTATTGAAGAATACCCTGGGAGGCAGGCGATCCTTCATATGTCTCATAAGGACCCTCTTCGGCGGCAAGCTCACAGGAGGCTTCAAGAGCAGCGTGATAAATTGTCTCGAAGATGAGCAAGTTGAGTTTGCGAGCCTCTGGACTCTCATAAGGATAGCGCAACTTGAAGAAGGCATCAGCTAAACCTTGCACACCAAGGCCAACGGGACGATGACGAAGGTTACTACGGCGTGCCTCGGGAACGGGATAGTAGTTCACATCAATCACACGGTTAAGGTTGCGAGTGACAACCTTCGCCACGTTGTGCAGCTGTTGGAAATCATACTTTCCATCATGAATGAACATGGGCAAAGCGATAGACGCAAGGTTACACACGGCGACCTCATCTGGTGACGAGTACTCGACAATCTCTGTACACAAATTGGAGCAACGAATAGTGCCAAGGTTTTTTTGGTTGGACTTCCGGTTGCACGAGTCCTTGTACAACATAAAAGGATTACCTGTCTCAGATTGAGCACGAATAATCTCATACCAAACCTTTTGGGCAGGAAGCACGCGACGAGCACGGCCCTCGCGCTCGTAACGTTCATAGAGTTCTTCAAATTCCTCACCCCAAACATCGGCAAGACCAGGAGCTTCGTTGGGACAGAAGAACGACCATTGCTCGTTCTTCTCCACACGACGCATGAAAAGATCAGGAATCCACAAAGCGTAAAAAAGCTCACGGGCACGCATCTCCTCCTTGCCATGGGTCTTGCGCAGTTCGACAAAGTCGAGCACATCAGGGTGCCAGGGCTCCAAATAAGCTGCAAATGCACCAGGACGCTTGTTTCCACCCTGGTCAACATAGCGAGCGGTGTTGTTGAACACACGAAGCATAGGGACAATACCATTTGAAGTGCCGTTGGTACCGGCAATGTAAGAGCCCGTGGCACGAATGTTGTGAATATTGATGCCAATACCGCCAGCAGTCTTGGAAATCATCGCGCATGTCTTCAGTGTCTCGTAAATACCTTCAATTGAGTCATCTTTCATGGTGACCAAAAAGCAGGAAGAGAGTTGAGGACGAGGCGTCCCGGCGTTAAACAGAGTGGGCGATGCATGTGTAAAGTAACGTTGTGACATATAATTGTAGGTCTCAATAGCAGCCTCGATATCGTCGTGATGGATGCCAACGGCCACGCGCATAATCAAATGCTGAGGCCGCTCTGCAACCTTGCCATCAATCCGGAGAAGATATGACCGCTCGAGCGTCTTAAAACCAAAATAGTTGTACGTGAAGTCACGATCATAAATGATCGCACTATCCAGCTCGTCTTTGTGTTTCATAACAATCTCATAAACTTCGTCACTAATCATTGGGGCGTGCTTGCCCGTCTTGGGGTTGACCCAATCATGTAATTTTTGAACGACTGACGAGAAAGCTTTGTCTGTCTGTTTGTGAAGATTCGACACGGCGATGCGTGCAGCGAGAATAGCGTAATCTGGATGCTTTGTAGTCATCGTGGCAGCTGTTTCAGCTGCCAAATTGTCCAACTCAATAGTTGTCACACCCGGATACACACCGGATATAACGCGTTGAGTGACAGCAGCCGCGTCAACATGCTCTGGGTCCAGCCCGTAACACAGACGCGAAACGCGTGCTGTAATTTTGTCGAATTGAACTTTTTCCTTGCGGCCGTCTAAACAAATAACAGTTAGCCGGTTACGTTCAATAAGCTATCAATCACCGGAGACGCGACAGAATTCATAGCGTTTCCTGACAGCAAGTACCCACCTCTTTTATAAACGAACATTCTTGCTCTCTGCGCTCGAGGGACCGGCATGGGAGTGGCTATTTATAAGAGTACGACGCGTCGCGTCGCGACGCGTTAATTGCTCCCACGATTTGACGCGTCACCCGCGTTTCAAACCAGTCACATATTACGTCATCCATAAAATAAGCGACCGAAGCGAATGAATGTTCAACGCGTCAGCGTCGCACCAAGAAGAGTTACTAGCGAAAACCCAGGCTAACTTACTGCTTTCGGAATTCGAGGCCATGCGGAACTGAACGATAGTTTCTAGCTCAGAAGAGATAGCTCTTTCATTTTGATCTTCATTTGCGGCTCAGTCGTTTAGACCGGTGGCCTCGTGTAGCATTCCTAATCCTAGCGCGTTCAGACGCGTCGCATTGTAGTCCCTATGACAACCACACTATAGATATAAATCACGATATCTTATCAGATGAATAAGCGACAGGACAAGCGAAGGAAAAATGGGGGCACCATTTGGTCAAGAGGCCCGCAATGGGGGGAGAGAGTGGGGTACGTTGAATCTGCCATTGCAGATTTTCGTTGTTACCTGTGATGTGGGGGCACACGCGCAATGAAGTGTGTGGTGGAAAGAAAGCAGTGTAACCAGCAAGTGGTAAAGTTCTTAGTAATAGGCTAGTGAGAAAAAAACGACAAGTGGTACTGTCGTTTTACAGCATATGGACGAACCGTAGAGTCTTAGGGTTTAGGGGTTCGGTTACTAGACAGGCCCTATGCAATAAAAACATCATCCGTAGTCACCTTTTCCTCCGTCAGTGCCTACTATACAGCAATCCCTCAATGCCTATAATGCACTATGTTTACCCAAATCCAGCCAACCGTTACATCCCCCCTTCATCGCCGCCCCCTGCACTGCCTTTCCATGCGTAGAATGATTGTATAAACGTTAAGCCGAGATGGAGTTACAAAGACTCGGGAAAGTGTGTATGTGTGTGTATATGCTTGTGCGTGTGTGCGTGCGTTAACCACGACAACGACATTAGGCGTGGATGACAGTCTTCTGCTTACAACACGATGCAACGCTTCTTCTTGCCAGAAACAGGCTTGGGTTTGGGCTTGTGCTTGAGCATGGCAGCGCGAGTAGCAGTCTCAAAAACCTCGCGAACACCCATGTTCGTCTTGGCCGAACACTCAAGGTACTTGTAAGCACCAATCTTCTGGGCAACGGCCTCACCCTCCTCAGAAGTAACGGGATGTTGGGAAGTTTTCGACAACTCTTCAATAGTCTTGGAATCGTTCCGCAGATCCACCTTACAAGCAACAAGTATAATGGGGAGGTTTGAACAGAAATGCAATACCTCGGAAATCCATTTCTCCTGAACGTTGTCCAGGGAATCGGGAGAGTCTACAGCGAAACAAATAAGAATGACATGTGAGTCGGGGTATGAGAGTGGACGGAGACGATCGTAATCCTCTTGACCAGCAGTATCCCAAAGAGCAAGCTCGACATGACGGCCGTCGACCTCAACATCAGCGACGTAGTTCTCAAAGACGGTAGGAACATAAACCTCAGGGAAAGTGCCCTTAGAGAAAACACTGCAGGTTAGTATATGAAGGGAAAGCAATGGAAAACGCGTGAAAAACCAGGACAGAAAAGAAACTGAAAAAACAAAGAAAAACACATCCAGCCCGTCGTGAACGACGTCTCCCATTGAAAATTTTTGCATATCAACCACCGAAAAGTCTTGGCTCCTCGTGTTCAAGTGATTCGTGTTTCTTGCTTTCAGTTTCCCCTCTTTATGGCTTCATCTGCGTCTATTTCTTGTACTTACATTAACAGACAAGTCTTACCGCAAGCACCGTCACCGACGATAACCAGCTTTCTGCGAAGTTCGGTAGCCATTATAATAAAATAGTTGTAAAAAGTTGTTCTTTAGCTCGTAGCAAAGATGACAGATATAGATTTAGAAAAAAGGGGTGACAATGGTATCCAGACCAGAGACAATAAGAAGGAGCAGAGTTAAGTCTAATAAATGCGATTCCCTGTCGAAACTTGCCGTAAAAACTCCAAACACACAAATCTGTAGTTGGTACTGGTTTCGTGAAAGAGGGTGGTGGTTATGGTGGTAGCAGTCGCGAGGCAGCCAACCTACCGATCTGAGGCTCGGTAGCGCAGCGAGAGTACCGAGTTGGGTTAGTGGGGTCAGGGGCGCAGCTACAGAGCCCCAAAGAACTCCACTGAGGCTTAGCGATATGGAACGTGATACTTCGCAACTGAGCGAAGCCTTCTGTGGCCTAGTGCAGCACAAGGCAGCCGAGCGAGATGTAGTGCATGCTTCGGCGATGGAAGGCCGTGCAACGATGCAGAATGCATTGAAAGAGAATTGTTGAAGCTACGGTATAAACCCCCATCTCACATCACCCCGCAAATTGCAGATCATCCACCAACCAGCAGTTTGAATTACAAGAAGCGGCAATGCTAGAAAGAAATTTTGTTCAATAAAACGAGCAGCCAAAAACCGCAATCAGCACAGAAATGACCATTCAGAAGGAGGCTCCCCTCGGCGGCGACGCGAACAACACCAGATTCAAAGACAATTTTAAACGCATACCTCCTATCGACCCGAACGACCCTCGCTTCGAGAGGGTCGACTGTTTGCCGTGTAGACTGGTTGGTGCTTCTGCATTCACCGGACTCGGTGTGTATGCCTATGTGCAATCGCGACGATTGCCACACAATGTCCCCCTGTATCGGACAAAACGCTTCGGCATTCTCGGCCTGGCAACCGCCTTTGCACTCACTGGTCTATACCGACTGGTGAACTAAGCTAAGCGACACTGCATCGTTTCATTCCCGAAGCCAGGTGCATTTTTGACGAATATGGATATGCATATTTCATTTCGTTCGAAATGCAATGGCGATTTTATATTCGAAACCGGATGTCCGGACATCCGCTAAAGAGTGATGCTCTTGCTTCTGGCTTTTTGTTAATGGCGTTGGAAATATATCAAAACGGGAAAAAGAACAACAACAAATAGTAAATAAAAAGATATGTAGCAATCACGTCCTCCAATGAGATATGACTCAATTTCACGGTTGGCAGTAGGCTAGCTTTTCGCCGTGCGGCACGTTTAGAGTTGAGCTTGGAGCTGTATGAGATATATGTGTGTATGTGTAAAATATGAGCGTGTAAATGTGTGGGCGTGTTCGGAAATGCGTGTCTGAGAACATGCTGGTCAGAATATGGAAACAACAACACAGAAGAGAAAAAGAAGAAGAGGTCATAGTCAATCATAACCGGGAAAATAGAGGCGTGTGATATTACCGATTCGCGGTCCGGGTGTAAGGATCACGGTTTGTGTAACTAGGAGCAGAGGAATTGCCAGCATCACTCATACGTCCTGTAACACTTGACTCTGAATATTCAGCATTGCGCACGTGAGGCCGCTGCAGCTCAGCAGGACCATGCAAGCTTGCATATGACGCATCTTCCACAACTTCCCAAGGGTATGTGCGAGCTGCGTCCACACGGCGAACGTCAGAAGAGCCATGCGAGCGTGAAGAAGGTTCCAAGGGACCCTCCTTTCCGTGCATGTCCGCTGAGAACGGGTCACTGTTATCAAACCCTGTTGAAACCTTAGTCTCGCTCGAGTCTGTCGGCACCTCAATCATGCGACTGTACGTGCCCTTAGGATGACGACGACAGAGCAAAACAAGTGCGCGAATGTACACACCTAAGATCATAAAGAGTAATGTCAATGCGTTCAATGCAAACATTACAATACCGATTACTTGGCGAACAAGCTCGTTCACTTCGAACGCTTCACACATAATGAGAATGAACACACCTGACACGAGCCCCATGAAAGCAATGCCACAATGCATTGCATTCATGTGTTTCGTGGCAAAGGGACGCAACACAAGGTAAACCAAAAAGACGATGATGGAAATCACAAATCTAGCAATGCCCTGCACAACAGGGTGTCCTTGACCAAAGCCAATAAACATGGCATCCACAAGAGAAACAATGAGAATGGGCAAAGCAAAGAAGAAGTAACGCACCTTGTAAGGTACATACATGAAACCCCAACGCATCAAATGCTGGATATCCGAGTACAAATTGTACACGGCCTCATTATGCAAGAAAGGACCCATCTTCCGCACAGCTTGCACAGTACGGATAAATGCCCAAAGCAACAAGATAGCAATATCCACAATGATATACATGCCCAATATAGCTGCACCAGTAGAGTCGCGGGTATAGATTTCCCACATGGACAGAACGGCCATCTGCGTGAAACTGACGTACACAACACGATAGAAAAAGCCCTTGGAAATGGCATTGCAACGAACGCGTAATTCCAAGGCCCGACTATCGTGGATGCTACGGAAGAGCAGACCTAGCTCAAGCAGTACTCGAAACACAATTACTAAAATGAGCGTGAAGCCCAATAGGATCACAAAGAAGGCTAATCCCGTCATGAACAGGTTTGTAGTCTCAATTCCCGCACGATATGCGACACGATCAATGCCGTGTAGTGTTGTAGAACTTGTAGAAGATGACGACGAGTAGGACGTACGCTTCCACAACGATACCGCCGGCTCAATGGCACGTTTGTACAAAATAACATTGGCATGATCACCCAGTTTTGTCAGTACAGACGGTGTGCCACCGGTGGATTTAATGTACCATGTAAAGATAGACTGCATGAAGTTGAGTCGGATGATACCGAGCGCCCAGTTAAAGTTTTGCGCCCAACTCTCAACTACAATTGGAAGTTTGATGGCCAAAAATCCATACAGAGCTTGGGACTGGGAGAAATGGAACATCGCAAGGAATGAAGCGCAAATCTCCCACATCTCTGGCGTTTGAAACGCCGAAGAGAAGAAGAGGAACACGATCAAAGGAACGCCAATGATGACACACATGACCCAGTAAACGGCACGGGAATGAACAGAACGTGTGTTGCTGAATGATGCCTCAACACAAGCAAGTTCCTCACCTGTGTCGGTACTGTTGATACGAACGATAACAGAGGCATCCAAGTCAGGAACCATATATGCGATTCCAGGAATTGACTTGAGGGTGTCAAGTGCTGAACCCGAAATGGTATAACTTCCCTCCAAGTCGATGTTACCGGTGGTGATGGGACAGAAACCGCTGAACTTCAAGTTACAGGGATTGACCGTGATGGGTGAAATGCTAATACCATAGGCATAGATATTTGCAACAATGGTGATATTAGAAGACATAGACGACTGCAAAGAAAGATCGAAAACGATACTTTGGTTAGCAGGGAAAAAGTCAACATTGAACGTTGAGGCAGACAATTGGGAATTGGACGAACATGTTGCCAAAGAACGTGAACGAAGAACCCTCACCGCAGAGGCGGGTGAAAGGAAGGCGAAAAAGTATGCAGTGATACTGATCAATGCATACCGGAGGTACATTTTAATGCTGATTCAACAACGTGCAAGCGTCGCCGTTGAACGTTGTTGTTGGTAGAGACGGCGAGCTGGAATAGCACTACACAAAGGAAGCATAAATGAGCCGCAACGGCAAATTTAAAAAATTAAACATGCTACAGTATTTTTTACATAACTTTCATGATAATTCATAAGATCTGATTCTACGAAACGCAAACTGTGTAATTAGTGCAACCTGAAAATTTAGTAAAGCTTAATTGTCCATATCCGCAGGCGTGCGGAAATGCACAAAGTCGAGATGCAGGCAAGATGAGGTGATCACATAGGAAACATTGGTTTGACGCGCTGTTATACATAAAGATAAATTTACGGAACTGCGTCAAACCGTATTAATGGTTTTCCGTTTATGTTCATATTCTGCACGTGATCACTTTAAAGCAAGTAGTTCGTGAGTATGTTATTTTTACAGCAAAGAGCGGCACTCGTATACAACTGTAAAAAAACTTATGTATTTATGTTTGAATGTGTGTTTGAACAAAATAAGGGTCTTTTAATTAAGCGAGCTGTAAGCTTTGCCCCACCATAACTTTACTTCCGACCATCAAAAACTCACCGCCAGACTTCTTGCTCTTTATCCCACTACTATCCTTCAACGTGGTTGTCAAAAATGGCAAAGTCGGATCTGAAACGTAAAAAGAGGGAGGCCGCAGATGAGGTTGCATCCGAAGCTGCCAACGGCGTGGTTTCTCCCGAATCTGAAGTTCGTGAGAACAAAAGAGTGAAGGAATCCTCAGAGGAGGTGTCTGAGGAGGAAACTAAGGTTTCCGCAGCTGAGAAAGAAAAGGAGTCTAGTGAGGGACATGAACAAGTTCCCGACCGTCCTGAGGTTGTTGTTTCCGCAAAGGAGAACCCAGAGTTGTTCACGGATTTGCCTCTTTCGGAAAAAACTTTAAATGCAATCAAGGACATCGGTTATGAAAAGATGACTGAGGTTCAGGCAAGAACTATCCCCCCTCTGCTTGCTGGACGTGATGTCTTGGGTGCTGCTAAAACTGGCAGTGGAAAAACGTTGGCTTTCCTGATCCCTGCCATTGAGACACTTTATTCCCTTAAATTCAAGCCTCGTAACGGTACAGGTGTTATCATCGTTTCTCCTACTCGTGAACTGGCTCTGCAAATCTTTGGTGTTGCCAAGGAACTGCTGAAGTATCATCACCAAACTTTTGGTATTGTCATCGGTGGTGCTAATCGTCGCGCTGAAGCCGATAAGCTTGTCAAGGGTGTGAATTTGCTTGTTGCCACTCCCGGTCGTTTGCTTGATCATCTCCAAAATACCAAGGGTTTCGTGTTCCGTAACTTGCGTTCATTGATTATTGATGAGGCTGATCGTATTTTGGAAATTGGTTTCGAAGACGAAATGCGTCAAATTGCCAAGGTTCTTCCTTCTGAAAACAGACAAACCATGCTGTTCTCTGCTACCCAGACTACCAAGGTCGAGGATCTTGCTCGGATATCCTTGAGACCTGGACCTTTGTATATCAACGTTGATGCCGGTAAGGATACATCGACCGCTGACGGTTTGGAACAGGGTTATGTTGTTGTCGAGTCCGACAAACGCTTTTTGCTTCTGTTCTCTTTCTTGAAGCGTAATCTGAAAAAGAAGGTCATTGTCTTCATGTCTTCTTGTGCTTCTGTTAAGTACATGGCTGAACTTCTTAATTACATTGATCTTCCTGTGCTCGACTTACATGGAAAGCAAAAACAACAACGCCGTACCAACACTTTCTTTGAGTTCTGTAACGCAGAGAAGGGTATCATGTTGTGTACAGATGTCGCTGCTCGTGGTTTGGATATCCCTGCCGTCGACTGGATCGTTCAGTACGATCCCCCTGATGATCCCCGTGACTACATTCATCGTGTTGGTCGTACTGCTCGCGGTGCTAAGGGCAAGGGTCGTTCTCTTATTTTCCTCACTCCATCAGAGCTTGGTTTCCTTCGCTATTTGAAGGCAGCCAAGGTACCTCTGAACGAGTACGAGTTTCCTTCCAACAAGGTTGCTAATGTTCAATCGCAATTAGAGAAGCTTGTTTCTAAGAACTACTATCTGCAACAATCCGCTAAGGATGGCTATCGTTCTTATTTGCAGGCTTATGCCTCGTATTCGCTCAAATCTATCTTTGACATTAACAAGCTTGACTTGACGAAGGTTGCCAAGTCTTTCGGTTTTGCTACCCCACCTAGCGTCAATATCACCATTGGCGCCAGCGGTCGTGCTGACAAAAAGGAACGAAAGGCGGGTTACAGAAAGAAATCTTCTTCGGATGTGTACTCAAAGCAGCGCTCGTCAGTACTTGCTGGGGACTCCTCCCGTAAGTGGAGCCGCTAGTTTACGAAGGTTTTGTCTATGGTTAAAAAAAATGTGGGTATAACTCGGTGATTTTGAAGTCATTCTTACTGTTAATAAAAGGTTGTTTCTGTTTTGGCTCAAAATAGCTATGGAATTTGATTGTGCGTGGTGAATTTGGTAGTGAACTTTATTGTCCCCGTTGTCTTAGTATTGCCAACGATAGAAAATGTTCTTCATGCTTGGGTTTTCTTGGTGCTTGGCTAATGACCAGGAGTACTAATTCTGTATATAATGAGACCATAGTATTATGACCGTAGGTCAGGTAATGGTTCTGGAGTATTCCGCTTTATACAGCTTAGAGATCTCAATTATAAAAATAAAGAATGCCTTTGGCGACGAAATGAAAATTACAGAAAATAATTTGTATAATTGTTAAATAAAGCTGCTGTTTTTTTAATAAATACTTGAAGCGCCTGAGTTTAGTTCACTTCCGAAATCAACAAAAAGAATTACTTAACTCGAAAGAAAATTGAATACGATTATATTCCTTGGTAAATATAGAATTGTAAGTCAATTGTACTATTCACCAAGTTACCTTATGTGCATGGACTATAGGTAGCTCTGTTTTTATCTGCTATAACGTATCGCACCAGATGCTGCAAGTATGTTTCGGAAGAAACCAATCAGCTTGGTATGTCTTCAGCATTCAGGCCGAAGCAATCAATTTTATTCGCTAAAACTATTGTAACACTTGATTATAAATACGAATAAGAGATTATATTTCACCTAAAAGCTTCCATCATACTTTTTGATTTACAACGAATAAATTTACGTTGTTATTTAGTTTTTATTTTAAACAAAGTATTATGTTTTGATTGTAAATTGCAAGACAGCCCGATAATTATGTAAAGCATATTTTGTCAACACACTTTCTTCTGTAACCAAACCCACTACCGCCTTGCTTGAATTAGCTTTGACAACATAATAGTAGTAAAACTCACTACGCCAAGTCGCTGATACCCACATGTGGTTTTTGCTGCTGAATTTAATTGAGATTAACGTTCGCTAAGATAAATCACAAACTATCGTCGCTCAAAAAATCTTGCTTCAACAAGCCCTTCATGTCATTTAGCATACAAATTAAAAGAAAAACTAGCCATAAATACTGCAATGTTTTAATAGTCTTCAAATAGAGTCGCATTTTGTGAACTTCTAGGATATGACTCGCATGTTTGATTGTTTCTAATGCGACAATTAGACGCGCATCACCGAAGCGGCCAACCATTAATATACTAAAGGTTAAATACATCGTGTTATTTACTAATGTTATAATTATTTGTAATCAGCTTATATTGTCATAACAAGAGACTCTCGTTTCCTTTAAATAGCTAAAAACATAATCCCATTTACTAAAACTAATAACCTTTACAACTGAGCAATATAATAAATCTTTATTAGCATCTTAAGTTTCACGTGACTGTTTCGCTACTCGCTACGAAATAAATAAGCGAATTATCGCTTATACCAGCGCAGACTACAACGGACCCAAGGTCCAGCATTTTCTAACCAGAGCCACTACGCATTCAATTCTTTAGTGTATATAACATAGTGGCATAAGTCCCTTGGAGAATGGGTGATGTGGAAGTCTCTTCATTGAGTGTACAAAACGCAATGGAGGAGGAAAAAGAATCAACACTTAACGAGGAAACACCCGATGTTATGGCGAGAGAAAATGCCGCCGCAAACAGAGAAGATGGGACTGCAGCCTCAAATGATGTTGATATGCATGATTCTTCTGAAGAATCTGAAACGGATGAAGAGGAAGAGCGAAAAATTCGCGAAGGTTTCATCGTTGACGACGATGAAGACGAAGATAACATTCATGATGCCAGTGACCGGCACAGAAAAAAGAGAAAGAAACGCTCAATGCATTCTCATGAAGAAGAGGTCTTAGACCAAGAAGATCTGGAACTTCTTATGGAAAATACAGGTGTCTCCACCAACACAGGCTCTACGAAATTGAAACGTTTAGTTCGGGCTCGTGAACAAGAAGAGGATCTAGAAAACATATTCTCAGACGATGCTGAGGCCGAAAATGAAGAGGAAGAGACTTCTCGGCGGAGGGGCGGAATCGCCGACGAGTTCGCTGATTTCATTGAACAGGACGAGTTTGAAGGCGAAGAACGTGTTGACGAAGAACGTGAAGTCTCGAAAACAAATGAACCAGTGCATCCTGAAGCATTGGGTATTTCCGATGAGGACTATCTGCAAGTTTACGAAGTTTTCGGTGATGGTACCGACTACGCCTTCGCCTTAGAAGACGAAGATGTGGAAGAAGAAACTCAAGAGCAAGTCTCACTAAAAACTATTTTCGAGCCCAGCGAACTGAAGGACAAGCTCCTTACGGAAGAGGATGAAATTATTAGAATTACAGATGAGCCAGAACGCATGCAACTTTATTTTAAGTGTGACCGGAATGCTACAGATGACGATCTTAACACACAAGCCCACTGGATTTTTAAACAGATGGTACAATCGCGTCTCGATATTTCGGAGGAACTCCGCCCGGCTTACGTAAATTGCATTTTGCGCGTTTTGCACTTCTTCATTAAGGATAGTTATGAGGTGCCCTTTGTTTGGCATCATAGACGTGACTACCTTGTATATCATGACAGAGAGAAAGGTACTATTGTACCAATGTTAAACCAAAATGATCTCTGGCGCATTTTTTTCAGTTGCAGCACCTACTACTTTTTGATCCATAAAAAGAAAGAACTCGAAAAACTTTGCAACGCTATTGGAATCCAGGACGAATTCTTTTCCTCTGCTTTGGATGATATCGTTGATTCTCCCTTTTTTGACATTACCGATTCGTTTGAGTTTGCAAACGATCTCACCGAATACCTCCATTTTTTTTATTCCGAACAAATTCGCGATCATTTTTCCTTGATGGGAAATGGCCTTCGGAGACCTCATGTTTCTAAGTACGCATTTTATGAAAAAACACGAAAATCCAGTTTATACAATCTTGTCAAGGCATTTGGAATTACAGCCACACACTATGGGCTGAACTTGATACAAGAAGAGAAACTGTATCCTGTCGAAGATCCGGCAGTTCCTCCACGTGTACTCGCAGAGCAGTATGTGACAGAAGAGCTGAAGGATGTAGACCATGTCCTGAGTCGGGCGAGACGCATTTTTGCTGAAGAGATTTTTCACGAGCCTCAATTTAGAAGACATTTCCGTGTCAAGTTGTTAACATTGGCAAAAGTTGATATCGTGCGTACGCAAAAGGGTCTACGAAAAATTGATGAAGACCATCCGTTCTATAAGTTTAAATACTTGAAAGACCAAAATCTGCTTCATATTGATCCCGTGTTATTCTTACAAATGTTGAAGGCTGAGGAAGAAGGTCTTATTAAGATTAACATTAAGTTTTTTGAATTGCAAGATGACAATTTTAAATCTATGCTGGACTTCATGACATCGGATAACTGTTCTGATGTTGCAAAAGCATGGAATGAGCAACGTGAAATGGTCCTTCGTGATGTGCTTGATCGTACAACACAGTATATGCCTGCTTTAATCAAGGAGATGTGCCGATCTAATCACCTCAATGAGTTGGGAATGCTTTGCAGAAACCAGCTCTATAACAAGCTTGATCAAGCTCCATATAAACCTTCTGGTAAAAATTACGAACTCGGTACTATTCCCACCGTGGTCGCCGTTTCTAATGGTCAAGGTGGCCCGTCAGACGCAGTCCTTTGTGTCTACGTGAATGATCTTGGTGAGCCAGAGGAAACTTTAAAGCTTACCGATTTTCATGATCCAACAAATCAGGTCATGTTTGCAGAGTTCATTGAGAAAGTGAAACCTGAAGTTATCGGTGTTTCCGGCATGAGCGTTTCTGCGAATCGTGTCAAACTTAATGTCACAACGGCTCTGCAAAGCAAGGACCCTGTTGATGTTATTATGGTCAATGATGAAGTTGCCCGTATTTATACGAATTCCGAGAGAGCGGCAGAGGAATTGCCTGCTCTTCCTAGTCTTGGCAGGTACTGTGTTGCACTTGCACGTTATGTGCAACATCCGTTGCTAGAGTATGCAGCCTTAGGACGGGACATTATGTCGTTATCCTTTCATAAGTGGCAGCATCTGTTGCCGCAGGAAATGCTTTGGCGTTACCTGGAAAGTGCTCTTGTTGATGTATCCAACTTAGTTGGCATCGACATTAATGAGGCTGTAAACAACAAGTATGAGGCTAGCATTTTGCCGTACATCTCTGGTCTTGGTCCTCGAAAGGCACAAGCCTTGCTGAAGAAGATTGCTGCACATGGTGGTCGATTGGATACCAGAAGTGATCTTATTACAAAAACGATTCTCACCGGAAAAATTTTCATTAACTGCGCGTCTTTCCTTTATATTCCCAATGAAGATTTACCAAAAATGGACATTCTGGACAGCACTAGAATTCACAACGAAGATTACGAGCTGGCTCGTAAAATGGCCAGTGACGCCCTTGAACTTGACGAAGAAGACATTGAAGAGTATGAGTCTCAAAAGGGTGTAGTTTATCACTTAATTACCAGCAATGAGGTTGATAAGTTGGATGATCTCGTTTTGGAGGAGTATGCTGATCAACTGGAACGTGAATTCCATCATCTGAAGCGGAACACCTTAGAACGTATTCGCCGTGAGTTGAAAGACCCTTATGGTGAACGTCGTAATCTGTTCCACATTCTTACCCCCAGCGAGATTTTCCTTATGCTCACTGGTATTGAATTGACGGACCTTCCTCCAAACACTATTGTTCCCGTTAATGTAAAGCGTGTCACTTCTCGTTATGTCGCCGTCAAACTTGACTGTGGAATTGATGGCAATATCACAGCTGAAGAAGTTAGTGACGATCACATTCCTCCCCCACAGCTTCTACAGACCGGACAAACCGTGGAAGCCGTCATTTTAACTTTGGATGAGGTTAATTTCACAGCTGAACTTTCGATGCGACCATACGCTATTCGCACTGCAAGTGAAACCAGCAAGTATTCCTTCTCTGCTTGGGATTGGGATTTCGAAGCCGAAAAACGTGACAAGGAGAAAATGCTTGCAGAGACACAAGCAGAGCAGCGGGCGGCTCGTGTCATCAAGCATCCTTTGTTTAAAAATCTTAACGCAGCTCAGGCTGAAGCAGCTCTTGCTGGTATGCAGAGAGGAGATGTTATTATTCGACCCTCATCAAAAGGTCCAGATCACATTGTAATAACATGGAAAGTCGCCGACAATCTTTATCAACATGTTGATGTTTTGGAAATGAACAAGGAAAACGAGTTTTCTGTTGGACAACGCCTTATTATTACTGGAAGACATGAAAAAATGAATTATGAGTACAGTGATCTTGATGAGCTCATCGTTTCACACATTAAAGCCATTGCAAGAAAACTCGACGAAATGTGTATGAATGAGAAGTTCCGCAAAGGCTCACGTGAAGACACCGAGCGTTGGTTGACAAGTTACTCTGAAGCAAATCCAAAGCGGTCATGTTATGCCTTCTGTTTTGATGAAGAGCATCCTGGTTATGTTCTTTTATGTTTCAAGGCCAATCGCAGTTCGCCCGTTCATGCTTGGCCTGTCAAAGTAATTCCTAACGCTTTCTTTCTTCACGGAAACGTTTACGCCAATATGACCGCCCTTTGCAATGGTTTCAAATTAATCTACGCTGCTCGTTCTAAGGGAGCGAAGCGGCCTTAAAATGTGATGTATATTACTATTAGATATAAAAAAAACGGTTATGCGTTACTAAATTGGTGAATATATATTTACCAGTTAATCTCTTCGCTTCTCAATTCAATTTATTTGTTTGTATGATGATTATTACTCTTTTTAATTCAATATTCTTTTTGTGGTGAACGCGTTGTCATTGTTTTCACAGCAGAGTGGTTGTCACGGTAACACGACGCGTCGCGTCGCGGTGCGCGTTGAATACAACTTTATTTACCCAAGCTGGTGTCGTCTTTAACAAAAGCCATACTCATAAAGCAACCTCTTTTGTTTAAAAGTACACTTACATGAATTATTGAACGTTTGGGAGATCTAATAACGAATTCTAAAGCCTAAAAACGTTAACAACCATAAAGAAACAATGGATTCTGGCTTGCTGTTAACTCCTAAATCAAAAGTTAAAGCTTTGTTGGAGACAGCGAATGAGCCTTCATTGGAAAGCGAAGAAATTGATTCGAGCTCAAAAGTTGATACTCCAGTTGATTCAATTTCAAAAAATGATTTTGAATCTGCCTATGAACGCGTGAAGAAGAAACTCGAAGAAAGCTCAAAAACCAAACAACCAATTGATACACCAATTGACAAAAATGGCCTGGATTTAGTTGAAGAAGAAACAGAAACTCACGACATCGCCGAACCAAGTCGTGAGCAGAAGTTAAAAAAATTAATTGAAAAGAAGAAGCGCGAACTGCGAAGAGAACAACGCGAACTTCTTCAAGATAATGAGAATTCTGTTATGCCAATGGACGAAGATGCTCCAATTGATGATGATGAAAGCTATGCTACTTCTGATGACGATGAATCCAGTTCCCATAGTCGTCGTGAAGTTCAACTTCGTAATGCCTCGAAAAATGCACTAATTAACATGCATAAAGAAACTGCAAGACTCACCAGAGATCTAAACCTCAAACCAAAAGCATACGTTAAGCAGAAAGTTACCATTGGTGACTTTCTGAGTAAGCTCGGACTGGAGAAAACATCAACAGATGAAAACAAAAACGAAACCCCAAATGTCACTGATGGGGTTGAGCTCTTGGAAAAGCATGACGACGAGACTGAACATGTTGTAGATCCTGCTTCTCCGTCTAAACTTCTTCCTGTTTCACAGGGAGAAGAGATTGACGGCTTCAATGTTGCGAAAATGGACGAAACGCCGTATGATTATGGCCTTGTTGATTTATCAAACTTCGAAGCAACGCATGAGGATGAACAGCCAGAGTGCCATGCGGACATCGATGGGCTTGATTTGTTAGATATGGGTTCTTCCCTCCTCGTTACCCAAAAAACAACAAAGATTTCTCCTTCAGAGCGTCAAATTGCCCTTCAAAAGGCCTTTTACAAGTCTGAGATTGCTGACTTGAGTGAATCGTCCGATGACGAACTGGAAATTGTTAAGAATAGCTCTTCTAGCAAATTACTTGACCATATTGAGAAGGAGGTTGAAGAGGAGCCGTCTACCGAGGTTTCTGTTCTTCAGAAGCTTCCTTTACCTCAATTTACGGAGTCAATGACAGCTGCTCTTGAACACAAAAACAAATTCAAGGAAATCAATAGAAAGTTTCTGCGACGCGCCGCTGTGCAAGCGAAGCAAAAACAAGATGAATATCTACAGGATGTTATGCAGTTGGGAGATGATTTGGATTATGAACAAGGAAGAATGTTACTGAAGCGGGAAGACCTTTTAGCTGAAGCGCAAGCTGAAGCCCGGCTCATTCGAAAATTGGAAAGGAAAAAGGAGAAGCTTCAATCTCGTGTTGAATTAAAGGATGAAACTGAGGTCACCTTTGCCGAAAATGAGGATACACATCTCGCGGTAGAGGATAAAAATCGATTTCGACTGACGATAATTCCATGCAGGAAGGCTTCAATGTCGGTTTGGGAATTGCCAAAGTGCGAAAGATGGGAAGAAGAAAGTGTATCATTCGCGATGAAGAAGACACCATACCAAATGAACATAAACCTCCCATTGTACAAACAGAAGATTTGGATGTGGCACCTAAAACTTCATCCACTGATTTAAATCCTCTGCAGCTTATTGAACAAGCGGATGGTATATCGGCTTCCCAAATTACTATTCTGGACGGATCATTTAGCGCTCTTCCTCCGCGATGGGACAATGCAACTGGAAATACTCCTACACAAACGACAGATGCAGTAATTGAACCAACGCAGCCCACTCAGCTTGACGATGCGACGCCGACGCAGGTGGATGCAGGAACTCCCCTTCAGCTTTCGTATGAGCTCGACTCGGTAAAAGAAAGTAAAGATGTCATTGACAACTTAATTGAAGATCAAGCTGTTGAATCAGATGATGAGTATGCCGGATTCGGCGGTCTTTCTGATGATGACGAAGGACTGGATGTTAATGCGGGTGCTCTGAATGCGATGATTGACGATGAGACAAGACTTCAACAAGGCGAAGCACTTGCGATTGGTCAGTTATTCCATGAACGCGAAATGGAACAGGACAAAGCAAAGCTTTTGCGTGTGATGAACGATGTTGCTTATGGTACTCTACGAAAGAGAAATCGCCGGACGATGAACGACCTCCCCAGTGATGAAGAAGACGATGAACATTTCGCCAGTGTTCGGCGGCAGCGAATCCGCGAGATGCGCCGTATGAAGTTGTTGGAGGATGAACGACTCGGTGCATTAGGCGGGGAGAAGCACAAGGCCTTCTTGGCAACCGTTGAGGATGGCAAGATGGAAAGCACTGAACAGCTTGCGTGGCTTGAGACAACAAATGAAGACTCGGGTGTTGGTTCATCTGAATTGGGCGAAGAAGCTATTGTGGTTCCAGACACTTCGCGTTCAAAACCATTTCAAGAATTTGAGCTCCAAGCAACACCTGTTAATGTTATTGACCGAGGAGATATTCGTAAGAAGTCGGAAAGTAATTCACAGAGTGCAATCAATGCTTCTACCACAAGTCTCGATTTGCCTATCTTTTTGTCTAAACGCACACTTCTCATGCAAGCCGAGCGGAAGAAACTCCAATGTCTTTCACGCCCGCTTTCCGTTGAGAGCAATCCAAAAGTGGTAGTTCCGAAAGTTGTGTCCAAGATTCCTCGGCTTCGTCGATTCAATGGCTCAAGACGTACTGCTCCGAGTTCAAGACCGATACGCAGTGACAACAACTCGCATTCGTCTTCGCCTGCTAATGCTGATGCTAACGATTCCTCAACAACAGGTCGCATTAGTTTGCTTCAAACACTTGATGGTTTTGATGATTTTGAGTAGCTGTTATGGTGAAGATGACTCTGTTATTTCTGCAATACGCTTTGTATATTACTCTTGAATGCGGTTTCGGATTTTTGTTGTTTTTTTTTGTATCTTTAGTTAATTAATTAATGAATTGAACTGCTAAAAAAATAAAAGTTTGGATGTAGATGCGAATGTGCGCATATTCTTACAGTAAATATATTATTTTTATCACTACAAAACAATTGAAACAATGATCTTGGTATAACAGGGATTTATTTTTGCGACTTGTTTTCAGTAATCGTGTTTTTCATAATTAATGATTTGAGCACATTTATTTCATTTCTCCAATGAGACCCCGGTTCATTGAAACCGCCATGTGCTCATTAAGCGATGCTTAATTTATCGACAATTTTATTAAGGAGTTGGGGGCCAACAAGTCTCGCAAGAATGCGTTATTTGAATATGGAAATTTAGTGCTGTCTAAGACAGCCAATCAGCAACGGAGTAGCGACTGTTTTGTGTAGGGTAGGGTGAAATTACGCAGTCACAAAAGATACATTTTCGGGGAGCGGGCGTACCAATTTTACCATCGACAAAATGGTAAGTCTAAAGCAAAGCATCTGCATTCAAGTGTTCAGGAACTAATCCATCGTTATACAGGCTGCCAAGAAGAAATGGTCTAAGGGCAAAGTGAAGGACAAGGCTCAACACGCCACTGTCTTCGATAAGGCCATCATTGACCGCATCAACAAGGAGGTCCCTGCCTTTAAGTTCATCTCGGTTTCTGTTCTTGTCGACCGCATGAAGATCAACGGCTCCCTTGCCCGCGTCGCCATCAAGGAGTTGGCTCGCCGTGGTGTCATCCAAGAAGTTGAGCGCCACTCCAAGCAAGTCATTTACAGTAAGTCTATTTCTTGATTTTGACCGAATTATACGCTAACATCTTAGCTCGTGCTCCTGCCGCTGTTGCCGAGTAAGCAGCATTTTTTTTAGTGAATACAGTCCGTCTTCATTACTTTTTTTTGAGTTTAGTAGTTTTTGTTTGTCAAGGGTGTCATGTGTGTTTGTCGTCTTGTAGTGTCCTTAGAATGCGTTTCTTTTTCGTAGTCTTTTTTTCGTTTTGAATGATCCCTCTCATCGCTATCTGTACCTTTGTGAGAGCGTTCTGGTTTTGCTGACCTAAGAAACTGCCTTGGTTTTATAGTGTCTCTTTCACAGTACTTTCTTTTCCGCTCCAACACCCGTAGCGTTACTAAATATATGAACCGAAACTATGTAAAAGGAATTATTATTTTATTGCTCAATAAGAGCAACTTGTCCAACGGTAACCAAAATTAAAAGCAGAGTAAAGAAGAGAAGCTCATAGATATACACAAAAGATACCAAGGAATACAGGTCAATGCAGATTAGCCAAATGCACATTGGGAATGGCCAAACTATCACACATGCGTGTCGCGTATCGGCCGATCACGAGGGAACGTGGAGTTTTTAAAGGAGAAAGAAAGGGGGAGAGTGCCATGTGCCTATTTTTCCCATTGGCCTTTTTCATTAACCTGAACCGGCGATTCTTGGGGTCCGTGGGGAACAACGTATCCATCTTGGGGACTACGAGTAGCAAGCCATTTGCTGCGGGGAATGAAAATGGTACATAGCACGGCACAAATAGAAACGATTGCCATAATAACAATAGCATAATTAAAGTTGCTGGCCTTAACAGGGTACGAGTAAGGCGAGACGTTCACAATAAAAGCAAAGGCATTGAAAATCATGGCAACAAAGTAGAAGGGTTTCTTCAAGATACCCAGGTCCCATTTACCCTTGGGGAAATTATTGCGAGAAAGGAAAAGACGACCAAATGCAATGAGAGTATAGGCGGCAAAACTAGGGGCGCCGGCTGCGGAGACAAGCGAAGTAAAAGCAACGTTGCTGGGAAGAATAGAGCAAAGTAGGATGCAACTGCAAATGTAAATCACAGTAATGGCATTCCGAGGTTGACCATTCTTATCAACTTGTCCAATCCAAGAGGAGAAAGGTAAGACACCATCACGAGCAACAGCAAAGACAAGACGACTGCAAGCCAGAACGGAAACGACGGCGTTCATGAACAACTCAATGATGCAAATGACATTCATCACGACATGTCCACCACGACCCAGCATGTACGCATATAAATTAACCACTGGCTGTGTACTAGTGGCACTGTAAATAAGGTCAAAGAACGTAGTGTCAGGGGGCATACAGAACAAAAACATGATGATCAATGAAAATGCACAGACAGCCGACACCACGGTTGACCAAAACAAACCACGAGCAGCCTTAACGGAGGCATTTTTCGTTTCCTCAGCAATGTGACCAGACGCATCGTAACCACAGAGGATACCAGCAGTAGCGAAATACGTTAGACACCATTGCCAACCCTTCGGCACAGGTTTGGTACCGGCATCATCCATGGTACCAGCGTAATTATAGTATGTTTGCGTAAACACCCACTTGGCAGAACGGAAACCATAGTCCTTTTTCGATGTAGCGATAGGAACCCAAACAATGTTGAGAATATAATCAATGGCGATAATGGCCATGGAAATACGGAATAACAGTTTGTACAATCTTGGAGGCACGTAATTGAGCAAGATGACAAAGAGTAAAACGACCTCCGACGTAATCCACTGAACAGCGCGGAACTTAACATCGCTAACATCAGTTTTGTAGGAACCATTGAAGACGGAAACCTCAGCAAAGACAAAATTCATTGTAGACTGACACATGGAAGCAACAAATGTCGTCCATGCTGTCGTCGACCACCATGCGACAAGGAAACTCAGAAACCGGCCAAAAACTTTTCCACCAGATTCGGCGGCCCAAAGGTAAATGGAACCAGATGCAGGCAAGGCCGAACAAACTTCAGCCAACACGGCAGCTGTAATAATAGAGCAAACAGCAGTAATAACGAAAGATGACCAGTAAGACGCCGGACCAGCGAACGAGATACCAGTAGCCATAGTCAATCGAACACCGCCGACGACATCAAGGGCCGCAAAGGTTGCGGCAAAACTCTCAAAAAGGGCAAAGGAACGATGGAGGATGGGCTTGTAACCTAATTTCTTCAACTGGGCCTCATCTTCATCCATCTCAGAATAAGATGGAGTGCCCTGGGATCCATTGTTTTCCAAAATTGAAGGAGTAACGATAGCGGACGCTTGGTCCTTTTCAGGACTGGAAGCACCGCCAGCATCAAAACTGCCACGAGCAGCAACATCGCCTGCAGCACGGAAGCTCATTTTTGCAGCCTCAACAAGATTGACAATACAATGGGTTTGGGGGTTGTGTGTCAGGAGGAAGCGACGTTACCAGCAAGACCCTGTTTGTTTACAATTAACTTAAAACAGGAATTCCGAATGTTCTAAAATGCGAATCAATCCTTAGTTAAAGAACAACACGAGCGGATGTTTTAAGTATTAATTCTCACAATTCTGGGACTGCTCCGAAAGATGTTTTTTTATATTGTTTCCCGGAAGTCTGCACCCCTTCATAAAATGTGCTCAAGAGCGACACGTAGCGTCGGTTAAGCTTTGAAAATGAACCAATCATTTAGACGAGTGACATCGCCTATAAAAACATGGTGTAGGGATGCTTCTCCACTTTCTGCTCCAAGACAAGCAGCCGGGAAGTTGTGTTGCCACAATTACGCAAATTGTTGACCTCAATGAATGCAAATTCATGACACTTGCCGGCCGGAAGCCTTGAACCGCATAATTGGGTTGCGCTGAAGCAAGAAGCACACGTTTCACAAGAAATTTTGTGCTGGCAAATACCACTCAAGCCAGGCGAAGTTAATCCATCTGGCGATCGCTTTATGATGGATTTTTATTGGGCATCACACGTTCCCATATGACAGGTTTTAAGTTGTAAGCGTTCCAATGACAAGCTTACACGTTGTCTGCAGCGGACGCCGGTTCGCTTGCTTGGAAACCTACGGCCGGTGACGGGAAAGCTGTGTCCAATCAATTCAGCATAACAGATTACCGTTACTGCTAGCCAATTTCGAGTTTTAACAGGCACATTTTGATCAAGCATACACAAAATGCACGCGAATTAAGAAAACCCCTAGTTTCAGTTGATAGTGTCTTGCTGAACTCGTGCTTTCCATTTCCAGCAGTCGGATGACGGCAACAGAGTGAAATTTGCTGGAAGATTAATTTCATTTTCACATTGGTATTCCGAAATTCCAGTTTGTCAGGGGCCAGCAGTCCCGATTTAGTGTTTTAAGAGAATTGTAGTAAGGGTATATATTCACAACCAATAACCAATTTTAGCGGACAAAGGTTGACAATTAAGGTTTGTTGTTTAAGTTTTCCAGAGATAATGTTTCACGCCTTTCCTTAAAACATCCCAATATGACATTACAATTCATCACATCCTTTGAACAACTCTTTATTAAAAAGCAGATATAGGGAGTTTGCAAGTTGGAGCAGCAACTGGGGGAGCAATTGGTGCTTTATATATTTCAGCATAACTATGACGTATTGCATCCCTTATGATTTAATGTTGTCTTCATAATGGGCTAGTAGATTTACGTGAGTGCGGTATAAGGTTTGTAGCCGCTTATGATGATGTCACTTTTATTGAGAGTGTCGATTTCTTTTATAAGAAATGAAAAAACTGAGTATTCTAATTCAAAGAATAAAAATTATTTACTAAGCAATTGATGGATCGTTCAAGCACGCCTATGCCTTTGGCGCTAATTATTGTGACCAGCTACTGTGGTCCGTTCTATGACGATGGTAAGAAGACTGGGGCTTATTTTAGTGAAATTCTTCACCCATACGAAGCTTTTACACGAAATTGCTTCCAAGTAGAATTTGCATCTGAAACCGGACATGTTGGATTTGACGAACACTCAATTGTACCTCCCGCTGTGACTGGAGAGGAGCTTCGTGTGTTGCACGATAATAGTCATCCTCTCATGAGGGCTCTTCATTCTGCCGTACAGCGTGTTGATTCGCTCGACATAAACAGATACGATATCGTGTTCGTTGCCGGAGGACACGGCACTCTGTTTGATATGCCTCGGTCTGGTGATATCCAAAAGTTTTTAGCCGGTATGTACGAAGCGGGCAAAATTGTCGCAGCAGTTTGCCATGGTCCGGTCGTCTTGCCGTTTGTACATTTGAAAGGCGGAACTCCTCTTGTCGAAGGTAAACGCATAACTGGCTTTACAAGAAAAGGCGAGGAAATGGTAGGAGTAATGGGAACCATGCAGAAGCACAACTTTAAAACAATTGAAGATCTTGCGGAAAGTGCAGGCGCTGTTTTCAAGCAGAAGGAAGACCCATTCGAAGAATATGTTGTTCTTGACGGCCATCTTGTTACTGGAACAAATCCTGCAAGTGCTAGGCGAACCGCCGAGGTAGCCGTGGAAGCATGGAAACGAGTTGAAACTCATGCCTGTGTTTATTAGTTACAAGAAAGTATAACTTGTTTTAATGAAGTTGTCAAGATGAAATAGCAAACCGCTTAAACCGCGATAAGCCAATGCACCCTTAGACAGACAAATAATATACACATGATATATATATTCATTAAGAAAAAAAAAGTAAAATAAATGTACGAAACGTATTAGAAAGTGCGAGTTTCGCCTAAAGCAAAGCACGTTAGATTTCCTCTTTGGGACCATTTGAGCGAAGATCAATTAGACGTCTGTCTCTTTACAACAGTGAACGTTTCACCCACTTTGTCGGTTTGCTTGTCAACAATTTCTTCACCGCTACCATGAGTGATAGCTTGCTGCTCAATGCGAACAATGGTCATACTGCCTTCGTCAGAAATATCTTCCTTCTTCTTCTCCGAGACGAACACTCCTGGGCTTGAGTCACTTGAGGTTCCTGTTGTGCCGACAACTTCCTCGTTGTCTGCGGCACGTTTTCTGTTGCGCCGTTCACGCCAAGAAAGGTAGAAAAGAACGATGGCAAGAATAACCCAATAAAAGATATAGCTAAGAATATTACCGTAAGTACCTGTATTATTCCAACCAAAGATAGCGTTAAAAATCATCCATCCACCATTGTCGTTAAGCTCTGGATTGCCGTAGTTAACGTGCCAGATGGCATGGCGGAAGTCGTAAGAACCAGGGCCACTGCCCTGTTCTGAGGCATCACCTCCAGTCAATTTGTTCCATTGATACATTTCAAAATAGTACACGGCTTTTGACATGAGTCCAGCGGCAATGAGATAAAGGATACACGTTGAAGCAATTAAGAACCATTGCAAGTTCATCACATTACCACCTTTGTAGATAAAGTAACCAATTGCAGCACCAACTAACAAACCGCAGAATACAGCTAAGGGGAATGCTGTTGCAGGGGTAGATAAGCCGACGCCTCCAACGAAGACAACAACCTCTAATCCTTCACGGAGTACAGTGACGAACGGCAAAAGAAACATGGAATATTTCTTTGTCCAGCCTTTTATACCCTTTGCTTTTTCATTTGCCAAACTGTTCATAAGCTTCTTGCGCCATTTCTCTTGTAAGTGTGATACACGCAACATAGCGACACCCATAATTGAAATTAAAATAACGGCAATGAGAGAAAAGACTCCTTCCCAAATTTCTTCTGAACTTCCCCACAAATCTTTTTGCAAGGCATAGAATGCACCGATGAAACCGCCGCCAATGGCTAAGCAAATGAGAAATGCAACGGCGGAACCAAGCCAGACATGCAGGAAGAGCTTACGGAATAATTTCCTATCAGTGATCTTTCCATTTTCATCGGCAAGTGTTTGTTTAATGAAGGAGAGAAGTACTGAAACGATAATGGCTGCCTCAAGCGTCTCGCGCAAAACAATGAAGAAGACGGCAACGGAGAAAACGTTTTTTGCCATGCTCTAAGAAGAAGTAATTTTAAACTTGTAAAATCGTGAGAAGATTGGATGTAAAAAGTGATTCCTTAAACTTTTCTTCTGAGACAAGAAATTGCTTCACAAATATTAACACGCTCTTTCTCCAGTTACACAAATAAAATACAGGGAGTATTAGAGGTACAGGTGGGTGATTTGTCGTGTACAAAGCTTACAATTTAATAATACACAACACAATAAAATAAAAGAAAATGTTGCACCCGTTCAAAGTTATCAGATGAAATAGGGGTGCGATGTAGATTGTGGAGCAGAGGTTGCGCTAATACAAACACAGCCAAATTTGCGCAGCTCAATAAGAACAGTCTTGACGAGTTGAGCATTTATAGCTGACGAAAGTTCTTCCTTTATGGAATTTCTTCCATCGAAGCTCCTCACTTACTGCGCAATATCAGCCGACTTTTACAGAATGACGAACGTTTGGGACTTGCTTTTTTTCACGATCGGTTCCCGGAACGTTATGCGATTCGTAGAGAACTTGATTTATTATCCTAGCCAGCTCTGTCAAGGAAGAAGCTGCGTGAATAATGCTCGTAGACTTCATCTGATAAAAAATGATTGTCCACTTAAAAATAATTTGCGACGCTATCCCGCACACAACCTGTCAAAAAAATAGCGCATTCCTCAGATTGCGTCGCACCCGACAATTCGCATCTGATAAAACTTATTGCGACAAAGCTATATATTTGTTACAAAAAACGAATAAATTTGGAACTTTGCACCTATTTTTGCGGTACATTACGCTCACTGTCTGTTACTACTGTTAAAACATTTTTGCTTGTCTAAACTGTATTCCTTTGTATATTTATTACTTGTCATTTTGGTTCATACCAGTTTGGTGAGTGTGTACCCTTACGAAATACATACGAGCAAACAAGAATATCGTTGCTAGAGCTGGTCTGACCATTTTTCTTTTGTATTCAGTATTTTTACGTGGATTTTTCTGTATCTCTAGTCTACTCTTTCTGTTTTTGTATCCATTAATCGGTTTAAGTTTGCGTTCTTAATCTTGTTTACCCGCTTTCGTCTTGATTCACCGTTCCTAGTCGTGCAAAATGCTTGCTCAGTTAATTGCCTTATCTTTGTTGAACGTCTTTGTGAGCGCTGTCGAACGCGTATACGAATGGAATGTTACTGATGTATATGATGTTGATCCCACTCAAACTGGAAACGGACGTTGGGTCATGGGAGTCAATGGAAAGTGGCCCATTGATCCTATTGTAGTTGATTACGGCGACCAGGTCGTAATTAAAATGACTAATCAGCTGACCGACAATCGAACCTGCAGTCTGCATTCTCATGGAATATTCCAAAACCACACGGCTTATATGGATGGCCCCCCTCAAATTACTCAATGCTCAATTCCCCCTGGCGACACTTTCATTTACAACTTTACGGCTTTGCAGAACGGCACTTACTGGGTACATTCTCATGACATGTCTCAATATCCTGACGGACTGCGCACACCCTTCATTATTAATGCGAAAGAAGAACCTTACGACTATGATGAAGAGCTTATAATATCACTTACCGATTGGTATAACACTCCTTTTCATGAGCTGTTTCATACAGAATTTAAGACATTTAAGAATCCCACTGGTGCTGAACCAGTTCCTGATGCTGGTCTTATGAATGATACGCTTAATGCTACCTTCGCAGTTACACCTGGAAAGACATATCGGATTCGCTTCATAAACATTGGTGCATTCAATGCTTATACGGTTGCGATTGAAGACCATGACATGACAATTATTGAAGTTGACGGAGAGTATACGAAGCCCGCAACGGCTAGTTCTATCCGACTTTCTGCTGCCCAGCGTTGCAGTGTACTTGTTCAAATGAAGAACGACACCTCACGTAATTATGCCATTACGGCATATATGGACGAGAGCTTGTTTGATGTAATTCCAGACAATTACAATCCCAATGTAACGGCTTGGTTGTCATACAATAATGACTCTGCATACGATGTTGCAGCTCCGGTTGGTGAACTCGATTGGTATGATGATACGCTATTGGAACCTTTATGGGAATCTAATTGGGGTGATTCCTCCAATCTGCTTCAACTTGATTTTGACTTTTACACTCTTGCTGACGGTGCTAACTATGCCGCCATAAATGGTACTCCTTTTGTGGATCCTAAAGTGCCTGGAATTATGATTGCGAACTCAACAAACTTTGATGGCTATAACTTGAAGCCTATCACATATGGTCCATATACAAACGCTATCGTTCTCGAACATTTGCAAGTTATTGATATCATCGTGAATAATTACGATACAGGTATCCATCCTTTCCATATGCATGGTCATGTTTTTGAGGTACTTGAAAGAGGAGAAGAAGATGCGGGTGTATATGACTTCTCCGTTCAACATAACTATTCTACTAATCCAGTACGTCGAGATACAGTTGACATTTGGCCTACGAGTTATGTTGTCATTCGTATGATTGCGAACAATCCCGGTGTCTGGGTTTTCCATTGTCATATTGAATGGCATATGGACAGTGGATTAGTTGCGACACTTGTTGAAGCTCCAGAATTGGTGCCACAAATCGCTTCCCCTGACTACGTTCGTCAACAATGTCTCGAACAGAAGATCCCAATAGCGGGCAATGCTGCGGGAAACACGGTCAATATTTCAGACTTAACTGGATCTCCTAGTGCACCCGGAGAAATGCCAGCCGGATGGACGTCCAAAGCAATTGCTACTGTAGCAATGTGTGTACTCGCTGCTTTAATTGGTATGGGTTCTATTATTTGGTACGGAATGCAGGTGGAACGTATCAATGCTGTCGAGGAGACGGAAAAAGACGATTGGAACAAAATGCTTGCTGATGGATGAAGCAGTTGAGATGAAATGATACCCATATCATGCAATGTTGTCACAGAAAAACCGTTCTTTACATTGTATATTTTTATATTTTTATTAGTTTATATCTCTTAGTATATGTAATCACATGAAAGTGAATTGGTAGTGTTTTTTAAAAATGAGTGAACGGATTGATTCACATACTGTTTCTTAAATAAGAAATTATTACTATCATTGTTAAACAACGATTTCACATTTTTAAGGTTAGGGATCGGTAATTGTTTACTCGTAGATTAATGAACTACACATCTGCTATGTTTACAGAATGTTCATCACAAACGTATAGGAATATAAAGAGGAGAAAAGAAAGAAATGTGTTATTATGCCCACAATTGAAGCTACGACAGCTAAATGAGCAGATTACCCGCTTATTCTACGCAAAATGTCCATATCACAAATATAAGTCTTTCTTTACACAGAATACTGAAAACGCTTCCCATCTTTATGTAAAGTTGAAACTGTATGATTGTTGTAGTACCAGTAGGCTCTTGAGGCATATATATAAAAAACCTTATTATGGACCCCTTGAAGTATCGGTTATGTCGTTACAGCTCCAATGCAAACCGTTCAACTAGGATTGAAATATGAGTAATTTTATTCCTTCCTCTAATACGGACCATCTAACCATTCCGTTTGGCTACCCGCTACGATACTTGTTTGATACTGGACAGATTCTTCATCAATCTGGAATGCACCTTGTCCGATTAGCTTCGCTTTTTTAGCTGTTACTATTATTGACAACATTCGTAATAGATAAACAAACTTCGTGATCGTCATGAAACGACATTATACTTTTGTTGATTTACGAACAACAACATTCAGAAAAACATCTGTAACTCCATAAATCTCTAAATTAAATGCAAGTGCTCTTCTTTATTTTAACTCTTATACAAACACTCCATCTCTCCTTTATACCCTTTAACTAGTTCATCAACGTTGATTATTCGCTACATCTGTTTAAATAACATTTTTGTACCATCGTTGTTAGAATCTCATCCAATACCCATTTACTGCTTACTAAGAGAAAACAAATTGATACAACACTATCCTTGGGCGAATTACTTTGGCCGGCACGCTACCTTCAATTAGACTCCGTATCAACCGTTCACTTACCTTATCTACTTATTTTTGGACACTTGGGCTCTATCGGTGCTTGCTGTTCGTTTCATATATTATTCTGGGATACTACAGAAAAAGGGCATTGAAGCTGAACCTCTATAAAATAAATTTCTTAAGCAAATCACTTACTCGTACTATAATCATGTCGTCTCTTGACATCATCCGAAACAAGTCTCAAGGCGTGATCAACTTGTTTAAAGGTCATCCGTTCAAAGATTTGTTACCCAACGACATGATCAGCAGAGCCGTTGATAAAGTATTACACTCGACACGGTATGGAAGTGTTATGCAATATGGCCTAGACGAAGGTGATCCCGATTTGCGTTGCTCTGTTGCAAAATGGCTTGCTGCATTTTACAAAGATACCACTACTAAGGACAATATTGTTATATCCGGTGGTGCAAGCCAAAACCTCGCATGCATTCTGCAGCGGTTTACAGACCCTATCTTTACGCGGAAAGTTTTTATGGTTGCACCAACTTACTTTTTAGCATGCAAAATCTTTGAAGACAGTGGTTTTCAAGGTCGTTTAAAGGGTGTGCCTGAAAATGACGAAGGTTTAGATCTTACCTTTCTGGAGAAGTGCATCCAAGAGGAAGAACAACACGCAAAAAAGGGTTCCGCTCCTAATGAACATCCTTACAAATTTGATGGCTATAAACTATACCGCTACATTATCTATGTTGTTCCCTCGTTTGGAAATCCTTCCGCCCGAGTCATGTCACTAGTATGCAGGGAACAACTAGTGAAACTTGCTCGCAAGTACGATGCTTTGGTTATCGCAGACGATGTTTACGACATGTTGAATTGGACAAATGCCGAACCGCTCCCTCGACTTGTTACCATTGATCGCAATATGAAGGGACAGTCGGCCTTCGGTAATACAGTCTCTAACGGCAGTTTCTCCAAAATTCTGTGTCCCGGAATCCGTACTGGCTGGGCAGAAGGCACCCCAGACTTTGTCTTCTCTCTGTCTCAAACCGGTTCCACAAAGTCAGGCGGCTGTGCATCGCAATTGCTTGCTGGATGCATCGAGCCTATCGTATCGTCTGGCGATTTAACTAAATGGATACAAGGTGTTCTCGTTCCTGCTCTCAGTGCTCGTCAGAATGCTATGGAACAGGCAATCATTAAGTATCTCGTGCCTTTAAACATCAAATACAGTTCCAATAAGGGTGGTTACTTTGCTTGGCTGGAGTTTCCCGAGTTTGTGAACACCGACGATTTTCACAAAACACTGCTTACGAAGTACGATGTCGTAATTGCACCGGGTTCCGCGTTTCATGTCACCAAGGACACCTCGTTCACCGCGACCAATTGCGCTCGTCTAAGTTTCAGCTGGGAAACACCTGACAATATCACCAAAGGAATCAGATTAATTTCTGATGCTTTTAAAACTGAATACGGTCAAAGAAATTAGCACGCTTGCACAGAACCACAATATCAAATGCTTGGTTCTGAGCATGCACCAGTGATCCCCTTTATACCATTTTTTGATCTTATTCACAACAAATTTCCCGCCTCCTACCACTCATCATTGCTTGTTCAGTGATCCTTATTGCATTTCATTTCATTGTCGTTCTTCTTCTCCGTTTCTACGACTTCTGATACTCCGGTCTAGGTCCCGACTTAGCTTTGCTTTCAGAACCAATACCAGCATTATGATTTGAGGAATGCAAATGTGGATGCTTTATCTCCTAAGTTCACATGCCATGTTAGTTGTATGTCAGCCTGGATCCTATTCAACGTCCATACCCCTTCAACAAATTTTGCTCCCTTATGCATGTCATGAAGAAAACGCTTTCCCTCATCCTTTGCTGAGCGGACACCAGGGTCCGTAGTATTTTGTCTTCCTTCCGCCATTAGATGTTCTTGTTTTGTTTTATGATGCCTCAAAACAAGGCAATTATTTATGAAACTATTAGCCCTTTATACGTCACACATACTTTATGGAACTTTTCTCTGTAACCACAGAATACCAATTACGTTTTTCTAACAATTACTGACACCAACAACTACACAGCTTTTGCATTTCATCCAGACAGCTCTCTACTTCCTCCCTAATTCTGTGTCACATAAACATCAGAACGCTTCGTAGTAGCGTCCTACAATTCGTCCAACCGCGAGAGCCGAACCTTAGTAGACACTCGTTCCAGTTCACCACCAATTGAGTGCTGATAGGTAATTTAGCCGGATAGCCTCGAGCCCATGACGATGGAAATGAATTGAAGAAGTATGTGCAATCAAGGAACATGGGGGCTTCAATTGCTGCGACACCTCCAAGAGTGTGCAAATGCGACTTAGTTATGCACGATTACCGACCGAGTAGTCATTACCTTTGACGTTCATGGTGGCCGTCTCGCCAAAAATTTCGTATCTACTGTGAAATCAGTACAAGAGGCAAAACCGCTTATCAGCGATTTTCAGGGTCGTAACAGTAATTAACCGTATTCAGTGACGACTCTACGAACGGTGTAAACGAAAATAGAATATGCCTCGTCAGCTATCATTCTTGAAATAGCCGGTCTTCTTCCCAATTTGGTACCACACCCACCATCACGAAGGTGAAAACGTTTAGCTGATACAGATCGTCTGCATATTGCTATCCACTCGGTCGGCCGCTGTAGTTGTCTTTTTCTGCGTCCCCGTACTTTCTTCCCATCAGCGTATCACTACTGCTCCAAAATGCCTGTCCCCATTTTTTTCCCTCAATCTGACAATGCCCATGCTGCCGGCAATGGCAGCAACAAACATTCGCACAGCCATGATCACCCTCATACGCACTCTCACGACCATCATTCTCATGACCATCATTCCCATGATCATCACTCCCATGATCATCACACTCAAGAGCATGGCCACTCCCATGAAGCCATGGACTCTCCCGGAAGCTTCCTAAACCGTGACCTCCCAGAGTTCTCTAACCGAGACTTCTCTCAACGTGCCTTCACCGTTGGTATTGGCGGCCCCGTGGGTTCCGGAAAAACTGCTCTGTTGCTTCAGCTTTGTCGCCATCTTCAGGAAAAGTTTAGCCTGGCTGTTGTCACCAATGATATCTTCACACGTGAAGATCAAGAGTTTTTGATTCGCAACAAGGCTTTGCCTGCCGAACGCATTCGCGCCATCGAGACCGGTGGTTGTCCTCATGCGGCTATCCGTGAGGACGTCTCGGGCAATCTAGTCGCCTTGGAAGAGTTGCACAAGGAGTTCCATACAGATCTTCTGTTTGTCGAGTCTGGCGGTGACAACCTTGCCGCTAACTACTCTCGTGAACTCGCCGACTACATCATCTATGTCATTGATGTTTCCGGAGGCGACAAAATCCCCCGTAAAGGTGGACCCGGTATTACCGAGTCTGATCTCTTAGTCGTTAACAAGACTGATTTAGCCGAGTTAGTGGGTGCTGATCTGTCCGTAATGGACAGAGACGCTCGCAAGATTCGTGAAAATGGACCCGTTGTTTTTGCTCAAGTCAAGAATGATGTGGGCATGAACCAGATTGTCGAGTTCATTCTTGGTGCCGCTAAAGCTGCCAAGGCCTTGAAGACGGACCATTAGAAGTTTTGCTTACAGCATCTTAACAGCCAAACCTTGTCACTTTTCTGTAGAATTATAGTGAACAGTATTTCTTTTTGCACTCTAAATTACAATGCTATACTTACGTATTCTTTTTCTTCGTCATTCATACCGTAACTGTTTACCACGCGACGCGTTTTTCATGTCACTAACTTTTACCTCGCACTCTCCACCAGTTTTGCTCCACCAAAAAACTGTGACAAGGGCAGCACAAAATTCCAGTTCGAAGACTCCGTGGTTTCCCTCTGCTCCGTTCTGAGTGTTTCACAATGTCTGCCGTTCAGAAGAAATCAGCAGCTCAGTTGCAACGTGAAGAGGAGGAAGCCCGGAAAAAGCTGAAACGGCTGGCAAAGCAGGGCGGCGTTGAGGGTCGACTTCCTATGGTAAGGCCATTTTATGACAATGACAAAGGGCAATGACAAAGTCTTTCATTTTTATTTTTTTCTGCCCTTTTTGTATCTACTATGCTTTTTTTGGTAGTAAGCATGTGCTAACTTTTTGTAGAAACGTCTTTTCCGTCAGAGAGCTCATGCAAATGTGTTGTCGGATCATGAACTTGACTAGTATGGATTTTTGTTGTGGCTCTGAACCTTTTAAGCTAATCTTTTATCAACTAGTCCTAGAAACCCCTCGGAAATGGATTGGTCTCCGTTGTACCCGGACATAAAGAATCATCCCGAACGTAAAGTAGAAATCGTCGACATCGGTTGCGGTTATGGTGGTCTTACCGTAGCTCTCGGTCCCCATTTCCCAGACACGTATGTCTTGGGTATGGAAATTCGTATGCAGGTGACGGACTACTTGACAGAGAAGATTCAAGCTCTGCGGTATCGTGCAGAAAACGAAGAGCCTGTACCTGGTGGCTACCAAAACATTTCAGTTCTCCGTATGAACTGTCAAAAGTTTCTTCCTAATTTCTTTGAAAAAGGTCAATTGACCAAAATGTTCTTCTGTTTCCCTGATCCTCACTTCAAGGCTCGTAAGCACAAGAACCGCATTATTACCACTACATTGGCCTCAGAGTATGCTTATGCTATCCGCCCTCACGGTATCTTGTATACAATTACCGACGTTGAAGAGCTTCACATTTGGATGGTCCAGCATCTCGACGCTCATCCTCTCTTCCGCCGTCTTACGAAACAAGAAGAGGAAAAGGACATCTGCGTGACGCTGATGACTCATGAAACAGAAGAGGGCAAAAAGGTGGCTCGCAACGGCGGTCAAAAATTTGTTGCCTGCTATGAAAGACTGCCAAACCCCGAGTAATCTCGCTCTCTTTTAGCATTGTGTTTTGTACAATCTTCTATAAAAATAATATTAACAAACCATTCGCCCTTCTAAAACACCTTTACTCATCTCCACTACGAACCAAGCAACGTCTTGCTAACTACCGACTGCATTCACTATAGCTGAATAGAATACACTAAGTCTCCATAATCATCACTATACACAATTAACGAATTCTAAATACATCACTATTGTATCCACTGTATGCACGTCACAAAAGTGCGTCGCTGTGACTGTCTTTTTCTTCCTATATAAGCAACTCGAAACGTCTCCTAGAGAGCGTCATCCATCAAAGGTAAGCAGTTCTGAATAAGGAACACAGCTTGTACAGTAATCATGATGAGTAACTGTGTCGCCCCAATCCGAAACATAGTGATGATTGACCTGGACGCCAAATCCACTTCTGATCGTTACTGTACATTCAGTGATTCTTAACATCCTTTATGTGCACTCTTTACTAACTATCCGGCAGGTTTGTAATATTTAGTTAATGCATCATTTTTGAAAAAAAATCAATTGTGCGACGAGTGAGGTTCATTTAAACTTCTGCGCGCTGATGATGTTACAAAATATTCTATGCTAATCATGAAAATTTAATGATTCTACTTTTCTAACTGAAGCGCCCTTTATAGCTAGTTGCTTTCAATATATCTATTTTGTTTACTTATTTGTGTTGCTTTTTGTATGTCTGCCAATGATTTGATCCCGTTTATGGTGCCTTCTGTGGAATTGTTTTTTCTCTTTTCACAGCATGATCGTTACGAGGTTTCGCTTGCGGTTTGGATGTCGCTTAATCTTATCGTCCCGTAACCAATAGCATCAGACGAATAAACCCTAACCCTAATGCATGACGTAGGGACAGGTATATAAAGGAAAAACTCCCACATAAGCCTCAGGCAGCTTCATCCTTCCACCAAACACTTTTTTATTACTCTCCCCTCTGACATCTCCAGTCTACAACTTCTAGGAACAGCACATCATGTACGCTTTGCTCAGTGTCTATGATAAAACCGGTCTTCTTGACCTCGCCAAGGCTTTGGACAAGCAAGGCATCAAACTTTTGGGTAGCGGTGGTACTGCCAGAATGATTCGCGAAGCAGGTATTCCCATCGCTGACGTTTCTTCCATTACTGGCGCTCCTGAAATTCTTGGCGGTCGTGTCAAGACTCTTCACCCTGCTGTTCATGGCGGTATTTTGGCTCGTGATATCCCCTCTGACGAGAAGGACCTTCTTGCTCAACAGATCGAGAAGATCGACATTGTCGTCTGTAACCTTTACCCTTTCCGCGAGACCGTCGCCAAGCCCGCCGTCACCATTGCTGAGGCTGTTGAGGAGATTGATATTGGCGGTGTCACTTTGCTCCGTGCTGCCGCCAAGAACCATGCTCGTGTCACCATCCTGTGTGACCCTGCCGATTATCCTTCCTTCTTGAACAAGTTGTCTTCCAAGACCCTTACCCAAGAGGACCGCAATGCTTACGCCTTGAAGGCTTTCCAATCCACTGCTTCTTATGATGAAGCTATTTCGGACTACTTCCGTAAGCAATATGCTGCCGGTGAGAACCAATTGACCCTGCGTTATGGTGCCAACCCTCACCAAGCTCCTGCTCAAGCCTTCATGACTGACGGTCCTCTCCCCTTCAAGGTGCTGTGTGGTGCCCCCGGTTACATTAACCTTTTGGATGCCCTCAACTCCTGGCCTTTGGTGAAGGAGCTTCGTGAGAACCTTGGTCTCCCTGCTGCTGCTTCCTTCAAGCATGTTTCTCCTGCTGGTGTTGCTGTTGGTCTCCCCTTGTCGGACATTGAGAAGCAAGTTTACTTCGTTGCTGACATTGAGAACATGACTCCCTTGGCCGCCGCTTATGCTCGTGCCCGTGGCGCTGACCGCATGTCTTCCTTTGGTGATTTCATCGCTTTGTCTGACAAGGTTGATGCCATTACTGCTCGCATCATTTCCCGTGAGGTTTCTGACGGTATCATTGCCCCCGGCTATGACGAAGACGCTCTTGCTATCTTGAAGAAGAAGAAGGGTGGTCGTTACTGCATCTTGCAAATGAACGAGGACTACGTTCCTCCTCTTTTGGAGACCCGCCAAGTTTACGGTGTTTCCCTCCAACACCGTCGTGACGACGCCAAGATCGACAAGTCCATCTTCCAAAAGGTTGTCAGCAAGAACAAGGACTTGACTGATGCTGCTTTGATTGACTTCGTCGTTGCCACGACTGCCTTGAAGTATACCCAAAGTAACTCTGTTTGCTATGCCAAGAACGGTATGGTTATTGGTCTTGGTGCTGGTCAACAATCCCGTATCCACTGCAACCGTTTGGCTGGTGACAAGGCTGACAACTGGTGGTTGCGTCACCACCCTAAGGTTCTTGCCTTTGACTTCAAGCCCACTGCCAAGCGCCCTGAGAAGTCGAACGCTATCGACTTGTACGTTTTGGGTGCCGTTCCCGAGTCTGGTCGCGAACGCGAGCAATGGGAGTCTGTTTTCAACACGGTCCCCGAGTTCCTTACTGCTGAAGAGCGTAAGGAGTTCCATGCACAGTTGAAGGACGTTATCTGTGCTAGCGACGCCTTCTTCCCCTTCCCCGACAACGTCTACAGATGTGCCCAAAGTGGTGTCAAGTTCGTTGCCGCTCCTGGCGGTAGTGTGATGGACAAGGCTGTTCGTGAGACTGCTGATGAGTTCAACATGGTGTTTGCTGAGCTTCCCATTCGTCTCTTCCATCACTAAGCTGACAAGAGGTGCAACAAGTTGTGGAAGCGTAGCACGACCGAGTGAAAGTTCGGGTCTAGAGTGCAAGCTATTCCTAAACTATTTTAATTCCCCCCTCTTATTACATAGCGAAAATGTTTTTTTTCTTACGGTTACAATAGATTTTTTTTGGCGAACACATGGGAAAGAGGAGCGAGTTAGCGCGAAATGCATCGGCGGTTTACGGGTAGCCTGAACTGAGCGAAGTCCGATTGGCTGTGGTGGTGTGGATGAACGCATGTATGTATGAGACTCAGAGCTCGTGAGCTTTCGCTATGTCAAGGACAACTTACAACGGGTGAAGTTGACGGACGCTCTTTCAATAATAGATATTATGGTATTCACTACCAATACTGCTAATACGACAGCTGTAGATTAAGAAACAGATTACACATGCCTATAATTGTGGTAGAAATGCACTCATGCCAAGCCAATAAGTAAGACAAATAGGGTATGCAACAAATATTGAATTTCTATGACTTTTTTAGTATAATATAAGATTGAAAAAGAGAGCAAGGAGGTGCCTATGTGATGTGGTATTCGAGACGGCACAATTGATCAAACTGCCAATAATGAATTAGCGAGTTGCAATCCAGTGGATAACAGCAGTGAACATGATATGATAATAATTAACCCGCAGCTAGTTGGCTGACTAACACACGAGGCCCATTCGATTGGATCCAATCGAACGATGGCAAAACCAAGAACGAAGAGAGCGGATTTTTAACAATTCCGAGTAAGAAAAAACGCGCGAATTGTGTTTTAAGAAATAAGACGAAAACGCCAAGTAAAAGTCTTAAGAGGCTGTCGCAAAGCGCCAAGGACCCTAAGTATCACATGTTTAGTACATAGTTGTCGTAACACCAATGACCATTTCAGTAGCGCTCACGAGAAGACAAGCCAATACAATTGCAAACCCATCATTACTCAATGGTTATGGAATGAGAGCGCATAGCCGCTCATCCCATAAATGAAACACATAAAACAAAATAGAACCGACTAAAACCGTTCAAAACCGACAGTCGGTTCCCTTCGCTTCGTAACATAAAACATGAAACCATATTCAACACTTGCAAACACAGGTAGTGGTGTATACAGGGTTAATGGTTCCTTAAACGTAGCATCATCCATAATCCAACAGCTTATGAAAAACAACGGAACTTACGAATGAATGGTAAAACTTTTTACATGAACAAGACACACACACGCACATGTGTGATAGGCTGTTCACAATGAATGGGGAAGCCCTTTAGAGAGAGCCAAAAACATATTCGCTTCGTCTTACGAATACGAGCTGACTCATCATAACTGGGAGGGCAGAAACGGAAAAACGATGACAGTTTTGCGGAAGATGAATGATGAATGTGAGAAAGACCATGTGTGAACAAAAGAACAAAATAAAACAAGCCAATGCAGTATTGCAACAGTCAATAAATTAAAAAAATAAAGCACAAGACAACTGTAAGAAATTACGACAAGAGTAAGAGGATTGAAGTGACACATCTGCCATCTGCACACTAGTGAAAATGTAACTGATTTCCTTTTCCATAGTTCTTTTCTCTTTTTTTTTTAAAGTTTTATTTCATATCAATGCATCAAATAAGGGCAGAGGAAGGCGGACAGAAACGTTAGTGTCAGAATATTGCAGCAAAAACACACGCTTTGAAAGATCGTTTGGGATGCGAAATCTCGCACCCGAAGAAGTAACTTTATCCAAGCAAAAGAAAACAAGAAAGCGTTAAAAAGCATCCAAGGAAGAAGTAAGAAGTTCGAGAAAGAGGCAGCTTCTTTCCCGGGGATTTTTTAAGTGACGAATTAGGGACGAATAAATAAAGAGAAATAATTAATTCCGGCAACGAGATATTAGAGCCGTCCTAACAGGTGTGGGTAAAGCAAGAAGGATAAAGAAAAATAAAAAAAGTTTCGAGGAAGTAGAAAAAAGAAAATAGAACGAAGCACAGAAGGAGAAGAGAGACATGTGTGTGCGTACATCATGCAAGTACATGCACGTTAAAAGAGAAAGAGAGAGTGCGTGCATGTGTGTAAACGTTTGAGTGTGTTCGTCGAGAAGGAGCGATCACAAACACAGGAACGGCTTTTCTTTTTGCAATTCATCTCGAGATATAAATTTATAGAAAACACATGATAACAGTGAACATAAGAGCAACGAATGCAGCACAGCGTGTTTATACCAGGTCTGTGGCGTGTAGGAAGCAACAACGCTGTCCGTAGGGGCAATAGCCAAACTGAGAGTAGGAGCGACAAGGTCTGCTTTTGTACTTGGGATGACGAACAGGCGTCTTCAACTCCATGGGTCCATGGGCAAACTGGCACTTACTGCCGTAACGACACCGCCCATAAGCCATCCAGTTTTTGCATGGCTCCGTCTTGTACAGATTATTTTTAATAACAGGACCATCACCATTCGACTTTCCGGAAACAGTAGACGAAGCAGAAGAGCGTTCAGAGCTTGGCGAAAGTTGCTGGGAAGGAGGGAGCATAGGCAAGGCCTGGGGACCCGACACGTTCACAGAAGCCGCCGTGGCAGACGTTGGTGAACAGGGTCCAGAATTGGTAGCACTGTTGGGAGCGGTAGCAGCCATTCTAGCGTTGGGTCTCGCGATTGAGCCAAGGCTCAGGTGAAGCGAATCCATGGAAGGAAGTGGCTGCGAGAGACTAGGGCGATGACGAACACGGTATAAGGGCGTCGTCGTCGAATTCGTCGAAGGAGAAATGCCTCTCTCCTCAGCGGTACCAAACGTTGCTGCGGATGAAAACGATGAACCCATTGTGTTGACGGTAATTTTAGGTTTGCTGGAGACTTGCGAAAACGCATTACGGGGCACGTCAAAAGGGAACAAGGGTCCCATCTCGAAATTCATGTTGCCAGCATGACGAAGATCACTAGAACTCGCAGAACGGTGAGCAGCTTTGAGGAATGTATTTCCATTGCCTCCAAAGGGCAACCAAGAGGTTGAAGAGTTGGTTGCGTTTCTCAACGCGTCCGAGGACAGGACCCGAGGCATGTTTCTGTGAGACGTTATGGCCGGAGTAGAAGCCGTGGAGAAGGAAGAGGAAGTCAATTCGTCTTGTTCCAAATCCTCGGCCGGCAGCAAATCCTTTAGGAGCGAGGGATAAGCAGGTTCGGAGGTTGGACGCGGAGGTGCCACACTGCCGACAACCGAAGATGCCGTGGTCGCCGCTGTGGGAGAAGTAGCCGTCGTAGGCTGCCACGGTGCTTGAAGAGCGTTGGAAGAACGAAAGAGCGCAGGCGCATGATTGACATCCACAGGGAACAGCTTGCTGGACGTTTTGTTTGGAGAGGTGGGAGAAATGTTTGAGGCGAGGGGCGTCAAGCGAGTACACGAGTCGCCAATACTAGAAGAGGGCGCAAAATTGTTCTCCCCATCCTCCATCGGGGCATCTCCAAACAGCAAATTGCTGCCATACATCATACGTTCCGAGGAAAAGGTACTTGCTGAGCTGGGCGAAGTTACATTCGCGTTTGCATTTACAGCTGTGCTAGGCAGCTGGGTTTGTAGCAGTTGGGGAAATCCGTTCCGTAGCGAGGAATGTGCCCCCAAGTGGGGACGAGAGAGATCGAGCAAAGGGTTCATGGAGGAAAAACGACTTTGCTCTAGCAAAGGTTCACCAAATCGTTCAAAGCTTTGCATTGTGACAAGACAAGATACCAAAAAAGGTTAAGTGAGCGTTGGAAGGCGGAGTGAGAGAAAGGAGAAACGAAGAAAACGAAACGAGTCTGAGTACAAGGGGATAAGTCTGGTGCACGGAAAAATAATGCGTATATATGCGAGAGTGTGTATGCACCACACGTATCGTCTATAAGAAGCCGGAAAAACAGCAAATGAATAAAAAAGGGGAAGAAAAATAAAAGAGGAAGAGCGTTGTTGTAACTTTGAAAATATGTCGTTGGTATGATGATGAAATCGAAGACAATGCGTTTCTAAGCTTTGAATGCAAAAAAGTCGTTTCCAAAAGGATTTCTTTTTCTTTTTCGTTCTTCGAGTTGTTTAGCCTTTTTTTTTATATGATGTGCAATCGTATAGATATCGAAACTGCCCAAAGTTCGTACAATAAATACAATCAAAAAGAATTGATATGGTAATGAAAGTAACCGTGCAAGTGCTTGCAGACACTGGACACAAGCAGCAGAGCACGAAAATAGCGGTGTGCGATATAAGAAAGGGAAACAACGACCGGGAATAATAAAAGAAAACGAAGTGGTTTTGTGTTCCAAGGACACGGGAATGCGAACGTTTACGCGTGAACACGACAGAAAGAAACGGCTGTAGACGCGAAGAAAGGTCTACGAACAAACAGAAACCAAGCGAAAAATACGCGTTGTTTTTTTTCCTATGAGAGAAAAAAAAGCCAAGACAAAAAAAATAAAAACCTTAAAACGTGGAAAGGGAAAAACGTTCACAAATGTTTCAGTTACGCGTCGTGGTTAATGGAGAGAACTGAATGCACGTAGATACACAAGTACGGCAAGTACAAACAACCGAGGAAAAGTCACAAAAAAAGGAGAGGACGCGTGTGCTGGAACAAATAAATACAATCACACGGACAAAACGAACCAAACAATACAAATACAGCACAAGGGGCCGAAAGTAGAAAAAATAAAGCGAAAAACAGCGCTGGAAAACCGCCCAGATTAAAAACGATCGGAAAAGAAGGACCGAATGCCGCGCTTTTTTATGTTTAGCTGCGAAAACGCGAACAGAAAGGCGAATAACGCGCGGTTTACACAACCTAGGTCGACACAATCAGCGATTACCGTAACAAAGTGCTTACGTCTATGCAAACGAGACGAATGCTACAAGAAATGGCAAAGACGCGCTGCTTGTAGCTGCTGTTGCTGCGAATGGAGGAGGGTAGTGGTAGCGGGAAAGATGAGGTTTTAGGTGCTTGCTGGAAGGACATTCCGGTGGGCGGTCGATAGGCGCGTTTAAAAGCGCGCTTCGGGGGACGTCATAGGATGACGTCACGAGACGACCCTTTGAGGACGTCCTATGACTGTAGTGCGGTGGGAGGCAACCCGGCAGTGTCGGTTGCGATGGGGAGCGAGACATTATGGTTCGGTTGCCGGCAATGCACCCCAGGGGACCGTAGGGGATAGCTGGGCAATCAGCGCCTGGGAAAGGCGACGAGTGCTTGGCCAAAGCACGAATCACACGTCATAGCTGATATTCGGAGCTGGAACAGGAGGGAAAATGTGGAGATCATTACGTAAGGAGAAGAATGGACGGCTGTGAGTGGGCGCTGGGCCCGTCGATTGCGCGTGATCGATGCTCAAAGGAAATAACCTTAAACGTCTAGCGGTGTTCTGGCCAATGAGTACGCGCGCAAAGCTCCGGCAGCCGGCGGAACTTCGAAACGAGGCGCAGAATAGGGGTGACGTTATGCTAATAAGGGAAGGAGCGACGGCCGGCGCGGCGGAAACAAGGTTAAGCGAGGTGGTTGGGAGAGCGTGGGGAGTGAGTTCTAGCGATGCCCAACGAGTAAGATAGCTGCGTTCGCGATCGCACAAGGACGCCCTAACCCACCGTAGTGTGCAGTAGTGTGCCGTAGTCCACCGACTCGTCATCACAGACGGCACCATCTATCGGCGTCGTGGAGTCGACGACGCGAGTGGTTATCAGGGGGGATGGGGGAAGCGGCAGCGAATGGGCGGCCATAAACGTTGGCTATCGCAAAGACGCGCAAGCGATCGCACGGGCTCGCAGATCCTCGCAACTGCTCGCAAGGCCCCGTTAGTCCGTGCTGCGACTCGCTGCAGTGCGCTGCAGCTTCCTCGTCACCTCTCCACACGACCGACGTCTTTCGTCCTCCTCACCCATCATCACCAAGCAATGAAGATCCTGCCCAAATACTGCACGGTCGACACGCTCAAAGTAGCGTCCCGCTATGTCATTATTATCTCGGCGACCTTTTTACTTGGTCTGCTGTTCCAGAGCGTAAGTCTGTTTAGCGGTGCAGTGCACTACTCCACGCTGCAGCGGCTCCCCGCTGCATGGGTTCCCGTGGGCCGGCCCCCGTTCGCCTCCACATACCCCACATGGCCTACCCCACCGCCCCACTTCGCTAGTGTCCCCACATGCAGCCTCCACCTCCTCCACTTCCCCCACTAACCCGTCTAGTTCTCCGTAGACTACTACACGCTCTGGCGCCCGAGCGCGACCGTCGCGCCTATTCTGGCCAATTCGACAACGCCTCGTCGACAATCGGAGGTCTCTACGGGCTGCTGCGTCTGCTCCTCACTCAAAATACTGCTTTACGTCGTTTTTGTGCCGTCTCGTGGCCTGTGTCGCCCAGGTCCAGCAATGCAAGCCGGACGAAAAGCTGTACACTATACGAGCATGGGTCTCTATGTCGCCTCCATCGTCCTCTATCTCATCAACGTCGTTCCGTACATTCTCGGCGTCCCCCTCCGTGCCTACCACCAGTACCCCCGCGACACCTATTTGGCCGTGCTTGCTGCGTCCCAGGTCCTCGTGTGCTTTTTGCTCGTCGGAGTCTTAATCTTGCAGCTGGGCTACACGTATGCTTGCCACATCTCGGCCGGCATGCGTCGTGAGTACGAAAGCGCCAACGCGTCCGGCGAGAAGGCAGCTGCGACTGAATCAAGACTTCTTCCGAGAAGAGCAGAAGACCCCTGAAACCAAGAAACGCGATAGCTCAGCGCGTGCGGAGGCGAGCCAAATAACCGTCGTGCCGTTAGCGCGCGCGTGATGCGCGACGTCATTGATTGGGCGCTAGGTTTAGTGATGTCATCTGATCCTCGTTGTGTGATTTATCGACAAGGAGATTGGTCGTCCCTCAGGGTTGGCCGGGAGCGCGCTTACGCATGCAGCACGTGAAGTTTTAGCGGTGGATCCAGGGATTCAGGGGGAGTCAGGGGCAGCCAAGGGGATCCAGGAAGATCCGACGGAGCAAAATGTCGAGAACGCCGAGACGCGTTACGTCAAGTGTCACGCGCTAAATGCAACGCGTCTTTGCGTCCCGACGCGTCGAGACACGTCGCGTGCAGCGAAACAAACAGACACGACGACGAGCATTCACACAAAGACTAACTCACGACGCGTCGCATTTAAATGCGACGCGTTCCTCCTGTTTCCCTTCTTTCCCTCTCCCAACCACACGCACATACATACACACACACTCTCTCTCTATGCGTCTCCAAATGAGGCTGCTTGTATTCCTACTTCTTCCACTGCTCTCGCCCGTCTGGGGCTCCATTGTGTGCCGTGACAGCGTGTTCGATCGCTCCTCGCTCACTCACAGCTTCACCGAAGCTGCCTGTTCGGGCGCCAGCGTGGAAAAACGCTCGTCCTTTAGCTCCTCTAGCTCTCCTAGCTCTTCTTCAATTCGATCTCCGTTACTTACTCAGTTGCAGATGCCCGCACCAAAACGGTCGCTGGCTTCCCCGGTGTTCCACATGCTCAATTGGTCCGTCAATTATGAAACAGGCGCCAAGGATGCTGTTGGAAGTGAGTTCGTCGAGTCCATAGATGCCGTACTGCAGTACGCAAACACGCTGGTTTCTCGCGTCTTTTTCCTCAATCAAACCATCTCCATACGCGTCACCGTACTCAACTCTTCAACTATCCCGTCGACGAAACGCGACTCAACCTCATACTCGACGTCTCTGTCTACGCCGGTCGCGTCTGCCCAGCCTGCACGCCTTCTTCCGTTGCTGGACGACGACGGACTCGTGCGCTATTACCCACAGAGCGTCGTGAAACAGTTTTCCCTAAACACAAACGGTGCAGACGTCTCGTTTGCCGAGTACGATGTCGAAATGTACATCTACCCGCACTCCAACCTGTACTACGACACCGGCGACAATTCAACTACAATCCAGTCAAACCAAGTAGACTTGCTACACGTAGTTTTGCACGAATTGATGCACGGCCTTGGTTTCCTTAGCAGCTGGTCCGAGTACATGGGCTCTTCCTCCTCGGCCATTACACCGACGCTTGTTGTTCAGTCGACGACGAGCGGCGGCAGCACGACGTATCGTGTGGGCGGTGTTCTCGAGTACGAGTTTGATCGGAACGTTCATTTTGAGTCAGAATTGTCGCAAGGCTCGAGCAACTTGACTCGGTCTATGGAGGAATATGTGCAGTCAGACAGTGCTCCGACGGAGTCAAACGCCAACGACGTGTACACTGCACTAGCTTCGTCCGAATTGACCCAGCTGGGCAACACGATGCTGCAGTACGCAACGACACCATACTCTCTCGGCATGCACTCTGCCGGCGCAACAGCTTCCCAGCTCGCTGCCAACTCGTCGCACGTCTTCCTCCTGGAAACGAGTTTCAGCACTTTTGCGTGCGGATCTTCGTTAAGTCACATGGCCGCTGATGTGTACGACGGGACGCCCGATTTTCTCATGCGCTATGTCGTTACAGCAGGCATCTCCATGCAGGACATGCTCGAACGCGCCTACAAAACCACGTCCGAACATGGTGCTCGTGACCGCTACGGTCCGTTTGGACCCGCTCTTCGCGAGACTATGAGAGGCATGGGCTATCGCATATTCGAGTACACCGATTTGAACGAGGCCACCGCCAGCTCATCCGCCGCCGTGTCCATCCCAACCGTCACACCCATTGCTCTCGTTAATTCCTTATCCACTTCAAACACTTACCATTCCGTCACTCCCACTCCTACACTCACACTCTTTACCACCGTCACCACCGTCATCGTCGAAAAACAGAACCGGGCCACTCTTTTCTCTGTGGACTCCGCTAACAAAACCACTTCCCGCGTTGTTTACTTTGCATCCTCTGCCTCACCGTCTGCCTTCCTCCCCTCCCGCCGCACCTTGCTCACCATGTCCCTCTCTACTACCAGCATTCTTTTGATCTGCATTTTACGGCATTGATCTGCACACCGCAAATCATGAAAACAAAAAACCTCAAACCCCCTCACTACATTTTAACCCCATTACGCTCTTTTCTCACCTTCTACAGCATACTACTCTCTATAACGCATTGCATTTTATCTCATTATTTTGATCTACTGCATGTTAACGCACACAGTGAACATGCGCAATACGTCTCCAACACATTCTAGCGAGACTTATCGAATGCACCACAACCGACCCACACCGCACTATTCCTCCCCCACACCCCGAGGCCCTGTTACCTTGGATGCATCCGATTAAGCGAAATAGCACGACAGTGATTGGCTGCATCTCGCTACCGTTCTACCGGCTGGCTCGGTACCGAGTTCCCGTACCCCATATCCCTTTGCCAAAACCCCCGTCACCCTGCGGAGTCCCGTGGGGAAACACAGTGACGATTGGAAGACGTCATAATTGGCAGTTTTTCGCCATTCGCAACCCATTTTGGGTCATCCCGCCGGAAACACGTGTGCGCGAGGTCGCGAATGTGACAGGCAGCCCGCCAGGGTCCGCACGCAGCTGACGTCGCAGAATGCAGTTCGCTTACATTCTGCGATTTCAGAGCATGAAACACATCGAGTACGGCCAGCAGCAAGCCCTCCGTCCTTCTCCACACCCCTCCACACTCTTTAGACTTTGTTAACTTTGGCCTCCTTTCTTTCCCTCGCGCACTATAATTTCGAACCCCGCTTATTCTCACGTCACACGTCACGGTTAGGTTACCTGATACCCTAGGTTACGCACATGACATCAAAGTGATGATTGCATGCGCGTAGCCGAGATCTGACTATTGCAGCCTACGTCATCTCTGAGTTTTTGAGCCTCACCATTCCAGCCCAGTGCTTATCAACCCCGGCCGACTCTTCGCGTCCTACCCTCCGCCAAACTCTCGTCAATTCCCTGCCCGGTACCAATCCGTTTTTCATCACAAAAAACGCCGGTTTTCTCCCTCAAATTGCAGGTGAATGCCTTAGTAATTGCTTTGACTTTGTTTTTATCGGATTGCTTTCCTTTTTCTCTCGTTAGCACGCCGAAAAAGCACTGTTCGTTGAGAAAACCCTCATACTGGAAACAGAAAATCGGTCGAAAATCTTCAATATAAGGTGTATATTATTTTTAAATATATACACTCCGCCGATCAGTTTCGGCAAAGCGAATTTCCACGTTTTTTTTTCTTCGAACGCTAAAATTAACCTACGTTCGCACACCTTTTGGACACTATTATAGACTGGGTCGCCGATTCCTTGGTTTTCATATCTGGCGCGAAAAGACCCTTTTTCCTTTGTGTAAGTTTGATTTGGTTTGGTTCATCACAAGTCAATATTTGTTTTGAAACTGTTGGCGTTGATGCTTCAATTTGCTTGTGCAATTTTCTTTCTCTAAACTTTTTTCCCCTTCTGCGTGTAAGCCAACCTAAATTTGACATTGCGAACAGGCTTACAGACGCTAACAACCGATTAGAAGCACACGAATTGAGGAGATCTTTTCTTTTCGTGCACTCCTAATTTTTATTATTACTACTACTGCTACTATTATTCATTAGAGTTCAACTGCTTCTTGCTTGCCCCTACAAACACACACTCACGCATTGAAATAACCTGTTAATTTTTGCGTCGTTTTTTCACCCTTTTCCTCGTTGTTTAGTATTTCCCCACCGTTTTTTTTATGGAACAGCGTTTTTTTCGAGACGTAATGGATACTACTGTTTACGGAGAGGCGATTCCTTTCGGAAAACTGCCTGGTAGCAGGTTGGAGGGTGCTTGGCATCCGTTTCAGGCTCCAGGTTCGGTCTCGTTGTTGCAACAGACAGATATGGATGTGTCTGCAATGAAAAACAACAAGCCCAACAGGGCTATGGCCGTTCCACAGGCTTCACCAAGGCACGTCTACCAGACTATCCCGCCTACGGTGACAGTTTCTTCTTCGGCTTCTTCTTCCTCTTCATCATTTGGCGTTTCACCCACGAAAACAAAAGCCGTTCATCATGAGGATGCCGTAGGCGTTCGCATAGTCGACTCCTCAAAAGACGATGAGGCTGAAATGGCACTGCATCACGCTGCGCTTCAGGATTTGCTCGAGTCCGCACCTGCATCTGACAATGAAGATGGAGATGGTGCGCGTACACGATCTCATCAGGCTCATGGAAAGCGGCCTTCATTGACTTCGCATCTTTCTCCCGTGATTGATGTTTTATCCACACAAATGGACGAGATGTATCCTGGCATGTCCGGTCACCACCCTTTGAGTGCCGAGTTTGCGGCTCGCAGACCGAGTCTTGATACAGATCATCATGGACGTCCGCGTTTGTCGTTGTCAGCTTCGAATGAGGGCAACAATGCGAATGACACTCTTCCCAGCTTTCCTTTCAAACCCTCCTTGCCTCGTCCATTTCAACTGAACCTTTCTCCGCGTGCTCCCACAATTTCGTTGAATGGAAACCGAGTTGGTGGCGGTTTTGGTCCGCAGTTGAGCTTTCTTTCTCAGAGCTCTATTTGGAGCAACGCTCCTGTGTTCTCCCCACCGACGCAGCAACATGCTACTTTGTCTTCAGATGCACCAGAACGTACGTCTCCGGCGATGAATACACGTGTCGAGTTGGAGCTCCCTGCCCCTAGCATTCCGGCTACGTCGTCTTCACCATGGTTGTCTCCCCCGAAGACGTTCCAGAGTCCTGGATCCTTGCTCAATAGACATGCGCAACTTTCCTCTCCGCTTAGTCTCGAGTCTCGTTTTGCGAGCCTTTCCTTGAAACGACGTAGCAAGAGCGCAAACATGGAAAGCGGCCCTTCGCATTCGGTTGCATCCGAGTTGCGCCAATTTCTGCCTCATGGCATTGATGCATTGGATGAAGTCGCTGTCGAGGATGAGCGTGAAGATGATAATCCCGTGGATTGGCAGCCAACTCATCGTCGTGCCTTTACGAACAACGATGTTTTCTCAGGCCACAATGGACTCAACCGCAATAGCAATCTTAACGATAATTCACGTTTCTTGAAACCTCGGGCAAGCCCTACTGTTCCACGCGTGATGCCGTTGTCTCCCTTGTTACAGTCCCAGCATGCCGTTCTGAGCGGAATGCCTTACGGAGTACCACCGGCGGTTTCCTCCTCTACAAATGCCCATGTGGACGTCTCGTATGACGCAAATGATTTGTTTATTGTCCAATTTAAAGGGGAGCGCCGTGACTTATTCTATGTGGCGGAGACGGATGCTTTGCAAGTGAACATGGACGATTTAGTTATTGTGGAAGCTGATCGTGGACACGACCTTGGTCGAGTTGTTGCGAAGATGTTTCGGGCACAGGTCCGTGCTCAAGACTTTCCCACAGCAGCGGCTATGCATCCGCGAAAGCTGGCGAAGCTCCTATCCAGCGGGACTTGGATTAGGCAACTTAATGTCGTCTGCCAACTTGCACCCAAAACGCATATTCCGCATTGCTCAGCCTTCTGAAATTGATTTGCTTGTATCTAAGGCTCATGATGAAGCTGAAGCGCTGCTGGTATGCCAGACTAAAGTCCGTCAACGCAATTTGCCAATATATGTTATTGATGGTGAGTATCAATGGGACCGAAAGAAACTCACATTTTACTACCAATCCAAACAGCGTATTGACTTTCGCGAGTTGGTCCGTGATTTGTTCAAGGTTTATAAGACTCGAATTTGGATGTGCGCTATCAATAGTGCAGCGTGGTCTACAAGCAATCAAACGGCAAGTGTTGCGAATTCCACCGCCAATACTAGTCGTCGTCGTTTTAGTCAAGACGATGCCGCGGCGGATGGTCTTGGTCGTATGTCATACAGTCCGAGTGCGGCTTCAGCTGCTTTCCCGTCCGTAAAATTGGGCGCAAACTCACAGGCTTCAAGATGAGTATCCTACGGTACAGCAATCGTTTGAGATGTGTTGGTTAGTTGGTTACCTCCGTCTGCCGGCAAACACTGTATAGAGATGTACCTTTTTTTCGTTCCCTTTGTATGATTCTTTCTTTGCTATGACTACTGGAGCGTTTGCTTCTTTTCCTGTTTTCTACTACTAGTATGGTGCTGTTATTCCTCTTAAGGGCTACTACTGCGTTCCGTGGAGTGAGTGTATGTTCCTTTATCTCTCTTTGTCAGTCATCAAATTTTCCCTTTCTTGAGAGTACAATGTCTGACGGTACTGTGTTAAATGCTACTGTTACTACTTTTCTTCTTCTTCTACTACTAATTTTCCTATTTCTCTGCTTTTACCATAACCCTTTTCTACAAACTGCCTTTGAATTTTGGTAGGTGACGCTGATGACGACAATGATGATTTATGTTTCTACGTCTTCTCCTTTACATTTGCTCTTTCAATTCACGCTTCGTTAATTCACTGTCTTAATTCGTACATTGAGTGCACAGGACATGGTGCTACGAACCGTTATTGATTTCACATCTTATGGTTTTTTATTCTCTTATTCAAACACACATACACGTATACACTTATAGACGAGTGCGTATGCACGCTTATGCATTTCTTTCAACGTTTCAACGAAATTTTATCGTTGGATTACATGTTTGAAAATCTGTACTATGTTTTTTTATGTTTTTAATAGATTGATTGTTATATATAAGTGGAAAGGGAGAGAAGGGCAGAATGCGATTTATTAAAGACAGGAAGTGAGTTGATTCTCAGACGTAGTAACATATTTTTATTAACAATTATACGTAAACGGGTCACAGGTACTGTTCTGTAAGGCGTATTCGAAGCTGATTGAAGGGGCTACAGGCTTCGTCTTACAATGGCTTCTATAACACACCGTCTTCTGTCTGTTAATTACTACTACTGGCTTCTCCTCATTCTCTCCACCTTGGTGGTTTTTGCTCCACCACAAGTTCCCAAGCTCACCACGTCTACCTGGACCTGCTAAGACGCGAGTAGCATTCATTTTCGCTCGTTCGGTACGTCCATTGATTTCGTTATGGATGGATTAGAGGAAAGACTGAATGTCATTCGGTCTCATGTCAAATCAAAGCTGGAAAACCAACAGCTTCCGGCTCTCGTATTGACGACCATTGACAAGTCTATTAAGAAGACCAAACAAAAACCGGGCCCTGAGGTGTACATGACAGCTCTGGTTGCTCTTGTTCAACAAGACGCGTTTTCCGATGAAAAACTTCAATATTCTGTCGTGTATTTGCTTTCGATGATTTTACCAGAAACGAAATCGGCCAGCCGGGTGCCATTATGCAAAAGCCTCTTGCCTATTCTTGAGGGATTAACGAAAACGGCAAATCAAAATGCACCAGTAGTCCGTTGTGCAATTAGCTGTCATGCATCTCTTGTTGAAGCAGCTGTTATGGAGCAATCTGAGGGAAATAAGGAACTTGTTGAGAACAGTGTTGAGTTTCTCTTTCTTTTCACCATCGATGCCCGTCCCAAGATTCGTAAAAGGGCTGTCGAATGCTTGCAGGGTTTGTTGCAGCGGGATGAACGGATCGGTATTACTATTGCTCGAGTTTTTGTTCGTAAACTTCTTAACATGCTTGATGAAGCTGGCAAGAAGAACTCCCAGAGTGAAAAGTCTAAAGATGCAGGGCAGTCGAGCACAGACAGTGACGGCTCAAAAGCGTATACCGACATCCTTCACGTTTTCCAGTTACTGAATAGTTTGCTGCATCTTTCGCAGATGGAGGCTCAGGAACTTGGTACATTGATACTAGCAGTGGTCCGGTTTGTGGACGCAAACGTCGTACAGAATGGATATGTGTATAAAAGTCTTGCTGAGTTCCTGGAAAATGCAGTCGAAGAACGGGTAGACGCTTTGTCTGACACTCAGCTTTCTGAGCTCGTCAAAGAACTGCTCCAGAAATGGGATATTTTGCCTGGTCCTGCGGCTTTCGCCTTGGCTGCTCTTACTCAGCGCCTGCCAAATCAAGGTTTGAAGCAATTGGACCTGCTAATTGAACAACTAATTCACGCCCTTACACAAACAAATACGAACAAACCTTCAGTCATGGGTGAAAAGGGCACTGAAGTAGCCGAAGAAAGAAAACCGGGTACGCAACTCACCAGCCCGTATGAACACTCTTCTGTCGTTTTTGTCGACCGCTTGCAGGCAGCATTTGGAAAGAAAAGCGTTGCACCTACTCTGTCTGGGAAGGCTGCAACTTTGATTAATCGAAAGTTCTTACAAAATGCCGCTAACACAGGTCCGTATGCGTTTGCTTGTGTTTGTGCATTTTTGCGGAAGCTCCTCAGATTCGCAACACCTGAACACGAAAAAGAGTACTGCATTTTGCTCACTAATTTGCATTCATTCCTTACGCGCAAGGAGCTTTCTATGCAGAAATCCGTGCACGATCTAGTTGGTGCTTTTATTCAAACATTTCACACCCGTAGTCTTGTGGAGGCTTTTCGTCTGTCTTCCAAGGGTGAGTTGAGTCGCTTGGAAAAAACCAAATGGTTCGTGCAAGTGATGCAGAAGAACGTTCAGTGTGACGAGTTGAATGTGTACAAGTCTATTTTTTTTCCTGCTGCTATGAACGGATCAAAGGCATGGTGGTCGCTTCTGCCTGCATATTGCAAAGAACCTACAGATGCGGAGAATGCTATTGATGAAGACTTTGTTAGGAATCTTGCTGGCGCACTAATTCAGCAGAAAGTTTCCCGTCAGCCCATTCTTTCTGCATTGGAACTGCTTGTGGAAAACAATGCGCAAGCTCAGAAAGCGTTACTGCCTTTTGCAGAAAATATAATGGGTACGCTTGGAAACTTGGTATTCGAGCTGAGCGAAGATGTGGTTTTGCAGCAAAAGACCCTTCATACGCTTTGTTCCATTTATCGAGTTGCGGAACCTATCCAGGAGTCATTCATAACAACCATCATTCAGCATCTTCGTACATTTTTAACGTCTACTAAACGTCAAGAAAACGATGAAAAACAGGCAAAGGTTGCCGCTACTATGCTTCCTCAACTTTTGCGCTATGCTCCCGATCAAACATGGCGACCTTTGAGTGAACTTCTTGCTGTTTTGCTCACCGACGAAGGTATGCAATCCATCGATTTTTTGAAACAGAACCGCTTCCTTTATCGACTTCTTAAGGCAGCCTTGTTGAACGAACGTATGTCAAAGAAGCTACAACCTCGTATTTCGAGTTTCTGCCAGGGCCTTGTTGAGCTTCCGGTAAATGTCGTCTCGCAAGATCCATCAACTGCACTTGAACGCATGAGTACATGGAGATTACTGCTTGAGTTGTTGCCGGAGAATGACCTACATGTACTCCCTCCCATTATTGAGGAGATAATTTTGACGAGCAAGCATGAGGAAGAGGAAGTTCGAGAAGAAGCTTATGGATTGTTGATCCAAATGGGTGAGAAGTGTAAACAAGGAGGTCGCATTGAGCAATCGCGTATTGATGGATTGGGTGAAGATGCGCCATCTGTCGATGCCACTTTGGATGAATTTCTAATGATGATGGTTGCTATCTTGGTTGATCCAACCGCGCAACACGCACCCGTTGCTATTACAGCATTGTCAAGAATCGTGTACGAATTTCGTGAGGACATTGGTTCGGATATGCTGAACACTCTCTTCGAGACCGTGGAAACGTATCTTGGGGGTAAGCATCACGAATCTGCACGCTCAAGTATCGGTTTCGTAAAAATGTTTGTGACCTCTTTCCCTGCTTCTGCGCTTGAGGCTCGTCTTAACACGCTCATGCCCATGCTGTTTCGCTGGCTGAAAGAACACAATGCTTATGTGAAACTTAAGGCGAAACAGCTTGTTGACCGAATGATTCGGGTGTTTGGAGTACAAAAACTGGGACAATTTACGGAGGATGAAGATGATAAAAAGTGGTTGAACAAGGTCAATTCCGTTCGTGAGGCTCGCGGCAAGAAACAGTCGACCAAGGATGAAGATGAAGAAATGCAAGAAGCGGAATCGGATGGAGAAACAAAATTCACTGCACAGAAAGCACAAAGGTTTAAGTCAAACTCAACGAATACGCAACGTTCTTCTCAGCATTCTTCCCAAGGTTCGACTCGGCGTTTTACTCAACGCCCTACACAACGTCCTTCCCGAACAACCTCATTTGATTCTTCTTCAAATATGAAGAAGAGACGCAACGACGACACACACAAATCTGGCAGAGGTGGAGCAAAAATGAGACGGAAGGGACGTTAAAAAAGTGTTTTTGTTTTATGTTTTTACTAAAGGGCTAAAGGTACTTTTTGGGAATTATTTTTGTTTCATTGGTATTAGGATATAGAATGACAGTTAATATTAGTTGACAATTCTAAACGAGCGGGTGAGCATGAAAAGAGGGCGGCAAAAAACAAGAAGCAGCAGTAAATTACAGGGATTGCTAAAACACGACAAGCATAAAATCCGCACAAACCAGCGGCTCTGGCACCACCGAACTTAAAGGCAAGCAACAAAGGACGATATATATGCAGTGCCAAATATCATTAACATATCCAAAAGAACAAAAGGGTGAAAAGAAAACACAGGGGTAATCTATAATATAACATTTTTAAATGCACGAGACAATGTAACCAGACGCCGACAGAACACAACGCATGTGTCGGAATTATCTAAAATCAGAATCGACAGATCGTTCTTCCAGCAGACGCTAACAGGAGCGCGCACCAAAGGGAGGAAACGATTGCAAGTAAATCAGACTCCCAAGGGCACTCGGCGGGGTAGTGAATGCATTCTCTAAAGTGCTTTTTAGTTCGGGGATCCAAAAGCAGCAGCGGTGGCCTCAGAGGCGTTCGCAATGTTGGGGTTACCGAGATCGGCATGGTATTGACGGAGGACACGGTCAACATCGTCGAGAGCAAGAGTACGGACATCAGCAAGCTTCTTGATAACAGCAGTGAGTTCCTTAGCTTGAGCATCAGTCAAGTTCAAGTTGAGTTGCTCAGCACGAGACTTGATAGCGTTCCAGCCAGTGAGACGGGAACCAACATGGACGTAACGAGACATGCCGAAGTCCTCAGGCTTAAGGATCTCGTAGGTGGAAGGGTTGGCGAGAATAGCCTTGGCGTGGATACCGGCCTTGTGGGTAAAGGCACACATACCAGTGATGTAGTTGTTGAAGGGAATTTGAACTTCAACGGCATCAGCAACCAAGTTCTCAACGTCGCGAAGCTTGTTCAGCTTGTACTTGCTCAAAACGTAGTCACGGTCAGTGGCGTACATGCGAGCCAACAAGGCACCCAAAGGAGTGATACCGTTACGCTCACCAATACCCAAGACAGAGGTGTCGATGTGAGTGGCACCGGCCTCCAAAGCGCAGTAGGCGTTAGCAATGGCCATACCAGTGTCGTTGTGGAAATGGCACTCAATGTCGCAAGAGACGACGCCACGAAGAGTACGAACAAGGTCGTAGACTTGTCTGGGGGTAGCACAGCCGACAGTGTCAGCAATACCGACACGGTTGACACCGATCTTGTCAACAGCACGGTAAATGGAAAGAAGGTCGACGAGGTCGGAGCGGAAAGAGTCCTCGGAAGAAAAACGAATTTCGATACCCTTGCTCTTGACAAACTCAATCACTTCCATGGCGCTCTCGGTGATGTAGGCCATGTCCTTTCCGTGAGAGTACTTGCGAAGGTACTGGGAAGTACCAATGACGACGTCGACACCGTCGACACCAGTCTCGACAGCAACGCGGGCGTCGTCCATATGACAACGAATGTGAGTAAGAATCTTAGACTTGAGTCCGAGCTTGCAAATGGCCTCACAGTCACGACGAGATTGCTCGGAAGCGACAGGAGAAGTGAGCTCGATATAATCGACACCAAAGTCGCTCAAAGCTCTGGCGATTTCAATCTTCTTCTCAGTGTCGAAGAAGGCGTTGGCGAATTGCTCACCCTCACGCAACGTGGACTCGATGATGTGGAAGTTGCTAGTACGGGAAAGGAAATCAGCAGGGTTGGGTCCGTAAGGGTTCTGTTTCATGGGAGGGACCTCGACGCTAACACCGCCCTTGGTAGAGGTAGCCATTCTGCGGAGGCCACCTAGCGTCGATCTAAGAGGAAGCGAGGCCGAAGGCCTCAGAAAATTCCGGATATGTGTAATTGCTGCCATAATGCTGCCAATTGACAAGCTATAAATATGCCGCTGACTGCTACGATGTCCTGGACTTGGTACGATTACGTTAAGGTGTCAAAAGATCTGCGACTCTTAACAATTCCCTAAACGTGCTTTTTCTTGTACTTGGCTCCGGGTAGGTTTCCATAGCATCATTTTATCGGGGAAAAGGTTTAAAGCCCTACCCTAAAAACAACAGTCACAATGTAGATCTGCTGTGGTAGGGGAAACTCCTAGGCGGCAAAACTGAGCTAGTGACGTCAATTTTTCAGGAAAGTTTTAATTTGCCGACGAGGCGAACTCTGCATGTGTGTGGAGAAGCCGGTGATTTAGCACTAGCTGATGATATTGGAGGAGACAAGAGGCGAGCGCAGTGGGAGACCAGTGATGATCAGTTAGATGGATGAACCATAGACGCTGTAGTTTGTGTGATGCTGCGGCTAGGGGTCGCATCAGCAACGGGACAACGAGACTGGTCAGACAGGACAGGGCAAGGCAGGGCAGAATGGAGCGATGGAGAATGGGACGGGGAAAAGTGGAAAGCCTGGAGATGTGTATTAGAGAATATGAGGACACACGAGACCACATCGTCTGTGTCTTCAGATGAAGTACGATCTCATCGGTCACCGCCTTCTCTGTTCCACGGAGGTCTCGCTGACTGTCGTTCCCTTTCCCCTCCTCCATCTGACTCATCAGATTTTCATGAGAAACCGCCGTTGGAGCTACCGTTGCCGCCGCCGCAATCGCTTCATCAGATTATCTTAAAAGCATCAATTGTAAAACAATAACAAGACGATGAGATGCGCCTTTTGTATTAGCGAAAGCAGCTCTAATCCCATACAAAAGGCTGATTCAGGTACAGAGCACCACGGCGCGGTATTGCAGCTGAATCAGTTTTGGTTGTTTTGCGGGAAACATAAGTTTATCCGAAGTGTGGGGTAAGCGAGAGGCTTTTGCGGGGGATCTGCGGGAGGCGAAAAGCTATAGGGAAGGGTGCAATCAGTAATGGACGCAATTGGTACTACACATCGTAGTAATAAACATTTAAGGTCTCCCGAAAGCGAAACGCTCTTTGTCGATCATATTTCGGCTCACTATTCCTCGGTGTTGTCCGTTATTTCTTGTTTTTCCTTGCTGTGAGCCTCGGTGAGAAGTAGATTGCCCAGACGGGGAGGAGAATCGCGAGTAATAAACTCATACCGTCCTGGAAGAATGTAAGCGGCCTGTCGGAATGCGTTTCTCGCAACCTCTGCACGAAGTTTACCGCCGCCAATTTCGAATAACACATGGCCGATAGGGACACGAGCAGACCAATGCGAGAAGGATCCTTTTCCCTTGCCCATACGCGTTTCGTTTCCCTTCACACACACGGGAATGTTTGCGACGAACCGTGTATACACACGAGAACCCTTGTTGCCTTTGATAAGTCGCTTCAGTAATTGCTCGACAATTGAGAGCTGTCGCGCAGTGTATTGAACACATCTGTCTTTTAGACGAATTCCATAGTCCCCCCATTCAAGACGTGTGCCTCGTAGAGAGCCGCCAATGGGCACAGAAACACGTCCTTTATGAGACTTTTTGTACTTGGAGCGTCGCGGCGCATACTGGTGCTTCCACCGTACACCCGACACAATGTTTGCAGCTAAAACAACACTTGTCGTATGCACACGTATCCCGGGGAGCAGCCGTTGCACGAAAAACATGAAAGAATGCTTCTGAAACGGTCGTCGTTGACGTAGACTACAAGTCGAGGTACCATACAAAAGAGCCGTTTAGTGTGGTGGAGTGCGCTTCAGTAACCTTATTTCCTGTTGAAGAGTCAACACAACAAGACGAAGCCGCGTTTTTTCTGAATCATTCTGAGGGAGACGTGCTATAACGCGTCCCGCACGTTTATTCCCTCTTCATTCTTTGTAATTGGCAAGTTGGCGTCGCATCTCCCGCGCTACTCGTGCTGCCGTGGTGTTGGACTGCAGAGCGTGCATGACCTGTGTCTCCCATTGTTCCAACACACTCTGGATTGACTTCTTCGAGGGAGTTGGTTTCGGAAGTGCCTGTTTCGGAGTAGCAATGCTCAAAAAACTAGAGCTTCTTGACGAAATTGGTGTTCTACGAGGAGACGGTGTGGACATGGGGGATGGTAGAGGGTAAGTCAGAGGTGAGTGGTGTAATAGCGTGCAGCAAATTTGTGTGGTACATATACTTCCAAACTTACCACCAAATGTAGTGGGCATATGATGCAGTGGTAGCATGCTCGCTTTGCATGCGAGTCGTCCTGGGTTCAATCCCCAGTGTGTCCATTTTTTTCCAGCGATTCATTGTCTGTGTTTTCCTTACCCGAGCCTCACGCACCTACGTCACTCTATTGCTTCGCCTACTATTGGCCCAATTATATCTCTTAAAGTATCGCTTGTTTCGCTTCTTATATTCACGTGTTCGCTTAGTATCGCTTATGCGCCCCTATATGCAGTAGCTGGGTCAATTAAACCTGCCAAAAACCAACCACTCGAATTGCTGCCATGGCCGAGTCTGCTGCTGGGTATTCGAGTAATTATGGGGCGTACGCGTCCCAAAGCAGTCAGGAGCACTTGGGAGGAGCTTACGAAAGAGATGTGGACGACATTTGGACGTCGGAGGACATCCATCCTATTGAGGAAAGTGTTTTGGAAGAAAAACTTGAGCCTGCGCTCGCTCCTCCCCCTCAAATACGCGAATACAGCCCCTACCGTGACGAGGCCCAGTTCGCGTTTAGGTTTTGTGAAGGACATTCAATCGCGTAGCGACAGCTCCTTGGGCAGTTTTGCTTCCCCTACACCTATTCACACTGCTACGCTACTTTGGGATCCTGCCGTTAAGGAAGCCGACGATATTCTGCACAATGAAGACTTCAACGACAAGCGTGATTTGGATATCTTTACTTTGAGAGGTTTTGTCAACATCATAACATTGGTTCTCTTGGCTTTAGGACTGCTAATGCTGTTTATCGGTTACCCTATTTTGTCCGCCGTGAATGTGCAGAAACAACGGAAGAGCTAATTCTGCCATTCATTCATTTTTGTGGTTCCGTTCTGAAAATCCGCCGTGGTGGCTTGCTTTTCGTGTGTGGATGGTTTATGTCATGAGCTTATCGTTCTAGTATTTGCCGCTAATTGTTGTTTTGTCATGTGTGTGTGTGTATCCACATGTACAGCCTCTTCCGCCCACCAAACTGCCGTATCGGACGGCTTCTCTCACCCGGGTTCTAGATACTGGACTCGAAGATACTGCCGCTGCACGAGACCCTTCTGTTCGCCCTACAAGCTATCTTACCACACTTCACATTAATCTATCAGTCATAAACATAGCAGACAAAGCAACCCGCTTTCAGCTGTGCATTACTGTCGATTACACATCTTTTTACTCTCTACACTCATTGTTCTTTTCTTTTTGGCTGTATCAGACAGCAGTGTGAGCCACCTCTGACGACGATCTTATAAAAGGCATATCCGTCCGACTGCTCCGCATTATCTGGGTCGTTACCTGTGCTATTGATAACCCACTCGGCTGTGATTTGGTCTGTGTTCTTTGTCACTACACTAAAGACTCTCCAACGACTCGCTGTGATCCCTTGTTGGCTTACTACCTCCCTTAAGTCTGTTTGGTTCCCGACAAGCACACGTAAACATTAACGTAAACAATACTCCGTCTATCCCGACAACACCAGGCACTTGCTGTCTCCAACTTACACCGACTCTCACTCTCTCACACGTAAACATCCTCTTTTCTTTTTCTGCGACTGCGCTTCTGTTCTCGTTCAGTGTCGTATTTATCTGTCTATTCGTATTTTTCTCGTCCTTTGTGTATTCTATTTCTAACAACACTTGGTATTCCTGTACACATTTGGTTTATCTATCATGTCGCTGCTTCGATCCTCTCCGCGACTGTTGACTTGTGGGTCACGAATGTTTCCCATATCCCGTTTATGCTCTTGTCCTATATACCTTGCATCATTGTCACGGCTACAGGGTGCAAATTCTATGCACTATTTTAACAGTTCCGCTAACGTTACTGGCCGCTCGAAAGACACAGGCATTCTGTCGGTTCCTCTTCGCTTGTTCACTGTTTCCCCGGCTCCTGCTCAACGGCTATTTACCACGATGAGTCGTTCTCATCGTTTGCCTGGCATTTCGCAGCGTGAATCTGGTTGTGCTCGTTCAGCATTCTTGAACGTGCTGCGTTCATTCTCCATGAGCCATAGCCGTATGACTCTTGTTTCCACCGCTACACATTCGGCTGCTGCAGTATCCCCGGCCGGCGAAAGTACTACACTCATTTACGAGGCTCCTCGTTCGCCGCGTTTCAAACTTCTGTATACTCTGACGCTATCGGTTGCAGTATGTTTTTTTGTTTACGCTGTTCTGTCCGCTAGCAATTTATACTCTTCTCGAGAGTCTGTGCATGCGCTGTTGGATTCCGAGACAAGGTTTTTCCGAGTGGCTACATTCGTTACATACCTGGCCATTCCACTTACGCTTGCGCTCTCTCTCGTTCTGCTAGCTATTCCTCGTCGAGCCGTGTATGCTATGTACTCGCTTCCTAACAACAAGTGTCGGCTAGTGACGGGTTTGCCTTTCTGGCACGATACTGTGCTATTCCATAACGTGCGTACTCTGCCCAAATCCGAGATTACTGTCATGACTGCCTTGGACCATAAAAGTCCAGTGGCGCTCAAGCTCAAGGACAAGCCGTTCGTGTTCGTCATGGATTCTAATGGCACATTTGAGGGTGGTCGGGATGCTCTTCGCCAACACTTTAATGTGAACTGATTTCATTTAATGCTTAATGTCATGTGCTCCTTTCACACTTACAATGTCTCTATGCATACGTTATTGTTACCATCTTTACCGTCGCCCTCCTGCTCTGCCATAAAAGATAATAAAAGGCATCTTGGTCATGTCATGCTCCTCTGTAATGTGTAACGATGATCATATTAATCTATTTGCTCGGTAGATGAGGACGAACGGGCCATTCGTACGTTGTGTAAGTGTACCATAGCTTTGTAGCAAGCGGTGACAGCGTCTTTTAAGACGATGACCTGGTTCCGGCCTTTCCTGCGGCGCCAAAGTGCCCGACTCATTCTAACATACATGTAGTCAAGTTCATCGACTCTGTAGTTTCGAGTGGCATCTGTGATTTTGTTCAGTGTACGATCATAATCGACAGTGGAGAGCTTTAGCCGTGTGGAAATGAGTTCTGTTCCGCTTGGTTGACGTTCGCCGAGCAGTATATCTGCTGCTTGCTGCTCTTCCAGTACATCATCTAGTGGTTCGGAAGTGAGTTCGTTCATTGACAGTTCATTCTCAGAATCTTCAATTTCTTCATAGACCGAAAACGGTTGCAGTGCTTCTGGAATTTCTTCGTCGCTTTCGTGCTCCTCTTCATTTTTGTCTTTCGGTTCAAGTGGTGGCTTGTCTTCAGTTGCTATTGAGTTCTTTTGAGAAGCTCGAAGAGCAACTGATTTGCAGTCATGAAGAAAGTTAGCATCTATGACCTCTTCCATCGCAAATTGAACATTGATGAGCATTTCTTTTGCTCGTCTCTTTAACGTAAAATCACCGGATGCAGTAGCATCCGTAACAATGGCTTTCACGTCATCAAAGAATTCCTTCGGTTCAGCGTAATAACCATTCCATACACGTCTTTCAATTTCAGCCAAGTTCATCATTGTAAACCGCTTGTTTGTTGCTCGTTCGACGACAAAAGACCCTACAACTTCGTATTGGTATGCTTCGATTATACTCGTTGGCAACTCATCCTTCATTGCAGGGACATAAATGTCATCAAGATCCTAGCTAGTTAGCAAATGGTAACATATAAATGCTTCATTTCACATACAATAAGTGGTTTTTTGAATCGTTGATACCTCGAACGTAGCTGTTCCAAAATTGAGTTAAGCTTCAAGCGTAGCTTATTTTTTGTTCTTAGGTCCCGCATTTTCTGAATCCTATTTTGATGGATATCACCGTTGTTTTTGGATATCGTTACTGTCCGTTTGGTAGTAGGACGATTGTGTGAAAAAGCATTAACCTCATCACAGCTTAAAGGAAACTTGCAGGCCCAATTCAAAAGATCGTCAAAAAATTGTCTTCGATTCTCGGCCGGGACGGGTTCGAGCCGAACACAGAAGGATTCGCTCGGACTGAACCAACTCTGAATGATAGAAGGAAGTACCTCAAAAGAGACATTAGAGAATGCCAAAAGCAAAACCTTCTCCAATGGCGGAATGCTTTTATGCAAATGAGAGAAAAAGTTGAGCGTTCCTTCAGGTAACAAGGCCTGCCATGTATCAATGTCAGGTATGTACAGGATACTAGGTTGCCGTTGCCTTGCGATTGAAAATAACTCAATCATTTTTGCTTCAACATGCTGTTCTGGGTCATTAAAGAGTGTGCCCAGATCGAAAGAAACTATAAATACACCGTCGAATTCGTTTAAGACTGCAGGTCCCCAGATAAACCTGGCCCTGACCAGCAGGTCCCGTCACAATCAATTTCGGCCTATGGGAATGAAAATGCATTAAGCCAGTAAGATTTTTGAGCTCTTGTTCATTATGAGAATGTTTGTTTTTTTGATTCCGAAGAACAGAAAGATTATTTGAGTCGGATGGATGAAGTTGAAATACCCGATTTAATCGGGAAACGATAGTATTCAACGAATATTGTAGCAATGCAGAATGGGCAGTATCCAGAGATTGAACAATGGCTGTTTTAGATCGCCGTGTGGATACCTTGGTATGCATAAGGGCATGGGTGAAATCTTCGGCTGTGACTTGTACATTTTCTGGTGATATGGAGAGTTTTTCATTCGCCTTAAAGATGTCTGGAAAGGTACGACGAATGGCGTTCATGGCAGCTTCTGTACAAAGTGCTTGAAGGTCGGCTCCTCCATAGCCGTTTGTACTGGACGCCAAGTGCATTAGTAAGGATCGTGAAATAGGAGGTTTCCAATGCCTAGTGTGAATGGAAAGAATTTTGTAGCGAGCAGCTCGATCAGGAAGCGGAAAGTAGAATTCACGGTCGAAACGGCCTGGTCTTCGCAAAGCGGGATCGAGAGAATCGGGTCTGTTCGTGGCTCCGATGACTATGACTTGACCCCGATCGTCCAGTCCGTCCATTAAAGCCAGCAGTGTTGAGACGATAGACGCGTGAGTCTGGTCTTGTCTTTGTGAACGGACGGGAGCAAGACCGTCTATTTCATCAAAGAAAATTATACTCGGCTGATTTTTGCGGGCTTCTTGGAACAGCAAACGCAACTGGCGTTCTGCTTCACCCACCCATTTGCTGAGACAGTCCGAACCTTTTCGCAAAAAGAATGAAACTTTTCGTTCTTGCGTAGAACAGGCTACGGCCAGTGCACGAGCAAGTAATGTTTTTCCCGTACCAGGCGGACCGTGGAAAAGAACGCCGCGAGGAGGACGGATGTGCATGTGTGTAAATAATTCCGGATAAAGCATTGGTAGCATTACCATTTCCTTCAACTGCATTATATGGTCATCCAGACCACCAATGGAGTTAAAGGTCACTGAATAGTCAAGATGAGTAGAATTGGAGGCTAAGGTTTGACTGCCTTGCGAAAGTGTAAGAGTCTGATTCACTTCTGAATCTTCCACACGTTCGTTGCGAGGAGCATGCTCTAGAAACGTATCAATGTCAAACTCATCTAGAGTGTCATTGTCACTTGATGATACAAACCCCGTTGTATCGCTGTTGCCAATACCCAGTGGAAGTTTGGAAAATGCATCCAAGACTGCTGGTGGAAAAGAACGGATACTGCTAAACGTAGCAGATCTACTTCGTCGAAGTGAAGATGCGGCAGCGTTTTGAGCAGAACCCGCCGGCTTGTCAGCCATGTTGTTTTTAATGCGACTGGACCGCCGAACAGGAGCAGGCGAAGGCTTACGCCGTTTTCGACGGGTGCTCCGACGAGTACGTTTTCTCTGGCTTTTTCTTTCACTTTTGTAAACATATTCACTGTCTTCGCCTTCGTCGTCTTCTATGTCATTCGACAGTGAATAATCGTCGTCGGACAAAGTGTATAAAGATACATTGTCATCGTCCTGTTCCTCTTCTGCCGTACGGCTTGAGTTATCGGAAGGGGAGCGCGGAGGAGAACTAGAGTCCTTGGTTTTCAGGGACCTTGAAGTGTTGGAGGGATAGTATTTTTGAGGAGTTCGTTTGTGATTTCTGTCAAAAAGTTCATAGAGGGGACTAGAATGTTTTTGAGACAAGACAACAGCAGGATCGTAGAGTTGATGATACTTCGGGGTGTGTGAATGTTCACTGCTACTGTGATATCGGTTCGGGGTGATAGCAACGGAGAAAGTTGATGACGATCTGTGTTTCTTAGGGAATGCTGATTCGTTCGAGGAATGGGAAGTAGGTGAGCTAGTCGTTGTAGTTGACAGCTTGTTAAATTTTTTTGGACGAGTTATTTCTAATAACTCGTCGTCTTCGTCCTCTGTATAATCGTTATGATGTTTCATACGAATACGAGTAGGATTGTTTTCATCGTCATCTACTTCAGTAACATTTTCATCGTTAGACGAGGAGGAGCTTTCCATAGTTTCAATGTACCGTTTATTTAGCCTAGTCCCCATGTCATTACAGAAACAGCTCGAGAGTGGTTAAATAAAAGAAGCTCTCTATATTCTGCGATTCTAGACACTGTTGTTTCTTGTCAAAGTGTTTGGTACGGCACAATCTGCCTCACCTGTTCAAAAAGTTCATGAATGTTACAGAGAGATGAAAGAAAAAGGTAAAATCGCTGGGAATGCCTGCTGTTCAATTATAATCGCATTCACGGACACAAGGCGAATGCAGTTCCCGCACAATCAGCGGTAAATTTAGGGTTTCGCTGTGATTAGCGGTTTAAGGAAGCTGTTTGCAAATCGTAGGGGGAAACGAAAACAAGAAAAAAAAATTCACAAATAACAATATGCTGTTTAATGAAGTGTAATGGATTGGTTTATGAAGTTATCATATGGATATAGTGAGGACGGAAGTTTATCCACTGCAAAGACGGTTTCTTAAATAATAACTTTGTTAGAAAAAATATATATCCAAAGAATATATACAACTAGGTTTCGAGACGCACCGGAAAGGATCATTGTGGGTATTAGTATGACTGTCTAGAGTTCCTCGATTTTTCTGGATTTTATTATTATTTATCTCATATTATTTTATTCTTTTAACTATTAAATAGCAAATGTTAAGTCAATTTTTTGTAAACGAGAATATCTTGATTACTTGCAAACGGTAACAATTATTTTAATACTTGCTCGTTCAATGAAATGGTGCGCGGTAGATAGTCACCGTAACTAGAAGCTTTCAAGTTGTTGCAAAACTATAAGTTTCAGAGATTCAAATTACCGTTTATGACAAGGTGGTCGATTTAACATGAAGGATGAATAGGAGCGATCACTATCCCGCATTCAATTCGTTGTATCTACTCAATTGCTGTGAACTGAACAATTCATCAAACTACTTAAGCCAAACAAGTCGCTCCCCTTCGCAACTAATATGACAAAAATGATACAAATACTCTAGCCTATGAAAACTTTAGGCCGACCTTGGAAATGCTTCATTCTGCTTCGCACTTAATATACAAGAAAACCTATTCCTCTTTGGAAGCGATACGAAATCACCACAATACGAACCAAGAGAAACTACGAAGATCTCTCTTACACTCTTGGCGCCTTTCCTAATTGTTATAGTCTTAGGAGTTCCGTCTGAGTTTCTCCCTTCTGTCTGTTCAGTTGACCAAAACGACTTTTCATTAACTGCTCCATGACCTTTTCTACTCTTCCTAAACAACGTTGAACGAAAGGCAACTAATTGTCACCTTTATGCAACAAAGTTTCGTTAAGTAAAGTGAGGCGTTTGCTTGCTTAACCTCCTTAATTCCCTAATAAAAGATCGACTTTCACAGCACCCTCTTTTCGCACACAATTCAATTTAGTACCATTTTTGGTCCATTTTCTCCCTCCTCACTCCTCTGTATTTTCCAGCAGGCTTGTATTTCCCTGTTATTTTGTATTGATAGGGAAGTGCGGCATTTTTTCCACCCACTTTTTTCTTGCATCCTACATTTTGACAAAACGTTGTTTCGGCGTTTTTCCACCTAGAAACGATGTACAATAGCTCTGATGTACTTCTCGTCGGAGTAAGGTAAGTAAATTACACTCAAAAGTGTGGGCAGGCTGTTGAATTCCATCTTCCGAATGCGTATTCTGCAGAATAGTTACTAACAAGTATAAACAGCGGTGCTTCCTGCAGCGGAAAATCGGTATGAAAAACTTGTTTGTTTGCTTTGTCTCATAGCAACTCTTCTCTCTGACTCACTGGAAGACACTGTGTCAGCTGCTGCATGCTGTCTATGACAATTCGATCATTCTGCACGAAGACGACTTCTATAAGGTTTGTCCTATCTGACCCGTGTTAATCACACATGATGCTGACAGTGATTCCTCTGTGTATAGACGGATGCTTTGATCCCCATTCACGATGGTTACATGGATTGGGATTGCGTAGATGCCATTGACTTTCCTAAATTTCATGAAGCACTCGTGTACATTAAGCAGCACGGTGAATTGCCAAAATGGCTGCTCGAAAAAGAAGCAAACCAGAATGTTGCCACGAAAGCAGTTGTAGAATACGCTGATGTAGTCCAGGCCGGCCGGAGTTTAGTTACTCAACAGCCTGGAAAGAAGATTATTCTCGTTGACGGGTTCATGCTTTATGTCTCCAACCAGCTGATTGACTCTTTTGACGTACGTATCATGCTGCGAGCAGATTACAATGTCCTCAAACAACGACGTGAAGCACGCACTGGCTATGTTACGACAGAAGGTAGTAGACCGGCACATCTTTCCCCAACAGAGAAGTGTATTTTCATTATTAGTTTCCAGGAGCGACACAACATGCTAACTGTTTCTATATAGGCTTCTGGCAAGACCCCCCGGGATACTTTGATAAGTTCGTTTGGCCCGGATACAAGGAAGGCCACCAGCACCTGTTTGAAAACGACAATGTTGAGGGCCGTATCATAGATCCTCGCATCAACATCACTCACAGAAACGACATGACTGTGTATGAGAACCTCGTCTGGACCATCGAATTGTTACAGCATCATCTTCAGTAAACCCACGCTAATCAGTTTTTTCCTACATTTCTTGACAAAGTTCTTATACCCAGTTGTGTCCCCTTAACAATTATCACACACTCACACAGACACGTCTAATGAAAAAACAATTTAAGCACTATTCTGAGCTCGTCTACATCATTCTTGAACCCGTACTAAAACCGTTACCCTACAACAAACCCTGCAATTCCTGTTGTCCTCTTCCTAACTGACTCCAGTTAACCTGCCTGGTAGACCCCATTGACCCTATGTCTTAGACACCCTCTCACACTTCACCACCACCGTTCTTCAAATATGGATGCAGAATCGAGTATAGAGACTCGGACAGACAGGGAAGATGTCCTGTCGTTGGTGAAGGACACGGTTCGGCAATCCAAGTTGCTTTTTGGCACGGAATTTGGCGCTCCTAGTTCGTTCCAAGACGAACTTTTCAAAAGTGAGAAACTCGCATACAAACGGAATTTGGAATTTTGGATGCGAGAACAAGATGTAAAAAGTAAAAAGCTGCATATATCACCAAGCGGCGACTCAAAAAGCCTTGTTTTGGCGTCACAATTGGGAAGTTCCCAATCTGCTCTTACACAGTTCACAACGCAATCACTTGCAAGCATAAAAGTGCCTGCACAACCAAGCATCCAGGCTTTGGAAAAGATTGAGGGCGTACCCAAGGCGTCTCAGAGCGCCGCACGGGCTGCCCAGGCTTCTATGGTGAAACGAACCTTGGCCGATCAAGTCAAACCAGATTGGCACGCTCCATGGAAACTGATGCGTGTCATAAACGGACACCTGGGATGGGTTCGATGCGTTGATGTCGAGCCTGGCAATCAATGGTTCTGCACGGGCGCTGGCGACCGTACTATAAAAATTTGGGATCTTGCCTCGGGCACTTTGCGATTGACACTGACCGGACACGTCGGCACGGTACGCGGACTGGCCGTATCCCCCCGTCATCCCTACTTGTTTTCGTGCGGCGAGGACAAGATGGTCAAGTGCTGGGACCTTGAAACGAACAAGGTCATCCGTCACTACCATGGCCATTTGTCCGGCGTGTACGCCTTGAAAATCCATCCTACACTCGATGTGCTCGTCACCGCTGGTCGTGATGCCGTGGCTCGTGTTTGGGACATGCGAACACGTCAGAATATACATGTTCTGGCTGGTCACAAGTCAACAATTACATCGTTGGCTGTGCAGGAGTTTGATCCACAGGTCGTTACCGGCTCCATGGACTCACATATTAAACTGTGGGATCTGGCAGCGGGAAAGACGATGACAACGCTTACTCATCACAAAAAAACTGTTCGCTCACTTTGTCTGCATCCGGATGAGTTTACCTTTGCAAGCGGAGCCTCCGACAATATCAAGCGCTGGAAGTTCCCCGAAGGCGCCTTCATGGGCAATTTTTCCGGCCACAATGCCATCGTCAACACGCTCTCCATCAACTCAGACAATGTTCTGTTCTCTGGTGCCGACAATGGCAGCATGTGCTTCTGGGACTGGAAGTCTGGTCACAAGTACCAAGAGATGCAGACCATTGCGCAGCCGGGATCGCTCGAGAGCGAAGCGGGCATATTCGCAAGCACATTCGACAAAACGGGACTGCGTCTCATTACTTGTGAAGCCGACAAAAGCATCAAAATCTATAAACAGGACGAATCTGCCACTCCCGAAACACACCCGGGACTACCGTGGCAGAGATATGGCCGGCCGCGGATCTAAGCGAGAAAGTTTAACGACCATCCCGCCTGCTTCTTTCACGAAAGGATCTACACGAACTACACACCTTAATGTCGATATTGGCACCCCTACACCACCGATAACCCTACCCTACCAGAAAAACAGTCACGCTACCCACTTGAGCACACAAACCACAACTGGCTCACCGCAAATTCCTCAAAGATGCTTATCCCCAAGGAGAACCGCAAAGCCATTCACCAAGCTTTGTTCCAACAAGGTGTCCTCGTTGCTAAGAAGGGTATGTTTGTTAACGCATGCGTTTCGTGATGCTGGTCTTATTAACGGCTGAATTGCACTCAATGTGCCTGCTTCACGACTCGCCGGTGTAAATAGGCATTGGATTTCCGTACTGACTCTTCCGCTCTAGACTTCAACCTTCCCAAGCACCCTGAAGTTGGTGTCCCCAACTTGCAGGTGATCAAGGCTTGCCAATCCTTGGACTCTCGTGGTTATGTCAAGACCCGCTACAACTGGAGCTGGTACTACTACACCTTGACCAACGAGGGTGTTGAGTATTTGCGTGAATGGTTGCACCTCCCTGCCGAGGTTGTCCCTGCCACTCACAAGCGCCAAGTCCGTCCTGCCGCTCCCCGCGCTGTTCGCTCTGAGCCTCGTGAGCAACGTGCTGATGCTGGCTACCGTCGTGCTGAGAAGAAGGACGGTGAGGCTGCTCCCGCCGGATTTGCTCCCTCTTTCCGTGGTGGATTTGGCCGTCAATAGACAGCTAATAGTACATGCCAATGACAAGAGGATAAGTGGGATTGAGATGGAGGAGTATGAAGTGATAGCGGTGGGTGGGGTTGTGTGAGCTAGTGTTGTCCTGTGTAGCTTGCAGAGACTTGAACGGCTCTTTTTTGTTACCTTCGAGTGCGTGTGAGGGGAGTACTTCATGCCATTACAATTCATTGCACGTTTCCGTTAACGACACGGATGATGGAGCGTCCATCCTCGCCGGTCATGAAAGACGGCATCCGTTGAACGTCAAGAACGCCTTGGGAGGATAATTCTTTGAGACCTTGAAAAACGTTCGGCCCTTGAAACTGAACAGTGATTTTAGGTCGAAACGCCAGTGGAGCGTTGTGAATCTTATCTCCAACGTTGAGTTCGTTGTCAGGAATACAGTCGTTTTCGAGGGCCACGAGGAACCGGTCTAGCGGACGATCGTTCGTATTTCCAAATCGGACATCAGCAATTTCCTCGGCGGTCGTCTTTCGTTTTAAGGCTATCGCAGTCGCCAACGCAGACGGTTGATTGTCCAATGGAGTCGTATCGACAGTGTTGTCTGCATACACTCGCCAAGATCCAAGGGCACCGGCGTGTCGATGGGCTCCGAGAAGAGTATACATCGTTTCGAGCGACTTGGCCGTTAAAGACAGTTTTTGTATCCTGTATGCTGAGTGGAATCGCTGAAGCGCTCGGATTAAGCATTGCTGAAACAACCGGTGCCCAACATCGCTGGCGTCTGTAAGCAGACTGTGTAATAAATGGACGGATGATTCCAAAATAGCAAGATAAATGACTTGTCGTTTGCTTGCGAGGCGACACAGAGCCTGCGGATTCCGCGTATCAAGTAACTGCAGACGAACAAGTGTCATAGGAAGTGTTGGGTGTCGTCTTTCTATTGCATGCTGTAATCGTTAGAGGAATGCCGTTTCCTTGTAGTTCATGTGCGTTGCGCTACATACCCAAGAAAACACGGTGTCAATCTCTTCATACAATGTTTGCAACAAAGCTTTTGTTGAGAATAAAACAGCCGGATTTGGACCAGCCTGCAATTGAGAGGCTGTCCACCGAACTGCTAACATGTCTCGGCACAAACCTACAATGCATTAGATTCATTTTCAAAAGCGCGACGAATTGATTCTTCAGTTAATCTTCATCATTGCGCACGCAATTCTCATTCACAACATACATTCCATTTCTAATTGAGCAATTTGATCCAGCCGTAGACCATGGGGAAAGTCTCGGTGACGAATTCGATGAAGCATGGTGTGTTTTCTTACAGACTTGGGAACATGCCAATAAAATTCTTCTGCTCCTTCTTCATCATCGATTTCGCGATTTAATGTTGAGGCGTGGAACTGCAGTTGAACCCACTGTTTGCATAATTCAACTAATTGTGTTTGAGGCAGCCGCATGATTAATCGCTCTAGCCGTTTATCATAGCGTACAATTGTCTCATCAGCAATTCGATTTTGGAATATCCCCCGTTTCATTTTTATAGCAGCGGTTCTTACACTTGTCGCCCACTATGGAGGATAAAGTATGACAAACGTGCTAGCGAAGAACGAATATTAAATCCAAAGACGACCTTTAAAATACCAGCCAGGAGAGCAGTCCCGATTTAACACAAAGACGGTTTGATTGATCTTTTTAAACCAGTTTAACAAAATCACTAGGCCACAGAAAACACGAAACAATAAGAGAGACACGAAAGTTTGGTGAAAAGCATTAAAGCTAAAAATTCAAATGCTAAAACTATGACTTCCTAAGATATTGTGGCAGCAGTTATTGAGATGAAGACCAACTTATTCGGACGACAACTCACCCAACCGCTACCTATTTAATTCTTCTTCAGTTTTTTATAATTAATTGCACGGATTCATCATCTGAATCAAGTTCTCAAACCGTACACTTCAAAACTGTTTATTTTGCGTTGTTCGGATGAAATGAGTGAATTTGGACTTGCTTATATAGTGAGGTGTAGCAGTCACAATACCCTACCCTATCTGACAATATGTGACAGCGTTCCATTGGTTGTGCTCGTTTGTCAACCAGCATGTCATTGCTAAATGCAAAACGCGACGCGAAAGTAAACAAAAACTAGAACGGGAGAATACAAGTATGATAGATGAAAATAGTTGAAGAACATGCGTGTATATATAGTAGACAAGGAACAAATTATAACTAAAGAACACGTTACATTAAAAAAAATTGTTGGCTGCGGGGATAGTTTTGTAATTTTAACATTACAGACAACTGCTTCCAATAGACCTCTCACTCTCGACATTATGAACCAGTTCCTTGCTTCGAGTGTTGTATTTCGATAGCAGCTCATTTCGTTAATTTTACCAACCTGCCCTAAAGAATGACGAACGACTAGCATACGGTGAGAGAGCAGACCATACGTCGTGAAGGGCGGGCAGCCAACGTTGCACGTTTGCGACAAGCAAAGAACGAAACATTTATAGACAAAAATCCTATTTAAGCTTTAGTAGCAGCGTTGTTGTTTTCATGAGTATTTGGCGTCACGGTGAGAGGAATGTAAGACTCCTTTGAGATACTTTTCTTTTCAGGCCGTGTGTACAAAAAGGTAGCCAGAATGACCATGCCACTTCCGACGAGAAACTACATTCTTGAGTTAGTAACTGTAACTGTTGAGATCTCGGAGAAGAACATACGCTAGCGCTGATGGCGAAATCAAAAAAGTAAACGCTTGCAACGAACGAAATTAAAATACTGATACTTGTAGCGAAGTTCTTCATAATGTTGTCGGCAAAAGCAACACACAACGCGACGACAATACCGCCAAAGGCTTGGAAAAAGATAGCTGTCCAAACCACATAGTTGTATCCAAAAAAGAAACCCTGATATGAAGATTAGTAAGTCACGCTCCGTGAGTTTTTGGTGCAATTCACTTACATGAGTAACGATGTCTGCGGCATTTTCCAAAAGATAGTAAAGACACATGGAACGAGAGAAAAGAAGGACAATTGAATGTTACGAATCCAAAGAGAAGACTTTGTGCCCTTCAGAACTTTTTCGAAGTAGACACCAGCCAAACCGCTGATCAAACAAGCAACGATGACAGCAACAAAACCGGTCTTGGCATTAAGCTCGCTGTTTTCTTCCGAAGATGAACCACCTTGAAGGTTTTGAAGTTGGACAACGGCAATACCGGCGGTAAGAACGACAAGCGAACACCATTTCATAAGGCTCAATCTACGTCCCAAAAGCAGAACCGAAAACAAAGCCGTCGTCAAAATCTTCAATTGATACGTCACTTGAAACGTTGCAGCGGGCAAATTTCCAGCGGCAACGTATTGAAGATTGTTTTGCAAGGTGTACAAGAAAGCAGGAATAGCAAGTTTCCAGCTGTCATTTGAGAAGATCTCGCGCAAAAATGCGTTTTTGCGGGCATCAGCACCGGCATTCTTGCGGAATTGATTGTAAGCAACCGCTGAACAAACGGACAACTTTATTAACTCGTTCAAGAGAACGGCCGTGGAGGTGATGTACCGTTTGTCCTCATAACCAGGCATAATACATGAGTAGTGAAGAATCTATAACTATTAGCAACAAGGAAATCTCAGCAATTAAGGCAGAAGATTGGCAATGGATGCACAATGTCGGACGCTGTCAATGACATACCAAAATAAGTGCAGAGTTCTGGAACGTGAGGAGAACCAATGAAATATATTTCATTGGAATCCCATGCCATGCTGTAACTTCTCCCATAGCCATAATAAACGAGAAAAGCAGTTCCTATTCCAGAGTGCTCTGGTTGAGAGCGATTTCAGTAAAGAGTAGTTCAGGTGGTGGTGAGTTTGGGAAGTCAGGCATGCATCACTGCAATGTTTGAACACCCGCGCAATAAATGCTTTCTGAGCCATTTTACTCCTCTTTGTAGACATGAATGTGCTATTTTATTGTGAAACTGTTAATGAAAAATTAGCGGCTATTTATTTGTGTAACGGTTTTGCTTATAGATCATTTTTTGGAACTTAAGTTATAATTGTCTGTACTAAGCTAAAAATCTATTCACTGCTATTCAAATGAAAAATACTCTCTGTAGACGCTCAAACAAATAACTGTAACATGTTTCTGTGCGGAATTTCGTCTTTAATTGTTTTTCTTCCGTAGCTCTATTACCAACGATGAACGATGAGGAACGCACTCACTACGTACATTAGCCGTTTTTTAAAATAGAGCTGAATTGGTACGGATTAAACAGTCGAGTATGTTCTAACAGTCCAGAGGTTACATTACTCGTTCTATTTTGTTATTTGTGAAGTGTGTTCTTGTTATTTAAGGGTAAAATTACAACTTGGTAACAATACAACAACATTGACTGTTATCAAGCCACTGTGATATGATTGAGAGGTTAAACGTTGCTAGGACAAGACTAAACGCAATGAACTCCTTCCCGTCTTCAAGTCAAGACCATCGTGAAAGTACACCCTTATTGGGAACAAATAATGACCCGACGTTTGCTCGGCATTTCTCATTTACGAATATGCTGCTTGTGACTCGCTCTGTACTTTTTTCAAATTACCTGAATATCCTTCTTGTTTTTGTTCCCCTAGGTTTAATTTGGGGTTGGATGCAATGGAGCGTTAAACTTATTTTCCTGTTTAACATGCTCGCCATCGTTCCCTTAGCTTCCCTCTTGAGTTTTGCTACAGAACAGCTATCTGCTATTGCTGGTCCTACTATTGGCGGTTTGTTGAATGCTACGTAAGTCTCAAGGTCTACAATGCGAATTGTAAACGAGCCAGTCTTTCTTTGGCATGAATTTAATAACTAACAATGATAGTTTTGGAAATGCCATTGAACTTATTGTGGGTATTTTGGCTTTAAAGGAAGGTGAATTGCGTGTTGTTCAAGCTTCTCTGCTTGGTAGCATTCTCTCTAACCTTCTTCTTGTTCTTGGCATGTGTTTAGTTGCTGGAGGCATCAAGCAGCAAATTTCAAAGTTTAATGTTACCGTTGCCCAAACAATGATGGCCATGCTGGCCCTCTCTACGGCGACTTTGCTTATTCCCGCAGCTTTCCATTTGACTGTCCCTCAAAATGCTCACAATGAAGATGCGTTGATCACTCTTTCTAGAGGAACAAGTGTTCTTGTGCTTATTGTCTACATTTTGCTTCTCGTTTTCCAACTTCGTACGCATCGTGATGTGTGCAATGATCCCGTAGCCGCATTTGAGGAGCCCGAAGAGCCACCTATGTTGGGCATCAAGGCAGCATGTGCAATGCTTGCCATTGTTACTGTCGTTGTCTCATTGTGCGCAGACCAACTTGTTAGTTCAATTGATGACCTTACAAAGGAGGTCAATATCTCTAAAACTTTTGTGGGTTTGATCATTCTGCCTATCGTTGGAAATGCAGCCGAACATGTGACAGCTGTTATTGTTTCTTTACGTGGCCAGATGGATTTGGCATTGGGCGTCGCCATTGGATCTAGCCTTCAGATCGCTCTCTTTTTGGCTCCCTTTTTGGTGCTGGTTGGTGCCTTTATATCGCAACCCCTCACCCTTTATTTTGAGGCCTTTGAAACTGTCATTCTTTTTGTTTCTGTTCTTCTTGTGAATTATTTGATTCAAGATGGTTCCTCCCATTGGTTGGAAGGCGTGCAATTGCTTGCTCTCTACGGCATCATTGTTCTTGCCTTCTTCTTATATCCAGATGGATCTGCTTGAAGTTTATTTTTATCACCGTTTGTATGAATTGTAATGGATGAATCCATTTTTTGAAAGCCATTTGCAATTACAGTAAGTAGTTTTTCCGTTCTTTTAATTGAAGAGGACTTTATGAATGAAACACTTTCCGTCTTCTTATGCTTTATCATTTTTGTTAGTCATTGTGTATATTTTGTATTGTCTTTGTCTCAACTTCCTTTCCATAAATTACCGCGACGTTTGATATCTTGCATTTCAGCAACCGCCTATTAATAATTCTTGCACATAAGTTGCGTTCTCTATTGAAGTAATATCATTTTCCTTTTTTCTGTTAATTACCCTATCGTTTTATCTACATTTTGAGTACATGGTTACCAGAATTGAGCAAATATGTCTGGTTCAAAAATTGTGAATATTGAGACAATCGAATTTCAAAAAGAAAACATTGAACCACGAAGAGAAGGTCATAGAGCGAGAGCACTTGAAAAGGCTTTTACGAGAGATCCCTCCGAGTCTGCTATAAAAGATATTGAAGCCACAAAACAATCTTATGAAGAAGCTATCCAAAACACTGGAACTACTGACGATCCTTTAGAACCTTGGTTAAAGTATATACAATGGACACTGGAAACTTTTCCTCAAGGCGATAGCAATGTAAGCGAGTTTGTTCGTTTACTTGAACGCTGCACACAGCATTTTCTTAAAGACCCTCTTTACCAAAACGACATTCGGTACCTGAAAGTTTGGCTACGGTATGCTCCATACACAAACGACCCTGCTGAACTGTTTTCCTTCTTGGAAGTTCATAAAATTGGACTTCAGTTTTCTATATATTATGAGGAGTATGCCAACTACTTTGAATCTAAAGGGCTGTATGCCAAGGCTCTAAGCATTTACAACCGTGGCCAAGAGAGACATGCAAGGCCAGCGTTACGGTTTGAAGAGCGCAGAAGGGAGTTTCTATATCGTTGTATGGAGAAAGCACCCGACTGTCTAAAAGAACAGACTCTCCCAGAGACTGCTTTACAAATCAAATTTGAAAACACGCTCTCGTTAGGCAGCGATTCATCATCATCATCAACTTTGTCTTCTCATGCTGCAGCGCATTTTCGTAAACCGGTACAGAAAAGAATCACCGTCTTTTCAGATGCCTCCGGCGACCCGTCCTCAACTCTTGATACAGCATGGGAACAGTTTGGCTCACGGGCTGTTCGAAGAAAAGAGAATACCATTTCAGCGACACCCTGGGTTGGAGTAACATTGCCAATCAAAAGCAGAAAGTCCACAACCTCTCATAAATTACATGTATATCGAGACGAACAAATCCCTTTACAACAAACACTGCCTCCAACTATGGAGGAAGATGCCAAAAGTGGAGTTAACTTTGCTTTTCACGTCCATGATTGCTATCCACAGGGCCCACACGGCATCGAACTTTCACCTGAAGAAGTTCGAGCGAAAAAGTACATAACTTTTTAAACAATGTACTCTCTAATGCATTTAAATACAACCCCATGTAATTCTTTTTATCTTCCTTACCCGACCTAATAAACTAAAATAAAAACAGAGAGCGTAATACGATAGAGAAGTCTTCTCAAACGTAGAACGCGTTATGCCGAACGGTATACGGCAGAAGCTGCTTTACCCAGGCGGTTCATGATAGCAAGTCCTTCATGATCTGATTCAACTCCTTCAACCAAAATAATGTCAATCTGCTTCTCATCCATATCACGGATCATAGAAAACAAGTTACGACGAATTTCTTTACCTGTGCGACCGAGACACATACTCACAGAAACCATATCGCTAAACTTCTCAACGTTCCAACGACAACTTGTTAAAACACCGATTTTTGGCGGTTTAGTGTTTTGATTTGCATGTAAGTAGTCATTTTGGAGGATATCGTTTGCTTCTGCTTCACTCATGCCCTCAAAGAGAAGAACCTTTGCAGTTGGTGAATAGTGTCTATACTTCATACCCGGTGTCTGGGGGACAAACGACTTCTTTTCCACATCATCTGTTGGCTTATAAACAACTGTACGACTCCAGACACCCCCACAAGACTGAATGTCTTCAAGTGAGATGCCACCAGGACGAAGAATAACAGGCGGGTCACAAAGTCCATTAACGACAGTGCTTTCCAAACCAACACCACAAGGACCTCCGTCCAAAATAAGTGGAAGCTTTCCATTCAAGTCATGAAATACATGAGCCGCCAAAGTAGGGGAAGGTCGAGTGGAGGCATTAGCAGATGGAGCTGCCAATGGAGCCTTTGACTTCAATATTAGTGCCAGCGCAACAGGATGTTCTGGCATTCGAACAGCAAAAGTGCTTTGTCCGGCGGTTACAACTTTTGAAACAGGAGAGCCTTCGGTACCTTCAATCGGAAGCAGGATGGACATTGGACCAGGCCAATACCGGTCTATCAGTGGTTTGTATACCAAAGGAATGTTTTCCCATAAACCGGAATCACCTTTTAATTTGTTTTTTTGTGTTGTAGAGTCTATAAGTTCACTAAGTTGTTTCAACGACCCAATATGAGTAATTAAAGGATTGTCAGCCGGACGATTCTTTGCCTTGTAAATGTTTAATACAGCCTCAGATTTGCGTGCATCAGCACCAAGTCCGTAAACAGTCTCTGTGGGGAAAGCTACAATTCCATCTTTTTGATGAAGGATAGATGAAGCTTCTTCCAGTGCAATTTCCGTTTCTTTAGAATGAATCAAAACCTTAGGATCCTCAAAAGGATGTTCATTACAAGAAGACGAAGGTTGAAATGTTATAGAAGTGCTGTCGACCGGTATTACTTTTGTATTCATTCTCGCCAACGTATTCGAAACCGGCGACCAAAAAAACTTTATTCTGCGAAGTAATTGCCTCGTTATTGATGTATTAGTTTCCCGTAAGGCAACTACTGCACCGGATTTTTTCAATGCCTGCAAAGTGAGGTGTGATATGGATGATTCGAACGAGTGTCCGTGGTCTGGCGGTGTATGAAATAACAATCAAGTAAGTAATAGAATGTCAGTAAGAGACAAATTGAAGACGTAGATGCAATTTAACCGTAAGTCACATCGTTCTATTTCCGATTACTTTACATTAGTTTGCTCATAGTTCTATGAAACATTATAGCTCGTTATGGCTCCCTTGCATCAAATTCATAAGTATGGGTTTAAAGAATACGATCAAACGCCACGAGAAGAAACGATAAAATAAGGAATACGATAAATAAACCCTTTGCTGCCCGACTGTTTCGTGAACGTGCTTGTTTCAGCTGAGTGTTTCCACTAGATATTGTATCAGAAGTTATCATAGCATCTTCATATAATTTATCCGTTTGTGCAGCTTGTAGCGAGAGCTGCTTTGAAATTTCAGCTTGCAGTCGTATAATTTCGTTTAAGGAACGACTCGTGTACTGCACCCGCTGCATAGTGTCTTCAAATTCTTGTAAGAGCAATTCATTCTCATCCTCTAGTTCCTGTATCTGAGTTTGTGACAGATTCTGAGAAAAGTCGGATTGCGATAATTGTACACGAGGAGGCGGCGAATAAGATCGATTCTGCCAGTTGTTGTTAAGTAGTGAGCTTGTCTTGGCTTGCTCAAAACGCGTTTCTTGTAATGTGAATAGAGTCTCTGAGACTTTGGATAACGAGTTCTGTAGAAACCATAGCACGCCAGAATGATGAGCTAGGAGCAGTTCTTTGCGGGCACGTTTTTCCGGGTTTTTTAAACCTTCGTACCAATGCTTCTCTCCAAGTTCAGTCTTAGTGTCTGAACATGTTAGTATGACGGGTCCACAGAAAAAGCTTCTATTCACACGTACTTTCTTCCGCTTGCTCCAATGCCTTAATCCTGCTAACACAAATGTTTATAATTGTAGAGGCCTCTTGGTCGATTTCATCTCGCTGAACATCACTAAGCTCGAGTTTGTCGAGCTCTTCTCGAGAGCATTCCATCAACGGTTTTGTTAGAGCACTGTAGTTTCGGACATGGATGGACTTCAAATAAGCATGTCTGATTCGAGAAAGAAAAACTTGTAGTTTGTAAATAGAGTTGTACTAATTTGCAGTTAGTTGACTGACTGGAATCAATTTACAAATCAAGACGTACTATGATTCTAGCCTCGTTTAAGAATGAGTCATCAAAGTCTTTTGTTTTCGGTCGTCGTAAACTGAGCTCCGCAAGCTTAACATTGCTGTCTTTCTCAATTAAACGGAAGAAGTCTAGTGTTCTGTCCGTCATTTTTGCAACAGAAGAAAATGAAAAAGACCAGAACCGGAATGTGTACAAGAACCAGAACTGAATACAGGACAAGGAAATTCACCTTAAAGGTATCCAAGTTCCAACCAGAATGTTTGCAAAAACCAAGCCGTATACAGCCTATTGAATTCCAAAAGTCAAGAAAAGTGCTGCTTATAAGTTACTACGATACCACAAGGAAAGCCCGAAAATTGAATCCCTCAAACAGCTTTTGTTAACAAAATAAAGATTTAACCGTAACAAAAACGAAGCTACCGCCTGATTCTCACCCACGATTTTGTGGTTGTTGTTTATGTACTACTTTCTTACTAGACAAGGTATACCATACCAACCATACTGTCTTCCAACACCATTTCACTGCCAACTTGTATCAATTGCAAAGTTTCTTGGTACAAGCGGTACCGTTTATCGGTAAGGAATCCAAAGCTAATTAGAGCGCATATGCTGTGTGTTATTTGCTTAAAACCTGAAGGTTGGTAGTCAATCCGTGTATTCTTGAGTTTCTCCGGAAACGCATTGTCCCGCTCTAAGGAGAATAGATCTTCGTTTAACGAGGAGTGTATGTGTACCAGAATTACAAAGACTACGGCCCTTTTCCGTTTCTTCCCGTTCCCTTGTTTCATTCAGTTCGTAACCTCGTTTCTTGCGTTTGTTCTTGTTCTTTAAGTACCCAGCGGTGAGAGAAGCAGAAACACCGCGTGGACGTTTCAACAATCCAAGAGATTTCCGTCTTTTGGAGCTTCTTTCGTTTTCCCCTTTAACGTTCAAGAGATCTTCTATCTCTCCTTTCCTTGGTTTATTACTTTCGAGTTTCTTTCTTACAAGAAATTGGCTCAGCGTCATTCTTTACCCCCATACAACTATTTAAATCGTATTACGTACGCCCAGCTAGTATTGCCTCTCTTGGCTAACGCTGCAAGAAACCATCTAACACTCTTTTCTTTTTAAATTTATGACAGAAACCCACGAAACAACGCTCGGGATCTTTCGTCTGACAACACCTTCCAAACGCGTAGCTCAAGCCCTCGGTATCAAAAAGAAGCACAGCAGCCTGAACGACGGGGATTCACTTCGTAGTTCTTCCAGTATCTCTCTTGACCAGCAATCCATCCGCTCTCACCAAAGTCAATCCAACGTATCCTCTACGCTTGTCAGTACCTTAGAGGAAGCTTTCTTTGATAACAAATCTCGCTCGTCGCTTGGAGCTGCCTCTCAGTACGACCACAAAGATTTTGTTTACGACCGGCCGTTGCCGGACCCACATGCTTCGTTAAAAACAACGTCGGATACTTCAGAGTATTCTGTCAACACTCAATCCACAGATGGTAGTTCATCTTACCATTCTTTAACTAACAGCGACGGTTTTATCGCTGTGCCTCAAAACAAATCAGGCATGAAAACGCCTACTTTCGAGTACAGTCGCAAGGCTTATGGAAGAGCGGAAGCCAGAGAGAGACGTAGTACTTCCTACTTTATTGGAAAGCTTCGGGAAAAACTTCGAAGAAAGGATGTATTAGTTTCGTTAAATGCATCTCTTCGAACCGAACCTGTTCATTGGCTAGATGCCTTTGCCGAACAAGGCGGCCTTGCGTTGCTTCTTCGTCTTCTCAACAGCATTGGCTATGGTGAAAAGCGAGTGAAACATGCCGACATTGAAAATGAAGTTGTTAAATGCTTATATTACTCATTGTCTAGTATTGTTGCACAGGAACGACTTTTTCAGGTTGTGTATGATACTCAAGGTGCATGCTTGGAATCTGTTATAGAGTGTTTATGCTCCATCGACTTAAGTGCTCGTCGGTTTGCTGCTCTTTTGCTCGCTTTTTTTTGTGATGATAAGAGCGATCGTAGTCTCCCCTTAGTCTTGGCCTCTTTCCAGGCCAACCAAACTCGGACGCATTCTAAAAATATGTTTGGTCCTTGGATGGATGCGTTACACAGTGCAGTCTTCGGAAAATCCTTTGGACAAGGTACTGATCCGGGTACGGCCGATGAAAACCTTTCTTCTTTGACGAATACTGGTCACCTAGCAGACTATGTCTGTGCGAATATATACTTGGTGAATTTAATCTGCGGACATACTCAGGCTGCTGACAAACAAATGAGTTTAATTTTAGAATTCCTTAAAGCGAACATTTATGGATTGCTTGCTCAACTCGGAACATGGCATAATAGAAAAATTGATGAACAGGTAAGCATGTTTCATTCAATTACCTCCGCATTTAAGGAAACATATGTTCGTGCTGATGATGATGCCGTCTCAACGAAAGATTCTATACTTTTAGAACCCAGTCACTCTTTGCCCTCCATACCAAATGAACATTCTCATAATGAACAAGAAGATGATGTCGTGGAAAAGTCTGTTTCCCTTTATCGGAAATTTCTTCAGAAACTTAGACATGAAGAACTACAGACGGAGTTCAATAGCATACTCCAACACCTGAGTGATGAAGATGACCTAAGTAAAATCTCAACTAGTTTGGATCTTTTGCTCTTTACACTTTCTTCAGTGAAGCAATTTCGTGCCCCACGAACGGATAATGAACGCGGTCTTGTTGTACTTGCACAAAGATTGCTTGATCGCATGAGTTCTGAGTCTCAAATGGAACAGGTCACTGCTGAACTTAAAAGTGTGAAAGCTGAAAACGAGCTGTTAATTTCAGAGAAACAGACACTCTTACAACAAATTGCTAAAGGATCCAATAATGCAACACGGTCTTTACGGGAACAAGTTGACCAACTTCGTAAGGAGCTTGACAAAAGAGATTGTGTTATTGCGCATTTAGAGCGCATAGCAAAGGATAAGAGTACTTTTATCGACGATGTAAAAGCAAGACAGAGCATTTACATTCCTCCAAAGGCTGAAGCCCGTATGAACTTTAAAGATCTTCGTGGAAAAATCGCTAGCCAGATTTCTGAACAAATTGAAGACCAAGTTTCACTTTTAAGCGTTGGTGCTCTGTCTGCAGTATATGATGAAACCATCAAAGAGTCTGCGGCAGCTCCCTTAAAACGGTCTTCATCAGTTGACTCTCTTGATGCAATGGAAGAACAGTTTAGTTATCGTGTTCAACCTATTTTCCAGCAATCGACTCAACAAAAAGTCGCTTCGCCAACAGGTATCATTGCTCCTTTGGTTAAGAGTGAGGCACTTTCCCCCAAAAAAGTGTCACCTGCCAAATTGTTTGAACAACCCGGTGCTACAATTGTCGAATCTGAAGAACTTGAATCTAAACCTACGATTTCTGCTCCTCCTGCTCCGCTTTCTCTTCCTGATGCTTCTGCTGCTGCTCCAGTTCATGCACCAGTTCCCTCGACAAGCTCTATACCTGCACCTCCTGCATTGCCGGGAACTGTTGGTAGTCCTCCTTCAGCTCCCGTTGCTCCTGCTGCTTCTTCAATCCCTCCGCCTCCGCCCTTGCCTGGAACATCTGGTCCTCCTCCTCCCCCCGCCCCTCCAATTCCCGGTGCATCCATCCCTCCTCCTCCCCCTCCATTGCCAGGTACTCTGGTCTCCTCCTCCTCCTCCTCCTCCTCCTTTGCCTGGTTTGTCAGGTCCTCCTCCTCCTCCGCCCTTGCCTGGTACATCTGGTCCTCCTCCCCCTCCACCTTTGCCTGGTGTACCCGCTGCTCCAGGTGCTCCAGGTGCTCCTCCTTTACCTCCTGCTCTTCCAAACTTATTGGGCTCGTCTGTTTCGCCTGGTGCACTTCTTACCAGCGCCCTTGCCAAGTACAGCAACTTTAAAACCTTCCGCGATGTTTACAATCCAAGTCGTCGACTTAAACAAGTTCATTGGGAGAAGGTATTCCCCAAAAGTGAGAATACCTTATGGACTAAGTATGCCTTGAATTTTGATGAAACTGTGAAGACCATTGAGGAAGCTGGTATCTTGCGTGACCTTGAGCGACAATTTGCTGCTGGACAAGTGAAAATTAAAGTGAAAAAGGAAACGAAAAAGACATTTTTGAACGCAAGTATTCAACAAAACATGGGAGTCGTTTTAAGAGATTATGCATCTATGTCTCCTGAGGATGTAGCAAATCTTTTGTTATCAACACCGACTACCAATGATTCTATTGTTAAGTTCTTTGCTACATCAGGTCTTACTAATGATGAAGGTCTTCGTAAATCTCTGCTTCCATATTCCCAAAAGTGTAAGAAGAAGGAGGAAGCAAAGAATATAAAAGAGCTGTCCCGAAACGAACAGATCTTTGTCCTGTTTGTTCTTGAGATATGGCCATATTTTCAAGTCCGTATGGATGCATTATATTTTAAGTCTTCATTCCAAGAAAACCTCGAGCTCGCAACTACGGCAAACAAGGTTGTTTATGAAACTGCGTCTCTTTTGATGGAGGATAAACAGTTAGCATATTTTATGCAGGTACTTCTTCACATTGGTAACTTTCTCAATGACGCACCTCGTCGTGCTATTGGTTTTTCCATCGATTCACTTGGACGTTTTGACGCACTGAAGGATTCTGAGGCAAAGCTGAACCTGATGCACTATTTCGAACGTGTTGTTCGCTACTACTTCCCAAGTCTCCAAGATTGCTTCCCTTGTTTTGAGGCGGTTGCGGTTGCAGCAGGCTACAAAATCGAGAGTGCCGAACACAGCGTAACTGAATTGTATGAAAACTTCAAGACAATTGCCAAGCAAGTGGAATCAGGAGCGCTCTCGGATCCTGATAAGTTACACCCCAAGGACAAGGTACGCGACGAGCTGATGGAGTGGATTCCAGAGTCTAAGGAAAAGCTGAAAGAGCTACTTGCTCTTCAGAAGAAAGCTAAGAAGGCACTGACGGAGTTGGTATCTTATTTCTGCGATGAAGACAAATTTGAAGTATCTAGAAAGACTCTATTCGAAAAGCTAAATGCTTTCTTCCAACTTTATAAGCGTGCACGGGAGCAGAATCTTGCCCGCGAAGCGATTGAGAAAGAAAATGCCAGACGAAAAGAAAAGGTGCGCGTTGTTAAAGTGAAACGGCCTCCTCCTCGAAAGGAGCCAACGTTGATTGACATTCTTTTTGATAATCTCAAGGCCGGCAACTTTAAACTACGAACAACACCTCGAGGCAGTAGCCTTCGGGCTAATGAAGATCAAACGACTGACGGCCTTTCACGAGAGGAACGTGTATTACAAAGTCCGCTTATTCATACACATCCTAGTGAGGGAGTGAATCCTGTTCTTCGAGCCCAACGTCTTCTTCAAGATTTGAGAATCTCATCGGTTTCTTCAGAAACTGACCTCTCTTCTGACCAGACCAAAGAAGACCAAACAAGCGATAATCGCGCAGATCATGAGGCTGCCCTCTACTCAGAATTACAGTTAGCTGCGCCTAAAACAAGACATCGTTCTCAATCACGGGCTGCTTTTACTCAGCCTTCGAAGGCACGGGATATGCTATTAATGCTCGAAAAAGATAAACTTACTTAGTCTTTCTCTAAAGCCCTTTTAACACGTTTCTACCACACTTGACGTTTGCAATTAATTAGATTGGTAATGAGTCCTGCTGGACGATTTTGTACTTTACATTTTTTCATGATGCCAATAATCTTATAAAGAGTCAACTGAAACGGACACCCTAATCAACCTCATATAGCAAAGCTATTAAATAAATATAGATTTAGATACACCTTCACCATTTTGTTAATTACACTTGATCCTAAGCTAAAAAATATGCGGGCCAAACCAGGGTAATAGTTTCTCTTCTAGTCAGTAGAAGCCTCGACTATTGACATTACTGATTTTGGATTTGTACATTGTAGAACTTGGAACTTTTCTTAATTTTATTTCTTCATATTCTTTGTTTTTGTTTCCATCCTAGTTCCAACACCTCCGTTCATGTTTCAGTACGAAGCTCTTATAACTGGATGCAATAGGATTCCGGCTGCGGCATCTTGGGCGTCCAACGACATCCTTGCCTTTGGAGCAGAGTCTTTGGTAGCTGTCGGTGATCCTGTACGTAGTAACTGATTTTTCAATTTCACTTGAAGGACATTCACTAACACGGCGATTACAGCTTCATGGAATCAATTGTCTTCTATCTGGACACAAAACTACTATAAACTGTGTGAATTTTTTGCAGTATGATGATGCTTTACTTATATTTTCAGCTTCTATTGACGGAGAGTTGAAATGCTGGAAAAAAGGGGGAGACTACGGTTATGATTGTGTATTTACCACTACTTTGTCTTCCTCCATCAACTGTATGTGCATCTACGACGGTATTGTCGTTTGCGGCTGTAGCGATGGTACATGTTCTGTCTTCAGTTGGGATATCACTAAGCAGGAGCTTGTGAAACACACAAAAATCGAGTTAGAGAATTGCATACCAATGGCTTTGTCTATGGTTAACTTTCAGGGCTGTAAATACTTGCTGTTGCCGGTACTTCTCGAGCCATCCAGATTTACACATCCTCAAATGATGCGAAAGAATTTCGGCTTGCTACTCGTTTGCTTGGACACGTTGATTGGGTTCGTTGTTTAGAATTCTACACGAATTCAAATTCAAAAATAACTTTGGCTTCTGGAAGTCAAGACAAACTCATTCGTTTGTGGTCTTTGACTTTACAAGCAGAGGAAGATGCTCCCAAGGATGAGGAAACGTACGAAGAATCTTATAAACTGAACTGCTAAAGCTAACCATTAAAGTGAACTTGGTGAAGAGTTGCTGATGAATAAGCCTTTCAAATTTGAGCATAGTGGAATGAACATGCAGATAGTTTTTGATGCTCTGCTACTAGGTCATGAAGATTGGATTATGACGATCAAGTGGAATAGCACAGGAGACGCTTTGTTATCGTCATCTACCGATTCTTCGCTCATTATTTGGGAAGCGGACAAACAAACCGGAATTTGGATTATAGCCGAACGTTTGGGTGATATCGCATCCTCTCATGGTTCCACGACTGCTACTGGTAGTGCAGGTGGATTTTGGGGCGGTTTATGGAAACCCGATGACTCAGCTGTTGCCTGTTGGGGCCGTACAGGTGGTTGGCGTATATGGGTAAATGAATCTGGAGAATGGGTTCAGAAATGCTCAATTTCTGGTCATGCTGCTCCTGTAAAATGCGTTTCTTGGGAGCCCGAAGGTCGCTACTTTTTGTCAACGGGTCTTGACCAAACAACACGGTTGTTTGCACCACTCAAGAATGGCGAATGGCATGAAATGGCTCGTCCTCAAATACACGGTTATGATATGAATTCCTTGTATGTGGTTTCTGCAACCAGATTCATCAGCTGTGCTGATGAAAAGGTCATGCGAGTTTTCGATATGCCTATCACAATTCTTCGGTTTTTGAATCGTATCTGCGGAATTGTGTTGAATGAAAAAAGCTTGCCTGAAGCGGCAAACGTCCCATTACTGGCTTTGTCGAATAAAGCCATTACTTCAACGGAGACAGGTACTCTAAACGCCGAAGAACTTCAGCAACCTATCACAGCAGTGATTGACAGTCTCAACGACGCGCCTTTGGAAGAACATCTTCAACGTCTTACGTTGTTCCCTGAAGTCGAAAAGCTTTATGGACACGGTTATGAAGTTTACGCTTGTTGTGCCACAAAAGACTGCGCTATACTGGCCAGTGCGTGTAAGTCTCAAACCCCTGATCACGCAGTTATTCGTTTATATGAAACTGCTACCTGGAAGCAAACACAAGTTCTCTCCGGTCATTCATTGACAATTACTACATTGAAGTTTTCGTATGATGACAAATATCTGTTATCCACTGGTCGTGATCGATTGGTGTGCCTGCACAAAAGAATTGAAGATTCTTTTGAGCCTTATGCCACTTTAAAATCGCATTCCAGAATTGTTTGGGACGCATCGTGGGCTCCCTCTTCGGCTGGTTACGTATTTGCTACCGGTTCTCGTGACAAATTCGTAAAGTTTTGGAAGCTAGATGAGGAGACAAAAAGCGCCAAGAACGTCTCGGCTTTGCAATTTCCCACTCCTGTAACAGCCGTTGATTTTGCACCATTCCTTTACCAGGATAAGCTGTTATTTGCCGTTGGTACAGAATCTGGAGCATTGTTTATTTGGCAATGTCCTCACCAGGATCTTACAAAATGGAAGCCCACTAAAGTACCTAATGAGCTTAATCCTGGTAAAACTATAACGTGTCTTTCTTGGCGACCAGTCCTCTGTGACTCCACTGTACAACTTCTGGTCGCTAGTGATGATACTTCAGTTCGCATACTGAACATAAAACTTACGGAGCTCTAAAAACGGTATGTAATAAAAGGTTTGGATATTTAAATAAATTACATTTTTACGGTGAAGGTATGAAGGAATTTTAAGGTACGGAAGTGAGGGACGACTGAAAATGTAAATATCCCTCAATCAATTATAATAGCAAAGAAGTGACCATTGCTATGATCCAAAAAGGGATCTCGATCAGGATATAAGTGGGAACATATGCATGAGAATGACAGTGGGTATACCGCATCAACGAGTGCAGAAAAAGAAGGTAACCTGCACTATTTTACCAAGACTTTTCAGACATGGTTGCAAATGAAAGGAAGAGAAAATAAATGTTCTTCAAGTTCCAAAGTAAATCACTTATTGAGACTCATGATTTCATAAGACCGCTATTAAGGCATTTCTCGTGTCCTAGGAACCAGCGTGAATCGTTGCTTTTTAAGGCTAGGTAACTTAGCAACTTTGTGAAAAGCAGTAAGTATTCAAAGTGAGCAACCTTTTCCAATACGAGTTGAAATTTGCTAACGCAACTGTATACTGCTTTTTAAATTTTTCTATCAATAGCACCTGTGTTGCCATTCTATGTGCTTGAATTGCTCTGACTATTTTGTGCAAGTTTTTGATTTTGAACTGCAATGCTTTGAAAGAGAGCTCGACAAACGGACATGTCGAGAGACGGAGTCATGGCTGACTCTAAGGATGGAGTATTAGAGGCCTCTTCTTTTTCTTCGCTTGCAGGTGGGTTTGGCTGTCTGTCACCAGCGAATGTTTCTTGGTTTTCGGAAGCTACGGTGTCATCCAAATTATCTTCCTGCTGTGATTCATCCAGTTCTGAGTCTAAAGACAAATTCGTTGGGTAAGAATAGCCCCGTTCTGGCGAAAACGAGGCTATATCCTTGACATCACTAAGCGCCTTTCTAAGGCAATAAGTTGCATTCAGCTGAATAGAATTAGTACGGTTCATTTTCCAAAACAAGACAAACCGCTTACCAGTCTGGTAGCCAACAACGTATAGGCATTTGGGGCCATGTAAATATTTTCATTGCAGACAAAGTAATTTGCAAGAGGTTTAACTGTTCTTGTCAGCGGAGTCTTGCGTAACAAAATAGTTACCTTCACTAGGGTTCAACCGATTCTGTTTCTGAATAATCCACAAGTCTGGAGGACGTTCGTGAATGATTACAAATTGAATGCCCTGTAATCTCTGTAATTGACTGTTCATATCGCCAAGGTCCAAAGCATTAAACTGAGACTGCATTTTCAACATCTGGTTGTTTGACCGTCTGTCATAAAATGGGGACTGAGAAAAGTATTCCAGGACTATAAATAAAAGTTAGTAACCCGCTGCTTGTGGAAAGCTTGTATCGCTCAATCATAATTACATACCATTTTCAGTTCGTAAACCGCCCATTGCCTGAACCCATTCAGGCATTCTCCATTGAATGCTAGTCAAATCCAAGTCTGCCGGGGGAACAGACGACATTTTGAGTACTTTATGTGTAACGTTGAGCTAGTTTTCTTCAAGTCTAAGGATTTTAAATGGCAGGAACATAAACAAGCAACCACAGTTGCAATTCCAAAAGAAAATCACCTTTTCAGCTTTCAAAAAACCTATTTCTAGCAAATAAAGACGTTTTCGTCTTTGCTTTTTGTAGAAACAATACTGCGATTACTGTTTTGCAGAGGAAAGGAGGAGCGCGACGCGAATATAACCAAGAGCTTAAATCGTTATTAATTAAAACGCGCTACGCGTCATAAACAATGAACTCTAAGCAAAAACTAAACAAAAAGTAAATTTACTAGTTTCGACATTTCTATAAAGTTCAGCAATATTAAAGTGATTTGTATTTGTTTTAGTAAGTTATGCTGAAAAACTGATAAAGAAGAACTTGAATATGAAACGTATAACAGTACGCTTACCTGAATGTTGAGAAGGGGACATGAATGAAAAGAGGAATGAGGGTTTAGACGGAAAATCGAAATCATCATTACCATGACGGAGAAAATGAAGGAGGGAGCGTAGCAATGACACGACAATTGTTGGGGAATGGTACAAACAAAAAAGCACTTTGTAAACAGAAAACAAAAATTGAAGGAGCAGCAAAAGGTCCACAGCTCAGCCTTGCTTTAAATAACGTAGCGGAAGTGGACATTGGAGTCATCCGCAACGGTAGCCTTCTCGCCAACATCGGCGCCCGAATCGAGAAATGCTTGTCGCTTTCTGTTCTGGCGTCGAAGATACATGATGGTAACGAAGTGCAGTATCGTAGATATAGAAATAGCAATCAACGAGGTAGCGTGTCCTGCGATGTATTTCGGGGCCCAACGATAGATTTGTCCAGAGAGAATACCAGAAGAATTGGCCGTAGCCATCATGAAACTAATACTTGTCGCACGTTTGTAATGAGGAGCGACGTTTCCACTAATCCATGTAACAGGCAGACCAGCACCGGTGTAGATACCAATACCACACATGTAGCAAGCAAAGTACAACACAGATGGATGACCTTGTCGAGTAAGTAGGAGAATATATCCAACAATTGGGAAAATGTTGTTAATGATCAAAACAATACCGCGAGACCGAATACGATCCGAGATGTAGGAGGCCGTAAGGAAACAGACAGCTCCGACAGCGTACACGGGAATAGTCAAATATTGCACGGACAAACCCTGATGACCCATAGCCCGAATGATGGCAGGCAAGAAGGTACTGAAGCCATAAAGACATGTATCTTGGCCGAACTCGGCAATGGACATAATATATAATTTCGGATCAGAGAGCGCCAAACGGACGCCTTTCCAGCTCCATTTTTTCTCTTCCAGGTCGCCTGTGCGAGCGTTCTCGCGAATGCGCATATGTCCACGCATTTCCGAGTTAAGGAACCATGCATTTTTCGGGTCATTAGGAAAAACAAAGAAAGCCATAATGCTACACAGGAACGACAAGATACCTTCAATAACAAAAAGCCATCTCCAGCCAGCGAAACCAGCGACGCCATTCATCTGCAGAATGCCGTATGCGAAGAGACCACCGAACGCGCCAGAAATAGCTGCTGCTGAAAACAAGTATGCAATTCGAGGAGCTAGCTCCTCTCTCGTGTAAACCATTGTCAAGTATACTGTCAAGCAAGGGAACAAGCCAGCTTCACAAGCACCCAGAATGAGTCGAGTAGCAATAAGACCCGAATAATTCTTGACAAAGCCGGTACACAAGGTGGTTATACTGTAGGCAAAAATAATGAACGAGAGAGTTTGTTTCGGCTGAAACCTCTTCATAAGTAACGTCGTCGGCATTTCAAAAACAATGAAAGTGGCATAGAAGATACTCGTAGCAACATTGAATTGGTTTCCTTTAAGGTGCAAGTCCTCTGGAAGCCCTGCGACTTTAGCATTGCCGATATTGGTACGATCCAAAAATGCGACCATGTAAATAATCATCATGCAAGGAGCAATGATCAAGTCGAGTCGTCTGAGCAGGCGACGATGCTGCTCCGGCGAGATTGTACTGTCCTGAGAGCTCGACTTTGAGTCCACTATGACAACCGCATCCTTACTCTCTAAGCTTTCCTTCGTATACGGGCCCCGCTGGAGTTCAGAATTAGGCACCTGCGAGCCATGGGATTCGAACGAGGCTCCCGACGATCTGCCACTCACAGGGGCGTCGAGTGCAGTGGGGGCCTCTGTGGCCATGTGGCGGTGTGTGGGGTTTGATAGGACTTCGGCCATGCGGGACTAATAATGCATATTAAACCCGCCGTGTATCCGGCGCCCTTTTATACTCACAAGACCATGTGACTACCCACCTTTTGGCAGCCAATCAGAATGCGAGCCAGGTCATCGTGACGAGCGAATGAGATCACAGATCGGGATCGTGGATGCTTAGAAGATCGGAAATCGGTCCCCACAAAGTCACCACCAAAAATGAGCCCCGGGAGGGCCGCTCTTCACCGCGGGCCTCCCGGTCGGCTTGCTCATGTCTAAGGCGGGGAATGCGACGATGGATGTCGCAGATAGGAAGAAAAAATGTCGGGTTGTATTCGCTAAATACGGATTTACCGTAGCAAAAAAAGAATTAAGCTTCTGTCGGGTGATCAAGCATCCATGGAAGGATGCACGCGCAATCCGAGCATTGTTAATTTGTGGAAGCAGTGATTGATGGAAATAACCGGTAAATATGGACAGCTGGATGAGGAAAAGAAGAAAACATTAAGGTATGTGAAAATTAAACAGCACAAGACGAATGCAGTCTCGGGACGCGGACCGGCGATGACGAGATAATATCGTAAACTTTGATTTTGAATATCGGAAGCAGAGCCCAGCAGGCTGCTGCCGACTAACATAGAGATTTGTAACAAATTTCGGAAGGCGCAAGTATTTGTCCTTTTTTTCAATAAAAGGGTATGATCCTGCATCAGTAGAGAGAACACGTGCGGGAAGTTGAATGAATCAAGCATGCGAGCAAGTAGGCGCTCCATTCACTGGGACGCAGAAACCGCTCGCACTAACCTTCATGCTTCAGATCGGTTGATTTGGAAGTAACATTGTGCAAGTAGCCAAACTCGAAAAGCTTGTTGATGATTTCTTCCTCGCGTTCGAGAATTGATTCGGAACTAGGAAGATTGTCAAACAGTTCATTTCCTACGTAACTCGAAGACGAAGAGTCAAAGAGCAGAATGTAGTGAAAGTTGCTTGGCTCCATTCCGAGTGCAGGATCCATCTCTGCGTCCTTCAGGCCATAACTCTCGGCGAGTGCCAGCTTGCGCTTGGCAAGTTCGCTTCGGTAGCGTGCACACAATTCGGCAAATAAGAGCAACATCTCGTAAAAGTCGCGCACGGAGTTCCACACGCCCGACATTTTCCTCAGATGTGCAATAGCGAGCGACAGGCGTTCGGGCGGGGACAACGATATGGACGGGCACAAATGAGGGAAAGTTGCTAGGTGGATGTTGGCTGCGATTCCCATAAACACGCAAAACGTGATAAACGGGTCAGGAGGGGCCTTGTTATAATGTAGCGACTGCTCCAACAGGTACAGAATTGCATGTGCACTTAGAAACATCTCCTCTGTTGTCCGGTACCAATACCCACTTGGAGCAGCACCAAATGGATGCAAATTGTGCGGCGGCCCTACATAGCGAGGTGTCTCCATCGCATTCACTGGCACATACTCTCGCATGAGATAGATCTTGCACGCAAAGAAAAGTATGTGCATAAATGGATATGCAACATCACTGAAGTGTGATAAGCATATTCGCACATTCCCAGCGGTATAGCGCAGCAGCGGCGGCAATGCTTGGTGCCATTGATGCAGCTTTTGCAGCAACGTCGCATATGTGGACGTTGGATCCCATGGCGGCTTGAAGTCAGAGTCTTTGTACTTATTGTATACCCATGCGTTTATGTCACTCCACAGAGCAAGCAGTTCGGTCGTCGCTGCCAAAATAGTCTTGTTCGAATTGTACAAGCTAGCTTGTAGCGGATCGACCACACTTGGCGGTAGTAAATTGGTGACGCTTGCCGGTAAGCTGATGCGAATTTTGTTCAGATGAACCCGGAACGGCCGGTTTCGTCCGGTGGAAAAGATACGGTCAAGAATGAAACAGCACCACACTGTCCTCCGCATCGACTCCTGCTCGACAACAGGCATGTTTGCTGGCACCTCGAGATGCAGGCGCAAGGCATACATGGTGTCAATGGCGAGGCCCAGACGGTGCCATGCTTTCTGGTATTCGGCAATGTTCCATTCATACTTGCACATAATCAGCGTCGCCTGTAAGAATTCAAGGTTTGGATTGCGAGATGCCTGCACCAACATTCGGCTTGCCTGCTGACCGTACAGACGATGATCTAAAAACTTGCTGTCCACACCGAAGGGCTCCATTAATGGCACCGTAACGGCGAGGATGCAGAAGAGTAGCGCAGGAGAAGCACTTCCATGCTCAACGCGCTGCAGCAGAGTTGTACGATTAATGGTAAAGAGGGGAGGGAAAGAAATGAAAAATTTGATGCAAGCGCTTCGAAGTGCCTCTTTAGACGGCAAACTATGAAGAAGCAATTGTTAGCTTTGCACACTCCGCGCTGTTTAACGCACACAAATAACACTTACTCAACAACGACGAATGATGGTTCTTGTCGTGGAAGGGGAGCTGCCGCTGGTCCGGAAGCGAATGGAGTGCAAAGATCCGAGCACAGCTGCTGGTCGCTTGAAGTCAATAATAATGCATTGGAACACTCGTAAGCCGATGGTTGGGTGGCGGAATATGTGTTGAATGTGGGAAGTTGGGAAGATGAGGTGGTAGAAGCAGAATTGCTAATCGGGGGAGACAACTGCGTTTGCGACACATTTTGCTTGGCAGCAGCTGCACCGACAAACAAGCTACTGTTTGTGGGTGTGCTGCCGGCATTTGCGTCCGCAGGCACGACAGCCGAATCTGTGTCATTGGCACTTGCTGGTTTGGGGTTTGCGCCGGAAGCGGAAGATGTTCCGCGCTTTTTACGAGGTTTTCTCTGGTAATTGTAGGAGCATTCGCGATTGTAGACCACACACATGCGGCATCGTGTGTTGCTGCTCAGCTTGGCACACTTGAACTTTTGCTTCCTGCACAGGCGACAGAGTTAGTAAACGAGCTCTAGGGACTTACAAGCCAAAACGACCAAGGGAAACAGGATACGCAAGAGCAGCTATTTGCTCCGCGACAGCTGACGCAATGCTTTCCAACAAGCGAAGCCGCCGAAAGAGCTAGTGTAGTGCGTGAGTGTGTGTGCGTGTATCGGAAGCCACACATCGGTTTCTCAGCCGGCATGTGAAATACGCCATACAGCACACTCAATCATTCAATTAAGTCGTCTGCGCATTCTCTATCGGCCAATCGTAACAGCTATCATATCGTACCTGCATGCATCGCAAGCTCTGCGCGTCCTACACATCCTTTTTTTCTCAACACACGCAGCGAGTATCGCGACACGAAGTGTTCTTTGATCGGCTCTCCTAGTTGAGGATCTGAATATAGCTGTGAACCACGAACAGGATTCGTGGGACGCTGATGGTCGTTGGCCGGGATCCGCCTTAGTCCACGCTGACGTTTGAAGCCGTGTTTCTGCGAGCTCTTCGTCGGGTTTTGTCTCTTACCGTGACCGCGGCAAAACACACACACAGGTCAATGCCGTAGCGGGGATGCACTACCGAGACAGCCCTGTCTTCTTTGAGTGGTGCAGAGCGGGGGAATCTGGTGCAATTCACACAAGGACAATTTCTCAACTCGATACACTCGCTCAATTCTGTGAGCGCTACCGGAACAATCTAGGACGTGGGCCCTAACTGCGTGAATGGGTGCGCCACGGACTCTGGAATGCCGATGCCGGTAATTAAGTCAAGTCTCTGACTTTTGCTTCTCCGGCTTAAGCAACAGGCCACGGCATATATAATCTCGACTGCTCGAGCCCTCGCGAACCGGGTGAACCTACCGAGGGCCTAAGAGATAGAAATGCATCGCCGCGAGAGAACAAAAACTTGGGACCATCTGCAAGCCAATCAGTGATCTTGATAGGAAGATATGCATCAGGGATGTGTAGAAAGGATTCGCGCACGGCAGTTGAAGGATCAGCGGCGGGGAAGGGGGCGGCCATGACGAGAAGCCGGAGCGAACGACGCGAGAGGAGGTGCCAATTTCTGTGATGCCAAGCAGGGATTGTTTTGACGAGTGTAATTGCCGTAGACGCGCCCGGTGCGTGCTTCTCGTGTTTTTCAGGGCGAAGCGAAGCGTTTTCCCCGGTTTCTGGCAGAGTTCGTCCTGACTTTTTCGGCACTTGGCGTATGCGACGTCAACTGTATATGGCATCACTTAACACGTCATCTCTGAAATCCAGCGCAAGCGAGGGATCAGCGTGACAATCATTGGACGTAATCGCTCAGCCCCTGCACGTGAATCGGCATTTGTAATACAGCAGAAAGAAGGCTTCCCCTCAGCCTTTAGCGATTGGCTGGCGCAAACTGCCGTTGTCGCAAACGGCGGTGTTTCAGGGCCCAAGACGTTCGGCTATCGCATAGAGCTAGGTGCCCCGATTGGATGTTCACGTGACAGCTCGTTCGCATGAGACAATAAAAACTAAGTTTAGTGTTCGTTCCGCCAGTGAGAAGAGCTTGAAACTTGCGCTTACTTTCGAGAGCGTAATGACGTAAGCGAAACAAAAATCCGATCTAACCGAAATCGATTATGCAACATCCGGAGGAGAGGAGGGAGCAGGAGACCGTGTGTTTAGTGAGCGGAAGAATATGGAACACGCACGTAGTAGGACTGTCAGAAATCAACCGGAGAAACACTGCAGCGCTAGGCAGCTCGGTGCAGGGAGCAGCCCAGATCGCATTTCTAGTCATTCTTGGTGAACCGGGCGAGCTTAGAAAGCCTCCGCTGGGTAGAAGGCATTGGGGAGGATTGGTGCTGAGTGTGAGTGTGGTTGGAAGAGGGTAAGTGAAAGGGAGCAGTAGAAATTCATTTTCCGCCGAGCACCTACGCGACGCGTCTATCAAAGAAAAGGGTTTGTTCACATTTACGTCACAAACCTTGTTTTGCGTGTAAATTTAGTGGCTGTTGGGAGTAGGCCACTGGGAGTGCAGAGAGCGAATGAAAGTCTGTCTTGCTGTCGAATTCACAGACGACTGTGTGCAGCGGGGTCGCGAAATGTGCGCATAGTGCGTGCTTGGTCCTTTCGTGTTCCAACGCACGGACAATCATTTTTCTCAAACAAACAGCATGCAATGAAGGACGCGAAAAGGCAGAATGCTCTAGCCAATCAGCAAATTTTGCGACACTAAATGCACTTGTAACAGCCAATGAACATTGCACGCGCTCGCTACTTTCGGCCTGCATTACGTTTGGCCAATCACAATGCGATACTTGCGACAGTGCGCGACTGGTTGAAACAAGTGTGGAGTAAAAAATAATAGTATTCTTAACGAAAAAGGTGTAAACAAAAAGGCTTTACAAGCCAGGTGTGCGCAGACTGACGCGCAACGTCTAAGCAGAAACACCGTAGAGGCGGTCTCCAATGTCGCCGATGCCGGGAACGAGGTAGCCGCTGGCGTCGAGCTTGGCATCGACGGCGCCGACGACAAAGTGGACACCAGGCATGTTTTCGAAGCGTTTCAGGCCCTGGGTGCCAGCAAGGACGCTGACGAAGATGATCTCCTTGGCACCCCATTCCTTGAGAGTTGCAATGACGGCGTTAGCGGTGCCGCCCGTGGCCACAACGGGGTCGAGGACGATGGCGACATCGGTGCATTGTTTGGGAAGCTTGTTGTAGTACTCAATGGGTTGGAGAGAGGCCTTTTCACGGAAGATGCCAATGTGGAAGATGGGGACGTCGGGCAGCACAGTGGAGTAGGCGCTCATCATCGACATACCGGAGCGAAGGACGGGGACGATGGAGACCGACTTGGAGGGACTCAAGTCTCTTGTCGTTTCGTAGGCCAGGCACCGGGCAATCTCGTCAATAGACGCACGAACAGCCGAAGGAGAGAGCGTGCGATCACGAAGCAACTCGATTTGTTGCATCACGACGGGGTGAGAAGAAATGGTGATGTTGGCAACGGTCATCTTGAGAATTCGAGAAATTGGTATGGAGAAAGACAGAAAGAAAGAATGAGTGTTTGTTACTGAAAATTAGTCTTCAAAAGACAAAAGCAAAAATCGTTAAACTGAAAGGAAACACGATGCTCTACTGGGAGCATTCCGGCCTCTACTTATACTTTCACATTTGGCCAACAATGACTATCACAGACAGACTCACCAGCTCACCGCGGGATGCCCGCGGTGTCCAACAGCACCGATTCTTTGGTGTTTTGCTGTGAGCCCTTTCCTTTGGCAGCCTTGCTTGCCCCCCGTACCGCGCGCAACACACTCCCTTTGTCGTTTTGCTCCACCAAAAAACGGTCTGTTCCCCCGTGGCTGTCCCGCGGTTCCTTGCACCAACAGACAAACATCTCGTTTGGCAGGATGGCGGTCTGTAACGAGGTTTACGAGACAGATAAGCATGTGTAGGGGATATATAAGACACGAAGGATCAGTAGAAGGTGTCTTTTTCCAACTTTTACTCATTGACTACGAGATCTCGTAGTACCGTACCAGAAAACAATTCCAGGACTTGGTTGAACAATAGAAACAGGATCAGTCCTCTGTTAAGTCTTTTTCTTTCTCTCTTTCTTTCTTTCTTTCTCTCTCTCTCTGTCTCTCTCCCTCTCTCTTCTTCGTTTCTGTCACATTGTCCCTATGACGGCCACAAACTCTGTTGACTATTTGCTGTCGCTTCCCAGCATTCGCGAGACTGCCCAGAAAATTTTGGCGTGCGCGGAACGGGATGGACTGAAAGCATTCGAATTCCATGCTGAGAAAATGCCCGAGGTGGCCGACTATGTCTACTCGGTCATTCGACGTGATTTTGAGGGCAAGTACGGTTCCATCCCTCCTCATGGCCGTTGGCAACACTTTGAAGTTGGAGGTGTGCCTCGTTTGACTCAGCTGGTTGAAACGTGGCAGCAGTCAAAAAGTCTGTCTGCACTCGATGTGTGCAAGAGAGTCATTGATGTGACGTTTGTCAGTGTCTTACTTGATGCTGGTGCTGGAAACGTCTGGCGTTACGTTGATAATGGCGCTGAATATGGGCGTAGTGAAGGTATCGCTGTCGCTAGTCTTCGGTGCTTTGAAGCCGGGCTGTTTTCCAGTGACTCGGAGAACCCATTGCAAGTCGACGGTGTTGGACTCGAGGGTCTGACCGTGGAGACGCTTGGCGCGGGAATGCAAGTGACGGAAGACAACCTTATTGAAGGCTTGCAAGGTCGTGTGGCCATCTTGAACAATTTGGGCAAGTCCTTGGGAAAGGGTCGGCCTAGTGATATTCTTGACCGTCTTGAGTGCACGTCATCAGGTGCGACACTCGACGTGGCCAATCTGTGGACGGAATTGCAGCAGCTGTTGCTGCCTATTTGGCCAGAACGGACTGTCGTGGGTGGCCGCAACTTGGGTGATGCCTGGTACTCGAGCACCATTCAGGAAATCCAGCCCTTCCACAAATTGACCCAATGGCTTGCGTACTCGCTGCTCATTCCTCTGCGTCGAATCCTTCAACTTGAGGTTTGCGGTGAGGAACAGCTCACCGGTTTGCCAGAGTATCGGAACGGAGGTCTGTTTGTCGATCTCGGCGTACTCCGCTTACGGTCCACATACTCTCCCATTGCCGTTTACGCACCCAACAGTGATGTTATTGTCGAGTGGAGAGCCATGACTGTTGTGCTTTTGGATGCACTGCTACCGCTTGTGAATGAGAAACTTGCAGCCGAAGGTGCTGCTCCTCTTACGCTCGCCCAAATGCTCGAAGCAGGCAGCTGGAAGTCGGGTCGTCTGCTGGCAGCCAAAAACCGTAAAGGTGGTGGCAGCCCCATCCTTATCCAAAGCGATGGTACTCTGTTTTAAGACGGTATGGAGTCGTAATTTGGTGTGTAAATGATACTATTAGTTTTGTCTATGCCGACGGATGTAATGTAAGGAATTTTATCAAAGAGTGAGACAGAGAGTCTAGTTACAAAGTCAAGTTTCATTTTGTAGTTTATTCTAAATGCACTGATCCTCGGGTTATATACAGGTCTTTTGTGCATCTAGACAATTCCGAAGCCACAGAATAGGTCAATGGAAACAAACAGCGAGGAGTTAAAAAAAAGTGTTCGTACAATGGATGAGAAACTGTGCTCTGAAATTGCCGAGTTTCTTCCTTTTACTTTTAGAATAAAGCAAAAAAAATAAAGTTCAAAAATTTTGCGATCATGCGAAAAAACCATTTCATAATGCAATTCTTTTCGAGTAGCGGCAATGTTATTATTATGGTTTTGTTTTGTTCGCATGATAATGATTTCGCTTTCAGTTCCTAAACTAATTGCCTATGAGTGATCTTCTTGTAGCACTTTATTGAGTAATGTAAAATTAGATTAAATTAAAGAGCAAAAAATATAATTAATAATTTTCTGGTAAAGAGAGGAAATCTATATGCAGGAAGAATAATAAATATTATTGCGCTGAACATGATTTCATTAAAGTAAAATTAGTTAAGAAAAGAGAATACGATATTATTTAAAAAAAAAAGAAAAAAAAAAAAAAGAAAAGAAAAACGAAAATCATACTATTACTCTTAGTGGAATTATTATAAAAATGAAAAAGGAAATGTAGATAAAATTAAATAAAATAAAATTAACAAAAATTATAATAATAAAATAAAATAAAAATAAAAATAAAAAAACTCATAAAAATCAATACTCTACAATCATCAATTGAAACCATCAGCAAAACCAAAATGCTACTGCATCCTCACTGCTTCACCGCGGCACTCACCCGCATCTCTCGAGTTCTTCTCTTTGTTACTACCGCTCCAGCGGCCGCGGGTTCATCACAGATAACAACTCTGTTTGCCTTCTTGCTGGCCTGTCGCCACAAGCCGCGCTTTTCCCGGTCGCCTTCTGCTACACCAAGGCAATCCCTGTGCGATTCCACGCTTGAGACACACAGTTTATCCTCGGCTGACCCACGGCTAACAATTTCAAGACTCTGGTAATAAAGAATCATGGCTTCCTGAAAAGATATATAAGGCGGCTGCCTTCTCTGCAATTCAACATCAATTCATCAATTCATTCTCCTTTCAATTGATTTCTCCTCTTCTCATCGAAGCTTGGTGAAATTTCAGAATCTACTTGATTAAATTTTTTGAACGACTTGTTTTACTCTATTTTCGTTATTTATCTTCCAATTCTTTATTCCAATGGCTATGCAAAGTGAAGTTTACGCTCCCAAGTCTGCCACCGAGGTCAAGAAAGCTGCCAATGCTGCCGAAGAGTCCCAAGTTCCCAAGAAGGCTCTCTACGACCGCCCCGTCATCTTGACTTCTTACCCCGGCCAGAACCGTGTGGATCCTTTCCCTTTGAAGTGGGGTGCCCCTTCTGCTGAAGAACGTGGCCCCGTCACTGTCGCTCGCAGCATCGAAACTTTGCCTCACCGCAATGCAATTGGTGCCCACGGCGGTAGCTACTGTGTCTACAACGCTCTCGCAATCGCCGGCGGCTTTTTGCCTGCTGAGCACAAGCCCGACTTCACTCTCACCGAGCCCGTGTTTGAGTTCCCTGAACAAGAATCCTGGCACGGTGTTGAGAAGATCGTCGCCATGGATCCCTATGGTCATGAAGTGCCTCGCTTGTTCAAGAACTACCTGGACAAGGGTTACGATGTTCGCCCCACCATCGCCATCACCAAGGCCCACTTGCAAGTGACTGAGATTATGAACGACGTTAAGGCTGGCGAGCTCGAGATCGATGGCAAGGTTGTCCTGAACGAGAACGGTGACATTGCTATTACCAAGGTCGCCGTCGACCCCGTTTGGTATCTTCCTGGCGTCGCCAAGCGCTTCGGCGTTGACGAGGGCTCCCTTCGTCGTGCCTTGTTTGAACAAATGGGCGGCGCTTATCCTGAACTCATTACCCGTCCCGATATGAAGGTGTTCCTTCCTCCTATCGGCGGTCTTACTGCTTACATTTTCGGTCCCCCTGAGCGCTTGAGCGACCCCAAGTACAGCCTTGCTCTCCGTGTTCATGATGAGTGCAATGGCTCTGACGTCTTCCAAAGTGATATCTGTACTTGCCGTCCTTACCTTGTTTTCGGTATCGAGGAAGCTGCAAAGGAAGCCCAAAAGGGTGGCGTTGGTCTTGTCGTCTACTTCAGAAAGGAGGGTCGTGCACTTGGTGAAGTTGTCAAGTACTTGGTCTACAACAAGCGTAAGCGTACTGGTGACTCTGCCGAGAACTACTTCCTTCGTACGGAAGAGCTTGCTGGTGTCCGCGACATGCGCTTCCAAGCCCTCATGCCCGACATTCTTCACTGGTTCGGTATCAAGAAGATTGACCGCATGTTGAGTATGTCCAACATGAAGTACGACGCCATCGTCGAACAGGGCATCCCCATTCTCAACCGTATCCCCATCCCCGACCGCCTCATTCCTCCTGACTCTCGTGTTGAGATTGATGCCAAGATTGTATCCGGTTACTTCAGTGAGAAGCAGGTCACCGTTGACGACTTGGCCTGTGTCCATGGCCGTAACTGGGAGTAAGTTTCCTGGCCCACTGTTTCTAATTATTTCCTTCCTGTTTCTACAACTCACTCGTTCTTTTCTTTTGCACCTGCTGTGCGTTTCTTACAATTCTTGTTGTGTTACATGAGCATGCAACTACGAACTATCATGTATTCTGTTTTACATAGTGAATTGATCTTTTTGCGTAACTACGTATTCTGTCGCATCAATTTTTTAAACTAATTTACACTCAACAAACGCACACTTAAACGAATATAAACGGATGCGCTTCGTCTGTTGTTTCCTTATCAATACCGTTGTTTTTACTCTTCTGCTCCTTGTACTCGGCGCTCGCTTACGAAAATAACCGTGTGGGATGTTTTTATGCGACAATAATTTGTCGCAAATGCGAAAAAGGCGACAGCTTCCAGTTCATTAATTTGAGCGCATGGTAAACCTTAATTTCCTTCGCGACGCGTGCAGTAGCCAAAAACTTAGAAACATTGATTTAGTAAAATAGATAAGACACACAATCACGTTTTCTAAAATCGTGGATAATAAAACAGAAATATCTTGAATGATGAATCTCATGTATATCGAGGGAACATCACATCGTCAACCAATTGATCCTTGCCGAGTATCAGTTTCGGTTCGCAACTCGCCCATCCCACACATGCGCTTATCGACTTCCTCTCATAACGGGTACATAGTCGGACAGATAAAGGGTAGACGCTTATTCGGGCCAGTTACGTGTAAAGAAATGCTTTATAAATCTCATATCGCACCATTGATGTGGTTCTGTTGGTGTGGCCACAAAATCTGCTTTCGAGAATCATTTTCCCCTGGCACCTTTGAAAACGTTGTCACTGAACAATCTCGTAGCGAGAATTTATCGGCGCCAGAGCATTCTGTACAATTTGTTCAGCGATATTAACAAAGATTCTGTAGCTGTAGACGTTTATTTTATCTCGTAACTGTTTCTGACATGAACGGACCTAACTTCCATCGAGCTCCAAGGTCGCGTTCGCGACCGCCATCTTCCTCTATAATAATGATTAAACGAAAACGTGCCTTAGAAGCCTGCGATTCATGCAGAAAACAAAAGACGCGGTGTCTTTCAGGCCCTGCAGACGATGAAAACCGTTCGTGTCTTCGTTGTCGGTCGTTACAGTATGTGGTTTGCGAACGTGTGCATTTTCTTCTTTAGATTATGTTTTTTCAGTAAAAACTTCTCAAATCTGGTTTTTGCGTTTTTTTTTGTCCCGTAAAAAAGAAAACTTTGGCGATTTGTGCCGTTCCAAAACTGAATTCTGTTATTTTTTTGAATCCTACTAACCACTCGATTTTCAGACTTGAATGCAGCCTTCGCAACCCAGATTCCGAGGTCCATAAGACGGATCCAGACTCTTTGGATGCTACAAGTGTGTTTATTAACACAAATCTGGAAAAACGGTATGACAATACGTGAACTGAGACTAAATCCGAGTCTAATCACAATTGTGGCAGCTAGAGTGATTACTAGCTTCTACAACCACATGGACCTGACCTCTTTGTCTCCTCTTCATTGTTCTTTCAGCAATCAGCATTTCTAACAGCTGCTCTTTTAGACTGAAAATACTAGAAAAGGCAATCCATACAATTTCAGCGTCTTCCCAATTGAACAAAAACACATGGAACAGCGACGACATTATAGTCAATGGTCTTCTATGTATGGACGAGATAGAGCTGCTACTGGACATCTTTATTGAGCGGTACGGTCGTCGCTGGTTGTCCATTGAAATGACGAGCACGGAATACTTTGAGCAACTGTATCCCAAGTCGCCGCTCATGTTGGCAACCGCTTGCTTGACGGCTCTTCGTCACAGTCAGGCCCTAAAAGCTCGTGTTTATGTACAACTACTTGATCTCGTTGATCGGCTAGTTGCGCAGGAATTGCTTACTTCAGCACCCTCTTTGCACTTTTTTGAAGCCGTTTCCATTCTTACTCTCTATTCACCTTTGAGATTTGCACAAAGACATGATCTGTGGCTGCTGAGTGGATTTGCTCTTCAACACCGCGTTCTATCCAGCACGCGAGGTTGGTTTAATGGCTTCGTTGGTTCGAGTGCCACGCTGACGTACCTTGACATTGTGCCAGCACGTACGTGGAATCAGATGTGTCACGGACACCTAACTCTTTGTATCGGTTATCGGCGGCACGCTATGTTGGATGAAAACAACTTTGATCAATGCCGTACTATACTCTCAAACTGTAAGGCTAATGAGTTTGACGGTAACATTCTTGGCATGCTTGCACTCTACTCTATGCTCTACCGGTTTTTGCGTTCCGATTTTGATCTTGACTATGCAATCTTTCAACTTGAGGAATGGAAGAAAGAATGGAGCCATTTGTGGAAACAACCTGAACCTGAATATTCACAAATTGCCTATTACTACGCATACAACGTCGTTTACGAAGCGTGCATCCAAATTGCCCTGCAATCCAAAGACTCTTCCACCGTTCCTCACTACGCAAGCATGGTGGAAAACTATGCCGTCAAAACGATAGGTGCTGTAATGGGACTGTCTGCATACGATATGTCTCGCTGTTCTGATCATGTTCTCTTTCATGGAGCTTTTGCCTGTGCTAGTCTTTTGCGACTCGTGCACGCAGCAAACTGCAAGGCTCCGGGTTCTTCTGCTATTGATGGTGAATCACTGAATGCCATTGTGACTAAGTGCTGGAAGTGGTTAGTCCTCATCAGCGTTGACGAATGGCATTTGGCGAATAAATTCGCCAATTACGTGAAGCAGTACCAAGACACTGTGAACAATGGGACACAAAGCTCCAGATGGTTTAAAGGCCCGAGCAATCCTGTTAGCGAGTCTACTGCACTTGCGCTCAAGCCTTACATACTCAGTGTTGCAACAGTCGAGCGCTCCTAAAAGCTTATCCAAAACAAAGTCTTTTTGGTGCCTATCTTCTATCTTAACGAGTTTCTTTACCGCGGTTACTCCTTGGTAGCGGTGTCCTTCGTCCTTTGCTCCACCAAAAAATGCTCAAATGGGACTAACATTTCCGCGGATGCTCCGCGGATACGAAGAGCTGTTAGTCGAGGAAATTCCTCGGGAAGACATTCTTGAATTTAGTGAGTATCGCTGGTCTTATGACAAAATGGGTTTTCCCGTTATATAAATTGGAGCTCAGGGGACTCCCTAAATCAATTTTTATCTTCTTGAAGCAATTTTCTAATCATACCCTTCTTCGAAATTATCTTTGTGTTCGGCACTCAACATTATGACTGTTATTTCATTTAAAAGTGTTCAAACGAACCTACATGTACTTGACCAGACACCGTTCTTATTGTCGCAAATGACAATTTTGCGCGATAGTACTAGCTCGCATGCAGAATTCGTTCATGCGGCAAACCACATCTCTCGTCTAATCGCTAGTAGTGCTCTTTCGCATGTTCGGACAACAAAGAAGATTGTTCGAACACACAGCAATGAAACATACACTGGAATTCAATTCTCTCAGAAGGTTTGTTGTGTAAGTATATTACGTGCAGGCGAAAGCATGGAATCGGCAGTCCGTGAAACCTACGGACCCCTACCTGTTGGAAAGCTGCTTATTCAACGCGACGAGGTGACAAGCAAGGCTGAGTTGTTTTATTGCAAAATCCCAGGCGATGCTCCAGAACGTGTTGTATTATTGCTGGACCCTATGCTGGCTACTGGCGGATCCGTTATGCTTGCTATTCAAGCACTCATTGATCGAAATGTGGATGAGTCGAATATTGTCTACTTAAGCTTCATCTCAAGTCGAGCTGGAATCGACCGACTTTTGACTAAGTACCCAAAACTAAGAATCGTTACGGCTGCGGTGGATCCAACTTTGAACGAGGAGAACTACATTGTTCCTGGTTGTGGTGATTTTGGCGATCGTTATTACGGTACTTCATCAACCATTGCTTAATGCGAGACTTCTGAATGTTTCCCTGAACCATCTCTCTCTTTTTAGTTATGTTTCACCGCCTGTTTTCGTTTTCTTTACAGAGTGGAGTTTTTAACGACAGCCTGTCTTTCTCGTAACTCTAATCTCAGTTACTCTTCTTCACCCTGTTATGTAATTCTCGATACCTTTTTATATTTTCCCTTTGCCTTTTCTTCCTGAAGCTATTACTGCATCCTCTAAACGTCCCGTACATGATTGTTTAACTATGCACAAGTTTTGAATGGATATATACACTATGTACATTATTGAAATGATCAATTTCTTAAAAGAGGTTTGCAGGTGGCATTGAGAGATGAGATTTAGAATGCGCAAACATAATAAATATAAATGTTTGCCATTTTTTAAACCTCTTTTACTTTTAGAAACAGCTTACAGCAACCCGTAACTCCCGGCCTAGCGGACTTTTCGCTGTTAGCTGAATAAATCTCCATTGACGCGACAACGGATTGAACAAAGTGTCGAATTAGCAAATGGTACAAAAGAATTAATAATGTAAGTATCATGAATGTCTTCGAGAAACATCAAGCAACATCAAAACAAAGGTAGAGCAGAAGCGTCAAAACAAGGTATGTAACAAACCTTAATAAGTGAGAGCGTTTAATTGCTTTCCTTTATAGTGGCCAAAAAAACAAAAACACAACTCGTTTAAAGAATTTGTTGTATATCTGTTTTTGCTTCATCCGCCTTTGTCTTAACAGGCTTTTCGTCAATTTGCAGTCCGTCGATATACTCGACAGAGTCAACAGAGGAAGAAGCCGCTTTCTCACGTTCCAAATCGCGAGCCACAATGTAATCCTCAACCTCTTCAGGTGCTTCAGCGGACCACTTGTCTCCTGCCGCTTCAACGGGCCATACACGACAAATGATAATATGCGAGATGAATGCGACTAAGAAACCAAGGAAGTAATTGAGGCGGAACAGCGTGTTTGCAGATTTAGGAACCTTCGCACCACAGGCCCCGAAAAGACCCACAATATTAACGAGCATGCCCAAAATGTAGGAAGCGAATCCACGCAGTGAAATACCCTTCCAAAACCAGTATGGATTGTTTTGAAAGCGCCAGTCGTAAATAGAAGCAACCTTAATATAACCCTTACGGACAATATAGTAATCAGCGACAATGACACCAGCAAAGGAAGAAAGGAAAACGGAGTAAGCTGAAAGATACGTTGTAAACTTGTTACTTGAACTCAGCAACTTCCACGGACAAATGCAGATGCCGACAATAGCTGCTATGTAACCGCCACGACGAATGTTGATAAGCATTGGCAATAAAGCCGACATGTCATTGCCAGCTGACACCGAGTTTGCTGCAATGTTGACACCCAATTGGGCTAAGCAAAGACCAGCAGAAATGAAGAAAACGCCAGCTCGAGTTCCATGAGTTGGTTGGTTATCGAGGAATGAAGCCAACAACTGTGTCGGATCCCAAATGGCAGCGCCATAAAGAGCTTTTGAAGCAGAAGCCACCATAATTCCGATGAACGAGGTAATACCAAAAACAATTGGGATAGTCACCAATTGTGGTAAGAATGAACAACTTGGAGTCTTGGCGAAACGAGTAAAGTCTGGATTGTTCACAATCAGGGTAGCAAAGCCATCAATGCAATTTACAATGCCATCAACAATCGCCCAGCCGTGATCCCAACGATTAAGCTGCGTAGATTCATGAATTACAGGGCCCAAGCCCTTTGCTTTCACGACTGCCCATATGAAAAAAGCCCAGGCAGCAATTGGTGCCAAATACGATTTGACCGTGAATAAGTGACGAATTTGGTATACGGGGAACCAAATGGCAACAAGAGAAATCAACCAAAATATGAAAAAGCCTAGCCATTCATACGTTTCCGTTCCACTGGACGCCATTGTGTTTTTGATATTCTTAAAGGAAGGCCAGATGGATCGAAGCATAAGCGTCACCGTTTCTCCGCCGATCCATGCTTGAACACCATACCAAATACAAGCCAAAACAGCACGGTTAAGAATGGGCCAAAGTGAACCCCATGTTCCAAATGAGCTTCGTACAAGCATAGGAAACGGAGCATGATACACAGCACCGGCACGACCAGTAATGGCAACAAGGATACCACAGAACAGGTAGCCAACCCAAACACAGATCCATGATTCCCACCAGCTTAAGCCAGCTTGGATGGTGGTGCCAGCAATCATCCAAGTGTTAATGTTCACAGCATCTGCCATCCAGAAGGCAACATAGTTCCAGGGCCCCCATTTACGTTGTTCTTTCGGTACAGGTTCTAAGTCTTCGTTCTTTAAGAAGCGTTCTGGCAAAGACATCTTCCGGTTTGCATCAACCAAAACCCATGGTCGAACAGTTCTCCAAAAGCGACTCATGATGGCGATGGGAAACAGAAAGAGTGGTTACAGCGAATGAGGATGAGAAACTTTAATGAGTGACACTGAATCAGCAATTCAGTTTAAAGCGAAATCACAAGAGAGTTGAAGAAAAGAGAGAAAGTCGTGAAAATTGGAGATATGTTAAACAAATAAGGAAAGAACGTCTACGACAGGCGTATACTGTAGTAATAATGGCAATAAGAAGTTCGCAAAATGAAATTGGTACTCGTAAATTTGTCTTTCGCACGTTATGTAAATTTAACCATTCACAATGACGGCGTAGCACAATTGATTGCGAGAAAGGTGATACCCGAATGTAAAAGTCGTAGATATTCCAGAAACAGGGTTTTGGTTAATGCACTCTGAACTGGAAGTCAATCGGCAAAAGCGAAAATAACAGAAAAATTGAGAAAACAATAAATATGACGCGTTCGAATGTCAAAAGTTGTCCGTGTCTTCAAAAATGTGATTCCATTGAAAGCGACCGACTTCTTTTTGTAGGCAGGGGCTTGAGTTTTCGCATAGATAAAAGCACTTTTGAGATTATCAATAAAGTGTGCGATACGACATTGAAAGGTAAACAGCTGTAACCTCGGATAGACAGGCAAGAACGCATAGTACATTTCTTTCAATGTTGCAATTGAAGATGTAAATGGGTCGAAAGATTTTTGTGAGAAAAAATAGATAGACTTCAATGAATTGAAGTTGACTTCATAGGCGGAAACATTGAATGTTCACGAAAGTAAAGAGTCCAATTCAGTACGATTTACTAAGTGACAATTAAGGTCCATATTGAAAAACCACGTGCGGTATTTTTTACCGGATTATAGGGGAAACACTTAAGTAATCAGGTATCGCGACGAATTGCCTTGCCGCAATATAGCTCTTAAGCGAATAATTTAGAAGTCAGCAGAGATAACGAGCCGCGGTAAAGACATTCACTCATGAACTGCACAGTAATTGCAGCGACATATCGTGTAATGGCTGAACACCGGTACATTAGAGCACAGTAAAAGGCGTTATTAGAGATAACGGATAGCCACAGGACCAAACAACATGAGCGACGACAATGATAGTGATGCATCTGATGTAATACTGTGTGGTTTTTGTTTTGTCGTAAAAATGAAAAAAAAAACAGAGCCATGGTAAAAGAAATGAAACAAAGATAAACTTTGAGAAACAATGAAATGGGTTCGTAAAAAGCGCAGATGTAACAAAAAGCGTAACAAGCAAGATCACGAAATGTAATAAATAGGATCCGCTTACACAGATGAGAAACCTCTTATGATTCTTGTTTTTCTTGCATGACTACCCGACTGTGAAGTCGAATTTGCTTGACGAAGAAACAACCCAAGAGACCAATTATAGCCAGCGGTAGATTAACAATCCAAATCATTCGCATAGCATTTGCATATGCCTTTAACACAAATATGCGCTGAGAGGAATCAGATATTGCTTGAATTTGAGCGTAATTCAAGTCTTTAGAAATGCCTGTACCGGCCAGGTTTGTCGATATACTTTGTTCGTAGATGACGTCTCCCAATGATATACCAATTGAGGAACCCATGTTACGTACAAGCATGAAAGCAGACGAGGCAGTTGCGACAAATTTTGGGGGTACGGAAGCTTGGATAGCAATAAGGTTCGGTTGGAAGAGATTACCTATACCGGCACCAATCAAAGCCAAAAAGCCTAGAATGGACGGAATAGATGTGTTGTAACGGATGGCGAGCATAGAACCTGCGCCCGAAAGCAATAGTACCCAACCGAAGATCATAGGGTATTTGTAATTGCGCAGTTTGCCAATGACAAACCCACTGATGGCCGAAACGGCCGAAGTGACGGCTGCAAGCGAGAGCGTGTGGACACCAGACATAAGTGGTCCATCACCTTTAATTGTTTGAAAGTAGACGGGAATGTAATAGGACACATTTGCCATGATATAATAATGTACAAAGGCAGTCAGTAGAATAGCTGTCGTAGAGAGGGAAACGAAAAGTTTAGGGGGGATGATGGGAATGCGGCGAGTCCGGGCCTCGTTAATAGCACACAGAACGATGCAAATGACACCGATGATGATATAGGAAAGTACGTTTGCACGACGCCATTTGTTTGTCGTAGCACCTATAGTAAGTCCTAGTAGAAACAAGACAACGCCGGCAGTGACCGTTACAATGCCCACAAAGTCAAAGGTGTGCAAGAACTTGTTGAAGGGAGTCTTGGGAATTGGCAACGTGTGCAAGAATGACACCAATAACACCAGTGACACTCCTCCGGTAGGCAAGTTTATGAAGAAGATCCATCTCCATGTTGTGCTTTGAGAAATTGCACCGCCCAACAGGGGTCCGAGAACGGATGCAATTCCCCACGTAGCACCTACCATACCAGCATAATATGCTCGGGACTCTAATGAAGTAATATCGGCGATGACAATTGTCACGAGCGACATAATCCCACCGCCGCCTACGCCCTGTACGGCACGGCAAACAATAAGCCATATCATGTTTTGGGCAGCACCACACATGGCGCTGCCGAAGAGAAACAGAACGATGGATGAGAAAAGAAGGAGACGGCGGCCTACGATATCAGACAATGCACCGCAGAAAGGCAAAATGGCTGTTTCTGCAAGCGTGTATGCAGTACCAATCCATGAATACGAAGACTGACCGTTCAATTCCTTGACAATGGTAGGCATTGCTGTCGTAACAATTGTCGCGTCTAAAGCAGACAAGAAAATACTCAGTAACAAGCCGGGAACGACCAACAGTAAATTGTTGTGAGGGATCACTTGAGTGTACTCATCAATTTCCTCTGCTCCGTTCTCTTTAGCTTCGTCCTCCGTGGATTCATTGGAATCATAATAACGCCGGTAAGCGTGAAACTGCTGCTCCGTCGAATCTCTCGTCGTTAAAGGGATGTCCGATACTTGAGAGTTGGACTGTGTTCCATCTTGAGGGAGACTGGACATCTCGTACTCGGGTTCTTGGCTGTTTTGTTTTGCTTCCATGATGTATGAACTATTTGCAGAAACGCGTAATTCTCTGCAATTTTTTAGTATGTTCACCAATTAGTCTCAAAAACTCTGTTCCACTGTTCAAAATTTCGCGATTTCCGTTTTTTTTCCACGAAAAAAAGAATTTTGTGATTTCAACGCGATTTTCCTCAAAAGAACCTTTGTTCTTTGTTTAGTATGTATTCATGTGTTCTTATGCGTAAATAATGCCTATTTTTCCCGTGTTATTTAGTCCTTAAAAAGCCTGGTAGTGTGTTTAGGAGAGGACATCTCGCGATCGCGCTTTTAATATATTAGAACTGAAACTTAATTTAGGAAGGGTCAGGCAGTCCAGGTAAGATGGTTTAGTTGATGCAGGCGTGCACGTTTTAATCGCTTATGGGCGCAGGTAACATTGGGTAACATCACCGTTTTGCAGGGGTCTACACGACTATCGTTACACATTTCCTCTCACACCAAGGATGTCCTCGGCGGAACCGCGGAACGAGATCCGCCCTTGTTCGGTACAGAATCGGGGGAATGGAAAGAGGAAGAATTGTCTATTGAATGTTTCTGTAACGCAACTGTAGGAACCGAATTAGATAATGTATAAGATGCAATGTGTGAATATCATTTGTTGTCATTATAGTGGCAGATTACATGTCGCTGTGTAGAAGTTGACAAGTATGAGCGGCACAACATATGTCAAAGATTAATAGTGCGTGTATGATGATTGTTTAACGACGAGAAGAACAGAAGATGAAACATAATTTGTTTGAAAAAGAATCACGGGGCAGGTGCTGGAGGAGGAACGGGTTTCTTTTCATCATCAACATATTCTTCATGTCGAGTCATCGGGTACTGTTTAACGAAGAAGGTCAAGACCAAACCAATGCAAGCAAACGGAACGATGAGAATCCAGATAGCCCGGAAGCTTTTTCCATAGTCAACAAGAACATGCTGACGATCCGTGTAGTCGGATATTGACATGATTCCACTGTAAGTCATGTTCATGTAATTTGAATTTCCATGAAAGTAATTCGAAAGCTCTCGCATGTACACTACTTGGCCCAGGGCAGCGCCAAAACAGGAACCGAGATTACGAATGAAAAAGAACATGGAACAAACGACGGCAACATCTGCTGTCGATGCACTAGCTTGAATAGCAATTAGAGACGGGTCGAACAACGTACCGGCACCTGCAGCAGCCACGACGGAATAAGCAATGATGGCACCAATGGACGTATGGGCGCCGACCCGTACAAGCAAACACGAGCCGACAACCGTAACAGCCCAACCGAAAATGAGACAGTACCAATAATTCTGCACGATGGCAATTACCACAGGCGCAATAGCTGCAAGACAACAGCAGGCAACAATACAAGGAAGAGAGTGCAGCGAAGAGTCCCAAGCAGAATCACCTTTCACGGTTTGGAAGAACAGCGGTAAGTAGATGAGAACAACTAGATAGCAGAAATAGTGACAGAATGAAGAGATGCACAAACAGACAACACTGCGATCCTTAAGCAGACGCACGGGAAGAATAGACGTCCGGTGACGCAATAAAACTTCATTCACACAGAAACCGGCCATGCAGACACCTCCGATGATGAGATAGCACAGGACATTTGTACGATTCCATTTGTTGGAATTAGCGCCCAACAACAGACCGAGTAACAAAAGTACAACACCGGCTATAATAAAAAACAGACCAGAGATATCGAAGTCTTTCAGGAATTCGCTGAAGGTGAATTTTTTTTCAACAGGCAATAAGTTTAGAGAGTAGGCCAATATAATCCAGCTGACTGCAGCTGTAGGCAAATTAATGAAGAAAATCCAACGCCAAGTAGTGTTTTCCGCGATTGCACCGCCAATCAAAGGACCCGCGACAGAAGCAATGGCCCATACCACAGCGATAATACCTTGATAGAGACCACGCTTACGTAACGGAGTAATGTCTGCCAGAATGATATTGCAGATGGACAAGGCCAAACCACCGGCAATACCCTGCAATGCACGGCAAAAGTTCAGCCAGAGCATGTTTTGTGCAGCACCACACAGGCTACTTGAGAACATGAAGAGGAAAAGAGAAAAGTACAGCACAGGTTTGCGACCGACCATGTCCGAGACGCATCCTACCAAAGGCAGCACCGCTGTCTCTGCGAGTACGTATGCGTTTTCCACCCACGAATAATCCGCAGAGTCGTGAAGCTCACGGACAATCGTAGGCATAGCATTCGTCACGATAGTTTGATCCAAAGCTGACAGGAAATCTGCCAGCATGAGTCCTGGAAGCACCAACCAAAAATTGTTTTTCGGAATTCGTTCAGTCATATCAATTGATTCCTTTTCATCCATTTCCATGTGATCCTCGTTCCCCGTTCTTTCCTCATTACCGTGATCATAAGGTTGGCCAGGCTGTGCTGCTTGAGGGACCTCCGTGTGTTGAATCCTTTCAGACACCGTTTTTTCGAGTTTCAAGTCCAGCGACATCCTGTCCGCCGACGATTCAGACACAGATCGTTGTACATTGTGCCCAAGAACACCCATATTGTGTTTAGGAACTATAATGGGACAAGATTTGACGGAACCATGTTCTTCCTTGCTCTGCCGTCCTTCCATTTACAACCACAGACAGAACCAAATAGACCGAAATTTTTCAGAAAAAAGACTGTAGTATTTCCAAAACTGGTGGGAATATCAGAGAAACCAATTTCTTGTAAATAGCACGATAAACGGTGGTTTTGGGAATAATTCGTCCTGCAACAACCTCAGACCGTGTATTGGGATATAAGCGTTTGTCCTTCCCTAGCCGTTTTTACGTCTCGGAAAAGGTAGAGGAAACGTGCGATTAAGAGACTGCTATAAAAGGCGGATATGTATCAAAAAGTGTGGGCACGGGATGGAGAACTGTAATTGAGCCGGCAAAAGCAACAAAGGAGCGCCTTTTATTAAGAATTAAACTGTGGTAAATCCGATCTGCGTATATCTTGTTGGGTTCGTTGTTGAATGACCTTGTCAATTGCTGCTCGGATATACTACTCTTAGGGCGTGTCTACTGGTGTCGTTGTTTTTATTATGAGCCGATAAACTTTCGCAAACTAACCAATCATATTAGTCCAACGGATCTCTGGATCTAAAAATAGATTAAAGAATGAAAAAAAGAACGGGGAAATACTTTAGTGGCGGGAGAAAAAAGAGAAAACAGTTGAGGGTAATTGAAGGAGAAGCAGTAAGCAACCCATGGTGCAAACCGTAATGAACCGCTGGCGATGCTTTTTCATTTCAAGACGGCTGAGTAGCGTAATATTGCATTCCGTTAAGCGAAGTGCCGATCCTCATTTCGGTCGCTCTAACTACGTCATCGCAGCTTCATTCCTATCAACGACATCTAAGCTAACCAATAGTTTTTGCGTGAAATACGCTAAGCGACATCCTCCAATATTATTCGCATTTAAGGTTTAGCACTCTCACGCGAGAAGCCAAGCGAAATCCCTCGACATTCGTGGGTGTTTTTCTATTATCCGTCGCTCTGTGTATTTGCTGGCTTTGCAGGCAAACACATACATTCACCTATTTGTTAAGACAGTTTAGCTTCCTTTTTTGCTTTAAAAACTGTTTCTTATCGCCAGCACTGTCCATTCATTTGCAGCAGCTGGACGCGCAATTATGTAATAATGATGTCATAGCAGTCACAGCGACTCTAGTCTAGCATTCGCAACGAATGAATTCTACCCTCTGCAAACCACTAGATAGACCATTGCATATGCCACGTCCAGGGAGTCGTTTTAAAGAAGTCGATGCTATATATCGCATTTAGTTATCGTTGAAACGAGGCGTTCCATCCTCTATAAAGGAGGTTTGGAGCTGTCCTGGCGTTTTCCTTCAATAACAACAATTTCACCAGAAACTCTTAGGGCAATTGAGTCTCAATTGGTTTTTTAAACACTTCATATTAACTTGGTGACAATACGCGGCCAAAATCGGTATTAAGAGCTTTTAAACACAAACTTTTGTTTCCGAGGGACACGCACGTTTATTTTGACATTCCTGGTCGTTACACTTAGGATCGGTCTCTTTTTTGAGCTATCGGTCACATTATTATTGTATGTATGCATGTTTTGCTTGACGTTAACGATGGTAGATTTTGTATTTCTACTGTATTTACTGGCAATCATTTATACCAGACCCCTGTCGCAATCTTTGAAGCGACAGTGATAAGACTATCATCCCCAAAATCAAGTGTAACTATATTTTTTAGGAAAACAAGCGAAGTTTGTTGCAGATCTTTCACTTCGTCTGAATCTTTATAATCTTGCTGCTGATTTTTCTCTCTTTGCAATTGACCGACGTTAAACCATGGCTACATTAGGGGCAAAGTTGCGCCGAGCGAAAGAGAGCTTCTTTAGCAAAGCTTTTTGGGTTGGTGACTATAATTACCTTGACATGATTGTACCGGCAATTCCCTTTACGAAACGTCGGCCATCGCAACCACCGTTTTTCTCACTCAATGATTCGGTGCCTTTGCTAATGTCGGTCCTGTTAGGTTTTCAGCATGCCTTGGCCATGGTTGGCGGCGTCACAACTCCTCCTCGTATCATTGGATCTGCAGCGAACTTGTCGGAAAAAGATCTGAATTACCTGGTGTCAGCTGGACTGATTGCCAGTGGCATTCTTACATTGATTCAAATTGCTCGCTTTCATATTCCTAAAACGAAGTATTACATCGGAACGGGCATGCTCTCGGTACTTGGTATCTCTTTCACCACTGTGTCAATTGCCCCGAAAGCTTTCCAGCAAATGTACGAAAATGGCATGTGCACAATTAATGAGAACGGTGTAAAAGAACCGTGTCTTGCAGGCTATGGCGCTCTTTTGGGCACTTCCTGTGTGTGTGCACTGCTCGAAGTTGTCTTGTCTTTCCTTCCTCCGCGCATTTTGAAGAAAATGTTTCCAAACATCGTTACCGGCCCAGTTGTGTTGCTCATTGGCGTGTCGTTGGTGAGCACTGGCATGGCAGATTGGGCCGGTGGAAGCGGCTCGTGTACTGGACATCCCACAGAATCGCAAATGCCGGGGTACTCTTTGTGTCCTTATGATACAGCACCACATGCTCTTCCTTGGGGAAGTGCTCAATTTATTGGTCTTGGATTTAGTGTTTTTGCGACGATTATTATTTTGGAACGTTTCGGTTCGCCTCTCATGAAGACTACTTCTGTTGTAATTGGCTTGGTAGTTGGTATGATTATCTCTGCGGCTACAGGCTATTGGGACCGCTCGATCATTGATGCAGCTTCAGTCGTGAATTTTAATTGGGTTCGTACGTTTCCACTCAAGGTTTATGGTCCTTTGGTATTACCGTTGTTGGCTACGTTTATTGTGAATATGATGGAAGCAATTGGCGATATTGGTGCAACGTCTGATGTGTCCATGTTGCCCATTGATGGTCCTGAGTTTGATTCTCGTGTTCAGGGCGGAATTCTGGGTGATGGCCTCGCGTCTATTCTTGCCGGTCTGATGACCATTACGCCTCTCACAACATTCGCTCAAAACAACGGTGTCATCTCTCTGACTCGTTGTGCCAATAGACGTGCGGGTTATGCCTGTGCTGGCTTTTTAATTATCATGGGCTTTTTTGCGAAATTTGCTGCAATCTTTGTTGCCATCCCTTCGCCTGTCTTGGGGGGAATGACAACCTTCTTGTTTTCTTCTGTGTGTGCTTCTGGTCTGCGTATCATCTCCAGCATTAAGTTTACAAGACGGAACAGGTTCATTCTTACGGCTTCTTTGTGTTTGGGATTAGGTGCTACAATGGTACCGTCTTGGTTTACCTACTTCTTCACTTATTCCGGCGACAACAAGTCGTTGCGCGGTTTCCTGGATGCCATAACTCTGGTTATGGAAACTGGTTTTGCATTGTCGGCGGTAGTTTCCATTGTGCTCAACTTAGTTTTACCGGAAGAAGAGAATTCGCCCCTTAATGATCACGGAGAGATTCGTGTAGCTGAAGTGGAAAATGTTGTTGTATTGCCTGATGTTCCTATGAAAACAATTGATTCTTATGACGGTGATTCATCCTTGGAAACGGAAATAAGATCTGATGAGAAGAAGAAGAACGACGTGCTTACTATGGCTAATATGGTGTAAACGTATCACCGCTTGCACCACACTATTCTTGCTTTTGTGCTTGTTCACCTAATACCTTTCATTCCCGAACTTGAAACGTTCTGTTTTTTGTTATATTCCCCCCTCTCCTGCGCTCAGTTATTTGCTGTTTTTCTTTTTCTTAATTAGTTTTCAGTTTACCGATAGTCATTTTTGATTGTTTGATCACATAGTTCTTCGCCATATTAATTTAATAATTGTTCGTATAAAGATAATTGATGTTATTGTTTTTTTGTGTTTGTTGAATCTATAAGGCTATACGAAGGAAAATGAGCACTTAAATAATATGAACGAACGAAGGACAGCAGGCGTTATGTAATTGACGTGAAAAAAGGATTTCGTTTCAAGGGAAGAAGGTCTGTTGGAAGACAGAGGAGGCATCCAGAGTCGTCCTTTTTGGTTTCGAAAATGTCGGATTTGGTTAGTTTCGTTAAGGGACATTAAGCATGTTAAGCGATCCACTGCCAAACCTTTCCAAGGAATGTCTTTGGTTCCTCAGGAGGTTTTTCATTAGCTTCCATTTCATCAATTTCAGCTTTGCCAGTCAAGATGTCAATTTCATGGGCTGGCGTGAAAAAACGAGTGCGTTTAACCAATTGGTATCCGCCGACTAATGCAACAAAGTAGAATACTCCAAAGTAAGACGTTAAAAAGTTTGCAGCGGTGAAATTACCGCGGAAGAAGCAATAGTAACCATTAAATACAATGACCAGGAGAACCCAGAACAAGGAGTAGAAGCTTACCCAAGGTTGAAAGCGAGAGCGGAATGGGAGACTGGCCAATGAAATACTTTGCGCCTTTAAGGCTGCTCGAAAGCGAAGAAAAGCGACAAGAAGGATGGCCCATGCGACAAGACCCGAGAGAGTACTCAGATTCACGAACCAACTAAAAACGGTAGCGCCTCCCTTGGACACATTCATGTAATTCAGCAGTCCAAAGGCTGCACTGACAAGTACAGCGATATAGGGAGTGCCGTAGCGATTGCAACGACGGAAGATTTGGGGAGCCTGTCCCTGTTCAGCAAGCGACATGAGGGTACGCGAGCATGAGTACATGAAAGAATTGCCGGCACTCACGGCGGATACGAGAATAACGGCGTTGATAATGTGTGGGAGCACACGAATTCCAGCATCCTTCATACCAATTACAAAAGGACTAGCAGCTCCTGTACTGCCCATTTTTAAGCGAGGATCTGTGTAGGGAACAAGTACGCCCACAGCGAGAACGCCAAGAACGTAGAAGAAAATGATACGGTAAAAGAAACGTTTTGTCGCCTTCGGAATATTGCGTCGGGGAGATTGTGACTCGCCGGCCGCGACACAAATGAATTCTGGTGAGAGGATAAAGGCGTATGTGGCCATAACGAGCGAGTTGAAGAAGGCACTGAATCTGCCAAGGTCGCCATCAGCCAGGTACGTATTCATTGCACCCGGGTTGCGCCAGTACTGAAAACCGAGAATATGATGATTTGGTGCACCGCCGAGATCAACGACGACAGTTAGAATGAGTAGAGCAACGATGGTTGTCACTTTAATACACGAAAACCAAAACTCAGTTTCACCATACACACGTACTGGAAGAAGATTAATCAGTATCATGAGACATAAAATTATGCTGATCCATATAGCCGGGTTCAGTTCAATCCAGTAGCCGATAACAGTAACGGCGGCCGATACTTCTGCACAATAAACAGTAACATAACCATAGTAGTAATTCCAACCACTTGCAAATCCTGTAGCCGGGTTAATGTACCGAGTTGCAAACAGCTGAATGGCTCCTGGCACAGGCAACCAAGTTGTCATTTCACCGAGAGCCTGTGTAACGCCATAGACGACAGTACTAACAAGGATGTACGCCAGCAGAATCGACAATGGGCCTGCCATTGCCAGTACTTTTCCACTACCAACGAAAAGTCCTGTTCCAATACAACCGCCGAAGGCCATAAACTGGATGTGTCTTGACGACAGACCACGAACAGGACGATCCTGTGATTCCTGTTCATCATACCCAAGTGACTCTACACTGATGCCGAAAGAATCCTCAGAATCATGTTTACTGTCGGGTATTTTTTTTTCGTTCAAGTCTGTAGACTGCTGATCAGTTAGCAGGACCATAATGAAAGAAGGGACGTCGTAAAGAAAGGAATGATGAAGAAGTATTAAGAGAAAGAGGGGGAATTGATGAAGGCTGCAGGAGATTGATAATCAACGGAGACTGATTATGAGATTCGATAGAAGGATTGAAGGGAACGGAAGAAACAAGGGGGAGTCTCGTCAAAGAGAATGCAAGAAGGAAAAGAGGGTATGTATGGTAATGATGTTAGCCTGAGTGAGCGAGTGTGTAGACCCGAATAACTTTGACAATTGCAAGCAATTCCAAATTAATAAAAAAAAAATCAGAAAAAATCAGGAAAAAATCCTGGTACGTTCAATTGAGTCCTAAGAGTCGAAATATATAAACCACGACAGGAAAGCACGTAGAACCGCAGAAATAAAAAATACAAGAAAATGAAATTCCTCCAAAAACAGCTCAAACCAGGAAAAAAAATTAGAGAAACTGTGATTCAGAAACCAATTGCATAGAGAAATGCCGGTATGCTGTTCGTCCGGGCTGATAACGCAATCTTTTTATCAAGAAAAAGCCGAGAGGGAGCCCCGCCGATATATCGAAAAAATAGACAAAACGACCGTGAGGTCTAATTTCTCCCCTCTTAAAAATATTTAATTTCATTTTCCACAATGATAAATAATTGCATTTCCCCTGGTCCACTTCCCACCGGAACACCCGGTCGACCCCTTCTCCATCGTGGCTGCTTCAACCACAGCCAAGGCATTGATGGTGTAGTGGTCGGTGGTGGTGCTACCGTTACTCCTATCTAACCACCAAAACCTCACCACCAAGAAACAACAGTAGCAGGTGGTAGCAGGCAGATAGAGGGCTTACGAAGATGTAGATAGATCAGTGCAGATGACGATGAGTGGGGTGAGTAAGTGCGGAGGTGGACGAGAGAAACAGTGAAAGTCAGTCTTGGAGGATTTCATTGGTTTCTTGTAAATTTCTGGGATTTGTGAGGTTTAGCTTATTTTTGTTTTATTTATTTATTTTTATTTTTATTTTATTTTTTACTTCTTAATTTTTTTTTTCTGTTTCGTTACACTCATTTACCGTCTGTCTCTCTTTCCCTGTAGAAAAATAAAATCCCCAAAAAATAAACAAACAATAATAATTAATTAATTCAAGATCAATTCTCCGATAGACCATATCCCTCATCTGTTTTCTCTCTCTCTCTTACCCTTCACTTCTTTCTCCCTCATGTCTCAATACGTATCAGCTGAAAAATTGAGCTCATTACTGAAATGGCCGAAACTGATTCAGGCTATAAAGGACATTTTCTGTGCTACCATCGAGTGTCCTCCAAGACTCCACTATTCTATTGCTAATGCATCGGATTCGACGGCTCCTCCTGCAGGAACGATGCTCATTATGCCGGCTTGGATCCCGGGAAAGTTCATTGGGGTGAAGCAAGTAAACGTCTTTCCCGGAAACAGTCAACTAGGACTCCCGGGTTTGAGCAGCCAGTACTTACTTAGTGATGGTCTTACAGGAATGCACTTAGTGCAGTTGGACGGTAACGAGTTAACTGGCAGGCGTACGGCTGCTGCGTCTGCTTTGGCTGCTTCGTTTTTGGCTCGTGAGGACGCTTCGTCCTTGCTCATTCTTGGTGCAGGAAAGATTGCCGAGAAGCTTGTTCATGCCTACTTGGCCATCCGACCCATTCGTCGAATCCGAATTTGGAACCATCGTCTCGCTTCGGGTGAACGTCTTACCTTAAAACTTCAAGAGCAGCTGAAGGACCGAGAATTAGACATTGCTTGTGTGCCTGAAGAAAGTCTGGCTCAGGCTGTCGGCGAAGCTGATATTGTGTCTGCGGCAACACTCAGCAATAAGCCTCTGATTCAAGGAAATTGGCTCACCGAAGGGACACATGTTGATCTTGTCGGCGCCTTTACTCCTGCCATGCGTGAAACGGACACTGACTGTATTCGTTTGGCCGAGGTGTTCGTCGACACTCGGACTGGTGCTTTGAGTGAACCAGGCGATCTTTTGACACCCATGAAAGAGGGTGTCTTCAGTGCAAACGACGTACATGCTGACTTGTTTGATTTATGTAGGGGCACTCACCGTGGAAGATCCCAACTCGAAAATGCGGACCAAGCTATCACTCTCTTTAAATCCGTCGGCGACTCTCGTGAAGACCTTGCAGCAGCCATCCTCGCATACAATTCCCTTCAAAACACCGCTGAGTAATGCACTTTACTTAGCATGATATTCATAGATTTATAGACTTTTTGTTAGAAAAGTTCCTTTAAGGAAACACTAAAAATACCCTCAGATGAGAATTCTCTTGATATCAAACAGGACATATTTAAATAAGTATATACCTTTACGAATAGTCTCCTTATTCAATATACCACTCGTCTGTATCAGCTTCCAAACCTCTCTTCCCACTTAGAGATGTAGTTAATATTTACAAAAGAAAAATCTTATTTGCTAGATCAAACAAACTGTTTGAGTGTTATGTATAGAAGTATTTGTTACAAAGAGACGGAATATACAAATGTAGTGCAAAAGAATCAGGAAAAATGTGTGGTATCAAAAGAAACAAACACGTAAAGAACATCAAGTCGTCATCTGTAAGGTTTAATGAACGTTGTCCACAGACTCAGTTGGCGTAGCAATCAAAACAGTGACTGTAGTTGGTCCAGGGTAAGTACTGGTGTAACCTTGAGAGCCATAGATAGTCGTGTATTCTGTGATGGTCGTCATGTAGGGAGTGGGAACATCGACCTCAACGGTACCGGGGACGGTGCCAGAGGGGAAGGCGAGAGTGCTGGTGAAGCCGACAGAGCCAGAGGTGACGGTGAATGTGGTCCAAGAAGGAGTGGGAATGTCAATGAGAACGGTGCCGGCTGCAGTACCAGAGGGAGTGGCTACTGTGGAAGTGAAGCCGACGGAACCAGAGGTGATGGTCTCGGTGACCCAGCTGGGAGTAGGAACGACAACCTCGACGGTGCCAGTGACGGTGCCGGAAGCCAAGTTGAGGGTAGAAGTGAATCCGGTAGAGCCGGAGGTGATGGTCTCAGTGACCCAAGCAGGAGTGGGAACAACAACTTCGACGGTGCCGGTAACAGTGCCGGAGGCAACATTCAAAGTAGAGGTGTAACCGACGTTACCAGAAGTAATAGTTTCAGTGACCCAGCCAGCGGTGGGGACAACGACTTCGACGGTGCCGGTTACGGTGCCAGAGGCAACATTGAGAGTCTTGGTGAATCCAACGCTTCCAGAAGTAATGGTCTCAGTAACCCAGCCAGCGGTGGGGACAACAACCTCGACGGTGCCGGTTACAGTGCCGGAAGCAACATTGAGAGTCTTGGTGAACCCAACGCTTCCAGAAGTAATGGTCTCAGTGACCCAGCCAGCGGTGGGGACAACGACTTCGACGGTGCCGGTTACGGTGCCAGAGGCAACATTGAGAGTCTTGGTGAATCCAACGCTTCCAGAAGTAATGGTCTCAGTAACCCAGCCAGCGGTGGGGACAACAACCTCAACAGTGCCGGTTTCAGTACCAGAGGCAACGTTGAGAGTCTTGGTGAATCCAACGCTTCCAGAAGTAATGGTTTCAGTGACCCAACCAGCGGTAGGAACGACAACTTCAACGGTGCCGGAGACAGTACCGGAAGGCGTAGCCACGGTGGAGACGAATCCAACAGAACCAGAGGTAAGTGTTTCAGTAACCCAGCCAGCGGTGGGAACATCAACGAGTACAGTGCCAAAAGCAGTGCCAGAAGGCATTGCTACTGTGGAAGTGAAACCAACAGAGCCAGAGGTAATGGTCTCGGTGACCCAAACGGGAGTAGGAACGACAACCTCAATGCCGCCAGGGAGCGATCCGGAAGGAATGTTCACAGTCGTAGTGTACTCAATGGAACCAGACGTAGTCGTGATGGTGACCCACATAGGAGTAGGGACAACAACCTCGACGGTACCGGGAACAGAGCCGGAGGGAACATTCAATGTCGTGGTGAAGTCAACGGAGCCAGAAGTAATAGTCTCAGTGGTCCAGACTGAAGAGTATTCGGCGATGGTGACATTGTTTGCGGGAGTGGGTACAACGACCTCAACAGTGCCAGGGACAGATCCAGAAGGTGTGTTCAAAGTAGAAGTGAATCCGACGGAGCCAGAGGTAATAGTCTCGGTAAGCCAAGCAGGAGTGGGTACAACGACCTCAACAGTGCCAGTGACAGATCCAGAAGGTGTGTTCAAAGTAGACGTGAATCCAACGGAGCCAGATGTGATTGTTTCAGTGGTCCAGACGGAGGAGTAAACAGCGCTAGTAACATTGCTTGCGGGAGTGGGAACAACGACCTCAACAGTGCCAGGAACAGATTCAGAGGGAGTGTTCAGAGTAGAGGTGAAGCCAACGGAGCCAGATGTGATTGTCTCGGTAAGCCAAGCAGGAGTGGGTACAACGACCTCAACAGTGCCGGTGACGGAACCAGAGGGAACGTTCAGGGTAGAGGTGAAACCAATGGAGCCAGACGTGATTGTCTCGGTAGTCCAGGCAGATGAGTAGATGGCGCTGGTAACATTGCTTGCGGGAGTAGGTACAACGACCTCAACAGTGCCGGTGACGGAACCAGAGGGAACGTTCAAAGTAGAAGTGAAACCAACAGAGCCAGATGTGATAGTTTCAGTAGTCCAGGCAGAGGAGTAAACGGCACTGGTAACATTGCTTGCAGGAGTGGGAACGACAACTTCAACGGTGCCAGGAACAGATCCAGAGGGAGTGTTCAGAGTGGAAGTGAAACCAACGGAGCCAGAGGTAATAGTCTCAGTGGTCCAAGCAGAGGAGTAGATGGCGCTGGTAACATTGCTTGCAGGAGTGGGAACGACAACCTCAACAGTGCCAGTGACGGAACCGGAGGGAACGTTCAAGGTGGAGGTGAAACCAACGGAGCCAGACGTGATTGTCTCAGTAGTCCAGGCAGATGAGTAGATGGCGCTAGTAACATTGCTTGCGGGAGTAGGTACAACGACCTCAACAGTGCCAGTGACGGAACCGGAGGGAACGTTCAAGGTGGAGGTGAAGCCAACGGAGCCAGATGTGATTGTCTCGGTAGTCCAGGCAGAGGAGTAAACAGCGCTGGTAACATTGCTTGCAGGAGTGGGAACGACAACCTCAACAGTGCCAGTGACGGAACCGGAGGGAACGTTCAAGGTGGAGGTGAAACCAACGGAGCCGGATGTGATTGTCTCAGTAAGCCAAGCAGGAGTGGGAACGACAACCTCTACAGTACCGGGGACAGATCCAGAAGGTGTGTTCAAAGTAGACGTGAATCCAACAGAGCCGGAAGTAATAGTCTCGGTAGTCCAACCGTCAGGAATCACGGACGAGGAAGTCGTGTTCACTAGCGAAGTGGGGACAATGTTTTGGTGAGTGACGGGAACAGATGCACTGCCGGTGACTGTAGCCGTGGAAGTCGTAAGAGAGGTAATTAGCGAGACGGAGGAGACGGTAGTGACGGTAGACACAACAGTGGTTTGAGTTGTTCCGTTACAGGAAAGAGTACTGGTCGTGTAATAAGTAATTGTAACGGGCTTGCACACGGAGCAAGGAACTGTCTTGGTGACAGTCTCAATAACCTCGGAGTTGGTTACAGTCGTGTACCAGGAGGTCAGAGTCTCTGTTTCAATGTTGGCAGAAGGAGCGGGAGCATATGAAGAAGCAGAAGAGGCAGTGGAGACGCCGAAAGAAGATGCATAGCTGGTCACATCAGACGAAAGCTCTGGAAGAGAAGTAACTTCTGGTGGTGCGAGGGAGAAAGTGGTCTCAATGGAGGAGGACACAGTACTCTCTACGTCGGAAGAAAGCGCTGGGAGAGAAGTGACTTCTGGCGGTGCGAGAGAGAAAGTAGTCTCAACGAGAGTCGTCGTTTCAACGGTTTCCGTAGTACCAGAAGGACCCTTAGAAGTGTTCACGATTGTTTCAGTTTTGGTAATCACAACTGCATTTTCAGGAGCGGAAGAACTGGGGGAGTCTGTAGTAGTTGACTCAGTAAGATTAGGAGTAGGCGTGGACTCAATGGCGGATTCAACAGAAGAAGACGAAGGAGCAACAGGAGTAACATCTGAGACACTTGCCCCCGGAACATTTACGGTAGTCGATTCAACAGAGAATGGAGCAGAAGAGGGTGCGGCAAACGAGGGACTGATGGTCGTTGAGACGATGTACTCGGTTGAGCTCTCAGTAATAGTTACGACTGAAACAATTGGAGAGGCTGCACTCGGTGAGAATGTGCTAGGAGCACTGCTTGCATCGTTGGAACTTAAAGCAGGAGACACCACAGGCGTAGTCTCTACAACGACACTGCTACCAGCGTAGGAAGTTGTTGGTTTTACATCTTCCTCCGAAGAAAGACTTGCAACTTCAGTAGTGGTAACAGCGTTAGGCGTATAGTAGAAAGTTTTTGTAGAATGGCAAGAACATGATTCATCAAAGACGGTAGTGACAATGGTCGTCTCAGTAGTGCAGGGGAACGAAGTGGTGACAGTGTCGTATGAGACATATGTTACCGTAGTAGGTACAGTTTGAACGGTTAACACAGACTCAGTCAATGAGGGAGTAGCATAAGCAATGCTAGACGATACATCACCCGACAAAACTTCACCTGAAGGTTGAGCACTACCGTAGGCAGCAGTGTTAGCATTGCCTCCAGCCGTCACAGTTTCGGTAATTTCATGAAGGAAGGTGTAGACACCCGTGGATGTGAGGGTACTACATTGAGTATTTTGTGTTGAGTAAACGCTGGTAACAGTTGGAGCACCACACAGTTCAGAAACTGTTTGGGTAACTGTTTCTGTTACCGTGTCGTGCAATGTTACGGTAGCAGTAGCACACGAAGCGTCGCAACTTACCCCGGCGGGGTTTGCCGAAGCTGTCTCGTTCGTATAGCCAGCGGGGTTGGTTATATTAACCCCGCGGGGGTGAAACGAGGGAAAGGCAGCTGCTGGTGCAGGTGCTGTTGCAGCGAATAAAAGCGATACGAGAGGCAGACGGGTGATAAGCGAATGCAAACCCGAACGCGTCGAACGCGCTGAAGAAGACTTTTGACGAAAAGAATGTCGGGAAGACATTGAATGCGTGGATCAATGCAGGAGCTGAACGATAATGAAGTTCTAGGACAGCCAGATGTTTACCGAAAACACGACTTGGCAATTAGGAACGGAAAAGAGAGTCCGTTTTGGTGTGTCTATGCGGTAGAGGAAATGGAATGCCGTTTCTGGTTGTCAATGGGGACTGACATCCCGTTTATATAGCATTCCAATTTCTGACATCCTCCAAAACGGGAATATCAAAAGAAATTCTGCACAATGGGTCTGAATGGCACCAAAACGCGCAAAAAACGAGCTTCGAGAACACCGGAAACGAGCTTCAGTTCGGTTTGGGAATTAATCTGACACGTGCAGCGAGCAAATCGACCGGTATTAGCGAAGATTAGCCGAATTGGTTAACCGAACAATAGGCATCTAGCCGAATCCAATTGTTCGGTTAAGAGAAACGAGACCCTGTTCATGTAATTGGCTAGGTGTAACGAAAACTCGCTTGCTTTGGCGGGAAATTTCGGAAATCCCTTTGTCGGTATAGTGCGGTTTAGGTTCAAAGGAAGCGAACTTGAAAGAAAGGGTTACAAAGGAAAAGCCTTTTGATTGCTTCTGGTTTTAGATTTGCGCTGGTCGGATCTTAGTGAGCATTTTTAAGTATTAAAGCGCCAATAACAAAAGAGCTGCTGTTCTTCTATTCGATTCCATTGTTCGATTGTTTAAACTGGAATTCGGGAGGTGATGGGTAATGACAAGAAAGATAAAGCGAAACGGAAAAGTAAAAACCCAGAAGTAACATTGCATGAATGGAGCCTAAGTAACCATCGAGAAAATGTCTTTACGCGTGACCCAACTTTCGCGTCATCGCTTGCACGCGTAGCTTCACGTGAAGAAGCGACGACCCCGCGACGCGAAAAAGCGCGTTCGTGTTTTCATAAAGCGCGTTACACTTTGCATTTTTCTACGAAGAAGACGAGCACTACCACCAAGTATTCGCACCACCAAGCTAACACTGCTATTCACAATAGTGAGTGAATTCCTCTATTGCTCGAACACCACCACTCGTTCGAAGCTGCCACTATGCAATGGACACTTCCTCGGTGAATGATCGACCACACAACGCCTGTCGTGTGTGTGGTGGTCTTTTGGATGCCGAAGAAGCAGTAACTGATGTGGGGGATTTCTTCGAGTCAGAGGATGTGTGCAAGAACCTGGCTTGTCAACGAGTGGCCTCGCGTCAGCGCTACGAAGCAAAATTAAGTGCTTTATTCGAGAAATACGGCCAAGACACGTCGGAATATGCAGACGAGATTGACTTGGCTACGGGGGCCATTGTGGTGGATCACGGACATTTGCGGGGGCTGCACCCCCATACTCCCACCGACGAACTCGTGGAATCTGTGGAGGAGCCAGTGGAGGCTGCACAAAGTGGGAGTCGATGCCCCACCGAAGAGGTGGAGCAGGTTAGCATGGGGGGTTCATTGACATATCCCACAGATCCCCCACAAGACGACCCCATCGTGGACAATCCCACCAGCTCCCCACCAGTCTCCCCCGCAGCAGGAACCCCCACAAGAACTTCACCCATTTCCACCACAAAGACCCCCTCCCCACTTTCTCCACTTTCCCCAGTCTCAGACCCCCCATATCCCATTTTGGAGTCCCCCGCACAACCCACACAAACGGCTTCGATTTTTCCCTCCACTCCAACCCCCGCCGCGCCTCCACCTCATACCCCAAGCTCACGCACACGTTCCTCCTTACGGGTACGGATCCGTTTACTCTCACTCGTTACCCCCACCCCACCCAGGTCGTCTCCTCTCACCTCTCCTTTAGTCTCCACCCCCACATCTTCTTCTCCCACTCACATTTCCTCCACTTGCCGCAAACCCTTTTGCTTTAGGTGTCTACGTGAAAAGAAAAAGTCAAAACAAAGTTCCCCCACTGGACTCAACGTGCCCCACTACCCTCCACATTCACCTTTACCAAGAACATCTACCACTCCCAGACATGGACGCTAGTATTTCGGGTATGAAGACGCCAAAAAAAAGTAAACGAGACGCGTTTTAATGCGATCTCTGTTCGTATTTGTGATTATTGTGCTGACAACAGCCTCGAGCAAATTTTTGAACCGCTACTATGCGGCTCAAGACAGTGGACGCGAAAAGTTGCTGGAATTCTACTTTCCAGAGAGTCGTATCACCTGGAACGGTCAGCCTGTCAGTCGCGAAGACTTGACAAAGCTGCTGCAGCCCGTTCCTGCCTCCAGCACGCGCATTGACGACTTTGACTGTCAGTTTGTCGGTACTGACGATTCGACCATTGCTGTCACCGTGTCGGGTTCGGTGAAGTATGCCGGACAAAACGCACGTGGGTTTTCCGACAACTTTCTTTTGCAGCGCAATGGCGACGCGTACTGCGTCGTTAGCCAGAACTTTCGAATTGTGACCGATTAGGCACTTTGTGAGTTTAAAATGGCAGACCGTGTCAGAATGTGCACGTGTTCGAGTCGCAATAGTGCGTCTCTCATTAAGCTTTTCGCGCAAGTGCTCGCTTTATTTCGCGTGGCAACTTTATTTTCTGCCACTGCTTGTGTGGAAAAAAAACACCAGTGACCCACCATATCATCCACCACCAGAATGTCTTTTTCGCGTCTGTTGACAACAAAATTTGGAGCCGTGTCGCGGGCGACACGGCCAGCTTCCGCAGCTCGTATGTTGCGGGTCTCATCGTTTGCGGCCCCTGCTGCTGTTGCTCTTCCTTTTACTCAACGCCGTTTTGCTTCTATGGAAAGTGACAATGGGCTCTTTACCGCTCCAAATGACAAGTTGACACAGATGACTCAAAAGCTTCAAAAGGCTATCGAGCGTGACTCCGAGATGCAGCAGACGCTGTATGACATGACCGCCTTTTTCCAGAAGAAGGGAATTGAGCCTGGTACGATGCCCTCGAAGTCCAAGCTGTTGCGACTCGTACTGGATCCCGAGTTTCGCAAGTACGCTCAAGCTCTGAAAGCGTTTCTTGAAAAGGCCGGCATCCAGACTGATCCCGAGGTTCTCTCTGAGATGATGAAGCAGCTGAAATAAGTAGCCGAAAATTATTTGTAGCTGTAAATAAACGACCGGTGCCTTATATGTCATATGGACCCAGTAAAACTCAACGGTGGGACCCTGTTGGACCCTGGTTCGCATTTGCGAATCGCTTACTGAATTGTGGGGAAATGCCGATCTTTATTGTATGACGTGTGTGGGAGCCGAGAGTCTTCGTTACATCCATCGCTTCTCTCGTCTCGCTTGTTTCTCGCCTTTCTCGCTCGGCTTCTTATCGGCTATTATTCGGCTATAGACTCGTCTCGCTTGTGGTCGCTACTCTCGTTTCTTACTTAGCTTGAATCCCTTGGCGAAGCGACGGTGTAACATAGAGTGCCAGAATGGGAGGTTGGCCGTTTTTGGGCGCGCATGCATGCCTTCTATCGGATGCATAGGGAGTCAATTTCGTAATACTGGGATTCCCGAGAAGCTTTAAATAGCTGGACATTTTCCACACAATAGCCATTGTCTTCAGTCATTTGCATTGTGTATCCATTCACCTAGCGGCTCACAATACCGCTACAAGGCCTATTGTTTGAAACCTTAATTTCAGTCCTCGACGAAACTTAATTCAAAAAGGCTCAAAAAAGACAACATTTTTACTTTCTTTTTCATTCTCCTTCATTATGACTCGTTTCCTCCAACGATCTCTTCTACTGCTCGCGCCTTGGGCCCTTAATCTGTTTCATACAGCAGAAGCACTGTATGTGCCGGCTAAAATAAGCAATGGCACGTGGGTCGCGGCCGACAATAGTACAGCCAATACAGGTGACGTGTCTTCCTCGTTGTGTCCCACGTGGTGTACTGCCCCGCAAACAACTACCGTCTCGGCAACAGTTACCGAAACTGAAACAGTTTCAGTTACCGAGTTGTGTGGGGCTCCACTTGTCTCTTCCTCTACAGTGGTCCCTGTCGTCTCTACTGCACACTTTACTTCTCCTGGTACCTACACCGTTACTGTCTACCCTTCGGGCACTGGATCTGCTGCTGTTCCTGCCGGCAACGCTGGAGGTGAATCTGGTCCCGTTGTTTCTACTGTCACTGTTAACGATAATGTCTACTCTACTGCTGTTTCCTACACCGTCTCCTCCGTCACCTTGACCACTCAAGTTCCCTGCTCCGAGGAGACTACTATTACGTCTGTCGTTTATGAGACCACTTGTGACTGCAGCAAGACACGCTACTACGTCTACACGCCAACTGACTCACCAAATGCTCCCGTCTCAGCTGAATCTGTTCCCACACCTTTGACTGCTACTGCTTCTGGTAATGCCTTGGCTAGCTCCTCAGCATACGTCATCACCGACTCGGCTGAAATAAGCTCTTCCAGAAGCGAGTTTGCTGCCCCGTCTGCCCCTGTCGCTTCCCCAGATTTCCCCACAACATCTGGCTATGACGTTGTTTCTTCTGTTACTGAGACAGTTTTCAGTACTGTAAGCTCAAACAGTATTGTTGAAGGCTCTACGGTTCCTGCGCCAAGCGCTGAGGTATCGACCACAGTCATCACTGGCTCTGTCGAATCTGCTACTTCAGAGCGTATTCTTACTGTTGTCACTGATTCCACAGGTGTCGTTACCGAAACCAAAGTGATTACTGCTAGTGGTTCTCTTGTTTCTACTCCAACTACTGCTAACTCGTCCCCTGTTGAGTCCTCTGCTTCTCCCGCGACTCCTACGGACTCGGGTAACTTGTCAGTCTCTACCGTACCTGGTTCCAGTGTCGTTCCTTCACAACCATTGACTACCTCAGTGTATTCTACTTTGATCACGACCACCGTCCCTGTCTATTCAACTCTTACGACATGTCTGACCACAACCATAACTACTGTCGTTCCTGTTCAGAGCACTATTTACTCTACTATCGACACTGAAACCACAGTCGTCAAGCCTACTACCGTTTACGAATCCACTATTCTTACTCAAACAGTTACCTCAACTAACACTCTGACCGATTACACAACCGGAGTCTTTTACACAACCGTCACCGAGACCATTCCCTGCACAGTGTGTAAAGACACTACGATTACCTACTACGAAACCAGAACCGAATCATGTAACGGAACGACTTACACAACAGTCATTCCCACTACTACCCTTGTTCCTGTCACGGTAACCAGTGCATCTGTTCCCGTCACTCACCAAAACATTGTCCCCACTTCGCTAGTGAACACGACTTCCTCGTCCGTGATTCCTGACGGTTGGACTACTGAGACTATTACTTCCGGCTCTGTTGGATTCACGTCTACTTTGAACACACCTTCTGGATCTGTCCCCGGTACTGTAGAGGTTGTCGTTCCCACTCCTGCCTGGATTACTGAGACAATCACATCCGGCTCCGTTGGTTTCACCTCTACTCTGAACACTCCCTCTGGATCTGTTCCTGGCACTGTTGAAGTTGTTGTACCTACTCCCGCAAGCAATGTTACCAGCGCTGTTTACTCCTCTGCCTGGATTACTGAGACAATCACATCTGGCTCCGTTGGTTTCACTTCTACCTTGAACGTTCCCTCTGGTTCCGTCACCGGCACTGTTGAGGTTGTCGTTCCCACTCCCGCAAGCAATGTTACCAGCGCTGTTTACTCCTCCGCCTGGACTACCGAGACAATCACATCTGGCTCCGTTGGTTTCACTTCTACCTTGAACGTTCCCTCCGGTTCCGTCACTGGCACTGTTGAGGTTGTCGTTCCCACTCCTGCAAGCAATGTTACTAGCGCCATCTACTCATCTGCCTGGACTACTGAGACAATCACGTCTGGCTCCATTGGTTTCACCTCTACCCTGAACGTTCCCTCTGGTTCCGTCACCGGCACTGTTGAGGTCGTTGTTCCCACTCCTGCAAGCAATGTTACCAGCGCTGTTTACTCCTCCGCCTGGACTACCGAGACAATCACATCTGGCTCCGTTGGTTTCACTTCTACCTTGAACGTTCCCTCCGGTTCCGTCACTGGCACTGTTGAGGTTGTCGTTCCCACTCCTGCAAGCAATGTTACCAGCGCTGTTTACTCCTCCGCCTGGACCACTGAAACAATCACATCTGGCTCCGTTGGTTTCACCTCCACCTTGAACGTTCCCTCCGGTTCCGTCACTGGCACTGTTGAGGTCGTTGTACCCACTCCCGCAAACAATGTCACCATCGCCGAATACTCTTCAGTCTGGACCACTGAGACTATTACTTCTGGCTCCGTTGACTTCACCACGACATTGAATGTTCCCTCCGGCTCTGTTCCCGGTACCGTCGAGGTTGTTGTCCCTACTCCTATGTGGGTCACCATCACGACTACGTCTGGTTCCATTGAGTACACTACGACTGTGAACATTCCTTCCGGATCGCTCCCTGGCGGCATTGAGGTTGTCGTTCCTACTCCCGTTTGGGTCACCGAGACCATTACCTCTGGCTCTGTTGGTTTCACTTCCACAGTAGCAATGCCTTCTGGCACTGCTTTTGGCACTGTACTCGTTGATGTTCCCACCGCTGGCTGGGTTACTGAAACACTTACCTCTGGTTCTGTTGGATTCGTCTCCACCGTGGCTACGCCTTCCGGTACTGTCTCCGGCACCGTTGAAGTTGTCGTTCCTACCGCTGGTTGGGTCACTGAAACCATTACTTCTGGAAGCGTTGGATTCACCAAGACTCTCAACGTTGCCTCTGGTACTGAAACCGGCACTGTTGAGGTTGTTGTCCCCACCGCTGGCTGGGTTACTGAGACCATCACCTCTGGCTCTGTTGAATTCACCAAGACTCTCAATGTTGCCTCTGGCACCGTAACCGGCACCGTCGAAGTCGTTGTCCCCACCGCTGGCTGGGTTACTGAGACCATCACCTCTGGCTCTGTTGGATTCACCAAGACTCTCAATGTTGCTTCCGGCACTGTAACCGGCACCGTCGAGGTTGTCGTTCCTACCGCTGGCTGGGTCACTGAGACCATTACTTCTGGAAGCGTTGGATTCACCAAGACTCTCAACGTTGCCTCTGGCACCGTAACCGGCACCGTCGAAGTCGTTGTCCCCACCGCTGGCTGGGTCACTGAAACTATTACTTCTGGTAACGTCGGTTACACTTCTACTTTGAATGTTGCCTCCGGCACTGTTACCGGCACCGTCGAAGTTGTTGTTCCCACTCCTGCTTGGGTCACTGAGACCATCACCTCCGGCTCTACCGGATTCACTTCTACCCTCAACTTGGCCTCCGGCACCGTCACCGGCACCGTCGAGGTTGTTGTTCCTACTCCCAGCTGGGTCACCGAGACCATCACCTCTGGTTCTGTCGGCTTCACTTCCACAGTAGCCACTCCCTCTGGCACTGCAGCCGGCACCGTTCTCATTGACATTCCCACTCCTTCTTGGACCACATTCACCGTCACCTCTGGCTCTGTCGGCTTCACCAGCACTCTCGCCTTCCCCTCTGGCACCGTCCCCGGTACCGTTGAGGTCGATGTTCCTGTGGCTACCTGTACCAATATCTGTACCGCTTCAAACACCTTCCGTGTTCGTGTCAACGGTGATTCATCCTCTCCTGCGTACATGTACTTGAATTCAAAGAACTACGCTATGTCTGGATCCACCGTTCCCGAAGGCTCCATCGATACCTTCACATATGACTCTTCCGACAATCGTATCAAAACTTGCTGCGGTGTGCTTCCCATTTACCAAGTGCAACACACTGACGACAATGCCCATTCTTTCAACATCGACATGAATGCGAACGGAGACTTCACATTCCATGAGAAGTCTGTGAGCACACCTTTTGTTTTGTCCACATTGAGTGACAACAGAATTGGTTTCTCTTCCGATATGTCTAAGTTCAGTCCTCAATATGACTTTGCGGACGAGTCTTTGAGAGCTGTAAACATCACACTTTCTGCCGTGTTTAACTAGTGAGATTCCGTTCTTTGGCTTTGTTTTGATGTCTTCTTGTTACTCACTACTTTGATCTATTTCGATTTAAATGTGAGGGTTTCTCCTCTATACCTTTGTTCATATGTCTTGCACTATTGTTTATAATAACTACTTTTAGTTTCTCAAGTATCCAAATTACATCTTAAAATACATTTGTTTTTCGCATTACACGTTGAATTGATTGAATCTATGTACTAATAAAAAGAACTCTACTTCGTAATGAACTTGTTCGTTGTTTCGTCAATGCATGAAAACAGAAACTCGTCAACAAAACGCTTTTAGAAATAAACATCAGCTAAACCACGAGTTTATTGAACGCTTTGTAGTAGCTGACGCTCATTGTTTTGACCAACTGTTCTGATTTTTATGGATGGTTCCGGCTGGAGCATCCACGTCTTGCTATCTCCCAAATACAACCAGGTGTCCCTAACTAACAAAATCGTTGCTAACACCAAAAGGAGCTTTGAAAAAAGCGTGTTTGTAGTAGTGGACCTGTCACAAAAGCCTTTAATATGAGCGCAAGAAGGAATGAAGCTGTTTTACGAGATCTGATCAATTCAGTCCCGGGAAACACTTATTGTGCAGATTGCTTCACGAAAGGCGTTCAATGGGCTAGCTGGAATATCGGTAGGAACATTCGAAGGATCGAAAGCTGACAAAATAGGCGTTTTTTTATGTCTTCGATGTGCCGGTATCCATCGTAAATTGGGAACACACGTTTCCAGGGTAAAATCAATATCCCTAGACGAATGGACCCAGGAACAAGTAAACGTACGTGACGTGAGGTTATGTGTTTGTGTTTTTAGAATGGTTTGCCTGACGCCTATTTGTTTTTAGACCATGCGAGAATGGGGAAATGAACGAGCAAATCGCTATTGGAATCCGAACCCTTCAAAGCATCCGCTTCCTATGACCGCTAGTTATGATGATCAGTACGTATTTTTCTAACCCTTTTGTCCTAACTGTTGCCTAGAGCAATGGAGCGATACATTCGTGACAAATATGAACGCAAGTTATTTATAGATGATGCGGCTTCAAGACGAGTTCCTCCTGCTCCGCCGTCCTTGCCAACAAGAACAACCTCAGTAGGATCAATAGCACCGCCTACGAATGCTCCTCCTTCGTCTTCCGCTTCATCTTTGGAGCCCGCTTTGAGTTCACTAGATGAGATGGGATTCCGAGACAGATCACTTAACACACAGTTGCTTAGAGAATTCAACAATGACCTTTCACGGGTGATTGACAGACTTGTGAACCTTAAAACGGCGCCTTCCTCGAGCTCAGCTCCAAGTACAACGCTCGCGAAACCTTCTGCTTTGAAACCATCGGCACGGCTGAAGAGACGCGGAAAAAATCTCCATGTTCATTTTATAGACGGTTCCAAACCCGGCGAAAACCTCGACGAGTCTGGTGAGACACGGGCTGCATCGCCAACTCTGAATCCTTTTGAACAGATGATGGCTATGGCTAATCAGGGAATGGTTACAGCTCCTGGGGTCGAGACAACTTCAAGTCCTTTCTTTACAGCACCCGTTGGTCCTCATCAGCCTTTGCAACCTTTGCGTCCTTCGATGACGGGACCGGTGCCTTCTCAACCGCTAGGAAGCTCGTTTGCTAACGAAAATGTCGGCATACTTTCGTCCCCACAGCAAGACGTGAATACACAACAACAACAACAACAACAAGCGTCCTATGGTTACGATGCAACACAAGGAGTTGTGCCGCAAATGACCGGCACCTCGTATATGCAGCCTACTTCCATTCCCAACAACTATTACAAACGGCCTATGGAGACGGCACCCGTGACCAACACATACACGGGAGGCAACAATAGCAACAACTATTCAAACGGCTACTCTGCGTACAATGCGTCTTCTAACGCGAACGAGGTTCAGTCTAGCAATGCCGTGGAGTTCCCTGATATGAGCAAACTGTACATTAGTGAACCGCCTCAACAAGCATCTGTACAACAACAAGATGTCCCATCGGCCCCTCCAAATAATTACTTGAAGCCCAACATGACTGGAATGCCTAGTTCTATGCCTAGTCCTGAGCCACAGACAAGTGCTACAAACTACTGGCAATCAGGTCAGACTTCTAGCATGGTTCCTCAAGAGTCTAATTACTATACCGCGCCTTCTATGTCGGTACCGCAGAATGACAATTATGGTATGATGAACCAGGTATACCCCCAACCCACCGGAATGGTGCAACAGCCAATGCAGCCTCAATACAGTTATGGTCAGACGCCGATGCAACAACCAATGCAACCACAAATGACTCCTGCTGTATCCATCTCCATGTCGAATGGGGACTGGGGCTACTCATACAACAACAATCCTATGCAAAACCAACCGATGAATTATGGCAGCAACATGGGTTACGAGCAACCACAAATGAATAATGGTTCGTACTATCCAAATGTAATGTCTAACGGTTACATGGGCATGCAACCTGGCATGCAGACTCCTGGAAACATGCAACAGTACATGCCTGCCTCTGGTATGAATCAACCTAATGGCATGATGCCTACCAACACAGGCGGTGCCCCACAAAGCTCCTCAACAACTGGTGATGCCTACATCCAAAGTCTTATGCATGGAAAGCACTAGATGAAAAAGTCAAGACGTATTTCGTAATGATACGAACTTGTCTAACACATCATGACGGCGCTACCTGTGGACACACCTAGAAGAACAGGTTCGTCGTTTATATCCTTGAGATGCCTTTCTCCGTTTCATTTTTTATTTCCCTTACTTCTCTTCACACGTACAGACACATACAACACATACACGCACGACCTTTATTCTTTTTTCTTTATTTTTCCCATGCAAGCATCCCGATGAAAACGTGCATTCATGCATTGACCCTGCAGTTCCTGCACCATGTACTCGATCCTTTGGTCGTATACACACACGCACACTCACATCCATGCGCTCCTGTCTCTATTGATACCTTCGTTCGTTCAGAACATCTGCCACATGCGTTACTGCTTAAACTCTTTCACTACTCTCGTTACGTTACACCCCTTTTTCGCTTGATGTTTACATTCTACATTTTTGAAAGCGCTCATAATGTCTTTCCTTACCTTATGGGCGTTTTACTTGTACTGACGTGAGTTACATACACCGTTGCACCATCCAACCTCCCGTTAGATTGACCTTGTGAGCGTGCGTGTGTCTGTGCGTTTGCGGTCTTTGTGCATGTTGATTCTTCACGACGAATTTTGACCAGGCCATGAACGTATATGAAGTGGTAAAATAATGATCAGTTTTGAGAACTAGAGAATAGACAGGGAAGTTTCGGGGAGATCTACAGCTGGTTTAATGAGGTAGTTTACGCAAAGGAGAGCGGTATCAAGGGAAATTTATTGACATTGAAGGGGTATCTCTGTCACTCGGTTAAGGTGATTCCGATCAGTGCTGAGTGTCGGATTCTACGGTTCAAGCTTGTTGATGCCATTAGTGACAAGACTACTTGGACTCTTCTCTGTAGCCTTTGGGCGTGCAGACTCTGAATTCTCTTATCTTTACGACTATTTGCTGTTCATATACCATTCCATAATTTCATCACAATATTGATCACCAATGTAAAACATGTATTGAAACTACGAAATCTAATTCTAGAATTCACATCACGCGTAATGACTCAACTCCGTCCGATGTTCTCATGCGCATCCTCACGCTCGTTCTTGTCTCGTCTTGTCTCGTTACGCTGCAAGGGTCCATAACAATGCCTTCGTACAAATAAAGCTCAAGGGTCCACAGTCACAGCTCAGTATAAACGCTCCAGAGAGAGTCTTCCTGTTCTTTGTAGAACCAATATAGTTCATCCTATTCACTATTCTAGTATAGGACCTATATCTGTGACTCAAGAGTCCATCTACAAAACAAAGCAGACTAGCGCATTTTGGTTGTTGCACGCACGTTTTACCGTCATTTCACGGGATCGTCGTTTCGGTGTTCATTTCGTTTTACCTGAGGCGGAGTTATTTCTCGTTCTCACCATTTCCGAGCATTTATAACGTACTCGGAACTTATAGATCCTTCTTCACGGGTATCACCAATAAACCTTGGTTATGAGCAGAATTTGATTTAAAATCTTGTTCTAAGCATACTCCTTTCCATCCCACGCACTATCTATTTAATCGCTGCTGTTTTCCGTTTGTTGTATTCCGTCTTAATCAGTCGAATTTGATTATCTTTAACGATTGAGCTTTTTCGGCCATATAACAGACTCTGGTACTTCTCTTTTTGACAATTGGTCCTGCTTATTGTCATTTCATTTGGTTTGTTCTACTTTAGGGTGAATTTGGATGAGACATTCATAAACTTGTGTCTTCCTTCGTTTTCAATTCAAAACCGGTTGTTTCTTTATATACCGCATTGTTCTGTTGGTATATCCTGTCCTTGAGCTCGCATTAATCGTGTCTCTTGTTCTTGACGATAATTACTGTTCCTAAAGTAATATTCTCGGTCCTCCTTCCGTTCTTCTAACATTACTACTCATCATCCTTTCCATTCATCAACATCTACATCATAAACTTCCTCTTCTTCTTCTTACAGTCCATTAAATCATCATCTATAGAACCTCTAACTGTCTCAATATGTCTTCCTCAAATTTGGCTACGGAGACTACTTCCCTTCTTAGTAACAATCAGCCCAAGGATGTCTCTTCGGACAAGCCTAAAATCAGCGCTTGGAAGACTCTTCCCGCTATTTGGGTCGGTTCATTCTTGTCTGCTCTGGATATGACTGTAGTTGCCAGTTTGTATCCAGTCATTGGCAGTGAGTTTGATTCACTTAACTATTCTTCCTTTATCGCTACTTCATATCTCATTACGAACACAGCGTTCCAGCCGCTGTACGGTCGTTTGAGTGACATCTTTGGTCGTCGCACAATGCTTCTTTTTGCCAACACAGTCTTCATGCTGGGTACCGTTTGGTGCGGTTTCGCTCGCAGTCTCGGGGAGTTGTGTCTTGCCCGTGCATTTGCCGGTATTGGCGGCGGTGGTTTGACTACGCTTTCGTCAATTTGCGGTAGTGATATTGTTTCCCTGCGTGAGCGTGGCACCTGGCAAGGTTTCGCCAACATCGTCTTCGGTATTGGCGGCAGTCTTGGTGGTCCTTTTGGAGGTTTCGTAAATGCAAGATGGGGTTGGCGTTCGGCGTTTTTGCTTCAGGTTCCCCTCTGTCTTGGTTCTATCGCTCTTGTGTCTTGGCGTGTCCGTCTTCCCACTAAGGATGATGGTGTCTCTAGCAAGCAGAAGCTTGCCCGTATTGATTACCTTGGAAGTTTCTTACTCGTTTCTGCCGTTACGACGATGGTCACCCTGTTCACGTTTGGCGGAGATAGATTTGCATGGATGTCGCCCGTTTCGTTGGCACTTACTGCGTTGTTTGGATTCCTTACAGTTATGTTTTACATCGTTGAACGCGATTACGCAAGAGAGCCGATTGCACCTATGAAGGTTTTGCGTGAACGTACTCCTTTGTGTGCATACATTGGCAATTTTACGAATGCTCTCTGCAGTTTCGCCGTCATGTACGAAGTTCCGCTGTTCTTTGAAGCCGTACTGTTTCAAAACTCGGAGGAGGCAGGAGCTCGTATGTTCCCTATGGTTCTGAGTATTCCCGTTGGTTCGTTGTCTGCCGGTCTGTATATGAAACGGACTGGCACGTACCGTGGTGCAGTCATTTTCGGTTTCACTGCGATGCTGTGTACTCTGTTCACCTTCATGTTTTTGTTCCGTCGTGGACAAGGCGTTTCCCTCAAGTACATCGGTGTTGCTCTTGGAATGGCCGGTCTCTCCTACGGAACAAGTCTTACGTCTACTCTAATTTCCATCATCAGCGCCTTGCCCATTGAGTACCAGGCCATTTCCACCGGTGTGTCCTACTTGTTCCGTGCAACCGGTAGCGTTGTCGGAATCAGCATGGGTCAAACGGCTCTGCAAGCTACGCTTACGAGTTCTCTTCACCGTTCCCTTGAGGACATTCCAGACAAGGAATCTCTTATTGATGCTATCAGACGCAGTGTCACCGTTGTTCCTACGCTCCCCAAGCATATTCAGAAAATCGTCGTGCATTCCTATGTCCAAGCATTCATTGCGTCCTTTGCCCTGATTGCCGTATTTGGCTTGATTGGTTTCCTCTCGTCCCTCTTTATCCGCCAGCACGTACTTTATTCTACGGTTGACCGTCGTTAATTACACGGCTTTAATGGATGACCACTGTTATTTTTACTCATTTTTGAATTGACCGGGCTTACTCACTAGGCGCTGTCTCACCCACAGAACTTGGTACTATGCCGAGTTTTTGTAATCGACCTATTCTTTATTTAATGAATTCATTTATACTATGTAAGACGAATTATCCTTTTGCAATATACGGTTTGTTGCATTTGTCCCGGCAGTTCATTCGCGCTAAGTCTCGCTGTCGTTCGTTATTCGTTATTGTATTTCTCGTTTCTCGTCGCAAAGGCATTTAACGAGAGTTTACGCGACTCCTCGCGTTTCACCGAGGTATTGCGACGGGTCTCTGCGAATCATTCCTTTCGTTGCGCCTCCCTCAGGCTCACTATACCTTTGATCCGTTTATCAGATCAGTAGTTGGTTGACGTGGGTCATGTGACTCTAATTTAAATTGACGATTGGTTAAGGGGACGCTAATGACGTCGGACACAGAAAACACTCGAAGACCTGCTACACCATAAATCCCTTGAGGCAGCTCGTGCCAACTTCACCACCAACATTGGGAAATTCATTAAACCATTTGGTAAGGGTAAGGTCCAATTTTGGCTGGTCGGCGAACAAAACATTTGTCCAAATTACAACATTTTGTTGAAGATTTTAGTGACAAAATCTCAAGTTCTACTTGCAGAATTGTCGTGGAAATCGACAGCTTACGTCTCAAAGTTTTGCTGATGCCGGCTTGCTCTGACGAACACGTTACAACATGATCTGGTGCTGACCAAATGATTTAGACTTGGTGAAACAACAATACTGCCGTTAAGAAATTTTTGTTTGTTGAGACATAAAGACTCGTTCAGACTTTAGACTTCCACAACACACAAGTTAATCAGTTCCCTTTCTATTTCACAATGAGCACTGATATGAGCACGTACAAGATGAACCACACGATGCTTCGTGTGAAGGACTTGAAGAAGAGTTTGGAGTTCTACTGTGACATACTTGGTATGAAGCAGATCGATCAATGGGTCTTCGAGGAGAACAAGTTCTCGTTGACTTTCTTGGCCTTTGACGGGGACAATGCTCTTCACCACGGTGTCGAACGCACGAAGAGACAGGGTATTCTCGAGCTCACTCACAACTTCGGCACTGAGAATGAGGAGGGTCCCGTGTACAAGAACGGTAACGATGACCAGTCTCGTGGCTTTGGTCACATCTGTATCTCGGTCGACAACATCGAGGATGCTTGTGCCTATTTTGAGTCAAAGGGAGTTACTTTCCAAAAGCGTTTGACCGATGGCCGTATGAAGAACATCGCTTTCATCCGCGACCCCGACAACTACTGGATTGAACTCATCAATCAATCCAAGAAGACGCCTAGTTTCAACAAGGCTAACACTCGTTTCAACCACACGATGATTCGTGCCAAGGATCCCAAGGCTAGTCTGGCTTTCTATGAGAAGTTGGGTCTGCAACTCATTGACAAGTCCGACTACCCGGAAGCCAAGTTCTCGCTGTACTTCTTGGCTTACCCAGCTGACATTGCTCGTGGTGACCGTGAGGGCATTCTCGAGCTCACTCACAACTGGGGCACTGAGGAGCAAGAAGGTCCTGTGTACAAGAACGGCAATGATGACGAGTCTCGCGGTTTCGGTCATGTTTGCATTTCTGTAGACAACATTGAGGCCGCTGCCGAAAAGTTTGAGAAGGACAAGCTCAACTTCAAGAAGAGACTCACCGACGGTCGCATGAAGGACATTATGTTCTTGCTTGACCCTGACAACTACTGGGTCGAAGTTATCGGCCAGAAGTAAATCAGAGTCGACTTATGAATAACAGATAGAAGGGATGTGAGTAATGAAATAATGGTTGAAATTGATTGAAGGCAATGCGTCCGGTCTGTAACGGTGGCACCTTTAAAAAAGCAGAATTTTCAAGCCAGAAGGGAAGCATTCCGGGCATCAAGTGTTGCTTACCCCAGATACTGTCGCAACTTGGTGAACGAGTAGTTTTCAAACATGCATAATCATTCATAACATAATCGTAATAAGAAACTAAAGGCTAAACAAGGGAAAGATGTTAACACATTCTATAGGAAAAAGCCATGGAGAGACTCCCTCCCTCAAACTAGTGCATTCATTCTAGCAACTACCAAGGACTAGAAAGCCCCCCTCCTGAGAACGCCCCGGTCAAGGCAAAAGACGTTCTTGGAGTCGTCGCATAAGCTTTGACAGTTTCAGTTTCAAGTATAGGTTTTAGTTTCATAAATAGTTCGAGCCTCCCCAAACCTAGAAGACACAAAAAATGCTTATTAACGCATGCTGATGCTTCGAAAGGGAGCAACCTGATAAGAATAAACGGATATAGAGAAGGGAAACGCCCATTAACCAAAGCGATCACGGATAAGCACACACAATGTGGTGCGAAGCTCCTCTGTACACGAACATGGAGGATGGACTGTCGCTTCATGCTTTATATAAAATAGTGAAAAGATTGTGACTGCTTCAAGTGCGCATCGCAAAGTCCATCTGCAAGTAGTAGCGTAGAAAATAAGCGAGCCCAGCGAGGTCGTCTTTTGTTGAACATCTTCCAGCGTTGAGATTGAAAGCCGCAAAAGGTAAGCACTTTTGTCTTGCCCTTCTCCTACTGAAAAGGTTTGCGTCATGAAACCGCGTCTAGGAGATGCATAAAGAATTGTAGAAATGAATTTTCATAGTAGAACATGTAATGGTCATAACAATTAATGAGACACGTCTAAAGGAGGGATGACATGTTGGTCGTAAACACGATAGCGTTTGTAAAAATCATGCGTAATCGACAAGTAACTGCCAAGAAAATGAGTAATGGCTTGTCATAGCAAACCGTATATGCGTCGAAGCGGAAGGGCGCAAGGAAAAACTGGATTATGAGGCCAGTTGGAAATAATTGCAGACAAAAAGGGCAATGCGCTCACGACACCAATAAACACAGAAAGATACAAACTCTAAAAGTCTTGCTTCCTATGACAGTCATCTACTCCACCGTAACAGACTTGGCCAGGTTGCGAGGTTGATCGACATCGTAACCACGCAGCACAGCAAGCCAGTAGGCAATGATTTGCATAGGAATAACGTTAATGATGCCCTGAAGACAGTCTACCGTTTTGGGAACAACAAATGCAGACGATTTTTGAAGCGCAAGAGACTCGTCATTGGCAATTAGAATGGGACGTCCACCCCGGGCAACAACCTGTTCATAAGCATTCTTGGTCTTATGAACGTTGCTGTCATCAGACATGAACATAACAATGGGGATGTCCTTGTCTACAAGTGCTAAGGTGCCGTGCTTGAGTTCACCGGCCATGATACCTTCGGCATGCATGTAAGAAATCTCCTTCACCTTGAGAGCCCCTTCCATTGCTGTGGCATAGTGGTAGCCACGACCAATGACAAGCATGTTCTTCTCTTGCAAAAGCCGCTCCTGCACAAGTTGCTTCAAAGACGAACTCAATTTCAATGCTTCTCTGGCCTTTTCGCACAGTTCACCGAGGCCGGTAATAATTGCTGCCCGACGTTCAGCACGGGAAACCGAGTCACGCGAAAGATAGAGAGCGATGAGAATTAGAGCAACAAATTGTGAAGTGTAAGCCTTTGTGGAGGCGACACAAATTTCAGGACCAGCGTTGATATGGACACCACAGTGTGTTTGACGAGAAATCGATGAGCCTACAACATTGACAACACCAACAGTCAGTGCGCCGTGTTCCAATGCATACCGAAGAGCAGACAATGTGTCCGCAGTTTCGCCGGACTGCGAAACAAAAACAACAGTGTCGTCACGGTACAATGGTGGTCTGCGATCCATAAAATCGGATGCCAATTCAACTACGACTGGCAAACCGGTGAGCTCTTCGAACGTAGGACGGACGGCTAGACATGAATGGTAGGAAGTGCCACAAGCAATGAAAATGAGACGGCGGCTGCGGCGCATAATATCATAGTAAGCTTCAAGGCCACCAAGCTTCACAAGTCCATCAGCAAAGTTGACACGACCTCTCATGGTGTTCATCAGACTTTCAGGCTGCTCAAAGATCTCCTTCTCCATGTAGTGATTAAAGGAGCCCTTCATAACACTAGCAATTTCCATTTCCAGCGTTTCAATCGCACGAGTAGTGCTAGCATTGGCGTCACGGCGCAAGCGGTGTACATGCAGCTCGCCATTGCTACTTACATGTGCAATGTCATCATCTTCCATAAACATAACACGCTTCGTATACTCAATAATAGGTGTGGCATCTGAGGCAAAAAAGTATTCGACAGGGCCTGGAGAACCTTCTTCCGGCACAAATGCACGACTCTGCGGACGGTGGAGCAGTTCTGGCTTGTCACCGCGCAACATAGTTTCACCATTCGTCTCGGAAAAGAACGGTCTCAGAGGAGTGGGTGATTTTTTCCCGTCAGAATCACTAGAAGGCTCAGGAAATTCTACGTCAACGAAATCAACCTTGAGTTTCTTACTGCTTTTCAAGCCTACCAACAAGGGAGAGCCGCGACGGGTTGCAATCACCTCGCCCGGGTAGTGGGAACTCTTGATAAGCAATGCGAAAGCACCCTCAAGCTCACGAATGACTATTTTTGCGAGCTCAATGAAGCTGATTCCTGGAGAAGAGTCGTACACGAGTTTACAGAGTTTTGCAACGCATTCCGTATCTGTCTCACTTTCAAATGCCATGTTACGGGACTCGAGCACTGTCCGCAGCTCACGGTAATTTGTGAAGATACCATTGTGAACGACGACAAACTCGCTGTGAGGATCAGAACGTTGAGGATGGCAGTTTACGGGCGACGGCTTGCCGTGAGTGGCCCACCGTGTATGGCTGATGGCACAGTGAGTTTTAAACTTTTTCGACATGTCAACGTTTGACTTTTCAACCGTTTCGGCAAGTTTATTAACTTTTCCAACCTCCTTAAACAAGAGGAAGTCTTGGCCCTCGTCGCCGTCAACAGCAATACCAGCAGAGTCATAACCACGGTATTCAAGCCGTTTCAAGCCTACGTACCGATGTTAGTACGGAAGAAAATAGAAAGAAATGAACGTCGATTAGGCATGCAGAATCGCGTTGTAAACATTGTTATTTTCGAATCAACCAGGGCGATCGGAGGCCAAAAAACATCTCAATCGAGAAGTTCCATACAATGTTTCTCTAAAATCCATCTCTTATCGTCGTTGTCTTACCTTTTACGAGGGTGTTTAAGATAGATCCTCTGTCGCGTTCGACCAAGTAGTTAATGTACCCAAAAATCCCACTGGTAGCGTATTAGCAGAAACGTTCGCACTGAAAACAACTTGGCGTACCACATTGTGCGATTATTAGCTCAGGAAATCCTGATTTTGATGTTTCTTCCTGTCGTAGAAAAGGGTGGTGGGTGGAGGAAGCAGGAACAACACTATGGCTGATCCAGCGTTTTACAAGTCAAAGCTGTGTAGTAGTTGATTCATCAATCAAGACACTAGTGAAGTTATCCGACCTGTATAAACGATTTCAAACTGACAATTTTCGTAACTAGTATTTGAATTGTTGATAGGAAAAAGAAGAGTCCTTAAAACGTAACATCCTCTACTTCTGGACGAGAATAAGTTTCATATTTGCGTTTTCCGACGCGTAATAAATGTTCAATTGCATAGAAATTTCGTTTAGAGATACCCTGATTGCGACGAAACTCGCTTCTTCTGTTGTTAGCAGGGTGTTTGACGGAACGATATTCATAATGCCGGAAAAGCGAGATACACGAGATTTGTACGACAATGTACGCATCCATACCTAATAAATGCTTCCCAGTGGGGACGGAATTGCTTAAACGGTTTGTTAGGTTTCAGTGTCAAGAGGTAGATGGTAGCTTCAAGTGGAAAGGAGAGCCATTGTGTGGTGACTTACGGGTTTCTTTGTTCTGGCCATCCGAAGACATTGTCTATAAAGGGAAAGAACACTTTTTTGAAGACCAGAGAGAACCATGAAGAGAGATGGTGGAACGGGAGCGGAAGAAATGATATATACGTGCTCTAAGCTGGGCACGAATACGAATTGGTGAGGAGGAAACTTGCGAGTGTTTATTAAACAAGGTTTGTAACATTACAGCCAATGAATAGTGTGGTTTTCGTCAATTTTGTTTTTATTTCTATTTTATTTGCAATTTAAATAAAATAAAAATCCCAGAAAAATACCAAAAAATTAGAAAAAAACCAAAAAAAACCACAAAAAACCACAAAAAATCAATCTATTAGTATACTCACTCTTTACGCATCCAATTATCAAACCAGACGAAAAAAGCATCCATACTATCCATCCTCAGCTTACTGAGCGTTCGCTGACTTATCGGTATTCTTCGGCTAAATAATCGCTTACTATCGTTTCTTAAACAATAACAGCACTATTTCGGCTAGTTGAAACTTTATCTGCTACCGAGGAACCGCGCGTAAGACGCGTCGCGTCTATCCCACAGAGCAAAGCCGTTATCTTGCTGGCAGCAATTGCTGAAGACAATTGAACATTACGTAAGAGAATAGTTTAAATACGCCAAATCCCTGTCTGCTGAACTTGCCTTCCCCCTTAACCTCTTGGTTCTTTCTTTTTGGTTTTCATTTTTTTTTGACCTCGGCATCTTTGACTGCCAATTGTGAGCAGGAAAGCTCGATATCCGGAAGGAATTATGCCTTGAGACTAATGTGGACATAGATTCTGTACTTTTGTCTGTGAATAGCTTGCTTTACGAGGCTTTTTGAATGATTGGTGGGCGAAATTGACGAAAATCGACGAGTGTTCATGAATCCACGTGTGTCATATCCAAGGTCTGCACGATCCATACATGTCTTTCACCGTAACAGTAAACGTTATATTTGGACTCTCTAATTTTCATTAAGCAGCGATTATTATTTTTGTCTGATTCGGGTTTCCTATCTATCTTTTCTAAAACAAAACAATTAAAACTTATGAACGAAATTTAATTCAGTGATTGTCTGGAATCAGCTCACAAGAATTCTCCTTCATAATCTCCCTGTGATTTCCGTTTCGACCCATTTTATTCCCCCCCTCGCCCTTTCTCTTTGTCACACACACTCTCGCCTTTTTTTGCACCTCTCCAACACTTCGCCTCGCTAGCTACAATGGATTTGTCAGAGTTGTGTGAAGTCGTGCACGAACTGGAAGAGAAACACCAGACAGACTCGTTTGAGAAAAAAGTTCGTGCACTCGAGACGGCTTCCCCGGTGCTGGAAGAGCAAAAGTCCCTATCTGAACCGCCACACGCCTCTCCAGCGGGCGCCCTTAACACAGATCGGCTTCTTGCTGAGGGTGACGCTTTAGAGAGCGTGCTAGAGTCCGTGACGCTCTCGTTGCAATCTATCGATGACCTGATGTTACGATTAGAAACTGAACTGTCGTCTGTGAACGGAATCATTGAATCTCTGAGCGCGGAAACAAAAGAAGCACAGGGCGTCGCTAGATTGTCACTGGAAGAGCAACAAGAACAACATTCCGAACACTAGAAAGATGTTATTCGGATGGATCTACGGTGACTCCTCTTTGTTCGGCAGTCGATCCTTAGCTGCTTCTTGAGGGATTCTACGGTGCGACTTAACGGAGAGGTGAACAGTTCCAGACTCCCTTGATGCGACAGAAACCGACTGTTCAACGTTACAGAATGCTGTCGGCGATTTATGGTGGACCGGTATCATTGGCCATATCATAGGCGCATCACACACTTAAAACAAGCCAAAAGTCGCCACGACAGTTTACATCGACATACTGCGTTTATAATATAATCGCATCCGACTGCACGCATTAAACCGTTCAACGAAAGCTGTGTTGCGTCTCTTGCACTCTGAATAACTTAGTTTTTGGAAAGCTTAATTTCCACGGCACTTTCGCTCATCGCTTGGCCCCCCGAACAAACGCACCGGAACTTCACCCCCTCGTCGTGTGTCGCTTGTAAATTACACTGCCGTCAGACCCTGCTTTGAGTATGAAATAAGTCGTTATACAGTGTCTTGTGTCTCCGAATAGTCTTCGTATAGGCAAACTCAGGCAAGCTCACCCTTCTTTCCGCTCTTATTCGTACTTCGTCTGCATTAGTTTCGCGAAACCAATTGGTTCCCTGCCATAGCATTAGCTGCTTCATTTACGGTCATCTCTGCGAACATCAAACTCAATTTCGCTATGTCTTCTATTACGACCAGCATTTTGTCGACGGCCACTGCATTGGCTGCTTCTCCAACACCCTCCGGTGACAGCGGCGGTAACGTCCGTGTCACGAACTTAAACACATACTATGATACAGGAAACATCAGCTTTATGCTGTGTTGCACTGCCTTGTGTCTGTTTATGGTTCCAGGTGTCGCCTTTTTCTATTCAGGCCTGGCAAGACGGAAAAACACACTGGCGCTTATTATGCTGTCCGTGAGTAGCATGTGTATTTCCTTTTTCCAGTGGTACTTTTGGGGCTATTCACTTGCATTTTCCACGACCGGTTCCGGTCGTTCGGGTTTCATCGGAAACCTGTGGCATTTTTGCTTCGTTCACACGTTGGCCGATTACTCCCCGGACAGCAACAATGTGTCAGAACTGCTTTTCGCCAATTTTCAAGGCATGTTTGCGGCTATTACAGTTGCTTTGTTCACTGGAGCAGCAGCTGAGCGTGGTCGTATAGCTCCTATGCTTGTGATCTGCTTCTTCTGGCTTACTATAGTTTACTGTCCACTTGCTTACTGGGTTTGGAATCCGTACGGCTGGGCTGCTAAATGGGGTGTTTACGACTTTGCTGGCGGTGGTCCTGTGGAGGCAGGATCCGGTTTTGCTGCCTTAGCGTATACCGTGTACTTGGGCCGTCGAAAGGATCACATTGAAGAACATTTCCGTCCGCACTCCGTCCTGAACGTCGTGCTTGGCACTTCCATTTTATGGTTTGGCTGGCTCGGATTCAACGGCGGCAGCGCGTACGGCGCAAACTTGCGTGCTGTTGTCGCTGTGACAAACACAAACATTTGTGCTGCTGTCGCAGCTACTACTTGGGTGCTTTATGATTTTATTTTCCGTACACGAAAATGGTCTATGATTGGCTTTTGTTCGGGTGCAGTTGCTGGTTTGGTTGCGGCCACGCCCACTTGTGGCTTTGTGAGTCCTCATGCTTCTTTGGCCATTGGTTTCATTACAGGTCTTGTGTGTAACTGGGCCATTAAGCTCAAGGTTCATCTTCGTATTGACGACGCCATGGACATTTTCGCCATTCACGGTATGGCCGGTATTCTTGGAACCGTTTTCAACGGTTTCTTTGCAGTTGACTATATTGCTGCTATGGATGGTATCACTATGGGTGATAATGCTATCAAGGGTGGTTGGTTCAATAAGCATTGGAAACAGCTGGGCATCCAAATTGGATATGTCGCGGCCGTGTGTTGTTACGACTTTGTTGTTACGTTCATCATTATTGTGATTGCCGATCACATTCCATGTCTTAATGTTCGTGTGACACCAGACGCGGAGTTGATTGGTGTCGATGCCGACCAAATTGGTGAGTATGCTTTTGATTATATTGAAGCTCGCAGAGAGTACAAGCAATGGAAGATTTCACCTGCTGGTGTGTCTACAGACAACATTCTTGTTTCTCACGGAATTGACGTAACAAACGGGGTTCCAGGAAATATTGCATCTAAAGAGAAAGACATGCCAGTAGATTCTGCACCCGTTGTCTAGTCATGGCGAACACTAACCGGCTGGCCAATTCCAAAAAAAAAAGAGAAAAATCAAGTCAAACAAAAAATAGAACAAAAGCATATTCATGAGGACTTTTTCTCATCGACATTTCTTTTTCTTGACCTTTCTGGACTCTTGTTGAATTTCAACTCACCAGATGTGTCACTCTCCATGCAGTCACTCACGTCGAGTTTCCTGCTATACCTTTTATATCTCCAAAATACAGTTTTCGTTTTTTTTTCTTCAATTACTAAAAGTACTATGTCTAAATTGCTTCATTCTTAGGTTTCTTACTCTGTAATGTTTAATGAATTTCGTTTTTGACAATTTCAACGCGTTCGCGAGTTATGCGAGCCTAAAGTGCGCGAAACGCGACTGCATTTATCAATGCCAGTATATGACGTAGGCGCGTCTTGTTCGTAGGATTAAGGTTTGGGCACGCTCGAGCCAACTTGCCTTTTCCAAAAGCTGCACTGGAACGAAAACGGTCGCCGAATGTTCCTTTGCTGTATTGCTGACGGTATAACTTAACTTCGTCATTTTCATTTAAGTCAATTGTCATCGTCCGGTTTGGTTTTGTCTGTTTGTATCGATATTTATTAAGGGAACCTTCCTACAGGCTGTATCATCTCTTCCTATTTTTCTTGTTATCCAACTCTCCTTTGCCATATTTAATACCTGTTTTGTCATAATTTGTTTGTAATGGACGAAAACTCAGAGCTTCTAACGCCTGAATTGGCGTCAAAACGCGCATCTAAAGCAGAAAGTTTGACCACATTTCGTCAACATTTTCACCGGTGGATCCAGGCTATCCGATACACTGCAAGCAGTATCTTTTCTCACAACGAGCTTAACACAATTGTCCAACCATTGAAACGTCCGTTTCTATTTCTTGCACGGCCGTCGAATTCTCCAGACCTTGCATGCAACCCAGGCGCAAACGAATCTTCCGGTTCTCAAAATGCTCTTGAGGGAAGAGAAACACCTGAAATGACAAAGTTTCTGCGTGAGATTCCTCAACCTTCGTCTTCCTATAGTCTGCTTGACGGGTTTCAAGCAACTTTATACAAAAACGTACAACGTAGACTTACTAAAAAGGGACTTCTCCTACCAGAGAAGCCCCGACCTGTGTCCAATTCTCGTCCAAAATCGTCACTGTCCCTTGAGCATAGAAAACTTGTTCGTGATTTTAGAGTTGCCAACGTTCAAGCAGCTGTAGTTGTCGACGAACTGGGTCAGATCGATAACATGCTTTCCGAGTTACACATACGCCGGCGGGCTGCCTTTCAAAAAATGGAGCAATTGAATAGTCAATGCACTCAATTGCAAGCACGGTTATCAATCGTGGAAAAAGAAGCGCTTGATGAAGACACACACGAACTTGAAGACGTTGTGACTTCAAATAAGACGGTGACAGAACAACAATTTGAGGAAGAAGCAGATGAAGAAGCAGGAGAGTTGGGAGAAGAAAGGGAATTGGGGGAGGATGGTGTTCCAAATGAATTCAGAGACGATGAGCAAAAAGAGAAAACATCTCACATGCGAACGGACGGAACAGAGGAACACGCGTCCCGCGGCCCATTCAAACGAAAAATATCACTTTCAAGCTTTCACCAAATTCCTGTAGGCACACCGCAGAAGAACATAGAAGTAAGTCAGGGACAACCCATCACAGCGCTTGACTTTAATGAACCATTTGGTTTGCTACTTCCAGCATGCGCGGACGGAACCGTGAATGTGTGGGATTTGTCTTCGACCAAATGTCTGGGTGAACTCGTTGGTCACACACAGCGTGTGCCGTGTTTGAGTGCTCGAGATTCGATCGCAGTTACTGGTTCTTGGGATAGGACGGCCCGTATTTGGAACTTGCAGAATTGTTTGCGGTCTGAAAACCCATCAGATGGTACTGAAACAGTGTATGACTCGGACACATATTATTTCGCAGAAGACGCTCCGCATGTGCATGCGGAACGAGCAGTAGCAGTGCTGTCATCGCATACAGAGTCCATCACGGCACTTTCTCTTTCTCCTGAAAATGTTCTAGTGACTGGCGCCAACGACAAAACTATACGCCAATGGGATATGCTGACAGGGCGCTGTGTCCAAACTTTGGATCTCGTTTGGACGGTGGCTCAAGAGGCTGCCACAGGACATGCTAGTACCGTTCCGCTTCATTCGTCGTTGAATGAACCGCTCGTTGGCGCGTTGGATTGTTTAGATGCTGCTGTCGCTAGTGGTACAAGCGATGGTATTATTCGGCTTTGGGATTTACGTGTTGGACTTTCACAGCGTTCCTTGTGTGGCCATACAGGTCTGATTACGGCTCTTCAATTCGATGGAGTTTACGTGTTTTCTGGTAGCCAAGACCATACTGTTCGCATATGGGATTTGAGAATGGGTTCGGTATGCGAGAGCGTGACCTTTGCAGGCCCCGTTTCTTCCGTGTGTGTTTCTGAAGATCGATTTGCTGTCTCATCCGTTGGTGAACCACTTTGTGTCCTAGATCCAAATGAAAGACGGACTTGGATATGTGACCAAGTGTCCTCTGGGCATGGGTCGCTCCCGGATGACCATGAAATCCCATCATCCAACACATCCTTTTCCAATGTTACAGCCCTTCAATACAAGGATCGATTTTTGGTTTCTGGAAACGAGCTTGGTGTCGTTAGTATGTTTTCAATCTAACTGACAACTTTCTTGACTTTAAAAAAACCGCAAAAAATATGTTTGTATTTATGAAGTACTAATTCTACTGTCTTTAAAGATGCTTTCACGTTTAAACATGCGCTTTTTTATCCGAAATGTTTCGTCTTCGCCGCTTCTCGCCGCTCTCGCCTGTTTCATAAAACACTGTTCCAACCGAATTTAATATTCCACCGTTTCGACCCAGTACACTTAAAACACTTCTCAAACACCTTCAGCACACCTTAACACTGCGAAACCATCCACCTAACGGACAGTTTAAATTTCCTCAACAATTCTACAGTTTGTTGGTGTAGCCTCTATTCACGCACCACAACGTATTCATTTATTCACCACACATTTGAAACTTGTAAAGAGTTTCCATTTCGCAAACGGAGTCACCTACTTTTCCTTACTTCTGCAACTGCAAAACCAATTGCGTTGTTTTTGAATAAGGTGGTATAGTGGGCAAAAGAGAAGTTCTGTGGTCCATAAAATGTGGCCTTTTTGCTAGCTTCGATTCACCGTTTTGAGCAATTCCTTCTAGTGTGCTTTAAAAGTATGCTTCATAATGGATTTAATAGAAATCGGCCGATCACTGCTGAGAACGACGTTTTACAAGGCCGAAACAACCCAATAATGAATGAGGACGACACCTGCAAGACAGGTTCAGCAACTTCCCTTGTTCCAGCCGAAAATCGGTTGCAATGGAGCAGTGATGACGAACAGAGTTGCGATTGCAACAGTTTTGATAGAGAAGAAACCTTAAAAAACCATCAACATGAGTTTTCTGTTGACAAAAAAGCAATTTCACGATGTCAAGTGTCCTCGCCCTTTTCAAAAAAAGCGCCCCTTTTCTATGAAGATGAATCAGAACAGCCTCACAGCATCCCTGGAAGCATACACAAGTTAAGCGACGAAAGCTTACAACGATTGATAGACAAACTTGGTACGATTCAACTAGTACGACAACTCGGCAAGGATGTTGCAGAGCGTGACGCTGTTATATCGGATATAAAGTATTATTATGAAAGCCGTGAGGAGATGTACCGAAACATTCTTCGCGAACACGGACTGGATCCAGTGCTTGCCAGTATCAAGCATGCACAAGCGAACGACACTCCTGGTGAAATGAGATCGAAACGTGTGGAGGTATGGTCACCGTATATGCACTCGCTTCGGCACAGATTACATAGGGCCATGTCCGACGAGCTGGTAACTGCAAGCAGCGACAGCGATTCTCCAGCAACCCCATTAGTTACGAGCCAACGCAATGACCAAACGATTGATGATCATGAATCCGAAGGGAATATCAAGACGAAGTCCGCTGCTCCTGCCACAGCAGTAGTTCCAGCTTCTGCTGCCGGGTTCATTCGACAGCTAAACTCGTCATCCCCCTGTAATGATACTGCTATGTTTCCCTGTTCCGGCAATGCTCAGAAAGAGTCTCAAAAAAAACCGACTTTCCTTTCACAGCTGAAGTTTGTCAAACAACAAACAAGCAATGTTCGAACCTCTCCCGTCGCACCTTCTGCACTTCCGGCTCCCCAATTTTGGAGTAATGAGTTTCTGTCGAGTAGCACATCTAATGCGAAAACTCCCGATGGAGAGGTTCCTGTAACTAATACTTCCCTACTCGCTTCCAGCTGCCCGTCCCCAAGCCCTTCCCCGAAATCATCATCCCGCCCGTTACATGCAAGCATTCACCGACGTGGTACGTCCGTTTACGCGCATAACTTCCACAACTCTGCCGTCCCAAATTTTCTTGCCGACTCGTCAATTGTCGAAATGGATACTATGGTTCCCAAAGATTTCCAACCTCCGACGATGCGGCTTGAGTGGGCAAATTCGCCCTGCGATAAGGGCCCTTTCTTGGATGAATATGGCTTTTTGTTGGACAGGAACGAAGACAACTCGTCATCGCAAAACGAGTCCCGCAACACTTCAAAGAGCCATAATAAACGAGAACCAATTTCGTCACTTGATATTGACGACCATGCTGCAACGACGTCACAGTCAGCGGGTTTAAGCAATCTTGCCTCGTCCACTTTAATTCGTGCACAACGGGAATTCGATCGAAATTTGCTCCTCCAGGAATCTTTGTGTTCAAAGTGGAACGAATTTTTCTGCAAGCTTTACAGCAAATTGAATCTTACATACGAGAAGAGTAACGGTCTCTTGGGTATTTCGCATATCGCGAGTCATGGAAAGAATGGCGGACGTCGATGGAAGGTGTTTCGCAAATTGGTTTTGCATGGCGTGCCCATGCCATTCCGTTCCAAGGTCTGGATGGAGTGTTCTGGTGCAAATCAGTTATACGTTCCCGGTTACTACCAAGAGCTGCTGCAAAGAAGCATGAAAGAGGGTGCGAACGAGTCAGTCGATCAAATTAATATGGACATTCGACGAACGATGGCCGGTAATGTCTTTTTTGGAGGTAATGGCCCTGGCGTGCCAAAGCTACGCAGTGTATTATTAGCGTACAGTGTGCACAATCAACAAGTCGGCTACTGTCAGGGCATGAATGTAATTACTGGTTTTCTTCTTTTGTTATATGCTTCGGAAGAGGATGCTTTCTACGTGCTGATGAGTATCGTCGAACGCATGCTGCCGCCAGACTATTTCTCGTCAAACCTATTGGGTTCACGAGCCGATCAGCTTATACTGAAGGAACTTGTGAAAGAGCTACTGCCCAAACTGCATCAGCATTTAGAACAGCTGTCCGTGGACTTGGAGGCCAATACAATCAAGTGGTTCCTCAGTTTGTATACCGATACGTTGCCTGCTCGGCTCGCTTTCCGTGTACTTGACGTCTTCTTTTGTGACGGCAGTGTAACTTTGTTTCGTGTTGCTTTGCATATATTAAAGACACTACAGCAGCAGTTGTTGCAGTGCACCTCATCCTCCTCCGTTTATGTGTTGTTAGGAAACCTGATGCAGTACCCCTTTAACAATGAGTCTTTTGTTGAGCAAAGTTCCATTATCTGGGCCTCGGGCATACAATCAAACGACATAGCCCGTCGTAGAGCAGCCGCCGTGCAGTCTCTAATGTGCGATACTCGCGACATTGATGATTAAAACAAAAAACCTTTAGAAATATTTTTACGAAGCGATATTCGGACACCGAGGAAAACAGTGCTGCGCGAACTGTACACACAACATTCGAATCCCAATAGTTTCCTGCTGCTCTTACAATTGCATTTTATCTAATTTGTGTTGCTGTGATTGTCGCATCCACCGGCCCCCACACTACCACCATAGCCGTCTGAGCGGATTTCCTGGTGGTGAGCTTTTAAGCCTATGTCGGGGTATCCGCGTGCACCGGGGTCTTAACATCAAACCGGCAGCACCCACCACGTTTCACCTCTCCAGACTACGTTCAAACTATTTGCTTTGTTTGAGTCTTTAGCAACTGCTTTTTTGTTTTTTTATTTCTTTTGCGGCCGCTGGGCGAATTTGTCTCGCAAATACTGGGATTCATTGCTTATTCACAGTATTCCGGCTCTTGCGATAGAGTGACTTTTACAAAACAAAACTCATATTATAGAGGAAGAGATAGTGGGGATTGACAATTGTGTCAAGTATGGACGTTTCAAAACTTGAAGAAACGCAGAATGAAAACCACAATTCTCGTGATGAAGCTGCGGGGGTTGATGGAAACGAAACACACACGAAAGGAACCTCGCGGTTTCGGGCATTCTTAAAGTTCCATTTGAAGGAGAACCACAAGTCGAAGTTCTCCTTTCGGAGACGAAAGAAGAGTGACAGTGAAGGTACTGACGAGACTACGACGACAGCGTCAGCTGTGAATGCCGATAATGGTTCTGGAGCATCCGGTGCATCCACAACCGAACAAGCTTCTGCTGTTCAATCCAATGTTGCTTCAGGAGATGTATCTGCAAAGTCTCAGACACCACTTGAGTCTCCGGCAGAACATTCGCAGCAAGACTCTAGCACGAACTCCTCGACGCCATCACTTACCGCTGCTGCTGCTCCTGCCCACGGAAAAGAGAAAGAAAAGAAAGAAAGACGACACTTCTTCCGTAGAAGAAAAGACTCGAACAAACTGCATTCAGACCAAAAGATTGATTTCAGTGGCCATAATCATGAAGATCAGCAACTTACATTCAAGTCACCTGTGACCTTGCAACCCACTCCCCGCAGTCGGACGTATTCGTCGAATTCCATCAAAATTTGCGATGTTGAGGTAGGTCCGAGCAGCTTCGAAAAGGTTTTCTTGCTTGGCAAGGGTGATGTCGGTCGTGTTTACTTAGTGCGGGAAAAGAAGACTGGAAAACTGTTTGCTATGAAGGTTCTTAGCAAGGTGGAAATGATCAAACGAAACAAGATTAAGCGGGCGCTTGCTGAACGTGAGATTCTCGCTACCAGTAACCATCCATTTATCGTCACGCTGTATCATTCATTCCAATCCCAGGAATACTTGTACTTGTGCATGGAGTATTGTATGGGCGGTGAGTTTTTCCGTGCACTTCAAAAACGTCCTGGCCGCTGTCTTTCAGAGTCAGAAGCGAAATTCTACACCGCTGAGGTTACTGCTGCGCTCGAGTATCTTCACTTGATGGGTTTCATTTACCGTGATCTTAAGCCAGAGAATATTCTGCTCCATGAATCAGGTCATATTATGTTGTCTGACTTTGATTTGTCGAAGCAATCTGATACTGCTGGCGCTCCCACGGTTGTTCAAACACGGTATTCGGCTCACAATATTCCAGCACTCGATACTAAGTCTTGTATCGCCGACTTCCGTACAAACTCATTTGTCGGTACAGAGGAATACATTGCTCCAGAAGTCATTAAGGGCTGTGGTCATACTAGCGCTGTAGACTGGTGGACGCTGGGCATCTTGCTATACGAAATGATTTTCGCTACGACTCCTTTTAAGGGAAAAAATCGCAACATGACATTTTCCAACATTTTACATAAGGACGTGGTGTTCCCCGAGTATAGTGATGCCCCCAACATCTCTAACGTTTGTAAATCACTTATCCGGAAGCTTCTTGTCAAAGATGAGAATGACCGATTGGGTTCAAAAGCCGGTGCGAGTGATGTTAAGATGCATTCTTTCTTCAAAGATGTCCAGTGGGCACTGCTTCGTCACATACAACCGCCAATTATTCCTAAACTCATTGATACAGACGCCCGCGGCTTGCCAAACATTGCCCATATGAAGGAGAGTAAGAGTCTTGATATTACCTATGCTTCAAGAGCTCCACAGACATTAGAAGTGCCATTGGTTTCGAAGAGCGTTACCGACAACGGTGATGATCCGTTTACCTCGTTTACATCTATTACCGTTCATCATGAGTGGGATCAATAGCCATGTGTAAGTTTACATGGTAAATAAACGGAACTGAAACGCAGCGGGTATGTAACGTCAGTTTTCCGATACAATACCTCTCTTATTCTTCTCCTTCTGCTCTTCCATCCTCATTTTTTCATGCAAGTTTGCTTGGAGTAAAACAGCTATTAAGCACAGACTTTTGATGCACAATTTCCCAGGCTTTTCGATGTTCTCCAGGCTTTGTCTTGGTATGTCTTACCTTGATGCTTCAGATACTTTCAATCGTGGTCTCTGCGACTCTTTTTTGGTCCATATCTGCTTCTTTTGTCAGACATTTTTTCAACGTACAAACTCATTCACACTTCCGCACATATATGCATGCGCATGAACAAGCATTCATTCTCTCCAGCACATTTACTCACCGACTATCCTGCTCTCACCTTTTCTTGGATTCTTGGACTGTTTCAAGAATAAAGAAAGTGCGGCTTATCCAACATACATCTTGAACCGGCCCTTTTCCCATCTTTTTTCTCTTCATTCCGTTCGCTGGTTGATCTGTTTCTACTTCTACAGCATCCGTTTATCGAAATTTTTTTCCGTCTCACAAATTGTGAGTCACCATTACCGGTTTATATGAGAATTGCTGTCTGACAACAGTGTCTTTTTCTTTTTCTAACAGCAACTATACATCAGTTCAGTGATGTCCGTGCTTTTTAGGCCAACTGTAGTTAAGTACACACGCACTATTTTATTAATGAACGAGTTTATTGAATTGTTGATATAATAGGTAAAGGAGGGAAACTGTATATTTTTAATTATTTTGTTGAATAACAACATCAAAAACGACGTGTTCTACATGAGGAGAGAACTGTTTAACGGGATGGATGCTGCAACTCAGATGTTTCAGTTCAAGAAACTGGGAGAATGTTTCTATAAGATGGTTCTGAAGCTCGACAATCTCGTTAGACGCCACATTTTCGTGAACGTGAATCGTAGACTTTGGGGTTGGAGAAAGGATATGAGCAGCCGTTTTCCATGAATCTTTGCTCGTAGGTAGTAGTCCCAAGTTAACATGTCGAGCATTAACGTTCATCTTTCTCAAACGACTTTCGGCAAACTCATTACTCTCTAGGAAAACAACTAGCTGATGCGTACCAGGAGAATGAATGTATTCCTCGTCGTGCTGAACAATACACACGGTCCAGCCGTTTTGAATTGCAGCTCGACGAAGTCCCTCGACACTCCAAGGATTAATTTCCCATCCGAATACTGTTTTAGCACCTGCGTGAATATAAGAAAAAGCGAAATACCCAATACCGACATACAAGTCCGCTATAAATTCGCCCTGTATACAAGGTTGCGAAAGCAGGCGGGCCTTTTCAACAATGTTCCCTCGAGAGAACATTGTATATCTGGGAGCCCAGCATTGGTATATACCATTTTGACGACAGTGAACCCAGAATGCATTATCAAAATCCTGCTGTGTAGGCCATTTTAAAACTAATTCGCCAAAATTGCCAAACAAAGGGCGTAGATTACAAGGTCTCCGCATTATATCGTCTGTTGGAATAAGATCATTGATGGCCAAATGGGTCGTTTTCCATTCTTCACAAAGTATTTTATAAAGGTTTGTAAGCGTTTCCTTACCTTTCTGCTCCTCAAAGAATTGTTTCCACTCCTTCGTAGAAAACGAGTTTGATGACAGAAGAGCCATTGGTCCGTAAACACAGAAACGCGAGGGAATAGGATAGGCTGAAGCTGTAATTTCACCTTTTTCTAAAACCGAACGAACGAATTGTAGCACACGGTCTTGCAGCGATTGCTTGTGAACAAAATCAACCTTATTTAGAGACACAGTAACCCACTGGACAGAGTCATCTTTCAGTAACGATGAAATGTTAATATCCTCAATTTTATGAAACAGCGTAGGTAACAAAATATAGTCAGAAAAATTGCCTTGAACGGAAACTTCATCTTCACTTAGTCGGTCTTTAGCATTTTTGATACCGATTTGTTTATAAAACTGCTTGTTTTCTTCAAGAATATTTTTCCATTTTTTTGCCTCACGTTTTGGGGCTAACAAGCAGACAATTCTGCCATTATTCAATGAAGACATGAAATGCTAAAGCAAGGAGTCGCCAGGGCTGAAAAGTAATGTCTATACAGTCTTAGGTACACCGATACGGGTTTCTCAAGTTGAGCAAAGAGCTAGTGCATATGGACAATTTACAAAATAGTAACACTAAAAAATACGATTTTATTTTACCAATTAATTTCTACCAGAAACCCTAAACACACAATGTATTCCTTTATGCAGATGCCTGTTCATTTTTGCATTTTGTGAATGTCTAATATCGCCCATGTTAGTAAGACCTGTAAAAAAAAAGTGAAAGCCATGCTTTCAGGCGAGAACAGTAATGTGCTACGCTCCGGGATTATACTTACCAACACACTTTCCACATGGTGAGACTGAGGGAACAGATCGAAACCTCGGACGTCGTTGATTTTGTAGTCCTTGCCCAATTCATGGTTGAGAATGTAGCTAATATCGCGAGCTTGTGTGTGGACATTGCAGGAGATGTAAACGACACGAGCAGGACTGTATGTAAGTAATTGATCCAAAAATGCCGTGTCACATCCTTTTCTAGGAGGATCGATGATCATGGCCGTTTCAGCAGCGGGCGTTTCAATTTTCTATACTGGGTTAGTAAACATTTACATCCAAACATGGTTTTGACATACAGCAAAGATTTTTTCTGCTTCGCCGACAAGGTATTCTGCATTCTTAATACCATTAGCTTCAGCATTTGTTTTAGCATAGGCCACACTGTCAGAAGAAATTTCTACACCAATAACGGATTGAAAGCCCTCGCTGCAAGTGATGCTGAACAGCCCAGAGCCACAGTAAGCATCAACGAGGTATTTGGGCGCTTCAAACTTTTCATCGCCGAAGGAATTGAAAAGTTGAGAGTGAACGAAAGAGGTAAACTTAGGAAGAATAGAGTTATTGTTCTGGAAAAATGCACCAGCAGGGAACTTAAAAGTAAACTTTCCAAAGACCTCTTTCACGACGGCCTTGTGATCTGTCTCAACTTTGTGCTCATTGTTTTCGTCAAACACATCGCGCAGAAGGATAGTAGCACCTCTCTTATATTCCGATTTCTTTGCTTGAGTAGCAGCAAAAATACTCGGCATGGATTCGTTGATGCATTTTGTAGCAATGGAACACTCTTCGATGTCAAAAACACGACGACGACCCTTCTCTTGAAAACCAATTACTAAGTCAGTCCCTTCAGGAATTCCGCCTCTGGGAACGTCGAAATGAGGTGTAATTTTGGTACGATAGTTGTATTCCATAGGACTGCTTTCCGTAGGACCAATTTCACAAAGCTGACCGGGTTGCAAGTGAGAGAAGTATTCAAAAGCCTTAATAATGACGTTCCTTTTTTGCTCAAGTTGTTTGCTGTATTCCAGCATTTGATACTGGCAGCCACCACATTTAGCAAAATATTTACATCTGATTAATGAATTGTCTCTTTCTTTAGAAGGTTCAATTACGTCCAAAAAGTCTGCGAGAGCATACGTCCTAAGATAAAGGTGTTAGCAAACCCCAGTGCTCGGTGCATTGTATTAGCATACTCTGTCAAAAAATGCAACTTGGCATGAACTTTGTCGCCCGGAAGAGTGAACGGGACGACCACAGCATATGAATCATCGTTCACAAGACCAATTCCATCACCTATATTGTTAGCATACCTATTACATGCTGACGTTCCAGTGCAGTAATGCATTTCCGTTGGAATTATTGAGTTTGAAAAAGCATCTCTTCACACTAGATAAGTTTCGTACCTGAAGATGAGAGGTATTGAATACTCACTTCAATCTCTTGAAAACGTTCATATGGAACTTGATCGCAAGTTTTGCCGTTCAGAACACGTTTGACATCAAGCTGCAAGATGTGTTCTGCACTTCCCTCTTCGACTTTTTTCTTCTTGTTTTTCTTTTTACCGGGACCACGAAAGCGTTTAACTTTTTGGTTTTGCAAAGGAGAAGCAGGATGCACTGCAGTAGCCATGTTTCTCAATTTCAAAAATTTTGGTTTTGGTTGGAAGACCGAAGGCGAAAGAAAGAGACCGGGAAGCTGTGAACCAACACAGTGAACCCTGCTGTACAAGTAGCTAGTTCTTGTTATTGATTTAAGCATCAACCTTTTCTTCCTCTATTCGTGTGCGTTTTGTCGTTCTGCCCGTTTTGACGGGTTTTTCTTTTCGTTTTTTCAAGACGATCCTATTCTGAAATTAAAAGTCAGTTTAAAGTGCTGATTTATTAAAAATACACAGTTAGAACGTCTTTCGTGTTCTAATTGAAGAACTTCTTAGTGGTTTTTGAGCTTTTATTGTTTTTTTCACTTGTATCTATTTCTCCATGACCCATAAACAGCATCCGTCGAAACTCTAATCCTCTTAAAATTAGCATTTTTGTATCATAAAACTCAGTCATTTGTATTGATTTACACAGAGGACCATCATATCCTGTTACTTAGCTCGATTTCAGCGTTCTTTTTTCCTCAAATTAGCATATTGTTTTGTCCCTTTTTTCTTCGCATTCGTTTTCGTCAAAATCTCTTTTTTTTTCGTCGTTAGGAATATTTTAGTACTACGAAACAGAGAATCTACGCTTAAAAATGGATTCTGGAACTCTCACAGCTGCTAGGTATGAACCCTGTTCTTGGCAACTTTTGACATAACTGACTGAATCCAGTGCAGGTGCGATTATCAGCCGGCTTATTTGCCATCCAATTGATACAATAACAGTACACAAACAGACAATTGGGCATTTCTCTTTTAAAACGATGCCATTGAAGGCATATTACAAGGGACTTCCAGCTTCACTAGCTTTGGTAACACCCGCAACGTGTATTTACCTATCGACATACTGCTACACAAAGGAGAAGCTTCTCAAAAAGAAGATCCATGGGACGTTACTATATTCGCTCTGTGGAATAAGTGCAGAAGTAATCAGCAGTGTTATGTGGACTCCGCTAGAAGTTGTCAAAGCACGGACACAGATTGCGGCGTCTGGTTCAGGTGTGTTAAGAGTTGTCAGAGACCTCTATAAAACAGAGGGACTACGTGGATTTTACCGAGGATATTGGATGGTATGTTTGGTTTACTTGAAACTTGTTCATATACTTGCATGAACATCTTTTTTCACAAGCTAACCTACAGGGAATTGCAATATATCTCCCGACCACAGTTAGCTGGTGGGTCGTATATGAACACAGCAAGTCGTATTTAATGAACTTGACCCACTGGGATGTATCGGTTGTCGCACCAATATGTTCAGCATTAGGAACAGTAGTGGCTACCGTCATTTCAACACCGTTAGACATTGTCAAAACGAACTTTCAAGTTGCTACTACCTCTGCGATGAAAGCACAGGCAAATTCGCCTGCGCTAGTTCAACCAGCCCTAACCATTCGAAGCATTGCAAGTTCCATTCTTAAAAAATACGGACTACGGGGTTTCGTACGCGGTTTGCTTACACGAATGTGCTATGTGATGCCTTCTGGAATGATTTCTATGTCCATTTTTGAGTCTTTGAAACCGGACATCCAGCTCGTCTAGCGACCGTTTTTTAGTTTCACTACAGTTGGTTGCATACCAACCCTTCATCAACATCTTTTCAAATTGTATTACTTGTACTATCTTTTTTGTTCTACATTGTGCAGTTTTATCCTCCTGAGAGCTTTCTCGTTTTCTTTACTTTCCTCTTTGCACTCGTTTTTGGGTGTATTGTTCATTTATTTATACATAAACAAAAGTTTCCAATATCACAAATGGTGGGTAAATTTATCGCTTTAGAACGTAAATAATGTCTTTTATGAAAGTATATGGCCGGTCTTGTGTGTTTCTTGCTCGGTTTTCTCATACTGTATCGGCAAATTGCTTACCAGTTGATCGATTACTGAAGATTGACCAGAAATGGAAAACTGAAACATATTCAAACCATGACTTGAACAATGAAGGTTCAAAAAAACAAATCACTAAGGAGAAAATGTACATATTGAGCATGTTTCCGTATCCTAGTGGCTCACTACACATGGGACATGTTCGTGTCTATACAATTGCAGACCTTCTTGCTCGATTTTACCGGATGAAAGGCTATGAAGTTATCCATCCAATTGGTTGGGATGCTTTTGGATTGCCGGCAGAGAATGCTGCGCTCGAGCGTCAAATTAAACCGGAAGTTTGGACAAGTTCCAACATTGTTAAGATGAAGCAACAGCTTCTAGCCATGAATGTACAATTCGATTGGCAGCGTAGTATCACTACATGTTCACCTACCTATTATCGATGGACACAGTGGTTGTTCTTAAAACTTTTTAAACATAAGCTTGCCTATCAAAAATACGCGACAGTCAATTGGGATCCTGTTGACCAAACAGTACTTGCAAATGAACAGGTAAACAGCGAGGGGCGATCTTGGAGAAGTGGTGCGCTAGTGGAAAAAAGAACACTGAATCAGTGGTTCCTACGAATTACTGACTATGCTCACGAATTGAATCATGATTTGGATTTGCTTTCCGGATGGCCTGATCAAGTAAGAACAATGCAAAGAAATTGGATTGGTGAATCTCATGGTTATGAGGTTTTGTTTCAGCTAGACGACGAAAATGGTACACAATTACCAGTATTTACTACACGGCCAGAGACGCTCTATGGAGTTTCACTCATTGCCGTCTCAAAAGATCATCCACTTTCTATAAAGGAGCGCAACACAAATTGCCATTTTCGTGATTTTTTGGATAAACAAGCCGAAAATGCTCACGACGGTTATCAGCTCAATGTTCATGCAAGGAATCCTCTTACTCATACTGTTGTACCTGTATACTATGCACCGTATGTTCATAATGATTATGGCACAAGCGCTGTAATGGGCGTTCCACAACATAACTCTGCTGATCTTTTATTTTGGAAACAGATGGGCTCCCCAAATTCTGCTATTCAAGTCCTTGTATCGGAGAATGAAGGGAACGAAACACAAATCATGTCTAGTAATTGTGGAAAACACTCCTTTCTTAACTATAAAATCGCCGCTAAAAGTGTATATGAAGAATTATCTGCAAAGGGCCTTGCTCGTAAGAAGACGAACTATCGTCTTCGAGATTGGCTAGTTTCTCGCCAGCGTTACTGGGGCACACCAATACCGATTATTCACTGTCCAAACTGTGGAGCAGTACCTGTTCCTGAAGAACAGCTTCCGGTGACATTGCCTAAACTTGACAAGTTTTCTAGAGATTTATCGGTTTTTCGAAATTCAAAGGCATACAAGGAATGGTGCACGACAATATGTCCAAATTGCGGCTCTGAAGCTCAGAGAGAACAGGATACGCTTGATACGTTTGTCGACTCGTCTTGGTATTTTTTTCGATATCTCTCACCGAACGAAGAAGGTGTACCTTTCCAAAAACAGCTTGCACAAAAGTATATGCCTGTAGATATATACTTAGGAGGTGTGGAACACTCAATATTACACTTATTGTATGCTCGATTTTTTGCCAAGTTTATGAAAACATTAGGCCTGTGGGTGGATGACGAACACCGAAACGAACCGTTCCAGCGTTTAGTTACTCAAGGTATGGTTCACGGAAAGACATATCTTCACCCAAAGACAAATCGATACCTGAAACCCGATGAACTCGTTTGCAAGGACGGGCAAATCCGGTTACGAGATGATTTATCTCTTGAACCAGCGATTTCTTTTGAGAAGATGAGCAAAAGTAAACACAACGGTGTTGATCCGATGGGAGTTCTTCGTACCTGGGGTTCAGACGTTGTGCGCGCTCATATTTTGTTCTCGGCTCCAGTAGACAAAGTGCTGAACTGGGATCCCAACACCGCTGTAGGCATCAAAAGATGGCTACTCCGTGTTGTACAGATTGCAGAGCAACTTCAGGGCAGCAATACAATTGAAAAGGTGGATGTTTCTCAATTGTCACAAACCGAACTCAGTTTATTGAGTGAACTGACGAGTCTTGTTGCTCGCGCAGAAGATAATTACGCAAGTCGTTTGGGATTGAATGTTCTTGTTTCTGACTTGATGAAGTTTACGAACTTACTTACAAAGTGCATGAAAGAGGACCAAGTGAGACCGGAAGTCGCGCATTATGCATTAGAGATTCTTGTACGTTGTATGGCTCCTATGACACCATGTGTTTCTATGGAATGCTGGGAACTTCTTCGGTGCCCCGGAAGTGTGTTTGATGCTTGGCCCAAAATGCAGCTGAATATAAAAAAGCCCTTCCAAGAGCGGTCCATTCCAGTTCAGATTAATGGAAAAAAGAGATTAGAACTGAATGTTTCGTCAGATGCCCAAATGTCTGAGGAGCAAGTGATTGCCCGCTTGAAAGATTTAAAAGAAGCTCAAAAATGGATGAATGGACAAACTATCGAAAAAGTAATTATTCGGCCGCGAATTATAAACATTGTCTTGAAGAGATGACAATTAGACAAACACTTTACAGGCCCTTTCGTTCACTGATCTATTATGCCAAATGGCAGCATAAGGTCATGTTGAAATCTACGAGTAAGACCTGCACCAACAAATATCAAAATACACCTTCCGAACCAATTCAGGCGAACCAAGGCATCATCAACCACACGATTGGCACAACCAAATCCATTGATTTCGTTTTTCTTTCGATTTTGGCAATCTCGTTAGAATCCGTTATGTCTCACTAAAACGTTTACCTGGTCTAGGAATGCTCAGCAGCGACCAAGTCGACAGTCATTTTGTAAAAGACAGGATATCAAGGAAAACTCAGACACAATGAAGTCTTCTTTGCTGCGGGACTCAGTAAAGAAAGCATTTGAATTCCAAAAGACCGTTCATGAGGATCCAATTCGGGCACAGCAGTTAATGGAAGAAAGAAAACAACTACTGGACCAAGCGTCAGCTCTGGCTGATGAGGACGACGTCCATGCAACAGTTTCCCTAAAGTCACATCTTGATCGGTACAAGCGAGATCAGCGGCTGTTGGATACTGTTTTACGTTCACAAACAACTGCTCAATCAGAAAGTCTGCAAAATGGTCAAGACCAGCAATTGCTGATGGAAATGAGAGAAGCGAGTTCGTTGGAGAATTCACTCAGGGGAACTAGTGAGCTGTTGGAACGTGCTTATTACACTCGCGAAGATTTAGATGCTCAGAATTCCATACTGGGATCTGTTAGTTCGAGAATTAGTCATCTAGGGGAAACATTCCCCTTTCTTAATCGCATTCTTCGAAAGGCTTCCGTTCGTCGTCGACGGGACTCGATCATTCTCGCTATCGTCATCTCATTCTTCGTCTTGTTATTCTATTTCTTCCATTAAGGATGTTATCAGAACATGAACTGGGTCCATAGATATGCAAACACAAATCGTAACGAACATGAACAGACACGAATGAGCCAAGCCGGAACACATTCATTCAGCTGCTACTCTTTTAGTTTATTATACAAATCCGATCATCTCTAGTCGATATGAATGAAAGAACGACTGTAGAAAGCATGTAAAACCAGACAGGTCTCATGAAAAAAGGAGACAACGGTAAACTGAGAAAGGAGAGCCAATATCCTGACGATTGACCACTGGTATTAACGATAGTTGGCAACAGCTCTGTTTCTTACACATTCATCTCCTACCGGTGCAGCAAAAAGATGTGGAGACCCCCTTCCCTGCCGGGACAGCTCGAGTGAATCCTGTCGCAGTCGCACTGCCTCTGACCCAGGGTTGACGTGCGTTGTTGCCAACCTCCGCCGGTGGCCCTGTGTTTAATCCTCACCACTGCCGGGCGGCTACCCGCCAGAGTGTGTGGAGGAATCAGAGGATCAACTGCGAGACTCGAACCCGTTAACACCACCCCACCAGTTGACAAAGGGATTGTCTCTCCATCCGAGCCATTACAGCTTGAAAGTTGGTATTGTAAAATTAATATATACCCCAGGTCTGCAAGGGAATTTTTAAGTAAAAATGTACTTAGAGGTGTAGTAGTAGACGTGAATAATATGAGCATGCCGAGGTATAAAAAAGGTTATGGGACAGGATTTATTTACTATGTACGAATAAAACCACTCTTAAGCATTACACTTTACAACAGAGTTTTTCCTATTGAAACAGACACGGGCATGAAACTGAAATGAAGACTAAAACTACGACTACGACTTTGGCCTAAAATATACCGCACTTACTGCACGCTTCCGCTTCACTTCATTACAATCCAATCCATTGCACTTGTCTTTACTACACTACTATTTTTTTTGTTTTCTCCTTTTACGGCAGTCGGATCCAAGCAACCAAGTGTATTGATGCAGCGCACGTATCTACACGTGCATCACAGCCTTTCGCCTGCAAACTCTAAGTCATGTCACCTAACATGTTTGAAGGGAGCAGCTTATTATTTACCGGTAAACATAACAACGGCCAACTAGTAAAACACTGGAAACTGTGTGTGATAACAAAACATAACTTGTATGAACAATGAATCCACCAAAACGAGCTTTAGGAGACCAAGAGTGAGCGGCCTGCCCTTTATTCGTTGACAAGACACTGCACGAAAAGGAAGAGGTACATGAAAAAGTCGACAGTGTAGCAAAACAGTCTGAAGAAGCTTCTCTTTTGGTGTGCAGAAAGATCTTTGAAAATGGTGGTGCTGTCATGCAAGTGCATGCCGCCCAGAATCAAAGAAACGTTCCAGGCAAGAAGAGGAGTGTTCAGCAAGAAACTGAACCATGCTCCGGAGAACAAAAGAATGAACGAACCAAGGGCATGGAGCAGCATGTCTGGAAGAACGAAACGGTTTACTTTTTTACACACTAGAACGCTGATTAGCAAAAGAACAAAGAGAAGGAACACTGAATGAGGAAATGAGCAATGACAAAAGCAAGAGTAAACGAAAGTAATGGCAATAATAAAAAAAAAAAAAGTATGTCACTTCACAACCACTATTTCAGAGAGAGAAAGGTGACTCGTCCTGTGCATTTCCTTTATCAGTTTTACATACAGTCGATGGGATTAATAAAGTCATCCTTGAGGTCCGAATACATGACAGTAAAATACATCTGCATGATGATATTGACGCAGCTAAAAAGCATCACTGTAAAGTACATCCATGTCAGCAACATTTTGAAAGAATGAAACCGGAATTTCCAGGTAAAAAAGGCTAAACGCCGTGTTTTGTGAAAGTGTGCTTTGATCTAGCGGGTGCGCTGGCGCCTTGGTGGTAGTACTACGTCAGAAAGGTTACAAAAAAGTAAGGCTGCGGGGAGCGGGAGAAGCGGGAGCACGTGAGGAATAGGCGGGTGGGGAAGTGGGGTTTGAGAACAATTTTAAGAGGTATTCGTTTGATTATAAAAAAAGAAAAATGAACAGGAATTATTTTGAAAATAATTTACATTTGTTCCTAGTTTCTCTATATTTTTTTGTATTTTTTTTATTTATTTAATTTTTTTAATTTTTTTTTTTTTTTTTTTTGGTAAAAGGTTTTTTAATTTATTTAATTTATGAAATAATCAGTTTAACTTTTCTATATCGTTGAATAAATGATTAAATTAAAACCATAAGACTAAGGCATAAACCGGTCTCCAACTCTCCCCTCCATTCCCATCACATTCCCGCTACTCTACGTTCTTTTCGTTTTTTTTCCTGCGGTTTCTGGCCCTTTCCATCTTACTACAACTTTTCCTTTCTCACAATCCTACTACCGTTTTTTTTTCATCCTCTTTGGGTTTTACGTGTCTTCTTCGCATTTTTCGATATCTCTTATGGCTACTCTCACTGTTCGTGTTATTCGTAATTTTGAATATCGCGTCTCCAAAAATTTAATCTTTCATAATGTCGACTTGGCTACTACAACTGTTGGTCAACTCAAAGAAATGTGTCAGGAACGCATCCAAAAAGAACCGGGCATGAAGCTTTACCGGAATCTCCCTCTTGATACGCTGAAGATTTATGTCAAGGCACAACACAACAAAACAATGAATCTTATTATTAATCTCGACCACGATGAGTGGATTTTGTCCGATGATAAAGACACTCTTGCTTTCTGCGACATCGAACATGAAACCGAGCTTTCCTACTTTAACCTTGAGGCATACAAAAAGTTCCAAGCAAATCCTGAACAAAAGTGGATGTAGGAAGGCACTGTTTGTGTGTATGCAAAGTGTGCGTTGAATCGATTGTATTTTTCGCAGAAAAGCAGAAAACAATAAATAAGCTGTCTTGTTCACTCGCTTGTCTTGTTTACATGGTCGCAATGCCAGGTGCAATATTAGGCACATCATACTTTTGAATGGCTTCTGCGAGCTCACGAGCCATCCTGTCGTAATGATTTGTTTGTGCAATTTCCAATGCATGGTTGTTATCCACTCGTGGGTCCTGTCCCGCTTGCAGTAAAATGTTGACGACATGGCGAAGATTTAAATGTGTCGCTTTAAACAGGAGTTTCTTGCTCTCTTCACTATTGATGGCTATGTTGCTGATTCCGCTGCGAAGAAAGTCAAGGTGTTTGTGGTATTGGCGTAAAGCATACTCCTGAATATCTGTGTCCTTCATTCCGGTATCGGCGATGTCTTGTGTTGAGTCAATAGTCCAAGACAATTCGCTGTAGTTCAACAGCTGCTTGATGGCATGAGTGCTGAGGATCTCCGCATACTCTCCTGTCATCAAATAGTAACGCAAACACTCATGAACTAGGCAAGAGGGGATTGGAGTCTCGGAGTCAATCCTCCTAACCGACACAAAATCATTTACACGCAAATACTGTCCTATAATATCCCACACCTTCTGTGGAAGTGAAGAAAATAAGACTTTTTGCATTTCGTTTGTCATGAAGCTTGTTTGAGGAGGGTTGAATTGTTTCTACAGCGTAAACTGTTCAAATATAAACATAAACGGCTCAATGAAAACAATTGATTATACAGAAATGGAACATTCATTTTGCATTCTTTGGCACTTCAAAAACAACAGAGCGTATTTGCTGTATTTAATCATGGAGCAAGTCGCCCATAAAATTATAATTATTAAAGTTGGGCGGGGTTGAGAATGGAAATATGTGGGGAGTAGAAGAAAAACAATAATGTGAGGACGGAGAATGCGTTGGGAATGTCTTAGGGTTTGTCCAAAGAGTTATATATATACTTATATACATATATGTATCTATAGTTTTTTTTTTTTTTTTTTTTTCTTTCTTTAAATTTCTTAAGAAACCCATTCACTATAAAATATCATTAAGCTTAATATAAAATAATTAATATATATGTACATGGAAGTTTGTAAACAAACACATCGATCAATAAATTATTGACCCATTCTTCCTCACAAATCCTTAGTAACACACCCAAAGATCAATCCATTCAAATAATTATCCGCGTCCACTAGCTGTCATTCAGCAAACCGCAAGGGTTACTCCCTAGCTCCTTAAAGCCACACGAAGCGCAGTCGTTACGAGAAAATCCGTCAATCCTTGCAGACCCGTCGAACCCTTTCTTTCTTCAATCCCTCACTCCTTCTCTTTGTTCGTTGACCTGGACCCCGTCTACCCCTTAATTCGCTATCTTCTCCTTTTAAAATAAATGAACTCATTTGTCTCACCAGTTCACCCTCCCTGACACGTAAAAAAGCAGTCTTATTTCGTATCTTGTTTTCTTTTTTTTTTTTTTTTTTTTTGTTTTTTCTGTCGCGTTACCTCCTAGCACGATTTCGCTCTCTATCGTATCTGATCATATTCGCGATCTATCAGATGCTCATATGCATATTCATTCGTTGAAGGTCATACTAAGTTAATAAATATCACTCAATCCCTGAAGTGCGCCGACGCTAAAATAATCGCACTAAAAGCTGATTCGCTCTTGTCGCCTATCACTTTTATCAGATGTGACCAATTTCGCATCGCCGACTCTTTGCAGCAAAGTCTGGCAAAAACAACACTCTGAATTACGCCGGAGAGAAGCCTCACTCATGACGAGTATTTTTTAGTTATAAAAGCTCCATGTATCCCTAAAAGTTAGGCTCTGTTAGTAACCAAAAGCTTGCAGGTTCGAGCGGTCGCAAATTCACCATGGCTTTGAATCGTCAGCACAAATGGACAGTCATCCTTATGGGAACCATATGGGCAGCAATGATCCTCTTCATTCTGCTCTTCCTTCTGGACTACTTGCGCTTGCGTTTCCGTAAGTCTAAGGAGGGTGCGGTGACGACTTCAGATGGAACTCAGAGAAACTTCTTTTACAGGTGGTACTTGGTCTCAAGAAACATTTACCAGGCAGTAGCGACTCGCAAGAATTTGATCGCTACTATTGTATTTATCGTTGTCATTGGAATTTCTATGGGCTACATGAAACCCGAAAGTTATCGAAGTCTTAAGTACCCAAAGCTTTGGTATGTGGTCGTTGTCGCCAATAGATTTGGTTTCTTTGCCTGTGGTTTGTATCCTATTATCTTCATGTTGAGCATGAAAAACAGCTTCCTTGGTCTTCTTTTATTCAGTAGCTACGAGCGTCTTAACATCTTACATCGCTGGCTCAGCTATGTTGCCGTCTTATTCGTTATTGTACACACTATTATTCTCGGCATCTACTTCAAGATCAACAACCGTCTTTGGTTCCTGCGTACCACTCGTATCAAGTGGGGTTGGGCCGGTATGTGCTGTTTGATTCTTATTGGTATCACATCCATTCCCATGGCCAGACGTAAGTACTACGAGTTTTTCTTCATCATGCACCACTTGATGGCTATCGGAACCTTGCTTACTACTTACTACCATTACTCAATGTGCCAGCCTTACGTTAAGGCTGCTGCTGCTATTTACGGCTTCGATCGTGGTTTGCGCTGCATCAGAGCCATTCTTGGTTACACGACTCTTACCGTCGAAATTGTCGGCGACGACCTTGTCGTCCTTGAAGCAAAGAGACCTCGCTTCTCGCGCATGTTTAAATGGACTGCCGGTAATCACATTTTCCTCAACATTCCCAGCATCAACTTTTTCCAATACCACCCCTTCACAATTGCCAACATCAAGGAAGACAACACTGTGAAGCTGTACATTAGTGCCCGCCAAGGTTTTACAAGACGCTTGCTTGAAAAAGCAAATTTGGAATTGCCCAAGGTTGCTGATTCGGACGAATCTACTATTTCTGGAGCCTCCAAGGACCTAAACAAGGCGGATGGTACCGTCGACATGCATGGAAAGTCTCAAAAGATAAAGCTGAGAGCTTTCTTGGAGGGTCCCTACGGTGCAATTATTAACGTGTTTAACGTTTACGATTCCGTCTACTTCTTCGGTGCCGGTGTTGGTGTTACCTTCCCCCTTTCGCTGTGCAGAGATGTTTTGAGAGATCACGGAAAGGTCCGGAAGGTAGTGTTCGCTTTCGCTTTCAAGAAGGCCAACCTAATGGATTGGATGCTTGAACTTTTGGATGACTGTAAGAACTTGTCTGCCGGTCTAGAGGTCGAATTGAATTTCCATGTCACTCGTGAAGACGTAAGCGCCTTGAAGTCGTACGTCGAATTGGAGATGCCCGCCAATGTTAAGATTCTCTGCTATGGAGGCCGTCCTAACATGGATGAATATGCACAGCGAATTGCCGAGGACGGCGAACATTCCCGCTGTGCCTTTGCTATTTGCGGTCCTGAAGCCATTATCAACTCGACGAAGCGTTCTATGAACAAGTTTCTTACGCTGCAATCCGACGTTTACCAGCACTATGAGGCCTTCGATTGGTAAACAATTTTGTAATTTTTAAATTTTGTAACTATTTTTTACTATCAGATTTCCTTTTATTTATCGTTCCTTTACGTTAGTTGAAATATCATTCACTTTGGGCTTCAATTAAAAAAGCAACAGAAACAACATTACGAGGTGGATACGACGGAAACGATTAATACTAAAACAATATGCCACAACACTCTCATATCCCCCCAATACGCATACACTTCTGTCTCTTCGGAAGGAACTGATTATTTTTTTTACAGAAAATCCTTGTGCGATTGAAACAACTTGCCCAAGCACTCAAAGACCGGAACAGCCGAAAGGTCCAAGCACAACTTCTATAGATATACCGGACGATGATGACTCGTAAACACCCAAATGTAGTAAATCATGTACGACGATAAAACGCAAAAACTTTGCCCGGAGGAATCACCTACTCGTCAACAGGAATAATTTCTTCGGAAACGACTTCCTCAATCGTTTCTTCAATAACCTCTTCAGCAGAAGCAGCATCAGCGACACCAGTTTGTCCCAAAGCCTTACGTTCCTCGGCGACTTGGGCAGTAACCTTTTGTCTATAGGCCTCCCAATCGTCGATGAGACGGCGTCTGCGGGCAGCAAGCTCACGATTGGCACTACTCTTTTCTGCAATGTCTTCCTCGTCAAAGAGACGGTTGTACTCCTTCAACTGCTTTCTGACCTTCTTCATCTCTTCCTTCGTCAGAGGAGAAGGAGGACGAGGACGCCAGATAAATTGTTTGAAATCATTTACCAACTCTTCACGCAAGGTTGTGCCCTTGAAGTCACAAATTCTGTAACCGTTTTCAAGTTTGTGTCTCCAGATGGTGCTGCTAGTGGTAAGGTAACGTCCACTAGGATCCCACTCGATATCGGTCATGCCAAAGTGCTCGGCACTGCCAATAAGTTGAATGTTGGCAAGGTTTTCATTCTCCTTCTTCTCACTTTCAAAGTCCATGTCATAGAATTCAAGATCATACTGAGTGGAAGAACCAAGAGTAGCCGCGGCCAAGAAGCGACCCTTAGGATTCATGAACAGAGAATTCAAGGACTTCTTCTCAAAAGTGGCAATGTGACGGAAAACACTGGGGGTATTCTTTTTCTTCTCAAGACCATAGAAACTCAGGTTTGTTTTGAGATTGGGCGAGCCTAAACTCTGGTCGTTGGCGGAAAAGATGGCGAACCGGTCGCTCTTGGGCTCCCAGGCGAAGTTCAAAACAACCTCCTTCAGGTCGATGACTTCAACAGGGGTATTCTTCTCGCGGACACGGAAGATTTCAAGGTTAGAAAAGGTAGACTTCTTCGTTTTCGTGTGACGATCAACCTTCACACACATATAATCACCATGAGATTGCCAGTAGAGCTTACAGTCGGAAACATTAAACAGGTTCTTTGTCCGAACAGTAGCCTTGCTGGGAATACTGACTAAGGCTACACGGGCAGGCTGGTTTTGCAATTCAGGTGTCCAGTAAGCCAACAATTGTTCCGACTTATCGGCAACAACGTCGTCGACGGGGCACCACTCAAAACTCTGCACACCCTCAATCTTCATAACCTTCTTGTCCACCAAGGCCATGGAGGGAGTCTCGTACACAGAAATAGATTGACCGGGGGTCATACGAGCAAGGTACTTGTCGTTGGCAGACCACTTGAAGATGGGCCAGACAACCTTCTTAGGGTCCTTCACGTCACCACCGGGAGCAATCTTAAAAGAACGCAAAATGCGACCAGATTGAACATCCCAGATGAAGCAGTTCTTGCCTTCATCAGCGTCGGAGAAAGGCATAGTCTCACGAGCAGGGTGTCCAATAGGAGGCAACTTCACAACCTCGTAGGAGTACGAAACCAAATATTTCTCAGAAGGAGAAAAGTCAACAAACTTCACGTAAGGATGCAAGAAACGAGCACACATCTTCCAAGAGGCACCACCCCAAAGTTGAATACCACGGAGATGGAGAGATACAAGGTATGTACCCAAAGGAGACCATTGAACGTAGGTTTCCGTCCAGTTCTCGCGACTGACAACTTGCTCAGGAACATCGCTTTTGCGGTTCCAGTTCACAGTGACAGTGTTACCGGCATAGCTGATGAATTGATCACGTCCATAGTAATCGGCGAGCCAGCTACGCAAGTGTTCGCGTTCATGATATTCACCTTCTTCGAAGTGAAACTCTTCAGGTGTGTTAAAAGCCTTTTCCAATTGGTTCAGCTTTCTGACAGCGAACACATGACTCTTGTCAATACGCTTGGCGTCCAGTTCTTGCACACACAAGTCTGCTGCGTCCACATTTTCAAAGTCGGCGAAAACCAGACCCATCGACTTTGAAGTGCCGTTAACATCGTTAAAAGGCATATACAAACCATTCTCCTTGACCTTGCCGATCTTTGCAAATACTCTGGTCGTTAAGAAACGGAAGAAATCCTTCTTCTTCGACTCATCTACCACAGGAGCACCTTGGATTACAACAATAGTGTCATATCCGGCGGGTTTAGGGACACGGAACTTTTCTTCCACGTCTGAGACATCGACCTCTTCGTCAGTAATGACGACTTTGTCTTTTAGCTCCTCTACAAGGGTGTCCGACATGCTTTCGTTTGTCGTAGCCTTTGGGCAAGTTGAGGTAGGCGGTGGTGAAAAGGAAAGTAGAAGTTTTGATGCAGAAGACGGTGTCCCTTATATGAAGACAAATAATGTGGTAGGTATAATAATATTCAAAGCGTTACAATGATGTACTTTTTGCTGTATAAAGCGGTATTTGTGTTTTCGCACAGGCTTGTATTCCTGGGCCTCACATAGGTAAAACCTAAAAACAGTCGCCCACTGGAATTACACAATTGATCGCTTGTAAAGCGCAGAAACTGTATGAATTTTGCATCGTTAAGTGTAAATGCTTTTGGAGATAAAATATCTTGCGCTTCTGGTCACTAATTCTTTCTTTTGTAGTTATTTGAAATCTTCGACAAGTTTATTTAACGCGTCTTTCTTTCTTTTAGAACTCGTACTTCTGTTAAACGCAACAATTCTTGTCAAACGCACGGTGTCGTATTTGCTCCTCGTGATTTAGAAGCATGTCCAGTCGATATTCCCGAGGAGCACATTCGAATATTTCTTCACGAAGTAATTCGCGTGCTTCTAGTCGCTCATTTCTGCCTACAGCTGCACAGCGATCAAATGTTCACAATACAAACTCTTCTGGAACAGTTCGCCGAAGAGAAGCCGCTGATTCAGAAGCGTACAGATCGGCTAGTGATTCAGCAGACCTAGAAGACTGCATCAATGTCATTATTCGCGTGCGTGGTAGAAATGAAAAGGAAGTGAAAGAAAACTGCGGCATTTCCGTATCTACTTTTGGTGCATTGGGTACGGAAATTGCCATCCAGTCAGACTCCAGTTCTGTACTCTCCGCAAAAACATACACTTTCGATCGGGTTTTCGGCCCAGAGGCCGACCAAATACTCGTGTTCGAAGACTCTGTGTCTCCTGTGCTCAATCAAGTACTTTCTGGCTTCAATTGTACCATATTTGCCTACGGCCAGACAGGCACAGGCAAGACCTATACCATGACTGGTGACTTAAATGACTCCTACGGAATGCTTCCCGATGGGGCAGGAATGATTCCCCGAACACTTTACATGCTCTTTTCCAAATTAGAAACGGACTTTACTGAGTTTTCAGTAAAGTGCTCCTTTTACGAACTTTACAATGAAGAAATCCGGGATCTGTTAGTTACAGAAGACTCCCGGAAGCCCGCACGAGTTTTTGAAGACATATCACGAAAGGGAAATGTCGTTATCACTGGCATGGAGGAGTGTTACATCAAAGATGCTGCTGACGGCGTCCGGTTACTTCGCGAAGGATCACATCGCCGTCAAGTGGCTGCTACTCGCTGTAACGACTTGTCGTCGAGAAGTCATTCCATATTTACCATTACTGTCCATGCACGTCCCAAAAGAGCAGACCCACACGATGACACATTTCGTTTGGGTAAATTGCACATGGTTGATCTCGCTGGTAGCGAAAACATTGGCCGATCCGGTGCCGAAAATAAAAGAGCTCGGGAAACTGGAATGATTAACCAGTCCTTATTGACTCTTGGTCGTGTTATTAATGCCCTCGTAGAAAAGTCTCAGCACATTCCTTACCGTGAGTCTAAACTTACTAGACTTCTTCAAGATTCGTTAGGCGGAAAAACAAAAACATCTATGATTGTTACTGTTTCCCCGGCAAGTTCTAATCTTGAGGAGACACTTTCCACACTTGAATATGCGAATCGTGCAAGAAGTATCCGCAATCGACCACAAAACAACCAACTAATATTACGGAAAATCTTGATCAAAGATCTTGTTATTGACATTGAACGGTTGAAGGCCGATTTGACTGCTACACGACAGAAAAACGGCGTTTACTTAACTACACAAACGTACAAAGAGTTAACAGATGATGTGGAAAGTAAAAAACTACTATGTCAAGAGCAGACAAGAAAGATCGAGTATTTAGAAACGAATCTGAAACATTCAAAGGAACAACTTCAGACTGCTTTCAAAAATGCTCAAGACTTGAAGAAGCAGCTTGAACAAAATAGTCAGACAATTCAGGACAAATCTGATGCCTTGGAAGCAGCGAATACAAAAATAGCACTCTTGGAAGCACGTTTGGCTGATGAAGTGCACCTTCGTGAAGCTTATGCTCAGACTGAAATCCATAATGGTGAAACAGCTGAACAATTTTCGAAAAGTTATCACGACTCTAAACAGCATATCTCCGCATTGCATGATAAACTTGCGCGCTCTGAACAAGCAGGGCAGGAAAACCAACACATATTTCGCAACCTCCAGTACAAGGTTCTCACAATGGTGCGAGGGTTTCAAGGAAAGTTCTGCGACTCTACAAGTAATTATTTCTCACTGCTAAACAATCTGAATACGTCCATGGAAGAGCTACTAAACAATCATACAGGAGTCGTGAAACAAACAAACGATATTTATACTTCACACATGTCCCATTTAGACAGTTCTATCAAAGAGCTTTTGACCACTATCGAATCCAACAGTGGCGACCAACTTTCACTCGCCGAAAACGTTCAAAAATCCCGAGAAGCAATTAATCAGCAACTTAGCATGGGTCTCCAGGAAATCGATATGGCTTCTCAAAAAATCAGCAACGACATTTCCTCTAACCTACTAGAACTGAAGCAGGGAATAAACGGGTCGTTTGGAATTCTTAATCAGGAGTTAAAATCCCTATTTGAAGAATTAGACCAGTACTTGGAGCAACAAGCGGTAAAACTGAAAAACGTTCGTGATAATACAGTCACACAATTAGAGAAGGAACTGAGTGTTGTCTCTGCAAAGTACATTGAACTGCGTGATTTCATGGAACAAAACACATCTATTCTTGATGTCGAGAAGAATAAGATGATGGAGAGTGTTAATACGCTCATCTCTCAAATGTTTACAGAACAGCAAACTCGTTTGCAAAGAGGAAACGATCTTCTGAACGATTGCTGCAGTAATATGTTTGGAAAATTGGAAACGATTGGCAAACATATTTCTTCAGAGTTGGACTCTGCAATCGCACAAAAAGACGAGATGGGTGGTAATGTTTCATCAACAAAAGAGACTTTAAAGAAGGTCATACTGGACGCTTCAAGAACAGCAGATGCAAAGAGCAAGACCATTCAGTCTTCTTCTCACGCGGTCTATGATCAATGTGTCTCGTTAGCCGCAAAGCAACAAAACAACATGGCCCAGCAAAATGAAGCTTTAGATGCTATGATGAAAAGTGTACTTGAAAAGCATAACAATGTTTCTTCCGCAGTATCTTCGCACTTGCAAACATTGTTGCAAGATGCACAGGTTTCACATGCTCAAATATTGGATCATTTCAAGAATTCTACGGGAGGTATGTCGGCCATAACCGAACTGCTATCACAGAGCACTACACAAATTGCCAACCAAACGAACACTCTTATTGATGACGGAGGAGAAGCACTCAACGAAATTGATCGGATCGTTCGTGATGCTGCTCTTACTAAAAGTGCAAGCACAGGTCAAACACCGCAAAACAAATATATCCTGACACGCCAACATGGACACGCACAATTAAAAACGTTGATTCTCAGCTACCAATGCCTCGGAAGACATTGCAAAGTCGTCTTACGAACGTTCAAAATGACGCCGATGTTGAAATGACTGAATCCTCTAAGCGATCACGGTAACTCTTACACTCGGACACGAACCCACTCTGATTCCCGACCATTCATTCTTGTTGTATAATTCCTTTTCATTATCCATTGCCACACGCGTCACGGCAGGCGTCCCCCATCCTGTTACAGTTCTTCCCTTTCACTAATGAATATCTCCCTCCAACTGATCACTCGAAACCGCAATAACATCCCAAAACGACCAGCCCGAAGGCTTCTGGGAATAAAGCACAATCAACTCACATACACACTCACACCTTCATACGAAATCAGACTACCATTACAGTCTCATCCTAATCCTCCGTTGCATACACCAGAAGTGCACATCGCCGATATACATTGATTACGGACACATGTAAATTTTTGAAAATTGCCGATAGTAAGGCGTTGTCGAGATGGTCCACTCTAACGCAATCTTCTGGCTTCACGCTCAGACTCGAGAAGAACCAAGATATCATCTTCACGAACAGGTCCCTTGACGTTACGGATGATGGAACGGGAAGTGTCATCCATGAACTCAACACGAACTTGAGTAACTCCACCACTGAGGACGTTAGCAAGAATACTCAAATTGAAGGAACAGTAGCCGAAATGCTTGAGAGTTGTCATTGATCACCAAATTCGTTATCTCTTAAATCCAAAAAAACACAAATACCAACGATCAAATGAACTCCCAAATCAGATCAACCACTACAAAACAAAACAACTTACCGAGAGCCGGTACGACCGAGCACCTTGATGACCTTAGCCAATTTGACAGGAACCTTAGATGAATCCATTGTTCTTTCTGAGATGCACTTTCTGAGTGTGTGGTGGTGAACAAAAGAACAAGTAAGTGAGTGAAACATTTTCTCGTCAAGTGTGACTGCTTTTTTGTTTTGGTGCGATCCACCATTCGCGCAACACCAACTGCCCTGCAACACCAACGGATTTGAACCGGGAGTTGAGTTACAAAAACTAAATACCAAAAAACGATGGATTTGGTAAACCACTTGGAAGATCGTCTTTTATTCGCTGTACCCAAGAGTAAGTATTTTTACTGAGAGGATAACGCGTAAGCAGCGCGTAGAAACGAGTTTTTGCAAAAAAAAACGCGTAAAATGCCTAAAACGGTTTTCTTTTTTCGCGTCTTTTTGCAAAAATATCGGTTTTCCTGCCGATTTTTGTGCATTTGCGCGGTGTTGTCGTTTATTTAATTGTTCTCGCGACGTATTTGGTTGTTATACGGTCTTTGACGACATTTCTTGCTTTTTCAAAGACTTACTAACAACTCTTAGAGGGTCGTCTGTACCAGACATGCTTGAACATCTTGAAGGGTGCCGATATCAAGTTCCGTAGAAACCCTCGTCTTGATATCGCTCTTGTTCAAAACTTGCCCATTGCTTTGGTGTTCCTTCCTGCTGCTGACATTCCTCAATTTGTTGGTTTGGGTCGTGTTCACATGGGCATTACCGGTCAAGACCAAATTGCTGAAGCTCGTCTCCGTGTTGGTGAAAAACTCAAGGTCGAGGAGCTTCTCAACCTCAAGTTTGGCAGCTGCAAGCTTCAAGTTCAAGTCCCTGAGAAGGGTTCTATTACCGATGTCAAGCAATTGGTTGGCAAGCGTATTGTCACTTCCTTCACTCACCTTGCTCGTGACTACTTCAACAACATTGAGAAGGAATTGAAGGCTGAGGGCAAGGTTGCCAACGATGTCGAGACCGACATTACCTTTGTGAGTGGTAGTGTTGAGGCTTCTTGTGCTCTTGGTATTGCTGACGGTATCGTTGATCTTGTCGAGTCTGGTGAGACCATGCGTGCCTGTGGTTTGATGCCTATCGACACCGTGATGGAGACTAGCGCTGTCGTCGTTCGTTCTGCCAACATCGCTCCTTCTCTCAAGCCTCTTCTTGACCGTATCGTTTCTCGTATCAGCGGTTTCATTGTTGCTCAAGAGTTCGTTCTTGTCAACTACAACGTTCCTGCTGAGGCCCTTGAAGAGGTCATTAAGATTACTCCCGGCAAGCGTACGCCTACTGTGAGCAAGTTGACCGACCCTGGCTGGCTCGCTGTTAGCAGCATGGTCCTGAAAAAGGATGTTGCTCGTGTCATGGATGAGCTTTCTCAACACAAGGCCAGCGACATTTTGGTCTTGGAGATTTCTAACTCCAGAGCCTAAATGGAATGTTATACAGAAAGTCTTGTTGCATGACTTAATTGCTTCCTATGTGTATGTATATTCCGTCGTGTAAGGTCTCCACTTGCGGTTGTTTTGGGCCTACGAAAACCTGGCCTGACATGTTCGCAGCGTGTAGTTTGGGGGAGTCCTGTTTTACCCAGACAAAACAAAAGAATAACGTCCGCTTATATGTTTCACACGTTCCCGTATTCCCCCTTCATCCTTTATTTCGTACGTTCTTTAGTTTTCGGACCTCTCGTGTGCTACTTATGGATTTTATTTCCAATGAATAGATTCTATTTCAATGTTTGATAGATGTTTTCTCCTTCGTATTTTCGCTCATGCATTTCATTAATGATATACAGAACGGCAGTTGTCCTTGGACTAGCTCTTGCTTATTGCTGTTATTTCCTCTCAGCATCCTCTGTAAACAAACGCGTCGCGTCTTTAGAGAGAAAAACGGTGACGTGATTAAATTAAGAACAGTATAAAGGGAAACGCGTCGTGTTCTACATTCCTTCCTTCGCCAACTACAATTTATTTGTCATTTATGTAAAAAGTATTCTCTATATTAAAGAGTCCATTATTTCGTATTAAATTCTTGAAATATTCTTCATATCAACAACATTCAAACATAAAGCTGGATAAAATCAATATGCCGAGCTGCTTGGATTTTATTAGAAAAACGCAGCGACGTATAGAAAGTAATGTCGACTTAGACATTGATCTTCTCAACAGCGGAATTGACTTATTTGAATCGCTGAGTGTCTCTGACTGCGATCTGGGGGAAACTTCAAACGTGCTCCAACAATTGTTTCAGACTTCGGTTTTTGAACACTACGACGCGAATGTACTATCATCATTGGCCCTATTGGGCGTGTACATTTTCTTCACGTTGCAAAGCGATGAAATTGGTGAAACAGTACTTGTCGGTCTGACAAAACTCTCCGCGGAAGTACTTACGACGGTAAAACAGAACATTGGTCCGAAAGTGTTGGAGAAGGCTCTGACGGTTTTGTCTAAACGCGAGATACCCGCTCTGGATCAGTCATCTCTCAGCTATAGTGACGAAATGTATTCTGCAATTCTAACAGACCGACTTATTTTGCAGTTGACTTCGTTTTTTGCAGCGAAGTGTGAACCAAACAAGGTATGGCTGATTTCTAACAGGAAGGTATTGCCTTTGAAAGCAATTGGACGGTATCTCAAACATCGAGACTTTGCATGCAGGTTTCTCGCAGGACTTTTCATATTTCGCTTCTCAACCTCCGACAAAAGCGAAGAAGCCGCTAAGCAAAACGAATTACGTGTTCATTTGTTCGTGGATTCCGCGGAATTTGACAAACAGCCTACAATGCAAATGTTCAAACCAGACAAAGTTTTTGAAACAGCAAGCATGAAATCAAAATACTCGTTTAAAGGACACATACGCGTTGGAGGAGACAGTGCCTCTCCCGCGATGATGACGCTTGAACCGAGAGATTTTATTGTTTACCGCAAGAAAGCCTCCCTTGTGCAGGCGGCATGGACCTCAATTAAGAAGGTCTCGGTATATACGGGCAGAAAGTTCACACTTTCCTTCGACACTTCAATTGACGACATAGAACAGTTCACATTTACCAGCACCTCGGCCACGCAATTTAGACTGTTGCAATCCACTCTTGGTAAACTCATTCCCCACGATTCTCCCACAGTGCTAACAACTGCGCCTATTCGTCTCGATGCTGCAAAGGCGACAGAAGCCTCTAAAGCATCAAATGAACAAGAAACAGAAAGTGTGTCTGCAGATTCTGAAACAGGCGCATCTGACGAGTACATTCCTTCAGAGGGAGGATCCGACGCTGCTAGCCCTGTTGGGCAATCTACTCTACCAACTGTAACCGAGACCGAAAATGTGCCTGCACAACAGCCTCTTCAAACACCCGCGGTATCTAAATCTGTTGCGAAAAAACGTCCACCGAAGCGAAAGTTCCTTCAAGATGACCAAGTACTCGGCTCGCCCATGACACCGGTCTCTATGACTGAAACACGTTTAAAACATATCCAAAAAGCCAGCTCAAAAACAAACAGAAAACCAAAAGAAGTCAAACGATCAAACAATAATGATGCTCAAACTAATGCTTGTCAAACAAAAACGCAAAACCAATCCTCCGTGTCTGCACTTGAGAACAAGGAAAACATGAACCAGACTCCTAAAAGCCGGCCAGCAGAAGAACTGCTGTTTACGCCAATGGAGCAGAAATCCATTGCCACGCCTTTGGCGGATCATACAAACAACAGAATTGCGGAACTTTCAAACCATATCGTAAAAAAAGAACCCAATCATGCTTCGCTCCCGACACCTACTGCCCACGAAAGCGGAAAATCTATTTGGACAAAGTTACTAGAAGAGAAGCCCTGGAAGCGGACACATCCTTCAGTCAACATGCCTTTACACTCGCGAGAAATTGATTTAGCACAGTTCGACATTAAGCCCACGGCGACTTTTTCTCTTCCATCACCCATAGGAAGCAGCGACAGAGATGTGGATGGGCAACCGAGGGCACAAGAATTTGACACAAGCAAGACGTTGTATTCCAGCACATCCAACGACGATTCGAACACAATTGATTTACAGAGTGTTTCAAGGAGTTCGCCCATGCCACAGAGGAAGCATGCATGTCCTCAGAAGCCCACTCAAGTCGCTGGCGAATTCCAAACAACCGGACCGAGTTTCTACCTGGCCCAAATTTCTAAGCATCTATGCGACGAGCTTGTGAAAAAGGAAACCTCTATTCGACAAAACGTTGAGCATTACCATGAACGGTGTCGGCGTTCGGTGTCTGACTTTCAACATCGACAGCAATCCCGATTCGCCCATATTGACCGGGAATTAGACAATTTGAGTGCACAGTTGATGCAACAGCTCGCAAATCTTCGTTAAACAGACTGCGTTTCTCCTTACGGTGAATGTCCGCCACTAGAGGATTGAGGCAATAACAGCTCGTTGGTGAGAAATGCACGATTGCGAATGACACAAGGGATTTTCAAAATCGCGAATACATGACGGTGCATACGGATAAGAATAATCAACTATATAAAAGCACTTCCGAACCCGGTCCGTTGAGGGCCAAACTGGAAACAGGCGCTATGGAATACGTTACAAGACAACATGACAACTATTGAAAGCATGTTAAACCTCAAAAACTAGAGGGAAAAAGAAATATAATAACAACGAAGGGAAGGAAAAACAGTGCAAATGTATCAAACAAATCAAAGTGTACAAGCGAACAAATGCACATGCATAAAGAAAACTCACCAACAGCTTGAACGGATACAACATGCAGGGAAAAGGATTCAAGACTCAAAGGGCTAATGAGGGAGAGGGCGAACGTAATGGACGATCAGCGACCCGGAGGACAGGACATCCATCACAAAGAAGAATTTATGTTCGCGAAATTAAATGTTCGTAGTAGCGGGACGAATCAAACTCTTCAGCCAGTTGTTCTCCATTTCAAGTTCGCGCAGACGAGCTTGCAGGGCAACAACCTTTTCCGACAACTCCTTAACGCTACGTTCGAGCTGTTGCTCCTTCAGCTTTTTCTTGATACGGAAACGAGCACTGGCAGCCGTATTCCTACGACGCTTGTCCTCCTCGGCTGCTGTACGAGCAGGTGTGCTTGTGGAAGAACGGCGGGTTTTGGAAGGATTGGCAGCAGCTGCTGCTAGCGCAGCATCAGTAGCAGCCTCTAAAGCGGCCTTGTCGATAACACTGTTCACAATAGCAGTTGTGTCTGTGGATTGTTGTTGCTTTTGTTGATCAAGAGGAACAGCAGTCGGGAGGGTAGGAGCAGCGATGCGAGAAGAAGCGGCTTCAGGAGCTGCAACAGCAGCCGAGAGTGAATGATAAGGCTGTTGTGCTTGAGACGGTTGTTGTTGTTGCTGCTGCTGCTGAGAAACGGGATCAACACTCGAAGGAATTAACGAAGCTGGGTCGAAAATCAAATTATTCACATCGCCAGTCATTTGAGGAGCAGCAGGAGCAACTGCAGGAACTGAAGCTGAAGAATTCGATGTCAGTGGATTAGACGTGAGGTAAGATTGTTGCTGTTGAAGACTTTGAGGTTTCAACGACGTTTCGTTTGTTGCCGAAACAGGGAACAAGTTAGGCAAATCTAAGAAACCCAAGGATGCAGCCGAGGGGTTTCTCGTCGCCGAGGGAGGGGTCAATTGTTCCTCTTCCTTAACGACGGAGCCATGAACGCTGGTACTTGTGTTCGTGTTCTTGTTCTGATTGTTGCTGCTGTCCTGCACGGGCAAAGGCTTGACGTTGTTGGTATCGTTAAGACTGCTTGCCGAGCTTTCCATTGACCGATAAACGTTGGTAGGAAGAATACCGCATACCTCAAAATCCAAGAATGAGGTGTTTGTGAACAAGTCCAGTTGTTTTTTTACGTCTTCGTTCAAGAAATCGTCAAACGTAGGACTGTCTTCAAAAGTAACATTCAAGTTCTCAATGGCACTGTCAGGAGTAAAGTCAGACATTTTTCACCGGGAAAAAATACGCTTAACACGGAGAAACAAGTGAATAAAAGAAGACTAAAAAGAGGAAGAGATGAGAGAAAACGAGAAAACCGCGAAAGAACCGAAAATGAAAAATTCTCTGTCTGTGTGACTTAGACACGAAAAAAATTCCTAATCAGGTTTATGACAGATTTATCACTGTAAGCCCCAGTAAACACAGGTCGACTCTATAGAAAGCCCAAAGTACGGTTGTACTTTTACACAGCGGTACAAAAAGCAATCGAAAGCGTCTATAACGGTCGTTCTTTCTAAATTGCTGTCGCGTACCTCAGTTCGTAGATATGTGCAGTGGGATAACTCTATCTTACAGGAGAGGGGGTTTGATGCACGCGTCTCGGTCAGCACCATTATCTACTCCTGACCAACCAATCAGGCTCGCCGGAAGGTCTCCCCGCTGGGTTTAGTCAGCACGTGAAGATGGAAAAATAACTATAAATAGGTGGCAATGCCGAGAGACAATAAACCGCACAAACAGAAAGGGAAAATTCACCGCATTCTAGATGTTGCGTTCACAATAAAAGTGAATGAGTATTGCGTATTTTACGAGGGTTTTAAGAAGGGACAAACTGGAATAAATAAGCGTGGACAAGAGTAGCATACTTCACCACCAGAAAATTTGAATAGCACACGAAAGAGGGTTTAGAGCGAAAAGGAGCTTATAATCTAAGGATTTTGTAAAATCTGTGAATGCGACGAGTGAAAAAAACGTAGAGAACTTTGCATCAAACAACTCTTTAGGTATTTTTCTTGGACTAGTTCACGTGCCCACTTTAACCGTTTTTAGCGTGTTATAGCCGATAATTACCGAACAGTAAAAACGATTATCTAGTCAAACATTTATATTAACATATGTAGCTCATTCTCCGTACTCATGTACTGCGGTTAGCATCCAGCTGCATTCTAATATGCGGCTCTCCGCTCTCCTCAATAAATGGTTCATCGATAGGATGAAAACCAAGTGACTTGTAGAATCCCATTCGGGTGACGACAGAGTCCAATACGCATGGTGAATTGGGCCATTGCTCTCTGTATATCTCCAAACAGCGTTGGATCAGAGCTTTTCCAAGTTTGCGATTGCGGGCGCTTTTACGTACGACGACTCGTCCAATGTGAACACTGTCATCAAGTACCCCTGGCGGTATTATTCGAGCGTATGCGAGAAGTTCTCCGTTTTCGAGATACCGAACATGAACGGTGGCAGGATGGATGTCGTATTCATCCATTTCTTGAAATGCAATTCCCCATTCTTTAACAAATACTTCTATTCGCAGATAAAGTATATGGAAGAGTTCTTCTCTCGATAAATCCGGCAGCAGTCCAGACGACCACTGACCTGTTAAAGGCTCGGGAGTAGCTGAAGATGACGGTTTAGACATGGGAATAGCAGTGAAAGGAACGAACTTGGGAGGTCGATTTTTGGTTCATCCAAGGTGTCAGTTTTGTGATGTAACACGGACGTGTAGGAATCGGAAGAAAACCATTGCAAATAGGTGAAAATGACTGTCTGTACTGTTATGTTATGCAAATAGACTCTGTGTCATGATTGGCGGTATTCCAGGAAAGACGTTTGAGATCATTTTTGTGAACGTGTTAGTAACGAAGTATGAGAAGGAGTATGGCACAATCCTAGAGCTATAGAGGATTTAACTTTTGTTCTACATAGAGTCGTCAGTTACATTGCTTGGTTGGAAGAGAATCTTCCCCGTAAGACTAACCCATTAATACAACCATTTGTATAGTAAATTGTACTTTAGCAATGAAACTAGAATTTTCCTTCAATTGAGCGAGCTACAGAAAGCCGCTAATCGAAATGTATGTTTTCAATTTAAATTTTCATCAAAAACAGATTATCATTTTTCTTGTAGCAAACAAACTCTTCTCTTTAAGTTTCAAGTTTCATCCTGACTTTAATTAACCATTCTCTGCTGGACGATTGTTCGGTTCACAATTTCGCTGCAACGCGCTTAATTGCATTTTTTCTTGTCCAGCTCTGTTAGTATGTGTCATCATGCATAATGTAATCCATTGACTTGCTTTCAATCATCAATTGAAAGCGTCGTCTCTAACCGTTTTACCGTCGTTTAAAGCAGCTTTCTTGCGCACTCTCCCCTATTCATGTTCGCCATGATTAGTGAATAAGGGAAACCTCACTTGTTTAGCATAAAACTTGCGCCATTATTGAGACTCTGTGCCTCCTAATTCCCTATTTGAATCAATTAAAAGAACCGTAATGTTTTTTCCATGATTCCAAAAGTCTGTTAGTGGTATCCATTTTAAAGAACATGTACGTTTCTGTCTCCAGGCTATTAAAAAAACCAATGTACACCATTCGGTGGAGGAATCTTCAATCTGCTAGTAATCACAAATATTAATTCGCTTACTGTTTTTGTTACACTCTTGTACGTACTGGCAGGAAACTGACGAATGGGGAACATAAGTGTGTCAATTTTACCCAATGGACAATACAGTACGCTTTGGAATCAGGAGAAAGTTCCGTACTAGACGATCCTGTTTAGAGAAAAGAGCATGAGCTACAGAGTTTCGCATTTGCACACGATGCATAAAACAAGCGAAAACCTAGATATACAGAGCAAGAAACGAACACAGTTGTACGAGAGACGGAGGGTTGACTTTGTAAATGTACACCCCAAAGGCAGAAGAAGTGCCTTTTTGATTGAGTTGGCCAAGAAACAAATTAGAAATTCGTTGAACTTTTATATTTCAGCTGCAATAAAAGTATCCGTCACAGAACAAGTACAGACTTTTTCACGTCTACCGGTAAACTTTAAGATACTGTTACTGTGTCTTATTGAGATGAAAGTTTTCTTTTTGGTTTTCTATGAATCCGAAATTTTTGTCACGTAGACTCTTTACTCCGTGCTCGTCCAGCCATAACTTCAAATTCGTTAAGCATCGAAAATTGCCTCCATTTTTGTCTTAACATGGCCCTCACAGTTTCATTCTTAAGAGACTCGTGCATGTTGACGGGCTTGAGCACTGTGGGGAGAAAAGCAGAGTTATTACAGAAACTCATATCAACACCAGTACATACAACGAAGAATGTACTCGCCGTTGATCTGGGCATCCATAACTTAGCCGTGTGCTCGCTGAGTGCTTCTAAACAAGGGGAATCACCAGTCATTCACCATTGGCTCATGGATGACTTGTGCCGACCTGATAACGTCTTTGGTGTAAAATGGTCAGGCAAGTTTGAGCTTCCTGAAATTGCAGATTTGGCATACCAATTGCTCGCACGACTGCACGTCCTGTTTCAGCCGCAGTACATCCTTTTGGAAAAACAGAGATTCCGTACGGGTCGGGCGACTATTCCAGAATGGACATTAAGAGTAAACTCCCTAGAATGTATGCTCCACGGTATCCATTACGCGCAAAGACAGATTGACAGTGCGAAACCTCAGTCTCGTTTACTGGCCATAAATCCAAAACAAGCTTATACATATTGGAGTCGAACGACCGACTGCCATGTTACCGGCCAAACGTATGCTAATAACAAGTCTTGCAGAGTTGACCTAGTTCGTGAACTGCTTGCAACTAATCAACTTGTTCTAAAACTTCCAAATGGCGAAAGTCAATTCCAGCAATTTCAAAAGGAAAAAGACAACATAACAAAACATACTCCGAAAAAGAGACAGTTTGACTTGGCCGATTCCGCGCTGTTGGGCCTTGCTTGGATTCGTTGGCAGTACCAACTTCAAACGTTTCAATCAATGTATACAGACGCCATCATGACTGCCAAATCTGATCCGAATAGTCGAAAGAAATTAGAACCCCTTGTGACACAGGTGAATTAAGAGCAAATTGCCTAGACGTCCAAACCGGTGCAGAAAAGCCTGTAGCACGTTTCAAAAGTCGACCAGTCATTCATAACATTCTCATTCGCACACTCAAGATATCAGGATACCATTTTAGCATAGCTCATCATAAGTAAATCATTACGCTCCATAATCATGTTTTTTCCATTAGCGTTTTACCCAGGTGTACTTTTTACGGGCTTTTGGTTGACCGGTTTTTTTACGTTCAACACGACGAACATCGTATGTAACACACTTGTTTGCCCTCAGAATGGGCTTAAGATCAGGTTCTTGAATGAGAAGAGCATGACAAATACCAGTACGAACAGCACCGGCTTGACCCGTTGTACCGCCCCCGCGTACTAGAGCCCAGACGTTATATGACAGGATGCGTCCTGTGTATACCAATGGTTCAAGAACATGTTTTCTATCATGGAGACGACCGAAATATTGATGAATGGGGACACCATTAACATAAATTAATCCATGTCCGGGAACCATACGAACAGATGAACGACTTGATTTCCGCAACCCCCGTGCGGAAGAGCAACCCAAATGATCTGGCGTCTTTTCTGTGAGCACGCTTCCAGCAGCGGTTGTTTCACTGCGAAACATATTCAACACTTCATCAACATAACTTGGTCGAAACTCAGAGCTTAACCGATTGAGTTCGTTTAAAATGTTTGTGATTCTTCTATACTCCAAGGTGTTCGTTTTTGTGTCGTGAAATTCCCTTCTGTACTCTTCAAGAGATTTCCATTTTGGTAAAGGTACATGTTCTGGAGCAGCGAAAACCCATGGACGGCACGAATGTAACAGCTCCTCTAAACGTAAATAGATAGTATGAAAAGGGACATTAGACGTAAAGTACGTGTTTGTGCTTGGTACAACTTGCAATGTTTGTATACCCCTACGACCTAACAAACAGGGTAATTGCAGCGGTGAAAACAAGCGGTAAGGCGTTAATTTTGGGCATATGAATTGCATTTTAGTAATGATGATCAATACAAATGGCCGACGGCGTCCGACGTTACTAAAACGGCGTGTTGTATTCGTCTACGTTTTTGCCTTGGATGAATGGGTCAGCGAAAATAAGAAAGAAAGAAACAACGCGAAAAGCTTTTAGCAAACATACAGAGGAGTCCTCCCGTTCATGGATTGGTGTCATACATACGTCTGTTAACTTATATGTTACTTTGGAACATTTTGTATAAACGACACAATACACTCGCAAATTCCCATCACAAAACCCTGCTCAACCTGGCGACCAGCAACGCTCAGCATTCACATAAACTGTCAAGTATTATTTTATTTTACAGGTAAAAACTGGAGGTAATCGTCTGCGCTGTTACATGTCAGACGAAACCAATACACACCCTGTACAGATTTTCAATGGAACGCATTCAAAAAACCAAAATCGACCAAAACAGAGCACAGGGAAGCGGGAGCAAAATGCTGGAGGATACGGAGTACTGGAAAAGAAAACTAGCATTGACAGATAATGACTCACATAGGCTCAGCCATTGCTGCAAGTATCATAATGCCAGTGTCAGAAAGAAGGAACAGGTATATAGCAAAAAGAAAACGGGAGTATCATAATGAGTATTACCCATCACGAGCATCAACGGAAACAGCTATTGCTTTTTACTCGCTGTGCTTTTCCTTCTTTTCCTTCTTCTCCTTCTTTTCCTTTTTCTCCTTCTTCTTTTCTTTCTTCTCCTTCTTTTCCTCCTTCTTCCGCCGCTTCTCTTCCTTCTTAGCAGCTTCTTCGTCCTCGGGCTCGGACTTGCGTTTCTTGTTTTCAGAAGATGCAGGAGAAGCAGGCTCAACGTCCATCTTTTCTTCTTGCTTGGCCTCAGCAGCGGCAGGAGCAGCAGCAGGCGTAGCCTCAGCAGTGGAGTAATCGACGTAGTTCTTCTTCCAGTCGGAAGGAGTGTTCTCGTTAGGGCGGCCATACTTGTCCAACTTGCCCTCCTTCTTCATGGCTTTCTTCTTCAGACTTTGAGGGCCAAGACCCCAACGTCTGGGGTAGGTATCACGCTCCATAATGCAACGCTTAACCTTGGCGACGACACCGTGGTCACAGGTGGAAAGCTCGACGGTAGACATTTGTGCGATACCGACAGCAATTGCCTCACCCTTGGTTGTCATCAAAACAACCTCCTCGTTCACCTCAATGCCGGCTTCATAACGAAGAAGACCGGGAATCATAAGCTTGGCACCATAGCAGACAGCGTTGACAGCGCTGTCCTTAACGACAATACGCTTGTAGTTGGTAAGCAAGCACTCCAAAGGACGGATAATACGACGAAGGTAAGTTTCGTCACGGGTATTGTCGTACAACCATTGGGCATCCAACACATCGTGCATGGTGACAATGTCGTCGTTCTCCGACAAACAACCAGAACGCACACGACGAAGCTCTTGCATGTGACCACCGACACCCAAAAGAAGACCAAGGTGAACACAAAGAGTACGCATGTAAGTACCGGCCTCACAGCTGGCCCAGAAAACGGCCAAGTTGCGTTCCTTGTCAAACTCAATGAGATCAGACTTGTAGACGTTACGGATACGCAATTGACGTTTGACAGCGGAAATAAGAGGAGGACGTTGGAACAGAGCACCAGTCAACGTCTCAATGGCCGAAGCCATCTTCCGTTCGTTGTCAATAGCATCGTGAAGGCGCAAAACGCAAACGTACTCCTTACCAGCGCTTTGTTGAGACTTCACCAAACGCGTAGCACGGTCGTTACAGATAATTAAGCAGCCAGTAACCTTAGGATCAAGTGTACCACTGTGACCGGTCTTTTCAACACGAAGAATCTTCTTCACCCAGGCGACGACCTCGTGAGAGGAAGGATTTGCGGGCTTGTCCAAGTTAATGACACCAGAAGAGACGTAGCTTTGGATATCACGCTTCAAAGGGTTACAGCCACTGGGAATAGGCGTGTAATGGCCCGTACGAACAAGGAGCTTGTCGTAGTTCTTCAACAGCAGAGGCCACTCAGAAGTGTCGACCTGGGAAGGGCCGATAGCCTCAGGTTTAATCATAAACTCCGTAGAACTGTTGGGATCAGACATCTCGACCGTGCTTCCTTTTTTTTTTATTGCCTTCCAACAAAAATTGGGGTTTTTTGGTGTTGGTAAAGGACAACCGCATTTGGTGGTGTCTGCCGGCCAAACATCGTGACTCGCAAATAAGATTAGTGAGGCTTAATGAGACGCAGCGAGACAATAGAAAGGAAGAAACAGAATTCAGTTTAAAATGAAAATTCAATACTAAACACGGCGTGCTGTTGCAGTTGAGCGATAGAACTGTTCATTAGATTGGTGTCCATGTAAATTTTTATATTATTACAGAGGTAGATGGGTAGATACGACAGTCGAATGAATGCTTAAAGTCAATATGAAAGCCGTAGATGGGGGAAATGGTATTCTGCTTAGCACAGAACATCGTTTCATATTAGGAAAAAATTACAACGACCCTCCCTCGTTCCGTCGCTTCGTATAAAAAGAACATATGGCATAAGACTATTTCACGCATCCGTTGTTCCTCAGGTCAGAATTTGCATTATCGCTCTGCTCGTTTTGTCTGAGACGGTCTATTTGGTTTACCTAATGTACAGTAATTTAATGAGCCATGATGGTAAGACAATGGCGTTGATGATTTGAGCTACTCTCTGTACTCATCATCATCGTCTTCGTCCATAGAAGCGGGCCCGCCGGGTTCTTGGGAAGAGATGGCATCGTTTTTGGCGTGCGCCCTAGTAGAGACTCCATTTTGCATGGTTTTATACTGGGCGACTTCAGTTGCACCGGCCACGAAGTCTGTTGCTTCACTTACCGGTGGATCCATAGCGACAAGCGCCTCGGCTGCTAGTTGAAGATGTTGAAGCGCATTAATGGACCCGTTTTGTCTCATTTCTTCAAGCTTTTCGTTCATCGCCCTTTCCATCCGGTTGGCGTCCTCGTAGACAAATGATCCTTCTTCGTTGTAGGTGCGAGCATTGTTGAACATAATCTTGAAGTCTCCAATTAAATCCTCTAATGACTTGTACCATGTGCCATTAATGTGTTTCCGAATCATGTCCAGTGATATGGGTTGCTTGATAATCACATAGTAGTCTGGATACAGACGTTTGCTCGGTAACTCGAGAAATAGTTCGTTCACGTTTCTTCCCGTTTCATCCTGTAAGTCGCTCACCGCACTGTACAATTCCAAGCACAGCTGTCGAAGGAATACCCGGTGCTCTGGTGACAACGTATCTGGAGCTGGACCTCTCCGTCGTTTCCGCTTCTCTGGCTGTGTTGAGGTTGTTGAATGTGTTGAGCCTCGTTTGGATCGCGAACGTGTTGTTCTAACATTCGTTTCCTGTTCAATCGCTTGAAGCCATTGCTCATCACGGATAGATTCATCATAAACAACGGGTGTACGGCGTCTTGCACCTCTCCCCAATCCTGCAGCTTCAAAGTGTTGATCCATAACATTTTCCGGCTCATCGCGTTGATACAGTTCGGGTAACTCGTTCAATTGGATCAATCTGGGGATTTTGTTCTTTCCATACGGTGAATTCATTTCACGCTCAAGGTCCATTTGCTTGAACATTCGTAATTCATTGTCATCTCGAGCGATCATTTCGTTTAATTCGTCATCGTCAAGTTCTCCCTTTTCTTCGTTGTCCTCTTCGCTATTTTCATTTTCAAGCAGGGAGCGTAGGAAAGCCTCACGCTCCTCTGGTGTTGATTTATTGTCGAACTTTCCTGCTTGAATAACCTTTCCATCAATATCAAGTTTGTACTGAGCACGGGCAAGAATATTTTCCTCGACAGATTTCTCGGTAATAAGACGGAAAATACGTACTTCTTTGGTTTGACCAATACGATGGGCACGGTCTTGTGCTTGTAAATCCTGGTGAGGATTCCAATCTGAATCAAAAATAATTACAGTGTCTGCTGTCTGCAGGTTGAGACCTAAACCTCCTGCACGTGTACTCAACAGGAAGATCGTGTAAATGGATGCTGGGTCGTTGAAGAGATGCAGCAACTGTGAACGATCATCAGACTTGGTGGATCCGTCGAGTCTCAGGTACTTCCAAGCTCTGTAATGCAAATAGTCCTCCATGATATTCATAATTTGGGTCATTTGGAAGAACATAAGCACACGATGACCAGACTTAAAAAGCTTTGGCAGTATTCTATCCAGCAATTCAAACTTGCCGGCAACTCTCCATAGCATATCAAAGCTCATTCCGCTGGGATCAACGACCTTTTCGACTTCTTCGAAAACAAACGGATGGTTACAGATTTTCTTCAGCTGCATCACAGTATTTTGCAAACCTTTGATACCCGTTTTTCCGTTGGTACCGTTTTGCACAAATAGCATACCATGCTTTTTCATTTGTGTGTAAAGTTTTAACTGTAGAGCCGACATTTGGCAACGAACAACTCTCTCAACCTTATCCGGAAGCTCTGCCTCAACATCCTTTTTCAGACGTCGAAGCAAGAAAGGACGCAACACCTTGTGTAACCGACGAATTACGAGTAGTGACTCTTCCTCGGTAAGCTCCATTTTGTCTTGGCCGCCAGCATTCGCAAAAGGTGTGTTGAACCATTCATCAAAACTCTTGACGGAATTAAAAATTCGGGGTAAAACAAAGTTGAGAAGAGCCCACAATTCAGGTAGATTATTTTGTAAGGGCGTACCCGTCAAAATCAAACGATATCGAGACGAGTAGTATGTGGTTAAGGTGTTTGTCAGTTTTGAATGTGTGTTTTTCATACGATGACCTTCATCAATAATCATGTAAATCCATTTAATTTTGCTTAAAAGTGGTCGGTCTTTAATGACATACTCAAATGTAGTCAGCAAAACCTGGAAGTTTGCATGTCGGACCTGTTGATGCAAAGCTTTCCGAACCATAGGAGGACCCTTGTACACAATCTTAGTAATGGAGGGTGCCCATTTTTCAAACTCCATAGTCCAGTTCGTTAATGTTGAAAGTGGAACAATAATAAGGAATGGGCCATTTTGCCGTTTCTTTTCGATTAAATGGCTAATGAGTGAGATGGTTTGGATAGTCTTACCCAAACCCATTTCATCAGCAAGAATACCATTCAGATGGTTATTGTACAATGATATCATCCACTGAAGACCTTTAAGTTGATATTCTTTGAGCTTTCCACCGACCAATATGGATGGCTGCTCAGAAATGACCTCCCGGATGTTATGTGCTACATTGTAATAATCCGGTTTTTTGCTTGAGTCTTGAAGTTTGCTTTCAAGCTCGCTATTGTAAACCGGTTCACCAAAGGCTGCCTGCTGTGCTTTGACGGCTTGCGCAAGTGAATCCAAGTACTGGTCAGTTTGACGAAGGAGATGCGTAATACGGGTATCTTTTGCTTGATCGATAAGTTTTAAGTAAGCCTCCTCATCATCAGCCTTAAGAGCCAGCAGACGTTGCTTGGCATTTCTCTCAGCCCGACGTTGTTCCTCTTTTTCAATATGCGAGTGATAAGCAAGCACCGCGCGACTTAATTTTTGTGCACGAGTCTGATTCAGCTTTGCACGGGATGATATTTCCCGGCCTTGTGAACATATGCCCTGTAAGTAATCGCGTTGCCGTTGGCGCTGCCGCCGTTCTCTGTCGCTGCGTTGCTGACGTTCCAGGGCTTCTGTAAGTCGTGTCTCTTGTGGCGAGTGTTTGAGCCTTCGGTAAGCGATACGTTGGGCAGCGTTTGTGATACTTCGCATTTGTGGCATACAATGAGAAACTTCAGAACGAAGGAACTCCTGCTTTTTCAATAGCCGAAGCATTTTCAATTCAATCAGTGCTTTCCGTTTGCAATCATGCACATCCGATTCCTTTGGCGAATCTAGTATGTCTGTGATATTTAACAGATTACTAGAAGTCTCCTCCAAAGTAGCAATCCGATTGAAAATACGCATTTTTACGAGCATCTCTGTTTCCCGGTACTTTTGCAATTCTGAAGATGAAACTATACTACCAGAACGGCAGATCTTGTTCAACACAGCGTCAGTCGACCGGTTAACGGATTTTGCACCCTTAGACAGTTCGTCTTTCAACAACTCAACGTCGACCTGACTATTCAAATGTTCTTGAACCGTCAGCAGCAATGGATCACCCTCCATTGGAAGATTCATGCTAAGCCGTTTAAACGACCGAATTTGCTGGAGTAGAACATCCCGTTCAAATGATTTGAGTGGCCGTTCAGTGTATCGTTTAATTAAATTCCGCGCATGTTGCTTTTCCCGAATAAGTTTTTGGACGTTACGTAACTCATCGCAGACTTTTGCGAATTCCCAATCGGTTTTCTCGTTACTCCCATTTTGAGAAAGTGTTTTCCACCGCTATCTTATGTTAGTAATACTCACAACAAACGATGCGTATTCTATCCACAACACAACAGAATAAAATATCATAAAATACAAACCTCCAACAGCTGATTTACTGATTTAGCAGCGCTTTCTTTTTGGCGTTCCATATGGTAAAACAACCACGAATCGGCGACTAACGTCGAGTATTAAATAAAGTTCCGTGTCTTCTGAATTATTCCTAAAACCAGAACAATTTTTTTTTGTTTTTTTACTAGCAATGTCGTAGAAGCACCGGCGTAATAAAACTGATGTTCTCGTGTTACTACTTTGCTAACTTGGTGGTGGTTAGACCTTCCGTGCACAGAAGTTGAATATTTGGTGGTGAGTTCTTCAAGGGGCCGCGTCATATCCGCGGATTAGCCACCGGCACAGGATAATTCAGAAGATAGAAGAAAATAGAAAATCTGTGAATAATTTTGCAGATAATTTTGCAGAGAGGTAATTAGCATTATGAGTGTGGGCGGCTTGATCTAAATGGAAATGGCAGTGGGGTATTTTATTTATTTAATTTTTTTTTTTTTTTTTTTTTTTTTTTATTATTTATTGTGGAATACGAACTATGCTGAAATGAGTCGCGCGGTAAGAACATTAAGAAGTGTCAGTAGGAACCGAATATTCTTAGGTAAGATAGCTGTGTTGGTATTGTTATGAATGTGTCGGCGATTGCGGATGTATCAAAAGTTCAGACTATTTCAAAAAATTGTTTCAAAATTCATTAATTTAAAAAAATAGCAGAGAAATATACATTAACTGTTTAAATCCCAACGACTTTGAGAAACCGTTCTGACTTTGGAGCTGATTTAACCAAGCTACTTTTCAGTTTTTTTAATACTATTAAACCAACTTTCATAAATCCATTACAAACGATATGTTCCGAAGCAATTGCTAGTACAGTTTTTCAATAACGGAACACAAGTACCGATTTACTAACGTTATTGCCAAAACCCAAAACCAATTTTATTCCACCCTATTCTAGCAAGGCGCCCTGGACCTAGGGAGCAGAAAAGCACGTAACATTAAAACTTTCTTCCAAGGTGCAGTATTAGTATTCTGCATAAAGTCAGTTATCAACAAACTGGTTTCTCAGTTCACAGCTGTTTTGACATGTATGGTCCATCCAGCTCATAGCCGAGTTTTTTGTAATACTTCCGAACACCCACTCCGGAAATAATGCTAATTTTTGTGCTTCTGTGTTCTTCACGAGCAATACGCTCTGCTTCTTCCAGCAACAAAGTACCAAAACCTTGGTGCTGAAACTTTTTAGGATCCCTGCTATGAATGGAAACTGCACTGCCGTAAACGTGAAGCTCCCGCACAAGTGAAGTAGGTTGTGCCTTCAGTTCTGGGCGATATGTCTTTGATGAACATTTACGCAAGCGTAGAAGACCAATGAGGATATCTTGGGTAGGATCTTCATAGGACAAAAATGTCTCCCACCCGCCATTTGCAGTATAATCACGGCGAAGCAGCTCGACTTGCTCTGGCTTAATTTTATGATGCACTTCTTGCATGCCAACTTCACGCGTACGAATATCCCTACATGTCGTTCCAAAATCGCGCATTCTGCTGAGTGAAAGCTCACGAAGATTACCCTTCTCGACGCCCGAAGTTACAAGAGGCATGGGAATGTCTCGCTGGATACGGTAAATACGTGTCCATGGAGGAACAAGAGCCAGAATACGTGCAATCAAGTCCACCAACGCATTTGGCGTATAGTTTTTGTATCTGCCAGTCTTCCAAAGCTCGTACAAACCTGTGCCGCGAATAACGAGTGTAGGATACAACTTCAAACCATCCGTACGGAACGCCGGGTTCTCAAAATATTCTTGAAACTGAAAGATATCACGTTCCATTCCAACATTTGGGAGATCGGGCATCATGTGCGTAACCACCTTGTAGCCGGCATCCTTTGCAAGTTGAAAGGTTTCACACACAGCCTTTACTGTATGTCCACGATTTGTGTCACGAGCAACATCCTCATACACACTCTGAACACCGACCTCCAAGCGAGTACAGCCATACCGAAGCATCTCGTCAAGATGCTGATCCCAGCAATAATCAGGTCGAGTCTCGATAGTGATACCCACACATTTTGTTTCAGATTGTTCAGAGAAACGAACAGCCTCATCCAAGTCTTCCGTAGTTGCTCCAGACAATGCGTTGTGCAGATTGGCAATGAATTTATGACGGTAATCCTGAGGCAGGGACATGAATGTACCACCCATGATAATATATTCAACCTTATCGACAGGGTGTCCCAAAGAGCGCAATTGTTCTATACGACCTCTTGCCTGTTCATAGGGATCGTAACGTGCTCTGATAGCACGCATACTCGTGGGCTCGTAACCAGTGTATGATTGAGTTGAGTATTCAAAATCAGAATCTGGACCACCGGGACAATAAACACAAACGTTACCCGTCATGGCAATATGAGGACAACGATGAGGTTTACACATTACTGCAACAACGGCAATTCCCGAAGCCGTACGCACAGGCTTCGCTTGCAGCTTTCTCATTATCGATTCTTTAAGGTAAGCATCAGGAGGAATTGCCGCAATAATATCCGTTAATCGAGGTGATTCCGAGAGTTGATGCTTCTTGGATATTCGCATTTTCAAGGCATTGAGGTTAATAACCTTGTTTTGATTTTCTGCAGCAATTAATTCGGCAACAATTTCTGCACAGGCTTTCGCCTTCAGAAACGCTAAATTAGAGGAAGACATTGTATTAACAGGTCGTTAACAAAAAAACTTCCCAATTTTAGCCAAGAACAAACCAAATTTGTAGTTGGTTGATGTTGGAGGCAAAGTGCTGAAGACGGTTGCTGAAACGTTTGGCAAACCAAGCATAGGGAGAAGTTGGTCTGACAACGTCGTTTATAAATACAGAAACTTAAGAATATCTCTTTACCAGGTCATCGTTTTAAAAGTACGGACAGCTACTCTGTGGCTGTTTTTCGGCCTTTAGCATTTTGGAATGCTTTTCAGATCCATTCAAAAGCCTTATGCTACCATTGAGCTTGAGGACATCGATGAGATATACAGTCCTACCACGAATAATGTCATTCGTCAACAACGGTTAAGTCTAGAAACGATTGGAGACACTGTGCTTGTTGATACTTTTCAGTTAAATGAAAAATCGAAAAACTGGTTAGAAATTTTAAATTTTTGCACACTTGGTTTCAGCTATGTGCTTACTAAATGGAAGCCTTCACTGTATTTAAAAGCATTAGGCGCTAAATGCACTTTTAGTTCAGCGAAATTTGTTGCCATCTACTCAATGACAGAAAAGTGCACAATAATTCAGCCAGTCATATCGGTAACACCTCAATTCACTTTTTCTGATGGAATTCTTACTTTTCCGAGTAATTCAACAGTGAAGTATTTTGAGTACAAGCGGCAGGTTTTCTATTTGAATCCTAAAACGCTCGATTGGCAGGAAGCAATGTACGAAAAGATTGCATACCACATCTTTTCTACTAGCAAAAATTATGTTGCAAATGGATTGTCGACCTGTGCTGCGAATTCGCTCAGTCAAATTTGTCAAACGAATGTTACTCGTTTCAAAGCTTCAAGTTTCTTGAGCTTAATTACCAAAGAGGTAAGCAGTATGACACGTTCATGGTTTATTAACAACGTTAGGTGTGTCACCCAGTTTATTTCTTCGAGATTTTCTCCGTTTGCTTGTGGCTACTGGATCACTATGTCCTCTACGCATCTTGCGTATTCATCCTTACGGCCTACAGCGTAGTACTCTTTGCTCTTGACAATCGAGCAAGTGAAGAACACATTGCTCGTCTTGTTGGTCCGAGCCAATCAGTTCGAGTAATTCGCGATGGACAGTTGTGTTATATTCAACACGAGGATTTGGTTATTGGCGACTTAGTAGTATTGCAGGGTTCCTGTAAAATTAATTTTGATGGAATACTTATCTCTGGAACATGCTTGTTGAATGACAGCTTTTTGACCGGCGAATCAGTACCAGTGAACAAACTTCCTGTCGTTTCCCAGCAAGACCCTTCATTCGAAGATGCTTGGGAGGATGCCTCCTCTGATGTTTTATCTGCACATGCAGTACACTCCGGAACATTATTACTGAAAACGTCCAACGCAAATCCAAATACAGAGCCATTCGCTCTTGCTATTGTAATCCGTACCGGATTTGTAACACGCAAGGGAAAACTACTATTATCCATGCTCTATGGAAGGGTCAAAACATCGAGTCTTCAACGTGACTCTTACGCCTTTTTGAAAGCGATGATCATATTTGCTGCTGTGATGTTTCTGGTAACGATGTCTATAATGCATTCTCGAGGTTATGAATTGCGGCTAATTCTTCTCCGTGCTCTTGACTTAATCACTATCATTGTACCACCCGCTTTGCCAATGTCTCTAAACATGGGTTTAGCAAACGCCTCACGTCGTTTGTCCAAGAAGAAAATTACAGTAACGGATCCCAAAAAGTTTCCCAACGCAGGGTCTATATCTGTTGTTGGCTTTGATAAGACAGGAACACTCACGGATGATACTTTAACGTTTGAGAGTCTCTTCATAAGTTCTAAAGACTCAACACTTATTTCCACATCACTAGAAGATTTAAAGACGGACGCCGTTTTAACAGCCTTAAAAATAGCCATTGCTTGTCATTCTTTAAGTCGCGAGAACAATGAACTTGTTGGTGATCCCTTAGAAAGTGCATTGTTTAATGGTTTCAACGGGATTTTAGACAATGATGGCCCAAATGTTGAGATTACTTCAGCTCTTCTTCAAAACAGGTTTTCCTCCAGCATTGATCCTAAAGTGTCTATATTAAAGACATTCGAATTTTCACCTCAGCTTCGAAGAATGAGCGTTATCGCACATGCAAGTTTTCTTGATTGTGTCGAAGTTTATGCTAAAGGTGCCGTTGAGGCAATTGTTAATATCTGTAGCCAGGAAACAGTCCCAGATTCTTTAATGAACTCATTAAATGCTCTTGAATCGAAGGGATTACGGGTATTGGCTTTCGCTTCCAAACAATTAGACTTTGCTTACTACAATTGCAAACAGTGGAATCGTTCAGGCGTTGAATCGAATCTCACTTTTGGAGGACTTTATGTGTTTCGTTCTCAATTAAAACCTACCGCAAAGTCTGTTGTAAAAAGTCTTCTTAACAATGGGATTGAAGTGTATATGGCTTCTGGAGATAGTTTGCTGACTTCTAAAGCTGTTGCAGCAGACATCGGTTTTTTTGATGAAAACAAAGTTATTTATACACCTTCCATTAATCAAAACACATTACGATGGTTACGACACACAACCGAAGACAATGACTTACCGACCGAGTCATTAGTGGAGCAGTTTCAAGAACAAGATACCATACATTCCTCTTCTATTGCTGTCGTCATGACAGGTTCTGATCTTCGATATTTAATCAACTTGCTTCCGGCCCATGAGCTTCAACGAGTCCTTCAACGATGCAAGGTCTTTGGTAGAATGTCACCATCCGATAAAGAATTGCTTGTTTCTTCGTACCAAAATTTTGGCTTAAAAGTTGCCTTTTGTGGAGATGGTGCCAACGACTGTTTGGCCCTACAAAAGTCAGATGCCGGATTATCCCTTTCAGTTTTGGATACTTGTGCTGCAGCCACATTCATTAGTGAGCATCTTCGTTTGAAGGATATGATTGAAGTTATTATTGAAGGACGGTGCGCAACTGTTACCGGATACTCATGCTTTCAGTTTGTTATCTTAAGCGCCATTCTTCAATTCATAGGTGTTTTGTGCTTATACGTTTATAACTTCAATTTCTCTGACGGTCAGGTATGATTTTTGAGCTTATTTTAAATAATGTACTAACTAAGGAAGTTTTTAACGATGGATTTATTTGTGATATATCCATTGTCTGCAACAATAAGTTCATTTCACCCGACAAAACAACTAAGTAAGTGTCAACCTCCGGACAGATTGTTCACTGTAAAGTTTCTCAAAACAATAGCGACACAGTCATTAAGCGCTTTCTTAGCAAACATCATAACTCTTAATCTCGTTCTCTCTTTGGAACCGAAATTACCACAGTCGGTTCCAGAGACTTCAAACACGCAGAATGCACTGACGACAGCGATGTTTTTTCTTTCCCTATTTCACTATATTGGTGCAGCATTTGCGGTAAACAAATTTACGGTCTTTCGCCAACGCGCTTCTCAAAATGGTATGACGAGTGCTGATTCTGATTTCTGACTAATCCATTCAGTTCTATTCCTTAGTGTTGTTACGTTAATATTTCTTCCTTGCATATTGTTATGTTTCGGCACGCCATCCTCTATCTTTACGCAAGCTCTCTCTTGTGTGACGTTACAGTTCACGACCCGCTTGTTACTTCTTCTTTGCTCCATAAGTTCGGCATTCATTTTGTACATTATACAGGACGTGTACTAAATTTTTCTTGAAAAAGAGCCCCATGTCAGACGTCTTCTCCCTTTACGTTTATAAAGGAGCTTGTGCAGCATTACCCATTGTTTGGAATATGCATTACACTCGTTAATATAATCCTAACCTTACTCCGTCTTAGTTTCTTCCTCCATTAGCTCATTACCCCAAATGGAACGAGAGGGAGTCCATATTTGAAGAATGTTATCTTCAGCAGCCGTAGCAAGGGTCCAGTTGTAATTTGGGCACCATCCCATATCAATGGCACATGAGGTGTGTCCACCATGCATAAAGAGTAACTCCGGTGCACCATCCTGCACCTCATCAGAAGGCTGCTCTTCGCCAATTCGGGAGAGATCCCACAAAAGTGTTCGACGGTCCGCCGAAATGGAAGCGAGAACGGGTTCTTCATGAGGGGAAAAGGCAACTTTAAGTACACTGTCTTCATGCCCTTCCAGGGTATAGAGGCGATGGTTGAGGTTCCGCAGATCCCACAGAGCAATTGTTTTATCGGAAGAAGCAGTAGCAATAACAAACTCATTTAAAGGATTAAACGAGAGACTGTTTACAGAATCGTTGTGCGCACGGACACTTCTTAAAGGCTTGGAAGAGTCGGGACGACGAATATCGTGAATATGAAGGAATTGGTCCTGAGAAACGGAGCCGATGAGACTGCCATGGAGGGGATGAAATTTGACATCTGTAACAGCCTTTTCATGTGTTGTATGACAGTGTATCAAACCAGACTCCGGCTCTGAGGAAATTGCATTTATGTCCCAAGAACAGACAGTAGTATCTTTTGAACCAGACACAAATTGATGCTTTACAACGTTGTTCCAGCAAACGGAGCTGCAGGGTTGAGTATGCTTTTTAAACCGGTGTTTGGCAACCAAGTTTCCATTTTTTGAACTTTCGCAGGCCTCGAATGAACTTTTATCAAATAAGAGAATATCGTTATGACGGGTTCCAATCGTGAGTACACAGGATGGATCCTGAGGCATCATTCGGGCACATAACAGAGAATCTGTGTGACCGTACACCTTGTTTATCTTTACACGCATAGAAGGACTGTTTTCTTTTGCTTCTTCTGCAACGGCAGAAGCTTTCACTACAGGACTCAAGTAGGGAAGCTGAACTGAAGCCTTCGCCAAAACATATTTGTTTTGGCTAGCACGAGCGGCTAACAGCATTTCTTGTTGTGAATAACCTTTTTCAGCGAACCTTCTTCTAGTTAACATTCATTCAAAACGTGTTCTGATAAAAGCGTACACTTCTTGTCCGTAACACCATTCCAAAGACATGCATGGCCATTCCAAGGCTCTGGTTATAATCAAATCGTACAAAAAAGGAGAGTTTTTCTTCCATATTTTATATTCTGTGATGTTTAGTTTAATAAAACCGAATTGGTCCAAACAAACCTTCATTTATGCATTTTTCCTGAACGATTCCCTCTTCAGAGGCCTGAGCCTGCTTAGAAGAAACGGTAGATGAAGCCGCAGCCATGTTTTACTGTTTCTGCGTTTTGGAGAAGGAGCAAGGGACTACGCGTCTGTAGACAGGGGAGGTACGTTAAGAGAAGCAGAACAAGAAAACGAGTTCATTCGTTTCGATGGGTTTTTTAACAAGCTGTAATGGAATGAGAATCATTAAACAAATTCTTTAGTACAGAAAACTCCTCAGAGTCCTAAAAAGAATTCATCAACGGATGTTGTTTCATACTTTTTAATGCATATTATGCGTGGACAATTGTGGTGGTAACTATGTTACCCTCTACTCACCACCAAAAAAACGGTATGTTACCTAAATGACATCATGGCGACTCTGGCAGATTCAGTAAATGAGACTAATCAACGGGCCGTTTGGTAATAGATTTAGTACGAAACGCTTCCTCTAAAAAGAAAACTTCCATTGTAACGTAGTAAACGAAGGCATTGACATGTTTCTCTTACCAAAAATTTTCCATCCTGCCCACCGAATTTTGTGCGAGGGCTACAGCCCAAATGCAAGTGTACTTGTTCGCCAAGGTCGTTTCCACATAAACTACAGGCAACTATCTACCGGAAGTCTCTTAGGGCTGGGCGCCGGTTATGCCTTAGGCAAATTTGGCAAATTATTCATTGTAGGATTAGCTTCAATTGCCGCTACAATTGCTGTACGTATTGCACCGAAAAGACGCGTTTCGACGCAAGGCTTCGCCGTTAATTGAAATCATGACTCACACACAGTACATTACTTCTAAAGGATTTCTACAAGTCAATTGGAACACCATTCGTCGAGCAGTTCTGGGAAAGACCGAGGAATTTACGACCTTAGAGAGACTCGACAAACCCGGCATTAAGTCCAGGTACGGAACGTCCCTAGATCCAATGAAAGCAAAGATGTCCAACCTGCTCCACTGGCTGTCCATCAACCCGTCCTTCAAGCTTAGTTTCGCAACATGCTTTTGGATCGGATTCACGAACGCATAGCGTAACATTGCAGTCAGACAGCAATAAAGTCTTGTCTAGAAATTGTGGAAACAGACATTATGAGGAAGCATGACCACAGAGAACGAGACGTATGGAACGATAATGACAAAGTGAGAGGAGAGAAGAAAAAAGAAGTTAATGAACATGTGTGATGGGTGAGCTGTTAAAGGATAAAACGCAGAGTTTTAGACGAAACATAAATAAAGATAACGACGCAATATTATCTTCAATTTGAGGAGGGGACGGAGGATGGATTGTTTAAACGAGTGACTGAATGGTTAGTTTGCCGAGGTATAGCAAATGTGGGAAGCGTTTGGGCACATGCGAAACGAATTAAGGCACGTTATAAGATGCACGAGTTTCTATACACACAGTGAAGGGAATTCTGACTGCACACGGTAGGGAGGAAGGAGGCACGCGATCGAAAGTGATGATTGCGTTGAGTGGTGCGACAACCGCAACTGGATAGTGCTTTAGGTGTGAATTGAGAGATGTAAGCTAAAGCATGCATAACTGTTCTCGCCTTCTTCTCAACGTTTCATAAGGGACCCACCGGGTGCAAACGATATACACAAAACTTGATGGCATGGAAACATGCATCAACCCGACACGTTAGATGGGGAAAAAGAAGACGAGTTCGGTGTCGCCCGCTACAGGCCCTTGAGACCGCTCTCACAAACAACAATCGAACGGCACCATTCGGTTTTGTTGATCTGCTTCGCTGTCAGACGGTAAGTTGGATTGGGATGAAGAATGTTGTATAGAGTCGTGCGACACCTCGACCGTTGTAACATCTCAATTGGCTCGTAACCGCTTTCGTTCTTTCGGTCGTTCAAGTAACGAGAATAGTATTCATCCTCATCCTTCTTAGCAATACGCCAGAGGTGACGTCCAGTACGCATGGCCATGTAAATAACACCGCATGCCCAAACATCTACGGCGCGGGGATCAAATTCCTTCTCCGTGTATTCTTCAGGTGCAATGTAGGGAGCCGAACCGCACAAGCCACAGGTCATGTGTGCCTCCTTTTCCCATGCCATACGGAAGCATTCGCCGTTGCCGAAATCCGTAATTTTTAGGCTGCCATTGACGGTGAGTAGCAGATTCTCGGGTTTCAGATCACGGTGAGCAACGCCCATGTCGTGCATGTACTCGACACCACGCATAAGTTGAACGGAAAAACAATCTGCCTCGCCGGGTTCTAGTTTTCCTGCGGCCATAATCAGAGTGTACAGGTCGCCGCCAGCACAGAACTCCATCACTTCGCAGTAATCACCCTTGTTGTCTTGGATAAGATCCAGGGTGTGGATTACATTGGGGTGAGTAAGGGAGGACGAGATGCAGAACTCGGAGGTCAGACGCTTCGTGTAAGTCTTTTGCGACTCAGACGGCTTCCGACGGAACTCCTTCACTGCGTAAAGAATCTCTCCCTGCGAACAACGAGGGTCTACTTTGTGTGCAATACGAACAATGCCGAAGGCACCGCGGCCGATCACCTCCTGGCACCGACCATACTTCTCCACAAAGCTGGCAGAAATTTTAGCGGGATCCTTCTTTTCAGACAGCTTTTCTTGACCATAGCCGTTAATCCAAGACTGTACAAGACTCAGTTGATGTTGGGCATCGGCTTGCTCGCGAGCAATACGCTCCTCCTCTCGCTTCTTGCTATTGCCGGCCAGGAAATCCTTTAGCATTTTGCTGAGCTTCTCTTGACGACGGGCGGGACGCAAATGATGGACGTGTGTGTTGTCGGCATAGACAACAAAACGCTGAAACTTTCCATAGCTGCCAGCGGAGTTGGGAGGGTTTGCCGAAGAATTACCACCCTCGCTGCCAGACACACTGGCCTCATCACCATGAGCATTCTTACTGCCCTTACTGTTATTTCGATGAACGTCGGCGTTCGACCGACCCGACTGTGAAAAGATGCGCTGCAAACGGGACATGGGGTTACGTGAAGGCGTCGTTGGTTGCTCCTGGGCTGCCGTAGCGGGAGCAGCTGCGTTCTGGGCGGCAGTTGAACGAAGTGAATTATGATGAGATGGTTTACCGGAGCCAGTGGGAGTGACTGGAGCAGTAGGAACACCAGAACGAGCCGCCTTAGGAGGAGGCATCTGAGGAATCGAAGCAGCTGCTGTTCCCGTAGCATTATTTCCGTCTATAGTTTTTTGAGGTTTTGAGCTGCTCCGACGAAGCAATTTTGGCACATCTTCGCGTTTCACTTCATTTCGCAAGGAGGACGACCTTGCTGGCTCTCCCGGCCGAGTTCCAAGGTCTCCAACCTTTGATGATGCGACATGTTTTGAATTACCTGCACCAACACCTGCATCAAGACCAGCACCGGCTCCAGTTCTCGCAAAAACAGCGGCCCTCTGGTTTCCATGCAGCTGTAAATTCCCCAATTGGGCAGGCAAATCGCCTACTGAATCGTTTTTGCTCATTCTTTTTCAGAAATTCAAATGGATGCCTCAAGGAAAACTGTATATCCCGAAGAGAGTCTCGAGAACTGAATATTGGCGCTAGAAAGGTCGTTTCTTCGAGAAACAAGCTCTAAAGCTACTAGAATGAATTTCCTGAAAAATATATCGCCAAAACGACACAAAAATCGCCGAATTCTAATGGAAAAAAGTGCTAAACTACGCCGGACGGAGTATGATTTATGGTAAATGGAGAGAGATGTACGGTCACATGGTGGGAGGTACAGTGGCTACGGCACGTGCAGCACGTTGGAACTCGTTGCAACTCACAAAACAAATAAACAAGCGGGACGCCAGGGGTGTTTGATGATGACGCTACGTAGACGTGAGCAGACGGCGCGAAAGGCGCGACAATCACACTGTGGAACGGAGGGGAAAGGTGGCAGTACTTGTGTTAAACATCATAAACTCATTGACTAAAAAGAAAAAGTAAAACATTTTAAAAAGGCAAAAGAATGAACGAGCGTCGATTTGTCGCGATCATGCCGCGGCAGAAATAAGAATGTTTGAGATTGGAGGAACAGAGCGACCCGAGACGCGACTTGGTGGCCACGTGTTCTACGTGGGAAAGACATCATGAAAATGATTGGCCGATTGCGATTCCCCCGAAGAATAGCCGAAGAGAATTGCAAAAGAGAGCATTGGTTTTCGGTCAACCAGAAACGGCCGGGTGAAGTGTGTAAAGTCCGAGGAAGACACCGAAGTCTCCGAAACACTAAAGCAGAAATTATGCGAATTCGATTTGTTCGACGTGTGCATCCTGGACGGGATCGACGATAAAGGTCGTCATTGACTTGTCTGTTGACGAGATGTGATAGCTTCCAGACTTCTTGCGTGCACTGCCGTACGACAGCAAACGATGCATGAGACCGGGCTGGAAAGCAAGATCGAGTGCATCCGACTTGTCTGACGACGAGGGAAGCAAGCTGGGCAACGGCCGCTTGTTTCTTTTAGTGATCCAAGGATCGTGATGAAGCTCAGAAAGGGTGATGCGAGTCTGAGGATTTTTGTCCAGTAGTCGTCGAAGCAAGTGTTGAAGACGAGAATCCAAATCAGTAGGATAGTCGGGTCTGAGCGTGGCATAAACCGAAGTGAGAAGAAACGGTGAAAGAGCAGTATGGAGAACCAGTCGTTGATGGAATCGCGGAATTTGTCCTTCTTGTCTTACTCATTCCCCTCCGTCGCCCTTTCACACACTTCTTGTTCGGTGTGTGCCATAAAAGTTAGTAAGTAAAAAAAAAAAAAGAACAATAAAGTGAAGAACCAAAAACTGAACTTACTCATCAAGTTGGATGCTTCGGTAGAGTGAGAGAACATCTCTCTGTTGAAAAGGAAGCTGACCAGTCGTCCAGACGTAGAGAACAACGCCCATCGACCACACATCGGAAGGCTGAAGATAGTCACCCACAAGGTCAACACACAGTTCCTGCTTTGCGTCAATAAATGGACACACATGGAGCTTAAAGAAGCAGCCGGCTCAACTTACGGGTGAAGTAAAGGCTGGACTGGTAAACAATTTTTTTGGACACCGGATGTGTTGACAGGAACTGAAATCAGCCAGTAAGAGGCGATTTCGTTTGTTGATTAGCAAGTTCTCTGGTTTTATATCGCAATGTGCTAAGTCTCGAGAATGGACTAAACCTCAAGTTAGCAACTGCACAAGTCACTCACCATTTGAATGTCGGCACTACATACCAAACTCAACCGCTTGAATCAGATCACGGAAGTATCTTCGTGCATTGGACACACTCAGAGGAGTACACGGCATTTTTGTTGTCAATACCATGCTGACTTTGGGACAATACTCCATAACTAGATTTGTTAGCATTAAGCACACAGATATAGATAAAATAACTAATGAAGTAGGGTCGTCTCCATGTTTACGCACCAATAAAATAGCTTCGTTCCGTATTGAGAACCTGATAGAACCGAACAATGTTTGGATGCCGAAGTTGACGCATTGCTTCAATCTCAAACCCCAGCATAGCGAACGGATTATCCCGGTCGTCAATCTCCTTTAACCAGTGACCAAACTTTTTGCAAAGACGGTGTTTCATGTACTCTTTTACGGCGACAACTTTTTGTTTCTGCCGCTCAATGCCGAGATAGACGAGTCCAAACGAACCACTACCTATTACTTTCTTTAAATGATAATTGTGTACAGTACGAGAACCATCCTGGTGATTTATAACTACGGCGTTTGGAATACCAAACGCCCCCCAGTCATACCCCGCCATGTCAATTCTACGAGTGTTTGGTTAAGGGCGAAAGTTCATAGGTGCGTGCGTCGGCTTTATCGCGCATGTGGACTAGAGTTTTTTTGGGTTATTAAAGATTTGGCTAAGCGAGAGTGACGTAAACGGTGGAGGAAGCTGCCGCCGCTATTTAAGTGTTAAGTGGAAAGCAACATGTAAACAAAAATGAATAATAAGAAGCCTGGCCGAACAAAACTGGTCCCTTATAACTCTCCGCTGCTCACATTCACCATACACATTTCACACAATATTCGGCGGGGTGGAATGAATGGATGTATTGAAGGAAACACGATGCGCTAGCCTGTCTAGTTTTTCTTTTGCTTGGAGGAAGTCGAGTTCTTGGGCAGCTCCTTGGTGAAGGGCAAGAAGGTCTTACCACCCATGTAGGGTTGCAAAACCTTAGGAACATTCAGACCCTCGGGAGTCTGGTAGTTTTCAAGAATACAGCAGATAGCACGCTCAGTAGCACACAGAGTGGAGTTAAGGCAGTGAACGTATTTCTTCTCACGAGCACCCATCTTCTTGACACCACAACGGATCTCAAGGTTACGAGATTGGTAGTCGGTACAGTTGGAGCAAGAAACAAGCTCCTTGTACTCACCTTGGTAAGGGAACCAAGCCTCCAAGTCGTACTTCTTGGCAGCGGCGTTGTTCAACTCACCAGAAACAATGGCAACAACACGGTAAGGCAACTCAAGGGACTTGTAGAACTCCTCGGCGTGACCGATCATCTCGTCAAAAGCCTCCCAAGACTTCTCGGGCTCAGTGAGCAAGAACTGCTCGATCTTCTCGAAAGCATGGACACGGAAAATACCCCAAGCGTCACGGCCATGAGAACCGGCCTCACGACGGTAGCAAGTGCTGAAACCAGCATACTTGATGGGCAATTGCTCGGCGGGTTGCTCAAACCACTCGTTCGAATGGAAGGCAGAAATGGGTTGTTCAGAGGTGGCAGCCAAGTAACGCTCTTCATCACCATCAACAACCTTGTAAAGCTCCTCGTCGAATTGAGAGAGTTGGGCAGTCTTGGCCATAACGTCCTTGTTCACCATAGTGGGAGCTTGGAGAGCAGTGTAACCGCGCTTGGTCAAGAACTCTAAACCGTATTGAATCAAGGCCAAGTTCAAGAAGACACCGTACTGGCGCAAGAAATAGCCACGGTGACCGGAAATCTTGGCACCACGCTCGGGATCGTAGCCATCGAGACGAGTCAAGACCTCGTGGTGAGAAAGACAATCACGCTTCTCGACCTTGACACCCTCTGGAGCCCATTGACGGATCAACTCGTTGTTCTCCTCGTCCATACTGACGGGGACGGACTCGTGGACGATGTTACCGACAGTGTTCACAAGGGACATCATAGACTTGTACTTGGCAGTCTCCTTGTCCTCAAGCTCCTTCTTTTGAGCAGCCAACTTGGCCTTCTCGGCCAAAAGCTCAGAGGCATCCTCCTTGGCCTTCATCTTCTTGCCGATGTCCTTTTGGAGAGCGTTTGTGGTCTTGTTTACGTTGTCGAGCTCGAAACGAATTCCAACCCATTCCTTGTACATCTCAATGACCTTGTCAACAACAGTGACATCAGCACCACGCTTGCGTTGAGACTCACGAATCAACTCAGGGTTTCCACCCTTCTCCACTTGAAACAAGTTGATATCCAACATTTTTACGTCAACAAATTACAAAAAAAAAACCCGACAAGATGTTCCTTCCGCTGGAAATTGTACCTGCTTCAAGCACGTTAGAGTCAATAATTCTGCAATAATTATCTGCCAAAAAAATCTTTGTTTAGACGTAGTTTTTAGCTGAAAAACGCGTACCCGCACCCAAGGTTATAAAAAGATGTGTGTGGTTGGAGGGGAATTCAGCGTACGCGAAAGGTAGCAGTCGGTGGGGTAGTGGGGGTTTAAAGTGGGATGCGACGGGGTGAACGTTGTTGTTGAGATTTAGAGTGTTTAAAGTTATCTAAGGTTTAGATACGGTCGCAAGAAGGAAACAGTGAAGACGAAAAAGTAATATAGAAGGATGCAAAGAGTGAACGACGTATGTGGTGTGTTGTTTGTTACATTGGGTCTGTTATATGTGCCCATTTAAAGATTTTTGTGAGGGCGTTTTGAAAGAATGTTTTAAAACTAAATTAGAACGAGGAACGTGGAAACTTAATATGCAGTTTATGAGCGTTATGAGACCCTGTCTATGTTGCAAATTAATGAATTGATACTGACAGTTATTGGTAACAATATCTCACTGATCAAGCCTGTAACTTTCGACTAGATACAGCAACAAACTGGGGAAAAGCAATTGAACATAAAAGTGCTCCTACACTCAACCAGGAGTACTTTGCTCCAACAAAGCAAGAAACCCGTGTTCCTACTCTTTTTTTATTGATGTATGTTCCCCCAGTACACACAACTAACCCGTTAGCCTATTGAAACATGTTTTCACAACGAACGACACACTCTCCTTCTCATTCATCTTCATCGTTTCCGGCAAACACCTTTCATCCTCTCGAGCTATGTTCTCATTATTCTCTTTTTCCTTTTTGATGCTTCCACACCAACGACATTGAAGACGAATACGGAAAACAACGAGGAAATTCTCAACACAACTGATACTCTGCATTGTTTTGGTTTTCTACCGGTTAAAATTGGTTCTTTTAGACTATCTTCTCCTTTTATAAGGCTTTAAAGCTATTTTTCTTTACCTTCGACAAAACGTAATGCTATCAATTGTGAAAGAAAAAACGTTGTCTGCATTGAGTTTCGTGGGAAACACTTCTCTTTTTGCGACTATTCCAACGCTCTCTCTGAAGAACTTTGCCGAGAGTTTCCGTCTTGCTTGGACAGGGTACTCTGTCCAACAGCAGTTTCAAGCCCAGTATGTTGCTTCTATGCATAAGAATTCCAATCTAATAAAGCTACAGAAACTTACGCTTCTTTGAGCAAATGCTGAGTGATGCTGATGCTAGTACGGCCGTCATGTTAGAAACGCAGTGTCAGCAATTGCTTGAAGGTTTCTCAACAGAGGATGCTATCCAACGTTTGCGTCAAAATAAATTGCAGAAAGGTTCAGCTGAGGATAAAATTGAACTTTGGAATGAACTGAAGGTTACGTGTCTTGCGCGGGTCCTCTGTCAGTTTGGAATACTGGTTCGGACATTCTTGATTAATACCATTGCCTTCAGCATTCTTGCTAGAAAAAAGCAGCAACTAACGTTGCTGGAGATGGAAAGCCAGAAGCCGCTTGCTCCATTTGGTGTCGATGAATCAACTAGCAATTCGTCCTTCCATGATGAAAATGAAAAACTCTTCATCGGCTACTTGCTTACCGTGCTGGATGAGACTTTTCCTGGAGACATGCAACACGCGATAGAATGTGTAAAGACTTCCTTCGAGTCCACTCACCCGACAGACATCGTTACCAAACAACACATAGCCTCTCTTCTACAAACGGCATTCCAGAACTGGATTGAGGCTACTAGACTTTCTTTTCACGAGTTGCGCAAGCTCTTTTTTGCAGATGTACAAGCGGATGTTGTACTCACAGGATCATTAGTAGCATGCATGGATGAGTTTGAAGATGTTTGGGAACTTGCCGAATTAGAAGTTTGCATGAGTCACTGTTTCAACCAACTCATTCCAATTTTCCTCGAACAATTGAGCATTCCTAAAGAGGGCCAGCGTCTCGCCAAAACACTTGCAGCCACCACAAAGGTTTTTCGTGATTTTGATGAAACGAGCGTGAAGGAATTTGTGCAGCGTCTCGCATGCATGTCTGAGCGGGCAAAACTCGCCGCTGTCCTGTATACAAATTATGACGATGATGAAGACAGTGTACTATAAGCTTAAAAAAGTGATTACATAAAATGAAAGGAAGGGAGAAAATAAGAAAAGCCTAACTGTTGAAAATTCTACTGTACAGCAGACTGTGACGACCTTGCCACAAGTCCAAAGGAGCCCATGTTTGAGCAGTGTCCTCAAGCTCTAGTTCAAGCGACTGCTGTACAGCAGTTTTGAGAAGCGCTTGTGTTTGTGCATGCATAAGAGCTGTGACGAACTGGAACGAGCTCAGCACATCCATCCGCACGGCAGCCGAACAAATCGACTTGACGTGTCCCAGCAAAAACAGGTAACAGCATCGTTCGAGAGACAATCCAAGTGCTCGACACGTCACCCCCCAGACCACAGGGAAGTGACCCTGCACCTTTCCTTCATGACACATTTCCACATACTCGGAGAGTACTTTGGCGACTTCCGTATCCTTATGCATGAAAGCCAGAGATTTCGTCCAAATGCCCAGTAACGCTTTTCCCTGGGTGACGGAAGTGCGTTGGCTAATTACACACGTTTGTGTGCTTTCGAAAAAATCATCAATTTCCTCATAAGATGTCGGACTCGTCCAACCAGCTTTTACTGAAGGCATGTTTGTGTGAACAAGGGAAGCTAAGGACTGGCATAAAAACGTGAAGACGGCTTCCCTGTTCCGTTTTGGCTGGTGGGATAGATACGATTCCAAACCATAGGAGAAAGAAAACGACGACAACGGGAATGCTGCGTCCGTTAAAATGAAAGACATGTGTTCTTCCGAATTAATGGGCATGCTGCAAAAAACTCTAAAACTTCTAAAACAGGAACAAACGAATAAAGAACTGTACGAACACTCGTATCGAGAGAATAATGCAGGTATTAGTGGTTTTTTCCGCGGGTTTCCTCTATTTCTCTGCGTTAAACAACAGAAACCACACAAGCACCTTCTAATTTCACGAATCGATCTTCTATATCACAACTTGTCTCTTACAAACGTTTCTCACCTCCACCAACTTGGAAGCCCAGACTTCTCAATTTGGCCTGTTCACCGTTGGTCGGTTTCTTGGTGGTGTATTTTTGGTGGTGAGTTTTCTCCGTGCGGGGTATGCGGGCTTACTCAAATTCGGTGATACTCTCGGTCTGGCGATGTGGGGAAAATGTGGAGAAGATGACATCAAGTCATAATTTGAGGCTAGTGCCACCGGATGACAAGTGAACAGAATTGAATTGTGACATCTGACATCGTGTTATGGCGCATTGATCAGCACCTGCATGGCCTACTGAATAAAAGCGACATCTTTTCCGATATAACTGTTATCCAAATATCCACGCTTTCATCTTCCCTTCGGAGCGGTTGCCCGATACAACCCGCATGTTCATTCCCTCACGGACGGACATGCTCATCTCTGTGTCTCTGAATACGTCTTCGAGTGTAACCATGATGACAGAATGAAGGAACGTTACGTGGCGTTTCCCACTCGACACTTTTAAGGAATTCCATACGAGTTTGGTGACGTATCTATGGCTCTAATGGTATATATATAAAAGTGAAAATCTGACTGTAACCCAACATATTGTACACTACCCATTACGCAATTCATTCCATCATTCTTATTGGATCAGTGAGTTGTCCCTCGTTGCCTCTCATTTATCAATTGACTGACGTCGAAAAAGTCAGAGATCAAAACGAACGTACTCGAACTCGAAAGTTCAGACCAGCAAATTACATATACTCTACACCGTCCACTATGAGAATTCGCACTAGTAAGACTGTTCAACATCGCCGCGACGACTCTGAAGAGTCGACGATTACGTCGCCTCATTCATTTACCGAGTACATGAATGAGTATCCGGAAGCAGGTCCTATTACAGAAGAGGAAGGTTATTCACCCGAAACTGCAGTTAAGTCTGGAGCGGGCAAGAACGAACTTCCCGGACTTGGTCAAAAACAACAGCCTTCCGGAAAGGTTTCGCTTACATCCGTTGGCGCCCTTCGGAGTGTATTCGGTAAGCTGTATCACGGTGACAATGCTACAAATAAGCAGACGGATGTCATTGATGAACAGCAGCAAAAGAAGACCGACAAAACTAGTAACGGTCGGCAAGAAACCAAGGGGAAAGCGAAGAACGACGTCCCTGAGGAAGTCGATAATGATGATGACCTTGACTATTTCCAACGCGACATGACTTTGCTTGGAGGTACTATTTAATGACGAAGACCTGAGTTTATGAATCAATGTTTGCATGTATTGGAAGCTATGAGAGCTAAATAAACGTGCAGCTTGCGAAACTAAGCGCAGAGAGCACAGGCGTTGTGCAGCAAACATCGTCTGCCGCTGTGCTTGGTGCTGCGATGTAGGATATGATTATATTACGAAACAAGAATTACAATTGGCATATATCCCATTAGCGTGTTTTGCAAAAGAGGGCGCACAAGCTGTTGATAAAGAGAGAAAGACAATTCGTCGGGTAGGGCGGTAGAAGATGTGTACGGTGTTTCATGCGTACGTGTGTATGTGTTGTTAATATCGGTTGCATGAGTGGGCCTCTCTACCACTGAATTATGTGTATTAGACAGACGGTGGTGTCGTGGTAGCAAGCAATAATAATAGCAGTAATATATTCTTGTAGAGGAAATCTGACCGTTAAAGAATGTGGAATTCCTGCATTCATAGAACCAAAAAAAAGTAAAATAAAAAGAAGAGGCCTCAAATTCATACCATCCGTTCACGACGAATGATTCTCTTTCGTCAACGCACTAAACGAGGGGAAGGACGCAAGAACGAGGGAATGACTGACTGCCACAGTGGCGGCACGCTTTCGCACCTTGCGAATTTCTCAAATTCGTGGAGCAAACCGTTTGAATGCAGAGAGCCGGCCGGCGGTGCTGCGTCATATTTAAAAATAAGTTAAAGAGAATGCATGCGTATGTGTGTGTAAGAGGGAGGGAGGGGAAGGAGAAAATATATGTAGTGTGTATGCGTGTTTCGAATGGTCAACCCCAGACAAACCAGATGATTAGCCAGACCGCAGACGCCTGTGATGTGCGCTGTAGAAAACTGAAAACATATCCCTTAGGCCGAAGAGAAGAGAGCACGCCAATTCAAAATCATGAAACGCATGCAGTTATTCTTCTTCTCCATGTTTTCAATTTCGAGCTGACCATTGTCATCTCGCATGATCGTAGGAGAAAAAACGGTGGCCACGTTTTTGTCATTCATCAGATTTGTCTTAGAATGCTCAACAATACGTGCCAAGTGTTGGACCAACAAACGCAAAGAGCAAAAATGTGCAGCTGGAAGCTCGAGTAAAAGAAGGCGGTGAGCTTGAATAACATCATCCTCCGGAGCACGACGATTAATGTTGATGATCCGCGTGTACCATGGGTTCGGAATGACTGGGACAGGTAGCTTCCGAAGATAGGCTTTAAGCACTGAACCGCAGGCAGCCAAGTCTTCAGACAGAAGCTCCATATTAATATTGTTTGTTTCAAATGCATCCATGAGCATTCGAACTTGCGAGGCACCGCCAGACTTACGATAGATACCTTCACAATCCATACCATACATATCAATACAACGGACGCAAAGTGCAATGATCTTAGGAATAGTTCCACCTTCCAAAGATGTTTGGTGAATAAGGCTTCGTCCAAATAACGAGTGCACAGACGTATCCAACGATTGTCCCTGGGACATATTATTACGTTGGTGAGAATTTTGAGCTTGCTCTCTTTCGTTGGCAGCGTAAACGCGCTCAGCCTGAAAGCGCTTGAAGCATTTTGAATGAATGGCCGATGAACATTGTGTGCACCGAAGCTCGGCACCCCAAAGAGTTTCCCAGCAATAAACGCAACGAGCAGGCTTGAAGAAGGTATTCGCCTGGAATGTATGCGAACAAGTCTGCTCCTCCATAATACTGACCTGAGAGTCAGTAGACTTGGACTTTGTGTGACCAAATTTCTGTTGGCCCTTGCGCAGCGACGATTTAGTCGAGGAACTAATTTTCATGCCAAGCTTTCGAATAGTCTTCATTTCTCCGCGAGTCGGTGTAATCAAGCTTGAGTTTGGCGACACGTTCTCGTGCCGGAGACCACGGGTGTAATGGTCACTGTCAGAATCCTTTGTCAAACCTCCATTCGAGAATGTAGGACGAACTGTTTGCAAAAGCTCGCTTGCATCAGCTACACTGGAACGGTATTGTATTTGGCGAACCAAGTCGTTGTTCAGATCAGCCAACTCAACATTCTTCGTGTTCAAGTGCACGGCTGCCTCGACAGCCTGAGCGACCATTTTCTGGATGTTTTCGTAGTCCTGTAAAAGCTCATTTCTCTTGGAATGCAGGTTGGCGATTTCCTGTCCATAAGTGTTGCGAATCATTTCGAGGTAAGCATTTACAGCCATAGTAAGTTTTTTGTACTCTTCATCCTTGCGCATGGGGTCACTCGCTGCAGCTTCGTAGATGAAAAAACACTGCACGACATTTTGCTTCGCTTTTCGTAAAGCCTTTTCCTCGTGTGCGTCTTTTTCGCCTCCGCGCAATTTGTTGGTAACCTGAGTCAAAAAAGTAGCAATGTCGTCGAGACGCTTGTGCAAAGAACTTATGTCAGCTTGATGACTTTCCATGGTCAAATGGTACGGATCCAGATGAAGGTTGTCCATCGCATTCGCCAAAGACAGTCGACGATGATGAAAACCACTGTCTCGTTCGGGAACACTGAGAGTGGTCGGGCTAAGGCTACGAGTTTCACCGGTACTCTCAGTCTCAAAGGGCTTCGCCGTTATGTCTCCATCCCGCTGCTTCAACGCAAGATGCTCTACGTCAACGACAATAGATGCCGTAGACGAAGACTTGCGGTGAGCGGTAACGGGAGGAGATGAAAGATGAGTAGTATGTTTCGGTGTAAATAAGTCCGTTTTGGAGGGGGTTGAAGGTTGCACTAGCGCACGGTTTTTGTTTTTGGGAGAGGTGGGAACTGATCTGAACGCAGCAGTAGTGGCCTCTTCGGGGACACCGGCTTGCCGGTTGTTGATAGTCGTCGCACCAGGTACAGGATTAAAGGAAACCGCAAAATCCTGCAGATCATCATGCTCCATAACCTGAGGCGAAGGAAAGGCATCAGCCTCTGTATCAATGGCGGCTAAGTCAACAGCGACGGTGATACGGTTGTTTGCCTTGTTTATCTCTTCACCACTTGCATGCTCTCTGCGACCAACCGTGCTAGGCAGAGAATTCGTCGCATTGAGCGTATGGTGAGAACTTTTTGTTGTGGTAGAGTGCAAGGAAAGCGAGGATTGTACGTCGGTAGCACCAGTAGCATTTCCATTCGCATCAAAACCAGGCAATTGGCGAAACGCTGTGGGAGAAGAAATGTGAGGACGTCGAGTTGGCGATTGACGACGTGTTGGAGATTGGCGCCAAGAATGCGAGTCGCGGGACGAGGCCGGAGAACGCGAACCATGCTGACGAAGACTAGAAGATTGGTTGGAAGATGATGCATTGGAGTGAACGGACGCAGGCTTGGGGATGTTGGAAACGGTGGAAGGTGGAAAAAGAGGAGCAGTTTGCAAAGACAGAGGGGTGCTGTTGTTGCTGCTAGAAGCGACAGGAGCAGAATCCAGCAATGGCATGCTGGGCGGTGGTTGCTGTTGCGGCGGCAGTCGTTGTTGCGAGAAAACAGGCGGCGGCTGCGTTTGCTGCTGCTGTGTTTGTTTTTGTAATGGCTGCTGATGCTGCTGAACCTGTGGCTGTGCCTGTTTCTGAGGTTGCTTTTGGTGCTGTTGCTGCTTGGACTGCGATTGCTTCTGCGGTTGTTTTGGCGGCAGCGGCGGTGGCAGCCGTTGTTGCTGTTTCTGTTCCGGCATGGGCTGTTGCTGCATGCTGCCCGACTCAACACTTCTTTGAGACCCGCTGTTCGAGGACACTGTTGCGTCACGGTTCAGTTTCTCAAGTGAACCGAAGCAGTCCAGACAATAGACATCCCGGATGTACCGTTTGAACGAGCTGTCCTCCAGTTTTCGATGACACACCTTGCAACGGAAGCAATCGCTGTGGAACGAGTCAAAACCAGACATCACAGCAAAGTCGTTGATCTTTTTGTAGCAAACACTGCAATAATGAGCACAATCCTCACAAACTGGTCGTCCGTCCGACGTCTGCACCAGCATCATGTTGCTTTGTTCCAGGAGCTGGCCGCATTTTGTACAGCTGAAGCATTGTTTGTGCCACAAATGGTTTCCAAACGATATAGGTGTAGTTTTAGGATCAAAAGCCAAATAGCATCGATGACACACAGGAACTTCTCGTTCTGCTGGTGCCGAAATTGACATGCTTTTTCTCAATAACCGCATGTCGCTATTCTAAACGCGTATGACATGAACTAGAGCCACGGTAACTTTCAAAAATTCGCTGAATTCGTCAAAAACGTCGCCGAATGCGTTTCACCACAGTTCCTCCCGGAAATGGCACGTTCAACTAGTCGTAAAAGACGTTAGTAAACAGGAAACGGCTCAGAAAGCGAAAAATAAGCTTTCACAGTATTTGATGCGGTTTGGGCGATGGTAGATGGTGGGTTACTGGAATTCGCGAGTTAGCGGTATTGCATCGTTTAGGGCCCAGGTAGATCCTACGTAAGCAGAGTGTTTAGCGAGTTTTAGAGAATCGCAGTGCGATTTAGGTTAGTTAAAACAGGAGATGCGACACAGGTAATCGAATCGGAATCACCGAGGTCAATCGTAACGAGGATTTAGACTTGCAGCCGGATCCGGAGGTTTGGTAACCGAGGTAGATCATACGAAGCGAAAATAGTGTGGGTTGGTAGGAAGGGGAAATACCCCGGCGGGGTCTGCCTCGGAGAATGCGGGGAGAGCGGCGAGTGGGGTTGCCGAGAAGACCTAAACGTGTGTATGGCGGACACAAGACGTAAGGTTAAGTTCGCTTACAGAAGCAGCAGTAGCAGTATAGGATCGTGGCTGTTGACGTAGTAGTGCAAGACATAGTGCAAACGTGGCAACGAAGAGCGACAGTGCCCGACGGTGCCGACGGTGTTGACAGTGCTGACAGTGCTGACAGTGCTGACAGTACCTGACTTACTGGTCCATTGCGTGTCCCCGTAGAATCACAACTTTTATATAGCAATAAATGCAATCATTGCTTTCATAGGATCTATGTTTATACCCAAAAAAAATTCAAAAATAACTGAGGAGTGACACGAAAGCGGTACAGAGGACGATGACAAAAAGAGGGCGGGAAGGAAGAGGAGAACGGAGGGAGAATGCATGCACGGACATGTTTTTTTTGTGCTGCAAACATAATAGGAAACGAAGGTGACCGGAGGGTTGGGATGAATAAAAAGCATGGCCGGAACGGCATGGTCGGAACGACATTGACGGATCGCAAAGAACATGCGTCGAATATTAACAAACGTCTTTCTCCATACTGTTTAGAATGGAAAGGGTAGCACATCCTGAAGAAAGGTCCGCCCACAGTAGGCCGTCTGTTGCTCCCACTCAGACACTGGAAAACAACAAAGTGTGTCGACGTCCATGCTGGAATTGGCAAGGCCTTCTTTGTCGGTGGACTGTTGAGCGGATGCTGCGGCGGACAGAGGATTGATGGACGGGGTAGAAGCTTCTTTCAACATGGAGGCAGAAAATACCGAAACAGATGCGCCTTTTTCTTTACGTGACTGAGTCGGCCACGGTGAAAACATGCGCTCGACATTGTGATCGATGGCCTTCTGGTCAGCACCAAAAGTAAGCATTCTGCGCCGCTGGTAAATAGGGTTGGGGATGAGAGACCGTTTACCGCACACAAACTCCCAAAGTTCCGACTCGTACAGCTTGCTGTTGCGCTGATCAATCGCGTCAATCGACTCGTCACCATCGTCAAGCGAGTCGTCTTCACGCACGGCATACAAGAGTTTAGACGACTCATCTTCAGCATTCTCTGGCGCCATCACGGAGTCTGCCTGTGGGCTCTCCAACTCATTCGAAGTGGCGCCTTGTTGAAGCGGCCGAACAATATCGGCGTTCGTTTCGTGCGACAGATAGGACTCAACTTCGGAGTCGGATAAACTTTGTAAAGTTGCATGTCCACTGTCAGAATCGCTTTCAGCACCATTTTCTTGCTCCGCAAACGGCTGATGCTTCTCGATACGACATTCCAAAGCATCCATCGATGCGTTATCGCCTCTCATGGTGCATCGACGCTTTACACGAAGACGACAATTGGGTTCGGCATAACGCTTGCGGTTGAGAGCTGTGCCAGCATACTCCGTGTCCCCCAAAAAACGGTTCCGTTTGGTCACTTCCAAGCCTAATCGTTGTGGCAGTGTCACCCAAAAGTCTCTGATGTCGTGCTGGTGAAACTCACCGAGCTTCACCGCTAACACAACATCGTTTGGCTTAACGATCGCACTCCGCCGGTAGCAGGAAGACGATTCTGTGCTGCTTAACCGCAAGTCGGCGAGCTCGAGAGACCGTGTTACAAGCTCCTTTGTTTTCTGTTTTACCAAGTCATAAATGTCGCACAAAAAATCCGTTCGCATGTCAGCATCCTCACTTCGTATGTAAAACAATCCCGAGCACTCGAGCAGGTAGTTCATGTCGAATAAATCCCACATGGGTTGTGATTCCATGCACGCATCCCGTTTCTCTGCTGGCATCGATTGAAAGACGGACAATGACGGGCATGTATTCGATTTTCGACAAGTACGTTTCCACGTCTTTTCCTCACGAACATTCGTTTTCTGAATGAAGTCCTGCGATTGAAGTTCCTCCCATTCAACCCATTCATCGCTCATTTCCATGGCTGCCGGAATGTCTTGAAACTGGACGAGTACCTTCAACTGCTTTCTTTTCGGCCAACGTTTTTTGACGTAGCGCAATTGCGTCTCCAAAAGAGAAATATAATTGTACACCTGAGCTTCTGTCTTCGTGCGAATGTCGGCTGCTATGGCTGCACATTTGCGACGTCCATGACGGGCTAGAGATTGAAAGAAAATTCGTTTCTCGTGAACAGTCCAGCGCGTTCCATGTACGTAAGACGAAGAAAGCGTCGACCCACTAAACAGAGGTTCTCTGGACCTGTTAGTGCCGTGAAAATCACCCTTGAAGTCACGAAAAAGCCGTAAATATTGTTTCGCGGCAAAATGCTCTAAAATATGTTTGAACCCAATTTGCTCTTGACCTTGGACACTGGAACGTTTGCTTAACTGCTCATGCAACTTTGTTAAGGATTGTTGCATCTTCCTCGCAGTATACGGGCATGCATTTGCAACGAAGTCCTCAGGCCAGGTATGGGAGTTGGCAACTTTTATTTTAAGGTCGCGCTCAAAATTAGATGCTGGTGTAGCACGCGTTCGCGAGCTACAAACTTTATTAAATGAAAACCGCTACGCGAAAGTAAACAAATATGTGATGGATGCGTGAAATTACTGAAAACGTAGTAATGAACAGTTTGTTTGTATTTGAGAATGATCAGAAGCAATTTTTAGATCCGCCAACAGACAATTTGCTCCCTCCCCTTTCATGCAAAAAATTCTATTCATTTCTTCCGAAATGGTTGGTCTAGGTAAATCTACAACTTTGAATAAATATTTCAAAACACAGATACAAGCAATTCACACCAAGTTGTTCTTTCAGTTATTCCAAGATTATGTAGGTATTGATGATAGATTACAGCTCCAGTGTGTTTTTGTAGCGAAACTTTGTCTTTTTCTTTTTGGGAGGACGAACCTTGGGCTTGTGAGGACGAATGGGTACATCAGGAGGGGGAGAAACACGAGGGGTAGCATAGCCATCCTTTGGTAATGCTTCATCCTCGCTGGAGATGCCTTCTTGAATCGTCACCGTGACACGCTTTTCGTCGTTCTCATATTCGCGCTCCTCGTTCAGTTTTTCGGTTTGTGTCTTTTCTTCTCCATCGTCACTGCCAATATCGTTGTTCATTTCACTGTACAACGACTGTGTAAGCTCCATTTTTTCTTGGAGTTTCTGTTTTCGCTCATCACGCATCTGCAGCAATATTAGTTTCAGAAATCAACAAGTACGGAGAAAACGCGTCTGTCCATACCGCTTTTCTTAAAGCAATCTTCTGTTCTCGTTCTTGCTTTTTCAATTGCTCTTGAGCACGCTTTTTACGCTCGAGTTTTCGTTTATGAAAGCCCGTCAGAAATTCCCTAGGCAGACGTTAATAAATGTGACCAAGAACGATTCTCGTTACACCGTACTTTCTTTTCTCCTTATCGAAAACAATTTCTTCTTCAACTTGTTTCTTTCCGCGTTTTTTTTTATAGATCGAGTAACCTCTCGTCAGAAGAGAGGAATTATCCATTTTGAAGGAAAACCAAGATATTCTACCCTATCGGTACGAAAGAACGGTATCCTGCTGACAGAAAATTTATTTCTTACTGACCAAAATTGATTTTTGTTCTGGGACAGTTGTGCTGCTATGTGGGCTCAAAAACTCCAGTGCACCCAGTAAGAGTGAAAGTGACTTTTCAGTAAAAATCGTCCATTAGAGAGCTAAGTTTAAAAGCTCTGTTTTACATGCTCCACAAGACCTTACCATCTGTTAATCCTAAATAGTTTTTGTATTTAAGAACCATATTAAGTCTATCGAATCTCATCTAAAAATACGTTTATAGTCAAGTAATGAAAACCCCACTGAAACTATACTAAAACAAACGGCTCTAGCTAACTCTTATTGCAGCTGTTAAACAATAGAGCAAACCGGTCCGTGTGGACGAAAATTCGTCTCCGCTCTTTTTCTTTTTATCGGCCAACTTCCTTTTCACATATCACGAACGGATACAATAGAATGAAACAAAAAGAGTAATAAGCGGCCTCTAAGTAATCACGCAAACTGTCAGTAAATACGACATTAAGAGGCTAAAAGCAGCTAAGTCGTGCTTAGGAGCATGAGAATAGCTAGCTTTAATCAATTAGACTCCCCAGAACCGATTCAATTCTGGCGTACACTTTCAACACATACGATGGTTAAGTTCTTCAAATGGGCCGCACCCATTTCTGGTATGTAGCAGCGAGCTTATTGCTGACAGAATTAAGAACGTCACTGCTTGTGGCTGCGTCATTTATCTTCTGCTCCTTGTTGACAATGGCAGACATTTCCTCACGATATGAGGCCAGTTTGTCGGGAAGAATAAGCTCTTCACACTTCTCGAGATCCTTCAGGATTTCTTCGTCTAATTTGGTTAGTATGAGCTCACAGAACATATATTTATAGGACAGAACCCGTCATTCCAAGATCCGCAAAGTGGGCGTCGCCGCAGGACTCATCGTTGCAAATGCCACCGGATGTTTCATATTTACACAGAGGCTTTAATGGATCAATTTTGTTGCTGTACGTCAAAGAACGTATTCCACCCTTCACCACCTGTGCATATTGAGGATGAAACCGGAAGCACTTTAACATCGTAAACGGCGTTATATAAACTGGAGGTTTACTGGAAGAAAGAGCCGCTGCATCGTGTGTGGTCGCATCTTGTACGGTATTTGAGGGTTGCGTCTCAGGAGTAGGCGCAACGCTTTGGGTATTCGTATCTATCGGAGCCTCCTTTTTCTTCGACTAAGGGTAAGTGAGTGTCTTTTAGAACCAATTACGTACCTGCTGTGACTTAAGTTGTTCTTGCTGTTGTGCTCTTAGTCTTTCTGAAGACAACTCTGTAATACGCCGCAAAAGAGCAGCTTGCTTAGCCGCGTTCTGTTTTAGCTCTATCCGCGTCTTTTCAAGAGTTATGTTCAAATGAACTATATCGCCATTTAACCGTTCATGATCCCTCTCTAGTTCTGACAACTCTTCTTTGGCAAGTTCCAGTTCATCTTTCTCGACCACGACAGGAGATTCTGATTTTTCCGAGGTCGAAGCAGATTCCGAAGGTTCAACAGTAGATTCATCGGAGAATGTTTCACGAGTCCAAGGAGCGGTCATAGGCTCCACCGACGAATCTGGTTCAGCATCAACCGGGGTGGGCACCGACACAGATGCTATGCTTTCAGTTTCTTCCAATGATTCCGATTCTAAAGGTTTGGCGTTTGAGGTTTCAGTAATCGCTATTGTTGGTGTCGCCGCCAATGGAGGAGGTGTTTTTTTCTTACCAAGTTTAGTCTTCTTCGACGCCTCTAGCTTCATGATCAGCAAAGTCATCCGCTTAATCTCCTCTTCCTTCTTACGAAGGATGTTCAGTGTGGCCGACTTAGGGCCAGTGCTAGACTTTGAAATTTGAGAAGAAGTGACAGTAGAGGGCGTAGGAGGCACTCCGGTAGATTCATCATCACTACTATCGGAATCAAGTTCAATAATAACCGTACCAACACCTCTTCCAAATGGTTTTCGGCGTGTGAGCGGTGGAGTAGGTGAAACAGTGCGCCGTCTTTTGGGGGATGGGGCCGCATTGTCCGCCGTGAACGAGACGGATGAGGAAGTGGACGAAGAAGACGAAATAGTAGCGGTAGTGGGAGCGGACACTGAAGGAGTCGAAACAGAGGTATGCGTAGCAGTGGATGCTGGTTGATGGGGCTCCTCCAGCACTTTTTCTTCATTCTTTTCGTTCTCAGAAACGGGAATGTTGATGCCTAGTTGGGAGAAAAGATGTCGTACTGCGATAGGATGGATCCCTTCTTTTAAAAACTCTTGAAAGCCAATACCTGCATCAACTATGTCTTGAGTTGCAGACTTTGCTTCCTCGTAATTCGAACACTCCTTGGCAAGATCAGTGTTGGTCTGTATCGAAGTTAAAGTGCTTTGAGTACGTTCATGTTCGCGTTCATCAGAACTGTCATGACTAAACGCAGAGCTTTTGGAGGAAGCAGAGTTGACGCTTGAGGAACTGGACTGCGATACGTGTTGACGGGAGGCAACTCGTTTCATCGGCCGCGCACCTCGTGGATGCTTAGGAAGATTAGGCGGAGGTTGTGAGAACGAATTCATAGAATTAACGAGCGTAGGAACAAGGGAAGGAGGGGCAGCACCCATAGGGGGGATAGGAGGAAAGAAAGGCATTCTGTTAGGGTCAAACATGAAACCAGGAGGAAACAAAAACGGAGCTGGAAAAGGAAAGGGGAACGGTGGAGATGGAAATACAGGTTGTTGTTGCTGCTGTTGCGGTTGTTGTCTGTTTAAGTGTTAAATGAAGAGCAAGACAAGAATGTAAATGAGGAAGCCAAATTCATAGGGCTTGATCAATGTGACTAATGACTTACGCATTCACAGTGGAGATTTCTTCTTCCTCAGAAGGCGATTTTTCGGGTGGTTCCTCTAACAGGGTTAATAAATGAACCGCAAAAAATGATGAGTTTAGGAAAAGTAGATTGTTTTTCGTAAACCGATATAAATTGATTCATTTTGAGTATCTTTGAGAGAAGACAATCAAAGTTCCTGTAATGTAACGGTTTAGTTACTAAAATGTGGACTTACCAACAGTCGTAACGGATTTCACCTCTTCTTCACTTATTTCACCGTCTTCTTTCTCCGATTCATCATTGTGCTTTTTTTTTGACTGTAGAGCAGCCTTTCTAAGCGATTCCAAGTCAAGTTCAGGCGGCATTAGAGTGCCAAGGCTGTTTTGCGGTGATATGGTGTGCACGGTGGAGTGGGCAATTAATGCAACTCGTCCAATTCGTCGTGTACGGAATATTGGCACTGAGGACAGTTTGAGCATGCCTGCCCGCTCTCGTTATATTTCCTGCCTTGTTGATTCTGTTCTGTTCTGTTATGAATTTTTTATTTTTTTCTTGAATTTTTTGTATTTTTTTTTATTGATTTTCTTTATTTGCAATATCATGAGAAGCCTTATCACATGTCCATTCCCAATAAAATTGAATACGGTTTTTTATAAAAGGCGATGAATAACATTGGTTCCAGATTGACTATTTATTTCTGTAGAACTAGCATTGCTCAAGGAAAACAAAATAAATACATTAAATAAACGTATGCTGAGAAACACACAACATAAATAGATTACACTCTTTGAAAATAAATTAAATAATAATGCGGTTTCGTCGCTGTAGCTGCTTGGATCATTTTCGTTGTTGTAGACGAATTGTCCGCCGTTGAAGAGTTCGACTCAATGTGTTAAGATGGCGCTGAAGAGTGCCTCGAGATTTAATTCCACTTGCAGTTCGCGAATGGGTTTTAAACGTTGTCCGATCATTTTCTTGCTGTGCTGTTGCAGTAGGTTTCGTAGAGCATAAAGCGTCATTCGTTTGTAAGGAACCGAGTCTAGTTTTTAAACTACGTAGGTTGGTTTGAATGGATATGTCCCAGTTTCGTTGGTCTTGTTTCAGGTACATTAATTGTTGCTTGACCATGTCCAGTTGGAATTTAAGTATGGAACAAAGGTGCGTTTTTGAAAACAATTCCTTTCGTACTACCAATGCATGGCCGTTATGAGAACTTTGAGGGGAAGAAGAGTAAGACGGCCGTGATTCAATCATTAAAAATGGTGAAGTGGATGTTTTGAATGAAACGAGCAGAAGTTTTAGCAGAGGACCGGGGATGACAACAACATTAAACATGTCTGCCTTTATTCTCAGAATGGAGGGTTGAAAATACAGTGTGTTACAGGAGTGCCGCAGAATTATCCTTAGCATTATCGTATCAACATAGGCCAACAGAACCGGATGAAATACAGGCCATGAATTATATGAACTGTTTAATAGTAAGCGGTCAGACAATAGGTGCGCTTTAAGAAAATAAATAATGATTCCTAGTGAAGGAGTGCCACATGCTTGAGGAACCTGTCCACGAGTTCCATCGTCTTTTATGCATTTCCCCCTCCATGAAGTCGTTGTATCTAACGTGCCTATCCCGGTAGCATATATTCTTGAGCCTCTCTTCAAACTGTAATCATGAACGACCTCATCAAGGGAAGTTTTCAAACATGAAAAGGACTCGTACATTTTATGAATTACATTCTTTTCGCAAGCCAACTGTTGGGATGCAATGTACAATTGCTTCGTTTTCTCAGCCAATTCATGCTCCAATTCTTGGATGTATAAGAGCACAGATTTGTCCTGAGAACGGGGCCGTATGTGAGTCTCTAATGCAGTTCCTTCATCATCACCTTTCGTATTGCTCTGTTTCGGTACAGGCAAACAAGTCTTCGGCCGTTTGGAAAATGCCTTTGTTGGCGTATTTTCACGTTTGCGTCTGCACCATTTCATATTCTTAGGATTGGAATCATTGATTGTTTGGTTGGTAAGATTAGTAAATATAGGAGATAGCAAATCATTTTCCTTATGAACCAGCACCTTTGAAGATAACGGAGTAATTACATGTCCCTTTCTAAGTTCATTTTCTTGGTCGTCAACCTCACTTTCGATAGTATGCGGCTTTCTTAATATTGGTTGTAGCAGAATTGCTGACGCAGGGACGCTCCAATTGAGAGTCAGACCCAAATGCTTGTTCTGTTGTAGTATGTATTGCTTTTCTGTAAATACCATGGGATCCGTGAATTCGTATATCTCGTTGGTTTTGTTTTACAGTAAAACGCAAACAATAAAGCAAATTATCCACGATAAATAAGAAGCACACACAAAATTAGGGTGATATAAACGGAAGAGAGCTCTGGTTGAAACGCGCTATACTACAGGAGCTCATCTCAGATCTATTTTTTGGCTTTGTCAACTAGACAAAGAACCCGTCAATTACTAATAACTGAATTCAGCTCCAAAAAAAAAACATATTTTTTTTTTCGCAACCAGTTCTTCGAAAGAATGAAACAATTAGATTATGTGTGTATGTATATGTATGCGTGTGTAGTAATTTAGAACAATTTTGTTGACACTGAATATGCAATATTTGAACCCCAAAAATGAAAAAGAATGCATCAATTAGCGGTCGAAAAACAGAAACATGCGATTTTGGTAGAAAGAGTGACAAATAATCAGAACTGATTATAAAATAATGATCGTTTCCTGCTTCCGTACTATCCAGTTCCACATTAATGGCCTTTGTTTTCATGAGTCGTAGCCTTCCAGGACCCAGAGAAATGGTGACGAACAAGAGCCGACGGATGATCAAAACTCTTGCTGTTCATATGGCCAACACCGGGACTAAATGCGGTGATGGGCAATACCAGGACGTCTCCCACCAGCATGGGTTCCTGAAGGTTTGTAACATTCTTCCACGAGAAGGGTCCGTAGTTCCAGTCGAGATAGTCCATAACTGCATCCGTCCACACACCAGGACCCGTCCACTCCATTACGTTTCCATAACGAGTGTCAAGTTTATTGGTTTCAGCACGCTTAATCGTCTCCTTCGTGATTCGTTGAGCCATGTCCCAAAGGATAGGATGGTTGGGAACAGCGGCAATCGTCCACTGGCAGAACTGTACTCGTCTGGCGTAATAGTCGTTCCAGTCTGGACGATCAGGATCGGCTTCAATGCCCACAATCATGCCAATGTCCGAATCCTTGAATTTAGCCGGCACCCACTTATCAATGGGCTTAATGGGCGACGTGTCAATATCCGTATAATAACCGCCTTCAGCCAACAAGGAGAGGTACCGAAAGAAGTCGGCCTTCATTACAGGCTCCGGAAGCTTGAAAAAGTACTCCATGAGCCGAGACTTTGATTCGTCCCCAAAGTGTTCTCTCAAAAACTCCTCGGCATCGTCGTCCGTAAGAACAGCATGCACATAACCTGGATTAGCCTTGGTCCACAAATTGATATAACCAAGATAGCCTTCCGAGTCAAAACTTTTGAGGGTTTGCCAAATGGTTTTTGGAATAATAGCCTGCTTGTTTTTCTTCAGAGAAGGCAACATTTGACGCAATTCTGCAATAACATCATCCTTCACATAGTTGAACATCTCCGGGGAAGTTTCATCATACTTGTATCCTCCCTCGGTATCGTTTTCGTCAACAGCAGCATCGTCCGTTTCATCAGGCCCATTGTTCTTCTCTGGGGTAAAATAAGAAGCTGTAGGCGTAGCCGAAGCGCTTGTCTCAGAAGTTGACGTAGCAGTAGCTTGAACGACGCGAGACTGTTTCAATTGATCGCGTTCAATACTATCAGCATAATTCTTCTCTGCCGGTGGCTCATTCAGTCCATCAAAATCACTGATGGATGAGAAGCTAACATATAGAATGATCGCAACTACTAGTAGTAGCCCATAGCGCCCTCTTTTTATCATTTTTCCGTATTTTGTCGCGGAAAAAAAGCTGTCTTACCAAAACCGTCGATCTCCTTCAAAAATCTAACTCTGCAGTCGTCAAATTTCACGAAAGAACGCGGTAAGCAGCGTATTCACTTTTTAGTAGAAGTGAATGGCGGACGGTAGGAGTCGTTCGGCTTTTCGAAGACCGTGTATTGAGGCTGCATGCGCCAGGCGGTCTTCGTGTGTCATGATGACGTCGGAATTTTCTCATTACCCCACAATCCAGTCCTTAGCTTATTTTGTGTTACTACGACAGGTAAGCAACAGACCCGCTCCCAATACCATCAATTGTTGTAAGCAGGCTCACTTTTTGTGGAATTTGCTCAAAACCTGTTTTCTTTTTAGAGCAGGTTTTCGTAGTAGCAAGAGCTTGTTTTTAAAGCTCGCCCGTCTTCGCCGCCTCTGCTGAAAGGTCCTGAGTCTCGGGCAAGTTACAACGAAAGAGCCTCTTTTTCGCGTACACGGTTATTTCTTACCCAACAGACCATCTATGCATGTGTACCGACAAGACACACAATCAGTGGTGCTTTAAGATTGTTTTTGTCGTATACTCTCTGTTTGTTACGAGATAAAAAGGAAAATTCATTTGCTAGGTGAAACAGGCTGTTACACACCTGGAACTCGGTTGAGGAACTGAAGCACTTGAGTACGTCTTCTCTGTGTATCGTTACTTACTTTATTTCTCTCTTTTACAAGCGACACTAGAAGGCTTGTTATCGTTATTGTTATTTGTATATACCTACCTCACTTATTTATCGGACATTCCTTGAACTGTAACAGCTGAAACTAGGTACATCATCTGTCTCTGAATCGGTGTTCATTGTTCTGCCGAAATCACCCCAAACACTCTTTTTATAGTCTCAAGTTTCCCATCCAGCCTGTTGAACAGTGCTCTACAAATTTCCAGCCATGGTGAAAGAGGATTGTGCATACCCCCAAAATGCTCTGACGAGCCGGCGTCCTGACGCATCCTCCAAGGGCGGGGGCCTTCGTTTTTTCTCTGCTTTTGGAAGCGTGGGCCATAAACTGTCATTCAAGAATTCACTATTCTCCTCAACATCTCATTCGCATCGTCATCATAGTCAGGGTAATACCATGCCCCAGCGCCCTTCCACCAGCTTTGATCTTTACTTGCCCGGTAGTCGAAAGGAGCATCGGCGTCAGCAGCGTAGCTTTGACGAACATAATAGCGACTCGACGGACAGCGAGAGCGTGTCCGACGCTGCGTCCACCAGAGGAACATTACGAAAAACAAAAACCTCATATCAAGAATCAATGCCGCCTATTGAGCGCGGCCGGAGCAGCGATTACGTGTTTGAGTCAGTGAACGATAAACACGGTCATGGCTATCATGGTACTCTTCGCATTCTTTCCCCGTCTGTGTCAAGTCGAGCTTCACAGGCAGCTCCCTTATCTGCTCCGCTTCCCGGATCCGCCTCTATTTACGGCCATCATCATCATTCCTCAAGCACAAACCTTAGTACAACTTCGGTCGCTACCCGTTCCAAGAAGTCTCCTATTAGGCCTGCCTTTCTGTCACAAGTCGCTCAGGAATTTCGACGACGTGTAGCATTGGGCGACCGAGTAAAGGATAGTTTGCTATACAAGGATGCATTCACTGGTGCTGAGGCTGTCGAAATACTATTACGTATCGCTCGTACTAGCGACAGAACATTGGCCTTGCTGCTAGGCCGTGCGTTGGACTCTCAGAAGTTCTTTCACGATGTCACTTATTCTCATAGACTTCGCGACTCTGCGAAAGAAGTTTATCAGTTTAACCGCAACGTTTCCACAGCTCCCCTCTCCGCCATCTCGCTATTCTCGCCTATAGAGACGTATCATTCAACGCGGCGTTACCCCGAGCAAACAGAAACATATGAGGGCGTGTTGTCAGATTTTGGTCTTCAAACATTTGGGGGTACGCCGCCGTCCCCTCCTGTTACTCATCGTAATGATGCGGAGGATGACCTTCCTCACGGTGTTTTTACACTGTTGACTGAGTGTTACTCGCCGACATGTTCTCGGAATCACCTCTGCTATTCGGTTTCGTGTTCTCGTCGTCTTGAACAGCAAGCACGACTAAATATGAAAGTGCAACCAATTCTTAGCGGAGGCGCCTCAAGACTTCAAGACGAGCAAGAACAGGAAGACAGACTCTGGGTTAATACTGTACCCAGGCATATCGTTGATCAACTTGATCAACGTGAATGGAAGCGACAAGAAGTGCTTTTTGAAGTCATCTACACTGAACGAGACTTTGTCCGTGATTTGGAATATCTCCGAGACGTAAGTTTTTATTTTGTTCATCATTTTACTAACACTGAATTAGTTTTGGATTAAGCCTCTTCGTTCATCTCTCATCATTCCTGAAAGCCGGCGCGAGAAGGTTGTCCGGTCAATTTTTTACAATATCATGCACGTACATGCTATAAATTCTCGTCTTGCTGATGCGCTGACGCGCTTACAAACACTTAATCCAGTTGTGTACAGTATTGGAGAAGTCTTTGTCGAATATGTCCCGAAGTTTGAACCATTCATTCGATACGGCGCTAATCAACTTTTTGGAAAATACGAATATGAACGTGAAAAAAGCATTAATACAGCATTTTCTCAATACGTTCACGAGGTAGAACGTTTAAGAGAATCAAGAAAATTAGAACTCAATGGATATTTAACGAAACCGACTACCAGGTTAGCTCGATATCCTTTGCTCCTTGAAAACGTACTGAAGTACACCAAGGATGACAATCCTGATAAAGAGCTCTTACCAAGAGTCATCGAAATGATTCGGGAGTTTCTTACGAAACTCAATCATGAAACTGGAAAGGCTGAAAACAGATTTGCTTTAATGCAATTGGATCAGCAGCTGTTAACGAAAGCTTCAGAGAAAACCGAACTGCAATTAATGGATCCTGCTCGAAAATTAATCTTTAAAGGAACGTTGAGAAGAAAAACGAGTGGATCTAGTTATAATGATCCTGGAAACGAGCTGCATGTTTTCCTTCTCGATCACGCATTGCTTCTCACTAAATTGAAATATAACTCGAAGCGTGAAAAGTATAAAATTTTCCAACGGCCGATTCCGTTAGAGCTGTTGATTGTTTCTGTGTATGAGGATTACGTTCCTGGCAAGTCAATGACTCGTCGACCATCATCCGGCATCTTGGCGAATCCTATGTCTGCCTCTAAAACAAATCTTGTTTTGCCAAAGACTTTTGCACTGAAGTTATTACTTATGGGCCGCGATGGGTTCGAGATTGTTTTATGTTCGAGCACACTCATCACTCGTGATCAATGGAAGCAGCATATTGAGAGGCAGCAAGAGCTGATTCGTTCAAAGAAGTTTGTTTTCCACTCTGTGGTTGTTTACCAAGATATGTTTATTGGCGGCAACAAGGTGAACTGTGCCATTACCTACGATGGTGGTCGCAAAACCCTGTTTGGCACTAATGCGGGTCTTTTTATCGCGAATCGCCGGCCAGGCGAGAATACTCGATCTGATCCGGCGCTGTGCATTTCGTTGAGTTCGGTATCGCAGGTGGATGTGATTGAGGAGTATAATATTCTTCTCATTCTCGCTGAAAAATCTCTGTACCAAGCATCACTTGATGTCATTGGTCTTGAGCCGCATGCAGCTACACGACATGTTCAGCGCATCACGAACAAGGTCAGCTTTTTCAAGACAGGTTTCTGTCTTCAGAAAATTCTTGTGTGTGTTGCGAAGTCGACCGTGTTGAATACTTCGCTCAAGATTTTCGAGGTTGAGCAGTCGAAGAAGATGCAATCCTCGAAAAAAGCTGGTGGTAACCAGGGAACATTAAAGATATTTACTGAACTTCATATGCCGTTAGAAGCACTCTCAGTTCATTTCATGAAGAGCGCGTTGTGTGTGGGTACACCCAAAGGTTTCGACGTTGTTAGTCCAAAATCCGCTGTCTTTCAGTCACTGCTTAACCCTGCTGACACGTCTTTCCGTTTCATGGAAAAGGAGAATGTACGGCCCATCTCTGTTTTCCGACTTCATGGTGAGTTTTTGTTGTGCTACACTGAATGCGCATTCTTCGTGAACAGCAATGGCTGGAAAACTCGACAAAATTGGTTTGTGACGTGGAAGGGATGTCCAGAGAAATTCGCTCTCGTTTACCCGTACGTGATTGCCTTTGAACCTACCTTTATTGAGGTTCGTCATGCCGAAACGGCCGAGTTGGTGCAAGTGATACCGGGCAACAATATTCACTTGCTCACAGACGGTCGCGGTCTCATCAGTGAAGGAGGTGAGATTCTTTATGTAACAGAAGGCAAGTCGCTACATGAGCCTGAGGATGATAGTGTCATTTGTTCGTTGACTCTTGAAAATGTCGCCGGCTCTCGACCATCGACGAAACAGTCGCAAGCAAACAAGCAGTGACATCCCTGTAGGCTCGTTTTAATCTAAAAGGACATTCAGCATGCTGCACATCAAGCACCGCACGGACTCAACGTGTTAAGATGTGCTTGTGTACCTGCCTAACTGATTTTTGCCATTCTCCTTCGTTTCTACTCATCCTATTTGTCACTCGCTTACTACGGAAAATAGTGTTTATCGCCTTCAATTGCAGTGGGTGTTTTATTGTGAACATGTTTCCCCATTGCTCTTGTCCCTCTCATCCCTATGTGTCCATTCCCCTTCTCCCGTCTGACTATGTGCATAATTACTATCGTTTAAGCACGCTTAATCGCGGCTCTGGCACACAATCCCATACGTTTACACGATGTGTACCCTCTTTTGTCCTGTTGTCCATGACATCGCTATGTCTTATTGTTTAATGTACATATCCATAAGGAGCGCATATCAGACGCATAAGTCTAGCATCAAATTTTGTCTCCGGCGGAAGAATTCAACTGTAATGGTAGAGAATGTTCTGTCAAGAACGGATGGTACGTCTTGTGCAAACGGCAGCGCTTCACCGCATTCGCCGGCTCCTGCTGCTGTTTTTTGGAATTCCTTCGATCCCAAATAAGACCCCCACTATCCTGCATTCCATCTCTCCAGCGTATGTAATAATGTTACTCTGCGTAGGCCCAATTTAGCAATCTCCATTCCCTCCACTTCTCCACTTTGCCCCCAAAACCCCCGCTATCCCACTATCAGTTAGCGGTACTGCTTGTCGCCGCACTTGACGCCGCTGGTCTCGTTATCCACCCTGGGCACCGCTGCAATTAAAGGTACGCATAATGAAAATGTTTATACACAGCCTTTAAGTATACATTTGCCACAGTAATTTCACTGTATTTAAGCGCAGATCGCCACGAACACAACCTTACGTGACTGTTGTTGGAGCATTATTTTGCAGTAAAACCAACTCCCTCCCTCTCCCCTCTACACACAACACCGAAACAAAAAGTTGCGGAAATGGTTGACCAACTGGAGGATTCTGTTATCGAGACCAACTACGATGAAGTTGTCGACAGCTTCGATGACATGGGCTTGAAGCCCGAGTTGCTCCGTGGTATTTACGCCTACGGTTTTGAGCGTCCTTCGGCTATTCAACAAAGAGCCATTGTCCCCATTTTGGGTGACCGTGATGTCTTGGCCCAAGCCCAATCTGGTACTGGTAAGACCGCTACCTTCTCTATCTCTGTTTTGCAGAAGATTGATACCAGCTTGAAGCAATGCCAAGCTTTGATCTTGGCCCCTACTCGTGAGTTGGCTCAACAAATCCAGAAGGTTGTTGTTGCCTTGGGCGACCTTATGAACGTTGAGTGCCATGCCTGTATTGGTGGTACTCTTGTTCGTGAGGATATGGCTGCCCTCCAGGCTGGTGTCCACGTTGTTGTTGGTACTCCTGGTCGTGTCCACGACATGATCCAGCGTCGTGCCCTTCCCACTGATGCTGTTAAGATGTTCGTCCTTGATGAGGCTGATGAGATGCTTTCTCGCGGTTTCAAGGACCAAATCTACGACATCTTCCAACTCTTGCCTCCCACTTCCCAAGTTGTCTTGTTGTCTGCCACCATGCCCCAAGACGTTCTTGAGGTTACCACCAAGTTCATGCGTGACCCCGTCCGTATTTTGGTGAAGAAGGATGAGCTTACCTTGGAGGGTATTAAGCAATTCTACGTTGCTGTCGAGAAGGAGGAGTGGAAGCTTGACACCTTGTGCGATCTCTACGAGACCATCACTGTCACTCAAGCTGTCATCTTCTGCAACACCCGTAGAAAGGTCGACTGGCTTACTGAGCAACTTACTGAGCGTGACTTCACTGTCTCCTCCATGCACGGTGACATGGACCAAGCTCAACGTGACATTTTGATGCACGAGTTCCGTACCGGTTCTTCCCGTATTTTGATTACCACTGATCTTTTGGCCCGTGGTATCGATGTTCAACAAGTCTCCTTGGTCATCAACTACGACTTGCCCGCTAACAGAGAGAACTACATTCACCGTATCGGTCGTGGTGGTCGTTTCGGTCGTAAGGGTGTTTCCATCAACTTTGTTACGAGCGAGGACGTCCGTATGATGCGTGAGATTGAGCAATTCTACAACACTCACATTGAAGAGATGCCTATGAACATTGCTGACTTGATCTAAGGGTCTTAGAATAAAATCACAGCGAGCATAGCGAGCTGGAATAATACGAGCGCGGAGCGCAGGTGAAACAGAAAAAAGGTGGGTTTTGAGAGGAGATGGAGAAATTGGATGAGTGAGTTTGCGTTGATGAGTTCCAGTCGAAAGTGTAGCTTTGGTTGTTCGTATCGGCAGCGGTTTGTTTCCGTTGTCTGCTTTGTGGGAGATTTCGGGAGTAGTAACAAACGCGGATGAGGAACTATTAAAGGCAGTTTTGTATGCGTCTTGTTATTATGAAAGTTGTTTACCATAATTCGAGCTTCCTTTAGTGTGAAGCAGCACTTGAATCAACTTCCCTGTTAAGCCTTGCTTGTTTTGTATTTCATTTCGCTCTTGTAGTACCACGACAATATCTTATTCTCGTTGAACATAATTCAATCATTCTGCATTACCATTATACGAATGTGGAAATCTTTAAAATTGATTTATATGCAAGCTTTGAACCGAATTTAATCCGCAATAATAAAAAAAAAAAAAAAAAGTAGAAATAAAAAAACAAGAGAATAAATTCCTTGTTCAAACAAAGCGACTCGTTATTCTTCCCCATTTTTGATGGGAACGCAACACACAGTTTCGTTTTGTTTCGTTTGTTAATATTATTCTCATGTAAGTCTTCCTTGTTCAAAACCAATTCGTTCCACAATTATCATACTACTTTAAATAATCGTAATTTCATTACAGACTATTTGTTTTTAATTAATTATTCATCCTGGAGAAGCAAAAATAAAAAAGTTCAAAATGGGTTCTGAGTTGCGATGAGGTTTACTGACGGAAAACAATCATCGACAGAGATCGACTATAGCCATTTGAAGGTTAACAAATGAGACAAAACTGTGTGACATATACGGCTGATCAATTAATTGTAACAGCCGCCCTTATCCCATTTCAGTTTTTCAAATGTTTGACTCTTTTGCATTAACCATCACAACTGTACCACAGTTTCCATGCTACTCGTTCTACCATCGCAACCAGAATCGTTTGAGCAAAAATGCCGACTCGCTTACCGTCGGCCGACTTATGCGCTAAAGTTAAACAGTAAAATCAAAAGTTGCTTATGCAATTACAAACATGCTCATGGTTCGTGAGTACTCTACGTTTCTTTAGCTTATTTTGATGCAACCAGTACTAATCACATTTACAGAGCATCTCACCTAATGTGAAATTAATATCACCTTTATACATAAGACTAAACCCTAAGACACACACCTAAAGATAACTGCCCATACCAATACAATTCTGATTGTAGACGAGGGTGATAAGAATCTTTTTAAAAAATGTGTCAGCAAGAATACTCTCACCAGCATCCAAGATAAAAGTCCTGACAAAAGTCGAGTAGCAGGTTAGGACCGTTTCATATCACATAGTCAGTGAAAGAAAGACAAATGTCTTGACTGTTTACACTGAACACTACATCGGGACCAACTTGTAAGTAATCAATAAGACTGCAAAATGACCTCTCGCATGGCTTGTTCACATAGAAGACATCTTCCGCTTTCTCACCATCATCTAGTTCACCAAGAACTGGGTTGCCTTCGGATGAATACAAAGGGCCACAATAGCTGGACTAACTTGAGCTGTTGCAAAAAGTGTCTTCAAGGAAAGGTTCGTCTGATTATCGTTTCTGTGCTCATCGTCGACAGAGAAATAACCCAAAAGCATAATTCCCATGAATCCGGAAAGCCCATATTAGTCTCGCCCAACTTCAGCTGCTGCACAGAAGGCTTGTTAAACCAGGGGTGCCAAGCCCAATTTCAATAAAGTAATCATGATCATTGTAAGCTTTGATTCTTGGGCGCCAAGGCCTCTTTACCATCTTATTTGTTAAAATGACTGCAGTAATAGTTTCGGAAGGATCAGTGCCTTTCTTGAACTGGATTGTGCACAAGGTTCTTTTAGAGAGGAATTTGTATACGGCATTGAACATTTTTTTAAACACAAAAGAAACAAATAGAAACGATGAAACATTGCTAAAGTTATGAATAGTGCAACCTCTCTTTGGTGAGTTTTTCTTTTTCTTTTTGTTTTTATATGCAATATGACAAACAAGCAGCTTATTAGCGCCTAAATTTAGGATAAATTCATAACCAAACCGTTTATGGCAGAACCCAGAAGCGAAATATTTTCAATCGCAGCTAAACTGATATTCAGGCACCCTTTATCGTTACACAGTGAACAGCTGGAATAAGTGACTACATTCCTTTTTAGTCGCAAACATTATTCATTAGCAAAGGCTCACTAAGTAAATTCCCGATGCACGAAATCTGAAAGCCGCTATTACCGAGCGCCAATTGTGACTGGCGATAATTACAAAAAGCAACGACACAACATTTCGATATATTGACGTTTTGTTCAAGGGGCCATTTGCTGGGTGCGGGTGCAACGGATGGTTGGGCTTACTGATTGTCTTAGGGATGCACTTGCTAACGATTGTCGGAGATGACCGCTTAAGAAGCTATGAAATCCGCCCTTGTACATACCCAGAAGACATATACTATTCCCATTCAACATGAGCGAGACGGTGGACATTGACGAGGTTCATTCCGATGGAGTAGTTGTAATGGCTATTCGAGCTATACGAGAAGGAAAAAAGGCCATTAGCTTTCTGATTCAGAATGCGGCTTTGGCTTGGACGGTTTACGGGTCTGCGTACAATCTGTATCTCCATATCGATTTTGAGGAAGCCAGCTCTGACAGTTGGGTGTACTTTGTTCAGAAGTACATTGAGCAGAGAAAAGAAACGGAAACCGGCCGCTTTACTGACATCCCAAAAGGTGTCTACGTTCTTTCGTACAAAGAATACCGGGACAAGGTCAACCGACATGGGGATGATATTGTGTTTATCAAAAAGGAGAGCACATCAAATGCAAGTCAAAGGACCCTATAACGATAGCTTTGGTGAATAATAACTACGATGATATATAAAAGAAGAAACTACGAACTTATAAGGGTGTCTCCCGCAGCCTACCAAATCATTTTTTGAAACGTCTGCACGTTACATTCATTATTATTCTTTCATGGTATAGTAGGTGGTATCCAAGTGCAGCATGTCTTTCGTTACTTCAAGCATGTCACCGTGTGTTTTCACTCGATTACGGTATTCATCGTAGGGAAGAATAAAGACACCTGCAGGAATCATAATCTCCCAGTAATTTTTGGCAAGTGTCTCATTTGTACATTCGATGAGGTGTTTTTGTACAAAGGTGTACAGATGTTCAAAGTCAACACTGTCCAAATCAACATAAAGGAATGCAAGGTATTCTGGGTCATAAATGGTTGCTGACGATCCTTCGGTAATGCTGGCGCAAAACCAGGATCGCTTCTCTCTTAACGAATCCAAAATTCCGGGTATGACATTTCGTCGATCAACTCCTATGTCTAAATTGGCGTACATTTTCGTATCAATGGATTCCATACTGAGCGTCTTCAAAGGCTGTCTACTGGAATGAAGCACCGCTTATAACGACAGTGTCATCAACCCCGACCATTGATGCTAAGAACAAGGCTTCCGGTTTCCACGGGGCGAATATAGACACTGTAAAGTCGTAAAGTGGCGGGCGATGACAGTGTCCCAATGAGGGAAAGTAATTGAGCTGCGTAACGTAGTATTTATGTAAAGAGTTGCATGAAAACTGTCTGAGCAGTTTGATTTGAATGTGTTGGTATTATACACGCTGTTGCAACAGCTACTATCGCTGCTGACAGACCGAGTTTCGTTTATCGAATGAGCAGCATATAAATTACCCTGTGTAAAAGAAGAAGAAGAAGAAGAAGAAGAAGAGATTTAACAGTCTATTACTATGGACATAAATATGCGAGCTATTCACTGGGCGTATCCCGAACCGTAATTAACAGCTTTTCTTTTCGAAACTCCGCTGCATCAGAACTTTGTCGCTTCGTTTCCGTAACGCTCTCGTCAACCCTCGCTCGACTCGAACAATAAGGAAAAAGGTGACACTCGCATTCGACCCCATCCATCAAGGTCTAAATGCAACTGTGTTGTATGGACAGAGGCTGCTTGCGTGCTCAGCTCGCTTGCTACATACAGAACAAGCCGGTTAGCAACATTTCTGTTTGAATCCTGCTAATTCGGCTCGACAGGCACTTGCGACACTAGTGTCGGCAAAGCCGACACTAGTGCGCGGGAACAAATTCGATTGGCTAACAATCAGGTGCCGTTGGTATCATTCGCGACGCAGCCGACACTAGAACTCACTCGTGAACCGATATCGTTCAAGCAGAGAACGTCCTCTTCAGTAATACGACACCCTTACACTGACTTTTGAAGCGTTTTCTCACATGCACTTCTGCATAAACTCTCACCCATCTACCCCATCACACTACCCCGTCAGCTGTAACGAGTGCGGTGCCGCTCTAGCTCCACCGAGTATGACACCACCTCAAAAAACTAAACTAACTAAATACATCAAACAGAGCACTCAAAACGCTATCACCCAAATAGCCGAGTGCAACTGTCACGTACTTTTTACTCACCGCCTGCATTGCTCAAATGCAAGTCTTCGTTCCACGCCGTCTCGCCCACAAGCTTCCCCCACATTCTGCACATCAGCTTCCACTCGCACACGTCTCTCTAACCGAAGCCCTGCAGTTTCCGCGGTAACCCCGCGAAGCTCCCAAGGAAGCCGACGCGTCGCGTCACCGTTCGGTTTCCACGACAACCATATTTACGTCGCGTCTTAACGGTGCAACGGCCAGGCACGCGTCTCTCCTCTCCCAACTCTTCCACACACTCCACCTCATGGCTGCAATAGCTGCGGTAAGCAATTTCCGTGTGTTTTTCTCGTACTAACAGGCACAGCTCGCACAGGCTGCATCAGCAGCAGCGACGGCCAGCGTGGGTTTGGTTTTGGTGGGTGATACCGCCGCCAATGGTGAGAAAAGTCCCTGTGGTCCAAACAGCATTGCAGACGGGCTGGTCGTCGACAAGTCCAGACGGAATACGGACAGACACATCCAACGAGCACAGACAAGCCGTGTCGCCGGCAACAAGGACCACACTGCCAAGCATTCCTCCAGCGGTGATTTTCGACGCAGCTGGTCCTTTGCTCCGCGACGGTCCGCCAGCGTCGACCACGTGATCACCTCAAACCTCTTTGGCACCCATGCCCCCACAACACACCCCACATCAACAACCGCGGCAACGGGCCGCGGTTCGGCGTCTCCTTCCCCCCACGTGTCGACAGAGTTTCGACAACCCTGCGGAGAACCCCGCAGGGACCCCCTCAAGGAACCCCGCGGGGCTGAGGACCCTACCCCGCACACACATTCTATCGGCGACAGTCGCTGCACGCCAACCCCCACACGAGCACGGACGCCCATGACGCGGGGAAGCGTTCGTCACGGCCGTTCTGTGTCGCTTTGGCAGCGCGTCTTTTCTCGCGCCGGAGGAGGAGCGTCGGCTAACGCGCGCGATCTGCAGCAGGCGCAGCAGCAACATCAGCGGCGAACGAGTAGTGCCAGCAGCATAGCGAGCTCGGCCGAGTTTTCACAGGCGCTGCCTTTGCTGTGGCCCCCAGGGGTCTTTCCCTTGCTCAAGGCGGCGGCAGCCACGTCTGTGACACGGGTTAGCGTGCGGGGTGCGACTGCATGTGTCAACGAAAACCCATGTGGTCCCGTGTCTGGACGTGTCGAGAACGCGAAACGCGTCACGTCGAGTCTCAGGGAACGCGACAACGTGAAACCCAACGTGCAGCAGCAGCAGCAGCAGCAGCCCGACAGCGAGCCAAACCCTCTTTCGGCGATCTCGGCTCGACTAGCCGAGTCGGTCGATTCGACAGATCTCGCTTGGGACGCGGATTTTGAAGCTTTGTCGCCATCGCTTACAATTCCGCCGAGCTTGACCGCCGCTGACGCGCAAGTGCGTCGACAGCTCGAGCTCGTCAAGCAGCTCTCGGTGCACGTGCAATCCATTGCCTCTCGGGTGTGCTCGCATGCCCGCGAGCTCGAGCCCAAGAAGCTTCTGTGGGAGGAAGCACACACCCTGCTGCTGCTCACTTCCACCACCACTACAGGCAGGACGACACCGGCCAACCCGGCGAACCGGGTCATAGTCTCGGGCAAATCACCGTCCGGCCCGGCCTCTCCTTCGACCCATTTAACCGAGCACGGCTCCGCTGTTCACCGAACATCACCGTCCGCCCACTCCCCCCACACTGCGTCATCAGGCACACCAGATGGCCAGGACCATGCTTCCGGCGACACCCCTTCCTGCACCGTCGATCCCTCCTCTCCGCTGCTAACCGACCGAGTTCGAGAACTGCTGGCCAGACTCTCGTCGTCCGACGAAGCGCGTCGAGCGAATTACACCGCCATCTCTGCACAGATTCCCTTTGAGCAGGCAGCCGGCCTGCCGTCCCAGCTCCCATTCGACGCCCACATGCTCCCCGAACTCGTCCGCTACGTTGCGGACCTCGACCAACGCATAATTAAGAGCTGCAGCGCAACGTAAACACATTTACTGCACTGTACCGGGGTGTAGCACACAGGCTGCGTTGCATCGCCCAACTCGAGGGCCCGGAAGCACAGCGCTGGAGCCGTGAATCCCTGGCGGTTGGTCTGCTCCTCGCTGCTCCTCGCTGCGTTTCGCTTCGTCTCGTTGCTCCTCGCTGGGCTTCCTTACAGATCACCGTGTCCCGCCCCCACTTCTCGCGTGCTGTCCCTGATCGCACATTGTTCGTTTATGCGCGCATGCTGCGCTGTGATTCGCTGTCCTTTTTCCATTGTTAATCGGCTCCCATTCCCCTTACACCGCCGATTGCTGTTATTGCTGGGGCGCGGCTCATTACATAAAAGGGTATTATCCACCACCCAAAGGCCTCCCTCCTGTCTGCCCCACACCCCACTTAACCCACGTGTCTCCTAGATCGAACTCTACGTCCCCAGGCATCGCTGAGATTGCCACTGGTTTCCGTTAATTAGCATCCGTCTCGCGTCTTTGTTCGCAGCGCTCTACATCCCTTTCAACAGTCCTTCTGGCTTCTGCGCAGAACGTTTGTCGCGCACCTTGCACCTTTTTGGTCAAGTTGATTTCCCTTACTTCTCCTTCCCGAGGTCGTTTTTGACGACAAACTCAGTGGTGTTTGCCGCAGTCCTTTGAGTTTTGTTTTACTTTTTCTCCATTCCCCCCCAATTTGCTCTTTTTTTGCCATGAAACGTGGCCTCTCCGGCCACAGCGCAATTCCAACGGAAGATGCGCCCTGTAACGACATTTCACCTCCATTGGCACTCTCGGACGAGTCCGAAGACTCGCTGTTCGCTGCATCTGTCGCTCGTTCTGACGACTGTGATCGCCACCCTCTGGATTGTTCTGTCCCAGCCGTGTCGTCTATGACTACTCCTGCGCTGACAAACACCGACCTCATCTCTGGACGGCCTGAAAGTGTGTATGCTGCAGCAGACGACCTGTGCACAAACGTTTCCGAGACAGACGGATTTCTGTCGCCTAATGGTTACGACACTACCAAGGTTTCAAAAACGGTCGACATTTTCGACGTGGTTTCTCACTCAGCCGATGTCAAGTCCTCCAGTGGAAACACGTCCAGTGCATTTTCATCCCCTCTTCTTGATTCACAGTCTCTACTGAGTGGCGGCTCGTCCGACGAACTCTTTTACTACAAGGATGCAGTCCAGGCCAAGCGTTCGGGGCAGCAACGGCAGCAGCAAAATGGCTGCTGCGGCTGCTGCCCGCCGCTAAGGAGCGCTAATGCAGCAGCACCACCGTCCGTGGCCGGTCTGAACGATCACCTGAATCGTCCTTCTCGCCGGTGCAGTATCCCGCAGTTTCCGAAAGACTTTCGGACACCATACTCGATGGGCCCGTTGGGTGGTGTCCCGCGCCGCTCGTCGATGGAAGCCCTCGAGCCCACGGGTCACTCGCCTCGTACCACCAATGCGGTGGTTGTCGAAGACTCGCCGGTCTTTTCTCACTCACCGGAGCCGCACAACACGCGGTTCTGTTTCACAACTCGCCGTAACAGCGAGGATCTGTTCTGGCGCTCGTCGCATGCCTCGTCGTCCAATGTTGTGCTTACGCCCACTTTGATGGGCCGTCTGCAGCAGCGCGCCTGCGACGACCGCGGAAAACAGTTTCATCCGTCCGCCCTCAAGTCGTATCAGCATCGCCAGTGTCGTCGGAAGGGGAGCGGCAGTGCTGTTGGATGTCCCTCATCCCGTCGCTCGAGCACCGATGAATCTATGTCCTGGCAGCTCAATGGCGACACGGGCTCTGATTCAGACAATGACGACTCTCAACTGCTTGATTTCACGGGCTCGCTGTCCATGTTGCCCATTTCACAGCTCAGCAATCTGGCTCTTGCCGACCCTCAGAACCACGAACGTCTTGAGTGGCATCAGATGTTTACTGCCGTCATCACGGGTGACATTATGCGCAGCGAGAAAATCCGCTTATACAAGAGCGCCGCAGCCAATGCGGAGTCAGGCTTTGACTACAAGCACCAACTGTGGCTTGAAATACGCTGTTGGTTGTCACGCCAGTCTGTTGAGTCGTATCAGGCTCAGCTGGAGTTTACGCGCTCGAGCTTGGCTGGTGTGCTTACGAAAGTACTCAATTTCCGGTGTGTCCCTGACCACGTAGCATCGTGCTGCGTTGATGCTGTGGATCAGGTGTTGGACGAGTTGCGGTTGTTTGAGGATTGTTATCCTTCTCGCGCACAGATTGCCAAAGAGTATCCCGTGTACGCGTCTGACACGTTTCAAAACAAGGTCGATGTGCTGACGGCTTACTCAGTTTGCGTGCGATGGGTGCGCACACAAATCTCCATTTTGAGAAAATGGATTGGCAACAATGATCTCAACGTCATTCGTCGCTCCTCTGCGGATTCATCCACCTCTTCGTGTCTGTTATCCAACAGCTCTTTTGTGGAGCGTATTTCGCGCCAGTCTGGTCTCAAGCGTACCTTTGAGTTAAAGATTATGCGCGATCTGTACACCATGCTTGACAAAGTTGGTTTGACGGTTCTAGGGAACTCTGCTGCTTTAAGTTCATATGGCTTGTCATTATGCATTGATGAGTATCTCTCCTTAATTTCGTTCCCGATGCAACTTACTGAACATGCTTTGCGTCTCCGCCTCTCTTATGTGCAGAAAATTCGAGGCACTAACGTGTACTACATTGATTCTATGCTTGAGGATTTTCGGAGTACCATCTCCATATCCGTCCAAGCTTTGAAACGGTACTGTAAGCTCGTGGACCCTCTCGTCAAACTGGAAATTCCGGCTCAGTCTACCGATTCGTTGCAGAATTGCTTAGTGCCTGCTCTGCACATGTATTTCAGGCTCTTACACTGGAAACTCCGTAGCGGTTCTGTTATGGTGTTCTTAAAAGAGCCGGAAATTCTACGTGATGAGTGGGAGTTTCTGAACAGTGTTTGTCCGTACATACAGCACGGTTCAAAAATAATGGCGGAAAAGTTCACCGGTTTGGCAAGTGAACTGATGGCTAATGTTATTCCACAATACCAAAAACAGCTTGAAGATTTGCCGGAGGACGATGACATTCTTATTCCTTGGTTTCGCAACGTGCTGGACAATGTGCGGGTGCGTTTCCGTAAGCTCATGTCGTTTACGCGTTTGTTGAAGCGCCATTTTGAAAATGCCTGCGATTTCTACGTGAAAGAGTCTTGTACCGACCGTTTTCTAGATTTGCTCGTTGACTCGGGCCATGTCCTTGCATACACGGCGACTATTGAGCAGGACGGTGCATACTACATCGTTCCCGGCGCATTCGCAGACAAGCAGAAATTGTTACGTTCTGTCTTCACGTCTTGTTTGGTCGGTGATTATTCGGCTGATGCAGATAGCGTTCCTTACGTGATCGTTATTGCTCCTAAAACGTCCGTCGTGTGGAGAGGTCGTACAGTGAATGTTGACTTGCCCGATATTGCCGTTCACGTTCCCGTGAACTGTGTCCGTCTTCTCACTAACGTTTCTGGCGATCGGTTACGAGCACTTAAAGACCATCTTGAGCAGCTTTCCAATGATACCATATGTCTTGTTAATCCTTCCCGTGCAAGTTCTCAAATCATTAACCACGAACTGACTAAAATAAAAAGGATGGCCGTCAAATTGTCTGTGAGCCTCATGGACAGTGTCCAAATATTGCGGGTTCGTTGTCGTAACCTTGACTGCCAAAACTTAATTCATTATACCTTTTCTTACGCCATCGACTTTTCGCAACGGCTGCTGCGTCTTTCCATCTTGGACAATAATTGGTTGAAGATGGTCAAAAAGAAGATGCTCGAGTTGGCTATTAGTTGGGTCAGTTTTGTGTATGAGGATTGCTCGCCTGCTGATCGAAACACATTCCGCTGGGCTGTTGCTGCCCTTGATTTTGTCATGGTTGTGACTCGTGGTTCAAACATACTTTTGTTGGACGAGAAGTCCTTTGAGGTGCTTCGTAGCAGTGTTGGCAAATGCATGAGCCTATTGTTGTATCACATGGATATTTTTGGCGCTAAGAGCAAACTTGCAGCACGTCTCGAGCAAGAACAAAAGCAGCTGAACAAATCTTTGAATGCAGAAGAATGTGAGAGGTTCACGGATGCTGAGCTGCTTGCTTTCGTCAATGAAGAGATGCTTATGCGCATTAATGAGGTTGAAGAACGGAGACGTAACTATCTCCGTGCTTCTCAGTTTGTCGGTCGAGTGCTCGACGATACGATACAGGAGAATCAGCATCTCAAACAATTGGCATCTTCTTCAAGCAATATCACTATGCGTTGGCAGCAAGGACGAATAATTGGATCGGGTACTTTTGGAACGGTGTATCAAGGTGTGAACCTGGATACAGGCGATCTGATGGCCGTTAAGGTAATTAGTCTTTACGACCTTCAGTCTTCACCCTCTGTCGTTAGTCGAATCAAAGATGAAGCAATGGTACTTGGCATGTTGGATCATCCGAATATTGTATCATTTTATGGTATTGAAGTCCATCGTGACAAGGTCAACATCTTTATGGAATTGTGTCAAGGCTCTTCATTGGCAGAGTTGTTAAGGTACGGGCGCATCCAAGATGAAGTTGTGATTCAGGTGTACATCATCCAGTTGCTTGAAGCTCTTACGTATATGCATGCACGAGGAGTGGTACATGGAGACATTAAGCCTGAGAATATACTGTTTGACGGAAACGGTCTTATCAAGTTCTCTGACTTCGGTTCGTCAACAATCACCGTGCCTGGTGATGCGCCGCCCTCCGTGAAGACGAATCTCGCAAGATGTCTTGCCGAGACTTCTGCAAATAGTCGGCTTCCCTCTGACATGCTCCGTGGAACGCCTACTTACATGGCTCCAGAGTTAATTCTCGGTCAACGTTCAGACATTATCGGTGCCGAGGACATTTGGTCTTTAGGATGTGTTATTGTTGAAATGGCCACGGGAGCTTCACCATGGCCTAAGCTTGATAATCAATGGGCACTCATGTACCATATTGCTTGTCTGCGCACCCCGAGTATTCCACCCGACGAGCAACTGTCTGCCGCAGGACAAGCATTTGTCCGTCGGTGCTTTGAATCCGAGCCGCCAAAGCGTGCTACTGCTGCGGCACTTTTGGATGACGCTTGGATAGAGGAAATTAGAATCGTCGCCTGTGGCGAGCCAGGAGATGATCCTGCCGAGCTTCTTAATCAGGAAGCGTTAGAGGAAACGATTCCCGTTGGCGTTTAATGTTTTTTTTTTTTTTTTGATGATAACTGTTTTGCTTCTGATATCCCCTTGACTGTGTATGCTTACGGGTTCTATCCTATCACCTTTTTACACGTTTACGATTGTTTATTTTGTGTATGCTGCTGCTAGTGGTGCGTGTATGCTTCCATTTCCGTCTATATCTCATTTTTTCTCCCTTTTTTCTATTCATTCACCATTTCTTTTCACCCAAGGTAAATGGCTTTCGTTTTACTCCTTGTTTCTAGTTTTTGTTAGTTCCCTCGTTTGGACTTGTCGATGCCTTTCTTTTTTTTGGGTTCACCTTATGTATTAATGCTATCTTTACGTTTTCTTTTCTTTTTCTAAGGATCCCGGCTCGAACTACGACTTTGCAATATGTTTCTTCGCGGGCTATTAATATACTTTAATAAGAGCCCCAACAAGGCAAATTCGTAAACAGAAGTGAACTCTTAGTGTGCTTATACTTTGTATTTATTCAATGTTTCATGCGTTTTCGGGCGGTTTGTAGTGGAAATTGATCTTTAGCTCTAAATTGCTACTGTAAGATTGAAATGCCGTATTTCCTTTCTCATGTGTTATCAATATTTATTTGTGTTACTATATCGAAACAGGATCTGTCTTTCTTGGCTTTTTTGTTTATTTTTCTACCTGACGCAAAACCAACTTCAACCATGGGTAATCTATCAATGGCGGAATTTTATGCGCGTGTATATGATGCTGTCGAAGAAATTCCATATGGAAAGGTGTGCACTTACGGCATCATAGCAAAGCTCATTGGAATGCCTACCTACTCTAGACACGTTGGTCAAGCTCTTAAATTTTTACATCCAGATACACATGTTCCTTGGCACAGAGTCATTAGCAGTCGAGGAGTTTTGTCACCTCGAGATCGAAAGTCCGGTATCGTAGAACAACAGGCTCGGCTACAAGAAGAAGGAGTAGAAGTTCATGTGAGCAGTATGAACGAGTATCGTATCAGCCTCTCTCAATATCTGTGGAGTCCTAAAAGCCTGGTATGCATGGAGAAGTACACGGATAATAATGCTTCACCGAATAACCCGAAAGACAATAATGAACCACAACGAAACGAGTAAAAACATGAACAATAAGTGTCACCGCTGTTTTATGAGATAAACAGTAATGACTTTTAAACCATATTACTATCAATCTTGTGTCGTAGACATTTTAGAATGCGTTTCATCATCTTTAGAACTTTCTTCTTGAGAGAGTGAAGAATTTTTAGACTCATTGTTCATCTGACCATCAGGAGTATCCACAGCCATATCGCTTTCTGCTTCGTTTGTAGAAGCAGAAACAATACCGCTCAACGTGGCGTCTGCATCAGCGTTTTTTGAATTGCTGCCTTTAGGAATTAACCGAATTTGTTCCAAGACCAGATGTCGAGATGAGGGCAAAATGTCTCGTGTTTGCAGATTACCATCTGTACGAACAGGAACATGTAAATCTGTACCTATAGTGTGATGCCAAGTGCCTCGAAAAACCATAGCGCCAACTCGAATAATAGGATGTTCTTCATCAAGCCCAAGGACTGTTATGTCCTCAGCCATATTGACGTCGGTATTATTCGCGCCAAAATCAAATACGACATCTTCGTACGAGTCATTATCTTCATCAGTTATATTGCTGTTTTGTGCTGCATCCGAGACGTCAGCAGACTCACTAGTGGTATGATTGTTTTCTTCAGTTACAGAACTTGCACTTGTTTGAACAAGTTCATCATTAGCACCGTTCTCGTCTGCAAACCTGCTACTTTCTGGCAAAGTGTTGGACATAGTCACGGGCGATTTTTGCAAATGACGCTGGATCGGTCGTGTACTGGCTTGCAATCGAGGGCACCAAAGGGTCTTCTGGGTTAGGCAATACGAGCAAGCCTAAAAGTTGATCCAACACACTGCGAAGCCGAATGCTAGGCTTAAAGTTTTGGGGTCGCAGCGAAGACAAACAGACGTTCCCGTCTGAATCCACCTTGTATTGTTAGTAGAAAAAATTTTAAGCAATGGAAAAGGTCTACAAAGCGGAAAATTTGACAATCCCGAAAACTAGAAAATGATTAACGTGTTACAGTGGACATTACCACCTAGCTTGTAGTGCAAACAGTGCTTTCTTTCCATTAAATTTCTTTCACTTACGTTAGGATGATATATACGAGTAGTAAACAAAAACACGGGCGGTTTAAAAGGATATTCGGTAGGAATTGTCAGACGAAAATGGAACTTTCCACCTTCGTAACACGAAGACTTTGGTCCAGAAATAATGCCGGTCCACTCGTAAAGGTTGTCTTCCGAAGGAGTGATTTGGATACCTTGGATGGGGTTTTGTTGCAAATCCTGCAATTCCTAATTAGAGCAATATCATTAGAAATCAAATTTACAAAGAGAATGAGCAATAATCTCCTCCAACTATATGCACAAACCTTGTTAATTCTTCGTGTAGTAGCTGAAGAAGGTGCAGTTGCCATGGGTGGAGGATAAGTGTGTGAGTAAGAGGAATACTGACGGTGGATTTGAGATGAAGGAATAAGGGGAAGGGCTTCTGCGGTAAGTTTTTCGTTAAATTGAGATGATTGCAACAAAGGTTACAGATCTGAACAGTTATATGATTTGAAAGATGGACTCTTGACTCGGAACAGTTGCAGACAGAATTGAAAGAGTTTGTGTGATGAATTTGTTTAAGAGTCTCTTAGATGTTAACAGAAAGAAAGAAAGAAATAACAAATTCATTTCTCTGTGCTACTTGATATATAGGTTCATTTCATTCATACACTTGGAGATATGTGAGTCAAAAACAGGTAACAAAATTATAAAAGGAATACGTATGAGAGATTGAATGTAACAGAAGGAGCACATGAGTACACTGAGAATGAAAGAGACACATACTTGAGCGCTTCTCTTTCTTGTTAATTGTTATGATGATGAAAAAGCCGAATAAACATAACCAGTAATGAAGGAAAGTGCTGCAATGGTCCACTTGTTTTTTGTAAATAGAGTCCTAAATATACGTATTAGTAACAGAAAAAACAGAGTCATTCACAGATACACATACACTGCTCCGACAAAACTGGCATATGCTAGTATCGGATACTTTCGGAATAGGGCCAGAGAAATCGAACACGAAGATATTAAGCCTTTAGAGGATTGTTCTGAGACGAGTTGTTGTTTTCCAGTCGCATGTCTATTGACGTCCTTCTCAATGTTTTGGGGAGGACAGGGTTTTCGGTGAACATGTTTCGCTTTTTGCGGCACAGGAGCAATGATACGTTGTCTACGCGATTCAACGGGAGTCGACGGTAATGGCCGAGAACGGTGTCGAGTTTCTCTTTTCGCAAATCTTCGTTCAAGAATTTCTTGTTCGTTCATTTTGTAATTAGAGTAATGCAACCACTGTTCCGGCGTGTAACAAACACCCTTTTTCTTCAACGGATAAAACCCCATCTCACAGCCCGAAGAACAGGAACCAAAAAAAATAAAAAAGTATGTTGTACTTGTTGGAGAATGCAAGAAAATGGTGCTTAAATCGATTGATTTAAATCGTTAAACGGCGCTCATAACGGCTCAGGTGGACGGGTCCAACAGATTATCTGATAAGCTTGTTTCCGTTAAAGTTTGATTTATATACGCGATTTTTGTTTATTCGTTTGTTATTGGTTAAAACTGCGGGAAACCGACATCTGATCAAAACTCACCACCAAAAGTGCTCCACCAGTTCAACGTTCACAAACGGCATCCTCCCACATATATCAACAAAGACAAGGTTTATACCTCGAGTACCTGTTTCCCTCATTGCTTAAATTCACCATCCAGGAACGACACACACAATTACGCACACACACACATTTAACGATGTCTCTCTCTAAAGAACAAATTGATGAAATGAACGAGGCTTTTAACCTCTATGATATCGATAACGATGGTCTTATACCCACTAGCCACGTTGGTTCTGTTCTCCGTAGTTTGGGTGTTAATATCACAGATATTGAGCTCACAAACTTTTCCCAGAAACATGGCGACACGATCAACAAACAGGTGTTTACAGATCTTATGACTGAAAAATTAAGTCAGGTGGAATCAGAGGACGAGTTCATCAAAGCTTTTGCTGTCTTTGACCGTGACAACACAGGCATGATTGAAACAAGTCGTTTTGCCGAGTATATGACCAACTTGGGTGAAAAACTCCCTACGGCAGAAGTTCAGGCAATGATTCAAGAAGCGGATCCAAACAATACAGGCTCTTTTAACTACCGTGAGTTTGTCATCAAAATTCTCTCCAAGTAGATACGACACGCCAATGAATGTGTACGATTATGTTGAACAAGATATGATCAATATTGTACTTTCGGGATAGACCGGGCTTTCGACAAAAGGATCGCATAGAAATGAATTGTTCATAACGTTATAGGTAAAGGGTGCGAGGCGGGCGGATTGGGAGATCTGTTCTCGACATTTTTGGTGGATCCCCTTGTTTTTTGTAAATGTGTTTATCATACAATTTATTTGGCATCACCGTTGCCGGAAACATTTCCCTGCTGTTGTTGCTGCTGTCGTTTTCGTTGAAGGTAACGTTCACGAGCCGATTGCACTTGTGCTTGCGTCGTTGTATGTGAAGTATGTGTGCGAAGAATCTCTTCCCGTTTCCTCCGCTCTTCTTCCTCACGTTTAAGCCGTGCTTGACGCTCTTGCTCACGCATGTCAAGAGCAGTAGTCGTTGATGAATACGACTGGGTAGAATAAGCTGAAGATCGAGACTCGTAATGTTTACGGCCGCCTTTCCTTTCAAACCAAGGTTTCGCATTTTTGTCTCTTTGATTTTCATTGGGATGCTTGACGGCTCCAATGCTTGTATTCAAACCCGCTTTCAAAATTTGTCGCTGATCGACGATTTCATTTTCATCGTTCAGCTCAACATGCAGCCCGCGTTTCCTTGCTTCTTCAGCTAACTCCTTATCACTCTTTTTCGATGCGAGAATATCTGCTGAAGAAGAAGTAGCATTCCGGTTCATCGAAGCATGAACAGCAGCCTGATGCTGCTCTTCTTGCTGCTCAAGCATATTAGAGTAGAACTGCTCAAGACCACGACCAGAACTCTTCAATTTAGCTTCTTCAGCCTCCTGATCTGCAAGTTCTTTTGACACTTCTTCTTGATGTTTCACGTAACTTGTCGTGACAAAAGCTTCATCTACGTCACCTTCTTCTTCACGTCGCTTTTTTAGAGCACGTTCTTTTGCCAATAATAAATCCCTCTTCCGTGTTTTTGAGGCTGCTATTAAGTCAGCCATATATTTTGGACGGCGATCCTGCGCTTCCATTTTTTTTTTCTGTTCCTTTTCCCGTTCCACTTGTTTCATGCTATCGTAGTACTCATCATAACCGTAAACTAGCTGATTAGAACATTATTCAGATACGATTGAGATGACATTGAACTGTCGAATTTTACCTGCGTAGTGTCGCAAATAAATTCAGACAATCTGTCTTGAACAGACACATACCAGAAGAATCCACTTCTTGTTCTACAATTGGTTCTTCCAATCTGACACTTGATCGTGTTTGTCTATCTGGTTCTTCATCGTCCTCGTCGAAATCATCGTCAAAAGTAATTCCCGGTTTTCGAGAAGCTGACGCAGTTTTTCCTCGGATGTTTAGACCATATTTCAATCCATTCGAGGACATGCCGTCTCCAAATTAAGCTAAGCACTCGTCTAGCAGTTGAATATCGAAAAGTGACAGGCACTTCGGTCATCCAAAGTGGACGCAAATTTTCAACGAAAATGCTTGCACCACTGTGCAGTTCACTAAATATTAAGGCGAGCTGTAGCATTCCTAGTTATTGCTACAAGAACTAAATCAGTTTGTTATGGCATCTTCTATTGCGCCAGGAGGCCGTAAAGTTGTGCAAAGCACATCAGAAACAGTCAATGCTCGACAAATTAAGCGGACGGTCACGCTTCAAAACTCCATCGAAACAGTGACACAAACGCTGCTCTCTCGATTCCAAGACCTTATTGACATTGCTGGCAATGCTGGAAAGGAAAAAAACACAATTGCTTCAGAGGTTTATCAGATTGAGTGTCATACAACTTCATTTATACGTGCCGTTGAGGAATTGCTTACGATTGCACACCGACTGAAACAGTATTGGCTGACAGGAACAATCAGCCAAAGCCAACCAAAGCTGCCGTCCACGGAGACTAACCTGGAACAGATGAAAGAGTTGCTTACGCGAATTCAAAATATCGGTCTCAAGCCATCTGAACAAAAGGAGCAGCTTGATTAAAAAACAGATGAAAGTTCATTTATATAACAAAAGCTCAAGTATTGAAATAAGGGGAATGTACGAGCAACAATAACGATCATTAACGAATGAATTTTGCAATCACAGAATCGGTAAAGATCGGGTGTAGTTCCTGCTGTACTTGTAGTAAATTTTTGTTCGTAATACATTAAAGGAGTGCAAAGCTATCGGAGACTTTTAGAACGTATCATCGGAGGTATGAGCCTAAGCTTTTCTTAAAGACAATGAACCATCCTTTGAACCGCAAAGCAAAGCTTGCTCTGCATCAATCCAGCACACCGAAAGCGCAGATTTTGTTGCGTCAGTGCCATCGAGGCTCCAACTCTTGCTTGGTTTTTCATAGCGGAAAACGTCAACTCCAGCACTGGTACTGGCAGCTATAAGCCGAGACGAAAGGTTAAAGGCAATGTTAACCGGCACAGAGCTAGCTTTGAGAGTATGTGCAACCACTGCTTTGCGAAGATCCCATATAGAAATATTATCCGTTGTGTCTGTCGTCGCCAACCAGTATCCATTTTCAGCGAAGTTAAGCTGAGATATCGAGCCTGCCTGTGGGCCAAGAGTCGTGGCAAGCTCACCAGAAGCAGACAGGTAGAATTCGAGCTTTCCATTTTCACCACCTACTGCTAGCAAGTGACCATCGGGATGAAAGGCAATTGCTCGTACAACAGATTCGGGTTGTACGGTGTATAGCGGACCCTCGTTCGAGCAAATATAGCATTCATTGTCACTTGCAGCGGCAAAGAAAGCACCACTCGGGTGACCAGCAACGCAACGGATATTTCGAGGCAGAGCCACTGTCAACTTGGGTATTACAGGGGTTTCTGACTCTTTTAAGTCAAATACATACACAGCACTCTCATCCAAGGCTGCCACCAAAACTTGTGTCTCGCCAAACCAAGCACAAGCAGCTGCCTTCGGTTCAAAGTGACACATTACGGAAGCAGTGCTCAAGTTAAGGCATGAGACATTTTGACCCCGACGCACCAAAACAATTTCGGGATGTGCACCGTTGGGAAGGATGTCAGATACGGGTTGCTCCTGCTCACTTTTGGGAAAGTTATGTAAGTTTTGGGTGCTTGCTGCAAGCAAGGTTTTTACTGCATCAGCTGTAACCCAAGTTTTGCCAAACTTGCGCTTTTTACGAGCCTGTGTAAGCTCACGCAACGAGTGTTCGACAATGGAACGTAGATTATCTTTTGAAATTCCACCCGTTTGAGCTATAGAAGCAGCAGCAGCAGCAGCTTCGGTATCAACCTGCATGCCTACAGGGGTACCAGCTACTGCTGTTCGACCGCCTAACGACTCAGAGAACTTGTACAACGCCTCACGTGCTTCATCTCTTTCTTTTTCCAAACGTGAGATGACTCTGTATGCAGCATCAAGCTTGTAAAGTGTAGAGCTCAATTCTTGGCGAGTTTCAGAGAGAGTTTGTCGCAGCCGGAATTGCTCAATAGCAACCGAATCCCATTCCTCTTGGAACAAAGACAACAGAGCGGGTAACGAAGTTGCCGAAGGCGGTCTGGGTTGGACGATCTTTGAAGCTTTCAAATGTTAATATACCGGATGAGAGTGACATGACATATTCAGGACATACCTTTAACGGGTATCAGATCATCCACAGACATTTCCTGTTGTGTAATGGGATCTTTTCCATTTTCTTGAACGAGCTGCTCTACAAGACGACGCTCGAATACATTTCCTAGTGAGTGTTAGTATGGGGAGTAACGCCGAACAAAAATTGCGCGTAATCAACATACCACTAACTCGAGAAATGACCGGCTCTCGGACAGCTTCTCCACTAATAGCGCAGAACATGGGATATCGAGATGTGTAAAAAGAGACCTGTTTTTAGGTCGTTTAGGTATCCTTCAAGTGTTTGCTGGTGTGGTGGTCGGTGGTAGCGGACTGGGCGCGTTGCGAATGTAGCTGTACCAAAAATTAAAAAAAGGAATTGTGAAGGAAAAACATCACAGAATGCCATATAAAACTAGAAGATCGTTTGTTGGGACATGCTAGATTAGAAAGCGAAATGAAAGAGCACACTGCAGTAACGCAGGAAAAAATTCATAATAAATTTGCATGTGACTAAGATGGCTTTATAAGCGTTGTAGCGTTTTTTGCGAAACATTTTTTTTCGTCAATATTCGTTCTAGTAGATTTGCCAAAGTGATATTCGACTGTCTTTACTGCCGAGAGCAATAAGGTTTGAGCCCGGTTGAATTGCCGCGCAATTGCAAGTTTCACTATGATATTTTAGTACCGCAAGCTTGGCTAGAGATTTAGCTCCGTACACGCGACCACGGCCATCCCAGCCGGCAGACACGAGTATCTTATCGTCACTTCGCACGCGGAGACACTGTTGACCAGGATGTCCGGTTTTCATTGACTCGGGGTTTGTGTGCGTTTCCTTGCTGAGACAGATGGTATGTCGAACGATGTAATCGTCAGCACTTGACGAGTATAAATAACCATTGTCATTACCAAAGACAACAGACAACACTGGTTCCTTGTGAACTTTCTCTGCATACATCACCTGCCAAACTTGCTGGAAATAAACATTCACTTTCTGGGCAGCATCGACATCAGCAATGTACTGAACGACATGTCCACTCTCGTAGCCGGCAACAAGCACGACTTTATTATATTTAACATGCAATGCCACTGACATCACAGCACCTGTCTTTTCAATCTGTGGTTTCGGCTCCAATGCGTGCTGCAGCCGTTTACCGCAATTGTCCCTGCGATCACTGTCAGAGGTATCGTTCAAAGCATACACATCCAATTGCTCTGCATTTACAGTGTTAGGCACAACAAGTAAGCCGGCGGCAGGTGATATAGCGAATGAGCAAAAAGTGAGATTATTGGTTTGGAAGAAGTACCCCTTGTGAACAGAGGAAACTATCGTCAAAGAAGACGAGGATTGCTGATCATTCTTTTTTTCTTGTTGGATGGCATGCAACAATGAAAGTGGTATATGTGAGCCCCCTGTCGGAGGATTTAAATGCCATCGAGCAACCTGCATGTCCCGACCATGAGTCCAAACGACTTCGCTAGAACACCCATAGACACCGAGAATGCTTTTCGTATGAGCTCGCCAAATATGGGTTGGTCGCATCACTGACAAATCCCAGCAAATCATCCATCCATTGGCATCACCTGAATACAAAATGCCATCGGAAACGAACGACAGGCTGGTGACGCTGCTCAAATGACCACGTAGCACAAAAAATGGTGTAGGGACTACCATGAATGTTTAAACTTTTGTTCCGTGGTGTTGACGAGACACTCGCTTTCCCAGTATTTAGCAATGAAGGCAAGAACTCCGCACATCGGCTACGCGAGAAGGCGCACACTTTGTTGTTTATCAGTGGAAGCGAAAAATCGTTAGTAGACACATTATTTGGTGGGCGCCCTGCATGAAGCTTAAACACCCACTTAGCAATAATATTTGCGCTACATAGTAGAACTTCAATGGTGTAAAGAAGGGAAAAATTCGTTCTTCGTCAACAGCGACTGACTCTGTCCAAAACAGATCGGCTGGACTGAGAAACAACATTTCATTCACTAGCATTAATTATGACTAACAAGCACAAGGCCTGAGCATGATCGTGTCAGGTAAAGGTACTCTGACAATTTGTCGTAACTTCGTCACAGGTTTCGTATAAAGGGCATTTCTCAATAGTACAGACATATTAAGCCTCGTACTGGTTGTAGGCAAGCAAATTGGGAGTGTCAGAGGGGACATTATCCAAAAGTCCCTCGGTGGCAGCAGACAGAATGTGTGCCTTGAGAGCAGCAGGGTTGTAGGCCAAGGAATGGTTTAAGGCAGTGAAGTAAGCGGCCAAACCAGCAATGTGAGGAGAGGCCATAGAAGTACCGGACAAAAGCATGAAGGCCGAGTCAGAACCAATCCAGTCGGACAAAACATAGTGACCAGGGGCAAAAACATCAACGCAGGAACCAATGTTGGAGAAAGAGGCAACCTCATCCTTCCATGTCATAGCACCAACAGTCATAGCAGTGGACACACGGGCGGGAGAAACTTGGCAAGCATCTTGGGCCTCATTGCCGGCAGCAAGAGCAAAGAACAGACCCTGTTGAATGGCAGCAGAAACGGCGGTGTCAAGAGCAACACTAGCATCACCACCCAAAGACATATTGACAACAGAAGAGATGGACTCTGTGTCATTCTTCGACGCCTTGTAGACCCATTCGATACCCTTGATGATATCGGAAACAAGACCAGAGCCTTCAGCGTTCAAAACCTTAACTGCAACCACCTTGGCCTTGTTAGAGACACCAAAAGTGTTACCAGCAATGGTTCCTGCGACATGGGTACCGTGTCCGTTCTGGTCTTCATCAGGCTCACCAGTGGGAATTGTAATACCCCAAACGGCACGTCCACCAAAATCGCGATGCTCGGTGTTGATGCCAGTGTCGACGACGTAAGCGGTGACACCCTCACCAGCACTCTCATCGTATTGGTAACGAGTAAAAGTAACGAGGTTGAGTTTCTCCTTGTGAGAAATACGGGCCAGACCCCAGGGAGCCAAGGTGCGTTCCTCCTTGACGTGCATGACTTGATCGGGCTCTACAAGAAGCACGTCAGGGTGCTTTTGGAGTTCACGAACCAACCAAGGAGCCAGCTTTCCGGCATAACCACGGAAGAGATCACCAATATTGAACGTGTGCTTGATAACGAAGTTCGTCACATCATGCCAGTCGATTGAGCGCTTCTGGTGCATGCTTTGGAGCCAGTTTTCGTGCTTCTCAATTTCGGCATCAGCAACATGGCTCTTGAAGACAATGATGTAGTTCTGAGCTGCAAACTCGGCATTGACAGAGCCAGAGTTTTGGAGACTGTCGACGGGATGGATTCCAGCGCCCGAACGATCATCAGGGAAGAACTGACGAAGTGGATTCACGGCGCTGCCCAGAGCAAAAGCTTGGGCAATAAAGAACGCCTTAGCAAGAAAGTTGATTCTCATATAGAGACAGAAAAATCCGCTAACAGGAGAAAGCGGTCAATAGGTGTTGAAAGAAAGGAAGTTTCAGTAGCGCACAAAGTAGAGGCTATCCGTGTGTTACTGTGTATTAAGACAATGAATCTCAGAGGAATCTGCCTTGTGTATTTGGTGACTGTCTACGACGTGAGGCTTTACGTGTAGTTTAACTATATGACGTAAATCGGACTACACGATTTATCCGTCAGAATGTGTTCCTTGGTGGTGTAAAGAGAGTAAGGAGAGGATGACTCGTTGATGCTGAAAATGGGTGCCATTGTACCCCTATATATATAATTTTGACTGATAAGGGGCGTGCCTTTCTTCAAACATTCAGGTCCATTGTTTGTTTATTTAACAGCAATTGATGAGCTATATGCGTTTTGTACTTATAATTATGCATGTAAACAAAGAAGAAACGAATGAGGTGGCAGTATCGCGCAATATGAGGAGCGCGCAGTCTGAATTGTGTCATTAAAAGTGGACGCGTGCGGGAATCGAACGAAACGTTGTTGTGTTCATTGAATTCATTTTTTTAAGGAGTGCAAGAAGGTAAATGGTTTTGGGGTTTAGTCTTTAACCTAGGTAATTAACTAGCTTTGTTTACAGAGCGAGCGGAGAAATGGTATTATTGGATTACCGTTTGACGGACTCACTATTTAAAAGAATAACGGTTACTTAAAGCTCCAGAGCTTGGTTCAACCAATTTTGTACATATTTAAAAAAAGTAAGTAGCTATATCTTTATGTAAGTAGAATGTTAGCTATACAAAATAAAAAAAGAGTGCGTCAACGTTGCTTCAGCTCCACCTAATTATAAATGTATTCCTATGACTATCTATACATAAAGCGTTTTAACGCGGTGGATCATTGTGGTTGTAATATAATTATGCGTGAAATAAAATGCTTACCAACCTTCAAAATAAAATGGAGCACATGACTGTTCAGTAGACTTTATTCCACGAACCGTCATTTTTTGTTTACGATAACCGATTAAAGCGATACTAAAGCGGTTGATTTACGGGATGAAAACATTTTAATGTTAATAAGGATGCGCGCAATAAGGCGGGATGGAGCGCATCGGCTTATAAATTAATAAAATGAAATTAAAAGAAAATAAAATAATTCCATACAAAGATTGAGAGGCGATTGAAGGAGGTGGAATAGGGTTGTTTTGTACGTTAGAAAAAAGAAAACAAAAATCATATTAAGAACAAAGTGCAATGATTATATACTTAAATCAATTGCGACAAAAGCATTTTTTTGTAGATAATACTGGTCAAAAAAAATCAAATGTGAGACTTCTTAGCAAGGAATTCTTAAAGTGCGTAGCAAGCACCATTAATAGCATTGGATTGCTTAATCTTGCGGTTGCCTTTAAGGCATGACATTTGACCATTATGCAAGCACGCATAACACCTTCCGGGACAATCGAGTGAATTTTGAGACGGAAGACAGGCGCCGCGGCAACACGAATTAGCCTGCGTTTTTCCGTTCTCGAAACAAGATACCAAGTCGCGCTTGCCGAAGAAAGGGTCTCTGTAGTCATCGTATCCTCATAGTCATTGTCGTAGTCATCGTAATCCCAATCGGAGCCCTCATAGTCGTAATAAGGAAGTGAATAAAAGAAGTAATCGAGGCGGTCTTCAATACGATCCTCATTCAAACGATAAAAGTCGAAGCGATCGGTTGAAATATTCAACCAGCGCTCGGGACCATCGTGAGCATAAATCCAATTCTCGGAAGATTCGATCCATTGCAAGGTCTCGTTAAAGATTAATTTGTAAAGAGTTCTTATATCGAAGAACTCGTACTGTGCGCCATGAAAGGAAATAGAGTTGAAACTCGAATTGTCATAGCGAATTGCAAGGCCAAAGGCACCTGCAAGCAAACTCAAAAATGAAATAAGGCAAAGCATGATTGGAATTGATGAACTGAGGGAACATAAGTCGACCTTTTATATTCGTAAAAACAAGATTGTACATTCACAATTGAGAAAGCACCTCAGGGGTGAAAGGGCTTCCATCGGTTTGACGGAAGCGTCGTTTTTGCTGCCGTCGGTTTTCTATTTCCGGGAGGTTCATATGCTGAAAAGCTTAGTTAGCTTAAAGGTTAATCCAATAATCCATTAAGTTGTAAACAAACATCGCTGCAAATACTTAACAACTTTTCGTGCAAGGACAATTGATTCAAACAAGTCTACTCGACTAGGGCAACGAACGCTCTAACATCAAAATAGCCCCTCCGGTCACAAAGTGATATCTGTTGAGAAAGGTGAACAACACGTGGAAGCAATTGTGATGTCTCCGTACCGGACAATAGAAAACCCTGAAACAGTGGTGATACGGGTTGTGAAAGGATGGTTACATTCCCGTTAAAACGTTGCTCTTGGTACAGCACCCTGTTCAAGCAATTGCATCCAACAGAGTACGACGTCGCACCCCGTAATTACAGAAAGGGTACATAACAAATTCAGTTACGTCTCGTGAGTCGTCATGAGACCCCCTCGATGAATTGAAAGATGAAACTTCTGTTTTAGACTGAACAGAAGAAGTTCAGACAAGTCACATTTCCCCCAGTCAATTGTAGGAAAAATGTAATTCATGATCTTAGTAAATTTTCAAGGGCTGTATCCTTACACCCTTTTGCAAACAAACGTTGCAAGACAAAACATATAGAAAATTGAAAAGCGTTCTCTTAGAAACGACGTTTAAATGAAAGCAGACATTGTCACTGTGTGTAAGACCCCACGACATGTACTTTTACGTGACATAAAGACGAGCATGTCCTCAAGCAGACGATATTTACAATCGTAAATTCTTTCACGAGCTTCAATAATAGTCGGGAGATGCTTTAGTAGCAGATTTCAGTCGTACTCAACTCATTTTACCATTAAAGTGTCATAAATGGACATATGTATTTCATCCCCGTGAAAACGTTTGCTTTTTGAATGTTCGACTGAACAGTTTTTTTCATCGTCGACACGTGTCACTCACGACTCTGTTAAATGCATCGTTTTTTACCAAGATAAAAATATCACTGAACTAGGGCGACGTAACAGACTGTATATAGAGAACATTATTTTCGTTGATATAACGGCTGCTGATAAGGGACCAAAAACGACAAATGTGATCTTGATATATTCGTACGACGTGACGATTTCTTGTTGTTTTCGTGTGATAGCTTATTTCTTATCGAGTAAAAACTGGCAAAACATACTGCTGGATCTGTTAAAAAAGTTCTTAAGCATCTTTAAGATACTATCAGGGCGAGAAAAGTACTACAAGTTACGTTGAAAAGACTTGTAAACTACAAGAACCGTCTTTGTTTTAATGTCTACGGAAAATGCTTCTGGAACATCTCCAAACAAGGCAGTAGCCACTACTCTGGCAATTATTGCTACTGTTTGTTGGTGCGTGCAACTTATTCCCCAAATCATAAAAAACCATCGAGCAAAGTCTACGGAGGGGCTCGACACCCTGTTTATGCTAAGTTGGGTTGTAGCATCAATCTTCATGGCAATTTATAATTTCACACAGAACTTGAACATTGCGTTAAAACTTCAACCCGAACTTTTTCATGTACTGGCACTCATTACCTGGTTTCAATGCCTTGTATATGGAGAACGGTGGAGCAGGAAAAGGGCCAGTATGGCCGTTATTGTTTGCATAGCCTCGTCCGTAGGTATCCAACTCGTGGCTATTCTTTTAATTAAGATGGGCATTCGTCGAGGAGTAACATGGCCAACTATTCTCGTCGGTGTGATAATGACAATTTCGGTAAACGTTGGTTTTGTACCTCAATACATAGAGATTTTGAAAGCACGCTACGTTCGTGGAATCTCATATTTATTTCTTTTCATTGACTCTTCTGGTGCGTTATTATCATTCATTTCACTTCCATTTGAGAAATGGGATGTGCTAGCCGCCGTTGATTATGGGTTACTGTACATTTTGGAGATCGGAATTTTTGTCATGGCCTTTATTTTCAATTATATTTATCGTGGAAGATTAGCTCGCAGCAGCGACGAAGGTGACCAGACAAAAACATCAATGGCAAGCAATGAGGTCATGAATGAGGAACAGGTTATTGGTTTTGAGTTGCAACCTCCAACTAAACAGCCTGTCGCTTATACTCTCACGAACACCGAATCTCCTTGATCAAGGAGAACAGATTGTTAATAAACGTATGTTGGAATTGCTAGGGCATACAGGCAATTTCGAAACGATTTTGAATGACAGACCAATCAATCATTTTTGACCAGGTTATGATGTACTCATCCAAACCAGTGGGTCCGAAGTCAATGAAATAGGCATGTTGCCAAAGACATAAATTCAGCAGCGGCACGATGGAGTACTCACGCGTTTGCATTTCCACATCTGGTGTTTCAGGCACCAAATGTGGATCTAATGACTGCCATCGACCTTGGACGAATGGCGTTCCTGCTTGAAATGTACGTATAATTTTCAACTGCTCAAAATCATCCATAACTAGCCATATCCATGCAGCACCAAATGTGTTGTTTGCCAGTTGCGTGATTTTTTCCAGCATTGTGTCTAACGAACCAAATGTCGTCTGGATAAGATTATGGAGTTTCGGATACTTTGACAAAACGTGCTTCTTTGGAGAAGCCGAAAGTGACTGAAAAAAGAAATGATTGTTGAATGCTTGGCTGGCATATTGAAACGTTGCGGCTTGTTCTGGGAGAGAAGCCGTTCTTAATAAAATCTTAAACACAGATTGATCTTCCATATCAGTACCTTTGGTTCTATCATTTAGAGCCTTTATAACCTGGGACTGATGACTTGTCCATGCAAGGTTGTAGCCTTCTTTAGAGAAAAGTGGTTCCAAGTTTGTCTCGCTTAAGGTGGGAACATTGTGATAAAGTCGTTTCTGCCAGTTTTTATGTCCTACACGAGTAAATGGTATTACGGTGAGCTTTTTTTTATTAGCAAGACAGAGCCCACGTTTTAAAACATTGAAAAATGAATGAAAATGTAACATGAAAAAAGAAATTAAAGCTTCTGAAAAGAGACTAATCTAACACATTAAGTAATCCAGGGACAGACGTGTTTATTTGACGTTAATTTAGGTAGTAATAAAAATAACGTAGTTATGAGTTTGTTTTCGCACACGCGTATTTTCTAATGTTTTACAAAGAGCAATTTACTAATATTAGGCGAAACTTTATTATTGTTAAAGCCTTTTTCAGAATGCGGGGTTGAAACTTTATTACGAATTAGAACGAACAGAATAGTGGAAAGTGTACCCGCAATAAATAGCATCATATGAGGATTTATTCATGTACTATGTTTTTGCTAAGCTACTTGATAAACGTTAAGATACTGAAAAAAAATGCGAAACCGTTGGTAGGCATAGGTAAAAATAAAACGACCAGTTTAATGACCGAGCCAGTCAGTTTAATCCTGTTCTACATTCCGTGATGTATTAAAAAATAAGCGCATGAATGCTTATGAAATTCACGATTAGAAAATCATGAAGAACACGATAATTAGTGCGACAAAAACGCTGTTGATGTTTTGTTGCTGTGTTGAAGCATGAGAAGACACCGGGGCAACAGGCGAAACAGGAGATGATGAAGGAGACTCGGAACCAGGGGTATAGGGAATGTCCTCGGGAGGCAAAGCAGGCGAAGGACAGATACCCAATTTGTACGCATCTTCTTGTGGGAATAGAATCATGGGATCGCCATTTCGGATGATGAACACCTGTCTGTTATCTTCGTGAATAGCGGATTGACACGTCAAAATGTTAATCCAAGTGTGCTCAATGGCAGGAACAGTGAAATGAAAACGAATGTAGTAGGAGCCGAGGTTGTTTAGAACTGTAATAACTTTTCCACGCTTAAGCAACAAGACGTGGTCGTCAACGATGCTGAGCTCTGATTGAGAACGGATAAAGTCTTCTCCGTCGGGTGAAGCAAGTACTGCGTTACGGAAACGGTTAACCAAAAGAGTAAAGAAGTAGTAAGGATTGCGTTTAGGGAAGCCAGTTTCCCAAAGGGCAGCTCTGTTGTGAGGATCTGAATGACCGCGCATTGCTAATTCTTGTCCATAGTACATAATGGGAATACCATCTCCAAGGAGATTGAAGACAATAGAATTCTTGATGACTGCAGGATCTTTCGTCAAAGAGGCCATACGAGGAAGATCATGACTTTCAATAAAATTACCCAACAGTAAGGGGTCCTTACAGAGACCACGGATGGCTGTTAACGTATCTGCCAATTGGATGATACCCTCCCAATTGCTTGGGAAAAAAGCACGTCCAGCAGCTGTTTGTAAGGGGAAATTCTGCAAACCATCCATGTAGTTTTGCCAGTCGCACAACTTTATCGGCTCTCCCGACCACATTTCGCCCATGCAGAAAACGCCGGCAGCCGAGCAAAACTCTGGCCAAAAGTCTTTACGAATGTGTTTGGTAGCATCAATACGAAGGCCATCGATGGAAAACGCTTCGACGAAAGACTTTATGTATTCTAAGAGTGTTTGCCGGACGAAGAGAAGATCAGTGTTCAAATCGGGTAGAACGAAGTCGTCAGTATGAATCCAACATTTATCAAATGATTCAGGAACATCCTCATCAATGGGACAGAAGTTGTGGTAATACTTCTCATGATTGAAAGGGGTGTACTCTGAGTAATCAAGACTTTCAAGCGAGCGTGCACCCATATGATTCACAACCACGTCGACCATCAAGTACATTCCGCGCTCGTGCAACGCATTGGAAAGTTCTTTCAGGTCAGCTTCTGTACCGAAGTGAGGATTTAAACGGTAAAGATTCTTTGGCCAATAGCCATGATATGCTTCACCGTATTGAGTTACGCCGTCAATCTGTTCAATTACTGGCGAAATCCAAATAGCAGTGAATCCAAGCTCTTGAATGTAGTCTAAATGCTCGATAATTCCGCGCCAATCGCCTCCACAGTAGGTACGATCAGCTGCATTGCATTTAGGAACTGGTTTGCTGGGAGCAAAACGATCCGTCATAAGCGAATATATTGATTGCTTTCGCCATTCATCACTACTAAGCGCCTGGACCGGAGACACGACACTCGACGTTGATAAGAGAGCAACTAAACATATAATTAACGTTTCCACAATCTTCATCTTGGCCGAGTGCTCCAGTTAGGTGAAAGGTGAACCTGTTCGTCTTTATATACGTAAAAAACTTTGTTATGTAAACAAACAATACTATTCCAAAAATATCAAGCAAAAAATATACTACTATATACAGAAAAAATTGGCGATTACTATTCTGAATAAGTTTAATATCAATTTCCATGAATAGCTCTTGCGATTTGTTTTTGCAATTAAACTCTAAAAAGTCTGCGTCACTGTGGGGTAACAGTTGTGTATGCGCGCCCACACTTGCAATGAAAACACCGAGTTCACTAAAACAATACCGAAAGATCACCGAAGTCACCGACGGCCATTAGAAACGCTATACAGAAACATTATTGATGGCGAATATTTGTCCTATAGAGGAGTTCTGAGAAAACAACTGAAAAAACAGTCCTCTAAGAACACATTTGGATTTCAGACGGCATATTTAAGTTCAGTAATATAAATCAGAGGGTCCGCTCCGTTTCCATTTGCAAACTTATTTCCTCATATCAGTTGCAGAGTTTCGCCTTGTTTACCTCAAATTCACTCACAGACGATCTTCTCCACGTGTGCAAAGTACTTGCGATCGCATCCCTCACATTTCTCCACATTTAGCTCTGCTACACATAACTTTATATTTTCCCTTCGCCAGTTTCCTAAAAATGCGAATTTTCAGTTTTGGGCTACGTACTTGGTAATGTATTTTCAATTTTATCAAATTACTAACTAATTTACAGCAGAGATTATGCGAGTGTAGTACTCGCCTGGTTCTTAGTTTACGTGGAGTTATGTTTCCGATTAATTCTAGCTCTTATTCCTCGAGTTATTCGTGGGCGGATGCGTAAAGCAGTCCGTACTCTGTACGATTATTTTATTTTCTCGAAATCCGGTTCTGGGATGACGGGTGTCATACAGAGATGCCGAAATATTTATGAAATTTGCGAAGCGTTTGGGTACATTGCCGAGGAACACCTTGTTAGAACAGAAGATAATTTTGTTCTTTGCCTCCATCATATCGTCAATCCAAAACTCAGAAACACCAGCGGGAAACACCGTGGAGTTGTTTATTTTCAACACGGTTTAATGACCAATTCCGAGCTTTGGGTTGCTGTCGATAAAGCAAGTAACTGTTTACCTTTTGCACTGGTAGATCGTGGATACGATGTTTGGGTATGTGGAAGATGACAGTGGACGAAGATTGAAATTTCAATTTCATGTAAAATGCAATTGAAGAATCTCCGTTGTAAATGTCTTGAGGAATTTGCTAACAAAGAGCAGCTTGGTAACAATCGCGGAAACAAATATAGTCGTAAGCATGTTCGGTATTCTCCTAACGATGAAGAGTTTTGGGACTTTTGTATCGATGACATGGCCATGTTTGACATCCCCAACTCTATCAACTACATATTAAGCGCGACTAAGGAAAAATCTCTGAGCTATGTTGGCTTTTCCCAAGGCACAGCTCAAGCTTTTGCTGCTTTAAGTATTAACCCTACACTTAACGAAAAGATTAATCTGTTTGTGGCCTTGGCACCCGCCTTTACACCCAAAGGTTTTTCAAACGAATTGCTTGATTACTTGGTAAAGGTGAATCCTAAAATCATGTTTCGTCTCTTTGGAAGAGGCTGTTTGCTACCTTCGGTCACTTTCTGGCAAAACATATGCTGTACGTTCTTTTTAATTTCTTTCTTAACCCTAACATATAATTGTTTAGATCCTCCGATTTATATGAAAATTGTTGATATATCCCTAAAAATGCTGTTTGACTGGAATCTGGCCAACATCACCCAAGAGCAAAAGATCTGTGGATACGCTCACTTATACTCGTTTTCCAGTGTAAAAAGTTGTGTCCATTGGCTTCAAATTATGCAAAATTCCAGGTTCCAGTTGTACGATGATGATCTAAAAGTCATCGGTGGATACGATAGTCGTCATTATCATGTTGCACACTTTCCTACACGAAACATCAAGTGTCCTATAACTGTTGTTTGGGGAAAGGAAGATACGCTTGTAGACATGGAGATCATGCTTGCGGCCTTGCCTCCTCAAAGTAAAGACTTTGGTATTGACGGTTATGAACATTTGGACATGCTGTGGGCGAAAGATGTTAAGGAAAAAGTGTTTCCCATTGTGTTCTCTTCTCTGGAAGAACTTAACCGAAAGCGTCCCTTGCTTTGTAATGCTTCGCCCATTGGAAACTGTGATTGAGCCTACCGTTTCGCTATTGTAACCATTATTAGGGGGTTTGGGGAACTTGTTCTCAACTATTCCCCAACCTCCTTCTGTACCACTTATTACTTTATTGTAACTTTTTAAAACATTCATTTCAATAGTTCATTACTTTTGTATCACAACGCAACTCCAAGCCTAATTGTCGTAAACGGCGAAAGAAGTGTTAGGAAACAAAATCCGTTGCTGCTTAACCCACGTAGTTATAAACCGTTTTCCACTTTCGCTTGGTTGTGAAAATGCGATCTCTGTCGGAGGAATTTGATAACCGTATATAAAGTTTTCCCTGGCGCACTGAATTAGCTTAGAGGCGATACCCTTGTGCCTATGAGCGGGATTTACCCATATTCGACTGATTCCGAGCACGAATTTTGTGCTTTTATTTTCAGGTCTAACCTCAACAGCAGAGGACGCATCATTTAGAGAAGGCTCTGTATCTGGCACAGTATATGCATTCTCAATTTTTTCAACTAAAAGAAATCCAATACAATGTTTTCGACGTACATACAAGTAAGATTGATATCCATCAATTCCAATAATTTCCATTTCGGAACTAGAGAGCTGCGAATTAACGAAACTCAAAAGGTCCTCGGCTTTCTTTTGATCCATAATGTTACAAGAAGATGAGATTAAGTACACTTTATCAGCAGCAGATGATGCCGACGAAGTGTACACGGGATCGATAGTAAAATTCACTTGGAGACCTTCTACGATTTTGGAGTGATACCTGCTGTGCAGATTTTCATCATCTTCGTTACCTTGAGTATACTCCATGTAGCACTCTGGGCACGTTTGTCGAGCATTCACTAGGTCAATGTGTAATTGTTCCATATCATTATTTGTTTTTGAATGCCTTCGATCGTTCGCAGAAACTCGACTTTTGAGCAAGCCCTTTGAATTATTTGCGCTAGAAAGAAATGCATCCATAAACGCTCGTTTTTGACCAGTACGAGCAGTATCTGCAAATGTTGGTTTCGCATGAGTGTCACCAGTTTTCCGGCCATACGTTCGTGGACGTGATACATTTGTCGAGTCGGAAGAAGAAGAAGTAACTATATTTGATGACGATGCCGGGGGAACTTCATCACTCTCTTTTGATATCTCAAGAGCAAAATGATAATCATCATGCTCTTGCTTTTCCTCCCAAGGAATATTCGTCGAACACTTTTCGCAGTAATAAACAGAGTCATCAAGCGGTATTTCTCGACACTTTGTCTTCATGGAGTTTTCAAAGAACGACATGATGCCTGTGGAAGGTTTATTTTTACTGGTTTTTAAACGTTTCTTTTCTAACTCAACTCTTGAAGAGTTGGCAACACACTCAGTTCCTTCTTTATTGTCCTCTGTACCAATGCCTTTTTCTGTACTTGACGATACTTTCTCTATGTTTTTGGGCTGCGTGAGAGATTGCATGAATGACTATATGTGTTAATATCTTCAAGATTAACAAGACATAATAAAGCTTACATACCTCTATGCCTTGCAATTTTGTATCTCTGTCCTCGAAGTTACGAAAGGAAACGGAAAGATGAACAATTGGAAATATATCATAAGCTGATGCCAGTTGAGCCAATAGTTTCGCAGCATTATTATAGACGAATTCCTCTGAAATGGCGTCGCTGGGCGCTATTGGAATGGACCGACCTTTTCGTAAATTACCTGTGACTACGTTGAGAACAAAGGTTTTTGGTCGTTTAATCTGTTCAACGTCCATATAACGACTCATTAAGTCTGATGCAAATACGCGAAACCATTTCATTGCCTCTTCAGAGGATTTTAGTTTGCTTCGCAAAAAGTTTTTAGCAGAAAGCATTGACTGCGTGTTGTTAACATTTGTAATTTCGGAATTGTCTATTCCATTACAGACATTCCAGACGACCTGAGCATCACGGTCTCCGAGTATACGGATGAGCTCATCCATCGGAATTGCTCGAATGTCTTTTATGTATTCAGCATTAAGTTTTTTCCCCAGTTCCTCTCCATACTTTCCGCCAAAGAGACGTAGTTCGGAAAGTCGGACATCAGCTAAATAGTGATCCACCATAGAATTAAGCAGTACCGTTTGCTTATTTGGCTTATTCTTTGAGCTTAGAATTTTTGATAACATAGCGTTTCGGGAAATGCCTGCAGAACATGTGTAACCCAAAGTGTTAAAAATCTCATTCCGAATTTCCTTTACTATGCGAGCTCCATAATGTAAAAAGACCTCATCCCAATCGCCTCCATTCTTTGCTTCACTTAGAAGACCTTCTTCTTCACCAAAAACTCGGCCCAATTCCTCTGTCCATAAGACCGTTGGCGCCGTAGGGAGAGGTAGAGAAAGATCTTCGGGTGGTACCCCCAAAAATGAATAATCCTGAATCAGCTTTTTCTTTATTTCCGCGGTCAAGTCGACGAAACTCTCATCAATGCTGGCTTTTTTAACGAGTTTAGAATATTTTGAAAGAATGCCCAAGATTTTCTTGCTTTCATTTCGGTACATGTCTAGGCACACCTTGTGACTTTCCCATTCTGGTTTTTCATGATACTTTGGTTCACGCTCTCCAACTTTCCATGTTTGAACATGGGCCAAGTTAAGTTCTGGGCACTTCTTCTTCGCGTTTTCAGCAGTATCGAACCGGGTAATGCCATATGGTCGAGCAGCGTAATTAACAGCAATGAGATTATCCCATTGCTGCACCGCAAGTGGTACGGAATGGTCCAATTTTAAGCGAACTGTTTCAACTTGAGCATAAAACGCATCCTGATCCACATGAACTACAACTTTAAATGGTGAATGCGAAATCGTAGAATTACTGCATGAAACAAAATCTTTCCATGTAAACAAGCTTGCCGTTTGATCCATTTACCTCATAATTGTAATTTACGTTTGTAAAACAAGATATTGGTACGGAACAAAACCAACCTCGAGGATTAGAACTACAGAGGTGTTAAAGTAGGAAAGAAAAGTTCACCTTCACAAAGGGTTGATACAATTCCATCACAAATTTCAAGTTAAAGGCAGAATGCCATAGCACTTCGTAGTTGACTTTACGCTAATTATTGTATCAGTTCAAAGCAATTCATAAAGGATAATCATCTATATAAAATAAAGCAACAAAAAATAAGAAAATGCACGACAAGTGGGAAAACCAGGGAGTAAAAGTGCAAAATCAGGATGGGAGGGCCGTAGGTCGCTCAGAGTTACCGTCAGAAGCAAGAGAGTTGCTGCATATTTACAAATTGCATTTCAGCTTGCTCGGTGGGCACCCGTTGTTTTCATAAACCAGTTTGTTTTGATGTATGTGTAAGTATGTGTGTGTAGGCGAAAGAGAATGAGAAGCAGCGACGCGAAGTGCTTACAACTTTTTCTGTGATGCCAAAGCAGAACGCTCTTTCACTTTGCGCGCCAGGAAACCGCGAACGGGAGAATTAATGAGGACCATAGCGAGAATGATATACAAATGAACGGCAAAGTAGAGCTTACCCCACACGAAGAGAGAACGTTTAAGATCGAGGAGAAGGAAGGAAATCACAAGATACGACATTGTAAGGTTAACAGTAACAATACCAACGATGTCGTAAAACCATTTAAAGGGACCTGGCGTTTTCATGTCAGGTTGAAGGAAGAAGGGCCGGATATAGCGACGAATGTAGCGGGCGATGTATTGAATAAATGCGGCAGTCAAGAAGGTAAGGTAATAACCCGGATACACACCGTGCCATACAGCACTCGTAAGGAAGGCAAAGAAAGTATTTTTGAATGTGGGACGACCATTTTTCATAGGCACACGGAGATACACGGAATTCTTGAGCCACTTGTTCGTATTCATATTCCAGGCCTCCAAGGCAGCTCTGATATTAGGAGCAAATTCGAAACCCATAGGGTCAATGTTCTTTACTCTATCCCAGCGAGGAACATTGTGAGAATCCTTGCCATTGTAACCAATGCCGCTGAGAACACATGCACCATCCGTCATCTCCCAAGCGCCGTAATATTTAGCACGAGCGAGAATAGCAACCAAACTACTGTATCCAAACCGCTTGGCCATGCTAACATCGTAGAATTTTGGAGTAAGCAAAGAATTCAGAGGGAACTTTTCAGAACCAATCACGAAGATGGTAAGCCAAATAAGACCAATGATGCAGCGGACAAGAGCAGGACCCCAGTTTTCAGGAATGCGAGGACTATTGGGGTGCTTGGGCTTCTCAAACATCTCCAGAGTGATGAAGCTTTTGTAGGTGGAATAGTCGAAGGCAGGGCCAGCGAGCAAAGAAGGGAAAAAGAACGAAAATCCGAGGAAATGAAGCATTGGAGGATGCTTGTAAATGACACGCTGGGTCTGATAGGGTGTCAAGTCTTCCTTGGGACGACGTCCATCAGAAACGCTCCAAGCAAATGCAGTAAGTTTCATGCACAAAACCATCTGCGTTGCCGTGATGTCGACACCAACAGAAGGATACAAATAGCGATCAATATGGTTAAGGAGAGTATGGCCAAGATCAAAAAAGAAAACGATCCAAGGCATTTTAGGTGATCTCACATACTTCGACACATAGTAAGTGAAAAAAATGTCGATGAATAAAGCTACGACGCCTTTTTCAAGATGAAAAATGAAAAGAAGGTAAACCAGACCGCATCTACATTGTTAGTAACAAGCAAAATGAGAGAGCAATTGCAATTGCGAAAAAAAGAATTTCGCGAACCAAACAAATTCGGGCGAAAATATGCGCACTATTCAAACAACATACACCAATGAATAGAAACTACGAAGAGCAGGACGCTCAGGGAGTCGTTTCATAATAGACGCGAGTGGATACGAAAGCAGAAAACAAGCAAGGAGCTTCACGAGATCATGATGAATGCCGAGGACAGCCTCCAACGCCAGAAACGGGCGATCCACGAGGGATTGCAGAAGTCGGAACATGAGGGAGAAGGGGAGTGGGAGATGGCAGAGGCCAGGGTGCGAGGACGAAGTATAGAAGGCTTCTAACAATTGCCTGATCTAACGGTAATTAAGGTTACCGTGGGTTCTCCCACGAGGTGACCGTGGTGGCCATGACGGATTGTTTAGAGACCGACGCGACGCCGAACAAGGGCCGAATAAACGCCGAGGATTGTGAATTTAATGGCCGGTCGGTGTCTTCATACATGACCGAGAAAACCCCGATTTAACGAAGCTCAACAACCATTTACGGTGATCTTTTGCTCCGAAGTCGGACACTTTACAATGTCGCAACGAGAGGCAAGTCAAATATAGAAGCCACAGAAAAGGATAAGATAAGCACAACGGCAATCTTGGCTACCTCGGTCCTCATGCGTTACACGCTAACACGTCAGGCGGAACCGTTTCTATCAAGCAAGAAAGGGCGTTACATTGTGCTTATCAAGAACGTTTCGGGGACTTCACGGCGAACTCGGCAAACACCCGGCGAACCACGGTGAATTCACGGCCGCTAAAGCTACTGCAAGTAGTTTATCGACTCACCAAAAATGGCAGAAACAGAGGAAAAAAAGGATGAGACGCCTGAAACAGGTTTGAGCCACTCGTCTACTACGTCCGCATGGACGGTGGAAGAGGAAACAGCTCTTCTCAGAGCCATTTGTATGGGTCTCCGGCCGGTCGGTGTTCACCGACACTTCCACATGCTGAACATACTCCGGCAGCTAAACGCTAAGTCGCAGCATAAGCGAGTTCAGGATGTATGGAGTAAATTGGAGTCGCTCTACAATCTAAAAGGATTTGAAGAGATTGAGCTATCAGCTGAGGAGAATAGCATGTTCGCCCCAAAACCTGACGCAACTGAGAAGCTACGCGAGTTTCGTCTTCCTTACCGTTTCCTGCACAAGGAACGGAAGAAGGGGCCAGCTAGTGGGGGCGACGAGAAGAAGCCAGCAGAAGAGAAGCAACCACCACGAAAACAGCCGGCACGCAAAAAACCCAAGACGCAGCCGACACGGCGGAGCTCACGGCGCAGTGGATTGCGAACAAGAACCTGACCTCAGCTACGTTTGCGGCACTTTTTCAATTGGTCGCATTTCCTCGTTTATCCCGCAACCCGCCACATGTATTCAAATCCCCCACACGTGCACACCCCACCCCCACCACATATCGCTTCGCTACAGCTCAGTCGGGCTCATTAAGTGCCGCGGCGATTCCACGCTTATACACTGTTATATGTTACCCTATTTGATTGATTGCTAATCATAGCCGGAGAGAGAACGAGATAGGAAACTGTGCAAAAATAGCTTGTGCCCTAAAATAAAGTAAATGAATCTTATATAAAGAGACTGCACGCGCCGACCAGCGACCCGTTACGGTGAAGCTCAAATACAGCCAAGGCACGTCTCTGGCACGCTGACAAGAGGGGTCGGTGCATAGCGTGGGGATGTGTGAAAGCGGATGAGTGGGGTCTTAAGGAATACGGGGAGATGGGGGTGAAAGTGCATGTAAGCACTAAGACAAAAAGAGTGTCGGAAAAGAGAAGGTGTTTGAGGACAGCCGGTGATGATGGGCGACAGCTGGGACAGACAAATCTTTTGGGGTAGTGATTTGCTCCGTCTGTCTCATATGCGCTCAGGTTTGCACGTTAGGTGTAAATCCAGGCGGGGTAAATGTTTGGTCGAACTTGGCTTGAGTCCGACAACATTTCTAGCCCGCCTACGGCAAATCCTTCTCAGCAACTTTTTCTCCGTACTCGTAGAAGTTGCTCTCAGGTTCAACTTCAGCAGCTTCCGCAGTTTTCACCCTGGTCGTAACGTTCCGTGACGAGATCAATCTCGTTAAGGGGAGAGATTTTGGGACGCATGAGACAGAAACTAAGAAGCAAAAAGGCGGAGAACACAACAAGACCCAGTGTCTCAAGGAAAAAGTTTTTGGCCGAAGGCTTGGCATGGGTCACGGGGAACAGGCCAACATAAATGACAGCGGCAGAGGCGAGGAAGTTGATGATCATGGCCCAGATACTGAGGTAAATAGAGCCAGGGAACTGGTAAGGCAAAATGCTGTCTCCGTAACCTTGCGTACGCATGGCCCAGCGCATGCGGATATGACTGGCACAGGAGAAAAACCAAATACAGAAGGTACCGGCACCGGTGATACTCACAAGCCAGTCAAACACTTGCTTGCCCTTTCGGAAACGTTGACGTATGCAACGGCGGAAAAGGCGAAAGAAAGGGCAAAACAGAAAAGAGGGCGACCTTTCTGGTCAAGACGAGCCAAACACTTGGGCGCCCAACCCTCCTCCGTGAGTGCAATCATGGAACGTGAAGCAGCAAATACGGACATGTTACCGACAGACAGAACGGCAACCAGGGTGATGGCATTGAAAATGTGAGGCAGTCCGCGGATACCAGCGAGCTTGATGGCAAGAATGAACGGACTCGCACTCGAATGGCCGGTACCATAATCGCCCAAATTGGGTGCGTTGTACGGAACAACAAGAGTGAGGAGGAAGATGATGATGACATAGAAGAACAAGGTACGGAGGAAGACTTGCGTAACAGCCTTGGGGATGGCTTTTTGGGGATTGGCCGTATTGCCTGCGGCTGTACCCACATTCTCTGTACCGGACAGCGAGTAAGCACAGGCCACAAACACAGAGCAGAAACCCTTGAAGCCGTTGCGGAATGCACCGGGATCATGCCAGTAATGAGCACCCAGGTAACCAGTGCTATTAGGGGCACCTCCACAGTCAATCACGATGGCGACAACGAAGAAAATCAGCATAATCAGCACCTTGAGGAAGGCACTGATGAATTCTGCTTCACCATAGCCGCGTGCTCCGAAACCCTGGATGACAAGAATGAAGAGAAGGAAAATGGTAATCCATACAGCAACAGGAACGTTCTGGTTCCAGAAGTTGACAATCATTGCACCGGCCGACACCTCACTAGGCAGCACGGCCATCCAAATAAAGTAATACAACCATGACTCGGCGAAAGCGATGTTTCTGTTCACAAACCGACTAGTGTACCGAACGATGGAGCTTTGTTTGGGGAACATACAGCACATTTCGGCCAAGGCGACGACGACACCAATAGCTACGGAGCCCATAATGATGTACGCAATCAACAAACTCGCGGGACCTGCATTCTTCAATGATTTTCCAGTTGCGACGAACAATCCTGTACCTACATTGCCTCCTACGGCGACCATGATCAAATGTCTCTGCTTCATTGCATTTTCCTCGTTTACCAGCTCCACTTCGCCAGGCTTGGCCATCTTAAAGGTACGAAGAAACCGCATAAAAGCGTTTCCCCCCTCGTTGACTCCCAGAGTCGAGCTACCTGCTTCGTGTTCCTCGATTGATCCATTCTGAAGTGAACCCACTTCTTCCTGTTCGATTTTTCCGTCATAGAAATGTCCATTGACGCCGTTTTTCTTGGTGTCATCCATGCTAACAATGGTTGTAGCACCGTTCAATGCTCCAGAGTATGTCGATTCTGGGTACTGCGGCTCAAGGCCGTCTTTCCTACTGCTCGAAGCGACCATGTTTGTGGAGCCGGTAGCAAGTTGGAAGTCGTAAGGAGAAGGTAAGTTATGTCAGTGTGTGCGGATCCTGAAGTAGTGGCGATCACGGCTTCTTGACACTGACCTCGGCGTCCTTGTGGTGTAGTTTCGTTTTATCCGCGAGTGCAAATGATAAGATGTGATACGACGAGGCATGAAACCTCGACGTGACTATGCAGCTTATCTACTGTGACGTTCTATGACGACATCCGAAGCCGTGACAATTGGGTAAGATAACGCACGTGTCTAATGTTTGCCAATCACAGGGAAAAAGCGGAACTTAGACAGTTCCTGCGTCAATTCTCATAAATAGAAATTCGCTTAGATAATTGAGCTTGAATAAATGCGAAGCATATTATTGGTCCAAGCCAGTGTCGCGTGTAGTCTATTTTAGGAAAGCCAATAGGAAGGTAGTTGAGGCGGTGACAGATGAAATGTGGGGTTGATAAATAGGGAATGGGGTAGAAATGGATAAAAAGGAGAAGGAAACAACATCCTAAAATAGAAAGAATTGGCAAGGGTCACATACGATGCAGGTGGATGGCTTGAAAGAATTCGTTTGTGTACGTTGGTGTTTTCCTTTTTTTTTGTCTTTTTTTTTTCGCGCTCTTGAGGATCACGTTCGAGTCCTGAACGTTCGTGTATATCCGATAAAAAGGTGTTCAAATAAGGTTATCTAAGCGAGTTAAATGACCGGGATCAACCAGAAAGAACGTGAGGGGAAGAGGCTTAAAACAAGTTGTCTAGAAATAAATGACTAATCGATGATACGTTGAACAGAAGCGGTTGACCATGAGTTCAAGAGTGCCGCTAATTCTCGCTTAGCTATTTAACGAATGAATAATGCTATGACTGCGGATCGTAATACTGTAGTGAGAGGCAGTTGTGGTAGTTGGGAATGCAGATATTCCTGGCTGTACTACGGACGATATGCAGTGAATTGTTTGGAGGGAGAGTTCGGGCTATGTCGGAAGATGGCGCGGCCGATATACCGTCGTTAGAGACTCAGTTACGTTCTTTGAACGAGACACGTTAGGGAGACGGTAAAACAAAAAGAAAGCTGACTGTCTGACTGATACTGATTTACAAAGGACAAAGGAATAGATAATACTAGTGGAAGCATTACTGGCATGATGAAGAACTCTACACGCAAACATAATAAACTAAATTAGCTATGGAACAGAATTAGAGTTTACCAAGAGGGTAGCGAGGTATTATGAGGTGGTGCACTATTGGGAGAGCTAAGGTGTTTTCTGAGGTTTGTTAAAGAGTTTAACGATACGTTAGACTTCATTAAACGGATCCAATCAGCCAGTAGAAGTGTTTGGGAGTGATATGTGTATGACTCGTGCGTTGCCAGCTATGATTGTTGAGGTAATACTGGAAGAGAGCACCTAACGTGCATTACAATAAACTGATCTAAAATCATAATCTGTTATATTTTACACATTGAAACTTTGCAACAGTGGGGGTGGGTTTCAGTGTTTTGCTAGCATTCTGAGACGATGATATACTTTTAGTACGGGTCGGACGGGCATCTATAAGAATATTTTTTCGTTAAGTTTTTCGAGTAGAGGTCGAGCAACAAAATCAGTGCGATTTTTGTTTGTGACATACCCTTTCTGTGTTTTAGTTGATTCGGTTACAAAAAAATTAAAAGAGTACGTACCCACCTGAATCTCAACGAGTTAATCCATATAATAGCGATCTCCTACACAATATTGTAGCACGAATAAAGTTCGGTTTAGACGCCAACTAGACCACATATACTGACCAAGTAACATCTGCTTGCTGATATATTACAGTTTACAGCTCTTGTGGTAACTTCAATTGATTGTCATTGTATTGTGTTATGAGAATTGTTGTTTGGAAGATAACAAAAATTGAAGTACATATTAGTGGCTTCGACTAAATTGCATGTTCGTTTAAGCTTTCATGGGTTAGGAGTTCAGCATTCGTTTATAATGTATTATGTAAAACTGTCAATAAAAACGGCCTGTAAGCAGATTCAGTGGAACCAATTAAGTCTTTACTTGATATATTCATGTTCCTGTCGTACTTAAGACAAGACAAACCCCTTTATCTTAATCAGCCTTTTAAATTCATTTTTTAAACCAGAATCTTCGGCCTTACTTCATCAAAGAACAGTTTTGCTAACTCGGCAGAAGAACGTTGACCTTTTTGTCCTGGCTAAATCGCCTCATTCGCTTGTTTGTTTCGTCCTTTTTGTCTATTGGTGCGCATTTTTTAATTCTGACTGGTTGGATGCGACAACGTTTTCGCCTATGTAAGCAGCTCGGAACCAGATGAATTAATCTAAATTATAAATAAAATTGCTAAAAGTAAAGAAAATATGGTGGGAAGAAAAAACGGAACAGTGCGAAAGGCAGATGAGTCTTGCGTTTCGGAAGACGTATCATAGGACTTGTCAGAGTTTGGGCCATAGGGGTTTTGTTCAAGGACTCCTTCAAATACCACTTTCAGTTTATATTTATCACTTAGTTCTTGGTGCAAAGCGCGGGCAGCAATGGCATATTTGCCTGCTCCTGGCAATGGTATGGTGATTTTATTGGTTGTGTTGATTTTCGGGTCATATACACCATTCGCAATAATGTAATCTGAACCATTCAAAACGATGTACTCCCCAAAACAAGATGGCATCAATGGGACGAGACGAACTGAACCTGTCGGAACATTCCAATTGACAGCGCGGGGTACGTGGTCGTCATGCCATATGAGATATGCGAACGAGCCGTTCTCTGTAGAAGATTGGAGGTTAATAGTTATGGAAGAATTGTCACCCATTCTCTGGCTATTCGCCCCACAACCCGAGGATAAGGGGTCCATAGTAGTTGTGTAATAAGTAATATTAAGCTCTGCATTGTGGGATAAGCCATCCGCTATAACAACCGTTAGCGAGCGACTTATAATCAAGAAGGAAAAGAAAAATAATCCCAAATTCATATCCTTTGCAACGTTCTTCCACGGGGATTCTATTACCGCAGTTACTCTTTGTTAAATACTAATCTGTGTTCATGCAGTCAATACTGTTCTTTCATTCACATGCATACAGAGGTTTAGCCTAATCGGTTCGAGCAAAAACGATGAAGTTGTTGCCAATTTTTTGTGTGATGTGTGGGATGACAATTGTTGCTAAATTGTGCAGTACTAGGTAATAAGTGTCTCATGATACAGCTTCGTTATTTGGATTGAACGTACTAATAGTTGTTCTTGTTTTTTGAGGAGAGCGTTATACTTACTCCACACAATTTCGCTTCCCCATTTACAGTCGATACGAAGCGTTTGTATGATCTCAAGTCTAGTTTTCGAAATATATTTGTCATTTTGTGGGAAAGGATGATTTCAATGAACCTGACGTCACACATTTGTTTCATTTTTGATAGTTCATATGTCAAATGAATTAATCTTTATACTCGTGATCTTGTTGAATGTGAGTGAAAAGCTAATTGTTATACATTGATCAGTCATACGGTTAGTATAGTGGCTCTAATCTTCTTGGAGTCCTTTAAATTAGAGTGGTTCTGTGTGGCTCAAGCATTTATAATGCTTGACATTTGTACCTGTCCGACCATATTACAAACGATCTCGAGATTGACGCCGCATACTGTTATTCAGCTAATACTCACAAATGAATATATTCTGGATTTTCCGTGATTTGGCGTTATAGCGCACTCGTTTTAAAAACTTCCACTAGTGCAAGATTTACATACAAAACGGTTAGTGAGAAAAAGCAACACGATTAGCAGAATACAAAAGTTTAGACCAAGTTCACAGAGAACGTTATATTAGGGAGATGATCGTGCAACCCGAAAACCTCTCAATTTTCAAACTTGTATGTAATAGTTCCTTTCGTTTAAAAGATACCGACTATTATCTAGTATTCACAAAGGTGATAACACTTCTGTGGATTTAAAAGTTTTCCGTATTGTAAACTTTGAATATATTTGCCTCATTGTCTCAGCAAGTTCTTTTGGATACTAGTGAGAACAATTATGGTCTCCGTGTAATCCATGTTTGTCAACGGCTTTTGTTATAAATGAATTAAAAACCAAGAGAACGGACTTATCTTTTGCAGGTTTAAAGTATAACAGTTTCAGAATATTATTCTCTTGTTTTTGCCTACTGGTGTATATACGCGCAAATCAGAAGCAAAGTAATAAAGAAAGATATCTTCCAATCGTATCGTAACATGTTGGGGGTTACGAATGGTGTTCCCATGGTGAGATGCAAAAAGGCTGTGATTCTCTAAACGACCAAGATCTGCGTAAGTCAGAAAATTGAGACATATCGCAAGTTTCTGCTTCATGGATTTTTTCTACAATAGATGTAGATTGTGAAGTATATGTCCACCTTACCTAGAGAGCACATGAACGATAAACGACAAAGGCGTGCCTGTTTCCCCAGTGACTATCGTTTTCATCTATGCGATAGTATTGATTTAATAAATATGAATGATATTACGATGCCGTATACGTAATTCAAATTGAAAACCTTTTTCGTCTATAAAGCGTACTACTTTTTGCAATACCAATGGACATTTTCCTTTATTTATCAATCTCAAATGTTAGTATTTTCTTGACATTTTCTTTAGTTAAGTCACATTTTGAGATAAATTTGAGAAAAACTAATACAACCAATAAATTTAAACATAACCTTCAACATTAAGAAAACATACAGGAGAACGTAAAGTACTCGGTATTTATCGCTTTACTAAAACACGAAATCTATCCTAAGAATTCCAATTGGCAAACGAATTAATGTTGTAATTATATTATGCAAACATGAGCTAATAGAGAAAGTATTAAGTACCTAAATAATTATACTGCTATCAGTTTTAACTTAGAGTAACGTCTTTGAACTTTCATTTATTACTTTTTTATAGCAATCTCAAATCTTGTAAACAGTTGATAGAATGTTTGAAGACCACCCTTTAATGTATTTTTAAAACAACCTACTGCACTAACCTTGTACAGAAGTATAGCTTCTGTGAAGTTCCAGGTATAACAAATGGAATATTAATTATATATAGTGCATAAATTGTTAAAGGGATAAATAACAATAAAAGTTATAATGATGTCACATCGTTATTTTGGAGTAACTGGAAGAAAACCTCGTTGACTTAATTTAAATTACCGTTACTTAAAAATTGAAATACAAGTTATTATATAAATTTTTCTTTTAAAAATATGTGCTGGCAAGACAACATCGTATATGCTATTCGTGGACACTGTGCAATGCAGCATATAGCTTATATGATTAGGCACATAATGCATGCCCTTCAAGACTGTATAAATTTAACTAGAATTAATAAATGCTAAAAATGTGTTATTTTGCATCGCAAACAAAATTTTCATTAACACAAGTAAGAGAAATCATAAGTACCAATAGTTATTGATTATTAGTAGACAATGACTATAATGTATTGATTGGACAGTACGCTGAAGACAAATGTTTATAATCCTCTAATTGCCACCTTCTAAAACATACCATCATTGGCTATTTGATGATTATAGTTGGATAACCTTCATTTGTTTTTTATGGAATATCTTAGGGTTTTTTGAACTCTACCAATGGATCAAGCGAGCGCATAAAAATCCAGATTAATGTGAAATATTAAACTTTAAATTATTCTAGTGTTATTGCATAGAGGCTATTTTCGTAGCCATTAATTGTTTGTTCGGCTCTTGAAACTCACCTGAAATATTTGCAATCGCGTTCCGCTCTCAATATAAACATATAGAAACTTCTTAAAGCGATTCAAAACTTATAATAGTGCTGGACAATCAGTAAAAGCTTTGCTTGAATTCACAAAAAGCTTGCTACTGCGTAAACCAACAGCTCTTGCGTAAATTTATTGTCGTCAAATGTTAATTAGCTTAACTATATGAGCCTTTTATAATATCATGTTTTCAGTTAAAGTAAATGTTAAGGTACCGTAGATTCCCGTTGACTCACAGATACGTTTAATGAATATTGAACATGATCCATAACATATATCGTGTGTGGTGTCTTGCCTTTCTTTTCTGTCCAAATGCATACCATCACCTACGAAATAGAATCGTCAAAAGAACTCTCAATTTTTTTCAAGATCTTCTTTAAAGTACAAATTAAATGAAGTGATATTTTAAAAACGAGCGAATCAAGTAAGTTATGTAAACCTTATTAACAGCCAGCGCCTCGGTCACTGACACAAACCTTCAGATGGTTGCCCTCATCAAGTTTGAAACCACTTACAGTATAACCAAGATCACGAGCCTGACGATTGGCGCAGTGTATTAAAGTTTGTTGCGCATCCCGTTTGATAATTGATGCGTTAGCGAATTCCACCATTTCCGCGTCAGTCAGATCGACTGTTATGTAACAGCCCCATGCAGAATTTACAAACTGACTATGCTTCCATTTCTCAAATGTATAAGAATGTTCCTCAATACCGTCGATCGCCAACTGACAATTGTCGATCAGGGCATGATGGTTCCAACTGCAATGGCGATCATCTCTCTTCGAAATGGTGGTATTATCAGTAACCGGAATAATAAAAGGAATAGCATCACTGGGAAGTGGGTAGCGGCCCAGTGTTTTAACGGCGGTGAGCAAGTTGTTGTAGCGTTGATAGAATTCGACGTCATTTTTTTCCGCAATAGTCTGTTTGAGTGAATGCTCATACACCGATTCATAGGTGTCATAGGGTTGATCGTATTGGAAGTACACCGAGGCAGCTCCATAATAGTCCTGACTGTTCACAAGTTTCATCAAAACAGTCCAATTGGTGAGATAGACGCCAGTAGCGGGATAATTCAGATCGACAAAGATACTATCATAAGGTGGACCAAGAATATCCAGCCCGGTATTACTAGGAGGAATGCTGAATGTGTACGGAAGCGAAGAATTTGCCCTGACTGGAAACACAGAAATGGCAGTTATGAGTGCCGTGAATAGAAGTTTTGTGAACATACTGCCGAATTAGAGTCGTCAACAAAAGCTCGTTGGATGATAATTACTGTAATGACATTAATATATTAAAGGTGAGGTGCAATAGTATCCAAATTACGAAGCTCGTGAGAAAGCAAATACCAAAGTCACACTCCTGTCTTTTCATTTTGGCACTAACCCCTTCTGTAATTATTAAAAATACTATATATTTTGTACGCAATAACAGTAATCAGCCTCAGAAACAATCCAACTCGTATCAATTGTGTAAGTTCTTTGATGAAGTACTCTTAATGATTCTTGATAACAAGTATATACAAACTTTTTGTATTGCGCTATAAAATTTACAATGTTTCAATTCGAACAGTGTGAATTACCTAGTCCTTACGCGCGTCTGTTATTATAGTTGGCGCCTAGCCGCTCGCGTATTCTTGGGATTCGCCACTTTATTTATTAAGCGATGAGTGCGCTAAAGCAAGTTGTACATTTTGCATCTCACTCAGTTGGGAAAAGTAGCATGTATTATTATAGATATGTTGTTATACTTATAACAGTATTTAATTTCACCTTACTTTTTAATATAGCTGAGGACGCATTGATTGCAATAATGAAAAAAGAATGGTACATTGAATTATGATTTTACTCGGTAGTCGAATGAATGCGCTTTGAAAGCGCATCATGCATTTTAAGGCAATTGAGACACGTAGCGAGTATCACCAGTTGCTAATGCTGAGCAATCACATGAGAGTCATGAACGCATATTTAGTGGGTTCCATCCCTTGAATTAGTTTTAACTGGTTGTAATTGCGCTTCACAGGGGGTTGCCGAGAACATAAAATTTGTTAAACGAATGAAATAAGAAGGATGAATTCCGTCTCAGGTACATAGCAAAAATGAAATATAAAACCTATCCGCCAATTGCAGAGGGATTCTCAAACAACAATACACGGTTCATTTTTGACAACAAGTATGGTGATGGTAAAACGTGTCAACAGATGGGACTCTATGGCTGGAATGCCTCTATCACGTTCTCGGCCACATGCACAAATGATGGTGCATTTTCATACATTGTGTTTGGCATGGATAGTGTAAAATACACGAGCAATATAACGACTGACACGGGTTTGTCGTCCGGTTTTGGCAGATATGTGGTACTTAATGGTTCTGAAAATGTTTACGCGCAGGGTGTTTACAGTTCGATGCTAAATAATTCACTCACGGAGTGGACTATTGATTTGCCGGGGGCGGGAAATTATTGCGCGACCGTTATGCCCTTAAAGTACAATGAGAACTCCCGAGACTGTTCAATTAAAATACAATACGACGGGGTAACACTTCCCGTAGCTGACAGCGATTCCGCTGCTTTTCGTGTTACTCCATTGTTACTACCTCTCGTTGTTTCGATACTTTTAACTGTGTTTCTAGCATACTAAAGGTACTTCAACGAGAATACGATGAAAGCAGCATGGTGTGTTCCTAATACTACGACCAAAAACGCAGAAATTATGTGACAATAATTTGAAGATACCTGCGAAGAACGAATTTATAACCTCCTGTAAAATTGTGTTATTTTTACGACGTCGTCATTCATATGGTTTCGTTCGGTTTCATTAAAAAATGTTAATAGATGGCGAGTGCTTTGAATGATTTAACAAAGGTGTTAATCTCACTAGTTCCATTAATAAAGTCGAGACTCTTAGAAGTACATAGACGCGTTAAAAGGGAAGGCGTATGGTCATGAATATCTTGGAATATTTAACGAGAATTATCGCTTGCTGCAATACTACACGAGAATCATGAACATTTTTAGCGTCCTTCACCCCTTAAAAAAGAGTTTTAATTTTCTCCATCGGCATTTCTGTTTAGTATAATAAGAACAGAATTTAGCAATAAATTGTATTAAGAAGGATGGTTTCTGCTCCAATGGTGAAGCGAAGATGAAGAATAAAATATACGCGCCAATTGGGGAAGAATTTTCGAAAAAACAACACACGGTTTATCTTCGAAAATTGGCCAAGTCTGTCAGCAAATGGGGCTCTATGGCTGGAATGCAGCAACTGAAATAAATTGAAGACAAATTGATGTTTTTTTTGTGTTTAATAAGAACGTACATAGGATAGACGATGCAAAATAAGACAGTTTAGATAGTGAACAGTAGTTTTAGTGATACCTGATTCTAAATTCTATTTATTAAGTTTGTTTATTAGTGTTTTAGTAATAGCATTTGTTTACATGAATGATTGAATGTTCGGTGTTATCTTAGTATTGAAAATGAAAATATTTCCCATAATCAATGTAAAGTTTATCATAAAACGTGGGCTTTTACAATGAATAGATTTTAATTCTAGAGAATTTTACGGGCGAACATGCATAACTCTTGTCATGAACAGATACACACTATGCTGTTATCTCATAGAATGGTTTTAGATTTAAGACTTACTACTTAAGAGCTGCTCAAACCATCGGTGGACTTTCGTTGGTCATAAACATAGGAAGGGGTGTTTGAGTTGAATAAAGTACTTGTTGTCATACTTTTCATATTGAAACGAAAGTACGAGGTTAAGCCCGAGAAATATTCGGCTTTTTAACAAATTCATCCTGTATCATACAAAAGTGAGGGGCACATTGTTTGTTTTTTTTATTCTTTACTATATGACAGACTATGTTTTAATTAAATTTTTGTGTCGTTTCATTTCCTTGTATATGTCGAATCAAGAACATTTTGCATCGTGTAGTCAGAAACCACATGGTGCTTATATTTTCAAGCCAAAGCTAGTGACTCCCCAAGTTGCTGAATGACAACTTAAGGTAAATTAGGAACTGTATATATATTTTTTTTGTTTTTTTTCAATATGTGATATTTATATGCATCGTGGCTGAAGAAACATGAGAGCAAAAATGGACAACATTTAGTTTACACAACATCATTTTGTAAGACGACTCATCTTGTAGATGCAAACTTATTAGTTTCGCTAATTCTAATGTGTCTTCGTGTTCTAGGGATAAAAAAGGGAGTATGAAGATCAGAAACGCTGTACTAGGTTTAAAAAGAAAAGCAGTACGTTGCTTTTCTCACACTACTTCTCACGTACGATGAAACTGTTTTCATTGTCAGCATTTTTCTTGTTTCTGAACATTTTTGGATTTGTAACTGCTGCAAATGAGGGCCGTCTTTCTTACGATGATCTTCTTGGAGCATTCATAAGCGGAAAACTTGATGGTCCCAGTGGTGGATCTGGTTTTATTGAAGTTAGTCCTGTTAAGCATCAAGATGCGGCGAGAAGAGATTCTTATTTTAAAGGCATAAGCATGATCACTACTGATAATTATGAAAAACTGAACACAGTTTCTCAGATGTTTGACGTTGCCAAAAAACATAGAGCAATCGGTGATATGTTATATTTATACAACATAATAAATCAGGATGGTAATACATACCTGCTAAAGCTAGATCAAACTTCTATGTTAGCGTCTGAGGTATGCAATTACCTAACTACGAAAAACTTGCATGGCACCGCTGAGCTCTTCAAAATGACCACCAATCCAGACCTGGAAGACTATTACAAGAATTTTGACAACTCTCTTTGTGTTCAGAAACAGAAACACTAGTCAATAACGTGCTAGTGAACAAAACTTCTTCATTTGTTCAGTTGGTTTTAAGTTCAGATAAGTTAATAATTAAGAAAGATGGAGTTGAAGTGGTGTCCAACAGTCGAAAGAAAGATTCTAATGTTGCTGAAAAGACAGCAAATGGAACCTCTGCATTTCCTTTTTTTTTTTTTTTTTTTTTTTTTTTTTGCCACTATGCATCATAAATGATAAGACAGACAAAGTTGCACATATTAAAGATCGATAGGGGCCAGAAGGAATTAAAGTCTGAGATGACCCAGCTGTAATCATCATTTAATAGAGTTTAAGTGTGCCGGCGGGATAGTGATGTTTCACAGTTTTGTGTTATCGTTATTATATATCGATGCACTTTTTTTCTTTGATTTGCTTACTAGCATCACTAGTTAAATCTTTAGGCTTCAACTTTAAATATTATACCATATTTCAAAAAAATGAGGATTAAAATTTCAATTATTCTAAGTGAACGTTCGACCGGGTTTTTTTTAGGTATTTTATAGCACTTTCTTTATCTATCTCTTTTCTAAACATTTTTGAGAGCAAGCCTCAATAAAAGACATTAATCTCGATGTCGCTATCATAGCTGATTGTTAATTCACTACTTGCCAAAACAATCACTCGGTCAACTCATGGTACTTACGTTGACTCTTTAATAATCTAGCCATTCTTTTGAGAGTTACGGATCCCAAGCCTTAGCTTTTCCAAGTATGGATCAACTGTATCGACTCGCTATTTTGAAATATTGGAAACTTAAATATATTACTGACCACACTCGTAAACGTATACAATCCATCCTTCATGAATGTAGTGAAACACTGTTATGGACTGATAATCGGCGTACAATTTTCCTTTACGCTGACAAAAGCTACAAAATTTACTTCACTGCTGTGTTACTTCTTCCCTGTTCACTGCCATTGACAAACTAATGCATTTGGTTAGGTATTTCACAGTATTACGAATTTAATATTAAGATATTTAGCGAGAAGCAACTCTCGCTGGTATCGATTTACATGAGAAACTGCTGATTAATACTACTCAACCGCAGATTTTTCTATTGAGATAAAAAATCTGACATTGGTGTTAAATTTACTCTTTCTGACACAGTAAAAGACGATTACATAACGAATTACAGATGCCGCCAAGCTGTAACATGTATCCGTATTTATTTAAAACTTACATTCACTGATTCCGTGGTTATTAGTATTAAAGATATTGCTGCGAACACGGTTCCCTCAAAAAGCTAATTTTGAGCTTGTTACCGCAAATCTTGAGTTACAGAAACAACTTTTCGGAGCATGTGTCTCAGTTCAACAAGAATTTGATTGAAGATATTCATTAGTTCATATTACATTGTTGCTCTTGCATTTATCAACACTTACGAAAATATACTAGTAAGCAAATACGAAAGTCAAAAAAATTGAGATAACGACGGGTAGTAACAGAGGAGTAACACGAAAAGCAGTGGAAGAAAAAGTATTTGCAGGAGGAGTTACGCCATCATAACGGATTTTGACTGCACAGTCCTTAAATGATTCCTCGTATCTCAACGGCATTAGATTTGTGCAATAATTTCCCGCACCGGGTAAGTTAACAGTCCATTCTGTAAGCGAATTATTCAATGTTGTACTGTAAATGCCTTTGGAGTAAATGCGCCCGTAGCTGCTGTTGAGAACCACATATTCGCCGAAGCCGGACGATATACCTGTATCTGAGGTAATATTGCTTGTGTAATCCACACCAAACATGTCGTAAATAAGGTATGAAAAAGCCCCATCGTTTGTGCATTTGGCTGTGAATGTAATGGATGCATTGTAACCATAGAGGCCTACTTGCTGACAAGTTTGTCCATTTCCACGAGAGTTGTCAAAGACGAATACAGTATTGTTATTTGAAAATCCCTCCGCAATTGGCGGATATGTTTTATATTTCATTTTTACTGTACATGGGACGAAACCATTCTTTTTATTTGACCATTTTGTTTTTTTTTTATTTCGTTACTCCTACAGAAACTGCGGCCAAAGCCTGTAAATGTCGCTTTTTAGGGGGGTGAGAACCGCTAAATTATCGTTCATGACTCTCATGTGATTGCCTGACAACTGTGTACTTGTTCATATTTATAATTTCTCGATCGCATGCGACGTTTTCGTTGCTTTTACGCTTCATTAAGTATCGATAAATCCAGTTATTTTATTTATTTCGCTGTTTAATGGTTTGGACTACTGCTTCGGTACCAATTATTGCGCCAAAAAATCTATAAATATACAAAATAAATTAGTCGCGTCATATGTGTTTGTCTTTTATGTTAGGATGACGTTGTTATGCGAAACGAATATCCTCGCATAAACGTTATCTTCGCATTCCAGTTTTTGAGTACTCGAATCGCGAATAAGCGAGCGGCTACATTCTGACATATTGCATCCTTTTATGTGCCGCCATCCAATGATAAGTGTGTCACATCGCTACAAGTAATCTTTCCGATTCCCGTTATTTGAGCAGCAAGACTCAAAATTTAATCACAAATTTTAACAAAACCTCATTGGGGAATAAATTACCCATTAAAATGTGATGATGGACTGACTGCAGCTTCCATAATAATTAGTTACTTAGGCAATTTGCAGGAAATGTTGCACCACTCAAGATGAAAATATTTGGGGTGACTCCTGTATTCGTTTTCTCAAATGCTTCGTATTTTTATATATTATTACAGCTCATCTATAAGTGCCCTGTGTGACATATTGTTGTCCATTAAGTTTTTATCGTTGATATTAAAGTCAAAAAAATGCTCGCATGCATTTTATTTAACGATGCTTTTAAGCATCGCTTCCACGCATTTAATCAAAGCAAGTTCTTCACTTCCGTAAACTTTCAGTATTCCCCCTAATAATACTGGGTTGAATTTTATAGGAACATCTTATGATACCTATGAATCGGTGTATATTCTTAATGTATAGCATTCACTCCAGGAAATGATTGCGCGAAAAAATGACACCAATGTACTGCTGTTATAACGCTAGGCCGATATTCACTTCCTACTGATGTTATTCCTTATGATATTTCAATTGCTGATAATACCATTATCTCAAAGCGAGACGATTGTCGTTGCATTGGAGCCATCACGCCCTGATCAACAATTCATAGTTAGCAATTGATGTTTTTTAACCAGTCAAGTTGTAAATTTGGCATAGGATGCTACATTACAGTTCATCTTACTGACGCAAACGACGTGAAGTTTTCTGATGCTTCAGCATTATAGAAGAGACGCTCAACAAGCCTCAATACATTGTACCAATCATTAGGCTTGTGATCTTAACTACTGGTAAGTGGTATCAGAATTGATTAGGAATTTCAAAAGTGTTTGCTAGTGACTAAGACGCCGACTAATAACTCGATTCACTTGTTTGAGGAGATTTCGTTGATTGGTGTTATGCTTTGACGACACTTATGGGATGAAGCAATGGTTCGTTTTAAATTATTTCTCATTTTAATGGTAATGAGTTTTTCTTTTATATAATTAAAATGAAAAGTGCTGCGTATGACGTACGATTTCAACTGTTTTCAGTGGTAGTTGAAGGTGCCTAGTAAACATTGAAGCTGTACTGGTATATAGAAATTTATATCTCAAAATACAAAGTATGTTAGTCTCAATCAATTTCTGTCGACAATTCAATGCTGAGGAGGGGAATACTGGGACTTTATTTTGTAAAGCGTATTCGGGAATATTGACCGATGAAAATTCTTGTTATGCTTCCCCTTATTTACCAGTGGCAGATTTACAACGGCTAAAATAATCAATGATTTAGTATATTGAATAATAAAAGGTTACATTGAATAGTTTGTCCAGTACTATTAACTATCTCCAAGTAGTCCTTGCAGCCGAATCAAGAGCGCAACATAGCTGTAATTGCAATTATTTTTTTTTAAGTCCATCAAGTAGCTAATGTATACAAATGACTAATCAAACAACTCTTAGTATAACGAAATGAAAAATAGTCTCGATTTCAGCTATTCCACAGTTTACTATTTTGCAGAATCGTTATTTGCATTGTTTGATACAGAACAAAGTCTAATTACGACAAACTCGTGTGCCAAGTATGCTTTGAATCCAAAATTATGTGTACGATGATTATTATGCTATGTTATTACGAAAACTCTTGTTCGATCTACTTGAACCATGATCATATGTTAGCAAAAGCCGGGTACTTTCTCAATTATTGTGACGATTCATTATTGATTCTCCTAACTCGTTGAAAGAAAGTACTCAATTTAGTCTCGTGCATAAAACTTAATACTTGAAATATTAACTTGTCGTATTCTAGTGTATGTACAACAATATGTTATCTGTACTGATTATTTTTAAAGCACATACAAAATTGTTAAAAGTATCGAAACAACGAGAGGTAGTAACAATGGAGTAACACGAAAAGCAGCGGAATCGCTGTCAGCTACGGGAAGTGTTACCCCGTCGTATTGTATTTTAATTGAACAGTCTCGGGAGTTCTCATTGTACTTTAAGGGCATAACGGTCGCGCAATAATTTCCCGCCCCCGGCAAATCAATAGTCCACTCCGTGAGTGAATTATTTAGCATCGAACTGTAAACACCCTGCGCGTAAACATTTTCAGAACCATTAAGTACCACATATCTGCCAAAACCGGACGACAAACCCGTGTCAGTCGTTATATTGCTCGTGTATTTTACACTATCCATGCCAAACACAATGTATGAAAATGCACCATCATTTGTGCATGTGGCCGAGAACGTGATAGAGGCATTCCAGCCATAGAGTCCCATCTGTTGACACGTTTTACCATCACCATACTTGTTGTCAAAAATGAACCGTGTATTGTTGTTTGAGAATCCCTCTGCAATTGGCGGATAGGTTTTATATTTCATTTTTGCTATGTACCTGAGACGGAATTCATCCTTCTTATTTCATTCGTTTAACAAATTTTATGTTCTCGGCAACCCCCTGTGAAGCGCAATTACAACCAGTTAAAACTAATTCAAGGGATGGAACCCACTAAATATGCGTTCATGACTCTCATGTGATTGCTCAGCATTAGCAACTGGTGATACTCGCTACGTGTCTCAATTGCCTTAAAATGCATGATGCGCTTTCAAAGCGCATTCATTCGACTACCGAGTAAAATCATAATTCAATGTACCATTCTTTTTTCATTATTGCAATCAATGCGTCCTCAGCTATATTAAAAAGTAAGGTGAAATTAAATACTGTTATAAGTATAACAACATATCTATAATAATACATGCTACTTTTCCCAACTGAGTGAGATGCAAAATGTACAACTTGCTTTAGCGCACTCATCGCTTAATAAATAAAGTGGCGAATCCCAAGAATACGCGAGCGGCTAGGCGCCAACTATAATAACAGACGCGCGTAAGGACTAGGTAATTCACACTGTTCGAATTGAAACATTGTAAATTTTATAGCGCAATACAAAAAGTTTGTATATACTTGTTATCAAGAATCATTAAGAGTACTTCATCAAAGAACTTACACAATTGATACGAGTTGGATTGTTTCTGACTGAATGATGCTATTAATATACGAGTGATCGGCCATCGAAATTAGTTAATTTCTTTACGAACCTGCATTTTCATTTGTATTTAATTTAATAAAGTTCTAAGACAGACTATGGTTTTCCAGCCACATAGAAATAATTAGGCACAATCAGTATCAATTGCATGGAAAATTAGGTACTAAGATTCGTTGGTTGAAATTGAATAAATAAATAAAAAGAAACAAACCATTACAACAACGGCTATCAGAATATTTGTTTATGTACAGGTTAATGTTCTTGCATGGTCATAGTTTAGTAGGCAAATAAAACAGTTAAAAACACGGAAACAACTACAGGAAGCAACAGAGGAGTAACACGAAAAGCAGAAGATAATGTATTTTCGGGAGGCGTTACTCCGTCGAATCGAATTTTAACATCACAGTCAATATAATCTTCTTTGTATCTCAACGGCATTATATTTGTGCAATAATTTCCCGCACCGGGTAAATTAACAGTCCATTTTGTAAGCGAATCATTCAACGTTGGACTGTAAATTCCATTGGAATATATACGTCCATAGCTGTTGTTAAGAACCACAAATTCGCCAAAGCCGGTGGATGTACCCCTGTCAGTTGTAATATTGCTTGTGTAATCCACACCAAACATATCGTACACAAGATATGAAAAGGCTCCATCGTTTGTGCATTTGGCTGTGAATGTAATGGATGCATTGTAGCCATAGAGTCCTACTTGTTGACAGGCTGGTCCATTGCCATGGGTGTTCTCGAAGACGAAAACAGTATTGTTGTTTGAGAAACCCTCCGCGATTGGCGGATATGTTTTATGTTTCATTTTTGCTATGCACTTAGATGGAATTCATCCTTTCTTATGTCAAGCTTTTTTGTTTTTTTTCTATTTCGTTACTCCTACAGAAACTGCGGCCAAAGCCTGTAAATGTCGCTTTTTAGGGGGTGAGAACCGCTAAATTATCGTTCATGACTCTCATGTGATTGCGTAACAACTGATGATAAATTCAAGGTTGTAATTATCTCAGTTATATTTGACTCTTTCGTTGTCCTAGCGTCTCATTTAGTATTGACAAGTTCAAGCTGTTTATTTTTTGTTCAAGAATAAGGACTATTGCCTGACTGCCAACTATTACGTCGGTACTTAATGAAAATACGAAAGTTAATCAATCGTATCATGATTACTTGTCTCTCTTGTGAAAATTAATACTAGTACGCGAAACGAATATATCCCTTTCTTATGCGTTCCCATTGTACTTCAATGTTAGGGTGCTCGGTAGCGCGAATAAGCGAGCGGCTACATTCTGACATTTGCTTTACGCGCAGCCATCCAATGACATTATATCAAATGTTTACTAGTAATTTATGTAAATCTCAGTATTTGAGCAACAGAACCTAAGATTAAATCATTATTGAACTTTAACAAAAAACTCATTAAAGAATGAATTACCCATTACAAATGTGATAATGTGGACTGACTGCTCCTTCCGTATTATTTAGCTGTTCGAGCAATTAACAGGAAATGTTGTACCGCTTAAAATGAAAATATTTGGGGGTGACTTCTGTATTCGTAATGTTAAGTGTCTCGTATTTTTGTGTACCATTACAGATCGTCTATGAACGTCCTCCCTGTAACACATGTTGTTGTCCATTGACTTTTATTGTTGAAATTGTATTTAGAAAATGCTCACAAGCATTTCATTGTTGATTCCATGCATTCAATTAAAGCAAATTCTTTACTTCCGTACACATTCAATATCCCTCCTAGTAACACTGGATTGGATATTCTTGGTCCACCTTATGATAGCATTTTTGTCGATCTGAATTATCCCGCTACTGGCGTCTATCTCACCAATTGGACTGTTTTGATGAATCTTGTGCACAGTCAGGACTATTATGGAGCGGCAACGGTGTACTTCCAATACGATCAACCCTATGATACCTATGAATCGGTGTATGAGCATCCACTCCGGGAAATGACTGCGCGATAAAATGATGTCGAAATGTTTCAACGCTACAACCTGCCTACAGCCATTATAACTCTTGGGCACTGTTTATTTTACCAGTGATGTTATTCTTTATATTGTTTCAATCGATTTATATTAACGATTCAACGCTGGTGAGGAGGGGGATACTGAGGTTTCTTTTATGAAGCGTATTCGTGAATATTAAGCAATGAAAGTTTTGTTGTAGCTTCCTCCGTATTTAACAGCGGTAGAATTACAACAAGCTAAAACAATCAATGATTTAGTGAATTTTATAGAATATGAAAAAGTTACATAAATGGCTTATCCAGTACTATTGATTAACTTCAAGCAGTCTTTGCAGTCGAATTGAGGGCGCAACATAGTCACAATTGTATTTAGCTTTTTTAAGTTTAATAAGTAACTAATGAATACAAATGGCGACTCAAACAACTCCTGGTATAACGAGATAGGCTCACTTGCGCAATATTTTAAGGAATACAATTGTATAATGGGCTTCAATATATTTCGTAACCTTCTAGATAAATTTGGGAAAATAACGATAGGACACCCGTAAAACTCTGATCGCTTGTCTACAGGTAACTGAGCAACTGTATGAAGAATATCCTGCTAATTACATATTTGCAAACGTGCTAACGTGCAACTTAGCACATTTCTTCGTAAGGAAATGGTCTCAGACAACGAGGAAATACTGAATAAGGTAATTTTGTTTTAACACTAAAACCAATAGTCAGATTGTAATTGCTACGTTTTAACATTGCATTCGTATTTTTACCATAGTTTACTTTTTAAGCGCATTAAGTGCTGAGTCTCAAACGTTGCGTCAAATGAGTAACAATTTAATACTTACTACGAAAATTTTAAATTGATAAACTGCCGCAGGTTATAAATATCAATATAGGTAACCAAGTATTCGATAGTTTTTCTGCCATTAATTACATGTATCCGTAACGGCCTGCTCATGATTAGCAATATGGATCTAATTTCGTTTTATGATTTTAGACATTACCATTGAAGCATATAAAGTTCCTCTTTTTTGCTGTAATGAGTTAAAGCTTCTTAATGAGACATGTTTGGTCAATTTTTTCACTAAACATAATTCTCTAAAGTTTACTATGAAGAAGACTACGTGAAATACTCAAAAAAAAATCAATAAATAACGTTCCTTCGCCGCATACTTCATTAACAATTTGTTTGCCAGGCAAAAGAAGATCCATATTATAATAACAGTTATCTCGTATTATCGTTCGTTTTTACTGGTATCGTACACCAATTTAGGATTCGCACAAGCGAAACGCATATGAACGGGAATAAGGACACGGTTTTTGGAGCTTAAAAGTGTGGTTAAGCTAGGTAAGTCCCACAACTCTACGTCTTATTTTTTTGAAACATGTAGGTCTTAGCTGTTAAAATAGTTTTATGGATCACATCTTTCTATCTCGCAACTCCCAATAGTGCAATACGAAGAAGAATTACTTCTTTGCTTTTTTAGATGTGCAATCTTTTAGTCAGTAGCATTCCAACCGAAACAAGGAAGAGATACTTTAGAAAATTTTCAGATTAACCTGCAAAAACGAGGTACATCATCTTATTGTCGATTCTTCTGTCATGGCTTGTTTACATTTATAGTTTGTAAGAGGATAAACTCAATAACACAAGTGATCTTTTGTATCATATATCATAAAGCACTTGTTGAGGAAACATGGCAATTGTATCATTATTAGCTAAATTAGCATACTTTTTTACGTTATTATTTACATAAAATCTACTATCTAATCGTTAGTAATTTTGATAAAAGAAGGTTGTTACGGGGAAATAGTTGAAGATCAGGCACAATGAAGTTCAGGTTTTTTTAAACGGAAATTCATAGGTAAATGTGGAATATAATTAATTTCTACTAGTCACGTTGCCTTTTTCTAACAGATTACTAAAACATTTTTTTTGGATTATCATTTCATATCAAGTACGATGTAACGCCAACTTACAGTAAGAATCAGTTTACGGCATCGCTACAAGATATCGACGATACCGACCTGATCACGACGGACTAAGTGACAAGTGCACTTTAAAATCCGAAGTTATATCTGCGATGATCATTATTCAAGCCATGTTATTAGGAAATGTTTTGTTCGAGCTATTTGAGGCACGTTCATGTGTAAGTAAAATTGTGTATTCTTCTTAATAAATGTGACGATGCGGTTTTGCTTCCCCTATTTTTCAAATAAAACCCTAAATCCTAGTCTTAAAGAGATTTGATACCTGAAATTTTAACTTATCGTTTTCTTGCGTATTTGCAAAATATTGTTATTATGTGTGCTTCTATTTTAGGACGTAGAAAGGACTGTTACAAATAGCGAAACAACAACGGGTAATAGTAAAGGAGTCACACGAAAAGCGGCGGAAGGCAAAGTGAAATCCGGGGGTGTTACACCATCAAATTGTATTTTTATAGCACAATCTGTCTCTGACTCATTGTATCTCAGCGGCATGATGTTTGTACAATAAGTTGTAGGTCCAGGTAAATTGATTGTCCATTCAGTTATCGAAGTATTTAGTGCTGGACTATAAATACCTTTAGAATATACATATTCATTACCACTAAGAACCACAAATTCGCCAAAACCGGACGATATACCAGTATTGGTTGTGAGGTTGCTCGTGAATTTTACAGCAGACTGATTATACACAATGTATGAAAACGCTCCGTCATTACTGCATTTGGATGAAAACGTAATTGATGCATTCCAGCCATAGAGCCCCATCTGCTGACAGACTTGGCCATCACCATACGTATTTTTAAATACAAATCTTGTGTTGTTGTTTGAGAATCCCTCCGCAATTGGCGGATATGTTTTATATTTCATTTTTGCTATGCACCTGAGACGAAACCACCCTTCTTATTTCATTCGTTTAATAGGTTTTATGTTCTCGGTAACCGCCGTGAAGCGCAATTACAACCAGTCAAAACTAATTTAAGGGGAAGAGCCGCTAAATGTTTTTTCATGACTCTCATGTGATTGCTCCAACAACTGACGAGACATACAAAACGTCGCATTTTGCATTCGGCTACATGTGATGCCTTTTATTGAAAGCATGCCTCATTTAGTATTGACAAGTCCAGCCGCTTATTTTATCTGTTGTTCAACATTCAGACTATTGTCGGTTGCCAATTATTACGCCGATATTGAACAAAGTTATGAAAATAAATCAATTATATCATAACAATTTGCCTCTATTATAAAACGTGTTAAGATGCTACGCGAACGTTTGCCTTTCGCGCAAGCGCTGCGATCGCTTTTTTAATAATAAAGTACATAACATCGCGAATAAGCGAACCACTACTTTTTGACAATTCGGATCCTCTAACGCATAAATACCCGATAACAATTATGATGAGTTTTTGCTATTAATGTATTGTGAATCTTCATTTGAGAATTACAATTTTATATTTACTCACAAGCGAACTTCATTATAAATTCTGATAGATAACATACCTATCGTAAATTAAATTAGTCTGGGGCAAAATGTTGCTCTTTCGTACTAAGTGATTAATTGTTTAAACAATGTACAGAAGTGGTTAGGCCCCTTAGATTGAAAGGAATGAAGCGTGACTTTCGTATTTTGGATACTATTGCAGCTCACCTTTAGTTTATTAAACAACATCGGACACATATATTGCCCCTTTGAGTTTTTATTGATGAACTCCGTGTCAGCAAGATGCTCACGAGCCTTTTATTCACGACGCTCGTAAGCACTGTTTTCGTACATTCAGTTGGGGCAAACGCCACATCCCCCTACGTGTTCAATATTCCTCCTAGTAACACTGGATTGGATATTCTTGGTCCACCTTATGATAGCATTTTTGTCGATTTGAACTATCCCGCTACTGGCGTCTATCTCACCAATTGGACTGTTTTGATGAATCTTGTGCACAGTCAGGACTATTATGGAGCGGCAACGGTGTACTTCCAATACGATCAACCCTATGATACCTATGAATCGGTGTATGAGCATTCACTTAAAGAAATCATTGCGGAAAAGAATGACGCTGAAATGTTTCAACGCTACAACAACCTGCTCACCGCCGCCAAAACGCTGGGCCGCTACCCACTTCCCAGTGATGCTATTCCTTTTATTATTCCGGTTACTGATAATACCACCATTTCGAAGAGAGATGATCGTCATTGCAGTTGGAACCATCATGCCCAAGTCGACAATTGTCAGGAGGCGATTGACATTATTGACGTTAATGTTCCTTATTCATTCAAAAAGAAAGAAGGAGTCAGTTTGTTAGCTCCGCGTGGGGTTGCTACATTACAGTCGATCTTACCGATGTGCAGGAGATGGAATTTCCTGATGGATCGATAATTAAGAGAGATGCCCAACAAACTCTGATACATTGTGCCAATCGTCTGGCTCCCGATCTTGGTTATACTGTTAGTGGCTTTAAAATTGATTACGGCAACCATCTGAAAGTGTGTATTAGTGACAGAGGCACTGGCTGTTAACTTGGTTTCCTCATTTATGAAAGATTTATTTGTTGCCGATTATTCGAAGACATTCCTGAATGATAAATGCGCTCGTTAATAATAATTCATTCAGTGATATAGGTATTCATTCAGATGGCTGAAATATAGTGTATTACATTTGACGAACATGTTGACTGTTTCCTATTAAATATTCTGCGTATCTCGTAAACGCAAAAAGCTGAGATAGTATCTTGACATTTATGTTTAACACTATGATACTATTCTTGTACTTACTCTTTGTCTTTATGAACGGTTCAACAGACAGCGGTGAGAGAACCATTGAAACCACTGAAACTTTTGAAACTTTTGAAACCTTTTTTTATGAGCTTCCTCGTTTCACAATTTGGTCTGTTAGCTGGTGATATGTTTTCATTTATGCTGTCCCCGTAATTGGCAGTAATAATTTCGCAATGGTCAAAGCTGATTCATGCAAAAGAAAGTTATGGAATGCTAAAAGAGTTACGCCAAACATCTTATTTTGCATATTGAATAAGAATACTAATTGGCTTTGGATACTATCTCCTTGTACACACGGCAAAGGTGTGTCATGCTTCATTTCACAAGCAATGCGCTAATCTGAAGGATCGCTTAATGGCAACCTCTGCCTCTGTTGCTAACACAAAAGTTCAAATGAGTGTCCTCATAGACTACGTCCTTTAACTTACAGCTTCCAGTAGTTCGCAAACAATAGTTAAGACACACCTTAAGCTGATTCCTTGCCCAAGTATGAGTAATATTAGCTGGTGCGCTCCACGAAATACAGCAGCCTTCAGCGCATAGACTTCTGGGTTTTTTTGGGAAAACACCGTAATCGGCAATATGGTCATAAAGAAATTTACAGCTTGCCGAATTAGTTAAATGACGGCCGGTGCAACTAATCATGTCATGGTCCAATGCTAAAGCAGAGTCACAAGCGGAAATGTTGAAATTCCTGTAATAGTTAATCAGGTCGGTACTCGACGCCGTAGAAGCGAGAGAGTCGGTACTGTTTAAACCATATTTGTAAAGGAAGTTGCATGTCTCATCAAAAAGTTCGGATGAGCCATTCAGCGCGAGACTATGTGGATAGCCGTTACGATCCATCAAATTGTAAAGGTAAAGGGCGTCGCCCAACATCTCATTAGACTGTGCCTGTTTCAGCATGGCTCCAACCTTGGCAACCTTCTCATAATTGTCAAAGGAATACATATCGAGTTCTTTGAAGTAAGGCTCCGCATCGCGCTTGGTAAGGCTCGACAAAGTAGAAAAGCCCGATAAGGTAGACAGTGTAACTTGTCCTTCACCGCCAGACGGGGAATTATTATCATTGTTTACAATTTCATTTAAGATAGCATCGTAATCGCCAGAGGAAGCAGTAACAGCTCTGCAAACAAGAGCCGAAACCAACTGAAGGGAAATACTCAATAGCTTCATGATGTACCAAATCTTCTGGGCTCTTACACTTCTATATCTTCATCTAATGGTAATATTGCACCAACTATTATGACTATTTAGAGCATTTCAGGAGTCCTTCAGGTGTCCTTCAGGTGTCATACTCGCACTCCTCTTTCTTTGTTCAATTTATCACGCTTGGAAACACATTTGGATGCTTAGTATAGTGGCGTTAACCTTAGCCTAATGATCGCTAATTTTATGGAGCCAATAAAAAGTACGTGGAAATGTAGTCATTGCAAGCTGAGACGGAGGCATGGAGAATAAATAGGAACAATTGCACACACCCCCATATTTTAAGAATACAGTCTTGTATTTTGGAGCAATAGATAATGTGCATGCCATTCATAAGGCGGCACTCTTCAATGTAAGAAGAATACGCTTGCCTAAATTTGCTACCGTGCGTGTGTCATCGCCATGGAACCACTGAGCTCGCAACGCTCATATGCAAAGCCATATTGTGATGAGGAAGAAACTGTAAAACCGTAAAATGAAATACCTCCTTGTATATATAATTTTTTATCGTTAATTCAAACTGCACTTAGTGAGCAGAGTTGTTTTCCACACTCTCAGACTAAAGCTTGTGGGCTTTTATTGAACTACACCCTTGTCATGTACACAGGATTTAACATAGAAGTGTAGATTGCTCTTTATCATCATCATGAGAAAATCAGATTAGTCGAATTGTCTATATACAACATTCACCATATCCATGTCTAAGTTGAACGTGCTTGCGATGTTCGTTGTAACATCAATTAAAATCTCTGATAGAAATTCTGTTTTTAAGGAACCAAAGTCATAAGAATAGTCTTACGAAAACTAACATTGCTTTCTAATCATAATCCAAGTCTTCTTCGTGGCTCAACCACAGCAAAATAAAAATTCGCTATATATTTAATTTAATATATTAAAATTATACTATATTGAAATGATAAATTCATTGCGGTATCACGTTTTCCGTAATTTTAAACTAATGTAACTATCATCGATGATAGCCTTTCATATCGAAATTGCAGGTACTAGCTTTTATGCAATTGTGCACTACTTGAGTGCAATTAATTATTAAGACTGACACTACTAATCGTGCATCATTACGTGCTTGAACAGTCTATAAATTGAACTTATTTGAAAATAGCGTTCAAGTTAAGTCAATTAATATTTCAATACTTAGAGTGGCTTTTCGTAGCTTGTAGAATTGGTACAATTCGTCTTGAGGATCGCCACCCTTTTGCACTCGTCTTCAAAAGAACATTTGTAATTTTCACAGTGACGTGACGTGATACGATACATTATAATTGTATAGCTGTAGAACTTACGAGAAAGGACTCCGTTGTTGATAATGCTGATCTTCTTTAGTAAACCCACTTCCACACATAATTTATACGGAGCCCTGTTTTTGATAACACAAGTAGAGTTTGGTAAGGTCAAGAATTTGTTACGAAAGCATGGTAATTCGTTCATAGTTTGCAATTTAGAGTAGCTGAATCCAAGGGAGGTTTGTCACTCCAATATGAATTGGAGAACCGTTAGTACCAGTAACGGGAGTGGAAGTTATGGCGTGAAAGGTTTACGATTTCAGCATTGAATGGCGTTTGGGTCATAATGTCTATTGATGAACGAAACCTCACTTCCGATATGCAACAGATAAGTGCTGCCAGGCTAATTACTCTCTCTCCACCTTTTCTAACTTTCTTTGCTATATCTTTTTTGATTAAGTGCTACATAGTACCAAAGTATGGAAAGGACTGCTTATTATATTAAGATGGTTTAGCGTTAGCATGCACCAAAAAATCCTCCAGATTGGTCAGATGCAGCGAGAAAAATACAGACACTAAGCATAATACGAAGTGTCAAAGCTACTTTCCCTGGGGTTCACTATTTACGCTGTCTTTTAATGAAAAGGCTCGTTCGACTCTTGTGGGTACATGTTTCTTTAAGCAGAGTTGAGTTCAATTTGATTTATTTGCTGCATTAACAAATATCTAATTTCCCTCCGATATTTTTTAAAGGCCAAGCAGTTTTAACTTCGTTCTATGACCTTTAAGTCTCTCATATTTTTCCATATGCATAAAAGGATGCCGCCATGCACTACCGTAAAGTTTTAACACACAAGTAGGAGAGTCAACAGAATAGAAATACCGAAGGGAAATAACATCAGAGTGACACGAAGAAGAGCAAATTGTTTATCAACTTAGGGAAAAGTTAAGCCATCATATCGGATTTGGCTGAATATGTATTTGATGCATTGTAGCCTTAGAGTCCCATCTGTTGACATGTTTTACTATCACCATACTTGCTGTCAAAAATGAACCGCGTATTGTTGTTTGAGAAACCCTCTGCAATTGACGGATAAGTTTATTAATTCATTCTGCTACGAAATCTGGGGGAGGATTCATCCTTCTCATTTCATTCGATTAATAAATACTATTTTCTCGGCAACCCCCTGTGAAGCGCAATCACAACCGGTTCAGACTATTTTAAGGGGATGGGACCCACTAAATATGCGTTCATGACTCTCATGTGATTGCTCAGCATTCCCAACTGGTGATACTCGTTTATTTTCCTAAGCTACGGTTTGCACACTAGAGCATAATATTTTATTTTTGAGAGGCATAGCTTGAGCAATTAATTACTTGCTCATTCATAAGCTACTTAGAAGAATAATTTTATCCAAGTCTTATCTCCAAAGGCTTGAAAATTTACTGTAAACCACGACTATCAAAGAAGTGAGTAGCTGAGGTTAGCACTGTTGAAAGAGCCTTATGGAACGGTGACACTTTTGTGTAAGTTAGTAATTTATACTATCTAATTAGCGACAATATGAGTAAGTTACAGTAGTACTTCATTAAAAATAAAAAAAGAAACATTAGTGGTATTGTACCGTATGTATTGTCAATAATTTTAAAGCGGGTACAATATCTGCTGGTTCTGGATCCCATGGTTGATAGTAGTTTTTCGGATTTTTAAGGCAACAATAATTCATTTATTTAACGTAACTGTTGTAACTTTATTCGTAAAAGCCAATTAATCCTTAGAAAATACTAAACAAATCAACAACGCATTAATGAGTTTTTTCGCAATAAATTATAGTTATCAGTAAACGAAACCTTAAAATTCTATTACCGAGTACATAAGACGATAGGTATTGTTGAGGTAATTGAGAGGGAGAGCTTTAGACATATAAGAAAAAACTCAAGTTTGAGCTGGGGCAAGTAGGTTCAGTTAAACACAGGTTCAATGAAGGGCTATGCTCATGCAACCCAGCGTCCGTTCAGTCTAGGAAAATAAGTATTAAGTACTGACCCTAATTGAGCAAAACTGATAGACATTAAACCTAAATCGTACAAAACAACTCTTTCGAACCTATTCCATATGGCTTACACGAATGACGTTCATATGCATCCCAGAAGTCTTCGTAATGACTTAACAAACGATAAGGAAACCAAAGACCAATTTCTGGTGTAACAGAAACCTATTTAGTCTGTTAACTTCGGTGTGTACAATGTCCTCTTATCGCACAAAGGAAAAGAAAAGATCATTCACAATTTGTAACTCTGCCTTCATTAAAAGCTCGGTAATGGCAGTAAACTAGCCTTTAGAGAGACATTAAGTTTTGAGATGGATTGTTTAATATACACTCCGGCCGTTTAATCGTAACAGATATTTACAAACCGATAGCTTAACTTAAGCCAGGACCTTCACTAAATGTGTAGGATACGTGATAATAATAGCTATATTGCAATTAAATCTTCCAATCGTTTATCAACATTAGTATCATCTTGCCATACATTAAATTATCTAACCGAAAGTAATTCACACACATCGGGCTTACTACCTGGGTTGACATAAACGTATCATGCTCTCAGCAACAGACCAATCTTCTTCCTCTGTGGCCTCTGCATCCTCGTCTGGGTCAATCCAAGAAAATACTTCTTCCACTGTTTCAGACGAGCTAGTAGGAGAAATCGGATACTCGGGCGCAACAGTAACCGGAGAAAAGCTATCTACTGTATTGGTAATATCAGCAAGAACACGAAGCGATGCCCGAGATGAGCAGTTGAAAGTTCCGTCATGACTAGCTTCAGCACCGCAGCCTTGTTCACGTATTTCATCGTCTTTTTCCTCATTAAGTCCCCACATGTAACCCCACATCTCCAACGCACTTCGTAGCACCTCCGCTTGTCTACGCGGGTCAAGCTGACTGAACACTGGCATGGAGTTAACGAGCAGGTAGTGCAAGTCTTGAACAGTCAACAGTTTTTCTCCTCGAACTACAAGATCAGGTAACCATTCTGTACAAATCAACGATGCTAATGCTTCTCCATCTGTTGATTAGTAATTAAACCGGGAGGACAGATACAAGTAAACGCGTCGTTTACGTGATTCGTAGTCGACATACCTTCGAATACTTCAGATGAACGTTGCAGAACTGTCCCATATAAACGCTTCTCATCAAAGAAGTCAAAGCAGCTTGAGTGAGCGCGTTTTTTGGTCTTTAATGCTTCAATTGCCATATAAAACGCGTAAATAATTTCTGGTTCAGGAAAAGACACGCGTCGAGCAGGGGTACAATAATTACAAGAAAGAGTTGAAAGACTTAACCAGTGTAAGAACAACGTGAAAAAGGAAAAAGACATGGGTCATTTAACAGTGAATATTTAGCGTGGAATAATTGTGAGATAAGTTGTCGAAAACCAATATGTAGTTACCTGTGAATTTTAAAACGTTCTCAGTAATGTTACAACACTTTAAGCTAAGCAATATAGTTATGTCTGACATTCTGCCAGACTAGGAGAAAGCTTAATAGACTCCCGGTACGATATGCCACTTGACTAATTTACAGTAACGATTCCAATCCTCGCCATACTTCTCTTGACACTTTTCCTCATCACGCATATCACGGTGAATAAGAAGGACAGCAAAATAGGCAACATAGAAATAGGGAATAAATGATCCAAAACCCGTAGGTAGGCACCAGGCCCAGGCCATGATCCAGTCACCAAAGTAGTTAATGTGACGAGCAATGCCCCACCAGCCGCTTGTAAGCAGCTTAGTGCCACGTTTTGTTTGGATGTACTTGAGATGTTGCACAGATGAATCATTGGGATTCGTCCGGAATTTGTTTTTCTGACCATTGGCACCACGGAATATACTATAGCCGATCAATTGCAAACCAACAATACCCAATAAACACCAGAAACCAAGATCCACCGGGTGAAAAGCAAGATACCGGGCCTGTAAGGAATACGTAAACGGAACCCATACCAAGTCACCAAAACTTAGCATGTAGCCAAACCCGTCTGTTGTAACATCCATTGTTGTCAACACAGCGCTTTCATTCACCAGAGAATCGACCACATACCACGAGTGAGACAAAACTACCAGTACCATACTGTCAGTTATGCGACCAAATTGAACTATTTGGTGACAAGCGAACGCGATGTCGAAAACAACCCACAAAATAAGCCCGGGACGAAGCTCGCAAAACACTTTAAGGTCAAACAAACCCAAACGAGGGTTTAGCTCACGACCAATGTACCAGTCGTAAATGGCGTTTCCAGAGACGCCGCCCTTGGCCAATTGCTTTCGACCAACAAAGGAACTCAGGTAGCAGTAAGTGCACAGTACAACCGAAAATATGTACGAGGCAGTTAATAACGGTACATAATACGTCCATACAAACTCCATTGCTTGTGGCCCGTACACAGCGATGAACCCAAACATGAAAAACAAAATCACTAACATGCTTTTGAATCCATTCATCTTGTATAATAACCGAGTACCTTTTTCATCAATGGGGGATCCAGGGACCCATTTACCGGGTAGCAGAAACCAAAGAAGAGCAAGCATCCCAAACCAGCACAAATAAATGACCATAGCATTCCAATCAAAAAGCTTTGTTTGGAGAATGTCATTCCATATACTCATTAAATTCCAGGATGGACATCCATTTTCATTACACATAAAATACAAACCATAGGACACTAAAGTAGTCGATAAAACGACACCAGCAGCACCTATGGGGCCAAAAAACTCGTATTTAAACGGCTTTCGTTGCGTTTCCGTCATTGTTAAACGCACTCGGTCTTTAAGAGTTACAGAACAAAAATCAGTGTTTAAATACACATAAAACTTGAATTGCAGTGGGAAAATCCGCGCTGTTTTCGTTAACCAGAGGTATGTATTGGTAAAGGGTACGTGCGACTGGAAGTCGCGGCAGGGTATGTCCAGCGCAGTCTTACGATTTATCATCTTTTGATTGGTTGATAAGTCGGCTGTAATTGTCGCATGCGACCACGTGAAATACACATGGTAAACGTGTTACGCATACGCGAAATCATACTTAGGTGTTAAAAGAAGTAAGAAACAGGATTCCACGTTTTCTGAGACGGCTACGAAATTCTTCACAGACATTGATTAATAACTCAGCATTATAGGTACTATTAGCAAATCAAAGAAAACAAATTGAACAATTCCGTTGTTATAGAAAAGCAGAAAAGGAACAATGAAATTCACTTTTTTCACGGCAGAAAACGTCTATAAGAATTTAAAAACACACAAGATAACCAAAAGAAAAGGGAGCAAACCACAGGTTGTCCAAAACATTACCGGTAAATCTAAATAAAAACGAGCAGAGAAAAGTAATAACAATGAAAAGTAGACGGCGATCATCAGTACAACACAAAATAGAAAAAAAAAATTAGAAAATGACATGTGTCAGAACAAAAGAAAGAGAAAGATCCGTTAGGAGTTCACTTGAGGAAACAAAAGTGCGCAGACACTCGAAGCGCACACCGTTACCACAACATTAGATACTGCAGCATACTATCATGCTCTTCAATTGATGTTACGACCGGCGAAACATATGTGTGGCATCGATGCTTAAAGGTCCACTGCTGTTGCCGTTGCTACTTGAACCGATGCTGTTATTGGTTTGAACATTAGCAGAAGTGGGACTTGCTAAAATGGAAGATGGAGGAGCATTCTGTGTCGTTGCCGCAGAAGATGACGTTTGTATCGAATATGGCATCATTGGGGATGCGTACACTTCAGAACCATAATGCATATATTGGCGCATATTCTGAGGCAAAGCAAACATCGGAGGAAATGGTTGAATAGAGGAAAGTGGAAATGCTGGATTTGCTGAAATTGAAGGGGGTAATCGTCCATCCTGAAGTGGCCGACCAGAAAACGCAGGAGGATAATCAGCAGCGTAACCCATTTCCCACATATTATTGCCATATGGTGGCATCATTGGCTGTGCACCTAACAAAGTTGATGCAGGAGGAATTGGCACGGAACCAGATGCATTGGAGGACGGCTTTGTGGGTGGCTGTATTATCCCGTGTATACCTGCATTGGTCGTTTCATTTGCCATGGGCACTCTTGGCCCATAACCAAAAGTTGGTTGGAAGCCTGGAAGCTGTTGTAAATTACCAGGCGGTAGTGGATCAAAAGCCTTTACAAGTGGTTGAGAAAGAACAGAGTTAGTCAGCTGTGTTGCCATAGGAGCATACTCAACTGGGTAAGATGGTTGCATGGGAGTAGGATATTCGTGAGCTTGTGAGCTAGAATTTTGTACATGCGTATTCATCTTTTGGTTTCCAGAGACCGGCATGATAGGTGTGTGCACATTGGAGTGCCCAAAATTGTCGGCGCGAATACTCCTCTGACTTTGAGCTGTGAAATCATATTCCTGTAGCATTTCATTAAGCGCGTCAAGAATTGTTGAACCATATGGAATATTTCGGTAAATGGTGTTCAATGCAGCATATCCGGTTTTTGCATTTTGAATAAAACTGTGATGTAGTACTTCGTTCGTTTTAGTGAAAGTTGCACATAATGTAAGAGTCATGACACTGTAGTAACCAGCGTACAGATTGCTATACACCCTCGATGGGGGTGTTAATTCAAGTAGCGCATTTAGTAAAACAACAACACGCTCAGCAGACTTAGCACAGCTAAGTGCAAACATATGCGATTCATCTGCTTCTTCAGTTGATTGTTCGTTTGCGGACTCAATATAGTGCAAAAACGGTCGATAGAAAATCATTTCTACTTGACGAAATTTTAGTTCTAGGGTCACAGCTTTGTACCCATTTCGGAACATATTTGGGTAGCTCCGATACTTTCAAATAAGAAGGCAACAGCGTCCACCACGTCTCCAGCTTTCGCTTAATTTCCAGAACAGAAGGCAACGAGACTCTACCCCGCGGTACAGAACCCATGTCGATGGGATACACTTTGCGGACAAAATGGCTGAGAATGCGTGCAAGTGAAACATGCTGAACAAACACATCGAGGTTCATGGCTTCAGATGCGATTAGAACCGGTGGTGTGTTGCCCAGCGAAACATTTGTTTCGAACACTGTAGGCAAACCTTGATCAATATCTTCATCTTCTATACCGAAAGGCAATCCAAGAATCGTACTGACGTATGAAGCCATCACATATACTGACCAGAAAATGCGTTTACACAAACGCGCTTCTTGAGGAGGAACTGAGGGAAGTTCACGATGTAGACCTAGTTCGTGACAGCACAACAGAGCATCGTCAATTATAGTGTACGCCTGAGACAAACGAGAACTAAACAATGCAAACAATGAAATGGACAACAACGTTTGAACAGCTTCAATTGAATAGCAATCACCCCATTGAAAAGTACACCGAAGGTAAACATAATATTCGTAGGCACGATGAAAACATGAACTGTCTTCACTTGAAGATACATACATGTAAGCAACGCACAAAGTTGAGACCAACAAACTGTGGAAACTGCCACCTTTGCATCCTGTTTGATAGAACTTTTTCAGCTGTGAGAAGAAACTTGGTATATGGTGAAAGTGTACGAGAAAATGATCATTCAAGAAAAGCAAATTCACCATGTTTCTAGCCTCTTCGTACGACGGCAATTGTATATGAGGCATTGTCTTTTCGGAAGACAGGTCTTCACTTGGCATGGGGGGCAAATAACGATAGGGTTTCTCATCTGTAACCTTTGGAGTTGTAAAAGGTAAATGCTCGTTCGAGCCGTCCTTAGGTGTTGGAAATCGATGGATGTTGTCACGGATGTTTTTCATAAAGACAAAACCCGATGAATTGCCTCGAAAGTCTGCTGATCCATCGTCTTGAAGACTAAGCTGACCGTAACGATCAAACAGGGTCTCGAGTTCACGAACATTAACCTTCTTTTGTGCGTTTGCACTGCGAGCATTCCCCTGCGCTGAAGACGCGGAACCGGGAACACCTGGCTTAAAGTTTGGAAGCTTCGCTTGTGCCAATTGACTAAGAAACTTTAACCGCAACTCAAGAAACTGAACATACTTTTCAGGCATGTTTCGCAGCCGTTTGAACGGTTGACCAAATGTACATTCTGAAATGGGTTAGACAAAGAGCAGAGAAAAATAAGAAAATGAAGGCTCATAAGCCCTTGACACAATTAAATGCTAGAGCTCACAATTGCAAATGGTATTTTACAAATTTGAAATCCCAAACATACCGTAATTGTAAGCTACGCAGTGTGAACATGGCTACTCATTTCAGCAGTTAATTAAAGCTGTTCTGTTCTTGTTTTCATCTCATGATTCTTGTCATCCTTTTCAATTCGCTCTCAATTGCAATCATACCCTTTGACCGTCACATTTCACCTTTTTGCGATGACATTCATCACAGGCCTTCAGAACCCGCTGTCTTCGTGTCAATGAAGAATCGTTGGAAGAGGACATGGGGCACGTCAACTACAAGAATTCGTTAGAATCTTCGAATTGCTGTGAAAAGCGCAATAAAATGTTAAACACTAGCAAACGAGCTCCCAAGATAGGAAGAGAACATACAATTTCGTTATACACCTATTGACGATAAATAACCATGCGTCAACTTCACAGAAATAACATCAGGTAGCACGATTGGTAAATGGTAGGAGAGTTGACGTGAACAGTACGATGTGTCAGCGGAGAATTAATTGCACGCGCCCACTATTCGGTAGCTGGCGGCTACGACCGCTCAGGAAGGGCCGAGTTAAAAAACAAAAAACCACGTTTATACATGAATGAATAATTATTATACACAATACGGTTCTATGTAATACCCATATACATATGTTTTCAGTATTTGTAAAGAGAGGTCCGTTTTTCGGTGTCCGTGGCAACGCACTTGTGTTTATATGCGTTCAGCTACCGCTACCAGTAAATAAACAAACATCAACTGTGAACCTGGTGCACAGTAAAACATGTCAAATAGTGGAGCTGAACAGGATTCTGCGTATTCGTTGGAAGAAGAAGAAGGGAATTCTAAAGGGAAAAGTATAAAAGCTGGAAATAGACGAGCAAAATCACGCGAAAAGGATCGAATGAGTGAATTGGATGCTACGATTGCCAAATTACCAGTTCCGGATGGTACAGTGAATTTGGTACGAAAATATTCAAATGACGAGAACGCTAAGCGACATTCTGGAGGAATTCAGGCCTATGCAAAATTTGCTGGAAGTACATGGACGTATTATGTTCAAAAACTTCGAATTGTGTTGGGACGAGAACCAAATGGGAGTTCGAGTGCGCCTCCGAATGTAGAGCCTGTTGATATGGACTTTGGACCGAGTAAACTAATTAGTCGAAAACACGCGGTTGTCGTGTTTGATTTGAATACGCAACAATGGAATTGTACTGTTCATGGTCGGAACGGGATTCGCGTGAATGGAAAGACATACGCCGCTAATAGTAGCGTTACTTTGGAGAGCGGGTACGTATCGACTAATTAAAGCGGATTTAAGCACACGAAATTTGAAACGAAATTTGTGAGTGACAAGTCCACTGTGTGCTTGAGTTTTCTCGTTTCGTTTAGGCTCGTTGTGAAGCTGGCTGTTTATTCGCTGATTGGTCTAATTTCAATCTATTTACTAACCCATTTATTGAACAGTTATATCCTTGATATTGGTGGTGTTCAAATGATGTTTGTTTTACCGGACCAGGTCGAAAGAGGAAAGAAGGAATCAACAACTTCCTCAGAACAAAAGCAGACGGCGAACGAGTCCGTTGCAAACGAACCCACCACCGACGGTGAAGCTTACCATCCGTTCGGAAACCAAAAACCACCATATAGCTATTCGGTGATGATTGCTCAGGCAATTCTTTCGACGAGCGATAGTATGATGACACTTTCGAAAATCTATTCGTGGATTCAAGATCACTATCCCTATTATCGAACTACAAAAAGTGGTTGGCAGAACTCTATTCGCCATAATCTTTCACTCAACAAAGCGTTTCACAAGGTTCCGCGTAAATGCGGTGAAATTGGCAAAGGAATGAAGTGGTCAATTGCTCCTGAATATCGCGAAGAGTTTCTTATTAAAGCACGACTTTCATCAAAACGGAAATCTTCCGAGGTTGCTTCATCTAATGATCAGTATTATGCGTCACTTAAAGAACCCAAAAAACTGCATGCGTCGCCCGCAAGGTCTCGCGAGCGTACCCCTGTCACGCCAAAAAAAAACATAGAGCGGCCGGTTGTGAGTGATGTACCAAGTACAGCCAAGTCACTTCCGACGCGAACGCCAAACTATAAAACGCCGGTACGGACTTCACTATCTGACCTCATTGCCTCTCGAGAAGGTACACCTGTCGGTCGTGAGTATACTGCCCCTTCAAGTGCGGGTTCGGTTGCACGCAGTACCTCACGATTTCCTACCTCATCACCGGCGCCGTTTTGGAAATACGTGGATATACCGAGTGTTCGCAATTGGCCTCAAATCAATTCCTATGAGTCTATTTCGCCATATCGGAATCCCATTAATAGTCACATGTTTTATTCGCCTGCACAGGCAAAACGTTCGGGCTTTGATGAGCAAGTTCATGACTTACAAGGTGTTGATTTAGTGCATGGGTTCGAGGGCATCAGTTCGTGGCGTGAGTCATTGGCTAACAAGAACTATGGCATAAAGCGTGAATCATTGACAAATGACCCGCCGATTGGTGTTCAATTTAATTCAAAAAAGACGGAGGAAGTATTACCTGCATCTCCAGAAGTCAAATCTGCTGACCTTAGCGAGCCAACACTTAATAACACGAAGAGCTCTGCGTCCAGTAGCACGATGACTGCTTCTCCAAATTCGGAGGAAATGGTAAAGGAGCATAAAGAAATGCAATCTTAAGTTTTAAGTGTGCAAACACACTCTCATTTGCGTTGTAAAACAACGTTCAGTCACCTCTTACTACCTTTTTCCTTTCCATCTAGGTTCTCTTTTATTGCTTTTTCCTTCAATTTTCCGGCACCTTTACTCCTCACATCCTAAAGAGGCAAGTGACCTACCTATCTATGTGCATGTGTTGCATCATGTGTCCCTAACTGAGCGCAATTGTGCAGGCCCTAATGTATTATTCTTTTATATTACTCTCGTTTTCGCTGATATGTCTAAGTGTCTGTATGCGATTGTGTACATATTTGCGAACAATCGAAGATGCGTGTTTGTCTGATTCTTTTCCTTTCTCTTTCTATCGATCATTCTTTACTCTATTTTTCTTTTTTATTTTTTCCTTAATCCTTGTTGCTGCCAAGAAATGTTTTTGTTTGGAATCCTCCGCAGGAATCGGTGTTCCTAATTCTGTTTATTTTATTTAGGTACCGTTCTCGTAATGTATGAATGAAGTATCTTAAGTTTATCATTTAGCCTTTACTTGTCCGCAACTGTCTACATTATTATTCTTTTCTATGCCCAAGCTATGTTCCCATATTTGGGCGACAATTAGCGTCGGCATTTTCGGCAGAAGGATTTAAGGTTTTCGGCTTTGGTTGCACGAGTAATAAGAGTTACGATTATAGATTAGTGAATAAAAGCTAAGATTAAGGTATGGTAGTCTGCTCAGCCTAAACACATTATTGGAATGAGATGAAACTAACTCATTGCGGCGTATGACTAACTTTGAATTCGCATATACTCAGCACGGAATCCAGCAAAGTTATTTGCTTCGCTATTACAGTAGCATGTTTAGTAGTTTTTCATAACTACCTTCTTTCACAATGCCGCCTTCCGCTCTGTCAAACTCGAAAGTGCTCTACCCTTACCCACCAAACCTTATCCTAAACAAACTTTGAGCTTCGCGAGAACGCCATTTTGCTTCCAAACACCAAGTCACAGCCCTACCCTACCCTCGTATTTGTGACTGCTTCAGCGTATAACAAGTTTCAACACATTCTGGCCATTTGTCACAAACCCATACCATGTCTGCTCTCACGATCTCCAAAAAGAGAAAAGTAAGTGATTGCGCTGAACTTTGTGGGCAATGACAGTTCGACGTGAAATGAAACGATATGATGATTTCCATCCTGGCACCTCTTGTCTTATGGAGCGATTCACACCCGCTTCGATGAACTTAATTTTGGACTTTCTCTGATATTCTCGTTTCAAGTATTGTCGAATACGTCATTGTCCACAGTGGATAGTTTTGAAGCTGATCCATCATACTAACCGTCCTAGTTCGTCGCTGATGGTGTTTTCTACGCCGAGTTGAACGAGTTCTTTACTCGTGAGCTCTCTGAGGAGGGTTACTCTGGTTGTGAGGTCCGTGTTACTCCTTCTCGCTCGGAGATCATCATCCGTGCCACTCACACCCAAGATGTTCTTGGAGAGAAGGGACGCAGAATCCGTGAGCTTACCGCTTTGGTCCAAAAGCGTTTCAAGTTCGCCGAGAACACTGTCGAGCTTTACGCCGAGAAGGTTCAAAACCGTGGTCTTTGTGCCGTCGCTCAATGCGAGTCTCTCCGCTACAAGCTTTTGGCTGGTCTCGCTGTCCGTCGTGCTGCCTACGGTGTTCTCCGTTACGTTATGGAGGCTGGTGCTAAGGGTTGTGAGGTTGTCATCTCTGGTAAGCTTCGTGCTGCCCGTGCTAAGTCTATGAAGTTCGCTGACGGCTTCATGATCCACTCTGGTCAACCCGCTGTCGACTTCATCGACTGTGCCACTCGTCACGTCCTCCTTCGTCAAGGTGTTCTCGGTGTTAAGGTTAAGATTATGCTTCCCGAGCCCAAGACCCGCCAAAAGAAGTCTCTTCCTGACGCTGTTGTCGTCTTGGACCCTAAGGAGGAGGCTCCTATCACCGAGCCCTACACCGTCGTCAACCAACCCGTCGGTGCTCCTGCTGAGGAGGCTGCCGTTGAGGAGGCTCCTGCTGCTGCTCCTGCTGCCGCTGCTGCTTTCTAAAATAATCTCTGCTAGCCTTGGTAAATATAGCATGGTGTTTTTGCAACAGTATATGTATGAGGTGGTTTTCGTAGATGCGTGTTGGGTTGTTTTCTTCTATGCTTGCTTAGCGAATGTCGGATGGTATGGGTTTATTTCTTTAAATGCATTTCGTTGCTTTGCGTCTATCTATTCCTAGACCTGTGCCTGTCCTTCTGCGGTTTTCTGTTGCGTTTCGAGAATCGTGATTTTGTCGCAGAGTCTCTTATAAGCATCGTCAATCTGATAAATTGTGTCTGTTAGAAAATAACATGACGAAAAAAGTCGGTATGGAGGGTTTATACTTACGTCTTCAAGCAGTCGTTTCGCTTCAGACTCAGTCTCTTCAGCAAGAGAATGACTGTTCACAACTTCTTCAGCTAATCGAGCTTTGACTTGTGCAATTGAATGTGGAGGGCCGTGAGTAGCTTCTTGTGCCAGTGCTTCTAATTGAAAGCCAGATGCTGTAGTGAGTTAATGTTTTGCTTTAGATCGAATAAAGACGCATGATTCTTGTTTTTATTTTTATCGTGTAAAAATTCAAATTCATACGTGCGTAAATGGCCTTGATCGTTTCTGAAATAACGAACTGTCAATCACGCTAACATACTTCTGTACTTGTCACCGTATTTTCTAATAAATTGCAGTGATCTGTATATTTCGATTGGCAAATTATCAGTAACTGAAGTGCCGAGAACGAATTAGTAGTTATACTAAACAGAACAAAAATCCCTACACTCGGTAAAATCCAGAGGATTAATAGAGTTGTCAATGTTAGATTGTGTTTCTTTTTCCATCATTACAGGAAAAAAGTGATGTTTTTCTTCGTCTGGCCTGTTCAAGTTTTTTCAAAGGTTTAGTAACGAAATAATATTAGGAAAAAAGTACATAGAAATTCAAGCACAATTGTATAGACTGAAAAGCTGGATTTAAATTTTAACCTTTACACAAAGCAACATAATAAGGACGAGAAGACTTTAAGGTGATTATTTCGTTTGTTGCAATGATGCGTGCTACTGTCAGCATACACAGATTTTTCTCCAGCACTATATGATTACAGACGTATTCGCAGTTACGGTGTGCAGTTATACTGGTACTATATAACTGCTAGGGTATCTGTTTCAAACAAACTAACGGGCCATTTTTCATTGTGTACATCAAATACCAGTTTCTAGATATTTAAAAAAAGGCTTTATTAAAACGATGTGCCTATAAATGCTGCTTCCTTCTTTCACTTCTAATGACAATTGTTTGTGAATAAAAAAAAATAAAAAATAAAAAATAAAAAAATTTAACCCAGCTATTCACTGACCCTTAGTATAATCTATTCAATGTCTCCATCTAAGCCAAAATCTATATTGATCAACGAAAACTAATACTCAGTTCATGTATCTTACTCAATAGTAATGTAGTCCGGGTCATTAAGAGTCTGGTAAAATAATGAGGTACCTTGTCCAAATAAATGCAATACACAACGTATTATAGCATAATTAGAACAAAGTACACTCTTCTCATTACATAACGTAATTCTCTCTCTGTTTTGTTCGATTTATTGCTGCAATTTGGCACGCTCGCTCGCTGTCTCCCTACCAGAACGTGTCTCAGCAAATGCGAATTTTATGTGTCGCTGAAAAGAATTCTATTGCAAAAAGCGTTGCTAGCATTTTAGGTGGAGGCCATTTTCGTCGTGTATGTATCTGTTTTTACAATTGTGAATTTGTTGCTTTGCAATGGTCGCGTTTTTAATTAACGGGTTGACTCACATAGCGATTTGTTACTTTTTTGCTAACGAACATACGTAGAGAGACACAAAGAGTAAATACATCAAAAATTATGATTTTGATTACGATTTTGGAGGCCAACTGGGTGATTGCAACGTTACAATGACTGCAGTGTCGGGTCATTTAACAGAAGCATCCTTTCCTCCTGAGTACTCGAGTTGGAGCTCTGTGCCGCAGGAGGTCTTATTTGATGCACAGATTCGTATAAGTGTGTCAAAGGTATGGATTTTTTAAGACGATGGAAGTCTTAACCGTTATAGAATTCTGCTCCCTTGGCCGACAATATACGAAGAGAGGCATCCAACGCAGACTATCTATACATATGGACAGATTGTGATAGAGAGGGGGAGTATATTGGAACTGAAATTTCAAATGTTGCAAGGTCGGGTAACTCAAGAATTCGAGTATTACGCGCTGATTTCAACAATCTTGAACGAACGTGAGCATCAGTACCCTTATCATCAAATACTAACCAAGAAGTCATATTATTCGAGCTGCTCGCAATCCACGAAATTTAAATCAATGGGCTGCAGACGCTGTTGCTGCTCGAATAGAGCTGGATTTCCGGCTGGGAGCAATTTTCACTCGTATACAAACGCTACAACTACAAAAGGCTTTTGAAATCCTAAAAAAAAGAGTTATCAGTTATGGACCTTGTCAATTTCCTACATTAGGATTTGTCGTCGATCGTTGGCAGCGAGTGGAAGACTTTCTGCCGGAACAATTCTGGTCCATAAAACTACAGGATCGAAGACAAGCAAAAACAGTAACATTTAATTGGAAGCGTAACAGAGTGTTTGATCATCTTGCTGCTCTTGTTTATCTTGAACGGTGTCTCGAGGCAAAAGTTGCAAAAGTCACCAACGTTGTACAAAAACCCAAAACCAAGTACAAGCCGCTTCCACTAACTACGGTTGAGCTTACAAAACTTGGCCCCAAATTCTTACGCATTAGTGCGAAAAAAACACTGGAGGTATGCTTACCTTGTTTTCTCTATGACTTTGTTGGCTAACCCAAAGATCGCCGAGCATTTATATACTAATGGTTTTGTATCCTATCCAAGAACAGAAACAGACCAATTTGATCCAGGAATGGACTTACAAACCTTAATTAGCAAACAAACAAGCGATCCTAGTTGGGGTACTTTTGCATCCGAGTATGTATCAACTCTTTAGCGATTTCAATCAGTGAAGGTATTTACTAAAACATTACCTAGTCTACTTTCTGGAAACTTTCGAAACCCAAGAAGTGGGTCGCATAATGACAAAGCTCACCCCCCTATCCATCCTATTGCCCATGTAACACAAAATGCACTTCCTTCACAAGATCACTGGAAAGTGTACCAGTTCATCACCCGTCGGTTTCTTGCTTGTTGTTCTGACCATGCACGTGGTGCAGAAACAATTGTTGAAGTAACTATGGGCGATGAACAATTTTCTCAATCGGGATTGACTGTATTAGAGCACAACTATCTTGATGTGTATATATATGAAAAGTGGAATAGCTCAGCCCAGTTGCCCGTATATGAGATGAATGACGAATTTGTTCCCCGTCAAGTCAACATAATAGAGGGGGCTACAACATCGCCTACATATCTCACAGAGCCAGAATTAATTTCATTAATGGATGCCAATGGAATTGGCACAGATGCAACAATGGCCGAACACATTGAAAAAGTACAAGAACGGGAGTATGTCTTAAAACGCAAACGGAAAGGCAAAGGTTCTGGAGCCGGTGTCTCGGAATTCGTTCCGACTTCTCTCGGCGTAGCCTTAGTCAAAGGTTATGATGAAATAGGGCTGGAATGGAGTTTAACGAAACCGTTTCTTCGTCGCGAAATGGAAGTACAACTTAAAAACATTGAAAAAGGGCAGTCTTCAAAGAATGTGCTTGTTGAAGTTACTCTCACGCAGTTTCGTGATGTTTTTCATTTGACAAAAACGAGATTTGAATGTTTGTTACGGGTATGCACAGGATGAATCTTCATGCTACGAAAACTAATGAACTAACAAAATTGGATAGAGATGTAAAGAGTATCTAGAAGGTCAATGACGAAAACGACACAAAACAAGAAATGCCTAGTTTAAACCGACACCTCGTAAACTAACATCCCAAAAGCAAATCTCAAACCCTTCCTTACCGCGCACATCCGTCCCGTCCTTCAGAATTCCCCCCGTTATCGACTTTCAGTACCGAAACTGACTATTGCACGCCCCCGGACCTACCGACACCTCCCCGAGCTATACCAGCCCTAAGATCAAGTACTTACTTCTGAACTGCCTTCCTTCCTGAACTACTTGCGTTCATTTACATACAAATCTATACTTCCAGCCTCTTTGTCTCAAGGTTCAATCATTACTGAACTGTGTTCACCAAAAGTCATTTTTTCCAAGTTTAAAAAAAACTTCCAATTATCTTCTTGAAAGCGTCACCAAAAAATGCCAGAAAGCAAACGCGCCGTCGTAATAATCCATTATTGGGACAAGCGGGTTCCTATCGAGGTCAACCTGAATGAGAATATGCAACACTTATACAATCTTGTCGCTCAAGCGCTCGACATTCCCGAAACCGAAGTCAGCTTGGTTTTCGCTGGTAGACGGTTAACCCATATGAATGAAAAGTTGTCCAAGTATGGTATAAAAAACAAAAGCAAAATTCTGTGCCGTAAACGTCACAAGAAGCACCATCGGTCTGCTCAAGCAGAAGATGATAACGAAGAAGCAACCACTGAGCCTGTTGTTGATGAGAAACAACAACCTAGTGCTTCAAGTCCTGTTATGAAAGAATTACAGTCCATAACAGATCATGTCGATGCTGAACTTGAACCTGCTGTGAAAACTTACATTAAGTCTCCTCCAGAGGTCCCGAAAAAACGACTGGAGCGCAATATTATGCTCAGCGAATTGCTTTTACAGCAGCTATTTAAGCTGGATGCCGTCGAAACTCAAGGCAATCCCGTTATGCGGACACAGCGCAAGGCTACTGTAACAAAAATCCAGGACCTGCTACAACAACTGGATCAAAACAAGCCAGTTGGTGTCCATTTGTAACGCATGTTACTGATACACTGCTTATAGTGAGAATTATAAGCGGAGTGGGTAATGTTTGACTATTCTTCAAGCTTAACGCCTGTCAAAGCAGTAATCAATAATGCTACCTTTTCTTTTCCTGATCGACCATTACCATGACTTTTTTTCTTTAACATTACATCTCATGATATAGCCTAATGTATATAATATATACCTGCCAATGACAACACCAGCGTCCATGCCACTCGAACCCAGACCTATTTTCCTTGCAATGACTCCTGGCTTAAGGAAGGATGTCCTGCAGATCGTGACTAGAAAAGCTTAAGATTTGATCACTAGCTTTAACAAGTTCAATGCCGGCCTTCGAAGCAACTTGGGTCATTTCTAACCACTGAGCTGGAGAGACAGCCAAACCGGTGGAAGCATATCCACCGGCATTTAAGATAGAGCGTGTGTAGGCAATGTTCCCCGAAGGTTGGACGGCCACGGCATACGTTGCTTGAGACACACTAGCTTCTTCAGGAGTCGGGTCGATGAGGACCACTTGATCAACAACCGAAGCAGCAACAATCACAGACATGGCATCCAAACCTTGCAAGGGCAATGCATGGTCCCAATCAGGATCTGCGTCGAACTCCTCCGATGGCTCGTACTTGGATGATCCGATGATGTCTTCAGAAACGTCTGGAGTAGATATACGAGGAATCCGCGTACACAGCAAGGCCAAACGAGTGGCCAAGCTTAATGCTGTAAGCAATTGCTCGTCGGCAACAGCACATGTTACCACCACAGCATCCACATACACTGTCCAAGCACGAGAGGGTGTAAACTGCAAGTATTTTGTGTCTAATTGATCCAACAACGCTTGCATCGATCTCGTCAAAAATGCCGGTACTGGATCATTCTCTCGATTCTGTTGGGCAATAAATGTCGGACTGTCTTCGAGTTAGTACGGAAACGAACAAAAAAGGAGCAGAAGTCCATAGCGGAAAAAGATGAAATGGTATCATAGTCGACATGGTGTAGCAAGGACCTAGGGAACGAATTTTTAAGCAATCAAAAATGATAGCAGACCGAATTATCATTCACTTCACCGTAGACACTCTGCTTTTACTCTTAACTTACACTTCAACAGAAGCAAGAAACGCACCACCACGCTTGGAATCTGCTTCACCAATCTCAGCCTTAACACCGACAACAACCTCAACAACTGAACCGCATTTTACACGCGCAGAACCATTCGCACCTGGCAAAACGTCGACTTGACCGGAAAAAGCACGCAGCTGGTTCGCAGCACGTCCATCATTTCTGATCGGTGGCTGGAAGTCTGTTAAATTTTTATGAGTGTACGATAGCTGAGGCAGCGAGAATTGCATTTTTTTTAAGGCAAGGGTTTTTTTGCGTGGATGAGTGCTGCGTTTCTGTTGTTCAACTGTGGTGGTGAGCTGGGGTAGCGAGCAGTAACGTAACGGGCGCCTACCAAAGTAGCAATAAGTCGTGGTGTTTATGAAGGATGAACGAGATACTATACTGGTAGTGGTGGTAGTGGTCAATAATAGTATGATAGAGCTGAAGCAAAGAATAGGAAGAAGGCAAAAGAATGAAAGCATCAAAATAATTTGTAAGAACATCTTTAAACGTTCCTAAAACAAGAAAAGAGCAGAATAAAACGAAGCAAAATTAGAGGTGCAGCCATGTGTAATGGCTCTTAAACACCTTGGAAACGAAACGTTATTTAAGTTAAGACTCAACGGGACACAAAAAGTGACCAGCTTAAGCAGATTCTTCTTGAATAGGCGTGTAAGAGTCATAGCGAGAACGAATGTGTCTGTAGGAATAATAACAAATGGCACCAATCGCCGAGAAAGCGAGGATACCGGCCATGACCCAAAGGAATATAGAGAGGAATGAGTGATTAGGCACTATTGTGACGGGGTCTGGCAGCATCAAAATTTGAGAAAAGTCATTATCAAAGAAGGCACTCACCAGAGCCAACATTTCATAAGGATGGTCATAGGGTACCATGTGACTGGAGTTGCGAATGGTAGCATACGTAAGATTGCGCTCCGAATGAATTATACCAGCAGCAGCCGCATATTGCCCGTATTCGAGAGTATTGGCTTCTGAATAACGTGGATACCAGTCGGCGTTAGAAGCATTCTCAAAACCACGTTTACCCGACCATTCCAAATTAGAAATGAGGAATTCACCGCTGACATAATTGCACAAAAAGTCATTTTCGCCATAAAATAGCATGACTGGAATTTCCTCAAGAAGTTCGGCAATTGTGAAACGCGTGCGAAACACGTTTGTGTCTGCATAAAAGTTGCTCACAAGCGATGAACACTCCTCCCAACGGGAGACTTTGTCCGAAGCGACATGAAGGGCCTTCATGACATCGGGACTACTCAGAAAGTCGGTAAGTGCTGGAAGTTCCAATGGCCATTCCATGCCACAAGATGGGTAAGGGGAGGTCAGGGTCACATCGTACATATTGAAACAAAATTCACCGCTTTTGTCTGAGACCGAAAAGAGAATGTCGAAAAGGTACTTGTCACATGAATTCTCATCCTCCAACATCCCTGAAGCAGATTGTTCCAGTGACATGAGACACTTAGCTTGCACTGCAGTAAGAGCCTCAAACAGCGCAGAACCACGCTCCAACAGACCACGTTCAACCAAATAGTCAAGGTAAGTCAAGTAATGGGAGGCAGGCTCAATCCAACCGTTGCCTATAGCAATTCCAGACAAGTTAACGATGTCCGAATCAATAACTTTCTTTGCAATTGCAGGAATATATTGTCCGGCAAACGACTCACCAGCAATGTACCAAGTATCCGTAGCATACTCGGGGAAGGCCTTCACAAACTCTTGCAAAAAGTATGCAAAGTCGTTTGACATTTTTTCATTATCATTTAAAATGGCATCACGAGTATCAGCAAAACTGAATCCAGTGCCCATGGGCTGGTCCACGAATAAGACATTTCCGAGACGAACCCAGCTTGCCGCGTTATAATAGACGAGTGAATCATTTGTCAATCTCAAAGGACCAAGTTCAAGCATACTTCCATCTTCCGAAGAACATCCAGGGCCTCCATTAAGCCAGATAATCTGTATTTTGTTTTGTTAGAATGAATTACTGGATCGTAAAAGGACATGCGTACCGTGCGGTTCTGATGAACCTCGTTTTCTGAGCCGTACAAAGTAAAAAACAAATCACCCTCCAGTTTATCTGTCAAATTCAAATATCCGGAGTGGAGACTTCCTGTGTAACCCGCAGGAACATTTGGAATGCTACTAACGTGCCATTGCTCGTGAACCTGAGATTTAGCCTGAGCGGAGTTAAATTGGAGAAAGAAAAGGCCTGCTACACGTAGCAGAAAAGAGAGACTCATAGAGAACGACAGAAAACAACAAATAAGTTGCGAATCACACCGCTCAGAGGTGGTGGTAGAGGGAGGAATTCACTCAGGTACCTTCTTAAACATGAAAGGAAGGCGGCGTTTATCAATAGAATTAAGGTAGTTGATAAGCGATATCTGACATCATAATTAGAGACACGTGGTGGGGATCAATAGCGTGGCCAAACGTATTCCAAAGTAAGGGTAAGACACGAAGATGGGTCGAGAGGGCGACTGGGGAGAAATGAATGTGTCGTCCATAGGAACGACCGTACACAATATGCAGGAACTATATCTTATAGGTTCTATTCCATCACGGCGGTTAGATCAAGTTGCTAATACATTAACACATCTTCTGGGTGATCCTGTGCCTGTCTTGGACTTTTGTATGGTTTTTAAGCCTAAAGGTAAGCTTGGATGCGCGTCCGCGTTTTCCTCCAGTATCCTAATTTACTTCCTTCTCTGAACCCCCACATCCCCACGGGCGTTCATTTGGTGGAAAGTATATATCCGCGGTGTCGCCTCGCTTTTTCCGAAAACTCACCACCAAAAATAGATGTCCCACTTACATTGCCGTCTATGCCAGAATCCTGGCTGCGGCTCTCAGCGGATGTTAAAGCACTGGACGAGTCTGATGCTGAGTGGAGCCGGAAAGCACAATGGTATGTTATGAATTTCTTAGGAAAAAACTTCTTATTTTTTGGTGTGTGTTGGTTGCATTCAATTCGTAGTGAACAACGAACACCAAAATGAATTATGTGGTTATGAGAAGAAAGCTAATTCAAATATTTGTATAGGAAATTGCGCCTAGAAGGTGCCTCTGAACCGAAACGACAAAATAAATGTGGCATCCGGCCCGTGAACGAAGCCAAGTTCACAGATGGACCTGTATTAGAGTTTGTGCAAAAAATGGGTTATGAGTATGTTGCACCGCATAGCTTAGAAACGATTGCCTAACAACCAATCTGTTTAGATTCTCTCATGAGTACATTGTACAGGGCCTGGAGTTCACGTATGACACATGCAAAGTACTGATGTTTCAAACATTATTGCCTTCGCAGCCGCACATCATACAGCCTCCGTTTCATCCCTTAAATGAGACATGGATTTTGCAAGCGAAGGCGATTGTCTTGGATGCAACAAACCAGCGTGAAATGATGGTTCAATCGCAAAGACTTACCTCCTTGCAATCGCTTTTATCGAGTGTATGTGATTTAAGAAATGAACGACTTTAAGTCAGTTGTGTAAGAGGAGTGTGTTTTTGTAAATTGGGTGATTTAGCAATGATTCGGTAGCAAAGAAATGTTCATTGAATAAGTAACAAGGTTGGTCGCCATTATGCGACAATGCCAATGTACTCGGCCTTTTTGTATTTTTCCACAAGTTCGGGAAATTGAACCAGAAAGCGGTCAACAAATGGCATCAAGATTTTGCCTGAGAGTGAAAGACTGCGTACTCTGGCAAATGATTCAACGTAAACTATTTTAATAGGTTTACCCAAAAGCTAGTGCATGGTTAGTTAGCGAACTGTCAAATGTATGAAAACTTATACGCTTACCCGCGCTAGCATTGCTGAAAAGCATATGAGTACACAAGTTCCCGGACCATTGCATAAAAGGACGTCTGGTGTGCCGAATTCGTTCATGAAAATTACTCTAAGAGCTCCAAAAAGTGAAATAAAAGCAGTAAAAGGTGTTGTCAACCATGATTGCTTCACATATCGAGCCCTTGGCACAGAAAGAAGCTGCGTTCTCAAATCTGCTTGCTGAGACATCAAAACCTTAGCCTTTTTCTGACTCATTTTGTCATCTCTTCCAGTAACATATGTTCGAACAGGGTACAACGTACTGTTCAATGCGTTTAATAAGCTCATCATTTCAGCCGTATGGCCCCCGGACCCAAAAAAAGCGAGCAAATGTTTTTCTGCAGCATGTGATGATTCACTGGCAAACGTAGTGCGATGAAGAAGGATAGGAAGGCATGGGAATAAAAGGAGTATGCTAATTAATAAAATTGTGCGCATTTCAGTTATGACAGGTTTTTATTTAAATAGAACATATCCCTATGGTTAAGCGAGGGTAAAAAAAAAACGAAATAACGCTAACGAATAGAAGATCCTTTTAATCTATACAAGAAGTGTTCATTTGTTACAAGAAACAAGAGAAGGCTGTTTCAGAGCTTTTTTGAATGAGAAAAAAAGTAAAGAAAGTAAAATTATAATATATGTTATGCAAGGGTATCTATCATTATTAAAATTCGTAGCCTTCGGTTTAAAAAACATGAAATGAGGAACATCGAAGTATTGGAAGTGAACGGCACAAAAAGAAATTGGAGCAAAATGTGAGAGTAAATTTAACCCGTTTCAAATCGTTTGTCTCACTGAGGAGTGTCGCTAGAAAGTTCAGGGAACAAAGTACAGACAATGATATCAAGAAGTGAGTACATTACATGTTTCGTTCGATACTCATCGTGAACCAAAAACAAAAGCTTTTCGGTTGATAATATGTCTGGTAACAGCGGGAGCTTTGATATTTCATCCAGCGCATGATCATAAGCATTAGAGTATGAAGGTGTGAATATTGTGCTTCCATCCATTGTTGTGCCACTAGAAGGCCGACTGGATCCATTAGATTGCGAGGCACTTTTCAGTGCAGCGTGAGCACCAGAACTAGATGGTGAGGAGTCGGAAGGTAGGTGTAATGATGATTGTGTACTCGAGGGTTGAACAAACTGAGCCTTGGGAATGACATTGGATAAGGAAACGGAAGACGATCCAGCGCTTTGCATAGGAAGAAATTCGCCGCTAGCAAGAGTTGATACAGACACTGTTCGCTTGTGCATATCATGCCGCGGAGGACAAAGGGACACGTTTGGTGGTTCGCTAAGGTTTTCCTTGAATCTACGTCTGTGTAAATCGCGCGCTCTGAGGGTACGAAGTGTTTCACCTGTTTTCCGTTTCACATAGCGCCGTGAAGCCATCGAATGTAGTGTAGTTGTTGCTGTGACTTTCTCAGCTGAAGTGTTTACACGAACAGTCATTCTGTCGAGGACAAGAACGATGGCTGTGACAACTACAGTTTCGGCAATAGCAGCAGCGCCTACCACAAACCAAGGAAAAAGGAAGGCGTAAGCCAATATACTAGAAACAGTAGTGGTGTCACGAAATTGTTCTTTCCGACACAAAGTAAACAGCCGTACAAATACACGGAACCATTGCACAGAAAATATATGGAGGCCCTCAGTGGTTGCAATTATATACATTGCCCTCGAGAGATTAAAGAGAAGTGCCTTTGCACGGATAAGCAAGGAACTTTTGGGTGAGTTCACGACGAAGTCAACGACACGCATTAAAGCAGAATAATAGAAATTGGGTTTTGATGTCGCGACAATGAGTCGATGAACTCCACTAGCTAAAATATCTTGTAAAATGACGAACTCAACTTTGCTTTTCACATTCGGAGGTGGAAGCAATAGCTTTAACGTGTTACGCAAAATTAGTCGACAATAAAGTAACTCGTTTTCCTCACTATTCATAGCAATATGTGGAAACTGCTGGTGATAAAGTTCTCCAAGACTGTGTCGACTGCCGCGTGCTGATCGTAATCTACTCATAGATTGTTGCATGCAATCCAAATGCTCACCAAGAATCCAAGGAATTTTAAAAAACAGCAGTTCAAAGGCATCCTTTTTCGAGAATCGAGAGTCAATCTTGTCAAGAATTCTTTTTACAAGATCAATACATTCTGTCGGGAAGGAAGCATTTTGACTAATACGATTAGCGTACCACGAGAATACCTTTTCGTCTAAAATCTCAAAAAGCTTTTCCTCCACGAGAGCTGATAATTTCAGCATCGCAGAGTAGGAAGACACCCGAAATACGCAATTTCTAAAATCGTACTGTTAGGAAAATGATTTCCCTGTATACGCTATGATTCAAACAGAAAACCGGAGAAATAGATCCTATAGGCCAATTTCTGTTTTAAGATACAAACAAGGGTAAAGCTGAAAAAGACGGTACTAGTTGATCGATTGAAAGCTGAAATGTCGTTGAATTGGCGAATATTACTGAACTTATCGTCAAGTTTTTGACTTCCCACTAATAACGTGTGGAGGCGTTCTGTCCACACGAAATCTCAAAGCACTATTAAACCGTCGTAAAGAGCGGTCCCTGGGCTTAATATGGTGTTACCGTAGCTCTTTGGACGAAGCGATGATACAACTAAAATGATAGCTCCTGACTGGTGGTCGGATGAGGGGGGAAAGAAGCTTGCAGACAGAGAGCATTAAAGGGTCTTACAAAAGGTTCACAACTTAGAGTTGCATAAAGTGGCCCACCTTACAGAAATTACATTAGCGGAGAAGAGAGAACGTCTGTTATTCTACCTAAGAAATGCCTGTATGCCGATCAGGTACACAGGCCAAATAAAGTACAGCAAGATATAAGCAAGCGGAAAACCGCACTATCAAAGTTGATAAGCCTACAGCAAGTAATAATAATACACACAGACTAGACGGTGTGAAAACCCCAAAAGAAAGAGAACTGAATACTTACCATTGTCAACTAAATTGATTTGCATTCTGTTGAATCAATTAAGAAGACTTTAAAGTAGAATTTTGAGGTTCAAATTGATGGGGTTCAGGCTTCACTGGAACGGTTTCATTTCCCGCAATCTTCTTTGCCTCTGCTTCTGTCGCCTCACGTATGCGCTTGCCCAACTCAGGATCAACCCGGCTAAATACTCCGTACTGACGCTCGCGGACATTTGGAATAGCGTTGCACAGATGAACAGAGACATTGTAGACAAAATGGTCTTGCTGATCCTTCTGTTTTCCCATTAACTTCCACAATGCTCTTGGTTGTTCAAAATCAACATCGGTAAGCTCGTCCATGTGATACGTAACCTTGCCAATCCAGCGTTCATGTTCAGCATCGGGTTCATTCTTTTCCTTATCGAGCTTTTGAGTAGAAGAGGGGTAGTTGGGAAGGTCAAATTGATTAGCGCCAACGTTCATGGGTCCATCACGGGAGTAATTGAAAACTGGGTTCACTGGACAATTGATGGGAATTTGTTCAAAGTTTGCGCCCAAACGATGACGGTGGGTGTCAGGATACGAAAAAGTTCGCACTTGCAAAACTGGGTCTGCAGAGACATCTATTCCTGGAACCATGTGCGAAGGAGAGAAGGCGACTTGCTCCACTTCGGCAAAGTAGTTTGTAGGGTTACGGTTCAAAGTAAACTTGCCAACAGGAATTAAAGGAACATCTTTGTGAGGCCATACCTTCGTCAGATCAAAGATGTTGTAATGGTACTGCTCTGCTTGCTTTGGTGTCATAATTTGAACATATAAGGTCCAACTAGGGCAATCGCCGCTCTCAATGGCCTCAAAAAGATCCTGGCCAGCAAAATCCGGATTCTTACCACCAATCTCAGCTGCAGTGTCATTGTCCAGATTCTTTATACCCTGATCAGATATAAAATGCCACTTGCAGTAAAAGAACTCGTTCTTGTCATTTACAAACTTATATGTGTGACCAGAGTAACCATTCATAAAACGTACACCATATGGAGTTCCACGGTCGGAGAACAGTATCATTACCTGATGAATTGACTCAGGATTCAAGGACAAATAATCCCAAAACGCGGTCGCATCCTTTAAGTTCGTCTGGGGATTTCGCTTTTGTGTATGGATGAAGACGGGAAACTTGGCTGGGTCGCGAATGAAGAAGACAGGTGTATTGTTGCACACCATATCAAAAATACCCTCTTCCGTGTAAAACTTGAGGGCGAAACCACGAGGATCACGAGCAGTATCTGGTGTACCGCGTTCACCTCCAACAGTGGAAAAACGAGCGAACATTTTCGTCTTCTTACCAACTTCGGAGAGCATATTCATCTTCGTATACTTTGTGATATCATTCGTCACCTCAAATACGCCATGGGCACCAACACCTTTTGCGTGAACGACACGTTCAGGAATACGTTCGCGATCAAACTTCTGAAACACGTCAATCAAATGAAAGTCTTGTAACGGAATTGGTCCATTGCGACCAATACGTTGGCTAGCCAAAGGATTGAATATGGGACAGCCGGTGCTAGTCGTGTAAGTCGGGTGGTCGGGAACCTCCTTTTTCTCGTTAAATTCGTAAGGCATTGCAATTATAATACAGTACTTCGAGAACGAAAGTTAAGAAATAACAAACGTTTCCAAAAATAAAAGGTAAAATGTACAGAAAGGTTCCGACAGCTCAATTATCGCGCTAATACCTTCTTCTTAAAGTATACAAAATTAAGTCTTCGGTGGAGACTCTCAGTTTGTCAAAAGTCTTCAAATTGGTAATTGGTAAGGTAGAAAAAGGAGGAAATGTCCTCTCTTGTACTTTTTCAGGATTTAGGTATTTACGTCATATATAATTACCACGACGGTCATACGTCGATCAAGACTTGATTTCGCCGAAATCTTATTTGCAGAAGTATCGCACTCTATGACGTTTAAATAATAAACCCTTTGCATTGGACGTCGCACTCTTGCACGCACAAAGAAGCGAATTCTGTAACCAACCAGCAAACGCGTATTATGTAATCTCATGAATCCGGAATTTTTATTATGTAACCATTATGTAAATTCACTGCTACAGTACTGGGCTAGAATGATACGCTTACAAAACAGTCAAATACTAGTCCAGACAATCTGCTAGACACTTGATAAATCATAATTCAGCAAGAACAGACACCTTTGAGTTACAGATGCAACGTGAATGAATAGTTTAAGTTTAATTGCGCTACTCCAGCGAAAACACCGCTGCGTTTGTCCACAGTTTCACGATTTGTTAAGCGACAGCTTTCGTGTGTAATAGATGTAATGATGTCTGCACAAGATAAGTGAAGGGGGAAACCACATGAGTCACCCATTGTTAAAGGAGTTAACATCCGAAAGGCGTTCTGATAATTGGTACTACTCAGATTGAAAAAATTCCGAACAAGTCAATGAAGTTAGTGCGACTGATTTCCTTTTATATGTCGTTTATGTGTGGGCACCAGAAATTGTATGGTGTCACAAGACTATGTTGAGTTGTATTCCGAGATGCAATGACTTAGTATTACATTAACCCAATCACTTATCTGGTGGTGAATTTCAAAGAAATAAGGTTTCGCCTAAAGCTACTTTAATAAATGACACAAAATAATCAAAAACGAAAAATGAAGAACTGCGATTCTTTTGAGCAGTCCTTGATCAATTGAGTATTAAAACTTTATGATGTCGGAAAAGCAGGTATAAGCATGTGCCCGTATTCGTCACTTGTTCCCTGTATTTTTCTCTGTAAATCATGCAAATATACAGATTCGTTCGAGTCTAACAAACTATTTATACCCCCTCTAGTGTATCTTTTTTATTTTTGTTATGTTTTCTCTTCTACGTCAAACTCTTACAGCAGTCATTTTTTCTTCTAGTCATACTGTCCTCGCCCTTGGCAGTTCGTCCATTGCTCTTCCTCTCTCTACGTAAAAGATGCCGAAAAAACTTGAGACCTCTACAAACAACCGGGATTTCATACTAGAGGCTCTTTCTAATGGCGTGCGGTTGGACGGGCGTGAAATGCACGCGTTCAGACAACCCGTAATAAAGTTTGGCGATAAGTTTGGTGAAGTTGATGTCTCCTTAGGTGAGACACGGTATGTTAACAAGATCTGTTTCCAAAGAATGTCCAGGCTGACAGTTTTTCAGTGTATTATGCCACATCACGGCTCAAATCGCGAAACCGTATCCAGACAAACCTTTCGATGGCATTTTCACCATTCACACAGAGTTGACGCCAATGGCTCACCCTTCTTTAGAGGCGGGAAGGTATGTACAGGTGTTGAATTCTTTCTTCACACTTACTCTTATTCATTTATGTTATAAGTTTCCGAAATTGATTTTAACATTATGAACTAAGACTTTCTGATCAAGAGGTTCTTATTTCTCGACTCATCGAAACCTCTGTCCGTCGTTCCCGTGCTCTTGATACCGAGTCCTTATGTATCTTGTCGGGTCAAAAATGTTGGAGTGTTCGTGCTACGGTTCATTTCGTCAACCATGATGGAAATATGGTTGACGCAGCTTGTCTTGCTGTTGTCGCTGCTTTGTGTCATTACAGACGTCCGGATGTTACGGTCACCGGTGAAGAAGTAGTTGTGGTACGCTCTCCATTATTGCTTCGTCTCAAAACAGCTTGGGCGATCATCTTTATACTTGTTGCATGCTGGCGCTAACACAATCATTTTAGCATTCACCAGAAGAAAGAGTCCCTGTTCCTCTTTCCGTCCTTCACATGCCCATTTGTACGACGTTTTTCTTTTTCCATGACGGAAGTATCTCAGTCACTGATGCTACTGCTGAGGAGGAGGAACTGTCCACAGGTACTATGACCATAACACTCAACAAAAACAGGGAGATTTGCCAGTTCTTCAAAGCAGGCGGTGTTCCCATTGATCAAACAAAAATCATTTCTTGTGCACACGCGGCCTTCAAAAATACGCAAGAAATCTGCGAGCAGCTAAAACAGGTTTTGGCCCAAGACTTACAAAAGCGGGAAACCCAATACTTGGGTGGTTCGGCAGAAAATGCTAGATCTTAAATAAACTTGGATAAACCAATTTATCACTGCCGTCAATGGCTAACAGCTCGTTATTTCATGAATAGTCTATCTAGAGAAATTGATTTTACGAGCGAATTTTAAATAAAGGCCGGCCTACAGGCCAAAGCACACTATTACTCACCCTTCGAGTTCTCGGCCATGATGCAGCGGGCAACCGGCATTTCAGCATACATAACTATTGAACAAACGAATGTATAGCTAAGGCAGGTAGAAGAGAGTCCCATATTAAAGCGGTCAATTGGAGGATCAGACTAACACGATTGGAGTTACTGTTGATTCGAGCGTGGTGCTTCTCAACAGCACCTAAGGAAACAACGAAACACACGTGAACAAAAGAGAAACAGAATAAGCATCGGTCGAAGGGCGGTAGTAGACGAGAAGAGACTTTATATAACAAAAAGAGAGGTAGGCTGAAGATGTGTATGTAACATGCGGATTGGGAAGCAAAAGAGAGTCGGCGGCGTGGAGGGACACCGAGCTCGGTCATTGCGCAGCACGAGCATGGTAAGAAGGTAGTAAACTGCTTGCCCAAAGGAGCGAAGGAGCAACAATGTTCCATATATCAAACTCCCACCAGCAACCGCTGAACCACCTGAAATGCGTAAACGAAATGAAGTGTAGTTTGCAAACGGAATAGTATAGGGAAGAAAAGGGACGCGAAGATGGCTACATATGACTGCAGCCCAGTGAAAACAACGTGCGATACCAACCGATAAGACACGCAACGGTCGGCTCAACGCACATTGAAAAAGGGCTCCATAAGGAGGGTTTCTTAATGACTACGGCGGTCCTTCTCCAGTTCGAGTTGCTGGTAAAGTAGGTAGAGAGCTCGCTCATTTTCTTCGTGAGTACCAGTAATTGTAAACATACGTTCGCCTGTCTCGTCATGAGGCTCCTTAGCGATTGAGATCTTGCTACCACTGGAACGGCGAATTTCGGATATCTTAGAACCTGCACGGCCAATGATGCATCCAACCATATCCGCGGGGATGCTGATGTTTTGAGTAATGCGAGGCTGTTGAGGAGCAGCGGGAGGGAAAAAGTAAGGGGCAGCTCCACCGTCCATCATAGGGCTTGGAATAGCAGGAGTCATTTGCTGAGAAACAGCACGAGGAGATGTTGCAACGGTAGGGAATGGTTGGGTCAAACGGGAAACAGGGTTGTAGAAAACAGTACCGGCACCACGCTCCCAGTCATCAATCAAACACTTTCCAATCTCCCAGATTGCGGCATGGAGATTCTCAACTGTTCCGTGCACCTCAACAGTACGCTCGGTTGACTGAGGGAGCATGTCTTTTGAAGCGATCATGCGACACGAGCACTTGTCTTGGATGAGCTTGATACGGAGGCCATTACGGCCAATAATACTGCCCATCAGAGAATGGGCAATAAGCAAGCGGAGCTTGCGAGGAGCATGGGGATCCACGGGGGTTCCATTAGCATTCGTGCTGTTCTTTGCAAAAATATCGATGATAAAACGATAAGCACGAACAACGTTTTCCAAGGAGCCACTGATCGTAAGCACACGATCATGGACGTTAGGAACAGCCTTTGTAATGCCAGCCTTAACATTTGTCGTGCTACGCAGTTCGGCCACATTTTTACCAGATTTGCCGATAATGATACCTGCCTCACGTGTCGACAGCAGGGCACGAAGCGTAAGCTGCTGCGTGGCGTACGCTGCGTCATCCATCAATCCTCTCATGGGAAGCTGGTTTTGATGAGAAGGCATACCAACAGCGGGTCCAAGTTGCAGGACACCACCCATACTCACGGGGTTTGGGACCGCAGGGCCAGGAGGAGGCCGATTCAGAGGAGCCGCATTCGACTCGTCAGGCTCATCCTGAAACGTAACGTCGAAAAGTGAATTTTCCTTTTCATCTACTGCTTTGGGAATCGAAAACTGATTATATGCCATTGAAGTTACCGGAAGAACAGAGGAGGGTTGAATGTGAGACATAACGATTACAGATTTTCTGGTTTTTTAACACAAATACCAAAAAGCAAAAAAAAAAAAAATAAAGTGCAGAAAACGGAGAAGAAGGCGTCGGGTATAACAGCAAGGTTCCGGGAGTTCTGGATGAAAATCAAACGTGAGGAAGTGACTAGACCAACTATATACCACGTATTTTTTGGAAATTGCCCGTTTCTGTGGGTCGGAGGGGTAGAGGTGGTGGTTGGGGAGTTTGGGTGAGGGTGAAAAATTTTGTTGCTAGTTGCGAGGGAAATGTGGAGGAGCCTACTTATAAGTGACATGCTACTTTAATGAGGTGAAAGGAGTGGTAACGTGATGAATGAGAGATCTAGAGCTGCGCACCAGTATGAGAAAACGTTGGTGAATCGCTGTTCAACTATGTGAATATGTCGAGTTGTGGATGATGTGGTGAAAGTTAAATTCCGAACGTGTAGTAGTAAAACGCCAGTTTTCATTTAAATATTTGTGGTTAGTAACATAAAGGAATACTTGCTACCACAGCGTGAGCCCTTAAGGGTATGATGGTTTCATTTTCTAACATATCCGTTTAGACGAAGATTCTGATTTTTTGTAGTTATCACTTCTCGGAATTTGATCTAAGCCTGTCATATTATTCTATACTTACTTGAATTTTTGTTTTCTTTACTTTTTTGGTTCTTGGATATTTTAAGTATTTATCAACTATCGCCTTCTAATTGTAAAAACTTTCGAAAACATTTGAGCTTTCAGTAAACTTTTAATCACAGTGCAATGTTATATGAATTGACAGAAACTCAGCAGAAAGACTTACAATACTTTGCACCAATTGAGGGATCTCTATTAACGGAAAAGTTAAAGTCATTCGTCTTAAAGCGGAAGGATATTAATCTTGCAGATTGGATTGTAGGCATGCGCCTAGTGATGCAATCAAATGCAAAGGGAGAAGATAAAATAAAAAAAATTGACGATGCGAACACCGTGAACAATGATATCGCTATACACGATATTTTGCCAGTTCCTTCCGACGACGCCCGACAAAAAAGATTATTGAAAAACCAAGTGAGTGCCATCATCAACATACTATTTACAGTACTTGGAACAGCCACTGCCGTTTGGAAATGTGCTTCATCTTATTCAAATGAGAAGGTAATTGTTTATATGTTTAAGTCATCATTAATATTGTCTGACCTTATAGCGGGTTGCACTCTCCGGAATAAGTGCTTTTGTTGTTCTCGTTGCTGACGTCTTTCTGTATGTGCGCTACTTACAATCTTCACCTCAGAAGCCTCCTAAGCCAGTTCAACGGAAAGTAGTTTATACTTGGTCTACGGCGGATTTACCTTTGGAGGAGAAGAAGGTACAGTAAACTAGGAGTTATAGAAGATTATTACCATCCTCTCCAAGGTACCCAGATATCTGTGATAATGTCCCCACCATCTGTTACAAAATACCACGTGAAAGCGTTTGCTGTGATACACGCATGTTGGGGCACAATCCGTACGAGTTGACCTATACGAGGCAGAACATCTTTCGAATTTGAGCTCCGTAAAATTCCGTGCTCTTGACTCAACCTATCGACATACCAGTTCTCGAGGCCTTCCGTAATCACATTTCCAAACCCTGGGATTCTGCCATTTTCTCGGGACAAAGATATCACACCGGCATTTACGAGTGCCTCGCCTGGTGCGCCTTTGCGGTTGGGGTACGTGCTGATTACTTCTGCCATCACTGAACAAGCGATATTGGAAACGGAAACACATCCCGTCGCTGCTTGTTGTAAATCACAAAAAGCGTAATTACCTGTATGAATTTCCAGTCTTCCGTACAACTTCGGGACACTATCAGCTATCCACGCCTTCGTTGCATGGGCTGTTGGTGTAGCACCAACTGAAAGAACCAGAGGAGTCGATCTGTTTTTTTTATGCACATATTCAGCAGCAACGTTGGCTGCCCTGATTTCATCGAGAAGATAGTTTCTCGCTTCTTCAATACTGCTTGCACCATACGAGTGCCCTGCGTGACAATAAAACCCGAATAAGTTAATTATGCCAGAAGCGTTCAAGGTTGTATCAATCAAATCTTGCAATTCCGGGGAGCCAACTTGCAATCCTGCACGAGATGTTCCCATGTCAATTTTAATAAACACGGAAAATGGCCTCTTAATTGAGTGTTTTTGAGCAAACTGCTTCAAAATATCAATGTGCGCAAGATTGTCGATGAGCAACCGTACGGACTTTACATTTTTTGATAGTTCATAAAGTTCCTCAAGCCGAGATCGACAAACTGGTAAACCGTATAATATGTCATCTACTTTGCCAGACGCAACAACGGCAATGGCTTCGCGTATAGTAGATACAACGACAGCATTAACCCTTCCCTGCAACTGTAAATCCATAGCTTCAATGCATTTATGAGTTTTCACATGAGGACGAAACAGTGCGCCTGTTGCCTCAATGCTTTTTAGCATTTCGTCACAGTTGTTCTTCACAACCTTCTGATCTACAACAAATGCCGGTGTAGGAATTTCGTAAATTGATATTCCTACATACTTCTTCTTCAATGCATCCTTGGAGGGTGAGACATAGAATTTTGAACCAAATTTGTCCAAATCCATTATTTGAATATATTTAAAAACTTTACCAGTAATTCCTTGCCTTATATCTTTGCCAAACACCAGCCAAATTTACGGTCTATCGGCATGGAATCGGCGGAAGCTGATAAGCAAGAAGTACTAGATCTCATCCGTCATCGCGCACCCAACTATGAATGTAGTTAACAAGCAAAAAGCGATACAAGAGTACTTTAATTTGAAAAGCTACAACCGAGAATCTTTTTAATTCAAAGTTAAGTTACTTTTTGTTTTATAGAACTCCATATGCACAAAAGGAAGAACACCCCCAAAGCATTGGCGAAAGTGCAAACAAGGAAGGTTGGTAAGAATTTTACCGCGGATATGGCACCTCCAAAAAATGCACCTAATGTATCAGAAAAGGAAATTGCAATTTGTACAGCAACATTTCCCTTGACATGGTACCTAGGAGGAAGTTGCTTCGTAAGAACAGATACAGATGGCGAGCTAACAATACTGCCACTAAATAAAATAATTAGACACACAACAAAGTAAGGCTGGAGATATTCGCATTTGCACTGATGAATGATGAAATGAAGAATGAGGCCAAAGAGAAGAATTAGTAGGCCGACGATGGAAATTATACGATCTTGGAAATAGCGGGAAAGAAACGTCATGAGCAAAACAAGAGGTGAAATAATAAGAAAACCAAGAGCAAGGAAGTTTCCAGCCTGAAAAGTGGAATAATTATAAAGTTCATTCGTATACACAGGAATACTTGCGACATACACTTCCAGAGTGAAAATAGACACAAATGTAATCCAGCTGACTACAAACATCATAACATAACCGCTTTTTGTTAATCGTTGAGAGGTTTGATCAGAATCTGAAATAATGGATCCTTCGACAACAGGATCAGAAGGGATCGTTTCCAAATCGTCCCTGAATAAGAAGATCGAACTGATAAAGTAAATAGTCCAAACTATAGCCATGATCCAATTTCCAGAAGTGAACTTATCCCATACACGGTTGTTAGAATGTGAAGCAGCTTTGCTCATTAAACCTCCGAGAAATGGGCCGACCGCCATTCCCAGAGTTTGAGCCAGTGTATTACAAGTTGCCAAGGGCGTACGATATCGCGGACTCACGAGTGTTTTGTCGGTCACGTACCGTTTGTGGTACAAAAACATCGTACATGCAACCCCGAAGAACAGGCGGCTGACAAGAATAAGGTACAGCCAATTTACATAGTCAGCTAAAGAGTATAAAACATGACCAAGGATGTTTCCAACAGCGCATATAAGAATAGGCCGCTTATAAATCATGCGCCCGTTTTTGGCAATTGAAAATCTCAACATTGGATAAAGCAGAGCAAGGGCCACAATTGTTGGCATACCAATAATAATACCAGAAAAAGATGAAGTACCACCCAAATGACGTGAATACTCGGCGGAAATGGGAATGACAACAGTAAAGGATGCACATGACAGAAAATTATTCAATATAATCAGCGAAACATTTTTTAAAGGAGGAAGTAGCTTCTCGTTTTCCGGCGTCACTGAGGAGTGCTGTTGAGTACTTGTAGACCTTCGAGAGACTGTACTGTGTGGTCGGCTCACAATGAATGTGTGCACTTCTTTCTTTTTCACATCTGACAATTCCAATGCATTTTGAGCCCCTGCCAAGGAATCTTCTAAGTTTACAACCATATTTGTTAAAAACCCCTCTAAAATTAAAACTCTTTATACAAGTTTTTGTGAAAAACTAAAAGCCGATCGGTATCTCATCCGTATTTGATCACAATTGATCTGTTAGATCCAAATCTGCAAGCCATACTGATACTTGAGCAAGCAAGACAAAGAGGTCGGTTTGGCGGCGGTACGGGATTCCGAGAAGCAGGGAATCCAATGAAGTAGTGATACTCAAAACACTACTTCTACCCGTAAATTCAAAGCGAAAGATAATTTACAAGAATATTTCTTACAATAGTATTAATGACAAAAATAGAATGAAACCTACAGTAATGCCTGACAACTTAATTGTAAGATTTCATAAAGAAACCACAAAAAACAAAGGATAGTATCAGTATCGTCAGTTTGCAGCGGATGTGCTGCCTCAAATAATACGACGTCTGACACGAGAGAGCTTCATATCAAGTGACCTGACCTTGCCTGACCATACGATGCACTAGTAGAGCGAGTCATGAATTTGAATACACACGCTACTACCTCCTGCTATATGTTAAACTTGTAAATGGAAATTAGTGAATATGTTTGAAAACCTGTTGAAAAGTTTTTATTCTAATAGCGAATATCTAAAGCCATGAGAGGGGGAGTGATTGTTGAAATAAGTAAAAAATAAGACAAGAAGGAATCAACGAAGCTTTTGCTTAATGTACTTCCAAACGAAGGCCAAAATAATGAGTGCCACAACAGTCATACCCAGGTCCATAGCTTCTAGACCGACGGGAGTAATAGACCATAATGAGCCACCCATGATAGAACCGACTGTGTTCGCTAAAGATACACCAACTTGTACGACAATACTTGCAGTTACATGGTACTTTGGCTGAAGCTCTTTGGATAAAAGGGAAATAAGGGGAGCCGAACCCAAGCTAAAACCGTAGAAAGCAATTGTATACATAATGAAATAAGTTTGCACTGGGTTATGTTTTCCAGCTTCAAGGATAAGATCCACAAGGAGAGCTGCAAAACCAAGCACAAAACCAAGCAACATAATTTGACGATCCTCGATCCAACGCGATAATACTGAACCCAAAAAAATGAAAGGAGCAATAATTAAGGCAGAAAGGGCAAGGAAGTTGCCCGACTGGAACGCAGAATAGTTGAAGAACTTCTCGGTGTAAATGGGAATACTCGCTTGGTAGGATGAAATGATGAAATAAGAGATAAAAGCGGAGTACCACATATAAGCAAGAAGAATTTTTTGCTTAACGGTTAACGGATTGGTTTGACTGCTATCTTCAGAAACGATTGAGGGTGGAATAGTCGCATTCGAAGAGGTGACTTCTTTGAAAAGAGTACACAGACATAAGGAATACAAGCACCAGATACAAAACATTACCCACGTGCCAGCGGTGTACTGGCTCCAAATACGACTTTTGCTGTTTTGTGCATGCTTTGCAAGAAAACCACCGAGGGAGGGACCAATCATCATACCAAGAGTTTGTGCAAGGATATTGAAACCAGAAAGAAAAGTACGTCGCTTGTACCCAACAAGAAGTTTGTCAGTTGCATATTTTTTATGATACAAAAACATGGTGAAAGCGATGCCGTTAAACATACGGCCAATAAGAATAAGGTACAGAAAGTTAGCCTGGTACGCCAAAGCATAGCAGACATGACCGATTAAGTTTGTAATGCACGAGCAAATCATTGGTCTTTTGTAGAGTGTGTAACCATTAGTAAATTTTGGATTGGCAAACACAAGCATGGGATATAACATTATAAGGGAAATTAAAGTGGGAATACCAACAACCAAACCAGAAAAAGAGTTTGAGCCTCCAAGTTCTCTTGTATATTCAGCGGAAACCGGAATAACAATAGTAAAAGAAACGTCAGACAGAAAGCTGTTAAAAAACATCAAAGCGATACTACGCTTCGGAGGCAAAACATCTTCATACTCGCTAGGATCCACAGTAATTAGTTCTTTTACTGAATCATTTTTCTTTTTATCAAGGTCATTAAGCTCAATCTTGAAGAACACCGAGTCAGAGCCTTGATACTGCTTGGACTTTAGGATACGTTGTCCATTTTCATTATGTGGAACATCAAATTCACCCGTAAATGACGGGACCGGGCTACTAGAGGTACTCGAATGCATGTAATAGTTGTAGACTAAACCCTAATTTTTCTTTGATTGAGAATTATCGAAATGATATGCACAATTGAACAACGCCAAAAAAGACCTTCACCCGGTAAAGCTTCAGTTATGTACTGAAGAAGACGACCACTTAGAAAGTACCTTTTCACCTTCGGTCACTTTTCTAAGTTGCAAACAATATATGTTCTTTATGAGTTGCGGATGGTCGTGTCCACCCAAAAAAATAGTCGAAAATTTTTCAGACATCACTTTTCGGTTAACCGATCGAGATGTAATGTAACGTGAACAATTCTTCTGGACTGCTACTCTTATTGCGTAAATCGTTTTCGTGTGTGAAATATCCCGATATAACAAAAATCCAGTCTGTTTAGTTTAGCATATCAGTGAAAGATAACGTGCGGGATGAGAACAAATAATATGAACAGAAATTTAAAATGAAAAAGAAGAATGAATTTATGTACAAAGTGGTTCATTCTCTGTCCTGCTCAATATTCGCATCGTAATAACTATATTCTGCAAACTTGGGTTATTAGTAAATTTACTAAAGGAAATTTGTGCGAACCATTAAACGTAGTATTGTTGTTAATTTGAAATCGCTTGGTAAGTCGTTTCCTCAACATCAATGATAGTACTGTTTTCATTTTTCTTTTTGTCGGTACCGTTGCTGCCTGACGGAATCGATGCTTCCACGTCACTTGGGTGAACATCAAAACGGACGTATTTGTTCTTTATCCAGTCATGAAGACAAATGCTCAATAAGCCACCCAATACAAACAAGCCGCAAATGCTTGCGCCAACAATTTCATAATGGCCACTTACACTATCGAGCAGGTCCCAAAAGGAACCATGCTTATCGCCAACATTTTCAATTAGGGAAAGCATTTGAATGACACCAATTGTGTAAGCGGCAATTACAGATATTACTGTTAGAACGAAAGAGTAGTAGCAGCGGGTGAAATATCCGTTCTTAGCGGACACTGACGAAGAATACGCGTAGTACATGAGAGCGCCATCGATAGTATCAACGAGACACATACCAGACAAGAATATAAGTGGAAACAGCAGGATTAGCCATATGGAAACACCAGAAATTGCTTGTAAACTAGCAATTCCAAGAAGTGCAATTTCCGAACTTGTATCGAATCCCAAACCGAACACAAAACCTAGAATGTAGATTTTCCAAGGACGATCGACAAGTTGAAACACCTTGGAAAGATGCTGCATCCAGAAACCAGAAGCACCATGGTCCGATTCAACGCCGGTCCGGCAATACCGCCGTAAACGTATGTACAATCGAACCAATAACACTGAATTGCCAATGGCCAGCAAAAATAGGAAGGCCATACTTACAGACGTTCCTATAACGCCGCCAACTTTTTCAAAGTTGTCCCATTTATCAGCAAACTTACTGGCCGTGATGGCAACCACTAAACAAGTAATTGTGACAACGGTTGAATGTCCTAAACTGAACCATGTACCGACAGTAGACAACGGCTTCTCCGATCCAAGTAACCGCCTTGTAAGGTTGTCAATAGCCGTAATGTGATCGGCATCAAGTGCATGTCGAAGCCCATACGTCCAGGCAAGAATAATTGATGCGAACAAACGAGAACTAGTAGTAGCCAAAATTACAGATACAACAATCCAGGCAGCAATATTCCAAATTACAAGACACACAATGGGTATCGAAACTTTCCGTGGAACCTTGCATAGGAGAGGAATCTTTTCATAAGCGTGAACACTAGAATGAAACAAACTAGAAAAGACACGACGAGACTGACCACATTCTGAAGGGTGCATTTGTTTACAATGAACCCTAAACTATTGAAAAAAAGCGGTACACATCACGGTGACAATGATTTTATATCTGTTCTAAATTTTATTATCAATAGTACTTGCCATTTATCTATTCGTGCGATTGAAGGATAAACTATGGTAAAGCGAGCTTTTTTTATATCATGAACATGCTGGTTGGATGGGCATTTGTTTGCGCAAGTTTCGCTGTTGTTATTTATAGGAAACGACGAAGCATGAGAATCCCCGAGAATAACTAAAACTTCACAGCTAAGTAAGCGAGGGCGGGTTGATAGAACAGAACACATCTTTATCAATGAAAATTTTAATTGTGAAAAGAATTTAAGTTATAAGAGCGCTATCGCTTTATGTGTTATGACGTGTGACCGAGCGAATGTACTTTTGGCGATTTAGTTACTGAAAAACCCGATTTTTTGGAATTCAAGTATGTAACAAGATTGAAATAAATGATCACTAGACTGTCTGATTGTGGCGCTCATGTGTTGTTAAAACTATCTATTTATGTAATAAAGAACGTAGAACCAGATTGGCTGTGTAAAAATGTATAGAGAACTCGTGATTCGTTTCTATCCAGAATTCCAACACTCTTATACGCACTTAGCGTATAATCAAACAACAAAGTTAGCCACCCAACTGCATGTACGGCCATTAAGCCCGACTTTTACATGACCATGTGTATTGTTGTTAATTTTAAAACTAATTATTCACTAAAAATAAAACAAGACAAAATTACCTGATATAGCAAGCGATAGCTCTACTTAATGAGGCATTTATCATACCAGGACTGATGGGGTTATTGACATAAGAGACATTGCATGAGGAAGAGGTTCACCCCTAAAGATCGTTATAACGTACACAAAAAAGAAGAGAAGTAAAACAATGCTTAGCTAGACCGGTTCAAGCAAACAAACAAACAAACAAACAGAATCCAGAAGGATATAAAAAAGAATCATGACAGAACAATATTAAAGAACACAAGTGAGTAGAACTTTCATGTGTAAAAAGAGAGCTTTTAAGGAGAGGAGATGGGAGGCAAAGAAACGAAAACGTAAGTGCCTTAGCGGGAGCTTGGAACTCCTTCTATAGTCAACTTATAGCAGCAATTTTGATTTTCCTTTCTTAATTTCTTTTCACGGCGCTTGCGTTCTGCTTCTTCGGGGGAATCGTTATTTTTTATTTTCAGGCGACGGAAAAAGCGCATGCGACTAGAGTTCTTTCCGTCGCTTGAAACGGGGGTTGTTTTTTTGACGGAAGAAACTCTGTTTGCGGAATCCGCTAGCGATTCAGTTGAGTCGATGCTACGACTTTTGTCACAACCCTCAATATCGTTCAATGATTTTGTATCACGACACAGAGACACAAGCATCCCTCGCTGTAAAAAGAAGGCGCGATTCCATAATTCGACAATTTGTAAAATATTAGCGTTCTTCTTCTTTTTCATACTGCGAAACATAGGCCCACTAAATAGCAATGCGCTAACACCAACCGTCATCGTCAACACAACTGGGATTGTGATCTCACCAGCAGTATAGTGTCCAGCGCTACGTATCTCGTGAAAAAAACGGCCCCAATCTTCCAACGTAACGTCTCGTTCTTTAGTAATTGGCAAAAGAAGTTTGGATGCGAAACCATCAGCTAAATATTTTGAACGGGAATACACGACAATTGGAGTTGAAGGAAAAGCAGCACCTGTCCACCTTGGCGCTTTCCGATAAAACTGTGAAGGTATTTTTGAGTTATCCCGAACCCGGGGGAGTTTAGTAATCATCTTTAAGCCCTGATTGTTATTCCCAATGACAGTGTGATATAAGGGTGGAGTCTCCCCGTACTGGATGGACAGATTGCTGAGAGACGTCTGCACGGGTGGCATGTACACATCGTCAGACATTGACCGCGATGAAATGGCCGAAGTCTGAGAATTTGAGCGTCCACGTTGGTACTCATACTTCTCGCCGCGATTGCTTTTATTAGTGGAAGTCCGGGTCGCACAATTGCCATTTAATGACGAGTTTAAACGATTAGACCCTGTGGTTGAACGCGACGACATTGACGAGGCAGAATTCGAGCGAAGTCTAGCAGGAAGATCTTGAACAAAGTCGTCACCAAGAAAGTATTGTTCCTGATTGCTTCTAAATCTTCTAAGATTTGGTCTCGAGGACTGGATGTCGCAACTGTCTGGTGAGAGTGATTGCTGAATTTGGACTGGCTGCAAGCAAGGTTGTCCCTGAAGCGCTTCTCCATACGAAGGAAGTTGAGGGGCAGCGGGCTGAGAAGCAGCCGTGCTTGCGACAGTCTGGGGCATTGGACACTCAGAAAAACTTGGCGCAGTGCTTACAAAAATAGTCTCAAAATTTCTTTACAAGCTAGTGAGTAAAAGTCTAATGCTCACTTTGTTGTAAAAGAAAAAATAAAATAAAAATGCTTCAAAAAAGTTCGTAACAGAGAGACTTGAAAACAAATGCAGTTCAAAACCAAACTCCTTGATAGATGGATTGTCTAAAATTCCCCGATATTCTTGAGAATTGGCCCCGTGCGACTATTGATGCAGGTTTAATAACGGTGCGATATATACAACGTTGAGAATTTAGAGTCCAAAAAAAGAATCGAAAGCAGCCAATAATTCAATGCGTTTCTGAAGCAGTGCAGCTGCGCTACGTACACCGAATGCTTCCTGTTGCAACAACAAAGACCTTTCGCTACCTTTGAATACGTAAAAGGCAAAAGACTTCCTCGCAGGGTCTGTGGGCATTGCTCTCCTTTTGTGTGGGGGAATGATGTCATTTCTCCACTGAGCCGTCGTATGCTATTGGTTAAAAAGTGTGAGCCTGTGTAAAGCCGAGGTTACTACGTGCCAATGACAAGCACCATTCTTTGGCGTATCATCCTTTAAACAAAAGTTGCGACGAGTAGGCGACGCTAATTCAAGTCTAGTACTCTTATTGGTCAGCAAAGGATAAACGAGTGAAGAAAACGGGGTCACAAAGGAGGTGCCACAACCGAGCCACGCCTTGATTGTTTATTCCGGAAGCCCCTAGGGATCACCGTACAAAGTTAGAAGTCATCAGACGAGAGGCAAAGGAGGCTGCGACGGAAAAAGTTTTCTTTACTCTACACTGGTTTTTGACAAAGTCACATATGGGAGATGAAGATTCTTCGTTTTAAGGAAAGGAAATATTGTGATGAGAAGAGCTTCCATATTTTGACAGAAATAATTGAGCTCTTTCAAGAATAATTCGCTTATTCTCTATTTCGGGGCGGAGGAAATGTTTGCCCCCCCCCGCACAACACAACAACCCTAAACGGAAGTGCCGACGAACAGTAAGGATCTTGACTATTGGTGGGCAAAATATACGCTGTTTTTTTCCGTGGTTTCTGTCAAATACGGCACAATTGTTTGCAATGCCGATACTAATTGCATTCTTGACTTCGCTTGGTTTTTCGATAAAGTAAACCGAGCTGATTAAGCTTATAAAACGTTTCCATGTTAAGCCGAAAATGACGTCAAAATCCTCGGCAATAAATTGACAAGACTGCAAGTGGCGAAAGGGTTTTGACGAGATTGTGAAAATGCGATGAGAAGCACTCCTCTGGCGTTGGACCAATTGGTAAAGTTCATAGCAGCAACCTTTTATCTATAATACTGTTTGCACCGGTAATTAATGCTTTGAGGATAGGGTAGTTAAGGGTCACTCTTGATACTGTATTTAATAAAGCTTTTGTCATATAATCGGTAGTTTTGCTTTGTGTCGGGACAATTGAGTCGCTATGGTCAATGACGGTGATCGGGTTTGTTTATGTCGATTCTCAACCCGAATTATATTCAATTGCCTTTTGTGCACATTTTTCTACGTTGATGAAATTATTTTATTATTAATAATGTGAATGTGATTAATTGAAGCTTCAAGAATGCTGTATAGTCCATCTGATGAATGAAAAAAGTGTCGATAATAAAAGAAAAACTCACGAAACCAATTGGTAGAATGTTTATTAGTTAATTTTTTACTGATTTCTTTAAAAAGTTGTCTAAAAAATTAATACAAATAACAGTTCTATGCTATATTATTTCGTTAATTATATAATAGTCATAAATATCCCTAAATAATTTAAAAAAAATCACAACTAGAAAGTCTACGTCGTGGTTTTAAGATATGTATGACCAAAGGCCTTACTTTGGGCATGAATTTACTATTTATTAAAAGGTTACGAAGGTTAATATTTCACTCAACATAAGCAGATCCGTTTGGGAATACTTTTGCATAAACTTAGTACGTTTATTTTGGACGATATACTGCTCAGTAAAGCTTCGCATTAGCCTCATACGTAAGGTCGAGTCAAGCTTTCTGTAATATATTTACACAGAAGCTGACTAATGTTCGTTACTGTAAAATGACTATATGGGTTGCCAGTATGCCGTTATTTAATTACTAACTGTGTTGACGAAGTGTATTTTTCTGTTATCTCCATTGTTAGATTCAGGATGAGCGCAAGAAGTATTCTCTTAAATTTATTTCCGGTGAGACTTACACAAATAACGATAAAAGCGCTAAAAAACGCAAGGCTATTCCGTTTATTTTAATAAAAGTCTTGCAGGAGGATGCAGGGAATTATTTCCATTAAATTCAGCGAACGTTTATAAATTGAATTCCATTTTGATTTGTACTCAATACAATTGTGAAAACCAACGTTTACAGCAAATAAACATGGCGCCAATTTAATCTATGGAAAAAAGCACCCTAATATTCGTGTTTGGAGAAAATAATTGTTTCAGTCTATAAATCTTAAAGGACTTGATTCAAGATATTTTTAAGTGATATTTACCCTATATATACACTCATTTTGTCTTAAGAAGTTGCGGGGTACTCTTAATTGGACAAAAACGATGGTCAAAAATTATTCAACTTATTGTTACTATTAAGATGCTGATATCTGGACTTCGCAATCCCGTAATTACAATATTTCTTTCATAAGCACAGTTTACAGCCATTAAGTCCTCATTGAATTTGTTTGTGCTTTCCTATAAGTTTATTTAATTAATCAATAAGGCAGGGCGTCAAAACTTTTGCATGGAAAGTGTTTCAACGCAATTATTTTCACTATAAATGTCACCAAGGTATGTACTTTCATTTTTCAACGTTCAATACATCTACTCACAATTAAACACACCGTTTATGATTAAAAAGCCACATCTTAATAACTCACAACCACCATCGTTGCGTGTAAAATGTTCACTGCTAACCGTGCCCATTTTGTGCATCAACGAAAGTTCCGTAGAGCCTCCACACATGGAAACTTAACTCGAATATAGTGCTGTGATTTAATAAGTACGCCTGCTTAAAAATTAATGAGTGGTGTCGGTGAAAATTGTATTCTCTCGATTTTAGATAGAAAGGTTAGTATGATAAACACCGTGTAATACATGATGTAAGGAAAAATCGTACGGCAATTATCTATGAGATCAATAACAAAGCGTTTTCATTGAGAATAATGAATGACTCACTTGGACTTAACCCAACAATGACAATCTGGAGTCAAATGACGAATAGAAATTTCATATTTACCTTTCAATGAATTTTCTAACAATTGTCAAAAAAACATTCACGTGAGAGATGACCACCAAATTGTTTTGTTCATCGACATGTTATTCCATATTGAAAATACACATCTCACTTGGAATCCTTTTCCCGCACATGTCACAGACTTGATGCCGTCTCCGTTATATTGAATGATTCAACTCATCTTTCTGATCTTTGAGAAATCATCACAATAGGTGCTGTGTTATTTCTCACAGTAATCTACCCACTGTTTTTTTTTAAAATGAAAACGAGGGCTTTTGTTAGTAGTTTAGGGCTCAGTAAAGATTGAAAAGTTTCCGTCTTCATTATTCGATTGCCTTAAACCAACAAATAGTTCAATTATAGCTTAAGCAAAACGTTAGGAACACAAAACTGTCGACTTAATTGACCAGCGGACGTATTTGCATTACTTTCTGATATGAACTTTTTCTTTAAACGTGTTCCGTGTGTCGTACTTATCATTCCTGTTCAATTAAACTCGTTAGATATAATTATATGCCCCTTTTACTCTGAGAAATTGATACCTACTCCTCAAAGTATTGAAGATGGGATAGTTGATCCAAAGTAATATTCGCAGAAGCACTTTGGTTAAATGCGAAGTTCGTCTTCGAGAAAGATTTAATCCTCTTCTGTGAAAAACCCGCCTAAGAAATTAGAGGATTACAACGCTCTGCTTTCACAATAAAGCGTAAAAGTAATAACTGATTAGACTAGACGGAAAACATAACTGAGCATCTCAAGAAACAAAGCTCTGTAATTGAAAGCAGGTCAGTTTGATACCCGTGTTACTTGTATGCTGTTTTGGAACTAGTCATTATGGCATGCAAAATTAAAGGTGTTGAGTAAGTTATCTTTAGAGAGCACTGCACAACCCAGTTTTATCTTTAATGAATCAGCATTAATAACCGGGAGGATCATGCTGACCATTCTTTCATTAGAAGGACTAGCTTAAATTCTAATTCGTGTATTATCCAGCATCCATTACGGGAACGGAACTCCATAACTATACACAGTTTTAATGGACGACAGAAATCATGTGGCGATCCGAAAAGGTACTAAAGTAATCTCAACACTGTGTGTTACTTTTCTCGGTGATTTGAGGGAAGACGAATCAAAAAAAGTAAGCTAAGCGAAGCGAAGCCGAAAAATTTCTCTCATAATATTAGCACAATACTTAATCTTTGCTAGTGCAAAGAATTCCGTCTATTTCAACCGTTAACTCAGTCGACGATGAAATGTTTATTTAAGCTATTTGCGCTGTATTACACTTATCACATGCTGTGTATCCTCAGTGGGTACTATGGTATTTGGCAACCTTTGTTAAGCGAACGTTAGTACAGCAAGGCTGGTAGCAGGGTTCATAGCGGTTCATGGTGGCAAGAATAGAACATAGGATGGAATGTCGATTGCTGACGCCCTGTTTATAGCCGTTCATCTAATCATCAGTCGGTTTTTACTATAATTAGTCTACTTACACATTCTAAATACATTTACTAGTGACTATCAAAAATTTTAAAAAAATGCGTAAACAAAAAGAAACGATGTTATATTCTTGCTAAGTATGACGATTAAGCTTCTCCGCGTTTCACGTGACCTTTAGACGCTGGTTTACAGAATAGTGCTTGACCTGCTCTATTCGCTTCAGACAACCCGGCAATATAAATCTCAGGGGACTAGTAAATAAATCCTAAAACATCAGACTACGGCAAAACAGACAAATCTTCTTCAGTTGCTCGGGTGTTCAAATTTGATTTGCCTGAGAACATTGTGATTCTTTGCTCTAATCAAATTGAGGGGACACTGACAAGATTGAGAGCGCAGAGTTTAGGTATGAACATATCAATTTAGAATCTCTCATTCGTGCATTTATTTATGTGACATGGAATGTAATGAATTTTAAATTGGCTTAACCGAAAAATTCAGAACACTACACTGCTAAATTATCATCTCCCTTAAATGACTAAAGGAAAAACTTTCGTGAATATATTTTGTTCCAAAGTAATAATTAACAATATCACTATTAATAGAAATCGTAATTCTAACAAACCTTGTCAAGGATATCGACGCTGACAAAGAATGTCGTTCCATAGGACTGTTTAGTTACTTGATATTATAAAGAGTATTACCTTCTCACAGCTGGTTAATTTTTTAATTACACAAAAAATCAAGTTTGTGAAGAATTGCAAACAAAAACACTGCAATAACATTAATACGTAGCAATAGCGCTTACTATCTACAGCCGACTGCTTGGTAACTTGAGAGTTATTGGATAAACTTAAATAATAAGAGTCAATCAGGACGGAAAAAATCAGTTCGCTTCAGGAAGAATACGCGAACTGCACACAAGAATAAATTAATGCTCACGACGATGCTCTCTATTTAATGGCAACCTCTGCCTCTGTTGCTAACACAAAAGTTAATATGAACATCATTGTAGACTGCATCCCTGATTATACAGCTTCCAGTAGGCACTAGACAACGATCCATACACACTTGAATATTGTCTTGTGCCCAAGACGAATTGAAATTAACAGGAGCGCTCCACGAAATGCAGCAATCGCCGCCACAGAAACTTCTGGGACTTAGCGGAAATATGCCATAATCCGAAATTCCTTGATTCAGAACATCACAACTAGTATAATTTGTAGAATGATGGTCATCACACCCTCTACTAGATCTTTTCGTCGGATGATTAACGTCACAAAGAGAAATATTGAAATCCCTGTAATAGTTCATCAGGTCGGTACTCGACGCCGTAGAAGCGAGAGACTCAGTACTGTTTAAACCATACGTGTAAAGGAATTTGCATGTCTCACTAACAAATTCGGATGAGCCATTCAACGCGAGACTATGCGTATAGCCGTTACGATCCATCAAATTGTAAAGGTAAAGGGCGTCGCCCAACATCTCATTAGACTGTGCCTGTTTCAGCATGGCTCCAACCTTGGCAACCTTCTCATAATTGTCAAAGGAATACATATCGAGTTCTTTGAAGTAAGGCTCCGCATCGCGCTTGGTAAGGCTCGACAAAGTAGAAAAGCCCGATAAGGTAGACAGTGTAACTTGTCCTTCACCGCCAGACGGGGAATTATCATCATTGTTTACAATTTTATTCAAGATAGCATCGTAATCGCCAGAGGAAGCAGTAACAGCTCTGCAAACAAGAGCCGAAACCAACTGAAGGGAAATACTCAATAGCTTCATGATGTACCAAATCTTCTGGGCTCTTACACTTCTATATCTTCATCTAATGGTAATATTGGGAATCCGGTTAATATTCCGGAACCAGGATGTGGATTCTCCACGGCAACGTAAATGAAGTTGGAGACGTCGGTGGGAGCCCTGTTCAATTTATCACGCTTGGAAACACATTTGGATGCTTAGTATAGTGGCGTTAACCTTAGCCTAATGATCGCTAATTTTATGGAGCCAATAAAAAGTACGTGGAAATGTAGCCATTGCAAGCTGAGACGGAGGCATGGAGAATAAATAGGAACAATTGCACACACCCCCATATTTTAAGAATACAGTCTTGTATTTTGGAGCAATAGATAATGTGCATGCCATTCATAAGGCGGCACTCTTCAATGTAAGAAGAATACGCTTGCCTAAATTTGCTACCGTGCGTGTGTCATCGCCATGGAACCACTGAGCTCGCAACGCTCATATGCAAAGCCATATTGTGATGAGGAAGAAACTGTAAAACTGTAAAATGAAATACCTCCTTGTATATATAATTTTTTTATCGTTAATTCAAACTGCACTTAGTGAGCAGAGTTGTTTTCCACACTCTCAGACTAAAGCTTGTGGGCTTTTATTGAACTACACCCTTGTCATGTACACAGGATTTAACATAGAAGTGTAGATTGCTCTTTATCATCATCATGAGAAAATCAGATTAGTCGAATTGTCTATATACAACATTCACCATATCCATGTCTAAGTTGAACGTGCTTGCGATGTTCGTTGTAACATCAATTAAAATCTCTGATAGAAATTCTGTTTTTAAGGAACCAAAGTCATAAGAATAGTCTTACGAAAACTAACATTGCTTTCTAATCATAATCCAAGTCTTCTTCGTGGCTCAACCACAGCAAAATGAAAATTCGCTATATATTTAATTTAATGTGTTGAAATTATACTATATTGAAATGATAAATTCATTGCGGTATCACGTTTTCCGTAATTTTAAACTAATGTAACTATCATCGATGATAGCCTTTCATATCGAAATTGCAGGTACTAGCTTTTATGCAATTGTGCACTACTTGAGTGCAATTAATTATTAAGACTGACACTACTAATCGTGCATCATTACGTGCTTGAACAGTCTATAAATTGAACTTTATGAAAATAGCGTTCAAGTTAAGTCAATTAATATTTCAATACTTAGAGTGGCTTTTCGTAGCTTGTGGAATTGGTACAATTCGTCTTGAGGATCGCCACCCTTTTGCACTCGTCTTCAAAAGAACATTTGTAATTTTCACAGTGACGTGACGTGATACGATACATTATAATTGTATAGCTGTAGAACTTACGAGAAAGGACTCCGTTGTTGATAATGCTGATCTTCTTTAGTAAACCCACTTCCACACATAATTTATACGGAGCCCTGTTTTTGATAACACAAGTAGAGTTTGGTAAGGTCAAGAATTTGTTACGAAAGCATGGTAATTTGTTCATAGTTTGCAATTTAGAGTAGCTGAATCCAAGGGAGGTTTGTCACTCCAATATGAATTGGAGAACCGTTAGTACCAGTAACGGGAGTGGAAGTTATGGCGTGAAAGGTTTACGATTTCAGCATTGAATGGCGTTTGGGTCATAATGTCTATTGATGAACGAAACCTCACTTCCGATATGCAACAGATAAGTGCTGCCAGGCTAATTACTCTCTCTCCACCTTTTCTAACTTTCTTTGCTATATCATTTTTGATTAAGTGCTACATAGTACCAAAGTATGGAAAGGACTGCTTATTATATTAGGATGGTTTAGCGTTAGCATGCACCAAAAAATCCTCCAGATTGGTCAGATGCAGCGAGAAAAATACAGACACTAAGCATAATACGAAGTGTCAAAGCTACTTTCCCTGGGGTTCACTATTTACGCTGTCTTTTAATGAAAAGGCTCGTTCGACTCTTTTGAGTACATGTTTCTTTAAGCAGAGTTGAGTTCAATTTGATTCATTTGCTGCATTAACAAATATCTAATTTCCCTCCGATTTTTTTTAAAGGCCAAGCAATTTTAATTTCGTTTAAAGAGTTTGATCTATGAACTTCAAGTCTGTCATATCTTTCCATATGCATAAAAGGATGCCGCCATGTACTACTGCAAAACTTTAACTCACAAGTAGGAGAGTCAACAGAATAGAAATACCGAAGGGAAATAACACGGGAGTGACATGAAGGAGAGCAAAATTGTTTATCAACTTCGGGAGAAGTTAGGCCATCATACTGGATTTGGCTGAATATGTAATTGATGCATTGTAGCCTTAGAGTCCCATCTATCGGCAGGCTTGCCCACCAATATACTCGTTGTCAAAAATGGACCGTGTATTGTTGCTTAAGAATTCCTCTGCAATTGGCGGATATGTTTTATATTTCATTTTAGCTACGAAATCTGGGGTAGGATTCATCCTTCTCATTTCATTCGATTAATAAATACTTTTTTCTCGGCAACCCCCCGTGAAGCGCAATTACAGCCGGTTAAAACTATTTTAAGGGGATGGGACCCACTAAATATGCGTTCATGACTCTCATGTGATTGCTCAGCATTCCCAACTGGTGATACTCGTTATAAGTCCATTTGCCTTATAATGCATGATGCGCTTTCAAAGCGCATTCACTCAACTACCGAGTAAAATCATAATTCAATGTACCATTTCTATTTTCAATATTGCAATCAATGCGTCTTCAGCTATATTAACAAGTAAGCTGAAATTAAATACTGTTATAGGTATACCATATCTATAATAATAATACATGCCACTTTTCCCAACTGAGTGAGATGCAAAATGTACAGCTTGCTTAAGCGCACTCATCGCTTTATAATTAAAGTGGCGAATCCCAAGAATACGCGAGCGGCTAGGCGCCAACTATACCAAACAGACACGCGTAAGGACTAGGTAATTCACACTGTTCGAATTGAAACATTGTAAATTTTATAGCGCAGCACAATGGGTTTGTATATACTTATTACCAAAGCTCGTTAAGAGTGCCTCATCAAGAACTCATATAATTGATACGAGTTGGATTGTTGTAAACTGAATGATGCTATTAATATACGAGTGATCGGCCATCCAAATTAGTTGATTTCTTTACGAACCTGCATTTTCATTTTCATTTGTATTTAATTTGATTAAGTTCTAAAACAGACTATGGGTTTCCAGCCACATAGAAATAATTAGGCACAATCAGTATCAATTGCATGGAAAATTAGGTATTAAGATTCGTTGGTTGAAATTGAATAAATAAATAAAAAGAAACAAACCATTACAACAACGGCTATCAGAATATTTGTTTATGTACAGGTTAACGTTCTTGCACGGTCGTAATTTAGTAGTAGGCAAATAAAACAGTTAAAAACATGGAAACAACTACAGGAAGTAACAGAGGAGTAACACGAAAAGCAGCAGAAGCGAAATTTTCTGCGGGAGGCGTTACTCCATCAAATCGAATTTTAACAGCACAATCCTCATAATTTTCTTTGTATCTCAGCGGCATTAGATTTGTGCAATAATTTCCCGCACGGGGTAAATTAATAGTCCATTCCGTAAGCGAATTATTCAGTGCCGTACCGTATACGCCCTGAGCGTAAACATTTTCAGAGCCATTGAGCACCACATATTCACCAAAGCCGGACGATATACCTGGACTTGAAGTAATATTGCTTGTGTATTCCACAGCATGCATACCGTATACGAGGTATGAAAAGGCGCCATCGTTTGTGCATTTGGCTGTGAATGTAATGGATGCATTGTAGCCATAGAGTCCTACTTGTTGACAGGCTGGCCCATTGCCATGAGAGTTGTCAAAGACGAATACAGTATTGTTATTTGAAAATCCCTCCGCAATTGGCGGATATGTTTTATATTTCATTTTTGCTATGCACCTGAGACGAAACCACCCTTCTTATTTCATTCGTTTAATAGGTTTTATGTTCTCGGTAACCGCCGTGAAGCGCAATTACAACCAGTCAAAACTAATTTAAGGGGAAGAGCCGCTAAATGTTTTTTCATGACTCTCATGTGATTGCTCCAACAACTGACGAGACATACAAAACGTCGCATTTTGCATTCGGCTACATGTGATGCCTTTTATTGAAAGCATGCCTCATTTAGTATTGACAAGTCCAGCCGCTTATTTTATCTGTTGTTCAACATTCCGACTATTGTCGGTTGCCAATTATTACGCCGATATTGAACAAAGTTATGAAAATAAATCAATTATATCATAACAATTTGCCTCTATTATAAAACGTGTTTAGATGCTACGCGAACGTTTGCCTTTCGCGCAAGCGCTGCGATCGCTTTTTTAATAATAAAGTACATAACATCGCGAATAAGCGAACCACTACTTTTTGACAATTCGGATCCTCTAACGCATAAATACCCGATAACAATTATGATGAGTTTTTGCTATTAATGTATTGTGAATCTTCATTTGAGAATTACAATTTTATATTTACTCACAAGCGAACTTCATTATAAATTCTGATAGATAACATACCTATCGTAAATTAAATTAGTCTGGGACAAAATGTTGCTCTTTCGTACTAAGTGATTAATTGTTTAAACAATGTACAGAAGTGGTTAGGCCCCTTAGATTGAAAGGAATGAAGCGTGACTTTCGTATTTTGGATACTATTGCAGCTCACCTTTAGTTTATTAAACAACATCGGACACATATATTGCCCCTTTGAGTTTTTATTGATGAACTCCGTGTCAGCAAGATGCTCACGAGCCTTTTATTCACGACGCTCGTAAGCACTGTTTTCGTACATTCAGTTGGGGCAAACGCCACATCCCCCTACGTGTTCAATATTCCTCCTAGTAACACTGGATTGGATATTCTTGGTCCACCTTATGATAGCATTTTTGTCGATTTGAACTATCCCGCTACTGGCGTCTATCTCACCAATTGGACTGTTTTGATGAATCTTGTGCACAGTCAGGACTATTATGGAGCGGCAACGGTGTACTTCCAATACGATCAACCCTATGATACATATGAATCGGTGTATGAGCATTCACTTAAAGAAATCATTGCGGAAAAGAATGACGCTGAAATGTTTCAACGCTACAACAACCTGCTCACCGCCGCCAAAACGCTGGGCCGCTACCCACTTCCCAGTGATGCTATTCCTTTTATTATTCCGGTTACTGATAATACCACCATTTCGAAGAGAGATGATCGTCATTGCAGTTGGAACCATCATGCCCAAGTCGACAATTGTCAGGAGGCGATTGACATTATTGACGTTAATGTTCCTTATTCATTCAAAAAAGAAAGAAGGAGTCAGTTTGTTAGCTCCGCGTGGGGTTGCTACATTACAGTCGATCTTACCGATGTGCAGGAGATGGAATTTCCTGATGGATCGATTATTAAGAGAGATGCCCAACAAACTCTGATACATTGTGCCAATCGTCTGGCTCCCGATCTTGGTTATACTGTTAGTGGCTTTAAAATTGATTACGGCAACCATCTGAAAGTGTGTATTAGTGACAGAGGCACTGGCTGTTAACTTGGTTTCCTCATTTATGAAAGATTTATTTGTTGCCGATTATTCGAAGACATTCCTGAATGATAAATGCGCTCGTTAATAATAATTCATTCAGTGATATAGGTATTCATTCAGATGGCTGAAATATAGTGTATTACATTTGACGAACATGTTGACTGTTTCCTATTAAATATTCTGCGTATCTCGTAAACGCAAAAAGCTGAGATAGTATCTTGACATTTATGTTTAACACTATGATACTATTCTTGTACTTACTCTTTATCTTTATGAACGGTTCAACAGACAGCGGTGAGAGAACCATTGAAACCACTGAAACTTTTGAAACTTTTGAAACCTTTTTTTATGAGCTTCCTCGTTTCACAATTTGGTCTGTTAGCTGGTGATATGTTTTCATTTATGCTGTCCCCGTAATTGGCAGTAATAATTTCGCAATGGTCAAAGCTGATTCATGCAAAAGAAAGTTATGGAATGCTAAAAGAGTTACGCCAAACATCTTATTTTGCATATTGAATAAGAATACTAATTGGCTTTGGATACTATCTCCTTGTATACACGGCAAAGGTGTGTCATGCTTCATTTCACAAGCAATGCGCTAATCTGAAGGATCGCTTAATGGCAACCTCTGCCTCTGTTGCTAACACAAAAGTTCAAATGAGTGTCTTCATAGACTACGTCGTTTAACTTGCAGCTTCCGGTGTAGCGTAGACACCAATCAAGACACACCTTGAGCTGCTTCTTTGCCCAAGTATCATCAAAACCTGCAGAAGTGCTCCACGAAATACAGCAGCCTTTAGCACATAGACTTCTGGGTTTTTTTGGAAAAACACCATAATCGGCAATATAGTCATACAGAAATTCACAGCTTGCCAGATTGGTTTTATGATGACTAGTGCATTTCATCTTGTCATCGTTCCATGTGGAGGTAGGTGCACAAGAAGAGGTTGTGAAATTCTTGTAAAAGTCAAGCAGGTCGGTACTCGACGCCGTAGAAGCGAGAGACTCGGTACTGTTTAAACCATGGTAAGAAAGAAAATCACATGTCTCATTAACAAATTCGGAGGAGCCATTTAATGCGAGACTATGCGTATAGCCGTTACGATCCATCAAATTGTAAAGGTAAAGGGCGTCGCCCAACATCTCATTAGACTGTGCCTGTTTCAGCATGGCTCCAACCTTGGCAACCTTCTCATAATTGTCAAAGGAATACATATCGAGTTCTTTGAAGTAAGGCTCCGCATCGCGCTTGGTAAGGCTCGACAAAGTAGAAAAGCCCGATAAGGTAGACAGTGTAACTTGTCCTTCACCGCCAGACGGGGAATTATCATCATTGTTTACAATTTCATTTAAGAGAGCATCATAGCCGCTGGATGCAGCAGTAACAGCTCTGCAAACAAGAGCCGAAACCAACTGAAGGGAAATACTCAATAGCTTCATGATGTACCAAATCTTCTGGGCTCTTACACTTCTATATCTTCATCTAATGGTAATATTGCACCAACTACTATGACTATTTAGAGCATTTCAGGAGTCCTTCAGGAGTCTTTCAGGTGTCATACTCGCACTCCTCTTTCTTTGTTCAATTTATCACGCTTGGAAGCATGTTTAGAAACTTAGTATAGTGGCGTTAACCTTAGCCTAATGATCGCTAACTTTACAGAGCCGATTAGCCAGTACGTGAAATTGTGGTAGATGCAAACCGGAAGGTAGGCATGGAGAATACAATGTATTTAATTGCACATACTCCTTATATCCCAGAAATATACCAGAATATGATCTTATACTTCGAAACAAACAGGTTGTTTACATGCCATTCGCAAGGGTGGTACTCCTTGTAAGGGCGAAGTATGTTTTGATTGCTTCTGTTAATCGAGTAGCGTAAAATGAGTAAATTAATGACATTGTGTATCTTTGTTGTCGGTGTCTATTTTACTATGCACGTAGGTTATGTCTACTTTTGTTTTATGTCTTAGAGTTAATCTTAGGGTTATTGTGAATTTAATTCCGCATTTGTAACTGCGGTAAGTGAACCGGGCGTAAACATTAGTTGCCTAATCAATACCCTTCAAACCATCAAGCTAAGTCTTCGGGTTTATTTAAAACTTGTAAATAGAATTACGTTTTTCGAGCCGCGTTTATTTCAATGTCGAGTAAACACTGCTATTTTAAGATTATGAGTTGCCCAATTCAAAAACAGAGAAAGGACATACACCCTTATACAACTAGTAATCCTCAAACTATTCCTTTAAAAAGTTTCACAGAATACGGCACTTATTAACTCTTACTCATTGCACCAACTAAAACATGTTAAAACTGCTCGTCAGTATTTTGAAGGGCGTATCAAATCCAAGGAACATATGGTAACGAAACAGAGACATAGTTTCATTTCTATATTTGTTAATGCGAATGCATTTGCTATTTATGTAATGCGGACATTACCTGCATCGTTTAACGATGGCTTCCTTAATTATAGGTTTTCCCATACAATAGGTAACTCAGTCGCAGGCGAAATATTTACTTTGAACTTTGACACTTAAGTAGTAAGAAATATTCTCCAGTTACCCTGTACGATACATTTAGATAACGAATCGTAGAGGATTTACAACTACACAAATCCTTTGTTCACCATTATTTTTTGGCCTAGTTCAGTAGTACTCGCTTAATTATAAAGTTAATGATTTGAGCCCTGTGGACATTAACATGAATAAGTGGTTTAAGCATGATTTCGTTACAGAACAACTGTCAGTACTCATTTTGTGTTTCAATAAACATTTAGCTACTTATATCGGCAAAGGACTTGTTAGAAAATGTAATTATATTATTCTGTGCATGCCCAAGAAGCTATTTTTTTTTCTAATCATATATCTCAATTATTGTTGTTATTGTATAGCTTATCTATAATCTGAATCTCTCCCATTAGTAGCTGAATGTCGTGAGAGATTTGTCACCTTTTAATGAGAGGAAGATGCTGACGGGAAGTTAAATTTGGTATTAATTAACATCTATACAAATGTACCAAAGCATTACCCAATCACGTGCTCAATCTCTTAATTCTTTTGCCTTCACACCCATATAAAAAACGGGGTATTGTAAGCAGTAGAGTAGCCTTGTTTGTACGATCTGCTGATAGCACTAGTTTGCTTCAGCCAAATTCAATATGGAGAATTTAAGCATTAAGCACCTTAAGTCAGACATTAGATTGGCTTACTCGAAGAAGAGATTTTAGGTTCGATATTACCTACGGGGAGGAGGGAGAGCAGTAAGGACGAGCGGGCGCTTCACGGCGCGCTTCGTCTTTGCGATTTTGTTTCCTTCTTTCTTAAGTTTTATAAGGGTAGTGCACATATATATAAGGGTAATACATATTACTGTAAATAAGGACTCGAGTAAGCTAGCTTCGGGGTACACTCGAGGTGTATTATGTGTAAGTAGTTAAGTAGTAAGTATTACAAGGAGGACTTTACTCCTAACGACCTATTTGCATATGTATTAGTAATGTTTATTGTTTACAAACAGTAAACAAGGGAAGAACTTTTTGTTTACTAAGTAGTCAACAAAACTATATGGAAGCTATAGGAATGGTAAGTTTAGAGGGTGTAGACTTAGTGTATGTTGTTTACACTTTTGAATCTAATGTATTCGTTACTAAGGCTAAGTAGTAGTCTACCTTGGCCGAAAAAAGCCTAAGTCTTAACTACAGTTAGTAATGATGAATGGCTAGTGTATGTTAACAGTCGGGTAGCGTGTCTTAGGGTTGAACTTAGTCTGTGCAAATATTTACAAGTTAGTACTTAAAGATATGGAAGGGTATGTCATGATTATAAGGAAAGATATGGATTATAAGGAAAGATATAGGTAAATTTTAAAAATGCATTTTTTTGGGATGTCAACACTTTGTGCATAAATTATTCTATAACTATTATATATAAGTGTAAATAGATGTATTGTATTACTGTATTAAATGCTAGCACGGGTCGACATACATATCATAATAATAGTGAGATGTAATTGACGGGTACAATAAACATATACTTGGGTAAGTAGTTAGTTGAGACATTGTTCATGCAAGGTGTATAAGTGTCTTGGTACGAAGTAACTTTGGTCGTAAAGCTGTTTGTACGAGCACGGGTCGGACGGTATTTTGATGGACAAAAATGGACATTAAATTCAATGCAGAAGAATGAAAGGGAAATCTATAAACAAAGCACTGCAGCACACTTTTATATGCTTATTCTTTTCAAATAAAATAGTTTTTTGTTATTCGTATGCTGTTAAGGGACATTTTATAAAAATATTTGAGATTGCATAAAGCTCAGAAAATAAAATAAGCTAGGCATTAAGTTTTTGAGAAAACATAAACAATATTAAATACAGTTAAACCGTGCTGGAAAACGTCTCAAATCAATACGTTAATGTTAGTTTACAGTAAATTATGCGAAATTAGCGAGTATTTGTGTTGCAAACAGAAAGGATTGAAGCGCGGTACCATATCTAGTCAAGGGTCGCAAGTGATACAGGTAGGCTAAAACCGAAACCAGGCGAAAACGGCAAAGTTAATAAGAATTGCAGTATAAATAATGCAAGAATCGTTTCTATTTGCTAAACATTTATGCTTGGTATTGTTATTTCTCTTAAGATATATTGTGTTACCAAATTATAAAAAATTCACACTTTTTTTGGATCCTAAAACTAGGACAAAAAAAGCTCAATGGTACTATGTAGGGAAATGGCAGTCGAAAGATGAGAAGGACCTCCTACAAACTAGTCGGTGCAATTGATTAGTATCGTTTGTTTGAAAGCATTTAATGTTTTTGAATAAATGGTATTAGTTAATACGCAGTTTCCGACTGGGGATTTGGGTGCTTGCGTTCGCGGATCAGTGAATCCTTTTTTGGGATACTGGTTTTACTTCAGTTTTTTTGAAGACAGCGTTCGGAGAGCGTAAAGCGATACCCGCCAAAGGAAAGCGAAAGCTTTCAAGCTGTCTAAAGTAAAATAAGCTCCAGTATCCAGTTCTTGGGTCTTTACATCTGTAATTGACTGATAGAACATTTCGGTACCTTGATACCAAAGGATAGGTTGGGAAGCGAGTTTGAGTTGTCTACGGATACTCGAATTCCGCGGCCTGCTATCCTTTAGCGAAGAAAGAAGTCGCGAGTGCTATTGAAGCTTTTGTTTCTAACGTAAGCCGCTTGCGCTCTTTCAAAGCTGGAGAATTCGCGCTCTAATTTGCCGCAAGGCAAGGGAGTATGTGAAGACTCGATGAGTTTTTCTGTGGATTGATGGTCGTTAGACTAACATTTTACTGAAGAAGTCATTTAGCGGTAACAACAGGTCAACAGCCGTGTTCGAAAGAACATGTGGTTTGACTTCGTTTGACCCGCTTCTGAAGATCTCGATTAAAAACTGTTATATTGTTTTTCTCTACGAAAAATAATGTATTCCTGTTTTTATGACAAGATCTGAGGAAACTATGAACCAAGCTGGCAATTTCCTTGTTGTCGGAAGTGCGCTTTTGCTGGTGATGCTTCGGTGTCTAAGTAATGGTGCGCTACGCAACACAAACATGCTCTGCTTTTGTAGAGTACTGTTTGAATGGAAATTCGAAAGTTTCGACTTTCGGATTTTACCATGGTTAAAACTTCGTTACTGTTTGTATTATTATAGGCAGTAAGAGTTGTGCAGCGGGGGGCATTGGCTTGTTTACTTGGTAAAACAGGTAGCAAGGCATGTGTCGTTCGTTTGTACGATAACGATAGTTACCTGGTTGATCCTGCCAGTAGTCATATGCTTGTCTCAAAGATTAAGCCATGCATGTCTAAGTATAAGCAACTTGTACTGTGAAACTGCGAATGGCTCATTAAATCAGTTATCGTTTATTTGATAGTACCTCAACTACTTGGATAACCGTGGTAATTCTATGGCTAATACATGCTTAAAATCCCGACTTTTTTGGAAGGGATGTATTTATTAGATAAAAAACCAATGCCTTCGGGCTCTTTTGGTGATTCATAATAACTTTTCGAATCGCATGGCCTTGTGCCGGCGATGGTTCATTCAAATTTCTGCCCTATCAACTTTCGATGGTAGGATAGAGGCCTACCATGGTTTTAACGGGTAACGGGGAATAAGGGTTCTATTCCGGAGAGGGAGCCTGAGAAACGGCTACCACATCCAAGGAAGGCAGCAGGCGCGCAAATTACCCAATCCCGACACGGGGAGGTAGTGACAATAAATAACAATGCAGGGCCCTTTCGGGTCTTGTAATTGGAATGAGTACAATTTAAATACCTTAACGAGGAACAATTGGAGGGCAAGTCTGGTGCCAGCAGCCGCGGTAATTCCAGCTCCAATAGCGTATATTAAAGTTGTTGCAGTTAAAAAGCTCGT